TTATTATCAGAAAACATCTCCAATTTCGGTCCACCACCGAGTCCGTCCGGCCCATTCACGGCTCCAGGCACAATTATATGTTCCAGTTCGTCAAGGGGTTTGGGTCGAACCGAATCCGTTCATCTTCGAACTCGTGGATCATTTTCGAGTCAATGACCTTCTCTCACCTAGTCTCATTATGTATTATTATTTTATGATTATTCCTGCTGCTGCTGTTCCCAACACAACGGAACAGATGGTTATTGTTCGAGTGTGACTTGGCAAGGGGTCCTCTTCCCTTGGCCCCCGACCCAGATCTCCCCGAAATGCTGATCGAAAACGGCCGCTGATAACCTGATCCCACGTATGTAGATTGTAGACCCTTTTTTGCTAGTCCTGCTCATCCAACTCGGCTACAATAACGACGTTGGTTCTGGAATCCAACAAGGAGTCTGGGTTCATCGAATACATGATTGTATTTCTATCCTCTGCGTAGCAGACAGTTGAATAGTGACAATATGATGTCATCATTTGTTCAGTCACGGTAACATACAGTATCCCGGGTCCAGTATACACTTTCATCACTCGGGTATCACCTTCATAGATGTCGAATACCAGTTACGAGCAATTCATAGAGGGCAGAAAAAGAAAAGATATATACAAACAATATATCACAGAACCTAGCTGTCCATCAAAATGGTTCAATCTATCTATCTATCCGCAACGTAGATCGACCGTCGCTCAACCATACGGACAACTTCAACAACGGTCCCCTAGACGCCACATTCTGGAGCAATACCCCGCTTAGTATAACACACAAAACTCCCCAATGATAAGCTGAGCAAAATAACATTGTAATGAGAAGAGAGAGAGCAAGGGGTGCGATAATAGTTGAAACCTTTTTTGTTCATACAGGAATTTGACTATACAGAAAAATGACCTTCTGAAAGCGGTCCCAAGAAGAAATGAAAAGAGAAAGATCCAGCCATAATGTATTTACGCCATTGGTGACAGATATGTTGGGACATGATTAGACCCAATACTTGCACAAGGAGTACCGATGTATCAAAAAGTGGATAACAAGTGACAGGTCATAACGTTTGGTATAGGACACCAAAATATAGAAACAAACAAAGGATCATTACATCAAGAATGAGACTATTGGAAAAGATAAAACAGTTGTTGAGTTATGTTCACTTCCGCATGTCCCAGGCGGGTCGAAGGCTGGCCATCAAGTCATCCTTGGTGCCCACAGTGTCTGCGGGCAGCCGGCTGACCCGATACGCACCAGTGCGGATGTTGTTTAGATGAGTGGTCGAAATTCCGGTTCCAACGCTGCGAATACTGCCAGAGTCGCTTGCGGTCTCCGTGTTCTTGAATCGGGGTGGGGGTGCAAAGTCCAGATTCGAGTACGCTCCAGATTTGCGCAATGCGTGTCTAGAAATCTTGTCAGTACTACTATATCAATCGGAAATTTCTCTTGTTCAAAACTTACGGGCTCGGCATAATGGAAAGATCATCGAAGGCTGAGGCCAATGGAGTATGGGCTCGTGCCATTGGACTGAAGGGTTGCACTCCACCAAGAGGGGTTTCGGGACGGCCTTCCCTTTGATCCTTGAAGTTCTTCCCGGGGGCATAGTCGGCAGCATTCATAAAGGCATCGTCCTTCAGCAAGTGGGGGCTAGGAAGAACATTTAACGGTGCTGGAGGAGGCATCGGCTTTCTCGGTGCCCGAGGAGGCGGCAAGTGATTAGATGCCGAGGAAAATGCTCGAGGGGAGCTGAAACCGCTCAGACCGCTAACGGAGTTGTTTGCCATATGCCCGGCTCCTTGGAATCGTGGAGGTGCACGAGGTGGGGGAGTCATCGCACGGCGGTTCACAGGCTCAGCAAATGGCAGGGGGACATCACTATAGTAGTCCCCTGTGGCGGGGTCAAAGTAACCGTCGGGGTAATATTCAGGGCCGTAATCTTCGTAGATTGTTTCTCTGCCTCCGCCGGCCTTGGTTTCTTCAAAGTACTCCTTGTAAAACGATCGGATCCGATTGGCACGTTGCTCTGGGTTGTCAGATGGGTCTTCTGGGGGCAAAGGACGCAATCCTAGTGTCATCCGACGAGTATCACGACGGGGGTCGAGGGTACGGGTTGGTTCATGGGGCGGTTCTTCAGGGATCGGAATCGTGGCAACGTGACTAGGGGTTTCATCGTGGTCATGGGTATCTTCCATGCCATGTATGTTGACGGCTGGGACCATCGATTGTCTTGCATCGCCGTAATCACTCGCCGCATCACTTAATGGAAGAGAAATTCTGGGTGTTGGAATAGACGAGGTCTGCGTAGGATCGGGATGTGATTCAGGGTGCGATAACGAATGATCTTGCAGGGGGAAACTCGGGCCACTCTGGCGATGTTTCGAAGGACTAAGAGGCTCGGGGGATAGACTGTCACGGTGCAACTCAGACTCAAAATGATCGTTGTCTCTCCTGAATTCAGTCACATCTGTACTGGCCCGACTTGCCGCCGAGTGCCGTTCATCGTTTCCACTAACCGCTGAGGCGAAACTGGGACTGATACTCCTTGGCAAATCCAACTGCAAGCCGGCATATGGCTCCTGTTTTTTCTCGGCTGGATTGCTGACATTGCGTTCGGCTGGGGGAGTATAAATCGGCGGGGAAGAACGGGAAACTCTTTGGGCGTTCCCCAAAAGACCGGCGTTCATATCATCACCCAAAGCAAAACGACTCGAGCCTGCCAAGCTAGCCGTATCGTCGTGAAACCCTCTTTGTTGGGACCGGACTGACATGCTGTCATTAGATACGAACGGGTTCTGATGGCGAAGCTTGTTGTCTTCGCCAATCGATCTAGACATAGAATGCAAGGAATCGCGCGAGTCATGCAGACCCGGTGGGAGGAGGTAAGGATGCCCTATATCCAGAGACACTCCCTTCATGTGATTACTCCGTTCAGTTTGTTGCATCGGTCGAGATCCTGATTTCGGATCCACAATGTCCATGCCAAAATCGAGGGATTTATGTTTGTCATTGGCATCCTCATTCCGAAGCTTTCTCACGTTTCTCCGGTGCAAGTATATCAGAACAACGATAGCACATACGATGGGGACTCTGGCGGTTAATTAGCGATGGGCTTGTAGAATAGAAATCAAGTTCCAACATACACAGCGCCCAGCACAACAGGCAGAGTGGTTGTTGAGGTCGTACTCGTCGGTTTCTCACAATCAGATGATCCCGATCCACAGGTGGTAGTAGTATCCGATCTTCTCACAAGGGTTGGGATATCAGACGGGATCAGAGTCGGGCCATCGGATGGTACCAGAGTTGGAATTCGGTTCCGAGGAACGACTTCCGGTCGACGCGGAGGGGCATGCGTGGCATGGCGAGCGGAGTGTCGATGATGACGATGCATGGTCGTTCTTCTAGATGGTAAAAGACAATCCAGTCGAACGACCTGAGAGGAACAGACCGATGGAAGATAAGAGTCAACAACTATGACGGCTTGATCCCTCACAGTATTCTGACTAGATTTCCACCTAGGACAAGAAAGATAAAATAACAACAGCCCCTGAGAATTGACGTTCGCAGATCATCAAGTTCAGATGGCAGTAATTAGATTGGAAGGTGCCGGTAATCTCCCATTAGATACGGGGTTGAATTGTTGCTGGATAGGTATATTTGAGCAAAGCAGCGGGAAATAATGAAAGCGACGGAAAATCAACTTTGGGCTTTTTGGTCAAGGAATGAACGGAGATTCGAGATCCCCCCTAACGAATGATGGTCCAGGAACAAAAAAAGAATGTATATATTTCAGGAACCAAAAAGCCCTCTGTGGGGAGGGAGAGGAGTGGAAAAAGGAAGGACGGTAAGGAAAGAAAGAACAATGATGGAAGAAGAGGGAGAAGGGGAAAGAGTGTGAAAGAGGAGAAGAGCGAGCAGGGCGGCGGTCTAGATGGCCCGTTTCGTTTGTCTGGGCGGCAGCAGCAGCAGCAGTCAGTGTGGCCTATGAATAGAGCCCACCAGGGAACAAATCCTTACCAGTTGTGGGGGTGTACTGTCATATCGAACAGTCCAGTGAGATATTTAGGTACTCCATAGATACATACTCTGTACATACCTACATACATTGGAGATCCCCTGAATCAGTTAGATAAATGTTGTTATTAAAAGACCTTGCCACCACCTCCCTCTATTATCAGGCCATTGAAGGCTCTGTAGATCATAGTCTGGTCGGTAAGATAATAGCTCCTGGCTACAATTACTAGACCATCCTCTCTCTCTCCCTTCTCTTTTCTCTCTCCTTGAACACGTACCTGAAAGTAAGGTGGTACTGTGAACCAAAGAAATTAGGATCACTGGGTTCCCCTTAGACCTGCTAGTGTCAGGAACCCGCACCATTGTGAACCAATCATCAGAGTGGCTTTGAACCCCCTGAGGAGATTCTTGGTTCTAGCCCCACCCGCCATGACACTTTTAGCTTAGCTCTCGAACCTCTCTGTATTGTGCGCCTGTAAGGGTTTACGCCGGCCGTTACAGGGAAAGGGGGATGGATTTTGTGGCTTAGTATTATTATTAGTATTAGTTAGTATTGCACCATTTCTATCTGGAGTTTTAACGTGAGACACTAGGTAGTGCTCCATCAAAGCATCTCCTGATGGCAGATGAAGCAATAGAGCGAAGAATCAAAAATGTTGATACACACCTTACATGAGTGCCCTGTCAATCTAGAAGACTTGCAACTGGAGTTGACTAGGTTTGAGGGTTTTTATTGATGACGATACCGATGGGGGAACCTCGGCACTTGATTTAGGCTACATCATGGACATTGAAAGGCCATTGAGATGGCATGTTTTGAATGATATGTGAAAAGAGACGATAAAGGGGAAAGAAAATCCACCATCCCCCGTAAATCCACAGATAGAAAAGGGAGAATGCTTGACCTGTGAATAACAATAGACCCGATTATTAACTAAGGTGGATATCTAAGGGCCCCGGATCAGTTCTCTTACTGGTGTAATACAAGCAATTAATATCTAATGGTCAATATAATTCAAACACAATTATTGTGAGAATGATCAATAATTGGGCCATCAATCTGCAGCTTGTCCACAACCTAAACTTGACATGTAGCTATTATTGGGACCAATCACTCTACTGGCAATAGCTGGTTACAAAATGCAATCTTTTTTTCTATCTTCAACCACGGATCAGCGATCACCTTCATTGGCGTTCTTCTGTAGAAAGTACTTGAAGATGGTTACTCATTCCGCACTTCATATCTATGATCTATCTATCATTCAAGGGGCTGGTATCCCTTGGTGATGGATTTGGGCTGCTGCTTTCGTGCAGACTGCGGAGTTACTGAGTACACAGGGTTTATCCACACACACCGTCACACACACTCTCTTCAGAGATAAGGGCTTTTACGATGGAATGAATTACCTCATAGGGAATACGCTTCAGCAAAATCAGTATTGATGTGAAGCAACGTTCGTAGGACATGTATAGTAGTCCATTTGTATGGTTAGTATGATATATATCCGATATATCCCCTATCTACTCCATAGTCATAAGTACTCCAAACACTTTGATACATTCCACCTGCCAACGGATATCTGAACGCATCCACCGAGAATATTCGAATGTAAATAGAATGCCTTCTTAACGACTGGTCGGACATCAACCACAAAACGTGACGTAACGGACGTGCAGTAGCCGACGCCTTCGGGAAGATGTCCGACTGTGCCGCGCATGCAGGCCAGGCCAATTCGACTGAGTCACAAAAAAATCTCTGCGCTCTGTACATCTTCCTTTATAGAAACCAGTGGCAATTGTACATCGTCCTATCATACTCCTACAAACGAGGTCTTGAAACCGTCATGCCGGTGTTTGAAATGATGTTTTCTACTGTTGATTGACGGGAAAGGAACTCGAACCGCGCGGAACTTGCCGAGCGTTGTTGAGATGGAGGGGGAAAAAAAGTTATCTGGACAGGCCCCGTGGGGAAAACATAATAAACAAGCTGCTTAGTAGAGGAACCACCTTGATACCACCTTCACAGTAGTAACATATCAAATATCTAATAATAATGATAACGACGACAACGATTATGATGCTGCTGCTGCCCAATTCTCCTTCTGTCCCCTCTTTCTTTTCTTTTCTTTACCGCTGCTTTGGCATGAAGCGGCACCATGCATCTAGTACGCAGTATATAGTGTCGATATGGTCCCCGACCTGATAGATCAACTCCATCACCATTGACATGTGCCAGACACTACTGAAGAGAGGCAAATCTAGAACGATGAGACCGGAGACATTGCCGACAAAGACCGCATTTCTTTCCCTGCTGAGTTGGAGATCATCATCTGTCATCGTCGATTGTTGGCTCCTCGTACCCACGGCTCCATCCTTGGCTTCAAAAAAAGTCACCACTAACCTAGTTGGCTGGTACTATTTCCCTCTGGGATGGCTTTTTGCCTCCCTCAAAGGACGGTGACACTGTTTCCGCTATTATTTATCTACCCGTTTATTTAACTCCCCCCTCTTCTTTTAATCTGTCTTCCTATCTTTGCCTTGGGGCCTGTCATTCCATGTATATCTTTAAATCTTGACTATCTTCCCCCCATCTACCATGGATTCCTTATCACGGGACCTGGAGAAAGCCGAACTCGACGCCAATCGTCCCCAGAGTCATCCCAGCCTAGAAAACGGCAGTCGTTTTTCTCGAGGCGAATCTGTCTCATCCGCCGGAACTTCCTCTAGCTCTAGCTCCCAATCTGACCACTATGGGGATCACATGTCCCGGATCCAAACTGCACAGAGCCAGCGCGGTGCTGGCCTCGAGCGGCACCCAACTGCAATGAGTCGTATAGCAACCCAGCGAAGTCAGCACAGTGCAACCGTTGGTGCTCTCAAAACCCGTGCTTCGAAGAAGCCTCTGCCTGAGTTTGGAGCTGGCAAGCCATATCCTCCCCTACTACCAGAGAAGGAAGAGTATGTGGTTGAATTTGCTGGACCCAACGATCCTTTACACCCCCAAAACTGGTCGACCAAGAAGAAGTAAGTACTCGTATACCCCTCGCTGTCTTGGATGCTTTATCAAACCGGGAAAAAGGGCTTGTTTTGCTGACTCTAAACTACAGGGTTGCCACGTCTGTAATGCTCGCATGGACAACATTCAACTCAACGTTTACCAGTAGTATCTACTCTGCTGCCAACTCCGTTGTATCATCCGAATTCAATGTCTCAACCGAAGTCGGAACTTTGGGGATGTCCCTCTACGTCCTTGGGTTCGCTTGTGGACCCACAATCTTTTCACCATTGTCGGAGCTACAAGGTCGACGTTTACCTATTCTGATAGGCATGTTTGGATTCACCGTTTTCCAGTTTGGGGTGGCTACGGCAAAGGACCTACAAACGCTTATCATATGTCGTTTCTTTGGAGGATTCTTCGGAGCATGTCCTATGGCCGTCGTCGCGGCTGTGTTTTCTGATATCTACGATAATCGTGTTCGAGGTCTTGCTATCACTCTTTTCACCATGACAGTTTTCACGGGTCCTCTCTTCGCCCCGTTCATCGGTGGCTTCATCGTGGAAAGCTATTTGGGATGGCGCTGGACGGAATTCCTCACTGGCATCACTGGCGCATCTGCCTTTATATTGGATTTGTTTCTATTGCAGGAAACTTATCCTCCAGTCGTCCTAATCAAGAAGGCTTCGGACCTGCGTCGAGGGACCAAGAACTGGGGCATACATGCCAAACAGGAAGAAATAGAGGTTGATTTTGGAGAGCTTATACGCAAAAACTTTGGTCGACCCTTTCGGATCCTCTTCACTGAACCGATAGTGTTACTGCTGAGTATCTATATGGCCTTCCTCTATGGGCTATTGTACCTCTTCATGACGGCATATCCGATTGTCTTCCAAGAAATTCATGGATTCAATAAAGGCCTTGGTGGTCTCGCATACTTTGGGATGATCATCGGGGAGTTCCTAGGTGGAATTTTCATTGTCTGCCTCCAGCCTTGGTATAATAGGAAGCTCAATTCAAATCGTGGAATCCCTGTTCCCGAATGGCGTCTTCCCCCTGCTGTTCTTGGTGGTGCAGCCTTTTCTGGCGGTCTTTTCTGGTTTGGGTGGTCTGGATACACAGCTGATATTCATTGGATTGTGCCCACTGTATCTGGTCTCCTCACTGGATTTGGTCTTTTTTGCATCTTCCTTCAGTGTCTCAACTACATTGTTGATGCATACCTCCTCTTGTAGGCTTCCTATCCTAAAGCGACTGTTTAATTTCAACCACAAAAAACCATGCTAATTATCATATCCAGTGCCGCCTCAGCTTTAGCTGCGAATAGCGTACTCCGTTCCTTGGCTGGTGCCGGTTTCCCCCTTTTCGCAACGTATCTAGTATGTCTTCTCGTTCGAGATTTCTCAATCACCTGCTAACCTACCCCAAGTTCAATGCACTCAAAGTCAATTGGACCGGAACCTTACTTGGCTGCGTTGCAGCCGTTCTGATGCCAATCCCTCTCCTGTTCTATTTATACGGTCCCAGGATCCGAGAAAAGAGCAAATTCGCCACAGAATATGAAGTGGCTGCCCAAGCTCATATTGATAACGATGAACGAATTGATTAAACAAACCGATCCAATGTCTTAAATGCGAGACTTGGAAACTCCAGGGGAAAGAGGAAGAGAGGGAGGAGTTTTACGTCGTTTAAGTCATGCATACGATCCTTAATGTCTTATTACTTACGTTCTTGTTTGTTCATACCCCACAATGGTTTGGATTTCGGTTACGGTTGATGATGATGATATTGTCATTTAAATATCCTACGTTTAATGTCTGTTGGTGCTTCAATTGTTTGACATGTCTTGCATGAAAGTCGTCTACAAGAATGTTGTATAATGTGGCCTCGGATGTATTATTGAAAATGCACATTTTGATTACCCTCTTATGGCGACTTGGAATCAGTACTTGCTGTTTATCTGTTTATCTCGTTTGAACATTTCGATGTTTTTGTTATAATCGGCCAATTATAAAACTTATGTCTGTTCAAACATCAAGAGGACTGGAATGTTTTCTTTTTCCCCCATTCACATTGAAGTGTTTAGAATAATAGTCAAGTCTTCATCAAGAAGTTGACTTGTTCAATTCACATGCTACAATAGGCATGTTATCTGCTTTTTTCTCTCTCCTAACCATCATCGCAAGAAACCCATACACCTACTTAAAAAAAAAAAATTCCCATCCACGAAACCAGCACGAATTACAAGATAGAGCCCGAGGAATATAAAACAATAGAGAATGGAAGTAGCAGAAAAAAAAAGAACAAAGAGCCAACACACCGATAGTTCTCATACAAGAATCGCCAAGACACACATTAAAAAGAAACCCCAAGGGGAAATATACACCAACAACAGTAGGTTCACTTGTACAAAAAGAAGAATGGAAAAAAAAAAAAAAAAAGCGACGTATTTGAACAGAAAAGTTTTTGGGGCACCACCCTTTATCACCAATAGTACAGGAAGGAAATGGGGAAGGAAAATAGAAAGGCCTCCGTATTGGATGCTCTTTTTCGTGGTCTTTCACGTGATCTCATATCAAGGAAGTCGTTCAGGATGCTGGGAGAGTATGACAAGAGAAATCAGAGAGAAAGCGTTAAGGGTGGCATCAAGAACATGAGAAAGCGCACTTATCCAATTCAAGAAGCCTCAAAGTTCGAAAAATTATCATTAGTAGGTTGACGGAATATCTGACTGAATGGGGGGTCTGAAGGAAGTATTTCCTGTTCTGGGGTGGTTGCAACACCCTCTGCTTTGCGAATCACTTCTTTCAAAGCGCGGGTAATCACACCAGCACGGATGACAAGATCACGAAGGGATTGTGTGTCGAAAGGGAGTTTTTGGGTGCGTGAAACATGAGGTTCGATAAGAGTGGATTCATTAGAGACACGTTGTTGATAGATCAGGTCCAGCACGGATTTTGCTTTTGTGGAGTTCTGATTTGGCCGACCGGAATTCGATCGGTCCGAGAGTGAGGCTCGCCATGACTCTCCACTAATTCGTTTCGAAGGGTCATTTGTATTGGAAGATTCACCCTCAGAGTCATCGAAGCTGAACGTTAAAGAAGAGGGAGATCGTGGGGGCGATTCATTGTTATCATCATCAAGCGTAGCGAGATCGACAATGCCTTCCGCTTCTTTCCATAGCTCACTCGAGGGCCCGTGAACAACGTCTAAAAGGCTTGCCTGGTGGCGAAGGCGCTTCATCTCCGCGACCAGCAATGTAAGTTCTTGAACCTGACCAAATTGTCCTCGAAGACTGGCTTGGCGTTCCAAGATAGCCTGAGGAACCATCATTCCATGATGTTCGGAAATGTTATTGTTTGGTTTCAGATCCTCGCTGAATGTACCTTCATCCCCATCGTCAAACTCAAAATCACTGTCCCAGTCTTCGCTTACACCTTTGCTACCTAATCCCCATGTCCCGAACTTGCCAGAAGTTTGACGAGACTCGCTTGGAAGTGAAGGATCCCTCGATACAGGGACGCTTTGGCTTCGAAGATGTAAAGCACTTGGGGCTTTACGTCCGGGTGCGCGGCTAATTCGAGTCTCGGGTCCGTGTTTCCCATGGACAGTCCGCGGCCGAGAATCAGACCCTGGAACTTCACGGTCGCTCCTAGGCTGCTCAGACCAATCGAAGATGTTCATTTTTGGACATGTATCCAGTGCCTCTTTGGTTAGGCTGCGTGAATCATAGCCATCGGCGAGCTTATTCGAATCATTGGGAGAGTCAAAGATATGGTGGGAAAAGAAGGTATCAGGCTCATCCTGGTAAGCCTCCAATGGGAGAATTGGGCGCATTAAATGGGTTAATTGTCCATTTGCCTCGCTAGGCAGCGCCGCAACCATACTCTGGCCGTCATCATCATCCGACAAGTCGGATAAAAGTGACAGCCTGATGTTTTCCTCACAGCCATATGTGTTCCCTTGGTGTCCGTGATCTGGAGCACGAATGGAGTTGAGACCGGAGTCAGAGATGCGCCCCTTGTCTAAAGATCGAGACGCAAAAGAACCATGCTGGACTAGATCTTCGAGCTTTACAAGCCCTTCGTTCATCGGTCCTGTCGAAGGATTTCTGTCAAAGAGTGTCTCTATTCGGGGGGGGTGAAGACCAGTGTTGCTACTTGTGGTGAAGTGCGTGCGGATAGAGTCAAAAGCAGTGTCAGTCAAAAAGTCCGTTTCGTCTTCATCGCCCGATGTGAAGATACGAGTATCATCGGAACCGATAACGGTTGATGCGGGGTCGGAAGCCGCAATGGAGTGCCGCTTTGCACGTTGGCGGATAGGGGGTGAATAAGCCGGCTCAGGCTGACGATAGGGACCATTCTGCAAAGCGGACAGTGTCACCGCATCTGACGTCAAAGGACGTTGAGTTGTATCCCGAAGATGGCCCATGTCAATTCTGAAGTCACGGGGCAATCTGGGGGGAAGAACGCTTCGACGCGGTCCCCTAATTTCTGATGCGAAAGACATGGGATACTCCGACTGGGAAGCAGTCGGGGGCCGACGAAAAACATTTGGGTCAGTGATGTTACGTCTTTCATTGCGCCGTGGCGATTGTATGCTGGATCTTTCCCGATTTGACGTTGAAGGCAGAGGGGTGGAAATGGCCCTTCTTTTTGCATAGATCATAGAGCCAGCACGGGGTCTTCCAGAGGTCACTGTATGTGAGTTCATGCCTGATTGCTTTGGATCCGCTTCGCCCGTGAATACTGACGGCTGGTTGCTCGTCTTCTCTGGTGGGAAGGGGGTCTCTGGCCGCAAAGCAGGGGTATCAACAGGCTTGAAAGGGTCACGAAATTGAACAGGAGAAGCAGGAATGAGGGGGGTAGCGGGGGTAGAAGGAGCCGATACATCAAACTCCACGTCAGTTGCAGGTTCCTTGTTCGAGATAGAAGTACCTAGAAGAAGTGCAGGAACAGCATCTGCACTTGGAAGGATCTTTCGTAACCCGTGATCTTTTGGCCTCCCGGCGGTTGACAGTCTGCGAGCCAGCTTTTCTGGTAATCTATCAGATCTAGAATTCAAATAGGGCCGCCAATCACCATCATGCTTCGCAAGCTCCGGGGGTGTTTCGAATAACGTCGATTGTACCCGGGAACTTCCAACTCCAAAACCAGGCTCGAAATTCAAGCTGTGGGTTGCTCTATGCCGCAGTGTTTCAGATCGCTGATAACTGGTCGCAGGCCTACGAAATGTAGACGATGATGGTGTAGAGGGGGATACAGGATGTGCATTCGAATGCTGCGACGAGGAACGCTTGACAAGCTTGTTTGGTGTTCTCCGTTGGCTCGAGGGGCGGGATGTATCAGGGCTGGCTGGTACATTGAATGATGGGGACACGGGACTTGGTGAGAAGCGACCCTCCGTTTGGAATGACACGATCGATAGCCGTCGCAGCCAGGAAGAAGAAGGCCGACGAGCATGAGAAATATGTGATTGGTCTTCACTGGCGCGCGGGGGCGGACTGGTGAGGGTTTGGCCACGGCGACGCAACCTTACTGCAGCGAAAGAGGATCCCCGTCGTGAATTTGGATCCTCTGGCCGACTGCCGGCAGGCGCGCCATTCTCATTTGCGCCATGGGGCTTGTTTGTCGAGAATGATTCCGTTTCCTTGATCGTGGCCGGTCTGGAAGAACGCGGAGGAACACTGGAGAGGGCCGGCTCTGGTGTGCTTCTTGCTGACGCGCACTGATCATGCAGAGGGAGGGTCTTTCGTCGGAAGATTCCTGACTTTGAAGTTGTTTGATCTACGCGACCGAGAGCAAAGCCAGTCGCTGCAATACCGACGGTGCTAATCGCACAGAGCTGGCAAGATGATATTCGGTCAGTCGACGGTGACAAAAAAAAAATAAATAAATAAAAAAAACATGAAGCTTCGCGGAAGTTGTAACACAACCAACACCGACAGTCGTCCAGACCACGGATATCAGTTACCCAGACTAGGTCAGGAAGGTGGCCAGATGACCTTTGCAAAGAAAACAGAAGGGGTTGAGCTTACAGTAGATACATGCTCCATTCTCAGAGATCGCCGAGAACAGCGTCAAGCACCACAAAGCTCAGCTTTGCAACATCGATATTATGTGCAAGTGACTCTCCATCCACATGGTCATGCAGGATCAAAACCAGCCAGAGGAGACCATTTAGAAGATAAACATATAGAGTAGCTTAACGCGACTTAAAATAAGCCAGTCTATAGGTATAAAAGAGGCGGAGTGGGTGTTTGATCAATTGTTCTAATAGTTCAAGATGGCGTTAAGCGGACGTGTTTTTGGAGGGGTGTGGGTGTAAGGAGCAAAAGATAATGGGGAACGTAAAGAATGTGAAGGGATCTAAACACAAGAAAAGAAAAAAAGAGAAGAAAAGGGAAAAAGTAAGTCACTGACAGGGACTCTGGGGATAAGCCAGAGAACCGGACGACAGTGACTCTAAATTTTTTTTTTGTTTTTCTCTTCTTTCTTTGGTATTTGCTGCTCTCTGAAGCAAGAGAAGAAGAAGGGAATCAACAACACAGGAAGATTTGGTACTACTACAAGGTCGGCGGGACGCGGACTCTTAGTTTTGACTGCAGCGAGAACCACGGGCTGCCTGTGCCTGGGGACAGATGCATGTGGGTCCCCCGACAGAGTGAGGGAGAGAGAAAAAGAGAGAGAGAGACGCCCACGCTAGGAGTTCCCAACCCCAGCGTATCACAGCAAGGAAATTAAAGCTACGATCAACACTGCGAAACTAGGTGTTTGTTTTGGTTCTGATGCCGATGAAAATTATTGCTATCTTCGAGATTGCTATTATTATTATTATTATATCACTATTGTTGATGGCCAGGGATCAGACGACGGTTATTTATCGATGTGCAGTCCAAGAGCATGACTCGTGGGACGGACTCTCTTATGTGCGTTAAGTCATCCTAACACCTACAGAGTACAGAGTACAGATATTACATGTGGACAATTATTGTGCTATTATTACTCAAGTTATCGAGCTAGGTTTGCATTCTACCATAATCTACTGGTCCTGATTGCTGATAATAATATCCGATCGTTTCGACGAATACTATCTAGCATCGTGTGCACACAGCAGCACGATCGAGGGCAAGGATTGGATTTGGCAATAACAATAACAATAACAATAACAATAACAATAACAATAACAATAACAATAACAATAACAATAATAATAATAATAATAGCACCACTGCGGAGTACAAGTGACTTGATGGAAGAATAATAATGGAGTATATCAGTCGACATCGTCCAAGGGGCCAAATTGACGAAAAATAATTTCGTCTCATATACTACCATCCCTTACGGCTTGTGTATTCAGGTGTATTCAGGTGTATGACCGTCGTCCTTCTCTCTGGGTAGAGATCAGCTTAATTTTGTGAGAGAACCGGATCTCCACTCAATATCGGCTGGCTGAGAGGGAATTTTCCCTTTCTTAGCTTAGGAAGAGCTCTGCTAGCTCGTGAGATGAGATCGAACAAAGGTTCCAGGGCGGGCGATCGATGGACCGCTGGAACACAGAACCATCCCGTTCCAAGAAATCCCAGGTCAGGATTCAGGAACGAGCGGAAATTCTCCAGTCCCCGCTGGAGCTTCGGAATATGACGACAGAACCAGAAAACAGCAGCCCACAGCCGTTACCTCGCCGTGTTTGTTGTTTTTGGATAGGATTTTCAGCGCTCGACCCTGCAGACTGCAGAGCTCGAGAAGAAAACAAGAATCCCCCCTCTGGGTTATTGACCCAACAAAAAAAAGTATCCAGGACAACTACGAGGTTTTGTCCACCATGGCATCAGTGTTGTCACAGTGGTTGAGCTTATTTGGCAAAACAAGGAGCAGATCACGGTGATAGATCCAATTTCGTTCTGATGGAACGTGGCCTGCGAGTTTCTCGAAGGGTAATATTTCCGCGCAAGTGTCGGTCTGAGATGGAGCCGATTAATAATGGTAATTTGAGCCATTATTGATCCCATTGGCATTTGCAATCTGAGGCTTCTGAGCCTTATTCTATTACCATCACGATCGCGGTCATCACAACTTGAACTGCCCAGGGCTACTACGGAGTACTCCGATTCTACTAACTAGTAACAGCACCCCTGTGTCGCTACTCGCTAGTATCCCATTGTTTATTCCTCAGCTTGGACAGGGAATCTCAAAAACTATTGACTTGATAGAAAACCGTAGTGGATCAAACACCCCAGCTGTCAGCAGCGTCTGCGACCGCAGCCTCGCCTATCGATAACCTTCCCCTGGCACAATGGTGTTTCACACACTCTCCTTGTTTTTGACGCCCTTGCGGAGTGAGATTATTGGCATTATTACGGAGTATTGGGGGATCTCAATCACCCTGTGAACCTGTCCCCGTGAAACTATCTTAAAAGCAGGAACACCGCCGCCCTTGCCTTGGTCCCTGGATCTATTTATTCACATTATGTCCTGCCGAATCAACCTGGCACTACTGCTGGCTGACAGCTTGCGACAGCGATATCCTTGAAAAAAGGTCCACCTACCTTACCCTCTTAGAGTCTCATATGTTCTTTGAAACATTTCAAAGAAAAAGTCTAAGGGCTCCCTTTATTGGGGATACTATTCATTCATTATTAACCGCCATGGTTGAATAGACACGATCGATGCCCGTACAACGACTGACAGGGATTTGGGTGAACCGAAATTCCTGGCCAAATCCCATAGACTGCTAAGGCTGGAGAAGGCATCTTTATCCCTACCTAGAATTGTTACCGGGGAAAAAGAAAAGAGGGAATAGTCTTCAAGAGGCGCCAGACTATTCATTCTTGCCTGTCAGATCAGGCAGGAGATGATTACCCTGTCTTATGTGCTACTTTAACCTTTGTCAAAAAGTAGGACATACGACAATGAACCATGGATCCCAGGTTGACTGAGGCCTGTATGCCTTCGTAATAGTATTTGAGCCAGCGAGAAGATATCACAGGCGGTAAAAAGCGGCAGAATTAATACAGATACATGACGCTCTCAAGCTGAATATATATATCGCATTTTTTTAAGAGAAAGGTTTTTTTTTTTTTTTTTTTTTTTTTTTTTTCAAGGTGTAGATGAGATAAGTTATTGTGAATTTTTACATATAAAAATATTATTTGGAGTGAAGCAGTCGCTGCTAACATCTCCCGACTTAAGCGGTACTGTACAGCTCCGACTCCACAATCCCGCCACTCCAAGCAAAGTTCTCATCAGAGACTGTCCAAAAAAAAAGAACCCTTGGCTCCACGTATGACAGGCGAATATCTAGCCTAGACTCAACACGAACTGCACTGACTATCTCTAAAGCCAAGGGGTGATTTGTCTCTGTCGTTGATATATACTAATCAGGGATTTCCAAAAGTCTCTGAAGCCTTCCAACCCAAAATGGAGGCGGAACTTCAAACACAGATCCCCGGCCTTGATCATGTAATCTCGGAATACTCTGTGGTAAGTCTCATTTCATAGACAGAGATGATGAATCCAGGAGAAAGGAAATACTGAGAACTATAGGGTTACTTGACTCACGCCTCCAAGGCTTATGTCGAGGATGCAAATGCTCAATCACCGTTGGCGGAAGCTGCCGATACGGTCACCGAGCTTCTTGTTTCTGCCTCTGGAGACTTCTCGGCCCAAAATGAAGAGGCTATCCGCAACCTTGTGGGGAAGTTCATCTCGTCTCTGAGTGCCTCCGATGGAGTTGATGCGGAGAAGAGGCAGATGCCTTTTACCGCCAAAAAGCTTGACCAGGCCATCAATGTCGGCTCCCAGAGAAACATGTCCTCAACTTTGGGTCTGACAGGAGTAACGGTGGATTTGGAATCTGCCAACTCCAGGAAGGTCGAGTCTCGTGTGGACCGGAAGAAGCTTGAGAAGGCAGAGCGCAAGATTCGTGCCAAACAGGAGAAGAAGCAGATGAAGACGGTGACCTACGAGTCATCCCGCCTGCTCAACCAGCCTGATGAAACCATGTCTTACGAAGAGTTCTTCATGGCTGTCAACCCTCTTCAATTGGGCTCCGATTCGCAATCCAAGAGCAAGGACATCAAGGTCGACAGTATCGATATCTCTGTTGGTGGCCACCGTATTTTGACCGATGCCTCTTTCACCCTGGCATATGGTCGTCGCTATGGTCTTGTGGGTCAAAACGGTATAGGAAAGAGTACTCTGCTGCGTGCACTGAGTCGCAGAGAGGTGGCTGTTCCAAGCCACATTTCTATTCTTCACGTCGAGCAAGAAGTATGTCGTCCCTAGGCAAGGATACCTGGATGAGAACGTCAAGCTAACTGTATTTTAGATTACTGGTGATGATACCCCTGCGCTTCAAGCAGTATTGGATGCCGACGTGTGGCGAAAACACCTTCTCGCAGAGCAAGATGTCAGTATCTCCGGCTATACCCCGTGTTTTGAAGAATACCCCCGTTGACGCATGGACAGAAAATCTCGAAACAACTGACAGCTATTGAAGAAGAACGATCCTCAATGGCAGACACGTCCACAGATGCCGCTAGGTTGGATCATGAAAGAGAGGGCCTTGATATCACTCTGAGCGATATCTACGCTAAGCTTTCAGAGATGGAATCAGACAAGGCAGAGTCTCGTGCGGCCAGTATCCTGGCAGGTCTTGGTTTCTCACAAGAGAGACAGCAGTTTGCAACCAAGACCTTCTCTGGTGGTTGGCGAATGAGATTGGCTTTGGCACGAGCTTTGTTCTGCGAGCCAGACTTGCTTTTGCTGGACGGTATGCCTTACTGCAAAACAGCCACTGGCACGAAACAACTGCTGACTTGCTTGATACAGAACCGTCCAACATGTTGGATGTTCCGTCCATTACCTTCTTGTCCAACTACCTCCAAGGGTATCCCAGCACCATTCTTGTCGTCTCTCACGATCGAGCGTTTTTGAACGAAGTCGCTACAGATATCGTGCATCAACACTCCGAAAGATTGGACTACTACAAGGGAGCCAATTTCGGTAGGTTTATTCCCGCCCTTGTGTATGGTAGAACTTCACTAATGTTTCAAAGAATCCTTCTATGCAACAAAGGAAGAGCGGAGGAAGAACGCCAAGCGCGAGTACGAAAAACAAATGGCAGAGCGAGCACATCTCCAAGGTCTGTGCTCTCGACTCCAGTTCTACTTTTTTTTTCTTGTGACTAACCATCACATTTAGCCTTCATCGACAAGTTCCGATACAACGCTGCCAAGTCTTCCGAAGCCCAGTCAAGAATCAAGAAGCTCGAGAAAATGCCGGTCCTCGAAGCCCCAGAGAGCGAATATGTTGTGCATTTCAGCTTTCCCGGAGTCGAGAAGCTTTCTCCGCCCATTGTGCAAATGTCCGAGGTTGCTTTCGGGTATACTAAGGACAGGCCTCTACTCAATAATGTTGACCTTGATGTTCAGCTTGACTCTCGTATAGGAATTGTCGGCCCTAACGGTGCTGGTAAGACAACCGTATTGAAACTGTTGACCAACCAACTTCAACCGACTTCCGGTCTCATCTCCACAAACGCAAGATTGCGCATTGGTTTCTTTGCCCAGCACCATGTGGATGCCTTGGATCTCAACGCCAGCGCGGTGAGTTTCATGGCCAAGACCTACCCTGGAAAGTCTGATGAGGAATACCGGAGACACTTGGGAGCGTACGTTAAATCCCCGGCCATTTTATCCTATATCATCATAGTTACTAATAAAAATTTAGCTTCGGTATTACCGGAATGACTGGTCTCCAGCGAATGGAACTCTTGTCCGGTGGTCAAAAATCCCGTGTCGCATTTGCTTGCTTGTCCTTGACAAACCCCCATATCCTTGTTCTGGACGAACCTTCCAACCACTTGGATATTGAGGGTATGGATGCGCTCTCCGAGGCGCTGCAGAAGTTCGAAGGTGGTGTTGTTATGGTTTCGCACGACGTAACCATGCTGTCGAATGTCTGCACCAGCCTCTGGGTCTGTGATAAGGGAACTGTGCATAAGTTTGACGGCAATGTCAACGCATACAAGAAGATGATTAGCGCACAGGCTAATGAAGCTGGTGTGGTGCAAGCTCACTGAGGAACGTGATAAAACAGTTATGATAAAATGAGAAACTTTCTTTTCTGGATGATCAGATATTGTCATTCTTGACTATAAAGCAAAATCCTGGTAGGAACGTTAGTATTATATCTTTTATATCTTTGGTTGATTGAACGTAGTACAAAATTAAGGAGAGAAAGATCGGTTATTGCTTCAAAGGATTTTGTTCTCCGTCGCGTTATCTGGAGTGGGTCGCGTGCCAAGTGGCTGGCTTACTCCATAAATACCCCAGCTTCCGCTGTCAGACATGACCAGAGGCACTACTGACTACCACAGGTGCCTGTAGATGATTTCAAAACTATAGATGCATCTACAGAAGAGCTGAATTTACAAGCTATGAACCCTAGAGTTGAGAATGTGCAATCGGGCCCTAGTGCCCCTTTGCTCGCCCCAGATCGGGTGGTCCTTGATCAGGACCAGGGGGACACTGATCCAATCCATTCGGAGACTGGATACTCAGGTGGCTGGTTCATCTGGGCCTTGACATTTTCTGCAGGTATCAGTGGACTTCTATTTGGCTATGAGTATGTAATCGATGCATCCCTTGCGATGATCTTGACTAATGTTCTGAGATGCTCATTAGCACCGGCGTCATTTCATCAACTCTCGTATCTATCGGCTCCGATCTCTCCAACCGCACCCTCACCACCTTGGACAAAAGTTTGATCACATCCTGTACAAGCCTGTTTGCTCTGATAGCAAGCCCGTTGGCTGGACTCTTGGCGGATAAACTCGGTCGGAGGAGAGTGATTCTCGTTGCAGATGCTCTTTTTGCCCTGGGGGCAATATGGCAGGCCGCCACGAATGAAGTATGGGGCATGATTGCCGGACGGAGCATTGTTGGCTTGGCGGTTGGCAGTGCCAGTTTGGTGACACCATTGTAGGTCACTACACTTGGCTGGAAATGGATGTGGGGTGCTGATTCACTGGTCTTTACAGGTATATCTCTGAGTTGGCGCCATCCCATGCTAGGGGAAGACTTGTGGTCATCCTCAGCTTGTTCATTACGGGTGGTCAGGTTGTAGCATACGTTACCGGCTGGCTGTTTTCCTCTACAACCGGGGGTTGGCGTTGGATAGTTGGCCTTGGGGCAGCTCCGGCGGTCTTCCAGTTTGTCATATTGATTGCTCTACCTGAGACCCCACGATGGCTGGTTCAAGCGGGGCTTGAAGCGGAAGCAACAGCTGTACTGTCCAAGACCTACCAGGGCTACCCTGATAGTGAGTGGGCTGCGAAACAGGTCCTGCGTGATATTCAACGGGAGGTTGCAGAAGAGGAAGAAGAACTCGGCAGCAATAAAACCGGTAACGACGCGCAGTGGTTCCATAATGTTTCGCGACGTGCTCGGGACCTCTTTCACATTGGTGGGAATAAAAGGGCACTGACAATCGCAGCGTTCCTTCAGCTCCTGCAACAAGCTGCGGGATTCAACTCATTGATGTACTTCTCAGCGACCATCTTCACGATGCTTTCCTTCTCCTCACCGACGCTTACGTCGCTCTCGGTAGCTATGACCAACTTTCTCTTTACGCTTGTTGCGTTTGCCTTGATTGACCGAATCGGTCGGCGCCGTATCCTTCTCTATTCGATACCGGTCATGGCACTTTCACTAATCGCCTGCGCCTTGGCCTTCTCGTCTTTGGATATGTCAAAAATGCTATCGGAAACCCAGACGAGGGCAGAGAGCGATGGTTCTTTCCATCCAATTGCAATTCTCATCTGTTTAACGGTATACACTGCATCATACGCATTTGGACTGGGCAATGTGCCCTGGCAACAGTCTGAGTTGTTCCCACTAAATGTACGCTCTATTGGATCGGCACTCGCCACCGCGACGAACTGGGGTTCAAATACTATAGTGGCACTCACCTTTCTGCCCATGATGGAATGGCTATCACCTAGCTGGACATTCACTGTGTATGCAGTCATATGTGTAGCCGGGTGGTTCGTTGTGTGGGCAATATATCCCGAGATGAGCGGTCTCAGTCTAGAAGAAGTTAAAGGGCTTCTGGCGGACGGCTGGGGGGTCAGAGAGAGTTTGGCAAGAAGACACAACCGCCAAACGAGATAGATTAAATGGACAGAAGCCCAGGGAACGAAGATGAATTCCCAGGAGATGGTAGTAATCAGATATATACCCCCAGACGCGCTCAATCTTCTGTCGAAAATATCAACCGCGAAAAGCTTTCAGGATTCAGGACATCAATATATACCCATCTGCTTGATTGGAGAAGGCTGCAACCGTCACGCCTGAGCGGTAGGTGGTACATGTTCATTTTCTTTAAATCGCTGCATGATACTATCCAAAAAGTGTGGCTAATTAGAGTACCCTTGGTAGCTTTCCACATTTTAAATAGAACATGACACGAGGAGACCTATTTGACACCCTCCAATTTGGTCTGGCCATCTGTTATTGAGGCCCAGTCCTGGCATGAAGTAAGATTTCACAGCTTAAACACCTGAGCAAGGCATGGGGGACATACATGGGCGACAACCATTCCAAACTACAAAGCGCCTGTCATGGTTATCGTCATCACCTGTTTCTGTTTATCATCACACCATTCTTGTTGCTCTCTGAAGTAGAAATTGTCGCCAGAGACCTCCACTGCACGACCGTATAATTCAGATGCAGGGATCTTGATCCCCGTGCAATCGACCATGTCCTCGCCATCTACCATCTGGAGAGTGGCATCGAGCACTACTTCCATTGGTATGATGAGTTCATCAGGAAACAGCTTCCAAGCTTCGTCGTCCATGATGCCAGTACGGACTGTCCCCGGACAGAGCGCGTTAACACGAATACCGTCCAGCACAAAGAATGGGGCAATGGAGCGCATGAAGCCAAGGACACCATCTATTCATTGGAAATAAATTAGCACGAAGACATCCCCAGCATTGGGGGCGGATGATTGGGGCGTACGCTTGGTTGCCGCGTATATCGGCGTAATACCGGAAGGATAGAATGAACCGGAACTGCCTGTGAGGAGCAAGCTGGCCCCCTTTCCACCTCCTGGCGACTGGCGGAAATAATGGAGAGCTAAGTGGCTGGTGTATATAACGCCGTTGAAATTGATCTCCGCTGTTTTCACACTCGGCTCGGGGGGGATTTCCCCCGCAGGATGTCTGGTATAGAAGTCCAACCCCCCAGAGATGCCTGCGTTGGCAAAAACAAAATCCAGACGGCCATGCTTGTTGTAGACTGTGTCGAACGCATTTGCAAGATCGCCATACTGCGCTACGTCTACCCTGTAGAATGTCATGTTGGAATGCTCTGCGACTGCTTGGCGACCTCGTTCTTCGTTTGTTCCGAGTATGTTTATTTGCCAGTCAAGGCGTTGAGACAAGGCTCTGGCGACGGCAAGACCGATGCCGTTGGCTATATAGCACTTTACAATCAACACTGCTTTTTGTCTCGGAAAATAAGACGCGTACGTCTGAACAGAGGACTTACTCCCGCCGGTGATGATTGCGACCTTGGTCACGGGCTTGGTCATTATGCTTATGGGTCGATCGGATATAGGCAATTAATCTCCTGCTAAGAATAATGGAGAACAAGGGATATCAATCGATTCTTTGGCGCCTCTATTTTCGCACCGAATACATAGCGGTCTATGGAGCTTCCCGTGGTACATTGTTGCTTTAAAAGAATCTGCATCTGGCTATCCACCATCAGTGGGTCCGTTGGCAAGATGAGAGCTGAAATGACCTGAGAAGTTGGCAAAAACAAAAAAAAAAAAAAAAAAAGGCAGCCGAATTATTCAGTATTATTAATCGCGACGTCAATTTCCTCTTCTTAGTCTTACTGGTCAAATGCGTGGGCTGGGATCTACTAGTTCAACGATACTAGTTCTTGTGCGCCATGTGTTTGAATCATGGAATGTGAGATTGGATAGCCCTAATGAATCATTGCATCAAAGCCTCAGACAACTCAATGGGTTTGAGAACGCAGAGGCACTGTCATTTCAGGGGGGTTCTGTTCATAGCTATCTCCGGTAGTTGAAGTGGTTCAATGGTTCCATGGTCCTATCTAAACGGTTGTGGGATTGAGTGGATAAAAAATGGTCAGAGCATCCATCAGATAGTCAGTCCAGAATTAAAGGATCGCCATCATGACTTCGGAATCAAGAGTCAATTGAAATGAGGGGTTTTTCTGTTGAACTTTGAAGAGTAGGGGTGGAGTTTCTGACTTGTCTTCGATTGACAGCTGAGATGCCCCAAGCCACCGCAGATCTTAGTCTGTTATCACTTCTCGCTTCATGAGTCGGTATGACTGCTCATTTTGATCGGCAATGTGCCTATCTATGTACATATCTGAACCGATCACCTTTCAGCATCGTGGGCTGTCAAGCCTACCTATGCTGTCATATTCAAGTGTCGTCGCTTTATGTCCCTCGGATATGCAAATAATATTTGGGGCGTGCATGATTTTATTTAAGACACGTGGATCAGAGACGCTATTCTTGTTTCGGATTAGTCCATCAGTCATCATCGATTCATTTCGTCAACACCATGGTTTCATTTCAAACTCGTCTGATGGATACAGTGTATACAGTGTCTCATATAAATCCAATTTGCGAGACAAGAGAGAGAGAGAGAAAGTCAAGTCGTCTATAAGGCTATGGCTAGGTTTCTATTGAATATGATTTACTATTATGAGAATATTTCAATGGCATCAAATAATGCGTCTCCTTACATCATCTCTGTACCTACTACCTAGGCACACACTTGTGACACAAAATACAAAGGGCTTAAAGCCAGAAAGGATTATCAGGTGACGCATAGCAAATGCCGACCGAAGCGTATATTTCATACGTGGCTACAATAAACATGACCTTGAACAATCAACCACTGACTTATTTGAGAGACAAGAAATCCGCAGACAGATAGCCAGCTTTTCGTCTCTCGGCTGCTTTTCAGAGGGGGCTATGAAACCCATTTCAGCATGCACAAAAACTAGAGGACGCTTACAAAATACACAAGTTTCAAGCCTCTCAAGAGCTTCACTCACACAAGATAGAATATCAACCAGGAAAACGAATGTCAAAAATGAATAGGCAATTACTGACAGATGAAGCCAGCAACCCTTTTGCAAGATTGCCAACAGAGGTACCATCAAGCAATCTTTATTTTCTAATATATGTAATTAATTTCGACAGGTCATCCAGTATATTGCCTATCTCCTCCCGAGTGATGACGATGTCGCGAAATTCTCCAGCGCCTGCACTTTTCTGGCCGCCAAAGTTTTACCATCTGAATCTTCTATTTGGCGTGGAAGGTTCGGGGACAAGTATGATATTCCTCGAGGCCGGTGCTCTACGGATTTGAAGATCGAGTATCAGATACGCGCCATTGTCCTTTCCCAGAAGATAAGCTTCAAGTATGGTGAAAAAGAGGAGCAAATGATATGGTTGGAAGTCATTCGAGACATGTTGCTGGAGTCCGGCATCTGTGAAAATGAACAACTTTCCTCGAAAACATTCAAGAAGATCCGCGAGGTGCTCTCGGGTGCTGACTTTCTGAATAGACCGGTCAGTGGGTATGGCAGAAAAGAACCGAGATCGCCTTCTGATTTGTTCTGCGCCGTCCAGCTGGTAAGTCAATACAAAAAGATTATAGAATGCAGAAAACATAACTCTTGAAACATAGTGTCTCACTGACCTAGCCTTGGATCCGTCTATGGTGTTTCGCTGCCTCCGAACGGACTATGACATTAGAATCGTGTATTCTTATCATGCTGATATCATTGAATCCCTGGTCAGCATCGAGAAGTTGAACATGGCAAATATATTGCACATCCGTAATTTCTGGCTGCGTCATTTCCTGAATCCAGACGAGGCAACTTTCTGTGACTCTTTTACAAAGTTGCCCGAATGCCACAGGCCCAAAACACGGAAGAACCTCGCCGAGAAGAGTACGAAGCTCAGTATGTTGTGGTTGGGATATTATTGTTAGTGGCAGCACTTATTCTATTGTAGCATAATCTTGCAATCTGACATATACAGCATGCATCCATCCATATCCTGGCACGCTGAGCTGTCTTGAGACCCGCCAGACATGTGCTGACTTAGACTCACATTGGACTCAGGTTGAACCCATGGTACGTATTCAGCGGACGTTCTTGCAACCCGAACGTGAAGCTAACATGACGCTCCAGTCACTCCAAATCAAAATAAACCAAGATCCTCAGAACTGGCCACCATTGTTTGACTCCATCATCTCTATACGCAGCGCAGACTCAAATCGTACATACTTCCGGGGCATCCAGAAAACCTATGGCATAGATGATGAGCCCGCAAACTTAGTCCGCGGTTTCACAGAACCAATTCCAGAGCCCCAGGGTGGCTTTCCTGGTTGGACCCGTATTTGCTTTGCCATTTATGATGCAGACCGCGAGCAGCTTCCCCTCATCGTGAACGAGGGAAATGACCAGGAAAACGACACACCATGGCTCCCTGACGAGGAGTGGCCGCCATTCGATTTGGCTTTTGAATTCAACTGGATCCATGGCTACGAGGGAGTACTCCTTCCTGGAGGGAGAATTATGATGGGACGTTGGATCGACATGATTGAGACGACGGCCAGGGGTCCATTCATTTTCTGGGACCTGTGAAGCTATGCATTTTTGCTTTTTAGGCATTTAACTTCGACCAGGCTTTCTCTCTCTCTCTCTCTTTTTGTCAATAGGCAAGAAACTGTTTTGTTGGAAAGAGCATGCGTTACAGGGGAATAAGCCCGACTTATCCATTATGAAAGATAGAACATAAGAAAAAAAAAAAGAAATCAACTACTCCTCAATGTCCTTAACTTTCTCCCACTGTCCCTTGAGGTTCTCCTTCCACAAGCTAACCTTGTTGTCTCCTCCGCTGACGGCAAGGATGTTTCCGCTGGGGCTCCAGCTGACCCGCCAGAGGACAGTGTCGAACTCAAGCTGTTGGCTGGTCCACTGGCCAGGGTTGGAAGCATCCGATGTCCAGATCCGAACGGTCTTATCTTGCGAAGCCGATGCGATGTACGACTTGGAGAGGATGCTGGGCGACCAAGCGACGTCACGGACCCAGTCAGAGTGGCCCTCCAATGTTTGGGTGGTGTTGTAGGTCTTGGTTTCGTGGCTGCAGGCAGTATGTCAGTAACCAAGAATACTTTGATTGAAACCCTCAATGGGAGATTGGGTAAGCTAAACGTACTTGTAATCCCAGATCTTGAGCAGGTTGTCACTGCCACCAGTGACAAATCGTCTCTGCTGGGTAGGTCCAGGGTTGGAGCTGATCAAGCTGCCCGGAGCTGCAGCAGGGGCCCAGCTGATAGAGTTAACGCCCATGCCATGAGCATGGAAGATTTGGTGAGTCCAGCTGTTGTCGCGGAACTCGAGGACGCTAACATGTCCGTCCGAGGAAGCGCAGGCAAGGAGGCATCCAGTCTCATGCGGAGCCCATGAGACCATGTTCACGGAGGCAGTGTGAAGGGAGAAATCGAAGACCTTTGTCCAAGCGCTGCCGATGGCGGGAGACGTCGCGCTTTGGTGTTGTTCGCGCCAGACAAGCACCTTTCCATCGTAGGACGAGGAGGCCAGGATTGTGCCGAATTTGGGGTGTGCCTAAAAGTCCCAAGGAGAGAAGTCAGTTATGTTCAGGAAATGCGTCGCAAGGCCAAAAAAAAAAAAAAGCATTAAGAAATGACAAACTTGTACATACCCATGCAACACACCACACTGCACCTTCATGTCTAAAGGACAGATCAGCGACCGAAGCACATCGATGTTCTGAGCATAGAGTAGCCCTCACCCCTTCAAGGTCTCAATCAACCTATGTGTCTCTCCCTCAATCTCGAATATCTTAATTGTCTTATCCGAAGAACATGTCGCCAATCTGCGGCCGTAATAATCCAGGCCAGCATCGTGCTAAGCCGAGTAACAACAGGTTAGTCACAGATATACCACAATGAGGATGGAATTAGTGTATAGCCGAGATAGGCCCTGGTGATCACGTACAATCATGTCATCGTGTCCAGAATTGGAGATAATTTGGGCAGCCGCCTAGAGTCCCGCGTGGAGATGTCAGTGAGGGGGCCACGAAGAATGAGGAACGAATAACTCGCAAACGCACCATTTTGATGGAATTTATGGACGGATGAGAAATTGTAGGGAAAGGCAAAATAACTAGTGTAGCAATTCGACGGTCTGGAATTGCCCTTGAATGAGTCTGGGGCAAGCAGTGGAGTGCCGAGTCAACAAGCCAGAGAATCCCCGAGATGGGCGCAGCAAAACACCGCCAGATTGTCCGTTTCGCTGTTAAGCCCAAGAGCCGCACCCCGATCTTATCTTATCTTGCTCAGTCATCCATCAGTCACGCCCCCCCGTACACGTGATAAGCCTCGGCTTTCGGTCGGCTTGCCCCACGGTAACTGCGCTCTCTCGTCGTCCCAATATTGTTCTTTGTCTTTTCTTTCTGGAATAACTTTTTCATCTTATTGCGAGTCTTCACTTTGCATATTACACGTCCATATCTTGCATCATTGCTGTAATTCATCGTACGCATCGTTTATTGACCTCGACACCCCCTCACTACTCGGCTTCGAATCCAGGTCTCGGCTATTGCTTTCAGCCATCATGAGTGATGCTCTGTGTGGTCCCTCAAATGCGCTTCAGAACTTCCAAAAGCACACTTCTGTCGACCGAACACTTCAGCAGGATCGGTTGACTTCGCGACAATCGCCATCTCAGGTGAGTTTCTTGATATCGCGTTGAAGGGTTACGCGGCTTGCTAAGACTGTCTATCAGGGGTTTCGATCCCAGAATCCGAGCGAAGGAATTCTTGACCCCGAGTTTGCTGCGTTTGAGTCCAACCTAGCAGGGCCATATCCGTTTCCCGAAATTCAACACGCAGGTCCCTTAGTTGCACACACTCCGCCACAGTTTTCGGTCCCCAGTACTGCAGAAAGTGCCAACTGGGCAGCGGACTTTGAAAGGTTACAGATCTCGAGATCTTCGCACCCAATCGCTCAGCAGCATGCTCCATCTGCAGCTTCGGCGTCGGCCCTGGCGCAGCAAGGATGGCAGGATGAGTTTCTGAGACAGCACCAGACTCCTGTTCAGCACCAGCAATCCTATGGTGGCGGCTTCCAGCCGTCTTTTGCACCAAGCTTTCCTTTACATGGCGCACCGATGAGTACTTTCCAACCTCCCCAAGAGACCGCAACAAACCAACAACCGGCGACAGAGACATTCGATGAATCTGCATTCGAAGCAGCATTTGAACAGGCGAGGGCGGATATGGAAACACAAGCAATCGAAGCAACACAGGCGGATGCCAACATCTCTCATGAGTCTGCTCAACAGGGGGTAACCCTTGAGCCGCAAGTCCATGAAGAGATTCGGATTGGATCAGATACTATTCCTTATGCCGACAAGGAAGATGCGCAAGCACGATCGAATGATGGGGATGAGCTTGCCAAGACTGCAGGACAGTTATTGGACAGTGTGAGCCACGATCAAAGCCAGAAGTTTAAGCAAAGCAGCTTTCTTGCCCTGATGCGACGCATTCGAGACCGAGAGGTTCATGTCGAAGGCGACGAATTTCGCGAAGTCAGTACCCCGTGATTTTCTTAGATTTCGGTCGGGTGGCGTGGCATGGCCGGTATTTTGATCTATATAAACCGGCTCTTGTCCCTACTAATGTATGACAGACTTTTCAGTCCCTTCACCCTGGCGGCAAATACTACCCCGAAGGTCAAAAACAGCAGCAGCAACCGGCATTGAGTCATTCAACCCCTGATTTGAACACTAGAATTGCATCAAATGAGACTAGTAAGTTTGGCGATATACAGAACTCTGATCTCACGCAACACCACATCAATTCGTGAAGATCCCTAGTACACCCGACTGAAGGCAACTCTTCACCAGACATCCCTCCATATGGCCCTTTGGATCGAGATACGAGACCGAATATCGTGGCCGAAGAACAGCAACGCAAAAATACCCTCGATGCTGCTGTATCCGGTGGACAGGGTGATGATGAATCGCTCTATGCGGGTTGGAATTACGGCGATCGCTGGGCGTAGTTGATGATCGACCTCTATCTATACCCAGCCATTTTTATTATTCTGTCCCCTTATTCTTTTTTGATACAAATCTACAAAGCGCGGCATTTGGATTAGAGCAGACTAACAACAGGGTATTGCAAGGCCTTGTGGGCCCCGATTTTGGTGAAACATCTGCATTGGGATTGTTTTTTGTTTATAGACAGGGGGATGACACCACCAGTTCACAACACCGGGGAAGCATTACATTCAACAGAATCAATCAAGCCAAGTCAATGAATCAATCAGTCGACTTCGTTCATTTGACCAAGGCACCAGCTATTTCATTAACATCATCATTCATTATTGTCACGTGACTTTAGTCACCCTATTGATGCATGAGAACAATATGAAAAGGGTCAATAGGGCGTCGCATTGTTGCAGATGATTGCATCCCGCCGTCGCCTCCTTACCATACTGTCTCAACTGTTTGCTCTTCTCTGTGGCCAATGGATCGGGTATATCGATATGTTGTCATCCGATGAATGTGGCTCTTGTTATTGTTGGTCTCTATTGATGCACTGTTCTTTCCCTACCGGGCTCTGGTGCTGCTCATTATTGGATTCATTCTTTTCGATTCATTGCATACTATTGTTCTTATGTATAAGTGCATCTTTACCCTGTATCATAATTAGTTGGCCACCCCCATTTTTGTACAGAAACAATCCAACCTTTTTGGTTCCAGCTCTAATTCCACTAATTCCACTCATCTCTGCTCTTTCTTGTCAATCTTCAACACTACCCTGGCCCTCACGTCGCGTCTAACAGAATCTCACTACCTTTTGCGATGCTGCCACCACCAGGCTTCTTCGTTCACCAGTCTCACAAACTAGCAGAGGCAACGGGCAATTTGCGCAATCGAGTAATCACAACTCCAGCACCCTTCAGTTCATGAAGACACCCTGAGCGACACATATATCGAAGACTATGATGAGAGTGCCTGGGCGAGTAACCCCTGCCCAATCACAATCCACATCGATGCTTCCATCAGTGTACTCGGTAATGGCAATACAATCATTATACCCTCCGTGACTAGTCCCCGGCAAGGCATACCCTCTCAACCAGAGAGAACTGAACATTCAACAACAGCAACAACTTCATCACAATCCTCTCCTTCTTTGCCGGTATCAACCTCTGCTACAACCATCCTCCAATCAACGCAGAAACAGCGCCAGACAAAACTTACCGAACTGGCCACTTCCATCATATCTGCCCTCCAAGGCTCATCTGCCCTATCACAAAACAAAGAAGACGACGGTAGCAGCCGACCTTTACCGATCGAAATCAACATCAACACCGGTGTCAAGATTGAAGGGAGCAGGAATGTGATCTGTGCCGGTACGCCGACCCGATTGCTTGATCCTAAGAGAAATGTACAAAATAACAACAAGAACGGGATGGATGGTGATAAATGCAGCGCTGAGAAGAAAAGACGAGCCCAATCTGTAGGTCTTCTTCTCTTTTCTTTCTTAGTATTAATAATCTCTTGAACCAACATTGTGTGAAATGTAGGAGCCGATTGAAACGCCAGAACCCAAGAAAGGCCGCTCGCCTTCATTGCACATGGATTAGCCTATGAATTTTCAGCTCAAAGATAATTGTCTTACTACAAAGATCACATAAAAGATTGAGTGATGACGTCTGTCCTAGCTTGATGTTTCTATGGGTTTGCAAATGGATTATTATAGATATGCGCAATGCTTTCTGGGCCGTCTGATTGATCATTTGAATTTCCTGTGATAGAATTCCGGCGTTGAGCTGCTACTATTTGTTTTTGAAATAGCCATAAGTGATAAGTACTGACAAAGTCATATATATAAAATCCTCATCATAGTTGAATGTGTTTATGCATGTGATTAGTCGATCGCCTATGCATGCTTTATAATGATAATTATACGCGAATCCGTAATATAGATTGAAACAGTAGGATTAAATACCTAATCTTTTTTTAACTCTTAAGATCTCTGATAGATAATAAAGCTATAACTAGCTTACAAGGAGAAAGTAACCCCCAGCAATAAAAGCATCCCACCCATAATTTTAACCAGCATACACATCCATAAAGGTAGAGATAATAGCAATGTTGAGATAAATGGCCAGTGCAGAAAATAAATCAAGGAAGATATTCTGAAGGGGAAAGATATAGAAGGTGGGAAGGAAAAGAACACGCAAGTGGACAATGCACTGCGCAGAGAAGAAAATCGAAGAACGATGAATTTCTTTAGGACCGCCAATAGACGGTATAATGATGAAGTAAAGACATAATGCTGGGTTAAAAAAAAAAGAAGAAATAAAATAAATGATCAAAATACGCCGGGTCCTGTCTGTTAGGGCTCATTAGAGAGAAATCATGGCGACACTCAGTCTTTTGAAAGATGTTCCAAAAATCCGAATTGTGCGGGAGGCAGATAGAATTGGCTTAACAAAAACCATAATTGTGTCGACTTTTGTAGATGTACTTTACAAAGCTGGTACTCGCTAGTTAGCTAGCATTCCAATGAGAGGCGGCGCAGACGGCGTTTTACCTATGACATGGCAATGGAAATCTCGAACGGCGAAGATAATTTGCTCGTCCACCTGCCTGAGATGGGCTATTACCGACCAACGGGTATGTCGTGACGGTGCAAGTCTCTTGACCATTCTGGAGCAACCTTGTCCCGTTCGTAGAGAAGACCGCAGTTGTGGCAGAGGGTCTAAAATAAGCATGTTAGCCAGCAAATACATGCTATGTGCAAGTCCAGGTTCTTCTTACCCTTGGACCAGCTGGACCATCTCGTACTGCCCAAACCGCAGTTCCCCATACCATACAGTTGCTGCATCTCCAGTTCTGTCGTTCCCTATACAAACAAAATGTGTTAGCAAGAACCCAAAACACGTGAAAAATAAATAGAGCGGAGACTGACCAGTCAGACAATGTGCCACCACCTCCACCATATCCAGCACCTGAGCCGGTATCCGGGGTGCCTCGCCCACCCGGTGTACCTCCCCTTCCCAAGGGACTCAGGCTGCGGAAGCGTTTCTTTCGCTTGCTTCTCTCGCCTCTGCCCAATGGAGTTTCGCTGTCGATATCGAAATAGCTACCACTTCCTTGCCGAGAAACTTCTGGCGTAATGCCTGCAGTTGAGGAGAATCTAGCCGTTTCTCGTCGTAGACGTCTGATTTGCCGCTCACGATCGCCTTCTCGCTTTTCAATTTCCTCTTTGGACAGCGTCTCAACCTTTGGTTCCCATTCGTCGCCAAGTCCTTCGGGGTCATATCGCCAACCAGCCTCGGTACCATTTGCTGCTTGGTTGTCGATTTCGTTGCCATAGCCTCCCATGCCACTAATAAGTCCGCCGCTCTCGCAAACTTCCTTCTTCAATTTCAAAGCAGCCTCATAGATACCATGTGCAATTGCACCAACCCATTCGCCGTTTAAACCCAAATCAGCGCACGTAATCTTGGCAAACTCCTCTGCCATGCCTGGAGGATGGAGTAGAGACCATTCGAACTTGTCTGTGTACAACTTGTTCTGTAAATTTATGTTGAGATTGATCATACATCGATAGGCATCATCTGGATTCAGAATGCTGTCGTTGATCAAGGGCTCCTTTGTTACTGTCACTCCAAAAGCTCTGCTGTCAGGCGTCGCGGCATTGGTTGGAACCGGAGTGGCGGACACATCCCGAGACAGCCCAGGTTGTGGCGCTTGACTTAGCTGTGTGCTCTGGAATAAGGGATGTAACGCAACGCCTGCATACTCCTCTAACTGTTGGCGTATTTGATTGCTGATCGTTATGGTGATCGCTTGTGGATTAGGCAAGTCCAAGTCGCGAACAAAGCCGACTGCAAACTCCTCCGGTGTCGCAAGAGCTTCGTGAAGGTTCCAAAGAAAAGTATCTTTAATCCGATACGCAGGCAATGGGTCTGGCCTCCGGTATCCAGGCAAGGTCGGGTTGATCCCCGGATCTATCACACCCCGTGGCATGGGAAAGGGCTCCAACGGTTGATGCGCAGGGACTTCCAAATCAATTCGAATAGGAATAAGTGTCAGAGGGAGTTGCGCTTGAATCTGTAATTGGTCGGCACAGCTAATGAGGAAAGAAAGGCTTGAGTGAGTCCTGGGTCCTATTAAAAAAAACGACAGAAGAAGGGAAAACAGAAATAAAGCAAAACGTACGCTGGTCGTAACATCCTCTTGATCATCCAATCCCGAAAAACCCCTTGAACTTCAACGGGGGCATAGATCTCTTTCCCCAGCTTGTCGGCCAACGGGACCTTGTCAACTGTCGACTCTTCCCGTCGAAGACTTCTCAGACCAGTAGGTCGTCGCGGACCCTCGCTTTCATCAAAATCATCTTCTTCATAGCCATCTTCGGCGTAATTGATTGCAGTCGTCCCTCGTTTCGTTGTTCGCGGTGTAGGTCCAACTTGAGTCTGCGGCACGACGGGCGTAAGCAACGCATTCCCATATTGGCGCACCCGCGGAGGGTACGAAGTAATATAACCTCTGAGAGGGGACATGTTGGCCGCTTAGGTCGACAAGAACATGTCCCGTTCAGGGCTTGCGAATGGGTGTTTCGATAACTTTTTTTTTGATCCGGAAGGAGAAATCGGTCGTCGTCGAAAGGGCGGGCAATTGAATTCGCGAATCCAAATAAAAGAAATTTTTTCAAGGACTGACGGCGCTGGATGAAGTCAGAAGCGTCGCAGGCTATACCTTGGCAGTTCAGACTGAATGCGATCTGATCCGAAGCAATGAAGCCAAAGCTCCCTCTGACGGTATTCGCGGTCGAGCTCCGTCCGCCTCTTGTCTTTCTGCTTTGTCGCGTTTTCCCAGCGGGAACATCCACGCTAGACCCATTTTAGCAGCACAGTCACGTGGATGAGATGCAGGGCAAACCACCAAGTATAATGGACGACTGTAGGGGATCATGTTAATTCTCTGATGAGTTCAATTGTATGATAGTGATTCTTGTGTAAAGACTTGATATGACAAATAAAGGCTACTCTTTGATTCTTTTTTTATCCCTGCAGAGATAAACAAATAGTAGTGAATCAAACTGTAGTAATAGTCGATCTTGAACAAAAGACAATAGAAAGAAGAAAATATTGCGCATATAATTTAATTACAGGTCGATGCATGGAGTCACGCCCAGCTAGTGAAGAGTGTAAAAGGATTCGACAAGCACCCGATGCTTCCAATACGCCATTCCTCTTGTCTGCAAATGGAGACTCGGAACTATTATGTTTGGGGGAAGAGGATATCGTCAACTCCGCAAAAGACAGACACAAACGAGGGGAAGAAGAAAACAATTGCCAAGTGTGGTATGATTACAACATGCTCAGAAAATGATACGCGGGGAAACAGGCGGACGGCAAAACAAAAGCGTGTAGAAAGGAAACGTAGAGAAGATAGAAGACCATCTTGAATTGGCTACCGAAGTCCGATAACACTCTGTGAAGACATTAGCTTGAGAACAGTTGCCAAAGCTCAAGAAACCTTACCATTTCAAGAGTCCACACTCTGCGGACCCAGATCTTGACTTTTCCTTCCACACCCTCCACGTCATCTAATTCGACGCCTTCCCACCAGCATCTTCTGGCGGGCTTTCGCCAGAATAGGAGGAGTTTTTGGGCCATTCCAACGGCATTGTTGTTGGTCAGATCGCCTTTGATGTCGGTGCGAAGCTTAGCCAGCGCAAGACTGCAAATCACTGCCTTGTGGGGTTCTGGGGCACGGTGACCCCATCGGTCGTCACGGTCAAACCCGCTGAAATCAATATTAGCATATGTACATCGCTTTGAGGCTTCAATGTCTAGAAGACTCACCCTGCTGTCAGCATCTCAATAAGGTGTTGTTCGGTTGAGCCGACTTCGTCACTTTTCCGAAGGCCGGAGAAAATGCCATCTTGTTTCAGCAGTGCTCTCGCAGCGGCTCGCTTAACCTCAGTCATTTCCGCTTGGTCAATATCGGGATACGGTGGTATCGCGTAGAAGTCAAGGTCCTCGCGCAGGACAATAATGCCAGCCCGGTCTTGGAGCATATCTCTGGCAGATGCCTGCATCGAGTCGGACATTTCCATTTCGGGGGACGTTGATGGAGAAGGCGAGGATGAGGGAATCGACTGAGCGACAGTACGGAAGAAGTCCAACATGTATTGAAGGGATGTAGGATCATACTGGAAATAATTTTGTCAGAGTGGCTCGGAAAATGAATATCGTATAAGAAATAGGGACTTTAGCGGAACTCACATCAACCGGATAAATATCACCTTCGTGGAAAGTACCCATATGCCCATCAGGGAGCAAGCCATTTGGGAAAAGCGACAGCAGAACGAATTCCGGCAAAGTCAATAACTCATCTCGGGAAAGAGTGAAGCGAGTTCCTCTGAGACGTACGTTAGAATTGCAATGGCACACGTATAAAAAGAAAGCATGACATCCTTACCGAAGATCAAGAGTAATATGCTCATCTCCGCTGATATCTACACCCGCAGGAAACCAGTTAGCCAAACCAATCTTCTCTAGATTCTCAGCCCCATGATCGCCATCAGTGGCTTCACGTACCTCCGAGTGTATTGATCGGTGGTCCAGCTGCCTGCTGCACCTGAGTAATGATACTCGACGCGCCTCCTGCCGCAGCCATTACGTATGTAAATGATTCGATGGGACTGTCTCCTTCCGTGTATGGTGGTGGTGGTTCTTCGTCCGAAGACTTCCCCAAGTTCTCTGGTTTCGGGTCTCGAGAAAGAGAAGCTTTGGTATCCGCGACTATGGAAGGTGAAGGCCCGGGCTCGAAAGACTCTTCGACGGGTGGCGGAGGTGCAAAAGCTGGGGCTGGGAGGGAAAGCGACCCAGACTGGCTGGTCGCAGGCTTGTGGGATCGATTGAGGTCGGTCGGAGAGGCGAAAACGAGCGAAGAAAACGGAGGCGGACGAGACGTGAATGAATTAGAGGATGAGGCTTCAGAGACCGGTGATTGCGGCGGGGGTGCGGTATAGAAGTCGTCGTCGTCCTCCGCTCGGGAGTCCGTTAAATGATGAGGCCGCGCCGTGGTAGGCGAGCCAGAAGAACTCGATTGCCGCGACAAGGTGATGGAATCCGTTTCAACTCCGTAAGGCGAATGGGTTTCTGGTCGAGGTTGGGAAGACAGTAGGGTCCAACTAGAGTGTGGTACCCAGTGATCTGAGGAATCCAGACTCTGAGTTCCCGTCCTGTTGTCGATCAGGAGCCCACGGTATTCCTAAAAGAGACTGAGCATGGAAAAAGTATTGCAGTCTAAGGGAATCACGGGATATTTATGAGCGCAGGTTCACGACTGTCGTCTCCAGAAAACGAGGTTCGATAAACCGGAAGGTAAGGGCGACAGATGAGGAGAAGGTGGGAGGTGCAGCGCTTAGGGGCGACTGTCGGCGTAGTCGCGTATGAGAGCCCAGCGGATGTTCTCCTGCTAGTAACAGTACCACTGCGCCTTGCATTAGAATAATAATGTATGATGATATAATGATCAGACAACCTGGTTTTCATGAAACCATGCATTGAACTCTCTATGATCTATTACATGCACCTCGAGTCAGATCAGATGTGCTGATTGCATACATATTGAATCATCCGAATTCTGTACCATTTTCCGATCATGGATTTGTACCTACTCCATGACTTTCAATATTTTTTCTTCCTACGAGTGATTTTCATAAAGAAAATGAGAAATATGGAAGGTATATATATTTTTGTAACCAGAAGGTAATATACCGCCCTCGACATCTTTCGATTCTCATGCATAATAGGGGTATTCACATGGTAAGACTATATTATGTGTAATACAGCGACATATGGATTTTGATCGCATCAAATTCAGTGTCTAAACGTTGCGCTCCGCAAAACTTTGGATCATGCCCTCGAGGGTAGGCTCGTACTCCTTCAAGGTCACTTCATCCCCGTTCAGGATCGTGTTGCCCTGTACGAAGACCTTGCGGGGGACCTTGTTCTTCAAGACAATTTCACGAACCTGAGTTCCCCACCACTCATTCACTGAAGTGATATCATCGTACAGCTTTTTGCCCGCCTCAACATCTGCTGTACTCTTGTAGACATGCAACTTTTGCAGGTATTTCTCCACTGCGGGTCGTCCATGGGTCAGGATCTTAGATCGGTCCAAATGGATCTCAAGATCGGACAGATCTTCCTTGCTATGAACAAGCTTGACAAAGTCATCGCCTGCGTCGAGGAATGTCCGCAAGATACTATACCGGGCTTGCATGTGAGCTTGTCCCCATTTCTGAGTCTTGGGGTCCCAAAACTCCAATGCAACTAGACCGGCACGGGCCATCTGCAAATATGAAGCAAACAAAACATCACCAGCTTCATTCGATAGGTCTTCCTTTCCGTCACCAAATCCAAAGATCTTCAAAATTTCAAAGTCGCATCCAAGCACCATAGCCACACACTCTGCGCGGCATTCCTCGTACGAGGAAGCGATAGCACCAAACACGGAGCTCCAAGTTTGACCGGGTTTATACCAGGTTGAAACGGGCTTGTTCGTGACTGGGCTCATGGGAGGGTTTGATTTATCAAAATTGTATTCCCCTGGAGCTGTCTCCTGCAGCAATTTACCCGTCCCGTGTCCAAGAAGCTCATGAATACCGACTTGCACTTCGAAAGCTGGGTCTCGGCATCTACGGTAAACATCCAAGTCCTTCTCAGAGATGAACGGAACAGGCTCATTGGGGGCCTTGGCGCTGAGCACATTGCCAAGGGAAACATTTTTGAATCCGAGGTTCTGTCGAATATCATCGTAGTTGGGCAGGTTGATACCAGCGGGAATGCCGGAAGATTGGAAGCTCAAGACCTCGAGAGACGTAAAATCAGGGCTAAGGAATGTATCCTTCTCGAAGTCCTCGCCCCAGGGAAGCTTGGGGATCATGCTTTCCGCACTGTCCACCAGCTTGCCAAAAGACCGGGTCCGTTCTAGGTTGACCTATGATAGTCAGCGATTTTGATGATGGGGAGAAACATTAAAGACAAACATACCAGAGCCACAAAACCTTCCCATTCTCCCCGAACTCCGTGGGGATCTCTGTAGGTCTCTACGAAACCGAGGTTGGTTTCAAGTGCTGGCTTTTGGTCCTTCACCCAAATGCGCTGACTTTCCTTGATCGCCTCAATAGAGCCAGCGCCAAATGACTTAGCATAGCTGTCAAGCATGCGCTTCTGGTTGTCATTGGCCGCGTTAAGACCCGCCTTCTTGACAGAGTGGGCAATTTTCGCATCTCCTCAAGATGGTCTCCGAAGACGAAGCGGATAGTCTTTCCTTTCAGGTTCCCTTCCAGCTCGAAAGAGTCGGTCTCGCCAAGGTCCCGGTCCTGTGCAGGGGGCGAAGAGACACCAGAAGCAATCAGCAGCTCAAAGTCACCAGAGGACGTCTTCCTTAGTCTTGTATTCTCCAAGGGCAGTCCCTTTTTCTCCATAAGATCCCCGATCGCTGTAATTTCATCCTTGGTGATGGACGGCGAGTCAGGGTAGTAGGTGGTCATATGGCCACCTTCCGAGTAGCCAAGGTGCATGAGAGATTGTTCATTGGTCTCGTAAATTCCACCTCCAGTCTTGCTAGCCTTCTCAAAAGCTGCCTTCGTCTCTGCTGTGGTAGAAGCTAGAGCTTCAAAGGCTGCGGCCGGCAATCGAGGAATGAACTTTGAGTCACCGAACCCTTTATAGTTACCACAGTTTCCGAGGAATTGCACGGCATATTCCAAGAAAAAGCGAAGGTGTTCATCGCTGACGCTGGCTTTCTGAGCAAGGCTAGCCCAGTCTCCATTGCAGGTATGGTAGAGAGAAATAATGAGATCGTAGATAGGTTCGGATTCGGGGGAAACTTGACGTAGTGTAATACGAGTACCTTCGAATGCAGCTCTATATTAAACAACAAAATGACTAGTTAGCATTTTGCTTCCTTAAAGCTATATACCAAGAACGGAGAATGATATAGCAAGCCTGCTGGGTGTATACCTGCTGATATAGTGTGCATATTTTCTCAGCTTAGCATCCTTGAGATTGTCAAAGTGAGACTTGATTTCCAGCCTAACCACAGAGGGAGGCGAGTCAGCCAGGTAGTGCTGCTTGACTTTTGCGTCCATCATGAGTTTATGGGGTGTGACAGTTGTTGAGGTAGAGGTGTTGAAGCTGGAAGAAAGAACGTTTGACGAGCCAAATCGTTGAAAACGGTGCAGAGGATGAGGCAGACGATTGAGGGGTAGAAAGGATGCGGAGGGGCGGTGGAGAGAGAGAAAACGATGTTCCGACGGCAAGCGCGTCGAGACTCGAAGAGGGTTCATCATCATCCGTTCAGTTGATGACAAGCAGTCAGCTTCGCCATCGGAACAGTATTGATTGATCGATCGCTTGGCGGTGGAGACTCGTTATCAGTTTTATCAGCTCCACTCGGACTACATCTACATCACATCCATAGTTACCCACATAGGCACGATACGTCTGGATTCTGGAGTGGTATTAATTTATCAGAAGCAAGCTTTTCAAGTTTTCTGCAAGAAATTCAGAGATGTATATAGTTACAGAAACCATGGAAATCATACTGTTTTTGTTGGGGGCTAAACAAGATCATGACAACCATGGAATGAATATATATTTCGACCAAGTTAAGCTTTGTTTCTTCGTACCACCTAGTAAGGGTAAATCAACTCGAAGCAGTACACACGCCTAATAAAATAGTAGTTTTGATTCATTATCAAACTTTCATCTCAGAAACAAAACCAGTGAATTTTCCATGTCCATATGCCAAAAAGAAAAAAAGAAAAAAAAAAGAGAAAAAAAGGGTATTCAAATAACAAGCCAGCCGAAATTTGATTTCATCATATCAAACTCTCATACTTATCCAGGCCCTGTTTCTGCGTTCCTTGTGACGTAGGGTTGTTGTTGTTGTTTAAATATGAACTTTGTGTCATATTCGTAGCCAAAGGGGATCTTCCGACACTGGACAGCCCGCTGGAGCTTGTAAATGAGTTCATCGAACTTGGTGCGGAAGGGGGCGGTGGTATCGAAAATGCAGAGTAGTTGGGGGGTTGCTGAGGTGGCTGACTTGACATGGGAGTAGAAGGCTTCATGGTCGCCAGTGTCGCGAGAGATGAACCAGACATGTTCCCCTGCAAACTAGGCTGACTGCCTGAAGAAACTGGAGAACTCCATGCAGTAGATGGAGATGGCGATGGTTGCAAAGTAGGAAAACTTTGACTCATAGGGGACTTTTGTTGGACAGTAGGATCAAGGGATGGGAAAGAGCTCAGGTTGTAATCAGGGGTGACGGAACGGAAGTTGAGACTTGACTGAGTAGATGCCATGGCCGACCCGGGTGCATTCGAAGACCAGGAAAATGTCGATGGCGGCGCGGGGGTTGATGCCTGGGAAACAGAAGGCTCTGCGGTCAGACTGCCCCAAGGATCAAGCTCGTCTTTATTTGATGTTGCAGAGCCCTTCCCAAGAACAAGTTGCTCGAAATTGTCCCTTGTGTCATCGTTATTAGGTGAACCAAGGCCATTGGAAGCTTTGGACGAACTCTCGGCCCAATTTTGGAACCCACCCGAGTCTCCTCCTGATGTAAGTTCCTGAAGCTTCTTCTTTTGATCACGCTCAATCTTCGTAGAGAGGCTTTTAATTAGCGCCATAAATTGCTCGAACTGGCGGAGATTAAGCAGTGGCCCAAGACTGAAGCTCCAGATAATTGGAAGGACTTCCAAGGCAAGATAGTCCGTATCAGCAATCGTGCCGACCTGCCGAAATACTGCCAAGGCGGCCATCATCACAGCAGGCTCTTTCGTTTTGATTGCCTTGAGCGAAGGAACAAGTTTCTCCTGTATGGTGTATTTGTCCAAAATAGAGGATTTGATGGACTTTTTGTTGTTTTGAATAACTCCAGACAAGTCGTCGTCAGATCCGGTTTCTCCATCAGATGAGCCCCCACAGAGTGATGTAAAGGCCTCCAGACACCGGACTTTGATAGCAAGACTGCTGGTTTTGCTGAATGTAGTAGCGATTGGAGGAAAAACCTCGTTCTTCACAGTACTGAAATCGAGAACAGGAAGAATCACGGGAAGGGATTTGATTGCGGCGTCCGCTAGGGAATGAGTGGGCGAATCCAATCCCAGTCGAATCAAAGGTAGGATATCTGGGAGTCATTAGTCACAATAAAATCTGCTATTAGGAGAGCCAACTAACCGTCCTTGAACTCCATGCCGGAGCAGTTGTCTGCAACAACCTTCATATTTTCAAGCAGAACCATGAGACCGGCATCCTTTTTGGAATCGCGTTCTTGAACAGCAGCCTTGCCCGAGCCCGTGGGGAAAACCTCCTTGAGTCGGGGAATAACCTTCTCTGGAAAGGTCCGGCGTGCGTTGGGGACTCGCTGCAGGATTCCAAAAACATTCTGTAAGATGAGCGGAAGGAGTTCACGGTCCTTCATCTCTTCCAGAAGAGCTCCCAGAACCTTTCTTTCTAAAACAGACGCAGGAAATTCAGGAATTACCCGTTGTAAGCCACGCATGAACTGTGATTTTTCATTTGCGTTCTTGGTTGGCAAGGACTCCAAGAAGCGAATTGTGGAAACCAGGATGTTATCAAAGTACTGAGATTGCTGAAACTCTCGTGCATTGAGACGCTGGGCTGGACGCCTAGTGATAAGCCTTGGAAGAACATGAGAAAGAAGATCCTTTGGGATGGGTCCAACGGAAAGGAAGTTGTTGCCTAGCGCGGGGGTTGTGGATGGTGAACTGAGAAGCTTCTTGTATGAACTAAGGCTCGAATGCGCCTGAAGCGGAGAGACGTGAGGCGCGTTATATAACGCAACTATAATTAGGCCAAGGGAGAACAAGTCCGAAGCGGAGGTAACGTTGGAATCAAGAGCAAAGTCAGGCGAGGTGTAGTCTAAATTCAGCTGGACTGACCTGGGCAGTCGTGGATCCTGATGGAGAACCTCAGACAGAGCCAATGGCGGAAGTGTTGACCGTGTTTCTGAGGAATTAGGAGGACCAGAAAACCCCAAGCCCGAGATTTTCCAATCGGATTTGGCGTTAATGTAGATGGCTTCAGGGTTTAGGTTGCCATGAACCAGGCCTGCCGACTCATGAAGAAACTCCAAGCCCTTTGCTACTTGTAACAGACCCTTTTGGATTTCAAGCTCATCAATTTCAAGATCCCGTCGTCTTCGCGTTCCGTCAGGCTCTTCTATCATATAACGGCTGGATCTAGTGCCGGCCCTCACTGAACTTTCCTGGCCATCTTTCTGTTGCAAGAATCCTGCCAAAGACGTGGTAATTTGCTCCGTTGCAAACATGAGACCACCACCACGCGTTTCCTCTACAGGCTCCAAAACCTGGAGGATAGACGGATGCCGGAGTCGTGCGAGACTGCTGGCCTCCCGCTTTAGTCGTTCGACAACATCCTCTTGCAGTTTCTTCGAAGAAGATCCAGATCGATTACTGAACCCGCTTGACCGCGATTCGAGGTTTTTCCTGTCAAAGATAAAGATAGATGCCGCGGTGCTAGTGGATTTTTTTTTCCCGTCATGGATTTTCCAGGGGCCAGAAATCGCAATTGGGTGCGGAGAGATCTGGTAGTTTGCTGATATGTTGGAGCTCAACGACTTGAACGCCGATGAGAACATTTTGGTTGGCAGGCTGACAAATATTGCTGGATTGAATGGGTAAAAGCAATCGTTAGGTTCATTCCACCCGGCGTCAGAAGCCTATGTATGCGCTGCCAGGCTGTCCCGTCGCAACCCAACAGCAATGCCACAGAACAAAAGAAAAAAAAAAAGAAGAAGAAGAAGAAGAAAAAGCCAAAAATAATTTACATAGACAGCATAGAATTGAATGAGTAGAAGAGAAAGCCAGAAACACGCATTACTTTCTTATCGAATGCCCAACCGACCTCTATGTCTCGTCTTGATCGGTTTCTCTGAATGATGACGGCGTTGAAAATGATGTCACGTGAAAGGGGTCAAACATCGGCCAATTACAAGCACCTTATCAACCGCCATACAAATATCCTCGTTCGGAATCTGCCCCACATCACGTGCAATCGAGTCTAATCTCTTTGGGGCCTCGCATTTACTTATTTCCACCCCGGAGCAAAGTCCGAGGTCGGCATCGGCACGAACCCCCGGACTAGACTAACTGGATGCAGTAAAGCACGGTTCGCCAGTGCAACACCGCGAATATTGTTGCGGCTAGAGCTGTATCGGAGTTGTCTTTGGGGTCCGGAAAAAGAGTCATCAGTTCCTATCTCTTCAGCTGCTTTTAAGACCCGCTGCCCAACTCTTCATCTTGGTCCTCTCTTGGTTATAAATCTCCTCTCCTTGTGACGCAATCTTCCAATCGCAGGGATCAAATATGAAATCCTTCAATCAATTGGCTCGCCGTAGGGCGCTGCACGGCCTTACTGTGCCCCGTGTGATGCCCACTCAGTCTTCTGCGGCAAATCGGTTATGGCAGAAGAACTTCAGTGTCACATCGGCCGCATCGTCCCAATTAGCTGGCCTCGATGCCTCGAAGCTCGCGGTCACGAAATCGACTACTCCCAAGGAGATCTTGTCTCCAAAGGATCTTGTTTTTGGAAAGACCTTCACCGGTAAGCCTCGGCATTCTTTAGGGCTGGCCTACATGCGCTCAGGTACTGATGCAATGTTTACTATCAGATCATATGCTCTCTATTGAATGGACGGCTACCGATGGCTGGCAGACCCCCAACATTATCCCTTACCAGAATCTCAGCCTGGACCCCTCGACCTGTGTTTTCCACTATGCTTTTGAGTGCTTCGAGGGTATGAAGGCCTACAAGGACAACAATGGACAGATTCGATTGTTCCGCCCGGACAAGAACATGGAGCGACTCAACAAGTCCTCTTCTCGGATCGCCCTTCCGACCGTGGACGGTGAGGCTTTGACCAAGCTGATTGGCGAGTTTGTGAAATTGGACAACAGATTCATCCCTGAGTTAGTCGGAAACATTCACCTTGGCTGGGATAGCGGCTAACTATTTACCAGCGGTCGCGGATACTCATTGTACCTTCGCCCAACGATGATTGGTACTCAGAAGACCCTCGGAGTCGGACCTCCCGGATCTGCTCTTTTGTTCGTCATCGCCAGTCCCGTTGGCCCCTACTACCCGACCGGCTTCAAGGCCGTCTCGTTGGAGGCCACTGATTATGCCGTGCGAGCCTGGCCCGGTGGTGTTGGAGACAAGAAGTTGGGCGCCAACTACGCCCCTTGCGTCCTTCCCCAATTGAACGCCGCTTCCCGCGGTTTCCAGCAGAACCTGTGGCTGTTTGGAGAGGAGGAGTACGTGACCGAGGTTGGCACCATGAACCTCTTTATCGCTCTGAAGAACAAGGAGACTGGTAAGAAGGAACTGGTGACCGCTCCTTTGGACGGAACCATTCTGGAGGGTGTCACAAGAGACTCTGTGCTGGGACTGGCCCGGGAGAGATTGGCTCCCAACGGATGGACGGTGTCTGAGCGCAAGATCAGAATGGCCGAGGTTGCCGAAGCCGCCGAGGAGGGACGGTTGCTCGAAGTGTTTGGGTCTGGTACTGCGGCCGTTGTTAGCCCTGTCCGAGCAATCAGCTACCAGGGCAAGATGGTGAACTGCGGATTGAAGGAGAACGAAGAAGCCGGCGAAATCGCACTCCAGATGCTGAAGTGGATTGAGGGAATCCAGTACGGTGATGAGGAGCACCCATGGAGGTAAGTTGATCTAACAGCGAGTAAATCAGGATTGAGCTGACCCTTTTTTTTTTTTTAGTGTTGTCATTTAAAGGACCAATGACGGTGGTCTATATATTTGATTTTAGCTTTCTGTTACATATTTTGGGTTTGATTACCTTAGAGGAAGAGAAAAAGATCCTCGGTTATTGGTCTGGTTGGTTGGTTTGGTAGCTTACATATTTGAATTCGCATGAGCGCTGCAATTTGATATGAAAAATATCATGAATCATTTACACTATTGGGCTGTCAGATAATAGGTAGTAGTAATTACCTTGATCTTGAGTGCGGGGTACAGCTAAGGGGGTTGAGGCAGAAACAGCCTGGTGGGAAAAAAGAACCACAGCCACATGCGATATGGTACGAAGGAAGGGATGAAAATAGAAATACATTACTATGTACTCCCTACCTCTGCATTAGAGATGCATTAGCGAGGAGAAATAGAGGGGAAAAAAGACATGAGGATTGGTGGCTTGGGAGTTGAGCTAATGCAGCAATTAATTAAACTAGGGCAGCGAACCCATGATGATGTGGGAATATAGGCAAAAGGAACTGTGGCTATTCCATCAGTCAGCAGATAGTACGAGCGCGAGGGAAAAAACATCCTCAGATTGAAGATTCATGCCAATTCCGGAACGGATAGGTCGGCGTTCCAAGATAAAAAAAATTTTAAGCAGTGTTTCTTTAGCGAGACCCAAACCCCATAAGGCCGACTGGGCTGAGCCACTGAGCCAAATTCCGACCCAAATCCTTTGGCCAACCACGTCTGACCTAATACCGACCCTAAAATGTCCATCGATATTGGCACAATTGCAGTGTGAATAGCTTCATTGGTAGCGGTCTTGGCAGGTGAACATAGCCATTATGCCTGAGGACCCAATTTAAGATCCTTCGTCAGTGGGGGAAGTGTTGGTTTGATATAATCATATTAGGTCTGAGTAGAGTCAGAAAGGGCACAAAAAAGATCTAAAGGAGCCAGCTAAGCCTCCAGATGGATCGCACCTGCATAGAATCTGGGGGCGATAATCCAAAGATTTGGATGAAACACTGAAGATAAAAAGAAGAAGAAGAATCAAGAAAATAAAGGAAGAAGTAGCGTGTTTCAGCATTCAGGGCAAAAAAATAAGAATGACATTGTCCCTGTGAGAACTAAGAGGGTAAACACTGCCCACACGTGGGGTGGAATCGCACTTGACATGGATGAGATGGTAAGAATAGCACAAATGAGGTGAGGTGATATCATACAGTCATATCTGTATCTGAGCTTTTTATAGCCCAGTCTAAGTTATATACTAGCAAGCACCGTCCTGCTTTTATGTGAGATCGAAAATCCTTTGCATCCTGACAATCCTTTAGAAGGATCGATTGCCTTAGTTCTCACGGGCCATGATGATGCTCAGGGACCAAGTGAGCCGATCAAACAGCCCTCCGATGCTCTTCTATCCCATCTGACATGTTACAGATTCTGGATAAGCATGAAACAGCCCCGATTGAGGATCTTAGTGCTGAGTTGATTGAGGTTATTTGGCATAGCAGAAAGCATAACCGAACTGCTTCTTGGCCGCAGGATTCAAATCTACAGTACCGATTTAGATCAAGGTTACTAACATGAGGCCGTCTTATGGGGCGGCATCAGAATATATCACATCCAGTACAACATAGTAATATAATACATACAGTAAAATAGAATACAGTTATACAGTTGTACATACATACAGTAAATGCCAGGTCTATCAGGTACAGTGCAGATGCATGCACGGAGGCCACGGAATGACGAAATAGAGGATGGAATGGAAGAGAAAGCTGTCCACCGCTTCATCAACACTTCTAGATGACAGCTAGAAGGTCCAAGAGGTCAAACCGCCAGGAATGGGGCCATTTGAGTGGTCAGAAATCCTGGCCGACAGGGTGTCCAGCAGCCAGGATAACTGGGGAGGTCCATGACCGAGCGGTCAGAAAACGATGGCCTGATACAGAGCGAATGACAAGGTGACACTGCATGGATGGGAGTCATGGGATTTGATGCATCCCCAAGGACAAGCTGAGGCTCTGGTGGCCTGGAAGCAATCAGCCCTACATGCGGGGTTATCGCGACGCACTCTTCATGCTGTATGTACTTACCGTCTACAGTGATTAGAAATATATAGATAAGGCGGACGGAGAGAAAAAGCACCGACAGCGGAAGCAAAGACCGAGAATGCGATCAAATGATTGAGTCAATGCCATCTTCCATCTTCCATATTCCATCTTCAATATTGCAATATTCCGTCTTATTCATCTCTACTATTCCTCTTCTCTCTTGTTTCTATGTATATGCATACACTACTGGCAGAGTAAGATCTTTATCCCCTAGTCCGATGCCAAGGGGAACGTGGATGGCCGTGCCCTACAGTTTTAGCCCTCAGTATCAGCTCAGATCAAATAAGATGGAATAAGATAGTGGGTTTGATTAGATGACATTTTCTCCAGAATCTGAGAAGATGGAGTCCATCAGTACAGTAATCCAATTCCAACAGAACTAGCTAGCGAGCAAAGTCCAGCACGCCCTAGTCCGTCGGCGATCTTCCAACTACACCTCTATCCTGGTCACTTTGGTGTGCCCTCGCTGCTCCTTTCGCCCCATTAGTCTGTCTTCCTTCCACAAGCCACACACTCGTTTCATCGAGGGAACACCGACTCCGACCGTGGGTTTTTTTTTTTTTTTTTTTTTTTTTGCGTGTGTCTCAGATCAGGCCGACTGAATTCCATCCGACTATGCCCTCATGGATCACACGAGGTGGTGATGTGTCGGTTGTCATTGGTTCCTTTCCCCTCGTCTGGAATGGATGATTTATTTTATTATTATTATTTATTTTCTTGTTCAACCCCGATTAATTCCAAGGCCAACCAGACAGACAGTTATGATGCGATGATGCTATAATTAATTATTATTGGAATGTGCAGATGAGGAAGATGCTCTATCCTTGCCAGCTTAGGGTGGTTCCTTTTGGGAATAATGCTGCGACTCAGTTTTGGGGCTACAATATTTCCACTGTGATTGTAGCTAGCCTTGTCACCCTCGACATTGGCCAGAGAGGGTTATTGTTGGCTCAGCTCCTTCTAGCACTGCCTGATGATCCTCCAAGCCATCCGACAGGATTGAGAGACAGACAGAGAGAGAGAGAGAGAGAGGCAGACACCAAAATCCTTCAACGGCTATGGATCGATCCAACTGTCCGACTCACTATGTTGGCGACTGCCCAGAAAGGGTAAGGAATTCGTGGCTGTTGGTCCCGCCTGGGCTGATTGGGCCAAGAGCTCCTTTCCAACACATGGAGAACATGCATGGATGATTTTTAATTAATTAGAAAATAATAATTTAAAAAATAATAATTATTATTTTTCAGAAAATCGCTCGGAACACGGAGTTCAAGCTGCTATCACAACGGATCTGGGGCTTAGCAGCCATCAGTAACAGAAACCTGCCAGGCTTTCTTTTAAATACTCGATACATTTCGGTCTGGATTGGATTATCAGAACAAGCCTAATCCATCAATCCATCAGATCTATATATTCGATCCATTCCCCATCTCTTCTCATCATCTTCTCATCAGTGTTTCATCACATCATCTACTCCTCTCTCCATCTATACCTTCAATATGCATCCCCGTGCTACTTCCTACTCTTACACTCACTCGAGGACTTCCAGCCATGGAACCAGCAGTGCCTTCAGTCCCAATGCCAACCCTAACGAGGACTGGACCAAGATCTCCGATCTGGCTGAACGTCGTCGCATCCAAAACCGCATTGCTCAGCGCAACTACCGTAAGTCTCGATGCCCTCGTTTCAACTATATCACACATCTCTAATACATACCAGGCAAGAAGCTCAAGCGCCGTCTTGAAGACCTCGAGAGAAGAGCCGCTTCCTCCTCTGCTTCCCCAGAACGCTCCGAGGAACCCGAACCACCCAAGATGATCGTCCGCCCTCGCACCAGGGCTCGCGCTTCCAAGTCCATGTCTGATGTCCACTACCGCCCTACTGCTCAGCGCCCATCCACCTACGACTACTATGCTACTCCCGAGGAGCGCGGCATGTTCTCACACCAGTGCACCAGACAGCTCTCCACCTCGCCCCCACCTGTCTTCTCCTACTCCTCCTACTCTCACCTGGACCCTTACGGACAAGCCAACTTTGGACAATCGCCTGTCTACAACTCGATCCCCAACACCTACCAAGACCTGTCGATGCAGAACCACTACGGCGAGGTTCCCTCTCTGATGCCACCTACTACTGGCCCAGTCAAGCGGGGATCGGTGGGATACGCTGAGGAGGACATTATTAGCCCGTTCAGCATGGGATTCGCCTCGATGGCAGGCCTTGACCTGTCTCCTCTACCGCAGCCTCTGCCAGAGCCCAGTCTTCCTGTAAGTGATCTCCCCTGGCTCAATTAAACCGGTCATATGGGGATCAGAAATGCTAATTGCCCAATCTTTTCAGGTGCCATCCTTGCAGCAGCATGTCTACCCCGAGGATCCGTCATCATCCCCGTCGCTCACATGTCCTTTGACTCCTGAGTCGGATCCGTGCTCTCCCCACTCTTATCCTCGCATCTACTGAGGATGATGATTGAGATTTCCTTTGTTACTATTTCCTTTGTTCATATTTCCTTTGTTGATATCTCTTTTGTATGACACATGGTGGAACTGTCTTTTCTGCTTGTCAATTGTGTCGTTTATTTTGATTCCCCAGCCTCTTTTTCTCTTCTTCTTACCCACGTGGGTATTTCTTTTTCTCTTTTCTTTTCTTTTCTTTTCTTTTCTTTTCTTTTTTTTGTCCTATGGAATGGATAGATGCATACAGTGTGGCGTTTTAGTTATTGGCCAGGAAGCACCGGGCGTGTTTGGATGATTTATTGATTATTGATTATTGAGCTACTGATTTTCTGATTTACTTGAATGAAATTTCTGGTTGATATTGATTAAAACCCGTCCTTCATCTTAACATCGCACTGAAACACTCTTTAACCACCGCCAATGTGGCTGCAGTTCATTCGTTTCTTTTTTCGCCTCTCTTGGCCCCCAAACCGGGGCTTTTTGGGCGAGACCGAGTGGAACTAACGGGTATCTGGGCAAAGTACGACAGCCTGTTTGTCTCGTATACGGAGTCCCATTCTAGGCAAATATCCATCGCAAGTCCTTCCCTATCAAGTATCCAGGATAGGAATGACTGAATAACCACCGACAATTACGCCAATAATCCCCATGAATCATGATTTTACCCACTGATTCACCGGCGCAATGGGCCGACCGTCCGGTTTTGGCCCAATGCGCGCCTCCCATTCGCCCACTGACCCCCCATCCAGGCTGTCGCCAGAATACGACACCCCGGCGCGATCCGTCTGCAGGCGATCAAACTATCCTCGTCACCGCTGGGGGCCAGAACAAGGTCCTCTCTGTGGTACGGATGATAAATGCAGAGGAAGATAAATCACGATGATAAATAATGGATGAAAAGGCCGACGCCGAGATCCTCCATCCTCCAACATACCAACATATCTCCATATCTCCATGTTTGCCTTCAATATCCGTCCCCCGAGGGCCCGGAGAGAGTACCTAGAGAGATGCATGCAAGTGGGGAAATCACTGCTGCGCCTCGTCGGACGCAGGCATCCAGAGTGAATCATAATGAAAGATGAAGAGTTCACTATTTGGATTAAATTAACAGCCATGCTATGGGTGAGGGGTTATTTGAGCCTCTGTCCTCCTGTACGACCTTGATGATCCGATCATATGGGTAAATAAATACATACATAAATATTCAATACACACGTTCTGTACTGCGTACAATGTTCAAATGCCAGATGACGAATGCCTTCAAGTTCACTGCCCACTCGTGCCACTCCACTTGATTCGAATCCTTCCTGTCATTTGCACTGTATCCCAGCCTTGTCTGGAAAAATAATAATGGATGTAGTATACATCTTTAAAGGCTGTCTAATTCACACGCACCCCTCAATCCAACGTCTTCCATTGCATTCCAGACCGATATTCCCAAACCAACAAAAAAAAATCCCGAGTCCGAATTAGGAAATTGCCTGTTTCTTCCATTCGTCCAGATAGAGTAGTACAGCTCCAAAGCCTCATACGGTATCGTCCACCAAACAAACATGTAAACATGTATTCCAGCCTGGGCTCTGTGTAGACTTCAGCCCTACTTTACACCGATCTAGGCCGAAATTAACAATCATCATCAGAAATATCCAGAACATTGGCATTCTGAATAACCATCTTAGTCTATTGATCTACTTGCGTTCCCATAATCTTCACTCTTATCATCATCTTCACGTTCGGTGCATGTGGCAAATGTCTATTTGTCAGTTGGTATTATACCCATTTACAATACGGCAGGGCGCCTAACTGCCAGCCTTATTAAGTCAATCATTCCAAGGCTCTGAATATACCGCATCTTCGTATCGATAGCTGAAAGAAAGGAGGGGTAGTGGGGAAAACAAGAAAAAGAAAAAAGAAAAAAGAAAAACGTTACACCCCCTTATAACCAACATGGATTAGAAACCTATCAATCAATCCCATCAAGACCAGACAAGACATGTATACGAGGGAAGGGGGGATGATTTCAATCTCCCAGTAGACTATTGGGATATCTTCATTCTTTAACCACGTCGTGTGTATGTGTGTGACACACGTCTACATCCGGAGGTGACTTAGTCGGCGAAATCCGATTCCCCCTCGCGTTTTTTCAACGTGGAATTCTGCTCCAACAATCCCTGCTTCATTGGGCATGAGGCTTTTATTTTTTATTCTCCCCTCCCCTCCCCTTCGTCTTGTCTAGGGAATCAGAAGCGAGTGGTGTTATCGTGTCTCGAGTTCTGTGTCCAGATTCTCTCGGCTTTAGGTCTTTGGACATTTGAGGGCCTTGCAGATGCAGATCCATCGAAAAGGTATCACGGCTACATCCCTGTCGTTTCAATAAACCTGATAATATTTTCATTTCATTGCTGGTACTCTGTACTCGATCTTTATCATGTATGCCGGGAAATTATTCAACTCAACGACGCCTTGATGCAGGCCCACAAGAACGAAATACATAATGGATAACTTGTCATGCTGCGGGCAGAAATGGGATATGAAAAGAGCTTCATGACCAGTAGGAGACAAAACATCAGACATGTAACAAACGGTTAGAAAAAAAAAAGAAAAAAAGAAAAGAAGAAAAGAAAATAAACTAAAGACACAGTGCTCATCTCATCACCTTCTCACGTGTCCTCAACTTTAACCATCAACCCCATTTATGCTCATCTGGTCAGGGTTGTATCGCCGTCTTCGCATAGGCGCCTTTTTTCTGGCTCCCACTCCCGACGGCTGCGATCCTCCCATCCCCATATCGCCATCGTTATCCGCTCCATACAGGTTCTCATACCGTGCCATCTCGTCCAATTCTCGGATATCGGTCGGCTTCATTCGGAGCCACTTCATGCGGGGCCCAGACCTGGATCGTTCCGACACCCGGAACCCGTAGATTCGCGATTCGTAGAGCCTGCCCTTGCCGAGTCCCGTGCTGAAGTTGCTCGTGCGCACCCCGTTGATCTCCACCGGTTGGTTGGCAGGTGGCATCTCGGGAGACAGCTGGTTGAGAACGGTCGAGGTCAAAGATGAAGAGCGGGATTGAATCGGGTGCGTGGGCGACAAGGGCGATAGCGTGCTATCCAGACGGGGTCCGATATCGAGATCCGGGAACGTCATGAAAAACAAACATCCAAACGTGGTTCCGAAGAATGCTCCATCAACCGAGTGAAAGCGACTGTTGGGCGGCGTGTAGAGGTCCTGGCAGCTGGGGCAAAAGAGCTTCACGGTTTCCTGTCCGGGTGTATCAGATCGGCCCACGGGAAGGACCTTGCACCCATTGCAATAGGCCCGAGGACAGGTCCCAAAGTGTTGCATCTCGTATTTCTCCAGCATTTGCTGAATTCCAGGCCGCGAGGTGATGTATCGCTGGTGAATCAGTCCGTACAGCAGCTCCGCCGAACTCTCAATCACACTCAGATCGCTCGCAACTCGTGCGTGTCGCCGGTCGCCTGCCCTCCGGTACCCGGGCGGCTTTTCATCTCCCAGAATCTCATCATCGTCGTCGTCGTCCTCTTCTTCCTCTTCCTCTTCATCATCCTCCTCCGGCTCCACATCAAGAATCATTTCAAGGGCCTCTTTGTACATGGGAACCTGCGACTGTAGACCTGTGAGGTTAAAGTCATCCTCGATAAAGTCCTCCGACACCTCCGCGAAAAACTCGTGGCCCATCAACGAGCAGAACGAGGAGATCCACGACTCCGGGGCACCCTCCGACGACGACATATCGAATGAGGCGGACGCGGACGATGAAGGTGTCGATTCAGACAGTTGACTCAGATCCAGCCTGTCCAGGCCGTCGGCCAACGCCGAACCTGTCTCTCTCGACACGTTGCCGAGCTTGTAAAAAAAAGAGTTTCGATGGGTGATCTCGTATCGAGATGTCGCCTTTTTTTTCCTTTGCGCCAGTTGAGACACTCACTCGAAGCGTCCTGGCACTGGTCTTCGCGGGACGAATTGCCACCCGAGAAATATCGGTTCAAATAGATCGTAGAAAACGAAAGGCGTTGTCGTGGTCCAAGAGAGAAAATGGTGTTCTATCTGATAAGAAGAGGGGTCATGACAATATGCGGGACGGCGGGTTTGTTGTGCGATGAGGGAGCGTTGACGCGATGACGACTGGAAAGGTGGGAAGTGCTCCTTCAGAACGACATCAGAGATCGTAGATGGCCTCAAATTCCAACAACACGGGGATATATGGTTCTCGCAATGATGGATCCTCAGAGACCACGAGGTTGAGACGTCCGAATGTCTGCCTCCTGCTGTCTCGCCTTTGCTGGTGGTGCGTTGATCGACGGGTCGAGGGACGGGGGGGTTCCGAACTTAGGTTCGTGGGGCGGTGGGAAGAAAAAGATGGTAGACAGACAGAAAAAATAAAGAAAGAATGAAAGATGGCAGTAATTTTGTCAGTGAATGACCCTAAATCCGAGAGAAGTGGTCATGCAAAAATAATGTCAGAAAGCAGTGAATGGACATTTGTCTCGCTTCAGTCACTGCAGGTTCAAATGAAGATGGCGGGTTTGGGAGTCATCACGTGAAAGGCCTCGATCAGTATTGCAGATCTTCTCCAGGCAGAATGTCAGACTGTTTGCTGTTTTTTTTTTTTTTTTTTTAAAAAAAAAAATAAGAATGATACTGCTGTTTCATGGGAAGACCGGGGTATATTTATAGAAGAAGCAAGAACATGATCATCAATTCATATAATGCAAAAGCAATGCAATTATATACAAAATCCGGAAGAGGCAACTCCTCAAAACAGGTCTCGAATGACCCGTGATAACTCACCATCATCACCTAGAACCCCAGACAACCCTTCCCCTGTGTTTTGAATTTCTCCATCATGACCAACAAACCCGTTGATACCATCGGCTCCAGTGCTAGATGCAATGAAGCTGTTGAAGCCACCAACCGCTTCAAACAAGTTCGTGAGCTCGTGGCTCATCTGCAGCCCGTTCAGTGGGCTGTTTCCCAGCTCGTTGACCCCGTTCATGGATCCATACACAGAAAGATCCTCGATAGGGTGGCCTGCCAGACCGGCCATGGCCACAGCCGCCGTCGAATGAGGGTCGTTGGAGTCGGAGCCAAAAGGGCGGACCAACACGCCCAGCTTCTCACCAATCATCCTCAGCCCCTTGATCGTTTTCCAGAGCCGTTTGGACACGTATGATTTTGTGCTGAATCCGTTGATCAGATCTAGCGCCATGTAGAATTCATCCCGAACCTCTCGGTTAAATTCTGTCGGCCCATGACATACTGCTAGGAAGAGCACCCCTAGGGCGGCAACAAGGAAGTAATTGAAACAGACCTGCTGCGTCCGATAGATATCAGAGGTCTGGTTAAGCCGGGTGAGCACGCGCACAGTATCTTTTGCGACATCAACCACTGTCTGTGCGTGACCCCGGTCTTCGATAATGCTAGCCGCTGAATGAAGCACCGGTCGATATATGAGAATCCGAAGTTGATTCATTCGTAAGTATAATAGCACTCGTAGCCTTCGAAGACTTCGACTGGCAGACTCCCCATGTTTTGGAGACTCCCCCGGGTAGAATTTAAGTCCATCTGGTACCTGCTTGTACCATTGAAGAACTTGGTAGTCCAGATAGCCAATCTCATCGCGTCGAATGTCCGCCGCTCCATCGGACCCAAGACCAGAGTACCAAATCTTCGAGCTAATTCGATTGTATGAAATCATGCACCTGAGATATGGCATTGATGCGTCCTGAAAAAAACGTCAGCGATGCGCAGAAGCAAGAAAAGAGAAAAGGCCAAACATACCGGTTCAGGTAGATTAGGATCGATATCCTCGTCTTGGATTACAAATGGTAGCCCTGTTCCAAGACTCCAACGTCTGTCCAGGCTATAGATTGTCCAAAAGATTTTGGTGACATCAGACCATTGACTCTCATTGGGGAAAGACTTGATCAACGCATCTCGCCGGTGGAGGCCCATCTCGAGACACATACGTGCGGCCAGGCCAATCACACGATAAGCCATGGCGTCATCATCAGTATGAAAATGATAGGTAGCCTGAATCGCATGGAATCAGCACGTGAAATAGCTCAACATGGAACGAAACACATACCACTATCCCAAAAAGCTGGATGGTTTTAATGTCTAATGGCTCCCAGAGCTTGGATTCAATCATCGGTTTTACATTCTGGTAAAGACGTTGACCAAGCTTGCTCTGGCCACTCCCCTCCACGACCAGTGTTGTGGCAAGTATCATTTTCAGAAGATTCGTGCTGTCATCCTGAAGACCATCTGCTCCAGGCAGCCCTTGCTGCGCAAATCCAGTTCGTGTAGCGGCTTCCATGAAAGTATAGAGAAGGTAAACCTGGTTGGTAACCTTTTCAATATCCACCAAAGGATACATAATCCCAATCTCTTCCTCATAAACCCTGCATAGTCGTAGAGCTTCTTCTCTCTTTACAGCCCATATCGGATCTTTGGTCGGATGTATAGGAGGCATGACCGGAGCCAGAGTGGCAGGAGGAGGGGAGCCAGAAGGTGTGGCATGCGCCGTGGTTAGATCATCTGTGATCCCATCCTCTGCTGGGTTGATACCCATGTTCTGTAAGCTCGACTTCGCAACATCAAAGTTGAAAGCAGAACTTGTTGGACCGTGAAAGCGAGGGTGCCTTATGCGCGGCTTTGCCAGGCCAGGATGCATTGGGGTAAAAACAGACTGCGATCCATCGCGGGACAAGTCGTCAAAGTTCGGCGAAGCAAGTGACGTCTTCTGGGTACGGAGATCATTGAGATTGGTGAAAAGACTATTGACTTGCTCCTGCAATGTACTAATCTGATCTTTCATCGACCGAAACTCACTGTTTGCAATGAATGTTAGCACTAAAGTTACTGGATTCCACAAAGGAAATGGCCCACACACTCCGAGTCCTTGAAGCTATTATTGCAGCAATTCGGAGCATATCGACCTATCAACGATGTCAATCAATATAATCGTGTTTCTGAATGGCCCTCTTCGCATACATTCTAGATTAAGGTGCCCACAGCGCTGACATGGCACCTGGCCATTGCACTTGATCTTGCGACGCTTGCATTCATTACTAACGAGTTTCAGCACTAGTTAGCATATCCCTGGACTTATCATATAGAATTTAAAAGTAAAAAAGCAAATCCACAGTGGCTAAGCTCGGCGAAATCGCAATCCGAGACCATACCAGGCAATAGAAATGTAGCGATTCCGCTTCGTGCGTGTCTGGTTTCCGTTGGCCTGTTCCGCTTTCCTCTTCGCACTGTCTCCAGCGGGCGTGGCCGTCTGATCACCTGCATCCGCTTGAGAGGCTGCTACATCCCCTTGAGGCGACTCAGAAGTCATCTTCAATGTCTTTCTGGATGGGTAGAAACAGTGTTTGGATTGAGGATGGCAGGGAAGAAGTGCGGAGGGATTCCTTCTCACTTCCGCGGCGGGCGCGCGGGGTTTCCGTTTCCCCAGACTGAGTGCGGCCAATCAGCCGTTGGGTTAGTAAGCTGTCTATAAATATCATGTTGTCGTCGAAAGTGTGCATTGTTCAAGTCAAACTAAGTGTCTATTCTGTTCTATGTCCAAATAACGGTTTCAAATGGTTCAATTACACCAGGCCAGCTGTATAGCAATCACCCAAGCAGTTTGTGTGCATGCTGCAGGAGATCCCGAGCAGCGGAGACTATCGAGCCTTGAGCATTGAAAACAAATTGAGTCAACTGTTGAGCATACTGAGGATACTTTCTTAACCAGAGAAGCCCAGAGATAGACGAGACAAGCGACAATCCTTTGAATGCAAATGCGAAACGATGCATCCAGAGGCCCTTAGGCGTGTACTTGGCTATCCAATGACCCCATACAGGAAACGTGCATCGGAAGAAGTAATCAATTTGAGAGAAACTAGCGCTTGTTAATCAAAAATCACTGAAGAGATGAAGAGAAACTTACGGGTAAGATGAGGAATTCCAGCCACCTTCAGTCTGGTACCAGCTCGTGCATGCCCCCCGTCGGAACACAGTGTTCTGCAGGCCGTTTTGAAGCTTCTTGGTCCAGTTTCGCTCGGCTTCCTCGGTAACCTCATATGTACTGACATGACCATCTAAGATCGGCTTTATGAAATTCAGTGAGTAGTTGACCGCATTCTCTGATGCGTAAATGACACTGTTATGGCCAGTGGCTGTGTTTGGCCCAAAGAGCATGAAGAAATTTGGGCAGTGGTCCATGGCAATACCCAGATATGCCTGCGCTCCTCCTCGCTCCTCCCAGATTTCGTCCAAAGTCTTACCACCTCGACAAACCACTCGCATAGGGTGTAGCCATTTGTTGGTCTGGTACCCGTTCGCCATCACAATGACATCTGCTGGAACCTGTTTCACCTCGTCCTCTGGTTCAGTACCACCTGCTGGGTAGTGTCGACCTGGTCCCAGTGTTACACAATTCGGCTGAACACTCGTGAGGCGCAACGTTGTCAAATCAACATTCGGGGCATTCAAAGAGCGATACCACTGGCCACCAAGAATTCGCCGTTTACAGCCGAGACTGTAGTTAGGAGTCAGAATATCGTGATATTTTTCGGGTGCAATCGAGCGCATCTTGCTCAGGAACTGCTGTTCAGCCAAAGGGCGGAAAAATCGGCCAAAGCTGTTATCCGTGAACATTTGGAAAAAGTTGAATTCGAAGGCGCTGAATAGCAAATTCCGGAAAGCGCGAGCAAGACCAGGAACATTTTTCATGAACATCGGTGAGTATTTGTCGAAAGCTTCAATCGCCTCCGGTGGGAGGCTGGTCTGAACCCAAGGGGGTGACCTCATGAGCTGTGTGACCGATTTCGCGCCAAAATCTGGCTTGATTATCTCTGGAATCACTTGGGCTGCACTGCAGCCAGATCCAATGACAACCACGTCCTTCCCTCGCAAGTCAATGTTTGGATTCCACCTCGCAGTGTGCATAATATCGCCCTCGAAACTTTCAATTCCGGGAATGTCCCGAGGCCATGTCTTGGGTTCCACGAGCCCTCCGACACCACTGACCACGATCTTGGTGCGTACAGTCTCCGTCCCGACATAGACACTGTGTCGGCCTTCCCTGGCGACCAGCACATCACGGTCACTTTGTGCCAGATCCCCGGTACCGAGGGCAAGGTATGACAGGGTAACTTCCCACTCTTCCGCCTCTTCAATCCACCGGATCTCTTTGACATCGGTATTGAGTTGGATCTTGTCCACGATTGAGTATTTCTCGCAGACATCGGCCAAATACTGCGCCATCTCTGGTCCCGGTGGGAGCAGTGATGTCCAGTCCGTTTTCAGGGAGAATGAGAAAGAGTATAAAGCAGCTGGTCTAAAACGAAAATATGGGTAAGCACGCTGGATTATCTGAGACAACAGTACAAAGTCACATACATATCACAAGCAACTCCTGGGTAACGGTTGATCCACCATGTGCCACCAATACCAGATTGTCTATCGAAGATTCGGAACTGGTCAAAGCCCAAAACTTCTTTCAGCCGACAGCCCATCGCGATGCCTGATTCTCCTGCCCCAATGATGACAATGGGGTAGTATGTATGAGAATCTTTTCCATAACCGTGGCGTTTATGGATCTTCGATAACGAAGACATTATGTCGTGAGCGAATCAAAGTGATTTTGGAGAAAAAACTAAAAATTGTCAACAGAGCAGTGAAATAAGCAAATACATGCTATGGATATCAAGCGATGAAGGTGGGTATTTATAGTTAATCGACCAACAGCGCCAGCCCCAACCAAGAAATAAGACTCCTGGGAGCAATTAAATGCATGGATTTCCTCGGGCCTCTGATGCCACATGAGACGGCCACTTAGTCTTGTCCCCTAGCATGACGAAGAGGGGAAAAAGCGGAGAGCCCCAGGGCTCATCCAGTGCTAGGCCATCTTGGTTCAAGGATTGGCAGTATCTTTGGCAGCAAAGAAAGCCTCGGAACTTTCAATGCGACAACTTATGCTGTGCACATCACTTATGAAACGCGGGCATTGGCTGATGAACTGTTGATCTTTCATCTGTGGGATCATGGGATGAATAACCGCGGGTGTCGATCGTGCTTCTCCACCTCCACTGGAAAGAATTCAGCTCAGAAGCGAGCAGCCACCAACTCGAAGGTCTACTCGTAGAGAGCTAGAAGATTGGCACATCGCATGACCTGGATGAAGTAAATGAAGTGTGCAGTGTCCTCGTATTTACTTCATCGGCATCTTTGAATGGTTGGCGTTCGAATAGCCAGAGTTGAAGTAGTGTCATCATGGTGTAATGCAAAATTCCGTAAGTGACGGTGTATATTTCCCACGATACTTGAGTCAGTATCATGAAATCACCAATATCCCGAATAGTCATCGTCGATTCAAGCAAAACATACAGAGTATGTTGGCTGTGGTCAGTCAAATGATGCACGTGTGAGCGGATATTATTCCCGCCGATCGGATTGCTGGAAATCGACATGTCTGAACCAATCTCGTTTTCAACCATCGCAAACCAACCGATTTTAACATCGAGAAGCCGGAACAGGTCTTCTGGATGAAGCCCCAGCAATGGCTAATTTCTCATCATAACCCTCGGGTTTGGTCTCGGGTATCACGAAACATCGCGCATTTCAACGTCCCGATCACAAGACAACAGTCCAGGTTCAGCACGAGCAGCGAACTCCCTGCACGTCAGACAACTCATCACTACCGCCCCCTGCAAGTCCTCCAGGATGCTACCATAGACCGTTTCCGTGAAGCCTGCTTCAACCCAGAACTTCCTGCCATCTTGCCCCGCCGGCACTTTCGCGACTTACCAGCCCTCGAACGTTGGTTTCGTCCCTCCGATGCGAATACCCACCGAATCAATGCGGAATACCTAGAGAAGCACGGCGCAGACGCGTCTGTCCCGCTCGAATTGACGCAGCCTTCGCCGGCCCCTGCTGGTAATGGACAAGAAACCGACGCTCTCAGCTTCCGGCAATTCCATGCGCCGCTGAGTCTATTTTTACAATGGATGCGGGCGTCAGAAACACAACCGCAAGCCATGCGACTCTACCTAGCACAATGCCAGCTGTTGGATTTGCCGCAGGTTCTTCGCGATGACTTTCCCGCCCCCGATATCGTGTCGCAAGCGGGCAATGGCGATATCTACGATACGAATGTGTGGATAGGACACCCGCCTACATATACCCCTCTCCACCGCGACCCCAATCCGAACCTTTTCGTCCAGCTTGCAGGGCAGAAAATCGTGCGGTTGCTAGCTCCCGATAATGGATTGGCGGTGTTTGGTTCTGTACGAAGACAGCTCGGGAAGAGTGGGAACCACGAGGCAGCTGCGTTCCGTGGGGAGGAGATGATGCAGGGTCAGGAGAGGACACTGTTAGAACAGATGGTGTGGGACGATGGAGACTCAGCCGCCGAAACTGTTCCAGAAAAGGAAGGGTATGAAGCACATCTGGAGGCTGGTGATGGACTGTTTATTCCGAAGGGATGGTGGCATAGTATTAAGGGAGTTGGGGAGGGTGTTACTGGCTCGGTGAGTTATCTGAAATACCCGGAGATCTCAATTCTAACCATATCTAGGTCAATTGGTGGTTTCGATAGCACCCCCTGTATAGTATGTAAAATATCTATATATATATATATATATATTCGATTGTAGTATATTCCAAAAATAATTCCAATAATCTATCAACATTGTCTATTCGACCTAGATAGTATCCAGCTGACATTTCTAGAATCCTCCGTCCTTGGCGCCGATCGCCTACACCCCAACTTGATCAAAGACGATCTTTTCGCATCTTCACTCTGAACACACTGTACATACATAACAACCTACCATCTACCATATCTACTCAAAGACATGCACATGTCTCTCCCTACTCTCTACCGCGTCGCGTTCCTCCACCTAACTCTCAACCCACTCCTCATCACCCGCGCATCCGCAGCCACAATCCAACACTCCGCACACCAATCCGCAAATCGTCCCTTCTCGACACTCCTCCATCAGTGTCCTTCTGCTCTCTACCAATCCCACATCAACATAAACCAATACTCAACCTCATCCACCATGGCCTCGGACTCCACACCCACCGAGCAACAAAAACAACCGGAACAGCAGCAACAGGAGGAGCAGCAGCAGGAACAGCTCGCCCTCCCCGACGCCAGCTCTTCAACCAACACCCTCGATCTCAGCAGTGGAAGTGATGCGGTCAAATTAGACCATCTCGGACCTATGGTCGTGAATCAGGATGGGACGTTAGCGAGAATCACGAACTGGGAACATATGGCTGAGATTGAAAAGAAGAATACATTGCGGGTGATTGGGAAGCGGAATAAGCAGCGTTTGGAGGCTTTGAAGGCTGCTAGGGCAGCGGAGGAGAAGAAGGAGTGATTTCTCTAAATCGGGGGTAGGTTGTGTGATGTGACATGTGGTGGTGTAGAGGGTCTGTCACTGCATTTTGTATAATATTATGATAAATGCTTAGAGCGAATTGTTACAATTTTCATATTTATCCAATGTTTTAATCTATGGAGCGGAATGATAGATGCAACAGTATTCTAACAGCTTCGTATATCGTCCATGTCAAGATATCATGTTCATCATAATGTCATATGTCAGTCAAAAAGCACTTTAGACGTTTTCGAAAATACATTCCTGTTATACATTAGCTATCATATTCCATCCAAAAAGTAAAACATAACTTACCCCGGCGGCGCTGTGACAAAATTCCTCGTATAATCATCTATCTCCGCAACACCAGTCACCAAATCAATATCCTCTAGCTTCTTCACTTCAGTTTTATGGATAAATTTCCACCCAAAGTAGATAACCGGAAATACCCCAATCATGGTGTAGGAGAATAGAAAGGTCGGCACGCTCCAGTTTCCCGGTAGGAAGACGGTGTAGCCGCCGACGAATGCCATGACCGTCGTAGCTGTCAATGCAATGTATGCGACGTATGGCTGCCCCCTGCCTTTGTATGGGAGAGAATCACGGGAGATGCCTTGTGCCTCCAGGGCCTTTTTGAAACGAATATAGGTAAATGTGCAGACGGAGAAGTTGATAAGCTGTGACGCAGTTACCTGTACTAACCGTTATTATAGCTGCTCATCAGAATAGCAATAGGTATGACTTGCCAAATTCACAAACCAGTCTAAAACGACAGACGAACTGTTGGATACCTGCAGGAAAGAGAGCAAGGCAATGAGAAGAACAGCACCGACGCAATAGATCGGAACACCATTTCTAGTGCACTTGGTGAAGAGACGCGGGGCTTTGCCGTCCAGCGCAAGTCCGTATAAACTCCTGCTAGCGCAGTATACATAGCTGTTACCTGCACTGAAGCAAGCACCGAGGATCATGGCGTTCACGATATGTGGTAAGACAGGGATATGGAGTCTGTCCATGGCAATGACATACGGTGATGCAGCAGCACCAGGCAAGTCTTTATCAAATGCATCCGACATAGTAGGATCATTAAACGGGACTAGAATACCGACACTGAGAGCTCCCAGGACGAAGAAAGATGTGAGGCGGTAAAACACCCCATTGTAGGCTTTGGGCAGGACTGAGCGCGGGTTTATTGTTTCGCCAGCAGCCATTGAAACATAGTCTGGACCTGCAATTGTGAAACTGGCACGGATAAGACAGGCCAGAAACCCAAGCCATCGACCAAGGCTGCCAGTCTTGTAGTACTCTGCAAAGGAACCGGGGTTATTCCAGTATCGGAATCCAAACCGGTCTCCAAGCGGGTTGCCACCGAGCATCACAATAAATGTAAAGAAGAGCAGTCCAACACTGAGCAGGACCTTTCCCAAAGCGAGCCAAAACTCTGCCTCGCCGTACCATTGTACGGCAAAGACGTTGAGTAATCTATTGCATGTTTGTCAGATGAGCCGATCCAGAAGACCATGGGATGGATGACGCACATGAAAAGCACTAGTATAATGGCAATGATCCCACTGACTGGCACAATACTGCTCCAATACGTAATAATCATATGGCAAGCCGTGACTTCGAAGGGCACCATAATTGCCTCAAAGACGAAGAAGTTGTACCCAGCAGCAACCCCAAAGGCATCATCGACAAAACGGCTAGCAAAGCGTATAAAGGGCGAGGATATCGGCAGATATGTGACCATTTCAGCCAGACCTATGGACATCATAGTTTAGTATAATGCATGCTCAAGGACAAAGTTGCTGCAATGGGAAACACAGAGAGTGCATCGGAAGAAAACTCAATGATATGGCGCTTCTGGAACTGTATATGGAGCTGCTTTGGATAGAGGTTTCCGGTGGCATGTTGCAGAACAGAATCAGGGGATAGAATGGGCTTCGTACAGACTGTTATAGCCAAGATGACTGAACACCTATATTCAAAAGTATAAGATTCCATGTTTCTAACCAGTACTGCTAATGGGAATGATGGGCCTGATGGTTGGTTCTGTATGCCTTGAATGGATTTATCTGGACGTGCATAGTATTTCCACGCATAGAGAATTCCTGAGATATGTTCATACTGCTGACACCGACACTTTCTTGATTTGTTTTCCAGGTTGTATACCGGTCTTACCATGTAAATCATTCAACTCGAACCGTCCCGACCATATCAAGGCGAAATCGCAAGGGAGGAAAAAGCAAAATACCACATCAGCAAAGGGATCACAACTGACCATATTGTAAACGCAAGGAACAAACTGCCAGGGCCGCCATCACGCAGTCCCTCACCGATCTGGACATAAAGCGCAGTACCAATTGTTCCCCCGATGCCAATCAGTTGAATATGTCTGGGCTTGAGTTTCCGGCGCGTATGATCATAGACAGGCTTCATCAATCCCCCGTCGATAGAGCTCTCGCGATTGTCGACCACGGCATCTTTTTCGGATAGATTGACAGGGTTTGCTGTTTGGAGGGGTGCTTCTTTGGCTGCGAATTCGGGAGACTGTCCTGAGATAGGATTAAGGTCAGAGGTTGATTTGGACATCATGAATAGCTGATGGTCCAAATAAATATCCAACAGAGCGCATAGGAGGGGAAAGAAGTGAATGAGGGAAAGGAAGAAAAAACAAAATAAGAAGGGGTTAAAAAGAAAAAAAAAGAAAGAGAGAGAGAGAGAGAGAGAGAGAGAGACAGGATGCGCCTAGCGGTCTAGCAGGGCACACGACGGCATCAAGAAATAAATCGGCGGGCAAATCATAGTGGAGAGAATCCCCAGAAGAAAGGCCCGATGCCGTACGACTCCAGTGTATTCCCCACAGTAATAACGGTCGTACGGAGTACCCAGGTTTAAATTGTGTATGCTGAGGGAGAGAAATATGGGATAGACTGATATTGGATAACTGTGCACTTCAATTGGGACTTGATTTGGATAGGCAGATAGACGAATTCCATTTTGATCATGAAAAATGCAAAGGAGCCCTGGAGGGGTACGGATTGTCTTGAGGAATACAATGGGCGCATTTCGTGTCTAGGGATGGTGGGGCATTTATACACGGAGTTGCCGAGGTAAGAATGCTGAGAGCCAGAAGCAAGCAATTATCATGAATAGGAATAGAAATACATAGAGATACTAAGAAATAAGATAGAGTTAGCATGAATATTTGCATAAAGATCTACAAAAATAGATAGGCATATTTAAGGATCTACAATATGTCGCCATCAAGTAGATCATCAATAACATGTGATACCAGTCTGATAGAACAGCATCCCTTCATTAGGGGATAGATGCAAACAAAAACATAAAGCAGAAGTAACCACTATATCTTGAAAGATGCAAAAAAAATCAACAAATATCCTCACTCCCGCACAACCGAATCCACTCTCTTCGCATCATCCTGATCGGAATCTTCCATCATCTCCTGGCTAATCGGTTTCTTTCCCAGCCAGCTCGGTGGGAAGAAGCAGTCGTTATCCTCGTAATACAGATAGTGTGAGATGTTCGGCTCAACCGAGTCTCTTCTGCTGTCGTCTGATGTGGATGTTTGAGGAAATTCACTTGGTATTATGGAAGGAGAATAAGATAGACACTTTGTGTGTGTCTCTTGGTTTGAGGACATATTGAAGGCACGAATCAACGTTCTTGGTATATTTTTATGTCTCAGTTTGATGAGGTACAGGATAGATGAGGCAGAATATTAGAGCAACTCTGGTTGAGATGAAAGATGACAAGAAGTATTCAGTTCGGTTTGCCACGGATGATGCTTTCGTGTAACTTTGTATAGCCAGCACACCCCGGCTTGACGTCATGCCGTTGGACAACAGAAAAGGGGTTTATAGGGATGGTTTATTTTTGTTCTAGATAGTGTAGAAATTTACAGAAGGTTACTGACTCTATATAGATATTCAGTTTATCCATTTGGATGGATTCGAGGTAACTGAAGTATCTCAGTGAGCATATAGTAGTATTCCGACATTGCTTAGGTTCCTCATATTCAAATCCCAAGTGCATATTGTTTCTATTTGCAGCTTTGCCATGCTCGGGAGAATGGCAGCAGCAATGTGTCATTTGAAGTGTGCCCCTGGGGAAACTAATGCTTTAATATAACTTGATATCAGTCAATCTATTAGCTATCAGATACCCTGTGCTTCTCTTTCTGACCCTTGTCATGCATAACAATGCGTACCGTTTACAGCTCATCGGTAGTCATTATGCTACATTACATATCTCTACACAGCTTTTATCAAATAAACTCTCATAATAGAACACTACAAGTACCTTAGTTGAGTGCAATATAAACAACTACTCGGCTGACAAAGAAGCAGAAAACAAATCACTTATACACGATTAGCCATTGGTCACGTCAGTCGGCCTCCGACCCCGCCTGCCCCGCGCCTTGGAGCTTTCGTCGGTTTATCACCTCGGGATTGTTTTCTTCTTTCTCGCGGACCACATTACAAAACAATCCCCTCTCAATCTCCTACTTTAATATCTACCCATTCCCACAACCTCAAAATGACCGATCAAGAGAAAGGAACCAAGCGCTTCGAGCCCAAGGTGCCTGTTCAGCTCGATCCCCCCAAGGATGACCCCATTACCGTGGAAGAATTGTCCAAGTGTGACGGTATGCATTTATCTTGGAAATATTGAGATGCATGAATGGCTACTGATGAGATTGCTCAACAGGATCCGACCCTAGCCGTCCTACGTTGGTCGCAATCAAGGGAATTGTCTTCGATGTGAGCAAGAACAGTGCATACGGCGCAAGTGGTTCATACAAAGGTGGGTTCTCTTCTCTCATGGCTGTCGCACTCTGATATTAAGAACTTAATCTCATTGATTACTTTTCTAGTCTTCGCCGGAAAGGACCCCTCGCGAGCTCTTGCTTGCTCGTCCCTCAAGCCCGAGGACTGCAGACCCGACTGGTATGATTTGGGCGACAAGGAAAAGACAGTTCTGGAGGAATGGTTTACCTTCTTCAGCAAGCGATACAACATTGTCGGAAAAGTGAAGGATGCTACCAACTACTAAGGTGAGAAAGAAAGAAGAAAAAACCAACTACCGAGAGCATTCATGTGCAAATTTGGCTTGCTGTGAGGGTATGCTAGATACCTACAGTCATATACCCACGGAATGACGATTAGAGAAAGCGATTTTTTATAAGAAGATATCACATGTGCTTTTTATTTTCCACCCAAAAGTAATAGAACTGATTCCAGGCGCCAAAAAAAAAAGGGGGTAATTACAAAGAAAAAAAAAAAAAAAGGGGGAATCCTCTATACACAATGATTAACCCCCGCTATGATTCTTCATTTCCGGGACTTTCTTTGCATCCTCTTCTTTGCGATAATCCGATTGCGCTTGGCCATTTTGTTGTCCTCTTCCTGATCCCGTTCTCCATCACCCTCTTTTCCGCTACCACGGCTTTCGGAGCGCTTCCTCTTCTGTCCCTTCGGAGATGGCTTGCCCTTGCCGCCCTTGCTCTTGGATTCATCGGACTTCTGGAACTTGTCGTTTTGTTGACGTGTCTTGGCAAAGTTGCGGGCCTTCTCCTGTTGTTCATTTCGGCGCTTGACGACTTGCGCGTTTTCAATGGCAAACTCGACAATAAGACGTTTCTTCTTGTCCTCTGCATCCTCAGTACCAGTCTTAGGTGCCTCGACAGCGTGCGCGTTGAGCCATCTTAGTCCCTGCAGTGCGTGACGATGAGTGTAGTATTCAATGAAACCGTAACCTCTGCTGCGTCCTGCACCGCTTTCTTCCCCAACTTTACTACCCTCCCGAGTCTCGAAGACAATCTTGGCCTGTCTCACAATACCCTGGCCCTTCTTCTTTCTCTCTTGCTCAGCCGCTTTCATGTCCTCAGAAGAGCGCTGCGACTCTTCCCTAGAGATGGGCTGACGCTTGCCAGCTTTGACATCCTGAGCAAAGCCGACGACAGCCTGTCGGGCAAGTTGCTTCAGGTCCTTGGAGTTGACGTGTCGTGGAATATTGCGGACTGACAGACGAACAAGACTGAGATGGAGAGTCGGGTTCTTTTTGATAAAGTTCTGTCGTTGCTTGTAACTGTCCTCTCTCATCTTGATTTCGGATGGTGAAAGTTGCTTGTAGAGAGGCGAGCCTGCGGGGACAGTTCCCTCATTGAGAAGGAAAAGACGGCGCTTATCCGTGTCGCGGACGAGTCGGCGTGAGACACCCTCTTCCTCCAACTTTGAGGCTTGGGTTTTGCTCACCGCGCGAGCGACCTGTAGCACACGGCCGTCCATGGTGTACCGTCCGCTGGGATCCGAATTCTCATTCTGCAAAACAGACTGCTTGATCGCAGACGATGCTTTGCTTGCTTTGTTGGCCTTGTCCTTCTCTGCGGCCATGGTGTCTTGTTGCTTGGGGGCCTCCCGCACGCAGGTCGCTGCGTCCTCGGAATTCCAGAAGCAAACAAAGCCTGTACCACGAGGGCGTTCAGTCTCCGGATCGACAACGATTCGCGCGTACCGAAGGTTTCCGAATTGCGTAAAGTGTTCGTAAAGCGATTCATCTGTACATGTGAAGGGTAGGTTTCGAATGAATATCGTAGAAGCGTTCCGTTCATCTTCCTTGTCCTCTTCTTCTTCGTCCTCCAAATCATCATCATCCAGGTCCTCCATATCCTCATCTTCATCGTTGTCATCCTCATCGTCGTCAGAGGCTTCTTCGTCATCATCAGATGCACCCTCTGGTGCTTCTTCAGAGCCTTCTGCCATTTCGATGTCGTCGGATTTCTCTTCGCCATCTTTGCCCTCCTCTTGCGGTTCCTCCTTCTGCTGGTTCTCCCAAACCTCCTTCTCGACGGCCCAGTCAACTGCTAAGGTTCTACCGTCCACCTCTTTCCCGTTGACGCCCTCAAGGGCCTTCTCGGCGTTCTTCTTGCCTCTCAAGACAACGAAACCAAAACCTGCAAGTTTGTCACCTCTCTTCGGAAGAGTCACAAACTTGACCTTTCCAAAGCTTCTAAAGTGAATCGCCAGATCTTCAGGTTCCTTGATACTCCATGGCAAGTTTCGAACAATCAATTTTGGCGGCTGGGAGTCGGCTTTCTGTTGTTCCCTCTGCTGCTTCTTCTCAAGCGCAGCTGAAGATGGCTTACTCTTCCCCAAATTCTCATCGATTTCACGGTGACGGGACTGGGCGTAGTCAACTCGAATCTTTTTTCCATCCCAGGTCGACCCATTGAATTCCTCCAAAGCGCTCTGCGCATCCTCGGCATCGGCAAATGTCACGAATCCATATCCTTTCGATTGTTTGGTTTCAGGATCATTGACGACGAGGGCGTGCTTGAGAACGTAGGATTGCGAAAAATATTCTGCAAGACTCTCGGTCGTGGCTGAGGCGGGAAGTGACCGAACGAAGAGTGTTCTCCGTTGGGTTTGATCCTCCCCTGGTGTCTGCTTTTTAGGGGAATCCATTGTAATTTGAGCGTTGTGGACGCTATCAATTTCTTTCAAGATAGACGTCTTTCTTTGCGGGTTTTGGTCAACCTCGAACTTTTTTTTTCTTCTGAAGAGAATCAGCGGCAGAAAATTTCCGAGTGGGTCTAGGCGGTGGGTAGTTGAGCTTTGCTGACTGCTCCGCAGAGACGGTGGTCCCAGCTTCTTTTATGTACTTGGAATTAAACTCTTGAGATCTTTAACGATGGGTGATGAATTCGGGGAAGACACAGACTTTAGCTCCGTCCTTCGTTCTGAAGCAAATTCTATACCTCAAAATGCGCAGGCTTCTTCACAAGCCGCGGCAACTCCTGGCCGACCACCAGCCAAGGTTCAACAACCGAAGCCGCAGGCACTGACAAGCAGGACCGGTCCTTCTGCCGTTCTCGTTTCAACTCGCCAAAAGGGCAATCCGATCTTGAACCATATCAAGTTCTTACCATGGGAATATGCTGATATCCCGGCCGATTATGTGGTTGGAGCCACTACTTGTGCCTTGTTCCTGTCACTGAAGTATCACCGACTGCATCCAGAGTACATCTACTCGCGAATTCGAGCACTTGCGGGGCAATACCAACTCCGCCTTCTACTCATCATGGTCGATATTCCCAATCATGAAGACCCATTGAAAGAACTTTCGAAGACTTCGATTATTAACAATCTCACGCTGATGCTCTGCTGGTCAGCTCCCGAGGCCGCGCACTACCTTGAACTCTTCAAGTCCTCCGAAAATGCCCAGCCAACCGCAATCCGCACACAGCAGCCCCAGTCGTATAAGGAATCTCTTGTTGAGTTCGTCACAACACCTCGGAGCATTAACAAGTCCGATGCCGCAAGCCTGATATCTACGTTTGGTAGTTTACAAAATGCCATCAACGCGCAACCGGAACAGATCAGTTCCGTGCCAGGATGGGGAGAGAAGAAAGTTCGACAATGGTATAATGCTGTGAGGGAAGACTTTAGGGTTGAGACTGCCAAGAAGGGGACGGCACCCGCAAGGAACAACGAGAGAGGGCAGACAACGACTCTAGAGGACAGGACCTTATCTAGCCGAGATGGCCCGTCAGAACCTAAGAATTCCAATGATGATGAAGAGGCTGCACTCTTGGCAGAATCAGAGGAAGCGAGACGTATTGAGATGCAAAAACAGATACCCGAAAATAATGGATCGAATGATGCCAACCAGGCTGAGGGAATGAGTGATGGGGTGATGGCGGCCCTCGCGAAGCTCAGAGAGAACGGCTGAGGAGCAGGCCTACAGAAAAACATACAAAGACGGCAATTGTGTCTATTCGCGTCTTTCCAAAGCAAGGGGTCTCACAAATCGTAGGCGTTGTTGGCAGCACCCGGATCGCCTTTGACTAAAGTATAAGTTCGAGGCACATAACACCTACCGGAGCGAAGACACTGAAGGGTTTGTTCATGGTCAATCCGCAGGCCCAGGTTGCGGGCTGTCCACCAGGTGATATTGCCGTGCAGGATGTGTCCCTTTATCTTCTCACAACCCAACGAAAATCTGCTAGGCTATTCCCGAGGAATTCCTCTATTCTGTATAGACGGGAAATTATGTCACTGAGACGTGCATTCATACTCTATCGAGTCAGCTAACAACCTTCAACATACGCTAGTTATATGGCTCAGATACAGATCTTCCTGGTCAAAGCCGGAAATATAATCAAGAAAGATACCGGAAAATTGAATGTAATAAAAAAAAAATTAAAATAGAGAATGAGATGTGAGATGGTATGGGCAATGCAAGTGGAATCTTACGCATCGCTTCGTACTCGAACATCTAAATGATAGCAGCACAAAGGCACAAGAAAGCGCTACCTTAGAGAATGCATCACACCATTAGTACCACTAGACCAAAGTGATTTTCAATGCTAGCATGGATAGCGTCTGACAGCTGTCATCGATACCATCAAAGGCCGAAGCAACGGAATAAATCATAGCCATGAAGCTTGGGCCGCCCCATGGGGGACGATCCGGACATCGGACCACTTACCGGATGTGGAGATGAACTCCATATTTATGATGCGTAGACTGGCAAACGGTCTTGAGTCGAGATGAATGGCTCTCCTTCTGTATCCTTATGGAGCACAGGTACAACCTCTTGGTTTACGAATTCCTTTATCCTGGCCTGAACCAAAATAGTGCCACCATTTCTCCCAAGTAACCAAACCAAGAACACGAGCTTTGAGGCTGACTAGAGCGCCACAACGGTCACGTGCTGTTTATCGTGGGGCAACGACCCAAAAGGGAAATCGGCCAGACACCGAACATTGGAGATCTTCCACTTTTGACCTCTCTCCTACGATGCAGCTCTAATTAGCGACAGCAACAGCGTGTGATGCTCCCCATCATCCGATTAGCGATCTGGCGGCCCCCACTGGCGAACTGGACAAGCCATTTCCCCACTCGATTGTTAATTCGAGGCTTGATCTGAATTGCCTCCCTAACCAGGGCCGGACCGGGCCATGAACGATGGGGGAGGATATCAACGATGCTGGCTCACCCAGCAGGCCCCAGGCTAACGCAGAAACCCTGAATAGCACTGGTTCTTCAACTGCCCCCCATGCCCGTCGGCAGTCTAGTCATCATGCGGGGGACTCATCAGGGTCGTCCAGGAACCAATCCAGTAGGGCGGCACCGCAAACGCCTCAGTCCCGGAACTTTGAGTTCGTCCTGGTCACTGATAATGAATCCCGGCGGCAGGTCCGCCGCCATGCCATGCGTCAGTACATGCGACAGCGGCGTTTGGACAGTATTGCTCGACTTGATACGTCGCGTGTACCCGTTAGTGGCTGGACTACGCGTGAAACAATTGAGTCGCCTGCATCGACCTCCCCATCCAAGGTAGAGGATGTGCAAGGTAAGACTCCTAGTCCTGCAGGAGAGGACAAACATCCGAAGGAAGATAAGAAATTGCATCCCACGGACGAAGGAGCGGGATCGTCACTCTCGTTAGTGCCAAGGTCCGACAGAGCCAAAATCGAGGATAATTCATGTTTTCCTGTGGTCGGCCTTAACTCTCCTGGCCCCAGAACGTCTCCTGGGGTTGGAGGTAAACGAGATCCATTTAGCTGCTATCCGATTGCAATAAGCAATGCGGATCACGAATTGATCCAACACTGTAAGTTACCGTCTTTATGTCTTAAGTATTTGTGGTCTAAGGAGCACCTACCCTGTCTTTTACTACTATACCATCCAATCAAATATTTTACCTTATCCTTCCGCGGCTAGATGCTTACAAACTGCAAGTCGTTGTGACCTACCCGTCTATGATGTACAAATTTGTCGACTCAATAGCGAACAATCCAATGATGGAGATATTCCGTCAATTTGCTCTGCATGACAGTCTCCCTTTCCAAGCCATGCTTGCCATTGCTTCGAAACACCGAGCAGGTGTGGAGGGCAAAACGGAGTCTGTCCAGAGTCTCACACACAAGATGCGGGCTCTGCGACTGATGAATGAACGCATCCAAGCGGACTCCAGAGGTCAGCATGACGGAACTATATATGCCGTGGCTACGATGGCTGTTATAGAGGTATATTGCATTCGCTCCATCTACTGTATCTTTAGCTGACACTGTAAAGAAATGGTCGAAAGATGCCTCTATCGAGCGAATGCACTTTAAAGGATTGGCTTCGATGATCAGGAATCGAGGGGGCATGCGAGGCATGCGGGCATCTAGTAATTTCCTAGAGAAAGTACTTTATTGGTATTTAAAAAACCGTTGTTGCATCGTCATGCCGAAGGCTAATTAATCGCGTCAAGGGTCGATTTTAGTTGCGCACCAAAAGCAATATTCAGCACCTGTCTGCCTTGGACCGGCGATATACCCGATACTCCGCCTGATACCCTTGATTTCTTATCTTCCGAACTACACCTTGCTATTTTTCATAGCATGTCAACATCAGAAGACACGGAAGAGCATTGTGATCAATTCCGTGCATGTGAGGATTTTCTAAGATTCTTTCGCCGTCTCCATGAGCTACAAAACATTGCCCTAAACTCCCCTGGCAGCGTTTCGTCTGATGCTGCCTCTAGCCGTGCCAAGCGCTTCAGCCCTGGCACACAATTACATACAATACTTACCATGCTTCCAGATTATGACCATGGAATTCGGGATATTCGGTTTATTGATGAATATACCTGCATGGCCTGTCTGATCTTTCTTAATGTTGCCCTTTACGACTGCTATTCGAAATCATCTAACTTTGACCGATATGTGGACTGGTTGGAAGTGGAAATACAAAAGCTCAATCCATACACAAATCCCAGCATCACCTCCGTTCTATGGCTTTTCCTGAACAACGGTGGCTATCCAAACGGAGAGACTGGAGATTCCGGGGAACGATGCTGGGTAGTCTCTCGAATGCTGCGAATCGCAAAGCGACTAGAGTGGAAACGCCACGGCACCATCTGGGACCGTCTCCGTCAGGTCCTGATTGGATTCGTGACCACACAGCAAGAATGTGCCCTAGGCTCTGATATTGTCGACGAACATGCATTGGGTGCTCGCCACCAAAAACGGCGCCATGTCGGCGAGTACTTCTGGGACGAAGACGAAATGCGAAATGAAATTCTTGCCATCGAGACATCAACCCTTACCGCGTGCCCCAAAATAAACCTCCCAGTTCTTGTATAAACAGTCAGCTTTATACACGGAGGCCAAAGAACAAAAACAAAGAAACAAAGAAAAAACCAAAAGGCACATGCCGACTTCATGACATCTAGATCGTAAATAACGAAACGATTGATAATGATTTTATGCTTGATGATTTGAAATTTCTCGAATGACATGATTGGGTTCGCAGCTCATGACCCGTGTCCCCCTCGTTATTTGGGTTGGATTTAATCGACGTCTCATTATTTTACCCGGATTATTTCGAGTATGTACTTACTTGATTTCGGGGTTTATCTCCGGAGTATTACAGATGGAGGCTACAGACCATTTTATTTTCGGTGTTGTTTTGTAGATTAAGTTGATTCCCTACTAGTATCCAAGACTCATCCAATAATATGCATGAAATAACCCCTCTCCAATTTCAATAGCTCTACAGGGTTCAAGGGGAAAATAAATAATTAGTGGATACTCCGTACGGGCTATACCTTATGCATGTCAGCAATTAGCTATTAATATTATGCAGGGTCTTAGTGGAGAATGGAGATGAAACTATTAAGCTTAACGGCTCACCTAGTGATAGCTTAACGGTATACTACTTTAAACTGTTCTGTCAAGTGCCAACTGGGTAACTCCCTTTACTCCTTACTAGAAAAATATCATACATCAGATCAATCAAGTGGGTATTGTATTGCCTCTAACACGGAAATTGAAAGAAAAAAACCTCGTATATAATCAACAAAAAATGCGTTCCGGGAAAACAAATCGAATCCTAAATCACCTTGGCACTTTTCAAACGGAAAAACAAAAATAGTAAGTTCATGATATCAACGTTAAAGATAACGATCAAATGGAGAACACTCTCTCAACCCTACCGTCTCCTGAGACGAAAGGGAATCTTGTTGGCAGAGATATAAAAAAATGGTATTCTTTTAAGCAGGCAAATTCAGTGAAAATCGGCATACCAGCGTATTCCATATCCATGATAGCGTTAGAAGGTGGAAAAGAAGTAGAGAACAACAGAAACAAAAGGTCACTCTAGGTAGGCTTGTCGCATCCAATTCTACCAAGGAGTGCCTTTCTATCGCTCTGATCGAGGCGGACCCGGCCACGACCACGAGTTCGCACGGTCGAAGATCCATTAGATCTCCGCCATTCAGCGTTGGTGCTGTCAACAACGACAGCAGTGCCATTGGGACCATCCTTGCCTGCAATGTGGACCTGGCTGTTGGTGGAGACTTCCTCTTCCTCCTCATCATCGCTGCGAGTATCCTCGGCATTTCCGGTCCGAAGAACACCCACAGCCACGCGGACAATCATGCCAAACCAGATGATAGACAAGACCTGGAGAGACAGAAGGAAAGAAAGGAAGATCCACTTTATGGTGCGGTTCATGGAGATGGGGCCGTCAATGTCCTGGAAAGGCGAGAAGAGATAAGCGAACTTGCTGGGGTATCCGTCGGTGCTGAGCATTTCCGCGGTGGTTCCCGAATACGTTCCGTATGGCATCACCTCGGGGACATTCTTGTAAATAGACCAGCACAGCTGGAGGTAGAAGACGTGGCGAGCGATCAACCATGTAAGCATGAAGACACCGAAGGCGATGTTACAGGAGGTCTCATATTTCAAGTACTTGAGGATTTTGGCCGTCTGTTGATAATGGTTAGCATGGGTTCTCGCGCCCTCAAAGTGAGTCAGTCCGACATACCGGCAGCATAAAGTCAACGATATCCATGAGACACAGAACCACGTTCGAGACGTTGTAAAAGCCGTAGATGTAAGCAGAGCCGAGAAGGGTGCTGGTGATAATGTGGTGGGTAAACATTTGGTAGTGATCCTTGCGTCTCTCCTCAATGTTGATGACGAAAATCTGCTGCACCCAGAATGACAGCTGCACCAGGAGGTACCACTTCAAGGTACCGGAAACACCCCGGGCAGGCCATTCGGCCCAGATCGCGCGGAAATCGAGCCAGTAGTTAGACTGCGACCATATGTACTGTATCCATATTAGTATAATGGGGTTCTTCATTCTGTTGGGTTGTACTGACCATTCCAAATGACCAGAAAAAGCCATAGTACAGCAACAGCCAACCCTGCTCCGCGAAACGGATCGAGGCCTTTCGCTTCAGCCCAGCATATTGTGCGACGGGCTGGAAGACCCATTCAATAGTGATTGCCCGAATGGCTGTGAATGCGATAGCGGAACTAATAACAAAGTAGATATCATCCCAGCCTTGAACATAGACATCCTCGGATTGGTAATGCGACAACTGGAAGAATGGTGTGGTATACGGTCTAAGCGAAGGGTAGAGGTTGTGAACTGCCAGCAGCATGGAAAGGATCGTCAATGAAATCCCTGCAACATCACAACGGTCAGCAAAATGTATTGCGCATGCACAAAAGACCGCACAGGGCCAATTCCATAGATAGAAAATGATATAGGTATTTTGAATCCATACCGATCTGGTTGGAAACCATCCATTCTCGAAACGTGGTTTCTTTGGTGGCGGGCCGGTGGCCATTCGAGGTGGAAACACAGGCATTGAGCTCCGAAACCGACTGCGGTGGCAATGACGCGTCTCTAGCCATGACAAGAAAGAGGATCCAAAGACCCTGCAGAGAAACAACAAGCTGTTCGAACTATTGGAAAGAAAAGAGAAGTCGGTGGAAGTGGTTGGGGGGTTTGTTGTTGGGGAAGAAAAGGGTAGGTAATCGAGTACTCCGTGAGTAGCCCTGGGTTCCCGACCACTGGCGGCCCTACTATTATTCGGTCCCCTGCAATACGCCTGGGCGACCCGCGGATCCGCCGCGGGTACCTGTTAGGAGGAAGGGCGAAGGATAGCGAGGTAGGGATAAGAGAAAGACCGTGTGTCCTGACAGGTCTGGAGGCAAGGCACAAATGAGAGTGCAGAGAGATAATCACAGCAGCGAAGCAGCAAAGGAGATAAGAGAAAAACAAAAAAGAAAACGGCCAAAAGAAAAGAGGGAGGAGAAAAAGGACCAGAAAAGAAGACAGGCAGAGGGGGGCTGTTTCGAAGGGACGGCCCAGCAAGTCCCACCGGCCAAAAAACCTGCAGCAGCGCATAGCAGTGGGCTTCACCGCCCTCCCGCCAGCGCCCCTAAGTTCAGCTCCCCCCAATGGTGGCCACACGGGGCATCGTCCGCGCTGCCCACAGGCTCTTGCGTTGGCTCGCTCTGCAGCTAATGTACGGATCGCTGGTCGTCTGATCATCTTCAGTTTAGATGATGAAGTAGCTGATGGTGGCTCCGCTGCTAACTGGGTACAGCAGCCGATCGGTGATGCCATCAAACAAGCGGAGTCGCTCTTGGTATGCGTTGTGGGATGGTATTAAGGTTGTGATTGCGCCGGGCTACCGAGGATAGGAGGGGCATGTGCCACAGATATATGAATTCTATCTTATATTTGTTTCGTATGCTCCAGACTAGGTGGCATTAGAATAACTAGACAAAGCTCAACACTATACAGCATCATTTATCACGGAGCTCATCGGCCCCTTCCAACCCTGCTGTCACTCCGTTGACATATTCGCTCACAGCAACGCCCACTTTGGCCAAATCTACATTTCCTTGTCCCGCCATCGCCTGGGACATGGCTCGCACCACCTCTTCTTCTTCCCAAACATTCGTCTCTCCATTCCCAGCACCAGAATTCTCCCCATTCATCGCAACGACTGTTCGCCAGTAGTCATCGTCCCGATCCTTCAGCACTCTATCTCTCACCACCGCATTCCGTGTAACACTCAAGGCATGCAGCTTCGAGCTGGCCCCACCGAGAGAAGATAGCGATGCCGACACCAGTTGCTCCAGTTGGTCAGTCTGCGATGGTGGCGTGAAGAATAAACGGTTTGTGGCCGACACGTAGATTAAAGATGCACAGGCAGCATCAAAAATAGCAAACGCCAAGGGGCGCAACAATGTAATCTGATGATACAGACTAGAAGGTGGAAGAATACCTGCCCGCACGGCCGCCGGGGCAGTCTGTACAGGATCCACGGTCGCGACGATATAGAGGTCAAAGGCGGCCAGAGCCAGACCAGCAAGGGTGAACTTGTTGCGCCAACCTGCAGCCTCTCGACCCGCAAATGGTGCAGATGTCACCAAGCCCAAAATTACCATGTGCAAAAGGTGTGGAAGCAGCGTGTTGAAAGGCAAAAAGTAGAGGAGGTATGTGTCGGGATTATCGAGCGAGCAGAACTGACATGATGTCAACGCATCCGGTCCGAATCGAAGATACACCTTGCGCGCCCCGACGGACGTGAATTTGGACTGCAATAATGTGTCTGCGGCGGTCAGGGTATTCTCTGGTCGGAACCGTGTCAACCGACTAAAGATGACATCTGTCGGTGTGTTGAGGCGCGAGCGCGTCTGGGCGAAGATATTCGGGTTCGGAGCATGTGGGTTGAACGGCAGGCTCAGGAGCAGGAAGAAGACGACCGCACCGAAGAGGACATTGAGGGCGCGAGCGGAGGTATGAGGGAGAGGACGGAGAGACGGTCGCTGAGCTGCTGTGGCTCTCAGACTCCGATAAAAGTTGATCGCGCGAGGGATGAGAATGGGAGCGAAGAAGATCAAGACGGATTTGATCCTGTCGAGACAGTGTCAGTGATGGTCATCGGGAATTAGGGCATGGAATGGGGATGGACAAATAAAAGCATTGACATACGTTCCGAACGAGATCCCGAGTTCAATCATTTTCTACTGGGCTGTCAAAATCTCCCTGCTGCATCTCCAAAGCGACAACTCAGCAATGATGATGACAGAAGGCTCAGGACGATGAATGAAGCCCAGCTGGCACTAACTTGCGCTCCCCATCTTATCGGCCGCGCCAAGAGCGTTTAGCATCGGCCAATCATGTGCCGCTTTTATAGATACTATTTGGGGTAAATAACGTCCTGATAATAAAGGTTGAAATAAAAGAATATTATAATAATCGTACGTCTTAGCTATAAATATGTATATTTCAAAGATTCAAGGTCATGTTCAATATTCATTGATGTCGAAATATCAACAGCCTAGCTAAAAGACAACTCCGAGCTCGACTCGGGATCATTCGAGAGCAGAAACAAGAAGAAAAAGAAAGCAAAAAGAAAGAAAAGAGAACGCTCCAGTACAATATTACTTAGCATATTCTTCATTAAATGTTAGGGCCATCACTGCCCTACCCTAGCCTCAACAGCAGCAGATGCTCAGCCACCATTAACTCTAAAGAATAATCCGTCAATAACAATCCCTCCATAAATCAGGGGAAAGACATACACTCTTCAGTTCCAAATCTCTATCGCAGCTTGGTGCAGATCTTGTGCTGGGATCCCATTCTGCAAACCTCACAGATGCCCGTGCAGTCACTGTCAGTTTCGCAGGGACTGTTACAGGTAGCACCGGCTGCCCTCTCCATAATATTGTCGGACTTCTTGACCAGTGTCTTGGAGCGGGTGTTGAGGTCTTGAGCTAGGTCATTGTTAGCAAGGTGATTATTCTCGTGATAGAGAGAGTAACTCACTGTCACGGGTGTCGATGGCCAGGGATGTCGCCATGGTGGCAAGGCAGAGGAACTTGACGACGGTGAAGAGCTTCATTTTGAGGACTTGGATATAGATGGACTTGAAAAGAAATATATAATTAAGTAGATGAGAGAGGTTGAGAAGGAAGATTAATTCAAGATAAATGTCGGTTGAGATAGAAAAAGATTTGATGATAAAGGGAAAAAGAAGAGGCAGATAGAGGTCAGAGAGGGGTATTTATAGGTGAACAAATGGAAAATCCAGAAAATTAAGAAATTATAGAAAATTATGGATCAAAAAATAGAATATCCCCCAAATCACTAAGGCAGGCAGTGAATATAAACTGTCAGATGGTGAAAGGCTTGACTTGGGGGCCTGCCCCTACTAGGCTGAATAGGTATGACAGTGGGACTTTCGATTCTCTTAATCTCACTGTCCAAAAGGAAGATGATTAAAGATTGAATACTACTTCATATATATACGCAAAGGAATCTATAGAGGTATCTGGTTGATATGTTCAAAAATTTGGTTGATGTATATGCTGGAGAATGAGATTTGGATTCTATCCCCAGACAAGAGAGCCCCATGATGATCTAATATCAACAAGGATGTGCTAAAAAGTGCGGGGGCAAAAGCAACTAAGATAGAGTCAAAGAGCCTAATTGATGCTAGAGAGAATCGCTACATTATTTAATTAGTTACACAGCAGGAGTCAGCATGCAGGTGACAAAGAACATGGATGCGCAGTCCAAGTACGGTGTGTTACATAGCATACACAGCCAAGGCAGTCTCTTTGATAAGTTTCAAAGAGGCAGGCCTTAAAAAGTAAATAATATTTTAGCTCGTAGACTGTATCCAGATGGTTCGTGTTTATGGCTGTCATCTGAGCTGCATTTTCTTTTCGAAGACTCCAAGGATCAAGTACATACCTTGTTCGTTAGTCAGAATGTCGACAAAAGCTCGATTCTCATGACCAATAATTCCAATCGTTTCTCTTTGTAAGAGAGCCAAAGTCAAGTCCTCTGTAAATATAGATAGTGTTATAGTTCACCTGAGGCTACAAAGTACGCTGAATGCTCAGCCTCGCATAAATTATTAAACGTTGTATTGCTACAGAAGAGATTAAAGACAACCAATGAATAAACAGAATAAAAACATATCATAAACCCGAAATTCTTATAAAACGCTATTTTGCCATCAACTTTACGCCATATGGATGATACGATGTCCATAAGAGTATCCACAGCACGAATCTAGTTTCCTATTCCAAAGGTATCACAAATGTTCTGACTCTTTGTATTCAAATATGCCCCGAATACATTGCTGGGTGATGTGCCAGATTGGGAATAGATACTCCGCTCGAATCCCTGGAGTACTTGGACGAAGCCGCGTCATTGATAGGATTAGGGTTGAGGGGTCTTGAGATCTTCAAAGGAAACCGAGACTCGGCTCGTGTGGAGGGTACCCTCCGGACTGGAGATGGAGCAGTATACATCGGCAGCGAATCCTCCCGTTTCAGACCGAGTTGGAACGATCGCTGGCTGTTGGTTCGACTGACTACTTTGTGAGGTGCAACTGCTCCATACACTCGAACATGGCGTGCGCTAACACCAGCTTCTCGGTCTGCGAAAACGAAGGTCTGTGAGAAAAAAAGAAATTAGCTCATAAGTTAAATAAGGCACTTCAAAGAAAGGCTTACTTACCGCGACAAGGTTGACTACACTCATTACCATCGCCAGAATCCCCGCAGAGATGATGATCCTCCAGAATGCAAGCCCCAGAGATTCTTGACTGGTGGCTGATGTATTCAAGTTACTCAATACTCCAATTCCAAGTATCATCATCGCCATGGCCAAAGTGATGAAACCGGAGTCTTGGCCAAGCAGTGGCCAGTTGCGATCGAAGTAGCCCCGAAAGAAAGGAAGTTCCGAAACAATGAGAAATACTAATGCCATGGGTTAGTATATTTGCAAAACAGGCAATACGAAAGCTGAACTCTGCTACTTACTACTGACACCAGCAGTCACAACATGAGTGACAGCCTCGAAAAAGAAAAAGCTGCTCAAAAGAGAGATCTTCACCAACATGACGGCGTTGGCTGCAATAATGTCAAGAAAGACAATGATATTCAACACCCGGATGGCATTGAGGATCACAAATCCTGGTCCAGCCAGGGACTCCTTCAAAGAAGCCATCATGATCGTTGTTTAATGCTCAAGCTGAGAGAATGAACCGGGGGAAAAGTGATGTTGTATTTTCAAGTACCATGCAACTTTTTATTGAATGCCTCGAGATATTATGTTGTTAAGATGCCAGCTCGAAGAGTCTTATTAGTAGAAAGGGCAGAATGAAATAAAAAGGAGTGAAGCCCAAAGACTGGCCAGCAGAAGGACTGTGATTCGGTAGGAAGGATGAAAGAAAGATGAAGACAGAAAGAGCACACGAGGCCGGCTCGAGGATTAAAGAAAGAGCACAATATCGGACAATAGGGTCAAGAATAGCAAAGATACTATTCATAACCCTTGATCCGGCCTGATTGTCGCCCGCTCTGCATTGGCGCCAGCAGTTTCGCGTGGACAAAAAGACGCCCGAGTGAATGTCAAAGGCGACAATGGAGACAAAGGATCTGAAACGCATTCAGAGCGCTATTGAGCGATAAATTCCATTCATCCTTCGCTCTGAAAAGGGTTTTATGGTTGGAATGGTTGTTTTATCCTGAGATCTCCAGAAGTCAAGGCGTTTGTGGCCTTGTTGTCGCCAGGTACGGGGTACTCTGTAGATCCATCGGATCTATGCGCCGACTCCCTGCAGGATCTCGACATTACACTTGATTCTGAAGGAATATGATAAGTATCTTTATCCTTGTTAATAATAAACATCGTAGGGCTGGATGAATGGTTGACAAGGCGAGATGTGCAGTGTTATGAAACTGTTGTCGCCGTCGAGCACCTGACGATTGGCCCTCGTTCGATCTTCTTCCACCGTCGAAACTCTTCAGCTCTCCGCCAAACACCATCCCTAAAAATGGCGATTCATCAGAGATTCAATCCCAATCGGAGGATTAGCGCTCACTCCAATACTGGTCGCATTATTTTCACTATTTTTCACCATCTTTTCTCTTATCTTCTCTACAATGCTTGTTGTCTTACACAAACACTACTTGCAATCAAGCATGTCCTTGAAAAACCTGAAGTGGCCATATTGGAATAAAATGCTCCTATGCTGGCCTCAAGGAAGTCAATTTATATGGGCACAGATTATGTCGTGAGACGAAATGGCGCTAACAAATGGAGACCATTAGGTAGTCAAGGTCTCATCTTCATAAGGCATACACCACACCTGATTACCACTGATCCTTCTGCATACTACCTATTTACGGATGCATTCCATCATGGGCCGACGTGAAAAGGCGGCTGTTATCACTCATAATACACTCTTGCGGGGATTAGAAGACGCTACCCATGTTCGCCCAATCAGCCATCCACTCCAACCGCCCACGAGTCGGCGGCAAAGCACCTGAACAAGGCATGGTACAACATGGCAGTGCAACAAAGCCTTCTTTCGGCCCTCACCTAAATCCATGGTGGAGTTAATAACAATTCCTATGTGCTCCATATATAGCGGCATGGCCCGCTGGCCCATCGCTTGGTGTTCACCTGTTTTTCAAACTACTACTTTTTATCGCGATGGTAGGTACTTACAGACTAGTGTCTAGAGTAACTACAGAGCTTAAGAGTAATAACATTTTCCAGTCCGACGATGTTAGAGTCAAAAATTTCCTGCGAATACTTATCCCAGGCCAAGAGCCAAATATTGAGTGAGAAACTATGATCGGACTATCAGTACCGCCCGGCTGATGTAGAATTCTAGCATCGTTGCCGTACACGGCCTTAATCCCAAAAACAAAGACTATCATGCCGAAAGGACCTGGATGTCCGGCGAGAAGCTATGGCTGAGAGACTTTCTTCCACACCAGCTACCGAGGGCTAGGATCTTGCTTTTTGGATATAATTCCAACGTGGGAATCCAATCTTCTTCAGCTGGTGTACGAGAACAGGCGCAGAATCTCTTGAACAGACTACGCCTGGAAAGACAGGTATCAGCATGATTTTTATTGCACGGAAATGAGAATACTCACAAATGAAACAATAGGGCTTCGAGAATCGACCTATAATTTTTATTGCTCACAGCCTTGGTGGAATTCTTGTGAAAGAGGTTGGTTCATTGCCATTGTGAGATTGACTTAACCTAGATTCTGATACAAACTGGCATTTATAGGCTCTTGTTCAAGCAAAACTTGGAGAGGCATACTATTCGATTTACACTGCCACGTTCGGGATAGCCTTCTTTGGCACTCCACACCGAGGAAGTCCTCTGGCACGAGTAGGAGATGTAGTTGCCAAGGTCGTGAGAACTGTGCTCAGAAACCCAAGTAATACCTTCCTGAATGCTTTGAAGAAGGATGATCTTTACGCAAATGAGCTTTCGTCAAATTTCCAGCAGTTGCTAGAAAACTACCGGTATCTCAACTTTTATGAGACATTGCCCTTTAAAAGCTTTGGCATGGTAAGTAACCCCATTATCCCCAATAAATGATATTAAAACTCATAACAGCCAACAGATAGTGGAAAAGAACTCGGCTACATTCGGTCTACCTGGTTCACGAGAAACAGCAATTGCATTGAATGCCGATCATGAAGAAATATGCAGATACGCGAGCGAATACGACGAAGATTACAAACATATATCTGCACTTATAGTTGAACTTGCAGACTCAGCCACAAAGGAATTCGGAGAGAAGTCCTTATTCGGGAATTTGAGCGGCTCAGAGTCTACTCTTGTGGCCGACGAGAGCGATCCAGCCTTTTGTAAGTGTTAGAAAAGAGCTTCCATGTGGCCATGACTGATAGCACTAACAATGACAGTTGTGATGCCTTACGCACGTAACCCTGGTTTTATAACCCGCAAACCTATTGTTCAACAGTTAAGAGATCGCATCACACCAATTGGAGAATCTCATTCACGAGTCGCACTTTTCGGGCTTGGGGGTGTTGGGTTGGTTTTCCGTTCTGTTCTAACTTCAGGAACTTCGACTGACTGATATAGGAAATCACAAATTGCTATTGAGTTTGCCTATCAGATCCGTGCCGAGTGTCCTCAAACTTCAGTGTTTTGGATACACGCGAGCAGCATTGAACGCTTCCGAAAAGGATACTATAATATCCTGAGCGAGTGTGATATCCCGGAAGTGGACACCGAAAAATACGATAAATTGATTCGCGTCAGAGATTGGCTTGAAAATGAGCACAAAGACTGGCTTATGATCATTGATAATGCCGACGAGGCTTCACTTTTCCTGTCGAGCGGAGAACTTTCTCATGGCAAGTTGAAAAAGAACTCATCCACAGCAGAACTTTCAATCTTGGACTATCTCCCGAAATGTGTCCACGGCTCAATTCTCATTACCACAAGAAACCGTGCTGCAGGGGTCAAATTTACCCAAAGCTGTCCCGCGGATCTTGTTGAAGTCCAGACCATGACCGAGACGGAGTCAAAAAACCTCATCAAATCTACCGTGACTGACCATATTCCTACTGAGCTGGAGATGCACCAGCTCTCTGATTTGCTTGATCATTTGCCTTTAGCGCTAGTTCAAGCTTCTGCCTTCATGCAGGAAAACATGCTGAGTGTAGGGGAATACATCGACCTGTATCATGATAGCGATGAGACAAGAATGGACCTACTATGCGAGTCCTTCGAGACCTTAGGGAGAGATACGGAGGTTCCTAATGCTGTGGCTACCACATTGATAGTTTCCATAAACCAGATCAAGGAGCGAGACCCTAAGGCAATCGAGGTATTATCTCTCATGGCTTTCCTTGACCAGCATGACATTGCCAAAAGCTTGGTCAAGCAACAAGTGAAGCGCCCGCTAGAGCTCACCAAAGCCTTAGGGACTTTGAAGTCATTTTCGCTTATCATGGCGAACGAACAACGAGCAAGCTTTTCTCTCCATCGATTGGTACAACTGGCCATGCGCAAGTGGCTGATTGTCGAATCTGCGTTTGAGGATAAAGCTATCCAAGCGATGGACGTCGTTGCCGAGTTGTTTCCTAACGCCACACATGAAAACTGGGCTATCTGTGCGGCTTATCTTCCTCATGCCCAGACAGTTCTCCAGTTTATACCAGAACTAGATGGAAAGCTTCTGAGGAGAAAACTTTATCTTCAAGAAGGTATAGCCTTTTATCTATGGTCGCAGGGCTATTGCAAAGAGGCAGAGGAACTGGACCTTCTGATCGTCGAAGCGAACAAACGGGAATATGGCATGGAACATCCGGAGACGCTTGAAAGCCTTGGGGGCCTCGCATCGACGTATCAAGACCAGGGAAGATGGTCTGAAGCCGAAAAGTTAGACTTACATTTAGTTGAGACATGGAAAAAATTACGAGGACCTACGCATCATCTAACGCTAACCAGCATGTCCAACTTGGCAAAGATATACCAACACCAAGGTCGGCTCAGGGAGGCTGAAAGCCTGGCGCTACATGTCATGGAAACAAGGAAATCAGTCTTTGGTACTGACCATGAAAGCTCCATTAATTCCATGGCCAACTTTGGACATCTTTGCATTGACTTAGACCGCTTGGAGCAGGCTGAAGAGCTAATAAAATATGCTTGGAATTGGAGGAAGAATAAATTTGGAGTGGACGATGAAGCTACGCTTTCTTGTGCAGCTACCCTGGGGGCAATCTATTGTTCTCAACATAAGCTGGAACAAGCGGAGCAATGGACCTTGGACACACTTCATAAAATGGAAGAAAAGATGGGACCCAATCATCCAAACACCCTCATGAACAAAGGAAACCTGGCGTCAGTTTATAAAGATAAAAAAGAGTGGGACAAAGCCGAGGAGCTGATTCTCGAGGTCATAAAAGAAGTGACAAAGCAAGTTGGGCCTACTCATTTTGATACACTTGTTCATAGGCAACTACTTTCCCTTATATACTGGGGAAAAGGCCTTATAGAACAGGCTGAAAAGATGGAGGAGGATATTTTTCGTGAAGCTCTGGAAACCCTTGGACCAAATCATTATTTTACGCTGACATGTATGCACTTGACAGCTATTACTCGGAAGTGCCAAAATCGGGAAATTGAAGCTGTCAATTTGATGGTGGAAGTGGTGAACGGCAGAGAAAACATGCTGGGCCCCTACCATGAGAGTACTTTGGAGTCTTTAGGGGAGCTGGTCCAGTGGTGTGGTGAAGATAAAGCAATAGAAATGCTGCTGGACACAGAAGAGTGCTCATAAATGGAGATACCATCTATATATTTAGTCTGTTGTTGTACTGGCGAGGCGTTGGTTGGAATGGAATTGATATATAGTAATATTTCCAGGGCCCTGTGTCAAACGCGTCAGCTAAAAATACGCTTTGAATTCTAAGTCTAGAAGAAAGTACGCGTACGCATGCTAATGGATGCATAATGGATTCCTTTAAATAATATATATATTCTTTTTTGTTTGATTAATTTTATTTTATTCCCATTACCTGTATATCTCAGGAGTGGAACAATGCGGTTGTGGAAGTGAAGAGTGGCTCGGCATCTGCACCTAAAAAAAGGATGCGGACAATTATTTTGTGCTAGTCCAGACTCCGGTCTGGAAAAAGTTAACATCCTGATTTTCTGACACCTTGCGGCAACACACGCAGCCCTTTTGATTCTTTTTGCTTTGGATTTACAGAAAACAAAACCTCCCATTTCTAGTAGGAGCAAGTTTCGAACAAGCCAAGATGACTCGTGGAAACCAGAGAGATAATGACCGCAAGAAGGCACTGAAGAAGCAGGCCGATGCCGTAAGTCTCCCTCGCTCATCTTATTCCTTGAAAAATCCTTGGAAAGAAAAGAAATATATTACAGACTGGGTTGCTGACTTTTCTAATCTAGAAAAGCAAGAACACCATGACTGGGTCGCAGTTCCAGCGTGCAAAGGAGGATAACGCTTCTATTATGCGACAGAAGCAAGAAGCAGGTATGCTGATCACTCTCTTTCTTTGTTCCCCCCTCCATATTCCCTGCGACGTCTGGGGTACCTTAATTATCCCCCCGCATCTAGTCTTTGTTCTCTGGAATTGTACCCCACTGGATTCACAACACATATGGACAGGCGCTAAATTGCACCATTTCTCATGATCAGCCAACGCAAGAAAATTAGCCGAGGGAGGTGTACCTGGGAAAAAGAAGAAATGATGACCGTCCATCCACTACACCGTTGCGTCTGAGGCATTCGATGGCCCTAAAACTTGCTCGCCGTTCGCATATCCCTCCCCGTTCGTGTTCGGTTGAAGCCCGATATGCACCCTTCGTTGGCTAGGACACTATACATGATTACTGGTCTTTCTGGTTGAGAAGAGTAATGTCGGTTGATTCATTCGAGGGAATACTGTGATGGGACCCAGACGCTTGACGGTGGAAGAGTTTACCAGTTTCTACAGGGAGACTGTTAACAAGAGGTGGATCTGTCGGCGCATATCATCATAGCATGATACTTAGCGAGGCGTTTATTTTAAATACTGTGGCGTTTCATATCCTTCTTATACCAAGACCTAGAGGATTCTCTTCATGAAGAAACGAGGAACGAACCAAATCTATTTCATTAATTTGTTGAGAATGATGTGGCAGCATAGAAGTCCGCTGGTCATGTCATTGGCTGATTTATATTTCATTATTCTCCTTGTTGTTTGATATATTGACAGCCCAATAGTCCCTTGCCCTGGCCAGCCAGATCCTCCACGGCTTTTCTGATATAGCCTTGCCAGTCTCGAATTCGCTGGGCTGGATGGGTGTGGTTGGGATCGTGTCTGTAGAGGTTCGAAACGCTTCCTGAGCTGTCTCTGCACCGAAAGTCTTGACAGCCAGGTCAATAAACGTCCAAAGACTTTCGCCTTCCCACCCGACATCCAGAGCGAATCGGATTACTTTGTTGATGATATCGTTATGAATTTCTCTATCCGGAACAGCCTCCATTAGATAGACAACGAACATCCAGCCTGAGATATCACGCGGATGAGCCAAACACCAGCTAACAGTCGGGTGAATGGCTGATTGAGCTAATAATTCAAAAGTATCCCCGGTTTCTTTGCCAATTTCTGAAAGCGCGCGGTGTAGCTGTCGTATGTAGCTAAACGCATAGTAGTTTTTGGGATGTAGTTCTCCGGCGCGAAGCACGACTGTCAGTTCTGTTGTAAACAGCTCCTGGTTGGGACTTCGACCCTGAATGCTTTGCTCCTCTTTCTGTGAAGTTGAATTTGGCATTGGTGACCTATCCTGAGCTCTAATGGTTTGAGTCAGCACCCAGGACCGATGCTGCCATAAAGTAGGAGACTTGGTATGTCGATGCAGTGGAGAGCAGAGATATGTCGTCATCAGGGTGAGTTCCGACTCCAGGATTTGAATGAGATTCTCATATCCTGGACTGTTCCCATTTGACGAATCTTGGTCTTGTATCAGAGCTGCCAGTCGCTTCTTTCTCCAATTGCAAGCCGTGAGATGCTCACAGTCAAAGAGCAGGAGAATCTCAGACGAGACCAAAAGATCATCCACTCTAGACCGAGATTTTTCATCATGAGGACTTGTATCCAAAGAATCACCGATAAGGTCGAAGAATATGCTTCTAGCAACCGCAAAGGCCTGCACCAACGCTTTCTTGGTGATGCCTATCGAACGTCCATCTTGGAGGAGAGGGCCGAATCCTGGAGAGAGAATTTCGATTTCAAGAACCTGACTGTTTCTAGTCGAGAAGATCTCTGAGAGTGTCTGAAATACATCATCTGAAGTGGACATTGGGGTGTCTTTATAAATAAACGAATTCGCCGTCTGAATGCATGGTGCTACCCATGTTCGTTGTTGATAAACTGCCGGACTTCAGAAATGCCGCCGTCCGACGGGCGGGAGAGCGACACACGCAGAGTTTCAAGGCCAACTCTACAACGTCATTCTGGCCAGACTCTCTTTCATTTCACGGCATCGTCAAACACCGTTCTCCCTTCCAGTCGGTTTATCTGCAAAAGCCTACCCTGTCGCGGAGCAGATATATCCGTCTCTTCCAGCTCAAGTGGGTTTGTGTTGGGCAGCGTTTGTTCTGCTTTGTTGGCCCTTGCAAAAAAAACAATCCCGAACACCTACTCCGCGATCGATCGGTCGATGAAGCCTACATTGAACAGCTACAAAAACAACCCTTAACCGTTCGCTGATCACCATGTTGTCTCTTATCCTGACCGTTTTTTTCGTCCATGTTGCGATCTACCTGGTCAACACCATCGGCGCAACTACGATTGACAGTTTGGTATGTCGTCCTGTCACTCTACCCTACAGCGCACAAGCTGTCTACGGACTCGCATTTCCCTTTGACAACGATGGAGAATCTCATAACTGACTTGTCATTTTAGCTATGGATCCTCTACCTGAAACTCCCTACGTCGATGTCGAAAAATGCCCGTGAGCAAACCCGACTGAAGCGCGAGGCTCTCGAGTTGAAGCGGGACATGAACAACACGAGCTCTCAAGATGAGTTTGCGAAATGGGCCAAGTTGAGGAGACGACACGATAAAGCTATGGAGCAATATGAGGCCATGAGTATGTGTTCTATGCTTGATACTTTTACTTGGATACCGAATTATCGAATCGCCCTCAGTATAGATGGCTAACGAAACACCGGGAAATGAACAGATAAGACCATCAGTGCACAGAAGACCACCTTCGAATACAGCGTCAAAACCGCCCGATGGCTCAGCACGAACGGCCTCAAGATTTTCCTTCAATTCTACTACTCGAAAACCCCCGTCTTTGCCCTACCAGAAGGCTGGCTCCCATACTACGTGTTGTGGATTTTGTCCTTCCCTCGGGCACCTCTGGGAAGTGTGAGCATTCAGGTCTGGAGCAGCGTGTGTGCGACTGCCATTGCGGTCCTGGCTGAGATTCTTACATCGATTGTGGTCCAGCTTGCAGGTCGGATAGCACGCCCTGCCCCGGCTGCCAAAAAGACTCAATGAGTTGATGCATACGATTTTACTGCTCTTAAATATATGGAATGTAATTTAGAAAATAGCTTTCATCATTTGGATTCTTAGTTCTATATAATGCACATGAATAATGTTCATCAGGTATAAAAAACAATCGTTTAACGTCAACGACTCCATGCCGTAGCAGGAATCTCGGGGCTTGACTCTATGATTGGTATATCATCACGCGAACACATGTGCAGCTGAATATATCAACTGATGTAGATAGGAAAGTCCGGCCCATTCGACAGGGCTTCTGTGAGTGAACCGAGAATTCACCACCGCTTTGCCATAAGCTACAGACTCATGAGTAAAAGAAAAAAGGAAAGTGAACTCCTCGCCTCAAGAATGAGCCCCATTGAGTTACCCATCTTTCCCCGAAGGCGAAAAACAAGGCAATCGCATGACTATCCAAACACGACGAAAGGCAACCCAATGAAACAACCCCTCTCCAACACCCAGCTATACCGCCATTATTTCCACCCGGTGAAAGGCGTCGGATATAGACAGAGCATCGGTAGGGAATAGGGCAAATAAGCCGCTATCAAATTGCTTTTATGGCGGCGCGTTTCCGCATTGCGTGACCAGGTATATTAGGTCAGGGTGTCCGGGGACTTTCTCCCAAAGCTGTTTTCTTTCATGGAAAGAAGAGGAGAATCCCGAAGGATTTCCTGTGCGTAAGCTTTGAATGCGATTCTTTGAGCGAGGAGTTGGAGGGAAGAAAAGAAATTTGAAAAAAAGTTTTGGCCGCTTTTATTTTCGGCTGTTCTGGCGGTTGACACTAGTCTCGCTAAGGTTTAGTACGGTCATGTGATGTGGTGACCATTCGACCAATCATATGCGGCACATGCATGGATATTGAGGATCAATTTGAATGCACGAAATGGAGATCGACTATCGAAACAAATCATATCAGGTTTTAAATAGATAAGATCGTAAATCTAATTCAAAGCGACTTCATCGCATTATCATATGAATCTAGGTGATGATACTCAAAGACTGACATGACATTGAACTTGAAACATTGACCCCGAAGTCCCTATGCTAACTAGAAAATACAGAAGAAAGTAATTTTTTTTAATCAATCATGCCTTGGCCTTGGTCTTCTTGGCCTTCTTCGTCTTTGCGCCAGCTTTGGTGGCAGGTGAAGCAGTCTGTTCGCTGGCACCCTTCTTAGATGCTGGCTTTGCCTCTTCCTGCTTGGGTGTGTCTTGCTTGGGAGCTGCCTGGGCTGCCTTCTTTTCCTTCTTAGACTTCTTCGGGGTATCATCAGATTTCTTCTCCACATCGGCCTCCTTGGCGGCAGGAGCCTCAATGGCCTTTGTGGGTTCTTCGGCAGTCTCAGCGCCTTCGATCGCCTTCGGCTCCTCTTGAATAGGGACTTCGTCCACGCTCTTCAGCTGAGGAAGGTCGATATCATATCCCACAGACTTGAGCTTCTCAAGCTTGGCGAGTCTCTTCTTCTGCTCCTTCTCAATACGCTCCGACCACTGCTCTCGGGTCTTGCCCTTGTCCAAACGCTTCTTCTCGATCCGGTTCCACGGGGTTCGCTTGAATCGTCTATTGGCTCCCCTCCAGAGATCGGGGTGCAGCTGCTCCGAAGGGACAAACTTGCACTTGAGAATGTGGCCGTACATCAGGTAGTTGTCCATGGTCTCCGCGACAATCTTAGCGACCGAGGTCGAGGCGAACTCAATGAAAGCGTAGTGCTTCGAGCGTCCGGTAATACGGTTCCTGGAGAGACGAAGGCGAGTGATCTCGCCGAATTGGGTAAAGTAAGCCCGCATCTGGTGTTCGTAGAAACCGTGAGGAATACGTCTGGTGGAAGGCAATGTTAGATCATGGTCAAAAACAAAAATTCGCAGGAGTGCCTTACCCAACATAGACGGTACCAGGTTCTTCTTGCTCTTCGGAATTCTTCTGCTTCTTCAACAGCTTCCGCTTGGTCTTCTTAGAGTCGGGAATCTTGGGAACGGGCTTGCTGGCGTCGTATCCTTCATCTCCAGACTCGTCTTCATCACCACTGCTCTCGAAGCCCTTGATGAGAGCGACAGTCTGGTCATCCTCGGCATCATCACCCTCGTCGGCACTGGCCTCAGAAGCAGAGGCTTCCTCGTCATCATCAGAGGCTTCAACGACAACTTCTGGCTTCTTAGCCTTGGACTTCTTCGCATCTGCAGCAGGGCTAGCCTCTGTCTTGGTCTTCTTGTTTCCAGCCTTCTTCTTTTCGGACTCAACCTTGGCATCGGCAGCATCGACTTCGGACTCGCTATCGTTGTCGCTGAGGAAATCGGCGGCACGCTTGCGAGGCTTGACTTGTCTGGCAGGTGCGCCATTGGCCTTCACTGTCGATGCAGACTTGGTTTCCTTGGTCGCGGCATCGTTCTTCTTCTTCAGGATAGGCTTGGGGGCGTCCTTGGTGGGTTCACTGGACTTGAGCTCGACCTTCTTGGTCTTCTTTGCGGGCGAGTCGGCGGCCACAGCGGCGGCTGGCGCTGTCGAAACAATTAGCAAACGAGAAAAGTTTTTCAGATAATTTTCATGGAGTACATACCCTTGCGCTTCTTGTCCTTCTTGTCCGGTGCCATTTTCTCCGTAATTATGTATTAAATTGGAGGACGTGTGTTGTTGCACTCCACTTCGAAAGGTGCGGGAGACTTTTTTTTCTTTCCTCTTTTTTTTTTTTCTCCGATCGAGACGGGCGCCAAGCGGTGAGCTCCGTCCGAGTGCTCTCCGCAAGAAAACACCCTCTTCTACAACCACTCAACAATCAACAAACCCATTTCAAACAGATGCCATGGGGAAGAACAAGAATGCTAATAAACCACTGACACAAGAGGAAATCTGGGATGACTCTGCCCTTGTTCGAACATGGGATGAGGCTGTTGAAGAATACAAAGTACGCATCGTCTTGTCGTTTCACGTGATCTGTATCTGACTATCTCCAACAGCTTTATCATAGCATTCATGCCAAAGGGGAGAATGTCGAGGATGTCCTGAGAGAGGCAGAGACTGCAGAGCCTGGTCAACATAATGACGGACTTGATGAAACTCACGATTACATGGAGGCCGACGTTGAACCGATCGATTCAGGCACCACTGCGGCTGCGGTCGATGAGACTCAACAAGCTCCGCAGGTAGATACATCCCAGGTATGTGATCTGAAAATATAAGCCCTGCATCGCTCTGCCGATATACTGATACATTTCAAGGTTACAGAAAAGCCAAATATATCACCCAATCCACAAGCTGGTGCAGGGGCTCAGGTACCTCCAGCAGCCCCTATGCCTCAAGCAACTCTGTCACATGGTAAGTCCAGATAAATATGCATTTATAGAGGCTCAGAAGGCTAATTGTCTTTCTACCACAGTACAAGATGAAGGCCTGAAGAATCTCATGATGGCCTGGTATTATGCCGGGTATTACACCGGCCTTCATGAAGGACAGCAAAAGGCCAACCAGAACACAAGCTCATGACCTAGCATGTGTGACAAGCCGCTGTCCCAAAATTAGTCAGAGATCATTTTTATATTACTGAATAGTCTACACTCCGGTGACACCATTTCTAGGGTTTCTAACAGATGTGCTTGTGGAAGAGCACGTGCCGTTTTTGGTGTTGCAGTATGAGAGATGAGCGTAACTGAAGTAAGCAAACGGAATGGGAGATAAAATCCGCACGTCTGACATGGGCCAAAGGATTGAAAGTGTAGGGTCGATTGCGATCTCGTGAAACTACGGGAACCTCAACCTCAACACCTGGTGTGGATGACCTTCTCCATTGTGCGTGATCGAGACAGAATGGCACTTTGCCCGAGCAGGAGCGAGATGCCATGGGGAACAATGAAAATATCTCACGGGATCCTTATTTAAAATCCTTCAGTATACACTTGACGATACTTTTATTCAGGCTAGCTAATAATCACTGATATCATCTTCACTTGGATTCAACTTCCACAGATTCGTAACAAAAGGGCTCAAATATAAGGGAATGAACTCCGAACCAAACCAAACCAATCACAATACAAAGGAAAGACATAAATGAGAGGCTGGGGCTGCGAAAGTCCCCGACATGAAACATTGTAGACACTAAGGTTCAACCGTCTTGGAAGCACTCTGCATGTGCTAAGTGGTGTCGGGAACTTCTTAAATAAGGCCACCACCGCTCAAGAGACCACCGACAACTGGGAGACCGGCCAGAGGGCTGTCGGTCTTGTGGGTGCCCTGGGGGGTTGGAGAGGCGCTGGTGCTGGCGGCGGCAGGCGAAGCCTGGGGAGTGGTACCGCTGGGGGTCTGGGGAGTCTGAGCCATCTTGTTCTTAGTCTCCTTGGAAGACTCCATCTCGGAGTTCTTCTTGGCCATGTCATCCTCCTTGGAGGGCGTGGGCTCCTTGGTGTCCTTGTCGTTGGTCTGAGGGAAGTTGAGGCCGTTCTGCTGGTTCTGGTTTTCGCTTGCTTTCATGACATCCATCATTTCGGCGGCGTCCTATGGTGGTATTAGATGAGATCTACTGACGGAGCTAGATCAGCTTACCATAAGGGCCCCCTTAGCAGTGTCGGCGGCGGCAGCGTTACCAACAGTGTTGCCAGGGTTGTCGTTCATAGGCAGAGCCGTGGCAGTGAGGGCCAGGCAGACGTAGACGGCGAGGGTGGAAAGAGCGAAGCGGGCCATTGTGGTTGGTTTGGTTTGGTTTTTAGAATGAAAGTGTTCAAACGGGTATAAAGAATGGATAGGCTTAAAGGATTGGAGCCAAATGGGCATACAATGTTTCTCAAGGCAGACGGTTGGACGGAAGAAGCAGTTCTACGACGAGGGCGAGATACAGCGCATGCTTTATAGCAGACATTTCGGTGTCATGGGAGTGAGAAGGGATGTGTTGTTCCAGAGGTGAGTGAGTTCCAATCACCTCAATTCGACCCTTACCAGGAATCCAAATAGAGAGATTCTTCACCCGCGTCGTGTTCTCGTGCCAAAAAGGTATGCGTACACAGTATGTCCTCGAGCCCTGCAGGCACATCGTGGCCCCTGGGTGCAAGCAAGGGAGCGACAGGATAACCAGCCGGCACGTTGTTCCAGTAGTATAGTCCAGGGAGTCAGGGGCCAGCCCTCTCAGTCGACTCGAGAGGCATGGGAAATGCCCTTTTGAATCAGATCTTCATACTGGATACGCATTCCTGGATTGAATAATGCGCATGCGCGGAAGGTATCGACGGATATCGGATATCAACTCCTTATGCCTTAATTGCGCCACATAACTAGGAGGATTCGGACATGTCTCTCGGAATCATCCCTTCACAGTGCCGACAAATGTGAGAAAAGAGTGCTTTGTCTAATACTCCGTAGGCAACTGACAGTCGCTTGACAGATACTAAGGGCACATACAGGCATTAGTCTAAAATTCCAGGACCTCTGATAAGCCTTTTCCGCGGCCCGACTACAACGCTGTGCACATTCCGCATCATAACTTTGATAACATGAAAGCGAAAGACAGCAAGACTCGAATTTGATTACATGGGAATGTATCTCCCTACTTTGACACGTATCACCTCATCTGAAATAAAGCGGACGCAACACGTGGGAGAAACAAGGTGGACTTTGTCCATCCTTTGTTGGCATTAATATCGGCAAATTTTTGACCTCGAATATCATGGTAAATAAGGACGGACGAGACTTCGAAAATGCCAGTTACACATCTTGGAACAATTGCAGTTTGAATCTGTAGGGTTAGTTCGCATACGAGTTTTTTTCATTCATGGATTCAGTCCAGTTTCAGCGTCGAGGAAGATCATTAACTTCCTGTGGTAACACTTCATTCCTGAACTGAATGAACATCCAGTCAGTGGCTGAAAATACATTTCAGACCAAACAGATCGATGGCATGCGCAGATGCTCAACGACAGTCTCTCAATGGGAGTGTGTGCTCGAAGCGAACCCAATCAACCTCGTTCCAAGTGGCAGGTGTTGGGATTAGAAAGAGCATGCGATATTCGCTCTTGGTCCCAATTCTAAAATTTGCAGACGGAATGATGGCATCTATCCACAAGGGTATGTTGGAGACCTGAAAATATGGTATGAAGAGAAAACAAAAACGAGGGGAAAAACGCGAAGGAGATTTTATTCGCAGTGGAGCTGTGTTGATTATGTAACCGGCGCGGCCAAACCTTCGCCCGAGCTAGATATCCACTCTATAAACATCGTCTGTTTGAGTTTCAATATACGAGATAGTGCTGGAATAATGTCATTATTGCGGAATTCTGGGCTCATGAGGCGCTCAATGTCATGAGAGAAGATATGTTATTATGTACAAATTGGAAGCTCTAGAATCGGGCGAGAACTCTCTCCTGGGCGTCGGCCAGAGCCCATGTATCACTATGCTTCTTGCTCTGAACAGATTTGGCCTGTTCTGCTGTGAAGCCCTTGGCTTCAACGGCTGGGTTATATCCAAGTCCAGTAACCTTTGCAACTACGTCGGACGCCACTGGGCTTGCGACCTTTCCGTCCGCCCGCTTGTACACCGACACGACCACAGCACCACCCAGGCCCAAGTTGTGTTGCAAGGCAGCGTCAGTGCCATTGATCAAGCGGTTGTTAGCCCAGCCACGAAGATGCCACACCAGCTCGGCACATTGGGCTAGACCTGTTGCACCCAGAGGGTGTCCCTTGGAAATGAGACCTCCCGAGGGGTTGATCACCATCTTACCACCGTAAGTGATGTCACCACGACGGACCATCTCATGCGCCTTATCAGGGTCGCTGAGCTCGAGAGCATCAATCGTGATCATCTCGTTTGCGGAAAAGCAGTCGTGCAGTTCGCAGACCTTGATATCCTTAACATTGACGCCAGCCTCCGCAGTGGCGGCACGGCATGCAGCACGGGTCATGCCGAATCCCATCAAGTCAATGGAGCTACGGCTGAAAAGCGAGGTGGTATCGGTAGCGAGCTGTTGGCCAGCAATCAGGACAGCCTGATCCTTGAGGTGCGGGCGAGCATCCAGGAACTCCTGGGAGACGATGACGGCAGCAGCACCTCCATCCGAGGTCGGGCAACATTGCAGCTTAGTGAGAGGCTCGTGGATCATGGGTGCCTTGAGAACCTGCTCGAGGGAGTATTCGGTTTGGAATTGCGAGTACGGGTTGCGCTTGGAATGTTCGTGGTTAATACGGGCAATCTCTGCAAAGTCTTCTCCCTTGGCGCCGTACCTATTTTCAAGTCGGGTTAGATTCATGTTCAAGGGTCGGTCCTAGATAGGAAATACCATACTTCTCAATATATTCTCGGCCAGCATTTCCGAACATCTGCGCAGCACCAGGGGCATTGGTAATCCCTCTGGTCTCCGCCATCATTGTTCCAAGCAAACCGGTAGGGTTTGCACGATCATTGTAGTGCGACTGGAGACTTCCAGCACTCATCTTCTCGAATCCAACGACGAGAACACAGTCGGCAGCCCCATGGGAGACCATGGTCCTCGCCATGGCCAGGCCAGTAGACCCTGTCGAACAGTTGTTGTTGACATTGTAGATGGGGATCTGCGTCAAACCGAACTGGTAGAACACTCGCTGGCCGCAGGTGCTGTCACCATAAACGTAACAGGCCACACCCTGGTCAACATCGTCGTAGTTGATGTGAGCGTCCAGCATGGCCTTGACACCGGCCTCGAAGCCCAGTTCATTGTAGTCGACCTTTCCGCGGGGTTTGATGAATTTGGTCATTCCAACGCCTAGGACGTAGGCGGGACCGGCTTGTTTCTTGCCCATTGTGTATGTGATATGTATAAGGTTGATAAAAGTTCAAAGGTTGATGTTATGTTGTACAGGTGGTATACGCTAAATATGTATCCTGTGAAAAAGGAGAAAGTGTTAGACACGATATCGCGACTCAAATTAGGGGATCGAAGGTTTAATACTCAAGCAGATCAAAATAGAAAGCAAATTGCCGTAGATAAATCTGGTTATCGTAAGTTCATGTGGATGAACCTGCAGAGCTGGTCTGATGCGGAGAGAGCCAAAAATTGCGGGGAGGAAAGCCGCTGCGACCGAGGTCCCGAGGATAACTGTGCCTTATACCCGTTGTGCGGGATCGACGACTGCATAAGCCCTGTGCTGTTCATCCTGTTTCTTTTACTTTTTAGGCATCATCTCATGCTATTCTAGACAGGCCGAGGTCCTTTAAGAATATACTTTCTGAAGTCTTCAAATTATCTTTAAAAAAATTGTTGGCTACATATGTATTGACTAGTAGATCTGCCATGGAAAGACAAAATATCCTAGGTAGCACCTAGCGATCATTAGTTACTACTACTGTTTTAAGTGAACCACAAACAACTGACTAGAATATTGCATAATTATCCATGTATTAACAAAGACTTAACATAAGCGCTTCCAACATTATGTGTAGCTCATAGCATCATGACCAACAAACTCCCAACCACGTCCTTGCAAAAGGCACCGCATGCCTATGTATATCATTCCGTGTGGGCATATCACCAGTAGAAGATGACCATTATTTAACATTTAAATTAGATATAAAGATCTGAGAGTAGATGATATACCTTAAGGATTTTAATCTGATAATGTCGATATGGGGACTTCCAGCATGGTAGCATGGAGGATTAATAAAATGAGCTAATCATTATTAAGTGTAAACAATCTCTTAAAATTATCACATTACGCTCTTCCGCGCTGTGTCGATATACCAAATCTTAATATGGCTTGGCGGGGAGTGGTCCATGTATCAACATATAACAGAGGACCGTCACCATGAACAAGCTTTCATTGTAGAGAGGTAAGAGGGTTTTCTACATTCCATCTTGGCTTGAGGCTATAAGGCAGAATAAACAACCGTGGGTGTCTTCCAACAGTTTCATGCATCCAAAACTGACACTATATACCTCGCCACGGCCAAAGATATGGCTCCACGCACAGTGCCATTGTGGTCAATCAATCGCCAGTTATCAGCTTCTCGATTCTATTGCTTGTCAGAACCCATAAGAACGAGATAGAGGAACATCACTCTGTAGTGTTGATATAATTCGCTCTACCCAACATCCTCATCACTACCTTAGACCCTTCCCTTCCAAGCCAATCAGAAATCGAGTTGCCGTCAAGTGGTCATCGTTAAACTCTTTTCTCCAGAATGGCAACCAACTCTAGGGCAATGTTACGGTTCATATCCACATCGTGGTCCAAAAATGGTCGTGATAAAAGAATCCTATTTTGATGTCCGCTATCATTGGGGCTGATCAGGCTATCGACGATCCTGAATTTCTGTTTTCGGCCAACCAGTCGTTTTCTTTCATCCGAATCCTCAGCATACCTCGCCTGGTACTCTTATCAATAGGTATTTTCTCGACCATACACTTTTGGCTTCATCATGTAATCAAATTTTCATCCAATGAGTGTCAGTATTATGCTCCTGATCGTCGTGGATGGGTTACTCCACGCCACAATTCCATGTTTAGTCTGCGGCGCTGCACCATATACCGGGCAGCATGGGTGAGATATTTATCGAGCCCAGTCTGTAGGTAGTGAAGTTTGGTATCTGATGGTATCGAATAAAGCCGCAATCGAGCCATTTGTTCCTGAACAATCGCCAAAACGGAGACAGGGACAGACAGTCTAGAATGCTTCGCGGATGATGTTCAATGGTACTAGATTGTCAGCACTGTAATGAGAATCGTTCCACAGCCATCTTCCAATGGTAGAGGAGTTGTCCATCTTGAGCGGGGTAAATGCGCGGGTGCAACCACCGGAATGGCTTCGTCCGATGCGGTAGAGGGTTGCTGCTCCCTTACCACCACAGTTGTTGATGGAAGGGTATCTGACAAGCTCCCTCGCTAAACATGGGAAGGTGGAGGCAGCCCATGGCAGAAAATAGCCTATGAGAGTCACGACAATTAGCGATGCTCGCCCTGTTGGTTGAACAAGAAGTCTTCTTTTCTGGTCACCATCCTTGGTGGCTCACCACGACGTCACTGGACAGCCCCTAAACCCGTTCGAGGCACGCTGCGATCCACTGCCGGCCGGCCCACATGCCTGCCCGACTTTAGCACAGAGGGTCAGTGGTCGGCCGCTCGCTTCTCGTTTTCTGTCTGTCTTCAGCTGCGGGTGATTCTTGCTGGAAGTCATCGCTGTTCAGTTGCTGATTTTGTCTTGCTTCATTGGGGTCTTTCCCACGCACTGGAGAATACGCTGTTTCCACTGAAGGTGAGTGAACAACGAGTTTCTGCGTCTTCTGAACTGTTTTAGGAAATATCCCCGCGAGAATAACGAGTTGCTGACTGATGGTCTGTGTTTTTTGGATAGGCAGTTGTTGAATCGCACCCCTCTTTTACCTCTCGAAAGCACCTTGGACGTGGTGGGATGGAAATTCTGTGGTCCGTCAACAATTTTGATCGAGTATACATGCCCGTCGGGAAGAATCAATTTCCCTGAACACGCCCGATTTACCGTCGCTGAAGCCGCCCCGAGGCTGCTTTTGTCGCCTTTCCATCCGCACTGATTGAGCCGGTTGCGCCTTGTCCATCTCCTTGCTCCCAACAAAGGAGAGCAAAGCCTCGTTTTTGAACAAGAGAAGGAAAATCTACAAAGGGTTGTACGGGCCCGCTTCATGGACAATTGTGGGACGCCGAACGGTCTGCTCGCACGCTGAGAGACCGCTTTGCGTTCCATAGGGTTCCCCAGCCTACCTTGGACAAAATTCTGTGATTCCAACCTCTATTGACGACCAAGCAACAAATAAGCCAGAACACCAGTCACTGCCCCAAATGGGATACTCACAGGAATGACTAGTGACAAGCGCTCTGAACATGCACCCTTTCCCCCAACATCCTCACAATCTCCATCTATCATAATGCCGCCCAGCAATCCTTGGGTTATGGATGAAACCACTCGTAACCACTTTTTGAAAAATTACAAAACCCAGGTGGCTTCGGGGACATCGACGATCTGTGCAACTCTTGCTGTGGTAGGTGCCCCCCTCAGATTTTGGACAGAGCCGGTGCAGATTGGATGCGAGTAGGTCAGAGGCTCGAGGAACGTACAAAATGCTGATCCAAGTGCTTTGTCTTTCCCCGCAGACCCCCTTGGAGAATGTCAAAACTCGTATGCAAACGTAAGTGGAAAATACTTTTGATTTGAACTCACCATGGCTGATTTGTTGTAGACACAATTTCCCGAACGTGTTTCAATGCATTCGCTATTTGTGGCGCACCGAAGGACCCCGTGGCTATGTTGCTGGTAGGTTGACATGCTCGATTTTTGTCGACAAGGTACTGATTTGGAATCGCAGGAGCCTTGCCCCCACTAGCAAGTGTCACGGCAGTCCGTGTCGTCAATTTCTCCACATATAACTCCGCGAAACATAGCGTCTCCGATTTCATCGAAAGGATCACCGGCGAGTCTCCTCTGGCGTCTTACAATCAGCCGGGCAGTAGCCCCACCGTGTCGACCATCATGACATTCACTACCGCAGGTCTATTTGCAGGTCTTATCACTTCTCCACTTGCGTGTAAGGGCTCCTCTGTATATGGTCCGGTTCAAGTATGCTCATCGGAATATAGGTCCTTTCGAACTCGCTAAAAACGTGGTTCAGACCTCTGTTTTGGTCTCCAATCGTGCTCAGGCATCACCCGATGCAGTCAGGGATCCTTCGCTGCGTCGCAAGCCGCGTCTTGGAACTATTGAGGCGATCAAGCAGATTGTTCAGCGGTATGGCTTACGTGGTCTTTACACGGGCTTTCATCTCCACGCCTTGCGCGATACCATCGGATCTGGTCTGTACTTTGGAGTTTATGAATCGGTCAAGCAGGTCGCAGCGAGGGAACTCGGGGCCGACAAATCTCCTTTCGGTGCTCCCATGATTGCCGGTGCGATCTGCAGTACCGTGCCTTGGTTTTGTGTAAGAATTCCAGAAGCCAACGCATCTTGCGTACTGCCAAATGCTGACTAGGAATGATAGACCTACCCGCTTGATACACGGAAGACGCGAGCTCAGAGTGTTTTATTGGGCAAGACCAAGGAAGTCGGAGAAGCATCAGTGGCTGTAGCCAAATCGAGCATGTACAAAGGATTGTCGATTATCCTTATACGCACTGGAGTGAACAACATGATATTGTTGAGTATTTTTGAGTATATCAAGATGAGGATTAACCAACTGGAAGGTTAACCACAATGGCATGAGAAGGAATGGGAAATTTGGTTGCATATTGCATTGAAAGATATATGGGAATATCGAATCAGACACGATATGTCTGGCGTTTTTTATGAGCTGACTGTGGGTCTTTATATTCACGTACATACATACATGAGATCAACGCTCAATAGCAAATATCAGAATGATGAATTATACTTGATTCCCTGTAGTCGTGAAGCTTGTCTATTGTCTATACAAGACAGAATGTGGATGCCTGAGGCACCACAACGTCATCCGTTGCCAGGTGGGGTTGGGCGCTTTTCTCGTTGTCAACAAAGTTCCCGACGTTTGTCTTTTTTTCTTCCCTTGCCTCCTCATCATCTACAATGGCATCGTACGTCTTTCTTGAACCTATTATCTTGCGTGTTCGCATGTTCTTCAGCTAATCTAAAGTTGTCTAGCAATATCCTCCAAATCCCATTCCGGCGCTCTCACACTGTCTCCCTGTCGGATGCTATCACTCAATACATCTCCACCAAATATGATCAGCGTCCGGATATGTTCGCAGATGATCTTTTGATCATCGATCGTCTGCGAACAGAAGCCATCAATGTCCAGGAACCCCACATCAGCGGGATAAGCAGACTTGTTACGTACGCCGCGCAGCTCAAATGGCTGGGCGGGAAGTTCCCAGTCGATGTTAGTACAGAAAGCGATTTCCGGGCTATATTTTCATGAAATGCAAGCTGACTGGGGTGATGCGATTGATTTTAGATCGGTGTTGAGTTCCCGTGGTACCCCGCGTTTGGGTTCAATACATCACGACCGAGTATGTGAATTGGACTCCCCGCGTTGGAATTACGATTAACAGATGCCCCAAGTCTCGCAGAACAACATTCGTTTCGAACTTGCGAATATCCTATTTAATTTAGGAGCCTTGTACTCTCAGCTAGCGTTCGCATTGAACCGGACGACCCCCGATGGACTCAAGCAGGCCTGCAACTACTTCTGTCAGGCGGCTGGTGTCCTGAGCCATCTCCGAAAAGATATTCTCGCCGATCTTCGAACATCGCCTCCGGAGGATATGGATGAGATGACTCTCGAGAGTTTGGAAAAGCTCTTGCTGGCGCAGGCCCAGGAGTGCTTCTGGCAAAAGGCCGTGAAGGACGGGCTGAAGGATGCGTCTATCGCCCGTCTCGCGGCCAAGGTCTCTGACTTCTACGCGGATTCTGGGGACTGCGCAGTCAAATCTAACGCTATAAGTCCGGAGTGGATCCACCATATGACGGCCAAGCACCACCATTTTGCTGCTGCGGCACAATATCGGCAATCGCTGGACTGTCTGGAGAAGCGCAAATACGGCGAGGAGGTTGCCCGCCTGAGAGATAGTGTGGCATGTGTTAATGAGGCACTGAAAGAATCCCGCTGGATTAACCGGACCGTGTTGGGGGATCTGAACGGATTGAAGAGCCGTGTGACGGAGGACTTGAAACGCGCGGAGAAGGACAATGACGTGATATACCTCAACCCTGTGCCGCCCAAGTCAGAACTCAAGACGGTCGAACGTGCCAGTATGGTAGCAGCCAAAGCTCCGTCCCAGGTGACAGACGCTATATCTATGCTCGGGGACAATGGGCCTCTAGGACAGCCGCTGTTTTCGAAGCTGGTCCCGTATGCCGTGCACATCGCAGCCAGTATTTATTCGGACCGTCGCGATCGACTGGTGAATGAAAATGTCATTGGAGAGTTGGAGACTATGACAGACAAGCTGAGAGAGTACGTTTATGCTTTGGTACTGTGTTGAATTATGCTGATAATGTGCAGATTACTGTCATCGTTGAATCTCCCAGGTTCTTTGCAGGCGCTGGAAAAGCCACTTGGGCTGCCCCCAACTCTTGTGTCGCATGCGGAAGAAATGCGACAGCAAGACGGCTTGTACCGGCTACGAAGGTCCCTTGAAGATACGGCCAAAGTAAAAACAAACGACATGGCCGTATATAACGAGGGAGTCGAAATTCTAGCAGCAGAAAAGGCCGAGGACGATGCGTCTCGCATGAAATATGGAACTGATCGGTGGAGTAGACAGTCATCTGAGGCCGCAAACCCGAAGGTCTACAACACGGCCAAGGAGATTAACGGCTACTTCACATCGGCCCAGAGCAGTGACAAACTAGTCGAGCAGAAGCTTAAGGGCTCTGAAGTTGTATTCCGGGTACTGACAGGCACTAACCGAGATCTGGAGATGTACGTGCCCAGCAGCCGGAGGCCTGCCATCACGCCAGAGGTGGAGCGGGAGTCTGTTCGCCTTCGCAGCTGTTTGAGCGAAGTCAGTCGGTTGGAAAACAGAAGGAAGAGAAGGGCGCTAGCTTTGAAGGATAAATGCAAGTCGGATGACATCAGTAAGTTTGGAAGCAGGAGTTTCATGACTTGGGCTCACATCTATCAGGTCAAGCACTACTCAAGGAGACCGCTCGCTTGGAACGCGAATTCCCGATGCAAACGATTCAGGCGAGTCATTTCGAAGAACTATTCGAGGAGCAGTTGCATCTATATGACCCGGACCTGGAGATGGTTACACAAGAGCAGCATGACCAGGACCAGATCGCTGCACAGGTGCGCGAAGCCAACCGTGCGTTCACAAGGGCGCACACTGGCGATGCATCGACCAAGGAGCGCGAGAAGGCGCTGCAGGAATTGGAGAATGGATATTTGAAGTATAAGGAGATAATTTCCAACATTGAGGTTGGGCGGAAGTTCTACAATGACTTGGCCAAGATTGTTGGCAGGTTCCGTGACGACTGCAAGGCCTTTGTGAACCAGCGAAGGATGGAAGCGAGTCAAATCGAGGGGTATGCCTTCTTTCTCGATGGTTTGATTAGTACTAACTTGAACAGTGAAATTTCTAGCGTCGCTGCGATGGCGTCACTCAATATTTCACAACCGCGTCTTCGCCAGCCGACGTTCAGCCCTGCTGCCGTGCCTCAGAGTCCACCGCAGGTCCAACCTCAAGTCCAGCCCCCAGTTCAGCTTCCCCCTCAACCTCCACAACCACAACCGCAACCTCAGGTCCCGGTGAGAGCTTCATCACCGGAGGAACCCCTGACAGCACCGCAGCCGACCAGAGCGCCTGTTGCTCCCCCAGCAGTTCCAACGCCGGGAATGTGGACGCCCGAGATGGGAATTCGATTTGGAGGCGCACCAGCAAGTGGAAGACAACCGGGCAAATGGGATCCTAGCCAGGGGGTGAGGTTCTCATAAATAAAATACACTGTATATAATACCGATGGATTCATATAACTACTATACAAGATATCCAGTCAATCTATACAACCCGATGCATAACAGCCGCCGCCTCAGCAGCAACCTCCCTAGCTCCAATATTTAAATCCTCCCAAAGACTAACAAACCGAAGCCGCTCAATCCAATATTCCCACCGTTTTTTCGAAATCGCCCCTTCTTGATCCTTTTTATGCTCATCATCCTCCCCTTTCTTCCGCTCATACAATTCCTCCCCCATGATAATCGCCCAAATTCCCGCAACAGTAACATAAACCTCCAACACAGCTGCCCACCCCTCCTTATCCTTGTAGTAGGGCACCTCGAGCGCCTGTTTCAACGCGGAAATAGCCAAATCCTCCAACCCCACCAGTCGGCGTTTAGTGATCACCGCCAGGAACGCATGGAGGTTTTCCCATGCTTCGAGGTCTGCTTGCGCGACGGGGGTGACGGATATGTTTATCGTATTGCGGATCGTTTCTTCCAGGGATATTCGTCCTGCTTGGTTCTGTGCTTGGAGGGCTTCGACTAGGTTGACGAGGTGTGTTTGGTCGCTTCCTTGTGAGAGGGTCGGGCCGCGGCGGGGGCAGGTTTTGGCGGTGCTGAGGATGGTCTTCCAGAGTGGCTCTTGTGTTTCTGGTTGTGGTTGCGTTGTTAGGTTTGTTATTGTGGTTTCGAGGGGGAGGGTGTTGGTCATGTAGGCTGATATTGTGTTTTGGATGGAAGTGTTTTCGTCGTGATACATTTTCCTTTTCTTTATTGGCTTTAGGGTATAGAGTAATGGTAATGTACAGTATGGGTAGGTAGATATGGAATTTATGAGTCAAGTCTGCAGTCTGCTTTGACGAGTCTGCGATCTGGTTTAGAATTTATATGGGGTAGACTCGGAGTATGCGGAGAGGGTTGCATTATGACGTATGTGATCTTATCATGTGGATAGCATCGACTGACTGGTATTGTAAAAAAAAACTCAATGGGTATCATAAAATATAAACAACACAACGAAATATAATAATAATAAAAGAAAAACTACGCCGTCTTTTCGCCCGTCCCATCCTCCGTCTCAGCAACTAATGTTGTCTCTGCTTCTTCTGTGGAGGTTAGGAAAAAGTCCAACTCGCTCGGTCCACCCTGGGAATTCTGCTCGTTTTCTGCGAGTTGTTCGAGGAGGCTTAGGAAGGGATCTTTTTCGGAGGATCCGTTGTCGCTGCCGCCGGCACCGGCGGTTGTGTGGGAGCCGCTGGCTTGGGATTGCGCGCCGGGGGTGACAGCTGGTTGGGAGGGTGTAGCGGTTGCGTCGAAGGGGAAGGTTGCGTATTGTGGGTTTGAGGGTGGTGTGGGTGCTACATTTAGAGCGGCGGTGGAGTCGGGGAGGAAGGTTGATGGGGAGAAGCCGTATACGGATGGCGAGAAGCCTTGTGAGAGGGATGTTGAGTCGGGGGCGAGGTCGCTGGGTATATGGTATATAGAGGATAGTTGGGGAGATTGTTGAGGGTGGTGGAAGTTAAGAGTTGGAGAGACTGGGATTGGGTGGTTTTTGGCCATGCCTTGGCTGTCTCGTCGTGGGATTGTGTGGTTGGAAGGGGGAACTGGGTAGATGCCTGGTTGGTAGGGTACTGATCGGTAATACATGTCATGGCGATCGACGTATTGCATAGGACTGTCTGGTTAGTATGATCGATCTAAAACACGGGAGAGGTAGCATACTGTTCTTCTGCTATATCTATTAATCTCACATGAGCCCCGTCGACTGTCAAACCTGGATACCGATCTAAGAAATCTTCCAAGTGAAAGACAGGAGAGAACCGCATCGGACTGCTGGCCAATGTCCTCACCAAGTCCGCATGACATGTGTAGATCGTCTGCAGCATCTCCTTCTGATGCTGCACACCAGCCCAGTAGCTGCGGAGCCATGTCAACTGGTGCATTTCCCGGGTAAGAAACTCGGCACTAGAGGCAAACACTTCTCCCTCTCGTCCATTGTAGTGAACACCATGGACATGCACCGTGCCAGCCGTGCATACGCAGTAGCCGATAAAGGCTGGACATTCGATCAATGGCGAGCTTCGTCCAAGTTCAACAAGCTCTGCAATGGCGTTGGAGTGGGCGAAGCATAAGTTCGTAGCCTCGATCTGCCACGACTGATGTTGTCCAGTGCCGCGGAGTTCGACCAAATCGATAGGGAGGAATGGTCGGTAGAGCAAACAGTGAACGAGGTGATAGATGAGCTTGCTAAGAAGCAAAGTCGTGCTTTCCGGATGCCCAAACAAGGCCTCGATCGACGCAAATACGTCTTGCGTACCGGCCGCCCAGATGTCAAGCTCCTGACGGATCTTGGATAGATTGGAAAGAGAATGCCATGGGAAATGTGAGTCGCCTTTGACACCCCCAGCTGCCAGGTATCGGTTAGTGATGCCGAGAATCCGAGTGATATCGATCAAGAGGGCGGCCGCGCCTTGGCCTTTGCGGCGAGAATCAGACGAGTATTGGATATTAGGGCCTACGGTGTTGAAAACCTCGCCTTCGACGTTGAGGCCGGCCGCATGGGGAGACCATGAGGGCAGACGGAGAACGATAGAGTGGTCTGATATCAGACAAGGCCGTCTCGACCCGCAAGTGATGAACCGGTCCATCAAGTAGGCAGACCAGAATAGGCGTCGTCTCATTTCGCGTTCTGAGGCGGGTAGATTGGCTTTTGATGGAACTTCGCGGTAGAGGTCCAATGCGACGACCATGGCGACGCAGTTTGCTGTACGAGTTAGTCAATGCATGGGTATACGTTGGCGATAGCGTACAGAAAGTCATATATGCCTTCTTCCCGAGACCGTGGGCGAAAAAGGTCTGACAGAGCAATAGGAGGGTTTGGAGACCCTCGATTGAAGGATTATCGATGTCCACCATGCGCCGAGCTTGAAGGGCGTATTCAAGACCTGTGCGAAGGGATTGCTCAGGAGTGGCGGCAGTGCTGGAGTATCTGCAATCGTGAGAATAAGAACTAGACTGAAGAATGGATAAGTACCTTAGAGTAATGGAATGAATAGCCATGGATAGGTAAACCGGCAACTGTCCAATCTGATGACATTGCCGTGCAGTCGATTCATCCAGAATAAAGTACGGTTTGCCGTGTAGGCGCGAGAAATACGCATCCAAGAGGGTATCAGGCAAGACGGGATGCTGATTCGGCGGAGAAGGCTGCTGTTGAATGAATCCATTCTGAGACTGAAACTGCTCTCCGGGGTTAGAAACCGGGGTCGACAAAGACCGCGAGTCACTGTTATTATTATAAAAAGCAGAAGAGAAAGAAGAGTCGATAGTATTTCTGCGCGAAATAGAATCTGCCGGGATCGAATCCTCATCGGAGTTTTTAATCGGAGAAGTCGGCGAGATGGGATTCTTTTCATCCTGCAGTCGCTTTTCCAGCCCATCAACTCTTTTCAAGAGAGCTTCCAGGACGTCTGTTTTTGGGCCTCTCTTTTTGGGAACGGCATCTACGGCTATTAGCTTGGTGTTAGGGGGGAAATTAGGGGGAACATACCGTAGATACAAGGGCATTGAAAGACCTTGCAGGCTTCACAGCTAGGGCGCATGCGATTGCATTTGATCTGGGATGTTAGCAAACGAAAGACAGAGAAAGTAAGACGAGGGTACCTTTCTCTTTCGACAGGATTTGCAGTTCATCGACTCGCGAGGCTCGACAGTAACGCGTCTCGGAGTGAGACGGTCGATGCTGACCTGAGGACGAGACATGGTGTTACATGGAAGGCTGTTGAAGAGGTTAGGAAGACATTGAGGGAGGAAGAATATAGAGAGACATGAGCAGTAGAAGAGACCGGAGGAACGGAAAAGAGAGTCGAAAGAGTGAAGAAAAGGATAATAAGCGGATTGTGGGGGAAACAGGTGACAGGACGATGAAGACGAGAGAGGCAGTGGGGAACGGAGAAGAGCTGGAGAAGGCAAGACGAAAAACGCAAATAAATTAACAGCAGGGAATGTCGGAGCAGAACCAAGAGGGCTAGCTGCGTTGGGATGCGGGGAAAGGCATCAAGAGTCGAGTCGATGCGATGAGATCGGAAATGACTCCGGAGAAGCTGGGATAGAGACTATCGGATAAAAGATTAGAAGAAGGCTCGCTGGGGTTAAAAGGACGAGTTCCCCTGTCCATCACGGACGAATGTCCGTTGTGGCCATAAGATGAAGATGTTCATCGTGCAGCTGCATTCATCAATTATGACATCCCAGTGTTCACTAGCATCCTAGTACCACTATTTAATAATAATAACACTAGAACAAGAAGGAGATAATCTATCTCCCACACTGGTCACCGACTAATTGAAGCATGACTAATAAGCTTCATCTCCACGTGTAGAATCTGGGGTAATTCTAATCATCCCACTTCATCTTCACCATCTCTCTATATTATTATATTATATATGTTCACTCTCTATTCCCGAATCGCAATGTACTCCAAACCAGAATGGTCCGAATCGCACCTCCCAACCCTCCACGCTTTCATCCGCTCTCACCCCCTCGGCATCCTCACCACCGCCATCCCCTCCCCCTCTTACCCTCTTATCCAAAGCACCCATCTCCCATGGCTCCTAGACACAAATCAACCCAATCTCGATAATCAAGAAAAAGGAAAACTAAGAGGCCACATAGCCCGCCAAAACCCGCAAGCAAAAGCCATCATCGACTCTCTCCCCGCTGACTCTTCCTCCACTCTGCCCACTGAGATCATGATCCTCTTCACCAGTCCTGTTCAGCATTATGTCACGCCCAAGTTCTACACCGCTACTAAACCGGCTACGGGGAAGGTGGCGCCAACGTGGAATTATGCTGCCGTTCAGGTTTATGGGCGGGTGAAAGTGTTTCATGATTCCTCGGATCCGGAGACTGAGGCGTTTCTTTCCACGCAATTGCAGGATTTGGCTGCTTTTACAGAAAGGGAGATGATGGGGTATACGGGGGAGGATGGAAAAGAGGAGGCCTGGAGGGTGGATGAGGCGCCCGAGGGGTATTTGAGGATACTAAAGAAGAATATCGTCGGGCTGGAGGTCGAGATTGATCGCATCGAGGGCAAGTTTAAAATGAGCCAGGAGAGAGCCATTAAAGATCGTGAAGGTGTTATTAAAGGCTTTGAGCAGATGGGAACAGAAACAGCCACCCAGATGGCTGACATGGTCAAGTCGCGTGGCGAGTTGAATGACCAGAAGAAGTCGACTAGATAATCACTCATGTATGTATATTCCTATAGACAATAGATCTTTGTTAGAAACAGCATTAAAAAAACACCCGTCCCGAGGCCATTCGCACAAAATCAAACGGTACATTCTGTCCAACCAGCAGTCGTAGCGTCTCAACTGTCGTCCATGCATTCACATCCTCCGTCCCATATGCCGTCCATCCTGCGCTGATCGCTACCCCCAGCGGATCGCCCTTGCGCGTACCACTCGTCAGGTCTAGATATACCTTGCCCCGAGTCGACGGCGGCGATGACCGTCCGTTGGTCCGGTAGTGTCGTAGCAAGGGCTGCACCAGCAACGATTTCTCCGGTGGCAGTACCGACACAATGACAAACGGCTGCTCCACCAGCTTGACTGACTGTATCGACGTAAACGGCTCTAGACCATCTGCCAGAGGCCCACTGGCCTTGAACCCGACAGTATAGATGGCCCCGACGTTCAGACTCCGCAGCGCAAAGATAGCCGCCGATGCATCGCTTTCAGAGCCAGACAGAATAATCGCTGCCCGTCCACGATACGCCGACGGCACATAATCCCGAGTCAATGTCGCCCGGATTCCCTTCCAGGCTGCATTCTCGCCCATGAATGTGCGCTGCTGCCGTCCATTGCTACCACCCGTCACGACAATAGTATCTACCAACCCAATAGCACGAGCTGCGTCGCTGACAGCCGGAACATATGACGTAGAGCTGGCAATGGGCGGGTTCACGTACGCCCCTCCAAAGGTCGACTGCATAATCACTCCCTCAATAGACCCCTTAGGACCACGGTCAATAGATTTAAATGTATGCGGCAGACTGAGCTCGTTGAAGCATTTTTCCATGAACATGGATTGCGGCGTCGATCGAAACGACCCGATGGCGTACATATCTCGCTTAGGAAGCGACCCCATAATATGAAGAGCCTCGTTGATCTCCGCTGCAGTCAGCTGTCCCGGTGCTGCAATCATAGGTAGCAAAGGGTGCGTGATGGGTGAGAAGACGGTATTGAGGGCCCGCGACAGTTGGCCCATTTGACCCATGTTGACGGCAGACAGGAGCGGAGAAGACTGATTCCCTTTGATCGTCGACCGGAAATACTCTAGTTCGTAGTTCTCCTCGATGGTATTGACCATGGCGATCATCTTCACGATATCGGAATATTTGGCACTCTCTTCAAAAATCCGCGGTGCCTCGGGAGACGTCCACTTCCAAGTGCCGGAGAAATCGTGGAACGCAGACATAATGATGCTGTTGCCTTTGTCTTGGGCGAGTTGTTTCCGGATCTCCTCGGGAAGCCATAACTCGACATCAACATACTCAACGCCCCATTGAATAGCACGACGGAGATATTTGTAGAACAAACTAGGATCATCCATGGGAAATTTGCCATTCTCTTTCGTACATCGCGTAGTAAAGATAATAGGCAACTCCGTATGCTGCCGCAACAGCATCAACTGCTGTCCAACATACTTCAAACTAGGAACAGGGCTGATAACCCCCTGGGGCGAGGGCTCGACCAGCAAGTCCACGCGGATTTCCACGGCATCCGACCCCACAGACAGGATATCAAGGTTAGGCAAGGCAGCATGAACATCAGGAAAAGTGGTAGAGATAAAATTGGTACGAGTCTTGGTCCTCAGATCCTCATGTGGCCTAGTCTGACCCAGAATCAACGATAAAAACCGAGTTAAATCACGACGGAAAAAGGGACTGTGTGAATACAGAAACTCATAATGGCAGTAGTCGGTCAGGCTCTCAGACGGAGCCGATCCGTCATCCACACAATGAGTGTTGATCAGAATCAGAGAAGACTTGTCGCACCCTTCCAGACTCCGGGTCAGGTCGTGAGCCAGAATACCCACTACCACGGCAGCACTCCCGCTCACCAACGTTGCAAGTGACGTCTCCGTCGTCCATGGCTTTCCCAGAACTTCAGCCACGACCTGGACAATGTTCTCCTGCTCCGGGCCATAGACAATCACGACAGTTCTTGGGGGTTCAGACGGGACATACTGGGAGAAAAAAGCAGAAGCTGCAGCGGAAGCAGCGGCAGAAGTAGAAGAGTGCTTGAGAGTAGTTGTGACAGGGGAAGGGGTATCAGCTAGAAGAGTGGTAGCCATGGGCTGATGAAAAGCAGTTTGCATCATCGCATAACAATTGAACTGCGCGTTTTCATACTTGGTCGAGAGAGAAATCAAGGAAAAGAAGGAAGGGGAGACAGAGTCTGACAGTTACAGATAGGGAGAGAGATAGAGCAGGAAGAATACGACCCAAAGAGACAAAACGGAACAAATCAGGGAAGATATTCTTGGAGTAGCATTGAGGATAGAAACAAGACCACAAATAGGATGATCCAGACTCGACGAAAGGAAGGAATTGCCGGGTAGAGTTTCATCAGACGGATCTGACAGGGAGAAGAGAAGAGCACCAGGACGACCGATGGAAAGCGCCCACGAACGACATTTGCACTGCGATGAGGCAGAAAGAGATTAATTGTTGCTTTCTCCAACACACAAAGTAAGGACGAGGGGAAGAAAGACGGCAGGGCGGAGTTTCCCCGGATGGAGAGGCGGAGCGGATTTCTCCGCCAATCAGGGCTCCATTCCATATGGGGTAGTATAGAGGAATATCTGATCTAGCATCGGCAGCAGCAGGAGGGCTCGATTGGATGGTACAAGCCTGCTATCAGCATGATCTGCAGGATGATCTTGTTCCGTCCACTCATTTTATACGCATACTCTGATTTATAATGGCTATCATCATTCACAATAGAAGTAGATTAGATCGAAGCAATACATATCTACATACACTGGACAAGATCCTGAATCAACCTGCAACACAAATCCGTGTAGCCATGCTTATGAACGCATTAAAAAGGATACGTGGGACATGAACCGCCAGTTGAAAGGTAATTATGAAGAAGCAAGAACAACCAATAAATAAGAATACCAACCGGTAAAAGGGGGGTATTAAGAAGCAGAAACCAGAAGAGAGATTTTCAAATACCAAAACAGCAGTACAGAAAAGTAAAAAAGAAAAGGAAAGGAGAAAAGAAGGTAACAAGAATCTGACATCAAGCCAAAAAGGGTGGTTGAGATCCGTCAATAACTCAGTGGAAGAAAGAGAAAGCCTGAAATAAATAACCACAATGTCCAGTATATGCCTGTATGTTTGTATGTATGTAATAGTGTTTATGTACCTCCCATCACTCAGTAAGCAAGGGTTCGATTGTGTGCCATGATTTCATAAGTGGTGTGCGTGTCTTGCGAAGCATTGTGGAAAGGAGATTCGTCATAAAACGAGAAGAGGAAAAAGCGGTCTGCAGAACCCTTTCTCCTGCTTTGCTGTAAACGCTCAAGATAAATCGATCTGTACAACGCGTTCCAAAAAAGTGTGTCTATCAACGGATGAAGGAGTTGCTTGCAATGCAGTAGTCATACTCTGCAAGCGCAAGCCGAGTTAAAAAGTCGGGCCGATGTTACATGGGTATTATGAGACAAAAATTATGAGGACAAGATGAGAGCATGCGAAACACCCAGTGTCTGAAGCATGTCTCCAAATTTCTCCTCAGCTTTTCACCAATCGATTAGCCTTCGCATAGGGCATGATGTGAGGGATACGTGGCGGAACCATGCTGCCACACTTGGTCGTGCCATGTCCAATGGAATCGGTCGGAACTGCACTCCATGAGGACTAGATGGCGAGTCCACTCATGGACTTGGGGAGTGGTTTTCTGCGCGCAGTGTTTACCGTCTTGGAAACCCGGGGAGTCCCGTGAATCATGCGGGGCTCTTTCATCAGGCTGGTATCAAGTTTGGCAGGTGCTCGTGTGATGACGCGGGTGTAATCTCCAGAAATGCTCTGTTGGTTCCTGCTACCGGGCGGGAACGATGTCGCACTCGCTGTTCGCCAGAGATGATTCGAGGTGTCGGACAGAAAGTCAGTCACACTGCGACTAGAGAAGATCGAAGACCGGCCTCGGTTGCGCTTTGAAAGAACAACTTCGTCAAACAATGCCATCCTGGGATCCTTCTTCTTGGGGTTGATTCGCTCCCTTTCACTGATAAATTCGTTGAAGCCTGGAAAAGTCAGCATGGGCAATAAGCACTACGATAGAGACAGAACTAACCTTGCGTTTGCTGCAAGACGCTAATATATTCAGCGTGTTCACTTGGCAAACTCTTCATGAACGCTTCGATGTTGAAGCTGTATGTCAGACCCGCCTTTTTCTTGTCGCCACTGGCAGGAACAAGAAACTTTTTGTAAGTATAGAACAAACTGGCAAAGCATCTGACAAAAGCCGCTCGAACCTGCTCCGGATGGAACGAAGCAGGACAGACAAGACAGATCTGGAGGGCGCATCGGTTGTGTACCACAGCTTTGCATCCAGTACACTTGTACATGCCTTCATCAGCCCGTTCATCGCAAATAGCACAGACAGCCTTTTCATCCCATGGCTGCAGCTGCAGGCAATGCCCTTCGACCCAGCAAGTACCTTCGGCGTTGTGGATGGGCGACGATGATGATTGAGGGACAATTGTGGACGCGGCAACGGTGGACTGAGCATACACTGACGGCGCATACGTGGAACCAGGGTTGTAATCGGTGTTCAATGTGGTAACCGAGAGATTGGGCGCATGGCCAAGGAAAGGCGCACTAGGCCGTCGGGGAACACCCTGTCCCATTCCGAACGACGAGCTTCTGCGAGACGCAGCATCAAAGTGACCAGACCTCTTCTCACGCAACGACGCTTGGAGCGCCATGCCCGAGTCGCTACGACCAGGTGGAGGGAAATGACCGGATGTGGGCGAAGTGTCCCTCGGCGAAGGAGGAGACCCTGTCTTGGATGTTGAACCGGTTCCCGGCCTATCTGAGCCCTTGGATGAGTACCCTCTCGACAGTGTTTGCTCGTTTCGGGCATGTAGATAGGCATTGAAGATGAGGGGCTGATATGTTCCCGGAGGCACCGAGTTCTGGCCAAACGAGCTCGAATTGAGACTGACGTATTTCGCCAGGTGCGTCGGCTGTGCCTTGGAGTTGAAGATGGAAGTGTTCTCGGACATGAATGAATCGAATGGGAAAGTCTCAACTGCATAGGCTGGAGGCCCAGTTGGCACACCACATCGACCGTGGTGAGGGGCTGCCAGCTGAAGCAGCGATAGAAGCTTCCTGCGCTGGTGACGTGGAAGTGGTGTTGGTTGGATAGTACTTTCGATCATGTCGGAATCGAGATCCACCAAGACAAAATCGTCGGATGGCAGCTCAACCTTCTCATACCTACGCTCGATACCCACGATATAGGGGCAAGGTGCCTCGAGTGCTTGGATCAACCGCGCAGGGAGAATGGGGATCAAGACACCAGCCCACTCGATTGGGAACAAAAGATCAACCAGGGCCCTGGTCGCCAGATACAGCATCGAGGTGTGTGAGGACAAGAAAATGATACGGGACTCCGTAAGGGCGTACTCGAGCAGAATGATAATATTCGATAACGAGAGGGTCCGGAACAACGCATAAAGGTCTGTGTTTCGAGATCCTGGAAGTTCATTGGTCGCCTCTTTTCGTGCGAATAGTCGCAACTCTCTGACCGAAAGCTCGACCTGGGTCTTGGAGGAGTTGGGACTGAATGCTTCCGTGCAAAGGTTCATCACATATCGCTCCAGTGGCTGCCAGATGCCCATGCGGGGAGAGCTTGGGGGTACTCGTTGAACACTGCCATCGGTCATTGGCACGACGACGGCTTTCAACCACTCCTTCCAGAAACCAGTCATGTTTGCCTCGCGCCCGAGAATACCGTATGCACGAGGGATCCAGAATCCAGTGTCTCCGTCGGTCAATCCGTCGATCTTCGACGCGGCGGCATGGCGGACGGGGCGAAGGAGGTCAGTCATCAGCCCGATCTTCTCCTCCACGGCGCTGATATCGTCCTCCAATTGCTCTCGTTGTTCTGAGCCGGAAGGTACCGTTGGAAGTTGTGCTAAGAGTCTGGAGAGCTTAGCCCGCTCGAGTGCCAGCCTCTCGCCAAGACTCGCCGCCAGTTCTCTCTCCTCGTCCGTCATGTTATCTTTGCGCCATTCTTCGCATCGCTTCTCTAGTTCTTCCGCAGCCTGTGGGTTAAGGGGAATCCATATGATGACGCAAATAGCATGCAACCGGGAACCGTTATCTGTTGTCATGGCGAACCCGTGCCAGGTGGATCGAGGTCTCTGGTCCGACGAGACAATGTTGATATCGTTCGGAAACGCAAACATCGGAACATAATCGGGGAAGTTTCCTCGCTGCTTCAATTCATCGGGCATGCCCTTGGTGGGGTAACGGTCGAGGAGAACCGGCTCGAATCTCCGTTTCAGGGGATGCATGGTAGGGGATATTTCCAGGGGCTGTGGGGCAGGAATGACAGAGTTGTAGTTGCTCAGACGGCGCGAAGTTCGAACCGATGCTATAAGCAGAAAAGCAGTCAGTCAATGCCGCAGATTCGTGAATACTTTCCGTGTTTACTTACCTTGACGAGCAATTGAGGGCTGTCTCTTCATACTGTTCATATCGCGAAACGCCATATGCCGCCGAACACTTCCAATTCCAGATCGGATTAAGCTGCTTGGCTGGGAGTTGCCTTCTTCAGAGACAATCTTTTGCGTGCGTAATCTAGACCGAGGTCGGGAGGAGGGGGTGATAGCCCCCGCACTGAGACTCAAGTCGGACAGAAAGGAGTCCCTCTCCGAGGCGAACTTGAACAATGCCTTGTCAAAGTCCTCATCTTCCAGGAACGAAGAGCCTCTCGGAGACTGAGCGGCACCCTTGATGGTCATACTGCTTCGATTGCTACTGGTGCCATTCCCACTGAAATCGGAGTCCCCCGAGCGCATGGACAGGCGTTGGAACGAGGCCGAGCTGGGTCTAGAGAGTCCATCCAGACGGGGGTCATGGGCATCTTCCGCGTCGGCATCCTCCTCAATGGTATCGGCAAGAGCGGGGCCGGGGGAGGTAGCGCTGTTTGCTCTGTATTCATCTCCTAGCCGTTGAAACGTCTCGAGGACCTCGGTACCATCCACACCAGCGATCCAAAAGTAATCCGCGAGGGGGGTGCCCGACGCCTCCGAAGTAGAAGGGGCCATGTTGTTATCGCCGTTGGCAGAAAGACCGCGGGTTTGTGATCATCAATCGTGACTAGTCCACTTCGTTGTTTTTGTCGTCACCACATCGAACCGCTTTGTAATCTGGGGTTGTATCCGAGGGTAACCTTAGCAATCGATGGATTTGGGATAATCAGGCAGGTTCATGCGATGGGACTGAGCACACATAAGTTCGCGGAAGATGCGCGACACGGCCGTCGCAGGGTAGTCGGCGGAGTCCCAACTCGAAACTCTCGTGGTTTAGTGGAGGAGGGGGGGCAGAGAGAGGAGGAATTGAATTGAAGAATGAACGAAGGGAGGAAAGATTGAATTGAATTGAGAAAGAAAAACAGTCGGGAAATCTGGATATTTCCGTTCTAGCACGACATGCAAAGGAAAAGGAGGAGAAGGAGAAGTTGGTGGTGGTAAAGGGGGCGGGCAAGAGAAGAGGGCAAGATGGCAGGAAGAAAAAAGAATTGACTTGTCAACCTCTTCTGAGTAGAAAACCCCCGAGAAGTGTGATTTTTTTTCCCTTTCTTTTTCTTCTTTTCTTTACTTTTATTGAAATAGTATTTTTTTTATCTTTCTTATTATTTAATTTTTTATCTTCTGTGTTTTTCAAAAACACACAGACAGTAAAAAAAAAAAAAAAAAAGAAAAAAAAAGGACGGATGGTTGCGTAGGCTGGAAGGGGGGGGGGGGAAGAAGAAATGCCACCTAGTGGTGGTGATAGTACCTTAACTGCTGCTAACTAAAGCCGACTAAACCCCCCGTCCTGTCTGTCTATCCTCCCCCCGCTCTGCTGCGCACACGCACACCTTTAGTTTCAGCAGTTGGAGATGATAATTAATATTCAGTCTTACTACTGAGTTCAATTGCTGGTACCACTACTGTGTATTATATATGATTCATATTCAGGGGAAATATGAAAATAAAAATAAACAAACACATGCAAGAATAATAATAAAAAGAAAAGAAAAGACAAAAGAAAAAAAAAAAACAGGGACAAAAAAAGCAAATATCGATACTAGGTGCGATGCATGTAACTATGGCCAGTGTGCATATGGGGCTAACTACCTGCTGAATGTATGTACAATCCAAATCCAACCACGCCAATAATACGACTGTGAGGGACCGACAGGAACGGCGAGCGAGACTGACCTGGCCGGACGATGATCGGAACCAAAAGGTGGAGCAGCGATTTATATTGCAGTTCATGCTACGCCACCGTTCGGCCAGCGAGTAACCATGGAACGGGGGTAGGGGGGGGGGAACCATTGCCATTGCTGTTTGTGATTATGATCGCTGATGGACACTGTTGTCGGTCATCCCCAATCCCCATATCCCCATGATGATAACTAGTAGTTACTCAGTAGTACTACAGTAGAATATCAATGATCCGACAGGTGGTGTGGACCAACGGGTTGACTGTGCGTTGACTTCAAACCCATCCAGTGCGGGTACCCTTGCTCCAACAACGCTGCTCCGTTCAAGCTTCATTGTCAATCATGTCAATCTTGCCCTGTCTAACACTCTACAGTCCTCCACGATGACACCATTGTCCACGAGAGACGGAAGGACCTCACGAGTCAACAGCCGATCCATTGTCCCTTGACTGATAAAGATACGAAAGGGGATTCAGCTTCACAATGTCTGAAACCCCAGTCTCTGATTGGTCGATACACCCATTGATCGATCCATTGTTACTCCATGGGGTAGAATGACAATCCTAGGTACACTCAGTCCTGCGCCGTATGTACCTAAGAAGAATAGGCAATCATCCTCCGTTGCCCGTTCCATCGGTCAAGACTGAGAAAAAAAAAAAAAAAGAAAAAAAAAAGTGGAGGCTGTGAGTGTAACCAGTGCCTTACATTTCCGAGGTTGGGGGCGTGGAGCAAACTGGAGCACCACTGGAGTAGACCGTAGGAGAGAGAGTAAATGAAAAGAGGGGTTCTTTATACAGTAGTTGTAGCGATGGATAAAACGATGACGATATTCATCCATCCATTTTATTATGATTATGATACTGATATTTTTGCGGTGTGTTCTCGCGACTTCTTCCTCTAGCAAATTAGGCGGTTTTTTGACTCATTTGACTCGTTTTTAGGCCCCAGAAACCCACATGCAATAATCCTTACCTCACAGAAAACCCGACCTTCCCCAGACTTTTCCACTGCAGGTTCTGCAGATATTTTAAATTACGTCTTTATTGCTTTATAGGTAGATATTTTCTTATCTTTTCTCAGCGGCAGAGTACACTTGTCTATACCGACATTCAGGCAGTCATTTTTCTCAAGTATTTTTTATATTACACCGTTCTTTCAAACCAGTCGGGCGTGATCAGCATGAAACGTGCGCTCGGGAGCTGGCAGATAAGGGGGTTGTCGTTGTGGCGAGCTGAATGGACATTGTGTTACCCTTGTATTCCCTGTTTCTCTGTGATAACAGAATATAATATAGTATATTATTATTTGTATTTTTATTATGTTAGTTTTGTTTGTTAATACTATAAAGTATAACAGTTGGTGTTCTGGTCGACAGCTGAATGCTATCGCATCGACGAGTCTAGATTCATGGGCTGAACTCATCCTGGCCTATTACATGCATATCCCCTACTCTGAGCATTCTTCACCTGGAATGCCAACTGTCAGTTCTAGACTACCATCGACACTGATAAAGCCGTAAAGCATCAGGCATCTGTCGTCAAATCCCTTCGCTTCCCGATCGTGGTCTGGATTTACTTCAAACCCATCCTTCCCATGGCCTGTGACACCCTCTCCCGATGGAAAAGATAGTGGATCTCCGATATCATTCCATGACTCTGATTTGTGAAGTATCCTTGTATTACCTATATTTATCTCTCTCCCTCCTCCAAATAGTCCAGCCTTCTAGATCGCCCGTTTCAAATGCCACATGCAGCTAAGCGCTCTGGCTGTAAGGAACCGTCATTACACTGCAAACACTGTGTTTCATGCTCGTCGTCGCGTCAGTAGATTTCCTGTCGTCAGGAACCCTTTATCTCCCATCGCTCCTCTCCATTCTATCGACAGCTGCCCTAGAGTCGCTCTGCCGTCTCGTTTCATGTCTTTCTGTAGTGCTTCCAACCCTTCCTGCTGTCCTTCTTCTTGTTCCACCAGGAATGCAACCTGGAGCACGTCGCGTGGGTTCAAAGTAGGTGGCGGTGATTGGACCGAGTCGGGCCTTTCGTAATCCCAATTCAAAGAGACCGCTTTGAATGGCGGTTTGGGGTTCAGTCTGGTAGTCTGCTCTTCATCAATAACCAAACGAGCACTCCCAGTATAACAGTACACACCTTTACGACCACAGCACCATCGCCCACATTTTCCAACTGTGCCTCGAGAGCATACCGCACAAGCCGTGCCTTTCCATATGGCCCCAACGACTTGTTTTCCACTTCCAAAGGTGACAGCTCCGACGCTTTGGTCCTGACACTCAGACAAGGCTGGGCGACAAACTGATACAGCTTGCGGAAAGTCCGAACTCGCCCACCCGCAGCCTGAGAGTCGGATCCCATCAGCGTCTCCGTATAACTGACACTCACGGCCAAAATATGGTTCCCTTCTTCCTTCAGATCAAACCGGACAATCTTCTGTAACGACTCCCCTTTCTGTAGGCCCTCTGCCTGGGCTCCATCACTACCGGGCTCTAACTCGAGAGATGCTACTTGTGATGGGGTTTGCATTTCAGCGACTATCCGGATGGAGGTGACCACGCGCGACGTTTCTTCTTCTGGAAGTTCATTGTTTGCGCCGAGTGTGCAAGCAAACGTTTCTCCGACGTAGGCCGATCCAAAGGCAGGAGGGAGTGTAAGCTAAACAAAATTAGCATGTAGTCTCACAGAAATAGGCACTAGATTGGGCATACGTTAGGACTGAGAATAAATTGATCGTCGGCATTGTCGGAGGGGTAGCTTAATGACGCTTTGGTCGAGATCTTCGTGTTGGCTGCTGGGAGTGGAGACTGGTAGGATAAAGAAGGCCGCGAAAGACTAAACCATCAGGATAGATCGATACACTGAGGACGCAGCTGGGCCTTACCGCAATACTGGACCTTGATCAGCCAGGCCGCTTCAATGAATCCTCCAGCAGTGCGTACCTTTCAAAGAGACCGCATGGGGTTCTTTCGGGGCATCAGCACCCGATTGAGCACGCGGGCGAGCCATCTCAAATATTATGAAAGAAGAGAGCAGTTAAAATGGGATAAATCGTAAATGTCACCGTCCCTAAAGACGTTGTCGAGAAACATCATCGTTATCAGGATGGGCCACGCTAGCCGTCAAGCAAACAATGCAAACAGCGCAAATGCAGCAAACCTCCGCATTACGATTGGCGTTGTCGATATCAATAAACATTTGACAATTAGATTTCAGAAGTTAGATGATTCGACTGCTCATTTTACCCTCATATGGGATATTATATCATTTTCAATGCTGTATGCGATGTTATTTTGTGACTTGTCGATTTTGATCGCGCTGTGAACTACGTCATAACCCCCTATTCCACCCAGTGTTTATCGCCATTGCCTAAACGAGATGATTTGCTCCCGCGGAACGCCACCGCGACTTCAGCATCCTACTACCACAGTGCGGTCCCTATACGGAACATTTTGATCAAAAGCCACCAAGTACATTCTGCTCTGTGGTGAGCTGTAGCTATTGGGAAATTTGGATAAGATTCGAAAATGGTCACCGCTGCGCCTAGACTCTTGCGAGACTCAACTCTCAGCGCGGAAGGACCAGAACGAGTTGAAGCCTGGAAGCGACAAGACAGACAATATATGAACGAAAGTCTTAAAGAAATAAAACCAAACTTACCTAAAGTGGCAAAGAGGAAGCCAGAGGCCCAGCCTGAATCTTCTAGGGCATCGTCCAAATATGCACGGCGGGGGAGGGGTGATGACGTCGCGGGATCATCGAGGTCAGCTGCAGTTATTGATTTGACTGGCGATGAACCCGTGTCCAAGCCGACAAAAACAAGACCAACGAAGACCCAAAAGAGCAAGATATTGCCTGATGGACCTCTTCCTGAAAAGAGGGCTCGGCCGTTTCGCAAGCACCCTCCAAAGACTTATCTGGAGAGACTGGCTCGTGCCACCAGTCAAAGGTGCGACTCCCTCGCAACATCTATTCAGATATATCAACTAATACATGTGTTTTTGTATAGAATGTTCGTCCTGGGTCATAGTTTTACCGGCACTGGAGAGGGCGAGGCGCTTGAAATGAACTTTGATATTGCCGGCTCGACTGGGAACATCTACAAAACCGTCATTCGGAAGGTGCCTACCTGCGACTGCCCCGATTCTGCCAAAGGCAACCAGTGCAAGCACATCTGCTATGGTATGTATTCTCTGCTCTTCTCTTCTCTCTTTTCCTCCTCTTCCTCTTCGCTCACCTCATCTTCACGCATCAATACCGCTGCATCTTTGCTATCCTTACCCTTTTCATCATCAGTATCTTGCATACTCTTACTCTATCACTACTGCATTCTTAACGTCGTATCTTTGTTATTCTTATTGCTATCGTTATCTCATTCGCTATCGTTACCCTGCATATTCTTACTGCATCACTACTTACCGCATTTCTTATCATCGCATCCTTACTATCATTACCTTGTATACTCTTACTCTAGCGTACTTATCCCCTTCTATCACTACCCAAGTATACTTATTCACCTTTCCTATCGTTACCTATTTTTATCTGCATCATTACCTGCATCATTATCATTCGTATACCTATTCTTATATAATGCTCATGGCCTATCAAGCCCTAGTGAAAGCTCTCAAAGCCCCCGAGCATTTGCAGTACCAGCTGGCATTCTTGTCATCGGTAAGTCCTGTTGACTGCTGCACCAATTTTGACTCATTCTTTGCAATCAGGAACTTCGCGAAATATACGAGGGGTCGCCTCTCAGTCGCCAACAGGATAAAGCTGAAGATAACGATGGCAACAGGAAAGCGGTGGAAGGCGACTGTCCCATTTGCTTTATGGAATTCGAGCCTGACAAGGAGGAAATCATCTGGTGCCAAGCGGCGTGCGGGAACAACATCCATAAGACTTGCTTCAATCAGTGGGCTGCTTCCCAGCGCCACCGGGAAGTTCGCTGCGTGTATTGGTAAGTTCCACCCGATACTGTTGTAGAATTTCACTAACACCGTTTGTTTAGTCGTTCGCCATGGCAGGCTGACACTAGCAACCTTAACTTGGAGAGTCTCAAGAAGCAGGGACATATCAGTGAGGATGGGTACGTTAATGTAGCTGACCAACTGGGTCTTTCTGGCGCACGTGGTACGCAACCGTCCCTGTACTAACCCCGCTCGGTCCTATACCTTCCAAATATGTTCTAACGGTGAATCTTTTCTAGATTATTCAAGCTATCATCAGCCTTGGGGCTACCGGGGTTCGTTCTCCTCTGGCTGGCGTAGGGGTTATGGCCGTTACTATTAATGGAGTGTTTTGGGAGCAACGGGGATCGATTTATACTATAACTGGCTGATAGTTTTGGAGGCTTCGGGCGTTTTATACTTGGGAATTTGCTATATACCCTTGCTTGATGTATATTGATGGTGTTTGGGCTAGGGCTATGATTGGGAGCGTGGTGTGGAGATACACAATTATCATTGCTACTTCAACCTCATGGTGGCAGCTTGTATCGTTATCTATCTACCTGAAAGCTTCGAAATGATGGAAGACTTCCTTCGCGTTGGGCCCTATTCAGTTCTGTAAATCCATGCATCCCGGATCGTGAACTGGACAACTGATTGGCACTGATTTACAAATGCCACAAGAGCTAGACCTTTCGTATTCATGAGATGACCGGACAGTCTGTATCCGTCTTATCCTGGTGGGTGGTATCTCTGCTGGATTATCCGATGCTGCTAGCAACGATATAGTCGTGACTATAACCCACGAGTGCCTTTGTACTCTGCATTGAGTCCAGATTGCGTGATAATCATCCGGAGGTTCTCAACAAACCCGGCAAAATACTTATAAACCGATATCAGTTTGATTTTTTCAGCCGCTATCCTTGAGGATTCGCTTCCCTTGATGGACGGTAGCCACACTGACGGCCTCTTCACCCGTCATCCAGGATGGCATACGTTCGGGGTCGACGACGCCAAGTTCCGTTAATTTGCGAATACCGCTGATGACGTCACTACCGGCAAACGTAAGTGAGATTGTAGGCTGGGCCTGCTCGGGATTAGTATCCTCGGATGCATTTGGGGAGTCGAGGAGTCGGACGTCAAGACGGTCGAGAGGGGCAGATGATAGATCGGATCCTGAAGTACCGAAGCGGGAGTGGATGGCTAGTTTGCGCTTTTTGGATGCGTGGGGGTCCGAGTCGAGGTCTGTGTTTGGTTGTTTGCGTCGGCTGTTGTTGGTGTCTTTTTCATCCTGTTCCGGAGTGTGGGTTGGTCGATCCAGGTATTCTTCTGGGGTGACAGTGTTTGATGGACGGGGATCCAGTGGACTTCCTTCTACCACTGCATCGGCGAAGATGCTGAATGCTCCGTTTGCTGCGTTGGTTCGGCCTGGACCACGGAGTGAGAGGAGAGCTTGCAGGCTCTTTGCTGTCAAAGAGGTTGCTTTCAGGGTGTAACGTTCCTGGGGGTGGGAGAGGGCTTTTGGAAGAGCATCGCGGACCAGGCGCTGGAGACTTCGGGCATCCGTGCCTACGAGGTGAGTTGTCGCAGCGCTGGCTTTGGGTCCAGACGAGGCGATTGACGTGTAGATAAATGGACAGCTGTCGGGGAAAGCGACGTAGATGACCCTTGCTGAATCTGTAAGTGTTTCTGGTAGCTGGTGAGGATGTTGATAGGGGGAATTGGTGACGAAGATGCGAAGAAAGGTGAGGGGCAGCGAGGCCGAGCGGACGAGATGATAATGCGCTTTGACGAGTGGGGATATTTGTTGCTGGAGTTTCTTGAGGAAAGTCGAGGCGTGAATGCGTGGGAGACACCCAGAGAGATCTGCGGTAGATGATGGTGGTGGTACTCCGTCTGCGCCAATGCGCGTGAGCTCCAATGCAGTCCATCGCAGACTCGATGGATGATCGTCCATGTAGCGAATGTCGACCATAGCCAGCTGGCGCAGAGTGATCCCGTGTCTCCAGTCACCTTCTAGAATGCGATCAATCACCTCCCGCTTTCCGCCTTTTCTGTCCTGCAGGTCTTGGTAGGCGTTCCGCACATCGTCGACGGTCTGCTCGGCGGGATACGCAGCGGTTTCATCGTCGTCGTCGTCCACGCTTTCGACATCGTCTTGTTCGAGATATGGAGGGAATGACTGCACATTACGATCGTCGAGCCATTGGATGGCGAGATCGAGTAGAGCTGGCCGGGATAGCTTTCCAAACGCCTTGACGAGAGATGGAGTCGAGGAGGGAATGCGGAAATTGCTTGGGAGACTGGCTGTGGTAGGGGCGCGGATTGTTTTTGGACGCGCCATTGTTGGAATCAGATAGCCAGGAGGTGAAGAAGGGAATGAGCTAGCCTCATATCCGGGTTGTATAATTGAAGCAAGACTGGTGGTGTTGAGTTGGTGGAATGTTGTGACGCGCAGGTTCCATCCAGAGCTGCACCCTGACCTTTCAGGCATCAACACTTGCTGTGTCACGTGGCGATAGCGCATGCCACCTGCCGATAAGCCAATACTGTTCTGGAATTAATTCCTTTTGCGATCATTGCTTTTTGCCCTGTTTGACGCTGTTTATATGTTGTTCGAATGATTGGCTGGGCTTTTCTGATAGATCGAGATATCCCCGCGTTGTGATCGACTTATACTAGTAGGTACGATCTACAGTATACTTGTAGTACTTGGTGTATGCAGGTTGTCTATTCTATCTTGATTCTTGTCCGTTCCATGACCAGGAATGAATCAGATAAACAATGCATATACGATGTGCTCTTAATACGACCACCTGGTCTATATAGGGCTGTTTTATTGGATGCTGATTCACCATCGAAGCCGGTTATTATCCGTATCCAAGGATGGTTAATTATTAAGCGGGGCGCCAACAGCGCCAGGAAGAAAAGGAAATGCCGCAAAGAGGGAAAATGCCGGAAGTGAGGCTGACAAATTGCAGGTGCAGCAAACCCGTGCATATCCAGTCTTCAGATCGGTCAACTCATAATAATGACCACAGCATGATCGTGGTGGTGAGGGTCATGGTTGGATCATATGAAATCATCTTAATTCATCGGGTGAGCCATGATTCCTGATCCTGATCCTGAAGCAGCGCAAACTTTGTCTGTTTCCAGGCCTCCGGGTTCCGATGCCGATTTCGGCCATGACATGGAGATCGAGTCATGGAGGCAAACAATGCTGAAATTCGAGGGAAAGAGAGCGATGTTAGAGTGAAGTGAATAGACAATTAAATTGATATTGCAGACTAATTACCAGATATCTATCGACTATGTAAAAAAAATAGCAGCCTTTAGGTAATTATCGGACTCTGTAACTGCAACTGGATTAATCATCCCCCCTCCCCCACCGCACCAAACCCGAACCAAACGCCGTTTCGCTCTCCGTTCGCCCCAGCGCTATTCTTCTTCGTCCGTCCCACCACAATCGCTTCCTTTCTCCATTCTCTCCTCCCCTCTCCGTTCTTGTTTCTTCCTCGACACGCAAGAACCCGTTTCGATACTCTTCCTGGAGACGTTTTGATTCTACGGTATACACCGCATCGTTCCCGTCTGACTGAGCCTCGCTCAACGGCTCGAAAGCCTCGTCGAATTTGCCAACCATATTCCTCCGATTTAATCGGCCCTACTTCTATCGAGAAACGATATCTATCTGGTTGGAATTGCGAAACCCCGGTGCGGAGAGGCCCCGAAGCCTCCAGTCGATTCCAAAATGTCCGGATACAATGGCCGCCGCGCTCCCAACTTCTCCCAATACTTGGAGGACTTGAACGCCATTCCCTCGCCTTACGACCAGGCCATCCAGCAGCAGCAACAGCAGCAGGACTCTTTCAACATCGACTCCGAACTGTCCCTTTTCACCAATGCCGAGTTCTTCGATTTCGACAAGTTTGGAGATTTGGGACTGCCTACGTTTGACTCGGTGGATGATGGCTCAAAGAAGGACACCAACAACAAGACTGCGGAGCAGAATGCCGATATGAAGTTCTTGGACCTCCTCAATGGTGAGTCTGACTGTTCCTTGATGCACAGCGTGCTGCTTTGTCTTTGAACCCCGAGCTGGATCTGTTTGAATCGCATTTTCGCATCTACCATATCTACGGTCATCTTTCTGCTGTGTTTGAAGGCGCTTTACGTCTTGTTACTTCTCAAACAGAATATCTTCCTAGCATGGCCGTTTTTCCATTGCTTATCCGTTATCTGCTTTCCTGCAACCCTTGCATTTGGTCACACTTGTCCCCTCTTGCCGCTTCTTTTTGCTTTTTTTTCCATTTTCATCCTCATTTTTACCGTGTATCACGATCACCCGCACGGGCCTTTGAAAGATCCATTTTTTTCAGGGCTGCGTGAACTTTGGTTTGTGTGAATGGCAAAAAAGGATTTATATGGCTGGGATCGGCGCGTTGCGATTGGCCCCGTTTGATGTGAGCGGGAGGCTTCATTGCGCCATACCACGTGACCGCCGTACCACCTCGTGCTTGATGAGCTCGTGTTGGGCTGTGTCTATATCTAGGGCTTTTGAATGGCCTCTTCTGCTTTGCTGCCTTGCTGTTCTTTCATGTTTTTTTGCCACCACGCCCGTCAGCTCGGGGGGCTTTGCAGAGCATGTTCGATGCCTGCTTTGATTATGACCGTGTTCTAATATCTATATAGATGGTCTTGGCAACATGACCGAATACCCACCTTCCGAGTTCAATATTGGAAATGCGCAGCCCATGCACATGCAAAATGCTCCCTTTGCGGGTCTCCCATCGATTCCCAGCGGGCCCATCAATGCCAACCCAGCTGCGAACCAGTCGTCCCCGATTGCGGCACCTCAATCCGCTGCGCCCACGCCGGCAAGCTCCAACAGCGCTCCGACCCCCATGCCTGCTCCGGCTCCTAAGCGCAGGCAATCGTCCAAGGCGAGCCCCCTGGATGTGGAGGAAGTGTCCAAGATCGCAGCGGAAGAGGACAAGCGTCGTCGCAACACGGCCGCCAGCGCCCGTTTCCGTGTGAAAAAGAAGATGCGCGAGCAAAGCCTCGAGAAGACCGTCAAGGAAACGACCGACAAGAACAACGCCCTCGAGGCCCGTGTCACCCAGTTGGAGCTGGAGAACTCGTGGCTGAAGAACCTGATCACCGAGAAGAACGGCTCGCTGTCGCTTCAGGGAAAGAAGTCCGAGTCGGACATTGCCGACATGTTCAAGCGATTTTTGGCTTCTCAGAAGACAGCCAGCGACCGTAGTTCCTCCGAGTCCAAGATCGGCGTTGGCACCAGTATTTGATGATTTAGAACAAAGTTTTGTTTCTGTTTACGTTTGCGTTCCATGGTTTTCTTATTAATTACATGACACCCTTGTTTTCGTGTGTATATTTTGACTTGGTTTATTCTTTCCCTAGGGGAAGTGCGGATGGCGTCTGTGGATAGGGGTTGGGGGTTGGGTGGAAGACTCTATGACTGACGATTCGTCACTGCGTTTGTTACGTTTAATCAATAAAAACTTGATAACTAGTATACTTCAACATGGAAGTCCTCGGCTTTTTAAAGTAGACACTTGGTACTATGTCTATCAACATGAACAAGTCCTTGTATAGTACACTACTTTTTCGCAACAATGACCATGCCTCTAACAACACCACTCCTAGCCCACCACCCAAACACCTTCCCAGCCCCCTTGAACTTGCCCACGCCCATCCCAAACGGCCTCAACATTTCATCCTGCCTGCGTATATACCTCTCAATCCCAGAAAACACATGCTCGGACAGATCCCTCGCCGTGATGCTCTCCTGCTCATAACCAGCACCCACCAGCATCTCCTCATACTCACCCCAAGTGAGGAAATTAGAAAACGGCGTCCCAGACACCCAGCAAATCACACGCATCAGCAACTTACTCCACACCGACGCATCGTCCGCTAACACGAGATCAAACGCCATGATCGACGCTTGCAGGTGCGAGCATGCATATTCCACGAGTGGTTTCCGTGAGGGTCGGAAGTGGTATAGGGTATCCAGGGCGAGGAGGTATGTATTTCTTTCTGTGCTTGGGTTTGAGTTTCTATTTTTCAGACTGCCACTGCTGTTGCTGCTGGTATTGCTACTCGTACTGGTACTGGTAGTGGTAGTGGTGGCGGACGATCGCGATGTAGTCCTACCACCGCCAGCCTCGTTTCGAATCGCGTGCTTCACCTCAGCACTCCATGTGGCGGGTTTCGCGGCATCCGCGCAGAAAAGGTGAATATTCGGTGTAACTAGACCGCCAGTAGAGGCAGAACTAGTCATGGAAGGGGGAGGTGTAGGCGTAGGCGTAGACCGCTCATCGTTACCAAGATGGTGCTTTCCATGCATCGATGGCGCCATGCGTTGACGAGCAAACTCCGCCTGGGATTCGGTAATTGTAATTCCAACGTAGGAGGAAAAGAGGGGGCGGTGGCTACCGCTACCACTCCTACTGTCTGTGTCTCCATCGTGGGATTCACCTGATGGGGAGTAGGATAATTGAGTCAAATACAGTGACTGATCACCACATCCGAATCCGACATCGACAATGTTAGTCGTCGTCTTCTTTGCATGAGGCGGTATCGGACGACCATTCTCATCGAGTAAACCTGCCGTAATGAGAACTTGGTCTAGAAGGGCTTTGCAGGCTTGTGGGAGGGCTGATTCGTGCTGGTCTTTTCATTAGCCTCTATTTACTTTTTCTTCTCTAAAAACTGGTTAGATGGAGTCGTTACCTTCCAATACCCCAGGTTCATCCACATGCGGGTAGGAAGTTCAATATTGAGAATTGCATGATCGAGACCGTAGACATCACTGTCTTTTGGGCGGAAAAGAGCTAGGAATTTGCCGATTATGGTGATGATCCAATTGAAGAGGCCCATGTTGGGCTGGTTGATGTTGATGATACGGTAGGTAACTTGGTGATTGTCACTGGTTGGACGGTGTGTGGGTCATAGTACTTCAGCCTGAGGCATCTATATTGCCTAGATCGCTTTACTTTTACTACATGTTAATTTGAATAATGTAATGATGAGATTAATATTAGCTAAATGTCTAGTACAACTTTTGATAAATATTGAAAATATAGACCATCAAGTACGCTTTCTCCAAACGCGCACTCTAAACAGGTAATACAAGGAGATGGCACAGAAAACGTTAAAAACAAAGTACGCCCAGAAGATGCCATAGTTGCGCCAGCGGTCTTCCCAGTAGATTTTGCGCGCTGCCAAGTACTGATCAGCGTATGTCATGGAGCAGTATTCGCAATTAGAAGTGGCATTGTTGTTGTTCAGCTTCCCGCCTGCGACTGAGATATACTTCTCCATGTACTGCCAGCAGGTTTGATTGGATGGTGGGTTGAAGATGCTCAGTTCTGCCATGTTGCACTCCACGGGACGGCCGTGGAGGACTGTACTACCGATGCCGCTGACATAGTATGTGAATGGGGAGACACGGTACATGAAAATCCAAAACCGTGGCAGGTTGTCTGGTGGTTGCATGACGCCATTGAAGATGAAGCCAAAACTGAACATCAAGGTCGCAAGCATGGCTGCGAGTGTCGGTTTGCCAATCGCCGATACAGCCATCTGAGCCATGGAGCCTGCGTAGATGAAGAACTGGACGATGAATAGTAATGTCAATGCTCGTCGTTCAGAACTCTGATCAGTCCCAATCACCGACCAGTAGAAGGAAGCCCAGGAGCAGACACCGAGACAAGCTTGCCAGGGAAGCTCGACGAGGATCTGCGATAGAATGAAGACTTTCCAAGAGTAGACCCGCGATGGCCGCTCTCGGACTTCATACAACGAGCGCTGCATGACGAATTTCGGCATGATCTGGTTGACGAGCGTCGAGAAGATGGTACACAACAAGAAGATACTGAAGAGCACATTTTGGAATCCCTGTTGTGTATTGTCTGCTTTCCAGAAGGAGAAGCCAATGAAGAGACCAGAAACAACACCCAAAATGTACTTGGCCAAAACGTATTCTGGTTGGCGGTAGTATTGTTGGAACACACGCTGCAAGACGTAGAAAAGCTGACTGTACAGGGGCATGGCGAATTCGGCATTACTGTCATCTGCAGAAGAGGAGTCAGGAGCAGGCTGGTCGGAAGATTGAAGTCGGTCAACCTCTGCAACAACTCCCTTGTACTCGGGACTATCGCGCCAAGTTTGAACCCAATCAACTCCTGCAGACGCATCTCCTCCCGCGAGCATCTCGAGAATATACTCCGCAGGGTTCTCTAGCTCCTCGCAATTTCTGGCTCCGTTGCGCTCAAAGTACTCAAGAAGGGTATTGGAATCTTTCCCGATATCACCAAAGTAAACAGTCTTGCCTCCTTTAGCTAGGAAAAGCAAGCGATCGAATGTTTGAAACAGCAAGGCACTCGGCTGGTGAATGGTAGCAAGGACTGCTTGACCATGATCTGCCAACCGCCTGAGGAATGAGCAGATAGTCCATGAACTCTGAGAGTCCAGACCACTGGTTGGCTCGTCAAGGAATATCAGGAGTGTAGGCTTCGCAGCAAGCTCAACTCCGATGCTCAGCAACTTTCGCTGCTCAACATTCAGACCTTCTCCGAGGGATCCCACAACTGCCTCTGCAAAATCCTCCATGCCCAAAAGCTTGATGACTTCCTCGGCATAATCGTACTTTTCCTTCTTGGAGACCGTTCTGGGCTGGCGGAGCATGGCACTGAAGCGAAGGGCTTCACGCACGGTGGTAGTCTCCAAGTGAAGATCTTGTTGCTGCACATATCCTGTTCTGCGAGGGAAGTTGGGCTCGAGGGCTCTCCCGTTCACCAAAATGTCACCAGTGACCACACCGATAGACACTCTCTGGGCAATAACATCCAAAAGAGTCGTCTTTCCGGCACCGGACACACCCATCAACGCCGTCAAAGTTCCCGGTTTTACCCAGCCGTTCACATCGTCGAGCAATCGCCGCGTGCCCTCTTTGACGGGGATGTCGTAATTGAGGCCCTTCCAGGAGAGAATATCTTTCTGTTCGGGGAGATGAATTTCCTCCTCACTGGCTTGCACCCCAGGCTTCTCAAGAGTAACCTCCCCGCCTTCAGATTGCTGGAGATAGCTCGGAACATGGCCAGGACGGAATACCAAAGTCTCGGCCTTGGACTTGTCGCCAGTGTTGAATTCCGTGAATGCCAAGTAAAGGCAATTGAAGAAGACCATGAAAGCAATGAGAATACCATAGTTCCGCCACAGGTGGGAGTAGTGGTAGTTGTAGTTTTGTTCAATGAAAGCGTCTCCGGACACAAATGTTTCTCCTGCAACTGCACCGAGAGCCGAGCAAATGAAAGAGTCCCCGGTTCCATAGCTAGGAACTAGTGATGCACAGTCAAAGTTCCGTCCATGAAACTCATTGGCTATCAGCCCCTCGAAGGTGTAAAAGATTGGATTGATCCATCGGATCCAGGAGAGCCACGGATGCATATATGACTCGGGCAACGTGAACCCGGTATACACAACAATGCAGAGGACCAAAATACCAGCCAACGCCATGGCTTGTCCGATGGTCTTCGTTGCTGCTCCCAAACTGCGGAAAATTCCAGACATTGTCAAGATTGCAGTAACCAAGAATAAGTAAAAGATGAAAAACTGTGACGGCTCTCGGCGCAGATTTGCCATGAAGTAAAGAACAATTCCAAAGACTGAGCAGCGTAGCAACTTGATAGGCAGGTCGATAATAATACTGGCCAGAGATTCAGTGAAAGGATGGACGAATGCATAGCTTGCTTGCTTTTCCACAATAGGCCGTTGACTGTATAGTTGCATGATCTCATTGATAGTGACCAAAGCGTTCATAAGGACCGAAAGATACAACACAGCTCCCTTTTGAAAAAAGGCACTGCTATCATTCGGGGAATTGTAGAACATCGAACCGATGACCAAGGAAAGAATGACCTGGACTATCACAGGGGACATGGCTGTCGGTATGTCGTTTCGCAACCGCTGGGCGGCCCGTTGGAGGCACAGACGAATTTGCATTGGAACTGAGAGAAGATATGGACTTGTTGCACGGGTATGGCGAGCTTGTTGTTCTTTGTGGCTGGTTTGGAACTCTTTGGCCTCGGATTCATTTGGTCTGTGGTTGGATTGATATTGTGCAACTTGATTACACAGATCCTGATACTCAGGGCTGCGTCTCCAATAATCGGCGAATTTCTTGGGAGTGCGAGGCACTTTGTCCTCCATGTCTGGTCGTGCCTTTCTTTCCCTGGGATTTGTGACGGCGGTTAAAAAGTCACCACTCACTTGGCGTTCTGGTCGCTCCCAACCCATCTCCTGGAAGTAGGCCACTGCACGATCACAAGGACCAAAGTAGATCTCATAACCCTCATAGAGAATGATGGTCTTGTCAAATAAATCATACATGGACTGAGAAGCTTGGTAGGCGGCAACAGCATGGCAAGAGTGGTTCATATCAGCAGCAAGGCGCAAGGACTTGATGAATCTCAGAGCAGACGCAGCATCAAGGCCCCGGGTGCTGTTATCCCACGCTCCGACTCGGCACCGGGATAAGAACATCTCTGCAATACTGACTCGCTTGCGTTCACCACCACTCACTCCTCGGATGAAGTTATCTCCCACTTTTGTATTGTATGTATGTGAAAGACCGAACACTGAGAGGACGACCTGTGTGATTGTTTGGACGTATTGCGAGCGTGTCATGCCCTCGATACGTTTTCGTGGCGTTCGAGCCTGGGCGGCAAAAGAGAGTGTCTGGCCCACTGTCAGATGGGGGAAATGTTGGTCGATTTCCTTGTTGTAGGCGACATCACCACGGTGGTGTTTGATCATGTCATTGAACCCGATGCCTTCGTAATGAATGGTGCTCTCAGGGTCGAGTGTTAGACCACCCAGATGCCCACAGATGGTCTTGAGAAACGTCGTGCAGCCACTCCCCGGGCGACCAAGGACTAGCAGGAGCTCTCCGCTCTCAAGTAAACCATCAAAGCTGTGCAAAATCTGTCGAGGGGATTTCTGACCAGAAAGAGCTCGGGCGGCTGAGCGAAAGGGGACTGTAAACTGAGAAAGGAGGGTTTCTTGAAGCCTGAGTGCGGACCCAGATCCAGACACGCGGAGGTTGCTGAAGACGACACCCTGAGACTGCGGATGGATGCCAGACTGGTTCATTGCCCGGAGAACTATCTGCGCCCATAGACGGTGATCGAACTCTGGGTTGTTGGGATCCAGACGAGGGTCGCTTTTCTCGTCGATGGTGGCCGAGAGGGACAATGCTCGACCGTGGGCACTGGAGGCAATACGGATCATGGAGTCCAACTCCTGCTCCTCCAGGCTGTCAGTCGAGTTCGATGCCATTGGTTGTGCATTTTGAGGTTCTTCGGCCTTTTCAGCCATATTGCTGATGGAAGAGGAAGACATTCCTTATGGCAGGATAAACGAGGGGATAGCCATCAAGTGAGGGGATAGATGGATGATGGTTCCTGAGATGGATTATTATAATAGAAGTCAGGAAAAAAGCATGTCAGCTCAACGGGGATAACGGTGATAACAACACGGGGATAAAGAAAGACGGCCTCCGTGGTCCAGGAGACAAAAATAAAAAATCCTCAGCAGCTGTCTCCATGATGCAGTGAGTATCAAAGGCCAGGTCGAAATTATGCCAGACATATCGGAAGTCCCCTTCCCGAACCAAGCATCCTGACGTTTTGCTGCCAGATTCGCCGCCAGAAACAACATCTAATAAGGGCATCTTGATAGTCTCGGACTCGGCGTTGGAGATCCCGATCGACGACAAAGAAAAATCATTGATCGGCGTTTTTTGACGTCGTGACCGACTTTCTTTATCGTTCTGTCTATAAAAACACATAAGCTCGTTTTAGCATAAATGATCTTGATAAATCTCAGATATAGTGGGGATTGATGGTCGCAAATTGTTTACGGTTCGCCGTAACGGAATGCACAAATACCGAGCAAAGTTATGCACAACTGTAAGACGTTCATTAATATGGGTATGATCTATCTGTCTGTATGTACAGTAGTAGTAGTGTATCGTTAATATGGACATTAATAAGATCAACATGGATAAGATCAACATGATGCAAACCTCTCATCATATCTTCCAGGGAATCTCAACGCCCAACTCCGCTGCAACGCGCATGGCCGACACAACACATCCCTCCAACAAAACCATGCCATCCCAGCACCATCCTCCAGCCAGGTAGACTCCACCGTCACCATTTCGCCACCCCTTTTCCTTGGAGGCATTACCCGCATCGAAGATCTCATTAATCACCCGTCGGCTCGGGGGGCTCCGAAGCACACGCGTAAAGGACGCCGACTGAATGGTCTTGGACTGGTCGATGGGCGTGAGTGGGTTGGTGGTGACCAGGATGGAGTTAGGCTGCACGTGGACAGACTCAGTGGTGTATTCATTGGAGCGAAAGTGGATGCTCTGGGTGTCGGTTTCAGACTGGCGTTTGATTATTGGTTTCTTAGTGGGTAATTTTGATGACAGACTGGAAAAGTCGCTATGCGCGACTGTTTCAACAGTAGTGGTGGGGATAGTCGTAAGCGTCTTCTTTAAGGGTTCAAAGACCCTGCCCACTATGTCAGGCGAGACGGCTAGAACGACCAGATCGAAGGTTTCAATAGTCTCTTTTGTGCCCGCTGTGGAGTATGTGATCTCGACACCATTGGTCTTGGGGACGACATGGGTAGAATGAACACCTAGAGACACGTCTAGACCCTGGAGGAGTTTCTCCTGCACCGTATACACGCCGTCTGTAACCACATAGTGTTGTTGACGGTGGGTGCTCTTCTTATATTCCAAAACATCAGATGCCGGGAAATCAAGCAGCTCCCGATGCGAACAGGTACAAACACTCGAAATCAGGGGAAGAAGATAATTGGCGACATAATATTGCGGAAGCCAGATCCGCTGCAGATACTGATCAAACGATTCATCGGGAGAAGGATCCAGGAAAAAGCAGCACACGGCGAACCACAAATAGCAGAGCAACGCATAAGCAGCTTCAACCATCCAATGCACAAAGTCGCCCATGTGAGGAATTGGAGGTAATTGATGAAAGTTGGACGCGTGGACCATATACGGCTCCAACTTGGATGAAGATGAAGATGATGGCTTTTGAGGCAATCGAGCAAAACTAAACAGAAACGACTGGGAATGGTATCGAATCCCGAGGTGGTCGTACATGCAGATGAGATTGCGATAGAAACCGCCAGCAAAGGCGCGCATGGGCACGTCGGCCCATGACGAGGATTTTTTGGCCTCCGATTGCGAGGGGATCAAGATGGATTCCGCGCTCAGGGAGACTTGATTTTTCTTCAAACAGTCAGTTTCTTTCTGTTACTTCATCAATAATTAACCAATTAGGATATGTACCTTTTCCAACAGTCGGACCTGATACCGCTGTTGGGGATCATGATGGAGCAAATAGGCCGTGGCCAGCCCTGCCATCCCTGTGCCGATGACAGCGACGGATTTCCGTTTTGGCCCCTGTTTGTGGGGTTCCATCTTGCCAGGAACTGAAGGTATGCAAAGTACCAAGTAGAATAGTATCAAGTACCTCGTGTTGTTTCAGATATTGGCTTGACACAATTCCCAGTGACACAAAAACAGTGGCTTGTCACTCCAGCAGGGAACCAAAAGGTCGAATTTCCACGCCACCCGATCGATCTCTTGGCTGGCGTTGAGAGGTTGAGAAAATCGGCGATGGACGACTATCATTTGATGATTCTTGCAAGGAGCGAGTTGGACCTCGGGATGGAAACGGCGCAGTCCATGGAATGGGATGGAATTAATAATATTAGACAAGCAAGGAATTTGAAGCTGGGATTTGTTGAGTAGCTTGGGATCTGCGGTGAAGTGCATAGTGCAGTGCATTGGTGGTGATAAATCACATGCGACGGACTGTTCTGAATAGCCTCGTCTCAAATATTCATGATTATTAAATACTTGATTACCTCTCAATTATTTACTATCAAACAATGTAAGAATAATGTGGGGTCAAAAACAATTCAAATTGGATATCGACAATCTGATTGTCTGAAAGAGGGTCGTGAACAAACATCATAAGAACACCAATACTCCATTGCATTCATTATCAAAAGTACCACAGCGGGATATCAATTCAATCACCTCAAAAATCAAACAAAAAGAAAGACACATAAGAATAAGACGAATTCCAAGTCATACAGGCCAGCCAAACTCCATCATTGGTGAATAAATGCAGAAAAAACCTCCGTCCAACCCGCCATACGTCAATCATCAAAAAATACTCCGTAGTCAGAAAAAGAAAATGAATATACATTCTAGACAATCCAGTCTGTTCGTGGTGTGTTGTGCGTAACATCGTATCATTGCGCGCCCCCATCATAAGACTTCAGAAGCCTAGATATCGTCGGTCGCTCATCATGGTGAGTTCTTCTTGCCAGTGTCTTCGATCGAGATCTCAACTCTGGCTTCAGTTTTCTCGTCATCCTTGTTCTCCCCCGACTTGTCTTCCTCGCTCTCGTCGCCATTGATTTCCCCCCATCCCGAGCTTCGACGGCTGATGCGCCCGGTGGAAATAGGTTGGTTCATCGATGAACCGGCTAATGGGCTACCAATGCCCGAGATACTCGCGGTGTTGCTGTCATTGCGACCGTGTGAATGAGCTGCACTCTTGATACTAGCTCCGTCTCCAGCGACAGCAGAATTCTGCTTGTTGTGGAAACTCCCTCTTTCCCCGCCTCCGCTCAGAGGCCCGGCGCCCGAAGCTGAGTAGACGCTGATCCGCTCTGCGCTCGCAAGGCCAACCATGCTTGGTCGATTGAGCACTCCAGATGCATTGAATGCGGATGTGTTAGACGGCTCTGCCACGTTACCACTAAGCACGCTCAGCGGCAAGCTCTCGCGGCTACCACCAAAGATTGATGACGGAGCTAGCGCGCGGACCGATGCATTTGTATCCAGGGAATTTCGTCGGCGGCGTTTCGAGGATGATGCCAGTGTAAGAATCGAGGCATTATCCGTTAATAGATTGTTCGCTGTCGCAGTACTGTAGGTGACAGAATGGCCGTGGGGAGCTAGGTGAGGTGGGACAGCCGTCGCGGGGGAAGGAGGAAACTGGTGCGAAAACTGCACTTGCTGGTTTCCAATTCCTTGCATCGAATGGATATGCGGGATATTCTGATGTCCGTTCTGTGCATTATATAGATGGGTCGAAGGCGCTGCCGACTGTACTGTTGTCAAGGTGGTCGTCAACGACCGCACCGACGGTGCGGGAGATGAGAATGTGCTCCCTTCGCCCCCACCGGTTGAGCCAATCCCTCCGCCGACTGTTGCCATTGTGCCCGTCTTGGAGTATGCTGCATCGGATATTGCTGTGTCTGCGTTGGTTGAAATGGTCGGAGCGGTGGATTTGGCACTCGTCGCGGGGATCTGGTTTTCGTAGCCCGAAGAAAGGGATGGTTCGCTCTGCGAGATAGATCTTTGTCCGGAAGCCTCGCTAGAATCTTGAATCGAGTCGTTTGGTTCACTGCTGTATTCACCAGCCGGATTCGTTGTACCGGAGAGCGGGTAAGGATTGTTGGGGGAGCGGTTCTTCTTGCTCTTGGGGACAGCATGGCGCTTATTCGACCAACGGGTACTGCTCGAATCGGAGGAGTTCTTGAGGTTCGCGAGTCGCTTCATCCAGCTAGAAAAAGGGCGACGACGTCCATTGCGATCTAACAAACGTCAGAAGTCGTTAATGTCTCTGCAATGATTCCGTAAAACCTACCGTGCGCTCTGGCAGGACCCTCAGCCGTGGCCATTTTGGCCTCTGAAAGATAGGACAATTATAAATCCCGTGGTGTGTCGAGAGATGCCAGCAACTTCAAGACGATTTTGACGTGGTGAGGGATGGAAATCCAAAGGAGGCTGGCAAGAATTCAATGCTGGCAGGAGGTGAGCCGGAGAACGTGCACTCAGTGTCGGTGTGTGATGCTTCGACGCTGCAGAAAGAATTCGAATCCGGAGGTCGACAACGTGGACGTGGGCAAATTTCGGTCAATATATCTGCAAGCGAAAGGTATTGTTAGGATGATGGTGTATGAAACAGAGATGCGGCGCAACTCATCGCCTTGCGCTGTCAGGAGTCACCAGGAGATGTATGCACGTGATAGGTCGCCTCCTCTGCGGCCCAAACAAACGATCTGCGACTCCGACGGACTGCGAATCACCACAAGTTCAATCTTCAGGCGATATTATCGCGAGATTATCTCGATGCCGATGCAATGCTGATGGGGAAAAAAATATGGAAGTGCGCCCCTGTAAGAAATCCCACCAGAAAATCCTGTACGTTCGCTGACTATTTATCAAGTTTTCCCCTCTCGAGGCCGCATAAGAGGCGACACTAACGCTCCATCCTAGGCGACAATCACATCCTTTTTAGTTCGTCTATCGTGATGAAACAGATATGGCTCGTGCAAATAGGAGATTATTCATTTGATCCACAGCACGTTGGTCTGTCTTGCAGCTGACTCGATTACGAGCTGTCGACCAATTCCATTCCAATTCTGAATTCCCCAACAGAGGACGGTCCAAAGTTTGAGGCACGCCATACGTAAAAGCTGACAATCTTATCCACTACGACGACATATGGGGTGGTGTAGCCCGGGGTTAGTAGTGGCCTCACGGACTGCCGTGAATCATGGTGGATCCAATGAGCCACAATAAACAGACCAGGTGGGATAGATTGAGGTGAAATTGGTCCTTCGAATTGGCCTGCAATGATGGCCATGAGATTAAGTCTGGGTAATTTCTACTTAAAAGCCGCCAGGAGCGGATAAAACAATTATATACGAACTCCAGGTCTTGATAGAGGAGACAGATGAACGACTACTCTGTAGACACTAAGATGCGGGGCTGTTGAGACGGGAAAAGAATCCTTTGCTCATGTGGCAGGATGAGATTTTGTCTTTCGAGAAAAGCAATATGCTCAGAATCATCTATATCATCTATATCACTAATCGATATTGTTTCTATTCATAAAGCAATTGTCCAAACTGTATAGTCTGCGCACTGCGCATACAAACAACACTGCTCTTATCATCACGTGATTGTCATATCATCTGCGCTGCGACTGCCTTCTTCTTGCACTCCACGTTGACTTCATCCACACATTCGATTCAACATAAAAATGTCCTCAAGTTGTTTCTTCTTGGTGCATTAGCATATTCTATATATCCCTCATCCCTTGGTTCCCTGGCCTCAACAACTGATGTCATGCTATACGAAGTGGCAATCTTGAGCTCGTCTGGTCTTGAACCACCAGGCAACATGTGGACATAAGTTTTGAAAGAATAGCATACGGCAACATTCAAATATTGCCATGTCTTCTCATGATCCCAGAATTCAACCACTCCCGCCTGATGTGGCGGCAAAGATCAAGTCATCAACCTCCATCACCCACCTGAACGGTGTCGTCTTGGAACTGGTCAAGAACAGCTTGGATGCAAACGCGCAAACCATCAGTGTTACCGTCGATTTTCAGCGGGGAGGCTGCGTGGTAGAGGACGATGGAGACGGGATTCAGCCTCTTGAATTTGAGCCTGAAGGGGGACTGGGAAAAGCGCATCGTATGTCAGACCTAGTTCTCCGTCGATAGCTTGTGCTGACGGGCCCACAGATACATCGAAATACCATTCAGAGAAAGATGTTCACGGTCGAAGGGGGCTCTTTCTCGCGTCTCTGGCTTCGCTTTCACTGTTGACTGTGACATCCCGTCATCACCGACATCAGAATGCAAATACCGTCATTTTCCACCATGCAACACCTGTGGCTCGACTGGTTCCAGCTCCAATCCAGCAGGGTATTAAGTTTCTTCATGGAACCAGCGTCACCGTAAATGATCTTTTTGGGAATATGCCTGTTCGTGTCAAAAGTCGAGCATTAGCTCTCCAGAAACCAGATGAGTTGGAGCGGGAGTGGGATGAGCTTAAGCAAGTCCTAGTTGCATTAATGCTGGCACATGATGGTCTTACGAAACTGGTTTTGTCGGAAACTGGTAGAAGCAGAAAGCTCACCGTTCGCCCTCGGCATCAACACTCGAGAACTGATGAGGAGTTGGATCTCCAGCGCATTGGTTCGATACTTTCACAGGCAGGTCTGACCGTCTTCCACGGCTCTGGGAACTGGAATGCTGTCTCAGCCTGTGTCCCCGATTTTTCGATTCATGCTGCGATATCCCTCGTCCCCAGTCCGACCAAGAAAGTCCAATTCATTTCTCTGGGAATGGAATCCGTGTTCCCTCAGAATAATACAAACGTATTATATAGCGAAATCAATCGGCTCTTTGCTTTTTCTGATTTTGGCACGACGGGACCTCCTGGGTTACTTCCTGCAGCGCATCCAGTCGACCAAAATGAGAATAGCGCCAGTTCCAAAGCGATGCCCAAGGCTGTCAACAAGTGGCCTATGTTCTATATACGCATTGAAACTAGTCTTCCTCAATTCCTGTGCAATAATGGCTATGAAATAGTTCCCGAGTCTGATAAGTCCGTTCAGCGTATCATGGATGTGCTTACGGCAATGATAAATGAATTTCTAAAACAGAACAATCTACGACCACGCGCTGGAAAGCGAAAACGAAAGACATCCAAGGCATCACCGGGAGATGGTGCAGGAGATTCCGAGGCCAAGAAAACTAGAAGTACTACAGGGCAAGACCGGTTAGACTCGCTATCTACAGAGGATACCCTGGATGGCCGGCTGAAGCTTCCATCATTCCAAAGAGCGATGCCAATGAATCCCAAACAGAACCTGGGAAATTGGTCCAGGATCAAGTGTGCTAAGGAGCCTTTGCTGAATCCGCGTTTTGCCATTCGTCCCCAAGGCGAATTTGCCTCTGTGGGGAAACAGGTCTGCTCATCTACAACTCGTCACGGGGATGTCAGTTCCTCGAAACAAGATGCGATGAAAGGGTTGGACCATGATAGTCTGGATTCTGCAGTTCAAAGCACGGAATTCTCCCACACACCGCTACAAGCGAGTGACAAGGATACTGGGTTCAAGAACGAATTGACCGATTCGACGACTCCTTGGAAGGACCCCTATACAGGAAGAACCCACCCGATAAACCCACGAACGGGTCAGTCAATTCAGGTTAAATCCCCGCTCGATGTTGCTCTTGCTGGCAGGAGACCTCAATCGACTGGCCCCCTTCTGACAGGGCAAGTATTAGATAAGATAAGACGGCCACGATCAGCCATTACCGACACGACACAGAATCTGTGGATCGACAACCTGTTGAAGAAGTGGGATAATCCCACTTTCAGCCGCCCAGAGAAACCGATAGATTCACTGGATTCGGGGGCAACTCACGAGAGTGAGCTTGATAAATTAGCATTCAAAGCTCATGATTGTTCGGGGGGCTCTTGCGGATTAGAAGATTTTGGTCTTGCAAAATTCCGTGGCAAGTTGCGGAGGCAAGATCTTGAGATGGCAGAGGTAGTTGCCCAAGTTGACCAAAAGTTCATTCTTGCGAAACTAGGGAGCTCAACCCATGCTCATGATAGCAGTACCGGAGAGATTTTGACACTGATTGATCAACACGCAGCTGACGAGCGATGTCGAGTAGAACGGCTCTTTGAGGAATTGTTTAGTTTTGCGGAAGGCAGCCGTTGGGGCATTCAAACAGTTCAGATTGATCCGATTGTTTTCGAGGCCTTACCGACAGAGATGTCTCTACTGAGGAGAGAGAGAGAATTCTTCTTATCCTGGGGTGTTCGGTACAAGATCGAGCGGCGGTCAGGGTCTAAAGCTACCTTTGTCTGTGTAGAGACACTACCTTCGCTCATAGCCGAACGCTGCCGGATTGAGCCACAGTTGGTTACTAACCTCATTCGCGGTGAAATTTGGAAACGCGAGGAGAACGGCACAGGTCACCGGCGATCCCGGTATGAAGACTCTTTTTTGGCTCAATCTCATATTGAGGACCGATGCAATCCCTGGGTAGAGCGACTTGGAGGCTGTCCGAAAGGAATAGTGGATCTGCTTAATTCGCGTGCCTGCAGAACGGCGATCATGTTCAACGATGTGTTGACCGTGGACGAGTGCCAAAATCTGGTCACACGGCTGGCGCGATGCGTATTTCCGTTCCAATGTGCGCATGGACGGCCATCCATGGTTCCGATTTTGGACATGCAGTCGATTGGACGGTTTGAATATCCGATGTCTGATTATCAGGCACACGACTCTTTTGGTGAAGCATTCAAAAAGCGATACCCTTGATTATCCCATGTTGGAATACCAGTTAGTATACTATAATTCGTAATATGATAGGAATTATGAAGCCCCTGGGAAGTACACCGGACAGAAGAGGCAATTATCGAATATGACGAAGGATAGAGATAAATGATGACATATACCAAAGGTACGGCCATCATCACAAATCACCAGAATGCCATATCATATGCACAAAACTGAGAGAGGCAATCGCCCATCCCCGGATTATTCATCCGCTATTGTTTCATGTCCGAAGTATGATCCCCCTTGCATAAACCCCATACCCGAGCCCCGAGTAAAACCCAGGAAACACAACGCCGGGGCGGAAACTCTATTTATTCCCCAGACTCTTTTCAGGGAAACTGGAATTATTGAAAGTTTATTTATTGTCTTGCCCCATGTTATAGGTCAGTTTCTATTTATACGGCCGTATCTTGGGCATCTTGTACATGTGCATATGTGCATACAGGGTGTACGCAATTATGTATGCTGTAGCTGTCATACAACCTACGTACAGCAGATCGATCGATCCGTGCACACATAGTTCAATAATGTCAACAGGATCTTCATAGAAGAAGAGAGAAGATATTCAAAGTAGTGTTTATTTCCACTAATCAAGTGACATGTATATACAAAAGTACATTCAGAATGGAATAAGTAATAAATAATAAATAATAAGCCAGTAAATCGGTCCCTGTGCAAGATGATTCCTCCGAATGTGTGGTCCGTCCCATGTTTTTGTGTGCCATGATCCATACCATACCCCATACCAGTACCAATTCCAAATCCCAGTCCAAATCCGATTATTGTATGCCGCGCGACCGATATCCAAAGTGTCAAGAAAAATATCCAAGGGTTGAAATGAATGTAAAAGCAGTAAGAGTAAAGGGAAATAAAAGGAAAGAAAAAGAAAAGGGACTGTTTTGCTTTTTCCCTGCCAGAGCCGCGAGGCTCACCTGTCTAAACCTTTTCCCTCTTTTTGTGTGCCCCTGTTGATTTTCCTTTCCTTCCTGTACTCCAATTCAACCTTGACCATTGGTATACTGCAGTCATTTTTGTCCAGAAGAAATGATGAAACCAAGAAAAAACATGTAAATGATAGATCACAAATGCCGCCCGAGATGATGATGAAATGAATGAAAGATATTCACAAAACATAAAAAAGGATAGGTGTCAATAAAAGTTATAACACCGGTATAAGCATTAGCAGAATAGATCGCAACGGATATTAGAGTCATAATTCGTAAAGAGGTCAACATCAACGGCCGTGAGAACGCTGCATGAGAAATATATGAACAAATCAACCATTTGTTGCGACGGACTTTGCCTTGGACTGGTGAGTCCAAGATAGGAAATCAAACTTGTCCTTGGCATTCTCGATGATCGAAGATCCAGAGTCGGTCGGCAGGTTGGGGCGCTGCTGAGCTGTTTCTCGTGGCTCGAGGACAAGGGACCGTCGGTAGAAGGTTTGCAGGCTCTTTTCACCGTTGGAGCGCACTCGGACCAGTTCGTTCTGCATCCAGGCTTGCAGCTCTGGGACCTCGGAAAGTCGGTAAGGGATTTGGAATCGCTGCAGTTCGCTGATGATCTTGGCTGTCTTCATGTGCTTGTCGAAGTTGATCACAGCCATTTCGCCATCATCAGTGGGCAGGTTCCGCAGATCCTGGTTTCCGTGGTCGACAAAGGTGAGGTCAGTGAGGTAGGTACCGACAAATGGCAAGCATGGAGGAACGTGGTTCTGCAATCGTTGACGAAGGACAGCGTAGTTGCGGGATACATCCACGATACCCCGGAGGTACTCTAGGGTGGTCTTGGTTTTGTGCGACACCACCTCCCAAGTTCGCTTGAGACGTCCGATCATGGAAGAGTTGAGGGAGCAAATGATGGCCATCAGCGAGTCGTAGTTGTTGAGCTCCAAACACTTGTTAGCGATCTTGACCCAGTGCTTGATGATGGCAGCCCGCTTCTTGGGCTCCTCCAGCTGCAGGATCGAGTCGGCAACGAGATGCGCCAAGTCTGTGGACAAGGTAGACATGGCCCGGACATTCACAGCCAACGAACCAGACTTCTTCATCCACTCGGTGGCTAGAAGTTCCTCTGGAAGAATGGAGCAGAAGATCATGGACTCCTTGATGGTGAACTGGCGCGCCAGCTCCATGGGATCGAAATCGAGGATAGTGATGGTACCTTCGCCATTCTTCCACTGCTTCAAGAGATTGGTCTCCTTCTTGCCCAGGATGGGAGGTGGAAGAGGAGTGTCGGGGTGCACATATTGAGCGGTCGCAGTGTTTGTCTTGCCCATGGAAGAGACAAGACGAGGCACCACAGGCCCGTGCACCTGGGAAACTTTCTCTACCAAATCCAGCACACGCTTGCCAGCGGACGGAAGATTAGCCATCAAAGTTGTTTTGGCAAAGTTGACAATGTAGTCCAGGGCGACGTTGTCACAGTCATGACGCCAGTGCGACTCCAACCAATTTTTCAAGGTGTTGTAAACGCGGAGGCGCACTGGGCCGGCAGCGTGCGGTGTATCCCCGATGTAATCGAATCGGTCGGCGAGGGTTTCGGCAAAGTCGACGGGCGAGGCGAAGAGGCGGAAGGTAAGGTAGAAGGTAGAAACGAACATGGCATCGGGAGTTGACTGGTGGGCCGTGAGCTTCTCGACCAAAGCTCGGAGACTACCACCCATTATTTGGCCATCCTTGAAGATCAACTCGTGAGCGTATGTGCGCTCGAGGATATTGGCCTCGGTTTCCTCGTTCTCCTCAGCGAGGGTAGAGTGGCTGACGCTTTCCCTAAGCGAAGGCACTTGGTAATGGTTGCCAATGTCTGGAGAAGTAGCTCTGGTGGAGGTCTGGGAGACGCCACTCATTTCAGAGTCACGAAGGGTGCTGTTGTATGTAAAGCTGCTGCCGGTGCTGGTAATACCCCGTCCAAAAGATTCACTGATCTCGGACTTGGGGTGACTGTTGCGATGGATGCTATCAGTGTGCGCATCGTGAGAAGAAAAGGACGGCTGCTCGAAGCTAGTCCCAAGAATAGTAGTAGAAGGCAATGACGAGTTGTCAACGGTCGGAGCCGGGCTGTTTAGGGCAGCACGGGAGATGAAGGAAGAAGGAGTAGTGTCGTCAGTGAGGCCGGGGGTCGATGGCGAATAATCTGATTTAGGGATCTGCAGCGGTGGTGGAGGGAGGCGCAGTGACAGCTCCTGCGGGCGAGTCTGGCTGTCGCCTGAGTGGTCGGTGCGTTGCGGCGGCTGCGGGGTCTTGATGTCGGGGAGCTCCGGGTTCGACCCGGTGGTGGTCTGGGGCAGAGCTTCGAGCTCAAAGTCTCCGATTTGCTCAAGCACCAGGCGAGCTTTGGCCAAGCAGTTTCCTGCCGCTCGGACACAGTCGGTGGCGGCGTCCACCAGGCGTTTTCCTTCATCCGGCATGAAGACGATCTCGTCGTCGGGGGAGTGGGCCGGTCGGAAAGCGTCTCCCGCTGCATGGACAAGCTCGGAAAGTCGCTCGTACATGCTGTCCTTGGCCTGGTCCAGGAGCTCGTTTCCCTGCAGATCATGTTCGCACACGGCTTCCACGACAGTTAGCAACGCTCGGCAGGAGTGCACCGACTGCTGGGTAGTGTTCATCAGCTCCGTCGAGGAGCGAGACTGCAAGTGAAGACCAATAAACGATCCCAATACCCCCAAGAAGGCGTCGTACGTGGCGCCGAGTCGCTCGGATGCAAGGTTCGGGTTGCGGGTCGCTGCAGATGGGCCTGTGTAAGACACTCTGTGTGAGATGGAAATTCGCTTGGTGGTGACGGAGACAGGTCGAGGGTTCGAATCGAACATGTCCATTCGGGTGGAGGCCCGACTGCAGTCCATGCGGCTGCGATTCATCAATCTCGACTCATTCCTTTCCGTGTCGGCCTCGGAGGTGTTTTCGGCAAAGGTATCAGATGCGGGGGTCATGGGGACGTCAAAGTGTTTCAAATTCGACTGCTCCAACTCGGCAATGGTGCGGCTCAGGCCGACCTCTTCGTTCCACACGTCGAGGAATCGGACACCTCGAGTCACGATCCGGAAAGCCTTGAGGAGCATTTCATCGAGAATATATTCGACCTCGTCATCCATGGGGTTACCGCCGGCGATATCCTGCAAGGTCTTTGCTGTTTTGACAAGGGAGGAGAGATCAGATAGGAGTGCTTTGCGATTTCGCCGCAGACCATCGTGTGTTCGGACCAAATCGCACTCTCTGGTAAGACATTCGGATTTTTGCTTGGTCTTGTTAATAGGATACTGGTCTCAATTGGCAAGTATACTTACCAGAAGAAATCGAACACCTGCAATCAAACCTCTCATCAGGTCCTGGTTGCAGAAGTCGCGTAGTGATGACCCGCATCCTCCTCTGATGATATCCCAAAAGTCGGTTAGTGCCTTGAGCAGTGGTCGCATGGGCAATTGGTCGTAGGCTTCGCAGTAGTTGGTGGGCAGCCAGCCGCGGCCACCGGTATCCAAGAGGGTTCCATCTGCCCAGCCGTTGGTGTGAACGGAGTGCACGAGAATGATATCACCTTGATCCAAAGGCAATGTAACTGTCGAGGGGGAGACGTCCCCTGATGGGTGAAAAGGGTAGAAAGCGCGGAGATAGTTGTGAAAGACGGCTCTCGGAGCCTCTGAGCGATCCATGGTGTCTGAGTTATCGTGGGGAGTCAAAGGAGGAGTCATCCGAGTGTTGTTGGAATGGCAGGCTGAGTGATCCGTCGTGGACACGGAATAGTTGGAGGGTCCTTTAACAATCTTCAATGGTGCAATGTGAGGCTTCGTGGGTTCCATATTTTGCTATAAGTGGGTTGATAGATCCGCGGGACGCAGAGGTCATAGACCTGATTATGCGAGAGAAGCAATGATCATCCTAAACGAGCGCAAACAGACGATTCCGTATACAAACAGTAACCGATAAATCCAGGGAAGAGCGACGGATATAATCAATTTGACGGGAAGACTGTTGAAGGTCAATAAACGAACAGGACCAACAAACCGAGTGTTTGGATGGGAGGGGAGGTCCCAGGATTCCAGGGAGGGACGGGAATGCTGGGGGAGCGCGAAAAACGTACCCGAGTAAATATAGTACCAAACGAGGGACGCGAAGTAAACGAGAGTAACGAGGGATCAAAAGAAGCAATTGACAAATACAAACTGGGCACAGCCTTTGAAAATGGTGAGCCTGTCTTCCTCGATGGCCTGCTTTCGAGGGTTTGTAGTAGTAGGGGTTGAGTCAAGCACCAGGATCCAGGGAGAAGTAGGATCTAGGAGAATAAAAAAAGGGAAGGGGGAAAAAAATAGGATCGAGAGATTGACGATGACGACAGGATAAACAAGCACAAGGATCGAAGCCAAAGCAAATCTGTCGGGACGTAGGGTGGAGGTTGTACTGGAGATGTTGGAGGGGATTTGGGATCACCGAGTGGCAGAACGCAAGGGCCGGAATAAGACACGAGCAGCGAGGAAGGAAGCAAGTCAGAAACCAGCGAGCGAGAGTTGCCACCAGCGGCAATTGAAAGAGAGTCTGTATACACTGTATAGAGAGATCGAGGGGGAGAGAGAGAGAGAGAAAGAGGAGGGAATAAAGAAAGAGGAAGCAAAAGAGGGGAGAGGCAAAAACGAGAGAAAGAGGAAGGAACACGGCGAGCGTGACTATTGCGACCTTATACAGGGCCCCTACTATGGCAGGAACGGACTCGACAAATAATAATAATTCCTTCCCGGCGGAGAACTAGTGCAGGTAGCGCGAGCCTAAAAAAAAAGGCCCCATGGATCCGCCCAATCCATCACACCAGAGAAAAAAGAAACAAAAAAGAAAAGAAAAAAAACGGCTCGCGTGTGGCCAACCGGAAGAGGGGCCAGCCCCTTTCGGGCCTTAGACTTTGCGCTAGTCAATGTGAACGACCTGCATGGGCCCAAACAGGGGTTCTTGTTGGCTCCACCGCCAAGCCGTGGCGATGGCGCCCCTCACGTTCCGTAATTCCTCGATTGATCGACGATGTACTTTAGTACTGTGCACTGATTTTTAGTATGCTTCTTAGCAGGAGTTGTCTTGGATCTTGCTCAAAATTGAGCCATCTAGATCAATCGATCTTTTATATTTGTACAGACCAGACTACAGAGGAAATGAAGTTGGAGTACGGGGAAGGCAGTAGTCATCCGGTCTTGGTTATCCAGGTCCACATAGGAAATAACTCGGGGGCGATAGTCATAGGCCCATAGGGCAGTGAAGAATCCATCGGGTTTTCTATACGAATCTATGATATAATGATATACATCGTATATGTTTATATATAGTATGTATGTATGCAGTGATCGTTCCTGAACCACTCCTGAACTCCTAATGCATAGTACGTCCATGTAATCATCATCTTCATATGAAGACAATAGAACCATGGAACAGAAACAAAAACAGAGCTTGGACCATAGACTCAAGTAAATATGAAATATGGGGATATCCATATATGGATCAAGTCAATACATGTCTTGGATCATCCACCACATTGTGAAGATCAGATGGAGAAATCTCCGTTTGATATTCTAATACTCCGTTGTATGCACAAAGTAATTACTCCGGTATAACATCATAGGGTAGATTATCTAATACGCAAGGAGCTCCGACATACATATGACACTGCATCTAATACCCAAAACCAATAAATCTGCACGCCTCCATACTTACAGAGTCAACCGAAATGGTGGAACCCGAGTCCGTGTTTTTGGAAATGGAGTACAGGAGATAAGCAGATCGACATTCGACATGTATCCGAGGAGTTGTCCATACGAGCTCCGTGGAGTATCTCTCCTATTTATTTGTCGTACTTATGCTGTTATCAACTTATCATAGTACGTATACTTTGTAAGTGCACATCACGCTGATCTAGTGACATGACAAGAAACGCCTACTAGTGCCAATTACTCCTTTACGAGAACAAAGAATTCATACTCGAAGCCAAGTTGGCTAGCAACAAAGAAAGCAATGTGATAGCTCTTCTCCATCGCGAATCTCTCCTCCAGGCGAGTCCAGACTAAAGACTAAGAGCGACTAATAATTAGTCCAGGGCACGTGTTCGTGCTCGTCTGCGGGACTAAAGCACTTGCTGGGATTCATTATTAACCATCATCAATTCCATCAATTCTGACTGATCGCTTATATATCTGCTGCTGATTTATTTATCTATCCATCATCGACCATGGTTCTTTGTCGACAGAGTGCAAACTACAGTGCTCTATTGAATCTACCCCTCCTCCTCCAAAATCATGCCATAAATGGGCTACGTATTCCTCCATCTCCACATCCCTCACTAGCGAACCGACCAGACACCGTAGCAACGCGGGACGGAACGAACGCTGGATTCTTCTTCGGCCGTAAGATTGTGACCTTCCCGTGTTGGTTTCTTTGACTGTTCTATTCTCTGTTCTATTTCTTATGTTGGTTCTATCTACTGTTAATCTGTTGGTTATCTGTTGGTTTTTGTTGTGTTGATGTTGGTATACGGACTGCCCGAGATAGGGGTGTCACGTGTTTTGGATTCGATAGCCTCGGTGAGAGTTATGAAGGTACTTATGGTCATAAGCCATACAGAATAATAAAAAGTATCTTCCATAATCCATAACTTACTGAACTCACAGAATCCACAGATCGATCGCTACCGTCGTGTAGAGTACTAAATAATGGTAGTGATTTAGTGAGATCATCTTCATACTAGTCGTTCTGTACCACTTGGCCATCTCCACTGCGACCGTGAAGAACTCACCCTCTCCATCTCCATTCTGTCAGATTAATATGTATTAATCTACATCAATCAACTCCTGTCGTCGATTAATATAATCTATATAATCACAGCATGATAGCATCCCATATCGGACCTCAACTGCCTGGATGGGACGTTCTACCGAAAGGATCAGCGCTGCTATTCGCCTCGACCCCCAGGAACGGGCCAATGTCCATCTCTGCCGCTTTGGGACAGACAAACCGGTTTTTGCCATGATATAACCCCAGATTTCTACGGTGTCGCTGCGACAGAATCAGTCTTCTACGGTACTACGAGCTGCGTGCCCACAGTGACAGTGACAGACCAACAGAATAACCGCCGATCAGCACGTTTGTTTGTTCAGCTCTGCCTCCCAGCCCAATCAACCATTCTCCCCAGCCCTGCAGCTGCAGAATCCTCCATTTTGCTTTTTTTCTTGCCTGTCATTTTTTCATTTTTCTGCTTCCTTTTCTTCCTCGTGCAGATTCTAATCCTCCAATCAAATCTCAATCTGCTGCTATTTCCCACCCCCTTTCACGTGCATCCCATCCTCCCTCGGTGTGTGTGATTTGGCAGCGGTCGGTGCATTTCCATCACACACCTAGCGTTGCTGAACTACTGCAGCAACTGCTTATTCTACAGGGTAGGGCAGGCAGTAGTCATTGTGTGAATATGTCGGCTGCTCAATAGTGTTTTTGAAAGAAGCAATTCTCTCCCGTAGCTGAGGTTGTACGCACGTACTTCTGTCAGTCAGAGTCAGCAGTCAGCACTCTGTCTCTAACCAACCTGAGGTTATCGGTAGTTTTGTCTATTGTGTTACCTTGCAGGGCTTGGTTGAGCGCCCAACCTAGAGTACCTTGCGTGCTTGTCTTTTGTTTGTCAAGGCTTTATTGTTCCTCCCTCGACTGATAGGTACATTCCATCGCGTCGCGTACATAGCAGGAGTAGGATAGGAAGATAGGAGGGGAGACACATACACACATACCAACCCCTCAATCCCTACAATTCAGTTAGCATATAAACCACATCATCCATACAACAGTTAGCTATCTCAAATTTCCATAATACTATTATCTATATCTATATCTATACTATCTATAATAAATAATATATAATGAACCTCTCAATCCTCCTAGCCGCCCTCGCCCTCTCATTGGCCTCCGCCACTCCTATCCCACAAGGTGGTTTGGATCCTCTCGCTTTAGCAGATGCCCTGGTGCCTCATTCGGGTGTTCCTCATGCCGTGACTAGTTTGGGGGAGCATTTGAATACTCGGTATGTGATCTGTTTACTATATTCACTATATTACGATGGGCTAATGATGTAGATCGTCTCGATGATATGAAGGATAGGAGTTGGATAGAGTGACTGGATTGGAATTGTATGAATATAATATAATATAATATAATATAATAAATCAGAACATCCCCTCCATATCCAAATCTAAAAACTCCGGATTCCCAACCGCCATATCCGCCGCATTCAGCACATCATCAATACTCGTATCCATCCCGCCCTCTAAGCCCATCTCCTGTCCCACTCCCACCCCGCCATCATATCCCGCCGCTGCCGCCGCGGTTGCCTTATCCAGCATTTGGTGGATATCCACTTCGCCCACCCCGTTACCGGGCTCCTGGGCCGGCGGCTCTAGTTCCATCTGCCCGGATCCTTCCACTCCGAGTTGCATGTTGTGAATGATGTTGCTCACGTCGAGGTTGGGTACCTGTGACGGCGGCGAGGATAGTGCGTTCACCCGTCGATAGAGGCGGACGATCACTTCGGCGCGCAGGGGGTCCTTTTCGGAGATCCGGGGCACGGATTGGTGCTGCAGGACGAGGGCGTCGCGTAGTGTGAGGATCGGGCACCGGGGGAGTGGTTCCTGTTTGGGCTCCACCTGGTCGGTCGGGTCGATGTCGAATGACTCGGCCATCGGGGCACAGATCATCGTCGCCGCGACGTCCAGGGCTATATCGCCACTGCCGCCTTCGCTTTGCATCTTCAGCTCCTCGATTAGGCCGCGGAGAACTCGCACTGACCCGAGCAGGCGCACTCCCGCGATAAGCTGCCGGTGGGTGTACGAATGTGGCGCCATACTGATGTCGGGATTCGTGCTCCATAGTACTAGTGACTGGAATGTGTTGCGGATGCTGCCTAGGAGACCGCCCCCTGAACTGGTCGTCCAGCTTTCGAGTTCGCTCTTGCGGCTGCTGCCCACCCGTTGGAAGGAGAGGTACGGTTCAAGAGCGTCCAGGATGGGCTTGATGTCTGTTCGGTTTGGGTGGTTCGCTCGGACGTCCTTGAGCTGCTCCTCTAGATTGCGCGCTGCAATCTGCAGCACCGTTCGATGGATTGCTTTGCCTTCGCCAGATATAGAGCTGGGTGTCACCAGCGACTGCAATGTTTTCAACGGAATTGAAGGGTCACTGTCAGACTCCCAGATATGATTGCCCAACCACGCCAATGCAACAACTAACGATGGAAGAAGGAAGGGTTCCAGCAGGTCTATCATGTCAGAAGGATACCTACACTGTCATAGAGTTGAGACTCACATTCAAATCCCCCTTTCAACGTGTCAAACTCCAGCTTCCCTGCCTCGCACGCTCCTAAACTCTGGTTGAACAATGTAGTCACCAAGAGATAAAACTCGTGCGGGCTGCAAGCCGACATGGTCTCCTCACTAATTCCCTCGGCGATAAACAGAGCTGCGATCCATGTGCCTAGATTCTTATTCTGCTTCTCATCCAGATCCTCGAGTTTCCGAGTGCACGATCCCCGCTCCAGCAATCGCAAGATAAACGAGTCGTTGCTCGAGATTCCAAGGTCGTACGGTCTCAGGTCGTATCGGTATTTGAATGCCAACACGAGCAGTAGTATACTACCGAATTCATCGTAGACAGGCTGGTTCTCGCCTTCATCCGCATCCCAATGCCAGGAATCCAACAAGGTGCATAGGGGTTGTAGAACCTGTCGCGTGCCTCGGAAAAGCAGAATCACGTCCAACGCTTGGGGACGTCGAGAGAGTGAGTTGCAGATATTCTTCAGCGTCATCGTCTCTTTTTGGTTGCAGAGATTGTGAATGACCTATCACGTTAGTCGTTGGACATTGAGCCATGGACTGCATGCATACCTCTGTGATTGCCCCAACTATCGCACCTGCATTACCCTCCATCGATTCAATCTCGTTGATCAACTGTTCAGTCCGTTCGGGGCTGTTGTTGATCTGCGACACAAGTTCATCCTTGATGTATTGTCCTCCCGTTGGAAGGGTTTGCATAGGATTCTCGCCCAGAAGACGCTCAATGCTAGACTCTGGGATCAACCGGTGCAAAGCACAGGCAAAGAGAAACTCTTGCCTCACATCAGACAAGACCGTGTTGCTTTGCATGGAGAACATTTGCGAAAACGACGGAAATGTATTCGGGTCCAGTCGGCTCAACGCGTGACTTATACACATTTCCATCGGGATAGTCACCATGGAAGCGGCCAGCATGGCCGCAAAGAAAGCAGGAAGCTTATTGACTAGGAATGAACGGAACACAAACATTGTCCGACTGGATTCATTGCGGTACATGGCGTTCGACAGCACATCAAAAGCGGCTGTTGTAATCTCCTCGATGAGAGCTTCGTAGTGGCCCTAAGCAGTCAGTACCGTACATAGTAAAGAGCATAGTGATGCTTACCCCATGTCGATTCGTAAGATAGTTGATGAGCAGAGTATCATCAACCAAAGGACGACCCACAAGCTAACCAGTCAGTTTGCAATCAGCACGGAAAAGAAAGACATACCATCGCGTTTATATAGATATAGAGACCAGCTCTTGAGTTTATCACAGCCCCATCCATGACGGAAGCCTCGAATTGAAGTGCATTGACATTTACACCTTCCATCATGGAAACATCCAACGTTTTGGAAGCCGGTTCTCCGTACAGATTGAATTCTTTCTGCAAGCTGTCCAATCGATTACGGAGCGGCAACGAGACTTCAACACAAAGGGGGACATAGGCTGTCAATGCCTGTCCCAGTTTGATTTTGACACCTAACCTGTAAGTTCCTAGATGGTAAAGATGAGAGAGGTTGCTTACTTTCATGAGAATGAGAAGAAAGAACATCTAATCCCTTTCCTGTCCCAGACAATGCAGCAAGCAGAATACCCAGCGACTCAAACAAAGACACCACATCAGGCGAACTCATCAGCCCGCCTGTCTGCTGGTTCTGGTCGACATGGGAATTATGCCAGGAGATCACAGCCTGAATCCACTCGACCACGGCCGAGAAGATATTAATAGCTTCCGCCAGAGTCTGGGGGGTATTCCCCGTGGAAATCGACAACATGACATCCTGGACGACTCGAATGTCGGTCATGAGCGTGTAGCATTTCTGCTGCTTCTTCGCCGGCGTCGATGGCGACTGCGGTTTATCGTGGATGGACGAATGCTTCAACAACGACCCCAGCACGGTCGAGGGATTGACTTTGCCCATTTTGCAGAGGCAGTCGATGTACAGCGGGAGAAGCGGATCCCACTTGACCCCCGTGGCTGCGCGACACTCGAGCAGCGCATCGATCAGGTTGGTTTCTGAGATGGAGCATTTTGAAAATAACAGCTTGGACAGATCTCTGAATTCGGTCGCGTCAATGCGATGCATCAAGCATCGATGGAGAAAGGTTCTCCATTGTTCGGACGCCATGTTGGAGGTGTCGTTGCGGGCTATATCATAGCAAACAGTAATCTAACGGGTATCTGTGCAGTTCACTCTTTGAACATAAATCCTGGGCATTTTGCCCTTGTGTTTGATGTTCGATCTGGGAGAAATCATGAAGCCGATGATTGTTTGGATGGGATGGTTGGGTCACGTGGATGACTAAGCGTCATGTGACAATCGCCTTATTGGGATACAGATACCACCTATATTTCTGCGGTTATATTTATATATGATAGTATTGATTATTTGGTGAAAGATGTTTTGGCTTTTCTTTTGGTGTCTTTCTTCAATGTCAATTGTTAGTTGTCTTTGACTGCGATTAGAAATCCAAGCGGCCTCAAAGATATATCGTTTGCCCTTTTTGTACTCACATTAGATAAAGCTGCGACCATATCTAGTCAAATTTAGAAAAGTGTTCTAAATTTGGCTAATCAAGAGTATACATTATATTCCGTCAGACTATGTTGCCTAGATATCCCTAAAAAAAAAAAAAAAAAAGCATGTTTGCTATACAAACAGAATAGAAAAGACAGAAATAGCAGATGTAGCCTAAACTCCCAGCCATAGTAGAAGATTCTATTCAGTGGACAGTGAATGTCCCACTTCACATTCACTGAGAGCTAGAAGTGTCGACCTTGACCTCACGGGCTGCTTCAGTCTTCAACACTTGTCCAACTCACTCAAGTCTCTACAAAACCATCCCCAAATCTTCTCCCACTCCTTCATCTGCTAGCCCTGACAAAGCAACGCTCTACTTCATCATGTCTTCGCGCTCTGATAAGAACAACCGGTCTCCTTCCATACTGCTTATATCGTTGTCGTCATCTGGCAACACCAGAAAATATTCGAAGGATCTTCACAATGCCTTCGAAGCGAACCATGTCAATACCAACGTCGTCAAAGATGCCAAAACCGCCATCAACCATCTCTCTGCAAAGAAAAAGCCCCAGGCTATCCTCGTCACAGATCCTGCAATCATCCGTCGAAAGAATTCCCATGTCTTGGACAAGGTGCTCTCCTACGCCAGTGAAGGCGGCAGAGTCATTTTCTGCTGCCACTTTCTCTGCAACAACATCTACGACGCCGGTCCTCCCCCGAAAAAGTTCAAAAGATTCTTCAAGAACCGACTCGAAGTGCCATGGAAAATCACCATTTATGGCCATTCCACTCCATACGCCAATCCCCTCTTTGCCCACGGTGACCAGGTCTATACCAATATCTCAGACGGTTTCGATAACGACGGAATTTGTCTTGAGAATGTCGAAGTGGGTGACGCCATGTATCTGGAAGCTGGGCTATCGAAATCAATTTGGACACCGGCAGCTTTTAAGTCTTTCTCGAGAGGCTGGATTGGGATTGTGGGGGTTATTCCTTTCGATGGCCACAACACCGATATTATTTTGTCCATGTGCAATCTCGAATATTATGGATTTGGCAGTCGTTAGACTAGGGAAGCCTTGATTTGAATGCGATATCCTTTTTCCATGCGGTGGAACCGAATATTTCCTGGAGCTTTGATTGCATACCGAGACACGTGCACATTGAAAAGATAGCAACAACTAGCTAATGTTCTGATCAAATATGATAATTCCAAAGTCGATATCATCTATTATGATAGTAGTAAATAGTATAAAGATCATGTGGATGACGTTTCTGGCAGCTCGTACTCGCCAACTCCACCGCAAACCTTATTACACGAGCCTTAAAATAGCCAATTTAGATGCAGATCAGTGGCAGTAGTATAAATAAGTATCTCCATTTCCCATATTTCATTTCTCTTCATCTATCCTTAATATCCTTAATATCACATCATGTCTACATCACCAAGCATTTAGGAGAGTTCAACCTCCATCTACTCTGATCTCCACCCCGCCGATGGCGCCCGCATCTTCCACGTCTACCACTCCAAATCCCACTTCAACCTCTCCATCTCCAATCCCGACAAATCGCCCCTCTTCTTCGTCAAAAACTCCTCCTTTACGCCCCGCAAACCAGACGTGACATTCCACACAGGGACAGACCAATCCGGCCCAACGGCAGCAGTATGTAAATTTATGAAATCATCCTCTCTGCTGAAAATCGGACTGGGCGATCCAGACGATCCCAACGCGATGATATGGGAGGAAATGACGAAGCAAACGTGGGATCATTCAAACTACAGATGGGAAATGACTATTCACCCTCCATCGGGGCATCCAGAACGACGATCGTTTCTGTGGAAGCGAACGCACTCGGTTGGAGTGGAGGAGTCGATGCCGGCGAAGCTTAGCCAGAGGAATTTCAAACTGGTTGATGAGCGCACGGGAGAGTTACTGGCAGTGTATGCGAATAATGGCGCGAAGAGTTGGAAGAAGGCAGGCAAGCTTCAGATTAATAAGGATTTTGGAAGAGATTGGGATACGATGGTTTTGTTGACGGGATTGTCGTTGCTGGAGAAGGAGAGGAGGAGGAGTCGAAATAGCAGTGGAGGTGGAGGTGGAGGGGGAGGAGGATAGCTTGCTAGACTGCAGACTGCAGACTGGCATTTAATGATACCTTGGTTGTTTTATTTAACTATGGTGAGATTGTCTGTGCTGTAGAGAGAGCAGTCACTGCCAGAGTGACTGTCAGTGACTGCCTTCTTCACTGCCTCAATTCGTTCCTTCCGATTCACGCTTCAATCGCAATTAAAAGAACCCAACCTTCCTCTCCTCTCCTCTCTTCCCTCTTCATATCTCATTGTCTACCTCAACAGGAAAGCTGCCAAAATCCTTCAATATATCCACGATGGATTGTTACTGCCTCGACGGCACTCATCTTTGAATTATCTGGGGGCTGTAACCCAATACAAAAGCATTACATCTATCAATGGAACAGCAACAGTAGCCCATTGTTATACCTCTCGGCCAATGCCAAAAGTCTTTGGTATGGTTGTTGGCGGGTTAGTCATACTCGCCGTGGTAGGCCTTAGGGTCTACATCGGGGCCAAATGGGCCCAATGCTAGTATGTACAAACGCATCAAGAATTATAAATACACTGACTTGAGTCAATAGCTTCGCTAGATGGCGCGTACAGCCGTTTGATCCCTCCTTGGGCCCCAGGGCCCTGGAGTTGTGGCTTCTTGTCACAAGCCTCGGAACCGCTATACCATTGCTATACAATTATCGACAGAAATAGCTCGGGGCACACCAGGGGAGTCGAATGGGGGAGGAGAAGGAGGAGAAGTGGAGAGGAGCCGAAGGATGAGGGGGCGGCGTTTGTTCAGACAGCGTCAGGATGCTAGTTAGATATATAATGTCAACTCTCTATTGGGATGTTACTCATCAATTGCATCATCCGTTTGTATGATATGAAAATGACAAGCAGTAGAACAGATCCATTGAATTTCTCTTTTCTCAATAGATGCAAAGTATTAGACACGATGAAATTCAGTATATGCCTCTCGAGAAAAGCCAAAGATCAGGAGAAAAAACGAAACGGGACGCTGGCCAAGTCCAAAAATCTCCGGAAGTTGTTACCTCTCCTCACTTCAGATTTGGACATCAAGGAGAAATGGGAAATAATCCGCATAGCTTTCCAGAAAAACGGCGTTGGGAATCCTGACATGGAATGGCTTGAAACGCAGCTGGAGCAGGTGGGAGAGTACACAATGGCTCAAGGGATACGGTTTATTGAGTGGATCGCCGACCCCAAGAAAGACATACCCAGCTGGTGCCAGAAGATTGTGGAGATGGACATCCAGGGTCGACAGATAGTCCAGCGAGAGATATATGTGCAAGAGGAGATGCAAGCCTTGCAGAAACAGCTGGAACTGACGCCATCTAACCCGAAAGAGACCGCAGCCCGGCTGACAGCGGTGGAGGAGGAAGCCAGCAGCCTCAACGAGGCATTCTGGGCCTATCGCCGACAACTGTGGAAGCTGACTAGCAACATGGGGCGCAGTCCTCCGAGTCAAGCCTTGACTACCACCAGACAAAACCCCGACTAGCATCTGATCGCCTGGTTACGGGAAGATTGCGCCCAAAAGGGAGGCTGCTGTGAGCGAGTGTGGATGCTGCGAGCAGCCTCGAAGTAGCCGGCCGCTCTGGGATCGTGGACACTGCACCACGGGCTGTGGATGTTGTATCCGCACCCGGGGACTCGCCCGTGAGAAAGAGGACAAGCTGAATGATCTGGATGATTTCCCGTTTGACGTGGTCGAGGTAAAGGATGTGTATAGCCTGCGGGTGTTTATGGCGTATATTTTTGGCCTGGGAATGGAGGATTTACCACCAGATCTTGCGAATATGATGCTTGCATCGTAAGAGGGCTGACGATCTGAGAAGGCATAAAAGGATCTTACTTCTTCAACTCGAGCATTATATCTATACTCTGTTCGATGATTAGTCATGGCCCACAATCTAATCGTCTGATTTTATCCACAACGTTAATTCCCAGACAGACCCACTGATGCTTCGAGCACACAAGGTCAAGCGATTATATGACTCAAACGAGTGCAGACAAGACTCCTGACTGGAGCTGGCCTCAGACTCAGTGAAAATCTTGCTTGGTTGAAGAAAGAATGGCCACCATCAGAGGTGGAACTGACTGACTGACTTTTAGAATTTACTTTCTATGCCGCAAAAGTATTCCGATACAACTCACTTGTCCTAGACTTGTGCTATCACAAGATGCGAAAATTGATAGGTCCATTTTCTGGATTGCCGATGGTTACGGTATGTAGACGAGCCAAGACCCAACTTACTTGCCAGGACAATTATTGTGGAGAGCCATTGGAGTCCGTATTGACAATGCCACATGGCATGACCGAATACGCTAGAAGAATTAACAGCTTCGAATTCATTATTCAAGTTCTACGTGTTCTTCCAGAAGCCAAGCCAATGAATTCCCTTGGAAATTCAAACCCAGATAAACTAATGTCAGAACTCAGACATACATCGTACTAAACTCGGAGAATTCATTATCAGTCAATACACGATACACCATCCCCAGCTAAACGACTACCGACTTGGGTAAAGATGGCAAGGCTAATCCAGCCTAACACCACGACTAGATCCATCGCAGTATGTGGAGATAACTCTATATGGTAAGTCATCCACTTTTCTGCATACGCCATGACAATGAAATAAATACGCTGTAAGTAACAACATGACTGTAAAGTGTATCCAACGTCCGTAACAAGTTGGCCCGATAATTATCCACATGGTTCGTACCACTAGGAGAAGTCAGTCATATCGTCGGCTTCATCGCCTGGCTGAACCATGGGTCGAGTCAACGGTTTGAAAATTTTGTCTGGTTGACGGAGATGGTTTGCCGTTTCTTCTTTTTCTTCTTCCAGATTACCTTTGTGTGTATGTGTAATGGATGTATCGACTTCTGAATGAATTGTCGAACATCCACATACTATGTAGTGCACATAGTAGACTGTAGTAGCTGACGCGTCGAATCAAAGACTGGATAATTCTCCGACCCCAGACAACTCAACTAACTACTACTACTACGTACTAACTGGTAGTATCAGTAATACCTGATACAGTAATACAGTTAGTCAGACCGATCAGAATATCCATAACCCGCGAACCCCCGACAACGAACGCTCAATGGCCCAGAGGCTAAATTAAGCCCCCTCTGTTCAGCCAGCCACTTTCAGGAGACTACCTTACACCTACTTCGTAGGTGTACGTACATAATTTAACGGTAGGTACTTCTGTCTAGTTAGTATACTATACTATAGTATACTTCTATTATAGAATATGCTGATACGTTGAGATCTAGGTACTCTATTCTATTCATATTGATAGTACTACTAGGTACCTACGACTGTCGTCCATACCTAGGTCTGTGAGATCCACCAAACCAGTGGGGTCCCGATCGCAGACACCAAATGCTCCGTGCCGTTTCTTGTTGGCCTGCCTTGTCTTGGGTCTTGGTCAGGGCTCAGGGGCTCACCGTAGTGTGCCACGCCCACAGTTTCGTAAGGAAGAAAAATGGAAAATGGAAAATAGAAGATAAATAGAAAGAAAAAATACTGCCTGAAAAATAGGTTCTGTCTGTACTGGAGCATCAATCATTGATCATCGTCTCATAGGAGAATATCTGGTTTTTCTATCGACAATGCCCGCTGAACTCCGTGTCCTTCTCCATTCCCGTCCCTATTACCCATATATAAGAAATAAAATAATGTGTAAAGAAATAGTATAAAGGAAAAGTGTAAGAAAGGTCAAACACCCCTCGAACTTCGCGGCCGCCCAGACGACGAAGAATCATTCAACAGATCCGGTGCTCTCGGCCCAACCATCCAATCCTCCATGGCCAACCATTCACTCCAGCTCCTCTCGGCCGCTTCAATCTCCGAATCGAGCGGCCCCTGCAGCGGACGTAGAAACGGTATCGTCTCGAGCGGCGGCATATCGTAGTCGTTTTTCACCGCGGCCCAGCCCCCGCTCTTCGCGGCGAAGAGGTAGTTGCGTCGTTCTTGTTCGTGGAGCGGCCCGATGCCTGCACCCCAGTCGTCACCGAAGAAGCCGTGCAGGACGCCCGGGAAGTCCATTCCGGTTGCGACGAGGCGACGGAGGTAGGGGATCAGTGAGACGGAGGGGGTTGATGATGGGGCGGGTGGTGTTGAGGGTGTCGATGTCGACGCTGTCGCGGATGTATCAGCCGCCGCTGCTGCTGCTGCGGATGGGGCTGTGGGCGTGGGCGTGGGCATGGGGGTCGTGGTCGAGTTGACGGGGTGAGGCTGGCACTGAAAGGGAAGACGGATATTCAAAAAGGCAGAGAGCGCTTGAACGGGGACGCTGTGCTGGGCGTGATCTAGAAAGTAACGCTGACAGTTCTGATAACGCGGATACCAGTCGAAGATGTCAAAGTTATCCGCGCCCTGGGACGCTTCCGAGAGTCCCACCATTGTTGCCGGATCAAAGTGAGAAGAGCCAGGGTTCATATTGGATGAATTGTCGACGGGTCTGAGGATTTAGTAGGCGATCGACCGAGGGGAGATAACTAGGTAGAGCCAACCTTTCCCGAGAGGAAAAAACACTTCGACCTCGACGGAGGAGGAGGGAAACTCGGTGACGAGGCGAGGGAGTCGAGGAGGACTGGGAGCGAAACAGGCTGCGAAAGTTACGACCTAGACCTCTGCCAGGATGAGAATCGTTGACGGACATCTGCTAGGTGAGGTCCATCTAGAGAGGCAGCAATCATGACATAAGAAAGAAGGAAGCGAGGGTTTAGGGAAATGGGAGCATGATGCCGTTAGGGTAAGACGTACAGTCTGAGAGAGAAGAAGAAATAAAAGAAAAGGAAGGAAGAGATGGGAAAAACGGGAGGGAAAAGAAAAGAAAAAAGAAGTGGAACTGGAGAAAGTGGATTTGTATAAAATGTTTGGGTGTAAGTATTATTTTGCTCAGATCTACGGGCAGCCCCTGGGGCAGAGGAATGATTGGTGATGGCGAAAGGAAGCCCAAGACGACCATCGCGTGTCCTTTTTCAGCGGTGGATCTGAAATAATCATCAAATAATAATAATAACAACAACAACAATACAGAACTAATAGTCTGTCAGAGAAATAATCTACTAGTTAATATTAAACTGATCTCACAGTGCTTGTTTGCATCCTGATTGGCTGCCAGCCAGATTAACGAGGATTCTGTCCCGGTTTTGGGGACTGTCACCTGTTGCCAGTGGTTGTGTATTTCTTTTTCTGTCCCAGGCCGTGGCGTCTATAGTCTTGCCTGCTAGTAGATTCAGCGGTCAGATAGCCTCAATAATTCAGGTGTTGGTATAATAAGAAACAATATTAGGGATTCGTCAGGGTGCATTGGGGGGAGTCTGGGAGATCTGGTCATCTGAACCTTCCAAACAGACCCTGACCGGCCGAGGACAACCAGTGGATGATCTTCAGCGGTACGCCGGTATTGTATCATTCGATCGGGTGTTACTTGTCTGGTACTAGCCTGTCTATGCGATTGATCGATGTTTCACTTTTGCCCGTTTCAGCCCGCCCGATTTGGTTTAATCATCTGGATTTGCCACGCGATCGATCGATACTTACCTACGGCCTAGTAGTATACTATACTGGTAGTATCTGTACTGGTGGGATCTGTAAATGATAGCGGTGAGACAGCTGTCATATATAATAATAGACCATATCAAACAGCATGATCAACTCGGACTATTGTTGGCATTTCCAGGAATTCTGCACACGTTCCATCTGATCGGCCAATCGTGTCGTGCGGCTTGTCAGAGAACGCTTAGTCAGTCGACTGTTGAGGTTCGTTGCATATGCCCTACTGCACCTCTATCCATGGTACACTCGCTGCACTACTGCAGTACTCGTAGGCTGTCGACTGACTCACCGGAGTACGCCGTCGGGATATGTTTGTTGTCAATGATCTACAATGATGCCTAAAAAAGAAAATGATAAAGACAAAAAGAAGGTAGGCAACTCTAAGTGACACCGCCACCGTGCACCGCCACAGCCCAAGTGCGGAGATGCGCGTTCTCCGTGCGGAGTCCTCCGGATTCCGCTGAAATCGGCGGAAGGATCAGACAGAGCCAAGAGGGGGTCGGGGGTAGGGTAGAACACAGGCAGGGTGAATGGGAGTATTCATATAGCATAAACAAAACTAAGGACTGTTTTCCGATGACTGATGGATGAGATTGATGACTGATGAATACTCCGGATATCGGTAGATGATGGATGCTGTGAGAGTCAAGAAATTGAGGTGGTACATGATCAAACTCAATGGAGGGGAAGGAAGTGCGAAGCGAGGGAAGTCAACGGTATAAGTAATTGGAGGACTGGCTAGGTCATGTGGCCAGAATCAGGTGGTTGAGCTGTACAATCTGTCTGGAGGAGTGGGAGTGACTTGCCTCTTTATAAATATTATACCAGCAATTGAATAACGCCGTCCCAGATAAGAGCTCACCGGCATCGGATGGGGGCATAGAGTAAACTTAGTCGATCCTCTATGATAACTTTAACAGCAAAATGCAGTCTTGACCCGGCAAAACGATCACAAGAAGTACCCCGCGACCCACAGTTCCCTTGACTAAATGACATGACTTTTACTTTAACTGGAATGGGGGCCTCTGATTGGCGGGGCTCTTATCAGTGATCGAGGGACAGCATAGAGACGATCAACGTTTCAGTCACGCGACGACCCCATGGAGAGCCCGTGGGGTGTGGGAAGCACAGGACAGGGACTGGTCAAGGTCTGGTCAGTGTCTCTACATGGTGTCATAGACATTGATTTTTGATGGTCATCGACGGTAGTATGTAGTTGTATGTAGTACTCAGAGGGTAGTAGTACGGTCGGAAGCTTCACGTGACACTTGGCGCTGTACGGGCTCCCAGGGGGGGGCATCAATCAAAAGAATAAAAATCAGACGATGAATAATCGCAATCATACGGTAGGCGACGAAAAATCAAATAAAATAGACGAAGAAAATAAATGAAGACGAAGAAGAAAAAATCCAGTCGCCACGATAATCTCCCGGAAGGCCGCAGAGATAAACCCATTCTGTGACCATAAAGTATTCGATAACATTAATTCCTCCTCGCCTCCCGAACTTCGGCCTCTCCACCTTCACCGGCGGGATCCAATCCGGCATTTCGCTTTCCGCTCTCTCTTTTCGTGCTTCTCGTCCGACTCCGGCTGCGTCTCCGCTGTCTCTTCCTCCTTTGCCCCGTCTTCAGAACACACATAAATCCTCCTCTCTCCTCTTCATTCTCGCTCTTTCTTTCTCTCCATCCTCATCCTTCTCTCCTCCATCTCTCTCTTCTCAATTGTATACCCCCCCACATTTTATCTCTGATAAGCCTTTTTGCCTCTCACCGGCGGAAAGGAAATCTTCAAAACCGCTTAATCAATCCCTCAAATCTACCTTCACCATGTCCAACCTTCCTCACGAGCCTGAGTTCGAGCAGGCCTACAACGGTATGTTCTGTCTCATATCTGATATCGTATGATCGTCGATACTAATGTATACAGAGCTCGCCTCCACTCTCGAGAACTCTTCCCTCTTCCAGAAGAACCCCGAGTACCGCAAGGCTCTCCAGGTCATCTCGGTCCCTGAGCGTGTCATCCAGTTCCGTGTCGTCTGGGAGGATGACGCCGGCAACGTCCAGATCAACCGCGGTTACCGTGTCCAGTTCAACTCGGCCCTTGGTCCCTACAAGGGAGGTCTCCGTTTCCACCCCTCGGTCAACCTTTCCATCCTCAAGTTCCTCGGTTTCGAGCAGATCTTCAAGAATGCCTTGACCGGCCTCAACATGGGTGGTGGTAAGGGTGGTTCCGACTTCGACCCCAAGGGCAAGACCGACAACGAGATCCGCCGCTTCTGTGTCTCTTTCATGACTGAGCTCTCCAAGCACATTGGCGCCGACACTGACGTCCCCGCCGGTGACATTGGTGTCACTGGCCGCGAGGTCGGCTTCATGTTCGGCCAGTACAAGAAGCTCCGCAACCAGTGGGAGGGTGTTCTCACCGGTAAGGGCGGCAGCTGGGGTGGTTCGCTCATCCGCCCCGAGGCCACCGGTTACGGTGTCGTCTACTACGTCGAGCACATGATCAACCACGTCTCCGAGGGCAAGGAGTCCTTCGCTGGCAAGCGCGTCGCCATCTCCGGCTCCGGCAACGTTGCCCAGTACGCCGCCCTCAAGGTCATCGAGCTCGGCGGTTCCGTCGTCTCGCTCTCCGACTCCCAGGGCTCTCTGGTCGTCACCGGCGAGAAGGACAGCTTCACCCCCGCTGAGATCAACACCATTGCCGCCCTCAAGGTCGAGCGCAAGCAGCTCACCTCCATCATCAACGACGCCGCTTTCGCCAACAAGTTCAAGTACATCGAGGGTGCCCGTCCCTGGACCCACGTCGGCAAGGTCGACGTCGCCCTCCCCTCTGCCACCCAGAACGAGGTTTCCGGCGAGGAGGCCAACGCCCTCATCGCCGCCGGCTGCCGCTACATCGCCGAGGGCTCCAACATGGGCTGCACCCAGGCCGCCGTCGACGTCTTCGAGGCCCACCGTGAGTCCAACAAGGGCGCCGCCGCCATCTGGTACGGCCCCGGCAAGGCCGCCAACGCCGGTGGTGTCGCCGTCTCCGGTCTCGAGATGGCCCAGAACTCGGCCCGCATCAACTGGACCGCCGAGGAGGTCGACGCCCGCCTCAAGGCCATCATGAAGGACTGCTTCGACAACGGTCTCCAGACCGCCAAGGAGTTCTCCACCCCCGCCGACGGCAACCTGCCTTCTCTCGTCGCTGGTTCCAACATTGCCGGCTTCCGCAAGGTCGTCGCCGCCATGAAGGACCACGGTGACTGGTGGTAAATCAGTCGCCCCGTCGACATGATTTTTTGATGAATTTCCTTTTTTTTCTTTTTACCCTTTTCTTTTTCAAACAGCGTGCGGACATAGAGGCGCCGGGTTTTTTTTCTTTGGTTCTTTTGCAATGTTTATATCCTAACGGCATTTATCATGAATGATATGACTGAACTATATTTTTCCTCTGTAAATCGTAGCTCCACCTTCTCTACTGGATAAATTTAGTAGTCCTCAAGTTAGCCCGTTATGAGCCTTATTAAACTTAATTGGGAGTAGTCATATGACATTAATTTATTGATGTTGTTATTTCACTTTTGTTTTGTTTTGTTTTCCATACGCCACGCTGATGCTAAACCAAAATAAATACAAAAACCGGGTATCTCAATCATGCGTATATACACGAGTAGGTTAGTAGGTAGATAGGGAAAGTAAGTAGATAGGGTATCACGATTCCGGCCACGGCGCCAAATCATGCATGATTCCGCCCTGCTGTGGCCTGGTATTATCGAGGGTATTGTGCGTGTTTGTTTCGGGCCATTGCACCATCTCGAGTGGATCGGAGAGGAGACTGCGTCGGCGGGAGAGGACGCCCCCGCACGAGGGGTTTTCCTTAGCTTGATGCACGACCGTTGTTTCGCGGGCGCGCGTGGTTCGACTTCGACGGCGGGGTCGACGGAGGTATTCGTTGGGGACGGGGTCGACTTGTTTCTTTGCGGCTGGGACGAGGTTGAGGTAGAGGGGGAAGATGGCGCCCGCGCAGAAAAGGGCGACAAGCACGTTGTACGAGTATGTTGAGCCGTGGGCGTTGGCCGCGGCGTTTTGGGCGAAGGGGAACGCGACCCCGCCGCTGATGGCCATGGTGAGCAGGGTTGCGGCGGTTTTGGTGTGGCGGGCCGTGCCGCGCAGGGAGATGGCGAAGATGATGCTGAAGACGCCGCTTTCGAAGAGGTAGACCAGAAGGCCCATGGAGACGGCTGTTGCGCCGGTGGTTTTGGTGCCAATGATGGCGCACACTATCATTCCAATGTACGAGACCATGAGGATCCAACGGGGTTTGAGGAATAGCTGGGCAAACGCGGCTACAAAACGGCCGACGGCGAACACCGCATGGCCAACTGTCAGGTATTCGTATGAGCCGAGTTTGGCGCTGCACGAATTAGTACAAATAATTGATAATAAAATATACTGCTTGGAGCATACCGTGGATGTGCGTCCGTGACAAAGGTTTCAAAGCTCATCGAAACTACCTCTTGTCCCGCAACGTAGAAATACTGCGAAAACACCCCCAGGCCGAGAGTCAACCACACTACCGGAATACCAATCACCTTTGTCTCATTATCATCGCGACGACGATTGGCCAGTTCCTCGAGGTCTTCATCTGATGCTTCGGGAATCGGGAGATAGTAAAAAGCAGCAGCCAGGAGGACGTCAAACAGCGCAATGCCCAGATACGTCCATTGGACGTCGACAAGAGACCCCACGTCCGTCACCTGTTTGAATAAGACTTTTTTTGCCAACAGCGGCGAGACAACGCTCCCAATAGCTTGCACGCCCTGTGAAATATTCAATCGGATTTCCGAGTTCTCGAGCGGTCCGCAGAGGGCAATGAAAGGATTGGCGGCTGTCTCGACCACGGCCAGTCCAAACCCTACAATAAAGTTGGACACGCTAAAAGCAGAGTACGACGTCAACACGGCCGATGGCCAGAAGATGAGAACACCACAGGCGTAGATGCAGAGACCCGTTATGAATGTTGACTTGAATCCCCACTTTTTCAAGACTACCCGTCCGACCAACGGCGGGCCCACCAAATATCCACCAAAGTAAACTGCATGTAAGCCCATGGACCGCCAAGTATCCAGACGCACAATTTCCTGGAATTGACCGTTGAGAATGTCCAGCAATCCGTAGGCAAAGCCCCACAAGAAGAAAAGAACGGTGGTCAGCGCGATCGGGGCAATCGACTCCTTGTTGTTCAGTTTCAGCATGCTGGTCGGCTTCTTCATATTGACGAAATCGAAGAATGTGATGCTTTGCGGATACGAGCTGCTGGTCAAGGTCGTGTTGGCTTCTGGGTCTTGAACAGTTTCAGGTCCCGTCAAGAACTCCAGCATATTCATCCGCGAATCCCGACGGCTTCCACTAGCGCTGCTCCCGCTTCCAGCCTGAGAGTTCTTGTTCTCGCTGGCGGATTGCGATTGCGAGCGCGAAGAGCGTTCATTGGATGCGTTGGCAGGAGGAACATCAGCAGGCATATTGGCGGCCTGGATAGCATCGGCCGTGGTTCTGGTCTCGTCGTCGGTGTCCCTGATCATTTTGGGAATGATTCGAGCAACTAGCGGTTTCAAACTCGGAACGCAGGCGCACATGACCGACACATTTACCTCGACCACAGACCACATAAATGATAGCGAGGCGTACCCTAAAACATTAGCTTAAAACCTGGTGGTTCTGACAAGGGACATACAGCTAATATCATCACCTCGGGCATCTGAAAGGTGAATTGTTTGAATTGCGAGCTGACGAGATATGGCGGCATTTTGAATATAGACAATGCGGATGACATCCACGACCGCCACGAAAAAACCAAAGCTGAATGTGATGACCAAGATGATTTTTTGTTTCCGTGGAAGGCGCATTTGCGTAAGAATAGGCATGGGAAGGAATAGTATGGCCAAGTCGGTTATGATGTTGACAGGCGACGAGGAGAGATATAGGGTGAGAATATCAGTGCATTGACCGTCGGCCGGAAGGGTATATGCGAAAGCGGCTTGCACGGGTCGACACTGGAAGACATTGACCAGAGTCAAGGCCAAACCAGCGGCGTTAACGACAAAGAGGGTGACATAATTTGCCCAGCGGTAGACCTTTTCGCCTTTGGTCAGGGTTAGGTAGAAGACGAGAATAGAGGTTTTGACGGCCATCAAGGCAGGATTCTGAACAGTTAGCAATAATAACGAATGGAACCACACTAGACCACTCACGTAGAGAACGGTAAAGGCATAATTGGCGCGATTGAGACCAGGACGGTCCTGCGGATCGATGTTGACTTCATGAAGGCCCAGACCTTTGTGCGTCGCATAAAAGAGAGAAAAGGTGAAACCAAAGTCCAGGACCCAAGCCAGCAGAATCAAATGATCGTGCAATCCCACTCTCCCGACGACAAAAATCCTCGAAACGAATCGTAGACCGACAAACACGCTCGCAATGACGAGGAAAATAATCGACACGACAAGAACCTCGGGTCGATGGTCTCCCTCCATGGTGAGCGACCGAGTATCCGGACAAGGCCGTCGCCCGGACGGCCACGGCGCGAACCACGAGCGACAAACAGTTGTTGAAACGGCCAAAGACTTGTATCTAGAGTGTATACCGATTGAGGGGGATCAATTCCATCACTGGTGTGCGAAACTTGAGCCCCATCGTCGCCGAATTCGCGGTTCGGGGAGGATCGGGGAATTTGCGCAGTCGCTGGAGGAGCGAAGCGATGATGTCGGGGAGGAGGATATTTTAAAAAAGGACAGGGCGACGAGGGAGACCAACAGGTCGAAAGTCGAAAGTCGAAAAGAACGAAGGAAGCGACGTGGAGAAAATGGGGGGAGAAAAAAAGAAAAAAGGCACGAGGAGAAGTTCCGAAGGAGGGTAAAAAGAGTGGCTGCGGACGTGAGGGATTGAGGGGAGACGAGCGGGCGAAAGGCGGAGGCAGCCCGTGGGAGGAGATGCGTGGGTCTAGGGATGCAGAAGATGAGGACAATTATTTCAGAGATCAACTTGAGGGTGACTCAGACTGAAGGAGTGTGATGGTTATGAAGTGTCGAGAGAGAGAGAGAAGAGGAGGTGAAGAGGAGGTGAGAGGTGATGCTGTCCTGGCAGCTGTTCAACTGCAGAGCTGCTGTCCAACATTCGCATCCAGAGTCATCCTCGAAAAGCCTCAAGAATCCCAATCCAGCTCAGTCAGACTGACTCTTTTTTTTTTTTTTTTTTTTCTCCAATCATGCGGACCATAAATGAGACAGTCAGACTGGATTGACAGACGTAAGCTTTTTCCCCAGACCCAAAAAGAGCAAGACATGGTTCTCCAGACCGTGGACAGACGCCATCGAGCCGATCATCGTAAAGAAGCGCCTGTTTGGGTAAAAGAGCAGAGGGGGACAACACCAACCTGGAAAGGATTGACTGGACACGCAGTCAAGAACCCTAAGCGTTGGATAGTGTTGGAAGATCGGTGTTGAGGATTTGCTTTTGGTGGCAAAGTCGGTCTGGAAGAATGCTTGGCTGATCGACTGTGCATGTTGTTGATGATGAGAATAGAGATAGAGATGGGTAGAGGATATGCAATGATTTGATATGATGAAGAGGATGACAGAAGTTGATTTCCTGCATAATCTGACAATGCATTGTGTTCTTTGTTTGGTTGTTGGTGATTATGCAGTGTTGATAGGGATAACTTATGCACACAACTTCATTATCACACATATCAGTCTCAGACAGAGTACCAGACAAAGTATTAATTGAATACTATTATTATACTCTTCATCAGATGGTTCCTGATAATTGATCCGTAAATAAGAAACGTCTGGTTCAGATAAAAATTCAGATAAAACTCTTCCTGTTAAAAATAGTCGAAACAACACGAGTACGAGAGAGTTTCCTAATCAGGTAATGTATAGTATTCGTATTGCCTTTATATAAATCCACCTCTGCACTTGTTCAATTTATTCTTCATCTATTCTACAGTCACTCTTCTACATCATGTCTCCCAATCGAAGCAGCTACATCCGTTGTCCCTCCAACCAAGACGGAAATGTCTTCCAACTCTCCTTCTCGACAGTCCTTCGAGCCCTCCAGGCCATCTTCGCCTTTGTCACCATGGCCCTCTACGGTATCGACCTACAACACGCCAGCGCCGTTCATAACAGAGCCGATTCCAGCTGGATATACGCAGAAATGGTCGCTTGTATTTCTGTCGTCATCTGCATCGCACACTGCATCTTCACACCGAAACGAGGCGTCTGGTTTATCTTTGACTTTGTCATGGTCGTCCTCTGGGCTGCGCAGTCTGGGCTGTTTGGAATTATGTACATCGGCAATCATGAATCGGATGATAAGGACTTTACATTGTCAGTGCAAAGAATGAAGGCTGCAGCGGGGATCAATCTGGTGAATATGGTGTTGTGGTGTATTGCTGCTGTCTATGGGATTGTGTGTGTCTGTTCTTGTAAAAGACGGACCAAGAAGGTAGATGAGGAGAAGGATATCGAACGAGGGGTGGAAGAAAGAATTCAAGAGAAGCCAGAGAAGGAAATGTCCAAAGAGAAAGAAATGCTCAAAGAAAAGGAGGAGAAAATGGAGAGACCCCCGAGTTATGAATCTTGAAATTCTCGTGATAATTTAGCGACGTTGCACTGGGAATAACCTCGGATGTGATCAACACGAGCTCAATTGACTACCTACCATTGGCCAATTCACATGTTAATGCATGTTAATGTCATCAATACTACCCTGCTATATTAATATTGTTGATCATCACAGCCTATGCCATGCATACGGGCATATCTGCATCTTCACATGGCATCTTTCTCCTCATTATTTCCCAAAAGAGAAGGCGATCGGTCCAGGCCGGACAGGTAGTATGTCGATCTATTTTGCTATATAAAATGCACCTTTGCCAGTTTCCATAACAGCAGTCAGCATCATGAAGATATCCATTCTCGCCGTATTTTCCCTGGCTCATGCAGTCACAGCCAACTGGGCTGAGTCTATCTGGGACGATGTCAAACATGCCGTCAACTGTGCTGGATGCGAGGTGAGTTATCCACTACTAGATAGGATGTCATCACTGACAGACAGACTGTTCTATTTGCTCTCAAAGGAGTTGCTGATCTAGGCGAACACGCATTCCAAACCGTCCTGACTGATGTGTGCGATATCAGTGGTGTATGTTAATTCTGTCTCTCTATCTTTAAATCTCATCTTATACGAAAACAGACCGAAGATAAAGACGTCTGCTCTGGCCTCATCGCCGCTGAATCCCCTGCTCTATATTACAACATCAAGAACCTCGGTGTCAAATCCCACACCTCCAAAGTCCTCTGCGCCCAACTCTTCGGGCTCTGCCAATTCCCAGCGGTTCGACCGTATAACCTCACCTTTCCATCTCCCAAGCCAACCACTTCTCGTCCGCCTCCCAGTGGACAATCGCCTATCCGGGTAGCGCACATCAGCGACACGCATGTTGATCTATCCTACGAAACAGGATCGAATTATGAATGCTCCAAGCCCATCTGCTGCCGGGTGTATACGGACGAAGATGCTCCTGGGAATACCTCGTTTCCCTGCGGTCCATACGGCAACACCAACTGCGATCCCCCACTGCGTCTGGAAGAGAGCATGATGGCTGCTATCAAGTCGCTCAATCCTGCGTTCTCCATCTACACCGGCGATGTAGTAGCCCACGATCTCTGGATGGTCGACAAGACGGAAGTTCTGGATGACTTCAATGCCACCTACAGCATGCTGGACCAGCTCGACCTGGTCTACGCAGCAGTCGGGAACCACGACACCACACCAGTCAATCTCTTCCCCTCGACTCAACTGCCAGACAAAGACAATCAATGGGCCTACGATGCTCTCACAGCCGAATGGAAAAGCCTGACCAACTCGTCCATCCAAACCACCGAATACGGCTCTTATTCAGCCATCTATGAAAACCTGCGCATCATCTCGTACAACAGCATCTTCTACTATCAAGACAATTTCTACGCCTACACAGACCCAATGGCCCACGATCCCTCCAACCAACTCACCTGGCTCATCGACCAACTCCACGAAGCTGAATCCGCAAACCAACGCGTCTGGCTGATCTCTCACATCCCAACGGGCGGAGTGGACCATCTCCACGATTACTCGCACTATATAGACGAGATTGTCCAGCGCTACGAAGCGACCATTTCCGCCCTCTTCTTCGGCCATACACATACGGATCTTTTCCAAATCGCCTACTCTGATTATAAAAATCGTGCCTGGGACACTGCCTCGGCGATTGGATATGTCGCGCCATCGTTGACGCCGACGTCTGGCCCGCCTGCGTTTCGCATCTACGATATCGACCCGGTCACGTTTGCCGTACTAGACTATACGGTCTACATCGCCAACATCAGCAACCCGTCATATCAATCCAACCCCAAATGGGAGAAATACTACTCGGCGAAAGAGGCATATGGCTCTCTTCTCTCTCCACCAGTTACAGATTCGTCAAGCGAACTCACCCCATCCTTCTGGCACAACGTCACGGCTCTCATGGAGAAAGACGATTCCGTGTTCCAAGACTGGTGGTCGCGAACAACCCGCGGGTACAACGTAACGACATGTACAGGCGACTGCGCAAAGAAGGAAATCTGCGCCCTCCGCGGCGCCGACGCACAATATAACTGTGTTACAGCAACGCCCGGATTCCACTTTGACAAACGAGAGGAAAGCGAACAGAAGCCTAGGCCGGAATGTGAAGATGGACTGGGAAGAGTGCTGGGTGATATGATCCACAAGAAAGATTTCGTGGACTTGCTTCACGAGAGAACGGCTCAGTATCAGCACAGATAATGACATACCCTGCTACCTGGTATTACTGAATCACAATGCCAACACATTATAATATATGCATCGGTGTTTGAAATCCACCTGTACATCCATACATCTATCCATCTATTGGCCGACAAGCATCAATAAGAGACATTCCATGAACTCCGACAAGGCTGCTGTAACTGACGTGTCCTACATGACTCGTAAACAATACACCCATAAAAGAAGTACACTACCCAGGCAATAGACACTTCAAAGTACAGTGATAGTAATGGATCTATCCGCGATAAAAAAACGCCATAAAGCGCTGCTGGAGGTGGAGGATAGCAAGGATGTGATTATTGAGGTTTGTCTTACATAACTCCTAGGTACCTGATATGAGTATACTAAGAGATAGGAACTGTGTTCTCGTATCGAGTCTCTTGAGAAGGATATCAGTGAGAAAGAGAGTGAGTTGGAGGATAAAAAGGTTATCGTGGATGATGCCAAGGGCAAGTCGAAGAAATGGAAGGGCGAAGTTGATGAGTTGAAGCGTGAGAGGGTATTCCCCTACCTACCCTACTATCTTGGTTCAAGATGCTGATTACCAGGCAAAACTGAGTTATGTCTCTGTCCTCATCGACGGTGATTGTATGAATGTACGTCCTCCCTCCACCATCCATCATAAACCTCATCTGATAGAGAAAGTTCCACGACACCCTAATCCAAAAAGGCCACAGCGGCGGCCACGAAACCGTGCAAACCCTCTTAACCTCTATCAACGCTCACGTCCAAGACCTCGACAATCCCATCCACCCCATCCAGTGCAGAATCCGAGTGTACGCCAACGTGAACGGGCTGGGCAAGACGTATCGCAATGCGGGGATTATATCCGACGAAGAGACTCTGGTGTCGTTCATTCAGGGCTTCAATATGGAGAATGGATTGTGTGACTTTGTCGATGCGGGGGGTGGGAAGGAGTGTTCGGATGTTAAGTTGAGGGGTATCTCCATCTACCACCTACTATCTTATAGGTGATTTACTGACAGTGGGTAGCCCTTTTCGAACAAGACATCCAAGACACGCATTGTACGAGAATCATCTTCTGCGGGTCGTCAGATAACGGCTACGCACGACTACTCGGTCCTCACCGAGGATGTAATCGTATATCACTCATCCAAGGACCGCCGTTCGCATGGGAGATGAAAGAGCTGTCTACTCATTTTCCTACTGCTTCCTTTCCGGATGTTTTTCGATCAACCAAATTAAGCAGACGAGTCTCGTTCAGCCAGACTACGCCACCAAGTTCACCTCCCCAGCCAGCAGCACCAGCAGCACCAGCCAACTATGCCTCTGCAGCAAAGGCAACACCACCCCCACAACCACCCTCTCCCTCTCCCTCCCCAGAAAGAAAAGTCCCCAAAATCCCTATATTGAAGAACTCCTACGGGCAGCGCATCGACCGCCCCCTCCGCTTCTCCACCCGCGACCAGGTCGATTCCCTAAAACAGCTCAAACTGTGCAACCAATACCACATTCTGGGCGTATGCTCGTACGGGGAATTCTGCAGCCACAGCCACGAGCCGAAATTGAGCGCTACGCAGGTCGAGGATTTAAAGTATATTGCTAGATCGCGGGTTTGTGCGAGGGGTTTGGAGTGTGAAGATGAGGGGTGTGTTTGTGGGCATCGGTGTCCGAGGGAGAGTTGTGGGGGGTTTGGGTGGAATGGGTGTCGGTTTCCGAGGTATATGCATGGGGTTGATACTTCTGTTTAGTAGCTTACTGGGTCGTTCATTGTTGGTGTGTTTGGTTCTTTATTCTGATTCTGGTGGTGATGTTGTTGCTGGTGTGGTGACTCGGATAGTTAGGAGTAGTTCTTTGTTGAATCATACATACTGTTTCAGATCAAACTCAAAAACTCATAGTCAAGTAGCCAGTCAGACATGTCTCAGTCAGGAGTGAGGAGACGTCATAGTATCTGAATCTATTAAATCTAGTCTCCGTCAAGCTCAGCTCCTCGAGCCGTCAATCCCTACCTAACCCGTCCGATCGACATGAAGAAATGAATATCAGCGGCTGTGCAAAAAGGGGCTTACACTACAAGAATATAAATAGAGAAGACTTTCTTCCTTTGAGTCAAATTCATTCAAGTGAAAATGCATTGCTAAAACATGGATGGAATCCCAGACTCTCATCCATTTGCGCCAGTCCTTTTTCCTTGTCCCTTATCCCCATTCCGTAGTCGTGGTCATCGTAAGAATGTGAATCTGTCCAGTCAATGGTGTCGTGTGGCGTTGCGGTTTCTTAATCCCGAATTCTATAACTGATGTAGACCGAAGTCAAGAAGGTAATGTTGAACGAGTGTCGTGTCAAATGACAAAGGTTGAACGAGTGTCAAGTGTCGGAGAATGAAAGAATGTATCGACGAAACGGTGAAGATAAACGAAGGTATTCACAAGAAGGTAGAAATATCAACAGGTCAAGTATGAACGAATGTATCATATAAACAAGAAAAGAAGCAACGCCAGACTACAGATTCTGAATGTGTTCAAGCTTAGTTGATGTACCACTCAACACCGTGGAGACGGCCCTCGGCGAAGTCGGCCAGCGCGGAGAAGAAGTGACGCGACAGGTCAATCGAGGTGCTGTCACAGCCCATGCACTTGTCGACGACCTTACCGGTGGTGGTCTTGCCTCCGTACTTGACGGTGACCATCTTACCACAGTCGGCGTCAGTCATCAGGCCGACGGGCAGAGCAAGGACGCTCTCGGTCTCGCCATCGTTGGTCCAGCCACAGCTGCTGGGAGCGCTGGCGCTGGTGGCAACATCGTAGAAGGTAACCTGACCGGTGCAGGGAGAGCTCTCGGAGCATTGGCCAGTGCTGGGTGCTCCAGTGGAAGAGGGAGCGCTAGACGAGGTGGAGGTCGAAGTCGGGGTCTCCACAGGAGGCTGAGGAGTCTCGCTGGTGGTGGGAGCAGCAGTCGTGGTAGGAGCGGGGGCAGACTCCTGGGGCTGAGTGGGCACAACGGGAGCAGCGGAAGTAGTAGGCTCCTGGGGAGGAGTAACGACAGTAGGCGAGGGAGCGACAGGAGACGAGGTTTCCACCGGAGCGGGAATCGAAGAGGTCTCGGGCTCGGGCTCAGGAGAAGGAGTGGGCTGGCTGCTGACGATGGACACCACGGAAGTCTTAACAGACGGCTGAGCCGGCTGGGTGGGCCGAGCATCATAGACAGTGGTGGTGACATCAACAGTAGTCCATTCGACAGAGGTGGCAGTCGTCCAAACGACGACATCGTCACGCTTGGCAGCCGGAGCGGCGGAGGTGGCAGCAGCAAAGAAAGCGCTGAGGAGCGCAAGAGACTTGGTGAGAGGAGCCATTTCGAAAGAGTGGATGGCTAGATTTGGATGTATAAAGATCGAACGGATATAAAGAAGGACAACTGCACAGCAGTACACTCGTAGAGTGGGAATGAAGGAACGACAGAAGCTGTCAAGAAAGGACTGAGTGAGGATGAAAGAGAGAGAAAGACAGAATTTCGGGGGAAACGAAGAATACTTAAAGTGCCCTGAGCTAGTCGAGCAAGCTATACAGAATCCAGCCTAGCCTGCTTTTTAGTCGGTCGAAGCGGGGGCAGCCTCCAGACCCACCGTCAGCTCGTGAACCCTGGGTTCCGTCAGGGTCAAGCCAATCATAATTAATTGCCGTCCCCTCTCTCCCCTATTACCGTTCAATTGCGACGGCCTCAAGTCTGGGTATCTCATTTCTGGGACCGGGCCGATTCCAAACAGTGAGTCAATCAGCAAACACTGTCCTCCATCGGAAAATGAGGCAGCCAGAAGGAGCTGCCATCTCAGCATGATGTGTCAACGTAAGAATTGACGTGTGTTGGAAGAACAGGATATCTGTGCGGGTACCTGAATCGGAGAGTCGGAATATTCACTGCGAATCCACTGATTGGCGGGAGACCCAACGCCGGTGTAGCATCCCTGCTCTGGTGGAAGTTTACTCCGCTACTATGCCGGATCGGGGGTTAGTGCTGGGAAAAGTGTTTGCACGGAGTGATGAGACTGGCCCGTTGCAGGTCGGTTTTTTTAGCCCAATTGCCTTTTAAGAGGGATCATCCTGAACCCGTCTTAAGCCGCGGTGGACGCCACAGTTCCACTGTTTGTACCTGAACAGTCTCTGTAGGAGTATGAATATCTGTAGTACAATGTATGGAGTACAGTGTAGGTAGTAAGTAGGTATATGTACATATCAATAGATCATCTTATCTGAACAGAATAAGAATAACTGAATGAAACAGAGTAGCTCAAGGCTATGAATAGGAACAGCCACAAGACTAGTAATATATATAGGGCACCCCCTCTTTGTCGACTAAACTAGCGTGCCCACCGTCTCGGTCTCGACTCAGCCGTTTTTCTTTGACTCAACACATTCCAAGAAAAAGGTTTTGCTATCTATAGCCAAGTCTTTAGTCTGTTTCATCTTTGAGATTGCTAGAGGCTGTCAGAACCAAACCATGTGGTCTGAAGTTTTGGTTTGAATGGGATCATGTTGCAAGTCACATGTTTGGAGTTTAATGTGTCACAGGTATCCTATCTTGCATTAGCACACCATCTGGATAAGCATTCGGTCATCCAGGATTCGTTTTCTCTGGGCATATGACGGTCATCCATTATAGTTGACCGGTATTTAGTCTAGTCCACCTGCTCATTTTGTTGCTAATTTAATATGAGAAAGAATGCATCAATTAATGCTCATTATATACATTCTCAACTCAACTGATCTGTGTCGTCGTCTATCGAAATCCTAGATCGGGTCGGAAAAGTCTTGAATCACTTCCGTAGTCTTTACCGTCGAGTTTCAACTGGACTCGGCTCGCTCCAATCAACGAAACACTCCATGGCATCTCTTGTATCAGGGTGATCAGTTCCCAAAACCTCTTTCCGCAGCTGAGCACATTCATCCATCAGAGTCATAGCATCTTCATCGCGCCCGATTTCTTTCCAGGTGAAGGCCAGATTGTACATGCTGATAAGAGTACGTGGGTGCTTTGGTCCCAAAACTCTCTTTTCTGTGTCAAGTACTTGCATCTCCAGATCTTCTGCCAGCATCCACTTCTTTTGGCCATAATAAGTTGATGCCAGGTTTCCCATAGTACCCAGGGTATCAGGATGTTCTGGTCCCAGTATTTTCTTTTTCATCTTAAGCGCTTGTTGTTCCAACTCCTCTGCTTCCATCAATCGACCCTGGTTTTTGTAAACTGCGGCGAGGTTATTAATACTGACCAGGGTGTCGGGATGCTCCAAGCCATGCAGTCTTTTGTCAATCTCTGTTACCTGTGTAAGAAGTTTTTCTGCCTCTATCAGTTTCCCTTGATTCATGTAGTCCAGTGCTAGGCTATTAATAAAGCCCAGGGTCTGATGGTGCTCGAGTCCCAAGGCATTCTTGACTGTCTCCATCATGGGCTCGAGTAATTTCTCTGTCTCGTCATATCGCCCCTGACCTCGGTAGACCCACGCCAGTTTTTGTATACTATTCAGCGTATCAACATCATCTGCCCCAAGAACAGTCTTTCTCTTCTCCACAACTTGCACCAGCAGGCTTTCTGCCTCTCTGTATCGTCCCTGGTCGAAATAGACATTTGATAGTATATCCAGGCTTGTAAGGGTATCTGGATTATCAGATCCTAGAGCTCTCTGTTGGATATCCATAACATGTTCAATCAATTCTTCGGCTTTCTTATATTCACCCGAGGCTCTGTATGTCCTGGATAAATGTTTCTGAACATCGAGTGCCTCCTTATGGTCCGGTCCCAGTTTCTCTATTTTCCTCCCCAATAGTTCTTCAAACAAAGCTTTTGCTTGATTATATTGTCCTTCTTCCTTTAGATACAGTCCTGTATATTTTGCCAGCTCTTCCCTATCTTGTGTCCAGCCATGAAGCTCCTTACTATATAATAAGGTCAGAGCATGGGGTAGATATTGTCGCCAAAACTTTCGATTCACTTCTTCAGTAGATGGAAAGGTCACATTCATTTCATGTACTGTGTTAATTGTCCATTGTTCTAGCACACCTTCCTTTCTCAGCCAGTTTCTCATGGCTAAATGAACCAGTCGATGAAGACTAATCAACTTAGTAACTGGGTGTATTGTGATAAAAGAATATGCGTTGAGAAGCCCAAGTGCTTCCTCTTTCTGAATTCGGCTATCCGAGGGTAAAATAGATGGCGGGATTTCACGCGGATTAACACATGATATGAGTGATAAATACTCCGCTGCCAAAGAGTTGGAATTCTGGATCTCCTGGAAAGAAATCAACCAGGTGATAGCCACAGCATTCTGAGCTTCGTCGTATCGCCATTCATCCTCGAAATCCTTGCTGAGGAGTTCGATGGCCTCATGCTCCTGCTCTTGCAGCAGCGACAAGTAAGTGGATAATGGCGTTCCATTTTTATTGATATAGGAAGCAGCCTGGACAATTGCTAGTGGGAGAAATCCAAGTTGATAGAGAAGTGACTTGGTAGCTTCATGATCATCAAGGAGGTCTTTCTGAACGAGCGATGCTTTGAATAGATCTGTTGCTGTTTGATCGTCCATTTCTTGCATCTTAACCAGATTTGGTCCTGCTAGACTAACGGCAAGTTGTTGATTTCGCGTGGTTAATAGTATACAGCCTTGTCGTCCCCGAGGGAGGTAATTCTTCAGCGCAGAGGGGTCTGAAGATATCCACATGTCTTTATCATCAGCATTATCGAAAATCATCAGCCACTGGCCTGCATCTTCCTGGCTGAGACGAGACCGCACGCGCTCCTTTGCTTCTGTCGGCTTCACATCCTGCATCCCAAGTAATCGGCTGATATTCACGTAAGACTGCTGAACACGGGTCTCACTGATTGATGAAATCCAGAATATCAAGCACTCTGGATGTTTCTCCTGCACACGGTATGCCAACTCCAGAGCAATCTGGGTCTTGCCTACTCCTCCTAGTCCAGCAATTGCAAGTTTTTTTGCACCGTTTTGTGTGAACATTTTGCTCTCGAGATATTGGAGTTCAGTCCCTCGACCAGTAAACCGTGGGTTTCGATCGAATGGGATCATATACACAGGTTTTACTATCATACGTCAGATAAAATCTTGCTATTCAAATAAGATACATACTATCAACTTCTGAGTCTTTGCCTGTTGGCTTGCATTTTTCAGTCTCAGTCACTGAAGTTTCAGAGAGCAGCTCCTTTGCATAGGCAGCTGCCACCATCGCCGCGTATCCCTGCCACTGCTTGTTTTTATGAGAGTCGGAATAGTCGCAGATCCCTCGGATTACCAGACAGGGAAAGTGATCCATTAGTCCTGCTGCTTCCATTTCGAAACACAGTATTCCATGCTCTTGCGCGAGTTTGTCCCGTGTTTGACCATGCTTCATGACTTGGTTTCCTGATGCGACAAGGCCGTAGTGAATTTGAGATTGAGATCGCAATTTTCGATGAATCAGTTTGCTTTTATGGCACTTCGAGCAGTCCGAATAGGATTCTTCGTGGTCGTACGTCGATTCGAATAGCTGGTCTTCCTCTTGGCCTGGGGTGCCAAATTTGGATTGAAGCCGCGTGTTGCGTTTCATCACGTCTGATAGATATGTCGGAAATTGGGGTTCGTCTATCATATGATTGGCCTCCAGATTAGCCAATGCAGTGAGAATCACCTGCGGTGGCTTGCTGAGGCTTCCAGTGCGCTCAAAACGTCCTGAAGCAACTGTCTTGCCATAGTCGTATTGAACCACTCCTCCCAGCTGACCTGTTGGTTTGCTGACCACGATATCCCCAAGTCGAATATCGTTTGGCATCGGTACACCACCACCAATACCGACCATCAACCCAAACCGGATCGAATGGAAGGTGGACAGCATCTGGTCGGCCACTATTGCAGCCGAGGTGGTTCCATACACTCCATTAGGAAGGCATGCAATAACGATATTGTGTCCGCCAATTTCCCCTAGAGTATAGGCATTGTGATCATGACGGGGTTGGGACAGTTTGGGATGGGGTTTGTCCAACATGACTTTGGCAGCAGCCATCTCGAGTGGGAGGGCACAGATCCACCCCACTGTATAATCATTGTGCGATAGTATTCGGGTCATGGTTGCTCATCCAAGCAACTGCGACCTGAATAGCTGCCAAAAACACTTGAAATGGATCTATATCTGTAGATGTTTGGAGGAAGGAGTGAGGTGATTAGGAGGGGAACTCACGAGGCTGACCTTTGAGTGCGATGATGAGTTGTCTGCTTACCATCGAGAGCCAATGAGATATTTTTATCGAACAAGGATCTTTCAGAGCATCGATAAGGGAAGAATTAATCACTGAAACTTATGAGGTGCAATATAAATTCGCAGGAATTGCTATCTAGCATTCCTAGCATTCCTAGCTCCCCTGCCATGGTTTATTGGTAGCCGATACCATGTTCCATAGTCTCACAATTATTATAACCTACCATATCGGATACCTTCCACTGACCAATTGAGAAAGATTAAAGAAATTTGCACTCTTGAGAGCTAGAGAAACAGATAGTTGAACACAAGACATCGCAGCCCTGACAAGAAAACACGGGCCGATAGTTCTTCTGGGCAATCCAGCTAGCGATATTACTATGCCAACACATAATATCATCTTTAAGAATATCAAGCTAGTTTGGTCTTTGTTTGCTAATGTAGGCCAGATACAAGACCTCATCAACTTGGTTCATCAGCATCGGATCCATATTGAAGTGAGAAAATGGAGGTTGGATCATTCGGAAGAAATGAGACAGGAGTATGTATCTGGGGCGAGACATGGGAAAAACGTCAATGATTTTGGATTGAATAGACACCATCTATTTGCTCTTTTTTGAATCATCATTTTATACTTGACTCTAAACTGACTATGCACAGTGCACTGAAAGTTGAATGATCTTATAATTCTAAAATAGATTCACCATCTACCATCACTATACAGCCTGAGCATCCTCGACATGCTCGACAGTACTCGCAGCCTTCTTCGCACCCACAGCCTCAACCTGCGGAAGAACATACGTCCTCCACTTCCTCGCCGGAACCCGTTCAGCAAACAACATGGAAATCTCCAACCCACTCCTCCCTGTCGTCTCACCCACACAGAACCAAATCCACACCAACGAAGTCACAGTCGTCCCGGCATAGACGAATCCCACCATCGGGCCCAAATTCGCCGTGTAATAGAGATACGGCGCGGTGAACGACATAACCCACGTGGTGAGGTAGAATATGACAATAGACGTCGACATGATTTTATTCTGGTTCACGCCGACGGCCATTTCTCGGGCGATGGTGTATGTCAACGGGCCGAGGCCGAAGTTGTAGTTCATCGTTACGAGGATCGAGAAGATGACTAGCACGTACTGCGAGGATGTGGTGAGCGGTCTGGTGCCGATGCCCCCGATGATGATGAATGCCACCAGCATGATTGTCGTGGTGACGAAGAGGTTGGTTCGTCGTCGGATTTTGTTACCTGTAATGACTGACGCCCCGACAGAGAAGACCTGGAGGATGTTGATGATGAGCTGGATGACAAAAGGGTCTTCAATACCGATTGCCTGAGCGAAAACGACTCCATAAACATAGAAGAAGACAATCCCGCAGATCTGCTGCGCATACATGGCTCCAGCAGACCAGATAACCTTTGTTCGCTCAATAGGATCGAAAAGAAGAGCTTTCCACGACGAAAACTCAGCTTGATCCTCTTCACGCCGTTTCGCTTCCTCAAGAACAGTCAAATCATCATACGGATCATAGCCAGCCTCGCTCTGATGCACCCTGCAAAGCGCCTGCTTCGCCTCTTCCGTCCTCCCCTTCATCACATACCAAACCGGGCTCTCGGGGATAAAAGGCAACCCAGCCAGCATAAACAGCGGCAGGATAACCAATCCCCCCATCGGCAATTTATAAGACAACGACGACTCAATACTCTGTGTCCCCTGCGTGATCCCAGACGCCACGAGCTGCGAACAAGACTGCAGAAACTGGTACATCATCAGTGCCGGTCCACGAATCTGTACCGGTGCCACCTCCCCCGTGTACAGAAGTGAAGTCACGGTAAACTGGCCCACCCCGAGTCCGATGAGAATCCGACCGAGGATGATGACGCCTTCGTAATGTGTATCTGCGACTTGAGCGATACCACCGCCGAGCACACAAATCGACGCGAATAAAAAGACCGTCTTCCGGCCCCATTTATCGTTGATAGGTGCGGAGATCAACGCACCCAGTAAATCACCGATATATATAGATGACGCGGTGAGTGACGAAAAGCTGACTGCCAGCGCCAGCTTGCCATCCTCGTAGTGGTCTCCGTAGTCATTTTTAAACTCCTGCATGGCCAGGACCCCATTGTAGTACGTGTTATCGTAGCCATAGACGAGTGCTCCAATGGCAGACACAGAGCAGAAGAACAAGGCCCATTTCTGGGCTTTAAAGTCCACGTTTAACGAATCGAAGAGAGGCATGATGGGCCAGTTTGATGAGGATCAGTAGGCAAATCCGTCCCACCCCATCATGGGAGAGTGTCGCTATTTATTCTGTCCTACTGGCATCGGGACGGCCGTCTCTGATTCGACTCTCCGCTTTTCCCCAGATTCTTGTCGATCCGGGGTTGGGCAACTTCACCTCCACGGAATGCGGGGGTTGTTCGGTAATTCTTCTTTGCGTCATTTTTCTGTTCATTCGATTCAGCTTATCTGGTTTGTCGGCGGATATGCAAGCGGACCAAAGGATTATGCCAATGGTAGGCCAAGCGAGTTCAACGTTATACCAAGAATGCCACGACGGGAAGAAGTCGGAGAATTATCAGTCATCCAATCTTGCTCGTGATGTTGCAGTCAAAGCACATACAGTTAATGGCTTATTCGCTCTTAAGTTGACATGAACTACGAGTACTGGCATAAGGTAGATATTCTCAAGTCAATTCATTCTTAACCTAAATCACAGCCGTAAAACATCAAGCGTTATAGACTGGGTCCAAGGTCCATATATAACGTTTTCCAGTAAACCCACGCCTTGTAATCACAGAAAGACCACAACAAAAAGTACAAACGAAAAATGTCCATCAATCTCATAATATAGATACACCCAAACCTCCCGAGCGCCGAATGAACAAACCCATTAAACTTAACCCTGGCACATGATGCATGCCTCCTTGTTCTCAATGCTGCATTGAAGAACCTCTTGCGAGTAGATGTCATTCTCACGCTGCTCGCTTGTCTTCTCACTGTCCTCTTCTTGAGAGACACGGTTCTTCTGCTCTTCATCGGGGACAGGAGTAGCATCAGCGGCGAGGGTGCGTGGGCTCTCGCCACCTTGGTTGGCAGCCTCATTCTGACCGTTGGGCTGGCGAGGAACAGCGGCGTAAGCACCACCGGTGGTGGCACCGGCCCGCTTCTTGAACGAGGGGTTGGCACGAGCGACATTGGTGTCCTCAACCTTGAGCTGCTCCTGGTCGACAGTGAACTGGATAGCGGCGGCGGCAGCCATGGTACGGAGGTAGTACATGCCGGTCTTCAGACCCATCTTCCATCCGGCGAAGTGCATACTGGTAATCTTTCCCATGGTAGGCTCCTTCAGGTGGATGTTGAGGGACTGAGACTGGTCAATGTAGGCACCACGGTCAGCAGCCATCTGCAGGATAGATCGCTGGGAGATTTCCCAGACCGTCTTGTACAGAGCCTTGATGTCAGCGGGGATGTTGGGGATGTTCTGAACGGAACCACCCTCGGCAATAATACGGTTCTTCATATTGTCAGACCAGAGACCAAGGTCAACCAGGTCCTTGAGCAACCAGGGGTTGACAACCTGGAATTCACCGGCAAGGACACGGCGGGAGTAGATGTTCGAGGTGTAAGGCTCGAAACATTCGTTGAAGCCCAGAATCTGACTGGTACTGGCAGTGGGCATGGGGGCGACCAACAAACTGTTGCGAACACCGTGCTGGGCAATCTTAGCCTTAAGAGAGTCCCAGTCCCAGAGATCAGTGGGGGTCTTGTCCCACATGTCGTACTGCAGGATTCCCTGGGAGACCGGCGAGCCTGGATAAGTCTCGTAAGGACCAAGCTCCTTGGCGAGTTCAGCAGAAGCAGTCAAGGCACCGTGGTAGATGGTCTCGAAGATCTGGATGTTCAACTGCTTGGCCTCGGCAGAGTCAAAAGGCAAACGCAAAGCAAGGAATGCATCAGCAAGACCATTGACACCCAGAGCGATGGGGCGGTGACGGAAGTTGCTCTTCTTAGCCTCAGGCACGGGGTAGTAGTTGATGTCGATGATCTTGTTGAGGTTGCGAACCAAAACGCGGACAACCTCGTGCAGCTTACCGAAGTCATATTCACCACGGGCAGCATCAACAAAGGTAGGAAGGGCAAGGGAAGCCAAGTTACAAACAGCAACTTCATCGGGAGCACTGTACTCGACAATCTCGGTGCAAAGGTTGGAGCTGCGGATAGTTCCCAGGTTCTTCTGGTTGCTCTTCTTGTTGCAAGCATCCTTGTACAGCATGAAGGGGTTACCAGTCTCAGTCTGAGCCTCCAGAATGGCGTACCACAGCTTCTGGGCCTTAATGGTCTTGCGGCCACGGCCTTCCTTCTCGTACCTATTATGACGTCAGTATACTGATTTAGTTATGAAATATGTAGGAAACACTCACTTCTCGTAGAGAGCATCGAACTCATCGCCGTAGACATCGGCCAAGCCGGGGGCTTCGTTGGGGCAGAAGAGTGTCCAGTCACCGTTGGCCTCAACTCGCTTCATGAACAGATCGGGAGTCCAGAGAGCAAAGAACAGGTCACGGGCTCTGACTTCTTCCTTACCGTGGTTCTTTCGGAGATCCAAGAACTCGAAGACATCCGAGTGCCAAGGCTCGAGGTAAATGGCGAAAGCACCAGGGCGCTTGTTACCACCCTGGTCGACATATCTGGCAGTGTTGTTGAACACCCGCAGCATAGGAACAATACCGTTGGAAGAACCGTTGGTTCCGCCAATGTAAGAGCCAGTAGCACGAATACGGTGGACGTTAAGACCAATACCACCAGCAGTCTTTGAGATCATAGCACAAGTCTTGAGGGTGTCGTAGATACCCTCGATGCTGTCCTCCTTCATGTCAACGAGGAAGCACGAGGCGAGCTGTGGCTGGGGAGTACCAGCGTTGAACAGAGTCGGGGAGGCATGTGTGAAGTACTTCTGGGACATCAAGTGGTAGGTCTCAATGGCCTTCTCGATATCGTCACCGTGAATACCGACCGAAACTCTCATCAGCAAGTGCTGAGGACGCTCGGCCACCTTTCCGTCAATTCTCAACAGGTATGAACGCTCCAGAGTCTTGAAGCCGAAGAAGTTGTAGTTAAAGTCGCGGTCATAGACAATGGCCGAGTTAAGCTCATCTGCATGTTTCATAATCGTCTCATATGTTGCCTTTGAAATCATTGGCGCGGGCTTCTTGTTCTTGGGGTTGACATAGTGATAGAGATCTGAGATAACCAAGGAAAATTGCTTCTTGGTTTGCTTGTGGAGGTTCGAAACGGCTATACGGGCAGCAAGGATGGCGTAGTCGGGGTGTGTGACGGTCATGTATGCGGCAGTCTCAGCAGCCTGTAAAGCAGATTATAAATCAGCATGTGCTCCAATGTGGCAACCAAAGATTCTTCATACCAAGTTGTCAAGCTCAACGGTGCCAACACCCTGGTACACACCAGAGATGACCTTCTGGGTAATAGCAGCAGCATCGACATGGTCGGGGTCAAGGCCGTAACAAAGTCTTGACACACGAGCAGTGATCTTGTCGAACTGTACACGCTCCTTGCGTCCGTCTACAAATTTTGATCCGTTAGCAAAGAGATCACTCAAGCAGTGGCGAATGAATACGATCACATCCTCGATTGTCAAGCAGCTTGAGATCCATTCAAGAGCTTAAAGGTGAAATCTTACCTCTCTTGTAGACAAACATCTTGATTTGTAAGGCAAATGAGAAAACTGAACAAGGGTATTAAGAAGTATTAGAGAATAAGTGTAAAGACTGGGCTTTTCGTATGGTATTAGAAAAAGAAAAGCTTCGTCAAAAATGAAATGTGATGAGGAGAAAGAGGAGGAGAGAGGGATGGGAAGAAAAAAAGAAGTCGGAGGGGCAGAGATTCTGGAAGGTATTTGATCTCTCGCCCGGGCCAACGCGTTGCTGGTGGACACGGACGCGAATTTTCGTGTTTGGGCTAAATGGGCGCCCTTTGTACGGGTGCCCAGAACGCGCTTTGGGTGCCAGTCATGTGCTTTTGCGTGCCCTCAGTCCGGTTAGGCGCCGGAATCGGCAGTTGATGACTTCAGCCGAGTGGTATGATGATGTCGGTGAGCTGCGATATCAAGTGAACTGATCTTCTGGGCTATCAGTGGGTTTCGAAGCTCAGCTATGCTCAGTTGCATAAATCTGCCCTTTATACTCTGCAAAATGCCCTAGAATGATCTTCATCTAAAAGTACTATCTCTGGTACGAGATGAACTCTACAATGACAACAGTGGGTCGGATCTCATATTACCACGAGCGGTTCATTACGACTGATCTGATGATCTGATCGACGAACTCATGGTCCAAGGTAAGTAGATTCAAATCCCTGTTCTCGGGTAACGATTGTATTGTGTTTCAAACACAACTAAATTCAATATAGAAACATAAATGCCATTTATCAACCCCTTCAAAATCAACAAGCTATTTATGAAGGGGTTTTAAATGAAGGATCAACTCGAATGAAAACAACATATTGGATATATTTCGAATATTTATTCCATGGCCGGAACCGCAAGATAGAATGGACCCAACACAAGCATGCTCACAGTGTAGCCGCGAAGCCAACAAAGACAACAGCTGCGAATGCAGCGGCAGAGACGTGTCTGTCGGAAGCGCCAGCGGACACCGAGTCAGAGGGCGATGGCGAGCTGGAAGACGAACTGCTGGAGCTGGTGCCAGAAGAGCCACTGCTGTTGGAGTCAGAAGCAGAGCTAGTCGAGGTAGAAGTGACGAAGCCAGTGCCGGTCGACTTGGAGCCGGTAGAAGTGGCGGTGGTGCCGGAAGCGGAGCTAGTCGAGGAGCTGTCGACAACTAATATACAAGCAACGTTAGTCCTTGTCGCAAGGTAATCTGCACTGCAGCGTTGAAGCTTGATAGTACGCACCATTCTTGTGACCGGCAGACGCGCAGACATCGGAGAAGAAGTCGAGGGCCTCCTTTTTCTTATCACCGCATTTTTCAGTAATGGTGTCCTTCACTTTGTCGACATTGGTGACGCAAATCGCCTTGAGATCGGCGGGGTTCTCCTGGGAGCTTTGTAGAGGTGTCAGTCGATGATCTTCTTCCCCTCCACATTTCGCGTTTCCGAAGGATTGTCGCAAACCTACCCCACCGCAGAAAGAAGACAAGCAGGAGTCGAAGCAACAACGACGTTGCTGAGAGCCACGAGGGACAAAAGAATAGCGGACTTGGCGAAGTGCATTTTTGCTGATGAACTGGTTGAAAATCGGTTGTTGTAGGCCGTCGGTTAATCCGTCAAAACGATTAGGGGCAATGGATTGGGATCGCGAAAGCAAAAGGAATGAGAGGAATATGCAAAAGAGCGACTATACACAAATATCGGCTGTAAAGAACGTGGTAAATGGCAATAATAAGGAGTGTGGTTGCGCAAAAGCGAAAGAGTGGCGGATGCGAAGATAATCTGAAGAATGACAGAGATCTCGAAGCAGAATCCGATGAAGCAGAAGGAGGAAATTAGCATCGAAGGGGCCGAGGGTTGTTTCACTCCAAACTGGTAGCAACCCTGCCGATCATCAGTCCCTGTATTGTAATTACGAACAGTAAGGCTCAGAGTGGATGCCGCTAAGCTAGAACAGGATTGGCGTCAGGCACTCGATTGGGCGGAGACTCTGGGGGGCTGCTGAGTAAGTAACGGTGCAATTTCCCATACAGCCTCAATAATTCGAAGGCTCTGGCTAGACTTGAGTATTTATAGATAGGCTATTAATTTCGTGAGACTATAGATGGCTAAAATAGATTGAAAATATTCAGCTGACTTGCTATATTGCTAGGTTGCACGGATTATTAGCTAGTGGAGTACAGTTGTGTTGTAGAACTGTATCCAAAATCTTAGGTAGAATGTACAGTGTTTTGTTTCAGAACTATACACATGAAAGACACCCCAACATTTATAAAAGCGTGAAGCAAGGATTGTTGTATTTATATCATGAAGAATGTACAGAGAAACTCACAAGCAGAATACTCTTTCTGTCTGCAAAATGCTAACGGTGTTGGTTGTCGAATGTTGGATGTCCATAATCCACATCACCTGTCCCACATAGAATCATAATTGCTGGAAACAATCTCCTGAACATCCATTCTGAAGTCCACAATCTCCCTTCCATTGACCAGGTCATTTTCCCTCGCCCGTTTGTCTGCCTCTTCCTCATCCTTCGCAATCCCCGCCTGAACATGTCTCCGAATCAATCTCTTCCGAGCAATCTCAAAGTCCACATCGACAAACCAAAGCTCATCCATCAGGCTCGCAGCCTCATTCCACGGCTCCTTATTCAAACTTAGATAGTTCCCCTCGAAGAAGATAGCCCTGCACGTAGCAGGGATGGCTATATCATTCTCAACAGGATCCTTAACCGCATGGTCAAAGCTGGGGGCAAACACGCTCAGAGTCTCCGGTGTTACCTGTTCCCGGAGCTTCTGTACCAGTGTTAGAAACTTGTGGCCGTCAAACGTAAAGGCTGCACCCCGCCGGGCAACGGCGTACACGGGATCCGGCATCTGCGCGAGTTCTGCCCGTGTGTAGTGATAGCCGTCCATTGGGAGGGCTGTTGCAACGGGAGGGGAGTTTGCGTGTTCTGAGGAATAGAGCTGATTGATTCGATTGGCCATCATGTTGGCGAGTTGTGTCTTCCCGGATCCTGGGATGCCACTGATTGCTATCATTAAACGGGCATTGTCGGGAGTGGCTTGCAATTTTGCTGGGAAGAGGTTAGATATACTTCTATTACAGGGTTGGTTGTGCTGCCTGTTGCCATATTTCCTGTAGTGTCGAAGTGTCGACACTGCTTATAGGTACGTCCGGAGGGGCAAGCAACGATTCAATTACGATAGACTGCAATGACTTACCCCAGATTTTATCGACTAATCTATCCACCTGATGATCCATAGTGATGACCAGGTGCAACCAATGACGATCAAAAACAGATTCGCTATATAGTCAACAATGATATTTGACGTGGTCACGAGGATCGCGTCGAGATTTTTCACAAGTATGATAACGAAACAAAGGCGCCAAATGGCAATATATATATATAATTTTTGTGAAAAATCGTTCAAGGCAAATTGTCTTATGGTCAAAGCTTTTAATGGGAGGAGAAGTTGTGGAATGGTAACCAAAAGCAAGCTTTGTGGCCCTGATAAGAAATAGTCATACGCAATAGGCGGGGCTTGTCGTTCGGAGTGGGGTGCTGCGATGTGCTTCCCCGAAGCCTCCTCTACGTCACCGGGAAGGATGGTCGATCTTTTGCAACAACACCCGGAATTGTTGGAGATGATTCCATGGAGTGGTTTTTATAGGAGGAAAAACAACGGTTGGTACCAGGGGTACCCCTCTTTAATTAATGGAACTTTTCGACTGTACCTTTGATTGTCTAATACCCCACTTTCCATCTCGAATAGACTACCTCAGGCAAAAGGATGGATGGAGAGATAGTCAACTCGACCAAGCGCTGTACTCGCAGCTGTAAAACATGGTATATCACAGACTATGAATACAAAGAACCCGAGTGACTATATACGGGAATGGCTTTCCCCTGTTCCCAGGGCAGACAATGTCCACCTGGGCAAAACCATAATGCAAATCCACAAGAAGAAAAATCAATAATGCACCATCAACGCCAAACAGAATAACCCACCCCACCCGCTATTATTCAAACCGAAAGATATCTTTCCACATACAACAGTATCATATGTAAAACACTATCAACGACAATGGTAAGAAAGGAATATTCAGGGCCTCTGCCTGGCTGGCCCATCGGTGTCGTCAGAATCTGGGATTTCGTCTCCCGGGCCGAGCCTGCGGCCAAGAGATCGAGACAGGCCAGCAGCTGCCCACCATTCATCAGGAATATCCTGTCTGCGAGCAAGACGATCCAGTATGGCCTGCATCTGGGTAAAGTCCGGGTCGGTAGATGTATCGGAAAAGGAGAATGAGACCGTAGGAATAGGAGGTCGGCTATCCATGGTGGAATGAAGATTATGCATCTGCCGAATGGGGTTCATGAGGCGCATCCGAGCGCGATAGCGCTGGTTAAGAGCTTGCTGGCTAAGCTCCGACTCCGAGTCCGAGCCTGAATCGGAAGACGGTGGGTCACATGGGTTCAGGAACTCGGGATAGGGGTCGAGCACCATTCGCACTGTCGCCGCCGTAGGATCCAAAGAGGATGGAAGTGTTTGAGAAGGGTTGGCCGAGTTTCCGGATGTCCCTTCCCTCGATGCATTTGCCCCAGAGGCCGCTGTGGAACCGAATGAAGAGTCGGCACTGGGAAGATTGGCGTCTGGTGCAATGGTAGTTAGGAGTGTCTCCCACGCATCATGCTCTTGTTCGTCATCCTCTGGGCTCAAACTCCGCTGGCGGTCTCCAAGTCCATCAACAACGGGTCCGCGACCCACTCGATTCGCTTCGTTGATAGAGCGTTGACCGACCCTCCGCAACAAAGGAACTGTCAATCCATCTGGATCATCACCGGGACCACCGAAGCGGGGAAATGGGGATAGACGAATGACGTCTGGGTGTGGCTGCGAAGATGCCGTGCTGTGATATGCGGGAGCAAATCGCGGTGTGTAAGGCGGATGCTCTGGACTTTGTCGGTTGCCAGGGTCATCCCCTGGGGAGAAACGGCTGAGGAAGTCAACCATCGGCGACTCGCGCGGTATTCTCAACCGCCGACCAGGGTGATTGTGGTGAATGGCATCTCTTAGTAACCTTTGGCCGGCCTCTCGTCTATTCGAATCCACAAGTCCTCTTGTCAAATCAAAGGGGTCGTCGACAGGCCCAGAGTTCGGAGCTGGAGAGCGCACATGGTGTCTAAAACCATTCACTTCACGCTCAATCTCATCTGCGATCGGGCGAGGAAATCTTGAGCGAAGGGTTGCGCTGCGTAAGTCGGAACCACCGAAGCGCGACGGGCGGCGAATGGTAGATTGGCGGCGGATTGAAGATCGCGCGGCAGCAGAGGGATCCTTTATGGCGTTATTCGTAGATTTATCAGCGCCCGAAGGCTCACGGAACATTCTACAGCAGGGTTAGTACAATTGTTTGCCCCGTGCTCCATCCGGCGGCGAGGCAGCGCGTTTCACTCGACGGGGCACACGAGTCTGAACAAACTTACGGAATACCCATGGCGACGAAGTAAACAGCCCAATAAAGTACAAAAAAAATGCCAAACAATTCCTTTAACAAATGTGACCCCAAAAGACCGATAATAAATAGAAATAAAAAGAGTGGGACTAATCTCGGCGGGGAACGGGAGGATAAGTTGGCGACTTTGCGCTGGCAAGCCGGTGGTGGTTTGATGGAGAACGGGGGCGGACTGGCGGACTGGCGGAGGCAAGGAGGAAGGCAAAGGCAGAATGTCAGAAAGGAATTTGCACCTGAGGCTCCGAAGAAAACACGTCGGGGAGGAAAAGAGGCTGGAGTGTGGCGTCGAGAGGCTCAACAGATACGCCTGCGTACAATACAGTACGGCCGTTATCGCCCGCGGGTAACTTTCAACGCCTGAGTCTTGCATAGGACTCTGAGGCATCAACTCCGCGGCGAGGTCTGGTTATCTCGACCGAAAGGGATTTGTCTTCTTTCAACTTTTCTTACGCTTGGTCCAGCTTACATTCCACGTTGCGCCAGCCTTCTAAGTCATTAGGGGCTGCATCAATACCAATTTCGCCCAGAACGCTTTTCTGATGATGAGGATTTGGTCCAAACAACCACCAGACACCGTATATTTGGAGGAATGATTGAGCTCGGGCTCGGCCGGATTGCCAGTCTCCTACAGCAGACCCCTCTGTCATGGCAGGCCATCCATATCGCCGGAACTAATGGCAAAGGCTCGATCAGCGCTTGCCTTTCGCACCTGCTGGCGGCGGGCGGAGTCCGCTGCGGTCGCTTTACCTCCCCTCATCTTATCGACCGGTGGGATTGCATCACTATCGACGAGCGAGTAGTGCAAGAGTCCCTCTTCCGACACATCGAAGCCCAAGTCAAACTGCGCAATAAAACACTGGGGATTGGTGCCAGCGAATTCGAATTGCTGACGGCGACGGCCTTCGAGATCTTCAACCATGAACGAGTGGAAGTGGGAGTGGTCGAGGTTGGCATGGGAGGCCGCCTGGATGCTACAAATATTCTGAACAATGTTCTGGTTTCCGTCATTGCTAAAATAGGACTGGATCACCAGTCTTTGCTGGGAAACACCATTGAGGAAATCACTCGTGAAAAGGCTGGCATACTGAAACCTGGGGTTCCCTGTGTGGTCGATGGCACCAATGCGCCGGAGGTGATTAGCACTCTCGAACAGTACATCAACGACCTGAACCTTAATGCGATGTTTGTCCACTCGGACGTTTCCGATATCCAATCCCCGTTGCTTAGGCAAATATTCGAAAAGCTGGACCTTCAGCCTCATCAGCAGGCGAATATGTGTTGTGCTGTGTCGGCACTTCAGTTGGCCATGTCTAAACTTCGCCCAGAAGTCGACGTGGACACTTTAATCCCACATCTCGATGGTGTAGAGTGGGCAGGACGTTTACAAAACATTACCCTTGAGCCATTGGTTGCCCGCAAAGAGCCCATACTGCTTGACGGGGCTCATAACTCACAGTCAGCCGAGGTGCTTGGGGCGTACGTGGATCGCAAACTGCGCTCACCACAGAGTAACATAACCTGGGTGATTGCAGCATCGCGTGGAAAGGACTTGACTGAACTGTTTCACTCGTTTATCAAGCCTGGGGACAACGTTGCAACAACCGCCTTCGGACCTGTAGATGGAATGCCCTGGGTTAAAGCAGTCGACCCTCCAGAGCTTGCTACATGTGTTCAGTCGATCCTGGGGATCGGCAAGGTGAAAGACTTCGACGGAGACCTTCTGGCTGCCATCAATTGGGCCTGCGAGCAGGCCAGCGGTGGCCCACTGGTCATTGCCGGCAGTCTGTATCTTGTATCAGATGTTCTCCGTCTCCTCCGCGAGGCACAGGCGGGAAAAGAATCGCACGTCTCATGAGATAATCAGTTCGGGATGCCCCCAATGTTATATTTTGAAATAGAATGTAAATGTAAATATTTCTTGCAGCCATGGTTGATTAGCCGGCAGGCGAATTCCTTCGATAGTACTTATGGTACGGCGTAGTTCATGATTTATGCGCATTGTCCAACGCACAAACAGTCGCGCTATGGCCTACTAGTCCATTTTTGCAATTGATAATTGATTTAGCGTCATAGATTCCAAAAAGAGCATCCGGAAGATCTTTCGATCGACTTAGATAAGGTAGATCGGAGATAGGTAGGAAGCCGGTCGCTGCGTCATGTCCCGAACGGGTGGTGACCTGTGGAGAAGCGAAAGTTCAGAAACACCCCCAGTTTGTCTGAGTGGAACCAACAAACACCACAGTTGGCAGTCATTTCTTCCACTGTCCTTTGGTGGGTTTCCCATGGATCTGGCTGACAACCTGGATATTCTACCCTCGAAGGAAAGCAGGTGTCTGATGTGTAGCGACGCGTGTGGTCAACGCGGCTCCATGGGTGTGCGAGCAATTATCCCTCCTGTATGTCCCTCAACAGATCTCCATGCCCTATCTCCCCAAAGAGAATGGCTATCCCATAGCTCCCCTCGTTTGCTGTCTCACATGTGAATATTACTGACAATATTTGCTTGAAATAGGTTTTGCTGACATGAATAACCTGATCGATCGCCTGGCTCCTGCCTCGTTCCTCATTTCTCACCCTGTATCTGAAACCGCGCGATCTGACACGGCCCGCCTGATTTAGCGATTCCGAGACTGAGAAACAAGCGACTGATACATTTGTCGGATATGGTGTCTCGATCCAGCGAGGGCAGTGAGGCGGCGGCCCGTCCACCGTCCAGGGCGTCGGGGACATCAGCCAAACCGCGACTCTCGAGACTCAACACCAGCCCTACCAAGCGAGAAGATAAGACAAGGGAGGATAAGGTGGTGAAATCATCGGCGAAAGATGTGGCAGAGCTCAAAGATTATGTACGAATATGGCCCCCGGGTGTTATTCTTCCAGTGATATAATACTGACGGTCAACCGCATCGCAGCAATTGGGTGATTGCTTGGGCAGAGGTGCATTTGGGTCTGTTTACAGGGCGCTGAACTGGAATACTGGGGAGACAGTGGCTGTGAAGCAGATCAAGCTGACTGATCTTCCCAAGAGCGAGTTGCGGGTTATTATGGTAAAATCACTGGACCCTGGCTGGCTGGAAAAGTGCCGTGTCGCTAATTTTTTTTTACTACAGCTGGAGATTGATCTCCTAAAGAACCTGGATGTGAGATCGGGACCTACATCCCCAGTTCCTGGCAGAAAAGCTAATCCAGCTTCATTGTAGCATCCCAACATCGTCAAGTACCATGGATTCGTAAAGTCTGTTGAAACTTTAAACATCATCCTCGAGTATGTTATCTTTATTAGAGAAGACAAAGAAAAATTTTGGAAAGATGCTGACAGGCTCAGATACTGCGAAAATGGCTCATTACATTCAATCGCAAAGAACTTCGGTCGCTTTCCGGAGAATCTGGTCGGCCTGTACATGTCCCAGGTCCTTCATGGACTCTTATATCTACATGAACAAGGTGTCATACATAGGGACATCAAAGGCGCGAATATTCTCACCACCAAAGAGGGTCTCGTGAAACTAGCAGACTTTGGTGTTGCCAGCCGCACTACCGGTCTCAACGAGGCAAGCGTCGTTGGAACTCCTTACTGGATGGCCCCTGAGGTGATAGAGCTTTCAGGTGCTACTACGGCATCTGATATATGGAGTCTTGGTTGCACTGTCATTGAATTGCTTGAAGGAAAGCCTCCCTACCATAGCCTACAACCTATGCCTGCACTATTTCGCATTGTCAACGATGATCATCCTCCTCTACCCCAAGGTGCCTCTCCGGTAAGGTCCAAACCTCGTTGTCTGCCTTTTCATGTCTAATGGTAAAACAGGCTGTTAAGGATTTCCTCATGCAATGTTTCCAAAAAGACCCCAACCTTCGTGTCTCGGCCAGGAAACTTCTCAAACACCCCTGGATAGTGAACGCTCGCAGGTCTGATTCGGTCATTCCGAAAAAGTCCACTGAATACGAAGAAGCAGTAAAGAGTGTTCAAGAATGGAACGAGGCTCTGCGCTCACCCGGTGCAGGCACTTTACGAAAACCTTTCAAATTCGATCATAACAACCAAGTCCCTCTGCCCCCTTCTCGGAACACCCCAACGAAAGATACTCTACCGTCACCAATCTCTAAGAATGTAACAGAGAAATTTCGATCGGCCGATTCGAATGAGGACGACAATTGGGATGATGACTTTGCTACCGCCATATCCCCTAGTGCGATGAAGTTACCGCATCTCCGGCCACATGACAATTTCGGAGGAATGCTTTCTTCTGAGAAACTCAAAGCGTTTGCGTCTCTTGATGGGACAATTCTAAGATCCGATGATAGCTTTGAATTTGACGATCCTTTCACTGCTTCCTCTTTGCAGCCTGACGAGTCAGATTTTCAGGAGACAATTCGGCCAGTTCCATTCAAACAACCCCCAGTTGAAAGTGCGCAGCTCCAAAATCTACCACATCATCAGCCTGCTAAAAGCTCTATATCTCCCATGCACAATGTTCCAATTCTCACTCAGAATCCTGTGCCACCAATGAGACAACCGCCGCGTCCAGCTTCGTTCTACAAAGAGAACCCGGTTGAGGACTACTCCGATCTTATCATGGCGAATGAAGATTCATTGGACCGTAAGCTTGGAGCTTTCCGGGTAAGTAACTGGGGTGACTCTTGGCGTAATATGTGCTTACGAATTTTTCAGGAAGTTGATGAGGAGCCGGAACTCATCCTCCAAACCTCTCCATCGAAGGGAGCAGCTCAGTATCAATTATCAACCGAAGACGATGGACCACCACAACCACGGCTTAGGAAACAGATATCAGTCAAGCGTCATCGTTCCGCGATTGAAATTCAGAGATTCGCTGAAAATGAGAATGACGAAGATTTCTCTGACATCCTGGGTGCCGATGAGGTTGCTTTGGAGAAGCCTGAAAGTGACGGTAGCTCGGATCGTAGCACATTAATGCTTAACTCGAAATTATCGAACAACTCCTGGCTTGGAGATCAGGACGATGAGGATGACCCGTTTGCCCAGCTTGAAGAAGGTTTCGACGAAATGGATTTGGAAGCCAATATTGCGCGCGACAAATATGCTCGACTTCGAAGTCAAGTCGAGGGACTTGTTAGCTCCTTGAAGACCTCGCAGGATGAAGAGGTCCTTGCGGATATTTCAGACCAGCTGCTGACAATTTTCTGTGATCTCCCAGAGACGAAGAATATCATTATTGGTGCACACGGAATGCTACCCATTTTGGAGATCCTTGACTCATGTCGCCGGCGTGACATTATCCTCTGTCTGTTGAGAATTGTGAACGCTATCATTTATAACGATGACGAAATCCAGGAAAACCTTTGCTTCGTAGGCGGTATTCCCATCGTCAACGAATTTGCATCAAAGAAGTATCCACGGGAGATTCGACTTGAAGCAGCAGCTTTTGTGCAGCAGATGTATCAAACATCCACTCTCACACTCCAAATGTTTGTCAGCGCTGGAGGTTTGAATGTTCTTGTTGAATTTTTGGAAGACGATTATGAGGACGAACGAGATCTTGTTCTCATTGGAGTAAATGGTATTTGGAGTGTTTTTGAATTACAGGTTAGTTTGGCCTACTTGTTCGACGTATATGGCCAGGATCTGACAACAAGAAGGGCTCTACTCCGAAGAACGACTTTTGCAGAATTCTATCTCGCAGCTCTGTGTTAGATCCTCTTTCACTCGTCTTGAGTCGAGTATTAGACGAGGAGGGAGATCTGGCTGAGATTGTCGAGGGTCGTATTGCGAACATTTTCTTCATCTTCTCACAGGCCGAGAATCATGTCAAAGAAATGGTCTCTGAACGAACCGTTCTGCATAGTAAGAGTCCATGCATGACCCAGCTTTGGATTAGTTCTAACTTTTGTTGAAGGAGTTCTCAAAGAGCTGAAGCGCATGACCCCTGCTCACCAAATAACCATGTTGAAATTTATCAAGAACCTTTCCATGCTTTCAACAACCCTTGATTCCCTTCAGAACTCAAACGCCATTGACGTACTCACGGATCTTCTACGATCAACCATAAGACGACCTCATTTCCGAGAAGTCTCCAATCAGATTCTGAATACAATCTACAACATGTGTCGCCTAAACAAGACACGCCAGGAAGACGCTGCGCTAAATGGCATTGTGCCTCTGCTTCAGAAGATTGTAAAGACGGAGCGGCCATTGAAAGAGTTCGCGCTACCAATCCTCTGCGACATGGCGAACTCTGGAAAAGTTGGTCGTCGCGAACTGTGGCGCAACAAGGGTCTCGCCTTTTACATCTCCCTTCTTTCCGACCCATATTGGCAGGTTACTGCTCTAGATGCTATATTCACCTGGTTAGTAATGGTTCTCTTAGTTGAAAATATTCTGGCTTACCTTTGTTTTCTTATGACAGGCTCCAAGAAGAGACTGCAAAGGTTGAAGAGCATCTCCTGGATAACCGCCATGACAAGCCATCATTTACGGATGCCATTGTTAAGTGCTTGACGTTTTCCAAGGCAAACGCTTTTGAAAACATTCTTGAACCGCTCCAAAAGCTTCTTAGGTTAAGTCCACCAATTGCCTCGACACTTGCTCGGCCAGATCTCTTTACGCGGATCGGACAAAAGCTTCACCACGCTAAGGCTGCAGTTCGCCTGAACCTACTCCGAATCATATCAAGCATTTGCGACTCGAGTGAAGAGCAAGGAAGCCTTCTCGCCAGATACGGTCTTTTGGATGCAATCAGGGAATTGGAAAATGACCCAGCTATCTTGGTCAGAGATATGGCCGGAAAGCTTATTCAGTCAAGTGAGATGAACGATTCATATGGTATGGGAAAGCGCAGACCTGGCGCGAGACGGCAAAGCACTTCTACCACACCACCCGGTTATCTGGTAAACCAGTCTGCCCCCTCTACTCCACAACACATCCATCGCTCGAGTGGATCTAAAGGATATTACGAAGGGCGAGAGACGTCGCGACACCCACGGAATGCTTTAAGTGGCTCCTCGCTTGCAATGCGACCTGGGAGTCGAGATGGCAACGGCTCTGGTCTTCCCTCTGGAGTGAATGGAAGCTCTGGCGCATCAAGAAACAGAATGTCTCGCGGCATGTCTAATCGGCTGTCTCACGTCGAGCTTTTGACCGAGGAAGACACAAGGCCGCCTAGTTCAATGGGCCGCCGGCCATCCTTGGTTCCTAGGCGCCGAAGAACCCATACAGATGACGAATGGGCGATGTGATTTGACATTACTTACGTCCTGTCCATATTCCTTTCATGCTCTTTTCATTCAGTTGTTCATGCTACCATCTTCGGTCGGTTCTTTGGTTTCAAACATTAAGAACATAAAGGGGTAGCTATATAATGTTTTACCGAGTGCATCGCATAAAATAGGCGCATTGGGACTCGGTTTCTCTCTCTTTGAATTTCTTTTGTTATTCTGGCAAAACACCCAAAACGGACTGGCTGACTCTTGTATCTATCTCTTTTTTCTCTTTGTACTTTTTGTCGTATTTGGTCAATTTGGCCTACTTCTCTCGGAGCATTGTTGTATCTGTCGATATGCCAAGTGATGTCGATATGCTACATGCTACTGTTCCTTTCTAGACCAATTTTAGACTTATGGGATTCCTGATGAAATGTATATCTTCATCGTATGGTGCCGGACGTAGGGCCTCACATTTATTTTTCGAGCGTAATAACATTCCACCTAGTCGTACATTATGCCATACAACTCTAAGGCATGACCTATTATCAACCATCCTAATTCGATATCTTCTTGCCATTCTAGCCATCTCCATTATTCCATCAACTTGGATATATACCTCGGGATCACGTGCCTCCCGGCCCGACATCGGGAAAAGTGAAATCCGATTGGCGGCGAGGTCCGTCTGAAAATCTCCTGACGGCATCTTGAATCTGGGAACTGCCCTGGTCCGACTGTTGTGTTGCAAGGGTACAATGGCCTGGTGTTGACGTGCACGAACTCCTTATCAGGCGAAACGATCTCTCACGCTGTTGCTCCTAGTACGCCGCCCTTCGGTTCGGTATGAGAGCAGTGCTCCGCACGCCGTTGCGGGCGTCCGGCCTGGATCCCGCGACGGCCATTAAACACTCGAATTCACCTTTTTCGAAATCTGCAGCAATTGCTTCTTCGGTGCCATGCAGGTTCGCTTCTAGCTCGGTAAAGGCTTCGACATTGATCAGTCGACGGTGTGCCCAGCGGCAAACCTTGTCCTCCGTGTCAAGAAACAACTATTCTACGAAAACCTCTCCGCTATTCTCTGCAGGGGAGGCTAGCGGCAATGGAGGGAAGCAATCGGGGTCGAATGGGTCACGGAGAAAGGTAATCAAGTACGCAGTTGTTGGTGGTGTGGTAGGTGTTGGAGCGGTGGTGTTCTCGGACGATATTCAGCATCTATACCGCGCTACAGAGAGAACTGGACGGGTCGTTGGCACGCTGGCTGTGTGTATCAATGAGTAAGTTGGACATTTTCGCTGCTATCTATGAGTACTTGCTTATACGATTCTTTCATAATAGCTACCGCAAGACCCTCAAAATCGAAGCCGCCACACCGGAAGAACAAACCCAGAACATCAAGGCATGCCACAAGCGTTGCGCGGAGCGGACTCTGCGCGTTCTTGAGAAGAATGGATCTATCTTTATTAAATTGGGACAACATCTGAGCAGCATGGGTTACCTACTCCCGTTGGAATGGACGACTACCTTCATCCCACTCCAAGACAAATGTCCCGTCTCTTCGATCGAATCAATTGGAGAGATGTTCGTTGCCGACACTGGTCACCGGATCGATGAGCTTTTCTCGGACTTTGAATCAGAACCAATTGGAGCCGCCTCTCTTGCCCAGGTCCATATCGGAACGCTGAAGGAAACTGGTCAGAAGGTTGCGGTGAAGGTGCAACATCCGGCTTTGGCGGAATGGGTGCCTTTGGACTTGGCCTTGACGCGATTCACTTTTGCCATGCTGAAACGGTTCTTCCCGGAATACGATCTCGAATGGCTGTCAAGAGAAATGGATTATTCTCTCCCCGTGGAACTGGATTTCAGGATGGAGGCAGAGAATGCCACCCGGGCAGCTGAATACTTTAAGAAGCACTCTGATGTGCCGCTTGTTATCCCAGGAGGTAAGGTCATAATTGCCGGCACAAGCGTTGCATATACTGACAAAACCAAGTAAATTGGGCGCAAAAGCGCATCCTCGTGATGGAGTTCATTTCTGGCCGTCGACCCGATGACTTGGAATTCTTAGACTCCAACAACATCGACCGCGACGAGGTTTCTGCAACATTGGCACACATCTTCAACGAAATGATCTTTGGCGACAATGCACCCCTGCACTGCGACCCCCACGGCGGCAACATTGCGATCCGCAAGAACCCCAACGGACGTCGCCACAACTTCGAAATCATCCTCTACGATCATGGCCTGTACCGCACCATCCCCCGAGACCTCCGCCGCAACTACGCCAAACTCTGGCTGGCCGTGATCGATGCCGACGTGGATCGCATGCGCGAGTATGCGCGCAAAGTAGCAGGCATCACAGACGAGCAGTTCCCACTCTTCGCCAGTGCCATCACAGGAAGAGACTACACCGTGTTGACCAAGAACGTTGCCTCTACTCGCACCGCAGATGAAAAGGAGCATATCTCCGGCGCCCTCGGCGAAGGCATGCTCCAACAACTTGTCGAACTTCTCGGCCGAGTCCCGAGAATCATTCTCCTCATCCTCAAGACCAACGATCTGAGTAAGTCTACGTCCCCCTTCCACCAAGCAAATAAACCCCAGTCAAGCTAACCCCAAACAGCCCGCAGTCTCGACGAAAACCTCCACACCCGCCAAGGCCCCGTCCGCACCTTCCTCATCCTCGCCCGCTACGCCACCCGCACCGTCTTCGAAGAGCAAATCGAAACCATCAACGAATCCGGCGGCCTGCTGCGTCCCCTCAACTTCCTCCGCTTCCTCTGCGCCTGGACTGGCTTCCTGCGCGTCGAGTTGAAGCTGTCCATCTATGAGACTTTGCTATCTCTGAAGAGTCGGTTTGGGTCGTTGAAGTAGGATGAATATTCATTTCATTCCTGTATAAATTAATTTGCCCGCTGCTGCTTGAAGGGCTTGGCTTGGCTTGACTTGGCTTCGTTTGGGTTCATTGTTTAATGACTGGATAAAAGGGCACGGGCACGGGCACGGGCACGGGGTATATCTGTGCATCAGCGACGGCGTTGTTATTTCTCATATTTTTCGATATATCCTAGGGATAGTCGGCAAAAATTGTATACTTATATATAGATTATTAGAGCCGATAAAGCTAGAAGTTCAAAGTATCTGTTATTCTACTTATGTATTATAATCAGGAAGAAATCTGAGTTTCAATGGTTTTCATTACGAAACTATCAAAGGCACCTTTCGCTCGCAGTTTCAGCATAGATACTCCGTAGGTATAATCACAAAATGCCTTGCCAGAAAAAAGAAGAAAAAGAAAAAAGGGCATAAGAGAAGATAAAAAGAAACTGTACATCAAACAAATTCAATTTGTTTGTTTCCGTCAAAAACCTCACACATGGCCATTCCAAAGCATTTTTCCAGCATTGGCATCCTTTCAACCCAATATCAAGGGGTAGGCCGATGAAAAAGAAGAGAAAAAAATAAACGGAGTCGCGTATCAGATTATCAAATGAAAAAAGTGGGTATATAATCCCATGTCGCTTATTTTGGGGTTCGGTATCTCTTTTTTTTGGTGGACTTCTTTTTTTGATTTATTTCGATTTCCTTACAAGGTGGCAGCAGCACCCTCGGTCTGCTCGATCTCAACCTTGACGTTAGGCATGGTAGCACCAGTGCCTGAGAGGTCGGTCTTGACAGCTCTGGGGTTCTTGAGGTGGTAGTCGGAGATGGCAGACTTGATGGCGTCCTCAGCGAGCATAGAGCAGTGCAGCTTGACGGGCGGCAAGCACAACTCCTTGGCGATCTCAGTGTTTCGAATCTTACCGGCCTCCTCGAGGGTCATGCCTCGGACCAACTCGGTAAGGTAGCTGGAGCTGGCGATGGCGCTGCCGCAGCCGAAAGTCTTGAACTTGACCTCGCTGATCTTGTTGCTGTCCTTGTCGACACGGATCTGGAGCTTCATGACGTCGCCACAGGCGGGAGCGCCGACGAGACCGGTGCCAACGTCTTCATCACCCTTCTTCAGCGAGCCAACATTGCGAGGGTTGTTGTAGTGATCTAACAGTGCAGAACGGTCAGTATGAGAGATACAGATAAGCCAGCAAGGGAATACATATCTTTCTCGTGGTATCCTCTTCTCTGGGGACCAGCAGATGCCCGGAAGATGGATTGTGTCTGGGTCTGAACGCCGGAGAGGGCGGGTGTGATACGAGGAGTGGCCAAAGTGCCAACGGCGCGAGGGGCGACTGATACCAAGCGTCTGAACATTGTTGTGTGATAGTCAGGATTATTTCACTGCACAAGTGTAGTTGGATTTGATAGAAAGAAAACGTGGTGGATGATGGAGGAAGGATGGGAAAAGTGATGTCGTTTTGAAGAAAGACGGCAAACGGGAATCGATTAATTCTGGCTCTCGCCCGCCAGTATTATTCACCCCAGACTATACCGCATTGGGAAGCGTCCTTGCCTCCGAGCGAGTCCGGCCTCGGAGACCGGACTTAATGACGTTTTGTGGCCAGCATCCGGTTATGTCAGTTTGGATGGTATCATTATTTCTGATTTGTTGGTGTTCTCCACGTTCTTTTCTTTGCGATTCTTTCTATCGCTCTTTGGTGGTTCTCTAAAAGGTGTGGATGGGGTGGTTTTACGTTAGAGCCAGCGAAGAACTTTTCCCGGCTGGACGCTGACCCAATATGAAGTCGTCCAAGCCGGCATTACCAAGCATGTCCCACTGTTCTCCGTTCTCCTGAGATGCGTCAACCGTGGGATCACATCAGTGGCATTATATCATATTCTCATCAGATATTCCTTTCCTGTTCACGGCATCCGGTCTGATCCTCCTTATCAGATGACTCCCAAACACAAAACAACCCTGGGCAAGCCATCGGGCGTAAGTTCATCGTCGACTTTTCCGCGGTTCCCAAACAGACCAACCACCTTTCCCCGCTTTGCTGTTATCAGATGGGATTATCCATAATCTGATGCTTCGTCCAGTCATATTGTCGCTATATCGCGCGTTGACTAACACTCCTTCATAGTCGCTCAACGCCCCCATCGCCGCCTTCACCATGGCTATCGTGTTGTGCTCCTACTGCTTCTCGTCTATCCGTTCTGCCCGTCGTGAAGCCCAGTCTTCTCAGTCTGATAACAATAATCATATTCGTGCTGGTCCTTTACTGGATCGACAGTCGCAGTCGTCATGGGTACAGCAGGCATTGGAGGAACAGAAAAGGAGTCCCAAATAGTTTCTTTTTGTGTTTTTCTTTTGTACGACTACGTGTTAGATAGCGTTGATAATCATGACTTGGTGATGAACTGGCATCAATAGCAATAGTGATATTAATATTTATTCTGACTGACAGTCATGTGTAACCTCAACAACCATATCGTTCATCGTCAAATCAGAATTTTCAGTGTATCAATGATCATCTCCAGGCACTCTTGGTACTACTGGATCTACCATTAAAAAGAATTCATCATCTTATTGAAATGAAGATCGGTCGCTGTAGATTGTTAATACCATAAGAGCAATCATAATTCTCTTTCCTGACGATCTCATCATATCATCTGGATGTCTTGGTGAATTCCGGTGGACAGGATATTCGAGCCTTTGTGGGAAAGAAAATGCAGAAATTAAGGATTTTATTAGTCGCTCGGCAAGAATGCCAGGTCACATGATGTCTGACATCATCCGTCCTCTATCCAGTACTTTTGCGAGAATCTGTACAACAAAGTACCGTACAAAGTACCGTACAACAGGGATACATTTCTCGAATTGGTTAAATCATACTCAGGCAGATTATTACTGCATATGTATATTGCTTTGGAAATATAAAAGGTATGAATGTATGTACAACACATGCAACCCGGCGGAATAATCAAGAACGCTCGCAATCACAGAAATCTTTTTGCATCAAATCAAATTCACTGGCATGTGACAATCCCATTGTAATCCAGCTGTATCTTCACATGTCTCCCCCCTTGACGCCCATATCTCCTGGGCAATAGCGCCGAGGAATATGCCTTTAGCATAAATCCATTCCGCAGTAAAAGCTTTGTAACCCAAAAAAAACACCATTCAAAGCATATTACCTGCCAGATAAAACGGATTTTGTTTGCCCTGTGTCACGATCAGAGATCATCTTCCATCCCTGTAGCACAGTTTAAGACGCCGGTATAATATCTTTTCTCCTCGAAGAAACATCTGTCAATCAGATCCCTTTGGTTTCCTCCTTCATCTGCTGTAGTTTTAATTCTCCATCATGCTGTAATGTGTGGATGAGTTTTCGCAGGTATTCATATGTAAGCATCGTGGTCATCGCCGCGGGAACGGCACGGAATAGATTCGTGCCGATTCCAGAGTAGAATGCCCGCCATCCTTCTTCCTTCAAGATCGTCTGACAGGTACGGATAATCCCCGTATATCGGGGTCGGTTGGGCATGCCATCCGACGACGCAGGCGCCCGTCCACGGCCTTGGGGATGGTCCAAGCCTCCACGGAAAGTTATCTCCTCGGGTGAAGGCGCAGGGGCTGTTCTCTGTTGGGTCTGGAGTCTCGTTCGTAGCACTTCATGCGGATATGTCACGGTGCTAGCACAGATTTTACTCATGAACGTGGCACACAGAATCCCCATCCAGTGAGAGCTGCCATTATCGGGATGCTCTCCAATTCCATACCCTGTAAAGCCCATCTTCAAATATTCATAAAGCGGGAACTGAATGGCCACGTGGGCCAGTCCCAACAAAGCCGGCGAGAGACCGGAGTAAAATGAGCGAATTCCTTCGGTTTTGTACATTTTGCGGGCCGCATCCCATGTACTGGAATACTGCCATGGGGCTCTATACCCTTCGGTGCTGGATTTGAGACTCTGTGACATGAGTCGAGTTTTGATGACCCAGATGGGATTCGTCGCTATCGTCGAACATGCGCCGGCCGTAATAGATGCATAACCTCGTGCAAGCCACCAACTATCTGTAAACCGGGTGAAATCAGTCAATTGACCAGCCTTGGACAATAATATCGGGGCAGCACAAACCTGTGGTTTCGTGGTAATATTCTCGGGATCGATCATAAACCGCTAGATAGACGGCCCATGTAGGCAGATATCCCAGCAGCATAGGACCCAGTCCCTGGTAAAGACCTCGAATACCATCCGCTTTCCATATTATCTTTCCGGTTCCCAGCATACCACGATACAATGTTTTTGCTTCCACCGCATTTCCCCCTCTGCGTGCAAATCCACCCTGTGCCTGCAGTTTGGTCTTGATCACATCGAGAGGGCATGTCACGATCCCCGACGCTACACCCGCACTAGCCCCACAGAAAGGAGCAATATAGTAATTTGGAATACGAGTAGATAATATTTCAAGGCGACTGACGAGATCCGAGGTCGACGAGGCGTCAGGGAATTGTTGAGAATCCTGGGGAGAAGTGCCCTCTGGATGCGAAACCTGCTGCTCTTGGGAGCCGCTGGCAGCTCCGGAGGTGCCATGGTCTTCTGAAAACATCCTTCCAGCCAGCGCTCAAGCAGCTAATCTTGTCCGTCTTTATCTCACCGAGGGTTCCCGGACCCGAGCATATCGGTGCTCGCTCCGGAACCCAGAATGTCCTTTTCGGGTCGTGGTGGAAAGTGGAAGCGTGTCTAGCAGTTTTGAGCACTTGGGTGATTGTGGCCGTCTGACGGGGGCGATTTAGAGTTATATAATTTTTCGATGAGCCGATACTGCCGAACCGCTCGATTGACCGATGCCCTATCTTCATGCACAGACGGGGCGGGGTCTGTACCAGCACGCAACTCCCCTGTAGGAGCAAAACACAATTTCAACGGTTAATGAGCCCCATACCCAGCCAGTAAGCAATAGGAAAAAAAGAGGTCGAAAGGTCTGTCGGTTGAAAACGCCGAGAAAAAACGATGAGTGACGGGGCGCCACGGAAGATTGGTGAGTTAAGAAGGTGAGTCGATGTACCTTTGGCAGGTGGAGAGAGAGAAACAAGACAAGACGGCAGAGCCATCCGACTCCAAGCGCAATTCGAGCTAGCGGCCTAAGGCAGACCACGGGATCAATCACGTGGAGAGGACGGAACCGGTGGAACGGGTGCCTTGGTGCCCTGCAGCCTCAGGCATAAACTATCGGATGTTTTTGGGAAAGGCTCCCGACCGGACCTCCGTTTTGCACAATCTCCAACGTCGTCCAGCTTGACTGACCTTGTGATCCCTCTCTCCACGCCACGCCATCAATTGAACCTCACCCCCTCCTCTCTTTGGGATCGTCATCATGTCTGCTCCTTCGCTCGCCAACTACATCGTCAAGCGCCCTTTGCTGAAGCGCTGGATGATGCCCATTGCCAACTGGTACACCGACGCCGCCGGCTACAGAAGACTCGGATTGAGGTAACCATCCCCCTCCTTCGATATCTGAGGACAAGCGCGAGGGATACGAGTAGTCTGGGAAGGATTATGGGGCGAATTGGTTCTGTCGCAACAATCCATTCGCCTCTTGTCGTTTCCCAGTCTCCGCTTACCCGACATTTTCGATATGATCCTTCGTCGACAGACATGGCCCTGACTGACTGAAACCAGAGTCGATGACTTGATCCCCGAGGAGAACGACGCCGTCCAGGCTGCCCTCAAGCGTCTTCCCGCCAAGGAGGCCTACGACCGCGTTTTCCGTATCCGCAGAGCATTCCAGGTTCGCTCCCCTGCGACATTTCTCCAGAAGCAATGGTCTAACCTTTGTTCGCAATTACAGTGCTCTATCTCTCACACTCTTCTCCCTGCTGAGGAGCAGACCAAGCCTTCGGAGGTGAGCCAATTTTTCAACTTTTATATGCCATTGTCACCCTCGAGTCCCCACGGGACGCTCTCGGCCAATCCCGTGCCGCGGATTTGTAACTCTCGATAAATGCCATTTATAACGAATTTCGGTCTGGGCTGGACTCGAGGGGGCTAGAGAAAAACAAATCAAGGTTGAATGAACAATATCGCTGACCGTTTCACCCTTTCTAGGACGTCGAATACCTGAGCCCGATCATCCGCGAGGTCGAGAAGGAGTTCAAGGAGCGTGAGGACCTCGACAACCTCGTTGTCAAGAGGTAGATTACTTTTCTGCGGTTTGCTTTACTTGTTGGTCTTGGAAAATAGAATCTCTAGCTCTACGGTGCTGGAAGCAGAGGCGGAGGAAGGGTAGGAGGGTCCGGCTGTGCTGCGCTGCGATGAGCATGTCGCCGGATGTTATCTGATATTTCACTCGAACTGTGTACTGATACTGTACAAATCCATTTGTCATCGTTTATTTGATTTATCGTATGTGATATGGCGTGTAGCGTCGACTACCGGTCCCATACGTCCATGTTATACACCCCCGCGGCAAGGTGCCAAGCACACTCACTTCGCATGAACATTCATTTCCGAATATGCACTGTCTATTCAGCGGTTTGGGGACATTATATCAACTTGATCTCCGTCGTCCACACGTATGGATGACTGTACATATATCCGAGCACTGTGATAGGCCGATACCGATATCTACCCAAGCATGGAGTTCCACAAGACCCTTCGACATGGGTGATCAATAATCATATGTCATTTACCCACCGCTTCTCTTCTAATCTATATCTCTTTCGAGTATATATGACCGGCCCTCGAATGCCTGTCGACGATATATACAAGGTAGCCCGCTATCTCAGCTATACATTACCTGGATCCAGACAGGTCTGATAGTACCATTCAAGCGTTTAGTACGGCAACATCGACATTTTCTACTCGCCACATATACCACATAAAGAGACTCCTACAGTCCGTGTTAGAAACTTGGTTAGATGCCCAGATGCCCAGACTCGTAAGGATAACATACCTATATGGGGAGAACTTCGCGGCCAGCTCCACCATGTCTTTTTCAGGCATGTACTTGAACTTACCGCCCCCTTTAGCTTTGAGTTTGCTCACGTCTTTTCCTATGAAGGCTGCGCAACCTCTTCTGTTTCATGTTAGTCTCCATGAAACGTAGGACGAAAGTTTCAGAAATCAGATTATCCTGAACCACTAACTGCCGGTAGACAGGGTACACAACTTACTGCACACCCAGATCCCCCGTGGAGAAAACGTCGGTGCGTTTCAAGGCAAAGCAGGCAAACATCTCAACAGACCATTTGCCCAGTCCACGAACGGCAATCAGCTTTTCAACGAGCTCGTCATCGCTGGCATTCACCAGCATCCGCGCGCTCAATTCACCGTCTGCGAATTTCTGAGACAACCCTTGGATATATTCCGCCTTGCGCTGGGAGAGACCGGCTGTCCGCAACGTAAGAATCTCGCATTGGGATATCTCCTCTGGCGTTGGGAAACGCTCCGTCGTCTTCGAAGTCCCACTCACACTCGCAGTCACATCATCACCCTCGCTTTTGTTGAACAATGCCACGAATCTATCCCGGATCGACTTGGCCGCAGCACCCGATACCTGTTGCCCAATGATACTGACCACGAGACTTTTAAACGGATCGACCTCCTCCGCGAGCCCCTCGGGCGAGAACAATTTACAGTGGTTGTTCTCGATAACCGGTTTCAGGCGTGCATCTGCGGCAATCAAGTACGCATTGGCTTTCTCGAGGAGCGTGCCTGTCGTGGCGGTTGGGCGAGGTCGGCCGGTCTTGCTGGGCGAGATATCCGCCGAGCCAGGCGGGTAGGCAACCACCGAGGAGCCATGGGGTGTAAGGAGGGTTGCGTTCGTTCTGTGAGGTTCAACGGGTCGGTCAAGAGGGGGCGGTGTCGCACGTAGTTGTCTGTTAATAGCACTGTCAGTGGAAAACGGGTTGATGTCATTCAAATCTTGGTTGCGTTCAGAGCCACTGCCGTTGTCAACGGCTGTCTGTGTCTCTGGAGCGGTTTTCTCCACAGTCGGAGTTGTGGTCTTTTTCCCTCTTGCATTTCCATTTGCATAGACTTTTCGTGTCTTGCTAACCCCGCTATGCTGTGCTCTGCTGGGTTTTTTGGGACCTGTGATGGGTTGCAGTGGCATCACCTTGCTGCCGTTGGGGATTGCGCTTAGGCGGGAGGAACGCCTGAGGGCCATCCTAAGTCAATCAGATATAGTGTAGTATAGTCTTGTGATTATATATTATATAGCGGTGACTTGATTATGAGGTGCTTGAGGCTAGATCTCTGCGTGTAGTAGGGTAGTCAGGTAAGGTATGTTGATTGTTGGTGACTCGCAGCTGCGGCCGAGTGTCCCGCTCGGTCTGGGCATTGGAGACGAGTTGGAGATGCTACCATCAGCATAGTCAGATTAGTATTACCATCAAATGAGAAGTTCTGATGCTTCTCTGGGCATCTAGTAATGTATTGTGGCTTTGCTTTGTTCTATATTTGCTGTAATTTAAGATATCCTGAGATTTTAGTGCTATAGTGCATATATCCAAGTCCAACGTCATTCGTGACAAAGATATATACAGCCACGAATCCGCTACTTGCAATGTAAGGCAATATTGTTATTATCATGAATATCAGTCGATGAGCTTGAATTGATCAATACCAAGTATACGTATAGATACAAACTTCCAGGTATTTGGCGGTTGGTAGTATCATCTAGCATCCATGGATTGACGATGGACTTTATATATCCCTGGAAGACCAAATCACATCAATTCCAGCTTTTCTGATTTATTTCCCATCAAGACTGGATAGCAATGTTATTATTCCGCACGTCAGGGTAGCACGAAGCATTTCCATTCCAAACCAGCCACAGGTCAAAGACAGGTGACAATCCAAGGCTGGCATACCAGACTGTCAACCTGCATACCATGTATTCTTCACAATATTTGCATGAATGCCGCCTGTTCTGGAATTGCGGGGGAATGAACTGGTATTTTCAAACAGTATGAGCGATATTTCTGTCTTCAAGGTGAGGCTGGTGGCTGAAATTGATTTATTTTCTCTTGGCGAAGCTCTTTGTTTCCATGGCTGGGTAGCTTTTTGCATATGAGTAGTTTTTGTTAAGCTGTTGGCTATTGATTCTCCACTTGAATCAAGCTTTTCGAATAGATGGTCTTTACCTAAAGATGATAGTAAGGAATCCATTCAAATCTCGTTCATACTGCTTGATTGGCAGATAGAAAGTCACCAGATCAAAGCCGGATGAATCGACGTGACAAAAAAGCTTGGTTGCAGTTCTGATGGACTTATATCAGCCTAATTTAATTGAGCGATTCCTATTCGCCATGTGTTGGACTAGACTACGTGGCTTTCACCTCCAAAAGCATCGTGAGAAAATACGAAAACAAAGAAATCCATCCTAGTGGACTGAAGAACTGGGGAGAAAAGGCAACCGTCTCGCCGGATGCCGCGACTAAGGTGGACGGCGTGTGATCTGGACCGTTGACTCCCGACCACTTTGAAGAATCTGCCCTATCGCTTCGTCATCTAATTATCATGGTGGTCGATGAAAACCTGATGGTGGTTGAAGATGGATGCATTTGGACGAAAACGAAAGGCTTCATAAGTTGAAAGTTCAGTTGGTAAGTGTCATGTGAAGGTTGGAATGTGTGTGGTGCTTTATTTAGCACTGCAGTTCATTCCATGGGTCGGCATGCCATGGAAAAAAATCTCAGACAGAGCGTATTTTATTTGATCAAAATAGAACCGTCGAGGATAAAGTCGTACAGAGTATCGAAAACAGTAATGCCCAACCTTATCATGGTGTATCAATGGTGGCGTTGAGGGGAACATGGCCGCAAATACAGCAACGAAGCGAACAGCACCATCTGAGTCATGTTTCTCAACTCTGACCTCGTCGCTGTCAGAATCGAAGACCAAGAAGTTGGATGTCGTCTCTGATATTGAATATCATGACGTAAATTGATAATCATCAACCCCGTACTTCGGATGAAGACGAGGGAAATCATGAATATCATGAATATCACGAATATCAATAATGATCACTGTTCAAGGTGATAGGGAAGAGATCCCCATGCAGCATATCCTTATTGAGGGAGATAACGGTGGGTCAGGTGGAGTGATAATGAAAAAACCAAACCACTGATCGAAACCCCTACATATGGATATGACTGCCTGGTATAAATTGATGGAATATTCGACTTGACATCCTTGCTGTCGAATACACATTATTCAGCTCGACCAAATCATTGACAATAATTGCTACTGGCCAGACTCATAGAAAGAGTCTGGAAGAGTCGCTGTGCCTGGATGCAAGATCGCAATTACAGGAGCTTGTGATGGGGCGGGTGGGTCTCGCTTCGATCGTTGGAATACTTACTCGGGCCGTATGGTACTGTACATACGCTGTAATTACCACACATGATGGTTATCCAGTTTGCCTAATCTGAGGTGACGGTCAGGTCGCAATTTCATTTCATATTTGCCACTCGATGGCACTCGCGGTATTATTATCCCTGTGCGCAGAAGTCCATTCGGAGCTTTGTTTACTCAATACTTGCTGAAACCGCACGAGTTGAAGCAGCAGCTGATCATTCATTGCGCATGCTTCATCCCGCCGGCAGGCAGTCGAGTAATTCCAGGCCCAGTCAAGCCACAAATACTTTGATGCTGTGAATGAGTGGTAGCGGCTGGAGGGCGGGTCGAGGAATCCTGATAAATTCAGATCGACCGCTATGCATTAAACATTCTAGGTATCTTTGTACAGAGTATCGTACAGTAAATTAATTCGATAGTCTAGTTAAACAGGGGAACGGGCGATCAGGAGTGAAGTGGTCAACAGCATCATCGCATGGACGATGCCAGCAGGAAAAGTGGCATTATGACGATGTTGCAATAATTCTCGACTCAGAGGCATTGTGGTCAGTGGCGCACTCTGACTGTACCATATGATACGTATCTTACATTGAATACATACGGGGCACCAGGATCACAAAGGTTTCATAGATGGTGATGCTGCTGATCTTCAATAGTAGACCAAATAGAGCAGTGTGCTTTTTGTTTAAGCTTTCTGCATCCTCCTCATTATTGCGATTATTTCATCATACGACAGAGAATAAGCTGACAGTCATTACAGTCGATATTGACATCCTTACTCATAATCCTTCCAGGCTTTGGTCTTCCAGATTTTATCAACCAGGAAATCGTTATGTATTACAGTTGATACAGTTAATATTTGGCAAACAGGGGCATGCGTGGGCTCAACCAGCCAGGATAAACAATGTGATGAATGGCCCAGGGAACGGAGAAGGGGGCTAGCCATTGACCAACCAGAAGCCCCCGCCCGCCCTGATGATTGGAGATGTGTTACGGAACGGAGCAAACTAGGGGCGACGGACTCGTTTCCGGCCCAAAAAAGCAGGATTCCTGCTGGCTGCGCTGGTTGGTTCCTGGCTGGCCGTAACAAAAAAAAAACACAAAAACACAAAAACAAAACCAAACTTACGGTAGTAGCAGCCACCCGGTCTCACAGGTCCCACTCTCGGGCCACGCCTCCCCTTTCTCCTCCTCCCTGAAAGCGATTCCTCTTCTTTTCCTTGCGGTTCCTTTTTTCACCACCCAGTCCTTCCTCTTTCTTCCCTCGCTTTTTTTTTTTCTTTTACTCGTTTCATCTTCCAACGTGCTTGCCCATCTCGCACTTTCCCGTCGCTGAAGGAACGGCCGCCACAGCTTCTCAATCGTTGAAGCTTTCTTCTCCTTCCACTCGTTCATCCAACTTCTTTATCTTCCCATCAATTCCTTCGCCTTTGGGTCTCTCGCTGTCAATCCTCCCCATCGCTTTCAACGCCAATCCTATCTTCCCTTCGATTATTGGTACGTGGTTTTCGACTTGAATATTACGCTGTGAACGGTGCTGGAGCAACCAGTCTGGGGACTAGTCCATGCCACGGAGGGGTTCTTGGGCGCAATCTTGGATCTGCTTCGCACCACAAAGCTGTCGCTCTTTTACTAGACCAGGGGAACTGACTGGATTCATAGAACTAAACGATTCGAAATGGCCTTCATGAAGTACGTTCTTCCCGCCTTGGCTGCGGGCCAGGTCGCTATGGCTGCCTGTGAGTACAACCGAGATGGATGCATTGCTGGATAGGATCCAATACTGACAGGGCGCAGCTTGCGGTTCCGGTGACACCATCAAGATCTCCAGCCAGGGCGATGCCGACGGCTACTCCAGCTGCAAGACCCTCAAGGGTGACGTTGAGATCCAGAAGGAAATCACTGGCAGCTTGAGCCTGAACGGTATTGAGCAGATTACCGGTGGTCTCTCCTGCGACGGTGCCACCAACATGTCCTCGTTGAGCGCCTCCAGCTTGACCAGCATTGGCGACACCTTCAAGCTGAACAGCTTGACCACCCTTACCCAGCTGTCCTTCGGCTCTCTCACCAAGGTCGGCTCCATCCAGTGGACTGCTCTGCCCGAGCTGCAGACCCTCGACTTCTCCAAGGGTGTCGAGGAAGCCGGTAACGTCGCGATCACCAACACCGGTCTGACCGACTTGGACGGTATCTCCCTCAAGACCGTCGGCCAGTTCGACATCACCGAGAACACCAACCTCAAGAAGGTCAACGTCAACGACCTCACCAACGCCACCGGTCTCATCAACTTCGCTGGTAACATGCTCTCCTTGGAGATCGACCTCCCCAACCTTTCCAGCGGTACCAACATGACCTTCCGCAACGTCAGCAGCGTTTCCGTGCCTTCTCTCCACAACCTTACTGGTCAGCTTGGCTTCTGGGGTGACACCTTCAAGTCTTTCATCGCCCCCAACCTTACCGAGACTGGTGACTTGATCTTCAACGACAACAGCAAGCTCGCCAACCTCACCCTGTCTCAGCTCAAGACCGTCAACGGTGGTTTCCAGATCGCCCGCAACGACAAGCTCGCCAACATCACCTTCCCCAAGCTCGAGGTCATCACTGGTGCTCTTGACTTCACTGGCGCATTTGACGAGTAAGTCCATCTTTGAGTAATGGAAAATCATAGTACTAACTCTGTTACAGTGTGTCTTTGCCCGCTCTCAAGAACGTCAAGGGTGGCTTCAACATGAAGAGCACCGGCAACTTCGAGTGCAAGACCTTCAAGACCCTCCAGGACGACAACGTTATTCACGGCAAGTACGCATGCAAGGCTGAGGACCCCAACCCCACCACCAAAGATGGATCCAGCGGCTCCAGCACCACTACTTCCGGCAGCGCCTCCAAGTCCTCTGACGAGGGCGCCGGTGTTGCCATCGGTGTCAATGTCCCCGTTCTGGGAGCTGCCGCTATCTTCGGCTACCTCATCCAGTACGCTTTGTAAAGGACGAACGTTAGCTGAGAATTGTTTTTCAACCCCTTTTGATTTAAGGGTTTTGTAGAGTCGCCTAATAAGCAATGGTTGTTTTTATTCACTATACTCTGCTGTTCTTATGATAATAATTTGAGTCTTTTGAGGAAAATTCGCAATTTGGATTCTGTCCTCGGAAGACAAATACCGCAATCCATCGGAAAGGAGTTTTTTTTCCATTATTCCCCTTTCTGTCTTTTTTAGTTGCATTAGTTCACTCGACGTTCTGGCAATTCAATCTGCATGTTAGAGTACTTGTGGTTGAGGGCTGACATGCTCTGGTTGGAAGACTAGAGAGGGTGGAACGTTTGTGTTTTTTAGTTGCATTCGATAGACATTCCAGTTTATTTGATACCTTTACTGTTCTATTGTTTTCTCGTGTCCATTCATGACTGAATTGTAGATTGTTAACCGCTGGGGTGGCGGTTGGAAGGCCAGACCAGCGGGGGTGAAACGGCGCGTGGAGGGCGATTTTCGTTTCAGGTGATGATGAAACCAGCGCAAGGATTGGAGGATAGTATGAATGGGATCTGCCATGATGATGACACCCGTTGGATGGATCAGATTGCCAGCTGTCTTATCCACATAAAATTCTTCTACGTAATTTGACAGAATGATAGACGGACGGCGTACTCCGTAGAAAGGTGGCAATGAAGAATGACTGGTCGGCCATCTAATCATGCATGGCCAGGTGGACAGAAATAGAACGTTCAAGATGAGGTGCGTACATACGCAGGGAGGGGGATCAATCTTCCATGAGGACGCGACGGGACGGCCCCTCCGAGTGTATGTAGAAGTGAAGTGAGGTGGCCATTCCGAAGGTGACAAGTCATGTTGACGAAATACTAGAGAGAGAGAATAATATTGAGGCAGACAAAGGGATTGTGGGATGGGTCTCCCGATCCATGGAGATTAGGTTCTCGGAGAGCGAGAATATTGCCAGAGTAGGAAGTACGATACTTGCCTAGGTGGGCGAATATGCATCCCATGTGGATGTGTGTAGATGGTGGATAGATGATGGATAGAGAAACGAGGGCAGGGCTACGTGTACAAGTATATTTATCTAGCTTAGTTTAGATCAGGGACTACCTTGCTTATGAATATGGGGATACTAAATACTAGGTAGATGAAACCTAGGAAGCGAACCTAAAGATGGAGAGATGGGGAGGATTGGCTGGGAAGAGAGGATGAGGGCAAAGTTTATAGCGGGACTACTGTCTGGATAGGCCGGGATTTGCAGGTGGAGGAGGATTTCGGTATACGTACATAATGTAGACAACCTAGTCAGTAGTTAGCTTAAGACAAGGTTAGGATAGATAGACGTATGTTATTCAATAATTCTGATAATCTTTTAAATAGATTTTTCCAAATAAAAAATAATAATCATGACTCGTTTTGTCCCAATATGATATATACTACAACCTTGCATCGCGGAGAGACGGAAACCCTCCCAGCATCCGGGATATGGGCAAACTTTGGAGATCGGATCCGACCAAGGAAATCGTGTTGATTTCACGGGTTGAGCTTGGATGGGATGCGCCACATGGAGTTATTGTTCTACGGATGGGGTAGTATTGGATGGGTGGTGGTTATTGAATCTAGTCTTACCCTTGCTGATATCGGTTGATCTTTTCGATGTATACTATACCTGGGTTCTCCGTGTAGAATTAGACTGTGTTATTCTTATGGTTTGGTTTCCTGGAAAGCTGCCACACGAACCCCTTGATGAACACCTCTTGTTCGGCACGAGTTGGGGATAAAGGAGGCATACAGATACATATATGGGTGTATCTTGCATTATGCATTGCAGGATTTGCTCTACATATACTTTTGCATTATTCATCCTTATAGTTGTTGAATATGAATATGAATATGATAATATTATTGTGAATATCATGAATAATAAAATATTGTGTACTCTAGTGCCAACGTCTTGGACTGTTAGACTACTGTGTAAGCCTACCCCGCTATGTATGTCTGACCCTGCTGTGTAACCTCCCAAGTGCAACCGTCTTGACGCCATTCCCCTCCCCTCCAACCTCCTCCTCTTTCCAACTAGTTAGCTAAATTCGACGGAGCCATTTTGACTCTCCTCTAAGGATTTTGATGACGACCTCAGCAGACTCATCACTTTCTCTCCTTCTCTAACCAAAGTACCTTCCTCCCAGACTCTACACCTGTCAAAGACCCGCTGGATGATCTTCTTCCCTCGTTGTCGTTAGTCTCGCACAGTCAGACCATGGTAGAGGTAGGCGGAGGTGTAGGTAAGTGGTTAGGTAAGGTTCCCAGAATTCAATGAATCAATCTTTGGATTTATTGTTTAGCCAGTTTATTGATATTTTTCTATTCCTACAGTAGGGCCTCGAACTTCTATCGGAGAATAACAGAAACACACACACACACACACACACACACACACACTCACATACCCAGATAAAATCGACTCGGACAATTTCATCAACCTCTCGCGGCTCGTCATCCGCACCAAGTATTGATTATCCTGGATTTACTTATGTTCGTGCCTGGATGGTGGCTGCTGCCGCTCTGCCGCTGCGTGCAAATACGGATGTGCTATTGTACACAGACATACACACAGACAGTCGAGAAGCACCAGGTAAACAATAAAAATCCACTCGGCGGGACCGGACCAGATGCCGCATGAGCCAAAAAAGCGATGAATAAAAAAAATAAAAAATATTTTTTTTAAAGCAAAAAATTAAAAAGACGCAAGCCTTTGCAGGTTACTAACGTAGGTACTTGTGTCGGTCTAAACCTAGTACCTACAGAGCATGTACAGCAGACAGACAGCCTCGAGTTGGATGTCGATTAAGCCACACGGGCTGGAAGGCGAAAAAGACACATACCATCTACAGAAGAGACTACACGAATCCTGCTTCAGGGACGGATGGAACAAACGTGGGGCTGGAAATGGAAGAAGAAATTTGATTCTTCACAAGATATCCGGGGACGATGGAGCGAATATGACAGCTCTTATGGCCCGCCCCACTGTCGCGTTTCCTAGAATGATTGTTTTTTGTTGGGCTGTCCGTTTTTATCTTTTGTTTTTCTGGTTTTTGTTTTTTTTTCCTATTTTATTTTTTTGGTTTGTTTCGGATACTCGTTTGTTCGTTAGGGTCTTATGCGAGAAAGACGACGGCGTGGCTACCACGCTACACGCCTCAACGCTACGCTACTTTACATCGTCATCAGCCTTTGATGATGATGATTATCATCATCTACCATCGTCATTTCGACTCGACCTATCCCGCTAACACTATCCCCTATCTGGAGTATCCTCTCGACGCGGAGTTTTCCGGTTTGGTCGGTTTCCTCCCTTTGAGTCCAAACAAAGTCATCCGATATCACCAAATTAACCTATGTATTCCAAATCTTTGGTGAATTGATCATGTTAATGCTTCAACCCATCAGACAAGAAAAGAAACACCCAGAACTAATGATCTCTGACAGCCGTCAGATCCTGGTTCTTGGGCCCTTTCGGGTGCTCGACCCAGTTCTACGGTCCTCCTCGGGCTTACGGCGATCAGAGCTCTGATTCCCCCTTATTGATTGCTTCAGCCTTGGAGGCAGCCACCTTTCGGGTCTCCTTGTTGCTATTGTTGTTAATTGTATCATTGCTGTTATTATTGTTGCTCTCTTTCGTACTATTGTCATCAATTGTTCTCCAATGATGATGTTAATTGCCTCCTCGCAGGGGTTGTCTCAGATTCCCTTTCTGTTTGGAAATAGGTCCTTGCTTCGTGCTATTTCGTTTGGTTCCTTTCATTTCATCAGAGGGGGGCCAGATGGATCCGCCTGTGCGTCAGGATGTTTATGTGTATACTCCCCGTCCATTATGGAGTCGACACTCGGCTGCTTCTTTGGCCCTTCCTTTTCGTACTTTTGCCACTCCACTGGGGAAGGGAGTGGACCGGCTGCATCTAAAACTGCCACTGCAGAATTCTAGATCAATTTCTTGCTGCACAGTACTATAGTTTAGTTTTCGACTGGGCCTGCATCTGGCGTGTCACAGTTGATCAGATCGGGGGTATCTTGAAATCGTTCTGGGACGTATTTGAGTTTCTGCGGCGATTTATCTCCAAGGATACCGAGGGGGGAACAGAAACTTCTGTATACCCTCAGGCTGGCCTCTTGATGGTCAAGACGACGATGATTCGGATCGTCCCAAGCGCCGGGAGGATTGTTCCGCAACAGCCACCAAGGGCCGTGGGCCAGGTCCCCGGACTTGGAGGACGCGCTTACCAGACGATGGGAACGTTTTGCTTCGAGGCTATTTTCGGGAACGCGGGCCCTCATGAGATTATTGTCTGACGGATCATGATCATTGGCCGGACGAACTATTGATGGAGGAGATGCAAGGGGAGGCTGAATCTTTAACATGTAGATCGAAGAACCACAGCGGCGGTGACAAATCAAGGGTCCTGAATCCCCATCGAGTCAGTCTCTCCATCGCCCTGATGGCACGTTGATTCGTTGATCGCTCGTCGCCTCACGTCTGTGCATTTTGTGACAGAGATTCAGCGCTCTCTCTCCCCGAACACTAGTGTTGGAAGGGTGGGTTCTTCGTCGAACTCTGCCGGAAGCCCATCACTGCTTCCCCGCCCATCATGGGGGAAGAGAGAAGGAGGAGGGGATGGAGGGATGCTGCGGATGATGTGGGCTGCTGCAGAGCCCAAAAAGAACCACCAGAACAAATAATTATCACGCCCACAATCGATCTGTATGTCATATCGAGCTAAACTATCTGGGTAGTGCTCTAGATGCGTCTTCCCTGTTGAGGGTGTGTCGCAGATCTGGCCTTCGGTGATACATCCTTGGCTTCCGTGCAGAGATTCGACCACCATCGATGAACTCGATGCACGTCTGAGCGCCACCACCATCTGCTCTCTGCCCCCCCCCTCTCTCTCTTGCTGTGTCCATTTTTGATTCCGTTCGCTCTCTGCATCGAAACATATAAAACATGCATCCGGCTCGCGTTGTATCTCTAGATGCCATTGTGTCTTTCCCTCTTCACTCTTCATCGCCTCGTGGATTCTCTTCCTCTTCCATCGTACTTTGAACACTGCTCCCCTACCTCCTCCCCCTTTCTTCGTTGACGTTTTTTTGTCTTAAAAGAGCGTCATCGTCTTCTATCTGCTGCTATCTCTGAATCATCTTGTTTGGGATTTGTTTATATATCCTTGAAGTCATCTATCTACATTCACCCACATACGGATACCTACATACAGACATTGATCAAAGTACCTGCACTCGATTACATCCTTTACACTTCTACATACTTCCAACAGCTACAAGCATATTTCTACAATGATGTACGAAGACCTCGGCCCAATGGCTGATGAGTACTCCCGGCGCTGCTCTGCCCCGTGAGTTCTTTAATCAGCCTAAGAGATATACAGAGACTGACTTCTCAGTGCTATGCGCAAATTCGCTTCCCAAGGAGGCGGCTCAGTTGATCTCGGCGAGGACCGTCGGCTACCTCCTCTGCCCCGTGTCGAGCCTGGTCCTCGGGGTCCATTCAACCCGTTCAACAACGCCCACATCTTTGCCCCCAGTCCTCCCAGCTCCCAGGATGCCTTCCCCGTCAAGGCTGCCTGGCCTTCATCTGAACACATTGTTGCTCCTCCCTCTCCTGCCAACTCCGCCGACAGCTCATGGCAGGAGAGTTTTGCCGCACAAAAGGCCGCGGAGTGGCCCTTGAACAAGTCCCTCGAAGAAGCTATGGCCCTGATCCAGCCCCGGAACATCAACCGCAAGCCCCCATTGCAGCAGCTGTGCGGCCGCAAGCGCAAGGGCAGCATGATCTCCAGTGACCCCGATGACCAGCGAGAGAAGCACCGTGTCGCCGAAGGTAACCGCCGCAAGAACCTCAGCCAGCTGCACCGCGAGCTGGACAGCCGTATCCATGACTACTTCCTCGAGTGCGCCGGATGGAACCCGGCCAAGAGCCTGCCTCAATCCAAGGAGCACATTGTCCAGGGCGCTATTCACCTTATTGACACTATGAAGTTTGTGATCAACACTTTGGCTAGCCCGGACAATGAGCAGGTAGCTCAGCTCCCCGAAAAGTTACAGCCTCAGCTTCGCTCTCTGCAGCTTCAGCACATGGCAAGCAACCTTCAGATGCAGAACCAGTCCGCTCAGCAACAAATCAAGAGCCTGAAGCTCGACAACCAAACATTGGAGGAGCGCAACCGAACACTCGAGTTTCAGCTGAGGGGATACGAACACATGTTCCGATCGCCCAAGAGCGAAACCAACAGCCCGCCACCCGTTGGTCCCGTTCCTGAGCCCAAGAGCCTTCCCGGTTTGCGAGTGGTTTGCGACAGCCTGGCCAACACTCACAGCCCGGAATCTACCCGCATGGATCGCCTGCCCAGCTGCACCTCGCAGACCTATGGCCACTCGTTTCTCAGCAGCACGCCACCCATGACAGGTCCCTCATCGCCTGTCTTCCCATCGTACTCTGTTCCCAATTCGCGGCGGGAATCGATGATCCCCTCACCGTGAAATGGGGGTGAGGATCCTGAATCCTTGGTTTCCTTGATGCATTTATGATCAATCATCATCGAGGTTGCACTCGCGGCAGCATAAGTTTGGGCGTTTGAGTCTGTTTTTCCAGCCACTTTGAATTGGTGTTTTTTGATCTCTGGGATTAGCGTCTGCATTGTAACATTATACTTATTGTTTTTCATCGCAAGATGAGAAATCCCCCTGCACAGTCTCGAGGAGTCCCGGTGTTGGACTCCCGACTCGCCTATGGGCGGGTCTTGCACAAAAAACAAACCCACTGCATAGCCAAAAGTTGCTCTTGTTTGAAAGCTCAATTATTTCCTTGTGTTTGATTTTCCTTTTTTTATTGCATATTTTTTTTTTTTTTTTTTTTACTTTTCTTTTGTCAATAATTGTGGTGCAGTTATATCTCTTTTATTTGTTGCGGTGTGTATTTCCGGAGCGGGATCTGTTTGCATTTATTTCCTCTGTTTTTTCCCTTTTCAACATATACGGATTTTTTCGGTGTCTTTTGAGTGATTTATTCATATTCGATTTCCTTGGTCATTTCCTTTGTCAATCTGTCTCTTTTTTATCCAGGCTCATATCTACCTGGCTGTTTATTCCAAAGATGCCCCAGCTGGCCGCAGGGCTGTATCTATCCCGTACAGAGCGAAGCTGCCTGTTTATTGCTTTCGCGGTGACATTGTCGGAGAATCAGGAATATAGATAGGATATATGAATATAATTGACGATGATATGATGATTCTTTCAACCCCAGTACTACGTAACTATAGCAAGAAGGTGTAAGACTTTGCTGGCTAATTGGCGATCTCTCATTGCACTCATTGCCAAGCGACCGCGGCACAGGGTCTTCTGACAGTGTGAAGAGGCCCCTGCAGAATCCCCAGATGACATTTTCCTACGCACAGAGAAGATATCTTGTTCTGGAGGGAGGATAGTATCATACCAGAGGCATAATAGATATTCCAATCTATCCTCGACAACCCATTGTCTGGAGTACCATCGTCATACAATGAAATACCGTGTTTTAAGGTTGGAGGTGGTACCCCGTCACTATAAAAAGAAACGGGGACCCGTATTATTACATACGCGTAACGGACTGTCTGGACTCTTCGTCTCCGTCTGTCAAATCTCCTCCTAACGAACTCTCCTCCCAGCAGCGCACCCTGATCAGCATCGCCAACGGCTCTTCGGGATCGCGAGCCTCATCGTTTGTTCCTTTCCTTCTTCTTTTCTCTTTCTATCCCCCCCTCTTCTCTCCCTCCCAGTCCGTTCGTTTGTCAACCCACCGATCGTCTACTCTCGACTCGCTTGATTCCCTCCGGTAGGCCGATCCCTGCGATCTCCCTAATTAATCGCATTTTCGTCGACCAAAAAAAAAACACTTCTATCGTCTTTCTTCGGCCCCGGATTTCATCCTAGTCGATCATAGCGGATACGTTTCCTCATTCATCGGGCTCGAATCGTCGACGACCACCTTTTTTAACGTCTCTCGCTCGCTGTCTTGGTCTGGACCCGCACACGGCCGTACTACATACGTACTCCTTTTTCGAACTTCCGCTTCTCCCTCTTCTTTCCGTCCCCGAATCGACAAGGGTTTATCTGGTGAAGAACAAACAGATAGCCCACCCTTCCTCCCCGGATTTATCGTGTGCCGATTCAGGGGCGTCAAGGAACCGAATTTCGAACAATCCTTTCCACCTAATTTACGGGAAAACCTTTGTTGAAAAAAAGGTTCGGTTTATTTCACCACCGCGAAGATGCTTCTTCCCAAGGGTGGTGTAACGTGGAAGTCGGCCAAGGCCAGATTGCCTCCATGGAGGGCGGTGCTTGTTCTGCTCACTCGAACTCGGTTTTTGGTGTCGGTTGCTTTGACTGGGTTGGTGGTTTTGTTATGGCGTGGTGTTAGCTCGTCGGCTTCTCAGATGCAAAGGTAGGCTTGCTCCTTTTTCCCTGGGGTGGGTTGGGTGGGTGCTGATTGTGATTGTGTGTGTGTAGTTTCTACTGCTACGGTTCATCGAAATCGCCAATGGAAATGAGCATTAATGAGATGGTCGAATGGAATGCTCATCTTCAGACTCCTGTCGTTTTCAACCACCACGAGCCGTACGAGGTCAACTCTACCTCCATCTCGACTGTCGATCTCAACCCGATCAAGTCGACTCCCCAGGCTGTTCCGAATGGTGAGCGAGTGCTCATTCTGACCCCGATGAGAGATGCCGCGCCCTTTATCCAAAGATACTTTGATCTTCTCTACAAGATTACTTACCCCCACGACTTGATCGATTTGGCCTTCCTTGTTGGTGACTGCAAGGATGACACGCTCGCCGTTCTCAGCTCGGAGCTGAAGCGTGTTCAGGACCAGGTGGAGGAGAAGGTTGCGTTCCGCAGTGCGACAATCATCCAGAAGGACTTTGGTGCCGATGTGGAAATGAACGTCGAGGACCGCCACTCATTTGCCGCCCAGGGCCCCCGTCGCAAGTCCATCGGTAGAGCTCGCAACTACCTTCTCTACTCGGCTATGAAGCCCGAACACTCGTGGGTTTACTGGAGAGATATCGACATCTTTGACAGCCCCGACACTATTCTGGAGGACTTTATGGCTCATGACAAGGATGTTCTTGTTCCTAGTATGTTAAATTGTCTGGATTAAATGATTTTCAGGGCTAATCGTTGCAGACATCTGGTTCCACCGCTACAAGGATGGTGTTGATGTTGAGGGTCGCTGTATGTATTGTCATTCTTCTTCAATTGATTCTCGCTAACGTCTGCAGTCGACTACAACTCGTGGATCGAATCCGACAAGGGCCGTCGATTGCGCCAGAACCTCGACCCCGACACTGTTCTCGCTGAAGGTTACAAGGAATACGACACAGGCCGGACCTACATGGTTTCCATGGGTGACTGGAGAAAGAACAAGGACGAGGAGATTGAGCTTGATGGAATCGGTGGTGTCAACATCCTCGTCAAGGCCGATGTTCACCGCTCCGGTATCAACTTCCCCGCCTACGCATTCGAGAACCAGGCCGAAACCGAGGGTTTCGCTCGTATGGCCAAGCGAGCCAAGTACGGAGTGTATGGCTTGCCCAACTACGTTGTGTGGCACATCGACACCGATGAGAAGCCTGGCAACCTCGGGGATCGCAAAGCGTACTAGATCCGTCCATCTTGACTTGATTTGATCATCAGTCATCCCCCCACAATCCGGCTCAGCAAACGACCGTTTGGATCATCGCCCTTCCATTATTCATTATTAACTGAATACCCCTTTCTTCCGTACGCCTGATCCTAACGCTGTTGGGTCCATGTATGGAGTCTTCACTTCTGATTCATGTTTTGCTGCATTGTCTTTTTCTTTCTCTTTTTCTTGGAAGGATGTTTGAGACGGAAACCTAATGATTCCGGTAATTAGTTCTTCATGTCGCGTTGTAAGGTTTATATTTGCTTTTCTCCATTTTATCTTTTCCTTGGCGCTACGGGGGAAAACGTTGTTGTCTAGCGGTTTTGGAGCTTCATTGAGTTGAATGGTTTCATTGACCTCTTCTCTTGATATACGAGCTTGTGTTCTGTCCTTCTGGAGTTTCGACTCTTTTCCAGCAGTCTTTTGACATGTTTCCTTTACTTTATTTGGTAATTACTAGTGTGCTTTCACCGTCAACTGCTGTCTACAGATTGACTATCTGAAGAACAGTTTAGAGGACAGGAATGGAGTGTCGAAGACACGGAGAAGGACAGATGACACAAGACACAGGTGCTTGGCGTCCCATGTACATATATAGGCTTACAATCTATCGTCGGGCTTTATTGATCGTCCTCATTTATTGATTAATGCATATTACAAATTATCAGAGTTACTCCTTTGCTATTATTCCAGAGTTCTTGAAGCGGAAGAGAAGAGAAGATGAGGTGTAGCATGCAAGGTACGCGACTATTTGCCAATTTGCAGTAGCCAGCCACCGCAAACTATTCCTGATCAACTTTGTCAATTGTACTTTGTACTTTGGATTATTTTGAATTATCCTCAACTACTATCTTCCATCTTCATTTTATCCAGAGATACAGGTTCTAGAGTAGACAGCCAAAGCAACAAAATGAAGACGCAAAGAATCCCCCTCTCCTTCCCACCCGCAACAATCCCCACCTGCACCACCGCAATCTCAACCCCCGCCAAAAGATATCTCCATCTCCCCCGATTCCGGCCTCTGTCAACACCAAAAACATCCCACTTCTCGACTCCACGGTGTGCACTTCAACCTCAACCTTACTCTCACTTTCGATTTCAGATAAACGCTACGCAGCCTTTACGGATCCAACGCAATATGGCCTCCGCACCCGCCAAGAAGGAGTTTTTGTGTATTTTGCCCGATAAGCCGGGTGTTGTGGAGAAGAGGTTGGAGGTTAGAGGGTATGTTTCTTTCCCATTTCATGTTATTCATTTGTTTATTATGAATGATGATCGATGTTGATGATATATAGGGCTCATTTGGAGAATGTCAAGCCGCTCGTTGAGCAGGGATCTGTTGTTATTGGTGGTGAGTTTCTGACTCTTGCCTACGACTGACTTGAGAAAAGAAGAAAGAAAGAAATTATCTGACGATGGTTATGATAAAGGAGCTACATTCGACCACCACCCCACCGGAGGCGAAACTCCCGCTTTCAATGGAAGTATGCTCATCGTCGTGGTGGAAAATGAGGAGCAGGTGTGGGAGATTTTGAAGAATGATGTTTACGTTAAGAATGGAGTGTGGGATTTGGAGAGGGCGCAGATTATTCCGGTATTTTCCTGTCCCTTCCATCTTTTAGATGTTTCTTTGAGAGCAAGCTAACGGCTGTAGTTTAAATCCGCTGTGAGAACCGCTTTGTAGGTCGTCAGGGAAATCACACGGGTTATTTGCATGTATAGTGCTATACAGTAAATACAGAATGAATCAGATTAAAGCTTCGCCTTGGCTGTAAGCATCGACTCTGCCACTCTACGGCGTTGGATCTTGCCTGTTGCCGTTTTGGGGATTTGCGATACTATCCAGACCTGTCATCCAGTGTCAGCCCGATCTCAAACAAACATCAGTAAGTTAGTAGCTCACCTGTTTTGGAATCTTGAATTTGGCCAGCTTTTCTCCCACCCACGCCTTTAGCTCGTCTTCTGTGACTGCGTTGTTGCCTTTCAAAACCACCGCAGCCCCAATGTCCTCGCCGTAATGGCCTGGATCCGGAATTGCAAAGCAAACCGCTTCCGCAACCTTGGGATGATGAAGGAGAGTATTATCCAGCTCGATAGGACTGATCTTTTCTCCGCCCTTGTTGATGAGTTCCTTGATTCGTCCCGTGATAATCACGTAGCCGTTTGCGTCCAATTTACCCTGATCTCCCGTGCGGAAGAATCCGTCCTGGGTGAAGGACGATTTGTTGGCGGATGGGTTGTTCAAGTAACCCTTTGTTACGTTTTCTCCTCGCACGCAAATCTCCGCCTCGCTTCCTGGGGGGACTTCCTTGCCTGACTGGTCGAGGATCTTGATCTCCACGCCCTGTCTGGTGCCTACGCTCCCCGGTTGGCGTTTCGCAGGAGGAAGAGGGTTACTGGTCATCTGGTGCGAGGCCTCAGTCATCGCGTACGCCTCCAGGACCGGTGCGTTGAACTTCTTCTCCATATCCTGGAAGGTCTGAGGCGACAGAGGCGACGAGCACGAGCGGATGAAACGGATTTGCGGGGCGGGACTGGGTAATGGCGTCTTGAGCAGGATTTGATGGATTGTCGGCACAGCCGTGTACCAGTTTGCTTTGTGGGTGACAAAGTCGGACCAGAATTCTGATGCGGAGAATTTGGAGGGCACGACTACGGAGCCTCCTGAGGCGAGAGGAGCGAGGAAGGCAGCTAGGAGACCGTGGACGTGGAAGAGAGGCATTACCAGCAGGGTGCGATCTTGGGGTGTTAGATTGTAGGTTGCTTGGATGTTTTCTGGGATGCCGTTAGAATGATTCAATCGTGGGGACTGTGGGTTTTATGAATACTTACTCATGCTGGTCGTGAGATTCTTGTGCGTGAGAGGGACCTGATCGACTTCATCAATATTGCTTCATCGGATTTGCTGCATCGCATCTTACAGCTTTGGGCCTGCCCGTCGTTCCACTCGTGTGCAGAACAAGAGCAATATCATCCGGTTGAGCTTCTTCAACCCGATTCCCTGCATGTCCAGCCAGCTTCCCACTCTCCTTGACATCCAGCACAACCTCCCTTCCATCCCAATAACACTCCGCAATTGCAGCCTGATACTTCCTCGCAGCCCTAACAGCCGGGCCATCCTTGACAAACTCACCTCTGGCAATCAAAACAACCGTCGAGCTGAGGTCGTCAATATAAAACTCAAACTCGTCCTGCTTATACGCCGAGTTCAGCGGAGCGGCAATAGCGCGCTGGCTAGATGCAGCCAGGAACGAGACGATGAATTCATGCGAATTAACCAGCGCCAGTGAGACGGCTGCCCCATGGCCTACCCCCAGCTTAGCTAGCTTGGCTTGGAAATTGGCAACATGGGAATGCAGCTGTTGGTAGGAGACCGTTAGGGGATGGGGTTTCTGGGGGATGACGACTGCAACGTCGGGGCTTTCGGGCGAGAAAGACCGGACAAGGGTGGCCATGGTGGTGGAGTAGCAATATGTAGGACGGTTATACTAGTAGTTGTTCAACTATGAAGAAGAATGCTCAGATGAATAGAATTGAGATGGATTTAAGATGGAATTAAAATAAAATCAGGATGAAAATACAGACAAAAAACCCAAAAAACACAGCCCCAGCCCGAAAATCTCTCCTACATCATGGATGAACGCAGAGTTTCGTTTTCGTTCGTTTCTCCGCATTGCGTCTTTGTTTCTCCTCACGCATTGCCGACTGCCGCTCTGCCTGAGGCAGCTATATCTTCAGCACTACAGATTTAACCGCAAGTTGTGTAGGCATAATTCTTAAATATCATTAAACGGATATATATAACTATATATATATATTGAAGTTTGAATAATAAAGCAAAATGACAACCCTAGCTGACAACTCAATCAAATATATCGGCCAACTCCGCACAAACTCCCTCAAGCAACTCGGCCTTTACACGATCTGCATAACCAGTTCCTGCAATAATCCTCACCGTAAGCATACCGTGACCACTCGGAATCGCAAAAATTTCCAAAAAGTCGGCAGCAACCGGGATATCCCACATCCTCTTATTGCCGAGGCCGCCCAGAGCACCAGGCAGACCCAGTACGGGCTCCTCATCAACGTTCTGATACTGTATCCAGCAGCCAAAGTCCTTTGTGTCCAACGACCAGTCTGTACAGTGCTTGGAAATGTCCGACAGACCCGTCGTTTCGTGCGCGAGACTCTCTGTCTGCTGCTTTTGAAGGACCGCGAGCTGCTCTGTCTTGGTCTGACCGGGAGTGAATTGTACGCGGACAGGCAGGCGATTTAAGCAAGGACCGACGACGTTCTGTAGAGAAGCCGGAACGGTGGCACGGCCGGAGACAACACGGCCCAAGGTAACGTCCAAGGAACCGGTAAGGCGGCTGAGGGTGGAGGCGCAGGCCAAGGTGAAGAGAGAAGCCTGCGTAATGCCAAAAGGTGGTTTAGGCATAGGGACAGAGCGTACAAGCACAGTGGGCGGGCCGTCCTGTGCAGATACCGTCGAATTGCATGGTAGCACGGTCATCGAGGAGTCCTGGAGTGTCTTGCGCCAGTACGAGTAACTGTCCGTCTTATGCAATTGAATGTGGCCAACGTAGCGCCTAAAGTCTTTGATGTCCGGAGTCGTGCCATGATAGATATCAGCCAAAGCCTGGAGAGTCTGACCGAAGCTAATCGCGTCGTAGATTGCATGCGACATGCTGAAGACGAGTTTTGCCTTTGCACTTTGCTCACGAATGAGCTTGAACTGTACCAAAGGAGCTCCCAGGGAAGCTGGCATCTTCACCTCTTCTCCTACAAGCTGGTCGAATGCATCTTCAACGGATTCAACGCCGTCAATAACATCGATGTTGGGCCTCCAGGAGTCAAAGACAGCCTGGAAGAAGGAATCACCGCACCGAACAAAAGCTGTCCTGTAGATGTCGCAGTGCTCAACCAATTGCTCACAACTTTGGATTAGACGATTCTCATCCAGAATTTCGGCAAAGTCAATGTAGCTGTAGAACCAGGATCGCCGGGGCCCATGAAGGTTGTCTCTGAGATACGTCGATTGCATGTCTGTCGTCGGTAGAACATCGATAAGCTTACCATGACCAGATTGAACTTGTGACATCACTACTTCCTCGACAAAAGCACTCGGGTCTGTGGTATCTAACAAGGCGAAGCGCGCCTGTTCGCTTTCCTTCTCGAGCTCTGTCTCCTGATCTGTCTCGAGAAGATCAGCGATCCGGTCTTTGGTAAGGATATCCGCGACTGTCAGGAAGATTGATTTGTCGCGGGCGAGTGAAGCCAGCCTCATGGCGCTGATAGAATCGCCCCCAAGCTGAATAAAGTTGTTGTCCATTCCAAAAGATTGCTCATCCCAAGAAAGCACTTGTGCAACAAGAGCATGGAGCTTCACCTCCTCCGATGTTTCTGGAGCACGTCTTTCAATGCTATCTGCTTGGAGGAGATCCTCCTTTTGCATTGACAACGCAGCTTTGCGCAGCTTACCACGGTCAATCTTTCCAGATGCCGTATTTGGAATACTGTCCACAATCATATATGCATTCGGGATCATATAACTTGGTACTGTTGCTGACAAGCGATCTTTGGTGGAAGCAGCAAGTTCCTGTGCGTAAGATTGCGCTTTTGGTGTGCCAGGAATAATTCTCTCTTGCGAGAGCTCAACGAAGGCGACTAGGACAGATTCATTGGAGTCGGCTAGTTTGATGATATCCACAACGACCTGGGATGCTGTAGCCTCACCGATAGCATCAAGGACATGGTGCCCTATTTCCTCAAGCTCCACGCGCTGTCCGCGAATCTTGATCTGCGCGTCCTTGCGCCCAATGAACTCCAGGTTGCCATCTTCTTCGTATCGGACCAGGTCACCTGTTCGATACATACGCCCACAGTGATCAGCAAAGTCAGAACCGCCCTGCATGAGCCATTCAGGATTCGTTGGGAATGATGTCTCTGTTTTATCTGGATCGTTAAGATAACCTTGACCAACAAGAGGTCCTTCAAGCCAAAGCTCGCCAATGTCGCCCACGGCTGCCAAAGAATTGCCGTACTCTGGCTCAACGACCCATGTTCGTACTCCGAGACCCTTGCCAATGATCACACGGCTGCGTGTGGGATCCAGATTGTGGGAAATCGAAATCGGCGTGCATTCAGATGGACCATACGAGTGGATAATATGAGCCCGGTCCCTCCAATAGTTAATTTCGTCACGCGGTAAGTTTTCACCACCGTAGTTGATAACTTTGAGTTCTGTTCCATGCAGCAATTTACCAACTGTAGGGGTGATGAATGCGGTGTTTGCATTTCTGCGGGAAATAGCCTCCTTGGGCTCATTTTGGATCTCATAATGAGAAGGAACGCAGAGACACCCACCAGCGCAAAGAGTATACAGCACATTGAGCCAGGATACGTCAAAGGCATAAGACACAAAGTCGTATGTGCGAGTATGAGGACCGAACTTTAGCGTCGTCTGACCATACTTAAGGGCACTGGTGAAATTCGAGTGGTTGATTATTGCACCTTTGGGAATGCCGGTCGATCCGGAAGTGAAGACCACATAGAGCCAAGTATCTGGGTTCACAGCTGGCAGGCACAGATCTCCAGAGAGGCTGAAAGTAGGCACCTGCGTGTCACTCACGACTATGATCCGCGCAGTTGAAGGTGCCAACTCTCGTGCTCGAGATACCTGCGCAGCAGATGTGAGTACGATTTGGGGTTTGGCAAGGTTCATGACCATCTGCAGACGGCCAGTGGGCAATGTAGCATCGAGCGCCACCGAAGTACCGTTGGCTTTCATGACTGCCATTTGGCAGACCGATGTCCATTTCGACTTTTCAAAGAACAAAGGTACAATGCGTTGGCCACTTTGCGGAAGCCCATTTCGGAGAAGTTCGTGGGCAATTCGTGTTGATATCTCATCCAACTGGCCATAGGTGAAATCGCCATCCCATGAGCAGACTGCTGGAGCCCCGGGCTGCTTCGCGGCAACTTGTCCAAAAATCTCGTGGATAGTTTGGTCGGACCTTTCTAGAATAGTATCGTTCCAGCTCCTGATTTGTTCAAGATCTCTCAAGCTGCTGGTATTGAGCAGAGAAAGTGACTTGGCCTGAACTTCAGGCAAACAAATCTGCCTCAATATGTTTTCGAATCTGTCTGCAAGACGGCGGAACTGAGTTGGAGGCACGACAGTAGAGTCGTAACTGGCGCGGAGACAAATGCTGTTTGGCTGAAGGACGAAGTCCAAGCAGATAGCATAGAGTTTGAAAGGGTCGGCATCGGCAGTTTCAGTTGGCAAAGAAGCAGACTTGAACAGAGCATCCTTTGTGTTGTATTTGCCTCCAGTCTGAATAGCCATGTGCGATTGGAACTGGCATCCAAGGTTACAATCCTCGCTGACACGCCGTATCTGCTGGATACCAACTTGTTCAAATGGCATCATTTCTGCGGCTTGTAATTGAACTTGCTGAAGTAAGTCTTTTACGGTCTTTGAACGATCAATTGCCAATCGCAACGGTACTGTGGCAATGGTAGGCCCAGTCATATCCTCAATACCAGGTACATTTGCTTGTCTACCGGACACGGTTGCACCGAACGAGGCGTCTGTGGAGTTCGTGATTGTCGACAGTAGGATGGCCCAGGCAAGTCGAATCTTCGTTGATGCCGTGTAATCACCATCCAAAGCAATATCCTTGATCTCAAGCTTCAAGCGTGCATCGCATCTTGGCTTATAGGTCTTTGAGGGAAGGACGGGGAATTTTTGTGCGTCAAAATCGCGGAATTCATTCCTCCAGAACTCCTCTGCTTCTGTATGACTGCGAGTTTTGACATGCTTTATAAATGCCTGAAAAGGGGGAGCTTCCTGGATTGTTTCTGCTTGGTAGCTCTTGACTAAGGAGCCGAAAATGAGGGGCATGGACCACCCATCATAGAGAGCGTGGTGAATTCTCCATGAAAAGCAAGACTTTGAAATCTCATAGAATACCAAAGGCGTACCAAGACCAAATTCTGGCGCTGATATACCTTCAATCTCACATTTTTCACAGCGAACAATGACCTGGACAAGGCCGTGCTGACCGATATCAACAATCCTGGTTCGTAGAATAGGGTTTGCTCTGACAACCTTCTGCCATGCGGCACGAAGACGGGAAATGTCGATTTCCTTTTTAAGTTCCCATGTCTCAGTCAATACATTATCACCTGGGCGTCGGACAGTCTCAGCCAGTAGCCCAGCCTGTAAAGGTGTGCAAGGGAAAACGTCTTCGACCGCAGCGGAGTCAAGACCGCAGAGGCGTGCGACTTGACTTTTTACTTCTTCTTGTGAGGTCTTCCCGTCAAGTAGTGAGAAAGCCTCAAAGCTAGAACAATTCAGCTGCAATGACGGTTTTTGCACTTCAATTATCTTTGCAAGAGCGCTAAGCTTCGGCTGCTTGAAGATATCAGCGACACTGAGTACAAGGCCTCGTTTTCGTGCAGCACTGACAAGCCGCATTGCTCCAAGAGAATCACCCCCAATCCGGAGGAAGCTTTCGTCAGCCGAGATAGTTGCCAGACCAATACTAAGAATCTCAGCCCAAAGATCCTGAAGGAGCTTCTCGGATGCAGTGCTCGGGGCACGATGGCCAGACACGCGAAATGCATCTAGTGCAACAAGTTGCTCAAGTGTCTTTTTCGCGTAGGTCTCACGCAGAGACCTGCGGTGAATCTTGCCTGTAGCAGTCATAGGAAAATCCTGTAAGGTAATATAAGCGGTAGGGATCATGTATTCGGGTACAAGTTTTGCGAGTCGCTCGTCCAGGCCGGCAAGCTTGTGCCAGGATTCAGTTTCCTCGGCTTTCAAGAATGCAACGAGAATCGGGTTATCGCTATTGTGGGGTTTGAAGACATCGGCAATGATCTGAGCCCGAAGATCGCCAACAAGAAGGGCTTTTTGAATACTGTGCTCGATTTCTCCAAGTTCTGTACGTTGGCCACGGATCTTAACTTGAGAGTCTTTTCGACCAACGAAAACCAGTGTACCATCTGGCTCGTAGCGAACTAGATCTCCAGTACGGTAGAAACGGCATGGCTGACCATTGTCCTGCGTCCACTTAGGCCTTGTCACAAATGAAGCAGCGGTCTTTGACTCGTCTCCTATATAACCATGCGCTAATTGGGGACCTTCGAGCCAAAGCTCGCCAACGGAACCCAATGGTGCAAGTCTGTCGGAGCCATCGACTCTCACGATCCAGGTGGTTAGACCTATCCCGGTACCAATGGTATTGGGAACCATGCCTCGGACAGCGCGAATGATGCAGGCCTTTACGGTAGATTCACCTGGACCATAGCTGTTCATCAGCTTCTTGTTGTCGATCCAGTCACCAAAATCGGCCTCAGACCAGGCTTCTCCTCCCATCAAAACTTGTTCCAAATCTGGGAGTTCTTTGGGGCTGAGATGACGCAGAATGGTGGGTGTTGCGTTTATCAAAGTAGCTTTACTGTCTCTGATGGAATCAGAAAGGGAGTTCTTTCTTTGATGCTCTGATGGAATGCACAAGCAGCTGCCAGATGTGAGTGAGTGCAGCAAGTTTGACCAGCTGACATCGAATGCGTAGGAGGCAAAATCATAGACTCTTTGACCTGCCCTAAATCCATGAGCTTTTTGTTGGTGCTGGATAGCGGATGCAAAGCAGGAATGCGTGATCATAGCACCCTTCGGCTTGCCCGTACTTCCTGATGTAAAGGAAACGTAGACCAGGTTCGAAGGTTGGACTCGCTCCAGTAGAGAAAGTTCTATATCTGGATTTGGAAAGGTGTCTATAGAAGCTTTATTAACGACCAGGAGTTGCAGCCCTTCAAATTGCGTAGCTCGCTCGATGTTACTTTCCGATGTGAGAACAAGTTTTGCATTTACCTGGCTAAAAATGCCAGAAGCTCGCTCGATAGGCTGTGTGCAGTCAATCATCACGCCTGCCCCGCCAGCCTTCATTACAGCTACCACGGAAACCGGCATCCACATGGACTTTTCAAAGTAAAGAGGCACAATGACTCCAGGTCTAACGCCAAGTTGAACTAACTGGTGGGCTAGACGAGTTGAGAGCCGATCAAGCTGACGGTAAGTAAGCTCTCCATCCCAAGAGGAGATGGCAGGGGAGTCTGGCATTGCTTGGACTGTTCGAGAAATGAGCTCGTGGACAAGACCCTGCACATTCTCATAAGATGTGTTATTCCAAGCAGAAACAGTTCGGAGTTCGTCATTGCTGATGGTATCGATATCGGTCAAGCTTGAAGAGGAATTGATTGGCGAGCTAACTTGGCGTAGAACTGTTTCAAACTGGGCGAAGAGCCTAGTCACTTGCTCGGTACTGATAATATGCTTGTCAAACTTCGCAGCCAGTCGAACACCAGAAGCAACGATAGTAAAGTGCACGGAAAGAGCTCGAGTCACATTAGATTCAGTCTTAGTAATTTGTGTTTTGTCATAAGTTGAAGCTCTCTCGATACTCAGTACGGTCTGAAAGTCACAGGCAAGAGCCGAATCTGTGTTGAGACTGCGCAGTCTGTGTATAGCCAACTGTGGCAACTTCGACCAAGTCGTAATTGTCGACTGCACCGAATCAATGCACGAGGAAACTCCCTGGTTGAGATTTACATTTATCCGCATTGGAATTGGCATTGCATTGCTTGTCGCTCCATATTCGGCACCCAATGAGCCTGTTCCAATTGAGATGTCAGCGGAACCTCCATAGGACGCTTGCAGAAGGGCCCATGCGGCGAAAATTTGCGTAGTCACATTACGGTCGCTTTGCCATTGCGGGTTCTCAATCGTATAAGAAGTCGAGGCATTGGCGCTTGGCCTGTGAGAGGCATTGGGTAGAGAAGGGAAGTGGCAGCCGGCGTCAATTCCCTTAAAATGGGATTCCCATTGCTCGAGAGCAGATGAGTCGTCGGTGCCAACCGTATGGTGGAAGTAAGAATCATAGAGTGAGTCGCTGATCTTGACGCAAGATGTCACGCCTGATGCATCCTGTTGCGCAATTGAGCCGAGAAATTTGATGGCACTTTGTAAGGCGATTCGAATTTCCTGGGCATTGGCCAAACTTGCAAAGTCTGTTCGATATTGGATACCAACTTCGGTGTCGTCCTTATTGAGAGTGGCAGCCAAGACGATGTCGTACTGTACCCAGTCAGAAATAGAGAATTGATCAATAGTATGCTATATAGGGATAACTGACCTCATGGTGATCCTCCTCTGATATTTCCACAAGTTTCATGTTTCCATCAACAGATCCAGGCCCTTCACGAGCTTCGCGAACCGTGATGTTTGTGTTAAAGAGCTGATTTACGAATACCTCATGTTGAACTTCTGCGAGTGAAACGTGCTGGTTTTCTAGATGTTCGATGTTGTACTTGTTGATGGTGCTCATCACATTGAGCAAAGGCTGACCCAAGTCAACCCGTGCAATCAGCATATTGATCAAGGGCCCAACGATATTCTCAATCCCATCGATCGGAGAGTCACGACCAGACGAAAGATAGCCGAAGCAGACTTTCCGCATTCCTGTAAAATGAGAAAGTACGAGGGACCAGGCAAGGTGAAGGAATGCTGACCGAGTCAATCCATTCTCACGGCATATCCTAGCAATAGGTGTCGTGATGGCAGTGGGGAGGGTTATCCACCCATACAGACTGTTGCGCTGAGACTTTGAACGACCCAATGCCACATCTCCTGGCATATCACAAGCCTTTACGCCAGTAAGGTATTTACTCCAGTAAGACAATCGATTCGAAGCTGGCGTGCATTGAATATGCTCGATATAGTCGCGCAAAGGTGTGCACAATGACAGGAATTGTCCGGAGTAAGCCCTCTCAAGATCTCGTACTATCACAGGCAAGGACAAGGCATCCATGAGCGCGTGTGTTATGTCAAGCCGACATGCAACTTCACCTTTTTGACCAGTGCAGATTGTAAAGAAGCATTGCGGCTGCAAAGGTAGGCCCTTGAAGCCTCCCATCCGCTGTAGGTGCTCAACGGTAGTCTCAGAATCCGTAGCCTGGTAGATGAAAGCCTTATTGGGACTGTTCAGCACGACCTGGACAAAACGGCCAGTGTCGGGATTGGTTGAGAAGACGGTAGAGAAAACCGGATGCCTGCGCGAGACGGTTTCCCATGCTTTTGACAGACGAGAGACACAGACTGTCGAGCCGGTCGAGATTGCCTGCCAGATACAAGCGGTATGGTAGGAGGCCGTGCCAATGTTAGAACTGATAAGGATACCCTCTTGCATGGGTGTGCAAGGATAGACGTCCAGTACGTCGGTCTCTTTAATACTCTCGCTCGCCAACTGCTCCATCACGAGTGTCTCCAGGCCAGTATACGAAATATCAAGCAGCGGAAAGTCAGCGAGCGTAAAGCGGGTTGCCATGCTGGCAAGCTGATGCGCAACGCTGCTGAGAGTCTTTGCGTAAAGGTCCACCCAACGGGAGACTGCTTCATGATTTCGCATATGCCTGTGAGATCTTGTCCAGATCTGCAACTTCCCTTCCTGGACGACAAGGTTCATATCGACTAGAGATGGCCGCTGGTAATCAGGTCCGTCGCCAGGAATGAAAACATCGCGATCCTTCCTGTCTTCAAGCTTGAACATAGAATTGGCGTCCTCGAGCTGTTGGAACGAACCTCGATAATTAAAAATCAACTCGACATTCTTGTGTGATTCAAAAGCCTTCCTTCCAGCTGCACTATAGAAGCGAGAGGCAAAATAAGGCCTACCTCGACCGGGCACTTGCCTCCGGATATCTTTAGCAAACTTTATCAGGTCAAAGATAGAGTCATCGGACCTGCCACCAAGCTCAATAGGGTAAATGGAAGTAAACCAGCCGATGACTTCCGACAAGTCAAAATCATCCATGCCAGCTACAGGCTCACGACCATGACTTTCGAGGAACACAGGAGGCGGGCTTCGATCAGGGAATACTTGAGCAAAGCAGAAAATCAGCGTCCCCACGAGGATATCTAAGATCTCGGTTCGGAGACTGTCATTACTTGCGCCCAGAAGCAGCGCGGTTGCCTCGGTGTCGACAAATGATAAATTCAGTATCGAGTCTCTAAAAAACACCTCACCAGGCATCACGCCCCAGTACTCGAAATTTGGCGGAGTAATGTCAAAAGGTAGAACAGTCGCTGGATCGAGCTTCTCGCCTTCCTCGCGCTGCAAGTAGCACCATTCTTGAAAGGAGAGTTCAAGTGGTGGTAGTTGCGTGGACCCCGATAAATACTGACTCAACTCATGCCAAACGATACGCCAGGAAACGAGGTCCATCACGACATGGTGCGCACTCATGAGAAGCGTCTGGTCCTCATTAGGGCTGTTGAAAACGTCTACAGCAAAGACAGGACCATTGATGAGGTCCATACCCGCTTGTCGCTCGTCAACCACCAGTTGCATAGTTGAGCGATCCAAGAAGTCATGCTGTTTGAGAAAGAAGGAGCTGGATCCTACTGGCGCAATATACTGCTCCCAAATTGATTCGCCCATATGCCTGCGGAAGCGGGCACGAAGCATACTATGACGAGCCGTGATAGCTATTAGCGCTGCAAGGAGCTCCTGATGAGATGTATGCCTTGCTAACTTGACGATATAGCTGAGGGTATAATGGTTCATGCCCTGAGGATTATTGTCAAAGAAGATCTGTTGGATCGGTGTCAAAGGCCAGGCGTTGTATTCATTCGCTTGTATGCTGTGCCATTTCACCTTCTCCTGGACGGGCTTGCTAGATTGAGCCACCTGTCGGATAGTCTGCAGCTTCAGAATATCGGCAACTTTGATGGAAATGTTCTGGGAACGGCAGCGCGAAACGGTTTGCATGGCAGTAATGGAGTCGCCACCAAGACGCGTGAATTTAGAATCCAGCCCGATTTTACTAAGGGGAAGATTCAAGACCTCGCTCCACACTTTGTGAATTTTTGCTTCGAGTTCAGACTCATCTCCTTCCTGCTCTGGCAGTGATTGAGCGTTGAGCTGGTGCCAGTACATTTTCTTGCCATCTTCACGAAGGCGTCGACGATCCACCTTTCCTGTGGGTGTCATTGGCACCTCCTCAACAGGAAGAAAGGCTGATGGGACCATGTATGGTGGTACGAACTTGACTAGTCGGTCTTCAATACCCTCTAGAGCTCGGTGGAGGATAGGCTTTGCATTTACCGGCGACACTCCTGAGCTGACCGCCATGAAAAGAAAAGAGACTAGTGTTGGCACGTCGCTGCCATCCGGCTTGATAACCTCAGCGATGATTTGCACATTATCGGCCCTAGCTTCATTCGTTAAAGCGCGCTCGAGGTTGTACTCGATCTCTCCAAGCTCAACACGCTGGCCACGGATCTTGACTTGAGAATCTTTGCGGCCCACAAACTCTATATTACCATCTGGTCTGTAACGGACAAGGTCACCAGTGCGGTAAAGACGTCCCTGGCGACCAGTGTGGCCTGTGATACCAGAGAGGCTGGGGCAGCCACGGAGAAGCCATGGTGGAGTATCGACAAAGGCCGTGGTAGTCTTCTCGGTGTTACCCAGATATCCTTGGCCGATGATGGGACCTTCAAGCCACAGCTCTCCAATCTCTCCAACGGGCACAAGATCTGTGCCATCTAACTTGGCAATCCATGTGCAGGTACCAAGGCCAGTGCCGATTGTTGGGTCATTGCTGTCATTAGGGTCCGCCACAATTGCCGTGCTAACGGTTGAGCACTCGGCAGGGCCATAGGCATTAATGACCGTTGAGCGGGTAGACAATTCCTTAACAAGGGCAGCTTTAAGTGGTTCTCCTCCAAAGTGAATTGTCCGAAGACTGGCAGGGAGCTCAGAAGCGCGAAACCAAGCCACCGAGGGGGTAAGGACGGCATAGTTGACCTGGTACTTACGGAGCGCTCCGGCAAGGTCTCCCTTTCGTTCCTCGTCGGAAGGAATGCAAAGACAGCCTCCAACCATCAAAGCATGAATCACGTTACACCAAGCAGCGTCAAAAGCATAAGACGCAAAATCAAAGACTCGGTCGAATTCTCTGAAGTCAAGGCCCTTTTGCTGGGTGGCAACAGCACTGGCGTAGTTTGCATGACTGATTATAGCTCCTTTGGGAGTACCCGTGCTTCCTGATGTGAACACAATGTACATCCAGGCCGAGGGGCTGACTTTAGGGAGGGAATCTGGCCGGGCGTTGGGCCAGTGCTGACTGGAGAAGTTGTTCAGGACAAATGGGACACATTCGAGGCCTAATTCTTTGGCTTGTTCTTCACACTCTGGGGAGGTCAGAATGGTAGAGGCCTGGACCAGCTCGGCAATAGACTTCTGTCGCTGTATTGGGAGCGAAGCATCGAGCACCGTCGAGACGCACCCACATTTCATGACAGCCATCTGCGCAACAGGAACCCACATTGATTTCTCAATCAAGATCAGTATGATGCTTTGAGGCTGGACACCTTGGATGATGAGAACATTGGCAAGGCGGGTTGAGAGATCATCCAACTCGCGATATGTCAGTTGGCCATCATGTGCTGAAACAGCCAAAAGGTCGGGATGCTGCCGTGCTCTTTCCATGAATGCTTCGTGGATGCAGACATTGACGCTCTGGGGGACACGGGCATTCCAAGTCCAGATTTGCTTGAGGTCTTGAACTGAAATGGCTTTCAAGTCAACCAGCGGCTTTTCAGTGTTTTCTGACAAACAAATCTCACGGGCGATATATTCATATTGCCTGAGGAGGTGTGTTGACAACGCCTTGTCCGAGGGGCGGTCGTGGCTAACAACCCTAGCACGGATCCTGCCATCTTGTGCGCGACACTCGAGAAGAAGCTCTCCAAATCCAGGCGGGCTTCGGGAAAAGGCAATGAGAAAAGCCAGATCGTACTCTCGTTCCTCGCTGGAGGTGCTCGTTTCGTCGGAGTAGATCGTGTCAGCCGCGTCTAGGAGAGAGTCTTCCAGTTTGGCCTCGACCTGGCGGGTGAAGTCGCTGACGTGCGAGGTCCACTGGACAAAAATGTCAAGGTGGGCGATGAAATCACCTGATCCCTGGGCAAACAGATTCAGTTTGGCCATGCATCCATGCGAGGCAAGTAGAACAGCCCAAGCCGCACATGCTTTGGCCGTTGCTGAAACCCCAAAGTCAAGTTCTGGGATAGAAATATCAAAGTTGAATGGCCTTTTTTCATGTTTGTGGGTTTTAGTGGTGGTAAAAGTGTGGTCTGGAGATGAGATGCGAGGATAAGCATCAGAGTATTTGGTCGATGGGTTTCCAGAGAGAATGTCGTCTTCATGGGATGTTTGGCCGGCAAGGGCAGGCTTGGGCGGTAGGATAATCATGATTGAGTGAATATAATTTCTTGACCCCTTGCTGAAATGGCTTTCAAGAAAGGCTCTATATGAAGAGAAGACAATCCATTATATCTTATATGATAACTATAAAAATACGCAATTGACTTGTTCTGTATACTTCCAGGGTTTCCTTCCATCAATACAATTGTTTCATCGGCATATCATGCCATCCAACAGTGTGTTTAGCTGCTTTCTTCGGTTCAGTTGCAACTAGATGTATATACTTGTAAACCTATGCCAAGTGGCTAACCTTATGAGGAATAAGCCTAGCGGTGTATAACAGTCGGTGCTATTCCCACGCTAGATTATAAGGTAGCATCGCGAGATCGATTCATCCTTTGTTTTCGACACTGGCCAATCACTGCTGCTATTGCACCATATGGCTTTATGCAGATAAGATACTAAAATCTTACAGCCTTGATTTCTCACTACGGAATACGCCGAGTTTAGCTGATTATATTTCATTTGTATTTAGATTCCAGACCTACACTGCCTCCTTTCCTTTCCCTCCTTTCTCCCATCGTTCCTTTTCTCTTCCTTTTTCAACGGCACAACTCTGAAACGAGGCCGTCATGGCGTCTAGCGAGCATCTGGGTGGTACCACTAATGATCCTGCAGTGGATGGGTCTCTAGAAGCAGCCACTGGTATTCCAGATGATGAGACTAATCCATCACTGCCTCAGAGCTGGTCAAACTCTCGGAAATGGCTCATCGTGATCGCCTTGTCATTGATGTCCCTGATGGCGTATGGTCCAAATACCCCTGTAATTGTGAGAGCAAGATTTGCTGATGCCTTTCCAGCAACATGTCGCTCGTCATCTGCTCTCCGGCAACTTCTGCCATAGAAAAGGAGTTCAACAATTACAGCAGCTTTCTTTCAGTCTTCTACATCACCATCCCCAATCTCGGTCAAGCCATCTCTCCACTCTATATTGGCCCCTTGTCCGAGCGTCTCGGGCGTCTGCCAGTCTGTCACTTTTTCAATGTCTTGTTCCTAATTTTCACCATGATCGCAGGCTTCAGCAACAGCATCGCCATGATCATTATCTTCAGGTTCCTAGCTGGCTCGTCCATCGCTTCCATTTGCCTGAACCCGGCCATCACCGGCGATCTATTTGCCATCAAGAAACGTGGATCCGCCATGTCAATCACGAGTATGATTCCTATCCTTGGTAGTGCCGTGGGCCCCATTGCCGGAGGTTACATTACGCAGTACCTTAGCTGGCGCTGGACGTTCTGGCTGATGGCGATTGTCACTTCCTGCATGTCGCTATTCATGGCTCTTGTCCTGAAAGAGTCCTATGTGCCGGTAATACGCCAAAAAGCACTGAAGAAGGCTAATGGGTCCGAGGAAAAGGTCGAATCACCATCAAAATACTTCACAGGATGGAATGTGACAACAGTCAAGGCACTGGCTCTGCTCACCATACGTCCCTTTGTCATCTTAAGCCGCTCTCGCATCGCAGTGCTTATGGGCTTTTACCTGTCAATTCTATTCGCCTATGTCTCGCTCATCGCCGCGACCCTTGCAACTGTCTTTCAGGAAACCTATGGCTTCTCTGAGAGTCAATCGGGCCTCATTTACATCGCTTTAAGTAAGCCCTGACCAATCATAAATCCGCTTTCAGATCTAGTAATAATCGAATCTTTACAGCTATTGGCACGCTGACCGGCGCTCTCATGTGCCGCTTCACCCTCGATTACTTCCTGCTACGGGGATTGTCGGCCAAAAAGCCCAATGATTCAGATTGTGCCACTCCACGCCCTGAAAACCGTCTGATACCGATCATCCCCGCGATGGTCGCTTTTCCCATCGGCCTATTCCTGTACGGCTGGTCGCTCCAGAGACGCTTCCACTGGATCGTGCCGACCCTAGCTACCGTGCTATGTGGCTTTTCGCTGTCCAGTAGCACAACCCCGATCATGAACTACCTGGTGGATATTTTTGGGGATCGCTCTGCTTCTGCTGTTGCCGCTGTGCTGCCTCTACGCTACATTTCTGGCGCTTTTATGCCTGTCGCTGCTCCGTATATGTACTCTAAACTCGGCTACGGCTGGGGTAATTCATTACTGGCGTTTGTGCTGCTGGTCGTCGTGCCCATACCGCTGCTGGTAATTGTCCAGCCGTAGAGGATGAGAGCGCTGACAGTTGTGCGGTGAGCAGATAGACTAGAATAGATTGTTGGTAAATAACATTTTGGGAATAAGATACCATTCAAGCTAAAAAGGTGTCAGCTGGGACGCTAATTAGGTGCTAAAGATGCAACTATTGCTCTTTAACACGCTGACTTTTGGGCAATTCTTGGTAAAGCGTACTGCCTATATAGGAAGGTGGTTGAAGTTGTGGTGGCGAATTGTTTACCTATTTAGTCTAGATAAAGAAGCAATATTAACAAAGAGATCTATCAACCGTAAATATTGGTCATATCTTTCATATTCATTATCAATTATGCAATTTTGGTTTAAAAATAACAGATAGCATTATGGTAGATAGCAATCAATAATATATCCCTCTTTCAAACATGCATTAGTCTTGGTCTAGACCCTTAAAATAGCCTACATTGTAACTTCTGGATTATGGAAACCAAGAACTCTTGACTATACCTTGGCTTGTTAGCTGTGCTTGGCTATGTTCTAATTTCTGCATAATAATCTTCATACTATACACGTCTTAAGTCATCAACTCTTCCACGGGACTCGAAGGATCTAGACCTTGCATAGTATGCCATCGTCCCTCGGGATACCGACGGCGGAAAGCTCATTTTCAATTTCCAGGACTTTTGAGGTGATTGTTTTACCAGCATCAAGTACGTAGTATCAGCCACACTTCTAGGCTCTTTGGAGACAGGCTGGAATAGTCTGTAGACCGTATGGAGTTAGCATGGCAGCCAGTGTGGGGCATGGCCGGCTGTCCCCCGACTGGGCCGTTGTAGATCGGACTGAATCCACTGTTGATAAGGTCCCTTGAGCGTGTCGTGTCACTTCTTTGAAAGTCATCTTTCGAATAGACACGTTATTCGGACCTAAGTTCGTTGTAGGGGTTGTGAATCAACATGGCCTCCGCAGATATCATCAACCATGATGACCATGATGAATCCCACGATGACGATGCCTCTGAGTCCGCACCCCTTCTTCGAGATAGCATCAGAGTCGCTGGAGATGCGTCTGTCTCAGAAGAACCGCATGTCATACCCCTCAGGCTTAAGCAGCGTATAATCCTGCTCCTATGCGCTTTTGCCTTTACTACCATGCTTGGCGACAATCTACAGCCAGCAGCACTGATTCAAATCTTCGAAGATGTTATCTGTGATGACTACTACAACATGCACCCAGTGCCTCCAGCGTTGAACACCACTGCTTCCTCAACATATCTGGCTGATAAATGCAAGGCACAACCTGTGCAAAAGGAGCTTGCGTTGGTACGCGGCTTCCAGCAACTAGTCCCCGTCTTCGCTGCGCTGCTGTGCACCGTGCCATATGGTCTGTTAGCAGAGCACATTGGGCGTAAGCGTGTACTCATCCTGAATGTTGTCGGTATTCTCACTGCACTTTCATGGGTGCTGGCTGTATGCTACTGGCGATTTGCTTCGATACGCTGGGTTTGGCTTTCGGGGGTCTTTCTCTTTGTCGGTGGCGGCGACGCTGTCAACTCCAGCTTAGTACATGTCATGGTTACCGATGCGACAGACCAGGCTGAACGAGCGCAGATCTTCTTGTTTCTTCATGCGGCGGATGTGATATCGGGCTTCTTTGGACCGGCTGTTAGCGCTGCGTTGATGGAGAAAGGATATACCTGGACTGTTATGCTGCTTAGCCAGGGAGTGCTTTTCTCGGCCATGGCTCTGCTTGTGCGATTCATCCCGGAAACGCTGGACTTGAGGAGCACGTTTTCTCTTAACTCAGAACTGACGTCTCCGCGAGTTGCAGTCTCTTCTACAGCCAAAGCAGCAAACCCAATCGTCGCCGCAATCTCTAGTGTAGTGACACCTCTCTTCAGCGTGCTGATATCAAACCGGCAAGCCCTTTTGCTCCTCTGCATTCTAGCCCCTCAGACTGCTGCCCGAGATCTCTTCACTATGATCGGCCTGCAATACTCCAGCGCCAAATACTCTCTTTCTTACAGCCGAGGCAATATACTTCTCTCCCTCTTTCAAGGCGCACAAGGCCTGGTCGTCCTCGTGCTCCTCCCCTTGCTCACCCGCCTCGTCGCTGACCAGCGTGGCTGGACCGCCTGGGCGCGCGACCGTGTATATGCCATCATGTCCATTGCCGTGACGGCATCCGGCTTACTGGTCATAGCTGTTGCGCCGGCTCTGGGGATTGAGGCCACCGGACTTCTGCTGGTGGCGTGCGGTAGCTGTACAACAGGCCTGTTGATGAGTTTACTGGGGGGAGCCGTACAGCCGAGTCAAGTGAGCGCAGTATATAGTGCAGCGATGATGCTGAGCGTTGCGGCTCGGAACCTGATAGGCCCCGTGGTAAATATATTATTGGTAAAGGGCCTGGAGCTGGGATGGAATTGGATGGGTCTGCCATTTGCAGTTATGGCGATGTTTATGGCGTGTATGATGGTAGCAAGCTTGTTTATTAGGAAAGATAAGGGGAATTTTGGTGAGGAGTAGAATGAGTAGCGCTTTTTTTGGGGGGGGGGATCTGGGGAATAGTTGCTATCCAGGTTGACTACCTATATAATGTATAATGTTCCCCTCTGATCTGGCCATGCTGATATAGCTGTAATGGCCAGGGCAATCAAACCTATAACACCTTGCTTTTTCTACCACTCCAGTGCCAAATATATCTTCAGTCCTGTCAGTGATCCGTGGAGCAAAAACAAGGAAAAAAATTAAAAAAGAAAAAAGAAATGTTACGCTCCGATGCGGGGAATCGAACCCCGAGCTGCTCGGTGAAAGCGAGCGATGTTAGCCATTACACCACATCGGATCTTGTATATTAAAACCGAGGTATTAGTGTCAATTGAGACTTTCATAAAGATTGATGCTCATGGATACACATGACTAAACCAGAGCAACTGAACCAAACGAACCAAACAAAGCAAACAGATGATCTTCGGCCTTCTGGATGCTGCATCGCAAGTACCCCGTAATTCACCTTATTACGCCTACATCTACTTCTGTCATCTCATGGACCTGTCGATCTATATTTGACTCAATTAACGACCGTCCCATGACGTCTGATTCCACTCCTTCGAAAGGCGGGGGCTTATCGCTCTATGCCAATCTACTCGACCCGTCCGCCGATACCTCCTCACCCGGAACTATTTCACGCGCTCCAGTCGTCTTCAAAAAGGCCGACGAAGGCGAGCCGCAGAATGATGAATCCACTGCCAAGAAGCAGCAGCTAGCTGGTAGACCTCATACCCTTTTATCTCTGTGATGGAGATTTCATAACAAGTCAAGATTTGATTGCTCACTTGTGTTCCATCGGGTTCTGTTTCTGCTCATTCAGCCTCTCTTCGATTCCAACCTACCAAAAGACCACAGCTTTCGGCCCAAAAGCCAAAAGCGAAACCGGGCCTTCCAAAGGCTGCCCCCGTGCCTCCTCCAGCGGCAGCGGTCCCTGCCGCCAAGACGACTCTTGCGGACTGGGCGGGCACCGAGGATGACGATGTTAATGGATTCTACATGGGCGAGAAGAGGCAGCGAGGGGGCCGCAAGAAGCGCAAGAAGAACCGTGAACCGCAGGAGTTTATACAGAACTGGGATGATATCTATGACCCGTCCCGGCCGAATAATTACGAAGAATACAAGCATAGCGATGAACAGATTGCGGAGGTCCGAGAGTGGAAGGATCGTCTGTATTCGCATCGCATGGTGCAGTCTCCGACCAGGGATTCGGACAGTGAGGAGGAATATTCAAGGCCGATGAATCGTGAGTCCGCAGGTAATAGAATGCATGCTCGTCCAGTTACTGAACAGATTTTCCTAGGCAAATTTGCTCCCCCGAGCAGCTTCGCACCACCGCCAAATCTCAACGATAGCTCAAAGCCGCCTGCTTCAGTTCCTGATGACGCTTCCGGGGAAGATGCATATGCCCGGCGTTTACGAATGGCCACAAACTCGGGTGATATGCCGATGTCAGATCAAATCCCCCCTCCTCCCGAAGAACCACCTGCTCCGATTCCAGATGATCCTACCGGAGGAGATGCTTACGCGCGTCGTGCTCAATTGTCTACGGGAAATCAACCTCCACCGCCACCTTCTCGACCTCTGGATTCAGTCCAGCCATCCTCTGCGACCATATCCCGTGCTCCAGTCCGTTACACACTACCTCCACCCCCAGAAGATATCCCGGCCTCGGAAGCAGAACTCGAAGAAGTGTTTGCGAAGGAGCAGCCTGCTGAGGAAGAAGAGGAAGGAGATGGCCAGCGCTCGCTTCGTCCCGGCCAGAAAGGATTTGCAGAGCGACTGCTCTCAAAGTACGGCTGGACGAAAGGGTCTGGCTTGGGTGCATCTGGAACGGGTATTGTCAATCCGTTGCAGGTTAAAGTTGAAAAGCAAAAGAAGCGGCCAGATTCGGAAGGTGGTGGTTTTGCTACTCCCGCTGGTAGGGGTAAGATTATCGGTGGCGCGAAGAAGGCAGTTGACGATGGGGGTAAATTCGGTCACATGAGCGACGTTATTGTTCTAAAGGGCATGCTCGACGGAATGGATGTGGATGCAGAATTGCAGGGAGACCAGGATGGTGGATTGATGCAGGAGATCGGAGAAGAATGCTCGGAAAAGGTAAGCCATCTTTACCCTTGGTTACTGATAAGCAAATATCTGACATGAATCAGTATGGCCGTGTTGAGCGCGTCTTTATCTCCCGCGAATCTGGTACTCCAGTGCCAGTTTTTGTCAAATTCACGAACCAACTATCTGCTCTACGGGTGGGTTATTTGATAGTTTTAAATTCACGTTGCAATACTGATAAACAATATAGGCCGTCAATGCTCTCGAAGGTCGAATATTCAACGGTAACAAGATCACAGCTCGATTCTTCGACACCGAGAAGTTTGAGCAGGGAATATATGAAGATAAATAAACGCATCGTTAGGAACAATATTCAATACCCATTTCGCGACATTATTCGGTTCCAGACCTGAATTCGACCGTAATAGGGTGACTTGAGTGTATAGAAAAACTCCATAGCGATGCCACGTCAAAACGCCCCAACAGTCCACAGACAAGCAAATCATAACACCCAACGTTGATAAAAACAAAACTGGAGACAACAACGAAGCAACTCCTGCGTGTTCAAAATGTGATTTCATCAAACAACTCCATTTCCTCCATGAAACCATCCTCGTCCACGTCTGCGAAGTAATATAATTCGTTTTCTGCCTTAGGCCTCTCCTCGAAATCAGCTTCTGAGGAGGTGGCGGTTGAATAAGGCGACGATATCTCTTCGTAATCTTCCACCCTTTTTTTGTTGCGATTTTTTCTTTTGGGCTTTCTCTGGTGGCTGCAATTCTCGCACATCCCAATCATTGGGATCTCCAGCAACTCCCAGGCATGGCATTCGAAACCAGATCTGATGGCTTTTGCGCAAGAAATGTGAAGGACGTATTGTAGGTTTCGGTGACGACAAAGGGCATGACACCAGGTGATTTCATGGCACATTTTGGCTTTGGGGGCCTGGTCATATAACCAGAGGGGACTTGAAAGAGGAAGAAAGAGGGATTGCTTGATAGTTGGGCACTCATTGCCTTACCAGTTGTTTCGATGCTTTATATACTTGAGATTCAGAGTCGGTATGCTATTTTTGGCCAAGAGGGTAAAATTTCGCAGATCCATGGGAATACTTGGATATAAGAAAGGCCATGGCATATAGTCAAAGATGTTCTGTTACATAGATGTGTTTGTAAGTTTGTTGGCTCTTTGAGGGCTTATCGATTGTCTTTATATGGATCCCTGTCAATGTTTGGATTGTGCAGGGATTCTTTGTAGACCAACACTGAATGTAAATGAAAACAAAAGAATTCAAGAGCCATTCACTTGGAACTTGTGAATAAAATCTGTTTCAGATTTTTTTTCTTTGATTTCTCTTTTTGTTAATATTTTCTTACTAATTATTTTCTTAATAAAATGGGTTGGTCCTAGATGATACCATCATCTACAGGGCTGGTCACATGATGCTTGAATCATCTTGATCAGTGCTGTGGAGTGATTGGCTGTGGGGTATCAAACCCAGGAACACTGGCAGCTTCAATCTTGAGATAGCCTTACTCTTCGCTTTTCCTTTTCAATTCAGGCTTACTACCACTTTTTTTACCCATACATTTTCATCCTTTATATTTTACTCTCTCTGGCTTCATTTTACTCACCAGGACTACGAGATTTCATTCGCACAATCGTCTTATTTTAACCCGTTGTTCCTCGACACCGATAATCTCAACTTCAAACTCGCAGCCATGTCTTTGTGTCAAAATCGGCTCACTGAGGAACGGTATGTAACCTTATTCCTGACCTTCCCATACTTGATGGTGTTTACCGGCTGTGAGAGTGGGTTTTAAGGACTCAAAGCTGATCGCGACAAAAAAATCGCAACAGAAAGCAATGGAGAAAGGATCACCCGTTCGGATTCTACGCAAAGCCTCACCGCACCGCCCAGGGTGCCCTTGATTTGAAACGCTGGGAATGTGGTATGCCGGGCAAAGCTCAAACCCTCTGGGAGGGTGGCTTTTTCAAGCTCGATGTGACCTTCCCCGATGGTAAGTCTTTGTGTGTGATGCGCAGGGTCTGGATGTAGGCTAACATGAATTTTTTTCTTATAGAATACCCGACAAAGCCCCCTAAGTGTATGTTTCTTTCCCTACGATTTTGTATCCCCTATATGCCGTTGCAAGCGGCCACACTTGCGCGATGGCCTGTTTCCATCTTTACGCAACTCCTACATCTCCTATGAAAAGAATTTCATACCATGAACCTGACTAATAGGTTTCTTTAGGCAAGTTCGTGCCGCCTCTCTTCCATCCCAACGTTTACCCTTCTGGAACCGTCTGTCTGTCAATCCTGAACGAGGAGGAGGCTTGGAAGCCGGCCATCACCATCAAGCAGATCTTGCTCGGCATTCAAGATTTACTCGACGACCCAAACCCAGAGTCCCCAGCTCAGGCGGAGGCCTACAACCTCTTCAAGAAGGACCGCCCGGCCTATGAGCGCCGCGTCAAGCAGATTGTGCGGGAGAACCCTGCTCCGTAGACTTTGATGTCCCGGATCTTCGTTAAGAAAGAAAGAAGAAAAAGGAACTGGAGCATCTGGCAGCTCTTTTGGAGATCTTGCATCTGGGTTTGATATTTCTCGAGCGAATTCGGCGTGACACGGAAGGGGCGTTTGTATATCCCTTAATGTTAGCGATTGTCTTGTCTTCATGCATATAGAAGATCTTTAGTGGGTCTTAATGGAATTGACGAGAATCAAGTATTCTAACATTCATGAGAAAGACCTCTTCTATCATTTCCATTCCAGGAGTACGCAGCAGTATGTAACCATTGCTACTACATTAGTATCTACTAGACCATCTCCATCGGCACACAGTCTTGGCCAGTGGGAAGGCGCACAAATGACAGTTACCGTAGTGGCTACTGTTACCTTATCTTATCGGGTGAGTCAAAAGATTTGTGGCCGAAATCGCCCCTCGCTCGCGCTTTTCGCCCCGCCGGACGGGCCTTTAAAATTTCCCAATTCCCCCATATCAACCACCCGGGAAACGAGCTTAGTCAATTAATCGTTCTTCACCTTTTTCTTGCCCTGGCCCTTTGCTACGTCTATATATCTTTCTGTGGCATCTTAATTGCTCGCGGCCAGCATGTGTGGTATTTTCGCGTGTCACCAGTACGTCTTTTCTTCCCCGCGAAATTCCGGCCGCACACCAAATGGGGGTGTTGCCCCTCTATTTCTCCAGGATCGACTGATCGCTGACAATGTTCGAATAGGCACCCCGATGTGCAAAAGTTCAAGCCCACGGCTTTGCGCATGGCCAAGGCGTGAGAATCCCTCTCTGATAGTTGTATAGTTTGCTGAATTGCTGATTGTCGTTCCCAGTGTGCGCCACCGTGGACCGGACTGGAGTGAGTCACAGTCCCGCTAGATGGATATCCATTGCAATCGCAACATTTCTCTAACAGTTGATCATAGGCGGTAACTTTACTTGCAACAACACTAGTGAGTTAAACGGTGTGCTGCTCTGGAACTTCCAATGCTAATTGAATGGTAGTTCTCGCTCACGAGCGTCTGAGTATCGTCGGTGTCGGTATGTGACCCTACTTGGTCTTTCCCCTATAATCGAGGTCGATTACTGAGAATTATACAAGACTCCGGAGCGCAGCCCCTTGTCAACGAGGACGAATCCCTCGTCCTGGCCGTCAATGGCGAAATCTACAACCACCGTATCCTGAGAAAGGGATTGAAGACCAACTACAACTTCAAGACACATTCGGATTGTGAAGTGGTTATTCCTTTGGTATGATAAATATATGGATTGGGGGGCATTGGTAAGGGAGACTGACAGATTTTCAGTACATGGAACACGGTCTCGACGCACCCAAGCATCTCGATGGCATGTTCTCTTGGGTTCTTTACGATAAGAAGGAAGACCGTGTCATTGCCGCACGCGATCCCATCGGTGTTACCAGCTTCTACATTGGATGGTCGTCCGAGACCCCCGGCGCTGTTTTCTTTGCCTCGGAGTTGAAGTCTTTGCACCCAGTCTGCGACAAGATCGAGGCTTTCCCTCCTGGCCATGTCTACAACTCCAAGGACGGTTCTATGACTCGCTACTTCCAGCCTAACTGGTGGGACCCCGCCAACATTCCCTCGACCCCCGTCGACTACAAGGAGATCCGCAGAAGCTTCGAGAGAGCCGTTCGCAAGCGTCTTATGGCTGAGGTTCCCTACGGTGTTTTGCTGTCTGGTGGCTTGGACTCGAGTTTGGTGGCATCCATTGCCCAGCGTGAGACCCTACGTATGCAGGAGGCATCTTTGAAGGCCGCGGTCGAGGCCCAGCTTCACAAGCAAACCGGCGCTTCTGAGTTGGTCGGTATTGATGACTCCAACGAACTGTCCACTGTCACCACCTTCCAGCAACTGCACTCTTTCTCCATTGGTCTCCCAGGCGCACCCGACACCGAGGCTGCCATTGAAGTCGCCAACTTCCTCGGAACCAAGCACCACGCTTTCACTTTCACTGTCCAGGACGGTCTCGACGCTCTTTCCGACGTTATCTACCACCTTGAGACATATGATGTGACCACCATCCGTGCATCCACCCCTATGTACTTGCTTAGCCGCAAGATCAAGGCCATGGGTGTCAAGATGGTTCTGAGTGGAGAGGGAAGTGATGAGACCTTTGGTGGCTACCTCTATTTCCACGCAGCCCCCAACAAGGAGGAATTCCACGCCGAGACCGTCCGCCGTGTCAAGAACCTGCACTTGGCAGACTGCCTGAGAGCTAACAAGTCGACATCCGCATGGGGTCTGGAAGCCCGTGTGCCTTTCCTGGACAAGGACTTCCTTTCATATGCTATGGGCGTGGACCCTAAGGACAAGATGATCACCGGTGACCGTATCGAGAAGCACATGCTGCGGAAAGCGTTCGACACCACCGATGAGCCTGACGTCAAGGCATACTTGCCCGACAAGATTCTCTGGCGCCAGAAGGAGCAGTTCAGTGACGGTGTTGGCTACAGCTGGATTGATGGACTGAAGGACCAGGCCGAGATCGAGGTGACGGATGAGATGTTGAAGAACCCCAAGCCCGAGTGGGGAACTGACATCCCTGACACCAAGGAAGCGTATGTTATGCTGTGTTACCAAGAAACCATGTGGAAGAAATTAAGCTAACCTAAAATAGTTACTGGTACCGCTGCATGTTTGATGAGCTCTTCCCTGCCTCTTGCGCAGGCACTGTCGAGCGCTGGACCCCGACTTGGTCGAAGCAGACCGATCCCAGTGGAAGGTAAGTTTACACTGGATATCTTCAGGCCGAAGGCTAGGTTCCTAACAAGTCATTACAGAGCTATCGCTACCCACAACGCCAAGTACAAGAACGTCGAGTAAATGCTCTAAAGCTGAACTCGAAGGGCTGTCTGTCTCGGGATTATTTGGTATAAAAGCATTTATAGACCATTTACCGCAGGTACTGAGGCGTCACAATTGGCTTCCGGTTATAGACGCGTACGATGATCTATCGCGACCATCTGGCGTCTACTTTCATCTTTTGGCTCTTGTACTCCATGTCTCTTTTTTCTCTTTTTCCTGATTTTTTGGCCGGCAAAAAAAGTCTTAAAAGGATTGGCTTGTGGCGTCATGATGTTCCATAATTTCTCATTTTCAGAAAGATTCCTATATGGGCGGTGGTCTTGCGTTGATTTCTTGAAACCCTGGTGAGACCGGGAACCATGGATCTCTTCAAGCGCTATAATGCTCTATTGGTATATAGGTAATACAGTACCCATGGCTTGGATATCTCATAAGGGCTAGATAGACAGAGCTATGAATCTGATGATATTCGTGCTTTCCATTGATATGACGTTGGCGGGGTTGCAGGAATGGATGTAAACATAAGCGTGGATGCAGTCTGTTGTTGTCATCTGCCGGAAAATGACGGGCCCGAGGCATCACTACCTTATCACGGGACTTGGCGGCTTTTACCGGGACCTGGGCACCGGCCAATCAGAGCGGGTGTCTTTTCCCGTGGACCTCAACGTTCCGTCGACCCTTTCACCTCTCTTCCTTCTCCCCCCCCATCATCATCATTCTCCCCCTTGGTCCTACCACCTACTCTTCCCTCCCACGACTATATCGACGTTTCTCGTCTCTGTATTTCTCTTTTAATAATTCACAATGTCTGCCCCCGCTGCTTTCTCCGACATCGCTAAGGCGACCAACGATGTACGCATTAACCATTCCTTGTTTTGAAAAAAAAAGCTTCACCGAGGGAAAAACACGGGCAGCTTGCTATGAGAGGTTCACAATGGCTAATATTCCGTACAATAGCTCCTGAACAAGGACTTCTACCACACCAGCGCTGGTAAATTTTGCTCCCTTGTTGATAATTTTTTTCGCGATGATGTGTTTGTGCGCGATTAAGCTAACCAATTTGCTACAGCCAGCCTTGAGGTTAAGTCCAAGGCCCCCAATGGCGTCACCTTCAACGTGAAGGGCAAGAATGCCCACGAGGGTCCTATTGCTGGCTCTGTAGGTTTTCCCAGATTCGATGTGCCATCGCGAGCTCTCAATGGACAATTGCTAATCGACTTGTTTTGAATATAGCTCGAGGCCAAATATGTTGACAAGCCTACTGGTAAACGCCCCATAATGCGAAAACCACCCGATCCCAAACCCAATAGCCTGAACGGGTCGCGGCCTATGTGCTTTATATCAAGCCGCCACGTCCTGTCCAGGTCTATCAAATTCCATGTCATGTCCAGGATCACCGATCATACAACCACGCTAATATGCAACCCCTACTCAGGTCTCACTCTTACCCAGGCTTGGACCACTGCCAACGCTCTCGACACCAAGCTCGAGCTTGACAACAACATCGCCAAGGGCCTCAAGGCTGAGATCATGACCCAGTACCAGCCTTCCAAGCAGTCCAAGGGTGCCAAGCTCAACCTCTACTTCAAGCAGCCCAACCTGCACGCCCGTGCCTTCTTTGACCTCCTCAACGGTCCCTCCGCCAACTTCGACGCTGTCCTCGGCCACGAGGGTTTCCTCGTCGGTGCTGAGGGTGGCTACGACGTCCAGAAGGCCGCCATCACCAAGTACGCTGCCGCCGTCGGCTTCAGCGTTCCCCAGTACACCGCTGCCATCACCGCTGGCAACAACTTGACCGTCTTCTCCGCCAGCTACTACCACCGCGTCAACCAGCAGGTTGAGGCCGGTGCCAAGGCCGCCTGGGACTCCAAGACCGGCAACTCCGTCGGCCTTGAGGTTGCCAGCAAGTACAGACTCGACCCCTCTTCCTTCGCCAAGGTACGTGTATTCCCTCGCATGCGGAATCCAACCCATAAATTGACCTTGTTTCTTTCTCTCCCTTTAGGCCAAGATCAACGACCGTGGTATCGCCGCTCTGGCTTACAACGTCCTGCTCCGCCCTGGTGTCACCCTCGGCCTCGGTGCTTCCTTTGATACCCAGAACCTGAACCAGGCCGCCCACAAGGTTGGCGCTAGCTTCACCTTCGAGGCTTAGATCAATTCCCCCGATTTTTCGTGTCACTAGAGCTCGTTCGCGCGTATACCAGGCGGGACGAGCTGGTGTTATTTGAAGGTCGACTGAAATAATGCATGTATCGTAGCCCTCAACGATGTCTCTTGTATATCAATTCTACCAATCTAAATTCCCTTTGTTTGAATAGATGATGGGTGCCTTTCCTAGTTAATTAGGTGCACTAATAAATGATCGAATAGAACCAGTCTATATTTTAATTATTTTGAATAATAGAAATCACCCATGCGCCAAACAAAATAATCTAAGAATGCGTAACAGCCATATATACGAACCACGAAATGACAGCCAAGGAAATGGTCCACAAACGACCGATATACCCGACATACCTAATTCTATCTGCGTCGGTTTCCTTTTTCTTTGCTCTTTTTTTCACCCTGCCAGAAGAGCCCTGTCACGACACCGGCACCAATGAGGGTCCCAAATACAAGGATAAACCGCAGCGCAAAGTCTCCAGTGTTACCGATATATTTCTCATTGATACCAGCCATTGCCCTAGACCGCCGCTCTTCACGCCGGGCGTCCTCAGCCGCCTGAGTTCGGTAATGCCCACGGGCATTGAAGTGGTGAAGAGTATTCCGATCAATGAAAGACAGAGGGTCTTCTTCCTTAGCACCGCCAGCAGCACCGAACGAAGACGCAGACGCATGGCCACCAGGGCTCCTGCGATGGGCGTTATTCCCATAACCACCGTGAGCGTAGAAGCTAGGCGGGGGACCACGGAATGGACCACGTCTCTGACTCAGTCCGCTTGCGGGTCTGGAGCCTGCATACGAGGCATTCTTGCTGTGCAGGTTGGCGCTGTAGCTGCTGTGGCTACCCATGGGGTGTTGGCCTGGGTTTGCGGTGCTGTGGGTTGAGGAAGAGTATTGTGCGAAGATACCATGATCACGGTCGTAGGTGGCGCGTTTGGTACTCTGGCTGAGAACATTGTAGGCGGAGGAGATGCGGGCGAAGCGGGAGGAGGCGGTTGGATCGTCACGGTTGCGGTCTGGGTGGTGTTTGAGGGAGAGGGAGTAGAATTGCCTAGTAATACATGGGTTAGCTGGTTGACTTGAGGAGTGGATGAGGTTTGTGCGTGTGTTTAGCTTGTGCGGGGGCAATTCAAGTAGCTCGTTAGGCACTTGATGAGGGGTGTGATGGGGCCTAGAGGCATAGCTGAGGGGATGCACACTTCTTGATCTCCGCTGTGGACGCCGTTATCGGCACATCCAGAATCTCATAGTAGGTCGGTTCTCGACTTGACGCATAGAAAGCCGTAGCAGTAGCTGAGAATGATGCCGCAGACCCAGGTGGGAGGATTTTGCTGGTGGGCGAGGGGCGATGATAATGATTGACCAGGAACGAGGCGCAGGTCCTCACGCGAGGAGACGGCATGCCTTGTATGTGCCACTCGGGCTCACATTTATGTACAAAAGAGATATATAGAATATTAACTGAAGAGAGAGTGTTGAAGGAGTGAAGAAAGAGAGAGCTGGGGATCAGCAGAGTTGGTTGATTGATTGATAGCGGGAGATTTCATCTTTAAGAAAGCGGAATCGGCCAGCGCCATCGGAGGTGCGTCATCGAGATGAACATGAACTGATGAAGGCGTTCCCGATGCCGATGATCTACTGTACCTTTCTGTCCTACGGTGTGGAAATTAGTCTGAGTATAGTAGTTTCTATGGTATTTGACATGGCTAGAGGGGTATATTGATATTATTTTGGTCAAATTGGGTGTATTATTGTTCAATCTGGTATAGCCCATAGTCGTTATGCTGTGGCGTGCATACTATCGATAAATTTATTTATAGCACAACGCCCTTCTATCGAGATATAGTTCATTTGGAATATAGAAATACTTTATCTTATGCTATTTCCTCTCTTCAAATAAAATGCATTTAAACAATGCGTGCGTTAAATCGCCATCGAACATATATCGCCTCTAAGATCACACCTTGCATCGAGTCTTGGCACAGAACTTTCCCCGACGGAGCCCTTCAACGGCTTCACTTTCCCCCTCTTTTCTTCTATTCTTCGATTCTCCCCCATCAGCAACGCCTTTTTTTCCCGCACTCAGCCTGCGGAATTCTTAGTTTTCCATCATGGCTGCCCAGGCTAGCGAGAATCTGGAGAAGCTTAACCGTAAGTCGCACGTTCCACGTTGGTTTTTGCCCGCATTTGACTGATAAGATACCGATTTGGTTTTTCAGTGAACGGCCAGAGCGGCGACGCGAAAGCGGACGCCCCTACGGCTGATCAGGCAGCTCCCGGAGAGGCGGAAGATGACTCTGACGATGACAAGGAAGATGGAAATGGCCCGGAAGCCGGAGCGACTGGAGGTGCGCATCGAGCGTCTGATGGATTTGGTGAAGGAACCCCGCACTGACATAGTGGTGACTATTTTCAGACGCAAAGAAGAAGAAGAAGCGCAAGCCCAAGAAGAAGAAGAAGGGACCTGCCAAGGTCCAAAGCTCGCCTCCGCGAGTTCCGGTGTCCAACCTATTCCCCAACAACCAGTACCCCGAGGGTGAAATCGTCGAATACAAGAACGAGAATTCATACCGCACAACCAACGAGGAGAAGCGGTATCTCGACCGTATGAACAACGATTTCTTGCAGGAGTACCGTCAAGGAGCCGAGGTTCACCGTCAGGTCCGCCAGTATGCGCAGAAGAACATTAAGCCGGGACAGACCTTGACAGAAATCGCGGAGGGCATTGAAGACTCAGTTCGCGCCCTCACCGGCCACTCGGGTCTTGAGGAGGGCGACAACATCAAGGGTGGCATGGGTTTCCCTTGTGGTTTGAGCATTAACCACTGCGCGGCTCACTACACCCCGAATGCCGGCAACAAGATGGTTTTGCAGCAGGGCGACGTTATGAAGGTCGATTTCGGTGCTCACTTGAACGGTCGCATTGTCGACAGTGCATTTACTGTGGCTTTTGACCCGGTCTACGACCCCCTATTGGCGGCCGTCAAGGATGCTACCAACACCGGTATTCGCGTATGCTTCAGCCAGTTGCTCAGTTTCCATTCAAGCGTGTAACTGACCAGATGTAGGAAGCGGGAATTGACGTCCGCATGAGCGATATTGGTGCCGCCATCCAAGAGACTATGGAAAGTTATGAAGTGGAACTCAACGGGACTATGCACCCGGTGAAATGCATTCGAAACCTGAACGGTCACAACATTGACCAACACGTTATCCACGGTGGCAAGAGTGTGCCCATCGTGAAGGGTGGTGACCAGACCAAGATGGAGGAGGGTGAGGTTTTTGCTATTGAAACCTTCGGTAGTACCGGAAAGGGCTACGTGAGAGACGATGTATGTCTGAGAAACTTGGCCTCAGGTCGAGCATTTTGATGTTGGAGTCTGAATGTGCTAACATACGAGCAGATGGAAACTTCCCACTACGCCCTGGTCCCTAACGCAAACCCTGTGCCTCTGCGCCTTTCCTCGGCCAAGAACCTGTTGAATGTGATCAACAAGAACTTTGGCACTCTCCCCTTCTGCCGTCGTTATCTTGACCGCTTGGGCCAGGACAAGTACCTCCTCGGGGTAAGTTGGATATACTGTAGTCTACAGCATTGGAAAGTATCGAACCGACTAACATTCGTATAGTTGAACAACCTGGTATCATCAGGAATCGTTCAAGATTACCCGCCTCTTTGCGATATCAAGGGCTCGTACACTGCCCAATATGAACATGTAAGCATCTTGTGCGTTGCTCTTTTAAGACTTGACTAACCATATACACAGACCGTTGTTCTTCGACCCAATGTCAAGGAGGTCATCAGTCGTGGCGACGACTACTAGGATGGTTGTTTTGTGTGGATATCCCAAGGGCATTCGATCTTTGAGCGATTACGATATAAAAAATTCACGAACTACAAGACTCAAGAAAAAAAAAGACACGAATCGATATTCTTCCTTTTGGATGGACTCTTCCATACTCCATAGCATGAATATACAATTAAAAAACCATTAAACCAGCATAAACTCCCACTGTATCCTGTTTATCGGGCCATTTGTGCCGCTGTGTAGCCCCACGTGGAACGAGTCCGCTCCGGGTCTCCGTCCGCTCATATTAATTCGTTAATAAGAAAGAGTCCAGATTTCTGCACATGATACCGCAGATCGACACGGCTTGCCATTGCGTTTTGCATTTCTCTTTTCTCTTTTTTTCTTCTTCTTCTTCCTCTTCCTCCTGATCCATGGCTTAGGATTTAGCTTGGTCTATCCTACTCCACCATCCCCTTCCATCATGCCGTCCTCTGTTGTCGAAACAGCGGACTCCGCGCCTCACCTCCGAGTTTCCACCAAGAATCAAGCATCGCCATCAACAGACGGTGAGAAGCCATCGACCAGGATCTCACCTCCAGAGAAATCATTAGTCGATGACCAATTCTTTTGGACATACACGGAGGAACCTCATCGCTCGAGAAGACAAGCTATCATCAAGGCACACCCAGAGGTAAATATTTCCCGTCTCCGAACCAAGTATCGTTCCCCTGTTACTAACACACTTCTTCCGTGAACCAGGTAACCAAGCTCTGCGGACCTGAACCTATAACCAAATATGTGGTTCTCGGTGTCGTCTCTCTCCAGATCTGCTGCGCGTACCTTCTCCGTGATACCTCCATCCTGTCATGGCGTTTCCTTGCAACGGCCTACCTGATTGGGGCGACGTCGAACCAGAACCTCTTCCTCGCCATCCATGAGATCTCCCACAACTTGGCCTTCCGATCGCCAATGGCGAATCGATTGCTGGCTATCGTCGCCAATCTACCCATTGGAATCCCGTATAGTGCTGCATTCAGAGTACGTCGTTCACCAGCGAAGATGGGGGAAAAGAAAGAATAAAACCATTTACTAACTACTCTCTAAACAGCCCTACCACCTTACCCATCACAAGTCCCTGGGCGTAACAGGCCTCGATACCGACCTCCCCACCGCCGTCGAAGCTTTCTTCCTCGACTCCCTCCTCGGCAAGGCCTTCTTCTGCACTTTCCAGATCCTTTTCTACGCCCTCCGTCCCATGTTCGTCTACAGCCCGCCCTTCACCTCCATCCACCTGATCAACCTAATCACCCAACTCTCCTTCGACTTCGCCTTGACCAAATTCTGCGGCGGCTCCCTCCAACCCTTCTTTTACTTCATCATGAGCTCCTTCCTCGCTGGCTCCCTGCACCCGTGCGCTGGCCATTTCATCGCAGAGCACTACTTCTTCTCCAAGGTCGAAGCAGGAGGCACCGAGTCGATCGAGGAATTGAAGAAGATGGAAAAGGACGGCAAGAAACAGCCTCACCCTCTCGACTCTCTTCCGCCCCCGGAAACTTACTCGTACTATGGCCCTCTCAACATTCTCACGTACAATGTCGGTTTGCATAACGAGCACCACGATTTCCCCGCTATCCCCTGGACTAAGCTGTACACGCTGCACCAGATTGCGAGCGAGTTCTACGAGCCGCTTCCTTGCCACCGCAGCTGGACCTGGGTTATCTGGACGTTCATTATGGATAAGAATGTGGGTATGTGGTGCCGTGTCAAGAGGGCCCAGGGTGGTCGTATCGTTGGTGGCAGCGCAAAGACAGACAAGAATAGCGGACGGAGTGGTGAGACTATCTCGGCCGCATCGGCTGGTCCGGACGAAGCAGGAGATGGATGGAAGGAGAGTGAACTTCAGAATTGAGTTCTGACCAGTCATGTTGAACATGTTATGAAATCTGTTTAGAGATGATGTGCTTCTGTTGCTTTTCTTGGGATGATTTCCATCATTTTGTATTGTACTTGTACGATGAATATGTTCTGGTTCCATTATATTTCTTGAATTGCTACTACTACTACTCAGTACTTTTACTGTAAGACTACTATTAAGAAGCTTGTTAATTTTGAACGTTTTGGCATGGGTCAGCGAAAATATACATTGGAGATGAAGTCATGATGGGTTGACTTGGTACTGTCTGACTGGCACATGCATTCGTCTAATAGAGACACTCGCTTTCAGGATAGCAACGATTCAATAATAACAAAATCTGGGGTAATTGACGAAAGGGAAGTCATAGGACAGATCGTCCGACGTGGATTCGGAGAGCAGAAAGCGCAATTCACATGATACGCAGCGAAGACATTTCGAAACATAGATGTTCCCTTAAGAAATCTACATGGTCATCCCTCGCATGCGCAACTGAAATAAGACTCGCTGTTTCCGTTTTGGGTCGTTCATAACACTAAAAAGCAAAGAAAAAAGACCAAGGTAGCCAGGGCACAAGTCAATGCCGGTGGTGGTGATAATTGGAATCAAACAGAAAAGGGGTTTAATGAGAAATAGAATGCTGATGCTGACAAAAGGAATTAAAAGAAACAGTGCACTTCAGAAAGGAATACAGTTGGTCTGTAATAGAAGGTAATAAAATAAAGAAAAAAAAGGGAAGAACGGAAGGGACAAGAGAGGAAGTAAGACCTAGAAGAAAAAGTAGGCGATCAAGAAACTTAGCAGGCACAACCCAGCGACAACCTGGACTGGCACACCAGACTCGGAGGACTGAGTATGTTGCTGCTGCGCCAATGGAGGAGTGGGCACCTTAGCGGTGTCGCCGCCGGTCTTCCTCTGTCTCAAGCCCTCGGCAAGTTTCTCTTGCAGTTTCTGGATCTGGGAGTTGGCTTCAGAGAGCTGCGCCTTGAGATCATCGCTGGGTGTACTGGCGAACGTCGAAGCCTCATTTGACTGTGGGGTCAAAGTTTCCCGCCTTTGTTTCTCGCTGAAGTCTGGCGGTGGGATAGGTGACGTGTCCTCGGCGGCTTTCTTGGAGAGACCAACTGCGGGGGTTTCGAAGGTACTGGGAGAGGTATACGCAGGAGGTTCGTCTTCATGAGCATCCTATATGACAGTCAGTTGCATGCATGATGTAAAAATCCGGGAATAGTTCCACATACAACGCCATTGGTCTCAGCGCCTTCTTCAGCCCCTGCGGCCAACCAGTTCACACGGATCTTGCGCTCTTGGATTGAGGATTTGGATGCCTTCTCGAACTATAGATTTGTCAGCGACAGTCCAAATGCTATACTAGAAAGAGTTTCAACGTACAATTGAGGTGACATTTGCGAACTCCATATCGCGGGTGACTGCGACAGTCTGAACCAGGAACTTGTCCTTGCACTTGGCATCATCGGCAGGTACATCCTTCATAGCCTGCAGCAACACTGTTCAAAATTATCAATCCATGCCATCCGGACATCAGGTGCCGAGTGTACCAACCTTGGACATCCACATGCTTGCCAGGCTCTATTCTTCCGGAGTTGGGTCGAACGCAGTAACTAGGGTTAGGCTTAGTTGGTGTTCATTCACGGATTTTTTTTTTGGAATTCGAACTCGAAAAGGGATAACGGAATACGCACTGTTTAGGAGCGGTGGTTTTGACCTAGCGCACAAATCATAGTCAGTATGCGATGGTCTTCCTGGCTTCCCGAGTCCTTGTCAGACCAGGGGGATGGGTGGCCCAACGCACCTTGAAGACAATGGCCTCCTGGTTCTGGTTGTTCAGGTGCAAGACCTGGCAAACTTCGCGGTCGAAAGGCCCTGTATATCCTTTGTCAGTTCCCGAAAAGAGTGACCAGCGTAGGCAACTTTGGAGACGGGGGAGACCCACGCTTGAAGTCCAGCTCGGGCGGGTTGAGCACAACGGACATGGTGGACACGGCACACAGCGAGATGCAGGTACGAACGATCGGAGCGCGCAAAGGAGTAGAGATGACGGAAGACAACGCTCTAGTAAGAACGGGGGAGAATAAAGAATGCTCTGTGGGGATGTGGGAGGAGAGTTAAAGATCCAGAAAGGGAGATGAGATATTCTAGCGCCGAGGCCAAGGGATAAGAGCAGTTGGTCTAGTCTGTTAGTTGTCGCCGTCGTAGTGTCTTATTATGATTAGCGATTATTCTTCCGACGGGGAATCGTCACTCGGGCTAACTTAGTTTGCGCTGCGTCGCGGCTGCTGGTTGGCCCGTGTCGCTGACTCAGCGCGCCAGTCAGGTGATGTCATTCGACGCTGCGCCGGTCGGTTTAATAGTATGCGCTTTCGCTCCTCAAACCATCTTCAAACAGTCATCGACGGGCATCGTCTGTGTGCAATACCCTCATTCTCGTGGTGTCTGTCATTATCTATCCCCTTGGGCTGTGGAGCCCAGCACCACCTCACTCCGGATCCACGGATTCGCATCCTCGGGACTTCCTTGCGACCCAAAAAGTTGGGCCTGACCTTTCACGGACGGTCTCTAAACATGTGATTTTACGGCGTTGGCAGATGAAGATGCTGCCTACTGTCCAGGAATTTATCCATTATTCCAAGCGAGGATATTAATGGTGATTACAGACTGATTCTGACATGACTTGCTGGCCAACAAACCCGGTTCATATTCCATTACTATATACAAAGTCGCACGGCGTACAGGGAACAGAATTACTCAACATATTGCAAACCGCTTCGACAATGCAAGAGCTGTGTTACACGAGTGATTAAATGAATCCTCATCTTTAAGACTTCGCCATTTCGCCATGAAACGAAAATACAAATGGTTCGTGGTTCGCATCGGTCCTAGTCATGACTAGAGGTCGAAGGTGAAACAAATGATCCCCAAGATTCAGATTGTTTTAGAAAGAGGTATTTCCGACAGAAAACTCCTTGCAGATACGTTAAGATCCGGTATTGTCTTAGACTTCAATGCCTGAACGATCTCATTTTGTGTCCTCAAGGCTCAGTCTGCCGCCTCAGATCAAATAGCCAGTCAAAATGACAAGCACATGGGTGCAAGGATAATTTCAACCTGGAATACTAAAAAGAAAAAGAGTCTCAAAACTGTTTTGCTCGCTTGAAATTAAAGTAGAAATAATTGACTGTATTGGCATTGTCAACAATGAATTCAGAGTAATATATGGATTGGAGCGAGACAGGGCATGTAAATGCATACAAAAAGTGGTGCGGGCCTTCCCGTCACTCGCCGCCTACCGATACGTCACCTGGAAGCTCACACCCAACTGATTGCTTTGTTCCATCAACAATCATCTTCACTTTTTCTTCTTTCCCACTTGAATAAATCCCAACCCTTTCATACACATCTAGCCTCACTTTCCTAGTGACGAAGCACCGGCTTCGTACTCTCTTACCCCACCTTGAGCTTGACAACTCTCCTCCCCACCAACGATCGCATCCTTCAACCTATCATCTTCCAACACAACACAACCATGGCTTCCGATTTAGACCAGCTCATTGAAATGGGCTTTGACCAGGAGAGAGCACAACTGGCAGTGACTAAAAGCGGTGGTCGTAAGTTTTCAACTGTTATCCGCTTGACAGGCTGTTATCTTGCAAGCTGAAACAATCACACAGTCCAAGGAGCTCTGGAATGGCTCGAACAAAACCAAGACAAGTCGCTCGAGGAGATCAAGGCTGCCGCAACCAACGAAGAGGAAGGCCCAGCACTTCAACCGGGTGAAGAGCCCCGCAGTCTGGTTTGCAATGAGTGCGGCAAGAAGTTTCGAAGCACGGCTCAGGCCGAATTCCACGCTTCAAAGTCCCAGCACGTCGATTTCGCCGAGTCTACAGAAGAGCTTGCACCTTTGACCGAGGAAGAAAAGAAACAGAAGCTTGAGGATCTGAGACAGAAGCTGGCAGCCAAGAGAGCGGTGCAGTCCGAGCAAGATAAGGTCGACAAGAAGAGGAATGAGGTACGGTATATCCTTTCGAAGTTTACCGAACAATTCTCACACATATTTTACAGGAAATTCGCAGGAAGAGTACCAAGGAGTCCCAAGATGCGAAGGAGGAGCTGCAACGAAAGCAGCAGATGAAGGAGGCAGCCAAGAAGAAGCAGGAAAAGCAGGATGAGATTGAGGCAAAGAAACGCATCAAGGCTAAGATTGAGGCGGACAAGGAAGAGCGGCGACTCAAGGCCGAACGGGAGAGGGCCCAGCGAGCTGGTGTGGCTCTTCCAGCCCAATCTGCATCTGCCCCGGCTCCAGCCTCTGGTCCTGTCGCTTCAAAACCCGCTTCTGCCTACACAGAGTCTCGCCTAAGGTTCCAGACGTCCAAGGGCAACGTTATGAAAACACTTCCTGTTACTACAACATTGTTCGAGGTTGCCGCGGCTCTGAAGCAGGAGGATGGTATCGAAGTTCAAAGCTTTCTTCAAACCTTTCCTAGGAAGGTCTTCAACTCGGAATTCTTTGGCGAATCGCTAAAGGACCTTGGCCTCACTCCCAGTGCGAGTCTTGTGATTCAGTGAGTCTGGTCACAGTTGGAGATACCCGACATGCCAGGTGATGATGAATGTTTCCAAAGGATGATGATGGCGTTTAGAAGATGATAGAATAATGACAAGAAAATTGAGATAATTGAAGCACAATTGACTACTCCCATGAGTTCCAACCATTCCTCCAAGTAATTTGCTTGAATAAAGTGTTTGACTGTATAGTTGCTAGTTTACACGGTATTTCGAAAACCCGGTATGAGAAACTTTCTCAAAATATTATATGCACAGAATATTATGGAAATCATATGCGAAAAATATCATCGATGGCATATGTCTAGCATGAATGCTCCGTAATGCAGTAGAATAGCATCACGTGATATCGCGATATGCCCGCGTCAGCATCCGTCACGCGTCGTACACGTCCGATCAGCACCATTGCAGCCGAAGCTGACCACCAATACCCCAAAGTCGACCGTTTTCACATTTCGATGATCTCTTCGACTTTTCAGGTTTTGCATCACATATAATGCCAGCGTGAGTTGATAACACCCACCAAAATCACCCCCAAGACCTACGACGAAGCTAATCGCGTCCCACCCAGTGTTGGCGACCAACATCGCGGTGGTCCAGCTAGCATCATGATGCCGAATTCCACGGGTTCCACGACTGGTAACCCGTTTGAAGAACCCCAACGTCGAATGAGCGAATACACGGCGCAGGAAATCGCTACACTTCAAGCACGTCTCGATAAGAAATTAGGCCCCGAATACATCTCCTCTAGACCTGGTGCTGCTGGACAGAGAGTGCATTATCTGTCCGCGGACAAATGCATTAATCTTGCCAATGAGGTTTTTGGATTTAATGGCTGGTCGAGCTCGATTCAAAATATCCAGATTGATTTTGTATGTTTATGGCGTGGAAGACTTCGCGTGAAGTATAAAGCTGATGGTGGGATAGGTCGAAGAGAGCCAGAATACCGGCAAGATAAGCTTGGGACTATCTGTGATAGTGAGAGTTGCATTAAAGGATGGGACTTTTCACGAGGTGGGTATTTAGCTGCGGTTATAATGTTCTACCATAGTTGGATGCTAATGCCTTGGATTTAGGACATCGGATACGGCCATATCGAAAACTGCAAGGGAAAAGCTGCTGCTTTTGAGAAAGCTAAGAAAGAAGGAACCACCGATGCCCTCAAACGTGCCTTAAGGAACTTCGGTAACGTGTTGGGTAACTGTATCTACGACAAAGATTATGTTTCTAAGGTGACCAAAGTGAAAGCTACCCCGGTATGGTATCTTGATATTATCATCTCAATTTTAAGCTGAACTTTACCAGGCCAGATGGGACGTCGACGATCTTCATCGCCATCCCGACTTTGCTCCAGTTAAGAAAGAAGCGATCCCACCAAAACCAAAACCAATTCCCGAGGATGATGATCTTCCTCCTCGCCCAACGGATACCAGGAAGACTAGTAATATCGAAGATACTGCTACATTTGATGGTGATGGCGAGTTTGGTAGTATGTATCACAAGCTCATTGGTCCGGGCATGGCTAACTGTATTAGGTGACCTATTTGACGAAGCCGATTTTGTTGATACCACAGGTGGAAATCCAGATGAAATCACACTAGAGCCCGAAACCCAGAGAAGACAACTACCGCCGACACCAATGAATGGCCCTAATAACGCCCAGCGAATGCCATTGAATAATATGCCCCGCCCTCCTGGAAGGCCTGACGCAGCAGTTGTAACGCCATCCAAGCCTGAACGAGCTTGGACTCCGGCGCCTATCAACAGACAACCAGCTGCTCCTGCCATGAACGGACGGCCAAACCCGCCTACGGCCAACAACCAGTATATGGCACAACGACAGTCTGCTCCAGTCCCAACACCGCAGCAAAATTTCCAAAATCCGAGAGTCGCGCCACCAGCTCAATCGCGATCTAGTCAGGAAGTTGCTCCGCCGGGCGGGGGTGGCCAAGTCCCTATCAAACGGGAACTCGGTCCCAATGTCAATGACGGAAATGCCCAAAACAACCTTGCTCCGGGCACGCCATCGTTTGACCCCCAACGCCCGCCTTCTGCCTCATTCTTTTCGGCTCGAGCAGTTGATATGCTACGAGACAACCCTAATTCAGCCCCACAGTTTGACCCTCATGCTGAAAGTCCATCTATTCGCAAAACAGCTGGAGTTGACCACACTAAAAGTGTTCCCATATCTAAACCAATGTTGAATGGCCCCTCTCCGGCTACAAACAATGCACGAGATTTCGTCAACCCTTCCGCAGATACCCATAGAAAGATTGGTGCCCCTGGTGGGGGTGGAATCGGTAGCCCGATGGCTAGAGGACCAACAACTTCGTCTTATCGTCCATTGACTCGACCGAATATACCGAATGGTGCGGCCCCGAACAGGGCATCAGTTGGCCCTCCAAATATCAATGGAAAACGACCACCATTGAATGACGTGACAAATGCAACTGCTGCTTCGGGTGGCAGCGGGACTGCCCCCAATTTTGGTGTTAACGACCCGAAAAGGCCGAGATTCAATGAGGGAGGTCTAAACCCTGCTATACAGCAGCAGCAGCCCCAACAGCAACAGAAATAATCTCGATGCTCTATATTTAATACCACGAACAGCATTTTTACGACCATGCGGAACTTTGGATCACCTACGGCTGTCTGGTGATCGTCATTTTTAGGGAACTTTGAGCGGAAACGGCGTTCATAGGGGTAAGGGAATAGATAATGGAGTGAAACCAACAGAACCTAACGACTGGACCTTTTTATTTGTATCTGGCCTTGATTGCATACTTACTCGTATCTTCCTACTCGTGTCATTCCTTTTATCGGTCTTTGTTGTGGATGATACCAGGGCAGTATACTATTGATTCGAGAACATACATATCATCTTATGTTACGGAAAGGTTTTCATTTGGAATGGGCATTTTCTCACGTCGTGGTCTATTGATACCATATACTTTGATTTGAACTCTATTTGAGTCCTTTTATTTATTTATTTTTTTTTTTCTTCGGGCCATTTGTTGAAGTGAAAGTTGAGGGTTGTCTATTCATCAAAGTTACGGCGGTGACATAAAAGACTCCATCACTATACTAATTATAGATAGTAGAGAATTAACAAAAACAATTATCAGAAGACAAACTGCATTTTGTTTGGATGGGAATATCTTATGTAGAAACGCTTTGAAGACGAATGGATCTGAATTCTCCTGGAGTTCTAGCCCTAGTAACATGACATGCGTAAAATACATATTCCTTTTTTTGCTCGTTTTTTGAATCATTTCAGAAAAGAAAACAATGCCAATTGAAAAGAAAAAAACCCCCCGTTCGGTATTCGAAAAGGAGACTGAGATGGGGAAGTAGAAATTACATAGCGCAAACCCGAACCGCAGAAGGAAATGAAATCGTACAGAAAAATTTGAAAGAAATCATCTCAGATAGAAAGGAATAAAAAGACAGGCGCAAATGATTAAAAAAGGATGGTCCGAAGATACGATAATCCACAGTAGCACAATTGCAATTATGCCTGCCATCAACCATTGTACTTTAGATGTTGGCGCACAGGGACTAGATTGCCTTTTGTTGTCATTCGATCAATAACAAAAGACATTGGATTTCAACAAAGGGGCTTATGATTATCAGAAACCGCATACCGTGAGCTTTGAAGACCTCCTTTGAAAACAGAACTAGTAGATCTCGCTACAGGGAAACGGTTTTCCTCTATTTCCTTGGGGGCATGGATAGACTTGGACATCGTATTAGCCTTGGGGGCGAAAAGGGACTGCCCTAAGGCACCCGTACCGACGTCAGGCTTTTGCAAAGTCTTGAATGCTGGGGCCGTGGAGAGGGCGGGTTGAGTTGTTAGTACTCCTGGTTTTTCGGCGTTGGCTGCAGTCTTAGGCTTGTTTTCTGCGGGATACGTAGAAATGTTCTCGACATTCAGTGGCTGTAAAGCCTCCTTAGGAGATCCTGGCTGAGTAGGCGAATTCGTAGAGCTAGTGTCGTTGAAAACCGAAGGCTTCACTTTCGTGGATCGATCTGGAAACGAAAACTTCACCTTGGACTCGTGTCGCTCTATACAATTGTTTTTAGTCTTGGTCAAAAAAGGTAAATGGTAAAAGGGAATTCACTAGTTTGACATACCGTCTGCATGATGCTTTGACAATGATAAGGTGTCCTTGTTTACCCCAGAAACTGAGCGACCACCTCTGCCTGGAAGTAGATGGTCCCCGACACTCAGACGACTCTCCGGACTCTCCGAATTTTGCTCATAATAGGTCTGCCTGCCCGGAAGCAAACCATCTCCAATCTTGCTAATATTGAACGAGCCTTGTGTAGAATAAGCTGATCTGCCTGGAAGCAGGCCGTCTCCAAGCAGGCTACTGGTTGAGCCTCGCTTAGAATGAGTTGGCCCAATTGTAGACTGGAAGCTCGTTGAGTCGCTTGAAATACTGTTTGTTGGAGAACGGTATTTGGTGAAACTTGTGGCCCTGGTGGGAACAAAGGGTGCTGCTGAAACAGCATTCCTAAGACTCCGTATGCTAGGGCTATCTTCGGGTAAGGCCAATTTCTTGATGCGTTGACCGGAGGGAGTACCTTCAACTGGCAAAGAGAGCGACTGTGCTTCCTTAGAATCGACCTTTGGTTCCTCTGTCGTTTTGGTTGGCTCAGGCTCGTTGTTCGTGGCCTTCCCAGGCGTGTCAGTCAAATGAGACTGATGGGTGGCTTCTCGGGGTTGGTTATCTGTAGATGGAGCCGAAGACTTTGCCGAATCTTGCGTGGCCATACGACGCTCTTTCTCAAGCTCTTTTTCGAGCACTTGCTTGCATTCCTTCAGATTTTGCAAGTACCGATCCGAGAGAGACGTGCTTTCCATGAGTTTTTCGAGCAATGCGATCTCGTGTTGTAACGCACCAACGGGGCCATCGTTCTTGGGTAAAGTGGCAGAGGTAGATTCGTCAACCTTTCGATCTTCTTCCTTCTTTATCATAGAGGATTCCTTGAAGCTAAGCCTTCTTCTGGGGCTGGGGAAAGATGAAGACGATGGGGTATTAGGAGCATCCGAAGAGCCTTGCTGGAAGTCTATTCCTTTCAGATCCTCAAAGATCGGGCTCATGAGCATTGCCACCTCCGACTTTCCTTCCTTAGGTGGCGTGGTGCTGAAATCGAGGAGCAATTCCTCGGCAGCATCAGGAACGCCTTTGGGCTCCTCATTTTGTTTCGTGGTAGGAATGTCCATGGGTAACAACCGAAGTACCTTTGAAGAAAGATCTTCAAGTCGTGGCTCTTCAGTTGCAGTTTTCACAACCACCGAGCCACTCTCAGAAGGAGTCTCTAGGCTCATTACTTCAGAAAGACCGTCTTGATCATCTGCCACACGCGCATTTGCTGCAGGGGCAGAAACAGATACATGGGGTACATCAGACTTTGCAGCAATACTAGGACTATTAACAGAAGGTCTTGGACTAGGAATTGCCCTGGATTGCTCCTCTAAACGAACAGAAGAAATGGAAGGCTGACCCAAAAGTGAATCGGTGGCCTTCTTTTGTGGCACCTTTTCCTTTTTGTCGTTATCTTCTGACGCCTTCTTGTTTGTCGCGGATGCATTTTCGTCAGGTGTCTTGCTGGCCCTGGGAGAGTTTTCAACAGACGATCGATTGCTGACGCTACGAGCAGCAGCAAGGAAGTCTTCAGGGGAGCAGAGACTTGATGGAATGCTCCTGGAAGTTGGTGTCAGATAAACAAACCCACGAGGAGGGACAAACTTACATAGGTCGCCTCGTTTTGATAAAGGGCTGCTCTGGTTTCTTGAATTCTAGGTTGTGATCATGCTATTAGATATTTCTCTAATTTCATCTGGGTAATTCGCTTACTTTCTTTGAACTTTTGCGGCATGCTCTGGCCTTGTTTCGGAGAAATGTTGCTGCTGTTGATATCAAGTGCAGGATCAAGTGGACGGCTCCGGGCAGGAGGCAACTGGACTATGTGATGTCCCAACTTCGAGACAGCCCCCTGGCTAGATGTTCTGCTCGAAGCACTCGGCGTAGCGCTTGTGTGGCCACCAACAACTGAAGGCTGTCTGGAGCCCCGCCCTCTTGTCCCTATAACACCACCACCACGGCCTCCAAATGTTGCTCGGGTAGAGTTGGAATGATTACCACTCCTCTTGGAAGATAAGTCATAGCTCTGGCCACCGCTTTCGTGAATTATGGCATTAAGTTGCGCACGATGGCTCTGACCGTGAAGTAACGGGTCCAGGTCCTCCAGATCTTCGGTGTCCCCTAATTCCTTGTACACATCTGCCAGAGATTTAGTCATGGGATGCAATTGTATGTCATTGAGCGCAGCTACTCACTTGCCCAACCAGAAAGTTTTCCCTCATTTTTCTTGGCCAATCTATGAGCTTCTGATCCCGCCGTATTGGTCATCCGAAGTGCTTCGATATCCTCCAAACGTTCTCTAAATCTCTTGGTATCTGATGTTGAGATGTGCTCCCGTCTAGCCGTTCCTAAATCTGCCTATTCGAAATCTAGGTCAGTTTCTGCTAGGAAATAAGAGAGCCCATGCCGATGAGGATTGGAGTGAAAGCAAAGCAATTAGAGAACTCACCATCTGCAGCCTTTTGAGCCGCTCGGCCTGCGTTGAATCCATCTCTCCTGCTGGCCAGCAGATGCGGCAATCGTAAGCCAAAGAGATGCAGGGCGAGTCTGGTCAAGAAGCAGTATTTCTGAGGGGTCCCCAGCTCTGGTGGGGGAATTGTCTGGGGATGAGAGCAGTGAATGAAGGTCGAAGAAAGTCTGGAGAGAAATATTCCAGGAGGGGAAGATTGGGCCCTTATTAGAAAGAAAGAAAGAGAATTGAATTGAATTGAACGACGGGGGGAAAGGAAAAAAATCAGTGACAGCCGTCTTCGACAGCCTCAAACGCTGCGAGATACGGAAATAATTCCTCCAGATGGAACTAAATTGCGCGTATGGAGCTGGTGATGGAGGTATTCATCCTGAAGGTACCACAGGTAGAGGGATGGTTTGGTAGAGATGAGGACAAAAGAGACTGGGGAAGAGCTGCAGCTGGAAAGATGCAGAAAACAAAGAGAAATTGGGTGAGGAGGGATGAATCTAAAGTCTAGGGCTGTTGCTGCAGCGGCAGCCTGCAAACGCAGAAGCTCGGCGAAAAAAAGAAACACCCCAAACAAAGTGATTGGTTGTGTGAGCGATTAGATAGCTGTATTCTTTGTGTTAGAAACAATGTTTTAGTACTGATCTATCAGAAATGAAGATTCACAGTCCTCTGTTGAATCAAAGGCGAGCATACAATACCTATACTATGAGGTCTCTAGAGTATCGGTTCAAACTACTGGCGCTAATTGAGGAACCCAATGGGTTATCCTACTCCATTAACTGTATTTTTCGGTCTCATTTCTGAACGGTCGCCATACAATGCATGTCTGATATAATGATTCTGCGCAAGATGTAGGTGAAACGACATTGAAAACGGTATATACACTGAATTTGAGTAGGACGGCGAGTCTATGAAAATCAAGTCTAAATGTAGTAAGATACAAGGCAGAATTTGTAGTTTTGAAATGTATGGCACTTTCAAGCAGCGCAAGAACCGGAGCCGCCCTCATCTATTGATTTCATATCAGGTTAGCAAGTCCAATACGACGAGGCAATGAGAGAAGGGTCAACATACTGCTCATCATCTTAGCAATGGCCTGGACAAGACTAACTCCCATGACGGCGATTCCGAACGCTATGCACAGATAAGCAGGGATTTTTGCCTTTCGGCTTGTATTGCTTAGTTTGATGTAGCAAAGAGGAGGGAAGATATAGGCCAAGGCAGAGGCACTTGTCGCTCCGATGAGCTCAAACACAGCTCCTAGATCGCAGGTTACCAAGGCCAAAGCCATGGACGTTACGACCAGGGATGTTGTAAATATCAAATGCCGGTTCAAGTGAAACGGCTCGTCAGGGTAGTAATAGGTTGTCATAACTGATCGACACACAAATGCTTCCAGCGGCAAGGTGGTGAGCATGTTGAGGCCAAAACATCTGATCAAGTTAGCTCAATGATCCATGCTGGCCAGGAATTGTAAATCATACAGCCGTGCTATATTCACCAATATATTGTCCGATGGAAAGTTATTCAGAACATTTCCTTGAGTTTGAGAGCCAAAGGTAAGGAAGCCTGTAATACCCATAGCCAGGCACATGAATAAGGATACTGCTGTTGAATAGTGGGTAACACGGGCAAAACGATCCATCGTCGGTTTCTGAAGTGAGCCATAGATCAAAAGACTATTATGGTCTTTGGAAAAGGTCAGCTTCGGACGGCCTAAAAGATGCGATATGACGTACGGCAAACAAATGCTGCAGAATCGATTAGCTTTAGATTCCAACTGAGATACTGGAATTGAGTGCTATTATACATACCAAAAGATATCACTCCGACTGCCTGGAAGAAGCCAGAATTGACAAGAACAAGATTCTTTACATCTCCTCGCGACTCTGGAGGGACGCGGAATCCTTGGGTGATGACGGTGATCACAATCACTATCATGCTTATCAACGCAAGGGTGGACGCTTTTGCCAACTACATATACATCAGCGTTCTGTTCGGCTAGTCGTTTTATAGGTCTTCGAACCTTGGCAATGTCCCGATACAGAGACAATGGGTATGAGATACCAAGGACAAAAAGGACGATTATGGCGCGCCTGTCGGTAAGAAGCCAGAGGAATGACATATCTCGAAGGGAAGGGAATAGAGCGTTGAACACATGTGGAATAGTATCTCCAACAATAATACAGAAAGCAACCATGCCTCCAAAGGCAAAAGCCCATTGAGCAAGGGAAATGGCGATGAGTCCACTTTTTCCGAAACAATGTTGCATAGTTGCCTGGAAAGAGTCCGCGCCGCTCAACTTGGAGTTGACCACGATCAAACGAATCGTCCAGTCCACGGCAATTGTAAGCGCAACCAGAAGCCCTATGCCCATAACCATCCCTGCTTGTCGGAGCGCATAAGGCTGCCCGATAATACCGGCGCCAATGATGCTATTTGCCATATTCATAAACGCCATCCGCATCCCACTCCTGGGTCTAGCGCTCTCCAAATGGTCTTCAGGGAAGAAGTCCTCAGAAGTCGCAAGCGTCACACTCGGGGCCTCAATATCTGTCAATAGAGGAACCATCTGCCCCCTGTTTCTTCGCCCTGGGTCATTTTGGTTATCGTGCTCGTAATCTTCTTCTTCTATCCATAGCGTATCTGAGTTGGGGGAATGGCCACCCGAACGGTGTTCTTCCTCCGATTCCTCGTCGAGATCAAATCGAACACGGTTCGGCGTGCGAGGAGTACGACGTTGTCCATCCGGGACAGGCTGCGACATCGAGGATTGTCGTCGTAGGTCGTCAGGTCGTGTGTTAGGTGGGATTGTAATAGTCGGAGGCGCGGGCGGATTGGATCTAGTGGGATGGACTATCAAGTGGGGTTCTTCGATGGGAGACGCTAAAAGTAGGGATTGAGATTCCCCTCCATCTGGGCCGTTTTGGCCATCCAGGAGAGCATCGTGTCCTTCATCCCTGGGCATGGCTGAGTATGAGACTTGTCCATTCGCATCTCCGCATCCGGTGTTTTGGGGCCAGATAATCACGGAGGTGACACGTGATGGGCCTTATCGATAAGCCGACACGTAGATCTACAGGGGCAAATGACGACTTACGCGGTTACACCGGCTTGACAATATTTAATATTTAATATTTAATTCTATTAGGGGTATGGGGATTGATCCGGAAATCTTTCTTTGATTCTCTTATTTAAGTTTGTTACTATCACGTTTGTGGCGTTGTAATGCTTCTTTCATTCTACAGCACATTCCATCTATATAAACAATGGAGATAGCCTCGCTTCTTTCATTTCTTAGAGATCATGCACACAAATAAGTAGACTAGAGATCAAAGAGAAAAAGGCTAGATATATTTCTAATTAGATATATGAATTTATACCTCATAGTTGTATGAATTATTTGCTATGTTCTTAGCTGCCACTGACTGCCAGAATAGGGTTGGCCTGTCGTGTGCCCCAAAAGACAATCCTTCAACCCCTCCATCCTTTCAACACATCTCAATTGACCATCATGCTCACATCTTAGAGCTTAGTTACAATGAGCTCTACAATCGACCTGGGTAAGAGCATTTTTCAAACTCAGGGCTCGAGCTTGAATCTTACCTTACGTGCTTCAGCGGTGATGGCCCTACCCCCGGAGTCTACCCTTTCAAGAAGCTCTAAGGATGCTGAAGAATTATTTCGCTCTGGAGGCTTATGGGTGATACAAGCACCCGAACTGAAGCTACATATTTGTATCACTGCAGGGCCAGAAGTGACGCACTGTGCTTCAGCATTTTCCTCGAAACTCGGGCAGGTCCTCTGCAATTCAAAGGTATCTGACGTTTTGATCAGACTCATGGCTTCTCAAGCCATTGCTAACATCTACCGGTAGCTTTGGGTGGATCTAGGTCTTGCTGTTATCTTCAAAAGCTGCGACCATGTCGTTGGACCAAACCATTCAACCATCTTCCAGCTCTCTTTTGGGCTTTGCAGGAGGACAAAACACTCCACGTTCTCGAAATCCTTACGACTACCAGCTGAGATGCGATGCTACAATGAGGCCATACCACCTATCGATATCCCCACTGCTTACCTGGCTACAATCAACGTCTCTTTGGAGTATAATTACTGCTCTGAGAGTCCACAACCATATATATCCTGTGGCCCGATGACACCAAAACTCCTAGAACCGCTACAATATCCAATAGATAAAGATGAGAACCTGGAAGATGATATCCTAGACGAACAGTGTCTCTATTTCAACTCCTTACCGCAGCCATCAAACATGGCTACTTTTAAAAATGGTGTATCGATATTCGTGGAGGAACTTGAACAATTGAATGAAGAATGGAATAATCCTCCCGAAAAACACATGAATGAAGAGACATTTCAATGGGAAAGTAATGGGACTCAGTCCGTCCAAGACTTCCACACATTATTTGATACTGGTTTTCGAGCCCTGATTTTCCAATATCCGTCGCCTGCCGATAAAAGATCCAAAAGATCGAAAAAGGAACGGTCACAATGTCTCTCTGAAATTGCTCCTGCTGTGTTTAGTCGTGGTTATCGTGAAGTGAGTCCAAACATTCAAAGTCATATACCGCCGACTAACTTCATTTTCCTACCAAACAGGCCATGAGCCAACGGTCCCAGTTTATTCCGTTGATTGCGAAGTCCCTCAGTTCTATCCTGGACAGAACCACCGATCCAAACTTGCTGCCGAAGATTTCCGCTCTCAAGTCGTTAAACCATTCACGATCAGAAGGCCTACCTCCTTCGAACGCGATGGATACAAGAAACGCAATAAAATCGTCACTTTGGAGTATCGCCCAAAAGCAACTCTATAACCCAAAAGCCTCAAGAAATCTAAGCCCATTGGAAACTGCACCCATTCACGATGAAGAGCACCCTACGCTTGAGGGCTCCTTGCTCGCGGTCTCCATCACAGACGAAGCAGACTATGCATGGGATGGAGACGAAGATGACACACTAAACTATGACTCAGACTCTCTAGACCCCCAAGAGCATTTCGAAATCTGGGAAACAGAAAACGGAGACGACACTCTTATTTCCCTAGCAGAAGATCACTCAATTGGCATGCTGGATGGGAACAATACCGACGACGACCAGATAGAAACACAAGACACAACGTTATGTACCCCGGAGAATGCAGATCAGATCGTTTCATATCTATCACCGACTCCCTTTGACGATGGGCCACTGTGTCAGTCTGGTCTAAGTGATAGCGAAATGCTCGCTTCTGACCCGTTTGACGAGGCCATTTCGAGTCCGTATTTCTGTCTAAATGGGCTAGACCTCATGGATGAGGTGGCAGGCTTTGATGAGGATCTTGATGATATGTTGTGTGGTTAATGAGGGCCACGATTGTGATGAATGCATGTATTTGTACATATCCTGCTGTATAAATAGAACAGCCCCAGTTATTAATGGAAAGAGCATCCTGCTCGTGGGATAGAAGATAGAGAAGCACTCTGACTACGTATAAATATGTGGATGGTCTTCATATTCTATACTGTTATTGAGGAATATGAAAAAAAGAAGGCGAGAAACAAAGCATAGTCAATGGTTTTACAGAATGGCTAATTCGTGATAGAAAGCCTTCCGGTGTTCTAAACTTTAGATACAAACCTCCCGCTAGGAGAGCAAGATATCAAACGAGCCACAATGAAGAAGTAATTGCTAAATGCCATCCCTGAATACTGTTCTACGTCCCCATAAACTCCATACCTCTAGAATGCGCGATAAAACTGTTGGTCGTTGAAATTAAGCCGTAGCCTTCAATGGACAAATTCTTCCTTGAAATAGGTCCGTGATGCAGCAGCAGCCCGAATCAATCATAATCAGGCATGCTGAGCTCGCTCAGTGAAGAATGAATACGTCGCTTAGGGGAATGCTCAAGTTCTTTCGGCTCAATCAGGAACTTTGGATTTGTCGGCACCTGCCATGAGGCCACGTCGGAAATTTGAGCTAGATAGGCAAGTTGCGACTCATCAAAGGAACGGATGAATTTTTCGTCGAGTGGGCGAGACTTCGGGAAAGAATAATTTAGGTATTCAGTGATGACATCGTCGATGTCCCAGTTCTGCAATTTGCGAAAACACCCAACTATACATCCAGTTCGGTGCTACCCAAAACATATTCAGTCATATGCTAAGCAGGGCGAGCAGGTGTACAACTTACTTTACCCTTATTGCAGTGAACAAGTACAGGATGATTAGCCTTGTTTAAAAGAATCTCGAGCACCTTGACGATAATATGATCAGGCGTTTTAACCGCAGGATCCTTATTGGCCTGGATCAGAATTCGATGGTGGGCAATGCCGTTTTCCGTGAGAAAGTTGGAGTGGGCTGTAGTAAACGGTTCTTCAACAAGGGTTCTATGAACCCAGAATAAGTAAGGACTAATCAAAATATGATAGATCACGTACATGATAGTTTTCAAACCGAGCTTTCTAAGAGCTGGTAGGTGCCACGCGTGGGGGAAAGAACTGCGATAAATGCCCTTCACGACTTCCCCAAAGTTCTGCGGAAAGTCATACTGTGTGGGGTCGTGATCGAGTGTAGAGCTCTTGAAGCGAGACTTTTCTGCTTGTATCACGCACATGTCAGTCCACTCATCATAAAAGCACAGGCTAGAGGCAAGCGGACAAGGGATCTTTAACATGAAGCCAATAAGATGGTTATTGTGAAGGCTCACTTACCAAACTGCCCTTTGAGGGAGCTGTTAGAGCTCTTTTCGAGCAAGGGAAGCGCCATTGTGCAATATTTGCCCTGAAAGGACGCGACTGGATAAGGATAAATGCGTAGGGACGGAAAAGAGAGTCCGTTGTCGACGTGTAATTCAGGACAGTCAAAGACTGACCAGAGTCAAAAGGACACGGGGTAGGGTGAAGGAAGATGTCAGAGAGAAGATAGTATTTACGTCCAAGGAGAAGCGTTTTCTAGTATTGAAAGACTAGAAACAATCTCACAACGACGGAAGAGGTGGAGATAACTTGGGAAAGACTTGAAAGTCCAGCCCTCGAATATCAAAGGAAACAGAAGAAGAAGTTTAAGAAAGCCATCGTTGTAGAATGAGGCAAAGGAAGATGGAGGGGAAAAGCAGGGGAGGGAAGAGAAGAGATCAGAAGAGAATTGAAAAACAAAAGCCCAGTCTGGCAGAGGAAAACAATGAGATTGTAATGCTATAATAGGTATTGGGCGGTGAGCTGCAGAGGGAAGTATCAACAGAGCAGAGCGGCGTCCGCCGTCAGAACCCACGCTAGCAGTGCTTGACGAGGGAAAACAGAACAAACTCAAGATCCAGACTGCTTCTGAGTGAAAGAAAAAGACAATCAGACAGTGTTTATTGGCGGAGAGACATATTGCCCCCCTCAGGCACTGTCACACATGATCCATCAAATAAAGACTGTCTGTCACTCTGCTTGTTATATTTCTCATACCCACTAATATGGTAGATGTGAGTAATCACAATGGAGAACCCTCATTCCTTGGGCTGTTTGATTAGCATATCAGACACTTTCGTCAATGCATTGTCAAAAAGAAGTCGATGGATGCTCCAAACCAATGACTTGAGCGCGTTTCGGGGACTGACGAATGTCTTTGGCTGAGATAAAGGCACATTCCCGGCATCTATCTAATGAGATCATGAAATTGACAAAGAGAGATAGTCAGATTCTATAACGCTTCAGTGATGAGCACGAATATCAATTGCTGTCGGTCTAATTGTCGGTCTAATTGTCGGTCTAATCGCCAAAATCAGTGTTTCGTATCAGGGTACGGATGAGAAGGGTGAGTAGCGAGCTATGATGTCTCTTCTCCTAGTCCAAACATTCTGATGGAATTGTTCCAGGCCCTGTCATATAGCATATCAGCAATGTTCGAAAGAGATTCACCAATCCAGGAACTTACGCTTCGCAGACTTCTTCCGCCGTTATCCCCTTGACTCTAGCAATTACATGGGCAACTCGGACGATGGCCACGGGCTCGTTGCGACCCTTGACCATACAGCCTTTCTGCCACTTTTCCTTCTTGACTGCCTTTGGCAGCTCTGGTGCGCCTTCTAAGAATTTCGAGGATGCGTGGGAGGGGCGAATCTCGCACTGCAAAGCCATGTTAGTTGGGATAATCAGACGGTGTAGGAAACGCGAGATTTGCATACCCAGGGACCATCAGTCTCGATCTGCAGTCGATCCAGAGGAATTGCCTTGACCACCTCCAAATTTTCTTCGGTCTTCATGCTGCAGCCGTTGACTCCAACATCCAGACCTAAAGCGACCATTCGGTTCATTTCTTCCATAGTCCCGGTAAAACTGTGGACCAATCCCCTTTTAGGGAGTTTTGCTAGTCTTGGAGCAATCAGCTTCTCGAAATCTTCGCTAGCAGCCCTGGAGTGAAGGAAAAGAGGCAGCTGAATTTCCACTGCGAGGTCCAGCTGGGCTTCGAAGTACTTGAGCTGCGGCTCTTTTTCGCTCATAAACAAACGATCGTAATCAAGACCGATTTCACCGAAAGCAACAGCATGGCCAGCTTGTTTCGATTCTAAAGCTAGAGACCGAAGCTCATCAAGCAATTTCGACGGTCCACCTGGATAGCTATCGAAGAGCTTGGCCTGGCATGGATGAACTCCGACAGTGCCGTAGCAAAAGCCCGCTGTCAGAATTGTTGTCAGACAAGGAAATCAGAAGAAAGAGAGAAGAGTTGGGCATACGGTAATTGCGAGCAATCTCAAGAGCACGCCGAGACTCTTCTAGGTCAGACCCAGTGACCATGAACTTCATGCAACCCACTTCACGGGCCCTTTGGATAATATCATCCAGGTCACTATCATGGACCTGCTTTCCATGGTACTCTCCTTGGAAAACAGGGTCACTGAAGTTGATTCCAATCTAGATTGGTTCTTATTAGCTATTGAGGCTTGAAAGAACCACTCCTTCCCAAGACCACTTACATCAACATATCTCAAGGGCTGGCTGGTGTCACCCATTTTGACTGCAGGTGAATTTGTATGTGCAGAAACAGAGAATCTTTGTCTCTGAAAGACAAAGGGCCTACAACAGGATGCTGCAATCATTGTAAGTTTTTTTCCTTGCTCCTTCCTATTTGAATGCATTTTTCATGTCTAACATTGAATTTTGACTCAGACATACCTGGACTATCCCGGGAGGAAAACGGCGATCGTGACTGCCAGAAAGCGCTTCCTCTGATTCCTACGTGGTTCAGAAACGAGGGTTTACTATTTCCAGAAAACCTCAGAATACTTCCAACAGAAAATGCCACCTGCATGAGAAAGTGGTAATCACTTTGTCTGTGGTTGATTTCTCCTGTGACTCGATATCGATCGATATCCAAACATTCTTTGTGCAGTTCCGACGAGAGTTTACTAGCCACAGTTACTGCGCCTCGTGTGGCTGGTACATGCTTACATAAAGATGGGCTTGACGGGAAGAACACCGAGTGCAATCGGCGATGCCCCGATTCTCCGCCGACGAGGAAGACCGAATTCGGCTCATCAGCGAGAGGTCTGAGATGCCACTCTGAAGCAGTGATGGCAGTGCTACATCGCACTGAGTCCATCAATTTTTTATGATTGAGGAATCAATGCCTTCCAGAGATTCCACCGTTCGACCGATTGTGTGGGGATACTCCGCATGTCTTATAGATTGACAGCAGAAGATCACGTCTCCTGCGCAATGTGCATCACTGATCTCTCGCTACGACACTGACATGCTGTTTCAGTAATTCCACGGGCGAATCAAAACAGCCCTTGTCGTTTAATTGATAAAGACAGCATTCCTGAGCTACGGGCTATTTGTGTGTTGCATCAATGCGTAGTCTCATCACCAATCATCAACCCCTCATTATCATCACCGGTCCGGGGACGAACCCGAGACTAAGACCGCAGTGGAACCCCGAATCGATGAAGATCGCTCTCCTCCGCATTTCCGCACTGTGTGTCCAAGTGGCCTGGTGGAGGAGCTCCAATTTCTTTTCTCGGGCGAATGCATTTCCTTATAATGCGTTGTCTTCGCCATTCGTGATTCTTTCTTTTCCCGAATAGCGAGCTCCGTGATATACCTGCCATAACATATTCTACGGCCAACCCCACATTTGATAAGCATTATCGCTCCGATTGTGTATCAGGCATATCTAATCAGACCCGATTGCTGGATTGATGTGTCAAAATGGCAACTCAGAAGCTCGTGACTGTCCAGCAGGTCTCAGAACATAAGACGCCTGAAGATTGCTGGATTGTCGTGGATAATCAGGTGTGGGACGTTACTGACTTTTTGGAGGAACATCCTGGGGGCTCTACGAGTGAGTTTTGTCTGCTGTTTCAAATTGCATTGTGGAGCAAAGCTAATATGACCTACCAATACTAGTTATCTTGAAATACGCAGGCCGTGATGCCACAAAAGCCTACTCGGAAGTTCACACCCCAGGCGTCCTGAAAACAAACCTCCCGGCAGAGAAATATATAGGTGTTCTCGATGAGTCCACGATAAACGATGAATGGATCAAAGAGCCACCTAGTGCAAGCCCCAAGGTTGTTTTGGAACACGAGAAGCCGTCTTTGGACACTTTGATCAACTCACACGACTTTGAGGAGGTGGCATCCAAGACAGCCTCCAAGAAGACATGGGCATTCTACTCCAGTGCCGCGACAGATTTGATAACCCGTGATGCTAACAAATCGTGCTTTGATCGCATATGGTTCCGACCTCGGGTGCTGAAGAATGTGCGCTCCGTTGATACCAAGTCGAAGATTCTGGGGGTCGATAGCAGTCTACCTTTGTTTGTTAGTCCAGCTGCCATGGCCAAGCTCATACACCCAGACGGTGAATGCGCGATTGCAAGGGCTTGTGAGACCAAGGGTATTATGCAGGGTGTAAGTCCCATATTGTATCCTTCGCGCCATATCCCACTGTCTAACCATTGAGCAGATTTCCAACAATTCTTCCTACACAATGGATGAACTAAGAAGCACCGCACCCTCGGCAAACTTTTTCTTCCAGTTGTATGTCAACCGAGACCGCGCCAAATCGGCTGCTCTGCTCCGTCAGTGTTCGGCCAATCCCAACGTAAAAGCGATATTCGTGACAGTCGACGCTGCATGGCCAGGCAAACGAGAGGCGGACGAGCGAGTCAAGGTAGATGAAAGCCTTTCAGTTCCAATGGCACCGAGCAAAGCGAAGAACGACAAACAAGGCGGTGGTATTGGACGTGTCATGGCCGGGTTCATCGACCCTGGATTGACATGGGAAGACTTGGTTTGGGTACGGAAGCATACGCATCTGCCGGTGTGTCTGAAAGGAGTGATGTCGGCAGATGATGCTATACTAGCGATGAAGGCTGGGTTGGATGGCATTCTGCTGAGCAACCACGGAGGGCGCAATCTTGACACCAGCCCGCCGTCTATTATCACATTGTTGGAGCTCCACAAACGGTGCCCGGAGGTTTTTGATAAGATGGAAGTTTATGTGGACAGCGGAATCCGGCGGGGAAGCGACATTTTAAAGGTATGCAAGTCCAGACCAGAAGCAACATATTTCATGCAGGGCTAATTGATATGTGGAAGGCGGTTTGCCTGGGTGCCACGGCGGTTGGGATGGGACGCAGCATGCTCTTTGCTACGAATTACGGCCAAGAGGGGGTGGAGCATTTGATAGATAGTAAGTCACATTTCTTTTCTTTTCTTTTTTTTCCAGCCCCCTTATCGACGGGATCCTTGAAAACCACTACTAACCCTGCGGACAGTTATGCGGGATGAATTAGAAACCGCGATGCGCAACACCGGTATCACCAGCCTTGACCAAGCGAATGCAGATCTGGTCCACACCGGGGATGTCGACCACCTCGTGCCGGGGAGTGTGTCGCATCCGTACGCTCACGCAATCGCCAAGTCACGACGTGGTTCCAAATTGTAGAAGAGACTGATAGTCTGATAAATTCGATAACTGGTATATAGGGAGATTGTGATACAGTTGCCAAGTATTCTAGAGATAATGCATACATAGTTGGTGGATCAACATCGTAATCCTCTTGGCAGCTGGCCTTCAGCCCGGCGATTTAGGATGATTCCGAAGCCCAGAACGGAAGGTTACCAGTGTGCTCCGTACTCCGTAGAGGATCGGCGAGTTTGACGAGTTCCGGACGACCTGAAAGGGAAAAAGAAAAGAAATCGAAGAGAAAAGAAGAAGAAGAAATGGTGAGATAAGATCGACTAGTCGTCGTCGGGCTGAATTGTTCAGCAGGATGATCCATCTCGCGACCGACTCAGATCCACGATCGCCGTCACGTGCAGCGCCCCCTTTCGGGCGCCCCACCTCTCAACAGTTGAGGAGGTGGTGTTGTCACCAGCAATCCGGGGACTGCCATAGGCAGGCAACACGCCAACAACAATAATTATAGATCCGTTCAGAGATTCAGCTGAGATTCAGATTACTACAGGATCGGCTATTCTAGAAATCTCCGCAGAGATTTAAACTATTGAAATGCGATGGATTCGATGGAGTAGGATTACGCTTCCCTTTCATTAATTTAGTCTGAGTGTAACACGAGAAGGACTGGGAATGATTCTCAGAACTACAGGGTAGAAATGAGCACCATGAAAACACCATGATCCATGATGACATGATTGTGTTGCATAACCCACTACCAATAATTAATTCCACGACACAATATGTCTCGACGACTTCTCCAAGGTAGAGACGATCGCCTCCATCCTCCTATCACAGCGATGGATCATCAAGAGGGGAAATCATGGATGGTGCATATCACCAATAAATGAGGGTGTGATGTATCCTAGAGGGCAACACGTTTAATGGATTAATTTAGCCAGGATGCATCCCATCTCTTCCGTAGACTAGAGTGGGATGCTAGAATATACGCAGTATGCAGCATCCCATACAATAATGATGATAATACTAAGACTAATACTAATAAATAGTCCAGGCGATCTTCAACAGGGCCAGACCGCCCCATACTGTGCCGTCCCACTGCAAGCTGCCCTTCTATCATTCCTCCTTCCTTTCCCCTCCCAACGTTCCGCGAACAGCCACATATAAGTATCTCCTCACTCCCTCTGCTTTTCTTCCATCGACCTTCTCTTCTTCTTTCTCTCCCATCTGTCACTTTACTACTTTAATCTGAAATAATACATCCTAGTACACCCTAATACATACTTTACACTACACATACATACAGACTACTATGGCCGCTCCTCGCTCAACATCGTTGCGCGCCCTTCGTGTGCTCTCCCAGCAGAACAAGGCTGCTCCCTCCATCCGCCGCAACTTGCACATCACTGGCGTTCACTCTGCCCAGACTGCCAATGTCTCGGATCGTGCCTCCCTCTACTCGGCTCGTACTCTCACAGACCTCAAGAATGAATGCCAAAAGAGGGCATTAGGAGCCACTGGCAGCAAGCCCGAGGTATGTCTACATATACTATACTACATGATTTGTATATATCACTAACAAGTGTAGCTCGTTGAACGTCTCTCCAACCATGACTTCCTTCAATCCCGTGCCTTTAGCATCGCCATGAGAAGAATCAACGGCAGTGCCTTTGCAGACTCCGCTCGTCAATTCAACACCTCCCGTTCCCAAAAGGCCGTCAATGACTCTTCCACTGTCGACTTTGCCTACATGCCCTCCATGGCTGAGCTCGAGGCTACTGCTCCCCGTGCTGGCCCCCGCATTCCGATCCTTCCCGACCAGTACTCGCATCATGTCCCCAACCAGTCGATCCCATCTGACGCGGCTCCACCCATGAAGCCCCAGGTCTACTCTGTCTCCGGTGCGGGGTCCGATGTCGCGGTCAGTCCCATGACCGAAGTCGTCGACAATGAGTCCGTGGATATTGACCCATTCTCGCTCACGGAAGCCGTTGGGAAATCTCGCTTCGGCGCAGAGATGCAAAAACAAAATAACGGGTCGGAGGGCCAAGGTATAGCCAAACAGTTGTGGGGTGGCTTGCTCGATGATCTTTTAGGTCCTAAACAGAGTGCCTTGAGCAAGTGATTGAAGATGATCTACTTTGTTTCTAGCGATGATGTTTTCTATTCTACTGTTTATTGTTCAATATGATTCAATGGCATGACCCATGTGATATTCTACATGTGAACTGTTCGTAGTTAATTCCGAAATAATATAATCACGCCATATACACATAGCATCAACATGACGTCTACCGACATAACATCCGGGATTATCATATGTACATCCAAGAAGACGCACAAAGTCAGAATAACCTAGGCCCGACATCCACCCGCCCGGAACAAAGGACCTCTTCATCGTACTGGTCACTTGACTCATCCTCACCAATAGCAATAACCAAGGTAAAACCATAATTCACACCCGAGGTGATCTACCTAACTTACTCAACCTCAACCCCCTACTCCCGAGTCCCGATTACTTTTAGCAGAGCTGGATTATTATCCGAGAGATCGCCGTTAGCCAAGTGTGTTAACTGTTAGCTAACGACTAGTTTAGCCGCCAAGTCTGTCGAAAATTGTTTAAAAATGATCTGAAATCTGATAATTCAATTCCGTAAGGGTAGAGTAGAGTAGAATGTTCTTCCGATCCCTTCCGACGGTGTTGTTCTTATCCAGCCGGTGCTGTGATGATGTCATGGATTTGTTGTACGTATTTGGATTTGTGATTTTTTGACGTTTACATATTGCACGCGAAGAATTGTGGATACTCTCAACAATTATTAGTTGGATGGTTAGTTGGTTTGGTTTGGGAATTGGTCATGTTGTACTACATCGGAGGTGGTATGGTGATTATGTATTCTGCAGTGTAAAAGTATTCTTATCCTTGTATGGAGTAGGGCTGGGTAGGAAGTATTATCTGATGCCTCGGCTTGTTTGATCTAATCTTTACTGGTGGGAGATAGATTGGAGGGAGTGGGATGATCTTCGTAGACATGTGAATCATGGCAGAACGTCCAATTCCTTTGCAGTGTGGAATTGTTAAGTAAATACAGGCAACCCTTGTATCTCTGGAAAAATTAGTTATGCTGTTCATATTTTCCATTTTATCCATCTCATTCTGGAAATTGGAGATGTAATAATTGCCGAATATGTGGCTAAACTAGATAAATAAAATAAAGCAGGCTGCTGGATCAACTATTAACGATGTGCTTTCAAAGATAGACGAGATTGGAAGACTTTCTCAAGCGATGATAACTGGAAATAGACGAAATAGACCATTGCTGACTGAAAGATATGTTTGAAAATGCAAAGTGACTACTTATTCTCAATGGCGTTTTTAGTCATGAAAGTCTACTTTGCATGCCGCATCTGAAATCCCTAGCTGTTGGCTTTGGTATCGACATTGTCTCGAGGATACAGAGCATCAGACAAAGAAGTCGTCTGCCCATTCTTGACTCGGTCTGTTTCCTCCTTCACATTGAGTATCTCGGGCCAGTTGAAATGTTCCTTGTCGAGTATATTCCCGATTGTATCCACCATCTTTGCTGTTGAAAGGTACAATGCCTGCATGTATCGATAGTCGCAGCTGTCAACCGAATTCTCTCCAACATACTCGCGGATCAATTTGTTCGTAAGAGAGTAGCGATCAATCTCCTCAGCGAGCCGGTGGAACAAGGCAACTCGTTTGTCTGAATTTTCCTCACGCGTAGAATTCGAGTCCTTGAACGATGGAATGCGATATTGATCGTCTTTCAGGCGCCGGGTACGGGCTTCCTCTGCCACGCGGCGATACGGCTCTTGTTTCATAATATCATACGTACTCCAATTCCATTTCGCAGTGATCCCCTTGGCCGCAAGCTTCTCAAAAGCGTATCGTTCTCGTCTCTCTGCTCCCCAGCCATCAAAATCGGTGAACCAATTGATATCTGCATCTTTGATCTGCCCTGGGATGCTATTCCACCCAGATGTATGGAAAAGGGCGTTCAGTGATGAAAGGTATCTTGTAGACACCCCCTGCTTGTTGAAACCGATTCGCACAATTCGGCAACCTATGGTATGCATGCTGTCAGGTCGGTAAGTACCCATTGGAACACTGTCCTTACAGACGTCAGCCAGGATAGGATGAAGGTCTGCGAGAGCTAGACGGGTTCTCCCGAATGACAGCGGTACCATCTTGTATACAAAAGGGACTTCTTTGTAGGGGATAAGTTGGGCGCGAGGAATGGGTTTAGGAGAGAGGTGGGTGGAACGATGAAGAGGATTAAATACTCCTGAGGATTCCTCGATGAGAGGTCAAGGCAAGCTAGTCAAATATATCTCAGGTCAGTCAGTTGGTTTTGGTGATCAGAAGTGAGGTAAAAGACAAATCTTCTTTATATTTCACCTTTTTTACCTGGTCTGCTCGGATATATAGTACGCGACATTCTGACAGAATTCAATTTATCGAAGCCGCGTCATTTGAATACTATTGAATTAAGGCCAAGTCGTGATCCAGGTGAAGTAATGGTGAAATGAAATCGATGGCCTCTTTCCTTGGGCTGTTATATTATCAATGGTTAGCCCTCGTATGTTTTCTCGTTCACTTCATCCTCACATGCTTAGTTTAGCGGCTCACCAAAATACTACGAGATCCTTGGTGGCTTGTTCAGTGGTGTCAAATCGTTGAAAACTTGGGACGTCTGGTATTTTGACCTCCATATTCAGCAGAAACCTCTGCCTTATCCAAGCGTTTCGATCGTCTCTTCAGGTTTTGTCCTATAAAATTGGGTTTGTTAGCAGACTGGTATAAATACTGACCAGAAGAAATAGGTACCATACACTTTCTCAAGTACATAGTATCAGAACAGACACACAGCTTTTCAATTCTTCTGTGATGTCGGCAAACTGAAGTCAAACGCTGGATTGAATGACAACCAGTTTGGGGGCTCGAGTTGATGACCCCGTGACTGCTGCGCCAATCCCCTTTGGGAGTCTTGCTCTACACTGAACCCTCCTGAATCCGTCCAACTTCAACTCTTAGACACGGCAAAGAACAACTCATCTCAAGCGATATTCCTTTCTGCTTTAGAATACCCTGTCATCAAGCCCGGTACAGAGGAAATCGGGGCGAGCATGCTGAGATACAGATACGAATTTAGAAACAACTTTTGTCAGCCTTTTGCCACGGTTTGCATCTAAATTCATCCTTTCCCGCTTAGATTTACTAATGTTTTTCTGTATAGGTCATCTGTCCTTCGACGTCCCGTCCCAAGATGCGCCATCTCATAGTGGATCATTGAAGTTGATATATAACGTGAGATGATCGACAGAAGCCAGGTCAACAAATGCCAGAAGGGCAATAGCAAGCGGAGATCTATGATTTGCTATGCAAAAGTCCGTAACTATAGATTTTGTAATCGGCACATTGGCAAGTTAGTGGGGAAAAATATCCGACTGATCAAGCTCTGATCTGACAGATTTTTCACAGGAGATTTTTTATATCGATCCGACTAAGATACTCGCAACTGCCAAGTGGCGAAGCAATACCGTTGGACTCAATGCCGAAGATTGGCAGTGAGAATACAATGCTTACTACAGCTGAATAGAGCAGGAGGGAAGATTTTCATCGACCAGCCGCTGTCAGTGATCGGAGAGCACCACGTCGAAGTGGTACGTATACACTGCACTCAGCTGATGCATGTCAGCCCATGGATCACATTGTTTCAGATGGATGTTTCAACTTTCGATATAATGGCACACCCGGCGGCCATTATTGGTGACACCCCTCTGTCGCTTTGCAATGTCATTGGCTGGTTCGATGCAGTGTTGGCCGAACAGGCGGGTAAAGGCCGCGCGCCAATTGCGTTGTCGCTAAGTCCCCGAGTCTGGCCTTGTCGGTGAAACACCCCTTGCACACAGACAAACGATGACAGGAGGTGAATAATACTATGGGATTGATATAGCGACTCCATCTGAACATCGCAGTTCGTCATAAAGTGGCTCTGGTGGCAAAGATGGAGCCCTGATGGCGGTGGCCTAAAAGGTGGTCAGATCAATAGGTGGGTTTTTTATACCCTGCTAGAGTCTAGACCGCCAGCCTATCATATTTCTTTTGCCGATCTGTAAAGTGTCCAAACTCCAAACTCATCTAATATTGCAGTCTTTTGAGAGTATCCAGTCCACCCTTCCCGTGGATCAACCAAACTCTGCCGCTCTCACTTCATCAATTCCAGTCATCTCCTGGTTGCAATTGCCCATGATACTGATAGATATAATTATAATGCCTTCAGGGGGAGATCCCCATCGGCTCCACCCAATAGCTCAAAGAAGCTTAACCCGTGGCTGATCAGGACTAGCGGCGCTGCCCAGTCTATATTTGCAGCCAATCAGCCTCGAGCATTCCCAGTTTTTCTCTTTCTGGGGAAGCAAAAGTTGGCCACTAGGGCCTAGGCATGTCCCCTTTAGGAAGCAACTTATCAGTCCGTCTAAAAAAAAGATATTCACTCTCTCCCCTCACTCCGTATGATTTGTTCTGTTCTCTTTTCTATTCTGGATCTTCCCGTCCTTTTTTTTTTTAATCCTTTGGTCTCTGACTGTACATATTCTAATCTAATTACATCATTCGTTCTCGGTCTCTTCTCTCCTGTTGCTATTTCAACTGCCCCTCTCTCCCTTATCTATCTCTCCCTCGACTACTGTCTTTGTCTTTCATCGTTACACCACTGTCTCTCCTTAATTAACCCTCATCCACTCTTTTACGAGAGGCTGGCACTCTTGTATACCTTTCTCACCTATCATCGTCAAATGAAGCTTGCAATCCAGTCAAGCAGATAGCTTAGTGGCTAGGATCATGCGTCTCACACCATGTCTCTTCACTGCTACATCTCTCTCCACCTGCGTCGCGGCCTTTTTTCCCTATAGCTTCAAACCCGGAGACTCCGCCAGCGATTCCATCCAAGATGCAGATTCAAAAGATGATGCCGACTCCAGCGGTTCGATAACTCTGGACCTCCGAAAGGTCCGTCGCGGTAATAACTACAAAGTTGTCATGGCAGACACGCCGTCCGCCAACAACAGCGTCGCCCTCAACCAAGACGGAAATGACTACTCTTACTTCGCCACCATCAAACTCGGCTCGCAGGACCAGGATATGTGGATGCTACTTGATACTGGAGGAACCAACACTTGGGTCTTTTCTTCGGATTGCACGTCCAAGGCTTGCAAGCAACACAACACCTTTGGAGAAAAGGCTTCTACCACTCTCAAAATGACGTCGAATAAATGGAATGTTGGATACGGAACTGGCACTGTTAGTGGTCTCTTGGGCAATGACACCCTTTCCATTGCAGGACTGGATGTTGGGATGACTCTTGGATTAGCCGACGAAGCATCAGACGATTTCATGTCCTATCCCATGGACGGTATTCTGGGTCTTGGCCGCTCAAACAATAGCGGATACGGTACACCCAGTTTTATGGATGCCTTGGTGGAAGGCAACCTTCTCCAGTCAAACAGCATTGCCTTTAGCCTCTCTCGAGGCAAGGACGGGGGTAAGGATGGGGAAGTCTCCCTGGGTCATGTTGACGAAAGCAAGTATATCGGGGATATTACCTATACCGACACGGTAGGAGACAGCGCACGGTGGACTATTCCTTTGGACGACGCCATCGTGAACGGCCAGGCCTGTAATTTCACCGGAAAGTCCGCCATCATCGACACAGGAACCTCCTATGCTTTACTTCCCCCCGGAGATGCCAAAGCTCTTCATGCCCTCATTCCCGGGTCTACTTCTTCTGGCGAGAACTATGTCCTACCGTGCAACTCGACCGCGGAGCTGCGGTTCAAGTTTTCTGGGGTCAGTTACAGCGTTTCCCCCAAGGACTATGTCGGGTCCAAGAGTGGCACAAACTGCGTGTCAACCATTATTGGACACCAGACATTTGGAGACGACGAATGGCTCTTGGGTGATGTCTTCCTCAAAAACGTCTACTCGGTTTTTGATTTCGACAACAGCCGAGTCGGCTTAGCAGGTCGTGATTCCGACTCGCCCCCAATTGGCAACTCAACATCCTCGTCAAATTCCACTATTACATCAACCTCGGATGTGTCTGAAGACGATGACCCAAAGACCGAGTCTACGACTTCGACTTCGACTGCTACTGCTGCTGGCTCCAGCGGTACTAGTTCGACAGACGACCAGACTGGTGCAGCATCCAACATTGTTCCCAAATTCTACTGGCCTGCCGCGATGGCTATGTTCATGCTCTGGATATAGCCTAGTTCTAGCGGGCTTTTCCAAACCTCTTCCCACCCGAAGCTCACACCTTCCGCAGTCTATCCGGTTTCTCATTCGCTTATATCATTCACTCGCTTTATACACCATTCATCATCATTCATCATCATTCATCATCATTCATCATCATTCATCATCATTCATCATCATTCATCATCATTCATCATCATTCATCATCATTCATCATCATTCATTTATTCTACCCATCGTCTATCTTTTAATACCCCCGGAGCGTTCAAAAATGTACATTGTTTAGACCCGGCACTGGTTGATTTCTGGCATCAGCATACACTGTTTTCTGAACATACATAACTGGATTGCACATGGTTTTTCATTCTACGGAGTACTTGGTTGAAGATCTGTCGTCGGGTCTATGATATGTGTCTTGTTTTTATTCTTTATCTTTTTCCTATTGGCACATATTTCACTGATCTTGGTATGCTTTGTTGATAAACATTAGAGGGCGGCGTAATGGATTTGAGCTCGAGTATTTTCGCTCATGCAAATACTATTTATTTCACGACAAAGACACCCTTTACAACACAACCTTTTCCGGAATCAACGTGTATGACTTTGGACACGAGTCTGTTATAATCAGTTAGTCAACTGCTTTGAAGTGCAGGAAACAGGAAACATACCTAGCATGGTTTTGTCAAACTCTTGGACGTTGTTGAATCCAGCAACACACATCAGGATATCAAAGTCCGCTAGGAGAGACTTCATGACATGACGAACTCCATCCTCGCCCAAGATACTGAGTCCCCAAATCCAAAGTCGTCCCACGAAGACAAACTTGGCACCGAGTGCAAGAGCCTTGACCACATCGCTGGCTCCGCGAACTCCACTGTCATACATGATGTATATCTGCTCACCGACAGCTTCAACGATCTTCTCCAACGCGTCGAGACTTGGAATTGCCCCATCAACCTGCCGACCTGCATGGTTGCTCACGACAATACCATCAACGCCATACTCGACACACTTCCTAGCATCCGCAGCAGACTGGATTCCCTTGATCACAAACGGGCGACCCCCGGAGATTTGCTTCCACTTCTCTATCAGCCAGGGAATCGTCTCCCAGGACCACGCACGACCGTGCCAGATTGAATCGATCCACTTCGTCGATGCCGCGACGATATCTTTCTCCGGGTCGATGCCGTCCTCGCGACACCGCTTCTGGAACACAGGATCAGACAGACCTATTTCGGCGCCGATGCCGCGGTAAAAGGCATAGTTGGAGTTGGCGACGTCATCGTGTCGCCAACCAAGCTGCCAGGTGTCCGTGGTGAGAATTAGCGCGTCGAAGCCTGACTTCCATGCGCGCTCCATGAGAGATATGGTCAACTCGTCGTCGTGAGGCATGTATAGCTGATAAAAGCGAGGGCCGTTCCCATTTGCCTCTCCAACCTTTTCGATGGGTGTGCTTCCAGCCGTGGAGAGACAGTAAGGCAGGTTGAGTTCCCCAGCGACCTTGGCGACCGGGACTTCAGCCAGGGGGTGGTATATCTTGTTTATGCCGATGGGAGCGAAGCCAATAGGTGCGGACACCCTGTGGCCGAAGATCTCTGTCGTGGTATCCCGCAAGTTTGTGTCCACCAGCTGTCTAGGGATGATTCGGTGGCGGTAGAAGGCTTGACGGTTGGCCAGGTGGGTGTTGGACATGCCTGCGTTTGAGGATGCATAATACCTAGCGAGTCAGTGTGGGTGCTTTGGTATGCGTCGAGGTTCTCTTACCAGCCGGCTTCGGTGAGCTTTTGTCGGGCTCTTTCTTCGAGTTTCTTTGGATCTGTCGGTTATCAGCATGGTTTTTAACAGGACGATTGATCCTTCATACCAGTGTTGAAAGGAGGTACTTGGCCATCGTTGCTCTTCCAAAAGTTTTCCCGCTGGTATAATCCCCATTGGGGCGTTGCTCTGTTCTGGATATTGGGGTTGCTTGGGTCACTCATGATGGATATCGTCAATTCGAATCAGATAAAGGTCTCAGAGAAAGGAAATATAGTATGATACTGAATAGCAAATTGAGTTCTGAATTCCCTTCCATGCCACCGATTGATATAGATGCCAGTCTTATCGATGACTTCATTTTGACGCCGTTTCTCGGTCGAGAGAGATGGAGCTCCCTGGCCATTCTAATTGGCGATCACTACCATATTGTCTCGTCCAAGCTTTGATGGACACATGGATTGTATCTCTGAGATTATTATTTTGTGAGTGTTGGAATTGAGGAGTTGTCGGATTCTTCTCGACCGAATGATTCCACTTTAGTGTCAGGTCACTCGGATGAGAGACTAATAGTATCTGCAGATCATTTAGTATTTAGTATTTAGTATCCTATTTTGCTATCTTAATCATCTACTCTGTACTTGAATATATTATCCTCATTCATTTTGTTGAGTGCTATACCGATGATGTCATTGCACATTACAACCTCAATTCCTCCAAACCACCAACAAAAAGCGTCAAAAACCCCCAGAAACAAACCCAGATAGACTTCCAAAATGACTCCTTTTCCATCTTCTCATCCTCGTTTTCCAATGCATCTTCTTAGCAAATAATTACCAAATGAATGCCGAAATCCCGACTTCCCCCGGATAGTGACAAAAGGCTAACCGGCCCGGGAAAACCTTCGGGACGTGCCAGTGTCAGCCGTTCAGCTATCTTAAGTCGGCTGCTTCCTCTCAGCTCACACACCCCTCGTTTGTTCTGTCCAGTCATTGAAGAAGAATTGTTAAACAGTCGGTTTATCTTTCACAATCATCATGTTCGGATTGAGTAGACGGTCAGCGGTGACGCGCTCGAGATGTCTTGTCGCACAGAGAGCTAGACAGTCACCGCAATCGCTCATATCGCGGGATTTCCACAGCACCCAGGTCAACGCAGAACGACCAACATGGCTGCCGATGCGGGTGAAGACGCCTTGGATTGAGGCGTTGAGTAAGAGTCGTGAAAATCCGACTCCTGCGCCGCGCCCAAAGCCGGATTTGACGCCCAAGAAGATGTCGGATACTTTTTATAGTGCTGTACTACCACTGGCTCAGGATAAGTGGCTTCTGGATAGCTATCTCAATGCGTCGGGCCATATCAGGTATGTCTGTCTGAGTCAAAGTTGGATATGCGACGATTACTGACAGAGCTAGATTGGGTTCTTTGTTGATGGACCTCGATGCTTTCGCTGGTGTCATTGCCTACAGACACACTGGAGACTCGGTGACCACAGTGACAGCGGCCTGTGACAGAATCACCATCGAGCATCCGCTAATGGAGATTTGTGATCTCGAACTAAGCGGTAAAGTTACATATGCTACCGGAAGATCCAGTATGGAGATTTCGCTGCAGATAGCCAAGGCTCTTCCGGAAGGGCAAAAGCACAAACCAGAAGATATCTTAATTACTTGTGCTTTTACCATGGTTTCGTTGGACCCTGTGACGAAGAAGTAAGTGACTCTTGTAATTATTATGAACGTCTATTAACGTATCAGGCCGTCTCTTGTCGCCCCTATCTTGGCCGAGACTGAGGAAGAAAAGCGTCTTTTTAAGAAAGGAGAGGAGAACTCCCAGGCCAAGAAGGCATTGAGGAAAAAGAGTCTTTTGCAGACGGCGCCGGTTGATGAAGAGAGTGAACTGATTCATTCCATGTGGACCAAGGAAGTGGCGTATCTGAGTAAGTTGCCATTCTCGTTTGGATTAACAATACTGACTTTACAGACCCTGAAAATCCGGCCAAAAGACCTTCAAACGCAGTCTACATGAGCGACACTGTGTTAAAGTCCGCCATGATCATGCAGCCGCAAGATCGCAACCGCCACAACTTTATGATCTTCGGTGGCTTCCTCCTCAAACAGACCTTTGAACTTGCATTCTGCTGCGCTGCATCTTTCTCCCACTCTCGCCCGAACTTCATCTCCCTGGATCCTAGCACATTCGAAAACCCGGTCCCTGTTGGTAGTGTGCTATACCTGCGCGCCACCGTCTCTTACACAGAACCGCAAGAAATGGAAGGAATCGACAGCAAGTACACCAAGGTGCAGGTTCGCGTGGACTCCAAGGTCCGAGACGTCGAGCACGGCACCAAGAAGTCGACAGGCATGTTCAGCTACACCTTCTTGGTCGAGAAGGATATCCAGGTCATGCCTAGGAGTTATGGAGAGTTTATGCTCTGGACTGATGCCCGGAGACGTGCGGCACTTGTTCCTGATTCCAAGGAGCCTAGCGCTCTTAGAACTATCAAGGACAGTGTGACGGAGTAGATTTTTCAAGCATACAATGTAATATATCGTTTCCTAACTTGCTTGCTATAGATAGATCATTTCAGTGATAATAGAGTACATAAAACCATTTAACCCTAAAATATCAAGTAGAGGTACGAATAAGTCAATCGACTACTATACAAGTCACATGACAGCCTAGTTCTCCGCACTACACTCATGATAACACTCAACCTCATCACCAACTCCTCAATAAATCCCCAGCTACATTCCATACGATAGAAGCCATCTCATAAAACAAAAGGTAAATTAAGCCTGGCACTGAATAGAATGTCCCTCCCAAATACCTGGTATTTACGTCGAGTGGCCGACACAGCCGCCAAAGCGTGCCTGATCTGTTACAAACCCTCGAGCAGTGTGCTGATCACGCCAGATAACAAGGTATGTTGATATTGCCTATCTGTATCTTGTTTACCGGGATATTTATTGAGTTGTTGAAGGATTTCTTTTACGTATGTCCCGCCCACTTGAAGGATCGCAATTTCTGCTCGCCTGTTGTGGACACGGAAGAGCAGCAGGCCAAGAAGAAGCAGGATGCTATGGCTTTGGAGATTGAAAAGGTAAAGAAGGAGTACGAGGAGAAGCAGAAAAAGAAGAAAGAAAAGGAACAGGAAAAGGAGAAAGAGAAGAAGGCAACCGATGATAATGCCAAGGAGAAAGACGATCAAAGCAAGACGGATAAGAATAAGGATGGCAGTGACAAGAGTGATGAGAAGGAGAGGGATGACAAGGTTTGTTTTCTTTTCTTTTTCTGCTTTATATTTGCTTGTTTTCTTTCTTTGTTTTTTTTTTTTTTTTTTTTTTTTCCTGGGTGTAAGGTAGGCTGACATGGCGACAACAGATCGATTCCATCAGAAAATCAGATACAACTGGTGTATCCACGCCCACGTCGGATGACTCGCCTCGGATATTTTCTTTACATAAGTAGGTTGAATTTTGAATTTGAAAGAGTTTGATCTGCCTAGAACTAATCTAACTGTGTCAGAAACTTCTACCAAATGCGCATTGACAGACTGCGCAATATGGAAATGGCAAAGAGAAACCGTCAACGATTACAAGATCCTTCACTCTTCCCATCTGTTCCTTCCGGGGGTATTTGAATTACACGGCAGCGCAGATCGATCATATCAGTTTTGGCCCGACTGACGTGACGTTTGCAATCCCAGCGTCAGCGGGAGAAGGCGTTGTTATTTTTTCTTTTTCTTTTTTTCGACGAGGCTACCTATGACGCGCCTTCTTCATGACGATCTCTGATATGGATTTGAAAGATTGTTGGACGACGATACATGGCTGTTTACCTTTGGACGATGAAACGGATACGAGATGCAGAGTTAGTGGCCAGTGAGCAATCGACAGGAACGCCACATTAATGCAGGAAGCTCGATTATCATCCCAACGAGCACTAGTGACTTCGTGTACTGAAGGGCAAGACGGACGAACGAACTTCTAGATTGATGGGATAATTCCAAGCCGTGAGAGATCGACAATCGCCACGAGGATGAGTGAAATTCTGCGTCTGTGGCTTGAGGGTTAATTAGCAGTTCGGTCCGTGTTCTTGATATCATGCGGTGAGAACAGTCCTTGACTTGACTTGCATCTTGTGACTCGGCCAGTGTCATGTCACTTGTGGGCAGAGATTTACCCTGAAAGATGTAGGTTGATGAGGGATCGCCGGCCTAATCAGTTTCCAGAATGCGGACAAGGATGAATCAGGTGGGTTGAAGGCTCGACAACGGTTTCCCAGATGGTGTATGATCACTGCTTGAGACCTGCATGCTGATATTTCCGTCTGCCATGTCAGCACATCTAGCGGTGAAAATCCTGACTAGTCGTACAGACTGGTTATTCCACCGCTCAGACTGGGGAGAAGATAGAAGAAGATAAATATACCATGATTGAGCTATGAATACAGCAGAATATATACCAGACTCGCAATTCATGTATGCATGCATTGTTCACGGGAATAAGCACTAGGCTAAACGCGATGCTGACTGCTACACAAAGTACGGTACAGGTCAGATGGAAGCCGTCTGTGCTTTGGGCAGCATTCAGCCTTCAGCCCTAGGGGAATGATGGAGTGTTCAAGCAAGGCGTATGTATTATTTATGCTTGATGGAAATAGATCACATTACATCCACATCCAGCATTGCCATGTATAGATGGGATTTGTAAAGCTGCATATCTACGTATTCCACAATAGTCAATCATACTCTAGCACATCTATACATACTACCTAGTATCTATGTCTATGTCTACGGAATGCAGCATGATGTAATTAAGGCCATGGCCACCGTGATAGGAATGTGACGACTCGCCTCGAATCGACTCGACTGGATGCGAGGATGTGGGGAAGGGGGCAGTGCAATGAGTTTATCCATACTCATCTTACTCTTCCTCTCTGTAAGGGGAATGCATACAGTACTCTAGTTACAGCTTCTATCTATACTCTCTATAGATACAGATACAGATATCTACACATCACTCAAACACAACATCTTCCAACTCAACAAAAATAAAAATAAAAACACAAACCAAAAAAGAGAGAGAGAAAAGAATCAAGCAAGGCCCTCCTCAATCCTGAAACCACTCCGTTCCTGATACTCCATCACAAGTAGGCAGTGCAAATTGCTTGGCATGCAAGAATGGAGCCCTTACCAGCCAATCAACCACACGCCCCCTAGCCCTGTCCTGAAGTGTTCACTGCTCAGTGTGTCTGTTATTTCCCTTGTGGGGATTTTATTTTCTTGTCGTGTCGCATCGCATATTTCGGGGCTTACATACGACTTTAACAGGCTGGTAAAGAAGAGGGAAAAAAAAAAAAAAAAGGCTGAAGATATCCGGAGTTAAGAGTGGGGCTCGACCTGACTGGTGGTTTGAAAAATACACGGGTATGTATTATTGGATACTCCTGAAGATTCTGGAAGATGGTGGACCACCACCTACCTATTTACCGTCGACTACTGGATATGTGTAAGGCGAGAAGAGCGGTGGTGTATGCAAATACAGCGTAACAGTGGATACCTACCCAAACCAGGGGTCAAGACACGTGGACTGATGAAATTCCCAGACTTGAATTGAAATATATTACCTGACTGACTGTCTGGAAGTTGTATATCCATGGGAAAAGCCAGGATTAGCGGCCGGTTGCGTAAGAGCCAGTTTGCACAGCCCCCATGGGACCCGGCGCTAACAGGCCAGTTTAGGTAGTTCCAGTCAGTCCAGCCCAACGGGGACAGCCGACAATCATTGGAAGGTGGTTGCTGTATTACTCAGCTAATCCCAGAGCCAGGGATGAGAAAAGTAAAAAAAAGTATGTTTTATTAAGGAAAGGGCAGGGAAAAAAGTGAAACCATTTCCCGATCCAGTCCGGGTGCAGATGCAGATCCTGGCGCTTGTTACGGTGCTTTGGGTGGCCTATCAGAGAAAAAGGTTTGGAGGGTGGGGCTGGTGTGCCTCGTGGGGGAGTGGGGCTGGCTTTTATTCTTCTTTTTTTCTCTTTTTTATTTCTTTTTCCATTCTCTTTCTTTGGTTGTATGATGTTATGATTGAGGATTACAGATAGAGTGTAGATAGAGGAATATTATAATTTGGATAATATATTATCATTTACCATAAAATATAGAAAAAGTAAAAGTACTATGTAATATAGAAGATCGACAAAACAGGGTCTGCAATTGAGTAAGCTTAGCTTTGGGGGCAGTGGCCAACGATCTCGCCAAGATATCAAGTATATTACGTCTTCAGTAGCTGTACAGATTTTCATTTCCAATTGTATTAGTGACTTGTAGCGAACAGTTCACAGTTAAAGTGCTACTAGTAGTAGTAGGTACAGTAGACTGTTCTGTAGTGATTCAGATGATCGACACAGGGTCCAATATGGAGATCATGGATCACACACTACCCAACAAGTCCCCGGCTCCCCGTTCTTTTTACTTCTGCAGATGACACCTGCGCAGCCAATCGTGCCTTAAGGGCGGGATTTATTTACACCATTTTATCTGAGCTAACGTTTTCATGCTTTGGCCCCGTTCAACCGTGGCTCCCCTGTCCCCTGTCCCCCGGTCCTGGGTATAGCTTTCGGCTGTCTGTCCATGGGCCAATGCCCAACCTCATAAGGCAACCGAAAGCCTGGTTTAATGAGATGCGATGATCGCAATACTGTCTGACTGTCTGTGTGTTCATTGTTGGACCCTGGCATTTTGATGTCATCACTCGTTTTCATTTTTGTACTGTATGTAGTAGATGTTGTTGTAGTCAAAGATTCCCCCGTCCAGCTCCTTCCGCTGAGCCTTGTCGCATCCCAGGCGGTAATCGAATCCCCAGTGCGGCTGGGGGTAATTTGCCCCCGCGTGCTGTGTTGACTCGATCTAGAATATCAACTCTGGCTTTGGCGAGGCCAATCGCGGGAACAACCCAGGTGCCGCAGCTGCATCGCATACCCTGCCACGCGAACTTGCCAACATTCTGTCCGCAGATTTCGTTGGGGCAGGTCAATCGGCCGGAGAGCGGTGCGTCAGATCCATCTTCTGAGGGGAAAAGGCTAGGACGCATCCACGTCAGTGGATGCAAAATGACATGGGCACAGTCTTTTCCAGCTGCCTTTGCACCGCCCGGTTGTTCGTGGGGGATGACGAAGGGCGTCGTCGCCAGCTTGCGTCTGTCAATTGGTCAGTATTAGAAATGCAAAGCCTTGGCGTAGATCTCGATGATCTGAGACCATAATTTGGGTGTGCTTGAACACGCACCGGCATTTACGACATTTGATCTCTGTGATACGGTCAGTAGCGTCTTCGGGTTGGTTCTTCTGCTCGTCTTCGAACAAGACAGACTCCATCTCCGGGGCACGTCCACACGCTACACTCTCCTCGACTTCGCGGCGGTACAGCCACCGGCTGTAGATGGGATGGTCCGTGACATCATCCGGACAGCCCATTTGCTTGTAGAGAGAGAGTTGGTCCATGAACCCATCATTAGGCTCACAGAGCGGCCGGCATTCTCTAATGAGCTCAAGGGCTGACTGTGGCGTAAGACTGGGCTGATGGTGGAGCAAGTAGGCGATGCAGATGGCGGCGGAGCGGGACTTGCCCATCGCACTATGGCAGGTCAGCCTCAGGGGAGAGAAGCAAGCACATACAACACGGGGTAAGGAAGATCAACTAACCAATGGACAAGAACACCACCGCCAGCATCCAGACCCGACTGGATGAATTTTACCGCCGCGGGAAAATGCTCGAGGAGATTTTCATCATCGACATCATCGACGTCGATGCGGTGGTGGTGAAACGAGGCAAAGGTCTCATCTACCTGCTGCAGGCGTAACACGGAAACAACATGGGTGATGTTTGCTCTGGTCAGGGCAGCTTTGTTCTTGACGGACAGGATGCTACGGAGATGGGACCGTCAGCAGGTTCTTCCCCGCATCATCGACATGTATCAACTGTCGCGAATAAGAAAGGATCAAGACGAACCCTCCAACGTAGATGTTGTGGCCTGGAAGACAGTTCATAGCCATGGTGAGACTGGAAGTCAGATGTCGTTGACTCGTTGCGGCTATCACAACTCAGTCAAATGCCTCGGAATAAGATCTTGAGGTAGTAAGCAGGAGAAGAAAGATGATTGGTTGGTTGGGAATAGACGGATTAGGACATTAGGGTGTAGGGCAAGGGCAAGGGCATCGCAGCCTGAGGCAGAAAGATTGATACCCCACTGATTGATAGACTAGCCCAGTAGGGTATTAATTCGAGAATGCTACAGACACAAAGTAAGAAAGACGGCATGGACTCCACCGGACAGCGCAAGCGACCGTCGTCTGAAGCCAAAGCGATTCGCCCAACAGGCCGCAAACCCGTGATGGTCGCCATCTCCAATGTTGATCGAGTATCAGAAGCAGAAATTAGCCTTTGGATGTGCAGTAGTGCCGTTTGGGGCGGCTGTGATTGGTGCCCGAGAGACGCCAAGGCGTTAAGCAGTGGGTTTGATGGCTTGAGAGGATGATGGATGTTGTCAGTCTGTGCGGGTTGACTGACGGTGTCGCATGGTCATAAGCTTGACTGCGATCGACAGTAGTATTATCCATGTAGATGTACATGGTGTGATTGTATGATTATAAACTGTTTACTGTACAGAGTAGGTGAAACAAGACACGTCTGCCCTAAAAAAGTGAGGCATGCACGAGAGTTTTAGCCTGCAGCCCTCTAAGGCTTAAGGCTGACGGCGCTTGCACGTAACGTAGCCTAACTTTACTTGCTTTTTTGCCGCAAGGACGGAGGGTTATTAAAGGACTATTGGGACGGTTGGCCACCCAGATACGGGACAGTTGACGAGGGACGACAAGTGCGTCAGCATTTCCAAGTTTTCAAGAATTCAGTTTGTGCCAAGCGACATGGATGGGAAAAAGAACGAAACAGGAGAAGAAGAGAGAGAAAAATCGGAGAGGAGAAGAAGCCAAATGACAGCAGTGTGGCAGTGCATGTATCTAAAGGGAGAGTGGGGCAGTGGGTCTTGATTTGAATATTTTATCAGACAGTGTAAAATCGAAGAATAAAATAATAGAATAGGGTAATAGAGTATAGATAGTAAGAAATATTATTCTCTGTTTTCGTCTGTATTTTCTCTATTTTATTCTCTATTTTATAATTTTATTCTATTTATTATATGTGTTATGAATATAATAGTAATATTAAAATATGGTGGCAACACTACTGTACACTGCCTCGTTCCTAGTCCTACACCCAACAAGGCTAGTCCGACTTCACCGCTGTATATGACTCGCTTGTATATCATCCCTTTTCATTCTCTTTCTGAGTCTGATTCTGGTCTGATTTCTGAATATTTGAATAAATAATAATAATAATATTCTGTAGTTGAAAGTAGTACGTACTGTTCATGATATTTCAAACTTGAATAATGACAGGAAAAGTACTATATGTATGGAAGTAGAATTGAAAAATACACAAACGCTATTCTGGCCTAACTTCCAAGTGTCCACTCTTCCGTTGCAGAGACAATGCGTATCATCTCTTTTCTTTTTGCTCTCTCTACCAGTCTTCCTCTCGCTCTGATATCAGAGAAACTCTCTCTGCAGGGTCAGAGAGAGACACTCGACCAGCCTGAATAGCCTCTTCAGTATCAGATCCACGATCAGCAACCGTTTCCCCAGCCTTGCCTCGCCAATCAGCCCTGCTTACTCTCTCCCTCTCTCTCATCCTCTCTTTATCCTCTCTTTATCCTCAGATCTGTCTCGCTTTACCTGCAGTTCTTCCTCGTTCTTCTCCCCCACACCTCTCTGCTTCAATTCCCTTCCTTTTCATTCCTCTTCTCTTTCTCTCCCTCCAGATCGGCCCTTTTTTTTTTTTTTTTTTTTTTTTTTAATTACCTTTCTTTCCCAACCGGTCGATCACAGGCAACCTCTGCAGCTTTGGGCTGATCTGACCCCCCTCGAGGTGATTGCATAGCCGACTTGTCCTCCGTTACATTGCTTTTTTTCCCCTTCCCTTTGCCTCCCCTTCGTCCTCCACCTCCACCCTAAGTGTCTTTGCTCCTATACCATTTTCGAAATTCGATAGCTGCCTAGATCGCCTGGTCCTCTTGTCCTTCTCTTAAAGCATGCTCGTTGGTCCTCGTTGAGCTGCTGTCCGTCTTGTGTTATTTTGATGGCAATCCTTCGCTTTCCTCAGCTGCGCCATTGCGGAAAGCCTTTCTTTCTACCGACATTCGTTTAATTCCTTCTTCGTCATCTTCTTAAATTTTCCCAGAAAAAAAGGTTCGCTGTCAGCCCTATTTTTTGCCTTATTTCTTTTTTTTTTTTTTTTTTTTTCTTTTTTTTCTGGTGAGCATCAGCGTGCGCCAAGGTGTCGATATTTAGATGGTGGACAACTCGTCCTTTTGTTCCATTTCTTTTCATTGGTCTACTTGCGAAGAGCGGGCGTCATTCTTACACTCCGCCCTTTTCTTTGGCATCACCTTGAGGTCAGATTGGCGTTTAGTGGTTTTTTTTTTTTTTTTTTTTTTTTTTTTTTTTTTTGGAGGCCGTGGCTGCTGCGCCTTTTCGTGGTCTGACTTTGCCCGCTTACATTGTTTGGTAGACGCCGAAACCCTTCTTGCTTCAACCTCAACCCACCAAAGTTCCATCCATCCAAACTCCCCCCATTTATTCTTTATTTTATTTTCTCATCTCACCCCACGGTGCAAAGGACCGTGCTGGACGCCTTCGGTCCTTCAGTCAAATTTAATCTGTCACCGAACCTTCTGTGACAGGGTTCGGTTCCAGAAGCGGGATCTTCTGTCGCAGCGTCAAAACGCGGGGTCGCCACTTGCCTCTGCCATTTTCCTGAGGAACCTTCGGCTCTGCTTTACGGATCAATCGTCGTATTTCTTAAACTGCTCATTCGCACGGTTCGCCCTGGACTCTTCCGGTCTTTGCATGTCATCGGATCAGCCTCCATCGGTTTGGTTCTAGAATGGACTTCCCGCGGCTCTCGCCACCTGCCATTAGCATTCACGACTTTAATAGTGGTTATGACCATCACCATCCCCCCGACAGATTCCAGTATACTATGCCCGGGCAGTCCTTCTCTGGGCCCATGCCCATCCCAACTAAATCAATGTCCAATTTCGCCCCTCCCCCACTGCCTCCGCCATCCCGCATCACCGATCTTGAAGACGGTCACGATGCCGGGTGGCTTCATGCCAATCCCAGAGGATCCGCTTCTTCAACAAAACTAGCACCAATTAACCCCAGCTCGAGCTTGTTCGGAGGCCAGCGTCGTCTGGAACCATCCCTTCCGAGCAATCGAATGGCACTCGACGACCTCGATGGCAGACACAGCGGTTTGCCGATTTCTCGAAGTCCTGAAGCTCATATTAAGATTGAGCCCCCACCTCCGTTGGAGGAGGGGTTCAGGAATTCCGTTTCCATCAACGCCCCGGGTCCAATGTGAGTGACGGATGTCTTGAGTTGTCAAGATGTATCCGTGGTTCTATCGTATTGTTTGCATGCTGACTTGGACCACAGTTTGAAAGGCGAGCGGGACTTTTCTCGACGGAGTGTGAAGAGCTCATTAGATGCATATGACCAACATCTTCTCTCGAAAATTGGGAAACCACTCTCTCCACGACAGTCGATCAGTCATGGGGGTGATAACAAAGGGTCTCTATCGACATTACCTATCCCATCATCACGAAACTTTGGAAATTTCCCTTCCCCGGGAGGCTCCGACGGATCTACTCTCGATGTGAAATGGCACAACAGCCCCCAATTCGGTGGAGTGTCGCCCGGTACCAAGACCGGATGGAATTATATCGATTGCCGAAGCCCCAGTGTGGAGAGCAGTGCGCCATCTTCTGCTATGGATTACGATCAACCAGCCTTTTTGCGCCGTCGAGGAGGAGGAACTACGCCCAACCATGACGATAATTTCAGCCTGCCGAGTCGATCAAACAGAGGAAGCTACGATCACGGTGTATTTTCGGATATCGAGGGTGATATGAACAACGATGATTCGTTACCGCCACGACTGTTTCAACTTCGAGAGCCGACACCCCCGTACTTGGACGCGTCAAAACCAGGTACCAAGAGGAGGGCATCCTCTCCTCCGCGGGAACCGATGAGTGACGATAAGCATACGCTGCATGTGACCACGAGTAATGGCGATCTCTCGCAACGACGAACCACCGGACACCCGTTCACGAGCAATACCCTGTCAGTTAACAGCGGCTACGCACCCAGTCACGGAAGTCGCTCGGCTGCTTCGTCTCTGAGTGTACGGACCTCAGGGTCATACTCGTCTGCCGCATTTTCATTAGGAGGAAGCAGTATGACCAGCACTTCTCCCTACGAGCGATCGCCCGGTGGGTTTTCCTCCAGTTCGGATCTTGATTCGCTTCATGAAAAGTCGATTCTCAACCCCAGCTCGCCCGGTGGGCTAACTGCCCACTCCGCTGTCATTCGACCCTCCTCGAACACTCTGGAGCCACCAAGCACAAATACCCCAAGAAAGCTGTCTTTGGGTACCACTCTCAATGTACCCAAGCCAGCTGCGCCCAAGATTGGTGGATTGTATATCTGTGACTGCTGTCCCAAGAAACCCAAGAAGTTCGACAACCCTGAAGACCTACGGTAAGATTTATGTTCCGAATACAGAAATGACTTGTTTTCCTGACATTGCTCTAGCGCGCATGAAATGGAGAAGCAGTATATGTGCCAATATTGCAACAACCGGTTCAAGAATAAGAACGAAGCCGAACGTCATCAGAACTCGCTTCATCTGCGCCGTCATTCCTGGTCTTGCGCTGCACTTTCAGGATATCAAGCTGCCTTCCATCATTCCTCGTCACCATCCAGCCAAACGGGTGCAGGTTCTTCCCACGACACCTGCGGCTACTGCGGTGAAGAATTTCCAAACTTCCCTCAACCCGATTGGGACCGCAGGTTCGAGCATTTGACAGCAGTACATAAATTTGGCGAGTGCAACAATGCAAAGAAATTCTTCCGTGCAGACCATTTCCGCCAACACTTGAAGCATAGCCATGCCGGCACAAGTGGCAAATGGACCAATATTCTGGAGAATGCGTGCATGAAGGATGAGACTCCCCCTGAGCCCAAGGGGGATAGCAACGAACGTCGCGCTAGAGCGTTGTCGAATGCCAACAGCACAACTTCTACCGGGTCGGGGACACTCACATCAAACGCCATTAGCGAGGTTCTCAGCGATTGCTGACAACTATTGGGAAACCTTCCGGTATCAGTGGAGGAATCTTACTTTTCCTTCCAGGAGATGGCCCAATTATCGTCGGTTAGGGCCATCTTGCGGGAATCCATGGCATGGCTTGCTCCTCTAATGGGCTAGGCTATCTTGGATTCTCGTTTTTCTTTTATCAACTCTTTCTAACTTGCCTGTTTATGGCAATTTTTCATACTTTTTTTTACTGTCGCGACTTACTAGGGAGGCCTTTTGTTTCGCATTTTCAAAAGTTCCCAGCGCTTATGATTCAATGTTCAACTTGATGGTGGGTCATTTTATTTTGTTCTCAAAGTTGAGAAAAGCATTGAACATCTACCACGGCATCATCTTGTTTTGGTTTTTTCATATTCAACACTTGGGTTTTGGAGTACTATCAGGGAAAGATATTGGGATTGAAACCGGGGGTCCACCACACAAAAGGAAAAAGAGTCTCGGCACAACGGCGGCGGTGATGCGACACGACATGACCTTTTTTGATTGATCTTTGTTTTATTCAATTCTGTCTTCTGGCCCGGGAAAGGGAAAACGGAGTCTTGAGGGATCTTCTCTGAGGATGGGTTGTGTGTCTGGATGCGTGGGTGCATATATCATATCATTTGGTTATATTCTTCTGTTTTTTTCTGGCGATTTACTTCTTCTATTTCTTGTTTATTCTTTCTTCCTTTCTTTCTGCCTTTCATCCGTGGGAGTTGTGTGTCTGTGTGTGTGGCACTCTATGTATGTATGTACAAATTCTTCTGGGCGGGCATATGGCGCATCTTTTCTTTTACTATCTATCGGCCCCTCTGGTGATGTGCCTTGGAGGGCGCTCGGCCTTTTTATTATTTCTTTCTTTCTTGTGATTCGACTTTTTTTGTGCTGTACTCTGAGAAAGCCTGGGAGGTTACTTGACATGGAGGATTCGGGATGAGCCACTCACCTGTATACAGGTTTGCTTGATTTTCAGATCCCATCCATGAGGCGTATATATGCATACTGTACTCAAGTACATACCTCTCCAGGCATTTTGTATATAGATTTGAGCAAAGATACATTCTCATGATTTATGATCTCAATACCCACACCATAGATAAGTGATTGTGATGAAGAAACCTGATATTACTGACTGATATGGAATTTGAAATGTACATTCATCCATTTTTATAATATCCCAAGTCAAGCAGTTACTCTACTAGGCCAGAAATCAAACGTACACGGTACAGTGCAACTGCCATTAATCAATACATTCAACGCCCCAGCAATGCATTAGCCAACAACCGGTTAAATAAAGAATCTAAGTAAAGGGAACTTTTCACACCACAAGAAAAGGTAAAAGGTTGAAAAAAAAAAAAAAAAAATCTGTCATTAAGACACATGACGAAATAGAACACAGTTTATTGGTAGATCATGACATCTCCTGATCCTCCAAGAGTCCGGCTGCTTCTTTTGCCAGTCTGAGGTCTTTGCCCACCAGCCCAATGTCTCTCAGGTACAATTTGAATGCAGATAACAGGTCGCTGAGGGAGATCTTCAGTGTGTCGAGCACAACCTCCACGTCTGGAACCCGGCGTGCCTCTGCTTGTGCTGCCGGCTGGCTCGTAGGCGGGAAGTTGACATCGGTCCAGTGTGCATCCAACCCGCCGTGCACAAATGGCTCCAGTGTCATGATTGTATCCGTAAAGAGGCGCACAACACCTGGTACATCAGCCTGGACCTTACCATATTGGTCCTCAGCCAGACTCGCCACAAGGAGACGCGTCAGTGATTCAATGGCATCAACAATAGGGCTCACTGTGCCGTGAGGTGTGCCAAGAACAATGCCAGACAATCGTCTAGCGTAAGTCTGCCGAAAAGGTTGACCCACTGGAGATCGCAGAAATTGCGCAATGAATGGATGGACGTTCTCGGGCTTCTTGGTTGACGATCCCGTGAGCATTTTGAGTTCTTGGGATGAATCGATAAGTCTCTGCTTGCGCTCCGGGCTCAAAACAGCGGAGGAAGCACGGTCGAAAACATCGCGAGCTCTTGCGCGGGCAACTGGTGTCCAATCTGCAGACTGTCCATATGACTTGGCTGTCGTGCTAAAGGCCTCCCCAAACTTGTCTTGTCGCGAAGTCGCCTTGGGAGAAGCAGCAAAGACGTTTTCATCCTTGGGTGGGTCCGTCAAGCGTGGCAAAGTGTGAAGGACAGGTTGGGGTTGTTCAGGTTGCGGCGCAGGCTGTGATCCCGACGCAGGATTCTTCGCCTCTTCGATCCGGGTGGTAATTCCTTTGATCAGTCCTGTGGCAGACTCCAGAATCTGCGACCAGGCCGGGCCACCGTCGCGGTCAATGTCGTTGAAGATTGCCTTTCGTCGATCAGGAAATTGTTGACTGATGAAGCACAGCTCCCAAAATGCGTAGGTAATAACTGCTTCCTTTTTCGCTTTCAAGCCGTTCAACAAGCTGCCGTTAGGATCTTTCGCCTCTGCTGTCAATGGCTGACCTCTTTTAAGAGGCTCCTTGCTAATAAATGCGGAAAAGAAAAGGTTGGATGTTTGCCAGCAGACAACGAGCAATGCGCCGGATATGGCAGACCGGATGAGCAATCCCGGACCAACTGGGAACCATCCTGGTGGATCGGCGGCAGACCGGGGAAAGTTCCAAAACAGTTTGGCGAAGTACAGGGTGAAGCTCCACGCTGGGCGTCTCAGGAAAAGCATGTAAATCAGGGGGCAGAAAGTAGCGACCATTGTACTTCTGGTAACACCAGATTTGATAGATTCGGGAAGTGCAAGTTGTAGTCTTTTCGAAACAGGCTCGATCGGGTGTGTCCTCTGGTCTGCAGAACCAGGGACCCGCTTTGCGACGGGAATAGGAATGCGGTCATGATCGTAGTACAAGTGGGCGACTGACTGCGCAACCGCCAGAACCATATGATAAGTGTAGAGGTACATCGGCCTCTCGTTAAGACTGGCACGCTCATGGGGTCTGATTGGTTTCGTGTTAGCAGGGCCCCAGGGCTCTACCGTCTTTCATTCAGAACATACCGGCCCCGTTTCACCCATTCCAGCTGAGCGCTCGAAGAAGACGACCATTTGTAGATCTCACTAAACCACCACGCAGAGAACAAGTACCATCCGAAAGTTTGAAGCACATCCAGCGGGACCATGAGTTTGAAGCTACCAAGCGAAGAGCTGGTCGTTCTCGAGCCGATGTGCATCTGACCGACGCGCAGGACGAAGATAACAAGGGAAGAGAGGGAGAGAAGGACTGTACGGATACCGCACCCTCCAATTGGGAACCATGACCACAGGACTAAGATACAGTCTGTCAGCTATTTTCATTCGTACGGAGCACTAGGATCAGCAGCCCTTTGCGCAATACTCACAAGATGATTTATCCCCAATTAAAATTGCGGTGATGTAGCAGACAAGAAGAGCAAGAGCAGATGCATGAACAAATCTACGATGCAACGCCGACGTTAAAATGCGCCTGTATGGTCGAGGCTGGGCGGCAGCCATGGTGACAAAAGCTGTAGTCGAAACGACAGTATCTCTGATCAGAGAGATGACGAAATAATCAAAGCATCATCCGAGCTGCAATAGCAGCGACACGTCCCGATAAGCCGGGTGAGAAATTGACTGGACAGGGCGGGGTTGGCGAGGGCGATTGAAAGCGATTTGTGTTGCTGCGGAAGAAAGCCGGACGACAAAATGAAGCTTTTGGGACAAAAGCATCAAAACACACCAGCCACAGACTAGTCAGGTGATCTACAAATGTGGCGCAGAGAGCCCCTCAGTCTAGTCCAGACACAGTCTAGCGCGGCGCTATCATGTGATTGCGGCCTGCAAACGCAGGCATCAGCGGAAGGTCCCGAGGCAACGACATTGCCCTGTCGGCGTTACTGCATCAGCCTACATCATCATCTATTCTTGTTCCTTCCACCCTACACCGGCTTTCCAATCACTCCCAAACATCATGTCTTTTGATCGCCTAAGTTCTTTAGAGTCGCAGCCGACTGCTCTGCGGCGCGAAGAAGATCCTCAGTATCGCGATGACCCCGACTTCCACCGTCTCACCGAGAGTGTATCGAACCAGTTGTTTACCTTAACATCCAACGTCACCCGCTTGTCGAGCCAGGTTTCGCTTATAGGGACCAAGCGGGATACTGCTCGTGGGCGTGAGAGGGCTCATCAAATGCTAGAGGAGACCCGTTCGGGGTTCAAGGATGTAGCAGAAGGCATCAAGAAAGTACAAACATGGGAGGATGTTAATGTATGTCTTAGCGCAAGGGATATGGACCTATATACGGCAACCAGACTGACCTTTTCGGAAGCCTGCCCAGAAATGGACACAGCAGAAGCTGGCATCCGAATTCAAAGCCACCTTCGATGAGTTCCAGACCGTCCAGCGTCGTACTTTAGAAAAGCAGCGGGAGTCTGCAGTAGCAGCTCATCCAGCCCTTCACGATGGTGAATTTGCAGGAACAGAGGAAGATGGACATCAGCTTCAACAGCAACAACTGGAGGAGCAACCTCGTCTTGCCAACCAAAACGAAGTGGATTTCCAAGAATCGCTCATCATCGAGCGTGAGACTGAGATCCGAAACATTGAGCAAAGTGTCGGGGAGCTGAACGAGCTGTTTCGGGATGTGGCCCACATTGTCCATGAGCAAGGTGGGCAGTTGGACATCATTAGCGACAATGTCGAGAGAGTCAATACGGACACCCGGGGCGCGAATGTCGAGCTGCGGGGTGCCAGCCGCTATCAAAAGAACGCTCGAAACAAAGCCTGCTGCCTACTTGTCATTCTTGCTGTCGTTCTACTCATAATTGTGCTAGCAGTTGTTCTTGGCTAGACGTCGAGGTCCATAACCTCTTGATCTCTTACCCCACCACTGTAGGAAGTGGTTTGACCATGTCCTTCCTTTATTGTTATGATATCCTCTGATGTATGATTAAGCCTTAATGGCCTGCAATTATGGCTGATTGTCTCTTGTTTGCGGCGCACATGGAGTGAGAAGAGCAGTTTCTGTTTTCTTATTTTTTTTTTTTTTTGGCTTTGGGATAGATATCGTACATAGTTTCTTTTGTTATACATGAATGATACATCGAGATGGTTCTTATCGCAAAATCATGTCTATACTCCTTTTTCGCCTCTATATGTGCAGCCCAGAAGAAAGAAGAAAAAAAAAAAAATAGGGGAAACAGCTGGTAGCCTATAGCCCGGTGAACTGACTGAATCTCATCCTGCAGCCCTCATAGGTGTTCATCTTGGGCCGGACATCCAGAAAGAAGCTCAACTTCCCAGGTGCAGCTTTGGCAGCCAACCCGGTCGCATCGCCATTCCCTCCCGTTGACTTTCCTTGGTAGAAGTCAATCACATACTCAATTCTCTCCCCACCACAGCGCTCGACCACCCAGTCATGTCGATCAAACGGCAATTGATAGCCCAGAAATCCGTTTATGCGCGCGCGAGGACTCAAATACTGCGGGTCGACTCCCAAGCCACGGAATGAATACAACCTGGGGCCTCCGCACTTCTTACTCCCCGGGTCTGATGAGGGAGCCTTCTTTTCCCAATCTAATATTTGCTGCCAAGCACGCTCATTGACAGCATTGTGGATAGGGATGATGGATGCTACCGATGTCGCCAATTCGGAAGCGGACGTGGTGGATGCGGGGGTGTTGCCTTTGCGCATGAGCGCATCAAAGAATTGCCGCTCAGAGGGATAGACCCAGTTGCCCGAAGCCTTGTCATGGCCTGTCTCGGACTCGGCATTCGATGGGGAGCCGTGTGATGGGACTGCCGTTGAATATGGGGACGAAGAAGCTGCGGATGCTTCGGGAGATTGCTTGAGCCCGGGATCGACGGCCCGGGGAATACTGCTCACTTCACGATCGCCAGAAAGTGGTCTTTGTGATTTTTGAGGTTTCGTATCTTCATCGGAGGGAGCAGCGGGAGAAGGATGAGGATGAGGAGCACCGCCCGAGCCCCGGTTTTGCTGCAGCCAGATCTCACGGGTTTTGTGGTCGACTGGGCATGTTGCGGCCGGAGCAGAGTCCGCAGGAGGAGTCGAAGGAGTGCTTGCACCAGCTCCCATGATCCGAAGTCGTGAAATTCAATGGGTAGAGAATTATTTATTATGGTTGGCGATGAAGATGCATTAGTAAAGGCTGCAAAGAGAACAACAAGAAGGCGGAGAAGAAATTCTGACTGCTTCACCGCCTTTGGGGCCAATAAACCGCACTCGAATACAATACGGCGGCAGGCAGTGATACGTGACATACCGCCCTGTTATCGCCTAGTGGTAATTTTGCGGGGTGATAAAATACTATAAAGCAACTTAATTGCCCAACACAGTAATCTGTCTACCCCTCCGTCTTCCATCTTCAGTTGTTCCTCTCGATCTTCTCCTCAACACACTCTTGCTTCATACAGACACAATGGCAGGTGCATCAGACAAGGCTGTCTTCCGGGCTACCACCACCGCCCCGGTAAACATCGCCGTTATCAAGTAAGTTGGTTGCTATATGCCTATCGAATACCCCTATCCCCTATTGTTTAGACCGATTCTGATTCATGACCATAGGTACTGGGGAAAGAGAGATCCAACTTTGAACTTGCCTACCAATTCGTCCCTGTCGGTGACGCTTTCTCAGCGCTCTCTGCGCACCCTTACCACTGCCTCCTGCTCGGCTGTCTACCCCGCCGCTGATGAGCTTATTCTCAATGGCAAGCCCCAGGACATTCAGTCTTCCAAGCGTACGCTGGCTTGTCTCGCGAGCCTGCGTTCCCACCGCCAGGCTGTTGAGGCTGCAGACCCTTCTCTGCCCAAGCTGTCTACTTTCCCTCTTCGAATTGTCTCTCAGAACAATTTCCCCACAGCCGCTGGTCTCGCCAGTTCCGCTGCTGGTTTCGCGGCCCTGGTCCGTGCCGTTGCTGATCTCTACCAGCTTCCCCAGACTCCTCTGGAGCTTAGTCGCATTGCCCGCCAGGGATCTGGCTCTGCCTGTCGGTCCCTGATGGGTGGATATGTGGCTTGGAGAGCCGGAAGCCTGGCCGATGGAAGCGACAGTCTGGCTGAGGAGGTTGCACCCCAGTCCCACTGGCCTGAGATGCGCGCTGTGGTTCTGGTTGTTAGCGCTGAGAAGAAGGATGTCCCCAGCACAGAGGGTATGCAAACAACCGTTGCTACTTCCAACCTGTTCGCTGCCCGCGTCGCCTCTGTTGTCCCCGAGCGCATGGCTGCCATCGAAACCGCCATCCAGAACCGAGACTTCCCTAGCTTTGCAGAAATTACTATGCGTGACTCGAACGGTTTCCACGCCACCTGCCTGGACTCGTGGCCCCCAATCTTCTACATGAACGACGTCTCTCGGGCCGCCGTCCGTCTTGTGCACGACATCAACACTGCTGCTGGTCGGACTGTGTGTGCTTACACCTTTGACGCTGGCCCGAATGCAGTTATCTACTACCTTGATGAAGATTCTGAACTCGTCGCTGGAACAGTCAAGGCTGTCCTGAAGTCCGATACTGAGGGCTTTGAAGGCCCCTTCAATGAGCGCGTGAAGGACATCACCACCCCGGGCGTTTCCCTTGACAAGATTGACTCGAGAGCCGTGGATGTGCTCAGAGATGGTGTGAACCGGGTTATCTTGACCGGTGTTGGCGAGGGCCCGATCAGCGTGGAGGAGCACCTTGTTAGTGAGACGGGCGAAGTTCTTTCCCAGTAAAAATTTAATTTCACCAAGTACCTAATTTTACGAATTCAATACGTTTTCTCTTCAATTTTAAACCATGTCTTTTCCAAATAAAACATATCTTACCAAGGCCTGCTGCATTGCTGCAGTATATTTACCTATCCCTGGGGGCTCTGCATCAGTATTAAATCACAGCTATCCTAGTTTCTAATGCCGATTATTTTATCATGCCATTTCGCTATCAATGCCAACCCTGGTTGTTCTGTCCTTTGTGTCACAATCTCAAGCACCTCATCGCAAAATCTACGTAAATATTCCGAATATTCACTATTGGACCGCCTTACGCCAGGGGTATCTCTTTGATACAGCGTTAACAGCAAGCTAGTGGTCTCCGATCATTCCTCTATTGAGCTTAGACTCTTGATAGTGCATGAAATGAATGCTCTAGTAGTCAGCAAGTTTGTGGGTCACACTGATGAAATCTACGGAGTAGATTTGAGACCACATCCAGGTCTAACGTCAAGGCTATTGTTGAAGCTTTTCGCAGCAAGGGATGGGATGTATTAAAACAGAGTATGTTTAATAGACCATTTGAATACTTGGGGATGGATTGAACGGCAGAATGGTTGATGAGATGGCTTATGGTAAGCTGACGTGAGGGTAAGTATAAATGGTTACATTTTGAATAGTTGGACTCGCAACTGTCATAACGTCAATCAGTAGAATTTTTGTTTCCTTCTCATGAGTGAAGTGGAAAACTATCTAAGCATAAACGGATCAGCTCAGGCCAGCAGGTCTGACTTCTTCATATCCTTAACCGGTGGTGCTTCGCGTGGTTTTCCTGTCAAAGCAACACTTTCCCAAAACACACCTTGTCCTCCAGTGGGTTTATAATTGTCCTCTGCGGCATCTCCGGTTGCATTTTCACCATCTTGGTCCTCGCGCTGTTTCGCAGCTTCATCTGCAGAAACATCGAATACTTCCTCGCGGTACTCGACGCACAACTTGAGAATATCCTGCAGTGCCTTCTCGATAGCAGCGGCGCGTTCTCGCATGCCCCGCCGCAAGAGTGCATCGACAAGAGACTCAACTTCGGACACCGTTGAGTTGACTCGTTCAATCAATCGCCGGAAACTGTTCACAAGGTACTCTTCTTCATACACAGTACCCTTCTTGCCACGCGCACGCTTACGCTCTTCACGACGGCGTGTCCGCGATGTCTGACGCGAGGATGTGGTCTTGTTTGTGTATCTTGTGAACATACTCTTACCGGCAAGTGTTGAGGCTTCTGTGGGCGCCAGTGATACATTGTCGGGGATATCCACGCCTTCGCCAATTGTGGGATCTCCACCAAAGTAAGCCAGCGGGTCTTCAGCGCGGCGTTCACGAAGCTCCCGAATTCGGGGTACTTGCGCATTCAGTTGGGATCGGAAATCAGCAAGGAGGTTTGTTGTCGAGCCCATTGCATCTGCGAGACCCGTATCAACGATGTCAGAGACTAGGTCCTGTTTTCCGTTCAGTGCAAGGAGTCGTGCAGCATCGGCGAAGCGAGAGCCACGGCAGAGGAGCCGGGCGGCCTCTGGGATGTCGTGCAGATGCTCTGCATGAATGTGAGCAGCAGATACATAGTCGCGGCTTTCCTCTGTGAGCACCATGGCCAAAGCGTTGGCGTGCTCATTAAGCTCGGTTTCCGAAAGAGGGACCATCATAGCACAGTACAAGGACTCGCGCCAAAGATGGGCGAGCTGATAACATTTGTACGCATCCTTGAACAGTGAAAGAGATTCATATGCTAGTTCTCATTAGCATTTGGTAGCTAAAATTTGATAGGGGAAACACACCAATGCCGGCCTCCTTGTGCTTGGAATTATCATAGAGGTAGTCAGCATAAATGTTGGTCATGTCTCGTAGCTGCTCGGGTTGGTATTTGTAAGCCTCGATGGCTTCTTTATACAAGACATGCTTGATTGCGTACGCCCGGAGCTCGTCGAATTCATTCAGCGCATGAAGATATTTAAGTGCCTTGGCCCAGCGACCAAGGTAGTTGTCAATCTCAAAGCACCGGCGGAGCTCGGGGAGTTTCTGCAGCTTGCGCAAGAATGGGAGATATTCCCGAGGATCCTATGTAGTAAACTTTATTAGAATGAAATGTGCGAGAAATCTTTATATGCAATTCTTACCCTCTGAGCTTGCTGTGCAACCAAAAGCGTGAGCTCGAGGTCATGGAGACCCAGTGCATGGTCATACAAGCGATTTGCATCCGACAAAAAGCACATATGCTCGATTGCATCTTGCGCTTGTTCAGAGCTTTTCTCTGTTATTTGGTCAATAATTTGCAAAAACCGCTGCGAGGGTAATAAACCTACCTCTCAAACGAGCAACGAGCTGAAGTCCAGCATCAAGATCTGGTGGTGACTTGCAAACATGTGCAGTGACCAGATTCTGCAGATTGGTATCCAATCGCTTCTCGAGAGTAGCCAAAAACGCATCGCAAATCCGATTGACCTTGCTACCTTTGCTGGGTAGCTTGTTGGTTGAAGCCGGAGCGTTACCTTTCAGCATGGCAGCAGCAACCGCTTCAGGCTTAGACACCTTTAGGGTGTCCTTGTAAAGAGTTTGCGACACATCATCCTCACTGGTTACAATCAGCATCGGGTCTTTCTGAATGACCACGCAATCACTTACCTCAAACGAGAGAGAAAATCGTCAATAAATTCAATTTTCTTCACCTGGTCGACAAACAACTGAATATTTTCCATGAACTGCTCTGGGGCGTAGTCGTGGAGGATATTCATATCCACCATCTGACTACGACAGGCAAGGAACGCAGATCTATAATCCTTTCGATCAATGAAATCTCGAATTCCAGCCAGAACAAGTGCTCTTGGGTAGATGGTCTCAAGGTTTCCTCGGGGCATCTGCAAGGTAACGGCAAACTTCGAAGGCATCACTGTTACCAAGCGTCCTCCACGCTCGATGCTTCTGCAGCGCTCATCTGTTTCGGGGGTATCGCCAGGGACTTCCATATCTATATACAGAACATGATTAGCCAGTCAAATAAACCCGGGTGGGTGGGAGTCAGTGCTTACTCTCTGGGTTGTCCAAGTGAACAAATTTAAGGAGGTGTTGAGAAGTAGTAAACAAGACGTGAGCCGTGGTTACGACGAATGAGGTGCAGTTTTTGGCGAGCAACGTTTTATTGGCATATAGAGCTCCTGTTCTTGTCATAGAGATCAAGACATGCTACAACAGTTAGTAATTGCAAAGTAGATATGGCTCATGAATATATTACCTCGTCTTCGGATATCTGAGCAGCTCGAGCCCAGTAAGTGTCAACTGTGGGGCTTAGAACCCAAGGAGAAACTTCAAGTTCGTCTGGTGACTTCAGGGTGATGCTTGAGTATGAGATAGGCCGTCCGGGTTGGCTAACATGAGAGAACCATAGTGATTCATGACCAAGGGTTGGGAAGAGAGTAAACAGTTGCTCGGAGTCGGTGGCTTCATACGCAATCTTGGACAGACGGCTCTCTAGTGCCGTATGCTCGATTTGCGCGTTGTTCAGTGGGCCAGTCTTGAGAACGTACACTTCATTCTCATTCAAAAAGGCGATTTGCCTAGGTCGACTGTCAGGTGACAAAGGATAGCTCGACTCCAGTATGGGACAGGCAACGGGTTTGCTTTTAAGTGACCACAGAAAGACGGAGAAGTGATCCTTCATCAGGACGGCGATTCGGGACCCCGATTTGCTGAACGCAACATCGATAGCATTCGAGTCCAGCGCCAGTTCGTTGTGCGCCATCGGAGGTGGCACTCCGGACAGCCTCAGAGGGGTCAACTTCAGTGTTTCTCCGGCAGGTTAGAAAGATGCTCGTATTCTGTAGCGCAATCCACACTTACTGCCATCAATGACTGCAACTGCACCAACGTCATCTGGAACTAGGGTTGAGCCGTGGTGAACATCAAAAACAAAGTCCACATCTAGCATCGAGACTATGAATACGTTAGTTCGCATTCGCATTGTTACTTGGGAAGCAGCAATTACCTGAAGCGCCAGCCACAAAACGCAAAGCCTTTTCTTGGTGCCATGTAAAGGAGAATGGGGTCGAATACTCCGGGCTGACCGTCACAGGTACTTCCTGTTTGAGGTAGTAGTGGTAGTTGCCCATTGTCCAGAATTGCACTCTGTCTTTGAATTGGACTGCAAGCACCGTCGAATCGATATTCCAGCTCAGGTGAATATTCGAAGCCCATGATGCTCTCTCTTCGTCTGTAAGACGAAGCGTGAACTCCCCATGGCGCAATCCATTTCGCTCAAAAAATACCACATCGACCCGGTCATCAAGCCGCTGGATACCTGCAATGAGATTGCCATAGGGTCTCCAGCTCAGTGCTCCTTCCAGCCCATCAACAGGCTCACTGACACTATCAATAGTCCCCTCTCTTGAATAGACCCGAATCACTCGGCGGTTACCTGCTTCAATACTATTCACCGCGACGTAAGCACCGTCTCCTCGCCAGGTAATGGTGGTGCTAGCATCATCATTGTTGCTCAGCTTTCCCTCATCAAATTTCTCCGGTACAGTTGGGTCACGAAGAGCTTTGGCTCTCTTTCCTTGGAATTGAGTCTCCCGTTTTCCCCATCCCACGGATACATGCTGAGATGCCTGGAGATCTTGAGGAGTGAATGTAATGTCTGCAACATTCTCAAAATCTCTAGTCATGTAAAGGAATGTATTGGCTCTTGTTGTAATAGCCAAGAGTTCTTCGTCTGGAGACCAAGCAGCAGCTGTGATGCCAACATCAACCGAGCCCAAAATCTCGATCTTGTCCTCGCCGGGAAGAGGTTCTTCACGAACAATGATGATATCACCTCCTTCAAGCACCAGACATGCTGTGAGATTGTCTGCAAAGTAATGCAAAGAAAGGACTCGGTCACAAGCCAAGTCGGGCAAAGGACAAGGTGCATCCCACGATGCGATGCATTCAAATACGTCCGCGCCTACCGGGTCCGAGAAATAGGCATCGTGACGCTTTCTCCGCAGTTCAATAACGGCATTATCCTGGGCAGGTCCGAATGTACAAACGATTGCATCCGAAGTCGTATCCCAAGCAGTGGCTGTTAAAGGGAGGTCGTTCTGAAGTTGCACCTCGGCGAGGCGAACGTTTTTCAGGTTGCGCATCTTGAGAGGGATATTTTACCCCGCCGCCATGAATCGACGAGACTCTGGCTGCAAAAGAGCAAGAAGGAAAACAATTTAGCAACAGCCCAAATAAAAGATAGGCTTCCACCAGGATGATAATTGTCTATGCCTTGTTTCCTTGGGGTAGCGTTGTCTGGGGAATTGCAACCATATCAAACCTCCGACCCCAAGATTTTAATTTTCTTACCGGGAAAAAAAAGTTGGGCGCTCGACCAATGACTTCATCCATAAACTAATATCAAAGTGTATCCACGATCTACAAACGGACTTCGCTCAACCACAACGGCTACTATTTACAAAGAACAATTATAATGTTATCGGGATCAAAACTTAATCAAATTCTCTAGCTTTATACACGATATCCGAATGCTGCGAATTGAGAATACATTTGTCGACTATTTTCCCAGTCCCCAGAGTGCCATGGCGGAAGAAATACAGCGCATGAGGATTTAGCGGGTCTTGTTGGTTTGCCAGACTGGAAGAGAATTATTGTCAGATAATCGAACATGAATAGCCATAGAAAATTCGGGAACATACCAGCAATGGCGAAGGGAGCACCGAAACCGGCAACTACATGGTCTAGGGTCAGCCACACTTCCTCCTACTCTCGATCGGGGGTTCACCGACTCATGAAGGACCAGTATCTGACGGCAAAGAATCTGGTGTGAGGGTTGAAAGGAATGTTGGAGCGAGGGCCCTCGGCGTAGTGGTACGGGCTACCGAGCTGGGCACGAGTGGTGGAGAAGCCACGACGGGCAACGAAGGAGGTGGCCATTCTGGCACGGAGAGCGGCGGCAGCGTTCATCTTGGATCAAATCAGAATCAATTGAGGTCCAATTGACAATCACTTATAAACGAACCTTGAGCAGCGATATGAGCACGGTGGTAATCCGGGGGAGGGAATCGATGGGCAGCACGGAGGGAAGAGCAGAAGGCGTGGATCGAGCAGCTTCAGCGGCTCTCCGGATGCCGTGTCACGTGGTTTGGTTCCGGTCCGAACTGGCAAGTTTCTCCGGCGGCAACCGTATAATGCTCATCTGCCCAATCATACGCCGCCTTCCTCAAAAGGAACATTGAAATTTCTCGGAGAGAAAGAGAAGCGCGCCCAACCATCATTTCGCCCGTTCTTTGCCCCCGTGGCTAATATTTTGGCATTCGGCCGAATATGGACGAGCTATTCGATGTTTTCGATGACCAGCCTCAGGCTGTGAAGCCTTCCGACGCAGCGCCCAAGCGATCGAAGAAAGACAAGAGCAAGAAGCGCCAGGTGAATGGACATGTGAAGGACAATGGCACAGCACCAGAGGTCAAGGAGGATGTTGACATTCCCGATGCGCCTGCTGTAGAGGCTGAGCAGGAGGAAACCGAGGCCCCAGTGACAGACAACAAGGAACAGCAGCCCGAAACGAAGCGGCCGCGACTCGAGGCGGAACCGGAGCCTATAGTCGCAGACGAATTTGAAACGGCACAAGAGCGTGAGATTGCAGGATCTGCAGGTCTTCAGGCGACCAAAGATGAATCTTCTGTCGTCCTTTCGCATCAGGTTCGACACCAGGTTGCCATTCCACCAAACTATCCATATGTGCCAATTTCTCAACACAAACAACCTGAAGACCCAGCAAGGGTGTGGCCTTTCACACTTGATCCGTTCCAGCAAGTCGCAGTTTCGTCAATCCAGAGAGAGGAGAGTGTGCTTGTTTCAGCCCATACCAGTGCCGGAAAAACAGTGGTCGCAGAGTATGCTATCGCTCAAAGTTTGAAGAACAACCAAAGGGTTATCTATACCAGTCCCATCAAAGCGCTGAGCAATCAGAAATACCGAGAATTTGCTGCGGACTTTGGAGATGTTGGTCTGATGACAGGAGATGTCACAATCAACCCAACAGCTACATGCCTGGTCATGACTACAGAGGTGAGTGTTCCTTTCTGGGATTGTCGGGAATATTTCCAACTGACTGTTTTGCTCTTCAAGATTCTCCGATCTATGTTGTACCGTGGCTCTGAAATTATGCGTGAAGTCGCATGGGTGGTCTTTGACGAAATTCATTACATGCGAGATGCCAGTAAGTTCCGCGCAGCTATTACTGGTACCCAGTTTTACTAACAACGGATCCAGCTCGTGGTGTTGTTTGGGAAGAGACTATTATTCTTCTGCCAGATAAGGTTCGCTATGTTTTCTTGTCTGCGACAATCCCGAACGCCATGCAATTCGCCGAGTGGGTTACAAAAATGCACAACCAGCCGTGTCACGTCGTCTACACAGATTTCAGACCGACGCCCCTCCAGCACTATTTCTTTCCTGCAGGCGCTGAAGGCATACATCTCATTGTTGACGAGAAGGGCGTTTTCCGCGAGGAGAACTTCCAGAAGGCAATGGGCTCCATTGCAGACAAGAAGGGCGATGATCCAGCAGATGCTCTGGCCAAGCGGAAAGGAAAGGGCAAAGATAAGAAGCTTAACAAGGGTGGTAAGGAAGGGCCAGCTGATATCTACAAGATCGTTCGGATGGTGATGATCAAAAACCTGAACCCCGTCATTGTCTTCAGTTTCAGCAAACGCGAATGCGAATCGTGTGCTCTGAATATGAGTTCGTTGGCGTTTAACGACGATTCGGAGAAGGAGATGGTTTCCAAGGTCTTTGACAGTGCGATTGAAATGCTGTCTGAAGAGGATCGGAACCTGCCACAGATTCAAAACATTCTTCCCCTTCTCCGGAGAGGTATTGGTGTCCATCACTCTGGTCTCCTCCCTATTCTCAAAGAAACTATTGAGATTCTTTTCCAAGAAGGTCTTATCAAAGTTCTATTCGCCACGGAGACGTTCTCCATCGGTCTCAACATGCCTGCAAAGACCGTGGTGTTTACTAGTGTTCGGAAGTTCGACGGGTTCAGTCAACGCTGGGTGACACCATCAGAATTCGTTCAGATGTCTGGTCGTGCTGGCCGAAGAGGTCTCGATGACCGAGGTATTGTCATCATGATGGTTGGGGAAGAGATGGACCCTGCTGTGGCAAAGGAGATTGTTCGTGGTGAACAAGATCGACTTAATTCGGCTTTCCACCTAGGCTACAATATGATTCTGAATCTTATGCGCGTTGAAGGCATTTCGCCCGAATTCATGCTAGAGAGATGCTTCTACCAGTTCCAGAACACTGCGGGTGTGGCTGGCCTTGAAAAGGGTAAGTGTGTTTTCGGGTCGATGATGTGCGTCATGCATACTAACCTGAGACAGAGCTTCATGAATTGGAAGACAAGAGAGCCAACATGAGCATCGCCGACGAAGGAACCATTCGAGAATACTATGACTTTAGAAAGCAGCTTGATGGTTTCACAGACGACGTCCAAGCAGTCATAAGCCACCCAGACCACTGTCTATCATTTTTCCAGCCCGGACGTTTGGTGCACATCAAGCATAAAGACCAAGACTTTGGCTGGGGAATTCTCGTCAACTTCAAGCAACGCAAACCTTCGAAGAACCCAGCGGAAGAGTTGACTGCTCATCAAAAGTTCATTGCGGATGTTTTACTCAAGGTTGCCGACGGAGCATCCATAGGCACCAAGACGTTTGAGGATCTTCCGGCGGGTGTCAGACCGCCCAAGGAGAATGAAAACTCTCGCATGGAGGTTGTGCCAATCACGCTCAGCTGTCTTCGAGCCATCGGTCATATCCGCCTTTTCCTGCCGAAAGATCTGCATTCGCAAGACGCGAAAAACGGAATGAGGAAAAACCTGGATGAGGTACACAGACGCTTCCCCGATGGGGTTCCTGTGCTTGACCCAATTGAAAACATGAATATCGAAGGCGAGAATTTCAAGAAGCTACTAAGAGTAAGTGATTTTCTGTCTTATCAGGGAAATTCATTCCATGCTAATTACAAATTAGAAAATCGAAGTTATTGAGTCCCGTCTTTTGTCCAATCCTTTGCACAATTCGCCGCGGTTGTCGGAACTGTACGAGCAGTATGCAGAGAAGGTGGAATTGGGCACCAAGATCAAAGCTACGAAGAAGAAGATCACGGATGCCATGTCAATTATGCAACTTGATGAGCTCAAGTGTCGCAAGAGAGTGCTGCGTCGATTTGGATTTATTAACGAAGCAGAAGTCGTGCAACTGAAGGCACGAGTTGCCTGTGAAATCAGTACTGGTGATGAGTTGATGCTTAGCGAGCTTCTTTTCAACGGATTCTTCAATAAGCTCACACCTGAGCAAGTCGCATCAGTAATAAGCGTCTTCGTCTTTGAGGAGAAGTCGAAAGAAACTCCTGCCTTGACAAGAGACGAGCTTGCCAAACCACTCAAGGACATTCAAGCGCAGGCTCGAATTGTCGCCAAGGTCTCTCAGGAGTCCAAGCTGGCTGTGAATGAAGAGGAATATGTGCAGAGTTTCCACTGGGAGCTGATGGAGGTTATCTACGAATGGGCAAACGGCAAATCCTTTGCTGATATTTGGTACGTTGTTTTTTACTCTATTGTGCCTACCCTGTCGCTGAAGCTAACGTGTTACTGCAGCAAAATGACCGATGTCTACGAAGGCAGCTTGATTCGCGTCTTCCGCCGATTGGAGGAGTGTCTGCGACAGATGGCGCAGGCCGCCAAGGTGATGGGCAGCGAAGAATTGGAGGGTAAATTCGAGACGGCCTTGACCAAGGTACGCAGGGACATCGTTGCCGCCCAGTCGTTGTACCTGTAAAAATCTCTTTTCCATTTCTTTTTTTTTTCTACCCATCATTATCCACATGTAGTAAGACAATCTGTGTTGTGTGGTTCTTTTCATTGGTGTCGCATGTCCCCTGGCGTTTGGGTATAAAAAGGTCTCATTGTTGGTTGTGCTGTTGTTTTGCCACTCCTGGTTGGGAACGAGTATTCTTTTTCCTTCCCCCTACCATCATTGTGATAGCTCCGATGTAAAAAGAAAAAAAAACAGCAAAGAAATGAAAATATAATCTAGACGATCAATACATCCATAGCTTATTTCTTGTAAACGGGTGCCGTGAAAACCACCCAACCTGCACTGAAGGACTGCGTTGCCTCCCGCAACCCGCCTTTGCCTGCCGTCCACCGCTTCTCTCTGACTTTCTTCTCTTCTCCCCACCACTGCAACTCTCTTTCTCTCCTTTATCCTCCATCCTGTCCTTCCCTTGCTTCCTTTCCTTCCGCCTTCTCGTGTACATTTTATCCTTCTTCACGAATCCCCGACCTTGAATTCACTCATCCATCTCTCCTATTTCTCTGCTGTCCAGCTGTTTGTGGGCCATCATGAACAGTCTGGTGGCTACACCACCTGTGCCTCCACACTTTTACGAACATCCTCGTCTCTCTCCCTCTCGTTCAAGTAAGGATCTTCCTCTTGGGTTGCCGTTGGTCGTCCTTCGACTGGACGTAGATGCTTGTGATAGAATGATAACTAACTGAGAAATTCTTTAGTGTCTACCCCAACCCACCATTACTCCAGCCGCAAACGGAAGGCCGATGATGATGGCAACGATCATGACGGACGGATGTCTGCTTCTCCTACCAACTCTCCCGCCCTCACACCTCGAGCTCTTCCCGCTGGCCGGATCTACAAACGTGCCCGACCGAATGTCTTTGGCAGACCTCTCGCTCTCCCCCGTTTACTCGAAACCCTCGACACAGATGCCCTGCGAGGGGTTCTACGATCCATGTGCGAGCGTCACCCCGATCTAGTCGACGAAGTGGTGCATACATCTCCTCGACCGAGCGTCGGCTCTGCACTTCAAGTTCTACGAAATTACCAGTCTACTTTGCAGTCCTCCTTCCCCCTGGGTGGCAGCCCTGGATCCGACTACGCATACAACCGAGTACGGCAGCCTCTTAGCGACCTCCTAGATGCTTTGAGTGACTTCACGCCACATTTCTTGCCTCCCCATGAGTCGCAGGCTTCCGTTTCCCTGAGCTACTTGGATGGTGCTACCGATATTATTCACAACCTGCCTCGATGGAGTACGCCACACAACAATATAGAACGAGAATCTGCCTACGATGAAATATGCAAGGCTTGGATCCTGGTGATCAGAGAAGCAGGCAAACGCGGAGGTGGCATTCAGCTACAATACGGCGGCTGGGATCAGAAACTGGCGAAACACAACCAGAACTCTGGAGGCAAGATGCAGGCGGCCGTGAACGAACTCGGGTCCAGTCTGGGCTGGATGCATGGACCGGATACCCAAAACTATGGAAACCCCGTTGGGAATGAATTTGGATCTATCCGAGAGCAGCTTCTGTCTGGAACGTATGGACTCGGCACTCCAGTCAAGGTCGGGCCTTGGTGAAACTGCCCACTTATTCATACCCGACGACATGTCACATTTATTTCCCACAATCACCATCACCCACCACCACTATCACCACTGCCCGGGCAATTAAATTGCTCCGCATCCCATTCCAAAAAAAGCTATGGTCCGAATCCTCGACCGCGCACATCCACGTATGATACGATCATGATACCTACTGCATGAAACTAGAGAGTTGAGGGTCAGATTGGCGTTTACAGTGTGCAAAGGAGAATACTTTATTTTTTATCTTCTTTCTTTTCTATTTGTTGTCATATTTCTGGAAACCAAAGCAATCGTTTCGATCCTTTCCTAGATTCCCATTGTTTTTTTAAGGGCATTGTTTTTTACCGTCTTCCTGCTCTTTCAGATTGCACCATATTATTTGTTTTCGAAACGGTCAAGAATAGACCCGTCCTTCTTTATTCTCCTTTGCTTTTCTTTATCTTCCTATGCTTTAATATTTCCCCTTTCGACTGCAACTAGCACTTGGAAGCTCCCGTGAATCTTGCGCTAGCTGACTCCAACGATGTTTTTTTGCACCATCTACCTGTCTTGAATACCCTTCCGATTTTCTTTCTGTTTTACGGCCGGCAATTTCCATTTTGTTCTCGGGGGATCCGTCTATATACTGCAACATTCACAGGCCAGGTTATGTGTCAAGTAAAAAGAAAACAAGAAAAAAAGAAAGAAACCCCAACATTTGTCTTATGATATGTGGAGGCTAAGTTACTGATTAGATAGCTCAGAATCCAAATAGGATCTTGTTACAAGTAGCGATATTTATCATTGACGGTTTATATATTTGTTTCGCTATTTAAGAGATGAGACTGACTACTAGCCGAGCCAGGTATTCAATTATAAGGTCATATACACGTGATATCGATGTCAAACCGATCGAACAATGATCGAACAAGAAAAGAATCAACTAAAGTCAGCTGGAAGTCCGAAGCTCATAATAACAATGCCCTTTTCGCAACTCGAAACAGCCATCCTGCATCTTCCCAGCCGCCCTGCTCCCCGGGTCTCTCTATCGCTGTTGAAACATCCTCAAATTTTGTGCAAGTGCTGTCGTTATCCTCGATGGTCCCGACTGAAGAGCCATCATCCTTGTCCTCATCTTCGGAAGCAGAGTGGCTGTCTTCTGCCACCCGGTCCTCATAACTGGGTTGGTTTTGAAAACGGACAGTTGGGGGTATTGAGGGCGGTCCCTCATCAGTCCCAAATAGAGTCCATTCCACTACACGGTCAATCCAACTACCCAGCCCAAAGCCCCTCTCCCGAGTCAGTTTTTGTAACTCCAATTCATCGATCTCATCCTCTGAGTCCGAGTACTCGGATGAGAAAGACGCTGACTCGTCACCTTGGATAGAGGCCATCTCAGCACGGATTCGCTCGTCTACAAAATCTGGGACGAAGGCTCGGACATCCCCCGCGGGACTGGGAATGTTGGAATTTGCGTGGCGGAACCCATTATTGACATCAATGCCGGTCATGGTTAGGCCGAGATCAGGTCGACTGCCTCTCCTGCTAGTCGCGAGGGATCGTGACCCCCGTCTGGAATGGGGAGTATTGGCAGCGGGTGTTGACATCCCTGATCGAGATCGCCTACTACCCTTCCTACCGCCAGTGTCATAGTATGTCTCCGAGACGAGACTAGTGGAGCTCTCCCGTTTCGCTAGCCAGCTCTGGCCCTTTTCCTCGCGAGTCGACGACGCAAGCGCAATACCAGCACGAAGCATCCACTCCGAGTCGGAACGTCGATGGGCCGAATCAGACCATTGTGGTTGTGGTGCAACGGATCGCTTCTTCTTTCCACTGTGATGAATCGGCTGGGCTACATCCTGACTTTGCAAATTCGTGTCACTCAGATGTGTACGACTGGAGCTCTTGCTGCGAATATGTCGGGATTCGCTGCGGGAATGTGAAAGGACGCCTGGAGTTCCTGGAACTGAGTAGCTAGAAAGATATGAAGTTCTGTGTTGATTGCTGTATGCGCCTGGTGAATTATCACCGGAGCTCTCGTTGACCCGCGGTGAAAAGTAGTCCCCGGGTTCTACATCGTCGTCGATGGGGAATCGAGGCGTAAGGGGAGTGAGCGAAACATGGTTCAATGTAGGATAAGAGCGGCGAGACCGAAAGCCGCCATGAGAAGAACTGGACTATATTCAGTTAGCAAAGATATAAACACTGCAGTCTCTGATAAATCAATAGGAAGCTTACATTCATTGTGAAGAGTGTGATGAAAGTGAAAGATGGACGACCGATTGAAGATGAAGGAAAGAGGTCGGATCGAGCTTCTCCACCTGAGAAAGTAGGGATGCTTTTCAGTGTTTTGGCATGTGAAAAGCGGGCAAACGCCGATCACTAATTTATTTTTTCCTGCTTCAATGCTTGTCAAAGGATTTACTGAAGGTCAGTTCTCAAGGTATATATATTTTGTCTATTTGATATTGTCGCATCTACATTGGCAGAGATTATGTGGAGTTGGTGTCTTTTATTGCGGGGAATTCGGGGTTCGCATTGGAGACCGACAATATATAATCATCATGATGGCACTTATACTATTATCTTTCTCCAACTTCATATATCAATCTTCCTAGACTAAATTAATGTTCATTTAACCCGTATATATATCTAATTATCTGCAAGTCTACATATCTAATGCAAGAAGCGATGTGATATAAAATCGATGCATAAAAGATTAAAGAAATACTACTTCATTCATGTCTAATGAAAAAAAAAAGCAAAAATTCTCCTTCATTATTATGCTTTTAACTATTCAATCTTTCCCTTATTAACGACAAATCCCTCTAGTGCAGAAATCGCAGCCCACAACCGGTTTTCTGCCTCGGGGAAGACCAACGACCGCTTGCTGTAGAAAACCTCGTCGCTGACCTCTTCGGGGTGTCGGGGCAAGCAGTGCATGAACTTCCATCCATCGTTGGCACCACCTCGTTTGGCGAGTTCTGGGGTGATCTGGAAGCCTTCAAAGGCCTTCATGCGCTTGATCGACTCCTCCTCCTGACCCATAGACACCCATGTATCGGTCACCAGGACATCGGCCTTCTTGACCGCTTCTTCAGGCACATTGGTCTGGAACAGCTTTCCGGGCTTGCTGACCCCCTCACCAGCTTGCTTGATAATGTCCAGCATGTGAGCGGGGATCTCGTAGCCCTTGGGCGTAGCAACGGCCACGTCGATACCCATCTTTGTAGCAGCAATGGCCATGTCGAACAGGACGTTGTTGGCATCACCAACCCAGGCAATCTTCAATCCCTCAAGGCCCAAGCTAGACAAATGATGGGCCTTGGATTCGAATGTCTCGTACATGGTCTGGAAGTCGGCGATGGCCTGCAGCGGGTGGAACGAGTCGCAGAGGGCATTGATAACCGGCACAGACGAATGCTTCGCAAGGTCGGCAACGTCGGAATGCTTAGCGACACGGGCCACCATACAAGAGACCATCGACGAGATCACCACCGAAGAGTCGTACAATGACTCATTAACCCCCAATTGAATATCGTCTTTGCCCAGGAACATCGGGTGTCCTCCCATCTGCGTCACAGCGCCTTCAGTCGATATCCTCGTCCGGGTGCTTCGCTTGTTGAACATCATGGCCACGGTTTTCCCGGACAGAGCCCCGAGCAGGTTTTGGGGGATGGACCCCGACTTGATCGCTCGCTTGTGGGAGGAGGCATTGCGCACGAGAGCAGCGAATTCGGTCGGTGTAAGGTCTGCGATGGAGAGGAGGTGACGGGGAGCGAACGGAGAGGTCAGAGGAGTCGTCTGAGAGGAATATTGTCGCCAGGAGACCTTATTCAAAGGAATGGATCGGCGAAGATTGGAGCCATAACGAGCGGCCATCATGGTGAAACGGATGCTTTGCGTAAAGCAATGGGAAAGGACCAGAGACACAATTGGCGGAGAAAGAAGTAGGGGAAAAGGAACAAACGAAGAGAGACAGCCTGAGACTTGGAAGAAAGAAGAAAAATGAGTCAGGCGAAAAATTCTGGACAATAAATAATTGAGACGGTGATCTGCTGGTGCGGGATAATAAATAACCTCGTCTTTAGGCCCCGGAGGAGATCCACTCTGGGCTTCTCCGCCTTCAGTTACGTCGATGGGAATCATCCTCTCTCTCCTCCATTCATCATCCTTTTGGTCATTAGCATCCTCCTCGTCATTGAATTCATCCTTCTATTCTCATCTTATATAGTATATACATTTAAACTCATCCATATTCCTGTTTCTCATCTGTATCGCCCCCAACTCCACTCGCTATCTCCATACTATTTATTGCAGCTCCGTTAAATACCGCCATTTCACCGCGTCCCAGCCATCATGGCTGACGAGGCCGGCAAACCTCTGCTGGACAGAGGCTCCAGAACTCCATCTCCTCATCCTCCATCCTCTACGAGGCCATCCTCTTCATCTCGCCCGGATCAGCAAGCCCGATCGTTTGAATTGTCCTCCGAATCCACGCCGCTTTTGATACGTCGTGACAATGAGTTGGCATACGGCATCTGCGAGCCAATCCCGATATCCTCGCCCACGTCTCGAGCTAGCTCCCCCGAAAGAGGCCCAAGGAAACAGAAGAATAGACTACGATTGTCAATGATCTTGCCCCTCATCATAGTTCTGGTGATTTTGGCAGTTCTTGTGTTTGCGTTTGTCGCCCCCGCAGTAGTGAAGCAATATGTCAAGGAAGCTACCGTGTTTCAACCTACGGATATTTCCATTGATTCAGCAACTGCAGATGGTCTTCGAACAAGAGTGCAGGGTGACTTGGTGCTCGATGCTGGCCGGGTGCAGAAAAGACCTGTTCGGAATATTGGTCGTTTCGCAACCTGGATTGCACGCATGGTCGAAACCGGTGAGTCGGAAGTGCAGATATACCTGCCAGAATATGGCAATGTTCTCGTTGGAATTGCTACCTTGCCCTCGATCAAGGTGAATGTCCGGAATGGCCATGAGAACCACGTCGACTTTATGGCTGATCTGTCGGCTGGTGACATCCATGGTATCCGGGGAGTGGCCCTGGACTGGCTGGAAGGGAGACTCGGCCGCCTACGAATCAAGGGCCGGACACAGTTGCATCTCAAGTCCGGTCTATTGAATCTTGGAGTACAAAGTCTGTCAGATGATGTGACATTCGAAGGTTCGTCTTGTCGATTCCCTAATTATTATTGCTAGTTTGAATCAAATTTGCTAATGAGATTTGTAGAGAGTGATTTCCCTGCTCTGCCACAAGTCAAAATCAATCATGTTGATGTGCATGAGATGGGTTCTTCTACTGGAAGGGGGATGGCAGTTGACGTCTCCCTTTCTGCTTCAATTGACTCCCCATTCACACTTCGAATTCCTGAATTGGGTTTCGATGTTCTTGTCCCAAGTTGCTCGCCGGGCGAGCCCTATATCACTGTTGCCGACGCAAAGACTCAAGAGGTCCAAATAGTTCCTGGGCAGCTGACCAACATGAATGTCAGTGGCCTAGTTCAGGGCCTGTCTGATAGGTTGACCAGAACTTGTCCGGGGCAGAAAAGCTCGCCTCTGGACTTCCTCGTCAAGAGCTATACTCACGGTCTCAAAACGACAATCTATGTTCGTGGAGCCAACGCTCCATCGCTCCACACCCCTGAGTGGATGGTCGATCTTCTCAACAGTGTTACAGTGCCATTGCCATTCACAGGACACGTCTTGGATGGTCTTGTCAAAAAGTTTACCACGTCCAATGTTCATTTTTCTCTTCCCAGTCCCCTGGCGGAGCCAGGAACGCCCGAAGCTCAGCCAAAGGTGTCTGCTTTGATGAAGGTTCTTGTTGGTATGCCGAAACAAGTGAATATTCACATGGACATTCCACATGTCCGTGCCAATGCAGATGTGTACTATAAGGGAGATAAGTTTGGCGTCCTGGAATTGCCCAAATGGCATCCCGCAAATTCGACCATGGTAAATGGTACTGATGGCTCTCCCGGAATGCTTGTGGAATTTGCCATGAAAGATGCACCGTTACGAGTTACCGACAGCCAAATTTTCACCGATGTCATCCAAAACCTCATATTCGGTGGAAAACCAGTGGAACTACACCTTGTTGCAGCCGTGGATGCAGAGATCTCTACCGGGCTGGGTCGGTTTGCCGTGCGTGAAATACCGGCGGAAGGAAACGTGAGCGTCGGCTGTGAGTATTCTTCTATTCTATCTTGAGATTATATTGAGATTATGAGCTGATCACTTGGTAGCCCCATTTGGTGGTTCAATTGACGAGCTGCTTCCCCGAGTAGAGACCATGGATATAGAGTCCACAACTGAATCCTCTGCGCTTATGAATACTAGGATAAACTTTACAAATCCAACACGGTATTCTGCGACGGTCCCATTGGTTGACTTTGTTTTGGTGTACAATGCAACAAAATTGGCTCGTGTCACTGCTCGAGACGTCTCGATTGTGCCCGGTATCAATTCCGGAATCCACGTTGATCTTGCATGGAGCCCATTGGAATCAGGCGGACCAAATGGCGTGAGTGCTGGTCGAGAGCTGCTTTCGCGATACGTTTCAGGTGAGAAACGATTGCCTTCAATATTTTTTCTTGATATCTGACCACCCTCGTAGGAACCAACAGTACGGTTATTTTCAAAGCCCACCGGGGAACAATCCCTGCGCTCCCAGAGCTTGGGGAGGCATTATCCGAATTAGATTTCCCAGTTCAGATTCCCATTTTGGCCAAGAAGCGGCCGCACTTCATACAAGATGCAACGGTACTGTCTACTCTCATCGACATTTCATATCCTCAAGAACATTAGATGTTACTCTCACATCACAAGTGAGAAGCGTGTATCTCTTTTGTCAAAACATCAATCTCTATTTTCAACAAAGAGGATGATCCTCCTGACGACAAACGTGACTGACTTCTGTGTGCTGCTAGCTGCACCTGTTGTCAATGACGGCCGAATTCATCCTCTACTCCCCCTTTTCCCAAACGAACCTAGAGATCACCTCGGTTCAAGCCTCCGCATTTTATGAGAAGGAAACAAAAATCGGCAGTATCGACTACTTTACCCCCTTCTTGATACCACCGGGCTTGTCGCCGACCCCGCATTTGCCAGTTGATCTGGTTTTGAGCGGAATCGGCTACGATGCTCTGGTCAAGGCTCTCGGAGGTGATCTGGAACTGAACGTGGTGGCGGATATCGGTGTTCGGGTTGGAAAGTACAGAGAGCTCTTGCACTACAAGGGCAACGGGATCGCAGCTAAAGTCAGGGTTCTGCTTTAGCGGCTTTGCTTATTTTTGATTTTGATTCCTTTTCTTTTTCTCTTTCCTTTCTCTTTGCTTTCAGGGCTAGAATGTTTTCTTCTTGAATTAGATATATATTTTGGCAGGTCCAAGATATCGGCGTTTTGAGGGACAAATTGCATGACTTTTTGATGAATGATGGCTCAGAATGATACAATTCTTTCCGGGGAGATATTGAGAAAATTGTTTCTAAAAACCAATGCAAGCTAGGGTTGATATTTATATCCTCTAACTCGGCATTGATACGGGTTGGATGAGAAAGGGGAAAAAAAGCTATACAATACCACCTGGAAAAAGGTTGACAATAGCAAGATAGATTAACATAAAAAGCGTTATATCAAAGATCCTAACCCGGTATTCCCTAAAAAGATAATATAACAAATTTTACAATACTAATCGAATATTGCACAAACAAAAAAAAAAAAATAGGGGAAATAGAGCTCGAGAAAAAGACGCATAGAAATTGCTTTTTCAGGCGGTATAATTCATTGCGGACATTGGGGCTATTTAGCCGGGAGGAAGAGTGCTAACATCAACCACGTCGGAGGCCTCCTTCTCGACCTCCTCGTTGGGCTCGGAGAGAGGAGAACGGGGGAGAGCCATGAGACCGGTTCGGGTGGACTCGAGGATACCGAATGGTGCGATCAGCTTCATGAAGGAATCGATACGGTGAGGCTTGGCGGAACTATTGATGGGTCAGTTATTTGATAGGGAAGATTATGCGAAGGGTGTAAAGTATGGACTAACATTTCAACGATGCAGTTGTTGGTGCTGATATCCAGAACCTTACCACCAAACTGGTGAGTCAGGCGAGTGATGGCATCGAGATGCTCGTGCTTGTGTCTCAGGGCTTGGCTCTGGGGTAAGTGACGAGGGTGGAACTCGGTCTTCTTGCTTGCCTGTCCGGCCTTGTCTTGTCCATCCAGGCTTTCTCCGGGGGTGGTGATCTCGCGGTGGTGCTGCAGCAACTCCTCGAAGAACTCGGGACCCAGAATGCTGACCTTGGCCAGCAAAAGTTCACGCTGAACCAGAGCCGACTCAGTGTAGTCAAGGACAGCCCAGACGGGGACCAGGTCGTCCAATTGACGGCGGGCCTGCTCCACGACACCATCCTGACCTTGCAGCACAATGGTCATACGGGACAGGTCCTCGACCTCAGTGTTGCAGACGACCAAGCTGTCGATGTTGAAACCACGAGCAGCCAAGATTCCGGAGACACGCGAGAGCACACCAGGCTCGTTCTGCACGAGGCAGTTCAGGACATGGCGCTTCGGGGGGTTGGTAGGCACCACGGGAGTCTCGTAAAGGATGGACGTGACGGCAGTGGGAGCATCCATTTGACGCGAGGCATCGGAGACAGGCAAAGGAAGAGGCGATCGGCGATGCAATGCCTTATAGGCCAGAGCCGAAGTGGAACTGGATGAAGCTCTGCATGAGGTGAACCGGGGCAGAGAAGCGGCCACTCGGGAAGTTTTGCTCGCTGTCGAAAGGAAGGGTGCAGACGATGCTGCCGAAGACAGCATCATAGGACGTCGAAAAGCCATGATCTCCCGGGTTTGGGCCCACACGATAAGGCCTGCAAAGCGAGGGAGAAGAGGCAGAATTTCAACAGGGCTGGAGAAAGGGAGTCATGATTCGGCGAGGCGGTCATTTTCCTCTTTTATACTGGGCGGTCCGACCTCGGGGGCATTGCTGACTCATGACTTATGTCTGATTGTACCGTACCAGCCCCGTACGCCGTACGGTAACGTCGTTACACGCCAACAGTACCGCCAACCGCATGGGGACTAGCGTATCAGCAATGCATCTCCAGCTTGACGTTCGATGGAGATTCATTCATCTTCTTTGTTGTCTTCAGTATCTTTTTTTTCTCTTTCTTTGCATAGCTTTACTCGATCTTTATTCATCTTCCATATCGCCTCACTGTGAGGCAGGGCTCTTTGCTCACCGTAAACTTCCTAGTTCCTACAGAGCCTCTGTCTTCATTGTTACACTAGTGTCCGTTTGGGCTGATCGCCTGAGCTCCACCAAATCCTTCAGAAAGTCCTACACACCGATCGCCTCGGCCATTGTCTTCTCTTCTTGACTCTCTCCAAGTACAAACAGAGCTGGCCAACCCCTAATTCTTCCACCATGGCCGACGACGACCGCCGGGCCAAACGTTCCCGTTTTGACCAGACGGAGCCGGAGCCACGACGACCATCGCGTTTTGACCGTCGTTCTCGATCGCCTTCGTCGCGACAGTCGGAAGTCACTCGAACTCGCAGTCCCCTCAGTCGTGAACCGCGCAGTCCGAGCACAGATGCCGGAAAGAAGTCTGGGTCTGTAGACCCAGCAGCCGCAGCAGGTATGGCCAGAACTATATATTCCAGGTCTCTGACTGACAGGACGACAGCTGCCGCGGCCGCCAAGATCAATGCCCAGCTGCAAGCGAAGAAAGGCATTCAGCATGTCGATGTTCCTCCAATCCGTTCGGTGAGTATAAAAGATCTCTTACTAGAGCCTTTCTAGAACTGTAAAGCTGACTTCCTCTTCTAGACTTCTAGTCCCGCGCCGAAGCCCGACGAGTCCGCTGGCGATGCTGCGAAGTTGAATGCGGAGATCTATGTTGCGGATGGAGACTACATCAAAGATATCGAAATCAATGATTTGCGCAATCGTTACACACTGACAAAAGGCTCTACTCAGAAGATGGTAATTACTCCTGTTGTATCCGCTGATTCTCCAGGCACAATTGCGCAAGCTGGCAACTGCCCGGCGCCATGCCCTTTCTTTCTTCCCTTTGTCTGTTTTCTGTCTTGTGGTCGTGGCTAAAGCTTACCCAAATAATCGAAACCCATAGCATTCCACCTCCCCTCATTTGCATCTGCTGACCTCCGCTGCGTGACTTTTAGATCAAAGAAGAAACTGGCGCCGGTACGCCTTCACATTTTCCATATTCTACTATTGCTACTATTGTCAACAAGAAGGAAGCTCATAACTTTTTCTTTTCAAGATGTCACTACCCGAGGAAACTATTACCCGGATAAGAGCATGGCCAGTGCAGCGGTATGTGTTCTATTGTGACGTGGCTTTCCACGAGATATTGCATCCTGCGTGTTTGTCTAATCGGTCTTTTGTCTCTTCTATAGAACCCTCCCTTATATCTCCACGTCACGAGTACCAACAAGGATGGCCTTGAAAAAGCCGTGGCTCTCATCGACGACCTTATGCAGAAGGAACTTCCTAACCTGGTCGATGAGCGTCGATTCCGTCGTCGGGAGCCCGAGCCCGTGGAGCGCGATGAATATGGCCGTGTATGAAACTGTACCGATTTATCTTATACCAGGCTAAGCTAATTTTCTGCAGCGTAAATGGCCCGAGGAACGGATTCCTATCGACCTCGACCCCATTCCCGGTTTCAATCTACGAGCTCAAGTTGTCGGACAGGGCGGTGCCTATGTGAAACACATCCAGCAGAAGACCAGGTGCAAGGTCCAGATTAAGGGGCGTGGCTCTGGATTCATGGAACCTAGTACCGGCAGAGAAAGCGACGAGCCTATGTATCTCCATGTAGCGTGAGTAAACCGGCCATGTCTCTTATTTTGCCGTCTGACAAGAATGCAGTGGCCCCGATCCAAACGAGGTCCAGAACGCAAAAGAACTCTGCGAGGACTTGTTGGGCAATGTTCGAGAACAGTACCAGCGCTTCAAGGAAAACCCACCCCAGCACAATTATGGCGGCTACGGCCAGCGTGGTGACCGTTACAACAATAACAGAGACAACAGCTATGGTGGTGGTTATGGTGGATATTCCAATCACAACCAGGGCCACCATCATCAGCAGTCGACCCCGGCGTCGGCAAGCCCGTCCGGACAGACGCCAGGAGCTGCAGGTGCAAGTGCTAGTCCAACTGACTACAGCGCGCAGTATGCCCAGTACTACGGCTCTGACCCATACGCAGCCTATGGAGGTTACCAGAACTATGTTGCCTACTATCAATATTACCAGCAAGCCGCTGCCGCACAGCAGCAACAGCAGCAGCAATCACAAAGCCCTGCCCCCCCGCCGCCTCCTGCCAACGAAGCTCCTCCCCCTCCCCCTCCTGGATCTGGATCTCCGCCTCCGCCGCCGCCTGGTGGCAGCTACAGTGCTGTAAGAATCTTCTTCATTAATAAAAGGCAAACCGAATAAACTTGCTAATTTCATATAGGTTCCCCCGCCACCGGGACTTTGATTCTCAAATGCTTGCTGTCAACTCGACAGGTTTGGTAAAAGTTCTTTAGTGAATTGCAAAGTAAATTGCGGTATCACAGAGGAATTTCCGTCTTGATTTGATTACGCGCGAGATAGTTGCTGTCAACTCTCATTCTCCACTTGATGCCCCTTTTTGATATTTTTGAAATTTGATTGCGGGCTGACAGCCACCTGTAGAACAAATTGGAACGCCATGGCTATTCAGGTTTTTGCCTTTGTCGAGAAGAAATAACTACTGCGCAATTCGTAACTGACAGAAGAGTAACCCTGTGTGGATTTATGGATTGGTTAAGTTGTCTTCGTATCGTGATGCTGATGTATAGATATTGGTAATGAACATAAAACCCCCTCTGAAGATACACATTTTCGCGTGTTTGATTAGAATAGAACTGCGATGCGTATCACTAGAATCAAAGGCAACTCCAACTCCTTCAAGGACACGTGGGACAGGGTATATGAAAGTCTAACAGTGGACAGAAGCTCTAACGAAACCCGTTTGGAAACAAAAATTGCATATAAGGGAGAAAGCTCATCTCGATAAAACCATCCGGGTTACTTGGAGGAACCATTTTCGCCTTGCGTATGGCCAGAGCACTCCGGCCTTCTTTACAAAAATCGCAGGCGAAATCGCATGGGGATGATGACTCCGGCGCATCTCCTTCGTTGCGTGGGACCTGGGAGCCCATCTGTTCCAGTTCGAAGTCACCGAAGAATTCCTTGATGATCTCATGTCTGCACCGGGTCGTGGATTCACAATATCGGACCACGTTCCGGAAGCTCTCTAGTCGGGCTTTGTGGCTTTGGAGATTTGCTCGGTGGTCAGCGTTCCCCGGTTGGCCTTTGCTTACGCCGGCCCGATTTCTGGCTTTTGTGACGTCCTTTTCAAGATGGTCGAGAACCCTATCGCGTTCTTGGGTGTTGTAGTAAACGAGTGATGCGGCGGCGCGGCCATCGCGGCCTGCGCGACCAGATTCTTGCACGAAACCTTCGAAACTTCGAGAGGGGGTCCAATGGACGACAAAACGGACGTCGGGGTTATCGATACCCATGCCAAATGCATTAGTTGCCACAATGATGGAGAATGCTGGATTTGGTTTGTCTGGGTTTTCTGAATGTGTTTGTGGGGACATCCACATTGTCTGAATACGGGTTCTGTCTTCGCTCGAAAGACCAGCATGATAAGCCACAGCGTTGACGGAATCGCTTCTCTCTGAAAGCTTGTTGGCTAGATCCACCGAGGTTGCACGATAGTTCACGTACACGATTCCTGATATGGGAGAGAGATTAGCAGCAGCCGAACCGAATCTGGCCTCCCGCCGAGTCTTGATGGAGTCCAGCCAGGAGACAAGGTCGTCCACCTGGAAGTCTTCTGGACATAATGGGTCTTCAGCATAATCTTCGAGATATCTAATCTCATAATGAATGTTAGGACGAGCAGAGGGTGTGTTGAAGATCTTCAATTGAGAAACATCTAAACCCAGTATTGCAATAATGTCTTCGCGGACTCGAGGGGTTGCAGTCGCCGTAAAGGCACTGATTGGGACTGTGGGATTTTTGAGGGTACGTTTAAACCAGGCTAATTCCTTATATGCCGTACGAAAATCATGCCCCCATTGACTTATACAATGGGCCTCGTCGATGGCAACCCGGGTCAATTCGCCCTGAGAGTGAATAATCTGAAGACTGCGTCGGAAGGTCTCTGTCAGACATAGTTCCGGAGTCACGTAAAGAAGACGAGTTCTAGGGTGACCCGAAAGCAAATCTTCCCTGATCACTTTTCTTTCTGACACCGATGTTGTAGAATTGATGGTTGCCACTGGTACTCCGATGGCTTGAAGCGCATTGACCTGATCTGTCTATTGTCCAAAGCACACAGCTTCAGTAAATGGTCATCAAAGACGTTCGATAAGGGCTGCACTCACCATCAACGCCAGGAGAGGACTCACAACAACGGTCACTATCCAAATGAATACGAAACAAAGCAAACACGTCTCAGTCATTTGGTCATCATTAGGGAATTTCTAGAGGATGACCAACCGCCATGGCTGATCACAGCAGGCAACTGGAAGCACAGACTCTTCCCAAACGATGTAGATGCCTGCAGGAACACGTCGTGACCTTCAATAGCAGCCGCAATAACCTCCCGCTGGAGAGGACTGTAGCCATTGCATTAGTGCTGGTTTTTAGACTCGGTTCGAGAGATTGCAAGTACTAACCGAAATGACGTCTTTCGGAATACACGATGCAAATAAAAGTCCAAGTCTACCTTTCGACGGTTGAAATCATCTGTTACCATTTCTGCATCTTATGAAAGAAGAAGATCTGGAGATGATGAGATACTGCTGACTTCAATTGTGCGCTTTTTTTCCAGATGGAAGAACGCGTCGTCGCGAGAGAACGGAAAGACAAGACAAACGCGATATCACGTGAGCAATATGATGCTGGGCAATCATTTTAAGCCATCATCGAGATGGCCTGAGGCAATTTTCTGAATTGAAATTGCAGGTGCGTTTAATTGTAGTAGATGAACAGGAACTCCAGCGTCTTAACTTTCTATCCAAACTGAACAGTTTCACTTACCTACCTTATCGGGGATGATATACAGAATAGGGACGTGCTAGAGTATAGTATCTTGACAATCGAGGTACAATTACAATGTAAATAATAATGACAGTCGATGCCCACCGCAGGGTATATATATACAGGTCTATAATGTACACACACCAAAGATTATCCCCACTCGTCTCAGCGATATCCCCTGGATCTATTCATTTGTTTCTCCAGTTCCTCCTTGATGGCGAGGACATCCAATGCCTTGCGCTTCCATGGCTGCCAGATACGCTCAATTTGCAACCAAACTTCCATGACCTCTTTGGGCCCGCAGCAAGCGCCAAATGCACGGAGAATGATGATAATCATCCGACGACCGAGAAAAACGCCGTTTTCGATTTGGCGCTCCATTTCCTCCAGCTCGTCCTGCGGGGTCTGTTGGTTTCGCAATCTGTCGTTGAACAGCTCGTCCACGTCAATGTCATCATGAGACTCTACCATCTCCCCATTTGTGCTGCATTCGGCTTCTTCACTGTTGGTTTCTCCCTTCTTTTCTATATGCTCGTCCTGATCTTTGTCCGCCTCATCCTTTGCAGCAGGCTTGCCTAAGGGTAATGGTGTATAGAGCCCACTTGGCATATCACTCGGAAGTGCCGGTTTTCCCACACGCGATGCGGTACCACTTATAAGCGGATTTTCCCAAACAAGTGGTTCTCGTCGCAATGAAAACCGGTCGCTTGGTCTATTCCGAGATTCATGGTATAGTCTGTTCCTAGACTCGTAGAGAGCACGGAGATATGTTTTCCATGCTTCTCGAAGCCTGTCAGCGGACCAATACTTTTTTCTCCCGCCGTGGTAAGCGAAGCCTTCAAAAAGTAGCAGATATATCATGCCGCGAGGGGGAATCGCAAAGGCGTTTTCCATGTCTCCGAGCACTGACATGAAACCGTTCAGATTTCCGGATTGATGAGCGTGGAAGGAGAGAAGGATATGGAACGTCCGTGTATCAGGGGTCATTGGCAAAGCATCTTGAATGGTGCGATGGTGTTCCGGGAGCTTGTCCTTCAGAGCAGCCGAAATCTTCAGAACCTTGCCCAACTTTTTGTTTCTTTTGCGGTAAATGTTAAATTCCGACGAGAGCATTGGTAAATGTTCCGCCACCTGTTCGCCATAGAAGTCTATCTCTTTCTGCACAGTGGCTTGGGCTTGCAACATGCGATGATAGAGTTGATCCGCAGTCTTAACTTCTCCAGCTCGAATAAGAGACACTAAAAGGCAGTTTAAAACTACCGTGTCCACAATTTCCCCTGAAGACACAAATTCATCGTAGGTCTGGCGAACACCATCTGCATCATGCCGCATTCCGTGGTAGTACATCTTGGAGACTTTGCCCTCGCGATTGAATTCGATACCGCGCTTCGTCATCTCATCGATCAGACGATCAGCAACCGTGAATTGACTGGCTTTTATGGCGATGTCGAATAGAATAGTGAAAACCACGTCATCGGACTTGACTCCAGCCACGTGCTCCATCTGCTGCCAGATACCAATGGCCCTAACCAGGTCTCTCTTGAACACTTTTCCTGATGCGCGACCGGCAAGGTGAATAGCAGAGCTCCACAGGGAACGAGACATGGGCAGCTTGGCCGCAATCATGTCTTCCACCAAAGCAAGATAGCGACGAGCATCGACCCAGCGCCGGTTTGGAGGGGTAGCGAATCGACGCAGGAGGGCGCCACGTGAGCGTTTTGATAGATGCGATACTCCCGGGCAAGGGAGTTCTCTGTAAAGTCGAAAAATATATTGATTTGATTTCTTTTCATCCCACAACGCCTCAAGAAATCTTTCCACCGATAGGACATCAACAGCATCAATGGAATTTGCTGTTGCATCCCGCACTTGCTTCGGCCTAGAAACTGAAGACCCGATCCCCATATCTTGTGCCACCGCTTCAGCCGCCTCTTTCCAATTCAATTTACTACCAAGTGTAGAGCGATATAATTGTGATGTTGATGCGTATTTTTCCGCGGTGGGACTAATCTTCCCGTGATACCGGTATGTGCGTGTTTTGGGGGCAGAATTCGATCGGTCGTCAGAAGCAGTACCTTGGGAAATGACACTGCTCGCAGTGTCATTCCGATCAGGTAGAAGAATAGAGTTATCCGTCATTGACTCATTATTGGGTAACGCTGTTGATAATTGAAACGGTGATGGTGTGTCCAAGTATTTTGTCGTATCCGATTCCGCGTCTTCGCCATGACTTTCTAGCGAAGGCTCACCCCAAGGTCTCCCCCTTGTATTGTCTTCATCGTCGTCTTCTTCCACGCGTGCTATAGCGCCACTGTTGAACATACGCTGTGCCCTCGAATTTTGCATCCCCAGACTCTCTGTCGTAGAACCCAGATACTCCAGACATCTTTTCGACGACAGCTGCCTGCTATTACCCACGTTCCTCCTTCGCCATCGTGCCATGTGTTCTCGAGAAGCATTCATGGACATTGTAGACAGCCCCCTGCCACGAGGTGAGTGCTCGCGACAAAAGCTTGCCATCACCAAGGAGCCGACAAACACGTCTGCTATAGACGCAACGGCCGGGCGAGGACGTCGGGGACCGAGTCTTCTGATAGAGGCATTGTATGCGGACGAATCTGGATTAGGCATCGAACTGGATCTGGAGAGCAAGCTCGTATCCAAGCCCTGCGGGGGCTGGAATCGCAAGTTCGACGAGCTTTGGGACCTATTGGAATGAGGCATGAGACGACAGACATCGTGGCATTTGGTCAGCCATGCATGTCCCGAGAAAGTCTCGAGCAGCTTGAAGACAGGATAGAGCAAAACGCTCTCCAGATGCCAAACAAGCCGAGCAAAGTGGGGAAAGACGAGAAAAGGAAACAAAAAAGTAACTGCGGAAGGTGGGCGTGACAACGGTGGATGGTGTTGAAAGCTTTCCTCCCCCGTCAAATTATTATTTGGATGTCTCTCTCTGGCTTTGCACGGAGCGGAGCCGGGGTCGGGCCAATCGGAGGCGCGCATTGCCAATCCAGTTCTTTTTCACTACCCGCGCTCTCAACCACCAGGAAACCTGCGGTCCGAACAACGAGGGATTGCTCGCTCAACCAATTCATCTCCTGCCGGTCAAGTTGGTCTACTTGGGATTGAATAATCGAGGCCGTGAATCTCACGCTACGAAACTTTTTAATACCGATTCCCCGACCGCAGCGGCTGTGGACCTTGCGCTCCTCTCCTTTGTTCCGCCATGGGCAAATACAATCTCACAGCCCTCCGGGTTCGACAGACTGCTCTTAACCAAGCAGCAACCGGAAAGTTCAAAGTTCTGCCAACATGGGTTAAGGCATTAGGCGATATCCCTCCTTCCCAGGTTCTTGTGCGGAACCAGCCCCAGCAACACCAGCTCGTCCGACAACGCGTGAAGACAATTCCCGGATCCTCAAAGACGCAGGCCGTCTTTGAAGCACAAGAGAAGCGGACGAAACCGAAGAAGACAAGCCGCTTATTTCAGCCCGTGGAGATTAAATTCGAGGAGGACCAGCTGCGAAAGGAATTTTTCCGCGATCATCCTTGGGAGCTTGCCAGACCTCGCGTTCTTATCGAAAGTTCTGGCAAAGACTTTGAGAGTCATGACTGGAGTCGGGGAATTCAGCAACCAGGAAAGAGGTTGGATGGTGAGAGGTGTGTATTGATTCTTTCCATTGATGGCTACAATGCGCCTTTTTTTAAGCAATTGATAGACCTGTACGCGGTGTGGGGTATACATATACTGATATCTTTCTTTTCCACCTTCCAGTGTCGTTCAGAGACAGCTCTGGCTCCTGAATAATGTACCTGATATGACAAAGAGTGCTGCTTATGATATCGCGCGCCGGGAATTCTACAAACTCCGTCTGCAGGAGGACATTGAACGACGAGTTGCTGCGGAAGAGGCGGAAGCGACCGGTGCAACATTTGGACCTACACTTCTCGATGTCGGTATGCAGCTCGAGAACCAGGAATACGAGCGCTGGAAGGAATGGGCCAAGATGGAGGCTCAGGTACAGGAGCAGAAAGCAGCCGCATTCACCGGTGCTCCGGAGGTCGCAACCCCCAGTGAAGAAAGCGTTGAGGAGGCCACTACCGAGGAACGGGCCACGCAGTAAACCTAGAGATGATAATTTTGGAGGATTTGCTTATTGATTGATCCCTTTGTTGTCGGGGACATTTACTTATACCCGACAGACTTGATGGCCATGTATACTACTGAGGACTGTTTCATATTGTGTCTATTCTCTTTTCTTATTCTTCTGTTCTTCATGGAAGTTTCTCTTTGCTACCAGACATGAGATCTTAGACTGTATAAAAAGATCAATTCACACCTGAATTGGATGTGCGTTTCACAATAGACTAATACTACATTAAATAGGCAGTCAATTCTGACGATGATAAAATGATGCCATAGTCTCTTTTTTTTCCTTTTCTTTTCCTCCCTATTTTTATCCCTGCTCTAGTGTCTGGATTTCACAGTCGTTGGCCAATCAACGGCCTCAGCGCCAGGGCCGTTTTGTTGCTTTACTTATCGCGCCTAACATCCATTCACCTCCATTATCGACTTTCCCCCAAAAAAGACACCATCCTGACTGACAGCCGGCCTGCTTTCTCATCCTCCACCAAACAATATCATGTTAATTATGAACTAATTGATTTTCTGCTTTTCTTCTTTGTGTCTTTTTCTGCGATCCAAGGTCTATCGATCTGCTGGTGGCATTTGGTCTGGCAGCTGCACCACCTCCGCGATCGCTACACCCTCTACCAGACTCCCTAGAGATGTTAGCATCTTGAGCATCGTTTTCGATTGACTCTAGTGCTCTGATGCTCTGATCTGATTACCCTCCTTGATATCACTAGTCATTTCGATTCCAGAGTCATCAGTGCTGTGTCGACCTCTCCTCCGCCCGAAGTCAACCGAGTCCCCCTCTTCTTGAAAATCAACAAACTCCCCGGTTTTTGTGTCGCGCTTCAACCGGACAATCGGATATTTCCACCCGTATATTAGCCTACTCGGATGAAGGGTTTATACTCGATTGAAAACGATTGAACACGTCGATAAGTCGCTGTTGTAGCGTGCTTTGATCATGCTCCAATCGGTCCTGGTACACACCTCGCAGATTCTCTGGTCATCTGATTGAACTCTAGAAATCCGGAGCTTTAATAGGATCAAACCAACACTTCCACCCGAAATTCGACGAAATAGCCTTCCGTTTGTGAATTACCTTTGACCATGTTGTCCACAATGGTTCGCCCGGAGGATACCATCCGAGTACCTCGTCCATACCGTGGAGATACCGATGACGATGATGGAAGTAGGGGAACGCCAGAGCCAATATTTCCTCCTCTTCCGCTGAATGATGACGGACCGCCTAGAAATGAAGACGAATCTATAAAAAGTAATGGGTCTACAGTCGATAGTTCTGGTAGCAGCAAGCATCATTCAGGGCCGAGATTGCTTTTGCCCGAGGAGATAATCGAACTTGTTCGCCGTGCAGTTGAAAACGGAATACAAGAGACCAAACGCTCTTTGGCAGGAAGCGAGGCTGTTGGTGATGTTGTCAAACCGAAGCTGACTATTAATATTGGCCACTCCAACCTGGGCCATATTCCCGAGGCGGTGGTCGATATCATCAAAGACGAAGTTGAAAGGTATGCTAACCCGTTGCCTTTTGCTGACAGCAGTTCTGCCAGAGTAATGCGCAGGGCTTCGATATATTTGGATTAAGCTAACTCTATCCAGACTCTCTTTGTCGACTAACCACATCTTTCACATCCCCCATAGATTTGCGGAATGCTCTCACCTGCGGTACCTTAACATCAGAGAAAATGTTTTCCGTGAATTTCCAAAAGGAGTATGTGAAGAATTTCAGTCCTAACCGTCAGAGCGCTAATTTGACATTAGATCTACAAATTACCACACCTCGAAATATTGGATCTCAGCGGAAACAAGATTAAACATTTACCGGAAGACATAAAGAAATTAACTTCACTGCGTGTCTTGTCGGTGATGCAAAATCGCCTAGGAGAACTACCGCTTGGACTCTCTGATATGAACAAGTTGCAGATTCTGAAGGTCGCTGGGAATCCTTTGCGGTACCCCCTGCGACGGGTCTTAGAAATTTCAGAAACGGAAATTGCTCCATCCTTCATGTCCGACAATGAGAAAGAAGTTGCGGTCACTGCCGAATTGAAGAAATTCTTGAAGACCCGCCAGCCTGCCGCTCTTGAGATGGAAAGTAGCAGTGAGGCGAGGTATGGGACCTCCTTCCTCGACTATAAAACGAAGTGAACTAACTCGATCGTGTTTTAGTGAGGGTGTGTTGGATACGCCCAAGCCAGTTAAGCGTGGATTAAGCAGTCGTTTCCCCGTGATTCCAAGCACTGGCGAAGGCGCCTCCGGTTCCAGGTCACCGTCGCTGTCGCGCCCCCCGCCTATCCCGATAAAATCCCATTACCGCATTGCCTCTGGGCAGAGTACCAGCTTTCAAAACAACATCATCCAGCGACCTGGTGTGACCCCTCTTCCAGGGGTGAATGAACGCAATCGGAGCAATAGTGAGGGCATAATCCAAGCCTCCCTCGCCGCGCGCAGTAAGCGCATGGGCGTCATCCGGAAGAACACTGATTTAGGTACTCTGGACGAAACACGGCCATACCGAAACAGTCATTTGCGGGGACTTAGTCACGGTTCCCTCCTAAGAACAAGACCATCCGGCGCCGCGAATTCTCATAGCCCAAGTAGCCCAAGGGATCGCAGGCGCTTGAAAGATGGATTCGTCAACCGGATGTCAAGCCTACCAGAGCACAAGGGCGAGAAAGAAGCGGGGGAGCCCATAATTGACTGTGCTAGGGGCATACTATTCGCTCTTGTTCAAGTCCAGTCCCATGTGACTGCTTTGATAAATGTGATCAGAAGTGACGATTCTCGGGGGAACAATCTTGAACTTGTTTTCTACAATGCCTCCACACATGTAGAGCGACTCAACGATGCTCTGGATAAAGCGGAAAATAACCAGACTGATGACCCAGACCTGAGGAGGTTGTCCAATGATAACGTCAAGCAGGAATGTATGACGTGCATCATGGTCTACACTCATGTTGGCACGCAACTCCGCAATAGTCTTGACAAGATCGTTGCCAACGGCGACTCGCGCTACGTGCGCTCGTTGATGCTTATGATGTATGGCAGTGTGGCTGAACTAAGGAATGCCTGCACAAGCCTTGGAGCTCCGCTACAACCCCGCAAACAACTGTCCATTGGCAAGCTTCCTATTCCAGAAATAACCAAGGAACCGGCTGGCCCGGAACGGTTTGTTGGGCCAACAGTGACGCCAACAAGGGGAGATAATTCGTTACCAATGCGCCGATTCCGCAGCGACACAACGGTTCAACACCCTCAGATTACAATGAATGGTCCATTGCCAGCGTCATCAAATTATCAATCCGCAGTCAGTTCGCCTGGATTTGGCTCTACACCCTTCAGCTTTGGACAACGAAGTCGATCAAGCAGCAGATCTAATCTCATCAATACGTCGGTACCATCCTCACTTGCAACGCCTCGTTCGGGAGAGACATTTCCACCCATACCTAGCTCGGTTGTTCCTCGGATAAACCCTCTGACCGGACTAGACGAAATAGAAGAGGAACGCATCTTCGAGAAGATCTTTTACCAGCTCACAGCGGCCTACACGGCTGCTCTCCAAGCGCTACCTCTGGCCCGTCGTCAGTTTATGCGATGTCTCGAGGTAGCAGAACAGGCACGAGGATCTGAAGGCATTCAGATGCTTTGGAATAATCTCATCCGCCGTTGTCGTGTATGCTTGGAAGTATCGGAGGCACTTGGTCTCCGCCTATCCAACATGAAGGTCAAGGAGCCAGGAGGGGGAATGCGGAACCATCGAGAGTTCTGGCAACTCTGCAAAGGCTTCATGCAGTCCTTTGTTGATCTAGTGACCGATATGCGAGAGGTCAAAAGCATGCAACTTCTCCCTCCCGATATTGTCATCATTCTTCGTCCAGTTCAGAGGGCAAGTAGAGAGGCCGGTCGATTGATCGAAACGTCGCCCTGGTCGTATCTTGCAGACATGGCGTCGGCGAATGCGCCACCAAACATTTACGGTCCACCTCTGCAGGCACCACATTCGCAGAATCCGTCGTCTATGTCCACACCGAATGGATTTCAAATCCACTCAAGTCTGTCCCCCCAGACTATGGCGATCCCCGCAACTCCCCTAAGTGCTGCTCTCGGCCCTGCTGCACAAGCAACCATACCAACCACACCGGCAAGTGCGTACAGTGACAAATTTTTTGAGGGAGATGTCTTCCAAAGAGCTGACTCATTACTTTCAATGCCAAATCAAACGCCATTTTTCACACGCCGGTGACGTGGCACGAGAGACCCCGCTCTACGCTCATCTTTCCAGGACTTTGGTTCCTCGGCATACGGCCTTTTGTGCAACGCCACAAGCCATATTGTTTATTCCAAATCCTTGGTGTTGTGAATAAAATCTCATAACTTCCAGGTGTCTCTGCTTGTGACCGGGGCTGCAAGTGGCTCCTATGTGTATTCAAACGGGGGCTTGCATCACATTCTTCCTTGGAAGGACTGTTGTGCATGTACTCTTTGCACACACGCGTTAAATAATGATTTGAGGAGCAAAACACAGTTACTGTCGTGTTTATTCACTACGTACGCTCCTAGTCACGCCTAGGCGGACACGACTATTTCTTAGGATGATGTACCCATAGTCGAATGACTTGTTGGTTTCGGTTTCTTGTTCCATACTGCTTTCTTTTTCCCCCCCCTTTTATTTTCTTATTTTTTTTGTTCCCTTTTTCTTCCGCGTGTTTTAATTCAGGGTCTGGGGGTTTTCAAAAAAAAAAAGACAGGCTCGGACATACCAAGGACGGATGGAGTTTCGAGCTTGAACACTTTGCATAGCGTTGTTTTCTTCTATTGAATGACATGGATGACGGGAAAGAAAAGAGACAAGAAATCTAGACACTATTTTGGGAACTGGCTGTGGTTCCATTGATGTATATGTTATGAGATAGAAGTCACAACTTCTAGTATTATCAAGATTCAAGATACCACAATCAGAATCAGATCAAATAATTAAATTTATGCTATTGCCCATATCCTAGTTGATTCTGACTTCCACAAAAAAAAAAAAAAAAAGTCAGCCCCGGACAACAACATCCCTCACATATGCGAACATCTCACGCGGCTTATCAATGAACACACTATGACCTGCATCTCGGAAAAGATGGAAAGAAACTCCGCGCTCTGAGGCCCAGATCCCTGCCTCGGCAAGGCCGTCGCCATTGTTCTGCATGGCCAGATTAGCAGGGGTAGCATTATCGGTGAAGAACACGCGGCTCGGCTTTTGGGAAAAGCCCTGCGCCCCGCGCCAGGTCATGTTTTGAAGACATAGTTCGGTGCCAAGATGGTTGATCAGCATGTCATGGTCGCCAGAATAGATGTGCAGGGCAAGGTTATGCGACGTGACCAGTGATGGGAGAATGGAGTACGCCGGTGGAGTGGGTGGAACTGCGACGGAGACAAGGGTTTGGAGGATGTCGTCACTGCAGGCACTGAACAGAGTGGCATCGCCACTGTCGCTGTCAGGAGGAAGAGCGTTCAATGTGGTTTGGACATCTGCACGGCTGAAATACGAGGCCAGCAGGTGAAACGGGTCGATTGTGTTACAGTCATTTTTGATGTCGTAGACGTCGAAGCATTCCTTGCCCACGCCAGAGGCAGACACGGTGTTCAGGTAATCCATGGCGGTGGAAAAGGTGGCGCATGGTCCCTGACAGGTGGAATTTAGGATGGATGACAGTACTCCATCTTCCGTGGTAGGATGGGTGTTGCATGTATCGCTCAAGATAGAGCCCTGGCTGCGACGGTGCCGTTTATAGTTCATGCCCTCTGGATCCCCGGGGATGGTGATTTTGCCCTTGGGAGGAAATGTGTTTGCATGCTCCATGACGGAGTCGAAGCCACAGATCTCATCCGCTTTGGCGAAGGCCGATATAATATCATCAGGTATCTGGAGCAAGGAGCTTTGAGATTTCAGATAAGCACCTGTTGTGACGAATGAACTAGCGGCAGCGTTGCCCCAGGTTCCATCGCCCATTGACATTGACCGGAGATTAATGGGGGAGGAATCCTGGTTGTCGACGATGGCAGATGCGAAATATGGGATGTAAATCCCTGCATATGACTCTCCCATCAGATGAACCTGCTTTTTCTGTAGATGAGGGAAATTGGAGAAGAAATTTTGAAGCCAGCTGTAAAAATCAGATACGACTCGATCATTGTTGGTGACGGGGTTCGGTGCGCTTGCGGTCGACAGACCCGTCCCCACGGGCTGGTCGACATAGAGAACATGGCCTAGCTTTGTCCAGGAGTTTGGATTCTGTATGAGACGAGTCGAGTTTCCATCGAAAGAAACGGGGCCATTCCCTGTCGTCAATCCGATCAGAGACGAGCAGCCAGGCCCGCCGTTGAGCCAAACTATGAGGAGAAATCTATTGTCAGTTATCTTCCTATGTATACTTGTTCCAAGGAGAGAAACTCACTAATTAGATGATCGTCGTAGTCAAGGTCCTCTGTCTCAAAGAGCCAAAAGAACATCGAATTGCCCTCCTCCGTGTTCGGGACAGGAAGCCGGCCAGCCCAGCTGGGGCCCAGAGAAGGACCATCAGGCAGCGAATGGACCTCGAACTGAGAAATATCAGACGGTGAGGTCAAAAGCGACCTAGCGATCATGGGTATAGCTAATGCAGCATGGAAGAATGACAAAATGCCAGCGATATTCATCATTTTGTGCGTGGTAGTTGGGAATTGCTTCAGTCAAGTATCAAAAGAGAAGACGACTAAAGGATAATAATCCATTCTTTTGTCTTGAAAAAGTCCATGATATCCTCTTGTGCTGAAAGAAATGCTTGGATGAGCCATGGAAGGTCGAATGTTATTGAGGTGATCGTTATTATCGAATGAATGAACCTGAAGCTATCCAGAAGTTGATCTCAATAGCAAGAACCTTATTGAGTATGATGTTCTGGTTATGACGGAGCATTGGGACAAAGGGTCTTCCTTCTTTGAATGGAATACCCATGTTAAATGAGTCCATGGCCATTCTGTAGGTGTTTCAATCGAGAGTTGATTCTGGTGGGATGTCAAGATGTTGTCTTCTCTTCTGGAGAGATGGTGATACTTGTGCCTCAGGCATGAATTCTCACATACTCCTCTCTTTAACCGGGGGTTTGTCAACAAATAATAGGCCAGCCAGTATTACGAACAGTATTTATGTATAAATTCTAATTACTGAGTATCCAGAATTCAAACAATCTCATAAATACCAAAATGGAGGCTCGAAGCTGTCTGCATGCAGCCCTACGACATTTCTAGGTCAAGTGACTGATATAGGGCTTAGGTTTAGGGCCATCACGGGGCTGCAAGTTGCTGCTTCAGTCTCACCTTCATCATGAGACGATGCTATTCATCACGAGAACCTTTTGGACTCATCATGGTGTCAACGGATTATCAATCATTCATCCTGAGGGATCATGGACTATCGTTCTATCCCAGATCCATCGGTCTTACTGGTCGGTAGTACAGGAAATTATGAGATCGATCGATCCCCATCGGTTTTATCGCTGCCTGATATGGTGTACTCGTATGCCACTATGGGGTGATGTTACCGCTCTTTTAACTGGAATTCCTTGGCTCCTTAATTGACTCTATCAATGGCCCAGGGTCAGATGAGGCGACACACACGGCCCACGCGTTGGACGACCGACTTTGCACTGTGCAGCCAAAGTGAGGCGTTAAGCGCAGGCGAGTCTCATGTCTTGCAGCCCCTTATCCGCATAGTCAAGCCGGAATTAACTAACAAGAATCAAGAATCAAGGCAACACCCCTGGCGCTTTGAAGGGGAAAAAATATTCAAGAAAGAAACTGAACATGCACAGGACGGAGAACGAAATCCATAGGATTCACACGGAGTAATATTAAGGATATGGGCACTGCTCTGTCGATCGGCCGTCCATTTTCAATAGCGAAATCCTCCCATCCCGCGCGTCTGTTGCACGGGGGTCGACTTACTATTTATGATAGCACCTAGGCAGCACTTCGATAACCCGATTTCAACACCTGACCGAGGTCTATCTATTATGTATTCATCTCGTATCTACTCCGTTCCAGGGATGGACGTCGAGTGGGATCTACATTTCAAGTCCAAAAAGGAAAGAAAGTTTTTCAAGTCCCCTGCACCTGGTCTACTTGTCGCCACAAGTCTTCGGGCTTGTAACGCAAGATTCCGTCGGCGGCCACGGAGACTCGATCGCGGGTCCCGAAATGTCGGTGGACGGAATGGGTCCGGCCATCCCCAGATACCTCATTCTATGAAGGACGGAGGAGTAGATATCATATCCACTGTCCGAAGGCGATGATGGCGGATGGCCACTCATAAGGGGAGTGGAATTGTTGAATGAATTCACGTCTCATGAGCCACCAGAGCTCCCCCTTTCATTTTACAAGAATTATCTACACATGTGGGTCCCTCCCAAGGAGACAAAGCCACAGGACTGAGGAGATCTCGGCCGCCGATCAAGAAGTAGAAGCTCTCAGGGCGATCATACGATGAGAACCGAAAACGAAAACGAATTGGATACATCGTCGAAACTATGGGGTACATATCGTCATTTTCCTTGATGTTGAATTGACACGGCAATCAATTTCTTAGCAAAGATTTTGCTGCGGGAAAGCTGTGACCATCTCAGAAAAAGAAAACAACCCTTTCAATGGCTGCTATCGTGAGAGACGCAACCATCTCAGATGCGATTGAGAATTCTCCAGAATCCAGCCAGATGTTCTCGGAAGGAGAGAAAATCGGGTCTGATAGAGATTGAGTTTCAACACTGGAATGTCCCAATCCAGAATCCCCTCTTCATCTTTCGCCTGGTCTACTACATACTACTATTGCCATCATGACATGGGGTTTTATTGATTGACTTCACTATTGCCGACCAGTTGAACGATAGCGGGGCGGAAAGCTGCATTCGACTGTACATTATTATTATTATTGTGGTGGACGAATTTGCCTTCACTTTCTAACGGAGTACATACTGTGTTCCGACACCCGACAGACAAAGGTTCATTGACGGTGGCGTGTGTGTCCTTTTTTCCTTTTTCTTTTTCTTTTTCTTTTTTTTTTTTAAAAAAAAAGAATTATCTTTTAAATTTTTTTTTTCTTTTTTTACACCCTTCCTTGTTGCTTATCCTTTCTCCTTTTTGGGTCAATTCCGCGTTACGGGTAACAGCATTTCCCTTCTCTCCCACCACAGGCCAGCTGGGATCGTACACGATGCTGTGCCCTGTCATCGTGAGGAATGCTGGGGAATAATAACCGCACAAAGTTCTAGGAATTTCGACTGTGGAATTTGCCTTTGCCTGCAGTGTCCCTCGCCGCTACTGCTGGGAACGATCATCTCCTTTGTTACCCACCATTGCAGCATGCGGACAGTCCGGAGAAGGGGGGCGCAAAGAGGGAGTTCTAGGGGGCCTCTCCCTTTAGTACTCGCGCCCAGCATATCACTATCACTCGATCGCCGGAATAGAATAATCTCCCACTCCCACGTCATTCACTAAAATATGGCTAGGAGCCGTTGGTTCTGCGACAATCATGTTCTAATCTAAATACGGAGAGTATTGCTAAGATTTCTTCTAATCTTCTTTTTGCCGGCCCCCGTTCACATCCTGTCGCAGACCCAGAGCCCAACAAGCTCGTACGTACACTGCTATCCGCAAGCATCCTGATCAACAACAGCCTCACTTTTGCATTTCATCTTTTTTTAATTCCTGCGAAATGCAGTGGCGTCCCCACTAGCCAAGGCTGTTCTCGACGCAATCTGTAATCAAAATTCTTGTAAGGTCATCGCTGTTTGCTTGCTGTCGGTCTATCTCCCTCTCTTGTTGCCCGCCATTATGATCCATTCCAATCCCCAATTGTAATCTTTCGTTGTTTCATGACCATTCTTCTGGTCCCATCCGGATGCCGTTATGTTGAAAACGCATGCTTGCGACTGCCATTGGTTATATCAAGACACCATCATCCCGGTTTCTTTACCAATCTGATTTTCGCCGATTTATTTGTTCATTCCCATCTGTCTTGTCTCGGCATTGCAGTTGAGTCGCTGTCGTTTGTTTCAATTGTTTGCCCATCCTGGCGCTCCATTGTCATTGTTGCATAGAGCATTGAGCTGTGTGCACCGAACGCCTCGTGCTTCTTTATTTTTTTACCCATTTTATTTTATTTTATTTTATTATTTTTTTTTTCTCCTGGGTTCCCCCCCTAGCATTTCTTTTTCTCGCGCTCTTCTCTTTGGTTGACCCTTCCTTGCCAATTTTCGCCTTACTTGCTGTCACCCTTCCTCTTCTTTTTCCCTTCAGCCATAAGGTTATTCGGACTGTCGCCGTCAAAACACTAACCTAGACACACCCCGGCTCCAGCTTGCCCCAGTTTTGTGATCATCGGATTGGGCCACCATCGTTGGCTACCCCTAAGTCCAGTCTTGTCGTCGCCCCAAACCTTCGAACTAGTCGCTGTCAGCCTGTCTGCCTCAGGCGAGTCTTGACACTACGTGTTTGCAAGAGGCATCATCCATCGTCCATTCGATCCACCGGCTGATACGAGGCTATGGTGTCTTGCACGCCCTATACGAGACGCTCATAACCTTTGTTATTTAGCCTGCAGAAGGATTTGTGATCATTTCCGCAATCGACATACTAGGTTACCAAAGCACCCTGGCAAGACTCGATCTTATTCTCGACCTTCCCAACTATACGGAAATCTCGGATTCAGTGGAATTGATGGAGATGGATCTTCAAAAGGCCAACGAGACGAGAAGGGATACGCCTAGCAAGCAGGAAGAGAGTTCAGAATGTCCTCTCGAGCCATATGGAGGCGGCCACTCGAAAGACTCCCCTAAGAACGACTCCCTTGATCACCATCGTGAATCACACAATGATGAAGACCCCGCGACCATGAATCAACGATGCCAACCCACCCAGTTCCCCTTTAATAATAATAATTCCCGCCGGAAACCCGCGTCAACTACTACACAGTCAACTTCCAGAATACCCCTGCCATCGCCAGAAGCTATAGATATCCCTGGCGCCCTGGGCCTAGCTGCCAGGGAACACCGATTGTTACTCGTCGCAAAGCGACACCCCCCGGTAACAAAGAAAACCCTCAGCGAACTTGACCTACCTTGCATCATGAGCAACATAAACCTTCGCATGGACGCCAACTTCGATCGTGATCTACATTTCAAACCCGATCTCGATGGCGAAAAGGGTAAGCGCAAGCGAAGAGAAGCCACGGACTACTGGGAGGCCATGGCAGCGGAGATTTCAGTCTACGCATTTTGCGCATCTACTGAGATGGGAAGCGCCGGTGACGGTGGGCATCAGAATGGTCAACGGCAGGCCTTTGAGCCCAGGCTCCCTGCGATGTTCGAGACGTTACAAGATGTTCTCAAGACACTTGTCCCCGAGCGTGATCATCCGAGCGTCATGCAAAACCTCGAGGTATCTTTATTGATGCAACAGATTCGGAAAGGAGTTCTTGATATGGTCGGATTGGCGAATTGGCTAGCGGCGCTGCTTAAGACCCATTGCGCCCCAATGCGGGACGAGTGGGCGGATCGCATGGTGGAGCAGATCAGCACTGGGTCGCAATCGCAAAATTCCTTGGAGATCGTCAGCGGCCTTCAAACGCTCTTTGCCATCTTGGAGGCTATGAAACTGGTGAGGGATATTGAGTGTTTTGCGTTAAGAATTGTTTTACTGACTGGGTGGGCTTATGTAGGATGTTGCGAACCACCAAATCCGCGCCTTCCGGGTTCTCCTCATCGAGGACACCGTACCTTTTCTTCAGGAATATTTCCAGAATAAAATCGAAAGAGAAAACTTTCGCGTGGAATCTTCGCGGGTCTGGTATCAAGAACTTCGGGAACACGAGCTGCACAACATGGATAGAACCAAGCCAGTGGACGGGTTCTGGCCTGTATCGGTGATGTTAAACGGCTTGTCCGACTTGTTACTTCAGTTCCATGACCCAGAAGGGTTTCCAGAAACCTTCATCTTCGACTCGGATCGACTTTGGCAGCTCCGGTCCAGTCTGCAGAACCTAATCAACTTGGACATCAGTTGGTATATCTTTGAATCATACATCCACACTCAAAAACGATATCTCTCCGCGCCCGTCGAAACGTATGCGACATTCCGCTCCCGGATCGGATCACTGATGGAGGAGAACGAGGACTGCCCCCGAGGATCACCGCGATGGCTGCAGAATGTACGGTGTGTCGCGCTGGAGATTGCTCGTTTCGCATGCGCCGCCTGTCGCAACGATACCGTGGTGTCGGATGATGTGATAGTGCCTATTGAACGAGCACTGGAATGGCATCTATCGAATGACTCGGAATTGTTCCAGTACTTCCAGAACTCCATGCAGGAGAAACTGATAGCGGCCACCTTTGCCTCTGCGAAAAAGTATCTCAACATGTCTCCGCTCGCCATCTGCGAATCCCAACGAAGCTATCCTCAAGCTACACTCATCCAACACCAATACGACATTGAGCGTATCTCGATGCGGTTGGCCCACATGGGCGTCCTACACTGGCGTGTTTGGGCACCGATTCTATACGTACGCGATAGCGTAACACCAAGTGATATGGGAAACGATCCAACGCCATCGAATATTCATTTATAATATCCTTAACGGGGTACATTGAGCAAAATTTGTGTTTCTTGATTTGCAGTTCAGCGTCTTGCATAGGTAGTTTTGGAACATGGCGTCCATATGGAAAAGGGCGTATTTCTTTATCAATATATTTTTGTTTATTTCTCTTGCTTTGGATATTGACATTTGGGGTTTGGTCTCGGGGCATTCTGTTTATTGATAGCAATGTTTCATAGATGTGATTTTGATAATCGTATTTTGTCTGCAGTTTGGCAGTAATGCATAATCCATACCTGGTTAAATATGTACGGTTATGTAATCACGTTCCTGCATAAATAAGATCTACATTCAGCATCAACAATTCAGCATCGCATCTCTTAAACATGCATCAACCTCGCAGCCATCATGCTTGATTCGCTATAGCAATAAAATACGCACATACATCCATACGTGATACACCCCCTCAATACCAGCGTATCGCCACATCAATTGATATTAGTTTTGTATCCACCATGCGCCTCACTCCTATCCTCCAATCCACATATCCTCGTCTCACATCCCTCAAAGCCGCCCAACTCCAACGCATCGCCCAAGCAACAGGCATCCAATCCTCAGGCCCTAAACCGGCCCTCCTCGATAGGCTTCAAGCTGAACTCCCGCAGAGCGAGTATGCCCCAATCTCCGGAGCTGGCAGCCATAGCCATGCTAAAAACGGCATGAGCATTCTGAGCATCGATATGGGGATTCAGAACCTTGCTTTTGCGCATCTTCTTGTTCCGGGCTCTATGCCTTCTCTGAAGGCATCTTCGTCGTCGGGGTATTCAGCGCCTCAGATACAGCTAAACGCATGGCGACGAATGGGGGTTTCGGACATTGATGCGTCGTCGGTCTTCCCTTCGGGTATCTCTCCACCATCCTCCACAAGTTCAAAAGGCGCCAGTAGTGTCGATGCCTTCCATCCCTCTCTATATGCAAAACACGCATACACGCTCATCACCTCATTACTGGCAACGTACCAACCCACGCACATCCTCATTGAACGACAGCGGTTTCGTTCTGGGGGTGGCAGTGCAGTGCAAGAGTGGACGCTGCGCGTGGGCGTGTTTGAGGGGATGCTGTATGCGGTTTTGCATACGTTGGCGCAGCGTGGTGGTGGGGGTGGGGATGTTGGTGGGCCTTTTGTTCACGGGGTGGAACCGATGCGTGTAGCGAGGTTTTGGGATGGAGGTGGCGGTGGCGGTTCAGTTGAGGGTGAGACGGATGGAGAGAAAGTGAGTAAGAAGAAGAGAACTAATTCAAAAGAGGGAAAGAAGATCAAGATTGATGTGGTTGGGGGTTGGTTAGCTGCGAATATGGGGGGTGAAGCTGGGCAGACGCCATCATCGTCGAAGATATGTGTAGGGGAGAGTCCTGAGCTGCGGGATTTGGTGGATGCGTATTTATGCAAATGGCAAGGGAAGAAGAAACGATCATCGAAGAAGACAGATGGGAATGGGGGTGGGGTTAATATTGGCAAGTTGGATGATTTGGCTGATTGTCTCCTTCAGGGTGTGACTTGGTTGGAGTGGCATACTATGCGGCATCGAATTTGCCAGGAGGGACTGGATGTGATGGAGTTTGATCGTGATTGAAGATACCCTGTATAAGTATAATTGATATATAAAGTGATCTTGCAAATAATACCGTCTATATACGACTACGTTGGCTTTACTAGACAATCATAAGAAAATAAAAATGGAATTCGCTCTCATGAGTCTATGGGTCATTATCCTTCTGTCCAATATGATAAGTCAGTTATTTACTTGGGTAAAAAGGAAAAAGTAGTAAAATCATATTGTACAGTCGAGTAACAGGTATCTGAGATCGTTTGGTTTTCCTTCTGAAGCATATCAATGGTGTCTGACATACAGGGATCGTGACAATGGCTTTGGTAGAAGTAGAGAAAATAAAATAGAAAGGAAGAAATAGAAAAACTTTGTTGGTAAAAAAGGTAGTCTCAGAGGACCCTGCATAGAAAGAATATAAAATTTTGGAAAGAAAAAAGGCCAGTCAAGACATGGAAAAGATGGGTGTCCCGCTAGGAAAGAAATGGAAACGAAAATGAAAAGTAGACGCTTGTAGAAGCCAACCATTTTGCACCATCCAGATATTTCTGAGCCGGTACAAGGCTAGCGCACAGCACGCGAAGGAAGAAAATCTCAGTAACAGATGCTCATGTCACAGTCTCCAGAGGCCCGTGCAGCTCTGCCAGTCTAGCTTAGTAGAAGTTGCGACGGAAGCCAGTGGGGAAAGAAGCCTTGCTGCTGCTAGTGAGGAAACCAGAGGGCTTCGCAAAACCGCTGCTGATGGGGAGAGTGCCGTTGCCGAAGTGAGGACGGCCAGAAACAATAGCGGAAGAGGAAGCAGCAGGAAGAGAGCTAGTAACAGAGGCAGAGCTAGAAGGAGTCGGCGTTGGGACCTGGCTGCTTTCATCTTCGGCGGAGGAAGAAGGAGCAGACTGGTGCTTGTCAGAGTCATCCGGCTTCTCGTAAAAGCCACCGGGCTGGGCAGTGGGGGCGGGGGTGGCAGTCTATCGATACAGGTCAGCTTGACATCTAGATTGGGAATGCGATTGAAGACATACCACAGTGACGGTGTCGGTAACAGTGACAGTAGCCTGACTGCAAGCCTGGCGGTTATTTCCTTCATTGTCTCCATTGCCTTGGTAGTCGCCAGAGCTTCCGGAAGAGGGTGTAGGGACTTCCACAACAGTCAAAGTAGAAGTAGAAGTGGAGGAGATGGTGGTGGTAGGCTCGTCTGTGGCACTGGCGCTAACACTGGTAGTAGCAGGCTCGGGGGTCTAGAGAAAATTTATATCAGTACTCAATCCTTCTCATTGACGAGGTTTCTTCTGACTTACCACAGTGATGGTGTGGAGCTCAGTGGCAGTCTTGTGGACAGTCGTAGTGACAACAGACGTGGAAGTACCAGCACCCATGGTGTAGGTGAGAGTGACATCCTTGGTAGTGGTCTTGGTCTCAATGACGTGAGAGACAGAGCCATCAGCACCATTGTCAGCAGCGTGGCTAGACTGAGGGCCGGCGGGCACACCAGTGCTGAGGGGAATGGGAGCCGGGGTAACCTTGGATGAAGAGTAGGGAGTGGCCTTGGACGAAGAGTAGGCAGGGATCCTGGACGAAGAAGGAGTGGCCTTGGAAGAGTAGGGGGTTGCCTTGGACGACGAAGGGAAGCGAGCAATCACCGACGAAGAGAATGGAGCAACGACTGAGGACGAAGCAGCCACAGAGGATGAAGCCGCAACAGGGGATGAAGCCGCAACAGAGGACGAAGCAGCAACAGAGGGCGTAGCAACCACGGAAGACGACTGGGCAGCAACAGAGGATGGAATGACCACGGAAGACGACTCAGCGGCCGCAGGAGAGGACGGGACAACCACAGAGGAAGTCGACTGAGCATCCACGGAAGAAGATGGAACAACCACCGAGGAAGACGGAACAACCACAGCTGGGGGAGACTGAGCAGGCACAGAAGACGACTCAGCCTCGACAGAGGAAGATGGGACAGCAGGAGGTGTCTCAACATCCACAGAAGAAGGCTGAGCGGGCACAGGTGGAGTCGGCTGAGCATCCACGGAGGAAGACGTGGTGGGCTGCACAGGAGTCGGGTAGACCATCACGGAAGAGGTGCTGGGAGCAGGCTCGCTGTAGTCTCTGGCATTGAGGAAGTGGTTGTGACGAGCGTGAAGATCGTGGTGGTTTGCCTCGCCAACGGCAGCGAAAGCACCCAGAAGGGCGATGGAGATCTTGCCGGTCAACTGCATGATGAAGGAAGCTGAATCAGAGCAATCAATGCCTCGTTGAAACAAACTCAAATGACAAAGTCTCTTTCAGAGTCAGCTGCACTGATCAAAAAGAGAGTGAAGTGCGAAATCGATTCGCAGGAACAAAAAGAATGACTGGGGAGAAAAGAATGGATGATTCTCTAGCACAGAGAAAGTAGAAAGGAATGAACCAGCAGCCTGACTGGGAGGAAGGAGAAGAAGAGGAGGAGGAGGAGAGGAAGAGAAGCAGAGATTAATTAATAAGGAGGGGAATTAATGAGCAGGAAGATTCACTGCGATGCTGGAGTATAGAATACAGTACGTTACAGCGTTACAGGACCAGATCCATAACGGTCCGTTGGGTGGGTGGGGCAGGGGTCAGCCAGAGCCAGTATTCTTGGTCTTGTCTGGTATTGCCTGTCGACTTTGCGTGCTTATCGTTTCATTTTATATGAGGTTGAGGGTGTATATACAGCGTAATGCCTGGTATAGAGACAAGCCAATCAGAGAGCGTGGGTGGGGATGGGTCCAGGCACCGCAAGTGGATTTGCTGTAGCCGAAGATTAAGGCCCGTTTCATGGAGTCATTCTAATTTATGATTGGTGGAGGGGACCAGGGTAATCTCATTCACTTTTTTTTTTCTCCTCCATGATTATATCAATGTCATATGCCACGATATTATGATTGGGATTATAATATTAAATTAATATTAAGATTAATCCAAATGAATCCAGCCTGATCTAGCCAATATCATAATATACAGTACTTAGATATAATATGAGTGAAAGAATATCTACACTCCACGGGGATGGTTGCATCATATTTGGATGGAGTCATGTTTATAACTCTAATTAATTAAGTGGAAAACACAAGCCATTCCCTGTTTTCTGTGCAACAGAACGGAGTAATATGGAATAACCATGTCGTACCGATATAATATTGCATCTCTGTCCTACTATAGACACGGCTCATTTATTATTATTCTAGACCATTCCACTGGAATCCTACCTTGTGGTAAGACTGCAACCGAGAGACAGAATCTCGGAATATTCCAGCCGTTGATACCAGAATGGTAATATTACTGATCTGTATCTTGGTGACAGTGCCGATCCATGCGGTGATCCTTAAAGGCTCGATTCTAGCAAAATAGAAGGAGTGGAGCATCAAGAGTCTAGAGTCCGGATGTCTACAGAGCATTGACAATGTATACAGAAAGCTGTTCGAATGGAGCTTAATAGCATCAATTACTGAGAGGGTTTTGTCTGGTTGATTACTGCAAATTTCTGATATAGGAGTTTTTCGCAAGGTGCTGTATACCCACTTGGGTAAGTCTCGGATATAACATGCATTCAGTGTTTCAACTCATGACTCGGATAGCTACGTCCGAGATATCAATGCGATCCCGTTTTACCTATGGCCTATACGAGTTCTATGTCTGATATTGGATGAAGTACAGTAACCGTGTCATTTATATACCTGTGAGATATACCCGAAGCAACATCGAACATGCATATACCTGGCATAAATGTATGCCTTTATCTCCATATTATCATCCATGCAATATAATAGACGGCACATGTCCATGCACGTTTCATCCATATTAAGGCATCATGGTTCTTCCTTAGTGGGGTTCCCCAGGACCCCATTACCACCATGCAGTCTGCTCTACAGAATGCCCATAAACATATTTATCTAGATGTTAATATCAAATCCATTACTCATATTCTTGCCGTGTTTAAACGGAAATCTCCATGGATAAATCCGCCTGTGCTGTGCCGTGGATGAGCCAACGCCGCCCGTCCTCATCCACATCCCATCATTTCTTCTTCCCGCAACCTCAACTTTGGTCCTTCTCAGGCCCTGACTCCACTGCTACCGAACTGACGTGACTCGAGGCCTCATCGTTGTTTTATCCGATTTATTTTTGTCCTTCGATACTGCCTCTGTCGCATCTATCCGTCCTTCGCGTGTCAATCGAACTCGACTGACGCAATCGCATCGTCAAAGCCATGACGAACCCCTCCTTCCAGGTTCGTCGAGCTGAGTTCAGTCGATCCCTGAAACGTTTCACCGCGTCTTCCACGAACTTTCAAATCCTCAGCTCTGTCCCTTCTTCTACTGAAGCTCAGCCACCCCCTCCAGACGTTCTCTACGTGCTGGACTCGTCCTACAATCCCCCAACCCATGCCCATCTCCGCATTGCTAGCTCCGCTCTGCTAGAAAACTCTAGTCGTTCGCCTCGCCTCCTGTTGTTACTTGCTACGCAAAATGCGGATAAACCACCTAAACCGGCACTGTTTGAGGACCGTCTCATCATGATGGAATTGTTTGCTCGGGATCTCTTGTCGTATATGAAGACAACGGCGCCCAGCCAACCTGCCCCGCAAATTGACATTGGGGTTACCAAAATGCCATATTTTATAGGTAAAGCGGCGGAAATCGACTCCGCTGGGGTCTATCCAAAATCACTTGAGCAGGTTCATCTCACGGGCTACGATACGTTGATTCGGATCTTCGATACAAAGTACTATCCACCGGAGCAAACGCTCCATCCGCTCCAGCCCTTCATCTCGCAGCACAGACTGAGAGTCACCATGCGTCCTAACGATGAATGGGGCAACAAAGAAGAACAAGAGGCTTTCCTCCTCAATCTGGCTCAAGGAGGTAGGGAGCATGAAGGTGGTAAACGAGAGTGGGCAGAGCGAATTCAGTTCGTAGAAGGGAAGAAGCCGGGGGAGAGACCGGTGAGCTCTACACTGGCTAGAGAGGCGAGTCAGCGGAATCCCCAGGATCTTGAGTGGCTGGTCCCTGAGAAAGTCCGGGGCTTCCTCTCATCCCAGCAACCCTATACCGATAACTGATCGGCTGGTCACGCGATCATAGAATATAGATGGCGGCAGACACGGACGACTCTTTTAGACATTTCATGACATTTTTGGCACATATCATACAACCATGCAGCAAAAAATGACTATACTGTAAGCAATGAATCCGGAACACCATACCTTGGGCGACGCCTACCCCGCCACCAGACATGCTAGTACCTTATTACCTAGCATTGAGAATAAACCACTTGGCCCATGTAATAGAACTACTCTTCCTCTTCCTCCCTCTTGCCAAACGTGTATGCCAGTCCTCCGCCGACCAAATTGGCAAAGCAGAGACCCATAGTCGCACCGCGGACAACGCCCCGAACACCCCATTTCTTCATGAATGGCTGCTTCCGCCGACCGGCAAGCAGTAGGTAGAGTCCCGACCAGGCCGCAGTGAGACCGGCACTATCGACCTTGAAGCCCTGGAGGTTCGCATAGCTTGTAAAGAGAAGGACCGGAGGGAAAAGCATGGGAACCGCTTGGAAGGGACGAGCATGTTGCGCCGTGATCAAGGTTGCGAGAAGGGTCGGAGGGAAGGAATTTTCTGGTTGCGATATTAGACTAAGGAACATATCGGAGGCTAGGAATTGGATGAAAGGGGGATAATTGCATACCTCCCCATGCCTTTGCTCGCTGGACGAGAGACTGCTTTGTCTCTTGGACTGTGGTATTTGTGCTGGACATTATGGAAGAGGACCTAGAACAGGAATAAAAGGATTGTCAGTATAAGACAGATAAATCGACTGTAATTGAGAGTCTCACAAGATAATTTTATTATTTATGAGCAGGCGCAATTGAAATGCAGAGCTTGCAGTAGCAGTGATATATGATCCTAAAAAATGACGATGATGACACTGACAGGCCACTTACTAACGCCGGGGCTTAGCGTCAACAACTGAACCGCCGAAAGACACCACGTTGATCAGTCAGTTCCTTTTATCCAAGAATCTAGAACCTCACGCAACGCACCAAACCACTGCTTTCCTATCTCCATCAGAAAGGGAGGGAATCTATTATTCCATCGCCAAGGACGGGGTTTATTTTCGCTTGTTTTTTGTTTGAACGGTCGGCTCTTTCAACCAACCCTCTCTCTCTTCTCCCGCTGCGGGATCGGATTTCTCCTCCTCCGTCCGACCTGCGCGCCACCCCGTCCATCATCATTCGGGCCAAAAATCCTGGAGAGAAATACAGATCCTCCGATATATCAGTTTTATACACCCCATCACAACCATGCCTGCGGCTACAGCATCCGGGGTAGACGGCGGGGGCTCGGCCAAGTCTCGCGACCACAACCAAGGGAATCAGGACAGAAAATACACTCCGGAACAGAAGGCGGCGGTATTGAGGATACGAAAATGCTCGGCAACCGCATTTTATGAGATTCTGTCGTTGGAGAAGACTGCTACGGATAGCGAGATTAAAAAAGCATACCGGAAACTGAGTTTAATGACACATCCTGATAAGAATGGTTACGAGGGCGCAGATGAGGCTTTCAAGTGTGAGTTTTTGCTTTGGCTGCGGATAGGTGTTTGGATGTTTGACTGACGTGCGATGTAGCGGTTTCTCGTGCGTTCCAGGTGTTATCGGATTCAGAAAAGAAGGCCAAATATGACAGGTTTGGAGGAGACCCGGATAGCAGATTCACCCCCAGTGCTGGGCCATCGGGCGCCTCTCCCTTCAGCGGTTTCAGTGGTGGTGGATTCCCGCGGTCAGCAGGTCCTGGGTTCGATGATGAGATATCGCCCGAGGAACTGTTCCAACGGTTTTTCGGCGGTGGTTTTGGTGGTGGCATGGGAGGTGGTTTCGGTACAGTGATATCCCGCGTCATAGCTTACCGCGAACCGTTGCTAATTCATCTGTTCTAGGTGGTCCTCAGTTCGTCTTCAACATGGGAGGAGGCCCTGGATTCCGCGTTCACCAATTTGGAGGCGCTCGGCCACGGAGAAGGCCTCGCGAGGCCACTGCCGAGGAATCTGCACCGTCCGGCTGGGCCCTGTTCCAGCAACTTTTGCCTCTCATCCTTCTCTTCGTGCTCCCTCTCCTCTCTTCGCTTTTCTCCGGCTCTTCTACTCCTTCTGGTCCTTCTTATCGCTTTGATGCCGCTGTTCCCCCTCACACCATGCACCGAACGACACCCAAACTCAACATCAACTACTTTGTTAATCCTACGGATGTGGACGACTATAGTTCACGGAAATTCCGCCAGTTGGACCAACGGGTAGAAGTGGACTATGTCTCCAAACTACGGTATGAATGTGAGAGTGAAATGCATGCCCGGGATCGAATGATGATGGATGCCCAAGGCTGGTTTTTCCCTGATGTAGAGAAGATGAAGGAGGCGCGCTCTCTGGAGTTGAAGAGTTGCCGTCGGTTAGATTCTCTAAAGGGGAGACGGTAGACGGCATTACTAGCTTTTTGACTAGACGTGATTCTTTTGTCTTGATTATCCCCCTTTTTTTCCCTTATACTTAATCTCTTTTTTTTTTTCTTCCTTTTTTTGGACTTTCGCTTCCTTAAGATGTCAATAGTGCATGAAACAAGGATTTGGGCGTCTCATGGGCTTATGTGTGATTGGACTTCTATGACTGTTATCCATTCTCGAGAAATGAAATGAGTCTTGTACACAATGAATCAATATCATCTCACTTGCATTCTCACTTTGATATCACCGTGCCATAAAAAATAATGCATCTCTTCGGGGCGGAGAAATGAAGGCGGCGCTTAGTTAATATGCGGGCGAATCTCAGCGACCATGACCGAATGCCGCCAGCATGAGTGATTGCCAGCAATCATTCCTCCTCGTTTCTTGATCTTTCTTTCTTTCTTTCCTGGGTTTTACGACGGTGGCCTGACATCTCTGGGAGACGGTCTTTTAGCTTTTTTCTACGTTTTTCTAGCCGGTCTTCTCTCCGCATTCCTTGCCCCGCTACAAAAGCTCTCTGTGCGTCGCCATATCCTTATCGTTGAAAGATGTCAGATACTCTTTCCGACGCGGACAAGGTCAGTTGTGTCCCCCAACGCCGCAGGCGCTGTCGCTAGAAAGAAATCTCCCAGTATCCAGGAACTAATCCTGAATACCCCATCTTTTAGATCCGCAACAAGCGCCTCGCAAAGCTTGGAAATCCATCCCCGTCTTCGCCCGTCGAGGGAAGTGCAGAATCAGCCTCCGCCCAGCGACCCACAACACCTTCGCAGAGTACAGACAGCCCACGACCACAGGCTAGTCGAGACAACAGCGCACCAAGTTCTGCTGCACCATCGCCGAGGCCCGAGTTGCAGCAGTCGGAAGGAAAACGGATCAAAATCACACCCGTTAGGACTGCCAGTCCAGCCCCGGATCGATCACAATCTGGAACGCCGGTCTCCGCGACACCGAGGGCAGAGGAGAGTATCGAGTCCTTTGAGGACCGTACTCTGAGCGCTGTTTTCAAACTTACCCTGAGGGAAGATCGACAGAGGGATATCCACGGACAACGGTTGATCTATCTATCTGGTTTGAAGAGTGAACTTGAAGACGAAGGCCGACAGTTGCGGATCGAGACCTCGGTGCTGGACCAGGCTCTTTTGGAAGCTGCTTCCAATGTTCACCAGCAGAAGCCTTTGGATTACTTACTACCATGCTGGAAGAGGATTTCCCGGCTGTACAAAGGTTTCCGCCGTGCAAGCGACAATGACCCCAAGTTCCAAGTTATCTGCGAGGCCCGGCGCCTGTGCACGAGTTATTGCATGTTTGCTATCACAATGCCGGATATGTTTGGGTGGGTTTTGTCTCTTTCATTGGCTGGGGTGATGGGATACTGATTGATGATTCTAATGCTCATTAGACTCGAGCCGTCTGAGCAGTCGCCGCTGAAGCCTTACCTACTCTTGGACCCTGAGGAGGATAGGGGTGTTGATTTCGAGTTCATCAGCGAAGCTGTCAAAAGGTTTGATGAGGACGAGAGCATCAAGCCCGCTTTCATCGCCGCGGTTGAAGAATTGAGCCAAGAGCTTGCTGAAATGAACATCAATGATGACTACAAGCCCTATGTGACGGTATGTGAAATGCCATCTTGCCACGGGAGCCCTATGCCAATTAATATCCCCTTAGGCCTTGCGGAATCTTGTCCGTCACGCGGTTATTGCCGCCGCGATTACAGAGTCATCCATTTTCAATGCGTCTCGGGACCCAGCACTGTTTGAGAAGCGCACGCTCTTGGGACCGTGGTTTCGCTTGTCTCCTCTCCAAGGGAATGTGACCATGTCATACTTCTCGAGCCCCAAGACAAGAGACCAAGGGTATATTCTTAATGCCCAGCGATCTCTTCGGATGATGCAGCAGATGCTCAGCGCGGATATTCTTGATGTAATCAACCACTTGATTCGAGCATCGAAGGATGCAAGAGATAGAGTCCTGGACTGGTTTGCCACGGCGTTGAACATCAATCACAAGCGAAGGGCAATGCAGGTGGACCCCAACACAGTATCGTCTGATGGATTCATGTTCAACCTCACTACATGCATGGACCAGCTCTGCGAGCCGTTCATGGATGCATCTTTCACTAAGGTAAATTTGGAAACCCTATCAGGTGCCTGTGTCGTTTTGTCTAATTTTCTTTTAGATTGATAGAATCGATGCCGGATATCTCCACCGGAACCCTCGTGTGGACATGAAGGACGAGACCAAGATCAACGCCGATCAACATGCTTCTGATGCTTTCTATTCTCAGAAAGCAGAAGGCACCTCTAACTTCATCACCGAGATCTTTTTCTTGACGGTTGCCGCCCATCACTATGGAAGTGAATCGTTGACCTCGAAATTGGATCAACTTGAAAAGGACCTCCGACACATGGAGTCCACCATCGTCAAATTTGAAAACGAGCGGCACAAATGGATAAACAACCCGATGCAACTCCGGGTGTTTGAACAAGCCCTCAAGAAGTACAAGGACAAGTTGGATTTGGGCCTGGCTCTGAAGTACAGTCTCCAGGGTGTCTTGTTTGACGACCAGTGGCAGGCCCGTTCTATGCTGTTCATGAGATACGTTATCGTCTGGCTCTTAAGACTTGTGTCAGGCGGCAACTTCCCCAAGCAACCGGTCAAGCTGCCTCTGCCACAGGAGCAGCCGGAAGTCTTCAAGTGCCTTCCCGAATACTTTGTGGAAGATGTTGTCAGCAACTTCAAATTCATCATGTGGTGTATGCCTCAGATCATCACCGCTACGCAGGGTGATGAACTGGTCATGCTTTGCCTGACGTTCTTGGAGAGTTCGGCTTACATCAAGAACCCATACTTGAAGGCTGGACTGGTGTCTATCCTATTCCGAGGAACATGGCCGCGCCCCGGCGGCGCTCGGGGTGTCCTCGTGGATCTTCTGAACTCCATGCCCTTTGCCAATGATCACCTGTTGCATGCACTTATGAAATTCTACATCGAGGCTGAACACACAGGTACCCACACTCAGTTCTTTGACAAGTTCAACATCCGTTTTGAGATTTTCCAAATTGTCAAGTGCATCTGGCCCAACACTCTCTACCGTGACAAGCTTTCCAACCAGGCCAACCAGAACCTGGACTTCTTCGTGCGATTCGTCAACCTACTGCTCAACGACGTGACCTTCGTGCTCGATGAATCCTTTGGTGCATTCAAGACCATTCACAACACTCAGGTGGAGTTGAATCAAAGTGGCAGCACGATGGACCCTACCATGCGTCAGGAAAGAGAGGAGCAACTTGCTTCCGCTCAGCGGAATGCCAAGTCCTACATGCAGCTGACGAATGAGACCGTCGCAATGCTTAAGCTCTTCACCGATGCGCTGGCAGATTCATTCACAATGCCGGAAATCGTCCAGCGATTGGCAGACATGTTGGACTACAACTTGGACGCTATGGTGGGCCCGAGAAGCAGCAACCTGCGCGTGGAAAACCTGCGTGACTACGGATTCAACCCACGGGCTTTGCTAAGTGAAATTGTGGACGTGTACCTCAACTTGAGGAACAAGGAAAACTTTATCTTTGCCGTTGCACGGGATGGTCGGTCTTACAAGCCGGTCAACTTTGAAAAGGCCGCAGAGATCCTGCGTAAATTCAGCCTCAAATCTCCAGAAGATCTGAGGAGGTGGGAGATTCTACAGAAGAAGGTCATGGAGGCTCGGGCGGTTGATGAGCAAGCGGAGGAGGACCTTGGAGAGGTTCCGGACGAGTTCTTGGGTATGTTTCGAAGATTAATTCTCTTCGTGCGTGAGTTGACTAACAATTTTCTCTTTAGATCCTTTGATCTACACATTGATGGAAGACCCTGTCATCCTGCCCAACTCCAGAATGTCTATTGATCGCTCGACTCTGCGTTCCCACCTCCTGAGTGATCCTCATGACCCATTCAACCGAGTTCCACTCAAGATGGAAGATGTGAAGCCTGGTAAGCATTCACCTTTGGTCCCGATTATATTCACTCAGATTGAAAACTAACCATCCTTCTTCACTTAGATACCGAACTCAAGGCCAAGATCGAAGCATTCAAGGCACAAAGAATAACAGAGCGGAGACAGGCAGCAGCAGCGGAACAGGGCGAGAAGATGGATACTTCTTCATGATCATCATTCTTCATGCACATAATGCTAGCTGTTATTTATGATAGATATGGTTTGCTTAAGACAATATGCCTGGGATTATTCATATACGTTTGTTTGGATTGGGGTGGGCTTTCTTTTATTTGCTGTTATTAACCCACACATCAGAATATCATGAGCGACATTTACCATGAGCCAAGAATCAACATATGCTTATAATATCTGACCATTTAATTAATACTCTGTAGCTCGAGTTCATATCTGTAGTAGTATCGTGCTCTTGGAATAGCCTCCATTCACTGCAGAACAACGCAGATCATGTGGGGATCCGATAGTCCCGTGACATCACGCTCTTGCTCTTTTGGGACAACAGCAGCTACACAAAATCTCCAGATTCTTTCTTTTTCTTTTCACTCATCTCAGGATCCAGTTCTTATATGGAAGGACCCATCTTGTACAGCTCTTTTATTCGACCCCGGTTGATTCAGCACCCTCGTTGAAAGCTCAGAATTGACGTAACCGACTTCTTACAAGGATACCTGCATGGTCCCCAAGTAGCTCTGCAGTCTGCAGACAAACAATTTCCGACTGCCTACTCATTTTCACTGGATATTTGGATAGTATTAACTTACTATTCGAAACCATAAGCTGAAAACATGGGCTCTATCATCTCGTCCTGCGTGGAATCTCTACCACCCCTGGTTGACTTCTTCCCTCCTACACCAGAAGCGTACGCCGTTCTTCTCAATGGCTTCCAGTACTTCCCAGTTGTAAGTCTCAAATTACACAAAAAAAGCTTCATAGATACATAGCTAACACACATCAACCAGTTTACCCTTATTCAATGGCTTCTCTCTTTCTACCCTGCCGGCAAGAAATCCATGAACTCCTGTTTGAACTTTCCTGGTCGTGTTGGCTGGGTCATCATGGAGTTGGTGGCACCGATTAACTTCCTCTTCGTGCTCTGGAAACTGCCACAGACGCTCGACATTGCATCTCTCCCGCTCATCAATAAGCTGGTCGGGTCTCTGTATGTCATCCACTATGCCAATCGAGCTGTCATCTCGCCTCTGTTCGCTGCGCCGAGTATGTCGCCTATCCATGCTCTTGTCGTGTTTGCGGCGGTTATCTTCAACTGGGTTAACTCCTCCTGTATTGCGTCGTGGGTGGTCGGGTACAACGTTTCTACCATTGGATACAAGACGGACGGGGGCATCCCATCATCTCCCCAGGGAGGGTCGGGATCGGGGTACCTCCCATACTTGGGTCTGGTCCTCTTTTTCACTGGCATGATTGGCAACATATACTCTGATCGAACTCTATTCCGTCTTCGTCGCGAAGAAGCCGATAGACGAGCGGCCAAGGAGGATCTCGACCAGAACAAAAACGACAGCAACAATGGCCAGTCCACGAACAAATACTTCAAAGTCTACGTCATTCCTCCTTGCCAGGGCGTTTTCCGGTCCATCCTTTACCCAAACTACGCTTTTGAATGGATCGAATGGCTCGGTTTCATTCTCGTTGGCACAGCAATCTTTCCAGCCCGTCTTCCATCTGCCATTTCCTCCTCGCCTTCCTACTCAACTCCTCCATTCAGACTTGCACCCTGGCTTGTTCCTGCCGCTGTCTTGGCGGAGAAATTCAATGTGCCTCTGTCTCTACCCGGCTTGTTGTTTCTTGTCAATGAGATTTCTACTATGTTGCCTAATGCTCGTTGGGGTCGGAAGTGGTACGTGGAGAGATTCGGAGAGAAAGCTGTCGGTGGAAGAGGTGCGGCTGTTCCGTGGTGTTCTTGGTTGTGATTTACAACATCATTTATGGTCAATTTTGGGGACTTTTAAGCTACTTTTTGGTACACTGCTGGGCTTTAGATAAGTGCCTGTTGCATACATAGTAAGTTTCGGGCGTTGTTGGATCATACCTTATCTTGAGCTCCAAACTGTATCTACATGCGGAGATCTACTTGGTTGGTCAGGCAAGTGTCAATGGGACGAATTTGATCAAATAAGTACTCCCAGGAAACGTTAGTCCAAAGACATGGAGACTACAGTTTACATTTATAGATGGAAGAAGATATTGTTTCAAGGCAAATGCCCTCATTGAATTAGATTGAGAGATATGTTGGTACCCTCAAAAAGTGTGATAAAACACATTGTTGAAATTATGAAAAACCACCGGCAACAACCCACATCAAGCGCTCATGCTTCCTGTTCCCAAAACAAAAGAAACTTATAAAAACAAACACGGCCAGGAAACCGCTGCTCGCTGAACTGATGTTGGCTGAATGCCGATGTTGAAATCGTAAATGTTGAACTCCTTTACCCGCAAATTTTGTTATCTAAAACCCCCAACCCTTATGTTGAACTTTTGGTATCATCATCGTAACTCATCATAAAACGAAACTCCACAATTCGTTTCTGAGGCGACTGGTTGAATGTCGCCCCCATCATGGGTTTAAATTGTTATTAATTTATTGGGCGTACTTCTGACGGAAGTGCTTGGCAGCGCTGACCAAGTTGGCCAGAGCAGCCTTGGTCTCGGGCCACTGGCGGGTCTTCAGACCACAGTCGGGGTTGATCCAGAGCTGCTCGGGGCGGAGGTACTGGAGCATCTCCTCGACACGGTCCTTGATCTCCTGCTCGCTGGGGACACGAGGAGAGTGGATGTCGTAGACACCGGGACCAATGTGGCGGGGGTAGGCCTCGTCAATGAAGACCTTGAGGAGCTTGGCGTCAGACTTGCTGTTCTCAATGCTCAGAACATCGGCATCCAAAGCGGCAATGGCGTGGAAGAAGTCCTGGAACTCAGAGTAGCAGAAGTGAGAGTGGATCTGAGTGCCATCGGTAACACCTGCGGTGGACAGCTTGAAAGCCTTGACAGCCCAAGAGAGGTAGTTGTCACGCTCGACTCCGGAGCGGAGAGGGAGACCCTCACGGAGGGCAGGCTCGTCAACCTGGATGACCTTGATACCGGCGGCCTCGAGGTCAACAACCTCGTCACGGAGGGCAAGAGCTAGCTGCTGGGCCTGGACGGACTGGTGGACGTCGTCACGGGGGAAAGACCAGCGGAGACAGGTGATGGGACCAGTAAGCATACCCTTCATGGGCTTGCTGGAGACCGAGACGGCGTACTTGGACTCCTTGACGGTCATGGGAGCGGGACGAGAGACGTCACCGACAATGATGGGAGGACGCACGCAACGAGATCCGTAACTCTGGACCCAAGCGTGGGTGGTGAAGACGTAACCAGTGAGTCTCTCACCGAAGTACTGAACCATGTCGTTACGCTCAGGCTCACCGTGGACGAGAACATCGAGGTCGAGCTCCTCCTGGATCTTGACAACCTCACGGATCTCCTTCTCAATGAACTCCTCGTACTGCTTAGGGGTGATCTCACCCTTGGTGAACTTGTTACGCTGGATACGGATCTCCTTGGTCTGGGGGAAAGATCCAATGGTGGTGGTGGGGAAGCGAGGAAGGTTGATGCTCTTGCTCTGCTCAGCGATACGAGCAGGGAACTCAGACTGGCGGTTGTGCATGGCCTCAGTGACAGCAGCCTGTCTGGCCTTGACCTCGGGGTCGTTGGTGCGCTTGGAGGAAGCACGGGACTGAACGGACTTGGCGTTGGCCTCGAGCTCCTCACGGACAGCAGCAGGGCCCTCAGTGACAGCCTTGGCGATCACAACAACTTCAGCGGTCTTCTCGACAGCAAAGCTGAACCAGTCACGGATCTCAGCATCGAGAGTCTTCTCGCTAGCGAGAGTGTGGGGAACGTGGAGGAGAGAGCTAGAGGTAGAGACGATGACTCTGTCCTTGCCCAGCTTCTGGATGGCCAGCTCGACCTTCTCAATGGCGGCCTTGAAGTTGGTCTTCCAGATGTTACGGCCGTCAACGACACCAGTGGAGAGGACCTGGTTGGGGCCGAGAGCACCGATGACGGTCTCGAGTTGCTCAGGGTTGCGGACAAGGTCCACGTGGATAGCGTGGAGGCTCTGAAGGGAAGAGAGGACATCAATGTTGTGGACGATGTCACCGAAGTAGGTGGCAAGGGTAATGCGGGGGGCCTTGTCACCGAGGGCACCCAGGGTCTCGTAGGCGGGCTTGAAAGCCTCCTTGGACTTGGCGGGAAGGTCGAAGACGAGGACGGGCTCATCGATTTGAACATCCTGAGCACCAGCCTCCTTGAGCTTGGCAAGAAGCTCAACGTACAAGGGGAGGAGCTTGTCAAGCTTGGTGATGGGGTCGACGGTCTGACCACGGTCGGCCTTGGCGAGGGTCAAGAAAGAAACGGGACCCAAGACAACGGGGCGAGTGACGATGCCAGCCTCCTTGGCCTCGAGGAACTCAACAACAGCCTTGGGCTGGTCGGCCAGCTTAAAGACCTGGTCGTCCTGGAGGGTAGGCTTGACGTAGTGGTAGTTAGAGTCAAACCACTTAACCATCTCCTGTAATTGATTGTTAGAAAATATGGGTCCTTTGTTTGTTTGTTTATCGATACAAGAAACGTACCAAGCTAGGAACATCGATGGCAGCCTGGCCATCCTGGGCGGGCTTCTGGAGACCACGGCCCATGGCGAAGTATTCGTCAACGGGGTGGAGACCATACTTGCTGTATCTCTCGGGGATAACCTATTCAGAGACCAGATATTAGCGTTTATAAAATGAATCTCTATAAAAGAAATACATACACCGAAGGTCTGGATGTGGTCAAGGACCTGGTCGTAGAAAGCAAAGTCGTTGCTGGGGATGACATCGACACCGGCATCCTTCTGGATCTTCCAGTGCTCGAGACGGAGTCTCTTACCCTCAGCGAGAAGGTCATCGCGAGAGATCTTTCCTCCCCAGTAAGCTTCAGTGGCCTTCTTGAGGTCACGGAGCTTTCCCATACGGGGGAAACCCAAGACAGCGCTAGCAACCTGTCAGCAACTTGATATTCGACAACTGATAGTGGGAGGGAAATGCATACGATTGAACCATCCTGACGGTTGTATATGTGTGAAAGGAGGAGAAAAAGCGGGGTTTAACACGAAGAGGGAGAATGGTTGATAAAATCAATCACACAAAGATAATTCCCTTCTAGCAATTTCTTGCTAACAAAGGATAAAAGGAAGAAAGGAAGAAAAGGGGAGGAGGATGGAGAAGAAAAAAAGAAGAAGAAGAGAGCGAAGAGGAGGGAAGAGGAAGAATAAGAATGAATGGAGGGGAAGCGGGACGACAACGGCGCTAACTGAAAGGGGCTGGAAAATCCCACCTGATGGAGGGGCACCGCGTGTACTGGAAATACAATGTATGTTGAGGGCTGCGCGGGCAAATACAATAGTACGCCGTAATACGGTGACAGCCAGCAGATCCTGCCAAATGGCGTGATTTGGAGCTGGCGAGATTTCGCTGGGGCGGCTGTGATTGGCCGCCGTGCCCCACCGCTGCGCTCTCCGGGATCGGCGACTAGGAGGTCTGGTCGAGGACGAGCAGGTATTTTCATGTCTGCGATGAGAGGATGTGGTGATACAGATGTGCTGTGATGGACGAGTTCATGTCTGCAAGCTGCGTAGGAACAGCACCAACCGGTGACACAGGCTGAGAAAAGATGTCAGCGTGCAGCTCAGCTTCTCACAGTATGGACTAGATAGACGCCATGATACCGATCACATAGGTTACACATGACAGGAGTCATCCTGATATGGATCGACTATTGGCGTGGGATGAAACAACCCAATTAACAAAGATGACAATGCCATTGGGATGCCAAACCCTACCTGTAGGTAGACTCCAAGCAGACCATTGCCATGTTTGATGCTGCTTCCTTATTCAAGTCAAGGCCGTCAAGACTGCTCCTTCCTGCAACATGAATAGCCTGCCGAGGGTTTGCTGCAATCCGACTCAGGATGCATTCCCCATGCAAATGTCCATCTCGGGATGCATTCATCGGCCTATAATACCAATAGTTCTCATTTAATTCCCAATGGGTTTCCTGTTTTGTCGTCGTTTCAGGGAGTCCCGAAAATCCGCATCTCCCACCGACTTTGCACGGACGTACCAGTTAGATCAGACGGACTCGCTGTCATCTTCAGATGACCTTCCAGAAGGTGATAAGAACAATCATCCCCTAGCATCCCGTTATTTCTTGTAATAAGGATTGTCCTCTGACATCCCCAGGGAGATCCTCAACAGCAGAAAATGCAACCCGCGAGACAGAAAGAGAGTCCTCTGGAGGATTATCTAATAGACTACGCAGGCGCCTTTCTCGAGACATCAAAGGATTGCACCCAATAAGAAGATCCGACAGGCAGACAGGGACATCCCTCTTCTCATTCTCATCCAGGTCTTTTAAAGGCATCCCCGGTCCAATCGCCTCCAACGATTTTGGCAGCAGCCTGATGAGCGAGCGAGGGTATGATAGCGATGCGCAGTCTATCCCTACCCCAAAGCAAACCAAGCGATCTCTTTTGACAACAGCGCCTATCAGGCGAGATGCGTCACCTCTTGGGCGCACATGCTCCGTTGAAGAGCTAGACTGGTTGGGCAAACCCTTTCATGAATCCACGGGAAATGAGCCACATTCAGAGTATGGAGATATCAACAGATCGCAAATTGCATTTGATTTCCTGGGTCATGAGCGCTGGAGCCCGTCGGCACTGCAAACCGCATCTGATTCACGTATTGTGGGCATGGAAAACACCATGCCAATGGTTGCAAATCAGTCAGACAGTCCCGTCTATAGACAAAAGGTAGAACCACCCGCAGCTTTCTCCAAATCAAAGCAGGATGAGAATAGCACAAGGATTGGTGTTGCGGTATCGAACCCTCCAGAACTCATTGATGTCTCCCAAGAGATTAATGACCAACATTCAACGCCTGTTAGCCGCGTGAGCTTGGCTTGTCAAGACAACCTGATACCAGAAAGGTACTCGGGTTCATTGGGGCGAAGTGCATCACAGCTTGTGGTTACAAAAAGACGAAAACAAACCACTCGAGAACCATCATCAGAAGTTCGCTCAGTCCATCTTACCGATATGAACATATCCAAGATGCTAGCATCTCCCTCTATTTCCCCCCGCGTTCTATCCCAGAACCAATCGCTCGACGAGAGCGGACAGAGAGCTGAATACACTTCACAAGGCGTGTCAGATCAATACCACAACTATGGCTGTCAGAACTCACAAAGGTCATTGACCCCGGGTAAAGGGGCGCTGAAGTTCGACCTACCCCTGGTATGCCACAGTAAAAACCCATCTTCATTCTATTCACGGATGGCAAGTCTTTCTTCTGCTGCATCCGGCGATCACCAAGCACAAAGTCTTGATACAATAGACCATGGCTCTCTAAAACCAGAAAGAAGGTTTCCAAGCGCGGTCCACAGTGTTGCTGGCAAGAAAAGCAAATTCACAGAGCATTTTGATCTGGATCGGTCAAATGCCTCGGTTGGTACATTTGTTCGTGGCGAAAAGCCCGAAGACCTAGTCACCCCTCGAAAAGTCAGTATAGGATGGATGTCCGGAGGACGACGTCTTGGCTACGGCTATACCTTGATATCAGAGAGTGAAGAGGGGAGTCCAATGGGGTCTAACTCGCCTCAGAACCGCAAGAGAGATATCACTTCAAATAGACTAACGATTGAAAACATAGTCCGCAAAGTGTCTCCAAGAAACAATAGCAGGGCCTCGTCGACATTAACAGAAGCCCCTGGATCTGTCAATGGCATACCAAACATCATTGACCGTATAAGTCTCCGTAATCTATCTAGTGCTACTGCATGTCGAAGGGCGACAAATACCAAGGGCTCGACTGATGTTGATTCTGAAAACTCTTCTTTATGGGCGAGACTTGCAGGTCGAAAGGATGCGAAAAGTCTAACATGTGCCACCGATGGCCATGACTCTAAGCTTGATTTGAGTAAAGTCTCGGAGGGGGGCAGAAGCCCACATGACAACGAGCTCGCTGGTGTAGAAAGCAAGGGAGGCTTTTTGAGAAAATATACCGAAATACCCCGATCAGAAAGTCCGCGAGCACAGGAGCCGAATACGACTGGACTCGAGGGTGCTTTGGAGGCAGAAGCCCGAGAGATTCGATATCGTGTTGAAAATGGGTACCGCTGCCCCTCTCTGGATCTGATAAACAAACCCAATGCCAAGTTCAAAGTCAAGAGGCATAGAACTGTTCGAGATTCTCACCTTGATCGCGAGGATGAAATCATTGACCTTGACCATTTGTTTCCGCATGAATTTTCGGGCAGAGGCCGCCATTCAAATCATCGTTCAACAACAGGACGTCCAAGGGATGGTGAATATATTCCAACTGATTTCACAGCCCCAATACCTGACATGGACGCTGGTCTCGATTTTGATCCCGATCTCCCAAGGTATTCTGAACAAGCCGGTTCGGATATTACTACTGATGATTGGGCCAGTTTGTACCAGGACTGTCTGGAAATTCTTTCGGACCGGGAGTAAGAAATCCACGACGGAAGAGTCCTGAGCACCAAGTATTGTCATGCTGCGAGATCAGGGCAAGGGAAACATTGAGCCGTAGCACTCCAACTAGTGGATGGAAAGGTACGGCTATTATATTATACTAAAGGTCATGGTTCCTGCGTTCAGTCGTATGAGCTGCAACAGCCAGGGCTAGGATTTTCATAGCTGCATCTGGGGGCGGGTTTCAATAAACCAAAAGGACGTACAGGACTATTCATAGTGGGCCAAAATTGATTATAGGGTAGTGACAATGCATAAGTGCAGTCCAGTTGTAAAAAAGGCATGTTCATATATTCGTACAAAGGTATATTGAAACAAGACAAAAACTCAAGCAAGGAGAGGTAGTATCGCCTCTACCTTCTTTGCCGCTTGGAACTCTTATCACTAGAATTGCTCAGAACACTCGCTGAGCGTTTATTTAAGGCCGATCCGCCTTGATCTTGGGCTGCCTCAGCGGATGCAGCAGCAGCGTCTCCTTCAGTGCCGGCCTTGTCACCCACTTCAGCTGCTGGTCCAGCTTGGCCTTCCGCCGTGGGTTCTACAACGGAGGCGGCATCTGTCGGGTGAACAGCGGTATCAGATGGCTCACCGGATGGTGGTACCGGATTGTCATCTGTTTCTGTCTTCACTTCAGGCTTCTCTTTCCCCCCTACTTCGCCGGCCTTGCGTTGCCTTTCTTCTCTGGCGGCTTCAAGGACACGGATCTCACTTTCGACCTTCTCCGACACCTTCCGGGCATCAAGCAGCAAGTTCACCGAGTGTATCAGCTTCTCAAAGTCCTTGCAGACGCGTTCTGTGGGCATGACCAGTCGAGGCGGAATCTCCAGTTCAGCGAGGGCAGCAGCCAGCTTCTGTGATTGCACGTTCGACTTGGCTTGTGTCAACTTCTGGGCACGATCACTGCGGAACTGAACACTAGGGGCCAGGCGCTCGTGATGCTGCACGCCATATCTGGCTTCTTCGGCCGGTGTAAGGGTCTTGGCCGCAGGCGGGGTATCTTTGGTCGCGGCAGCTGCGGCAGCTGCTGCTTTCTTGTTGGAGAGTGCCGCTGGTGTAGTGCTTGGGGTGTCTGCTCGACTTTCGCGGGCATTGGTCGGGGCGCTCGAAGCTGGCGTTTGTCCTGCTGGGCTAGGGGCAGCTCCTTCGGGACCAACCAAGGACCGTCTCTTTTTGCTTTTGTCGGCCTGGAGAAGCGTTTGAAGCAACTGGGACAAGCCCTGGCTAGACTGGTACATGGCGGTGTTGCCCACGCTGATCGGTACCTCGAGCCTGGAATACAATTCTCTGCGTTCGCTGATGAAGTTCTGTTCGTTGGCCGTGATGCGTTTGAGTTCTTCCAGCAAGATTCCTTCTTCGCGCACTTCATCCGCTGTACGGTTTAGTTGTAGAGCCGCAAGCTCTTTCCGGGCCCGCTCCCGGTCTGGGTCGAATTTCATCATCTTCTCATGCAGGTCAAATTCGGCTTCGGACATCTCGGAGGGAGGGTGTTCGAGGGCAAGCATGGATGCGGAAACAAAGTAATAACGGGCCTTCATCTGTTCCATCGTTCGGTATCGTTTTGCGGGTACGAGGGCGCTGGCATTCGCTTCTGCGTCCAAGGCTTGGGGCTGGTAATCGTAGCGATCGGCGATAACGACCCATCTTAAATCGTACTCCTCAACAATATCCATGAGGTAGTCCGTCTCCTGCCGCGACCAGTCGTCACTCTTCAAATGTCGGTTGTATTCTTCATCCGTGTATCTTTTGGGCACCTTGGCCTTGATGTTGTACTTGGCGAATGAATATTCTTGCTCGGGTGGTTTTGGCGCTCCCTCCTCGTTCTTCTCGTCCACGTCCATCTCCGGTCCTTCCAGGGCTGGTAACTTGCTGGGCTCATTCTGTCTCTGCCAGTGTCGCAATACCAGGCCGTCCGGTCGAGCATCATTTGTAAACGGCGACATTTGCCTGTGATAACCCTGAGTTAGAAATTCATTTCCTGACATTCAAGTCGAACTCTCCGCTATCTTTCGCATAGAAACCGAATCAACGCTTCCGAACATACCATGGTCGAACCCTCAACTTGCTCATCCATTTTGGTCGCCCCTTGTATCGATTTTCGTTGATGGCGATCGGGGGCGCTCTTTCACCCAGGAGCGCGTAAAGTTCACGGGTGATACCCTCTATAGATGAATTAGACACCACTCATCTTTCATTGTTCCAGTTTCATAAAGAAATCAGAGAGCGATAAGCTCGACCTAACGAACCTGGTCTTTTTTCCACCACCTTTTGCTTCTTGTGAGGTCTGGGTTGTTGCCCCTCCGCGGGCAAATCCAGCATGTCGCGAACGTCTGCGGCGGCCATGATGGCGAATTCCGGGGCCAAAAATCGGCCACCAGTTTAGAAAAAAGGTAGACGCAAGATTTGTCGGGTATTAGTAGCAACCAGATAGGGCGAAATATGAAGTTATCGAAATGAAAAGGCACAGTAGGAGATGCAGAGCGGATGTGAAAGAGAAGAATGACGGACGGACGAATCTGTCCAAGGACCCGGCGATTCGCGCCAAGACCTGGAGGTTCGGCGCTCCGTTGGTGCCAGATCTTCCCAAACCACACGCCCCTATGGCCGCATTGTCAACATCACCAGAAGGACCACTCCGTTGATTGACCCCCAGCCAGGACCGCAGAAGAAGAAGACCACCATCGTCATGGCTCCTTCCAGATCTTCGGCATCATGGCTCTCGTCTGCCCTGGCCGTGTTTGCCTTCTTCACCCTCGCTATTCCCGCCAACGCTCTCTACTTCTACATGGACGGCCAACAAACAAAATGCTTCTTCGAGGAACTCCCTAAGGACACCCTGGTGGTTGGTGCGTTATCACTGATTCAGATGCAATTGCAATGCTTTTGATAAGCCTGTCTAATACGATTTCAATAATCACCAGGACACTACTCCACCGAAGTGATCAACTCCCAGGCCAGCGGGTACTCGGTCGATGCGAATCTGAACATGAAAATCACCGTCGATGAGATCTTCGACAATGACCACCGCGTCGTCTCCAAGCGCGATGGCCACTCTGGACGCTTCACCTTCTCCGCCGCTGATGCCGGTCAACACAAGATCTGCCTTACTCCCGACACACACGCCGCTACCAGTGGTTGGCTCGGTGGTCCTCCTGCTGGTGTCAAGGTAAACTTGGACATGGCCATTGGAGAGACCAGCAAGATCGAGACCGAGGACAAGGGCAAGATGCAGGATATCGTACAGAAGGTCAAGGACCTTAACGGACGGTTGCAGGACATTCGCCGAGAACAGGTCTTCCAGCGGGTATGTTAAGCTGTTCTCTCGATCGATTTGAAAGGGACAAATACTGACCTAGATGTGTGGTTCAGGAACGCGAAGCCGAATTCCGTGATCAATCCGAGGCCACCAACTCTCGTGTTGTCCGCTGGACAATTATGCAACTCGTTGTTCTGTCCGCCGCTTGCGCCTGGCAGCTGTCGCATCTCCGTTCTTTCTTCATCAAGCAGAAGCTGACATAAACGGGGTGTGAGAGAAGTATACAAAGGAGAAAATATCCGGCGCACGTTGCATGGGGATTCTATATGTTTTTAAGTCATTTCTGACGTGAATCAATACGTTACCTGGTTTCGCAGCTATACAAATTAAGAGTGGCTTCGTCGATGGCGTGAATTGGCCCTACTACCTCGGGCTTTTTGTCTAAATATGGCGAAAAAGATCAGGTGCTACCTTATGGTTGAAATATCCAGGCAGGATGACTGGGAGAATCAGACTGCAATGTGCCATGTTTTGTGGTGTTTTCAGCGTTTTGTCATATAGATGTTGATATGGATGTAATGACTATTTCTTTCCATGTTGTCCTATCTCGTATATTTTACTTTTTATTCCATTTAACTTTGGGAAGGTTTTGCATATCAAGAGTTGGTTCTTTTAAATTATGGTTATGTTAAGTGTCACGCATGATGTTGCGGATATATAAACAATGAGACACAACTAGGTATACAAAATACACCACATCATAATAACACTCTTAAAAAAAGAATAAATTACTCAGGAAAAACCACCCTTATTCATTGTGTCTTGCATGTATATATATACTTCCCCGGCACTTCGAATTCCAAGTCATGAATCATTATTAGTATGCCATATGCCCAGCCAACGGCACATCGCTCATAAGTACATCAAGCACCAAAACCAAAACCAAGATAAAAAAAAAAAGAACAAAAAGACACTAAAATAGATCTAATTGCAAAATCCCGCCTTCTTTTCCATGTGATTAAGATGGCTTTCAAAAAGAAAAAAAAAGAGAAAAAAAGAAAATAAGATAAAAAGGGGGTTTGAGTAGAAAGAGATAGAAGGGGGAGGAAAAAAAAGAAGACGTTGCAGATGTGGCAAAAAGGTATATGATGTTCATGATATATTCATCGGATCGGGTGTCTGACCCGTTGTGTCACCGCAGAATCCAATGATCAGACGTTCAAGGTCGGATAGCTTGTACGGCTTGGTCATGTAGCCCTTAATTCCCACTTTGGATGCACGTCCGAGCGCTTCGTCCGTGACATCTGCGCTAACGGCAAGGACAGTGGGAGAGGGCAGTGGACGGGGAGAAGGGACGACGTCCGTCATCTCCGTTGAGTTGGGGGTGAGAGACGGACGTCGGATTCCCCGATGTGAGATACCAGATGGATCAGGGGGAATCTGACCGTGGTATTCATCTATTAGCTGCAGGATTCGGGATGTAGCCTCGTACCCGTCCATCTCTGGCATCCAGAGGTCCATCAGGACAATATCGACGGGTTTTAGCTTCTTGCGGTGTTTGCGAGGCTCGGGGACAGGGGTGCCATCTGGGCTGTCTTCGCCATCCGGTATGTCTGTACGGTGCAACGTCACAATGTCCTCCATTATTTGCACGGCTTCTTTGCCGTTGCAAGCTTCGTAGACGTCGTGGTAGCCGAGTTTCTTCAACATATTCACCAACACCCGTCGGTTTATCTTGTTGTCTTCAGCAACGAGGAAAGTGAGCGGACACTTAGTCCCAAGTTTGCTGTCATAGGCATGCCCGTTGATTGATGATCGACCGACCTTGGATGAGCCGGGCAAGGGGCGAGCTGGCGTGGATGCCTGTGAGGTAGAGTCATCCGTGAGACTGGGCGACGGTTGTTGGATTGGTTGGTTTTGAAGACGAGTAGAAGGTGATAGGAAGGAGGGTTCAAGAATGCTGTTGCTCGCACTACTCAACCGCGATGGGTCGCAGAAAGTCGGAGGGGTGAGGATTCTCTCAGCAGGAGAGATGGGTCTGTTGCTGTCAGGCTGATTGACGGGTACTCTGATTTCGAATTCCGAGCCGTGGTCAGGGCCAGAAGTCTTTGAACGAACACAGATGAGATCACCTCCCATTTTTCTGGCAAGACCTTTTGCAACCAAAAGACCCAGCCCAAGCCCGTCTTTACTTCGTGTAGTTGATGCATCCTCCCGAGCGAAAGGCTTGAAAAGCTTGGGCAAGAACGCTTCAGGAATTCCCGGGCCAGTGTCTCGAACGGAGACCAGGACATCGTTTGCTTTGCGACCGACGGTGGCAGAGACAGTGATAGTACCGGTGTTGGTAAACTTGATTGCATTCAGGAAGACACAGGAAATCAGCTTTGCGAGATCCCGGTCGTCAACGAGAAGAGTCTCCGGCAGCGCAGCATCCACGGACCAATTAATTGTCTTGGAATGAACTTGTCCATTGGAGGAACGCGACCGGACTTCGATCTTTTCTCCTAGCTCGGTGCCTTCACTAACTGCAAAGTCAGGCCGGCCACCGACGTGAAGGGACTCGTTGATCACCAGACGTAGTAGGTCGCGAAGCTTGGTGAATCTTAATGCAGGGCCCTTGAGGTTGATGTTGATACCCTCCAGGAGAAGGTGAGGGGCCGAGCGTCTGACTGCAAGCGAAGGACGCGGGTCAACCATATTGGCCATGACTGCCTCGATTTGGCGTGCAGGAGTGGCGTGGATGATCTTTTCACTCTCATGGACGGCATTTTTGACCTCTTCGCTCCGGGGAGAAAGATCCTTTCGCGAAGACACCCGGATGGTCTTGTGTTTCGGTGGGGGCCCACTAGACCATTCTGCCGGGTTACTACGTCGTCGTTTGTATGGGTTCACTGTGATGTTGCTTCCTTCGATGAAGATGTTCGGACGTGTCTCAAAGTTGGTTACAGGCGATTGCATAGGGTTCTCCCGTTCGACCTGCGGGGTTTTCGGAACTTGCATGTTGAGATCGTAGGCATGGACAACATTGTCGGCGGCTTCAACCGCTCGTCGTGCACTATCTTGGACCATTTCGATGCTTTCTTTGAGAGACTGAAAGACATTTCCTGTCTTGGTCGAAGGCTTGCCTTCGATGGCCTCTCGTACAGTGGCGTGCATAACATCGAGCATTCCGACGACACCCTGCATTGGGGTCCGAAGCTCGTGAGACAAGCTTCGAGCATAAGGCTGGAAAGGTTGCGTCGAAAACTCAGGCAGGCCATGCAGGAGGGTGGCATGGGCATCGTCAACACTTTTCTGAGTAATAGAAGCGCTTCTTTGTCGTGCCTTGAGCGCGCGTTTTGCATCCACACGAATCCGCTGGACGACCAGGTCCTCTAGAGAATATAAGATCATTTCCAGAAATGACCAGGAGAGATTTCGTTTGCGCAAGCCGGACTCGGACCACATCAGACCTAGATAGGCAAGACATCTGCTTTCCAAAAAGAGCGGAACAGCCAAATAACCTTCTGCTGGAAAAGGGAGTTTATCCGGCCCAAACGATGTGAAAGATCCAAGGTTCTCGGGTACTAGACAGGGTTTCTCGTGGTCCATGTGAGACAACGGGTTACCCCCGGTGAAATATCGATCTCGATGCATGCCGACGTTCTGGAAGCCATCGTTGTAATAGAAAGCGGTGCCAAATAGACAGGGTCGACATCCTCCCATTTCACCCACGGGCTCCTCATCAAGGACCCTCCGAGCCACGAAACCATACTGTGCATTGCAGATCGAGGTGATGTTTTCCAGTAACCGGGCCCAGAACGTATCCGAGTCCAAAATTCTCAATTCCTGCTTGAGCGTGACAAGGCGTTCGATAGCCGGGCTTTGAGCCCGATCGGCGGCGGGCGGATTGAGGGGAGCATTGTTGTGGGGAAAAGCGACGGGAGGAGTGTCCCCGGGGAGGTAGTGAGACTTGCACGGGAGCGACGAGAGATTGCGACCGGCCAAGAAGGCATTTGACCATTCTGGCTCGACTGAATCGGACATGGCGCCCAAAGCAATCGAGCCTAGATCGAAGGAATGAATTGGAAAAAAATAAAAGGAGGGAAATCGATGAAGCGGAGGATGATCGTCAAACGTAGACCGTCAAGGAATGTCGGATGGTTTATGGGATAGGTATAGGAGGGCGCCAGTATACTACGGTGGATTTGCGAGAGATCACTTTGAACAGGACACAAAGCATGGCTTTCGATCTGGAGATGCAAAAGACGCAACGGCGACTTTGTTAGCAATCAGGCAAAAAATCAATTCCCCGGTGAAAAAGAGAAAAGAAGAGGTAGTTCTCAAAAGAAAAGGTCTTTGCAGCAGCAAAGTCGAGCCGACTTTTCATTCTTGGCTAGGTTTTCTGCTGTGGTGACATACATCACTTTGCACGAGATAGACAAATAGAAGTATTAGACGGTCATTATGAAGATGAGACCGCGCAGAGTAGATTGGTGTATAGTCCCTTGAGTCTTTTGATTCAGACGGTCTGGAACGGGATCAACCAACGGCTTCGTACAGCCTTGAGGTAGGACAATCCCCAGATTCCAAGAGAGAAAAGGATAGAAACAAAGAAGGCGAAAAAAACGAAAGAAGAAGAGAAAGAAAAAAGTCGAGGATTTAATGGAGAGAAATTTCGATGATGATTTTCAGATCAATTATAGCAATATACTTTTTTTTTCTTTTTCTCTTCCTTTTTTTTTTTTTTTTTGTTCTCTTTTTCTTTTTTCCTTTTTCTTTATTTCTTTCTTGTCGTGAGTTCTCTCTTTTTTATCTTTTTTATTTTTTTTCTTCTTTTCGTTCTTCTTCACTCTCTGTCCTGGATTAAAGAATCCCCTGATCCCGGGAAAGCCACAGCAGGAAAAGAGGGTGAATTGCCGGGCAAGGGATCAGTGACAGGGACAGAGGGGGTCGAAGTGGAGGCGGAGGGAGGGAGGAGAGAAGAAGGGAGGGGAAAGAAAAGAAAGATGAGCCAGAAGAGATGGAGATGGATAGATGGATCGATGGAGGAGGGGAGGAAGAGATGGAGACGAGGAGGAGAGAGGAGAGGAGAGGAGAGGAAGAAGAGCAGAGCCAATGGCGGATGGCTGCAAGTGAAGACGAACAGAACAAATTTCCAACGATCCAAGGCGAAGAGGGGAAATAATAATAATATTATTATTAGGGAAAAACTGGGGCCAGTTGGCAGATCGTTGGGTCTAGACGCCGTCGGTCTGAAACTGCGTTCGGACGAGAAGGAGTAGTAGGTATTCCCTATTATATAATAACGAGAGGATGTTGATGATTATTGAAGATCTGCTGTATTATTGAGACGGAGTGATAATAATGATCATAAGATGGATAATGGATAATGGACAGAGATGGATAATATGAAGATGATGGACTGGAGAGAGCACGGAACACCGCCGAGTCCGACACACAATGAAGATAATGATCTAGAACGCCATCTGGTGTACCCGCACAGGACAGACGGTGACGCTTGCGGACTCTTTGCTGGTCGTGATGAAGCTGATGACGAAGGCTGCTAAGGTTTGATGGAGATGAGATTACGGTAGATCTCTGCTGTCTGTCAGGGGCATTATTTAGATCTGGGTTCTGGTGCCATGGATATGAAAATGTATGATTGTATGGTATGATTATGGTTATTATGATGCAGGTTATATGGAATTACCTTACTACGAGCACATGCATACGATTACAGACAGTAACAGCAGTATTACCTCACTATTAAGCAGTAACTAATAAGCAGAATAGTACACCGTAATAGAGTAGATGGAATACCTATTGCTAATTAGTATTCTAATGGTACGCACTTATGAACACGCACAACCGAGGTATCACAACAAGAGGAGATCCCAACAGAATTATATACTAGTAGACTCCATAAGAATAAGAATAAGAATACATTCCATCCATATCTAAATCTGAATCTGAATCTGATAACCATCTATGCATACGGAGTAATATACCTTATCGTAGAAAAATGTCTCCCTCGCCCTACACCATCTCAGTCCCCGACTCCCACCTCCAATCCCTCCACCAAAAACTCTCCACAGCCACCTTTCCCGATGAACTCGACAATGCCCATTGGGACATGGGCGTCCCTCTCGACGAGATCAAACGACTAACGGCTTTCTGGCGTCATGGCTTCGACTGGCGGAAAAAAGAACGCCAGCTGAACGAGCAATTGGCCCAGTTTACCGTTCCTGTTTCGGTCTCTGGCTTTGGTCAGCTTGATGTTCACTTTGTGCATCATCGGAGTCAATCGCCTCGTGCTATTCCTTTGCTTTTTATCCATGGCTGTGAGTACCTTATTTTCCGTATTATACTCCATATTACGCATTGATTGACGAGAATAGGGCCCGGGAGTTTTCTAGAGGCATCCAAACTCATCCCATTCCTCACTACTGGAGATGAGAAGCAGCCGGCTTTTGATGTGGTCGTGCCATCTTTGCCCAACTTTGGTTTCTCTCAGGGTGTTAAGAAGGTATATCATCTCTTTTTATCAATTATCATTAACTATCACAGAATAATTGACTCATCGATCCATCTAGAGAGGATTCGGTCTAGCCCAATATGCAGAAGCAATGCACGCCGTCATGACATCTCTAGGTTACGAAGAATACAGCAAGTCTTCACCATCTTCACCCCGATAACAAAACCAACTAACAAACGAAAACAGCCATCCAAGCCGGCGACTGGGGCAGCATGATCGCCCGCGTCATGGGCCAATTCTACCCCCAACACATCAAAGCAGTCCACCTCAACTTCGTCCCCGTCCCGCCCCCTTATCCCTGGAAACACCCCCTCATCTTCCTCCAATCCCTCCTGACCATCCCCTTCTCACCCAAGAATAAAGCCTACCTCTCCACTACCCGCGACTACATGACCAAGGGCAACGCATATCTGCGTCAACAGGCAACTCGACCGCAGACGCTCGGGTACGCGCTGCACGACAGCCCCGTTGCCCTACTTGCGTGGATCTACGACAAACTGCACGCCTGGACGGATGACTATCCCTGGACGGACGAGGAGATTCTCACCTGGGTGAGTGTTTATTTCTTTTCCGCCGCGGGGCCGGCGGCGTCGTTGAGGATTTACTATGAGGCGGAGAATGGGGGGCAGGGTGAGGGGGGTTTGTCCACGGCGCAGGTGATGGCGGGTTATGTGCCTGAGAGTGTCAAGCTGGCCGTGGCGCATTTCAGTGGGGAGATTGTCAAGTTGCCCCTTTTGTGGTGCTCGTCTGTAGGGAATGTGGTCAAGACGAGTGAACATGAGGCCGGTGGCCATTTTGCGGCGTGGGAGGTGCCGGAGCTACTAGCTGGGGATTTGAGGAGTTTCTTTGGGAAGCAGGGCCAGGCATATAATGCCGTAGCAGGGAAGGATGGTTATTAAGGGTTTATACCAGGATCAGTCCAGCAGGTCAAGTCACATCCAAGTGACGTGCATATATTGTCGACATCTTAGATGTATCATAGGAGCCCATTCCGATCAATGTAAATATGCAAACGGAAAATAGGAGGAGAATCTAATGACCCATCACCTTTCTTTCTGTCCTCACTTTTTGTTCTGCCAAATCAATCGACAGGTGGAAGACCTCGTGCGCCATTTAACTGCTTTCAACCAGCAAAGTTCAGAAAATGAATTGGCATTAAGAAACGAGTAAACATGCAGACATAACCGCCTTAATCCTGTCTTCCCTTCAATAACCGCTGAGTAACCTTGTCCTTCTCTATGATGTACACTTGGGCACCCCAACCCGAAAGGGCATCTCTGTCGACGGCACTCAGGAGGGCTTGCGAAATGGTCTCAAACAGGTCATCGGCGCTCTGTATAACATTAGCAAATATATCCTACTTTATTATCCACATAAACATACCAGATCCGGTTCCCATAGACCTTCGCAGGTACCAAAAAGCTGTTCACTGGCTGTCCCGCTGACAATAAAGTCCTTTGCAAAATCGATACAACCGATGCTGTCGAATCCGCAGATGAAAGGCTTGCCGGTCGTAGGGTTGATACCAGCAATGACGGGGCTGACGAAGAAAGGACCGAATCGCTTCTCGTACAACGACGAGCTCACCAGGTTGGCCAGCGTCTGGGGCGCGATGTTTCGTTCCTCGCGGAGTCGGTACATGTTGACCTTGTACCGGAAGAGATCTGAAACGGTGGCGACATCGGTTGCGAGGCCGGTCAAGCCAAGGTAGGTCGAAGGGGCGTAGTTGAAGATCTTGGGGAAGTTGTTGGAGACGGTCAAGGACTGCATACCCAGACGGAGATCACAGGCAATTGCAACGCAGTCCTTGCCCACCATGGCAACGCAGGCACCGCCATCTGCAAACTAAGAGTCAATACTGTTTCATCTGAGCCGGAGATAGGAACTAAAGGACGGGGCATACTGATGTCGAAAGGAGAGCTCTAAATCGATGATTCCAGTCAGCCTGTTGCTCGGTAGGTTGGCTTCCCCCAGAGAAGGGCGGTTTCACATACCATGATTAATCTTGTGTGATGAGTTCCTGTCTGCAAAAAATTCCCAGTCCTTCTATCAGCGTTGTCAGAATCAAACCGTGGCAAGGGGGCGGTTGGAAGGTGATGGTGGAGGTGGATGAGCTGGTGGTGGTTGATTGATGGGGAGCTTTCGGTCTGTCCGGCCAGCAACGCGTGAGCCGCAGAGCTTCGGGGCGGATGACGCTGCGCCCGCTGCCTGCCTTTCATCTTCCTCTCCTCCATCCCCATCGGCCAGCGTCGCTCGTTGTTTTGCTCTTTGTTTCTATCAGGTTCTTTCTTTTTCTATATTCTTATTTAATCTTCCAGGAGAATAAAAGAAAAAGAAAAAGAACTAGATAAATCGATACCCTCTCAGCTGTGTTCTGTAATAGTTTGCCCCGCAGTATATCATACCCTATCAAGGCAAACCACCACCTTAACTACAATGAGCTCTCATGTCGTAGTCATAGACTCGACTGCTCGACGAGCTACCGTCAAGACTACTCCAGGCAAGCATCTGACAGATGTTTTGCAGGAAGCTTGCACCAAACTGGGCGTGGATGCCAGCCAGTACGGTTTAAAGTAAGTGAAATTCCCAGGCAGACATTTCAGATGGAATATGCTGACTCTGTCTTCAAGACACAAGAGCAAACAGCTTGACCTTTCTCTAGCCTTTCGTCTATCGGGCCTTAGTTCCGGCGCAAAGCTCGAGCTGGTCCAGTTATCACGATCCCCCTCCGTTGTCACAGTCGGCCTACAACTACCAGAGTCAGAAGCACGAGGTGCCCCCAACGGACGCATCCTAGATAAATTCCCCAGCACAACAACATTATGGTTTATACTGCGCAAGTTCGAGGCTGGTGTTGCTGGAACTGGGGCAACTCGAAATCTCACAGGGCGGGGAGTCCCCTCTACAGATGGCAAGACAGGGTCCGGAAGGATACTTTATGAGATGCCCGTCCTGCAGATTATGGAGAGAGAGCTGTCGACATTTACAGATCTTCAGAAATCACTAGCCCAGCTAGGTTTCAATGGTGGAAGTATTCTATTGAGACTCAGCTTCCGTCGAACAGAGGAGCCGATAGAAGAGGCGATGGCCAAGATTCAAGAATATTTCAGATCGCTCGGAGAGGATGTTCCCAAGACACAAGAACCGCCTGCGCCTACTCCTGTTCAACAAGCACCCCCGGAGATTGTCTCTAGTCAACCGACAGACCAACCAGCAAGCTCTGTGTCCGAAGAAACCACTCAAACCCCCAGTGTACCAGAACCATCTGAAAACCCTCCTCCAGCATCTACTTCTATCGAACCATCTGCGCCAGCCGGCACCACTCGACCTGTCACTGTCTTCTCCCCTCCAACCAATAACACTCCTCAATCCGCACAAATGTCATACAATGAAAACGATTATGTCCCAACAGTCGACCACGCTAAGGCACACCAAAAACTACTCAACACGGGCTCGAAAAACGTCCGTCTCCCCAGCGACGCTGAAATCGCCGCCAAGGAAGAAGCAGAAAAGGAGAGACTGGCAGGCATTAAAGAGGTGGATGTGAAGATCCGACTCCCAGACCAGAGTCAAGTCGTGGCGAAATTCGGACAAGATGATACCGGAAAGGGCCTATATAGCTTCGTGAGAAGCTGTCTTGCAGAGCCATTCGTCGGAGAGAAATTCATTCTGACGCAATTCGCCAGTCCTGCCGTCAAGGTTAAAAATACCATCCCAGATTCAGACCAGAGCCTCCTCATCAAGCATGTGGGCTTGGTAGGTCGAGTTCTTCTTAACTTCTCTTGGGATGAGAGTACGTCATCCGCCGCTCGAACTGCCAAAGCAAACCTCCTCAAACCAGAACTCCGAAGCCAAGCTCAGGAAATAAAAGTCGAGCAGCCCGCAGACGTCATGGATACTTCTGAGGATACAGAGAAGCCAAAGACAGGACTTGGCACTAGCGATGGTGGTAAACCCAGTACACGGAAAACTGGCGGTATGCCTAAATGGCTTAAGCTGCCAGGAAAGAAATGAGCTGCATGTCTTTCTTATAGTTTAGAATTTTCTACGACCGCAGCTGTATTTCTACAAATCATGTAGATAAACCTGACTAGTATTTTGAATAGGACAATTTGCTCCACAATATATATATGCTTCATCACATAGCCGTAGATTACCTTAGATGCGGAGTCGACACAGGGCTTAAACAGTCCACATAATAGTCTAATACGGGATTTTACTTATTAAATCCGGGGATAAACCGTAGCAAACATTTTAAAAAACCAGCCATACGAAGAACAAAATTGCTCCAGAAACTTCCAAATTGCATTAAGAATCAAATGATCCATTTGATGGTTGTCCATGCCTATCGTATCGTATCTTAGGTAGGTCTCCCTCTCTTATCTCAGAAGAGGGTGAAAGCCCGACAAAAGAAAAGGAGTCATTGAGAAATAAAAAAAAGATGATACAAGATGCTTCCGAGAGGGCGGGGCATTGTATTGTTTATTTTTCCTTTTCATTTCATTTCAAAAGGTATTTTTTGAATCATATTTTTGCGGACCACCACAATTCCCCACCACGCCATCGCGGCAACCATCAAACTCACTTAAATCTCGTCATATCGTCCTTGGCGAATAAAAAAACGAGTTTAGTGAGCACCAGCAACACGGCGGGCCTCGGCGATGACCTTCTGCATGTCCTCGACCTTTCGCTTGCCACGGGTGAAAGTTCCGAGCTGTAGAAGTCATGTTAGCTTGGTTCGTTTGAATTGGTAAACCGGATGATTGGTTTCTCAGGTTCGCTCCGTAGGTTGGATTGAGTTGGCCCATTCCCTTCACCAAACAGACAAACTGAAAGGGGATATAAATAGAACGACAAGAGTCAAATTGTCGAAACGTATACCCGGCCCAAATGACAATCGACCCCATGACCATGCCATGTTCATTCCCAACCAACCCAATTCAACCCGAGAAGCGACCGTAGAAAATTCAATCAATAACCGGAGCATTCAACAACGTACCCTCTTCTTGGCGAGCTTGCGGGCGCGCTTGTCCTGAGTGTTTCTCAGGAGTTCGATGATGCGGCGCTCATAGGGGGCAAGACCGACAACCTCGCGGGCGATGTCACGGACGAAGGCAGTGCGGCGAGAGGACTGGCCCTTGGTACGGCTGATCCGGTTCTTGGGGGTGCTGTAAGGGGTGGTCTTCTGTTGAGCGGGAAGAAATCCAAACGTCAGTCTTCTGTTTCAATATTTCCTGAAGTTTCAATTTCCATGATTTGTATTTTATATATCCACCATTCAGCCTAAGTCGAGTCGGAATAATCGGGCTTGACGCAGAGATTTCTTTCTTCTTTTTGATCACGTATTTTTTCTCCCGACAATATTCCCCCTTCCATCATGTTCTCGTAGAAAAATCCTCTGTTCAATATCCATCCGACTCGACTCGACTGAAAAGGCGACAAAATACCCAGGGAAAAAGACAGGGAGGAGGAAAAGAATTCAACATACGTGGCCCTTGTTCAAGCCGACCACGATTCCGGAGCGTTCTTGCGCCATCACGACGGTTGATGACTGCGGTTGGCGACGACGGTGGTTGCTGGAAGGAGTTGTCGAGTCGATGGTCGTCGGTGCGGATGGAATCGCGATGGAGTTTGCAAGGTTTTGGTTGGCCGCCGCCGTTGGTGCGTAGGCGAGAGAGTAGGGCTTAGGGCTAGGGCGGCAGACCTACCTGAGTTGCCGCATTGGGGACTTCCTAGACGGGTTAGCCTGACAGCACTTACTGGATCGGGCAAATATTACTACATTTGGACTGCTTCGTACCAACATCGATTCATCTCTTTTGTAGAGCTATTATTACGGGGTATACAATAGACTATTTTTCATTATAAACAGTGTGTTGCCTGTTCAATCGTCTCTCATCATACAGACTTGGCCACATGCCCAAAATCTATCGCTGTTCTCCCGGTTCAGACTCCACGTCTACTTCAACAGTCTTCAAGATGCCTTTGGGATAATTATCCAAATGCACAGCATCAAGGGTCGTCAGCGCAGTCGAATCTGTCACTGTTGTAGTAACTGGCTCAGCTTTTGCTTCAGTTGTTGTATAACTGGTACCTTGAAATATCGGTGTATCGTCCAGCTCCCAACTGCTAAGCTCAGTCGTGTTGGTACCCCGAGACCATTTTTGATTGCGGAGTGCACGACTCGAAGAGCGAGGACGTGTCTTTGACTGTTTCTTGCCTTCATGACTCGAGCCCTTTGTGCTCAATTGGGAGATTTTAGTCACTGCTCTCCGAAAATAGAATCTGAAGAACTTTGGTAATGCTGGAAGACAACTGGCGATGATCCCGGAGGCTATTTCAGCAGTTCTATATTGTCTCAGATTCAGTTACTACTCGTTGGATAGTTTGGGGATATACTGACGTCCACAGGAATTCTGGAAACCAGTCATATGTTTTATCATCGCTATCCTTGTTTTGGACACTGACAATCAAACGCATGAGACTTGAGACACAACCGCTTCAATCTCCTAGTCAATGACTGAAACAGCAAGATAAGAAACATTCTTGGAATGACCGAAACTTACAAAAGACCAGCTGCAAATACCCCAGATATCCATAGCTTTTTTGATGGACGCATCTGCAAATGCCACACGCATATGATAGGCAAGAGGAGGACCTGAAAGTCGGAAGCCACATTGATGGCAGATGTCACCAAGATGGGGATGTTGATATTGATGCAAGTCCCCGGTGTATTCTTATCCCAGATCCTCTTTCTAGGCGTGCATTCGAAAATCTTCACCACCGTATCTGCCAGATAGAAGCAGAAATTGAACCATATGAGAAGTTGAATGAAAAAGTAAACTTTGTTTTTGAAAGATGGTCGGAATACTCGAAGGTAGAGGAGGAGGATGGATAGTTTGGTAATGAAGATCAGAGGGCCATAAACTATTTGCGAGGCATTGGCCAGCTATACTGACGTTAAAAGACTTGTCTGAATTTGAAGAACATCCACTCACTATTGAGAACTCCTTCATATCACCTTCTGATATATCCATCTGATGGACTCCGCTACCATGTTTGTCGGCCAATAAGGAACAGGTAGAATAAGCGATGAGGCCCAGCTAATTTCGTACTGTGAGCGCGCAACATCGCAGAAGGAAATATCAAGTACTGTTTCATGCTGCGTACCCAGGCCAAAAAGCAAGTATCTGAAGTGACTTAGTGGCTTGGGCATATATGGGCACATGTTTTGATACATACAGTCTTCCCATCCCGGAGATCGTATGATCCTAAATTTCGTATACATTCGCATACATACGCAGATGGTACTGATCGAGAGACATGTGGACACAGTGACGATATTCCAGACTCGTGGTGACTTTTGATACCAAAAGGGGTTCTGGTCAGCACCACGAGGGTATATAAATGGAGCCATGGTGGATCAACACGGCTTGATAGAAAGGCAAATTTTGATATAATCATCAAAGGGAGAAATATAAAGGAAATATAATCCCAGGCCGAAGAAAACACAAGCCCTAAAAGGGCTATCTCGGGATGTATTGCGTCTGGAGGATGTTGTGATGCACTCGCGGAGGCCCACTATGATTCCAAATTGAGGACATCCACCATGGATGAATTAAAAATACTATAGATAGTGTCAAAACTGACAGTTTATGAGACTCCGCAGCAGCAAGGGGATAATGACCATGGCCTGTTTGGCGATACTTCAGTCTTTATCCCCCACACGAGCAGGCGGGCGTAGCACGGGAAAGATCCCCATAAACCGAAAATATCAATCAAATTAGGGGCTTTCCCGCTTTAATTCTGAAGCCGGACTCTCGTGTAAGAATAGACCAGAATTCCCGCAGAGTAAATTTGGTTGTGCAACCTCAGCCGAAGTGAAGTTGCCTAAGAGCGTCTGATTCCACTGGCGTAGAGATGCCAAAAGGCGAGTAGCAGGCCGGAAGAGCTAAGAATGCAGAACTGAGTTTCAAGATGGGGTGTTCCATGTAACAGAAATTGGCCGATGTTTTAGCAATCATGTTTGCTGGTCGGTATAGGCTGAAGAAATCCACATGTAAGGCTGCCACAACAAAACCTGTAGCTTATGGAAATATTTTGTCACGATCCCCTGTCAAACCCGGACACCAGTGCAGAACACTAAGCTATCATGCAGGGTTACACGCACGAGGTGTGTGTGTTGTCCTGTGCGACTCGGATCCTCGGATCCATCCGTATCTGTCACGCTCCTTGGGAAATGAAGGGCAGAAATACTGCTTCACATGCAATTCTGGGGTAGCAGAGGGATGGGAATTTGACATATATAAAAGCAGGAACGGTCACCGGATTGGGATGGGAGTATTAGCGCTAGAGAAAGGATACACACACATCGGGACCGTTCCCTTGCGTTGCGTAAATCGGGATAACCGTTGCACTTGCATTGATATGGCTTCATTGTCCGACTCTAAATTACTAATAGTTTCGTTAGTTTGCCAGTAAACGATGGGGATGATGACGACATATCAGATGGCCCAGGCAATCTTATTTGAAGTACCAGGATATAGCCAGTATTCAAAACAAGACGTCTTGACGCTGGATGAGAATCTGAGATTATGGCAGTAGAAGAGAAAAGGACGATTGGAGAGCGAATTGATTTCGAATATAAAATATTGACAGGCGTATATTAAAGCTTTGCTACTCGAAGTTCGCATTTGTCAAGTTGTTTCCTGTATTTGAGGTTCAATGATATATTGTGACTGGCTTTTACCCGAGATAGAGATAACCCTGGTCGCCATCTAAGAAGAGTTGAACTGGAATATCTGCTTAAGTAGTGTAAAGCAGCTGTCCCTCTCTTCACATAACGGATACGCCTTTCTTCTTTCGCCGTCTCGGGTAACGCCCATGGGAATTTCGCCAAAATACATCCACTCCATACCATTGCTAGGCAGTTCTTCGAGGTACTTATCTGCTTCAGATAGTATGTTGGACTGATGATTGCGCCCCCATAGTTGCTTCAACCGGGCTTGAAACTCAGGGATCTTGTGTAGTTCCGTGCAGATCCAACTCCTCAACCCTGGCAGTCATTGTTTCGAAACTTTCTCTAGCAGAATAGTAATGATTCCTTGATGAGTCTTCACTACTGTCCGGGAGTCTATTGTCATAAGTATCTCGGGACAGAGCGAATTTCTTCAGTTCAGGTAGATTGGCAAATGCTTTCCGTATAGTATCATGGTCAACAAACCAGTCGTGCCTTGGGCCAAACTGGTGCCCAGCACTCAAATGAATCTGGGTCAACCCTTTCAGCGTACTGATATGTTCAAGAGCAGTTTCGTCAATGCTTGTCCCGGTCCACGTGAGGCTCAGGGAGGTCAAGTTGCCGAAAGACTGTGATAAAAGAGGCAAGACGCCATCATTGAGTAAATCAGACGGAACCTCGAAGGGGATAGCCAGAGTAGATAGTTGGTCATTTGCCTGCAGAAAGTTCAGGATACTGGCGGTATTTTTTGAGCCGTAGAAATCGCAGACGAATCTTTCGAGAGACGTGATTTTCCCACGTCTGCTGAGGAATTGAGCAACGACAGAATCACTGCGCACTTAAATATGTAGCGACTGAACGCAGCCTTGTCCATCGGGAAGAATCAGGCTATCAAGGATCCCAGGCTCTTCGAGGAGATCACTCAATTGGACATGAAGGTTGCGGAGCTTCTTGAATGGGAGAAGAGTCATACTCCACCCACGGTCTAGGGGGTCATTTACTTTGGATTCGAGTCTCCAAGTGAGCGACTCCAAAGCCGACACACAGAGCCGTAGAATACTGACGTGGAATGGAAGAGCTGAAACTGGAGAAAACCCTCTAGGGAACCAGGAAACACCTAGGTCTAGAGACCGTAAAAGCCATTCAACAACCGGCTGGCCCCTCAAGTCGATTTGAAACTCGTCCTCAATATCATGTTTCTTCCTAGCTTTAGATGTGGAATTCGAAGCCGAGCAAGAAATTCGTAGAATTCCTTGCTAAAAGGTGCTGTTTCCTCCTAGTCCAATAGTTCGAGATGAGGAAGCGATTTCTCGAGGACATGAGGTATGGAGGGAAGATAACTATAGAAGTATGTCTGACGAATGTCCTCTAGCTGGTTTCTCCTTACATCTAGAGGAGTCTGCTCATCGCCTAGGCGGAGATTGTGCCTCGCAGAGACATGTTTATTACCCGTGCAGACCGTCAGGCGTCGGATACAGGCCCATAACGACAGAAACCTTTTGTGCTCAGAAAGTTCCTGGGCCCCGGAGTTTTCTAAGCTTAGTTTGGATAGCAATTGGAAGCTGGCGGGGCTGTAGTCCAGAACGACACTGGCGAAACGGCGAGAACGCACGAGTTGGAGACAGTCACGATTGACTAAAGCTAGCGACGACAGGCTATCGCTGGGTATAAGAAGAAGGATTTTCGTTAGTAGCTCCGTTGGGAGCTGAAAAAGAGGAGAGTCAGACGATGGCGGTTTTCCTTGTTGACTTGACTGAATGGCAGAGGGAGCGGAGGCACGACATCTTCGAGGTAGTTATCGACCACCCCGCTGAACGACTCAAGGAGTAATCGCAACGCTTCCTGGGGCTCCCTGAGAGCTGTATTGACGATGGTGGAATAGTCTTGGTTTATGATTTTAAAGGAAGTGAATGGAGAGAAGAGACGGGAGAGGGGGTTGAGTTGAAGCTGTTTAGGCGAGGACACGAAGAAATTGATCTCTCCAGGACAAGCGGGGTAAACGAAATTACGGTGGAATCAGTTTGCGATAGTAGACGACAGATATTCTTCCAAACCTGATCGACAATGATGAAATGAGAGAAGGTATTATCTGTGTGGGTATTTCGATGATGATGCAAGTACTGTACTTGAAGAATGCAATGTTGATATACTCATATTATATTCCTATGTAGCTACCCTTTATATGGACATCTGTTATTGCATGGCATCATAAGTAAATATTCTGGATTGAATCTATCATGTCTACACTGTCATTTTCATATCAAACATTCATACCATCAGTTCATCCTCACAAAGTCACCGTCAACATTCCATCCAATCCCTCCTCCCAACTTTCCATCAACTCGCCACAGAGCATCTCCAGCGCCGGGACATCAAGTGTCTTCTCCAGTTCGGACTGAAGCTGCTTGCTCTCCGCGTCGCTGTCAGTGCCAATCATGACGAGGTCGATCAGGGTTCCCAGAGTGCCGGGCTCGGAGATGCGTGCCTTGAGACCGCGGATGTTGGCCCGCACGCTCTCGTGGAGCTTGCGTGTCGATTCCACCAAGCGTTCCACGCGGTCCTTGGGCAGTTTGACCGACTTGGAGGCCTTCTTCAATGCCAGAGATCCGACCTGAGACACAGCCTTGAGGGATTCAAGAATGATGAAAACCTCGTGCAGGTACTTCCAGGATGGGGCGGAAGGAGACTCAGGATGCAGGAAAATTGCAGTACCTGAGACAATCGGAGAGAGCTTGGCATCGTCCGAGGAAACATACTTGGACTTGGAGTCCAGCCACTCCTCAACTTGCGTGAGACTGCTGTCGACATCTTCGGACGTGACGGACTTTGATCCGCTCATGAACGAGGTGACCTTCAGTAGGTTCAGTTGAACCTTGGTGTTCTCGATCTCTGGGGCTGTCAGTTCGGTCTCTGCGTTTGACACAAGGTCTTCAAGACTGGGCAAATCATGTGAAGCCACTGGCTTCTGAAGAGCCATGTTCTTCAGATTACCGAACAGCTGATCTGTGACCCGGGTGGACTTGACCCATTGTTCCTACGCTATATTAGCCAGTTGACACAGGTCAAACCATCAAAGAACTTACCCGAGGCAAAGGTCCCAAGCGCATCCGCTCCTCAACGGTTGCCTTACCGGGAGCTTCGCAGTTCATGAATGCATCAAACACGCGCTGGTCAGAAACCGGGGACGTGTCCTTTGCTATAAATCGCCTTCATGTTAGTGACAAATAAATAGTGTTGAAGAGTGACAAACTGACCAACATCATCATAACGGCTCATAGGATCACCTCCAACCATCCTCTGCATACGCTTCACATCCAGTGCCCACATCCTTCTGCAGATACTGTTCTTGAGGCGGCTCTGGAGCTGGATAGTTCCTTCCACATTTATATAGCTGCCGAAATCCAGACCATTGGTTCGGTTTCTGATAGTAGTCAAGTCGGCAGAGCGATAGAAATTGAGTGCCTGTACAAAGGCTGATTGTGGGTTAAAGTCCTTGTACTCTGCTCCCTCTATCGGTGGTGCCGAGTGTGGGTGGATTGTTGCTAGACGTGTGAAGAGGTTGTGGGCAACAGTCTCATACTGCAACTGCTTGACAGATAGTTTGCTAAACGTTTTCAACGCGAGAGATCCCGCACCGAGACGCAGATAGATCCGTACCAGAAGCAACAGGGACTGGTAGTTATGGGGCGAATCAATGATGAGACGCTCGAGGATGCCGGCTGCGCGAATGAGTGCGGTGTCTGGAACCTGGTCTTGGTTTCCATTGATCCAGGCTCCACTGAAGCGGATCAGACTCATGGCTGCAAGCAGGCAGAGGTCATCACTTGGTTCGCTCTCAATGGTAGATGGGGCCTCGGTTCTCTCGGGACGATCTGTCTCGCGGTAGACCTGTAGACAGCGGGCCACGAAGTCCTCGATTCTTGGTCTTGAGACATTAGCATCGTCATATGATAGTTGGAAGCAATATTCGAGTTTAAGGGCGTTGATTTTCGAGACGCCTTTTCCATTTGCCTTTTGTCGCAAGTTAGCTTACAGACACAACGTAAAAGACGTCGACAACTTACCTCATTTCCATCTAGTTTCAAAGCATGTTGCACGAACTTTGACAGACTAGCATTGTCTAGGGCTGGGAGATATTTTTGAAGATCACTGAAGCTGTAAAGCTTGTGTTTGTTGTTGTCAAAATATTCCTGACAGGCGGAGAGTAAGTCATCGGTAGACTGTGTGCCTGACTGGAAGCCCCAATGAATCAAGTCAAGGCGAGCCAGCTGGGCATTGCGAGACTTTGGCTCGGCGCTGATGAACTCCTTGATATAGTCTTGTGTCTCTGTAGTAGTTCTGGGAGATAAATGTCAGCCAGTCACAGCGCATTACAGACCAAGGTGACACTTACTCCGGAGTGTTGATATTTTTTACCGCTGTGATAAGCAAGTTCCAAACAGTCCAATCATCACACTCCTGCAGAGCCTTCTTTTCAGCTTCATTGGTAGGGATTTTAAGTAAGTTCTTGGTGTAGGACAAGCCCTCGGTCCACATCCCGGCCTTTTCCAGGCTGAGAATCTTGGCTCCGACAAGTGCCCAGTCATTTTGGACAATGCGTGAGGTAATCCCAAGGTTTTCACTTTCGAGAATCTTTGCGATTTCGGAGTGACGATCTTGAGATTCGAAGATCTTGATGAGAAGCAACAGCTCTTCGGTGTTTTGTATGGCTTTGGGAGGGCTAAGCAATTCTTTCTGTTGTAATAAAAAAATAGTCATTAGCATGTCTCTCAAAGTTTCATAGAAAGCAAGGCCCAGATGAGCGGTCAAGATATATCAGAGCATACCGGATCGGAAGGAACACTTTCGGCAGCCTTGGAGACCATACGATAGGCCAATGTCCCAAAAAGTTTACGATCAGCCTCCGAGCTCGCAGCATCGATCGCAATGAGATAGCTGAGGAAGATAGCCCAGAAATGGTACTTTCTCGTTTTGGGGAAGTTTATCTGGAGACTCATGGCAGCCTGTATATTGTCGGACATAACCCGGTCAGTACTTGAACCGAGGCCAAAAGTACATATCGAGTCGACTGACCTTTTGCGCCGATTTCCAGTCGTCACCCTCAAACGCATATCTGAACCATTTCATCTGGATTTCTTGGTCCTGGGGCTTGGCCTTGGAGGCCTTTTCCCAGAGACTTCTCATGGTTGTTTCTTGGCCCCCGATCTTTTGCAACGTCTGGTAGAGGGTATCGAGGGTATCAAAGTCCGTGGTGGGCGGATCGAGCTTGCACAGCTCAAGCGTCTCTGCAACGCCGCGCTGGTAGTGGGCTTCATCGGCATGGCGGCAAAGAATGTGTGCTTTCCACGCCTATAATTAAATCCGTACAGGTTAGCAAGAGAAGACGATGAAAACCAGAAGCAAAGAGAAGGAAGAAAAACCCCACCTTCAAAAACCTTGTATCCTCACCCTTCTTCATACGCTTCTCAACAAGCTGCAGCGCTTGCTTCAGATTCTGCCCGTCAATGGCATCTTGAATCTGCTTGTTGCGCCGATGAAACACGGCGTCGTTGGTGGACATGTTGAATGAGGGGAAGTTGAATCAACTCTGACAAGAAACAGTACACGGCGAATAACCCAGAGAGACAGGTAAAAAAAGATCGTATGCTGCGCGACAGAGCCCAGCACACGCGTGCGGGGAAGATCTGGCGGGGGATGCAATTGAATTTAATTCCTCTCTATATTTTGTTCGGCGGGGAGAAGCAATTGGAAGGCGGTGATGGATGGGGTTGTGATGTCAGGGCACGGCTATGTTACAGACGGCTATATCACAGGCAAATCTATATCAGCAATATTCTCGATCGTATGTTGTTATATTGATCAAACAAAACCTATAACTATTCTTATTCTTAGTAGATGCTTCACAGCATAGATTGAATGGTCTTTCATTGATTCACAAAAATACTAGACCAGTAGTTCGAAACCGACAAAGTCTCGCAAATTTTACAACATTCGAGAACACACGAAGAAGCTCCAGAATTGTCCTACTCCATCCTCCCTGAGCTTGTAATATCAAGCAACAAACTGGCAATATGTTCTGTACCGTAGCAGGGAAAGCCCTTGGTGAAAATGCAGCACCATGGTGGGTAGATTGACTTTGATATAGACCATACTTTAGACCCAATAGTCTTGCTGACAGTCTTCTCAATCAAAGGACATCGAATTCAAGAACTTGGGGTGGATATAGCACGACAAAAGCATCACATTGGAGAAGGTTCTCCGCAAGCATTGATATTGGGGGAAACATCGATGGAAAAGAACAACAGGAACCAGTCACGTAAAAAATTCAAGGTAGCACAAACATAGTACCCCACATATGCAGGTGTATTATTGTAGGTAAAAGAAACACGTAGTATACACGTCCCAAAGGGCCATCTCACCAAGCCTTATGTCGCAAGTTGAGACACTCAGGAAAACAAATCCAAATAGAGAACAGGCGTTTATCTTTACCTTGCAGATCAGCCAAAGGGCAAACGATAGCTGATAGATCCCGTTTACCCAAAGCGGTATAATTTTGCTTGCAATTGATAGCCAATCGATCCAGCTTCTTATCAGAAGACTGGCCCCCTCCGTGAAGTCAAACATCAATGAATGTATAGAGAAATGGGAATCACAAGGCATCCCTCCCGCTCTGGGGTCCATATTTTTGGGGTCAGACAGGGTAACTTGCTTCCGATAATCAAAGATGGATGCAATCGCATTCGCAGCATCCGAGAAGCATATTAGCTTCCTGTACATGTATCACCGCTGATCACTCGAGTAAGTTATTGCAATATACCCTTGCGAGAAGGGCATCTTGCACAACTTATCTTGGGTAGATCATTTCGAAAGCTTCTTGTTCGTCAACTGTAAAACTTGTCAGTACCATGATCAATGAATGCTATAATAAACACATGGATATTTATAGAGATGGTATCCAGCCATGTCTCGAATAAATAATAGCAAACTGCCAGGTTGACTGGCGGTCTGAGCAGCATGAAGTGGACAAGAACTAAATGAAAGACAAAGACGACTTACCCACTCCTTTTTGCAATCCCGATAGGCTCTGTAGAAAAATTCAATCAGCAACATGTAAAAGATAGTAGAAACGGCAGCCAATGGAGGTGCAAATTGCCAACTCGACCAGAAGTCTGGAACAGCCGTTGCGCTCATCTGATCAACTCTGAGAAGTCCACCATCGAGTAATTCGAATAATACAAAGGCAAACTATAGAATTGGTACGATAACAGTACAAGACTAAAAAAAATGGGACTTACTGGAAGTAATCACCGCACATTTCCCGGTCGAAGGCGTTACGCTTCATACACTGAAGACTTCGAGTTGCGAATTCTTGACAGGGGTCATAATACTCGCTGGCATTTTTGCTGGGCATCACGAGTTAGTTGCATTCAATTTGCATATAGAGATCAAATTGCAATAGAATATAAGCAAGGTATACTGGGGATAGATGCATGCATGGCATCTCCCTTGGGCAGGAATCAAAGCTTCGAAGGAATAATTCTTCAGCCATGCTGGTGATAACAGAAAAACCAGGATACCATGCAGCCAAAGTGGAACTTGGTAACCAAATAGACAAAGAATGAAGGCAATATCGGGTGGTGATGTGATGATCAAGTAGTACTCACTTGGAGAATCTCTGTCCAGACTTTCCCCAGACGCCATCGGATTCCGCAGGCTGTTGCTGCTGCTGCTGTTGTGGCTGGTCAGATTCGGACGCCATGTTTGAAACACGTCGTGATCACTAGACGATGGATCTGAAGCAATGGAGATGAAACTAAAGCTGACAAGCTGCTGACAGCTGCTGTTGATGATCGCCTGGGGACGAACGCAGCAGAAAGACGGGAAGCGAGGAAAAGCCGGGATCCGCAGTTCTTGGCGCGGAGATCGGATGGGGATGGCCTCAGTCCAGCTGGATTTGGGGTGCATCATTCACGTATAATTGTTTGTTTTATTTTATGGTTATTCTAGATTGATCTGACTGCCAGACACGATCCTCAGCTCTTAATTGGGAGTGTTTTGGCTGTTGTAGTCGAAAACTTTATCCTGCTTCTATCTTCCATTCGACAACGCCCATAGATAGCGCTATCCTCAGTCTTTGTACTTTGTAGCATCGTCTTGATGGCGATAAAGGGACCAATCCACGGATTCTGGTGGATCATCAAGCTGCCTTTTGCTTTATCGCATCTTCGTATCTATGAATCCACGCAACCACCAAACCTAATCCCACCTACTGTATTGCCACATCTCTGAACCACATCCATCTGTATTCGTTGTATCGGTCGTGATATCCGGAGTAACTCCACAGCCAGCTTCCTCGCCAACTTGCTCATCAAGTATCAACCAACCCCAGTATCGGTTGGTTTATCAACCCTTACCTGCCCCATCTACTGTTGTGCTTACCCCTCCCACCCTTGCAGCCCCGATCATCCCCAAAGGCTAACCCCTCAGTGAGCTTGGTGGCTTTTCGATCTTCATTATCACCACCATCAAACCCAAGGCATTCTCTCATCTGGATTATACATCACATGGCCTCGGGCATCAGTACCTAGTTCATCCCACAGATACCGACTTTGGAATGAAAAGCCTTGGCTCCATGGTTTTCGGTGCTGCGTGACACATCTATCGGTGGGAAGAGACCCCCAGAAGACGCCACCCACCCACACATCCCTTATACTCCGTATGTGATGTTCATATCAATACACCCCACTTTGGTCAGCGTTGTATTATTGTTAGCAGCTCAGATGGGAGCAAGTAGGTGATCAATACTAGTAGACAGTTTGTAAGTTCTGGTATGGAAATGCACCGTGCTTTCTCTTCAATCTGCGGCTGACCTTGATGTTAGCTAAGAGAGAAAATTAAGTTTATAAATTATAAACGAGAAACCCCTCGTGTCACACTGACCACTCTCTGGGGCGACCCAGAAAAGATTAATCCAGTGGCCAGTAGTACTAGTACCGGGGGTTTGTGCTCGAAACTTCCGAAACCTGGGCGGTTTCTTTTCTTTTTTTAGAGCCTGGGCTGTAGAATTGACAAAGAAAATCGTATGCCAAACCCAGTCCTGGATATTTCCTGAGTGTTGATATTCGCATCGATGCCCAAACAAACAATCTCCATGTTGCAGATGGTGTAGACGCGGGGAGCGCAGTGCAAGACCGCCCGTGACGACCCCAAAGGCACACAGCTGGAGCAAGCAAGAGGGGTATGAAAGCAGGATGACCAGGAGGTATGGAGTAGAATCTAGGGACTGATAAGTGCAGTTTTGATTCCTTTTGATAGCTTGCCGAAGAGGACACATCCGCTCCAACCTGAACCCCAAATTAAGTCAAAAAGTCCATCCAGCGGCATGGTAGCGGAGCCCAACGGTTCGAGCTGACATCGGCCATTTTAGCCCTCCACACCTTTTGTCTGAGGGACCCAGAATGCCATCCAATGTGCGATAAATGATGGAGAACGCTAGTCAAATCATTTGCCATCGCGCTCAACTCGTCAAATTAGGTTGCGTAACAGTCCCAGATGCTAAAGCATGGTCCTCCGTTATCTGGTTCGGATTTCCAAACTCGTTGATAGTCCTCGCTCCTAGAGGGTGGCTTATCCAGGACAACCCTTGATTCTGCCGTGGTTTGCCCCAGTTGTAATTGTATGTTTTGAAGTATGAATTCTAGATTCAACCAGGCGGCAAGTGATGATCCTAGAGTAGGACACGGTGGAGTTCCGCTCCTAGGTGCCAGACCACACATAGGAACAGTTTCCATCATCACCAAAAAACAAAGTCCAGACCCACTGCCATTCACCGCTGTTGATATCTGAATGGCCTTTGCTTGTGTAAGGTGGACGACATAATTCAGCTTGCCCATGATCGAAACCTTGCATGTGGATGTGGTGCGAAAAGGGAAGAGTGTCATGATGATTCATAGGCCGAGTAACAATTCATCCACACAAAGTACAGTACCTGGTGATACCGATGTATCGACTAGGAACCGGTTGCAATTAGCTAAGGCTTGTTCCGGCGGCTGGCATCGAACGTCTCATCGGGGCTGGCTTCAAATCATAGATATAAATACTTCGGTTCAGCATCTGCTTTGCTCTCCAGAAGCTCTTCTTTCAAATCCAAGACTTGTGTCTGTCATACAAACAGCACGTTGGCCCTGACTGTTTTAGTTCATATCACTTGGAAGTATCAACACTCTTAGATACCAGTCAAGGTTAGCTTTGTCCCTATCAGCATCCTTTATGGGTATTTCCTGTGAACTCAAAGATTCGTCAAAGGCTCATCACTTTTTATGACTTTAGAAAATGGCGACCGTCGGCACACTTACCTCTTCTCCCGTTCCAACCTCGACGGCCCATTTCCAGTTCGGCAAGGATGCTGCTCCTGTCGAAACAAAGCCTATTTCTCAGTCAAATAAGGCTATTATGATGTCTGAGCGTGTTGCTTTCGATCCTTCCAAGCACTTGAACTTCACACCACCCTCGAAAGTGCATACCATGACCGAGCTTGGGTATTCTGAAAGGCATGGCATCTCTCCTATTGGTGTCTCTGAGCCTTTCCCACTGTTCTCTGCCGAGGCTATTCAGCACATGAGAGACGAGGTGTTGAGTGACGAAGTTTTTGCCAAACATCGGTATTCCAGTGATTTGGCCCCTTGTCAGTTGAGAGGGTTTGCATCAGAGTGGGTTTCCCAGATCACCGTGCTATCGGTAGACCCGCTAACGTTTCTCGTGCAGATGTGCGCCTTTCGTCTATGACGCCTGGAAGAACCCCGAGACTCTCGCTATCATCTCCAAAATAGCCGGAGTTGACCTTGTGCCTGCCATGGACCTCGAAATTGGACATGTGAACATCTCCGTCAACAGCGAGGAGGAAAAGGCCAGGGCACTGACTGCCGCAGTGGAGGAAATTAACCGCAAGGCTGATGAGGGTGTTTCAGGATGCCCTTGGGAAGGCGACAAGCCCATCGTTGATTGGCACACTGACAGCTATCCATTTGTCTGTGTGACCATGCTTTCAGACTGTACGGATATGATTGGAGGAGAGACCGCGTTGCGAAAGGGGGACGGTGACATCGTCAAAGTTCGAGGGCCGCAGATGGTAAGTTTTTATGAATATAGAATCTCCGATACAAGCTTACGGAATATCCCTAGGGATCCGCAGTTATCCTGCAAGGACGATACATTGAGCACCAGGCCCTCCATGCTTTGGGAACGACGGAGAGAATTTCCATGGTAACCTCATTCCGGCCACGGTCCTCTTTGGTCAAAGACGATACAGTCCTCACCACAGTGCGCCCAATCTCGGACCTGGGAGAATTGTACCACCAATTTGCCGAGTATCGCTTTGAGATGCTCCAGGACCGATTTCAAGATGCAAACAAGTTCATGCGTGACCAGAAGCGAGCAAGACGCCCGTTCGACACCCGTGGCCTGAAGCAGTTTATTCGTGAACAGATTGAGTTTTTGGAGCATATGGAAAGAGAGGTTGTCGATGATGACAAGGTCCAGAAAGGTGTCATCCATAACAGCCACTTGGTTTCGGAAGACCTCAAGCACAAATCCAAGAAGCGTGCTTTGTCTGCGGTGGAATAGGCAGGTCCTGGACTAACGCTACATAATAATAATAATGATTCGAATGTCTCTTGTTGCTTGGTGCTTTGCGGGCTAGCGTTTCAGAGTTTGTTGCATGCTGGGCCATCGGTTTTTCGTTGCTTGGCTCATTCCTGTTTATGCAGTGCTTTTGGCGTTTGTTGCTTGGGAAATTGTTGTTCAGCGTTTTTACTGAGATAGATATTTAGCGACATAGATTTTGAACGACCTTTTATTTCTTGCAGTTTAACCTCTTGATGGAAGTGAATTCCGTATGAAGTCTAAGCTTTTTGACCATTTGACGGGACCTGCTGCGTGGTTGTCTTTGGACATTTGTGTCCGACAGACGTTTGGTGACTGATCAGCGATGAAAACTCTCTACCTAGGTCTTTCGGAATAGAAAGGAGAAAGTGGCCTGTTTTTGAAATCGTCGAGATGTTTCAAACATCTGTGTGCCTAACTCCCGAGTATTATCGAGAGCAGTGTTTGGACCCATCAGTTGCGAAAAAACCATGCGGACAGTGCATGGAGGTCAAACCAGGTCGATTTGGACAGTTCATTGAGTGATGAAGTATTGAGATTCAGAGAGAACTTGTATCACCTTTATCATTCAGCAAGCACTGTGCAGAACTTACATGGCTTTTTGAATTGCTTCAATAGGTTCTTTCAGCAAAAATAAAATTGGTCCAAGCGATAAGTGCCAACAACCGAGGATCGAAACAGAGAAGTAAAAAGCTGGAAACTAAGGGGCTTAAAAAGCCTACTTGAGTGCCGGCCAGGTTTCTCGTAATAGAAGTGATCGTTTTCCTTGGGAGGGGGTGGGCACATGCTGCCTCTTAGTGTCGCAAGGTGCAGTGTACGTAGCAGTGACTCCATCCAAGATCAGCTATTTCCACGGCAGAAAAACAAGCGAACGTATCACAGTCCAGCTGGTGCATATGCATATGATCTAGATAATGTACCCGTGAGTGTGACAGTGGTTGGAAGCGAATTCGTAGTATCTGTGCCAAGCACATCCCACATTGTTTACCTGAGGCAGCCCTTCAGAAGACATAGCGTGGTGAGAGATGCAGTAGTCTCAAAAGTGTTGGTTGGCTATTAATTTTTTGCTGATGGTTGTGCAAGTTTCCAGTGTCGGATGTTTTGATAAGGGCTAGTGAGCATTTCTTGACCAGTGATATTATGTTTGGATTGATATCGAAGCCAACACTGAAATTGGACAGGTAGACTGTGGTTTATATGGAGTGAAGGCCATTGATTCACCTGTAGTCCAAGTGATTGATCAGTCATATTGGCCCAGTGGTGATCAGCTGAGACGTATCAGAGGCCCTGAAGAGTTCCATCGACCTTATTCACTGGCCAGAAGCGTTGAAGTAAGTCTCATCTCCGAGATGACGAGATAGACGACGGCGATGGTGATGCTTTGTGTTGGACTGTCAGTGGAGATGGATCGAGGATCACAGAGCGCTAACCCGCAACAGGCTAGCGTGGCTGCTGACTAGTGGCGGCTGCCCGTCAGAGGTTCGAGGCGTGTTTGTTCGGTTTGCGCGACAAAGTAATGCTCACGTCGCCCTGGCGGTGGTGATCAGTGTTCTGCTTCTTCATCTCTGGCTGCTGCGCTCTTTCTCAAAGTCAGGGGAAAGAGAAAGACTGGTTTTACTCTGCTGTTTGGGCGTCAATCCTTTCAGAGCTCCTTGCTCCTTTCTTTCGCGTCAGTCATTGAAAGCCTAAATGCGGTTTTCCACTTTGAGTCCTGAGGGTCCCTCGTTTACTTAAAACTTCACATCTCGCCACTACTTAGACCTTTTACCACACGCTTGAACCGGAAAACTCTTCCCGAATCTGATCTCGGTCTTTGTTTATCGTATACGGAATAAATCATCAAATGCCCAAATCGGCTGCGGCGCGAGCTGCAGCGACTAGCAACACCAGCGCGAAGATCATGACGAGTGAAACAGGGCCCGGGGGCGACGCATCGGGGGTAAGTTGGATTCTAAGGCTATTTGATATTGGGTGAAGGTATACTAAAGGATTCGGTGCAGCTTTCGAATACACTACAGGGACATGTTGACGACATTCGCACTCTTTTACAATGTGGAATCTGTATCAGGCCACTCTACGAACCGTTTACTCTGGCCTGCGGGCATACCTTCTGTTATAGCGTCAGCCCATCTCACTTATGACAATGCCTTCTCCAACAGTTTCTGACACCTTTGGTAGTGTTTAACATCATGGTTCACCGGTGGGAGGACAAATAAAACATGCCCAGACTGTCGAGCACCGGTAAAATCGCAGCCAACGCCTGCGTATCTCGTGAGTCTTCTTACACTTTGTATTGCAAGCAAATACTAACTCTTGACTTTGATAGGTTCGTGCGGTGGTTCAAATGTTCACAAGTCGTGCAGAGCTTTTGGAGAAAGGAGAGACAACTGCGGAACACACACAGCATCAACAGGAGGAAGCCGAAAGACTAGAGAATGACAAGAAAAATACACATCCAAAAGAAGGAGGTTTATTCCGAGGCACATTCAACAAGAAGCCCCCAGTTGCACAACCCATTGTTGACCTCGAAGACGATGTTGTTCGCTGCCCCCATTGCTCGTGGGAACTCGAAGATGATTCGGGTTGCGCCCAATGCGGATACCGACAACCCCCTGATTCGTTGGCTGGTACCGAGTCAGGACTGAGTGAGTCAGACGAGAACTCGGAGATGACCGATTATTTCGACGATGAGCTCGATGATGGTTTTGCGGAGATTGACGAATACGCCTGGCAAGGTTTGCAAGGCGGCATACCACCTGACCATCTACCATTTGGAATACCTCCCCAGTTGTATGGATTAAACCGCCGCAATTTTCACCCTCCCTTTGCGCTTCCTCTCGCCAATAATCCCTATGAATGGCAGTATGGCGGCCGCTCGTCTCCTGTTATTGGCGATAGCGAAATTGGCGATAGCGAAGATGAGGAAGAGGAAGAAGACTACGATGATGGTGAGATGGACTCTTTTATCGATGATGACGAACATGTTGATGAGAATGACTACAACTCCGAATCGGACCGGTCGACGGTGGTTGGTGATAATGAGTACCACGAACGAGATTATTACCACGAGCCCCAGCACTATCGCTTCGATGCCTCGCAAGTGGACAGTGATGTTCCGATGTCACAACAAGGCGATGGAAGCGATGACTCGGAAGATGTTGTTGAAGAAGATGAGGACCATGATGACGACGACGATGACGATGACGACGAAGAGCCAATACGACCAGCCGTAAATGGTCCGCGGTATAATACCCAGCGCTTCGGTCCGCAGGGCAACCCATCTGGCTTCAGACCAACTCTGCACTCCCGGATGATTAACAGATCTCGTACTGAAAATCCCCTCCAAACTCCGCGTTCAGTTGGATCATCTGCGAACAATGCAATAAGTCTTGACGATGATGATGACGAGGACGAGGACTCTGACGAGGGCCCTGTTGGACCTTCGCGGCGAGGAAGAGACAGAAGGAACTGCGGGCGTCTCGCATATTGACCCATGCTTTTATATACTCGCAGATTCTGACTGAACACATCAGATTTCCGATTACGGATGGTTATCCACTTTATTATTATCTGCCGTCTTTCATTAAAATGAATCAACACAGTGAAACCGTTTCAAAGACGCCCATTCTGGTTGATACGGTATCCGGTCTTTGCGAATGTTTACAGTCGACATTCGATCATGTTTTTTGGTAACATTGTGTTATCCTCTTCAACTCTTTCAACTTTTCAGAGATCAAGCATTATGGCGCTTAGGAGGGGAAAATGATTCTATACTGGTTATTATTCTATTATTCGAAGTGACATCCAGTCTCAAAAAACCCATCGCAAATACCCCATTGTTACGGATTCTCTTATTTTTGTTTTTATAATTTGGGTAGCAGGGCCATAGCGAACTTTAGTTAATTGCTTTAGGAAAGCAGAATGTATTCTACGATTCAAGACCTCAACTCCTGTTCTTACACTACAGTTTATGTCTGCCTGTGAATCGAGCTAACCAACAGTACCGGGTTATTACCACTTGGCCTGACTACCTAGGTATGAGGCAGACTGCACAGCACCGGCAGTCTGCAAAAGAAATATGCGGGAGAAATAGGTCAGTCTTATCATGCATTTTGAGAAGCCAATGATATCAAGCCACGAATCCAAGGGATTTTTCCATTGACAGGCCTATCCAGGAAATATTCAACCTTATGCAGATCTTGCTTCAGTCGAGACAGTCTGTCACATATGCAAACCAAACAGGACGTTCGAAATTCTCGCCATGAATAGCCAGAATGAGAACTGCATTAAGTGTCAAGTACCACTAATGACATGGGGACAGCTTTAAAAACATTCAAAGTACTGCCAACCCTTGTGTTTCCATGCAGACTGCCATGAATGCCAAGATCTGAGCAATGAACGCTTGCGCGAAGAGTGCAAGTACATGAGACTGGGCCATATCGTGCGATGTGTGGTGCTTGGGAATGCTATTGGCGAAGGCAAGTCGAGTGCGGACGGTGCTCATGAAGGGTACTATGGATTCAAAATTTATCTTGGATGTCTCTCGGATATACAGAAACGGCCTGCACACTGTCAGATTTGCCATTATTTTACACAACTAGTAAGACTGAAACCTGATATTCCACTGACAAGTACTGCGAGTTTTCCTGTGTTATCACAGTGAGACAAATCCCCCCGAATTTTGTGTTGGGGTGAGTTGTAACTTACACACCAAGAAGTCAATTCAAAGACGACATATTCCCCTCATGGTCACGGTGCTCAGTGAAGAACCAGATCAACCCTACCCGCCGCAACAAGTCCGAAAATACTGTAGCACACCGGCAATTTTGGCAATTCCATCTGGCACCGATGACAAGCCATTGCTAGAGGTTTCTTATGAACAATCAAAAAAATTCGATGGAACTTGGAGCCCTCGTAGCATTAAACCCTTGGAAATGATTGTTCTCATTTCTTGGAGAAAATGGCTGCTACCCTGGAAAGCTACCAGCTACACTCGACTTTGACGGCACATGGACGCAATATCAAGATCTAGTTACCTCCGTTGTGGCAATCCCTGGCTCATCTCTGTCAAGAATCATTCGATCTCACTAATGGCGCACGGTCTATTTGTCCCAAATTCTCGCCATATCAAATGGAATCAGCATCGAGGCCAGGGCGCATCCTTCTATGTACACAGTCGTGTCGATTGCGAGTGTCGATATCCGACTCAACGACTAATACACATAGGCAACGTTATGTTTCACTTGACAATACACGAGACAAATTTACAGCTTGGGTGTCGCATGAAGATATAAACTCTCAAAGTCTCCATGGTTCTGATTCCTACGTCGATGCTCTCGCCGTCACTTTGGGATCTAGCGATTTGTATATCCTGACATGCGAGTACGGAAAATATGAAAAATAGTTAGTCTGGTGTGACTCGAAAGGATACGAGTTTGAGGAGTATACAAAGATGATGCAATATATGGCCTACATGGGACATCAGTTCTCTGTTGGTCTGCTTCTGGTTCGGCCCGATTGTGGTATTAGTAGACATGTTGGTGTCGGTGAAGTCTTTTTGCAGCACTGGATTGCAGAGAAGCCCCAGTTTGGGACGTTCATAATTGAATAAATAATACCTTCAACTATTTCAGAGAATACTGCAAAATATAATTTTCTTAACCTTATATTTTTTTTTTTTCGTCCTGAGCGTGTCTTCTACCCAGAATGTCATGATGTATAGGCACATATTTACATACAGACGGACCCAGCTGGATTCCAAACGCCTGGAGTCCCCAAAAAGAAAAAGAAAACAATCAAAAAGAAACAAGTTAAAAAAAAAGCCTTTTTGATGCAAAATACCAACATGAACATGAGTCACCAATGGTCTATCCCATTACCACTTTTACAAGTAATCCATATGCGCCGCATCGTAGCCTATTATGCCTCAGATTTGTTTGATTTCTCCGAGCTAAATGGAACCTCGAAAACGACAGCACCATTTCGGCCGTCAGCGGTAGCTCCCTCGTGGAAGTTGTTGGCAAAGCACTTCCAGCGACCAAGACGATGCTCTTTTCCAACAGCAGCAACAATGCACAGACCCCGGGATTCTGACTCAGAGGCTTCCGATTTCGACTTCAACTTGGATTCGACGGTTTGGCCGGGCTTGATGGTGTCGAAACGACGCTCGAAAACCGCAATATCGTTAACAACACCCTTGATGAGAGGCTCGGCATCTTCTTTAGGGTCTTCAGCCCTTTGGGTTTCGGGCTCATCGATGGCCATGCGGTCTGATTTGACTGGAGTGTTAAAGGCAAGGTTTTGGTTCAACTGGCGAGAGGGAGTATCGGGTGCTAAGGAACCTGGTGTTCCTTTACCGACGGGGCCCAGGGGGATTATCGTCTTTTTATCCTCTGAGATCTTCCATGCTCGGATCCAGCCGTCCCAGCTGCCACTGAGAACAATATCGGTACCTGGGACTGTGGCCAAAGCGGTGATCCAACGAGGCAGACGGCGGAGGTGTTTGGAGTTTGATGCAGCGGTCTCTTCGTCAACCTCGCAGGATAGCTCATCCAGTGGTGGTATGGGATCCAGCCCGTGGGCAGCAGGGATTGTATGAAGTGGTTTCTTCTTGTGCACGGACCAGAGAGCCAGAGAGCCAGAGTCGGATCCAGTCACAAAATGGTTAGGAGGTAGGGCAGCCACGCAATCAATGTTGTTCTCGTGGTATGGGGTATACTTCGAAGCTCCTCCACGGAAGACAAGCTGGGACTCTTCCGCGACCTTCCATAATCTCGCTGTACGGTCTCGTGCTCCGACGCTGACACATTGGTCAGTCGTCATGGCAGCAATCGACACAACGTTGTCTTGATGTCCAAATAGCGTTTCAACATAGGCATGACCCGCCGAGCTCAATGACCATGTCTTGATCGTTCGGTCAAGGGACCCGGTGAACAATTGCTCACCAGAGTTCATACTAGAGATATGTCTGACAAACGCAAGCCCGCTGATCGAGTCGCGATGTTGTGTGAAGGTCTTCAGGGGTGTCAAAGTTTCAGCATCCCAGATGATTAATTTATTATCCTCTCCACCAGTAGCCACGTATTTTCCAGATGGCGAGATGGCGACAGACAAGATGCTCTTAGAGTGGCCTTGCTCTTCTTCGCCCTCCTCAGAGGGCTGCTGCACACCCCGCACAAACTTCAACTGCTTGGGCTTCTTCCGCTGCGGACGCGGCCGCCGCTTTCCATTTGTTTCAGAGGTGTTCGGATTGTTGGGCGTAGCAAGTTCCCACTTGACCAAAGTTTTATCTTTCGACACTGTGTAGACATATGGCGCGTGGGCCGCGATGGAGGTTGTCGACTGGGTATCTGCCCGGAAGAACGAATGCGATGCGGTCGAGAAGGACAAATCTGAAGCTATTTGACGGTAGGCCCGTCCTTTGAATTCGTCCTGTACCAATGTCAATTATCTACCAAGAAAAAAGTATAGGACGTCAATACATACCACATCCTCTTTTAACCGCTCTGCGATTAAATCGCGATCAATCTCAGCCGCATCGAAGCCGGCGACGTCCACCTCATCCCGCACATTGTCCAAATATCTCTCGGCGAGTTTCAATCTTCGCTCTGCGGCTGTCTCGCCATCTTCCGATTCCGAACCGCTCTCAGATCCAGACTCTCCTGATGCTACACTGTCCGCATTCTCGTTCTCTTCCGAATCACTGCCAGAAATGGATTCTTCCCGATCTCTAGATCTGCCTCCACCCTTGGCGCGGGATTCTCCCTTGCCATCAACACCTCGCTTTTTCGATCCCGGAGCTGCGGCGCGATCGTCCCTCTTCCGCTTGCGCTGGGACGCGGGCACTGTGAAAAAAGAGGACATGGCGACGAATTGACAAAGGGCGTCGACTAGCCAGCACCACCAGCAACTGAGACTGCAAAATATCTGGCGACGAAAACAACGTGCGCAGTCGGAGCTGAAGTCGAACGGGACTTTTCTTTCTTTCTTTCCGCCGCTCTTGACGCTCACTTTTTTTCTGCCGCTGGTCCGTGCGGAGGGCGCTTCGGAAAAAGCCATGCGCCTAAATGCTGACTCAGCGGGGCAGCTCCGCTCCAACTCAGCTCCAGGCGTCAAGCTCACCGCGCGGTCCATGCCTGAGCGACACCAGCTCTCATCGTCCCTTTGTGCTGTCTCTTCCATCCGTCAGATAAGTCAACTCTAACCTTTACATATTATTTCGGATAATTACGAGCAAAGATGTGAGTTTTCTTGGTGGAGATGGAGGGTGTGATGACCTCATTTAACACGATTCTAGGGAGGTTCTACTGGGTATCACCGGCAAGGACTTCGTCATTTTGGCAGCGTCCAAGGCCACAATGAGGGGACCGACGATCATCAAGGCTGAAGATGACAAGACAAGACAGCTGAACAAGCACACTGTCATGGCTTACTCGGGAGAGGCGGGAGACACAGGTTCGTGGACGCAGTGATCTGGTTGTGAATGTGGGGACAAAGGGCTAACGGCTCTGGAATGGACAGTGCAATTCGCCGAATACATCCAAGCAAACATCCAACTATACACGATGCGAAACGATACACAACTTGGCCCTAAGGCTGTGGGCAGCTTTGTTCGGGGAGAGTTGGCACGGAGTTTGAGATCGCGGAATCCTTACACAGTCAACCTCTTGCTGGGCGGAGTAGACCCTATCACACTAGAACCTAGTCTCTACTGGGTAGACTATTTGGCATCGTTGGCCCCTGTGCCTTACGCCGCACATGGTTATGCCCAGTAAGTGGTCCAACCCATGGGTAAATGGGTAGAGCTAATTCGGTTCAGATTCTACTGCCTTTCCATCCTCGACAAACACCACCACCCTGATATCTCTCTCGACCAAGGTCTGAAGCTCCTAGAGATGTGCACAGACGAGCTGAAGCGTAGACTACCGATCGACTACAAGGGCGTATGTTCTACCCCCCAACTTGGAATACTTTTTAACATTTTCTGACCAACATCACAGGTTCTGGTCAAGGTTATTAGCAAAGACGGTGTCCAGGAGGTAGACTTCGATAATAGCAAACAAGTCACTAGTGCGTAATCTGTGATCGTCAAGCCTGGAATGGCGTTGTTGTATCATACCATTTTCCTCATATTTCTTCTTTACGAGACTCAGTTTGGGAGATCGGTTGCATGGCAGGACTTTCCATGACTTTTACGTTCGTGGTCTCCAATACTCTGGGTAGAGAGAATGAAAATGATGATCAAGAAATAAATTATATCCCAGCCGTAAGAATCGCAGTTGATGTAGTCTTGTCAATCTGATAGTGATGCGTATCGGTGACGCTGGATCGATGTTTGCCAGGTTTGCATCTCCGCTTCCATCGCGTCTTTTGAGCTTCTCCGCCGAGCATTTCACCAACCCAGCAGCATTCGGTCCCGAACGCCCGATTCAATTGCCATGATGTCAAAAAGACAAGCGGAGCTGTCGCTGGAAGAGCACGATCCCGCCCTGGGCTCACCTGCCTCCAAAAAGGCCCGCGTGGAGGAAGACTTGGAAGAAAACGATCCCCGCAATGGAGCAGTACCTGCGCAACGAGCCAGCGACCAGGAACTGGAACAGCATGACCGCAAAGGACAGAATGTTCTTGGAGCATCGGATAGTGAGGGAGAGGTGTTGAATGAAGCCGTACAGGATGAGTCCGAGTCGTCCGACATCGACGACGATACACCAGCGCTCGCGGCCCCGAAACGCCAAACTCAGCCCATGGAAGGTTATAGCGACTTGTACCTCGACACGATCAATCGCGGGGTGCTTGACTTCGACTTTGAAAAGCTTTGCTCGGTCACTCTATCGAATATCAACGTGTATGCTTGTTTGGTGTGTGGCAAATATTTCCAGGGAAGGGGGCCCAAATCGCATGCCTATTATCACGCCCTCGAAGTTGGACACCACGTCTTCATCAATATCGGAACAAAGAAGGTCTTTGTTTTGCCAGAGGGATATGAAGTCAAGAACAAGAGTCTGGATGATATCAAATACGTGGTCGATCCACACTACAGCAAGGAAGATGTCGGCAAACTCGACAAGGAGGTTCATGATGCATGGGATCTCGCTGGATCCCGTTATAGACCTGGTAGGACACCAATTTCGCCACTTTGGAAGGTATTTGCTAATATATACTAGGGTTTGTTGGCATGAACAATATCAAAGCTAACGATTACCTGAACGTCGTGGTTCAGCTCCTGGCACATGTCTTCCCTATTCGTAATTTCTTCCTACTGCATCAGTTCCCGGTCCCTGGAACACCGGAGCTGGTGCTTCGCTTCAGTACATTGGTGCGGAAGCTTTGGAACCCGAAAGCTTTTCGATCACACGTGTCTCCGCACGAATTGCTGCAAGAAATTGCACTGCGGTCGTCGAAGCGCTTCACTCTTACCCAACAGTCGGACCCGGTTGAGTTCCTCTCTTGGTTCCTGAACAATCTGCACCTCTCCCTGGGAGGCTCCAAAAGGCCGTCTTCTACCCCTACAAGTGTAATCCAGGCAGCTTTTCAAGGGCATCTCCGAATTGAAAGTCAGGCAATCACAGCGCATTCGGATACCCAGAACGCTCGTTTGGTGTTTACCGAGTCAGGCACCATCAATAACCAAGTCACTCCGTTCCTCATTCTCACCCTTGACTTACCACCCACACCTCTTTTCCAATCCTCAAACCGCGAATCCATCATTCCTCAGATTCCTTTGACAACATTGCTGAACAAGTACAACGGCATCACTGCATCAGAGAAACTTGCTCAGCGTGTCCGACACCGCTTGCTACACCCCCTTCCTCCTTATCTTTTCTTCCACATCAAACGTTTCAGCAAGAACCGATTTGTTTCCGAACGCAACCCCACCATTGTCACCTTTCCATCTCCTCGTTCCCTCGACATGTCCCCCTATGTGGAACCAAACCCAAACATCTGGCCTCCGGGAGAGCCTATTCTGTACGACCTTGTTGCCAACGTCATCCTCGACCCCTCTGTGGCAGCACCAGGAGCGGCCGAAGATGCGGCCGACAAAGGCGTCAACGCGGCCTCGGGGGCATCTGGGGCTGGCGCGGGTAGCGAAAAGGTTTCCTGGCTTGTCCAGCTGCACGACAAAGCGGTGGGGGCAGAGAACCAGCGACAACAGAGCGAACGTGGTGGTGAGCCCCGCGGACCAGAATGGCTTGAAATTCAGGATCTGTTTGTCAAGCGGGCCGAGAGCGAGACTTTATTCACGCGAGAAGGATACCTTATGGTCTGGGAGCGCCGAAAGGTTCCTGGCAAGTCGAACAAGGGGAAGAAGCCGGCTGGAAAGTAGAGCGAGGATGTGTGTGTGTGTGTGTGTGTGTGTGTGTGTGTGTGTACATTGTCTTGGGATATGTGATGATGGTTTTCTGGTACTTTAATATATGCCAACACTACACATTTAGGCGTTAGGGATCGTTTCTGTATAATTAAATTATGATCATGAAGTCTACCTATCTACAGGGTCTCCGATCCCTTCTCTTTCTCCCCATGACTGCAGTTTCATTCCTGCGCAGCTTCAATTCAACAATACTCACCCCAACACCACATTCAACAACCAAGTGGAATTCTTCATGTGAAGCCGCTTCCTCACGTTCAATATAAAGTCGTACAGGAAACCAGGTCAACTGAATCTCAAAACAGCAACTCCAGCCATGAATGCCTTTTAAAGCTAGTAGTATATAATTTAATCATCTCGGATTGGATCCTGGAAATGCCCCGAAAAGCCCTCCACTCGAAGCAAATACAGCCACCTAGCCAGCGCAGTGCATGGGAATTGAGGCCTATCGAGCAGAATACAATTACGACAGAAAATGACAAGATCACATTGAATCAAGTACTTGGAGACCGCCAACTTCCTCTCACGCTCAAACTTGTAGTCAAGTCGATCAAAATAGCTCGCTTGATACTAGAACACCAGGGGCTCCTCGCCTGGCATGAGAGTGCTTGAATCCACGGCGTTGTCCAGATGTTCCAGCCGGACAAACCCACCTTTGGGGCTGAGCACGAGCTGCGAAAAGTGATTCTCCTTCGAGCCCCGGGCTGTCTCGATAATGCCAACGTGAGATGTCGGGGGCTGGTGCGTAAACATGCGTTTCCAGCTGGCTTTAACGTAAAGATATGCACGCTCTTTGCCTGCGTCGATCACGGGGAACTGACGCTCTTTATAGATGATACCTCTTGGCCTTGTACGAAGTTCTTCTCGAAAGTACTGAGGCCATAGGTTTTCTTCGATTAGGGGGTTTTGGATGCGTTTCTGGCCCAAGCAATATGGCTTATTGGTTGGCTTGAAGAAAAGAGCACACTGGAGAGCGTGGGAGCCTTGGATGAGACGATGCCAGTGGCGGCAGACTCGCTGGGCCGAAGTTAGCAGAGTAACGTTGTCTGTATGCAGGAGAATAGCTTCGAGTATTTCTGTGATGGAGAAAATATGGTGTTCTTGGGCCATCTTATCGTTGGTTGGTGAGAGAGAAAAGAGGAAGATAGATTCGGACGGGATGATGAGGATGATGAGGTTATTCAAGGTCAAGTTTAGGCACCAGCTCTATTTTATTACACCACGTCATAATATCATCGTCTTGGATAGATGAAAATAAATTCACCTGTCCAGTGACTATCTACCCCATTTTGCCTGGTTTGCTTCATCTCGTATAATATCTTGGCATCAAAATACAAGAACAATTACCGGACCTTCTCATATACCATCGACTGAATCATGTCTCATATTCTAGACTGTCCCCATGAAATCCTCATCTGGATCTATCTCAGGCTGGAATGCATCACCGACGCTCTCCATCTCTCTCGATCATGTCGCCAACTGCATCACATCCTGAACCGTCCTCACGACCGTTTGAACATCTTCCTCTCCATAATTGTCAATTACTCCCAAGCCACATCCAACCAGCTGAAAGAAATAATATAGAAGAATATAAGAAAAAAAAAGAAGCTGATTAAAATCAACAGAATAACATCCCAACCCCCACCAGACCAGACAACGGCTGGATGAAATCCCACTTTGGCATCGACTCCATCTGGCAACCCACCGAATCCGACTTCCCACGAGACCTTACTGATCCCGACACTCGCTCATTTCTCACCACGGTGGGGTTCCCAGCTATGAAGCTCAAGATGAGCGGATTCGACTCGACGCATCTTAAGGACAGGGGACTTCTCCAGGCCTTCGATGCAGATGAGCTATACGGACTGCGGTATCCAGACGACGACTCCCCGCCTACGAATTTTGCGTTTCACTTCGCGAGTCTCGATCAGTGGATGGTGATGGTTGGCGGAGAGGATGGGGAGGTGGCGCTGTATGATCCTGATGGGTGGGATCATGCGGATGGGTATCAGGGACTGGTTGCGACTTCGTTGGGGAGGTTGGCGGTGCTGGCGTGGATGTTGGGTGAGGTTACGGAGAGGTTGGATGTGATTGTTCCTGAGAGTGTTGGGGATGAAGAGAAGCAGGAGGAAATGCAGCAGGCTGTGTTGGGGAGATTGAGAGAAAGGATGGTGGAGTATGATGATTGTGTCGAGGAGTGTAAGTTCTGGGATGGTGTTTTTGAGGCTTTTGAGTAGATCTTTTCTTGTCTATATGAACTTGTCTATGGTAGTCTATGTGATTTGATTCGGAATAATACTATACAAGAAGCTTAGAGTATCGTGTAATTATAAAATGTAGTGTCACCAATCCGACTATGAATTATGATTATAGAGTCCCCCAACCGCAGAACTTCCGGCCAATCTTAATGGCTGTCCCTGATATCACTCCCCATACGCTTGCATTCACTGCCGCTTGTACGCCCATCATCAGAGCGAGCTTGCCCATGTATGCCAGAGTATCGGATCGAGAGCCACCCCCGCCCCATACTCCAAGCCCACGGACATCAGAGTGCAGAAGTGCAGAGGATCCGGTCGACGAAAGGTAGGACGAAGCGAGAGAGCGGAGATAGAGAGACTCGAGGGGAATGAAGAGCACGGTGGTGATCATGGACGCGAGATGAGAAGCAAGAGAGTCGACCGGGTGGGATGAGAGTATTGTCACCCTGTGAGCAAGAGAGGGGACGTTTGTCGTTGGCTGTTGAGGAATGTGGGAATTCGATGTGGGTGGTCGCTGTTCCAATTCAGAGTGGTTGTCGAAGATTGTTTCTTCGGGAGCTGGGTCATGGGCTTCTTCCTGGCTTGTTTCCTCGACACCGTTGGGTAGGATGTTGGCACGATTCGAAACTGGTGCTTCACTGGGAGGCTCGACGGGTGGTTGTTCTGGTACTGTATTTGGGTGCGGACTTTGAATCTCAGAGACGGCAAGGCTATCCCCTACCACTGGAGTTGCCCCAGTTGTCAGGTTAGATAGACCATCGCTGTCGATCCCGTCCGAGTTCATAATGGCAGAAAGATTCTGGCCTTGGTTGGACAAAATATTATCAAGGAACTCGGTGATTGACCTCCTACGGTCAGTTGGCGATCCGGTGGGGCGTATCCCTTCATTTTCAATACCAGTCCTGGGATTAAGCTGGTTCTGGTTCTGGGAATTGCGATTGCCCAAGAGCTCCAGTTGCATCGTGATGATGTCCGAGTTTTGATGAATCAACGAAGCTCGAACACGAGGTGATGTAGGAGGGGAGGTTTCAGGAGAGGATGGGCGGGAGAAGAGTGTATTCGATCGAGAGTTTCGCCGACTTCCAACAACCTCCTCCCCCCGATTAGGCCCCTGGTTGGTCGGTGGACGAGAGGCATCGCCCGTAGAAGGCGCAGATCTCGCTCGCCCCAGCGGAGCCATCTCTGAAAAGTAGTCACCACTCATTTGATCGGGCGAATGCGACATGCGGTTTTCTTCGTTCGACAATAGCTGGTCCCCATTGAAAACCGAGCCCAGCTCGGGCGTTTGTACAGAGACTGTTGGTCCAGGAGAGCTAGTTCGAGCACCTTCATCATAGCCCCGAGGAGCCTGTTCGGGTGTTCGTGGGGGTTCGTTCGACTGTTGCTGCAACAAATGGGTTCGAGATTGGGCGGCGCCCAGCTCGCTCTGGAGCTCTTCAATGCAGTGACGCAGAGATTCTATTCTCTCCTCCTTGGGAGGGGCGGCTGACTGATCCGTTTGTCTAGACCAGGAACCAAACCATGACGATACCCACCCTCGGAAAACAGACAATTCGTAGGCTACATCTTCCCAAAAGGTTAGATGGTTGCGACGGTTCTCTTCTTCTGATCTACGTCCAAGCGTAGGCACCATCCAGTCAATGAGGTCGTTTTCAAAGGCCACTCTGATAGACAGCTCATCTGCAAGGCTGGGCTTCGGTAGTCGTCGACGGATTAATCTGTAGAGCCTTATCTCTAGTATTGGACGCAAGTAGACGTAGAAATAAACCAGGAGAGCAGGTGTTTTCACCAATCCCAAAGCAAATGTGCTCAAAGATCCAGCAGAAAGATCTGTTGGTAGAGGAGGCAATTGCACTGAGGCAAGTTCTCCGAATGGAATAAATAGCTGAGCACCCGGTATGGCGTACGGATGGACTAGATGGAGAGATTGTAAAAGGGAGTACATGTATGTCTGCACAGCGACAACAAGCAGAGTTCCTCTCGCCCTGTGAATTGATCAGTTACCAGTCCCATATAAGTGGCATAAGCACTTACGCAGAATGGAACATGAATAAGAAAGACTGCATAATCCGAGAGTAGAGGCTATCAGAAGAAGGATCCACAAGTTGATTCTGCAAAAAGCAGACCAAACGCTCCAAAGGATGATGTCGGCAAATTGACAGGCATGTTGACACTGCCCAGGTAGGAATTCCAGCGAAATAGAACCCCAGTATCCCAACAGAAGAACGCTCAAAGCTTATGATGTTCATGAGGGGGGCATGGGTATATCTCCTGAAGGTCTGAATGACATCAGCTATGGCTCCTGTGGGAGTAGATAGAACTCACCTGTATTCGCCCTGTGAGCGAAGAGGTCCACCATGATCCGAGAAATACTGTGACTTGGTCCAACGTCGCCATGACCAGCCCGTAATCATTCTCAGCGGCGATCAGGTCGATTTTCTGCTGTTCGTTGGAAATGCCAACACTGCCATCCTCGCCACTGACGACAATACCCATCGTAGAGAGAATGTCATTCTTAGCTCTGCGAAGGTCTTTCCCGAATACCTTTGATTCAGGATTGACAGGATGGCCTCTTTCATCATAATGCTGGACATAATCGTCGGTATGGAGAGGCGAGACCCTGCGCTGTACCGAACCAGATTGTTCACCAGTAGAATCGGCTGGCTGTTCTGGAGCTTCGTATGGCGATCGGCCCTTTATTATAGTTAATACTATATCTTAAAAAGATGGGAAAAGAAAAAAAAAAAGGATAAAGAGCAAATTGAAGCTTTGAGGGAGAGGCATAGCCAGTATAAGTACAATACACGAGGGACACGTAGCAGAGCGCGTGTTATAACGGTCCACAATAAAATCCAAATAACATCAGAAAAGTAAGAACATTAATAAAGAAACGTCCAAGCTACATCAAGTAACATATGACTCCAAAGCCATCGATATACTAAACAGGAAATAGAGAGTTTTGAAGCCTACCAGAGCGAGCCGATTCATATAAGCTTGTCGCCCCATTGCGTGCAACTATGTGCTCTTGAGTCATCGGTAACCCGTCACAATGCCATTTACGAGCACCAGATGGCCTGAAACAAAAACCAAAGCGTCCACTTGGTTGGGAGGGGGAAATGGAGAGAAAAAGCAATCAAACGCAGTCCTCATCATCGTCGATCGTGCCAAAAGGAGCGGCGGTGATCACGTGGTCGCCTGCTGCGGCAGTCGCGCTTGGGCGCACGAGCCAACGTTTATCTTTTCCGTGCAAACAAAGCAAACATTTCAAAAAAAGATGAAAAGTTCCCGAATGAAGCGCAGTGCGACGGACGCTGTCGACGATATTGAACAGTCCAAGATCCGGTTTTTGTGCAGATTCTTTCAAATAGATGATGGCGCGATAGATGTCCAGTGATTCTGCCGTCGAAATACCCCGCAATCATGTCCAAAGCCGTCGTTAAAACGACCTTCGAGGCGTCTCGCACGCTTCGTCCCATATACACCGGAGGAAGTACTGCGCTGGATGCAAGTGGCCGTTTGCTGGTGACTTGTGTTGGTGAGGATGCAGTCGTGGTGGATCTTGAGACTGGTGACCAGCTCACCAGCCTTGAAGGAGTGCGTTTCTCTGATCTTTGTTGTCTGATTGCAAATTACTGACCTGGTTGCTTAGGATGGAGAGGTTATCACCAGCTTAGCGAGTATGCATTTCTATGCCATTGCTTTTACGGATTTCTCTTTCAATAATACTGACTTCGCATCTAGTCACGCCATCTGCCTCCCATGTCATCGCTTGCTCGCGATCCATGTCTATGCGCATTTACTCTCTGACGCCATTCGACGAATCTTCACAAACTCTTAAAGCGAAACTCGTCAGGACCCTCAAGCCCCATACAGCTCCCGTCGTGACAACTGCAGTCGACTCTACCGGAACATTGCTAGCAACTGGTGGTGCGGATGGTACCATCAAGGTCTGGGATATCAGAGGTGGTTATGTCACCCACACTTTCCACGGCCACGGAGGTGTCGTGTCGGCACTGTGCTTCTTCGAAGTTTCCGCCCAAGATGCCGACCAGTCTAGCTCTAAGAAAAAGAAGTCGAAGAAGATCTCGGATGATTCTGATGATGAGGACATGGGCGATGCAAACACCACAGCAGGATTTCGACTTGCATCTGGAAGCGAGGAAGGCAAGGTGCGAGTGTGGGACTTGAACAAACGCAAGCCGATAGCAACTTTCGAATCTCATGTTTCTGTTGTCCGGAGCCTTTCATATTCACCTGCAGAGAACGCATTGCTCTCTGCCAGTCGAGACAAGACCGTTATCGTGTGGGACGTCCGCACATGGAAAACACGCAGAATCATTCCTGTTTTGGAAAGCGTTGAAGCTGCAGCTTTTGTCGCCGACAGCGGTTTGTGCTTGGTGGGAGGAGAAAATGGAAAACTGCGCGTGTGGGACTGCAATCGAGGAAGCGAAATCACTCACGAACAAGAAGCCGGTCCGGAGTTCGAGGCCGTGGTGGCCATCCAATATTCCCCTGGCATGCCATTCGCAATGACAGTCCATGCCGATCAGACTCTCAAAATCCATTCATTGGAGGCATTGACAAATTACAAGCCTGGGTCTACCCTGGAGCCTTTGACAACCGTCAGACGTATTTCAGGAAACGACGACGAAATTATTGATCTGGCATATGTTGGTCCAGATCGATCAATGGTTGCTTTGGCCACCAACACTGAGAGCATCAGAGTGGTCTCGGTAGGCCCATCAGCAGACCGGCCTTCTGCATCTGGTGAGGCGGAGGAATTCTTTGGTGCCGATGTCACTTACCTAGAAGGCCACGACGACATTATTATCTGTCTTGATGTGGACTGGTCTGGTCATTGGCTAGCCACCGGTGCAAAGGATAACACAGCCCGCTTGTGGCGCCTCGATCCAAAGACATCTTCATATACCTGCTTTGCCGTCTTTACGGGTCATGCTGAGTCCCTGGGAGCTATCAGTCTTCCCCGAGTGCCACCCCCTGCTAACACCCCTGCACGCAATGATCCTTTGAACCACCCTCCCTCTTTCATGCTTACTGGCTCGCAAGACCGCACTATCAAACGATGGGATACTGGCAAGCTGGCCCCTCTTAAGTCTTCGAACCCACACTCCACGAAAGCCATCTTTACCCGGAAGGCCCACGAGAAAGATATCAATGCCCTTGACATCAACCCTTCAGGTACCCTGTTCGCTTCCGCTTCTCAGGACCGTACCGTGAAGATTTGGTCTGCAGAGGATGGCTCTGTGGTGGGTATTCTTCGTGGGCACAAGAGAGGCGTTTGGTCTGTCCGCTTCTCTCCTCAAGACACTCCAGCAATCAACTCGAGCGCTCCGAGCGGCTCAAATAGAGGCATGGTCCTGACTGGATCTGGTGACAAGACCGTCAAACTCTGGAGTCTCTCCGACTACAGCTGTCTTCTCACTTTCGAGGGCCACACAAACAGTGTCCTTAAGGTGCTGTGGCTCCCTCCCCCTGATCTGTCCAAGAAAGAAGATGACGACGAGGATGAAGATGCACAGGCATCGCACAATGCATCGACGCAAGCCCGTCCCCTGGTCGCCTCTGCTGCTGCGGATGGCCTGGTGAAGGTCTGGTCCCCCTACACAGGTGAACTGGAGACCACTCTCGACAACCATGAAGACCGAGTCTGGGCCTTGGCCAGCCCTACACCATCTGGCACGCGTACTGATGCCCAGTCATCCTCGCACGTTGCCTCGCCATACGCTCTCGCCTCCGGCTCTGCCGACTCTACTGTCACCTTCTGGACCGACACCACATCTGCAACCTACACCGCAGCAGTCAGCGCCAACTCTGCCCGTGTCGAGCAAGATCAACAATTGCAGAATTACATTCGAGCCGGAGCCTACCGTGAAGCCATCACGTTGGCTCTTCAACTCAACCACCCTGGTCGACTACTCTCCCTCTTTACAACAGCGATTGACGCTGCGGATGACCCATACTCCACTGCCGAAGACAAATCCGCGCGCGAGAACAGCTTGACCGGCGACCCCTCCATCGACGAGGTTCTCCAGTCCCTCGACCCCAACAACCTCCGCAGTCTGCTGCTTCGACTACGGGACTGGAACACCAACGCTCGCACTTCCCGTGTTTCGCAGCGCATTCTCTTCGCCTTGTTCAGATCGTACCCCGCATCGACATTTGTCGACCTCGCAACTGCCAGCATGGCCAAGCGCGGCGGTGACAGCCGCACTGCCGCAGGAATGAAGGACATCCTGCAGGCACTAGCGGTGTACACGGAGCGTCATTACCGCCGAGTCGAGGAGCTGACTGACGAGAGCTACCTCGTTGAGTGGGTGCTGGGAGAAATGGACGGTGGTGTCGGGCTTGGAGGTTTGAGCATTTCCAATGGGGATGATGAAGTGCCGGAGCATGAGAAGGACGTGGTCATGTTGGGTGTATAGAAGCAACAAGTTAGAACCTCTGTACTGATAGACAAGGTATTGCGTGTTCGGGCTGTTGCGAAATACTGGCGCATTTCTTGGGGGGAGTCTTGTTTTTGCATTTGCATCTGAATTAATCGTTGGGAGGGAAATATAAAAGCTATATCATGAATGTTATTTATCTTCTGGCCATTCCTCTTCCTTCTTATACTCGTCCGACTTGAACCATACCTGGCGCAGTTTCGTCCATTGATTCCAATAACTGCCCCAGCAGGTAGGCTCACTACTTTGAAATGGCTATCATAATTCATCAAGGCATCAAGCTCTTATATTTGACCCAAATTGTGATCACTATGGGTATCAAGAAATCCTAGTAATATAATACAAACGCTGTGATAACACGTCTTCAGATCCAAATAGCGACATCAAAGGTCTAAATTTCTATGCCCAAATTTCCCATGAGTGCTGCTTCCTTCACCTTATCTATCATCGCGTCTTCTTCTCCGGTGAGAGTCACGGTCACTGTCTCGATCCCTGTCACGGTCCCGGTCCCTTCTAGAGGACGAATGTCTTGACGAGCTGTAGCGGTCGTCATCACGGTATCTGTGGCTCCTGTCTCGCGACCTATCTCTATCACGGCGACGTTCACGATCATGGTCCCGGTCCCGGTAGTAACGATCGTCTTTTCCATCTTCATCATCATACCTCTTGCGTCTGGAATGGCGATCTCCAGACGAGCTTCTGTCTCGCCGTGATGAGCCTGACTTGCGTCTGTCGTAGCGGTCACTGTCATCGCCTCTGTCGTAGTCGCGTCTTCGAGAATCCCTATCCCGATCTCTATCGCGGCCGCTCTTTTCCAGATTGCGATCCCGCCTGTCTCGCCATTCATCATCGTCTTTCTTTGATTTGGCCTCCTTTTGCAAAGCAGCGAGTTCGTCTTCTGTAACGTACTCGCCCGTGTTTTTGTTCCTCATCATAACAGGCATATAGACACCCTCAGTGCCACCTTTGCCTTCTTCACCCTCCCCGGCCTTCCTGGCACCTTTGCGCATAGCAGCTTTCCCCCAGGCACCGATCTCTGCCTCCGCCCCCTTGCCACCGGATACATCCTTCGCACCAATTCCGAGATACCCAGGCCGTCGTTCAGGAATGCGAGGCTTCTTTGCTTTTTCGGCATCTGCAGAACTGCCGTAGTTACCTCGTCCAATCGATTGGCCATCTTTCCAGCCCATGCCCCGCAACAACGCAGCTCCAAACTCCTCCACCGGGATCGCATTATACTGGTCCAACGACGCGGGCTCGGGGCGTGAGGCAACGTCAGTACGGAACGAACTCGTCTCGTCGTAACGCCCGCCGGTACCATCTTCTTCATCCTGGTCATGTTTGGAAGATTCAATAACGAGGTCTGTTCTTCCTTCCGTCTCCCCCTTAGTGTCACGAATAAGCGCTTGCAGTGCGATTTCATCATCCGTGAGTGGCTTTGGAGGCGGCGTTGCGGGCTCTGCGTCTTGCATCGGTTGATCGCGATCCTCCTTCGCCTCGTCCGTACTGGGTTTCGCAAAACTAAGTCCATACGACATACTCGGCCCCTCTTTGTCAACATTATCGCCGATGTCTACTCCCCGTTTCTGCGCTTCTTGCAACGCTTGGACCTCCTTTGGTAATAGATTCTTCCCTTTAGGCCTTCGGTGGTTTGTGCCAGCTCGGTCCCGCCAATTGTTTCCACTCGCGACCTGGATTACCAGCGGTTGCTTCTCGTTGCTTGATTGTCCGTCGGCGGTGATGACGCTGCCAGTGTTTGTGTCGAAGCCAGTCACGGCTTCATGAACTGGTGCGCCTTCCTCCTCTTCGGAATCATCGTCGTGGAGCTGATGGGGTCTGCGCGGAAGGGTTCGATTCGAGGATTCGTTCGCTCGTCCTGAACTTTGAAGGTTGAACGAGGCCTTCTTGGGTGGTCCATTTGATCCTAGTGAGAGGGAAAATGGCTTCTTGTTTTCCCGCGACGAGGACATCGCGAATTTCCCTTGCTTTGGGGTTTGTTTTTCGGATAGAGTGACCACCAAGAATCCCAAAAGCTTCTGGTTATATGAAAGGAAATGACAAGCTCGAAGCTGTCAAGGTCAAGATTCGCCGTCCATGAGATCTGCATGAAAGAGGCGGTGCGAGTGGCAAATGCTAAGCGCGCGCTAATTTAACATAGCATAACATCGAAGAATTACGCACGAAATTATGAGACAATGACCTAAATATCTACGAGAGAAAGTAAATGCCCTTCGATATGGAAATATTATTCAACGGAACTAATCGTACAATCCATGTTCATTGAAATCCCCTTGTGGATTCATCCATTCCAAATAAAAAAAAGCCTCCCTGAGTACATAACAGTACTATGGCATCCATCCTATCAATACAAGTAGTACAAAAAAAGGCCCGAAATAACTCCTGGCTCCATGTCCATGCATGCCAGCAGATCGGGTAATATTCCAGCGTTTACGCTGATAAAACATCAAAAATGAAAAAAGAAGAAAAAGAGGAAAATAGCAACAGGGTTCGCGGAAGTATGAGAGAAGATATAGGGAGGGAAACAGGTGAAGTGACGGAGAAAAAAGGCGTCAGGGGACCATAACATTGCATATCATCGGGAAAGTAGCCGGGAACAAAACTGGGGAGTAATAAAAAGAGAGGTACGGGGAAGAGGAATATTTACAGGTGAAGTAGAAGTAATCAGGCACAACGAGCACAAACACCGGGTATGTTTTTCACCCATGGGCTTCTAGCCGCTCGCGGTCTGAGCCTGTGGGGGATGGGGACTCTTGTTGGGCCCCGGCACTTGACCAGCCTGGGAGCTTCCACTGCGCTGTGTCTGCGGTGTCCCGCTTCGGCTTGGCTGAGGAACATTACCATTCACAGCAGGTGAACTGGTAACGCCCACACGGTTCTGCTGGGCGGGCTGCGGAACACGCATCATGGGGGAGAATCCCTGAGCCTGAGGGGCTTGCATCCCGGGGCCGCCATTCATGTTAGGCTGGGGAGGAGATTGAAAATTCCCGTCATGCGACACTTGATAGTTGTTGGCTTGGTGAGAGGCCATGTTGCCCGAAGCAGCATTCATAGCCATTTGGGACATGCGGTGCTGCTGGTATTGGTGTAATCGGTCCGTGGCCAGCTTGTTCACTTGCTCTGGAGTCATGTTGGGGTTGTTCCGCTGGATCTGGCTTTGGATGCTGCTGATGGTCGGGACCACACCACTTGATAGAGGGTTTGGTTGGCCCATTCGAGGGGAGGGTGTGGAAACTCCCTGGGGGGTGCTGTTGTGGAAAGATGGGCTTTGCATCCCACCGCTAGCCTGGAGAGCAGCAATCATAGCCGGATTATTCGGCGTGCCGTTGACATTGGGCATGTTGAGATTCGGAGAGTGAGGTCCCTGAGGTCCGAACTGCTGTTGGCTGTGGAACTGCTGTTGAGGCTGTTGAGGTTGGGGTTGAGACTGTTGGTGTGGTTGTGGTGGCTGCTGTTGCCTGGATTGTAAGATACGCTGCTGCTCTTGCAGACGATTCGCTTCCCGCATAACCCGTGCATTGTCCGGAGATGCCTGCATGGGCATACCAGGTCGTGCGCCGTTGGGCTGTTGCATCCCGGACTGAGGCATCATCTTCATTGCCATCGCATTAGGGGGCAAGGGAGTATTAACGGGTCCACCATTAGGCATCCCCTGGATAGCTGCCGGCCGGGCTTGGTTAACGCCAACAGCAGGCGGCATCCCATTGGGAATCCCATTTGATGTGTTACCAGGCATGGCTGGTGTTCCAGGGTTGTTAGGCATGCCATTTGGATTCCGACCGGGAGGAACATTTATTATCGGCTGCTGATTAGGCATCTGACCAGTGCGCTGAGCAGCCAAGCTCGCCTTCAAGCAGGATTAGATACTTTTCAAGCCAACATCATTCATAGTGAAGCTTACCCTTTGTTGAGCAATCATCTGCTGTCGGTACTGCTCCTGCCTCTCCTGCAGTTTCATTTCCCGGTCGTACTTGAGCCGACTGAATTCAGCGGGAGACGAAATTGGCGGTTTTGGCTGGGTGGCCTCGTTGGCTTTCCTCAGAGAAGCCAAGTGAGAAGCTACGTAGATTGTCAGTCAATTGGCGAATTTGTGATAGCCAGTTTCGGTGCTTACCATGCTGCTGTTTCTGGAGCATTGTCTCTCGCTTCTTAGCCAGTTTCCGCATAGCATCAAGTAATGCAAGATGCTTAGAAGATCTTCTCCGGTCAACTCGCACAGGTTGGGTTGTCCTTCGGCGAACTGGCGGCTGGGGCTGAGGGTTGTTACCCTGTTGCGACTGCTGCTGCTGCTGCTGCTGTTGTTGTTGCTGCTGTTGGGCAGCTTGTTGTTGTGCCAGCACAGTGCGTTGAGCCGTTTCCAGCCTTTGGTGATAAGCTCGGAAGTACTGGGTTTTCGACATGTCTGCGGGCAGTCCTTCCAACCCAATCCAACGCTCAAAACATTCCCAGGGAGTACGTCTCTCCGCACCAGAGGTGAATTGTGACGACGGTGTAAGGCAGCTGGATATGAGGGACCAGTTGTACGAATAATCCTTTACCAGGCGCCGTAGCTCGTCATCTTCCAAATACGTCCACTGAGACGATTGCCTTGACTCGAAAAAGCCAATGGACGGCATCGGATGTTCTGTTGGGGGTCTGAAAGAATGCCCTGGATGAATTCGGTCACGAATATGCTTATTCTCCGGCCGGAAGAGTGCGACATTAGTCTGTTCAGGCGGAAGATCCAAAATTTGCTGTTCCGGCTCAGGCTCATATTGTGAGTAATCATATCGGCTACGCTTCCTCGCCGGTTCGCCGTCATGGAAACTAATCTTGCCGAAGGCGTACTTCGAGACGGGAAGAATCTCCGTTTTCCATGCAGAATCTGGGGGTTCTTTGAATGTCGGCATGTTTGTGTCCGGGGCGATTGTAACAGGGGAATATATTGGCAGTTCGTCGAGCAGCTTTTCTGCAACAGGGGTCATGTCAAGTGAGAACGTGAACTCATCTGACCCAAGAGAGAAGATAGCAGCCGGAGCAACCGTATCACGCAAATCATGACGGGGTTCATCATTAAATCCATCGCTCATTGAATCGTCTTCAGTTGAAGGTACGAGATCTGGGGTAGGGTGAGAAACCCCCATCGTTTCATCGCCCAATTCTTCTGGGGGTGAAATCATGTTCATCTTTTGATCGTTGGCTGATTGAGCTTTTGGTGAAGGAACCTTGACGGGTACACGAAGTAATGCCCGGTGGTCTTCATCACTATTGACATACTCCGCACACCAATCTGCACAGCTTTTCGCCGCTGCGATCTTCCATTTTCGTTCTTCTCGGAAGTCCGTACGCATCCATTTCATATGATCCAGAAGTACATCCCAGTGAGTCCCCTGCCGAGGAGGCTCGACCGAGCGCTTCAACTGACGAAGAGGCCACCTGTTCGCGTTCTGCAATGCATAGATGCGGCGGAGTGTACGGCAATCCATCTGCTCCTGGTATTCCAGAAGATGATTCTCGGTATTCAAGGTCTTGTGAGCCGAAGCAAGAAGTGTGTTGAGGTTCGTTCCCCGCGGAGGTGCGTAGGCCTTGTTTTGGAACAAAGTGAAGAGATAATCTTGCTCGTCGTTTAGCCTGACTAGATCACCAGCATTCTGGCGGACCATGTCCATGAGATCGTTCTTTTCCTGCTGTTGCTGCTGTTGCTTAGGAAAAACAACCGTGGAGAGCTTGGTTCTTTCTTTTTCTCGCTCTTTTCTGTCCTTGAAGCGCATCCTTGCTGGGGACTCGGGCTGGCCTTTATCAACAGATGCAGCCCTCGTCGGTTCTGCAGGCTTCTCAGCATGGGTTTTCTCAGTGTGTGGGAGCGGTTTCGGCGTCTCCCCGAGGATCTCAGAAACTGATTTATGGCGAATGGCCCCGGAGGATACTCTTGTGGTCATCCTCTCAGGTTGCGTTGGCCCAGTTTGGACAGGAGCTGCTTGAGGTTTCTTGACTACTGTAGGAGTCGAAGGCGTTGCTTTAGTGGCTGTCTCAACAGAGGGAATAGTCTGCTCCGGATGTGCTTGCGCTGGAGTAACAGGCTCTGTCGCTTGCGCTTCAACCGCCTCATCAGTCTTTTTCGATTCAGCCGCAGTAGATGGTGGTGCCAATTCCTGTACATCTGTCATTTGGTCTTCGGCGGCAATTGGCGGGACAACATTTTCTTGGATAACTTCGTTTGATGAAGGGTAACCACCATTATTGCCATCGCCAATTGACTTGCTCGCGGTGACGGTGCTTTGCTGGAGTGACTGTGCCTCCTCTAGGCGAAGCTGCTCGTCCGGCGTAGATGGAACCAAATTCGGTGGCGCTTGCGTGGGCTTGCCATGGCTTGAGCCCTGAAGCTGATCCGCAGCTTCATTTACCTCTTCAGCAGGGCTAGTGTCGGGAGAAGCAGTAACAGGGACAGGGGTATTATTCGAGTAAGGGCCTGCCGAAGAGACTGGAGAGATGGGTTGTTCGGTGAACTGGGTGGAAGGTCCCAAAACGAGAGAAGGGCGCTTGTCATGTTTCTTCTGAGCAGAGACTTCTTGGGCCTTAAGTGACGGGGGAGCACCTGTGGGAGTCAGGGCCTTCCGATTTGGAGACACACTAACATCTGTAGAGTCGTGTTCCTGACTGCTCAGAGGTGTCTTCGGCGCATAAGCGTTGGCTTTCTGCTCAGACTTTGGTGACTGTACGGCCGCGGAAGTAGACCTTTCGATTTCCTGTGAAACGTCCGGGGCGATACCAGGCACGCTGGTTTGAATAGGAGGCACCACACTTGGCTGCGCAGGCTCCGTGCTGGGGCGTTTCTCCTCTACTACATGCTGGCTCGTCGCCGCAGGCTGATCGACGCCCACAGGCTCAGGTTGAGGAACATTAGCTTCTAATCCCTTTGCTGGACTGGCATCAGCACCATCCTGAGCTTTAGAGACTGGTTCTGTTGCCGGTGGCACAGTCTCCTTAGCTTCAGGGCGCGGTACGATGGCTGCATAGTCAGGCAGAGGCGGGAGAGTGGCTTCATTGAAGTAGCGACCTCTAATAGAGCATCAGTAAAGCAATTATAACATGTTGAGAAGCATATGAAAATGAACAAAAAGCAATCCAAGATATTTCAATAAGACTGTAGAGTAATGCAATAAAGGAACTTACTTAGAAAGGTCGTTGGCGTCCAGAAACGCCTGTTCCTTTTGCTGATATAGAGAGTCGGCCGGAGCGCGCTCGGTCGCGCCCGCAAAGCCCACGGTCGCAAAGTAGAGCTCGCTCAATTTGCGCTTCCGCGACAACAAACAACGTCTGAAATTCCAAGTTAGCGATAATTCGATATAATTCGTGTCCGCAGTTTAGATTAAATTAGTGGGGTAAAAAAGAAAAAATACTTACGCGATCTCATCGTTCTTAGACCGGAGGAGCTCGTCACGGAGCATCGAGTCTATTTCGCGAACACAGCATCCGATTAACGCGCTAAAAACGAGGGGGATGGGTTGAGCGAAGTCATCCAGATGGAAAAAATCGCTCAAAAATGATAAAATAGATGGTGTTGTGCTGTTACGAGATGCAGAAGACCAGACGCGAAGATTTCACTTGAAGGGATTTTGGGGGGGAAATGTGACTTTTGACGGGTAGTACGGGTTGGTTGGTTAGGAGTGACTGCGTGGTGATATGGGAGAGTGCCGGGAACAGCGCGCGCAAAGCAGGGAGAGACGGACTTGGTTCAGGGAGGCAGCGCCATACAAAAAAAAGTAAGAGAATCACTTAGGAGGGGGCAAGAAAAATTGAAGCCTGAGGCAAGGAAGAGGACGAAACTCCCTTGCCTCCCCAAATACCAGAGCGGATTCTGGGGATGCCTGAGGCGGGCGTTTCTTTGCTTTGAGGCACGCCAAGAGTTGCCGCATTGGGCTGGTTAGGTCCTCACCGCCCCGGTTAGTCATCATGCGATAACGGTCTAGCTCCGGCAGAAAAAAAAAGTTGGTCTATTCCGCTGGGACTGAAGTTGGTATACACAGCTCACCACGACAAGTTTTATTGGACAATTTTCCCTCATTATTCAAACATGGGTAAGCGCAAGATCGACGAGACTGTCAAGGAATCCCAGGTTTCTGGGAAGCCCTCCAAGGTGGTCAAATCTACAACAAAAAGCTCGAATTCCGGCAGTCCTGCAGTCACTGTGCAAATAGTCACTGGCTCATATGAGCGAGTCCTACATGGCTTCACTGCAGGAGTTCCTTCATCTTGCCTCTCATCTGATGAAACCAAGGAATCGGCTTCCGGTGATTCTGTGGAATTCATGGATTCGTTTTTGTTTGAAGCCCACGCTTCTGCAATCCGATGCCTCGCTTTGTCCCCGCTCCCAAAGAAGGATTCGACAGAACCACCAAGAGTTATCCTAGCTAGTGGCGGAACAGACGAACGCATCAATCTGTATTCCTTGTCTGCCTCGCCTGCAGCCGTGAATGAGCAATACCCATCGGTCGCGACTCTCATTGGCAACAAGGTTCTCGAGAACCCCAAGAACCGCGAACTGGGTTCCTTGTTGCACCACTCTTCCAGTATCTCCGCTCTATGTTTCCCTTCGCGCTCCAAGTTCATGGCCGGCGCAGGGGATAACACCATCTCTGTTACCAAGACTCGTGATTGGTCCGTGGTTTCCTCGATTAAAGCTCCTCGCCCCAAGGTTCAGGGAAGACCCAGTGGTGATACGGCGCCTCCGGGAGACGCACCCTCGGGTGTCAATGATTTTGCGGTACACCCCAGCATGAAGCTGATGTTGAGTGTTGGACGAGGAGAAAAGTGCATGAGACTCTGGAATCTGGTTACAGGAAAGAAAGCTGGCGTGTTGAACTTCAGCAGGGAGATGCTACAGGGCGTCAAAGAGGGCAAATGGAGCACCGGAGAAGGCAGAAGGATTCTGTGGAACTCCAAGGGCGATGAGTTTGCCGTTGCATTTGAGTGGGGAGCTGTTGTCTTTGGAATCGTAAGTTTTCTTCCCCTGTGGTGGTAAGTAGTCTATCTAACTTTTTCTCTTCGCAGGATTCAACCCCAACCTGCAGGATCGTGCCAGGCCCTCGGAGTAAAATTCACCAGATGAAATATGTCGCGCTCGACCCATCAGCGGAAGATGGAGAGGAATTGTTGGCCGTTTCCACTGAAGACGGCAGGGTTATCTTCTTCTCGACTAAGAAACTACGAGAGTCAGAAGAGGAGGAGTGTTCCCTTCCCTATGGTGAGGCAGTTGCTCAGCTTGGTGGTAAGCCAGCTGGCCTACCAGGAAGAGTCAAGGACTTTGAAATTCTTAGCCTCAGAGACGAGTCCGTTGCTAGGAAAGACGATTTTTTGGTGGTAACTGGCAACAGTGATGGTATTGTGCGAGTATGGAAGCTGAGTGGAAAAGACCTTACGGGGCAGAGCAAGAAGAAGAAGGGCAGCAAGTCCAAGGATGAAAACTCTTCGGATGTCCGTCAAGTGGGTGCGCTCTTGAGCACTCATGAGACGAACAACCGGATCACTTGTCTCAAAGCATTCGTCATGCTGGCTCCTGAGGATCCCTCGACGCTTGAAGACTCTGAGGGTGATGATATATCCGATGATGAATTGAGTGCAGAGTCTTCCAGTGAGGAAAGCGATGCTGAATAGAGGCACATCATTGATGATGCTTTATCTACGACTACCTGTCCTATATACCCATCATGTTGATAGAGAGAAAAGTTAAGAATGTAACGATATATTTGAGGCTAAACCCTAAATCCACCAACTTTGAACCCAAGTATATCAACTCATATTTTGTAGCAGATGCTCGTATTAAACGAGTAACTATAATAATAACAAAATAATGCCATCAACATGAGCCTGAATCTTGGTTTTGAAGGGCAAACAGTGTGAGTCACCGAGATTTGTGGCAGTCGACAGGCAAAAATGCAGATTTCGACTGTACGCCACCATCTTGGCCAGCATTTACACAAAATAATCTTTCAGGACAAAGCTCACATTATCTAGATCCAAAATATGACCTACAGATGATATTCTTGCCGTTGTGAATCATAGTTAATCCAGTTGCCCGCAGACGCAAAGAGAGGCTCCCACCGCCCACTCGCACTCCACTGCACAAATCAGAACCCCACTGGCAAACCATATCATATCGCCTCCGTTCCAAGCAGCAAATTTCATTCAACATCAGAATAATACCCTCACCTCCCCTCCACCCAGCTTTTCCCCGCCAACGCCCCTCCCAGGCCATCCTTATTTTCGAACCGTTGCTGAATACGATTTTTCTATCGCAATCATGGCTGCCAACGGCGATTTTTCCGACGACGAATCCCAGCCCGGTTCCCCCATGCTGGATGCGAACGGCCACGATGACATTGAAGACCAGGAGCCTCTCGACCAGGAGGAGAAGCCCCTCAAGTCTGCCATGAAGAAGTCGGATGTGCCCTCTCTTCCCCAGCCCAAGCGGCCAGAGCTGCCCGAGCAGCCTGAACCAGACACCCTCGACCTGTCGACTTTGACCCCGTTGTCCCCCGAGATTATTGCGCGCCAGGCCACCATCAACATTGGTACCATCGGGCACGTCGCTCACGGAAAATCGACTGTTGTCAAGGCCATCTCCGAGGTGCAGACTGTCCGTTTCAAGAACGAGTTGGAGCGGAATATTACCATTAAGCTGGGTTACGCCAACGCCAAGATCTACAAGTGCGACAACCCTGAGTGCCCTCGACCGACATGCTTCAAGAGTTTCAAGAGTGAGAAGGAGGTTGACCCGCCGTGCGAGAGAAATGAGTGTGGTGGCCGGTATAGACTGTTGAGACACGTCTCGTAGGTGGACCCTAAATTTTGGATTTTCTCTTTCGCTGTGTCTGTTTGCTAACATTTATTCGAAAAGTTTCGTCGACTGCCCCGGTCACGATATTCTCATGAGCACTATGTTGTCAGGTGCCGCCGTCATGGACGCCGCTCTGCTTTTGATTGCCGGAAATGAAACCTGCCCGCAGCCCCAGACTTCGGAGCACTTGGCTGCCATTGAAATTATGAAGCTTAGCCACATCATCATCCTCCAAAATAAGGTGGACTTGATGAGAGAGGATGGCGCTTTGCAGCACTACCAGTCGATCTTGAAGTTCATCCGTGGTACTGTTGCTGATGGCTCTCCCATCATCCCCATCTCCGCGCAGCTCAAGTACAACATTGACGCCGTTAACGAGTACCTCGTTTCGCACATCCCCGTCCCCGTCCGTGACTTCACTGCCTCGCCGCACATGATGGTTATCCGTTCTTTCGACGTTAACAAGCCCGGTGCCGAGATTGACGAGCTCAAGGGTGGTGTTGCTGGTGGTTCCATCCTGACTGGTGTGCTCAAGTTGGGCGACGAGATTGAAATTCGCCCTGGTCTCGTCACCAAGGACGAGCATGGCAAGATCCAGTGCCGCCCCATCTTCTCCCGTGTTGTGTCCCTCTTTGCTGAGCACAACGACTTGAAGTTCGCCGTCCCCGGTGGTCTGATTGGTGTTGGTACTCGCGTCGACCCTACTCTCTGCCGTGCCGATCGTCTCGTTGGTTTCGTCCTGGGTCACCGTGGCCGTCTCCCTGCCATCTACACTGAGCTGGAGGTTAACTACTTCTTGCTGCGCCGTTTGTTGGGTGTCAAGACCTCCGACGGCAAGCAGGCTAAGGTTGCCAAGTTGACCAAGAACGAGGTTCTCATGGTTAACATTGGATCTACCGCCACTGGTGCTAAGGTTGTTGGTGTCAAGGCCGATGCGGCCAAGCTCAGCTTGACCAGCCCCGCTTGCACAGAGGTTGGTGAGAAGATTGCCATCAGCCGAAGAATCGAGAAGCACTGGCGTTTGATCGGATGGGCAAACATTGTCGCGTAAGTTTAATTGCTTTCTCCCCTCTGACAATTAAGATGAATCTGACCGTTTTAATAGTGGTAACACTCTCGAGCCTATCCTGAACTAAACAAGCTACTGCTTGTCAGGATTCTGCTAGCTCAGTCCGGCCCGGAGATCGCTGAACGAGATATGTTGAGGACTTCAACTGATGATATCCTCCATGGCTCTGACAGCATATCCAGGCGGTCAAGGCCAGGAATTAAAAAAAGAAAAGAAAAGTTTTTTTACGGTAACGAAAGAGAAAAATGAGAGCGTCGGAACTACCCCTGGATAGAGAACGCAGGAAGTCCAGTCATCCATCCATCCACCATGCTGGCGGCTTGGAAGAAAGGGAGCGTTGATCTGTACACGCCAGCGGCCATGTCTCACGGGACTCAAGCGACAACGAAGGCCGTAACTATGTCGAACAGCAAGCAGGATGAATGGAGGATTGGGAGATGAGTGACGTTGGCTTAGTAGGAATGACGAATCTACTTCCTTGATGTGTGTTATGAAGTTGCTTTGTGGACATCTTTTTCCCCATTTCTTTCTTGTTCTTTTTCATTTTTATTGTTCAATTTGCTTGCATAGGCCTATGTAGACGGTGCTATATAGGTAAACGATGAGATGCAATGGAAGTGTGAAGAATTGTCAGAACAGTATGAAATAAGACTACAGCCTAATTCAGCTCTATTTAATCATATCAATAGTAAATGAATTATTTATAGATGTCTGTTTATCGCCCTTGTGGCTGATCTCCAGAGCTGACTGAGCACTGCCACTAAAGGCTGTTGACTAAGGCCGAAGGGAAGGACAGCTACTGTTCTTCTTCACAACAACACCTCAGCATCACTTTGGATCTCGTGTTATTGCGTGGTTTATTCAGCCATGTATATACTCGAGGTAGGCAATCTCGATTATCACCATTGCTCTTTTGTTTCTGGTCATTAAAGAAGCTTGCTGACTCCTGCCGTCACGCTTGTAGAAACTCGCGGCTATCCTCGATCGCCCGCTCTTCCCATGGAAGACGGTGCTCGTGGGCTTTTCTCTCGGTCAATACATCCTCGAAGGTATCCTCTCTTTCCGGCAATACAAGGTTCTGCAGCGCACAAAGCCTCCTAAGGTTTTGGAGAATGAAGTCTCCCAGAAGGTCTACGATCAAAGTCAGGTATAGCACCCAAGCATGCCTCGTTTCGCGATTAGAGCAGGTCAAGCTAATTGGCATCGATTCCTACAGGCATATGGTCGCGCAAAGGCAAAGTTCGGTTTCGTCGCTGGTCTCTACGGTCAAATCCAAAATCTCGCGTTTATCTATGGTGACGTCCTCCCCAAGCTCTGGGGCGTCAGTGGTCTCTTGTTGGCACGCTACTTCCCCTCCGGATTCCAGGGTGAAATCACCCAGACGCTGGTCTTTGTCTTCAGTTTCAACATAATTAGCACTATCTTGTCTATCCCGGTTTCGTACTACAGCACCTTCGTTCTCGAGGAGAAGTTCGGTTTCAACAAGCAGACTTTCAATCTGTGGGTCTCGGACATGCTCAAGGGTCAGATGCTGGGAATTGTGCTGGGTACTCCGATTATCAGCGCCGTGCTCAAGATTGTCCAGAAATCCGGCAACTCGTTCTTCTACTATCTGTGGCTCTTTGGTATCTTCGTTCAGGTCTTTGCTATCACCATCTACCCCATTGTGATCCTGCCTTTGTTCAACAAGCTCTCGCCCCTCGAACCCGGTCCTCTCAAGACTGGCGTGGAAAGCCTCGCCAAGAAGCTCGAGTTTCCCCTTCAGGAATTGCATGTCATCGATGGTAGCAAGCGCAGCGCTCACAGCAACGCCTACTTTTACGGTCTCCCTTGGAAGAAGCACATTGTCATCTACGATACCTTGATTGAGAAGAGCGAACCGGAAGAGGTGGTTGCTGTTCTGAGTCATGAATTGGGTCACTGGAGCCTTAGCCACACTACGAAACTGTTCGCCATTGCTCAGGTATGAGGATTGTTCTTTGCAGGTGATCAGGATGAATTGCTGACTTTGATTACAGTCTCACATGTTCTATATCTTTGCGCTCTTCTCGGTTTTCGTCAACAACAAGTCATTGTACGCGTCCTTTGGTTTCCACAACGAAATGCCTATTATGATTGGTTTCCTCCTGTTCTCAGATGCCCTGGCACCGATGGATGCTGTCGTCAAGCTCTTGATGAACATCCTCAGCCGCAAGTTTGAATTCGAAGCTGGTATGATTCCTGACCTTGCTCCTGCTAGATGAGAAGATGCTAACAACACCTTAAAGATGCCTTTGCTGTGAAGCTCGGATACTCCAAGGAGCTCGCTCAGTCCCTGCTCAAGCTCCAGATCCAGAACCTGAGCACCATGGATGCGGACCCGATGTACGCCAGCTACCACTACTCCCACCCCATCCTTTCCGAAAGACTCAAGGCGCTTGGCTGGACGGGTGGAAACGTCACTGGCCTCAAGGAAGAGGACAGTGAAACTCCTGTCAAGGCTGCCGACCGAGAGCTGTAAGCTTTCGTCCCAGTTGTGTGTTTTTTTTCTTTTTGATGGTGTTTGGTGGTGTGAGTGGTTTGAATATGAAAGACTTTCGGATATAGCAGTAAGGAAATGGTTGAACTTTTGTTTTTGATCATAGGAATAATGAAAGCAAGAAGAAGAACTCCTGATCAGCCTCCAATGAGGCATCTCGTCCAAGAATGCGCCAGTGGTAGTATGCTTCGTAGAAGACAAAAGAAGAAACCCAACAGCCGAAGATCGATGCAAATGAACCAGAAAAATAAAAAAACAGACAGCCATCCAGTCAATATATCTTGAATTCTTTAAGCGTCGCCACCCTTAGCCTTGGACCTCTTCTCAGCCTGTCTTCTCTCCTTCTTCAAGCGCTTTCTTTCTTCCTTATCGATAGCCCCATCGGCCTCTCCAGCACCTTCCACCTCCATGGGAGGCTCTTCCTCATCCGCCTGCTGCCACTTCTGCGCATCCTCCCATCCGCCATTGTTCTCACCAGCTGCCCCTCCTTCTGCGTTACCGGACGCCTGCGCATCACCATCTTGGTCCGCATTGAACTTTGCAACCGCCAAATCCCGTCCCAACACCTCCCCAGCCAGACCAGCCTGGACGCGCTTCAGATTATGCAGAATAAGGTTCGGTGCTGATGCGGTGGTTCGCGAAATAGGACCATGCTCGCTGATACCTGCGTTGGGTTGGAGGGCAGGGTCTGTGTTTGCACGGTCGAGGTAGGCGGCGAGGAAGTCGTGGGCGGCGGATTGCGAGAGGGGTGTTGTAGAGAGGATTGTTGTCGGGGGGAGAGGAGAGGGGCCTTGAGTCGTCATTTTGGAAGATTAAATTGTTGTATAGACGAATTGGAGATTTCTTTTTTGTATATCGGGATTTGATCGATTTGCGATCGAACAGAGAATTCGTTGACCAAAAGGGAAAGTAGGTCAAGTTATGGAGTCGAATTTTTGACAAAAATATAAGAAGAGTTCAGATAGGAAGAAACCCAAAAAATTCAAGCCAACGAGCGGTTCTCTCCCAGCAGTGTCTGGCACAGAAAGACGGAAATATCGTGAAGCTCAAAAGTTGCAAAAGAAATTCTGCGGGTCCGTGCTTCTCTGCGGCGCCGGAGGTTCAATTTTCTGTCCGACTCCGAGCAAGTCCAGTCCAGCAGTCCACGCCGGCTTCAACACCCCGTCATCGTCACCTGTCCATTCCCATCATCTCCCCCGCGTCGGATGCTGGGGTGAGTCTCTTGAAACGGGATCAATTACCGCGGATTCATCGTCACATCGACCTGTTCACCATGCTCTGCCTCCGTTGCCGGGCCCTGCCCTCGGCCTTCAGGACATATGCGTCCTCAAGAACCGCCATGTCCCAGATGACAAGGTACGATCTACCGTCAATTGGATACTATACCTTCTTTCCAAGATGAACTACACGATAACTAACCCCCCAAACAGATCCTCAGTGTCACCCTTCTCCTTCGCATCACCACTCCGTACCTTTTCCTCCGCCACCTCCCCCTCCTTTCGTCCCCAACAGACCCAGTCAATCCAGAGCTCTCTTTCTACTCGCACACCCTTAACGTCCGCCTCCGCCCTGGCCTTTAACCCGGCACAACAGACCCGTTCGTTCTCCGCCAGTGCCGCCCTGGGCGGGAAGCGAGCAACTTACAACCCATCGCGAAGGGTGCAGAAACGCCGCCACGGCTACCTGGCACGATTGCGGTCGCGTGGGGGCAGAAAGATCCTCATGCGCAGGAGGGCCCGGGGAAGGAAGACTTTGAGTTACTAGATGCATTGTTGTATTGTTTGAGAAATGCTGCGCTGCCTTGATAGGTGTCAACTATCTGGGTTCTTCCTGTCTTGTCTATTTCAACATGAGAATTGGCTCGATGGAGGATGCATGTAAGAAAGGAAAGGCATTTTTTTGTGATTTCGATAAGCCAACAAAATGGTTGTTTTATTCCTGTAGTGTACCATATACATACATAGATAGGTATCATGTTTGTAATTTTGTTCAGATTGAGTATCTTACGACACAGTATGCCTAAATATGTATTTCAATGTCGACTGGTGCTTGGTATGTTAAAATATGCGTCTTTCTATTGATTTCGCGGTTTCCAATTAATGGCCAATTGTGTCCTTTCAATTATATATTTACTGGCTTACTTTTACGGTGAACATGTCCGAAACCATCGATATTAATACCAAATATTATTTTAATCATTAGATATCCCGACAGAAACAAGCCTTCATAAAATTCGAACTCTCTTCAGACTTGATAAACAAAGCTATTTTGCTAGCTGTTTGGCTCCTTAACACGATCTAAACTGTATCGATGTAGTTAGATAACCAACCATCTATTTTCCGCCGATGGTCTCTTGCATTGTAAACTAATCCTGATTCATTCGTTTTATGTTCTTTTCTATGGTATTCATGGGCATTGCGTTCATCGAATTTTCATAGCGATTCCTGTCGTAGTCAATGATGGGTGTGTGTATCTATACTTCACTCATCGTCTTCCATTTCCTCGTCGGAGTCTTCCGATCCTGTCTCGTACTCGTCGTCTTCGTCTTCGTCGTCTTCGTCGTCCTCATCGCCATCGTTCTTCAATCCATAGTCGTCCTCGAATTCCCCGAGTGCCTTGACTTCGGGGGTGAAGCCAGATTCCTGGAGACCCTTCTGGATCGTCTGTACAAATCACACAGCGTCAGCATTATCTTATTCTTAAAAGGGTTGAGTCATTTACATACCTCTTCGAGCACAGTGGCACAAGTAACCACAATGTTGGCGGTCTTGGGCGAGAACAAGGGCAGTATGATCTCTCTCAGGACCCCCTTGACATCGTCGACGCTGGTGGAGCGCACCTGCTTGAGCACCTTCTCCTTGTAATCACTGGGCAGGTTTCGAATCACCTGGCGGATGAAACTGCCCTGGGCAGCGCTGGCAACGGTCAATTGCTCATTGGCGAAGCTGACAACAATGCTACTGATCGAACCCTCCAGCATCAGAGGGTCAAATGGAATAGCACCGGAGACATGGTCCTTGACAATCTGCTTGCTTGATTCGAAAGCCTTGTGTGCATTGGGAGACCGGTACACGTCGAAGTTGACGAATCCAGTGTCGATGTTGTGGGCAAAGTTGGTTCCGTAGGCCAGACCCTTGCCACGAACGGCAACCCAGAGAGGTCCTTCGACAGCGTTCATATAGGCAATCGCCACCAAGAGCGCAGGGAGCTTAGGGTGGTCGTAGGAGTCAAGACCACGGGCAGTGGCGTAGGCAAAGGACGAGTCGACTGTCGGCATGGGAACGACGTACGACTTTCCACCGAGGTTCTGGCCCGCACCACTGAGCAATTCTCTACGGGTTGTGATCGCCTTGAGAGGAGCACTGGCGCCCAGGCGCTCAGCGAACGGCTTCCAAGCGGAAACTGGGTTGGAAAGCTTCTCCAGGTCAGCAATGACCACAACACGCATGTTCTCGAATTGGAAGAGCGCCTTTCTGATCTCCTCCATGCGTGCAACAACAAGCTCTGGCCCCTCAGCCAATTGTCGCTTGATGCGCTTGAGGTAACGTGCCTTGACCAGAGTGCTGCGAGCTCGCACAATGGACTCGGGGGCGTAGTGAACCATCACATGCACGGCCGCAAGCATGTCGTCACCGCTGCGCTTGGAATCAGGTACATCGGCAAGGAGTCTGCTGGTGATCGCTCGAAGTCTCTCGACATCGAAGATCGAGCTCCAAGAAATCTCCTGGAGCCATGCGATGGCCGTGCTGTACTTCTCCAATTCAACCTGGAAGGAGATACGCAGCATCTCCGAGTTACCGAGACTCCGGGCACCTTCCATCGAGTAACCAACGGTGTCTCTCTCCAACTCCACAACGACTTGCTCAAAGTTGATGGTCTTTCCGTCACGCTCAATCGGGAGGTTGAAGAACGCTTCAGTGAAGATAGACAGAAGGGGACGCAGCTCAACCGGTACAGACTGGGCCGAGATGAGAAGAGAAAGCTGAACAAAGCTGCTAGGGATATGCTCAAAGTGGATGAAGAGTGGCAGGTCAGAACCATCAGTGTCCACGATCTTCTGGACCTTGTGCTCGGGACGTCCAGCCTCCAAGGCACTGCCAGACCTGGCTGTCGTGGTCTCGATAAAGTGAATTGACTCGGTTCCTGGGATCTGGAATTTCTCCAACATCTCTTGGGGAATTTCCTTGTCATTTTCAGCCTTCGCCTTCTCGAGCTTGTCGGCCAGTTCCTTCAATCCCTCTTCACCAAGTTTCTTCTTCTGTGCTGCAACTCTGACCTCCTCATCCTTTTTGAATGTCTCAGACAGCTTCAGTGAGGGTACACCAAGGACAGTGACATGGGGCGCATCGGAGATCCATTTCTTGATGAAGTCACGCCATTGGCTCTCACTCCACTTCTCCAGCACATCATATTCCTTAAGAGTAGCAACGTCCAGCATAGTAGAGCCATCTCTCTTGCCGTACAAGAAGTCAGAAATGACGTACTCAGCAAACGAGGAGGCAGAGCTCTCAGTGGAGAACTTCCAGGTCCGCTTCTGACGGTCAATGCACTCTTGGAGGTACTTCATGTCGATCTCCTTGGACATCGCGTCTTTGAGCACCTCGAAGAATCTTTGCTCCACTTGCGCGAGCTTCTCTGTCTCTACACTGGTCAAGGTAAAGCGGATCTCGACACTTGGGTGGTCTTCAGTGAGATAGTACACCGCACTGGCAACCTGCTCCTTTTCCACGAGGACATTCTCCAAAAGGGAAGCAGATGATCCAGCCAAGTACAGCAATGCAACATTGAGGGCACCGGCTATGAAGCAGTAAGCATAAGTCGCCAATAATTCAAGGATGGAGCTTACTTTGGACTGGGTCAGTGCAGTCTGGTCCCAGGAATCGGATCTCGATTTCACCAAAAGATTCATCTTCTTCGGGGAATTCCACGGTCTTGATGATCGATTTCTCCAAGGCTGGGGCCTGGTTGGAATCCACCCAAGGTCGCTTGAATGGTGACTCGGGGCTTGGGATGACGTCCAGAATGGTATCTTCGAACTTATCCAATGTCTCCAGCATATTGGCATGGTCCACCTCTCCCGTGATAATCAGGCACAAGTTCTTGGGCTGGTACATTTCCCGGTGGAACGCCCGGATCCTTTCTGCAGTAAGAACACGGAGCTGCTCCATCATACCTCCGGTTTCGTACCGGAATCCCACACCATGAGGGTAGGTTAACCGGCGAGCAGTCAAATCAATCAACTCAGCGGCATTGTTCTGCACTCCTTGCATTTCCGAGTAGACCACACCCGCATCGTTTCCTGAACCATCGATGTGGTGCACCTCAGTGTAGCAGCCATCATCCGTCAGAGTAGGTGCAATGACATGTTCCAGGTACACGGGCAGAATCTGGGCGAAACCCTCCCAACCAGCTGTGTCTAGCGTATACGCTGTGTGGTCTGTGGCTGTCCAGGCATTTGTGTTTGAGTAGACCCGAGTGGCCAGCTTGTCAAGGAAGCCCTTGTATCTGTAGTTGCGAGAACCCATGAAGCACAGATGCTCCAGGGTGTGGGGTGCTCCCGAGTCATCGAGAATCTCTGTGGCGAGCACGAAATATCCAGTCACTTTGGGACCCTTTTGGTCGATGACCACTACTCTCATACCCGTTCGCTCAGATTCATATTGAATGAATTCGCTAGGCGAGTACTCGGGCTTGAATTTCTGAAGCAGTTTAAAGTGGCTTTGTTGGCCTGAAGAAGACATCTTGGTGAATGATGCTGAGGAGGACTTCCTGACGTTCGCCCCAATCCACGAAGTGGTGATCACGTCTCTTCTCAAGATTGATGGTCTAATTAGTGGTCAGCAAATTGCTGCATAAAAGTACTTTGGAAAGCAAGAGAATTGTCCAGGCATGTGCAAATTCTATTCAGAAACTCGAATAAAAGAAACAGGGAGATGCACCCGTTGAAAAACTGTCTCAAAAAGGGCAAAAACAAAAAGACAAGAGACAGAAAAACGGCAGTTTGAGGCCCACGAGGCATACTCGAGGATGTGACGCCCAACGGCACACCGACATGGGGGGCATTGACGTCGTTGATGGCGGGGAAGTTTTTTTTCTCTCTTTTCCCTCTTTTTTTTCCCCTTTTTAAATGTAGCAGTGAATCGACGACAGATGGTTACTCACATAGACTGAGTAGTTTTTGCCCGACTCAGGCCTCGCAGGGCAAACCGAGACAACACGATGGATTGAGAGTTCACAGGATTGTCTGGCTCTGGTCTCCTGGGAAGTTGACGAGTCCTCGAAGCTGGAACTCTCGAGGTGCTGCTGGAGTGGAGTTTGGGTCCCGTTTTCCTTACAAAGATCGAATAAGGACCACGAAGACAGATGGCCAATTAAGAGCGAACATACAGTCCAGGGGAGGAATCGATACAGCAGAAGAAGGAAACAGACTATTAAATTGATTATAACTATATTCAAGTATCTTGTAAAGAGGAATAACCACTGCCAACGTGCGTAGAGGGGCCAGCCTGAGGGCGGTGACGCCAAGTCACATGGGGGAATTTCCGCTGTTGTTGACAGCTCGTTCTTTTGCTTCAACCCAGCGTTGCAGAGAATATCATCCTAGACTTCAGCAGGGTCCTGGGATTTGCAGAGGACTCTTGGGTCTACTGCTGATGTTTCGTTTGTGTTCTCTTATTGCTTGAGATCAAGACAGATTGTCGCAAAACGAGACGTCATGGCCCAAAAGGCTTCGGACGACGATGTAAGCCAGTCGGTGTTGAATTTCGTCACCGAGGGGACTTACCCAGCGTCGGAGAGCGTGATAGCATCTGAATTTCCTGCATCAGGGCTTGCAAAGGAATTGGAACTGATCACCAAGGCCCGGGAGCAGGTGGAGGTGAGCGCTGCATACTCAACCAGGGTCAATTGATTCGGAAATGCTAATGCCTCGCTCTACACAGACCGAAATCAGCTCACTGAGTCGTGATATTGACTTTGATGCCGATGGATGGATCACACAAGCAAAACAACTTCATGCGGATATCGAACGGTCACGGCTCACCGCGCGGGAGATCGTTGCACAGCACGAGAATACCAAGCCTCTGGAATTGAAGGTCGAAGATGCTGCGGCCAAGGTTGAATTGATCGAGACAGAAATTACGTTTAACCAGGCCGTCACCGATACCTTGGAGGAAGTGCAGAGACTCTGTCACCAACTCGATGCTGGGCGGGCGACCCTTCAAGAGGGCCAGATCATGGCCGCTATCGACACATTGGAAACAACGGAAAGGATTGTCAAGACTGACAGTCTCTTCACAAACACCAATGTGATGAACATATTGTTGGAGAATATTGAGGGGCTACGACAGGAAATTGTGGACTTTTTACGTGTGCGATGGTCTGAGCAGTTGGCAGTTGACAAACAAAAAGGCGAATTGCTGGTCCCAAATAATGGGGGTAAGATATCTCTTTTGAATGATTTGGTCATGACTAAAAGTGTAGTAGAATCTTCACTGGAGGATACGATTGCGGCTTTGATAAGATTGGAAATTCTCGCTCCAGCCAACGAAAAATTCCAGAAAGACGTTCTCTGCGCCATAGTAGGCCCGATACTATTGCCCAGTATCAACGGATATAGCCGGGGGGTACGTATTGATGACACCGGAATTCACATCGACCCAGAGCCATCAGAAGTCTCTGTCTCGGGGGTTTTGGACCGTATCGCAAGCGTCCTAGGTTACCTACGACAATCTCTCCCGGCATCGATCTTAACTCCATTTTCTAGTTTCTTCATTCCAACTCTCGCGTCGAGGATCATTGCGTCCTGGCTGTCATCCGCTATACCCACTGAGCTTTCAAGTCTGGGTGAATTTGAGGAAACACTAGATCATGTTCTGAAGTTCGCTCAAACGATAGAGTCGCTTGGTTGGAATGGCCAAGAAGAGCTTGTTTCTTGGGTCAACCAAGCCCCCCGACTTTGGCTTACTCGACGACGGGTCGATTCTCTAGATCAGGTACGCAAAGTCCTTGCGGCCAGTCAAGGTACCACCAAACAAGTGGAAAGGGTAGAAAAAGAAGAAGTCTCTCAAGCAGATGAGGCTCTACTGGAGAAAGCTCCATCTGACGATTGGGATGCCGGCTGGGATGAAGAAACCCAAGAGGGCTCGGATAAGAAATCAGCAGCAAATCACGAAGAGGAAGATGTCAGCGCCTGGGGTCTGGATGACGAGGAAGATGAGCCGGAAACGAAGCCAGATGTGCCTGCCGAAGAAGATGATGATGCCGACGATGCTTGGGGCTGGGGCGACGATGAAGTGGAAGATCAGCAGGATGATAATCTACAGCCTCAAATAACTGCCGTTGCCAAACCTGTGAACGGAAAAGCAGCAGCATATGATGCCGCCCCGCGAGAGGTGACACTGAAAGAACAGTATACCGTAACGGACATTCCAGACTCCATTCTCCAAATCGTTCAGCAGCAAATTGCGGACTCTCAAGCCATATCACAGCCTGCGTAAGTCGGTCATCAATTCGCACTTTGCATCTCAGCTAACAATTTTCAAGACACCCCAACTCTCGTGTTATTTCTTCGGGAGCTGGTCTTCTCGCGCTTCCCACTCTGATCTTAGCCATGTTCAAGGCCACAGCATCCTCGTTCTATGGTCTCAAACTTAACGCAGGCCAGATGTATCTGTACAATGATAGCTTGTATCTCGCCGATCAGATACGAAGCATAGTCGAGGAACACCAACTCACGAGACTCAGTAGTGATATCGATGCGCTCGATAAATTCGGGAAATTGGCATATGGCAAGGAAATGCAGACTCAGCGCACCATTGTCACTGATTTACTCGATGGTGTACAAGGCTTTAGCCAATGCTCTGAGCAGCCGTTCCTTGGAGAGTGCGAAAATGCAGTCAGTGCGACTGTGGACAGAATTCGCGACGTCTACAAAGAGTGGCAGCCGATTCTATCTCATTCCGCATTGCTTCAATCTACCGGGTCTTTGGTATCGACGGTTATCAACAAGATCATCATTGATATTGAGGATCTAGGCGATATCTCAGAGCCTCAGTCCCAACGACTGGTGTCATTCTGTAACCAGGTATCCCAGCTAGAGAATCTTTTCACGCCCGAGACAACAGAAAGCGGCGATAGTGTTCCTATGACTGCAGTATACGTTCGCAATTGGCTCAAATTCCAATACCTCATCAACATCCTTGAAAGCTCACTCGCCGACATCAAGTTTCTTTGGACTGAAGGAGAATTGCGTCTGGAATTCTCACCTGACGAGGTTGTAGACCTGATTGAGGCCCTTTTCGCGGAATCTGAGTACCGGCGCAAGGCAATTGCGGATATTCGTCGAGTGTCCAGGGGCTAGAGTATGCTTGACGTGAAATTTCTGTATATACTAGATAAATCTCATTATCAATAATCCCAGTTGTTGCAATTTGACCCTCGCTGTCTGTAGGCGCGGGGGAATCTCCGCGCTTTGCACAAGTAGCCGCATCGGTCGCCGTATTTTTTTCTCACCAGCGGCAGGTTTCATCAAAACTGCGACAGCGACCAGGTGGGAAATAGATTTATTCTTCACCACGCATTTTTGGATTCGCATTTTTGATTTTTCATAATGGACGTGGACCAGGTTTCTGATTCTGCTGCTGCCTCGGCCCAAGCTGCGCAGAGGCAGGTTCGTGTGCAGCTCACCAGCAAGAATGAAGATATTGCACTGCCCGAAAACACTGGACCAATTCTCGTTCCCACCGGTGAGATTCCTTGTGACAAAATCAGAAAATCAGAATCTCTTGGTACTAACATTAATTTGTGAAGGTCTGCGCCGATATGCGCTCTCGACGCTGGTGAATAACCTTCTGAGTAGCGAAAAGCCGATCCCATTCGAATTTTTGATCAACGGAACTTTCCTTCGCACTTCGATCGACGAGTACTTGACTGCCAATGGTATCTCTGCGGAAACAACACTGGAGATTGAGTATGTCAGGGCATTAATCCCTCCATTGCACATTGCGTCGTTCCAGCACGACGACTGGGTCAGCTCGACTGATGTACTTTCTGCAACCTCGGCCGCTGCCTCTTGGGCATCCAAAACTATTCCTAATGGCCAGGAGAGAATTCTCTCTGGTAGCTACGATGGCTTCCTTCGTGTGTGGAACATGTCATCTGAGACGATTGCAACTTCGGCCGCGCCCGCAGATGGCGGCCATACCGCATCTATCAAGGCCGCCAAGTTCATTTCCCCTACGCAGATCGCATCGGCAGGCCTTGACCGTACCGTGCGCCTGTGGAAGTACTCTGAAGAAGAGGGTGGCTTCGCTGGAAAGATTACTCCTCAGCTCGAGCTTTACGGTCACAAGTCTGGAATCAACTCCCTTTCCGTGCATGCGCCCTCGAACCGCATGCTCTCTGCCTCGTCAGACCACACCGTCGGTTTCTGGTCGACGAAGAAATCAGAGGCTCCGTCAGCTCCCGAGAACCTACTCCCATCTGCTGCCTCTAGGACTTCTAAGAGGAGAAAGCTGAACACATCCGTGTCTGTTCCCCAAAAGGGACCTCTGGCTCTTTTGTCCTCGCACACTGCGCCAGTGTCCGCTGCCATTTTTGATGCGAAGGACTCGACTGTCGGATACTCGACTTCGTGGGACCACTCGCTGCGTACATGGGATCTTGTCACCGCTTCTCTTGTGGATACCCGTACTACATCCCACTCGCTTCTTGCTCTGGAGCACCTTCCCGAACTTAACCTCCTTGCTGCTGGTACTTCTGCCCGTCATATCACACTCATTGACCCCCGTGCATCCGCAACAACCCTGTCGGCTATGACACTACGAGGTCACACAAACGCAGTTGTCTCGTTGGCTCGTGACCCCAATAGTACCTACGGTCTTATCAGTGGAAGTCACGATGGTACCTGTCGGATTTGGGATATCCGATCCACCAAGACCGACAAGGACGGTGTGGTGGGAGAAAGTGTATACTCGATCCCCCGCAAGAGTTTGGAGGAAGAAGGCAAGGGCGACAGCAAGCGAGTTGGTGGAGAGGGCGTCAAGGTCTTCAGCGTCGGCTGGGACTCGACCGTTGGCATTGTCAGTGCAGGTGAGGACAAGAGGATTCAGATCAACCGGGGAGAGGGTGTGTTGTCTTCGACAAAGGAGTGAATTGCACATATGGGCCTGGCGTTTTCTTGTGTGGATGAAAAGTTACAATAGTTATGTCTTTTCTGCTTTGACCTGGTATCTTAAAGAGTTGGTGGTTTTCCATACTACCTGTATACAGTTTTTCTTTTCTTGACGGCCTAGAATTGACCAGTTGAGCCAAAGTCGTTCTTCGTTTTTCCATCATTGTTTTATAAAAGTATGATACATGTCAAAAGTACATTTCAAAAACGAAATAAGAACCCAACTAAAGGGGGTAATAAGTAAAAGATGAACGCCATGCCATGCCCCTCACAAGAAATACCTAGGATGTGAGGTCCACCCAATCAACGAATAGAGCAACCATAGAAAGATTAAATCTACAATCTTCTCTCCATACGGTTGAGCTTGACAGCAGTTTTGGTCTGAACAAACATGTTAACCATCACCCTCTAGAAACTCCCGACGGGGAAACCTACTTGAGTCCTTGTCCTCTGTCCGCGAACCGGCAATCCCAAAGCATGACGTCGACCACGGTAGGTTCCGGTTTCCTTCAGGCGCTTGATATCGTCAAGGACTGTTCTCCGGAGATCGTTTTCGATCTTCATATCTGACAGAGCGGCCGTGATATCCAGGACCTGCTTGTTTGCGAGCTCGCCGACTTTGCATGTTGGGTGGATGGAGAAGCGGGCGAGGAGACGCGAGGAAGTGTGGTTTCCAATTCCAAAAAAGGACTGGAGGGATTTCTGTAAAGTCGAAGAGGCCAATGTTAGATGGAAGGTCTCTAGATGGTATGCTGGTGTATTGGGTTGCTTGCCTTGAGGAGGTTCCGCTCAGGGAAGTTCACGCCTAGAATGAAGACCTGGATGGTTATTAGTTATGGGACAGCCAATGGGGGTTTTTCAATCAATTATCCGTATTAACCTACCATCTTGACCGGATCAAACTGTCTGTTCCCTCAATGATGAATTGCACCTCGACGTCGCCGCAGCTGGTAATCGGCCGCAGTCGCTCTTCGGAGCGCGGAAGAAATCAACGAGTAACAATGTTTCTCCGAGTGTCCTTATTTGCAAAACCAACTTTTGCAGTTTATTCTCAAAGCAGCGACCGGCTTTTCAAAACAAATTATACTTTTATTACCCGAAGTCTCACCACATTTAGTTGACGATCATGTATCTTTCCGTTATTTACCACTGAGAAATACGCTGTAGCTCCTTGGCATCTCCGCACACCATGGACAATGCAAGCTGGCCTTGATTCCTTGTCATCTGTTCCTTCAATTGTTCACATCTGCAACCAACAGCCATTGCCGAATATTTCTGTCGAATCAGCGGCATTGTGAGCAACCATGCAGTTCAAGAACATTTTCTTGTCTCTCTTCCTTGTTTTCGCGGTTGGCCTTGCTCTGGTCTCCGCTGAGGACAACAAGGAGCCTCGAGGCCCCAAGATCACTAGCAAGGTACGGCAGCTGGTTATCTTGGACGGCTTCGTGCCGGCCTGCTCAAACTTATACTGATCAATTGGTTGATAGGTCTACTTTGATATCGAGCACGGAGACAAGCCCCTGGGCCGTATTGTGTTCGGTTTGTATGGAAAGACTGTCCCCGAGGTGAGTTACTGCTGTGCTTACGGATAACGCAAGATTTGCATTTGCTTACTTTTTACTCTATAGACCGCTGAGAACTTCCGGTATGGTTACTATAATCATTCGATTTAACTCACCTATCATTCCTGCTGACCCGTTGTCTAGCGCTTTGGCTACCGGTGAGAAGGGCTTCGGATATGAGGGCTCTGGTTTCCACCGTGTCATCAAGGATTTCATGATCCAGGGTGGTGACTTCACCCGTGGCGACGGTTAGTTTGGGAATCTATTGGGTTGAAATAGCGTGGGGCTCACTGTTCAATCTCCAGGCACTGGCGGCAAGTCGATCTACGGCAACAAGTTCAAGGATGAGAACTTCAAGCTCAGGCACACCAAGAAGGGTCTTCTGAGTATGTCAACTAAGACATGAATACAACTATACCTGTGAAGCTAACTGAATGATGTAGGCATGGCCAACGCCGGCAAGGACACCAACGGCTCCCAGTTCTTCATCACCACTGTTGTTACTTCGTGAGCCTCTCTCTAATCCACTAGATGGAAGATAGTTGTTAATATTCCTAAACAGGTGGCTCGACGGTCGTCACGTCGTCTTTGGCGAGGTCCTTGAGGGCTACGATATTGTTGAGCAAATCGAGAACGTGCCCACAAACCCCGGCGACAAGCCCAAGGACGCCGTCAAGATTGCCAAGAGTGGAGAGTTGGAAACCGATGCCAAAGGTACCGGCCATGAGGACCTGTAGATCTGTACCGGGTCACTCCTCGGTAGTTGGCTACCGCTTCGAGAAGAAACGAGTGCTGATCGATATGTAAAGAACAAGATGAGGAACCCATGGCTGAACAGGGGAGCCCTTACGGAGAGCCGGAAATCGCATCGCCGTCATTGGCGATGAGTGAATCGTTGCGCAAGATTGTGGTGTTGCTGATCATCATTGCGATTGTGGTGGTGGTGATCCGGGCTGCAGAGAAGAGTGTTCGAAGCAGAAGATTCCGTACGAGAGGGTTTTAGTTTGACAAAAGAGACGTGCAGAAATAGATCAACTGGTATTGACAGGGTATATTAAGTCCGGTAGATGTTTTGAGTTTTGTATGACTGCATCGAATGGTAGAAATGGCTGTCATTGAGCGGTCAGCGAAGGAATCCTTGTATCAGTGGCGAAGTCGTTCGTATGACCTGAGCACAGAGATGTGGCGAGTCAGAAGGAAGAATTAAAGTACAAAGAATTAAGAAAGAAAGACAGTAAAAGAAGATACAAAGAAAGAAGCTGATGGCTAATGTTCTAAAGCTTTGTTGGCAGAACCAAAAGAACGGTGTGGAACAAGTGATGGAACACGTATGGAATACGTGGGTTGTTGGGTTGGGATCTAGACTGCTCTTCTTCCTCCCAGGGATGATCTACTCTCCATATCCATGATATCAGAAGACAATGTCAAGAAGACAAATAGTTCCAGCATAGACCAAGGCTAAATATTGTCTAATACTGTCTAATAGATAGTTGCACCTCCACATTATTGCGGAGTTTTAAGAAATGCCCTTGCCTTGTAAAATGTCATACGACCAGGACTATTTGGATGATATGCAGTAGCTTCTGGGTGATTCACCCGATTCAGTGGCTATCCAGAGGATGATAGAGACGATAAAACAGTGATTCACATTGGATACAGAGTTGAGATGGACTGTCTATATTGAATTGGATGTCTTGGATGCTTGGATGGATGGATGTAGTACTCAGGAGGAAGTAATAGTAATACCAGTACGATTGTTGGCAGAAAAATCTTCGACTAAAAACTCCATAACACAGACCTTATCCCCGGCAAATAAGAGAAATTGACTGGTAATCAAGATAAAACAGTGAATAATAAATTCACGGAAAAAAGAAACATATCTAGCTGCAAAAAAAAAAGAAAAGAAAAGAAAGAAAGGAACACGCCGTTTGTGGACGAGCAAGGACGGAACCAATAATACAGACAGAGTATTTTATTCACTGCTCACACTCACTTTTGCCTCCCTCCATCCCACAAACCCTCGTCTTCTTCTTCCTCCTCTCTTCTTCTCTCTTCTTCTTCTTCTCCCCTACTTCCCATTCTCTCCTCTCCTCTTTTTCATCCGTTTCTTTTTTGAAACCTCCACTCATCTCCATATACTTTTTTTTCTTTATTCCTTTCTTTTTTTGCCTTTTTATTTCCTTTTTCTTCGCACTTTAATAGAGCGTTAGATCTGGGAGACCGCCTTTCTTCTCGTTTCTCCTCCCGAAAAAAAAAAGGTCTTTTTGCTGTGATCTTAATTTTTTTCTACCTGGTACATACATCGCCACCCCATAAGAAAAGAGTCTGCGAATATCTTTCTGGATTTTTCACGTCATTCTCTTTCTCCCTGTTCTTCTATTTTCTTGCCCTATTTAAACAGAAGAACCCCTCGTTAACCACTTTTTTTTTCTTGCCGACAGCAGACCATCTTTCCCTAGGTTGTCTGTACCCTCATTTGGACTCTCCGAATCAAAAATCGCTCTCGAATTTCTAAACTGTACGTGCGCCTCTATCAAATCATCTCGGATTACTCTCTTTTTTGCCTCATACTGAACTGGTGTCGTCTTGCTCCCAACAGTCCGTTACATATCGCAAATATGGCCGACGGTTTGAAGATGGGAAACCTTTCCCTTAATGAATCCCAGCATGCGCCTGCTGCCCCTCAGCAAGGACGTGCTGCCTACATTCCCCCTCACCTTCGTCAACGCAATGTCGCTCCCAACATGGACGGCGCTGCCCCTCCCCCCGCTGGAGGCCCTGGCGCCTGGAGTGGTCCTAGGTACGTTTGATTCAACCCTATGCTGTTCTTATTGCGTTGCGATCTCAATCGAATATAGTTGAACTTTTGACTAACAAGAGATTCTTACAGAGCCCCCCGTGGTGGCAACTGGGCCAATGCCAACGCTCCCGATTTCAGCCCCCGCCCCAATGGTAACCCTACCTGGAGCTCCCATGAAGGTCAACGCCGGCCCTTTAATCCCAATGCTTACGGAAACCCAGGAAACACCGGAGGCTCCGGAGGCTCCTACAGCGGAGGTGGCCAAGCCAGAGGTTCTGGAGATGGCCAGTGGCGCGACGGCAAGCACATTCCCGGTCCCGTCAATGCCCGTGTCGAACGTGAACTTTTCGGTCTCCCCAACGACCCCTCCAAGCAGAACACTGGTATCAACTTTTCCAACTACGACGATATCCCCGTGGAAGCTTCCGGTCACAACGTTCCCGAGGCCGTCAATGCCTTTACCAACCCCCCGCTGGATGACCACCTGATCACCAACATCAAGCTCGCCGGATATGCCGTCCCCACCCCCGTCCAGAAGTACTCCATCCCCATTGTCATGAACGGTCGTGACCTGATGGCATGTGCCCAAACCGGTTCCGGAAAGACTGGTGGTTTCTTGTTCCCTATTCTCTCCCAGGCTTACCAGAACGGACCCTCTGCTACCCCCGTCCAGGCTTCCGGTTCTTTCAGCTACGGTCGCCAGCGCAAGGCCTACCCTACCTCCCTCATCCTGGCCCCTACTCGTGAGCTTGTCTCTCAGATCTACGAAGAAGCCCGCAAGTTCGCTTACCGCTCTTGGGTTCGCCCCTGCGTTGTGTACGGTGGTGCCGACATTGGTTCTCAGCTGCGTCAGATCGAGCGTGGCTGCGATCTGTTGGTTGCTACTCCCGGTCGTCTCGTCGACCTTCTCGAGCGTGGCCGTATCTCTCTCGCCAACATCAAGTACCTGATTCTGGATGAGGCTGATCGCATGTTGGACATGGGTTTCGAGCCCCAGATTCGCCGCATTGTGGAGGGTGAGGACATGCCCCACGTCAACGACCGCCAAACCCTCATGTTTTCGGCCACTTTCCCCCGTGACATTCAGATGCTCGCCCGCGACTTCTTGAAGGACTACGTTTTCCTGTCGGTTGGTCGTGTTGGTTCCACCTCCGAGAACATCACCCAGAAGGTTGAGTACGTTGAGGACCACGACAAGCGTTCCGTTCTGCTCGATATCCTCCACACCCACGGTACCACCGGTCTCACTCTGATCTTCGTTGAGACTAAGCGCATGGCCGACTCCCTGTCGGACTTCCTCATCAACCAGCGCTTCCCTGCCACCGCTATTCACGGTGACCGTACCCAGCGTGAGCGTGAGCGCGCTCTGGAGATGTTCCGTTCCGCCCGCTGTCCTATTCTGGTTGCTACCGCTGTTGCTGCTCGTGGTCTCGATATTCCTAACGTCACCCACGTCATCAACTACGATCTTCCCACCGACATTGACGACTACGTTCACCGTATCGGTCGTACTGGCCGTGCTGGTAACACTGGTATTGCCACTGCTTTCTTCAACCGTGGCAACCGTGGTGTCGTCCGCGACCTGATCGATCTTCTGAAGGAGGCTCACCAGGAGGTTCCCTCTTTCTTGGAGAGCATTGCTCGTGAAGGCAGCGGATACGGTGGCCGTGGTGGCCGTGGTGGTGGTCGCGGCCGTGGTGCTGCTGCTACCCGTGATGTGCGTCGCATGGGCGGTGGTATGGGCAGTGGCCCTGGCTTTGGCGGCAGCGGCAGCTACGGTGGTGGTCCCGGCTTTGGTGGTGGCAGTAGCTACGGTGCTCCCCCGTCCTACGGTGGTGGTGGCGGCTACGGCGGCGGCTACGGCGGCGGCGGTGGTTACGGAAACCCCTCTGGCCCCACTGGACCCTCTTCCTGGTGGTAGATCAGAGGTTGTGGTCTCTGACGAGGCTGTCGGGTCTGATTGGCTCCTTTCTGTTTTCTTTTGCCTTTCGTTACGGATACGATCAGAACGAGCCCTGAGTGTTTCTTCTCTGTGTTCTTTCTCAGGACCGGCTTTGTCATGACTGCCACGACTTTTTCCTTCTGTTTTTCAATTTTCTTTTTTCATGTTTAGGTGTTTTATTTGCTGAGCATTTTGCAATTTCGTCTGGTTTTTTGTCCTTTTTTCTATCATCCCTTGTTTAGACATGGGCATTCGATGCAGTCCAATACCTCCATCTCGTTGCTTTGGGTTATGGGTCTATAACCATGAGCATCCTGGGCGGCATTGCATGAATAGCATAGATTGCGTTGTTTTGTCCTGCGTCCGCTTTTATCAGATACCCTTACTGTTTTTTCAAGCGTGCTTATGAAGGTACGCTTGGAAAGATGTATGCCGAGCGGGAGTGCCGGCTTTTCGTCTTGAGAAAAGTGCTTTTTATGATTTCTTTCATCTGCTCGATGTGGTTTCCACTGCATCGACCGTGTCTCGCAACATAGATCTCTACAGTTTCGGTATCTAATGGCGGGCCTTCTCGAGTTTCTTCTCCATCTCTTTGTCTTGCTCCATGCATGTTTTGTTTCGTTCTCTCCGAAAAAACCGTGCTTTCTTCTCCGAGCTTTGTCATTTCTTTTCTCCGGAATTCAAATCGGATTTGCATCGGGAAAGGAAGTGGAGACAAAATTTTCCTTTATTTTTCTTTTCAATTGTGGGCCTTCTTCGGCGGACAACTTTTCTTTTTGCACTGTATATTCGGTCAACGGTGCATATCAACAAAAGTTTCACGCGGGTGGTATAGATGGAATTATTTGCATTGTACATGGCGTTGGCTTGAGCTGCTGTGTCCACACGATATTCTCCGCCTTGGGGTCCGTGGGGAGTGACATTGAATGGGATTTTCTTCTCCTTTTTGTTGTTTTCATTTCTCGGATCCGTGGAGGATGGGAAGCTGCTTTGCTGGCGCTTTATGGATTTGCTGGTCCGCGCGACATCATCATCTCATGTCAGTTAATGCTTTTGGCACGACGAGAGATGCCGAAGACGGCCCTTTTTATGGCATGGCTTATGGAGATCTTTGGGTCTCGAGAGAAGGGAGCTCTCCATACAACAAAAAAAAGTCTTCTGGTCTACGTTTACTGTAGCTGAATTTGATTTAATACGGTTCTATGGATTTCAGTAGGCGCATCGTGCGTAGTAGGCTCTCCAGGATGATAATTTCATGAGTCAATGAATCTAGAGTGATTTATCTATGATGGGTCGAGATCGCGGGGATTTGGGCGTAGTTGTCATCCAACCACGTGAGGCAATTCCCAAGATATACAGACTGGTATAGACAGAGAAAGAGAATCCAACCACAGTCCATTGTTAATTATCAAATAAATACCAGATTCAATGATTGAATGAATACCACATTCACCTACAGAATAATAAGAAAACTAGAAGATAAGGTGGGGCACTGCTTAGACCATCATCACTCCATATCCTGCGATCGCAGGGAGAAACGGAACAACGAACGACAGCGACTCGGCGGCAGGCAAAATATCCCGGATCCAGAACCTGCACCAGGAAACCTTTGCAACAACCAAACCTCTTCTCACCCATCTTCCTGGACTTCCCCCAATCTCAACAACCCATCCACTCTCCGTTTCTTTTTGACCTGTCAACAACCATCCATCGCCTTACTTGTTCGTCCATCCTCAACGATATCGAATTTCCTGCGGCTTGGCTCGCATTGTCTGGATAAACCCCCCAGGGGCGATCAAGACCTCATTGTCCCAAGGGGAATCTCGGGTTCGAGTTTTCTCGTGGCCTTGGATTCGATCTCGTGGGGAAGAGATAAATAATACAGAGGAAATAATAATACTAATAATAATACCGACACAAAATGGCCGAAGTCGAAAGCACCGTCGCGGACGACTCGTTCGCGCAGTCCGAAGCCCCCGATGACCAGCCCACGCACAGCGCGACCGTCAGCGCGACCGTCGGCACGAGACGACAGGCAAATGGAACGATTGGATCTGTGTATTCGGGAAACAAGATCAGGCATCTCAAGAAGGAGGATGGGATTCCACTCTGGCGCAAGGACATCCAGCACCAGTTCCTGAGGCTGGTGTTTGAGGACAAGACGCCTGTCTTTACTCGCTATTCGGATGGGCAGAAGAATATGGACTTTGCGGATGTCTATATCGATGCCATGGCGAGGAGTAGCAAGACGAGCAAGATCCTCAAGGACAAGCTTCAGAATGATAAGCAGGCTGCCATTAGCATGGCTATGGTTTGTTTGCTGGTGAACTTTGGTCGGATGAATACTACGCTTAACTGTATGTCTTTCTTCCTTTCCTTTGATTCGGCTTTTATTCAGAGGTGCTTTGGAACTAATTGATGGTTTTTTTTTTTTCTAGTTTTCCCTGAGATGCGTGCTCAGCTGCGGACCTACCACTCCATCCCTTCGTTACAAGCACACCAAGATCCCAATGCATACAAACAACTTCAAGATGCGCCCCGTCTCAAGTCCATACTCAAGGGTGCCTCGGAGGATGTTGACCAGCCGAATACTCTGGAGAAAATCAAGCGTCATCCCATCCCCCGTACCAATCCCGTCAACCTCATCTTCGTCCTGGCTCAATATGCACCAAAGGTGTCAGAACTGCACTTCTTCCCGCCTCGCGATTTCTTCGATCTTGTCATGAGAGCTACGCTCAGTAGTAAGAGTCGTGCAAAGGCTTTTCTTTGGCTCATGTGGTGGTACCTGGAGAGTGATCACTCACAAGAGGCTGCCCTCAACAATCCGTTTGGTCCAGGTCTTGAGGGTGAGGGCACCGAGGGGTTGCCCATCAAGGTGCCGAACTTTGAGAGCCTTACTGAGGAGCAGGCCAACGAGGAGAATGTGGACACACAGTCTGAGATTGAATACGGAGAAACAAAGCGTCTGGAACGTAAACGTGAGTCGCATTGCATATCTTCTCTCTTTGCTTTTTGCTAACCTTCCTTTCTAGGTATCTTGGAAGAGGATGAGCCATTGCCTAGGGTAACAAAGCGCTCCAAGAAGGGTAATTATAAAGCTACTACGGTTGAATTTGCTCCTCGCTAACATTCTTAATAGGCATGCAAGAATACGGTTATGATGATGATCAAGCTTCAGGGGATCTTTCGGGCATCGCTTCCGGTATGTGCATCCTAGCTCCGTTGGGTTTTCTTCTAGTTACTAAGAGCTTTCTTTAGGCCGCGACAGAATGAGTTTCGGCATGTCAACTCCGTTGCACTCGTCCAGCAAGCGCCATCCGATTGATGATGAGGATGAGGAGCAAACCCCCGGGCAATCGGCGCGGTCAAAGCACAAGCGACCCAAGCGAGAGTCCTCTCTCAACCGTTCGGTGGGCCAGCAGCGTCTCATCCTAAAAACGAAGATGGAGCAAACTCCCGACGCAGCGTCCCCAGCACCACCAGGCTCTGGACATCCAATCCTGAATCGGTTTGTTACAGAGCCATCTCTGTCCCAGCCAAGCTCAGCCCGTCGCCCCCGGCCTCTTACCCAGCACCAGCTTGCAGTGGAACAGAACCGACGTCAGCGGATCGAGTATCTCTTGGCCAAACGGAAGAATGAAGCATATGAGATTCTCCGCTTGAAGCGGGAGAGTGAAATCCCATTCGCACGCTACGGGCGTATGCTGCAAAGTCTCCCCGATGGCTATGACACGGACGATGAGGAGCATTCGTGGGGCAAGGGCGGGATAACCCCCAACCCCCAAGAGGAAGAAGACTTTGGCGAGTGTGCCAGCTTTTTCCTGTCGGTGGTCCGAAAGGCCGCAAGACGGCTCGACCGATGGGACTACGAGGATGCCAACGGGCCTAGAAAGGACCGAAAGAAGGAGAGAGAAGAACGCCAAAAAGCAAGACAGAATGGATTGGCACTGGACAATTCTCTGGAGCTCGGTGGACGTGTCCCATCTTCAGCTCGAAGCAAAGCCCGCGCCGCCCGAAACGCCAAACGCAAGCTTGCTGCCGCCGCTGCGGCTACACCCAAAGACCAAACCGGCTCCTCTGCCCCCCGACCCAATCGGAATCGCAATCGTGGTAACCGTGCTGGAGGCGCGGGTGCGACGGCGGCTGGTTCTGCCAAGGACAGCTTCGAGGCGCGGTCGCAGGACCGACCGGCAGGAGATGAAGATGGGGACATCGAAGGCGAGGAGGGACTCGATGACATTGACCGGGAACTCCTTGGTGAGGGAAGTGGCGATGAGGAAGCACACGATCCCCATGCCCCTCGCCCTGTCGAGCCAGGCTTCGAAGATAGCTACATCGGCGAAGATGCCGAGGCACTGTCGTCAGACGATGAAGCTGATGACGATGACCTTGACGACAACTCGTCAACTTACGAAGGGGCCAATGGCTATGCAGGCAGTGAGAGCTCTTCTGTGGCAGGTGAGGGTGTTGATCCGGAAGCAGAACCTGACATTGAACCAGAGGCCGTAGCGAAAGCAGACGAGGTCATGGAAGATCAGTAGGCCGGGTATGGGGATGAATAGGCGTGGTCTAGAGCGTTAGATGGTTGTTTTTTTGTCTGTCTATCCTTGACCCCATTGCTTTTGTTTAATTGTTTTGCCTACAGGCTATATTTTTCTTTTCTTTTTCTTTTCTTTTTCTTTTCTTTTTCTTTTTTCTTACCATTTTATGTATTCTTTCCTTTCATTCTTCTTTTGTCATTTCTCATGTCTTTCTATTTTAGAGTCATCCCAGGATTTCAGGACTACAACGGATGATGGGTTAGTGTAGCTATAGCAATATTTTCCACCCTTGACCATTTTCTCCTCTCAGTAAAACACTGTGTCGATGCATATGCAAATATGCCTCATGAGACTGATCGCTTTCTTCCCATGCCGTCATGGGCGAGGTGGAGTGCAGAAGCCCACAATCCTCCTAGCAACGCCTGTCTCACCGTATCGTTCAGCGCCATTCAAGCCCTATGAGGTCATCAGCAGACCTAGAAAAGCTCAACTTGCGGGGATTTGAAGATGGTGTGTCCAGTCGCATCCCAGGGATTCCCCCGTCAGCGCGATTATCAAGAAGGCAATTGATCCGCATGGCATGGCTGCGTTGGTGACTTGGATATGTATACCCAGGCACCCTATCCACGATTACTTTTTTTTCTCTCCGACGGACTGTTCGAACGTTGCTCTGTAGAACCTGTATTTGCAGTCTGGACCAAATGATGATGAGATAGTGCAGTATATCTATTGTAATCTCCTCGTACGTTTGAATGGCGTAACATGAAGCTTTTCTTTTGGCTGGGAGAGAGAGAGACTCTGGTTGGGGAGACACCGGAAGGCGTTGTTGCCGCTTGCATGTGATTTTGCTTCTTCTGCTCTTCTTCCGCTTTTTTCTTTCGTTTCTTTTCTGTCTTCAACCGGATTGTCTGTGATTCCATTCATACCTCTTCTTATTCGAATCTATCTATCGAGACTTAATACCATCTCTCTATTCTTAATTATCATAATCACCATTCGCTTCATCCTCATCATTATCCAATATCCGTACGCCTTCCCCTCAGTTGCTTGAGTCGCCGATCTGCAATCCCGCAGCAGCTTTCTCCACCGCCGCGCGAACAACCAATTTTTAATTGCATTGATCTAGGACGCTTCTCTTGCTCCCGGTCTGTCTTCTGACACGCCAAGTTGCCAGCCTCCGTGTTATTCAAGCGTCTGTGCATTGTGCAACATTCCTCGTCGCAGCTAATTCCTGCGTGCCGAGTGGCTCCATCGTGTTATTGCGTCTCCACTTCTCCGCCCTGGGATATTTCTGGCAGAATCGTTCATTTAGGGGCGACTGTCCTCCATTCTGCTGGCATTTATCGATCAGTAGGTTGTTGGAATTGAGCTACGGCGATTCTTCTCTTACTCGAACTGAGGTCATTCTGAGCTGAAAGCGAACTCATTGACTACCTGTCTTTGCTGTTGTCACGGTCCGTTTTGTAACGTTGACCTCCCCTTTTGTACCACTGCATCTTTTCCTGTCAGTCCCATACTTATCCTCGTCGGAAATGTCGGACGAGCCTCGTGTCCTTCGTCCGCGTCCGCGACGAGTCTTTGACCTCACGCCTGCTTCCAACGAGTCGTCTGGAACTTCTACACCGGCCGAACCGGCCGAACCGGTCAACAACACCGATTTCCTGAGCCCCAACCCCAAGGATGCAGGTTCGACTAGTGTCAGCCGCAATGGTTCTGTTATGAACTTAACCACTTCCACGCTGTACGGCATTTATTCGCCGACGGCATTCGACAGTACGCGAGATGAGAACAGCCCTTGGGGAACCGAAGGCCAGACTCCCGCCTTCGAGAACCCAGAGTTTGATTTTAAAGCTGAGTCGGATGCGTATGCTCTGGAGATGGCCCGGTCGCGACTCAACCATGGCCTCTTTCGTGGTGTGATTCTGCCCCGCGCAGCTCGAAGTGCTCTTTTGTTTGCCTTTGGGGTGGTCTATGGAGTTATCACAGTGCACTTGCACGAGAATCAATGGATCACGCCGGTCAAGTTGGAGAATATTCAACAGTACGATTCGTGGCAGTACTTGGGTTTCTGGGGAGTGGTAGGAATTACGTTGGGGAATGTGCTTCCCTGGCTGGACCTTTTCTCTGAAGAGGCTGTCCGGGATAGCGCTAAGCCGCTGAAGCGTTCGGGCACCGACCAGGAGGATGGTGAGGAACGGACTCCTTCGTGGGTTGCGGTGGTTCGCAGTGTTGGGGCTTTTGTTGGAATCGCCTTTGCCATGGTAAGTGATCTCCATAGTTTGTCTGAAGAGGTCCATTATTAACAGTTCATTTCGTCTACAGCGACGACTCCCCTGGCAGTCTACTACGCAAGCATCGGTGACTCTTGCTCTCGCGAACCCTGTCCTCTGGTATCTCATCGACTCCACAACAACGGGATTTCTCCTATCGACAATTGTCGGACTGGTTGGGATGGGCGCAGTCCTGGGACTGAAGCCTGAGCTGATGCCCTCTTCAGCTGAGGGTTCCACAATCACTACGCTGCTCAACAATACCGGGGGTGAACAAGGACTGGCGACGGGCATGACGCAGGAGGGAATTGCCGTCAGGATCTGGATTGCCAGTGTCCTGTTCTGCGCATGTGTGTGCTTTGGAAACATTGGACGGCAGCTTGCCATTGGGGGGCCTCGAAGGGAACCACAGAAGTCGTAAATCAGCCGATGCACGCAGCATACAGGCCTTATTTGTACTCCGATTTTTCCAAAACTGTTTTTTGACAATCGAATGTCTTTTCCTTTTCACCATTCTGCATAGTTTACTTCACTATACATAAAGCTTCATGGAATCAGGGTCTAGACGGCCTTGCCGTATTCAAGGATTACAATAGCTAGTTGCTTTTCTCTTAGGATATTCAATCAATCAAGACTGATTATCGAAAAAGGAATGTACAGTCAATCATTGCAGTCCCTGCCATGTGTAAGGCAGGCACTGCACCCAAGATCGACCCTATATGGGATTACCTCCCACATCCCTCTCCATTCTGTATGACGATTTCCGTACTTCATAGGCTATCTGTAAAAGATTATCCTCGTAGGAACGCTTTTTGAAGAATGTGATTTTTTGCGTTGTTCATGGAGAAGAAAAAGAGAAAGAGAAAATCTCGGGAGCGAAATCGCGCGCAGAAGTTTTGTGTCTGTTTCTGGTCACGTGGGTTGTTGTATCGCTTACCTCAGCGGTTCATGGCTGGAGATAGAGCTAGTCTACATCCGGTATAGGGCGGGGTGACCGACAAAGAAAAAAAAAAGCGAGCTTTTCGCAACACGTGATTGGCTGGCAGGCCGAGAGCGGCGACCCCGCGGCGGGACAAGAAGGAGGAGGGAGGAAAAGAGAAGAGCTGAAAGAGAGAAAGAGAGAGCGAGAGCACGAGAGAACTCCCCTTCACTGTTGTTGAACTCTTCCCTCTCCAGTCCTCTGTTTGTCAGGTATTTATCCCCCCCCTCCTATATTCTCATCAATTGGTGAGGAGGGCTGGTTTACTTGCAACCCCTCTGTGCGTTTTGCTTTCGTTCTCTGACAGCTTTTTTTTTTCTCCCACATCTAGTGACCTCCGTTGTCGGTTCCATCATGTCTCAGCAAAAGTCAGGTATGATATTGCTCCCTTTACCCTTCCCCTGTTCAATATGTCTATCCTGCAGTCTGTTTAGTCGGGGTTCGCCAAGTGGTCGATTTATAGACTCTTCTCCACAATTGGCGTTTGTGTTATCTCATTGAAATGCACCGGGGCTAATTCGATATGACCCAACAGCTATCCTCTCCGTCTACGACAAGACCGGTCTGTTGGACCTGGCCAAGGGTCTCGTCAAGCACAATGTCCGTCTTCTTGCGTCCGGCGGTACTGCTAAGTTGATCCGCGAGGCTGGATTCCCTGTTGAGTGAGTCTTTCTCTATACGTTTGGATCTGGTGACGTCTGGTTTCTGGCATGGTCAGCCAAAACTGACTGGATCAACAACTCAAAGGGATGTTTCCGCCATCACCCACGCCCCTGAGATGCTCGGTGGCCGTGTCAAGACCCTCCACCCCGCTGTTCACGGTGGTATCCTCGCCCGAGACATCGAGTCCGACGAGAAGGACTTGGCCGAGCAGAAGATCGACAAGGTCGACTTCGTCGTCTGCAACCTCTACCCCTTCAAGGAGACCGTCAACAAGGTCAACGTCACCATCCCCGAGGCCGTCGAAGAGATCGATATCGGTGGTGTGACTCTCCTCCGTGCTGCGGCCAAGAACCACGGCCGCGTTACCATCCTCTGTGACCCCCAGGACTACCCCGAGTTCCTCAAGGAGCTCGAGGCCGGTGACATCAACGCCACCAGCCGCAACTCGTACGCCCTCAAGGCCTTTGAGCAGACTGCCGACTATGACTCCGCCATCTCCGGCTTCTTCCGCAAGCAGTACTCCAGCGGCGAGCAGCACTTGTCTCTGCGCTACGGTGTCAACCCTCACCAGAAGCCCGCCTCCGCCTACGTCGCCCAGGGCAAGCTTCCTTTCAAGGTTCTCAACGGCTCCCCGGGTTACGTCAACCTGTTGGATGCCCTCAACGCCTGGCCCCTCGTCAAGGAGCTCAAGCAGGCTCTGGGTTACCCCGCTGCTGCCAGTTTCAAGCACGTCTCCCCCGCCGGTGCTGCCGTTGGTGTGCCTTTGAACGAGAAGGAACGCAAGGTCTACATGGTTGACGACATTGCCGGTATCGAATCTTCCGGTCTGGCTCAGGCCTACGCCCGTGCCCGTGGTGCGGACCGTATGTCCAGCTTCGGTGACATCCTCGCCCTCAGTGACGTCGTTGACGTCCCCACCGCCAAGATTGTCTCTCGTGAGGTTTCGGACGGTGTTATTGCCGCAGGCTACACTCCTGAGGCTCTGGAGATCCTCTCCAAGAAGAAGGGCGGCAAGTACCTTGTTCTTCAGATGGACGAGTCTTACATCCCCCCTGCTGAGGAGACCCGCACTCTGTACGGTGTTCAAGTGACCCAGCACCGCAACGACGTTGTCATCTCCCCCCAGAAGACCTTCAACACCGTCATCACCCCCAAGGACAAGGCCCTTCCCGACTCCGCCCTCCGTGACCTTACTGTCGCCACCATTGCCCTGAAGTACACTCAGTCCAACTCCGTCTGCTACGCGCTCAACGGCCAGGTCGTCGGTCTGGGTGCTGGCCAGCAGAGCCGTATCCACTGCACTCGCCTTGCGGGTGACAAGACTGACAACTGGTGGATGCGCTTCCACGACCGTGTGCTCAACATCCAGTGGAAGAAGGGCACCAAGCGTGCTGACAAGAGCAACGCCATTGACCTGCTCTGCTCTGGTCAGACTCCTCGTAACGAGGCCGAGAAGGTCGAGTACGAGCGTGTCTTTGAGGAGGTTCCCGCTCCCTTCACTCAGGAGGAGCGTGACGCCTGGCTCTCGAAGCTGAGCGAGGTTGCCGTCTCGTCGGATGCTTTCGTATGTTCCTCTGTTCTTGCCTGTTGTGTTATTCTGCTGCTAACCGTTTACTTGCAGTTCCCCTTCATTGACAACGTTTTCCGTGCCGCTCGCTCTGGTGTCAAGTACATTGCCGCCCCCACTGGTAGCCAGAACGACGCACCTGTCTTCTCTACTGCTGAGCAGCTCGGCATTTCCTTCGTTGAGCAGGGCACTCGTCTGTTCCACCACTAGATGTGGGGTGTAGATTGAGAGTAAGAAAGTGAAAAAAAATGTTTATGTGATGATGTCCGTCCAGTCTTTTCACGGCCTTATAAATACAGACCTAGTATGGCTGAACAAGCAACTTATGAAAATTGGTTTCACGGCATGTGTTGGCGTTTAGTGTGCGCAAGCGCCTGGTACGTACAGAAAAGGTTAGGTATAGAGGAATAAATGCAATTTCAAGTTCAACATAAGGTAATTCAGCTCGTGGGCTTGAGTAGATGTTAATTTATTGGATTGCATAAGTGAGTTAAAAAATAATGGCTGCGAGGTTCAAAATGGAAAAAAGAAAAAAGAAATGCCCCCTTGCGGAGTCGAACCGCAGACCTCATGATGACTTAGCCGGGAAGGGCCTACGAGTCATGCGCTCTACCAACTGAGCTAAGAGGGCATTGATTGGTGAAAGGCACAGCGATTTAGCGATCTATGTTGCAGCCTCTTTATCATGTGCAAAAATCTAATATCAATATCTTTTGCTGCAGCACTGTGGGTTTCATTTCCCGGGTTTTGTTGTGTTGTATTTATGTCAATGTAACTCTTTGTATTAAAGAAAAGGAGAAATCGACCCAGAAAACAAAGTTTTCAAGGTGTCGAGAAAAAAATTGACGAAACACGGCAAAGCCAGCCATCAAACCCTACTTACAACCACCCGAACCGGCCAATGTACTCCACCACGACGTCAACCACAGACTTCACTCAACAGCCAAAAAAAGCAACACCAATTGAGCTACACCAGAAGGAAAAAATGCAAAAAGCTATGCTCACACGCGGATTTGAACCGCGGACCTCATGATTGCAATTCACTTTGCAGTGATTACTAGTCATGCGCTCTACCAACTGAGCTATACGAGCTGGTGGAAAAGAAGTGCTCACACGCGGATTTGAACCGCGGACCTCATGATTACTAGTCATGCGCTCTACCAACTGAGCTATACGAGCTGATTGGATGGTGGGGTTTCGATTTTGTGTTATAGGAGTCTGAAGAAAGATCTGCAGGGATGTGCTGTATGTATCCTGTCCTGGTATGCGAAGGTATCCTGGGTACTTGGGTGTGGTTATGAGAAGATGATATAAGTGCCATTGATGGCTTGATAGGTATTGGGCTATTCTGTTTGATGGGGTAGACGGGCTGCTACCTATGTAGGTGTCTCGTTCGTTTGCATGTTTGACAGTTGACTGGTATGGCATAGTTCTTTGGGTCTCTGTTTGTTCGCCCATCTGCCCCATCATAATGAATCTATCTTAGCTTTTTGATTGGTTTTCGAGGCCTTCTCGATAGCTGGTCATGTAGTATATGCATAGATTACTAGTGTACAGGTGGATTGTTCTCGTGTTGCTGCGATATGCCATTGAGGACTGCTTCTATATATATCTGTTTGTTGCAGCAGATAAGCATGCATTGGAGGGCTAGAATGGCTCAAATTAGCTTCATAAGCATAGGAATTCGAGTGCACAGGAAAATAAACATCACTGCCCAAAGGCTTGTATTGTGTGGACTGCGTGTGGTTGAAAGTAGGATTGACCTGCAGGCTTCGTGGTAGTAGAGTTGATGCATACATCGCCGATCGACAGTCTCGCATAGCCAAGTAGCAGTGATGAGAACACAGAGTATTTGCTCATTGTCCAAGATAAAACTGATATGTAGTAATATAAGACTATTTATTTCCCATAATTTATATTTCCATAGCTTGTAGATACCCAAGGTAGGTACCTAGGTAGGTGTAGTTGAACGCACCTATCGGATAAGCAGCAACCAGAAGGCCAATGGAAGCTCATTAATCCCCTGTTTGAACATAAAGCAAACAATACAAAGGTCTTTCAACAACAGCTCGTATAGCTCAGTTGGTAGAGCGCATGACTAGTAATCATGAGGTCCGCGGTTCAAATCCGCGTGTGAGCACTTCTTTTTGATTTTTTTATATTTTTCTCGCCACACTTGATACTCTACTGTGCCTGTCCCTGGAATAATTCAATTCTGGGTTATTTTATTTTTGTTTCCTGTTCCTGGAACCATGGAATGCGCACCAACTCAATTCCACCAAAACCAGGGCATTGGATTGCTAGAACACGACAGACTGACGATATCAATGATCATCGCAACGTGCATATTTGACAGCCTCCCTTGCATCAATGCAAGCACTGCTCTACAGTCTACACATGTCACATCGGACATACAGCAGTACTATTTTGGTCTAAACCAGCGGTCAAATTGTCAATATGCAATGCTGCCAGGATCAGGTTTATTGTTAAGATGTATTCATATTCTACTGTTTTCACAGCTATCCGAGTAGGCTGCAATTGGAAGATCTATGTACGATTGGCATGGCATATCCAATTGCCACCAAAGACCATAGTCGTAACAGACCAAGTTAGTCCTATCAGACAGGGGCTGATATACACTCCACTGCTGCACTGCAACTGTTCATTGCCACCCCAATGCCTCAATGGCCAAATAGTTCTGTTGATCGTGCATGCTCTATTTGACTTTAATTTATGTACAACACTGACCCCACCCCTATCACCAACACAGCCAGATATCACCTGCAACATCCACAATAGTTACCACGTTGGCAGAAAAAAGCAAGAAACAACTATATTGAAGATCTAGAATACTTCTCAAGACAAACCCTGCCTCACTTGTTTCAGATAGAGCCGTGGTTGGGCTCGATAACATCCTGTACGACAACCATTTGACGTCACCTTGGTAGTTCCGGAAACACCGGAGAATTGCTCACGATGAGATGGTGCATACGGTGAACGAGGTTATTAATATCAAGCATGGATGCATGATTGTAGCAGGATGTGGTGTCTCACAAGCTCTGTCCGAGTACAGAGTACTTAGAGCGAGCCCACCTTGCTGTGCGTGGGGGTTCAGCTTCGAGTTTATTTTATCCTCGACACTTTTCAACATGTTTGCTGGGCTTTTCATACTGTTGGTTTTGGTGAATGGCATCGTTTGCGGTGGTGCGAATAGAGGTTCGAGATATAACTTGGAGGTGGTAAGGGGTAGCAGAGGGTGCGTTACTGTCTTTTGCCTGATATATCACCATTATGGCTGCTCCTACATTCACTGATACTATTCTAGTATCTCTCAGATGCAACAGTTGATCCCCCACCAAGCATCGAAACAAGTGCATGTCGACGATGAATCGACCGTATCCGACACTCGTTTCGAAGACCACGAAGACAAAGTGACAAGCGGTACGAGAATACAAAAGAACAGAATCAACGGTAATGATCGTGCCTGGTTCTCGAGGTATGCTAGTTACATCAAAGGAGAGACCCCTTTAATAACGTGGGATATAGTGGACCCGGTTGGGATGTCCGTGTGGATTTGCGCATGGGGTTAGTACATACACTTCTTATCAACACCGTCCAGCAGATATTGATGCATTCAGATCGAATAATCGAAGAGTATCCAGCCTAGACTGGGCGAATAGATGGGAGCAGGCGACGGACTGTCTTTCGTCCCAGGAACCCGATAATGTAGACATGTTTGAGATGGATGAACTTGCACTCGAGGCGTTTTGGGATAGAGTCTGGGAGTGCTATCTTCCATATGCGTATGGATTGGATGATAGTAAAGACTCGCGAGAGTGATAGAATAATGCGACATGACCGCCGTTAGAATTGATCACTTCTCATTCATCTCTGTAGATGTCTTCAACTTCATGCGGATACTGACAGACAGGTGAATTCCTAGTAAAGTCATCTGGAATGAGATGTGAATCCAAAGTAGAGGATTAGACACTCTGATATATTCACAGCCCATCTCATTGAAAATAAATACCCTCAATTGAATCTGTTTGAAGTCTTTCTTCTTACTCTCTCCTCGAATCCTCAGGCACCCCTGGTGCACGTGACGGCACATAAGCGACACCTCAGCAACGCGGCCTCCTGAGGTCACTCCCGCTTCCCCAGTCGCTACCTAATCCCAAACGAATCCCTCTCCTTGTTTGATCCACCTTCTTCTTCTTCTCCTTCTTCTTTTCCTTACTCCTTTTCTTCTTCATCTACAGCTTCAATTTGCCGTCTTTTCTTTTTTCTTTCTCTGAAATCTGGTTCTCTATTGGCGTGGCGTTTAGTTGGGTGGATGAGGTCGTACTGCGGCCCTGGTAAATATGGCTCCTCTTCCCATCAAGTTTACGGAGCTTATCAATGTATGCCCCTCTCCTTTATTGATTATTCTTACCTATACGGGAAACTGACACCTCTTTCTTCACCCTGCAGTTGACAAATGCTGAAATCGCGGTATGTCTCGTCGCCAATGTCTTGTCGCTTCCGTTCGCTGCCTGCCTGTGGTGTACCACGCCGGTGCATCGGTCGCGCCTCTTCTACCTTTGAATAATCGGAACACCTTGCTTACACTATAGCTTCAACAGCCGACTTCGATTGGTTTCAATTCATGTGTAAGTAGCTCTTGAGGAGGGGTGTTGGTTGACCCGCCTGCTAGCCCAGGTCGCTAACCAGTACTGTTACTGCATGACAGACTTTAGAATCGGATCACTTCGTCTGCGTCCGACAAAAACTCAACGAAGATGATAAGCCTCAGGTCATTATCATTAACCTAAAGAACAACAATGAAGTCATCAAACGGCCGATCAATGCGGACAGTGCTATCATGCACTGGACCAAGAACATCATCGCCCTCAAGGCCCAAGGCCGAACGGTCCAGATCTTCGACCTCTCAGCTAAGCAGAAGCTTAAGTCTGCCGTTATGAATGAAGATATCGTTTACTGGAAGTGGTTCAGCGAAACCAGCTTGGGTCTGGTCACCGAGACTTCTGTCTACCACTGGGATGTTTTTGACCCCACCCAGTCTCAGCCCCTCAAGATCTTTGACAGACTTCCTAACCTGAGTGTATGTACTACTGGCACTACGCTGCTACTTTTCGTGGACTGACGCATCATTGCTACTTAGGGGTGTCAAATAATCAACTACCGTGTCAACGATGACGAGAAGTGGATGGTGGTGGTCGGAATCAGCCAGCAGCAGGGACGTGTTGTGGGATCTATGCAGCTCTACTCCAAGGACCGTGGGATATCGCAATTCATCGAAGGTCACGCCGCCGCTTTCGCCTCGATCCGAGTCGAGGGCTCGCCCCTCGAACACAAGCTTTTCACCTTCGCCGTTCGGACCCAGACCGGTGCTAAGTTGCAAATCGCCGAAATCGATCACCAGGAGCCCAACCCTCGGTTCCAGAAGAAGGCCGTCGAGGTTTACTTCCCTCAGGAGGCTGTTAACGACTTCCCCGTCGCGATGCAGGTGTCCAGGAGGTATGACGTCGTGTACCTTGTCACGAAATATGGCTTCATTCATCTCTATGACCTCGAGACTGGTACCTGCATCTTCATGAACCGAATCTCCAGCGAGACTATCTTCACTACTGCCAATGACTCGGACGGTGCTGGTTTGGTTGGTGTGAACCGAAAGGGTCAGGTTCTTTCCGTCAGCGTCGATGAGAACACAATCATCCAGTACCTGATGGAGAACCCTGCCATGTCAGGACTTGCTGTGAAGCTTGCCTCCAAGGCTGGACTTCCTGGTGCCGACCATCTTTACCAGCAGCAGTTCGACAACCTGGTTGCCCAGGGTAACTACAGCGAAGCCGCCAAGATTGCCGCAAACTCGCCTCGTGGGTTCCTCAGAACTCCCGAGACCATCAACCGCTTCAAGAATGCCCCCCAGGGTGGTCAGCAGATGTCTGTTATCCTGCAGTACTTCGGCATGCTGCTGGACAAGGGCTCCCTTAACAAATATGAGAGTGTTGAATTGGTTCGACCTGTTTTGCAGCAGAACAGGAAGCACCTGCTGGAGAAGTGGATGCGCGAGAACAAGCTGGAGGGCTCCGAGGAGCTCGGAGATATCGTTCGCCCATACGACATGAACCTTGCCCTTACCATCTACCTTCAAGCAAACGTTCCCCACAAGGTCATTGCTGGATTTGCCGAGACTGGTCAGTTTGACAAGATTCTTGCCTACTCCAAGCAGGTTGGCTACCAGCCTGACTACACCTCGCTCTTGCAGCACATTGTCCGTGTCAACCCCGAGAAGGGTGCTGAGTTTGCTACCCAGCTTGCCAACGAAGAGACCGGTGCACTCATTGACTTGGACCGGGTCGTGGACGTGTTCTTGTCCCAGAACATGATCCAGCAGGCCACCTCTTTCTTGCTTGATGCGCTGAAGGACAACAAGCCTGAGCACGGCCACTTGCAGACACGATTGCTCGAGATGAACCTCGTGAACGCCCCGCAGGTCGCGGATGCCATCCTTGGCAATGAAATCTTCACTCACTACGATCAAACCAGGATCTCCCAACTTTGTGAGAATGCCGGTCTCATCCAGCGTGCGCTTGAGAACACCGATGACCCCGCGGCCATCAAGCGTAACATTGTCCGCACCGACATGCTGAGCGCCGAATGGCTCATCAACTACTTTGGTCGTCTCTCGGTCGAGCAGACATTGGACTGCATGGACACCATGTTGGAGGTCAACATCCGCCAGAACCTCCAGGCTGTTGTCCAGATCGCCACCAAGTTCTCCGACCTCGTCGGACCTACCCGTCTTATCAGCCTTTTGGAGAAGTACCGTACGGCCGAGGGTCTTTACTACTATCTCGGTAGCATCGTCAACCTCAGTGAGGACCCAGAGGTTCACTTCAAGTACATCGAGGCTGCTACTGCCATGGGCCAGCTCACCGAGGTCGAGCGTATCTGCCGTGAGAGCAACTACTACAACGCCGAGAAGGTGAAGAACTTTTTGAAGGAAGCTCAGTTGACTGAGCAGCTCCCACTCATCATTGTCTGCGACCGATTCAACTTCATTCACGACTTGGTTCTGTACCTCTACAAGAACCAGCAGTACAAGTCTATTGAAGTTTATGTGCAGCGTGTCAATCCCTCTCGTACCCCCGCCGTCATCGGTGGCTTGCTTGATGTTGACTGTGATGAGAGTATTATCAAGAACCTCCTGTCTACCGTCGACCCCTCTGTGATTCCGATCGATGAGCTCGTTTCTGAGGTGGAGTCCCGTAACAGACTCAAGCTGTTGCTGCCTTTCCTCGAGGCAACACTCGCTACTGGCAACCAGCAGCAGGCTGTTTACAACGCCCTCGCAAAGATCTACATTGATAGCAACAACAACCCCGAGAAGTTCCTCAAGGAGAACGACATGTATGACACATTGACTGTCGGAAAGTACTGTGAGAAGCGGGACCCCAACCTGGCGTACATCGCATACAGCAAGGGTCAGAATGACCTCGAGCTCATCAACATCACCAACGAAAACTCCATGTACCGGGCCCAGGCTCGATACCTCGTTGAGCGTGCTGACAACGAGATTTGGTCGTTTGTTCTGAGCGAGAACAACGAGCACCGACGGTCGATGGTTGACCAGGTTATTGCCACCGCTGTTCCTGAGTCGACCGAGCCCGACAAGGTGTCGATTGCTGTCAAGGCCTTCCTTGAAGCCGATCTGCCTGGTGAATTGATTGAGCTTTTGGAGAAGATCATCCTCGAGCCATCTCCCTTCAGCGATAACAGCAGCTTGCAGAACCTTCTGATGCTGACTGCCGCCAAGGCTGACAAGAGTCGTCTGATGGACTATATTCACCAGCTCACCGAGTTCAGCCCCGATGAGATCTCCGAGATGTGCATTTCCGTTGGTCTGTACGAGGAGGCCTTCGAGATCTACAAGAAGGTCAACAACCACGGTGCCGCCGTCAATGTCCTTGTTGAGAACATTGTCAGCATCGACCGAGCACAGGAATACGCTGAGCGTGTGGAATTGCCCGAGGTGTGGAGCAAGGTCGCAAAGGCACAGCTCGACGGCCTTCGTGTATCCGACTCGATCGAATCTTACATCCACGCTGCTGACCCGTCGAACTACAACGAGGTCATTGACACCGCAACCCACGCTGGCAAGGATGAGGATCTCGTCAAGTACCTGAAGATGGCCCGCAAGACCCTGCGTGAGCCAGCCATTGACACTGGCCTCGCATTCTGCTATGCCCGTCTCGACCAGCTTTCAGAGCTGGAGGACTTCCTGCGATCTACCAACGTTGCCGATGTCGAAGCGTCTGGTGACAAGGCTTATGAAGAAGGTTACCACCAGGCTGCTAAGATCTTCTACACCAGCATCTCCAACTGGGCTAAATTGGCCACTACCCTGGTGCACTTGGAGGACTACCAAGCCGCCGTGGAATGTGCACGCAAGGCCAACAGTGTCAAGGTCTGGAAGCAGGTCAACGAGGCATGCGTCAGCAAGAAGGAATTCCGTCTTGCCCAGATTTGCGGTCTCAACCTTATCGTTCACGCCGAGGAATTGCAAGACCTTGTACGTCAGTACGAGCGCAACGGCTACTTTGACGAGCTGATTTCAGTTCTGGAGGCTGGTCTGGGTCTGGAGCGGGCTCACATGGGCATGTTCACCGAGTTGGGTATCGCGCTCTCCAAGTACCACCCCGACCGCACTATGGAGCACCTCAAGCTTTTCTGGTCTCGTATCAACATCCCCAAGATGATCCGGGCTTGTGAGGAAGCAAGCCTCTGGCCTGAACTTGTGTTCCTGTATTGCCACTACGACGAGTGGGACAACGCTGCGCTGGCGATGATGGAGCGTGCCGCCGACTCTTGGGAGCACCACTCGTTCAAGGACATCGTTGTCAAGGTTGCCAACCTGGAAATCTACTACCGTGCTCTGAACTTCTACCTGCAAGAGCAGCCCTTGCTCCTTACGGATCTGCTCCAGGTCCTTACCCCGCGAATTGACGTCAACCGTGTTGTGCGCATCTTCCAGACCTCGGACAACATCCCGTTGATCAAGCCGTTCTTGCTGAACGTCCAGACTCAGAACAAGAGAGCTGTCAACGATGCCATCAATGACCTGTTGATCGAGGAGGAAGACTACAAGACTTTGCGTGACTCGGTAGACAACTACGACAACTTTGATGCTGTGGAGCTTGCTCAGCGATTGGAGAAGCATGATTTGATCTTCTTCCGCCAGGTTGCGGCCAACATCTACCGGAACAACAAGCGCTGGGAGAAGTCGATTGCGCTGTCCAAGCAGGACAAGTTGTACAAGGATGCCATTGAGACCTCGGCCATTTCCGGCAAGTCCGTTGTGGTTGAGGATCTCCTTCGCTACGTAAGTTTCTGTTATTCCTATTTCTCAAGATACATTGCTAACAATCTATTAGTTTGTGGACATTGGCAGCCGAGAGTGCTATGTGGGCATGCTGTATGCGTGCTACGATCTGATCCGCCCCGATGTGATCCTGGAGCTGTCGTGGCGCCATGGCCTGAACGACTTCACAATGCCGTACATGATCAACATGCTGTGCGAGCAGACACGGTCGATCGAGATGCTCAAGAAAGACAACGAGGAGCGCAAGTCTCGGGAGGTGACACACAAGACGGAGGAGAACAACGCACCGATCCTGGGTGGCTCGCGGCTGATGCTGACGCAGGGGCCAGGGCCGGCACCCAGCCCGGCGCCTTATGGACAGGCTAACGGGCTGACACCGCAGGCGACGGGCTTCCGTGGGTTCTAGACGTCGAGATATCCAATCATTTCTTAGCAACAAACTCTCCTGTGACATTGCATAATTGCAACCTTTTTGAGTGTATGTATAACATGAAACGATCTGCGGCTGGCCTTTTTTCTTAGTGCGACAGATGCATGAACAAAAGGGGTAGTTTATTAAAAAAGGATGGGGGTGGTATTGATCATTTGATGGCACTCCGAGACACAGCAGCGCGGGGTCATTTGATTATGTCCTGCATTCTTGACGGCAAATTTCTTATTTCGTTTTTTTCTTTTTTTCTCTTCTAATTCGGTTATTTTCTTCTGTGCTTATGTATTTGATACGCTTGAGATATTCCTGGTTTCTGCAGCAGTACCCTTACCGTTAATGCATTGTTCCACCATACCGTCTGTGCGTAGATACTACGTTATATAGATAGATAGACAGTAGATCCTCGGTCGGCTGGAAGGAGAGCAGTCGATGTAGGGGCAAAGACTTGAGCCGGACCAGGAGGGTATAGAACTTTTCCGTGAGAAGAAGAAGAGAGATGAAGCTGAATTCTGGAGGAGATGACGTGGAGAGAAACGTGGAGGAGAAAGAATTTACCCATTACTCTACTGTCTACTATCTATCATGACTATCTTGAGTTGTACCTATAGTGGCGTAACTAAAGGGTAGATCTGGATAGTACCAGTAAGATCGACTGTATTAACGTGACACCCAAGGACCTTGGCAAGGAAGATAGACGGGGTCATCTGACCTGGAAAAGAATCCAGATGCTCTTCTGGTTTTTCGGTCAACTCGACGGGGAACAGTCGGCCTTGTCCCGGCGTCGGTGCCAAGGGAGATCATATCGGCCATGATTGATCATTTGATGGCATAATCTTCATGTGTCCCATCATTGCTGGTCGGGATAACCTCCCCCGAGCGACAAGACGGACGGTGGGATCTTGGCAGGATCTACTATTGAAACCACTGTGCCAACTGGAGGTGTCGATCAAAAAAAAAAAAAAAAAAAGAAAGAAAGAAATAAAACAGAATCAGATAGAATGAATGTGAGAAGAGGGGAAATCCCATTCCGTCCAGCTTGTCGTCCCAAGATGGATGCCCAGCTGTCTGGTTTTTTTTCCGTCGATAGGCGAAGAGGAAGCGGAGCATCACATCATTCATGACATTACATTGACAGTGAAGAGAGACGATAAGGCCCGACACCCGAGGTAACAATGGTATACAGGCTGAATGAGTAAAAGGAATTGGCCTGGATCTTCCGAATACAGTGTACGATTGAATAATAATAACCAAATCAGAACCAGAAAAGGTGATGCTATTAGGTGAAGATTTGGTGATGGCATTATGGAGTGGGAAGTAGAATATGGGGCCCCATATCATCATATCATAATGGAATGAATAATAAATCCAGCCATCGGACCCATTCTGGGCGATCGGCAAATCACAGCAGCACCAGTAACCACCTGCTTTCTTTTTATGACTCTTGCTTTTATCCAATCCATTAAACATCATATTAAACATCAAGGCAGAAAGGAAAAAAAAAAAAAAAGAAAAGAAAAGAAAAGAAATATTCTCCATCCCACCCCGGTGTACCGGTGAACAGTCTGCCGTATCGTACCGTATTACCAGTACCCGTATTGTTACATCCCCCTCCTAGGTACTTCTTTTATCTTCATCCTCTCTCCTCCTCTTCAGCTCTCGTCTTCATCTCTTCTTTTCTTCTCTCAATCTTCTCTCCATTTCTTCTCCTTCTCCTCTTCTTCAATTCCCCGTCTACACCCCCTTTCCCGCGGCTTCTTCTCCGTGCCGAAACCGGTTCTTTTTCTTCCTCCTGCTTGCCCCGCGTTTCCGCCGTGAACCAGCCTGCTTCTGGCTTCTCTTCCTCCTTTTGCTTCCCTTCTCTTGATCAGTGACTCATTCGGTCTCTTGTTCGATTGAATCTGTCCCGGGGTTGCCTATAAACCTTTTTCTTCTCTTTTTCCATTCTTCTTCCATCCTTCCAGCCTCTTATCTGTCAAACTATAAATCTTCCTTCCCCTCACTCCCCACCTCGACTTCTATCTCCTTATCTCTACCTCTCTATCTCCATCTCTTTTTCTTTCTTCCTCCCATATCCTATCTTTCACAATGGCTGCCCCCCGCTCAGTCGAGGAGGCCATCGACGATGTCGAGTTGGAGATGCATGAGGATCACCATGAACACCACCAGCACTCCGTCCACCACCGGTTGCGGGCCAACTCTACCATTATGCAATTCCAAAAGATCCTCGTCGCCAACCGTGGTGAAATCCCCATTCGTATCTTCCGTACTGCCCACGAACTCTCCCTCCAGACTGTTGCCATCTACTCTCATGAAGATCGTCTGGGTATGCACCGTCAAAAGGCCGATGAAGCCTATATGATCGGCCGTCGTGGCCAATATACCCCCGTCGGTGCCTACCTGGCTATCGATGAGATTGTCAAGATTGCCCAGGAGCACGGCGTTCATCTCATTCACCCTGGTTATGGTTTCCTCTCAGAGAACGCCGAGTTTGCACGCAAAGTCGAGAAGGCCGGTATGGTCTTCGTCGGCCCCACCGCTGACACTATCGATAGCCTCGGCGACAAGGTCTCCGCCCGTCAGCTGGCCATCAAGTGCAACGTGCCCGTCGTTCCCGGTACCCCGGGCCCCGTCGAGAAGTACGAGGAGGTCAAGAGCTTCACTGACACCTATGGCTTCCCCATCATTATCAAGGCCGCCTTCGGTGGTGGTGGCCGTGGTATGCGTGTCGTCCGCGACCAGGCCGAGCTGCGGGACTCTTTCGAGCGTGCCACCTCGGAGGCCCGCACTGCCTTCGGCAACGGTACTGTCTTTGTTGAGCGTTTCCTCGACAAGCCCAAGCACATTGAAGTCCAGCTCCTCGGTGACAACCAGGGCAATGTCGTCCACCTCTTTGAGCGTGACTGCTCCGTCCAGCGTCGTCACCAGAAGGTCGTCGAGATCGCCCCCGCCAAGGACCTGCCTGTTGACGTGCGGGACAGCATCCTCGCGGATGCCGTCAAGCTGGCCAAGTCCGTCAACTACCGCAACGCCGGTACCGCCGAGTTCTTGGTTGACCAGCAGAACCGTCACTACTTCATCGAGATCAACCCCCGTATCCAAGTCGAGCACACCATCACTGAGGAGATTACTGGTATCGATATCGTTGCTGCCCAGATCCAGATTGCCGCTGGTGCTACCCTCGAGCAGCTGGGTCTGACCCAGGACCGCATCTCCACTCGTGGCTTTGCCATTCAGTGCCGTATCACCACCGAGGATCCCTCCAAGGGCTTCTCCCCCGACACCGGTAAGATCGAGGTCTACCGTTCCGCCGGTGGTAACGGTGTCCGTCTCGATGGTGGCAATGGTTTCGCCGGTGCTATCATCACCCCGCACTACGACTCCATGTTGGTCAAGTGTACTTGCCGTGGCTCTACCTACGAGATTTCCCGCCGTAAGATGCTGCGTGCCCTGGTTGAGTTCCGTATCCGTGGTGTCAAGACCAACATTCCTTTCTTGGCCTCGTTGCTGAGTCACCCCACCTTCATTGACGGCACTTGCTGGACTACCTTCATTGATGACACTCCTGAGCTGTTTGCTCTCGTTGGCAGCCAGAACCGTGCCCAGAAGCTGCTGGCCTACCTCGGTGATGTCGCTGTCAACGGTAGCAGCATCAAGGGTCAGATCGGAGAGCCCAAGTTCAAGGGCGAGATCATCAAGCCCGAGCTGAAGGATGCCTCTGGCAAGCCCATTGACGTCTCCGTTCCCTGCCAGCAGGGTTGGAAGCAGGTTCTCGACCGTGAGGGTCCCGCTGCCTTCGCCAAGGCTGTGCGTGCCAACAAGGGCTGCTTGATCATGGACACCACCTGGCGTGATGCTCACCAGTCGTTGCTGGCGACTCGTGTGCGTACCATTGACATGCTGAACATTGCCCACGAGACCAGCCACGCTTTCTCCAACGCCTACAGTTTGGAGTGCTGGGGCGGTGCCACCTTCGATGTGGCCATGCGTTTCCTCTACGAGGATCCTTGGGACCGTCTCCGCAAGTTCCGCAAGGCCGTCCCCAACATCCCCTTCCAGATGCTGCTCCGTGGTGCCAACGGTGTGGCCTACTCTTCTCTCCCCGACAACGCCATCTACCACTTCTGTAAGCAGGCTAAGAAGTACGGTGTTGACATCTTCCGTGTCTTCGATGCCCTCAACGACGTCGACCAGCTCGAGGTCGGTATCAAGGCCGTCCACGCCGCCGGTGGTGTTGTCGAAGCCACCGTCTGCTACAGTGGTGACATGTTGAACCCCAACAAGAAGTACAACCTTGAGTACTACTTGGCTCTTGTCGACAAGATCGTTTCGCTCGGTACCCACGTGCTCGGTATCAAGGATATGGCCGGTGTGCTCAAGCCCCAGGCTGCCCGTCTGCTGATCGGTAGCATCCGTGAGCGTTACCCCGACCTCCCCATCCACGTCCACACCCACGACTCCGCCGGTACTGGTGTGGCCTCCATGATTGCCTGTGCCCAGGCTGGCGCTGATGCCGTCGATGCCGCCACCGACAGTCTGTCTGGTATGACCTCTCAGCCCAGCGTTGGTGCCATCCTGGCCTCGCTCCAGGGCACCGAGCAGGACCCCAAGCTCGACCTCGCCCAGGTCCGTGCTATCGACACCTACTGGGCTCAGCTGCGCTTGCTGTACTCGCCCTTCGAGGCCGGTCTGACCGGTCCCGACCCTGAAGTCTACGAGCACGAAATCCCCGGTGGTCAGTTGACCAACCTCATCTTCCAGGCCAGTCAGCTCGGTCTGGGTCAGCAGTGGGCTGAGACCAAGAAGGCCTACGAGTCTGCCAATGACCTGCTTGGCGACATTGTCAAGGTCACCCCGACTTCCAAGGTTGTTGGTGACTTGGCTCAGTTCATGGTTTCCAACAAGCTGAACGCTGAGCAAGTCATTGAGCGTGCTGCCGAGCTCGACTTCCCGGGATCCGTGCTGGAGTTCCTCGAGGGTCTCATGGGCCAGCCGTTTGGTGGATTCCCCGAGCCCCTGCGCTCCAACGCTCTGCGTAACCGCCGCAAGCTCGACAAGCGCCCCGGTCTCTACCTCGAGCCTCTTGACCTGGCTAAGATCAAGAACGACATTCGCGAGAAGTTCGGTGCTGCCACCGAGTGCGATGTTGCTTCGTACGCCATGTACCCCAAGGTCTTTGAGGACTACCGCAAGTTCGTCCAGAAGTTCGGTGACTTGTCCGTACTGCCCACTCGCTTCTTCTTGGCTAAGCCCGAGATTGGCGAGGAGTTCCACGTCGAGCTCGAGAAGGGTAAGGTGCTGATCCTCAAGTTGCTCGCCATCGGTCCTCTCTCCGAGCAGACCGGCCAGCGTGAGGTCTTCTACGAGGTCAACGGTGAAGTCCGACAGGTCAGTGTCGACGACAACAAGGCCTCTGTTGAGAACACCTCTCGCCCCAAGGCCGAGGTTGGTGACAGCAGCCAGGTCGGTGCCCCCATGAGCGGTGTTGTTGTCGAGGTCCGTGTCCACGACGGCTCGGAGGTGAAGAAGGGTGACCCTGTTGCCGTTCTGAGCGCCATGAAGATGGTAAGTTATTATCTTTTATTCCTCCAATTGATCTTTATACTAATGGCCACTCTTAGGAAATGGTTATCTCCGCACCCCACAGCGGAAAGGTCTCCAGCCTGCTTGTCAAGGAGGGCGACTCCGTTGACAGCCAGGACCTCATCTGCAAGATCAGCAAGGCATAAATGTGAAAACACAAGGCAAAAACGCACAAAACGAAAAGTCGCTTGGCTGTATAGGAAGAAACAACATGCAGACATAATGGAACGAAGATGTGAATGATTTGTTTTAGATTAAAGCGTTTCCTTTTTTGGGCTGGTTTGGTTTTTGGTGGTTTTATATCCTTTTTTCTTATCCTCAAGTATGGTTTATCGGCCAACTGAATGAATGAATTTATTATTTCAATGACTCTTTCCCACTGTTCTAGAATAAAAATTTTGCGGTTTCTATTGATGATGGTATACTGTCTATCAGAGTCTATCCATCTATCTAACTAATAGATCATAGTTTAACGGCACTGACAGCCTCCATCGGTTCTCCAACCTCCCGCAACGCCTTCCAGACCCGCAGCGCATCGTCCCACAAGGCGTCGTTGGAGATCTCCACGGAACCATCGGGTTTGAGGGTCCTCACTTCCCGATAACTACCGGTACCCCAATTGATCTCCGCATCACCCCGAACGAACCTGGCCAGAGATTCAAGAAAGGCCTGCTTTACAAGATCCTTCTCCCCAGCTTCCAGAACATCCCCATTACCCCAGAACCACATATACTGGTCCGTGACGTGCGTGACGCCCCATTCGGGGGGCACGGCGTGGTCGGCGCACTTCAGCCGGTACTCGATACGATACCGGTAGAGACAGTGTGCGGCACCGCCCGTGACAAGGGCGTGGACGAGTCCGCGCTGCATCTTGTGGACCTGCATGTCGGCGTAGATGCGGCCAAAGGCATCGCTGTCCCAGTTCTTGCAGTCGGCGGGGAGTTGGCCAGCTGGGTAGTAGTGGTTGATGAGGGTGTCAACGACACGACGTGGGTAGTCTGCTAGGAGACGTTGACGGAGGGCAGGGAGGGAGTTGCTAGATGGGGGGTACCAGATTCCGTAGAGGGAGTGTTCGTCGCGGCACTCGCCGAGCATGATGCGGACGTTGCGCTCGGCGACGCGCCGGGCAAAGTCGCCGTTATCCAGGGACTGGAAGAGGGAGGCGGGGATGAAGGCGGAGTCAGTGGTGGGACGGAATTGATGGATGTCGATGCTGGAGGCCGCGGAGAGGAGGGCCTTGGCGGGGAGGGCGCGGAGACGGGCTATTTTCTCCGAGGCAGGGAGGGAGAAGGGGATATTCAGGGCGGAGAGGAATTGGTTGAATTGGAGTTGGGTTTCGGAGGGGCTTTTGGATTGCACGGCGGGACCGTTGGACCAGATGATGGCTTGTTTGACGAGAGATATATCCTTAGGGAGTCGGAGGTCGTAGGCTAACTGGTGGAAGACGGAGTATGCGCCTGCATTTTATTTTGTTAGAAGGATGTGTGAGACTGTAATTTATAGGGTAGTGGCTTACCGGCTGAATAGCCCGAGATGGTGATATTGGCTGCGTTTCCGCCAAAGAGATGAATGTTTTCCTTGGTCCATTCCAGCGCCAGTCGTTGATCCCAGAAGCCATGGTTACCGACAGTCTCACCAGCAGAGACAGCGTCTTGCTCAAGCTCAGACGAGTAGAGGAAGCCAAAGACGTTGAGACGATAGGCTGGTAGGACAATGATGGCTTTGAAATCCGTCTCACTCAACAAGGCCGACAGGGAGACGCTGTTTGGGGTGCCGAATTGCAGCCAACCGCCATCTGAATCGTCAGTAAGATGAATACAAATAACCGAACTGGGGGGTCAAAACATACGGAGAAAGACGAATACCGGCCATTCTAGCACAATCTATTAGCCAGCAAATCCCCATAAGATATAAGATAACATACCCTCTTTGGGAGCTTCCCCAACAGGAACCCAAACATTACACTGGAAGCAATCCTCGGACCAACCGGTCTCATCTGCAGGGCCTCGGAATCCAGGCTGAGGACAGACACCGGCCTTCCCATCATGCCGACCGGGCTGTTCCTTGGTTCCGTATGTATAACTTGACGGCAAGGGGTGAGCTCTGCGCCATCGTTGTGCGGGGGGGAGGGCGTAGCGGAGACCACCAAAGTAGTGACAGAGAGGGGAATTGGTGGATTTGGAGACGATAGTGGTGCCTTGAATGTAGCCTCTTTGGCCAAGAGATTGGATATGGGGATGTTGAGATGTTTCCATGATTCTAGATTGAGTAGTTGATAGAGAGAGACAAGACAAGATGAGAAGTGAGGTGAAAAGAGATAAGGATAGAAGGCGATAAGAGAGGGCGGAATCAAGGACGGTGTTTATATACACCTCCGTCGTCTATCATGATGATGAGGAGATAGGGAGATAGCCGACAGAGGAGCGATAGTGTCGGCAAATCTCTTGGAAAGGGCGGAATTGGAGAAGATTGTTGGTTATTTGAGATGGCCTGGCGATGAGTGTTGCGGGGAAGATGCATCGGGGCTAGAAGTAGATGCCGGTCCGAGGATAAAGAGATAGATAGATGGGTAGATAGAAAGAAGAGGAGATGAAATGAGATAAATTAGCAATGTAGTGTGAAGATGAGTAGAATAAGAGATGGAAAAGAGGGAAGAAACGTGACAATGGAAGAGTCGCAAATGGGAATAGCTTCATTCCTATTCTGATCCTCCACATATTTCCACCATCACAACACCACCAACAAGCAAACTCAATCGACTCGATCTATGCTGAATACGAACAATCCGTGGCTTCTGTTCTCGTTTTTGGCATCTCCGCATCATCTGACGTCAACCGGCCACTCAACAAACGCAGTCCTTTTGCTAAGCATCCATGGATCATCTCCGCTTTTGCTCCCCCAGCCATCATTCGATTTGCCATCGACCATCGTGAAGCATCGAATGCGGTGGTTGCACAGACTGGTTAATCGTCGTCATTGTGGGATACCCCTCTCTTATATAGGATCCCAGCCCCAATCCTGGAGGGGCAAGACTTCCACAGGCTGATATTTCCATCCCCTCGCCATCAAAGCAAGTTAAGAAACATTATCTTTTTCGACGGAAAACCCGTCACTGTCCATCCAAGGCAGAGTAAGTTACCTTTGGACCATCGAGATTTATGACGTCTTTGACTTCACTTGGCATGTGCCCTTGTCTGACTCTTATACCCATCCCACCACGGCTCAGATAGTAGGAAATACTCACTCTCATCAGATAAAATCATCCGAGTAAGTCAGTCAATCAACAATTATGGACGACAAATCTCCCCGTCATTGGCACGGCAACTTCGGTGATCGCTACGAGCATCACAACGTCTGGGTCAGAGGAGGACCTCCCCAGATCACGCCAGGAAGACGACCTTCTGCCCCAACCGAGGCAGAAAGAGCCGCTGCTGACAGACGTGTATGCGTCAAGAAACAATCATTTAGACCCTGAGTATCAATCGTGCTAACAGGTAGTTTTTCTAGGCCTCCACCACGTCCAACATGTCATCGTCGTCTTCCTCCAATGCCAACGCCAACGCCAACGCAGGCACTCCAACCACCCCCAGCGTTGGAGAGAGGAGAAGATCGAGTGCCAACCCGAACTCTCTCTTTTCCAACTTGAACACCCAGAAAAGAAACTCGACCGACCCAAATGCTGAGCAGAGGCGGGCGAGCTATAATGACCAGATGCAGCGGGGTGGGTTCTTTTCCAAGTGGTGGGATGGATATACTAAGGGTAATAATTGATTTTCTGTGACATTCATGATGTTGAACAATGCGTCAGATTGTCATGTGTTGAATCCAATTGTGTCGAAATTGGTTTTGTTAATAGTTCAAATAATTCAATGTACTTGCCATGTTATATAGTCAAGATACTTGAAAGATTGTAGAACCTTAGGCATGTTACTCCACATCTCATCCACTGGATGATCGGTGATGAGCCAGTAATTGGCCAAATGGCGGCAGTTTTCGTGAAAGATGCATGTCTACAATACTACGAAATGTCTACTCTTACCTTCGCCACAGCACTACGAGATGGTATTGTAGACATACCATCGCTGCTCTCTGGCGATATCTACCCCGTAGATAGACCCAACAGTTAGGGTCAGACCTAGACAACCAAATGATTGTCCAGTCTAAAAACCCCACAAAGACAATCAAGTCAAAAGGCCAAAGTCCACACACCGAGGTGCATGGACAGCATCATGGATACTTTTCATCAATGGTTATGCGGTAAACATCACCCTTCGTGAAGCCTTCATTGTGAAAAGTGGATGCATTGAAAATTTGTGTATTTGATCTCTATCACGCCTAGTCATTCTGCCGTGGTAGAAGACCGCTGAGCGAACAGTTGGGAAAAAACGCCCGCTTCTCGTGGTTCCTTTTTTTCAAATCATAAAACGCAACCCCTCCTCACCAACACTTTTCCTCGAGAAAAGCGTTTACCGGACGATACCGTCGAAGCGGTTCTTGAACCACTTGATGGTCTCGTTCTCGTTGATCTTGTGGTTGACACCGATCGAGGACTTGCAGCGGCGACGGCGGGCAACACGCTCACCAGGGCGGGTCCTATACCTTGTCAGTTTCCCATATTCGTAGTCTAACGGTGTGAAAGATGCACTCACATGCAGCAGTAGAAGTCCATGCCGTAGATACCGATACCGGGGTCGTACTTGATACCCAAGTCAATGTGCTCGCTGATACCGAAGCCGAAGTTACCGGTTTCGGAGAAGTTGCGCTTTCTCAATTCGTACTCCTTGACCTTGAGGCCACGCTCGAGGATCTCCTCAGCCTTGGGGCCACGGACGGTAACGTGGACAGCGATCTTTTCGTTACGACGGATACCGAAGGTACGGACGGTGTAGCGGGCCTTGCCTATAAGTCACAAAAAAATTTCGTCTCAGTCACTTGTCGCATAAAAAATTGTTGCCTCTATTTTCAGAAGACGAGATTTCGATTTCGGGCGTCCTTACTGTAGACCGGAGTCTGACCACTCAGCTGCTCAAGCACCTTGGCCGCACGGGTAAGTCTGTCACCAGACTCGCCGACACTGATGTTCAGCACGAGCTTCTGGATGCGCAGCTCGCGCATGGGGTTTGCGCTCTTGTCCTTTCCGTCCGACTGCATCGTAGAATTAGAATTTTTTATGCCTTTCCCGGTTTCCTGCTGGGATCAGGGGCAACATACCATGGTGATGGGTGCGTGATCTGGTCGACTCGATGGATGGAAGATTCGAAGATGCGGAAAGTGTGCAAAAGTGAATGTGTGGGCTGGCAGTGGGAAGCGAAAGCCCTTAGCGGCTTGGCGGTCGCTTGGCGCTAATCGCAGAGCCGCGTCGGGAACGACAGCGCGAGATAGAGATAGAGCGGAGACAGCGAGAGAGACAGCTTGACAGCTTAATTTCTCATCCAGACGAGCGGACAGGCTCAAAGTGAAGCTCTGGTAGAGGTTGTTTTCTTCTACCGTCTCACTACTATTCTTTGGTTTTACCCAAGTCGCATTCGTGCGCGCTTTCAGTCAATATGGCTGCCAACAAGCAAGGCAAGATGGTAAGATCATTTGCATCTGGATTGTCTCCATTGCTGGTTCATAGCTAACATTCTTTCTTGTGATCGATAGCAAAACCTCGTAAGCCTTATTTCCCGTGTTGTGGCAACTCGAAGTTCCCCGTTGAAGCCTAACGTCGATACAGATCAACTACCGGATGAGAGTGACTCTCAATGACGGCCGACAGATGACCGGACAAATGCTTGCTTTTGACAAGGTACTGCTTCATACTTGATTGGACTATCTGATTACGGTTTCATCGTTACTGACTAGGGATCTTCAGCACATGAACCTCGTTCTCGCAGACACAGAAGAGTTCCGTCGCGTCAAGCGGAAATCCAAGCCCGCTGCTGGCCCCGGAAACGCCCCTCTCGTGGAGGCAGAGGAGAAGCGAACTCTTGGACTTGCCATCGTGCGTGGTACCAACGTCGTTTCGTGCTCCGTTGATGGACCTCCCCCCGCCGACCCCTCCTCTCGTCTCGGAACAAGCGTTCCCAGTGCCGCCGCCGCCGCGGCCACTCTTGCCGCAGGCCCTGGTATTAGCAAGCCCGCTGGACGAGGCCTTCCAGTTGGTCTTGGTGGCCCTGCTGCCGGTGTTGGAGGACCGCCTCCCCCGCCTGGTGGTTTCGGAGGTTTCCCCCCAGGTGGTTTCCCCGGAGCTCCGCCACCAGGATTTGCTGGACGTGGAGGACCCCCCGGAGGACCCCGTAAGTACTGCCTTTGGGTTATTTGAAGATTGATCATGAGGACGAAGACTAATTTACTCATTCAGCTGGCTTTGGACCGCCCCCAGGATTTGCGCCAGCAGGTGCTCCTCGTAAGTATTTAGTTTATCATACTCTGCCCACTACTTGCTAATTTACGATTGCTACAGCGGGCGCTTTCCAGCCACCACCAGGATTCCAGCCCCCTGGCCAAGGACGAGGATTCCCCCCGCCGGGATTCGGAGGACGGTGAAGTGAATGATCGAAAGAAGCGTGATTGCATACGATTTTCCGACCGTGGATTAAAGCGCAGCCGGCTATCAAGTTGGAAAAAAAGAAAGAACGGAATACTAGAAACCAACCCTATTCAGTTGGTCGTCCAATGAATAGGTACAACACACCGATATCTACCAGGCAAAAGGCGTTGCGGCGCGTGCGGATGTGAGGGCATGTCCCCGAGCGAGAGAGCAAAGGTCGATCACCACATTTTAAGACCAGCAGAAGTAATGCTAGATATTTCCCGAGCACCTTTATTACTAGTTGAAATCATAATATGTCTTTGTTTCTGGGATTGTTTCCATTGTAGTTTTGTCGATGTTGACTGCTCACGTGACCACCCCGGTCAACTCCGCGATTCCGCCGTCGGTGACGGGAAGCAAAACGGCCTCTCAAAGCATCCGAGCACCTCCTCTCTTATCCCTCCCAAGCATCTCCTCTCTTTCCACAATGGCTGCTGCTATCAAGGCAATTAACGCAAAGATCCGTTCCAACAAGGTTCTGGACTATGTCTGCTCAACACGTACGTGCAATCCCGAAGCTCCTTATTCATGTTCTTCACCGAAGTCGGCCGCGGATAAGAGGCTCTGCGATGGAGATATCGACATGAGACGAAGGTCGACAAGAAGCGGAATTCAACCCGAGAGAAGAATATTGAGGGCCGTCACTTTGAGAAAGGACAGATAACTGACAGATTGCCTGAATTCCAGATTTCTGGGGCCCTGCCTCCAACTTTGGTATCCCCATTGCCGCTGTGATGGACACTCAGAAGGACCCTGAGATGTACGTTGCTACCTCTCCTTTACCTCTTACCTCTATTTCTGCGGCCATGTATAACGGAGGATTGCCTCGTTTCAATGTTATCGAAACACAATGCAGACAGAACTCAACTAACACATCGATCTCTCAAACAGCATCTCTGGACAGATGACTGGTGCTCTGACCATCTACTCTGGAACCTTCATGCGCTACGCTCTCGCCGTCTCGCCCAGAAACTACCTCCTCTTCGCCTGCCATGCGGTCAACTTCTCCGCCCAGCTCACCCAAGGATACAGATATCTCAACTACTGGAAGTATGTTGGACCCAGTCTTGTTTAGAAGCAGTGTCATTCTGACCACACACTCTTCTCTTCCCTCATACCCCGTATTAATTGTGACCATGGGGCTGACAAATACTTTTTACAGCTGGGGAGGCCGTGAAGCCGCTCTCGCTGCACAGGGCGCTCAGCAAGGCAAGGAAGCTACCGAAGCCGGCGCATAAACAATATGATCGTTTGGATCCGCCGTGTGTTACTTGCTTCTTGAAGATCTTGTTCTTATATATCTTATTTATCATACCGCAGCCTGTAGTAGACGCTAGACAAAAACAGTGGCCAAATGGAAGAAGAATGCGAACAGTACATAGTGACAAATGCCATGTATCCCGGTAAAAGGAGATATTTATGTACCTATGAGGATGGAGAGTTAGTCCTATTAGGTGGTTTTTACATGTCTATCTTGGTAATTGGAGTGTTCCAGTCAAGGCATTTCGTGCAGCTACTTGCTTTTCATGTAAATACTACTAGGCTCGAGAATTGAATGGACTGAAAACTTTTTGAATTTCAAATCATTTTAGACCTCATTCTGTTTTAGACACCGACGTATGAATTGAGTACAGGGCATGCTCGCAGAATATCGTATCTACCTACTTAGGAGACACTATACATAAACAGAAATCTACCCCGAAAACAAGGAGCAGACAAAACAAACTAAACCCGAAATGAACAAAAAAGAGAAATCAAGTCGCTTCCAAGCATCATGCTAGGATAATGCATTGTAGTTCACATCTAGACAGAAACGCCCAGTCGATAAGGATTGCAAAAAAACAAAAAAAAAAAAAAAAAAGGAACGTAGTCATCAAGTAATGATCGTAAGAAAATCCAAGCCATCCATCATCTATCGTTATCATACCAATCATGAATCACAATATCCAGGTGTCGCTTCGACCTCTCCACCAACCCAGTTGGCGATTGTTAACGAGGTGGTGTAGAGACAGCAGATCACTCCAAAGCAAGCAAGTACAATATCGGCGATTCTCTGCCTTCGTGATTTTGCACAGGCTTTGAGGTGCAGAAGAGGCTGTAATCGTCAATAGTTAGCGAGATAATTCTCAAGAAAGGATAAATTCATAAACATACCGGATAAACATAAATAAGCGGCACACACGCGAAACTTCCGACCAGCGAGACAAACTTGTCAAGGTCATCTGCACCACCCCAGCCAACAAAAGCGCAGATCAGGACGAGGAAGAATCGGAAGCAGTTCTTCTTCCATTTGATACCTGGGTTATACTTGCCACTGCGTGTGAAAAGCTCATTTTCGGTAATACGAATGGCCGGGAAGAGTTGCAATGGGGTACTCAGCAGAATCGCCAGGGAGTACAGGAACTGCACTGCGTTCACCAACTTGTCATCCTGGGGAAGATTAAGAAGGACCACGGTTTTAGTAGAAGATCCGTAAGCCGCGTAGCTAAGAGCACCCGCGGAGAGAAAGATGGCCGTAACGACTACCATGACACCGGCAAGGACAGCTGGGAATTTTCTTGGCTGCTTCATAGATTCTTGAATGGGAATGATCAAGCCAACACCCTCGTATGTGAAGATAGCGGTTCCGATAAAGAGCGTCCAGGTGGATGGATTGAAGGGTTTGACATCCGAAATTCCGCCCTGCTCAACGATAGTGCCGATATCGTAATAATAGATATAGATCAATCCCAACAAGATAAACAAATCTGCAATGAGCGCGGTGAACCCAAGCTTGCTAATGTCGCGGATCAAGGAAAGTGGCAGGAAAATGACCAGCTGAAGCAATACCATAATCTTGATATCAATGAATGATTTGCACTTGCTGACAGCCAGGACAAACGCCTGCAGATTCTGCGAAGTAAAAACGATATACGCAGACACGAATCCCAGCTGGCTCAGCACGATGGATCCGAGAATAATTCGGCGCATATGTTTCCCGTAAAGTACACCACCGATATCACCAAACGAACCCTCAATCTTGAGTCGAGAGTTGACCAGAAGAATAAAGGCATAATAACTGAGTGACGACACAGCAAGAAGGACCAAGCTACTGAAAAGCATACCACCATTCAAGAATGCTCTCGGCAAGAAAAGAACACCGGTGCCAACAAAAGACTTGAGCAGAAGGAGGGCTGCTCCGGTAGTTGTGTTGTTCCCTGTCCCACCGCGTGGCTTACGTCTTCTCCTGCCGGGGGTCTCTGGTCGAAGGAGGGCCGAGTCTTCACCAGGCTCCCTTTCTATTCCATCATATTCATCCCAAGAGGAAAAGTATTCATCTGGTCCCAAAGCTTCATCGTCCTCCTCAAGTTCTTCGCCCGCAAAGTGGCCGTACAGGGTCAAGAACTCGAGGAAGTTATTGGTCGGAAGGTGAGGTTGAGCGGAAGCTTCATGCGCCCCATAACTTTCGACAGCTCCTGGATGAGGGCTACCTGCTGCTCTGCGTATGTAGTCTCTGCGGAACCCTCCCGGCACTCGGATCGAGTTAATGTCCATCGTTTCGTTCCGCGGCGCAGGCCTATTGAAACTGAAACTCTTGCTCCGGAGATGTTTGCGTCCGTTACCCTCAGCATCGGCTTCCTCTGCCCATCGGTAAACCTGCCTTGTCATATCGCCTCCCTGGAGCTGCAAGCTGGAGAATTCGTCATCGCCTTGGCCTGTCCCAACATCCGCCGAAAAACCCGGTTCTTCAGCGTGTTGAGGCTGTACCAAATGTCTCTTCACCACTTCTGGATCCTCGTACGGACCTGCAGAATACTCTGACCCTTCACCTCCTTGGATGTTATTAAACGAACCGTAGTTGGATCTGACCGGCTTATCTAGGTTCGGCAAAGCGGGTGACCCTGTAGATCTTGGGGGAGTCCCAATTCTCGGAGGTGTCCCAAATCTCGGGGGTGAACGACCAAAGTTTTCCTGAAGCGCAGATGCAATCATGGATTGCCCGGGTCCCGTAAGAGAGGATGGATTGTCAGATTTCCTCAAGTCTTGTTCCGTGCCCGTGGCTGTCTGGATTGGAACTGGCAGTTGCCTCGACGAGTAGGAATTCGGCAAAGAAGGTACTGGAGAAGCCAGTCTCGCAATAGAGGCTTGTCTAATCCCACCCTCTGGAACAGGAGATCCGGAACGTCCTGGGGAGGTCGAGATCGGCGGTGATCGAGGGTCCCTAGAAGAACCCTCGCCGTTATCTGACAGCTTGAGAGATGCCATTTCGGTTTTCTTAGAGCAAAACGCGATCCAATTCAACACAAACAGTTGAAAGAATAATCAGCTAAGCTGAGTCCTTCACCGATTCCTAGCCTGACTTCTAGCGTTCTCGAGCAGAGACCGAGCAGAGGAGGTGAAGGCGAAGGTGAGGAGTGTTAAGGATTGAAGATAAGGATTAGTACACTGCAATAAATATACAAATAGGCATCAACTAGGGAAATTCTTTCTTTTATCGCCTTTGATTCATGCTGAAAGCTCAAAAAAGACGACTTCAGCCCTTGTAATCGATCACGAAGAAGGCCGAGGGAGGTCAGCTGCAAGAGGGAGCGAGACTAGCGGCAGATTTGCACTGTTTGTCTCCCGCCAGTGAGGTCATCGCCGAGGATCAACGGCGTCAAGTCAACAACATCACCACCACCAATTGACCCGCGTTGTTGGTTGGTTCCTATTAAATTCTATTTGGCTATGATTTGACTTATTACTTGTTTTGAATTTTCCCGTTTGCCACTGGGATATTGAAGAATAGCTATTGTTATTATATCTGCCTCCCAATACGGTGTAGCTTATTGTTGATCCCGTTGGCAGTTTTCGACCGGGATCCTCGCATGAAGAAACAGAAGCTGCCCCGCGTCCATACAGCCTAACCATATCAAATGACGTACGATCTGGTTGATCGTGAGTCGGAGTCCTTGCCTGGGAGAGGGCCCAACATCTGCACGCGAACTACCGAGGGAGATGGACACCACCTGGCTCCAGGCGATGACGATGCCTATGCGCACGAAGAAGAGGAACGGAACTCCCCCAATTGGGGACAGAGCCTATCGCCTATGAATTGTTTGGGTAATATTTGTCGCTGGAGGGGAAAGGGTCAAGGCAACGGAGCTCAAGGTGCCACAAGGGTGCCACACGAGTCCAACCATGACAGGAAGCAGAGGACTCGATCAATGGACAATTCGGGGAAGCTGGGGACCTTTTCAGGTGTCTTTGTACCCACGACATTGAATGTGCTGAGTATCCTTATGTTCCTTCGTTTTGGTTTCATTCTTGGACAAGGTGGCTTTCTCGGAACTATGGGTGAGTTATTTCGATCGATATACCATCTTTTCGAATGAAAACTAAACAGGACACTGAAGGACTGCTTATGGTTTCCTATACGATCAATCTCGTGACTACAATGTCTCTTTCTGCGATTGCAACAAACGGAACAGTTCGAGGGGGCGGCGCATATTACTTGATTTCTCGATCGCTGGGCCCAGAATTTGGCGGTTCTATTGGTATAGTCTTCTATCTGGGCTACGCTTTCAACACCGGAATGAATGCTGTCGGTCTCGTTGATTGTTTCACACAGAGCTTCGGGTCAGAGACTGGTACTTGGTCCAATTTTCTTCAGGAGGGGTTCTGGTGGGAATATCTTTGGGGAACTATCATCTTGATTCTCTGCACTGGAATTTGCCTGGCTGGAAGCTCAATCTTTTCGCGAGCAAGCAACGGTCTTCTCGTCATCCTGCTGGTGGCGACTTTCAGTATTCCTGTGTCCGCACTTGTTGTGAAGCCTTTCGGCATCCCACAGCATGGGGTGGGATTTACAGGTCTTCGGCTTCAGACATTTTTGGAAAATTTGAAACCCAGGCTGACCAAGGGTGCCGCTGGTAGCCAACTTCGCAAGAAGGAGAACTTTCAAGATCTCTTTGGAATCTTGTTTCCTGCTACCGGAGGGATTTTTGCGTATGTATATTCTCCCTCTATCCACCCAACAGTCAACTAAGTGATCCATAGTGGCGCCAGTATGTCTGGTGACTTGAAAAATCCCAGCAAATCGATCCCAAAGGGCACACTCTCTGGGCTAGCCTTGACGTTTGTCACTTATACCCTTGTCGTCCTTTCAATGGCGGCTTCCATCACAAGGGAATCATTCTATAACAACACCAATGTCATTGAAGTGGTGAGATTACACGATGTCAATAGCAAAAATGCCAACATTTGCTAATTTATAAAGGTTAATATTTCCGGGGTAGTTGTCCTCCTTGGAGAGTTTGCAACGTCGTTCTTCTCCGCTTTAATGGGTGTGATTGGCTCTGCAAAGCTTCTTCAAGCAATTGCTCGAGATGATCTTCTCCCAGGTATAAACATCTTCAGCAAAGGCACCAAGAAGCATGATGAGCCGGTTTATGCTATTATTGTGACGTTTATTCTCGCTCAGCTCACAATGCTTTTCGATATCAATCGGATTGCATCGTTCGTTACTATGACTTATCTCATGACATTTTTGGTGACAAATCTAGCATGCTTTTTCTTGAAAATTGGTTCTGCGCCAAATTTTCGGCCGTCCTTCCACTACTTCAATTGGAAGACTGCCGCAGCAGGTGCTTTGGTTAGCGGTGCCAGCATGTTCTTTGTGGATGGAATTTATGCCACAGGCTGTGTTGGCATCCTTGTCTTTCTGTTCTTGTTGATCCATTACAGCTCGCCCCCTAAACCATGGGGCGATGTCAGTCAGAGTTTGATCTATCACCAAGTACGCAAGTACTTGCTTCGACTTCGGCAGGAACATGTCAAATTTTGGCGTCCACAGATTTTGCTTTTTGTGAACAACCTTGATGATCAATTCAAGATGGTCTCCTTCTGTAATTCACTGAAAAAAGGAGCCTTGTTTGTACTGGGGCATGTCCTCGTGACGGACGATTTTTCGGCTGCTGTCCCAGAAGCCCGCCGCCAACACAGCGCGTGGACGAAGTTTGTTGAGTATTCCAAAGTCAAGGCATTTGTCAATATTACCATTTCACCCTCTGTGGAATGGGGTGTCCGGAATATTGTCTTGAATTCTGGTCTAGGAGGAATGAGACCGAATATCGTTATCATTGACCAGTACCGCAGGGACCAGTCATTGGCTGAAACTTGGAGAAAGAGCTCCAGTGGCAAATCATCTCACTCGCATGAAAGAAATGATGAGAATTCAGACCGTGTCAGTCAAGGGCCGCAGATGAACTGTAAAAGCTATGTGACGGTTCTTGAGGATCTTCTTTTTAAACTGCGTATCAATGTCGCGGTGGCTAAGGGATTCGAAGACCTCGAGCTGCCCAAATCGGATGGACGAAATGAGAAGAAATATATTGATCTCTGGCCCATTCAAATGTCTGCAGAACTCGGGGCAGATAGCGAAATCAAGCAAAATGTGTTGACAACCAACTTTGACACATACACTTTGATCCTCCAGCTAGGATGCATCCTCAATACAGTACCGTCATGGAAGAAGACATATAAGCTGCGGGTATCTGTCTTTGTCGAGTACGAGACGGATGTCGAGGATGAACGAATAAGGGTTGAAGCTCTTCTCGAGAAGCTGAGAATCGAAGCTGAGGTCATGGTATTCTGGCTTGCATGTGGTGATTTGATGGCATATCGGATCATTGTCAATGGCGATGCCTCTCCCGCGACTGAGGATTCCCAGAGTCATGTTCATGCAACTCTGAAGGATGAGGAATGGTGGCAGGACATTCAAAATGCCCGCAAGCGCGAAATATCGCGAGACCAAGGCAGGGCCGTCAGACAGAACGAGCCTGTGTCCAGCTGGCAGGGCCCGTCTAGTTTCGAAAGTGGACGCAGGCCGCAGAACCACATGGTTGGTGACTTGAAAAGACTCTTCCAGTCTTCCAGGCGCAAGCGGTCCATTTCGAGTTTCCGGGCAATGCGGGGCATCAACCTGGGCATGCAGACTCACCGTCTCCTTGATGCCTTTGTTGACTACGATGCCATAGACACCACCAGTGAGAGTAGTAGTGACGATAGCGAGTTTGAGCCATATGAAAGCGACGACGATAACGAGAGCGATGATAGCAAAACCATTAGCGCGAAAAGCAACACAGGCGCTGAAATGGGTGACGAATCTGAGGGCCTACAGCCTCCGCAAAGGTCGAATCGAGCAAGTGAAGACAGCCTGAGTCCGAAGACTGTGGAGCGAAACCCAACCGCTGGAGCTGCTGAATCTTCAAACTCCCGATCTCGAGAGATCCCAACCATACTCACAACCGGGGAGACGAACCCACCCAAAAACCAGGCCCCTGCTGGACGGCCATCTGCGAGTCGCCGGCCATCCAGCAACCGTTTCAGTTCTGCACCAATTCCTGAAGCTCGAGTAAACACGGACGAAGGGGTGGGTCCGTCCATCATGTTTGCTGCCACCTCATCACCCACACGTGGTTCCAACCCTCCCGAGTCGATCTATGCGCACCATTCGTCTTCAGCGACTGCAAAGTCGAAGAAAGCGGCCACTGGATATCCCAGCCAAGCCTCGATACCACTGTCGTTCAATGACCTTCCTAGTCGCGCACAGCATTTGATCCTCAACGAACTGATGGCCCGGCAAAGCAGCGAAACAGCCGTGATCTTTACGACGCTGCCATCGCCTTTCGAAGGCACGTCGCAAAGTGAGGAGGCGAGTGAGAATTATCTGAGTAACCTCGACGTACTGTGGCAAAATCTGCCGCCCTGTTTGCTGGTCCACAGCAATAGTATGACTGTAACGATGAACCTCTAGCGTTGAAGCGGATCTTTTTATGCCGCATTTGATGTTTTTGAGATGAAGATAGACGATTATTGTTGGGCATATAAGCGTATATAGACAATACACCTTGACCTTTCCAATGAAGTGTTCTTGATAACGCATGTTTGCCAGGGAGAACTGGTTGTCCAGCTGATAGATAGAGAGGGAGTACATATTCCGCGAGTGAGGGTTGGTTACACAACATCCCAATTGGGTAACACATGATGCCAACGGTGCAACGGCACGGAAGATTTTCTCTAACGACTCGACGATCAGATTGCCGAGTCGAGAACGTGAATAGTTAACGGCTGATGCTAATTATGGATTCTCTTTCTAGTAGGACTATTATTATTATTATCATTATCATTATTCTGCCTCGAACAGCTCGCGTGCAATTAATTTCCCGGTGACCATTTCCACGCCTGCCATTGGCCACGGCCTTCCGCCGCCAGCTGAACTCCTCCATCTGGCCTGCGTCGCTTCATTATCGTCGGTCTTTATTCAACTCTGGGCTGATTTCTTCATGCAATCTGGCCTGGTGATCGGCATGGATGTTACCAGTCTACTTTAATACCTAATCTTGCGCATCCCCGTTCGTCACTTCTTGCCGCAGTCTCTCTCTCTGTTTCTTTTTCCTTCTCTCGTTCTCTCCCTCTCTCCTTTCTTTCTCCGAGATAAACTAGCCAAGGTACGGAGTAGTCTCACTCAACCCCCTCCTTTCTTCTCCCCGCTTTGTTCCAGAACAATCATGCAAAACGCTCAAGCCTCCGGTTACTAGTTGAAAAAGGTACTAATGGCCCAAAGAACATTCGTTTAGTGTCTGAATCTTACAAGTGATACAAAGAACGCCCTCCTACTCCTCCCCCAATTTATAATCGCTGCCTACAACGACGACAACGACAGGAACAACTTTTACAATAGCACCATTCCTTAGCCTGTTACGAACAGGATGGAGGACCCGAAGAAATACATGACGCGAAAGGCTTCATCGCCTATGGCGCCCGCCTTTATGGTGTCGGCGCCAGGCAAGGTCATTGTTTACGGCGAGCACGCTGTCGTCCACGGCAAGGCAGCATTGGCTGCGGCCATTTCCCTCCGATCCTACCTCCTCGTCACCACGCTCTCCAAATCGCATAGAACAGTCACCTTGAACTTCAGAGACATTGGCTTGAACCACACCTGGAACATTGACGATCTGCCCTGGGCGATTTTCCACCACCCCTCCAAGAAGAAGTTCTACTACGACCTGATCAATTCCCTCGACCCCGAGCTTGTCGCTGCCATTCAACCGCATGTGGACGCCGTGTCGCCGGACGCATCGCCCGAGCAGCGCAAGATCCATCGCAACTCCGCATCCTCCTTCCTATACCTCTTCCTCTCCCTGGGTTCTCCGCAGAGTCCAGGGGCCATCTACACCCTTCGATCTACAATTCCTACCGGTGCTGGTCTAGGAAGCAGTGCCAGTGTCAACGTCTGTGTGAGTGCTGCGCTGCTTCTTCAGATCCGTACTCTGGCGGGCCCCCATCCCGATCAACCTCCGGATGAGGCCGAGGTGCAGATTGAGCGAATTAATCGCTGGGCGTTTGTTGGGGAGCTGTGTATTCATGGCAACCCTAGTGGTGTGGACAATACGGTCGCTGCGGGCGGTAAGGCCGTTATCTTCCGCAGGGGAGATTATTCCAAGCCACCCTCTGTCAAATCGCTTCCCAGCTTCCCCGAACTCCCTCTCCTTCTCGTCGACACCCGACAATCGCGTTCCACCGCTACAGAAGTGGCCAAGGTTGGCAAGCTGAGGGAAGACCACCCCGTGGTGACTGAGTCAATTCTCAACGGCATCGATCAAGTCACTGTGTCTGCGGAAGAGCTTGTAGAAAGCCCCGACTTTGATGGACTCTCTGAGAAGACCTTTGACCACCTAGGTGCCCTCTTTCGCATCAACCATGGCTTCCTGGTTTCGCTGGGCGTTTCTCACCCTCGCCTGGAGAGAATCCGCGAAATTGTTGACTTTGCCGATATCGGCTGGACGAAATTGACTGGTGCTGGAGGCGGTGGTTGTGCGATCACTCTACTTCGGCCGGATGCTAAAGAGAGTGTGATCAAGGACCTCGAAACCCATTTCCAGGAAGAAGGGTTCGGCAAGTTTGAGACCACGCTGGGAGGAGACGGAGTTGGTGTTCTCTACCCTGCAGTGCTCCGTAACGGCAGCGACGAAGAGGGTGGTGAAGAGATCGACCAGCAGAAATTCGAGCTGGCAGACGGTACCGAAGGTATCGAACAACTCGTTGGCGTCGGCGTCCAAGAGAGGCGCGAAGGCTGGAAGTTCTGGAAGCGTGCGACTCGATGAGGCTTACCAACAACTTAAAATCCTATGGACATTGCGAGCCATCTTTCTTCACACACGTTCGACTTTCTCGGGACCTTTGATTTGTGATATGCATTTAATCTTCTTACTACCATGTGTTCTACTATTGTCTTTATTTCTTCTCTTCTTTCAGTCCGACATTTTGTTAACCACTGTCTGCTGGTATACCATTGGTCCCTTTCTATTTCGGACTTGATACTTTAATGGTCATCATTATTTTTTCATTCTCCTAATTCCCCCCAAAAAAAAAAGGCTTACCAAAAAGCAGAGTTTTTGCATTGTTCTCTTTTCGGGGGTTTTATTCGGCTAACGGTGTTCGTTGAAGTGAGCATCTATATATAAAAGTAAATAGAATGATAATGATGCAAGACTATATATCAATTTGGTACATGAATAAATCTGGGTATAAAAATCGTAGCACGTCATTATATATACTGATATCTCTGCACCTTCCATCAGCCCATCGTAGTCTCCCAGCCATTTTCAATCATGACATCCATCCAGTAAACGGTCGACTCCCCGGCATCCATTCGCTTCCACATCTCCCGCACAAGCAAAAGACACACATTGATTGGCTTTGGAGGTAGAACGTGCAGGAAAGAAGTGAGTCGACCGAGGACGAACTTACGGGTGGTGGAGACCTCGATGGCATGCGACGAGATGCCAGTTGGATTATTGGTATCTGGGTTGAGCTCTGACGAGGGCGTGGGTGCTGGTAGTCGCAGTTCACTGCTGGCTGCTACGAGGAGAAACGGCTGGAGGCATCGAGTGCGGGATTCCAAGGGTATGGTTTTGAGGCGGGAGAGGGTGGTCAGGGCGAATTCGGCCAGCCAGCTATCGTAGTAAGCGTCTGATGGTGGCGGTGATGGTGGTGGTACAGCATCGTCCGTGCTCTCGAAGTTTAGAAAGCCGGTCATGTTGTCCATGATGGGATCCGGGTCTATGGACAGGAATGGATCGCGATTGGCCATTGACGCTGACGTCTGGTAGAGCGGTGAGGATGGAGTTTGCGCGGGTAATCGACGGCGAAGTAAATCAGGGAACGCGCGATATAGCTGCATGAGACCTGTGCAACGGTAGACTTCGGCCATGGTGAGGAGATGCCAGACGGGGGTGTCGTCATCGCCAGGACTCACGATTTCAGCCTCTGTCGGATGGGCAAGGTCGAGGAGTCTTTCTTCGAATGCACGCGCTTGCTCAATGGCCCTCTGCGCCTGTGTGATGTCCGCCTGGGAGGTGAAGCTACGGGAGCGAACTCGTTTTCTCTCACGACGGACCAACCGCCCCACTTCCTTGACGATGAACTGTGTATCACGGGCGATACCAGTCCATGGATGTGGCACTTGTTGCAGGACGATGGATTCTTCCATGCCCGAAGCTGTGACGGTGACCGCATCGTTGTCTGCGACGAATGACAGGAGCATTTCCCAGTAAACGAGGGCCTCTTCGAAAAATCTGTGGTTGTTGCTGCGATTGCCTCGGAAAATGTACTCGGAATTGTTGAATGACATGGCGTTGAGGTTTTTCCGAAGTAGGTTAAAGAAGGAAATGCCTAGATCCTTGGGGTCGTGCCAGCTGGCTGTCTGCCCAAGCATGAGCAGAGCCAGTAGCGACTTGTCATCCATTTCTGACTCCTTGGTGATGATGTCGATGGCTTCGTTGCGCATATTCAAGCCGATCGGGCCGAACTGAGGGAAGTCGTTCACCAGAGTTGCAGCCGCCATACTCTGCATGGTTCGACACATGGCCAAGGAGGATCCCCAGAGGCGAGAAACCGTAGATCGAAATGGGTTCATCTGACTATCATAGCTCGAAAACAAGGCAGCCACCTCTTTGAAGTAATACTCGATAAGGGTCCATGATGGGTTATTCAAGGGCCGAGAAATCGACATGTGGTTGCGCTGCAAAGACTTGGAAGGCGCTGGCGGATAGCTACGCACGATGGTAGACGGGGAGAATCCCTGGAACGTGCGATGGTCATTGTGAACGGGAGCTGCTAGAGATAACAAAAATGACGTATCTGGCGAGTTGGTGAATTCGAAAGGCGAATCTCGTTGTTGCGCTCCCTCTACTGCTGTCGCTGTGGTCGGCGATGGAGGACAGAGATCGATCAGTTCTGGAAGAGTCGTTGCCCCCTGGAGATCCCATAGATTGCCGCATAGAGCACTTGTTTGTTCCACCCCTACTGCTGGTTGCGATGTGTTGTGGTCGGTAATGGCAGTAGGGTCCAAAACCGCGTTGAACTCCACGGGGGACGGCCCAGGATCGACAACTTCTGATGGATGGGGCGAGGAAAACGACCGAAAACTCGGTGAGACTCTGCTTTCCGGCGGCAGATCGTTTGAGTTGGTATCGTTGTTATCGTCATTATTGTTGTTATCAGGCTCTTCGTATTTGGTCACCCAACGGAGAGACTGAATGTAGCCCGGACACTTGACACCCAAACGCGTGCAGCGATGGCAATGAGGTTTCTCTTCATCGCATTTGACCTATTCATGAAGCCATCCGTTAGTATGTTTGTGTTCTATGGTGGGCTATGATGACGACGACGATGACGATGGGGGATGGATCAGACCGACCCGTTTACTTTTGCAGCGTGCACATCCAGTGCGGGACTTTTTGACTCGTCGCATGCCTCAAACAGGAAACTCGATGGTCATTTATGAGGGAGAAAAGCCTTGAGCGATGGAGGATGGTGATGATGAGGAGCATTTTGGGGAATGTTGTGAGGGGAAGCAGGCGATTCTGGTTATTGTGCGGGGAAGAAATCTTCTAAGCGATCTGGAAATGCTTTCCTATTTGGGTTATTTGATTCTCGTTAGTCTGTATATATAATCTTGTCCTGGATAACGAGTATATTGAAGATATCGATTCGAAGTCATGATTCTGCGCATGTAGTCTTTCTCTTTCGTCTCTTGCTTGTGATATGGTCAATGGAGTAGGAATCGACAAGGTTTATCGATCATGCTTAAAAAAATCAACTGTCATATTAATAGTATGCTTTGATCAAGCGGAAGACAGGTCAGATCTGATCTCATGCTTTTGATCTGATACTGATGCTGATTCTGAGTCTTTTGTGACTCCATGAGACTGTTTGTATGTAGTTTAAGCGTCAATGAATAGAGGTTAATCAAAACAAGACCGTGTCAGTTGTATTGAATCCACCAAATAAGCATTGATTGGCATTGATTGGCATTGATTGACATTGGTTATTCCAATCTATTCCAACTCTAGTTCATATAACTTGTCACAAGCACGAAGAAGCAATACAAACTATTGTCCTCTACTGTCGCTCTGTGATGCCGTCATGCCCATTTGGGAAACCACATGATTTCCCCTTTTCTCCTTTCCGCTAAAAAACAACGAAAATCCCCACCTTGCGACCTCAATAATTCCCCCAATTTCCGCTTCCTAAAAATAAGATCGTCTCCATTCTTGCCCCGATGCCATCATTCCGTCATCGATTATGCCATCTCTTGCTTCGATTTTTACTCTCTCACCACTGCTGAGTCCACAGTTGCAGTCCCACATGTTGACAGTCGGTCGGGGTTGTGATCCTCTCTCATCGTCGGCGGCTGGGCGTGCAGTGCTCAATTTCGATCAGCAAATACTCGACTTTGATGGAAGGATTACGACGCGTTCCTATATATTCCTGAGAGATTTCTTCAGATCGGCATAAACGAGGTGAGAATGCGTTTAAAATATCTTCCACGTTCTGAAATAATACAGAGTGATGAATGATAACTGAACATCTGTTTCAGGCACTTTCAGCCGTCTCGCTGCGACCTTGGGGCGAATTTACGAAAAAATAACCAATTCATTTCTTCCAGATGCAAGGGGTCTCCAATAAGCTACTCAATGCTACTCCATGTCCCATCCCGCCTTTGAATTCTCGAGTGGATTACTCGTGTGCACATTTACCGCATCCGTCAGTGGTATGGAATTTGATGGGTCAAATTTTTCAATAATGGAGCCTCCGGGCACTCCCAGGGAGCTGGCGTCCAAGACAGCGACCGACTAAGTTCGTGTATCGACCCAGGATAAATCACCCAATATGCCTTAGGCGGTTCGGCCCCCCCAGAGAATGACCAGAGTTCCAATCATAAACGGACACGATGATTCATTGATTCAATTCTCTCAGCCTTACTAGAGCCTCCGACGGAACCTCCGTGCGAGAAAAAAGAATTCATAACTTAAACTCATAAGTCATAGTAAAAGGCTAAGCTCATGCTAATGTACAAGTCGTGCATGCTGACACAGGAGATTACGACTTGGGGTCTTGGGCTGTACCTGTGCTCTGTGGATGGTTCCCCTTATGACCCGCCGCCATCATCCGAGGGTGAGACTCCAATTAATTCCCTGGGCCCTTGGACCCTGTGGTGGCGGCCACACTAAGTAGTTGAGCCTTGAGCGATGTATCTTCGCATTGGACTCGAGTTTATTATTATCGTCCAGCAGATTGGATCGTGTGACATCTTTCCTACTTCTGTTTTCGCCTAAAGACTGCACTGCCGAGGAGTAGGTTCATCGAACAAAAAAAGAAATTGGCTACCAGGGTGGGAAATGGTGTCATTGGCCACCACAATAGAGATCTACAATAATGCTTGCGGGCCAAAATCTCATCGGCCACGATTATTCGTTTTCGTCTCGTGTCCTGGGAGCCTCAGCTCAAAAATTGTCCACGTCCGCGGCCCCGTGGCTCATCAGATCGCTTCATTGATGTGCGCCTCGGAAGTGGCCAATATTGTACAGTACAACACTGCTCCACCCAGTTGCCTGTGCTGTTATTGCATTTGCTGGCCATCAAGGACAGCAGGGCTTTGACTTTTCACCCTAAATCTTGGACGGATCCATCCTGGATGATCTAAAGAGGGCCGCATCTGCAATTCGCATCCTCCGTAAATGGACACATTGGCTCGACAGCCCACCGTATGCTGCTGCGCCATATTATTATTTCTGAGTCCTTTAACTATCCTCTCTTTTCTGACTCAATGATGATTATTTCTTACATGTAATCCGACCTCGTGGGCCTAACAGTCGACTTTTCGTTTACTATCATTCTTTTTTACCAGACATTGTCGCAGTCTGGTATTCCTCACTCCTCCCCCTTTCTGATATTATTGTTTTCTACTTTGGCGTCACCTTCGCGTGTCGCATGATGTTAACGCTGGCCGTTTAACCTTTTGATCTGATCATCGATTGATTTTCCCGTATCTCTCTTCACATACAGCCCATCATGCTCGCGCCTCGGTCTCAATTTCTACGGCCTTTTCTATTCTCCGTCCTCGTTGTTTCGGCTCTTTCTTCTAAACTGCTTCACCTATTGCAACACGTGAACTCCGTTCCCACCCCTCTTTTTATCGTCTATTTCACCACTTTTTTCATCCAGGAGGCGATTCTCTTCGTCGCGGTGTGGTTTTCGCTACAAAAGACTTCCGGAGGCAAAAACGTCCTAGCAACTGTCTTTTCGGGGATACTGACGTACGACTCTCACATATCAACTGTCGCAGTGCGCAAATGGCTGATAATTTTGTAGATGTATTACTCTGTTCGCTGCCTCGTCCCAGCTTGGCTTTTACTCCGTCACTGGCAATGAAGTCCGTTGGGATGCCGCCAAAAGCGTCGGCAATGATCCGGAGGGGAGGAAACTGATGCTCAGCGGCCTGAGACCTGTTCTCGTCGCGACTGTAACCCTTCTGATCGCATCGTGGTTACTAGCTTCTAGCATTTACGGATTAATGACCCACTGGATGACCGCCCTTTTTACTCGGACCGACACTGAAGATTCGAGCAAACAATTGCCAGGCGCGTTTTTAAACAGCCGATTCCCAACTGGAAGCCCGGTCCGATTCTGGACTGGATGCGCCACCGCAGGAACGATAGTGTTGTGGCTGATTCGACCCTCGGTACCGTACAGACACATCTCAGGCGCCCTTCCATTTACTTTATTCCAGGCTCTTGGCCCGCACCCCGGATCGCATCATACTGCCGCCGTAACGTTTCCGTTTCCGAATTTGGTTCGAGGGGAGTTATGGGAATCTGCTCATGGGTATTATAAAGGCTGGGCTCCAGGCGTTGATGGTCTCCCTTATGCTGAGGATTATTTCAACAACCGGCCTAACTGGGCTTCCGGCGAGTTGCCTGACGGGTTTAAACGATGGACCGATCAGGGTCTTAATGCGAACGATTCCAGTGTCGACAATGGCAATGCAAGCGAACCGATTAATTTTTACAACCCCGTGTCCGACCCATTAAGAATAACGAACCTGGATCTCGACATGTTGGAACCGTTGGAGCAGGCATTAAAAGAACACCACGTCCCGATCACGCATGTTATGCTCGTCATGATGGAAAGCACCCGGAAAGATGTGTTCCCTTTGAAATCCGGGTCGTACCTTCACGACAAGATTATTGAATCGTATGGCAACACGGACTCGGAAACTATCGCACTAGTCAACGCCAATCTATCACAGATGACGCCCGTCTCAGAGCAACTTACCGGTGAGTCTAGTGGATTTTCGAACACAGACAACATCAACCTACCAGAAGGGCTATGGAAAGACACCGCGAAATCCGGAATGGGTGGTATCAATGTTGGTGGGATAACGACCGGTAGCAGCCTTTCGTTCAAAAGTGCTGTCGTGAATCACTGCGGTGTAGGACCGCTACCAGTTAACTTCATGGACGAAGTCCATGCGGATATCTACCAGCCGTGCATCATGCAGATCTTCGAGTTGTTCAATCGGTTGAAAGGCGATTTGTCAAGCAGTACCAAGGCCAACTCTGCTAAACCAGTCCACGATCGCAAATGGAAGTCGGTTTTTGCGCAGTCCATTACAGGACTGTATGACAGTCAGGATGTTCTTAACGAGAAGATGGGTTTCAATGAGAGCATCTACCGGGAGGATATCTTCAAATCCAGTGCTAAATACTATCACTCGGATATGGAGAAGATCAATTACTTTGGGTAAGGAATTCTGTCTATTTTTATTCATCTATTGGACTATCAAATCTGACTAGCTTGCAGATACCCTGAGCCTGAAGTCTATCCATACCTGAAAGACGTAATCGAGGATGCGAAGAAAAGCAACACTAGGCTCTTTCTATCTCATTTCACGAGTACCACTCACCATCCCTGGAACACACCCTCGGGGTACAAAGACGAAAAGTACTTCAATGAGGACAACTTGCTGTCAGACCATGAACATATGAACAAATTCCTGAACACAATACGCTACGTAGACACCTGGTTGGGTGACATGATGAAGCTGCTGGAAGACACGGGCATTTCCGATGAGACATTGGTTGTTTTCGTTGGAGACCAGTAAGTCATGAACCAAAACATTTCCATTGTGGATAAATCACTGACTTCCATCTAGTGGACAAGCATTCGATGAAGATGCCCCTGTTTCGGGAACCTACGAAAATGGTCATATTAGCAACTCCCGTGTTCCATTAGTTTTCCGTCATCCTCAATTGCCGCGTATGCAGATCAACGCCAATGCGACATCACTGTCTATCGTCCCCACCATCTTGGACCTTCTAATCAGTACGGGGTCTCTGAATGCGAAGGACACAGACATTGCCCGCGATTTGACAAACGAATATGAAGGACAATCCCTCATCCGTCCATACAAAGCGATCCATAATGGTCGCCAGGCATGGAACTTTGGCATCATCAACCCCGGAGGCACTATGCTCAGCGTTGGATCCGCTGCAGTTCCATACCGTATCATCCTCCCACTGTCGGAAGACTTTGAGTACAAGTTTTCGCATTTGGAGAAAGACCCCAATGAGCTGGCAATCATCTCCGACTGGGATCTGGATCAACTCTCCTACCAAGTCCGCCGGGCACATGGCGATGAAGCAGGGGACTGGGTGAAGGACGCCGACAAGATCGGTCGGTGGTGGGTGCAGGAGCGCAAACGGCTCTGGAATCACCGGGAGCACAAATAGACATGATGTAAATAAATAATTACTGTATTAATAATGTAATCACGACCAAAAGAACTCACTTTTGCTGCTACTGTCGATGCTTCTTTCGTATTGTTCTGTAGCATATTGTCCCCTGGGTGCCTCAGGCTGCTACTGCCCCACCTGGCAGAATCATACTAACTGCTCCTCATCCTCAACAACAACGACAGTTCACGCATCTTTCAGCAGAGAGAACACAGATCAATCATTTCCTGCTTCCATCACGCTCGGCTCGAGAATCGGTTGATCTAAGAGTGTTGGAGACAATTATATACCCCTCATCCTTCCCGACGGCAATCAACGTCATTGCGATTTGATAACTCCTTGCTGCGTTTAATCATCGGGAGACTCTTCAAAATGGACGGGAAATACTCCTCAGACCCCGAATGGGCTTCTATCGAGCCAATCCAGCTGAACGATGGCTCTGACTCGGGCGCTGCCCCCCTGGCGACCATCGCCTATTCCGCGGAATATCTCGAGGCGACTTCCTATCTCCGGGCGGTGATGGCGGCCAACGAGATGTCCGAGAGGGCGTTGAAGCTGACTGAGGATGTGATTTCGATGAATCCGGCTCATTATACTGTATGGTAAGTGTGTATTCATCCTCTTCTTCAGTAGGGATATAAGTGGTTGGCTAGGAGCGATTGACTAATTGGGTTCTGTAGGATTTACCGGTCAAAGATACTTTTTGCTCTTGAGAAAGATCTCATTGAGGAGCTTGAGTGGCTGAATGGGGTCTCGTTGAAATATCTTAAGAATTATCAAATATGGTATATTAACTGAGAGAGGTATACGAGAACAGCGCTGACAGAACAACCCCAGGCACCACCGTCAAGTTCTAATGTCATCGCAAGCCCACTTCCCAACCATCCCAGCCAAAGAGTTAGATTTCCTCATGGAAATGTTCGCCCAGGATTCTAAAAACTACCATGTCTGGACCTACCGACACTGGCTAGTCCGTCATTTCAAACTCTGGGATGCGCCTAGGGAAATCCGAGACGTGGAGACGCTTCTCAAATCCGACGTCCGGAACAACTCGGCCTGGAACCATCGCTTCATGCTGCGATTCGGACCACGTGGTGATGATGAGTTCGACGCTGGAATGTCAAACAGCAACAACGTCCCGTCGTCCGAAAAGGGCAGACTAGCTGTCGTCGACGAGGACGTTGTCGATGCAGAATTGAAATATGCGCAGTCGAGAATCCTCTACGCCCCCGAGAACCGTAGCCCGTGGTCATACGCACGGGGCGTGCTGCATGCCTCTGGCCGACCATTGTCGGAGTGGAAAGAGTTTGCGCTGAAGTTCATTGCGGAAAAGGAGGGTGGCGGTGTGGAGGTGAAGAGCAGTCATGCTATTGAGTGGATGGCGGATGTCTATGCCGAGGAGGCATCTTCTGAAGCTGTTAGGATGCTTACCCTCCTCAAGGAGAAGTATGATCCTATCCGGAAGAATTATTGGGATTATAGGATCAAGATGCTGTCCACACAGCCCGCTGTCTCTGCCGCAGCATGATGTTTTTATTTAATTTTATTGTATGGAGTTTTGTCATTGCTTATCATGATGGTAAGAATTTGATAAAGATTTCTTTTATTTTGGATTCGTAAAGATAAATATTAATAGCCATAACTGAAATATATGAACGTCGCAAAGGTATAAATGCATCCATCGTCAACCATATCATTAAAAGATCGGATAAAATCCCCACCCATCTATTTATTGTCCCCATCCCTGCTTAAGCATCCCTCTCCACTCTACTGCCGAGTCAATGGTGACATTACTACCACCACAGACAATGATCACCACCCTACTCTGCGGTCCCAGCTCAGGGACAAGCTGTTTCAGTTTGGACTTCAATCCACCGGCAGAGGTTGATAGAGGTGCATCAGCAAGAGCCTCATCAATATCTGCCTCTGACGACGATCGATCATCACCATATCCTTCATCCCTTAGGGGTTGTTTATCAGAGGATCCCCTCTTGCGCTTCCTGCTGCGCTCTGCGTTCGCTTCTGCTCCAGACGACGAGATCTGAGGCTTTGCTGCTGTTGCTGCATCGCCAACTGCAGCCTCAACGCACACACCGCACGCCAATTCAACAAGCAGTCGCTCATCATCGACAAGACGGAGAACACCCCTTGCTGCATCAGCATCGGAGAGAACTGCACTGTGTACGGCAATGCCTGGAGGTGGGGAGGTAGCGTATTGGAATGTCTTCTCCGAGACACGAATAGCGCCTAGAGATGTAGCCTGAGAGGTGATTTTGGGGAGGGAGACGAGGGATTTGCGGGCGACGGCGAGAGCGAGAGAGTCGGTGCCTTCGGTCTCGATGGCGAGGAGGTGGGTTGGGTTTTGCTTCGTGGTTATTGTTGCTGCTGCGAGCTTTTGTGTTTTTCTGTATCTTTCTAGGCCCATGACTAGGCCGTTCAGTAGACCGCCGCCGCCTACACTGCATATCACGGCGTCCATTGGGAGAGGTTTGCCACGGTAGGCGGCTTCTTCCTCCTCGTCACCAGCTGTGGGTGGGGGAAGCTGAGTGGCTAGTTCGTCCACGATTGTGCTGTTTCCTTCCCAGATAAGCTCGTTATCGAAGGGGTGGAGGGCAATCTTGGCCACATCCTTGTCACCCTCATCGTCCCCTTTAGTCTTCATCACCACCTCTTTCATGTATTCTCCGGCCTCGGAAAAGGTTTCCCCATGCTTAATCACGTCCACCGCGCCCGCAGTGAGCAGCTTCTCCACCATCAAAGGTTTCGTAGATAGTGGTACTACCACCGTGCAAGGGTATCCCAGGCTGCGAGCCGCGCAGACAGCAGCGAGGCCGGCGTTGCCGCCTGAGGATGCGAAGAAGTGCACGTCACGTTTGACATTCTCCGGTTTGGTGAGATGGGAGAGGATCTGATTGCCCATAGCACGGGACTTGAAAGATCCGCTGGGCTGGACGTTTTCCAGCTTCAGAAAGATCCTACAGCCTGCTGCCCGGGAGAGCGAGGCTGATTCCACGAGTGGCGTCTCTATCCATGGAGTTTTGAAGATGGACTTCGCTTCTTCGGGTGAGATGCTTCCCATAATGGATATGATGGGCAATGTCAAGAAAGAAAAGATGATAAGGAAGGGAAGAAAAAGAAGAGTATGGTTTGGTTGAAAGTAGTATACAAGATCTTTCGCTCAAGGGTTGGGACGGAAGTATAAGAACAACAAGGAGAATCAAAGATAAACCAAGGCAGCCGAGAGTCACCGCGAATGCCTGATGAATGATAAGAACAAAAGCCCTATTAAACACTGATAACTGATAATAAAAATTATATGTGAACAAACCGTGACGAAACGCCCATGTTTTGATATACAAACGAGTCTTTCGGGCGCCATAGATGGTTTGCCGCGGAAAACCATCGAGTTTCCCGACCCGATATCAGTCACATCTGGTTGCAGTGGAATCGCCCTTCTAGACGCCCCCTTTTTTCCGCCGATAACCTTGGGGCAATGCGAAAAACACTCAATTGGCCCACACCGAGCCATTAACCTTGTTTCATAGGGATGGGGATTGGTGGCCGGTGGGATAAGCAGTCTCACAAACTGGATCTTTTGGTGAGAAAAAACGGAAAAGCAATCAGGGTGATCATTGCGCTTGCAGAGCCGGTTCTAATCAGCCTCCACGATTGTTTCATACGCTATTCTCTGATTGGCGATAGGGCCGTTCTTCTTATCAAATCGAAAATCCATATGACGACTATTCTTCGATAATGAGAGGGGGGAAAAGGACGCTCTTCTTGACACCCTCTCCATAATCTGGGTCTGAACCAAATGTTGCGGCCACAAATCTCCGCTTAGATGGGTCTGTGTTGTCTACACGGAGGATATCCAGGAGTTCTTGGGACTTGCTAGGCATGAAAGGCTGCAGCAGGATGGCGGAGATCCGCAAGGATTCGGCGACGTTGTAGAGCACACGCTGGGACTCGGTTGGGGTTTTCCACGGCTCCGCTGCATGGAAGTATTTGTTGGTCTGGAGGTGAACTAAGTTAGCACGGCGAATCAATGCGAAATCTATTAGGTGATGGATTGCCCTGACCTTCTCAATTATGCTCATGACATCCTGCAGAGCGGCACGCGGGTTCAAGCTAGCCATTTGCTCGGCCACCTTGGCGGGAGTCTGCTCCAGAAGCAATTGATGCTCAAGGTCCTGAGGGGTTGCTGACGGAAGCTTGTCGGACGCAGCGTCGATAATGAACGACCGCAAGTTTCCCTTGGCACACCCGATCGCGCGGTGTGCCAGGTTGCCAATGCCCCACTGGAGCATTTTCTTGTAGTCGCGAATAATGTAGGCATTATCGTAATCGGCGTCTCCAGCCAAGCCTCCCTGGTAAGCAAGGAAGAATCGCATCGCGTCAACGCCAAACCGGTCGATGGCAAAGAAAGGGTTCACCACATTCCCGGTTGATTTCGACATTTTTTCCCGATTCATGGTCCAGTGACCATGAACGAGGACATTACGGGGCAAAGGAAGATCAAGGGCCATGAGGAAAGCGGGCCAATACACGCAGTGGAAGCTGGCATACTGTTAGTCTTGTAACCAAACCCCTCTTACAAAACAAAACTTACCGGACAATATCCTTGCCCACAACATGAACATCTGCCGGCCATCCAAGTCGAGCTTCTTGTCCGGGGGGGAAGGGGTACCCTGCCTTCGTCAAGTAATTGACAAGGGCATCTAGCCAGACGTAGATTGTTTGGGTTTCATCACCAGGCACGGGAATGCCCCAGTTCAACCGTTCTACAGGTCTAGATATCGACAGATCTTGAAGCCCCGAGGAAACAGATTTCACTACGGCTGTAGCGTAGTTACTGGGTGTTATGAAATCAGTTTTGCTGTACAACTCCAGCAGGCGGTCCTGGAACGCAGACAGACGAAAGTGGTAGTTTGTCTCTGAGGACCACTCCACTTCTTTGCCAGTTTCGATTGAAACCTGAATCTGTAAGTATATTTGCAAAATGAAGTAAAGGAAGGAAGTGTACCATTCTTTTTCTCCCGGTTGATGGATCCAAGGCGTTTTGCACTTGTGTTTGAGGATAGAAGGTTTCATCGCTGACAGAGTACCAGCCTTCATGCTTCGCAGTATAGATATAGCCCCGGTGGCTCAGCATTTCCTATTGATATAATCAGTCGTGATATAAACCATCGAAAGCGGCTGGCACTGCTCACCCAGAAATATTGAACTGCCTCCTTATGCGCCGCGTCTGTTGTGCGGATGAAATGGTCATTGTCCAGGTTCGCAGCTTTCGCTAGGGCCTATGCTCGATTTAACACTTCCTCGATCTGACAATCTTGGGTAAGAGAGACGAACCTCAAATGTTTTGCAGTTCATGTCGCAAAAGGCTTGTGTATCCATCCCGGCCGCAAGCGCTGCTTGTTGAATCTATTCTGCCGAGTCAGACACATCGTGATATACCTCCACAATCAACTTATCTCCATACCTTCATGCCATGCTCGTCGGTTCCGGTTAATAGCTGGGCGTCTTTATCACCGAGAAGTACCTGCCACCTCTTCATGATATCGGCGATGACCATGGTGTATAGATGGCCGACATGGGGGGCTGTCGTAGACGAACCAGTTAGCAAATTGTTTATCCTTAAACAGCATGGAAATATAGCTTACCAGCATTGACATAGAAAATAGGAGTCGTCACATAGTAAGGCTTCTTGGGTGTTTCTGTAGACGCAGCCGTTGCAAATCGGCGCGGCAGGACATTAATTTGACGAACATTCCTGCAGGACGCACACTTCCACGATGGCCGTCTGTAGGCCAAGAATTGTGTGGCCCATGAAACAGCACGAAACTCTCCCCTGCGCATTGCCATTGAGAAAAGGATGGAATGGATAGCAGAGGAAAAGAAGAAGAGGACAAAAGCCAGGCGTGTTGCTCGGCGTTGGACAGTCTCCGGGGTGGTCCAAGCTCCTCTCCGCCCCGATCTTTTTTTCTGCTGCTTTTCCGGCGGTTCCTCCAGCATCAACATCTCGACGTCTTGCCTCTACTTGGTTTTGGATTGCAGGTGGATATTTTGGCTGTCTAGCTGCTGCCATCTGTTTCGGTCTCGCATACTTACCTCTTCTTGCTACAATCAATCTATCGCCATCTGCGCATAACTGCGTCATATCCGCCTACCGCGCATTGACTCCGAACTCCTCCCCTCATGGCTACTGCAAGTGAAGACAATCTGACCAAAGTGTCTACGGATGGTATTTTCAGTGTAATATTTGCACCTGATATCCATGTTCTAACTAGTTTGTACCTCTAGCTGCCACCGAATTCGTCCAATCATTCTACCCCGCGCTCCAAAACAATCGCTCAGCAATAGCCTCGTTCTACGATCAGACTACTTCTACGATCCTTTTCAACGGAAATGTTGTCGCAGATGGAAATGCGGTCCAGGAAATTTTTGTGAACCAGATGCCCCCGGCGCATTACGAGGTGCAGTCCTTTGACTGTCAAATCATCAACCGCGCCTATCCCACTCGCACGGTGGGAGGTGGTGTCAAGCTTCCCAATCAGGCAACAATCAAGGACATGTCTATTTTGGTGATTGTCAGTGGATACGTGCGATTTGGGGAGTCTAGGGATCTCCCGCAACGAGGGTTCAGTGAGACTTTCGTGTTGGTGCCTAATCCTTCTGCAGATGGCCCCAAGGGGAAACGCAGAAGAGAGTGGCTTGTCCAAACCCAGAACTTCCGCCTTGTCGTTTAACGCAGAACACAAAACGGTGCTTATTTCAGTATCGTTCCAGTGTTCGGACTACAGTTCGGGGTATTCTGGGTACGATTACAAAAGAATCAATGAATGCGCTATGATAACAACGAAAGAAAATACGACGATGAATGATAGTTACAGGATAAAAATGAAGAATGGGAATGAATCGCCATGTCGTTTATTTGTCCAGGATGGAACACCTGTCCCAAATTCCAACATTAAAGTGAACAAGTACCAGTGCTTGAGTTCAAGTCGACGACTTGCGTGGTACACGCAAGTTTGCTTTGATTCGCTCGAGCAATTCGGCACGTGTGGCTTTTTCACTGGGCAATAACCCTCTCTGAGATCATTATCAGTTGAATTTTGTGGCACGTCTCTGCTTATTTTACGAAATAAAGAAGGGAAAGGGAACGAGTGAAGGACATACCACGCGAAGCCACCTCCTCATCTCTTCAACAGTCCAGTTTTCGGGATCTAGATCAAGGTCAACATCACATTGCGGATTCAAGGTGCATAATATCTACCTCCGGTCGGGTCTGGCTCTGCAGGAAACACGTCGTTGCCCCAGATTGTCCAGGCCGCAGCTGCTGTGACCATCCCGGCGAAGCCTATATGGAATTAGACGTGTATTATTTAGTTTGTCAGGTTATATACCAAGGAAGAGGTTCTAAGGACGAATATTAGTTTCGGTACTGAATACATAGTGACATTTAGTATATACCTTTGAGTTCATTGCTCGATCCAAGGGGGTGGGCATTTTCGATATTATAGATCCTGTCTGAATGATGCTTAGAAAGATTTTATTTCAACTGAAATGATGGAGAATTTATAAAATTTATAAATCACGATTCTTGGGCCACGTTGCGTTGAATTAAGCTGTAGCTTTTAAGAAGTATTGACGGCCGCCTAGACTTTTGCACCGCCACGAAAATCCATGAATGCGCCACAGTCTGGGGAAGCTATCGTGATGATTATTCTTGGTGTGTATAGCACTTACAGGGATGGTTTTCTATTAAAGATAGAATAATTCTGATCTGACGCATTGGTGCTTCTGGTATGCTCCTTCTATCTTCATTATCGAGTAATACAATATGCAGCTTCCCTGTCTTGTAAACCCCGATATATAAAATGCTTTTCATATGAAACCATCTTCTTTCCCCCTCTCTATTTCGTAATTATATCTATCTCAGTGTAGAGCACGTTTGTCCTCCTTACAATTAAAAAAACCTCCTAGAAACTCGTCTATCATTTAATTATTGATCCATTCATATTCATACACATCCACCATGGCTCCATCCTTTCCCCATCCAGGTCTTCCTCAACATGGCCTCCCAATGGCAGGGCGTGGTGATACAATTGAAAAACGCTTACAGGCCATTCTGGCCGTCTCTGCTGCTTCACTCTTCTTCGTATTCGTCAGCAGCATGGTTCAAATGTACGAGAACACCCTCTGTCATCAAAGCACATCACTGACTACCATCAGGACTACTTTCTGGAGACGAAACAAGATCCGACTGCACATCACTCCCAAGAACCAACAGCAGCAGCCATTATCCTGGCCTCAGTCGCCCTATCCACTGTCTGATGTCGAGCAAAACCCCGGATATCAGCCCCAGATGCCGCACCGCCACATGACGCAGACAGCTCCAGCCACTGCCGGTAAGTGTGGCGCCCAGCGCTAAGGGTTTCCACGAGGCTAAACCCTAAGTTGCCAGAACCCGCACAGAAGCCGCCCGCAGCTGCTGTTGAGGCTCGACCTTCCTCTCCTCCTCACGATCTACTCTATCAACCCTCAAATTAGCCATCATGCCTCGTGAAGTTTCCGACATCAAGCAGTTCATTGAGATCTGCCGCCGCAAGGATGCGTCCTGTATGTGAATCCCCATATTTTTCGTTTTGGGGTTCGGGTTGGGGTTGGAGTTGGGGTGTTGTTCATCGAGTCATTGAAGCCAGCTCCGACCGGACGACCGATACCCGGAAAAGCGATGGAAGGGCTGTTCATGATGGATCATCGCTAACCATATTCGACTATTTGTAGCTGCCCGCATCAAGCGCAACCGCCAGAGCCAGCAGGTCAAGTTCAAGGTCCGCTGCCACCGTCTCGTCTACTCCCTCACCCTGAAGGAGTCCGACAAGGCCGACAAGCTCAAGCAGAGCTTGCCCCCAGGTGCGTTTTATCTCTCTCGATATGAAAGATGTGGATGAAGGATGCGGGGGAGCTTCCGCGGGGAAAATAAGAGAATACGATTGGACCGGGCCAGAACCTATGCTGACTGGCAATGCCTCCACAGCCCTCAAGGTTGAGGATGTCACCAACGGTGGCGAGAAGAAGCAGTAAATGCATCGGACGGAAGTAGCATGAACTGGGTTCAGAGTGCCGCGTGTGCAATTATCGATACATGATACAACTATCAAACCGAAATTGGGCGTGGGCATGAATACTTTTGCGGGCCGACACTGGACTGAACAAGTGAACGAGTATCTTCAGATGGCTTGATGGCTTGGACATTCCTGCGTCTGTTTACCGGATGCTGTGATGACAAGCACACGGCACTTTTCCACCGGTCAGACGACCTGCATTAGCTGGACTTATTAATAGGAATGCTTTGTCGGGGCTTCCTGGGTTCTACAACTTAATGAAAAAAACAGTTGAAAGTTCCACGGATCTCTTATGGTAATCCAAAACGTATACATGATGGGCAAGTCCTGTCCTATCTCCGGGCTAGAAGTGCGGCGTCGGGTTCACCGTCGTGATTCCCATGTGATGTCGACTCAACTTGAGCAAGTAGAAGCATACTGGATCAACGCTAGTTATTCAATTGCCTTTGTGCCTGGTCGACAGGATTGTAGAAACCCTTAATCCTGCAGGCTGCTTGACGCCGACTGACTCGGGTTGAGACATGTGGGACTCACCAGGGGAAGATCTTCCCGTTCTGTATACAAGATGGACGATCCCATCTGGACCCTGATAGACCTCCGGCAGTAGTAGTAATTAGTAGCAAAGGAATGGTCGTTCTGGGCAGGATGAGTATTCTCCTAGTACGACAGCGACAATATCTCACCCTTTTAGTAATTTGACTGGCAAGCTGATGTTCTGTTGGACTGCCTGCGGAATAAGGCTCTATCACAGCTGCTTCTTGAGGGTCTTGGCAGCCCGTGATGAAACACCAAACACCCTCCTCTCCAATTTCCAATGTGTCGCAGAAAGAAGACCTGTCATGTCATGGATCCTTCTCGCGAGACCATTAATGGCAGATCTAGCTCCGCTCCAACTGCAGGGTCTATTTGACTCCGTCATCTCACCCCGATACACACGGAGTAGACGGAGGTTAGAAGCATCCAGGTGGGACAGGGACGAGACCGGTTGATATGAAAGCAGTGAGTGAGTCCTCGAATCACAGAAGAAGCCGAACCACTAGACGCTGATCACTTCTATTCAGGTTACAGGCAGTTCCTGATATATTACCATTTTTATATTGAATTTTATATTTAGCCTCGACAAACCACAAATAACCTACTGAAATTCCTAATCAGGAACGGACTCCAGGTGACAGATCAGGGAATGGACATTGCTATCCATTACCGTTGGCCTGTTATCCGGGAACCACTTGGAGATCGTCGTCGCTACCCAGGAGGTCTTGGATTCACAGGCTTGCAGGGGGTGCAGCCTGACAGGCGCTGGTCTTTTTTCCATCAACAGGAAACACTGTGACTCAACGACTTCTCATTAAGGTGCTTGCCATTTCTACCTATGCCAGGTGAATCCATCGCCTCGACCGAAATAGGCACAGCGTCCCTCCCTTTTTTAACCCGTTGGATCGTGCAATACTCCACCCGGAGAAAAAAAAGGGATCGGGGCTTTCGGCATCCTTTTGCCACATGGAGAATCCTCAGACTGATTAGGAGTATCGAAACAATGTTCAGGAATATCTGTTCCGTTCTAGTGAGCACAGAAGTAAGTAGTATCCGGGCTGCCTCACATGGACAGACGCATGGTTGATGCTATATTCTATAGAAAGCAACCGGTGTATCGCCCTATTGGCATTTCGTCTCCATATTTTCCACAAACGGCGACTGAATAAGCGGATCTAAGTCCGACGGTTAAAGAATGGAGAAATGCCGAATGGCTACTGCATCCCGGTAATCTCATCTATACCATGTCAAGTCGAAACAATGCCAAGGATACGAAACGATGCTAGGAATAGGATAGAGACAGACAGGGCCTCCGACTCATCAGAATGGTTATAAAAGAGCCCTCTCACGATGTCTTTTCATTCTCTGTCTCATTCTGTCCACTGTCCTCAAATCCGTTGAAAACTTTCGTTTTATATTCTCCGGGCTCATTCTCTGTCCGACACCTTTGATCGACGCAGGTTCTTCTGTCATTGGTATATTTTTTACAATCTTTTTACTCAATCCAATTCTATACTTTCCGACCATGTCTTTCTCTAAGATCGCTGCTGGCCTTCTTGCCTCTGCCTCGCTTGTGGCTGGCCACGGTTACGTCTCTGGCATTGTTGCTGATGGAAAATAGTACGTTTTGGGAGATGTAAATATAGTAACAGAGCAAGTCGAAGCTAACACATCTTCACAGCTACGATGGATACCTCGTGAACGAGTACTCCTACTCAGACAACCCCCCCAAATCCATCGGTTGGTCGACCAGCGCCACCGACCTTGGATTCGTCGACGGCTCTGAGTACCAGTCTCCCGACATCATCTGCCACAAGGATGGCAAGCCTGGTGCCCTGACTGCCCCTGTCACCGCTGGCTCGGAGATCGAGATGGAGTGGACCGAGTGGCCCGACAGCCACCACGGCCCCGTCATCACCTACCTCGCCCCCTGCGATGGCGACTGCTCCTCCGTCGACAAGACCAAGCTTGAGTTCTTCAAGATCGACGCCAAGGGCCTCATCGATGGCAGCAGCCCGCCAGGCACCTGGGCCACCGACAAGATGATCAGCAACAACAACACCTGGACCCTGACCATCCCCAAGGCTGTCTCGGACGGTAACTACGTTCTCCGCCATGAGATCATTGCCCTTCACTCCGCCGGCAACAAGGACGGTGCTCAGAACTACGTCCAGTGTGTCAACATCAAGGTCACTGGTGGCGGTGATGCCGAGCCTGAAGGTACCCTCGGTGAGAAGCTGTACAAGGACACCGACCCCGGTATCAAGTTCGACATCTACAGCTCCCTCGACAGCTACCCCATGCCTGGCCCCGCCATGTTCAATGCTTAAATTGGGATGATCACCATTGCCGATCTGTGATTAGTTCCTGTAAGTTGGAATGCTTCAATATTGATTTTATGGATTTCTTACTAACGCCAGTCTAGTGAATGGACGCTGGATAGTCCATCTCGGATCTTTCTGTGGATACCTCTTTATTTCTTCAACTGGGTTTGGACAGACCACGCAGGAAGATTCGAGGTGCAAATTCGAGAGAACTAGTTATAGGTAGAGAGACTAGCTGATAGCTAAATTGTATTTTTGGACAGATAACTTGACTTTCTGTAATAATTCTTAGTAGTCTAGTTTGTACATTCCAAGAATTTCAGTTTTGCCTCTCTAAAGTAAATAATGATGTATGCTTATAATTTCAAATTGACAATTTACCCCTTGGGTTTATTTTAAAAATATCCTAATGCTAGTATATTACCCAAAACTAACTACCTATAACCTTAACTTGACTTTAAATGCATCATTACATCCATGCAAATATATATATTAGCCAGCTCACGGACACGGCTGCGTCTTATTAAGGAAATTATCCTTATTCGAGTCACTATAATTCCACCAGAAATCAAGATACTGCGGATCAGACTCGGGGATACCGCATTTGTCGACGTAGTTTGGCAAACTCTCAGACAGAATCGACGTATACTCGTCTAGCGGACAGGAGTACCCGGGACCTGACTGGCAGAAGTGGAAGGGAACCACGGCCTCGTTTAGGACAAGACGCACGTATGTACCGGCTGAGGATATGGGGGTGGCATCGCAGGTTAGACGCTCGATGGTTAAATGGCCTCCCATGGGGACGATGTTGCCGATCGAGAATGGGTTGCCGAAGGGAATTCGGTCGACGGGGAGATGCTCGGTGGGGGTAGCAAGGCCCAAGGCAGTGACGATTGGGACGATGTTGGTGTCGTGGGCACTGGATTCGTGTTAGATTTGTACTGTAGTGCGTATTTGAAAGGGTATGCATACAAGTTGAAAGATAGGCGCCCAGCTGACGGGCCTTGGTTGAGAAGAGTGAGACTGGCATTCACGTACACCGAGCCCACGGCGGACATGTAGTCGTTTCCGGGGCTTAGGAGGGTCAGTGATCCAGTTGACTTTGAAGGTGGATACCATAGGAACTCTCACCCAGCACAGTAGTAGAACCACAGATCCTGGCTGTATCCAAAGCTTACCCATTCGTCAAGGGTGAAGACGTCAACCCAGGGAGAAGAAGGACGGGCATTCAGCTCAAATGCCGCCACACCTTGGAAATAAATGTTAGCCATTCTGAAAAGCAATAATGGAATAACTACTCACTCATCAGGTTCTGGATATCAGCAGCAGTCAGATTTAGATTTTCATACTGAAAATTCAACCGATCTGCCGCTACGTCGAACTGAGGCAAGAGGTATTTTCTACTACAAGGATGATCTTTGTTGCCACTAGGACACCCAGGTGTCAAGCTATCCGCGCCCTGCGACACATCCTCGGAGATGATATTCATCGCCGCCTTGGTCTTGTACGCATGGTGGCCGAAGAATCCCTCCCCAAACACATGGGCGGTGTCAATGACACGCGGGTAATCACCTGCAAAGATAGGCACAGTCAATTGTCCATCCCACAGATGGCCGTATCGCTTCCGATACTGCTTTCCATGTTTGAAAGCGTCCCGCAAGCCCGCGTATGGGCCCGTGGTGGTCTCCGCGTTGAGGTAGCACTCAGACGGGACATAGTAAGTCCAATGTTTGAGGAAGGCTAGATCGCCATCGCGGCTGGAGACGTCGATGTCGTCCAGCTTGCGCAGAGTCTTTGCCATGGACTTCCCCGTGTTAGTCGTGGGAAATCGTTCACCATGGCGTTTGATCATGATCACCTGATCGACTTCACAGCCGGCCGGGGTATCACGATCGATGCCATAGGACTCACGGTCCGAATAGGGCCCAAGGCCGCCGTAATGTTTGAGAAAACTATAACCATCCAGGAATTTCTGGGAGAATTGTTTCCGTCCATGAGAGAACTCTTGGTAGTCTGGGGTATCGTCGTTGAACGACAAAGGTATCTGGCCTGAGGACGCCGTGGCTGAAGTAGCGGCGAAGAGGCACAGGGCTGCAGTGAGGGTGGAATGAAGGACCACCATTGTTGGAAATGACGGAGATAGTTAAAACCAGAAAGAATGATCTGATCAAATGGATAAATGTTGATCGATTAAGTTGAGGGAATGCCCGATGCTAGTCAGGCACCTGGTGGAATGCAAGACAAAGGTTGGGTGGCTGGTGGTTGGGAACCTTGAGGGGGAAATCTAGCGACTCACATTTCATGCACAGACATGCAGCAGGAACACCGCCTGAGTAACTCAAGAGGAGGGTTTTTGCAAGGAGAAGAATTGTAAATGTACAGCAAAGAGGCTCTTGCAGAACACTGACATCTGTCTAGGGCTGAAGTCGAAGCTCTAGCTCCGTTGATCTTCATCTACTGTTCTCCGTGTCCAAACAATCGAACCATAAAGCAGAAACAATGACATGAATATTTCTAATGTACAATAGAAGAACATAAGCGCCGCAACCAACCAGCTGGTATAGTCCCAACAGATAATAATAATGATGATGAAAAAGGATCAAGACATCCCAAGAGTCGAAGAGAAACTGTATATCCACTGGAGCGTCTCCGCATCCAGAATCAACCTGGAGTCTTGTGCACTGGTATACAGGGTTTCCGACGTTTTGAATCGTTCAAGATAATCGCAATCGCTGGATGCTGTTCATACAATCCCTCCGTTGTGTATGTGTATCTATTTGCCTTGTCGTTGCTTGTGTTTCGGGTTCTTCGAGCTGTCAAAAACGAAGGACATTAGCACCCTATCCAGCTTTAAGAGAACCCATCACATTATATATTTACCAGATAATATAGACCCGGTTCTTTCTTCGAACGGGCTTGCAGCCATCGCACAATCTCTTCACAGACGACCGTGTCTTCATTCCCCGAACCTGCTCGAGCTGTCTGACAGCCGACCCAACACTTGCAATCCGAGCATTATCCGTCGAGTCATTCCGGGAACGCAGACTCCGAAGACCGTTTGTGAGCGATAATCTGCTCAATTGCGAGAATGACCGGGCAAATGACTGTCGTGATAACGAAGGGAGAAATTGGCGGAGGGTACCGGTCGAGGCACCGAGGACGGAGCGGAAGGACAGCATGGTGAAAAAGCAGACAGAACAGACCGGTCTGCTTGTATCTTTCCTTGCTCCCGGCAACAAATATTCTCGAAAGACTGAAGAGAGGCGCTCACGATCGACCAAAGCGACTCGATCATATCCATCGTTTATTCCGCCCGGAGGAAAAGTCGGAGTTTTGTGTTGCCGACGCCGAGGGGACATTATTGGCTCACCTGGCCAGCCAATCAGATCGCTAGAATACCTTATAGATCACAAGGTCCTCCGATAGAAAAGAGAATAAAAAGACAGAATAACCAGATAAAACAAAGATGATGCTGATGGCTTATTGTTGAGCCGAGAATAAAGGATACATATTGAAGAATCTGTTGTCTATTTCAAGTATTTTTATGGCGAGTACAAAGGGTGGCACCAACAACCTCCAAGATATAACAGATAAGCTTTATTACAGTGACCTTGACATGCTCGGAATACTATATAAAACTAGAATGAATGATATTAATATTAATTCATTCCATTAGATCCATGAGTAATTCCTCAATTATACTTCACATGGAAAATAATCTCTATTCTGACACCAAGGGTCATGATCTCACGAACAGGAGCAAAACTGGTTCTGGGAGTTAGAAAATAGAACTTGAGACGTGACGAGGACGGGACGATGTCGTCCACAACCAGTATCCATGACTGAGCAGTTTTCCTTTTGGGCTGCTCGCCAGAAAATCATCGAAGATATCCAGAGAAGCGTTGAGTTTCAAATCCAACCCACGAATTGACGATTCAAACTGCGACAGAGATATGGGATAATCCTTCTGGTCGAGCTTTCGAGGAATAAAGTAACTCTTAAGGGCCGGAATGTTGCGGGCAAGCTCAAAGCAGGACAGTACTGATGTGCCCAACGCATACCATCTTTCACTTCCTGAGTATACTTCCCTTGTTGTGATCGTAGAACGAATCTAAAGAGTGGACGTGTTTTATTCCCAGCAATATTGGGCCGATAGTCGAGACAGAGGTTGAATTTCCGCTTGAGTCTTTCGTCAGAGTGGGGTTTGGGGCCTAGATATGGCACCTATCAAGTCAGGTCATAAATATCTATCTGAGTAGAGAGATAGATCTCACAATGTAGTTATAGTTGTAGTGGAATAAGAGTACTTCGTACTGTCTGTCAATCAAGTATCGCGTTTCTTTCAGCATCACGGATAGATATGAATGCCGGTGAACATCCGCCAATAACCATAATCTGGGTTTTGGGAAGTTGCCATTGTGAGAGAACCTCAAAAGGGGATTTCGCCTGCAGAAAATGTTAGCCAAATCTGGTCTATGCTGAAGTAAACAGACCTTTAAGTTCTTAGTAGGCATATTGGAAGTGAACGATAAATTAGGGGTCTAATTGAAGCTAGTTAGATGTACGGGTCATATGTTCAGCTGTCAGAAATGTCTCCGTTGATGGAATGGATCGACTGATTTGAGAATGCGGCCCTACAAGGCTTTTAATCATTGTCATGAAGCATTCTCCCCTTCAGCCCCCCCAGCTATAAGTCACTGAAGCAGGGTTTGTGTCGACAAGGCGTACAGTCATGCTCTTGTAGATGATCTTCATGCCGTCCCGAGTGGTGGTATCGAGTAAGGTACTGCATCATATCTGAGTATTCAGCTATGCCATCCGCATTGAAACTATACAGAGGTTATCTGGATAGCTTATTATATCGAGAATTGATCCTCTGTTTGTTTGAACGGTTGAATATTTGCCGTACAGGTAGAGAATGCAGAGAGATAACAGGGGTGGTTGTGACCAGAGAAAGCCCTAGTTGTATGCCCTAATTTCTGTTTTGAACGCTACCTTTTTAGACAACGCAATCCTCCTTCACGATAGACTGCAGATGTCTTCATCCCGAGCAATTGCTCTCTATCCTAGAATACAAAGACGCACTTTGAAAGATAGTCGACATGTTTCAATTCTCTTTATGGCAAGTACAAAGGATGGCCCACACAAAGGACGGACTAACACCGCCAGCAGGAACCAAAGAATGACTTCAACTCACAAAGCACTAGACCTGTCTCATCGAGTATAATCCATTGTGTGCTTTGGGAAACAGGGAGACAAAGACTCAATATCGTCTCATCACCATCCAGCTATTGTTCTCCTCGAAGATAAATACCATGGTGTCTACCCAGAGTAGATAGATCTTCATCTTCTTCATCCACTGAAACGAAGACTACAACTAAACGCTCATCTATCTACAGCTGCAACTAGATCTATCGACAACTCAAGTCCTATCCGCCAGAATGCCTCGATACTACGTTTATGTCCGTACTCGTACCTCCAACCCTTTCACCTTCGACGCGGTTCCCCCATCCAAGGAGAACCCCCGCTTCTGGCAGGAGATAATCGCTCTCATTCGGTCTCACGATATTATTATTAGGGATCACCGCGACATAACTCTCGACAGGTATTTCGAGATGGAAATAGAAACCGAGATCGAGGAGAAGGAGCGTGTTATCATCGCTATTGCCCTGGCCATGGCCAAGGCCAGGCTGAGTGCATTTTGGGAGTAGACTTGCGTATCTACTCACCCATTGCTACAGTAAGGAGAGATATGAGATTGTTGGAACGAGTATGGGATTGGTAGGATTAAACAAAGTTTAACAATAAAACGTCATATATAAACCGACAGTTAGTCTGGTCCTCACACTTATCTACGTATATCATGATATCAATCAATCAGCGGACATTAGTACTAGAAAAAGAAGGGTTATGCACGTTCATCTGTAGAAGAACCGTATCTACAATCTAGCTCTTGCTAGCTAGCTTCACAAGCTACTAACCCTCGCATCGGAAAACCATTCTTCAAAACTAGTAAATCGGCACAGGGCTTAAGCAACAGATTGTTCTGGGGTTGATATAGAGTCACTGTATGGGCAAGAAACATGTGTATGTTGAACAATCTTGGCTTGGCCCGTTGTTCCATAAGTAAAGTATAAAAGGCAAGGATCGCTTGACTGGGTGTCAAATTACGCCTGTTGACTATTCTCCAAATCTCCATATTCCAATAGAGACTGATGGGAATGGATGTCTGGCCTAGAACAGTCTGTCTCACCACAAAACTGAACGATACAACGTACACCAGTACTGATATGTTCTTGTTGTTGAATTTCTGACAGCCATTTCTTCTGCTTTGCATTCCCCACAAAGGCTAATACTCGAGCTTTGACTATGCGGTTCGTGATTTCGGACGGTGGCAAGGTTGGAGAACAGGGACAGACTACGCCGGCAATAATGCAACCACAAAAGACTTCATACCTATCTTATTGGATGCGTCAGTGTCGAGATTCTGTACGTTTCGAATGAGCGGGTACGCTTGATGCTTACCAAACCGGAGCCTTGGACGACATCAAAAACAAGACATGGCCCTTTTCAACCCCCTGGCGTCGCAGACCTAGTGCAATCTTTCGCGCACGGTATGAGAAATAGCTGAAATGGAAAGATTGGGCATTTCTGGGCCGCTTATTGCGTGGTGGATTCCAGACTAGGGTAACTGGATCTCCGTGTTCTTGTTTGCCCCCAGTAGCCCACGACATCATGGGTAAAATTGAATTTGGATGAGCTGTACACTGGAGACGCGGAGATAGTCATTACAAATTCAAAGAGTAAGCGAATTGATAAGGTCAAATTGCCGTTGATCAGTTTTGATTTCGGATTGCTATTGGTCAAGATATATAATATCAATAGTATCAAACCAACACCAACAGTACCATCTGAGAATTTAGTCGGTCAAAGCCAAGAAGTCGTCAAGTTGCACAGAGATCCCCTGATCAATGCAATAATGGCGATCTTTCATGCAAGTATCAACACGCAAGGCTGTCTGTCCAGATGACCTTTCTACCATCCCTAGCTGTACAGAGCATCTGGTTAATGGCATTAGTAGTTAATAAATTGCACGTATTACAGGTATCTTCTTCATTGGAAACCAAAAGACTCACTGTTAAAATCCATATCCTCCTCTGAGGTTCATGCCAAAGCGCTGCCGGCGTTCTTGCTGTCGATTCTGTCCCGGGTTTGAGGATTGTCATGATGTCGTCTTGGAATGTGGGTGACTGTATATTCTTCTTCAGATACAGCTGGGTCATTGAGAGTATCGAAGAAGTATTATGTCTATTGTGGTGGTTAGTTATGTTGGAGAGCATCTTGGCTCTTGGAGAGAGAGTAACCTCTTTTGGATGAATTATGCATGTTCATTATTCTGTGTATAATTGATAGTTATCAACATCAACTGGGCTCTGGTTGGTCTTACGGTAACACAGAAAAAATATACTAGAAGAGAATGGATATAGCGAGTTGGAAAGGATAAAAGTTTAAATATACAAACCAAAATCAATGGCCTCATTCTTGTATTAATATATGCATCCCATAATATCACTACCGGTAGATACCAGCCCGAAATCTATCTCATGCACAGTACCAAACGCCAAACTGGGGACTCTTTCTTCATATAGAACAACCAACACTCCCAAGGTAATAATCAACAATTAATTTTATTCAAGCGATAATTCCCCTCTTAGTGACGCAGGAATGTCTTGTAGGTAGGAGAGTCGGTATGCTCGCTGAAGGGATATCCCAAGTCCCGGAGGAAGGCCTCCAGCTCATCCTTCTCGGGACTGGGGCACTGAATACCCGCCAGCACCTTTCCGACATCTCCTCCGTAGTTACGGTAGTGGAACAAGGAGATGTTCTGGTTAGGACGAAGAGTGGTGAGGAACCGGGCCAAGGCACCAGGGCGTTCAGGGAATTCAAACATGAACAGACGCTCATCCGGCACATCACAGCGGCCACCGACCAAGAAACGCAGATGTCTCTTGGCGAGCTCATCATCGCTCAGATCATTTGCCGTCATACCGCCCTTGGTCAACTCCTCGATGATTTTGGCCAGATCTTCTCTTCCAGTCAGGGCGGACAAAGAGATACCCATCAGTACATCGGCGGATTCGTCACGAGCATAACGGTAGTTGAAAGCAGTCACGGCGTGGGGAAGGACGACCTCAACCAGCTTGGCAAAAGCACCAGGCTTTTCGGGAATGTTGACGCTGAGGAGCGCCTCTTTCCGCTCTCCCAGAGCGGCACGTTCGGCGACAAAGCGCAACCGATCAAAGTCCATGTTCGCACCAGATGTGACGGCGACCAGCTCCCGGTTGATGTCTGGGCTGGGGTTCATAGCAACATATTTCTTGAGACCAGCAAGAGCAAGAGCGCCAGCCGGCTCAATGATCGACCGTGTGTCCTCGAAAGCATCCTTGATCGCAGCACAGGTCTCGTCGGTCGAAACCTGCACAATCTCATCGACCACTTCGCGAGCGAGGCGATAGGTTTCCTCCCCAACTGTCTTGACAGCCGCACCATCTGCGAAGAGCCCCACCTCCTTGAGGAACACGCGAGAACCAGAGCCCAAGGACTGAGCCATAGCATTGGCGTCGTAAGCCTCGACACCAACGATTTTAACCTGTGGTGCAATGCGCTTGAGGTAAACTCCAAGACCAGCGATCAGTCCACCTCCACCAACAGCGCAGAAAACAGCCTCAAGCTTCTGCAGGTTCGCTTGGCGCAGGATCTCCATTCCAATAGTTCCTTGACCAGCGATGACGTATGGGTCATCGAAAGGAGGAATGTTTGTAAGACCATGCTGCTTCTCACGTCGATGCGCTTCCTCCTTGGCGGAGTCAAAGTCATTTCCGTGAAGAACCACGCTGCCGCCCATTCGAGCGACATTCAAGTGTTTGATAGCGGGGGTACCGGAAGGCATAACGATAGTGGCGGGGATTTTCAAATGTCTGGCGGAAAAGGCAACACCTTGCGCGTGGTTACCTACGAATCGTCAACGCATAAGCTAATCGTCCAAATAATTTATTTTCCAATAGGAAAGCGTTCTCACCGGCAGAGCATGCGATAACGCCCTTCCATCGCTGCTCAGGGCTCAAATGAGCCATCTTGTTGTAGGCTCCGCGGAGCTTGAAACTGAACACAGGAAGCAGATCTTCCCGCTTGAGTAAAACTCGACATTCCAGGCGATTGCTGAGATTGACAGCATGGTGAAGAGGTGTTTCGTTGATCACATCGTAAACCCGTGACGTCAAGATCAATCGTAGATACTAGATTCATAATGACCCGATTAGCATCTCCAATGGCATTTTATCAAATAAAATGGGCATTATCTCACATCTGGGTATCCATTGGGGAGCAAAAAAGCCTCGGGGATTCCCCAATTCGGCGGCATTCCCAACATCTTGCTCTTATCGTCTCCCCGTTCGGACGGAGGGGTTGGAGCGGCGGTATACTCGGTGAGGGCCAGGTTCTTGGGAGTAACAGGCGTTACAGTGCCATTAGTAGGCGGCTCGTCGGACATGGTGGAGTCGGGTTGGAATCACAACCAGGTGATATATCAAGGATTATTATTGTTGAGGAAAGGCAGTCAGGGATTTGCAGCGAGAAAAAGAAAAACCGCCGATGACACACGCAAGAAGCACTAGACTCGCATTCAACCTTTCTTTCTTTTCTTTTCCGCTCGGGAAAGAAAATAATTCCGGGATCGGAGCGGAGTTGGTTATGTCATCAACCCTGACCCTAAGCCCTAGGTTGGCTGCAGCAACAGTGCCTGGCATTAGCTTGCAGTTTGAAGTGCATGATCTGAGAATATGTACTGAACGTGAAGGCTTCAGTTACATTTATGATGCTCAGGTAGATGTGTTGTATACAGCATGTTAACAGCCGTCTGGAACTAAAATTGAATCACCCTCTATCGCATAAACACCCATCTTCCTCGGTGGTACACGGTTCACAAACATCATATCAATCTCTGCAAATGTACGGCCTTTCAATTCGGGGATGTAGAAGAATGCAATTGAAGTAGCAAGCAGCGAAAGCCCCCCGAACACGAACCCAACCTTTCCCTTCATGTTGGCCGAATCAGGACTCACCATGTACGGCACAGCTACATTCATGGCAATCCCTAGAGCTGACTGGGTGGCTGTCGCAAGAGCAGTCGTTTTTGCTCGCAGGCGCAGGGAAGAGACCTCGCCGAGAAGGACAAACGAAATGACCCCGATGGTGGATTGGTATATCAGAGTATAGACTATCGTGAACGATGCTTGTGCCCAGATTGCAGCCGCAGATGGAATGACGTCCAGTATTCCAATCATCAACAAGCAGATTGTAAGGCTGATCATTCCAGTTAGGAAGATTCTCCGTCGGCCGTACGAGTTGACGACCGTCCAAGACAGTATAGTTCCAACAACTCCGCACGCGGTCACTCCAACACCAAGATCAAATGCCTTTGACGTTGGGAATCCAGCCAGTTCAAAGAAATATGTCGAGTATCCGAGAATAAAGATGATTCCAGTGCAATGTTGGGCAATAAAGACTCCGGAGGTAATACCTGTTCTAACACGATCCTGGCCACGGAAACATTCCGCCCAAGTTGCCTCTTTCAACGACATTTCATATACCATTGTTTCTCGAATAGCCGTCAGTTTTGTCTCGATTTCAACATCTGTGCCATATAGCCTCTGCAGGGCTGCTCGGGCCCCATCAATGTTGTTGCAATGAACAAGATACCATGGCGACTCCACAGCGAATGGTAGACCTAAGGCGAGAAAGGCTGCACTTGTAAGATAGAGCACGACGAATGGGAACGAGTATATAGAACGGGTCTATGGACTTACTAATGAAGAATAACTGAATTGCAAATGGACCCCGGTAAGCCCAAGTATCCTCCCGGCTACCAAAGCCTTTGATGGCGGCATTGGAAAGTAACTGCCCCGATATAATCCCGAGATTAATACCTGCTGTGGTGATTCCTCGAAGAACAACTGGGGAGACCTAATTGAATGTACTCTTGTTAGTGGGTGCATGGATTACGATTCATGGACATGGCTGTCATACCTCAGAGCAATAGAGAGGACCGATTGTTAAGTAGAATCCCAAGCTTAATCCCACAATGAATTTGCTAACCAGAAAGGCGACTCGAGTTGTCGAGAATATCTCCCCTAGGATCCCTCCACAGGCGATCACGATGCCAACTGCTAGTCCCAGCTTTCTTCCAATCTTGTCGATTACCAAGCTGCATAAGAAGGCGCCAAAGAACTGACCGACAGACGAAATCATGCTGAATGCACTCAGCCATGCCGCAGGAATCGTAGGTTTTCCATTGTAGAGATGGCCAAACTGGCTTCGAAATGCCGGGACGGATATCACAGAACTATTCACCTGCGCATCAAATCCCCTAAGAGTTCACGGAAGATAAATTAGCCATAGTATTCCAGATAGCAGATCAAGAAAAAAGGAACGGCTGATATACCATCCAATCGCACTAACAGCGAAGAAAAAGGCCCACCAAACTAGTGCTTTATGGTTGCAAAGCACGTACCACAGAGACAGTTGATGCTCTATGTCATTATCAAGTCCGACTGCGGTTTTGGGCTGGAAGCCATTGTCAACATTTTCCAGATGTGATTCCACCGTATCTTCCTGGGGGTATTTGGTCATTGCCGTGATTATTGAGCTTCATGCCAAAGGATTGTTCTATTCGTAAACAGCTTGAGCCTGTAGAGAAATAACCAAGAGGTCAGACTTGGGGCCCTGATAAAACCACGACAGATACATCCATGCGTACCTGGTCAGTCGTCACGAAAATCCCCCATAAGATGCGTGATTATAAATCTGACGTCCATTCTACTCCTCGGAATTGGCCAAATCTTCATCGACCCATAGGAGTTCTGCATCAGCCACGAGGGGAAATTCGCGGGGGTTTTCAGCAGCAATGCCGGGGATCCAAACGTGCCTGGGATTTTTGTGGGGTTGGCGTGTTCCCAGACCCATTGAGGACTCTCCATCTTCTCCTTTTTTGCCTATCACTACAATTTGCCGTCTGCTGCTCCACTATTTCGAAGCCGGCATCGCTCAGAGCGGAGATGAACAGACAGAACACCTTCTAGGGCGCTGAGGCCTTCGTCAGCAGCCTAAGCGGGGCACCAGTCGCCCGCATAATCACATCCCTCGCAACCAATTCCCCAGACGTCTCCAATTTGACGACAACGCCGATATTCCGCGATCCACCGCTTTTTGGGAGTCTTGGGTGACTATCCATTTAATATCGATTCCCCGCCGCGCTTTTCCTGTCAGAACCGGCTCATGACTACTTCTTTACAACATTTGCTTCAAAATGTTGTGGAGCCAGAATCTCCCACCCCCGAAGCCAACTCCACAGTCCCCGGTGTGAGCGCACCAGCTTCAACCTCGAGAAAACGCCCTGCACCACGGGGGACTGCTGCATATCCTCGAAGACGTGCCGTCAAGGCGTGCGAGACATGCCGATCAAGAAGAACCCGATGCGACAATAAGAAACCGTCTTGTTCGTTTTGTGAGAAGGTTGGGGCAAAATGTGTAACAGGTCCAACGGACTTTTCATCGTGAGTACGATCTGCAGTGTGTTTTTACAGGGTCTAGAGGCTAACACGGCATCGTTTGTTGCTTAGCTTCGATCCAGCCAGCTTGGTGATCATCGAACGACTTGATCGAATCGAGCAGTTTCTGCGATCTGAACCCAGTGACGAATCGACAGCAAAAGAGAGCACACGCAAGGAACAAGATTCTCCCGCAAATATCGACTCCCCGGTATCGAATCCACCAAATGGCCCTGATTTTAGCACCTTCACGATTGAAACCGTGTTATCATGGCCTGTATTCCAAAACCGATTTGATTCACGCTTGGACTTGAAAGCTTTGCTCAACCATGAGGTTTTGGATGCTCCAAGCGCAATCGTTAATTCACCAATTGAGAATTTTCTGGCAAAGGACCTCGAGCCTGGTGCATACACTAGACTGCTGAATACCTTCCTTAAGCATGTCCATCCTGCCAATCCCATCTTGGATGTTTCCCTACTTTGTCAGTACGTTCAACAAGCATGTATCAACGGGATTCAGTGGGATGCGCCGTCTTGTCTCGTGGTAAGACATTGCCAAAATTCCCTACCCATGCGCTCGTTGAAGTCGCGCTTATAGAAAGAATGCTAATTTCGGTTTAAGCTCCTGGTGTGCGCACTTGGCTCAATCGCAGAAGCCTTTCATTCTCAGCATCAAAGCAACTCGATGTTCTCCCGAAACTCTTCTAGCTTCATTATGGCGAGATCCTACTTTGAGGCTTCTCAAAAGCGCATTGGTCTTTTACTTAGCCGAAATGGGATTTTAGAAGCCCAATGCTTTTTCTATTCCGGTGTCTATTTAATGACACTACAGCAACCTATGGCAGCTTGGAGGTTTTTTGTTCAGGCGGCTGCAATTTCACAAGGATTTGACTTTCCAAGAAAATATCAACAATCCGAGAACAAAGGATTGACCGGAGCTAGACATGACCGGGTGTCGCAGGAAAGTGTATACTGGACATGTTTAAAATCTGAACTGTAAGCTAATACAGACTGCCTTAGCTCATTAGAAATTGTGCTAATTATTACTTATTTGAACAATAGGGAAGTCCGCATGGAATTGTCCCTTCCTGGCTTTGGACTACAAGATCTATCCTACCCTACATCCTTCCCTAGTCCACCGTTAGAGAATCTAGAAGAGGACGCGGCGAGGGCTTGGTATTACTATCTTGCTGAGATTGCACTCAGGAGATTGGCAAATCGAGTTCTCTATAATCTGTTCCAGAACCAAGAAGAGGGAAGATTCCCTCGAATCTCTCTGATGGTGGATTCCGTTATTGCCTTTGAGAAGCAGGCGGCTGACTGGTCAGTCACAATCCCAAGTATTGTCCGCTTATACTCAAAACTGATGACTTGTTTTTAGGATGACCTCTCTCCCTCCGATGTTTTCTTTAGCAACACCCGAAGCGGAAGACGACGTCCTGAAATTCGTGCTTCGCGGTCATCTCCTAGACTGTTACGAATGGATGTACTTTCCATTCATGCTCGAAGCAATCAACTACAATAGACGAGACCCTTTGCTCGACGAGTATACCACAAAGGGACTGGCCATGTCCGTGGAGCGCATCCACAAAAACAAGCCTGGCTTTTACCATCGTCACCATGGCGCATGGTTGATGCTCCGCTCTTGCACGCGAAGCGCCTTGATTTTACTTGCTGCCTCGCATAGCGAATATGTGCAAGACCTCGTTCCAGAAGGATGGAAGGAAGCCGTCTTCAGTACGATGGATATGCTTCGTTTTTGGGAGGATGAGGTCGGCGATGCTCGCGATAGACTCCAAATTCTCACGGAGTTGATGTCAGATTTAGGTTATAGAATGTGATTCATGGCGTATATAGAAATATAGACATAGCGAAGTACTAAATGCTCATCTCACACCGCGAGAGAGTGTCTTACATTGGATAACAATATCTCAAAACCTGGAAAAAACTTATCTATATAGGCCACAGATATGACCCGAAAGTGGGACAATGATGACCATTATCATTGAAACTAATCATTCAGTTGCTCTCGGAAAAGAATGCAGCAGCTTTCCAGGGTATATCGACTCATGGATGGCAGGTAATACTTTACACGCTTGGTGTTTTATACCGTTCCGTGACAATACCGTATGTTATGAAAAATATCACTTGGCAACTGCAGGGCTTTGCCGACGTCATGCTTCGGACGCGCAGACAAAAGCCCATCACCTTTGCCGCCGCATCTCAAAGTGAGAAGACACGGCAGCAATTTAAAAGGGTAAATTGACAAGTAAGTCCTCCCTGAAAAACTAAAGCCGTCTTGGTCGGCGTTTCATGGGCTTGAACTAGACGGCGGCGGCGGATCCTGGTCTCATCTCCATCTCCGCAAAGCTCGGAAAGCTGACTTGCTCATTTTTCAACCTTCAGGTAGAGTCGATCAACAAAATCAACTTTCTCTGTTAAGCGTCATACTTGAAGACTGAACATGAGCAGCGACCCTATCCCTTCGTCCTTCGAGGACAGCCCGTACGTGCAAAATCCACTACATGATGCTCCCCCATCGCAGCAGATGCGGGGAATGAGGAAGGGTCACTAACAGATACACCCGGTTATGCAGTCATTTCCAGGAGGAGACCTCACTTCAGAAGTTCCGCAGAAGACTTAAGGAAGAACCGCTTATTCCGCTAGGTATGTGAAAGAAGAGAAGAGAGGCGCTGCGCCCCTTGAGAAGCAAAAGCCACTGGGATCTAATCATACCTTCTTTCAACTCTAGGATGTGCCGCTACCTGTTATGCGCTATTCCGCGCCTACCGATCGATGAAGGTCGGTGATTCGGTTGAAATGAACCGGATGTTCCGTGCCCGTATTTATGCTCAGGCCTTTACTCTTTTCGCCCTTGTCGCCGGTGGCATGTACTTCAAGACGGAACGAAAGCAGCGTCGGGAATTCGAGCAGGCGGTGGAGGCCCGCAAGAGCCAGGAAAAGCGAGACGCATGGCTACGTGAACTGGAGATCCGAGACAAGGAAGATAGGGACTGGAGAGAGCGTCATGCGGCTATTGAGGCGGCCGCCAAGGAGGCTGGAAAGAAGGCTTCGGCGAAGCCGTCTCCTGAGCAGGATGCTGCTCGCGCTGCTATTGAGCCTGCAGATGAGAAGCGATCCTTGGGCGTATTAGATGCCGTGAAGGAAATGTTGTCGAGACAAAATTAAATAGAGTGCTGTGGAGTATGTATTGTATGGGGATTCAGTTGAATTTTTGGTTTGATATTATACTGTACATATGTTCACTTGTTGGTATAAACACGGTCAATTCTTCTCTCTTATACCAGGTGTTGGCGATGACTCAAAGTATCGAACCGCCTTGTATGTTGGCTGCTGCTATCAGCCCAAAGGTGTTGTCCATTTGACACATCCAAAATTTCTTGTTCAGAGTTCCAACTCGTTAGAAGGATAAGTAATGCTTCAACCCATAACTTGCTCATCGATATATCGTCTCATGGTTTCAAATTCCGACTTGCCGGTCTGTCAACTGTTAGAAACGCATCATTCATAACATAGAAAAGGGGTCTACTCACCGAAAGCAAATATCGAATATGTTGCTGACGCAAAAAATCGTTAGCTCAAGAGAATAGATAGAATCAGAAGTCCTCAACCAACCAAGTCAGTCACATTGCGATGACGCTCGAATTCATCACGAGCATAGCTGTGCAATTCATCCTTTGTTGGAGAGTTGGGAACCTCTAAATACTAATTAGCATTTGAAACATTCATTCAGAACGGGGCAACTGACTATTTAAAGCTCTGACAATCTCCCGCCACAGACCAAGAACCCGTTGTCTTTGGATAAACTATCATCGTCATATCAGCAAGTTATCCAGCAATGCGACTGGTGTAACTGACATGGTCTAAGCTAACAGCCGGCTTCTTCAGCTTCGACGGCTGGCTGCGGGAAATGGAGGCCAGCAATTTCAATGAAGACCGCATCTTCCTAGAGGCATGTCATGAAAGCCTCGAGTTGGAGAGAATTTAATAATAATGAGCATCATGAAAGTACACCAGTTAGTGATATTCTGGATGGCGGAAGAGAAGGCGGTCAGAACGATTGTGTAATGTAATGTAAGTTACCGTCACGTACTGTACAATACACATAGTTGCGATATCGACAGCAAGTACGCCCGGACTTCATAGTAAATAGAAAAGAACAAAAATATACTTAAATGGCATGTTATCTAATGTCTACATACCTAAAGGATAATTAACCGAAATAAGTCTCTGAATCAATAAAAAAGGCCCGATTCCGACATCATCCCCTCATATGAGATAAGGACGGCGACAAAGAAAAAAAAGCAAGCATCATCACAATTCGACTATTGCTTTGCCTAACCACAAAGGGTAATTTACATGGCTTTCTCAACGAATTCAGTCATGTCTATACCATCAATACAGCCAGCAAATAGAATATTAACAGTCTGATAATCGAGAGAAAAGGATACAAGGCTAATCCTCCAGCAGTATTGCTCTATCATTCTTGATCTGACCTTTGAATATAGAGTTTTGGGGGTGCCGTGAATGATGATATAGAGAATGGTAATTGTATTACGAGACATGGATGGATATCTGGAAACCTTGAGCGGGCCAACGCTGAACGAGCTGAACTGCACCAGGGATCTCATCACAACCATTTAAAATCAGCGGTGTAACTACCATCAGAATTATCATCCTCTGTCTTAATAAAATCCCCTTGCTTGGAAAATCATCCATCAAACATGACAGCAAAATCCTTGGAGGCTGGCTTGTCTCTTATCGAGAATGACAAGTCCAAGATACTCGGCCTCACTATCGGCCAGCATCAAATCACACCGGGACAAGTGATCCCCAAAGCAGGTGAGTCAACGCACACAAGCGCGCGTCCGCTTTTGACAGCACTCCGCGATATAAGAGTGTATAGCATCGATATCGCTAACAGTGAGTTCAGATGCCAAGAACCCACCTCAGATATCTCTCAGCGAACCGACGGGTAATTATATCGTAATCTGCCTTGATCCCGATGCCCCATTTCCATCTTTCAGCTTCTTGGGTCCCATCATGCACTGGGTTCAGCCAGGCCTGAAAGCCTCATCGGAGACCACAGCTACCGGGCAAACCATCCTCACATCCGAAACCTCCGTCATTATCAATTACGGCCCCCCTGGGCCTCCACCAGGGAGTTCACCTCATCGATATATCTTCCTCCTGTACGAACAACCCGAAGGGTTTCAGGCCACTGATCATGCGCCGGAGGGCGGGAAGACGCTGAAGATCTCGCAAAGAGTGAAGTACAATTTAAGTTCGCTTGAGAAGCAGATGAAACTGGGACCCGTGGTGGCAGCGAACTACTTTTGTAGTAACTAGGTGTGCAGCTGGCGATTGATTGATTAGTTTTAGCTCGATTACCCCGTATTAATGCAATTAATTCTGTCTTTTGGAAGGCCCCGAAGTTGTTGTCCATTAAGGAGACCTGGCATTGCTCTGCGCATGCTATAATGATATAGGCTGGTTCGACCCGGAAATTGCAGATCGGGCGAAGAGAGCAGAAGATAGTTCGTAACTGAAAAATCCTAAAGAAAGAATCGAAGATCAAGGAATTGAAGATGGATTGAATAATAATCCAAGCGTGATGAGAGGCCCGGAGCCACCGGTGATCATCACGTGATGCGTTCCTGGCTTCCCCGAACTTTTTTTCGCGACTCCGTCGGAGGAAGAAAGCAGAAGTCGACGAGAAGCATTTCGTACTCGACCGATTCCGGTGTGGTTGGACGATAGCCATGAGGTCTCCTTCTCTCGCACGGTTGCAATACCGTGCCGTCTCTGGCCTGACCAGATCGCCAGTCCGTCTTCAGTCTCAGAACTTCTTCTCGCAGCGATGCGCGTCTACGGCCGCCTTCCGTTTACCTACTGCTGCTCCGGCTTATCAGTCCATCGTCAACAGACATCACCAACAAAGGAGAAATGCTTCTGCCACCGCTGCTGCAGTGTGAGTTACAGCCTGTTGATATCCATTGATTTGGCTTAAAAAAGGAATTGAGCTTGTTGCTAATTGCCTTGTGAATTAGTCTCGAGGCTGCTGCGGCTACTCCGGAGACCCTGTCTCAGGATGCTATCATCGACAACCTCGACCCTGTTGAGGCAGCACGACTTTCTAAAGTCAGAAACATTGGTATTGCGGTAAGCAAATGGAATCTGCGTTATACTCAAATACGACATCCGCAGGTCTAATCTGTTCTCATGATAGGCCCACATCGACAGCGGTAAAACCACCTGTACCGAACGAGTTCTCTTTTACACCGGCCGTATCAAGGCTATCCACGAAGTCCGCGGCCGAGATAGTGTCGGTGCTAAGATGGACTCTATGGATCTGGAGCGTGAAAAGGGTATCACCATTCAGTCTGCTGCTACCTACTGTGACTGGGTGAAGAAGGACAAGGAGGGCAAGGATGAGACCTACCATATCAACTTGATCGACACACCGGGTCACATTGATTTTACCATCGAAGTCGAGAGAGCGCTCCGTGTTCTGGATGGAGCTGTCATGATTCTGTGTGCTGTCTCAGGTGTGCAGTCGCAGACGATTACGGTCGATCGCCAGATGAGACGTTACAATGTCCCTCGTATCTCCTTTGTCAACAAGATGGACCGTATGGGTGCCAACCCGTTCAAGGCAGTTGACCAAATCAACACCAAGCTCAAGATCCCTGCCGCTGCTGTCCAAGTGCCCATTGGCACCGAAGATGAATTTGAGGGCGTTGTGGACTTGATTCGAATGAAGACGCTCCGCAACGCAGGAGCTAGTGGTGAAGAGATCGTCGAGACAGATGAAATCCCTGACAAGGTTAAGGATTTGGCTATCGAAAGGAGGAAGATGCTCATCGAGACCCTTGCTGATGTCGATGATGAGATGGCAGAGCTCTTCTTGGAAGAGGCTGAACCCACCGAGGCTCAAATGAAGGCAGCAATTCGACGAGCAACCATTGGATTGAAGTTTACTCCGGTTTTCATGGGTACTGCGCTGGCCAACAAGTCCGTGCAGCCAATGCTCGATGGTGTTATCGACTACCTGCCCAACCCCTCAGAGGTGCAAAACCTTGCTCTCGATCAGAAGCGTGACGAGGCTCCTGTGAAGCTTGTGCCTTACAACGCTCTTCCATTTGTTGGTCTCGCATTCAAGCTGGAAGAGAGCAACTTTGGACAGTTGACATACATTCGAGTGTACCAAGGCACTCTCCGTAAGAGTTCCAACGTCTTCAATGCCCGAAACAGCAAGAAGGTCAGGATTCCCCGCATCGTTCGCATGCACTCCAATGAGATGGAGGACGTCAGCGAGGTTGGAGCCGGTGAAATCTGTGCCGTCTTTGGTGTCGAATGTGCTTCTGGTGACACCTTCACTGATGGCCAGCTTGGCTACAGTATGTCATCCATGTTCGTTCCTGAACCCGTCATTTCGCTCTCCATCAAGCCCAAGAACAACAAGGATGCTGCCAACTTCTCTAAGGCCATGGCACGTTTCCAGAGAGAAGACCCCACCTTCCGTGTGACGTACGACCAGGAGAGTGAGCAGACACTCATCTCTGGAATGGGTGAACTGCATCTGGACATCTACATTGAGCGTATGCGCCGCGAGTACCGGGTTGACTGTGAGACTGGTCCACCTCAGGTCGCATACCGTGAGACCATCGGCAACAGGGTCGACTTTGACCATCTGCTCAAGAAGCAGTCGGGAGGTCCTGGTGACTATGCCCGTGTTATGGGTTGGATGGAGCCTAGCGAAAAGCTCGAGGACAACACCTTCGAACAGCAGATTGTTGGAGGTAGCATTTCCGAGAAGTTCTTGTTTGCCTGTGAGAAGGGTTTCAACATTGCTTGCGAAAAGGGCCCTCTAATCGGCCACAAGGTTCTGGGTTCCAAGATGGTTATCAACGATGGTGCTACCCACATGACTGATTCATCTGAAATGTCTTTCAAGAACGCCACTCAGCAGGCTTTCCGCAAGGCATTCATGGAGAGCAACCCCTCTGTTCTTGAGCCTCTGATGAAGACCACTGTCACCGCCCCATCCGAATTCCAGGGTGACGTTATTTCGCTTTTGAACAAGCGCAATGCCACCATCAATGACACCGAGACTGGTGTTGACGAGTTCACTGTGTATGCCGACTGCAGTTTGAATGGCATGTTTGGTTTCAGTACCCATCTGCGTGCTGCCACCCAGGGTAAGGGTGAATACACCATGGAGTTCAGCCACTACGAGAAGGCACCACCGCAATTACAGTATGTTCACCCTTCCATTATTTTATGAACCTGTATATGATCTTGATACTGACTACCGTACAGGAAGGAACTCATCGCGAAGTACCTGAAGGCCCAGGCCGACAGACACAAGAAATAAACATGTCTGAAATTACCACCTCTCCTAAAAGCCATGGCTTTTCAATCACTCCGAGGTTGCTAGGGGAAGTGAACGCCCTTTGACGACTCGATTTCCTCGATTGATTTTGGATTTGATAGGTGCCTCGGCTTGCGAGCAAGCATCACGAGTCGCTCAGGTGCCTCCATATCATATTACCCATTTACCTTCTCAACCTGTTTTATCAGATAAAGCCTTTGCTTTTCATTTATCTATGTTCCAATAATTTGCAGCCATGTACTATTTTTTCCAGTTTAGACAGACCCTGTGGGCTTTCTAAATTACTTTTACAATGCTTTTTTCTAAACAATTCATGTCATCGGAGCAGTACAAAAGCAAATGTTGGTGTTGTTTTCAAGGTCATCGGATTCGGGATTGTATTCATATTCCGCACTTTTGTTTAATTTCTTGGTTGTTTATACTATATAAATTCTCCCCTCATAGACTATGAAATGAAACGGTCTCTCTGATTATCGATGTGTTCCGTGACGGTATTTCTGTTGGATGAAGACTGAATAAGGAAAGATATGTTTATACTATATAGTCGTAATGGTGATGTTCGTATAATGCTCGTCGCTTCTGCTTAAACTAGGAATCCTTTCGAAAACAATGGGCTATGAAGATATGTCTGTTCAGATTCACCCTTCAAAGGCCCGCAGAACGGCCAGGGCAGCAACAGAAAAGGTTGCAACACGGTTATGACCTAAGATGGGAATCAGTAAGCTTTCATGAAAAGGTGGTGACTTGAGTTCTTTATTTGATACATACCGCCGTAACCCACCCGCTCCCACCTAACCTTCTTAACACCCTTTGAGTCCTGAGACCTGTTTTCCCAGATTTTCACTTCGCCGTCCTTGTCCTTTTTCTGAACGGCTAGGGTGCCAGGGGCATCTGGCTGGCCTTCACCAGTCGCAGCCCACCAAACGCGCCGTCCTTCATACCAGGGGATTTCGACATCATTCGAAGCGTGTACAATCACCAGGTCCAGATCTTTATCCCCATAGCCAGCGATAGAGTCTTCTTGAGCGGTTGGGCCAATTCCCGCCAAGCGTGCTACACGTGCCGCTGTGTCCCAGCTGTCAACGATGTGGTTTACCACCCACTTTTGTACACGAGGGTAGCCGATGAGGGGGGAGAGCATCGGCGGAGTGATTCCCTTGAAGCTGTAGGACTCGATGAGACTGGGCAGAGTGCTGAAGGACGCCACGAGAATGACACCTGCAAAGGGTTCCGAGTTTTTGATGGCGGGTTGGATAGCGGTAGGGTCAGAAGAGCCGAAGGCGAAGCGTTCTGCGACGGCAGCGCTGACGGCAGTTCCAAGGCTTTGGCCCATGATGACGATTTGGGAGGGTGGGATGTTCAATGGTCCGGAGGTGAGGTAGTTGATGAGTGAGACGCCATCGGTGATGAGGCCCTCCTCGGAGGGCTCACCGGTTGAGAGACCAAATCCACGGTAGTCGATGGAGAATACATGAACAGGGTTGGAGGGCGTGGATAGACCCAGGATCATACGGTAGATTTCTGGTCGCTGGGCAGAACCAAGATGGGCAGCATTGCCATGGACTGGTTGGCAGAGAGTTTAGTAAGGGTATGCACGATATATTGAAAATTTCAGGTGAACACTCACAGTTAACCACGACCCGGGCATTCGGGTCTTTGGCTAGAAGCTTGAAAGCAGATGTCTGGGTATAATCTTCATGTGGACCAGAAGGCTCGTTTGCATTCAGCTCATCCTCATGCTCGTGGCACAGATGCAAAGGGATGAGATGCCATCCGTAGAGCGTTTCATTATCGGGAGTCTTCAGATTGAAAGGCTGAACCTGCGTTTCTATTGGAATTAATTCCAGCTTCATGGAATCCAGTTCGTTTCAACATACTCATGAACCCGAACGGTTCGACCTTGTTGACGTCCTCCCAGAGAGTCGGGTTGAACTTGTTCACATAGAGAAGCCTGGACGTATAATCAGCAAGGATTCATCTGTATAAAGACGAATAGAGAATACATACGACCGCTGGACATTTGGAAATGTCATGGCAAATACAAAAGTCACATATGCGAGACCACCGGCGGCCAGAGACCAGTAGGCCTTTTTGAAGATGGATTGAAGCTCAACCATGATGAGGAGCGAAGGGAGGGGTAATTAACGGTGATGAAAATCCCACAATCATCCAAGATGTAATTCAGCAGTGCTTCAAGGGTAAAAAAGAGAAAGGCAAAAGCGTGGTTGACGAAAAGAAAGCTGGCGTGCATATGTGAAGCTGATCATTACGTCGTCCGCTTCGAGTTTCCCGCGTTTCTTTTCTTTCTTCCTCCACCTCCGCAGAGGGAAAAACACTCCATCCCCAGTCCGTCCCTCATCCCTTTTTTCGCATAGCAGCAACTATTAGGGATGCTTCGCAGCCCTCCTCATATTCTGCTATCTCGACACATCCGTCCCTAGTCGCCGTCATGGCCGAGAAGCGTAAACTCACCGCGCGCGAGCGTCGCGAACCCGCCGCGAAGAGACGAGCCTCCGAAGCACCAACTCAACCTCCGTCCAAAAAGAAAGCCTCAACTCCTATTGTTGCTGCTGCCCCTACTCCTCCTCCGCCGCCTCCGCCAGAGCCTGCTCAGGATCCCTTGCCCACCAAGATCAAGGATGGAGAGGGTCTACCGGTGGTGGCAGCACCACAGCCGGAGACCCTCTCGGACAAGGAGTATCAGTCGGTTGCTGAAAGGTGGGTGATTGATGGAATATTCCTCGATGGAATACATATAAATGGCAGAAAGATCTGACTCGATTATCTCTACAGTGCGGTTCTTCTAGCCTCCCTGGAACGGTCCAAGAAGAAATGGCTTAGCGATGGTATTTTGGTACGATATTGGACGAAGCCAAAGAAGACAAAGAGGGAACAGATTGAAGGGAAAAACCCACCGAAAGAGTCCATGTCGAAAATTGGGCCTTGCAACATTGTGGTTGGGCCTCATCTCTTCGACGCGATGCTGTACACCGTGAAGGACCCAAATGCGCCGCCTCCCATTCAATACACTCCCCCTCAGCGGCCGATGGTCCATTACGGCCCTCCCAATAACTTCCAGCAATACCATCCATATCCTCATCCAGCCCCTACTCCGCATGCACGACAGTCCCATCCTCATCCTCCCCCACCGACACCTCAATACTCTCCTGCTCAGGCCGGACCCCCTCAACCGGGTTACCAGCCAGGGAATCAACCCCCGCCTCCTCCTAATCAGCCTAGAGCTCATCACCATGCTCCTCCTCATCAGCAGCCTTCGACTCCCCAAAATGCTCAGCGGCCTCCACCGTCACAACATGCTCCACCTCAGCCTCCCAAACCCAGTCCAGACCCGGTCATCCAAATGCTTGCTACCAGAGCTGCTTCGGATCCCGAACTTAAGGCATTGATGAGAGTGGTGGCATCGAGTAAAGCATCACAGGAACAGCTTCGAGCATTCCAGGCACACATTGATGAGCTTAATGCCATCATTAGAGCGAGGGAACAGCAGCAGCAGCGACAACAAGCGCAAACATCTACAACCGCTCAGCCACCGGCAGGACAGCAACAAAAACAGCCAACGCCGTCACAAAAAGTCCCGGAACAACCACAAAAGCCAGGTACGCAGCAAGCTTCGACTCAGCAAACGCCTCAGTCACAACCTCAACAAAAGTCAACTCCACAATCTAAACCACAGCCACGGGTGGAGGTTCAAATCCCTAAGCCGTCATCATCTACAAATCCCTCGCCTGGAACTCCCAAGCAGAACCCAGGCAATCCGCCCCAAACACCAATTACGCAGAACTCTAATGCAACACCACAAGTGAAACAAGAACCCGGTGTAGCTCCTCCAAGTTCTACTCCAACGACCCAGGCGCCACCTTCAGAGACAAAACCTCCAGCAACTTCAACCCCTGGTGCTGCTGCCGCAGGTCCGCCGCCGTTAACTCCTGCTGCTGGTCCACAAACAAAGCAGCCAAGTCCTGCAGTACGACCCATGCCCCCTCCTCCCCCACAGCAGGCGGCAGGGCAACGTCCAGGACCTCCATACCCCCCTTATCAACAGCCACCGTATCAAGGAGCACATCCGCCTCCAATCCAGTCTCGCCCGCCGCAATATGGCTCACCGGCACCATATTACCGCTCGCCTGCACCCCCACCGCCCCCAAGGCTCAACTACAAATCGGTAGTCTTTGAGTTCACATCGCCGCTCACGCCATACGGAAGCAGCACCTCGGGGCATGCGGGCTCTGGAGATCGTTACCTCTTTCCTGAGTATTCGATATTGGAATGGCTTCCGGGAGGAAATACCATGCTTGCTTCCTTCTTGCTCGTTCGAAAGGTGGACCCGAACGCGCCATTTCCCATAGAAACTGCGTCCGATACTGCCAACCCACGGGCCAAGAAGGCGGCATCCAAATCCAAAAAGGGCAAGAACAAGGACAAGGACAAGGACAAAGCGGCTGACGAGGCAAAGGATAAAGATAAGGGAGCAGAAAAGAAAGGAGAGAAGGAAAAGGCAAAGGACACCAAACAACTTACTCCAGACCAGGATACTCCTGCTGCCGATTCCAAACCAGCTCCGACCGAGGGGGGTGACAAACCACCAGCCGACCAGGCCGAGAAGAACAAGCAGACAGCGGCAACCCCGGGCAAAGAAGACACGGGCAAGCAGCCAGAAAAGGACAAGCCGGAAGAGGTGAAGAAAGAATCCAACTTGAAAGAGTATTACCAGCCGGTCACTTTCCGCATCTACAGCGCCAACCCGAAAGTCCTGGAGCCATTAAGTCGGGTTGTAAAGCCTCCAGAAGAAGTACGCAAATACATGAATGAAATCATGGATCGAGCGGAACGCGCGCCGGATGGCTTCTTGGCGTATCGTCTTCCTCGGGAAAGGGAAGATGACGAGAATGAAGTAGAGGGCAACAAGAAGGGCGACACTCCTGCACCCCCGACCAATGTTGGGGGCCGCAATCGACCGTCTAGAGGGAAAGCAATCGAGGAGGACTCAGGTGCTGAGAATACAGGAATGGAAGAGGAGGAAGAAGAGGAAGAGCTGAAAGACTTTTACGGACCTCCTACCGGGCTTACTCCCCTGGGGATTTAACGTTTTCTATAATGAACTGTGCCACTCTTGTGTGCCCCAGTTGCTATTATTTTAGCCATGATCTTTCTTTTTAAATATTGTAACAATATAGATGACTTAAACCGAAATGACTTGGTTGAATCTTGCTCACAGATTAATAGATAGCTTCAAAACCGCCAAGGTATCGCTATATCCTCCGAACCAAAAAAAGAAATAAATAAAATACATTTTGCTACTAGAAAGAGATCCAAAAAGCTCACCCCAAATCCGCGAACCAGCCTCCTTCCTATAAGGTGGAAGCTGCACGGTGGGCTACGAAATCCCAGCAGTAGGGATATTCGACGAACCCCCGGAGAACGTAAAGTCCCCCCTGACGGGATTCGACCCAGGACTCCTGTCTGTACGGTTGCAGGACAAGTCGCCGAGGCGACCAGACCACTGCACCACAGTCACTCTGGGTTTGTTGGGGGGATTACGCAAAGATGGATTATATGGGAAGAGTGGCTGCCTGATTGGGAAGGGCAGGATGGATCACGTGATACCCATCTGTATTCAGGTTGTACTGTAGAAAGAACAGATTGTGTAGGGTCTATTCTTTCATTGGGTGCCTGAGAAGGTAATACTATGCTGATGATTCATAGCAGATGTAGATTTGGTTGTCTAGCCTGCTTTACGGATTGAATACCGCAACATAAACCATCAGCCGTGTACAGTATATCAAGATCATCATTCACGCCTTTCAGCATATGCTTGTTATCCAAGAGCTAAATCAACCAAGAGATAGCTTCGAAGCATTATAGATCTATCATCCAACACTCCCTCCGCTTCGTCCAGGGCCACCATTACCACTGCCAACCAGTCCAGCCGTCTCCAACAGCCATCTTGCACTTTCAAGTGCGGAATCCCCTGCGCCAGCATTCAGATTTACGTTTCTTCTTCGCTCCGCCTCCCGAGCTTCAAAATCCCACTTCAACTGTTGCAATTCCACGGCACTCTGAACCTTGTCAGAAGTGGCAGATTCCACAGGATTAGGGATTACCCCCCAGATCTCAAGGTTGTAGATATCAATATGGATTTTTTTGGTGCCTTGCTCAGGTGAAGCGGGTTCTGGAGGGAGGAAAACGCCATTATGACCCACTGGGGAAACGCTAAACTCTGCAGATTCGAGGCTAGGATCGATAATGAGGCTACCAGCTCCGTGTGGTGTGGGGGTGGAGTGCTGTGTCCGCGATGAAGGGGGTATCTTGCAGCCAATTGCTATACCGGAATGCGTAGAAAAGTATGCAGCGGGTGTATTGGGTTGGTTGGCTGATGAGGATGCGTTACCCTGCAAGAGCACGTGCTTGGGAGAAAGCTGGAAAAGGCATGGAAGAAGGGATGAATCGGGAGGTTTGGAGGAGGTATGGGCTGAAGAAGAAGATTTCCAAGGGTGGGGTAGGTATGCCCCAAGAGTTATCATGTTCTCCCCCTCGTTGGATGAGCCAGCCACAGAACCCTGAAGCAAAAACAGCGTAGCCGATTGCCAGGTAAGAACATGATGGGAGAAAGATGTAAGTGATGAACCATGTGCTGCTGCTGAGAAAACTGGGTGCAGTTGCACACCACTGCGGAGGAAGTTCAAGTTGTGGGTCGTAGAAGGGAGGAAAAAGGAAAGATGAGAAATAACGCTCGAGTCCAGAATCGAAGATTCAAAGCTTCCGGGGAGCATAATTGAAGCAGGTGGCGGCGAGGGTGCTTCTGGTGGGGTTTCGACAGGCTCTGTGGAAGTAGAATCGGTCGTGTTTCGCCTCTGGGAGAGATTGAGATTTTTGCTGAAGAGTAGGTGCTCAAATAATGGCGTTAAAGGGTCGAAAAGATAAGGAAGGGAGCCGGATACAGTTTGGGAAAACGATTTGTAGCTAATCCCACCAGCTGCTTCTTCTGGACTGAAAGCATCCAAAATGCTGTCTACTTCTTTTCGAACCATCTCCATACGTTCCGTGCTCAGGTCAGAAGTATATGTCTCGACGGATTCAAGTGGCTTTAATGGCGAGATAACAACTAACAGCATCAGAAGTCGACGGAAAGTTTTGATAGAAATCCTAGCCTCGTAAACTGTTTTATCAATGCGATGGTCATGTTTGAAAACTTCAATGGCATCCAGAGACTCCAAGGCGACAAGTGCGAGGTCATCATCATCATCTTCGTAGTCATCATTAGCCGGCTCATCAATCGAGAAGCCAGCAGCATGGGAATTGGTAGTTGCAGGAGTATTGTTGTCGTTTTTAACTTGGTCTTCTGAAGATCTCGACTCCCCTACATCTTTCCTTCCAACATCGGCAAGACTTCCAAATAGTAGTTTGATGCGGTCTTTGCGCCCTCGCCTCAAGACCTTCCCATATCGTTCAGTCAACAAGACAGCCACTTTTACCATGGCTTCAAATGTCAGAACACTTGGGGCAAGGGTATTCTGGAAAGGAAATGCCCCTAGATATGACACCATGCGGAAGATGACAGGGCCCGCATCGAGGGGACATTGAGAGTCACTGCTATCCGGAATCCCCAGGAAATCAGAGAGAGTCTTCTCATTCCAATACTTCATGCCACCCTGATCAGTCGCACGGGAGAAGAAGTTGTCTTTGAAGTGGGTTAATTCCAACGGAGTGAAACATTTGGTTGCGAAGCGTTCGGCAAGCATGTAGCTCAGGCCCTCTATTTCCATGTCAGATCTTTTACATTCTTTCCCCAGTGGATACTAGCATAGCTTATGACCGATAGTGATCGAAATAGTAGATTGATAACTAACCTGGTGTAGACGCATGGCCCGCATACTCTGTGGATTGACCTACTCCCATTGTCACTCAATGGGTGTAACAGCGAAACGGTGATTTCGAACCAAAGCACAGAAATAACAAGGCCTCTTGTATGTTTTTTTCTACCCAGTTAAGAGTCGATTGAGTGTGTGTTCCGGAACCATTCGATGCCTGATTTGGATGTTATGCGTCGCTCGAGTACCAAAGCGGGGAGAGACGGGTGAACCCCGGAGGTCGCAATGATGACTTTTAAACTGCAGAAAGAGACGATCAAACACGCTAAGGCCCCTGGATTATCTCCGAGACAATCGAATGATTCACCCGGTCAAAAACGTGGCCGGAGGATGAAGATGATGATGGGGAGAGTACGGCAAGACGAGGAGGAAGTCTGGGCCTTGCCATGTGATGACGACGTCACGGAAACGGAAGTGCCTTGCTGCCTCAGGCAACAAGGGGGTTTCCCCAGTAAATACGAAAAGAACATTTTCTTTTGTCATAATATTTATAGCTTTTTTTGTTTCATGGATATTTCTAGCTAGCTATACTATCATTTGAATAAATACACAGAAGATCGAGCAAACTCACTTTTCTGGGTATTTGAACGCAATATTGACTCGAACGCATCGCGGGCTTTACAGCATGACAACACCAACACCTCCCATCTTGTTCTCATCCGGCAGATTCTTCTCGTTAACACCTCCAGGGATAGGGGCTGCGCGGTAGTTGTAAATGTAGAAGTGAAGCTGTCCATCACCGGCGCCAAACTTGAGCTGCTCAAGGAACATAGGGTTGTCGTGAAGCGTAAGGGCGTTAAAGACATCGAATTGGGACTATTACAAAAATTCATTAGTCTCGTGGGTGATATCAGAGAGAAAGGACAGTTAGGTCCATTACCTTCTTAGCCAAGATCAAGGCGTCATTCATCAGCATGAGGAGTCTTTCTTTGAGGGCCTTCTTGTCCTCGCCGAATGCTGTCTCCGTTGCATAATAGTACAGGTAGGCGGCACGCACATTCTTGTGCTTCGGGTGCTGGATGACGGAGGACTCCAGGTTGTAGAACGAGAAAAAGTCCGTAATCTTGTGGGTTTCCGGGTCTTCCACCACGTAAGACCACACAACCTGCTCCTGGCTTGGGTTCTCTTTGTGCACCAGCCAGTGTTCAATTTCTTCCCTTGTGAAGGCCTGATTCAGATTGAATTTTACCAAGTAACGCTCCAACAGGTCGTGGACGGCATCGATATCCTTCGATTCCATAGGTCGAAGACCGGGGGTTGAGGTAGAGCTGGGAAGGTGGTTCTTCGTGATCTGGCGGGCCTTGGTAGATCCAGGGGGGAGCGGCGAGAAGCCGACCTCGTAGAGCTTCAACCAGTCAAGAGGACGGTGGTAGTACCGACAGGAGCTGACGGGTGTAGGGAGGATCACACCAGCAGTGTAGATGGCCTGGTAGATGCCATTCAGATAGCAACGACGGGTGATCTCCTTGATGAGAACGGGAGTCAAACGCTTAGACCGGAGTTTCTTGTGGATGCAGAGGAAGTTAATCTCCGTAACCTTGATCTTCTTGTCGCGAACACGCAGCTCAGTAGGCACACCGCAGATAGAAGCGACCAATTTCTTCGACTTGGAGGCGCGAACACCGACATGCCATTCTTTCTTCCAGCCGGGAGACATCAGGGCCCTATGTTTCGTACGTCAGTCACAATTGGCCCAACACTACATCGTTATATAGGCACCTACCAGTGAAGGAAGGACCGCGAGTAATTGAACCGGAACATGGCATTGTCGTCCTCCACGTAGTGATTTGTCAGGAGATCGTACAACTCATGGAGCTCCTCCTGATTCGTCAAATCAAGAGTCGACCACTCAAACCCTTCAACCAAAGCATCCGGTTCCTTCGACACTTTCGCCGGGTCAATTCTCTTGATCGGCCCCTCAGTGATGCTCTCCTCCTTATCATCGAATCGAGGCACCGGCTGCGTCTGCCAGAACTTGTACGAGGCCATATCCTTCTGGTTCTTTCCACCAACCGACATACCCGTCAGCAAATCGGAAAGGTCCAGATTGCGCAGAATCTCAGCGGCCTTGCCCTTGTCCATTCCCGCCATCTCGTTCTTCAGGGCCGGGTTCATCTCCAACAACGACTCGGCCATCTTGGTCGTCATCTTGTTTTGGCCCTGCTCTCCATCCTTGGCGGGTTTCTTGCCGTCCGATTTCGAGGTTTTAGAAGTGCCGGCCTGGGTGGCCTTATCGTCAATGTCCTTCGAGTCCGACATGGCGTGGAGGGAGGTTTTGTAGAAGGAGGGGTTGTTGGAGAACTCGAGACGGGCGTCGGTGCGGGAAAGGTGTCGAATTTCCCAACCCAGCCCCACGTCACCGCAAAGTTGCGCGGGGGTGTCTGAGGAATAGTAATAGTAATCCGCCTTATGACCCGTTTTATTCGCGCCTACAGAGATAACTTCATTTAAAAAAAGAATACAATGTTTCGAAGAAATAGTGTCGAAGCTAAGTATTGGAATTATTGTTTTTTTCTATGTATATAATGGCTCTGTCGTACAATGTTCCCTTGATGTGATATATCATATGGCTTTCATGAACAATGTTTACCTCGGTAAGAGAAAACAAAGCCCACTGGAACATGATACTTCAGGAATGTGCCATTATTATAAAAAGCAAAAGGGTTTGTTGAAGCCCCGGACGAACGCCTCTGGATGCTAGAAAGCAGGAAAATAAACAAGTCACCCGGAATAGAAAGTGATGGAAACCAGTATCATTGTGGGTATCGGTACGTTGTTGAAAAGTCATAGTCAAGTAAAGAGATGTTAAGACTCGAATAGAGATGCCGGATAGTCAATGCAAAAGGAAGACTGAGAATTGACCTAGGCTTGCTTGCTCGGTTTGGTTTCAATGACATCGAGGAAACCACCCACAAGGTGCAAACTACCGGTGACAAAGGTCATCACGGGAGCTTCATCCCCTGATAGCAAGTCTTTCTCCTTGGCAGCAAGCTCTCGTGCAAAGTCAACAGCTTCTTCAATTGTTGCAAAGACCTTGACTTCCGCTTTTGGGTCAACATCTCTCCAGGTCTCAGCGAGGCTGTGTTGAACGCTCAGCTTTTCCACATCGGATTTGTCGGTGTTCATGCTGACAAGGTCAGGGCGGTAGCCCGCGTCTTTGTATGTGACATTGGTACAGAATATCGCATGGGTAAATGGTGACCCAGATTCGAGAGCCGCAGCCAGAGTTCCGTAGAGCGCACGGGCAAGGGCATCGCTATCACGAGTTTGTTGGTTAAAGATCAAAAGGCGGAGCTTCTTGTCTGCCGCAATACTGGACGAAGAGTTGGCTTGGATCTGGGAGGCAAACCACTGACCAGCCAGCTTTATGCTCTCCTGGGTGTGACCGCCATCGATGTACCAGGCTACATCCTTTTCAAGTCTTGTTTCACATCTTCCACCCAAGGTAGTGAGCTCCAGTCCTTTGCGGAACTTGGCTGGTAAAGCTCCTTTAGAGAGTTCCTGTGAAACATCTTCAATCCCGACCTTCTTGAGAAATTCTGCCGCAGTGGCAACGGCAACTGCTGCGTTCATGTATTGGAAGTCACCAGCGAGACCAAGTTTCACATCACTTCCGTCCAAGAGGCCTCTCACGATCTCCAGCTGGGTTCCCTTTTCCTCTGCGCGCTGAGATAGGACCTTTTCAGCGCTAGTTGGTTGGGGAGCACTGAAAGCTTTAGCACCAGGTTTGATGATACCGCCCTTATGCCATGCAATCTCTTCAATTGTAGTGCCCAGCATAGATGTGTGGTCGATACCCAAGCTGGTGATTGCACTTGCGACTGGTTGGGCAATCACGTTGGTGCAGTCATACTCTCCTCCAATGCCACATTCAATAACAGCAGCATCCACTCCTTCGCTGATATACGTATGGAAAGCCATGAGAGTCAAGTATCGGAAGTATTGAGGTTTCGGTCTTGGGTCCAGAGGGTCTCCCTCGACCCGCGCGGCTTCCTCCAGTCGATCCCACACTTCAAAGAAGTATTTAGCAAACAGCTCTTCCGAGATAGGAGCATTGTCGATCTTGATACGTTCTCTAGCAAACCGCAAGTGAGGTGAAGTGTATGTGCCGATTTTGTTGAGTCTGGGGGAAGACAGCTCCGACTCCGGTGAGTCAGATTTGGTGTACTGGGACAGGATGGAAGAGACAAAGGCAGAGGTTGATCCCTTGCCCTTAGTGCCAGCAACGTGGACGGGGTTTATACGCTCCAAATCGGAGGGCTATAAAGTGGCAGGAATCTGCGTTAGCAATTGTTATCCCGCTCTACACACTGCGGGTGTGGATTGCGAACCTGATATCCGATGCGACGGAGCCAGTCAGCCATCTCTGGAATCGATGTTTTGTTCATGTCTTCCCTAGTCTGCTGCTTCTTGAGTTTTTCGATGATCGCAAAGTTGGACTGCAGCGAATTGAGCGCTGCAATCGCATCCTATAACCCCGGGTTAAGAAGGACATAAATCACGACGGGAGGGGCATGACGTACCTCATAATTGCGAGACATTGCGGGGGACGAGGAGAATCGGCGCAGTGATCGGTACTTCCAAACGGGTAGAGGTATACGAAAGAGCCTCATCAAGCTGGGCCACTGCAATGCCGGCGGCCGAGTTAGACGTGTGTTGCTGAGGGGTAGAGGTCCAATTTAAGCTCGTCGATGTATCGCCGCTGCAGGCCGGAGATTTTCTGCGACTCCGGAGCTTTTATCGGCTAGTGGGCTCACGTGAGCACTTGTTTAATTGACAAAAGATGACTTAATTGTTTTTATTTCCGGGTCCGTTTTTTGGGCAATGGATTGGTGATGAAAACCAGGGTAACCGTGGTGAGCCATATTATGTTCTACCGCTGTATGATCGGTGGGGTTCAGGAAGAGCCCAAGCCAGCTAGCTACAGTGAACCATACAACATCACGGAAGGCCCTGCACAGGGCACTAAATTGTAGGAATAGCAGGGTTGCTCGACATAATATGTTATCTCTATTGGACTCTAGTGAAAAAAAAACAAAGCTTCTCAGAGGGAACATGACAATGCAAAGGGTATGGGACATATGGAAGTAACATTGGATTATGAGTCTGGTGATAAAAAGAAGTTCAATGGGAAACGAAAAGAAATGAAGAAAGAAAGAGCAGGATCTGGGCATTCAGAGCCGATTTATGCAAAGTACAAGTACAGACATAAATAGTGAACAAGACACATCACTGGATTGCCGACAAAAAGAGCAAGTAGCAGTGATATAGAGGAGGTGGAATGATTACTCAATCCTTGTCTTTCCTTCCTCTAGGAAGCCCAACCGAGCATTACTGTACCCTCTTTGGTGCTTTCTGACAGGAAGCCACCGGCCAATGACTGGGTCTGAACGTGCCTTTCCGAGTGCGTCCTGGTAGCCCTCTGAGCCAGCAGACGGTGTATTCAACTTTGGCCAATTCACCTGTGAGAAAAACTCGTCAGTAAAATATGGAAGGTGAAGCTATTTTGTAGGGAACATACGTAGAGCATTCCATGTGCAAGGATGAAGCGCCCACACCAAGCGCAAACGGCGATCCAGAAAATAACAAACAAACGGAGAGGCCACACAGTCGAATCAGGCAATCGCTTCGTAAGCATAGAGACAAGGATCATGAAGATACTAGCAGCGAAGATGTAAGGGATTGACTGGATTATTATGGGTCTCCGATCAAAGAAGAGCTGGAATGAACCCAGCGTCGAGTCAGGGGGGAGGTAGGTGCCCAAGAACACATCAAACCCATCTTGTCTGGGGCCGTCCATAAAGTTGTTACGCAGATATCTGGTGATGGAGTTGCTCAAATCTTGCACCATTCCAGCCCGTGTGCGCTGACCAGTACGGGTGAAGTCTGTCTTCAAAGCTCCCGTACCGGAATACGATTTCGACACCACGTCTGCATTATCGGCCCATATGTTACGGAACAAATTCTCAAATTCACGGTCATCGTTTGCAGCTTCTCCTTGGCGAAGGACTCCTGCATCAACAAGCTGCCGAGTGACGGCCCAGCGCCCAAGCATGCTCTGGACCACATTAGTGCGGTCCAGACAATCCATGCAGTTGGTCCGCACGACACTTGTCTGGGATGTACGCGATTCCAACTGCCCACCAGAGATACCTGGGGCTTCAACACCACGGAAATAGCCACCGCGTGTCAACCCATCGGTCAAGCGATCTAACAGCAGCTCCGCACGGTGCCATTTGAGACCCTTGGTTTCGTTGTGAAAGTCAAAGTAAACATAATGCAGACGATCCAGGTCCTTGTTCTTCTGGCCCGACTCTAGAACATGCACCTTTTCAGAGGTTTTCTCATCAGCCTCGGTCGTCTCAGTCGATGAGGATACTAGTGTGCGAACCAGATGCTCGTAAGCCCGTTTGACGTTCTCTTCCCTCCCTTTTTGGTTGACAAGGTTGACCATATAGTTCTCTCCGTAAAGGTCGATCTGCTCAGCAAAATGTTTGCGCGCGGCATCAATGGCAGTTTCGACTCCGCGGACCTGGAGCTTGGGGGTGTACTTGAGGTTGTTTACTTCAGCCCAGTATACGGGTACACTGCCTCGAGTTTGCACAAAGGCGAGAACCTGAAGCTCTTGGCCCGGATCGCTGGCCTTTTCCTTCATTGATTGTCCTCCAGCAAAGCCAGACAGCCCCCCTGTTGTATCATTCAAGATGACGATTTGTTCTGTTTCATTGTAATTCGAAACATGACCCTGGTCGTCAATGCCGCGGGAAAAGTATCTCGTGCCAGCACGATGTCTAGACCTCCTTGTGATGAGCGCGAATGTAAACGAAGTCGACTTAACCTTGGCCGGAGTGATACGCAGCATTCCAAACATCACAGGCAGGATGTATGGATCAGCTCCTGGTTGGGGGCCATAACGAATGCCGGTGGTGTCATGCTCTCCAAGACTAAAGTCAATCAGATCTGACTGAATGAAGCGATTCCAGAAAAACCGGTCGTCGGCTCGTTTCCACAGAGGGATATTGGGGTCACTTTGCGATTGACGTTGGAAACTGTTCGTCAAATCCAAGGAATATGAGAAGTACATAGGCCCTGTCCGAATTAATTCTTTCAACAGGGCGAGATATGTATCTTCATCGTAGTCATGCAGCGGACGTTCGCGAAGAGGCAGGAACTCGGTCGAGATAACTTTGTAGACCATATGACCACGTAACCTCCCCATGGGCTGAGCTTTGGTGATGACTATGAGGTATTTGTCTGTAACACAATAAACAGTTAGCGGAGTGCAGAATCAAATGATCTTTCTGGAGGAACAATTACCTAGTTTCAGCTTGATGATACCCAGGATACCAGCGATGCTGGAGATCCGCTTCGCGCCCGACAGAGTGCCATCGTTGAGGCGCAAGTCACCCGTGGGACGTTCCACTACCAGCGACGGGGAATTCGGAGAAGATGGCGAGGTAAACGCATAATGAGATGGTGAGGCATGCAAGTTGATATCACGGAATGGAAGAATAGGAGGAGCCATGGTTGGAGATTACCCACAAAGAGAGGAACGGTGCGGTGCTAGAAGGAGGGAAGGCAGACGGATTAAAAGGAGTACAGAAGTAGTTAAAATAAGAGAGCGTGGGGAAGACGAAAGAAAATCAACACATAATGCGGTTCCAGAGGTCCAGAAAAACAGGTCAATCAGAAGGATAGACACAGGCCGTGAAAGCCAAAAGAAATGAACCTCGGGAAGCCTGGAGAGAATGATGCTTCTCCTAGGAACCGGGCGTTACTACTAGGTACACCAGCTGGTGATACACGGCAGCAAGGAGAGCGCCACACCGCCCCGCAACGAGAGGCCAAAGAAAACGGCCGCCGGGGGCCAAGTGTGGCTGGGCCCCTTCGTCATCTACTGCTACTCTGGCTCTCTTCTCTCTCGCTCTCCAACTAACTACGACTACGACGACTACTACAGGCCGCCATCCCAAACCTCCCCCCATCCCCGATCCGCCTTCTCCATCGCAAGTTTCTCTTCGCTGCTTTTACGCATTCCCGGTCAAGCCGATACGGTCGGATTTTTGTTCGAGATAAATCTATTTCTTTGAGAAAGTCGCTCTTCCGAGCTTACGCATTATATCATGGCTTCCAGAGCGCCAGCAGGAGCCCGTCCTGGTGCCAGATTCGCCCAGTTCAAGCTTGTCTTGCTAGGTTAGCTACCCTGTTTCCCCCCTGCCCCACTGGTTCTTGTAATTTGAGGAGCGCTGACCTGGTTTATTTGTCTTTGGATAGGAGAGTCCGCTGTCGGAAAGGTTGAAAGATTCTACACTGTCTGTTGTTTTGTTGGTCGCTGACTTTTGCTGCTACCTTCTAGAGTTCGCTGGTGTTGAGATTCGTCAAAGTGAGTTTTGAACAACTCGCTGTTTTCCGACCGCGGGAAATTTATTTGTACTGAGGTATTCGAGATGGATTGTGGTTGACGTGATATAGGATCAATTTGATGACTACCGAGAGTCGACGATTGGCGCTGCCTTCCTCACACAGACCATTTCCCTGGACGAAAGCACGACAGTCAAGTTCGAAATATGGGATACTGCTGGCCAGGAAAGGTACAAGTCGTTGGCTCCGATGTACTACAGAAATGCCAACTGCGCAGTGGTTGTCTACGACATTACCCAGGCTGTATGGTCACCTGTCTTGATTCATTCCTTCTGTTTTGATGATAGGATGCTAATGCGCGGAACCTTGGGAATAGTCATCGCTGGATAAGGCCAAATCGTGGGTGAAGGAACTGCAACGCCAAGCCAATGAGAACATCGTCATCGCCCTTGCAGGCAACAAGCTCGATCTCGTCACCGAGCACCCCGATAAGAGAGCGATCCCAACTGCTGACGCCGAGGCCTACGCACGTGAAGCTGGCCTGCTCTTCTTTGAGACTTCTGCGAAGACCTCGTCCAATGTCCGGGAATTATTTACGGCCATTGCGAAGAAACTTCCTCTTGACCAGGCTGGACCCCGAAACTTGCGGACAACCCCCCGTCCCGGTGTTGATCTGCGGCCAGAAGCACCTGGCACCCAGGGCGCTGGCGCATGCAACTGCTGAACGCCCAGCAATCCGTGGGTTTTTCTTTTCTTTGTTCCCTTCCATTGTTTCTAGATACGATAGGTGCACTTCTGGCTTGATTGCGATTTGGTGATACTGGGTGTACATTGTGACGTACCGGTCGCTCTTTGGACCGGAATGCGTTGTGTTATGTTTTAATGGTATTGCCATGACCGAATCGGAACTGGATGGATATCATCCTGCCTCCTGCTGCAGCTTGGTGGTTGAATGACTTTTATCCCCCGGTCACCCTTTTTCTTCTCCCCCTGTTCTCTATGCTTGATCGACATCTTTCACTACCATTATCGGGAGTGAAGAGTTGAGTCTTGTTCAAGAGTTCGTTTGGAATTTAGCTCTCTAGACATTATGCGACAGGGTCCACTCTCTGTTCTTTGTTTATTCCGCTTTGTCTTTCTACTTTCTTTTTTCCGGCGTCTGCATCCTTTCTTGGGCTGAATTCATGTTATGTTTGTTACCCTTCGTTGTGTTGACCTCCACAAATCCTCAGTATGCCATGCTCATATAATATCTTGCTTTTTGATGGTCCTGTTAAACTTAAATTGATCAGCTATATCGCACTTAGACTGCAACATCAAGTGACAATCCCCTGTGGAGGCGTAGAGACGCCTTCGGCATGGTCGCAATGACATAATCGGTATGTCCTAGCCTATGGCTAGGTTACGTAGAGATCTCAATACATATTACCAGTCAATCGCAGAACACAGAGTGAGCTTCATATCAAAAGCAAAAAGCAGAAATCCTGCAGCCATCATGCAATATAAATTCCAAAGTACTAACATTGAACTTCACCTCGTGGAGATGGTGGAGTGGCAGAAGACCTTAGGCGGTGCACACTGAAGCCTCCCGAGCTGAGCCACAGCTGCCAACTAAGGCGGTGCAGGATCCTCGGAGCGGATCGTAAAAGCATCATCCCAATCCCGGGTCCGCGTTTTCTTTCCCTCCAACACCATCCCACCTAACTACATCCGCCTTCCGCGCATCTCTCTCTGGTAGTGCGGCTCATCATGCTGCGCTCCTCTATTGTGCAGAGCCGACAGTTGCTGTCAACCCCCGCTCGCCAACGGACAGCGTCGCAATGGCTGTCTAGAGCCGGGGCAAGCAGCCGGCTCTCAGGCCAGGTATGAAGGCAATGCGCCGTCATGATGCCCGAAGCATGCTAATTAATGCTCTATATGACATTTTAGAGATTCTTCGCCGATTCCAAGACACCCGCACCTGGTGCTCCTACTCCCGTTTCCCCTTCGACCGAATCAAGCGTGCCTCCCGAGACTCCATCCCCCGGTGAGCAAGGTACGACAGCTTCAAACGTGAAATTGAATTCCTGAAAGCTTCAATTGCTAAGTGTCATGCAGGCTCCGAAACACCTCCGCCCCCTCCACCCGCCCCGGCTCGCAGGACAGGACGCTTCCGTCGCTTCCTGCTGTACCTGATCCTGACTTCTGGATTTGCCTACGGTGGTGGTATCTTCCTTGCTTTGAAGTCGGACAACTTCCACGATTTCTTCACCGAGTACGTCCCTTACGGCGAGGAATCTGTTCTTTACTTCGAGGAGCGTGACTTCTACCGCCGTTTCCCAAATGCCTCCAGAAACCCGAACCGCCTTACCTCTGTACCAAAGGACGAAGGCAAGAAGATTACGATCCCCAGCAAGAGCGGTCTTTCGTGGAAGGTTGCTGAGGAGGAGCCCTCTGGAGCTGATGTGTCGCAGAAGGGTCCTCACATGAGTGCAACTGAAAAGGCCGGGGAAGGGCAAATGAAGACCGATAGTGCTCAGCCTGAGGCAAAGAACGCTGCCGTTGAGAAGGCCAAGGAAACTAAGCAGGCCAAGGAACAGCCCAAGGAACAGCCCAAGAAGTCTGCTCCTCTACCCACCATCGAACTTGCCCAGGTTGAGAAGGGAGATGAAGCTGTCGTGCAGGAGCTGGTCAAGACCTTCAACGACATTGTGACTGTTATCAGTGCCGATGAGAATGGCGGCAAGTACTCTGGACCCGTTGCCAAGGCCAAGGAAGAGCTCGAGAAGATCGGTGAGAAGATTGTGGCCATCCGCAACGAGGCACGTGCTGCTGCTCAGAACGAGATTCAGGAGGCTCACGCTACCTTCGATGAGTCTGCGCGGGAGCTTATCCGTCGTTTCGATGATGCTCGCGCCACAGACGCTGCTCAGTTCCGCGAGGAGTTCGAGGCGGAGCGTGAGAAGCTGGTCCGTGCTTACCAGGAAAAGATCAACCACGAATTGAAGATTGCTCAAGAAGTCGCCGAGCAGCGCCTGCAAAATGAACTGGTTGAGCAGGCCATCGAGCTTAACCGGAAGTACTTGCACGACGTCAAGGACTTGGTTGAGAGAGAGCGCGACGGACGTCTCAGCAAGCTCAATGAGCTGACCGAGAACGTCAGCGATCTTGAGAAGCTCACCACCGGCTGGAGAGATGTCATTGACACCAACCTCAGGACCCAGCAGCTCCAGGTCGCCGTCGACGCCGTCCGATCTGTTCTTGAGCGCTCTGAGGTTGGTCGACCGTTTGTCCGCGAGCTCGTTGCCGTGAAGGAGCTGGCTGCCGACGACCAGGTTGTTGAGGCTGCGATTGCCTCTATCAACCCCACCGCTTACCAGCGTGGTATTCCCTCTAACCCCCAGATCATTGAGCGCTTCCGCCGCGTGGCCGACGAGGTCCGCAAGGCTAGCCTTCTGCCTGAGGATGCTGGTATTGCCAGCCACGCTGCCAGCTTTGTCCTGAGCAAGGTCATGCTGAAGAAGGACGGTGCCGACGGCGGTGATGATGTTGAGAGTGTTCTCACCCGGACTGAGAACCTCTTGAAGCAGGGTAACCTTGATTCCGCTGCTCGGGAGATGAACTCTCTCCAGGGCTGGGCTAAGATTCTGAGCAAGGACTGGCTCGGTGATGTGCGCAGGGTTCTCGAGGTAAAACAGGCTCTCGAGGTAAGTTTCTCTCCCCACGACCACGTGTTATGGCGAAGCTAACATTCATTTTCTAGGTGATTGAGACAGAGGCTCGACTCCAGTGCCTGAGAGTTGAATAGACAAAATGACACCAGCGATCGCTCTTGTTTCCCGTAAATTTTCCTATCTACAAGATTTGTACCTCTAGTTGTACTTCTGCGTTGTTAGACCCAATGCTAGATATTTTCTTTGTCCACGTCTTTTCTCTATAATTATCAATCCATAAATAGCCCTTGTGCTTGCTATTCATTATCCTTACCTCAGAGCAGCGCAGAACTTTTTCTATATTTTCTGCAGACAGGGGTGATTATCAGTGGCAATATAGGAGTGTTTGCCATGTTTGCATCTGCACGTGCTACTCCCGCAATGATGCATCTGGCCGTTGCTGGAGATAGTCTTCAAGGCATTGCGGCAGTGATGGTACGTCCATCTCTGTGGTTCGTTACGGCTTCCTGTCTTTGGTGGGATATTCATCAACTCTTCTAATCGCCCAGACTGCCTCCATGGTTCTATTTGTCATCAACCCACGTCCCTCTTCTATCTGGCGGGACTGACACCTCTGCCGTCCCTTCGACTCGGATGTTGCAGCAGACTGCGTCCAACACGCCATATCCCAGGTCTACGGTGGACGAAAAGAAACCGGAAATTTCAGCAAATCTCCTTTCACGTCGATTTCATTCGGATGGCAGGACTGATCGGAGGGCAGACTTACAAATGAACGAAGGTCGAGCGAGCGGAGAGCTTGAGGGTAGTACACTCGGCAGCAGCTCTCGAGATGGGGCTCAAAATCATCCGCGCAGGGCACCGAGCTCAAGTGGCTTCTTACTTGACTCTTCATTTATGCCAAGGTCATCGAGGAGCTTCAGAGCTGGTCATCGCCCCCGTCGATCGGAACCCGCCGATCGCAAGGAGAAGCGCGGCGCCCCCGAACCTGACATCGCGGCACCTAAGAAGAAGTCACGGTTTCCATGGAGCCGCCATAGGAATTCCCAGGGAGAAAATGCGTCTGTTACTGGCACTGCAGGGTCTGAAGCTTTTCAACAGTCTCCATCGAGCCCGTCGGATGTGTATCAGCAACGAGACTCCCATGAAGCAGAAACGACAGACGCAGACCCAGCAGAGATAGGCTTGGACAAGGACTCTCTTCAAATTGTCAATCTGGCTTTGAATTTGAGCGACTCTAGGAAAAGAAACAGTCTGGGCCGTTCCGCCTCACACCGTGTTTCTGGACGATGGGCTGCTTCTGGTCCTTCATCTGTTCCATATGTTGCGCCAGCTGCTGTGGGAAGCGTTGGACAGCGTGCTCCTCAGGCACATAGGTCTCTTGATGACCCAGGTGCACGACCTGGACTAAATGAGCCTACTTCCGTGTTGAATTTACTACCCAACACTGCTGGTAACGATGCGCTGTCATACGAGTTTTCGGATAGCACGTTGGCTCGAGCTGAAAAGGCTCGTCGTCATTTCGAATTGTTCTCCGAGTATCTACGGCTACTTCCTTCTTTGCCTCCTCTCAAGCAGCGTGCCATAGACACTGCATCAGCTGCTCCATCAGGGCAAAGTAACCGGGCCCATTCACACCGTGTGTACAATCCTCTTCAGTCTATTCGCAATCGCAAAGTCAGATTCCGAGAGAAGCGACCCATCAATACAGAGGCAGAGGGCTGGGATGATGTTCGAAAAGTTCATGAATGGATCAACAATGTCGAGGGGCAATACAGCCACCATACTCATAGCCCCTTCGAGTGCCTGAGCCTCCCAACCTTTCAATTAGGGGAAACACCAACCTCTCCAAGAGGGTCAGAAGATGTGGAAATGTTCGCGGGTTCTCCCCCATCCAGCTTGAGGCGTGTCAGTCGGACTGGCAGTGTCAAGGCGCGCAGGCCTCGATTCGACTGGGCAATTCCGCCGGCCGAACTTCTCTGCGATGCTGCATGGACGGAAGACCCTCAGAACAAAAGCAAGATTGTTGATAAAGATGGCAATCATCTGTACCCAGACCCAGGAGACCTAGTTTCTCCTGATGTCAACCCTCAAACAGGACAGAACTTGGCGAATCGTGATTCGGTTGACACAGGACAGCCTGCGTCTCATACCTCTTTTTCTGACTCTCAACATGGGGCTTCAAAGGTGTCTAAAAATGTCTCGCGGGGCCGACAACTATACAGGTATAGCAGCCCCTCGAACGCTGTGCCTAGCAGCAGTGTGTCTACAAAAGACACGGACTTCGGGCGCCATAAAACCAGGAAGCGGTCAATCAGTTCCTCCAACATGTCTATTGCGGACGATAGACACTCCTATGATAAAGATTCTCGCTCTTACTGGAATTCCCACATGGATAGCCCTCAGTTCTCAGGGAAACACCGGCTCCCAAGCCCCCATGCCTCCCGAGCAAAGGGGCCAAGTCCGCTCCCAGAAGAGGACAATGACGATGACCCAAATCAAATGCCGGCACAAAGCTCTGGCCCGTCTTCTTATCGATCTGGCTGGGCAAAGCATGATGAGAAGAGAGCATCCATGTCTTCCGTAGCGAGTTATGAAGACCCATCTATCCCACGGATGTCCTTGGATGCAATGGACAGTACAGCACCCAATTCCCCTGCTGCTCACCCCGGATATTTTCCTAGCATTGCAGTCAATTTATCCCCTCCGTCAAGCCGCTCTCCTTCGCCGTCAAAGAGAGCATTTCCCCGCAAGATCGTCCATCGACACGAGCGGAACAAAAGCAAACATCGAACTAAGGAATCTCGTGACCGCGTTGAGGATAGCCCCCTGGACAACGAAGCCTTACGCAAACATCTTCCACTCGGCCTTTCCGACACTTCAGATCGGGTAGGAAAGCTTGAACCAAGCCCTATCCCAGATAGAGTTTCCTCTTATCAAGAAGATCAGCCAACACATGAAGCATCCAAAGGCTCGTCCCAACAGGAATCTAAATTACGTGGGATCTTCAAAGGGCCTGGGAAAATTGCAGGGAAGGTGGGCAATGAAGTATCCAAGATGGGGGATTACATAAAGAAAAAAGATCACCAGCCACACTCTCGACAATCATCTTTCGCGTCCAGTGTTTCATCTGACAGTAGTCTTACGGATGATAACGAGGATGTCAAAGGGGATGCCAAAGGGGATAAAAGGTCAGGTCCCAAGGTTCTGCTACGTCATTTTCCAGCATTCTTAGACGAGAACAGTCGCTCCCGCAAAGACACAGAGAAACCAGTTACCAAAGGCCCAGGGCAGCTTCCAGCATTCACATCTCCATCCCGACAACATGGCCGAGAGTCTGAAACTAATAGTCCCCGTGGTCATGAGAAAGACTCGCAAGACACTTCAGCCACTCCACGAAACAAGCTCGACACCTATACGCTGGATAAACACGCCGGTGGTTCTGGTATTGGTGGTGCGCTGCATAACCTCCGGGGTCACCACAAAAAACATCAAATCAAAGATCCATCTGTGCCCTTCAGCCTGACAAATCCTCCTGTGACTGGCCTTGCACAAGCAAGAGCATCTCCAGTGCCACTTTCCCGACAAAAGCGCCCAACCCTGTCGGGCACGACGTCACGTACTTGGAGCATCTCGGATCGCAGCATTACGACATTAGCCGACTCCGGCATTCCCGACAAACGAGAAGTTGAACGTCCACGAGCTCTTCTGCTGTCTTCAGGAATCAAGGCTCGAGAGATCACTCGTCGTGCTGAGAGTGTGCGCAGCCCACCGCCTGAGTTCCTTCGAAGCTCCCTAGGCCCGAACACTTCCATTCCACGGGTTACTCGACTATATGAGTTTGACTTGGCAGCTCAGAGCTTGGTGCAACGGTTCGAAAAGTCGCATTACCTCTTCCATCAATCCATGAATCGGTTTCCCACTGAGACTTCCTCCCCTCTCAAGTCACAATTGAGCAGCCTTGAAGCTCTGGTCGAACAATCTCTTACACCACGTGCTCAGGCAGCCGCAGCAGATGCTGAGCAACTGAGTGTCCACCTTAATACGACAAGTACACTGGCAGTAAAACAGTTGAGTGATACCCTCGACAAAGGGCTTCGCAGACGCCGCCGGCGACTGCGCTGGCTGCGTCGTACAGGCTTTGTCATGCTCGAATGGGCTCTTGTTGGAATGCTGTGGTGGGTTTGGCTGATTGTCATGGCCTTCAAACTCCTGCGCGGCGTCTTCCGGGGAGCAATCTCTGGTATTAGATGGGTCTTTTGGCTCTAAATCCGACCTGATTCTCCGTTCGCATTATTTTTTTCCCCCTTTCTTTCAATCATGCACCGTCAATGCCTTTCTTTCTCGAACGAGATATTACATTGTTTACTTCTACACCTGCATATATACCCCTTCTCTGAAGATCACTTTTGGTCGATGACAGATTGCTTTATACCTGGGCACATTTCCTTCAGCGCATGTTTTAATACTTGATTTTTTTTATTAATATTCTTGTGTATAATCATTCCAATGTCTGTATATATTCTCTATCAGTTTTACTAATCAATGTCGATATGAACATTCTGTTGACCTTTGGCGCTTTCAACATCCATTACTCAAAAAGCTGGTTTGGTATCTCCCTTGAGGTAAGTCATGATGGAAATATGTCTCGTTTTATACTGTAGCTGAATGACTTTCTCTTGAAGTAGTTTCATCTTCAATATCTAACGTGGAAATGAATTTCCATTGTTCTTTGACTAGACACTGCTATATCGGCATCGACCATTCGCCAGGTTCTGCTGATATGGATCGTACCATCACCGTACAAGCCCTTTGTTCGATATGAGACCTGGATGAAAGGCTATGATCACGTTAATGAATGTCATTCCTTGACAATGGGACAAAGAAAGATAACAAAGCCACCAGGTCTATTCCTTTGTTTTCTGTCTCATTGGAAGACTTTCTCTACATATAAATACCAGGCCGTAGACCACAATCTCCTGGTCTTTCCCATCACGATCACATTCCTCTAAGAGAGAACATCCAAAGATCATCAATTCCATCCAAAGCTCTTCAATCTACATCTGCTGGACAACCCACTTTACTATCTTCAATCCAAACCCCATTTCCAAAATGCCCGAACGTCCTTTTGACAAAAGGCCTGCGGAGCCTAACAAGAAACAAATCCTCGAACCCACCACACCACCCTTCCACGCAAGATCTGTGCCCGTCCAGCGACCTGGCACTCCAGTAAGTGGACTCCGAAGGTCCAACGCCATCCGTCTCGATCGCAACCCACTAACTGAGCGTCTTCAGACTCTATCTGAATCCCTGCGTGCCCGGATACAGCACCACCTCCCATCACAGTCAAGACCATCGAGCGTCGTCTCAAACTCCACCGCTCCTTTGACGCCCCCAAACGACAGCCCTGCGTCATCTTCCAACTCACAGGAACAAGATGACAATCTCGGTGAATGGAGCTTTGACGAGGCACTGGTGCTACCAGAAATACTAGTCTCGCTGGTTCAAGCCGGTCTGACGGCATGTGAGATTGGTATGTTCCTCGAAAACGTCCTATATCACCGCGACAGGATCTTCGAATGTGCAGTGACAGAAATGGCCGATGCGGGTACCCCATACGCTGAGATTGGTCAGACGGTCCTCTGTAATCTTGATCTGCGCAATGATCAAGATTATCCGCTATACAAGGATGTGGAGGTAGGTGATCCCCATGAGCGGCCTAGACAACTTCACGGATCGTCACAGCTTCATCGAGCTCGTGATCCGCTTCTTTCACCCACAGTCAACGATGATGATGATGGTCCCCCGCACTCTGACTCGTCTCTATCATCTGCGAGCGTCCACCTCCACCCAGAGTCAATCAACGTCGTGCGCTGGCCCTTTTTCAAAGACGAAGACGACCTAGAGAGATTCACCAAGGGCGATGATCCGGAGGACAGAATCAACAGCGAGGCCCGGCCTGAACCTAGGTCGAAAAAGGGGGAAATGAGCCTCAGACAGGTTCCACGCTCCTCTAGATTCTATGAGCATCTAGACGAGTCCCTTTCATCGGAACAAGAGCCGACGATTGCCCGTCACGCGAGTTCTGAGAATCTCCGTCGCGGCAAACTACGCAAGAGACGGTGAGGAAGAGATCATGGTGAGAGAGGGGTGTTAGTGCTTCATTTTGCTTTATCTCTCGTGTTGCATTTGTGGTGGGGGGTTTTGTTTATGGTTCACGCATATATATGTTCGACATTGGTATACGCGAAATTAAAATTTAGTATCATCAACATTGAAATCCATTTGATCTTACTATCTAAACCAAATCCAAACTCGTGCTGACTTTTATCAAATAATGTTTTACCATAAAAATTCAAAACAAAACGGAATTCACGAATTTCTGCACTTTTATCATGCATAATACTATACACACGCATTTTATGTACCCCCAGCCCTAGTCACTCCATCCCATAACTATAAACAGAGCATTTCACAAGGTATATATAGTATATCCACCGACTAGATTAATGCCGCGAGCTGGACCGATTCCTGGATCCTGTCAAGCCCTTGCGAGGTCGAGACTTTGATCGTGTTCAGGATCGAGCGTACTCGGATCGTCGACGGCGTGAAACTCGAGGCGCTCTGCCACGACTGGTGACTCCCATGATATCACGGTCGATGTTTGAGATGCTCTGGTCTTGTTGTTGCTCGTCATCTGGCCTGAAGTCTACCTCTTCGGCAGGTGGGTGGGCAGATCGAATAGACATACTAATGCAAAGATTTGTGCTATAAATTAGTATAATAGGGTGTTCTTTGGTTTAAGATCGGAAACTGAATGATTGTGGAAACTTTTATATTTGATCCATAAGTATTGGCCTCTAACAGTATAGGTGGCTAAAGGAGATAACAGCGCCCCAAAGTGACCTCATAATGAGGAGTATGTGATGCAACAGAATGTTCAAGGAGCTCCCAAGAATAACCAAGAACGTCCATGTTATACTAGATGCTCAGAGTATTTGCCATTGTTTGCACTCCTGGCTGGTTCTCTGTGAATGGAATCAAACCATGAATAACTTCAACCCTGAAAAGATTATGTAGAGTCTGTTATGGAAGTAAACCTTTGCGGAGGATTCAATAGCACATAGGATCTGATCCAGTGGAGCTGCTACGTGAATTGCCCCGTAACCAATCGCTTCCATTGGAAATAAAATTGCGTATACTCCGTTGCCCTCTGACTTGATTTCGAATCGAGGTTCCACGTAGCCACCTAGGCCTCTGACTTGTTGAAGAACTCTCTTTTCTTCTGGGTATTTGGCGTGGACTCTGACCAACCTCACACCCCTGGGAATTTCGGCCTTGGGATGAAAAAGATGAGCCATGCCTAGATCGAACTACACCATCTATCTCACTCTCCAATCGTAATTCGGGATTTTTTGCACCGTACCAGAGTTTCCGAAGAGACATGCGTCTTCCAAGTTGATGCACGCGTTCCCTCCGACCCCCAAACCTAGAGAATAGTGGCTCCAAGGTAGAGTCAAGAGGAACAAAGTCCCTCTCTGTTTCATCTGCGGCAAAATGACTTCGAGCATCGAGAATAATGGGTGGCATTTCCATTTGCAGTGTGTTCGTTTGAAAAATCTGCTTGCTTGCATTAAGACTGTGAGAACGCTCTGGAGGGGTGACAGGGAGTCCGTTACCAGGATACCTTATATCCTGTTGGAAGCTTTTAGTATACCCGGAGCATCTTTTCATGAAGGCACTGAGATTTGCTGCCAGTGTCAAAGTGCAAAGAGGAAGAAATGCAAAATGCGTATCAAAGTTATCGCTAACTCCGTCGTAATGGCTTTCCGAGTGAGGTGCAAGAGATACCTTCGCACAAAGAGCCCACAGGTCAGCATATAAACGGCAAACAATATAGAAGTCGCCAGTGGCAAATTCAAATTCATCTGGATGCCGTTCCTTGCGATCCAAATGAGTGTATAATGGGTCGATGCAAACTACAAGCGATCCTTCCTGGATTGCCCACTTCTCGCCTTCTCCTAGTCGGATATCCTTGTATGATTGTAGTCGTGTGCAAAGGCCCGCTTTCGTCTGGCGAAATGAACGACGTAGGGATGATCGATTTGGTAAACTCCTCTTCAATGACCACTCGAAGTTGGACACATCGACGACCTCCGTGGGAGTCAAGTCCCATCGACTCTTCGTATAACTTTCGCGGCCTGGGGCTTTCTGGAATAATAATTAGGGTGAGCCATATCAAAATACATCTTTGGTTCTCACTAGCACTGGAATTTCTGGGCTTGTCTCTGACAGGGAAACATTTGCAGGAGCTTGAACATTTGTTGCAGCGGGCCCCACCTCAGATAATATTTCCGGCGCCCAGTTTGCAGTCAGATGCATTGATTTGTTCGACTTGAGAATACCCGGATAATCGCATCTCGTATGTTGACCAGTGTACGGCTTCAAGTCAGTGGTGTCCCTAGAACGGAATGCATAGATGGCGATGATCGGGTTCCTCGATACGAGAGTCATTCTCGCAGGCATCCTCTTCACTTCCATCACAGACTAGACTGCAGCCTTCAGATGTAGCAGAGAGTTCCTGGTTTGGACGCGGCCCCAGACACCACACGGGAGGTCGATGGCGGTATACACCTTGCCGACGTCTTTTGGAAATGGAGTCTTGGAAGAATCTCCAGTCCAATTCATCCTCAAAGTCACCAGCAAACACGGGAAAATGGATAGATCCAGATGATGAGGCACTGTTTACTTTGGGCATATCGGGAGACGCGTTTTCTTTGTCACTTGACGAGTCTGTGGAGAGGTTCGACATGTCTGTGAATAGAATGATAGACTATACGTCCAAATAAACAATGAAATAAGTGAAGCACTGTAAGGTTTGCAAGTAAGTTGAAATTCTTTGGTTAGCAATCCAGCATGATTTCTTAATGAACGAGCATCTCGCAGTTTCCTTTGCATTTCCTGTGTCCAAGTGGAAAGCACGGAGAGTAGTGTAGGAATCATCAACCGCATTGGCACCGTGTAAATAGATATTGTTTCAGGATCTTTGCACGCATCTTGAGATCTCTCAGGTTATAAAGCAGTATCCTGAATAGATAGTTGGAGAAGATGGAGAAGCGATGAAGATCAGATGGAGAGAGTGTTGAGCCGACGACCTCGGGACTGGGATGCTGACTCAGCAGACAGTCTGCGGGGGTCTTTGCTAGCAGTTCAGCTTCAAACCACTGCAAGAGCATCCAGTGACTTTTATCTGTTGAGAATTTGGAGACTAATTAGACGAGAGATACTCGAATTCATTGGCATCTTGTCTGCACCGCAATAATGGCCAAAATCACACTGTACTTCGACATTGTCAGTCCGTTTGCCTATCTCGCTTTCCATGTATTGCGAGTAAGTGAACAGCTCTTGAACCTCAATTGAGCCCATATATTGGACTACTAAGACACTCGCTGACTATTCCAGAAATCTCCCGTATTTGCCCAATGTGAAATTAGCTATGTGCCAATCTTTCTGGGCGGTTTGATGAATGCCTGTGGAAACACTCCCCCTATCAAGATCAAGAGTGAGATTCACCCATGGTGGCCTTTCCAACAGAGAATTGTCCAACTGATCTTGAGGATTCAGACAAAGATGCATGGCTTAACCAGGAACGGGACCGTTGGGCTCGTTATTTCGACGTCCCCATGATCAAGCATTTCCCTGAAGACTTTCCACCAATGACACTGGAAGCACAGCGTGCTCTATGTGCCATCAACCAGAGAATCCCCGAAAAGCTCCTCGGTGTCACCGAGGAATTATATCGTTCAATCTGGATTCATGGTAATATGAAGGTTGGACAAGGAGCAGCACTCGCAGCTGTCCTAGAAAGGGTACTGGGAAAGAATGATGCAGACGCAATAATCAAAGCTGTAAGCATCTCTTATCTGGATTGGTTTACAGATAGGAACTGCCATGCTAACAGAGTGACAGACCAAAGAACCAGAAATCAAGGCCCTTGTGGCCTCCAACACAGACCGGGCATTCAAGGATGGTGCCTTTGGCCTTCCCTGGTTTGAATGCACCAACGCCCAGGGCAAGACAGAAGGATTCTGGGGCATTGATCACTTGGGCCAGGTGGTAGACTTCCTGGGGCTGCAGCGGAGGTTGGACAATGGATTCCGGGCGTTGTTGTAGATGTATTTCTTCACTTGTACTATACTGAAACAGTCTACGTTGGATATAATTTGGAATTGATATAATAGATTTCGTTAATTCGTGGTAGGTCGTTGAGCGGTACTTTTGTGCCTTTCCTGGAGATACTCCACGATTCTCTCTCTGTCCATATTATCAATGCGTTCGATCTCTTCAGCATCAGGCCTAGTGTCTATCATCGTGTATATTAGCATCATTTACGAAGAGGGAACATACAAATGACCCAATAAACAATCGTACGAACCCTGTTCTGGAGTATCCTCCCTCCCCTGCTGATCTCCAGATGTGAACGACTGGATCCTCCCTCGAATATTCTGGACAACATCACTAGCAGAGACCCCATCGACTCGATTTCTAATATCGTGATATGATTCTTCCGCGAGAATGCTAACGTTGTTTCCAAAGTCGATAATGGCACTTCCGTAGGCAGAGCTTCCCAGGCGCCGTCTCATGTCTTGTACGAAACTGCTGCTGGAGTCGGTGGATGTCTGGGATGATTGTTCGTTTATCGAGTCATTTGGGGAGGTCATGATGGATGGAATATATTGACTATCATGCATGAGTGGATTATAGATGAGGAGAAAGGGGTGAACTGTGAAGATGGTCGATCGGATCTAATAAATCTGATGCTGTAGGGCAGATGACATCAACGGAGTGGATGATATCATCGTCAGCCTTATGGAGCAGCAGTGGAGATGAGAACGTGCCCTGGACAATGAACAATAACGGATGATTCTGATTGATTAGGAGATGAATGATTGAATAAATGGATTGATTTACAGTTACTCGAGATAGAATGATCAGCGTTGGGCTGAAAATTTGGAGCAGACTGATGTAATAGACTCGGCAGAGGCAAACCGGTAGTTACGGAGGTACTCTTCCCAGATGTATGTACATGTGTCTACATTTATAGAATATCATATGAATGTGATATCTATCATGACTATTTAATATACATTTATATTGATAGGGACATTATCTGATAGATGTAGTTGAGACTGACTTGATGCTATTCAACGCCATACAACTACCCACAACACAACACGTACTATTTGTTTTAATATAGTATAGACTCTCTAAACAAACCAATATATATATTAATCAAATAAATAGTAGAAAGTAAATGGTAAGTAATATATAAATTGTTATAAAAACATTCACCGAATTAGGGCTTCGCCGAATCCGGCCTAGCGCACTGCCCCGCCGCTATCGCCGATAACCGCCGGTGATCGAATTGGATTCAACTTCTTTTGCTTCATGTCTGTCTGTGTTGGTGTTGTATAGAATTGGCTGTCGCTATCCTCATCACCATGTCTCCTATCCCAGTTACCATCGTCACTGGTTTCCTGGGATCAGGAAAAACCACTCTCCTCCTCAACCTCATCCCCCAACTCCCCAAAGACTACCGTCTGGCCCTTCTGAAGAACGAATTCGGCGACGTCGCTATCGACTCCCAACTAGCCTCCACCCAATCCATCTCCGGCGTCCGCGAACTCCTCAATGGCTGCATCTGCTGCAATCTCGTTGGACAGCTCAGCGATGCCCTCGACCAGCTCCGCGCTGAGGTTAAACCAGACCGTATTGTCATCGAGACTAGTGGCAGTGCCTTCCCCGCTACACTGGCGATGGAGGTGAACCGACTTGCGCGGGAACAGGGTGGTGCGTTTGTGCTGGATGGTGTCATTAGTGTTATAGATGTGGAGAACTGGGAGGGCTACGAAGATACCTCCTACACGGCGAAACTGCAGGCCAAGTACACGGATCTCATCATCTTCAACAAGTGGGAGGAGGTGCCGGAGAGGCGGTTCGATGATTGCTTGGACCGGGTTGGCGATTTGGAGGTCGAGACACCGTGGGTGAAGTCGAACAAGGGTCGCGTGGATAAGGATGTCTTGCTGGGCATTGACGGGGCGTTGTTCGCAAAGGAAGACGGCGCCGATGCCCTGCGTCTTACAGACCACCACGACCACGACCACGACCACAAGGACAACCATCAGTCCGAAGTCGAGGTTCTCTCGGTGACCCTCAAATCCACACAGCCTCACAGGACCGTCAACGTCTCCTCCCTCGAACATCTCCTTCTCTCCGCCGCCAAGGAAGAAGTCTACCGCATCAAAGGCATTCTCCGCTGCTCTACAGAAACGCCCCCAGCCGACTCATCAGAGAATACCAACGGTGAAAAAGCCACCCCGGCCTCAGCTTCATCCACCGAAACCGGTCCAACCCAATATCACATTCTCAACTGGGCCTTTGGTCGCTGGACCTTCACCCCCTCCGCCGCTGTCGCCGAGTCCGCAGACCCCAGCGTCGTAGCCCGCATGACTTTAATCCTGGCCCGCTACGAATCCGCCAAGTGGAAGAAGAAGCTCGAGGCCGGTGGTCTGGTGCAAGTCGCCGAGGCCAACGAAGAGGCCGAATTGGTCGTGGAGCGCCTGGTCTAGATTTATCTAACATGTTATATGCATGCATGAATTGGAGCTGGCTCCATGGCGCGATGTGGGTTGTTTTGTCGCATCGTGACTTGATGCGGATACGAAGCGGTGCTGTGTATATAAGTTTACTTGGTTAGAAGTAGAGTAGAGTAGAGTAGATATTATTGAGATAGACTGCATCTACCCCTTACAGAATCTTTATGAGTGACGTCATCAATACATTGCGACTGGAAATTCAATTGAATCATATAATGTCCGTGCTCACATGCCACCCTTACACTTAATGATACATGCATCTATATAAATCTATGCAAAATGAATGCGCTAATCACCTCTACCTTGTATGAAAGACAGGAATCTCAGGCTGAAACGGCATAAATAAACAAAGTTCACAATGTTAACGGGCCTATCATTAAGTAATGGACAAGTTCAAACATTGCAACTACTCTATTCGAGTCAAACAAATATCAAAGATCGACATGAACAAAAGAGTAAAGACAGATCGACAATACAAGTGAAAAGAAAAGAAAACAAAACATGCTAATATTCTAGCAAGGCAGAAGCTCCGGGCTCACTGGAGATGTAAATCACCTCGTGGTTGTCGGAGAACCCGTTGAATCGGGTGGCGCTACACTTGGTGTAGGCTCCCATCTCCTCAAAGTAGAGCCAATCGCCCACATCCAACAGACCAGGCAGCTTGATGCTCTGGGTGATAACATCAATGCCATCACAGGTGGGGCCCCAGATGGAGTAGGAAACGCCTTCCGAAGTCGCAACATTCGGAGCGCATGCACTGGGATCTCCTGCGCAAGTAAGAATCTGCGCCACTGGGTGCTGATGGTCGAAGATGATGTTCGAGAAATTGCCATAGACACCGTCGTTGAGATATAGCATGTAGGAGTCGTTCGACGGGTCCTCGATGTCCGGCACATCGCGACGAGCAATCACGTTCGCTGCTAGTGTAAAAGCATTGGCCACGTAGTACCGGCCAGGCTCAGCAATGATGCGAATGTTGGGAGGGAAGTAGGTGTCCAATGCTTCGCCGAGGATGCCAGCGAATTTCTCAAAGGTATCCTGACTGAAGCCACCACCAACATCCAAAGTGTGAAGCTCGTGGCCGACTTCCGTCGCCTGGTCAAAGACCAAACGCGCATCTTGAACAGCCTTGAGGAATGCCCGAGGATCCTCGGCTCCCGAGCCGACGTGGAAGCTGACGCCAACAACCTTGAGCTCTAACTGGTAGGCCAGTTCGAGGAGCGGGCGGGCAACATCCATAGAAGCGCCAAACTTCATGCTCAGGCGGCACAGACTGGTAGAGTCGTCTGTCAGGATGCGCAGGTAAAGCTCCGCACCGGGGAAGTTGGCCTTGATCTTGTACAGCTCGTCGGCATTGTCAAAGGTCATCTGCTTGACACCCATCCTGGAAGCATAGCGCAGGTAGGACTTGGTCTTGCAGGGCTGCGCATAGATGATGCGGCTTGGATCGACGCCTGACCCGAGAGCCAGGTCAATCTCCGTCTTGGAAGCACAGTCGAAACCGTTTCCAAGTTGAGCCATGAGACGGATAACCTCTGGGTCGGGGTTGCACTTGACGGCTGTTTTCAGGTTAGCTCGAATCCCACGAGTGGCGATTACCAAAGACAAGGCAAGACCTACCGAAAAAGGGTTTGACGCGACCCAAGTTCAATTTCCAGCGCAGATGCTGGCGGTAGACCTCACCCATGTCTGCCACATAGAACGCATCCTCGTCTCCGGGGCCGCAGTGGTCGGTATTGACCTCGGCGGCGCGTTTCTTCAAAACATTCAAGACAAGGGCCTTGGCAGCCAACCTGGCTTGCGAAGGCTCGTCCCCTCCAGCGATATTGACAAGACTATTGTCATCACGACTATAGTCGATTTTGTCTTGACAATGTTTTGTTGTCAAGCATACTGGTTCAACGGGAACACACGCAGTCGGTGCCATAACCATGTGCGCTGCGACGAGCACAAGGAACGGGATTTGAAAAGTAGAAGTTGAAAAAAAAGAGAGATTGTTGTTTACGCGACTGCGTGTTAAGGAGGACGAAATGATTCGCAACCTAGGTTGACTGGACCAAGCCTCCTAGACCCTTCCTCCTTAAGAGGAAGAACCTTCAGAGAAGTCCTATGCGGCAGCTCAGAGAGTGAGGGGATATGGTCGACGGGCGTCAATGGGTTAAAAAATGGCGCACGGAACGAAGGCTCGGGAGTCGATAGCAGCAGGAGGTGGAATGTTGTTAAGAGTGTGACGGGGGCGTCGAGGAGATACAATTTGACGAAGGACTAAGTTGGAGGCTACGAGAGCCGTGGTGAGCTGGTGCCTTTGGAACGATCGAGTCCAAAGGCTGGGTCGGACAAAGAATAGGGGAGTTGAATAGTAAGAGGGAATTATTCGACCCTGACACGAGCGAGGAACGGTCAGTTATATATGCTCTCAATTATTCGGCCAGAATGGACGAGGCATTTATTTAAGGATGAACAGGGGGGTGGTGTTGGGTAGGGGACGAGGTGCGTGCAGAGATTTTTGACGACGGCCTCGTGTGAAGCTTAGGGCAAAGGGCACTGTGGCTAGACGTGAGGGGCGGTGGAAAAGAGACCAGACACACTCTAGGCTGCCGTGGCCAAAGCAGAAAACAAGGAATAGAAGCAACAACAGTAAGAAAGAACCACAATAAAAACGACTTACCTGGAATCTCTGATGACAGAAGGACGACAGGATGCAAAAAAGACGGATGGATATGACGATGGAAGGCCCAATTGGTCTCGTGGGGAAGAAAAAAAGAGCTCACCGGATTCGCGGGCTTACGGCATCCGCGGGACGGAAGGGTTCCTCAGTGGATGTCCAGCCTAAACAATGGTTGGGAGGTCCCTCGCTTTCGTCACAGTCACACTGTGTCCTGGGACAGATTTTTACATACATGATACATCCAATCCATAACCTAGGTCCGTATTATCATCGTCATTTATTCAGCCAGCCTTTTCGATCGGCAGAGTTTCGAGTTTACCACGATACAATGTATGCATAATGTGGTCGGATGTGCGTGGTCATGCAGATGGATGATCTCTCTCATTTGCTAGAATCCCGTCGAATGTTGTGCAGATGCTGAGCTTATATCATTCCATTTATCGACCTGTCTCTTGAGGCTGCAATGGAAGAGTCTGGCTCTTGATGACTCGAAAAGCGGTCACCATCAGCCACTCATCGTCCACTTCCCCTGATGATCAAAAAGAGAAAATGCTGGACTTCGTATACTATTTTCTGATTCTGGGCACTGTGGTTGATTCCATGTAATAAACGATACAAGGTCCTGACATGACGTTGTTGAACCGGACCCTAGTGTCGAATACACACCAAAGGATCGTATTGCCACATCCATCTGGCACGGGCCAACAGAGGGAAATCTCAGCCACACCTGAACAGCAGCTGAACTTGAATAATGACTCATGTATGGCGAATGAAATGGTGATTATTTTAGGCAACGGTTGGCCGTGTCGAGGGATGTCTCCCATAGCAATACAATTCAATGCGATCTACCTGTGCATGTTGCGACGGAAGCTCCATGCTGTCCTGGTGCAGGTTACGGAACCCCGCAGTCTGCATCAAGTCAAAGAAGATGGTCTCACTATCATGTCGTCGTTTCAGCGCCACTAAAACAATGGCATCCGGGGACATGTGCATCAATTGATCCAGTACGGAGACCAGCGCGGGAAGGCTGTCTGCATTGTACGTGCAATCCGAGATAAGAATCAAGTCAATTGGACCGTCGGGAAACAGGTCCTCCGGGACCTTCTCGTCCCAGTCAAGGGTTTGATACTCAATTTCAGACGACCGGGTTGGGCTGGTCGCAGCGATATTCTGCCTTACAATTTCCTCGACTTCGGGAAGGTCTGTGAGCAAAACTGAGCACCGAGACAGCAACTGTGCCAAGGCAATGCCTACAATGCCACATCCTGAGCCCAACTCGATGACATGGAGGGGTGAGCTGCGTTGGTTCTGTAAAAGCCCCTGCAATGGCCCCGCGGTGTCTGGGCCGCTTTGAATTGCCTGCTGGATATACATGACTGATGCGAGGGCCGCATCCCTGAGGGAAAAACAACCACGATCTGTTTTTAGAACTGTAGATAAGAGGCGGGGGGATATGGTGTCTCACCAGATGTGCCGGGCAATGCTGTTTCCTGTTTCCTCCCATATCTTCAGATCCAATCGGTCCTTAGGGCCAAAGCGCCTTTCGACCAGCTTTTCGGCCACCAATGCCTCCGAACCTCCAAAGGGTGCACTCCAGCCTGAAATTACTAGCGGTACTTGTACACCCTTCTTTCCCAGTAGATGATCTATTGAGGATGAATGCGGCTGTCGAGGATCAGAAGCACTGACTCCAAGGACCACGGTGTGTTGGGAAAGTTGTGCAGGAAACGGTCCCAATGAGATGGGCAGTTCTCGTTTGCCTGCCGTCCATTTCAATTTCTCCTGATACAGAATTTTTTCCGTCTGATTGACGCTTAGGGTCGCAAATAATTCCACATCTTCAGCAAGGAATGAATCCCCCAAATCCGTGGTGATGCAAATAAGAGCTGAGATGGTGAGAGATGCGGCCTTTTGTTTCTGGATTCGGGGAGTTTTGAGAAATCGGATATAGTAGACCATGGTCACCAATTGACCGCAAGACGCGTAGAGTAAGATTAGCGAGAGTAGATTAGTTCCTGAATGCGAAAAAAGCCTTCCAGAATGTCAGTCCCTTCAGTTGCTTTGATCTTGTCTCTCTTTTTCTTTCTACCCCAGACAAACTCGTGATCGGCACGTGCGCGCTGACTAACCACCCTCCACGCCTGAGGCCGAAATGACATCGTGGAGGCGGGCGTTCTTCCTGCGACAAAGTATGGGGAGGTTCGACGACATTTTCTCCATCCAGACACTCTGTCATTATCTTGGAACTGAAAGAGAGCATTAACCTCAGAGCTCAGTTTCATCGCCAATCCAATGTCGTGAACCAGGTGGACGAAGTGACTGGCGCAGACACCCCCTCTCCACTGCGTGGCCGACCGCATCTCACTACCTACAGAGTACACTGTAATAATTAATCCTTCTAATCCAGAATGATGCGATCAAGAGATCCTCGAATCCGTCAAACGATTAATCAAATCTCTCACAACCTCGAATCTGCAAACGAAACTGCCCAAGAAGGCCTGTACACCTTATCTCATAATTATCTCTCACCATGCTTTGCGTCCGTCGGAAATTGCCTCTACGCATGCGCCGCACCCTGTCTTCCTAGCCGTGAGGAGCAGCTTCGACGTCGAAGACGTGGTCGTGCAGAAGCCAATTTCGATTTCTACGATGACTGGGACAATGACGTTGCCAACGGCAGCCTGTTAGGTTGGGGTACGGATGAGCTCGATCGTCTGCTGGCAGGAAGTGGTCTGGCCCGTGGGACCTCCGAGCAACCCCGAAGGCCGCGGAACATGAGCTACGGCACTCGTGGCGCAAGGAGGAAGAACAGTGTGCTTGTCCCCGATACTCGTGATGACCCTACAGTTATACCTAGCTCGTCTTTCCTGGGCTTTCTGGAGCGTTTCCCGTGGCGATTTGGGGCGCGAGGGATAAAGTACCGACCGTCCGCTGCTGATCTGCAAGAGCATCCCAAAGGGCTCCGGCGACATGCATATGAAGATGAGCCGCTTATGGAGGATGATGAGATCGAGGGACAGGCTTCCAACGGAAAGAATGGGAGGTATCGGAGCGAGACACAATCTTCACGTGAAACCACCAATTCGTTGAGCTCACGAGGGGATCTGTTCCCTAGTGACGAGGAAGAAGATGCGGTTCCTTTGGATGACGAGTTTGCCATGGCTCTAGGCAGTCGTCGGGGAACTGGATTGGATTCAGATGACCAACTAGGAGGCAGACCCGGGTATTTGAGGTCTGCATCGGGAACTCCAAGTTTGAAGACATCTGCCTCACGGGAGTCGAAGATGAAAAAGAAGAGCACTCGATTGAAGTCCCCGCATTCTGTGGAAGTCACTCGTGATATCGAAGCACCTTCCCTGGCCGATTTGCAGAAAGAGGACGAGCGAGCAGCTCTTCAAGAGGAGTCGGAAATTGTGAGGAAACGACTAGCAGCACACAAGCTGGCTGTAACGCGGGGATTTGATCCAGAGAATAACAAGGTATGCGACGAGTCAGCACCTGTTGATAGCCTTCAAGGTTAACCAGAAAACTCATTTAGTCGGCATCACCATCTCTCTCAGCACGGTCTCCGAGTGCAACAGAGGCTGTTTATTCCTCGTCTCCCGGCCAGACACCCCTTGAGTCTGCAGGCGAAAGAGAATCCGCGGATCATCATTCGCAAACGGAACCTTTTCCACCATTTCCGCTGACACCGTCGCCAACAGATCGTCCACACCTGGGACTTACTGAACGTTCAGTCCAACCTGGTGCTAATGGAGACAATTCGTCACAGTAAATCGAGACTGGACAGTGGCTTGAGATGAGATCTTTACACTTTCATCTCAATCATTCCTGGGAAAGCTAGAATCTATAGTTTTAGTTTTCTTTCCCGTTGAACAGACAGGCATCTAGGCGAGATTCCACAAGATCACCGCCAGCTCTATACTCTTTTGGTTTGCAGGTCAAACCACTTTTCTTTGGGACATGAGGCTTATGAATACCGGCTTTTGAACCGGGCCATTGCTCACCGACAAGATCTTTTGATCTTGGGCGGTGATACCTACAACGTTGTATATTACGACATGACTCATGATGTGATCCTTTGCTTTCTTAATATACCCAATTTACTTGATACGGATGGAGAAGACCAGAATCTTGCGTGTACTGGGTGTAAATAGCTATTACCATCTGGCACAATACGTCTTCACCTCACACCTCTTAAGATAGGGGATGCCGGGTTGCTTCTACTCTACTATCATATCACCGTAATCAACAGTAAAAAAAATCATCTCGCTCTATCGCGATTGACAATATTCCGGATACGAGTCTTTGTATCCCAGAATCCACTTCCCAAGTACCAGTCCGCCAAAGAAATTCATCAACACGCCTAATGGCCTTGCGATAAATACCGGCCCTGGCAAAGCAAGCACCACACCTCCCGCCCAGTTGAACAGCAACACCTGAGGGAGACTCCGCGGGACTCCAGCTTTGCGACAGTCATCGCGATACGATTGCGCATTACCTATCCTGTCAGCTCCAAAACACTTATATGTAGGTACCGAGGTAGATACTATATCAGTCAAAGACACATACGAAAAAATGCCTCATCTCTATTCCTCCACTTCGGCTCAAGAACCAACTCAACCACCATCTCCTCAGATTCGCTCGCATTGCAGAACGTATGAAACGCCTTCATGGGGATCGTCATCGACTCGCCCGCCTTTTTCAACACATCCTCACCACCACAGATGAATTTGGCTGTTCCGTGCAGGACATGGAACTGTTCTGTTTGGTGACGATGCCAGTGGAGGGGAGGACGTAGGGCAATGTTTCTGTTTGCTTCTGTTGATGCTGGCGGCCATCGGTTGATTACCAGGTAGCGGTCTGATGGGGATTTGAATTCGATGGAGGAGCGGCCGCCGTCGAAGTAGACGGGGTTGTTGGTTACTGTTTTTGTGCGTGAGATTTTTGTTCGAAGGAAGGAGAGCATTTTTGGTGGTTGGGCTGATTATGAAGATGGTGATGTTATTGATGGAGTTGGGTTAAGGACGTTAAATGGCCGAGTCGGATTTATCTTAAGTCGGGGTTCGGCTCCGATTGCTACGTGCTTTTTGGGAGTACACCGTCATATTTCATCTGAAGGAATTCTTAATTAGAGGGAATATTCAAATCTGCATTGTATTGTGTAATATGTATGATCTACGATGAAGGGCTGCCATTCACATTCGCAGCCATTCACGTCCGAGAACAACTGGTATAGTTCAGACCCACTTATGTTCTCACGTTTTTAGTCCGCCCTGCGTAGGCTGACAGAAAATTAATATTCAGGGCGGGTCTGAAAAACGGAGATAGGAAGTGTACCTCACGAGAGCCATCAAGGTCTGTCGTGGGTTCACATTCCGGTTTGTTCTTGCGCGTTGCTCCTTGTCCGTTGATGGACAGGAGGTCCGGCCATCTGCAACCATGGAGGTGGAAGTTGAAGACGGGGTAAGCTCTATTGTTCTTGAGATGCGCGTGGGTTGAGAGAGTTCAGGTCAAAAGAAAAGAAAAAAAGAAGAAAAAGACAGGATGAGTGAGGATCAGATATTGTACAAGCAGACTTATATACAGGACTGTCTGTGCCAACATGGATAGGAATACATGAATATTATACATATATGGGGTACACAAGGATATATCGACGAGATCCTGAAAAGAACCAAAAGATTATTTTCCTTTCCGAAACCGGACGCCAAAGGACAGTCAAAAAACCGATGCAGTCGTGAAAGACGTTGACCATGAAGAGTCTGGTCGATCCGGCTAAGCGGACGCAGCAGCAGCGTCAGCATCAAGGGATTCGGCACCAGGCTCACCCGAGACATTCATGGAGAGCTTTCGCAAATCCCAGCCATCGGATTCAGCCCAGTCCTTCTTCTCACCCAGCAAGCAAGCTGATCGTCGAGAGCCCTCAACCAAAAAGTTTTGTGCGACCTGGTTCACGTCCTTGGCTGTGACGTCCAGCACCTGCTCTCTCCAGCGTTGGTCCATCTCGTGGGTGACACCGCTCATGAAGTAGCGGGTTCCTTCCTCATCAACACTCATTGGTGCGTCGAGTCCCTGGAAGATTCCAAGCTTGGCTTCGTCAAGCTCCCGCTCGGACCAAGCACGATCTCTAGCGAAAACACCACTGTTCTGGAAAACTTTCATAGAGTTGAGGGGGTTGGGGTCCCGGTAGCTGGTGAAGGCGAAGATACCCTTGATGGGTCCATTGCTAGCTCCTGCGCCGTAAGCACCACCCTTCTCCCGGATTTCGGGGTGAAGGTAGTTATGGGTGAGGAGCTGCGAGAGGACAGTAAGCGGGGCACTCGAGGGATCGACAAATGGAACGGTCTGCATAGCCAGTCCAGAGTAGTAGACCTTGTAGGGCATGTCGTAGAAAGCCTTGTTCACACCAAAGTTTGAACCAGAGAGTCCAAGGGTGGAGGTAGGGGAGCTGATTCGAGGCATGCCTGTAAGCCATTTCTGAAGCACAGCCTCATTCTGACTTGCGCTATTCGGCTCACAAACCATGCGAACACGCATGTTCGATGTTCGTGAGATGGCAAATGACTGGATCAGACGGAGCTTCTCGATCAGCTCTGCAAGACGTTCGGGGGAAGACTCAGCATCGCGGAGAAGGTTTGCGGTGGCCTGCAACTGTGCAAGTCCAGATTGCTGTTCCTGAACCCAGAAACTGCGAGAGAGGTTGGCTGCAGCTGCGTTCAGCGCAAATCTGTGACCTGTACTAGCGACAGAATCCAGAGCACCATTGGTGGTCAACCGCAATAGCTCTTGGATCATTGCCGGGGCAGAAGGCCCAGTGAAGTCGGTCTCGGCGACGAGAGTCGAGAGCATCTCAAGCATATCCGGAATGTTCTTGTCCAGAGCAAAGCCAGAGAAATTAAGACCTTCTTTGAATTTGCCCAGTTCGGTAGGAGATGACACATGGAAAGAAGAGGTGGAGATACCACCGGTCTTCAACTTGATCAAGTCCTCCCATTCCTCCATGGACTTATTCGCAGTGCCCAAGCGCATGACACAGTCATTGAACAACGGCATCAGCAATCGAAGGTCATCGGGCAGATCCTCAAACGCATTCAGAGCTTGGAAATACGTGAGACCATTGGTGGGAGCCTCGCGCCAGACAACGTCGATGTCTTCGATTTTAGATTCACGCACAGGCTTGCGCTCCTTCTCTCTGGAAATATCATTAACGCGAACGGTGGGCAGGCAGCTCAGATCGGAATTCTGTGCTTCTTCCTGGATCTTGAGCAACTGAAGTTCTTCCTCGGTGAGCTTAGCAATGGCCTTTTCAGCCGATCCATACTGCTCAACAAGCTGGGCGAACTTCTGCTCTTTCCGCACCACTTCCTGCTCGTCCAAATCCTTGTTGAATGCTGGCGAGCCAACCATCGTGAAGGTCATACAGTTGTCGTTGACGAGGTATTTTTGCAGCAACGATTCAAGATAACCTCCCTGCTCGTATCTTCTCTTGAACTCGTCGATGATTTCATTCCACGAGAGCTCCTCCATAGGGTTTGCGCCATTGAACCAGGAGGAAAGAGTCTTCTCCATGATACCGATTCCGAAATTCGCTGTTTTATGTCGCAAAGCCAACTCCAGCTGGTGCAGAAAGCCCTGTACCTTTTCGTCGCTAAATCCAGTCGAAAGCGATTCCTGGTAAACCTTCTGGATGGCCTCTTTGACGGCAGGCGCTTCTTGCTCGCTGACGCCAGTAACACCGACTGAAAAAACAGGAGTCTTTCCGGAGGGGTCAAGGCCGGTGTTGGGGGTAAAAGAGGAGCCCAAGCCGCTCTCAATCAACGCCCGATACATGGGCGATCCATAGCCATCCAAAAGAAGCGAGGAGAGGATGCTGACGGAGAATGTTTCAACCACGTCAGTTACATCTCCCATGTACCAAGAAGTGGATGTCTTGAACTGCTTGTCATCACTGGCGAAGGTGTCAATAGGTCCCGGGACAGTCACGTTCAGGGGACCCTGACTGAGGTCAAGAGGCATTTTAACCTCCGTATCGGCCTCACCCTTCTCAAAACCATCAAGCACACTACCGATCTGCTTCAGGTGGGTGCTCAAGGGCATGTCACCATAAGTCAGAATCTTGGCGTTACTGGGGTGGTAGTTTCGCTTCGAAAAGTCGACCAATTCTTTGTGTGTCAAGTCCGTAATGTACTGGGGGTCGCCACCGGAGTTGTTGATCGCAGGGAAAATGTTCTCCCTGTACTTGACGTAGTAGAGGTAGTTGGCGTCCGAGATCTGTCCCTTCATTTCGTTGTACACAACACCCTTGAATAGAACGTCCTCTGGTTGCGGGTTCGCCTCAGCCTGTCCCTCCTGAGGCAAAAGGGCGCGAGGGTCCTCTGGTCCCAATCGCCATCCTTCCTGTCTAAAGTCCTCTTCCTTGAGCAATGGGTGAAGGGTAGCGTCGAGGTAGACGGAGAGAAGGTTCTGGAAATCTTGAGGGTTGGTGGTGGCAAAAGGGTATGTTGTATGGTCGGCGGAGGTAAATGCGTTCATGAAGTTGGAAAGTGATCGAGGGAGCATCTTGAAGAATGGATCGCGGATGGGGTATCTAATAATCGTGATTGATTAGCGGTCTAGATCTTGAATTAGCCACGGGCGTCCGTACTTTTCACTACCACATAGTGTCGTATGCTCCAGAATATGAGGCACACCAGTAGCATCTGGAGGATTCGTCTTGAATCCTATCCCAAAGACATTGTTCTGATCCTCCTTTGCCACGTGTAGATAATCCGCATCGGTCTTGTCGTGCTTTAACCGGATAGCTGTAAGATGCAACTCTGGAACATGCTTCTTCTCTTGCACAGTGAACCCGTGAAGGCTCTCGCCCTCCTTAGGGAAACTATCCAGACTCGTAATAGTCGAAGCTTTTCGTGTCTGATTCCACCTGGAAAGAGTGTAATTCGACCGCGGCCAGGGTTGGCGTAGAGGCACCCGGCATTTGCCTATCGAGCGTAGCATGGCGTTGTGCATGTTTGAAAGACGAGAAATCCAGAAGGACTCTCCGAAGTGATGGAATCGAAAAAATATTCCCTCCCCAAGCACTGCTCTTCCAACCAAGGATACCGAAGGGAACCGGGAGAAGTCAGTACCAAAAGTCGTGGCGACCGGGCGGACCGGGCTTAAGCGTCAAGTCGCACAACGAAACGAACCCAACCCGCGGAGAATTGGATTCGGGAAATCGAAGAATATCGGCTGGCAGATAGACCAACAGACTGAGCCCGAAGCAGGAGAGTTGGCAGAAGCGTTGGCTGAAGTCGGATGGTTGATAAGTCTCAAACACAATTTGCCTGGCCGACGTGCCAAGAGAAGATTTCGAACTAGGCTAGTGCTGGTCAAGTGCGCATCCCCTCTTACGACTGGATTCGATCCTCTCGGTTCAAGATCCTCGAAGCATCGAGCTTTTAGACTGTGTCGACTTCTTCGCCGTGATCGAGGATTTTCCTTTTGTGTCCGCATTCACCGTTGGCTCCCCTTTCCCCCCCGAGGTTGCTCTGGATTTCCAGATCTTAGCCGCTTAGGGTCTGGGGAATCATCGTCTCCAGAGTTCTGCGAGTCTGGCACAGAAGGCCACCCAGGTTCTCCGCCAGTCTTGACCGTGAGGTTCTCACCGCTGTCCGAGCAGAATACCCTATTAGAGTGGAGGTTCTACTGTCCTGGGAGACACTTACGACTTTGGAATTCCGTTGTTGCGCCATCATTTCGGTAATCCCACAGATTGACCTGTTCCTACGTCGAACCCACCTCCCGCCTTTCGCACTTTTCGGTTTCCCGTGGATTGGCCACGCGACCATTGTCTTCAAGACTCCAGACCTTACCCATCCGTTACGATCGTCTGCCAGGTGATATTTCGCGATGTCGTCCGCCGCAATGTCGAAAAAGAACAAGGGGAAGAAGGTTGCGGACCCGAATGAGACGTCCAAGCTCTTAGCCGCCAAGATCTCCCAACTGGAGCAGGATGCTGCCGGAGAAAAGGATCAAGAAGCGGAAATTGGTGCGTGATTTGCTCTGCACTTGGCTATGTGGTTGCATCTTCTCGTTGACCTGGTTTGTGTGTGGGGGACTACTTGTACTAACCGGTATCTGCCTACAGAGCGTGAGGTCAAGAAAGCTACGAGGGACCTGAACCAACTCCTCAGCAATATCGAATCCCCGATGACCCGGCTCGAGACCGTCCATAAGAAATACACCGAACTTCTTGCGGATATGAAGAAGCTGGATCGCGACTATGCCAAAAGCAAAAAGCGGGCTGATCAACTGCAGAAGGATCAAGACAAGGGCAAAACAGAATTAAACAAGACAGTCACAATGAAGGACAAGCTTGAAAAGTTATGCAGGGAGCTTACAAAGGAAAACAAAAAGGTCAAGGTGGGTTGTCATGACTCAATTCTTTGATACGCCCAGGACAGAGCTGACCTGATGAACCTGTCCTTGTAGGACGAAAATAAAAAGCTGGAAGAAACAGAGAAGAAGGCACGGTTAATCGTCAACGAGCGCCTTGATTCCCTTTTGTACGATATTCAAGACGTCATGGCAGCCAAAGGCAACCCGCGCAGCGAGAAGGTGGATATTGATTTAGATGAAGCGTAAGCCTCCAGTTTGGAACGCTATGGCCTACTGCTTGCTAACATTGGAACAACAGTTTACGTGCTAAGATCAAAACCATTGGCGAAAAGTTCGAAATGCGCGAGTTGCATTACAAGGCCTTGCTACGCAGCAAAGATGCGGAGATACAGTGTCTCACTGCCAAGTACGAGGAACAGCGCCGTGCCGCCGAAAATGAAGCCGCTCGCTGCCGCGCCCTTAGCTCGCAAGTATCTACGTTTTCTCATACAGAAGCTGAATTGCGCAGTCAGCTCAACATCTATGTGGAAAAGTTCAAACAGGTATGGTGCAACCTCCGGTTCCCATTTTGGCCTGCCGGTAATAATAATATTCTAGGTGGAGGATACGCTTAACAATAGCAACGAACTCTTTCTCACTTTCCGCAAAGAAATGGAGGAGATGTCCAAGAAAACAAAGCGCCTCGAAAAGGAAAACCTTACCCTCACCCGCAAGCACGATCAGACGAACCGCAACATTCTCGAGATGGCCGAAGAGCGCACACGGAATCACGAAGAGCTGGAAAAGTGGCGAAAGAAGAGCCATCATCTCGAAGCACTTTGCCGTCGTATGCAAGCCCAGGGTCGGGGTCAAGGCCTTCCTGCGGAATTAGACGGAGATGATGAAGGGACAGAGAGCGAGTACGACGAGGACTATGAAGACGAGGAAGATGACGAAGGAATTAGTGACGATGAATACGAATTGGAAAGCCCAGACCGTGAGATCAACGGAGGCCGAGGTGTTGAACAACAACCCGAAAAGCCAGTGTTTGGACCACCGCCACCACCCAACCTGCTTGAAGCACGGGCCAATGGAAACAAGGCCATGATTAATGGATGCCATTAATGCTTCTTGTAGGTCGGATGTTACATGCGTGTGTTTTTGACTCTCCTGTCTGATCGAGTATTGTTCTGCAAATGTTCTTTTTTATGCCTTGGTATGCCGGAAAAATGAGAGAAAAGAAAAAGAAACAAAAACATGAGTCAGAGAGGGAAATGTACAAACAAAGTGTTCAAGTCCAGTGCCATTGGGCTATTTTTTGGGAGAAGTGCATACTGTATCTGTACGCAAATCTCGTAGCGCCAGGGCTTCTTGGATGGATTACCAGGACACACGACTCTTGCTGTCGAGTAGCCTATAACTGCGATGAGCATATCTGCAGCTGTTGGTTCGCAAGTCATGGTTCTATTTTATTCTTCTTGTTTGTCCGTTTCTTCAAATGTCTTATTGTACTAGTACATGCCATATTATCCAGGCGTATCCATTAACGCTACCGTTTCATTGCAATTCTATCTGGATATTGTAGCAGAAAAAAGTATTCATGAGTCATCGGCACAATAAAAAAAATGTACATATTTATCTAAATGCAACAAGTCTCGTTTATAGCTTGCTCGCTGGCTTGATATAAGATCCTCCCTGGTTAATCACATCCACGGCCTGATGAATCATTTCCTGGATAATTTCACCAGCAGGTTTAATCTCCTTGACGCTGGCAGAAACATCGCCCATCAGGAAAGGTATATCGACATCTTTGCCCTCATCAAAGTCATGCTGGATGGGAACGACTCCCTTGGCCGTCAATCGAGCAATCTCTTCTGGCCGCTTCTCCCATTCTTTGATATACTCATTAGGCAGCATACGCAGCGGTCGCCCACTGACAACCAGCGTACGCTTCGTCTCCCCATACTGAGCCCCAACAACCGCCTTCTTATGCATATCACTCGCGTTGCTCTCCGTCGAGGCTACGAACCGCGTCCCCACCCAGACACCAGACGCACCCAACATCAGCGACGCAGCCAGACTGCGACCATCATTGATACCACCCGCGGCAACCACCTGCGCCGGCTGACCGGTCAACGGGCTCTTGTACTTCTTCGCCACGTCCACAACAGCCGGGATGAGCACAGAGAATGGGATATCCCCTGTATGTCCGCCGCCTTCACCACCCTGTGCACAGACGATATCCACGCCCAGCTTGAGCGCTTTCTCCGCATGCTTGGGGGCTCCGACCATGTTCATGATAAGGATGCCAGCGCTGTGGAGTCGGTCGATTACCCGTTTGGGCGGGACCCCGACAGCGGAGATGAATAGCTTTGCGCCATGGGAGATGACGACCTCGATCAGTTCGTCGAGGTGACCGTGCGTGTAGTCATGGTTCGTGGCGCGAGCACTACCACCGACTTGGGGCAGGGCGAGGTCGACTCCAAAGGGGAGTGACGGGTCTCGCAGAAGAGATTTCAGCTCGGTTAAGATCTCGGATAGTTGCTCGGGGCTGTAACCCAGACCACCTACGCTTCCTAGACCGCCGGCATTGGAGACAGCAGCGGCGAGGGGTGCACCTGATGCCTTGGCCATTCCTGCCAGCAGGATGGGGTGTTGGATGTTAAGGAGCGAGGTGAGGGGTGTTTGTAGAGACATTATGACGGTCGGTAGAGAAGCTTGTAAAAGGATGAGATGGTGTAGTTGTTCAGAGACTATAAATATCACCAGAAATTATTAGTGAGCAGGCCAAAAAAAAAGCAAAGATGGGGGCGGATAGATGTTATGATCTTACAGCTTGGAAAGCTCTAGCCAACGGTCTCCAAGGCAGCCAAAAGAGGTCACGGACAGAATTCAGAGCAATTGAGATGAACAAGGGACTTTTGTACTAACGAAATACCCTTCATCGCTTCGAAACCTCCGCACAAGACGATTTATGTTGAGCATATCTTTGCGATGCTGCTGGGGAAATAAATGCGGGGAAGCGGAACCGCCAGCTAATCCGAGCCTCGGCATGTTGGGAGCAGCGCGTCTTCGGCTTCGATCGATGCTGATCTGTTGAAGATCTTCATCATCTGATGATGTTATTCGAGGTTATGCAGGTCATGAGAATGCATTGGTTTTATGAAACTGGATTTCCAACATCCCTGTCGGTTGCTGTTCGCCAAAATCCAAAGCTGTCGACAACTGTCTAACAGGCTAGAAACTATGAAACTCCAAAGGCGAGTATATACAATCAAGACTAATAATAACAGAGAATCCAGGTCCTAACAGTACGGCTAATTGATCCAATATGCGCCCTCAATGAGTCCATTCGGCGTATATCAACGCAACGTTTTCCCCAGCGATAAGAGCGATCACAATAGATATAAAGACAACAGGGCCGAAAGAGAAAGACTCGATGTTGACAAAACAACCTCTTTGCTACCAATTGCCCCCGATGTCTCTACCACGACTGTCTTTGTTGTTGTCACAGTGGCCATCTTTTGGGAACTAGATGGGAACGAACTATCAGTCGCTTTTCTGGTGGCATTCTAAGAATTATACAGGGTAGACCTACTCATATTCAGCCAAAGAAATGGCCGACGAAGTCGGTTCTTGCCTCAGCTCATGATGCAGTTCTTGGGGAGCAGTTGTCGTTGTATGCGACGCTGGGGGGCTATCGATGACAGGACCTGGAGGAGGCTGATAGTAGCCCACTGCGCCTTGAGGGGCAGTTGCAAAAGATCCTGGTATGCTGCGTTTGAAGAAATGGGATGAGAGGCTGCGCGGGGAAAAATTGATATTGAATGCGGAGGTGAGCATGCACGTCAGCAGGTTGATAGCGATGAAGTTGCCCAAGAGGCTACTGAAGCAATGAGGTACCACCCTCATACTGCTGATGACGAATTATTTTGATCGAAATATGATCGTTGGAGATGTGAGATAGTCCGCTGCGCAAAGTGATGGCGAAGGAACACGCAAGACGAAACAATATCTGGGGAAAGAAAGAATATGAACTGCGCCAGAAAAATAACAAAGCTCGTCAACGCTCGAAGAACATACTCATAAGAGACATGCCTTGTATGGAGAATGATGAACTGTGATATTTTTGTTCTTAGTGCATTCCCATCATCGCACCCGAATGCACCTTCCACGATCCAAGGGGAAGATAAGCATTGGAACAGCGGAGAAATGATTCCAATTAGAAATAAATCTCTGCGCAAGACTCAGGTGAGAGGAAAGCGAGATCTGTTTAGGTGTGTGGCATGTGGCATGTGGAACGAGGATCGGTATGCATCCAGGGATTCTGTTGGTGATGGTTCCACCACGTCGATAACAAACCCCTTAATTCCAGAAGAATATTAGAAGAATAACGGCATTTCGAATACATGCTATGGTATTTAATGTCTTTTGTCATGTTATTCCTGTGCTTTTCGGTTTGTTTAGCATTCCATCTTCTGACACAAGCACGGTGGCACAATTGTCGACTGAGACCCTCATTTGACAAGATATTCGTTTATAGCAAAAGCACCTAAACGATCAGAGGACATGGTGTCAGATCCTTTTCAGGTCCATTATCGTCGTCGTCCATCAATAATCATCCAGTAGAGGGGAAAGTTGGTGGTCATGACTTCGCGTCAAGTGCTTCTTCCCCATCGATCAACGGTCTTTCTGGAATACTGGATGATTCTATGATAATGTTGGCCATTCAGTATCTGTGAAGAATTAGGATCATCAAATAGTTATCTTTGATAAAGGAATGTCATGGCTTGTCTGCCATGAGGTCATTCAACGATGGCGGTTGACCACCGTAGAGCATGATTGACTCGATTGGACTCGATCCAATGCACTGCGCTATACCATCGTTATCACAGCTATCAGAATCTCCTTTCCATCTTCACATATCAAGAAGAAGACAAAAGCGATGGTGCTTGCTGTATCTCCGCATCACAGCGATGGAGTTCTGCCCAAAGCGGTATTGTAATTACGCCTCTCGAGTGACGCCAAAAGACGCGTGATTTCGCGTTGCGTCGCAAAGGCAGGACACCGCGGCAGAACAACGACGATAACAACTTTCTGCCAACATCACAGTGCCTGGGGTTCTCGGTTTTTATTTCCCGTTTGGCAAATGAGTCTATTAATTTAATCCATACAAACGACACCCTTTTATAAAATGGCTTCTAATGCAGAGTACGGGTTCCTGCGCCCTCCAAGGTTTGCTCCCCGCGATCATCGACCAAGCCGGTCCTCGACAACTATGGCATATACAGTGGCTGACGGATATTCGTCTGAATTCCTATAGTGATGAAGAAAATGCCCCGGTATATCGTGAAGCCTCTCATTACAACCCCCTGCACACCTTCCAATTACCAACCGGTCAAGAGAGACACTATCAACAACAATATGGCGATATGTACTTCTTGAGACTTGCGAAATTGAAGCCTGCCGTTGAAGAAATTGCAACAGAGGCTTGGGAAGGATTTAGTGTAAGATTGCCTTTTTTTTTTTTTCGTTGAATGCCGGTCAGGGTCATACAGTGGGATTGTACAGATGGCGGAAAAGAACAAGCTACAGGCAAGGATACCTGCTGACCACTGTTCAATCCCATTAGATTGCAGGAGAACATGCTCGCCGTGTGGAAAGAGTGCTCGATGTGCGACAAGGAGAGCTCTGCTGGGTTGCCGGAACTATTTACATGGATTTGCCTTTGAAGCCAAATATCCTGGATGACTTGACGAAAGAGGTATGCACCGGCCCGGCAATCTACGGGCTTATTCCGATGGCTTATGTTGGGTTTTTAGAATTATACATTGGCTCCTCCACCTCGTCCCACATATATCGATCAATCCAATCCTTCGTTGACCCAATTCATGATGGAAGACGAGTCGGGCCGCTTGCGTTTAACGGGAAGCCTGCTTCTATCAACACAATTAGCCACGGGAGCCGTTATTGCTGCATTGGGAACAGAAAACGCAAATGGCGACTTTGAAGTTATCGACATTAAGGTTCCAGATCTGCCTCAGCAACCTCGCCGGTGGGAGAGAGATGGTGCCCCGGAAACCAAACAAAATGGTCATGGAGTCAGTAAAGGGAAGATTGCCTTTGTCAGTGGACTGGGCATTACTGGAACATCGACTGATACACTCGCGCTGGAGCTCTTGTCGGAGTATCTTCTTGGGTATACGGGGACTTCGACGGACAATAATGGTACCTCGCCGCCAGATGCCTCAGCCATTACAAGGCTCGTCATTGCGGGAAATTCGCTCGGATCTAGTGTGACTGTCGATGCTGCCTCAGCCGGCGCGGAAGCAGCTGCAAAGAAGAAGAGCGGGCCGAAGAAATACGGGTACGATGCTTCCTCATATAACGCTTCACCCATTACTCAGCTTGACTCGTTTCTCGCCGAAATCCTCCCCAGTATACCTATCACTCTCATGCCTGGTGAGAAAGACCCAGCCAACTTCTCGCTCCCTCAACAAGCTATTCATCGGGCAATGTTTCCCCGAGCCAGAGCATACTGCTCTGCGCCCCCGGCAGCGGGTGAAACGTCCGAACCGGGCTGGTTCGACAGCGTAACAAACCCCTGGGAAGGGGATGTAGAGGGATGGCGGGTCTGGGGTACCAGTGGCCAGAATGTGGACGACGTTCTCCGATACTTGACCTTTGCCGATGATGATGACAGAAATGGGGACACCGAGGCACGGATCAAGGTCATGGAGGCCATGATGCGATGGCGATGTGGTGTTCCTACTGCACCAGACACAATCTGTATGCCTCATCCTAATCTTACGAAGTACCAGTGCTAATCCACTCTTAGGGTCTTACCCATTCCAAACACACGATCCTTTTGTTCTGGAATCGTGCCCCCATATCTTTTTTGCGGGGAATCAACCGCAATTCAAGACAGCAGTTATCGAGGGAGACTCCCCATTGAGGCTGAATGGAGCAGACACGGAGATGTCTGACGCAGATGCCTCCCTTGGTCCTCGTGTTCGTCTTTTGTCGATTCCAAAATTCAACGAAACTGGGGAACTTCTTCTGGTGGATACGGAAACCCTGGAAGTCGAAGTGATCAAATTCGGGGCATTTGCCGGACAGGAGGAGAAAACATAGCCATATCAAAAATCTATACCTCTTCAACAATTGCACGTGTATTCCAAATGTGAAACGTAGTCGATAATCCAGCACCCCTGCTGCTAGGTGGTTATATACTCCATCGGCAACGCCAAGACCCGCACGAAAATGTCACGAATCCCACCTTCTTCCATCCTCAAATCATCGTCAACCAAAACATCACACACAATTAACCAAAGCATACACTGTTAACCCATCATATGGAATTTATCTCAATTTTCGGAAAATTCCCCCTCAACCCTATCTAAGAGGCTAAACCACACCATGTTACTCAACGCCAAAACCGGTAACGTCCAGCCCATGGAGGTCCAGTGTTTTCAACGACGCCAGAAATCACACTAATTGCATAGGGTTGATGCAGCTATCTCAACATCACCATTACTTCTAGTCCCATATTCTAAATGGCATGTTCCTAGATACCATGAATGGATGAAGAATGAGGTAGGTTATACTTTTTTTTTTCTCTTTTTTGGTCCATGCTCACTCTACAAACAGGAAATCCAAGAAACAACCGCTTCCGAACCCCTCACCATAGAGGAGGAATACAACATGCAGCAAAGCTGGCGCCAAGACGCGGACAAATTGACATTCATCACTTGCTTGCCAGTTGCCAGATCGGAGGATGGGGTTCTTCCGCGACAACTCACCGTGCGGGATGACGATGATGATCGGATGCTGGGAGACATTAACCTGTTCCTCCGTGTGGATGATGGAGAAGAGGGGGGCTCTGAAAATCCAGAGATCATTGGAGAGGTTGAATTGATGATTGCCGAGAAGGTGAATCATCGGAAAGGGTTTGGGAGGGCTAGTATACTCTCGTTTTTGAGATATATTATCGACCATGAAGCGGAGATTTTGGAGGAGTTTGTCAAGGGGGATTCCTTTGCGTCTGAGGCGATGGCTAAAGCGACCAACCCGTCGCGGAAGTTTGCCTGTCTGAGTGTCAAGATTGGACAGGCGAATGAAGGCAGTCTGGCGCTGTTTGAGGGTCTTGGGTTTCGTAAGATGTCGACAGAGGCCAACTGCTTTGGGGAATTCGAACTGAGGCGGACGGATTTGAGTGTGAAGACGCTTGATGAGGAGCTTGAGAAGTCTGGGGTTAAGGGGTATGTTGAACTGCCTTATGAGCGGACAGAATGATGGTACATAACATGATAGATGAAGCTGTACATAAGATTCCACTCTCTGTCTGGCCTACAAGCTGTCAAGTACTGAAGTGAAAACACAAAATCAATAGATTATATGGTATAGATATAGATATATAGAAATGGGTCGTATCTACGGGGTAGGTATCATCATGTTCATCGCTGCAACTGCCATCACGACTGGAGAGGCTCGCCCATGCCTCCGAAAGTCACGCTCTTGATTGTCAAGAACTCCTCAATGCCGTACTTGCTGCCCTCACGGCCGAATCCACTCTGCTTAACACCACCGAATCTATAACAATCAGTATCTTAGTGTCAAAAAGTATGTTTCGGGTTAACTTACGGAGAGGCGACGTCACTAATGAGACCAGTGTTGACTCCCACCATACCGACTTCCAACGACTCCGCGACACGGAAGATGCGCTGGACATTCCCACTGAAGAAGTAGCCTGCCAGGCCAACTTCGGCGCGGTTGGCCAGGTCAACAACTTCCTTCTCGGTCTCGAAGGGGAACAGTCCAGCGACGGGGCCGAATGTCTCCTCCGAGGCGAGCAACATGTCCTTGGTCATTTCAGTCAGGACAGTCGGGTGGTAGAAGTTAGAGCCCAGCTCGGGAACCTTCTTTCCACCGGCGACGATCTTGGCACCCTTGGACTCTGCATCGCGGACATGCTCGTCAACCTTGGCAACAGCCCGTTCGTGGATGACGGGACCGTGAGTGACTCCGTCTCCAAAGCCTGCTCCCAGCTTGAATGTGTTGACCTTCTCGACAAAGCGCTTGGCAAATTCATCGTAAACGCCCCGCTGCACATAGATTCTGTTGGCACAGACACACGTCTGGCCGGAGCTACGGAACTTGGAGTTGATAGCTCCAGTCACTGCAGCGTCAATGTCCTGAACGTCGTCAAAGACAATGAATGGGGCATTTCCACCAAGCTCCCAGGACACCTTCTTGACAGTCGAAGAAGCCTGCTTCATGAGCAGCTTACCAACATTGGTTGAGCCGGTGAAGGACACCTTGCGGACCTCTGGGTGGGTGGTCAACACCTCACCCACCTCTGGGGTGTTCTTAGACGCGGTAACAATGTTGAAAACACCCTTGGGGATTCCTGCCCGGGTTGCCAGCTCAGCCAGCGCATTTGCGGTGAAAGGGGTCTCTCCAGGAGTTTTGACAACCACGGGGCAGCCTGCCGCCAGGGCAGGTGCAGCCTTTCTTGTGATCATCGCCGCAGGAAAGTTCCATGGTGTGATAAGACCACAGACACCAACGGGCTGCTTCAGAGTCATGATACGGTTGCCCGGCACGGAAGAGGGAATTGTGTCACCGTAAATGCGGGGTGCCTCCTCACTGAACCATTCGAAGAAACCAGCAGCGTAGTTCACCTCGCCCTTAGCATCCGCCAATGGCTTACCATTCTCCCATGTGATCAGTGTTGCCAGGTCTTCTGCGTTATCAATCATCAACTGGTACCACCGACGGAGCATACGGGCGCGTTCGCGGGCAAGCGTGGTACGGAAACTAGGGAAAGCTTCAACAGCGGCATGGATGGCTTTTTCGGTGTCGGCGGCGTCAAACTCGGGGCATGTTCCAATGAGTTCTCCAGAAGCGGGATCTGGGAAATCCAATTAATACTTTTGCATGGTGAGGATCAATTGCCTCCGACCTACCGTGGACTTCAAAGGTCTTTCCCGACTGCGAAGCTACGAACTCTCCGTTGACGTAAGCCTTCTCAATGAAGAGCGACTGGTCTTTGAGCTGGAAGATAATGATAATCAGTCCACGAATCCCCCAGTAGATTAATTCCGAATCATCCACTCACCTTTGGCACGGTGTGGCCCATGGTGTAAAGTCGTCGGGGGTAAATGGGTGGAGGAATGGCAAAGGGGTATCGTGGACGTGATCGCAACAATTGCCGTGAGACAGGACAAATAAGTCTCTCCATGGCTAGCGAGTTTGAAATGAATTAACAGAAAAAAGGAAGAAAGGAGAAGCAAAAAGAAAAGGCGAGGGAGGAAACAGCTGATAAATGCGTTTCCAATGATGCGATGTGGGGAGCTTCTCTGATCCAGACGGCAAAGCAGTGGAAATGGCCAAAAGAACGTCCCGGTGGTTCCTTTGATTCCTTCTATCTGGGCTCGAAGATGATTGATCTGCTGTCCCGAGGAAAGAAGAATTGATTATCCAACGATGGAAACGACGCGGCGAAAGGCAGAGAATAAATACATCGAAGCTCCGAGCTGCTCTCATACTTCGATCATCGAGCGGGGAGCTCTGCGTCACGTGGACAACGTCATCTTCTCTCTGCACGCAAACACTCCATTTGTGGATATTATATCGATATGGTGGGATTGTGATGGTATTCACGATCTCTATACACTCTGTTATATAGCCATTTTAATCAAAAATGAACCCATTTGTTGCTGTTGAAGAATCATATATTACAAATCGTGTATCAAGTTGTATTTATAATAACGTTTTCGGTATGAGCAGCCACTCAGAAGCCTTATCGGGAAGTTTGCGGCATTTCAAACCAATAGGACATCTGAGCGACTTATCAATGACCGAGATAATACATCGCCATACAGATATCGTATTGATCTATAAAGACAAGATGCTCTATGCTCACAATATACAAATTCAGAGAATCCATGGTTATTCTATCATGTCATCCCACTGTCCTCATGTCTATAATACACGGCCCAAAGCTAGAATGACACCTTGTCTATAGTCTATCTCGTATCATTAATTCGTTCATCATCCATCTGGTCTTGAACACCCGCTGGCTTCACATCGGTACTTCTGGGACGATATCCTGGATGCATGCGTTGGATATGTAGATTGAGGTTCCACGTCCGAGAAAATCCATTCCTATGCCGGCGACATTTCTTCATGGGACACACCAGGTCTGACTTCCGGTGATCTCCTTTGCCCTTGGGCCGGGGGCCCGTATCGTCTTGAGTCCCAGAAAGAGGGCTTGAAGGCCGGGAGACAGAGCCAGCTTTGGAGGATACCGCGCGGGAACGTGATCGCTTAGATGAAGGTCGAGATGGGGGTGGAGTGGGAGGCTCTTCCTCTTCCTCTTCAGACTCGCTCTCGGCATATTCCCAGGCCTTGCCGTTTTCTTTCTCAACTTGCTGCAAGTGCCCTTCCTTCATGGTCTGGAACGTCATGTCCTCGCCAAAAAGACCGCTGCATCTCTGTGCTGCGCGCATCACCACGGCGGGCGGCCAGCCCATCATAGAAGCGATCCCTAACACCTCGCTCCAGTCTCGAACGCCATGCCGGATTCGACTAGCAGATCGCCTGCGATCACTGCCTATGGACCTTCCCCGAGATTGGGATGTATGTCGTGACACGGAGGTATGTTGGGAAGTTTGACGGGATGAAGGTGGGCCGCTGGATGCATGCATACTGCGGGAACGTTCGTTTGCTGGTCGAGCCGAATGAGACGACCGGCGAGTTCGCTTTCTGCCTCTGGATTGACTTCTCTCCGTGTTTCTGGATGTCCTCCTTTTTCTAGGGGACGACGACCTCCCAGAAACCACACTTTCTGTGTCTGTCTGCCATTCACTTGCAGAGCTATCGTCCACTGCTAGACCACCTTTGCGGGCATGATGGAGGCCCATAAGAAGCTGGTCGAGCGAGGTGATCGTATTGCGGGTCAAAGGCCTTAATTGCCGCCGTGATTTCTCGTCATCTGCCTGAACAGCAGGTCGAAGTTGCGCATCATCCACAGATTCATCATCACTCCTCCAGTCCCCCTCGTTGCCTGTACTTGCGTCATAATCCTCGGTTTGGGCTCTACTTGCTCTTCCAGACCGCGAGACAGATCGCGAGCCAGCACGCCTAGTTTCCCATTCCCTGGCTTCAAATCTCTCCTTTGCGGATTTGAGCATTATCGCCATGATAGACTCCTCCAGCTCGCCGCTTGGTCTCGGATCGGGCTGCATTCGTAAGGTCCATACATCGTCCTCTTCCCGCCTCAGATGCTCATCTACCCGAGGAACCTCACTAGCATGCATTGGCCACGCCGTCCATCTCTTAGGAGGATGAAAGGCCTCGGCCTCGTCCTGTAGCCTATCATCTTCTGTGGCTCGTCTTGCTATCTCACGTGCCCTTACTCGAAGCGCATGCGCATTGTACAGGTGCGCTGCAAGATCCCTAGCCCGAATCGCCTCCAGCGCTTGAGCATTCTGTCTATCCTCGACAGTAAGCTTCCTCCATGTAGACTCAGGACCGCGGAACCTGTTTGGTCGATAGTCAGGTAACGGGGGCGAACTAGGTGGCTCTCTTTCAGCCGGCGGAAGTGTGGCTGCCGTGCTTTTTTCCTTCTTTCTTCGCGCCTTGTAACGACTACTGGCATCGCTATCCATGCCATCTGATGCTGACCCATCGCCGTCGCTTTCCATGTAGGTAGCATCATCGGAGAAATCCTGCTCGATCAACGGCGGCTCTCCCATGATCACGTCAAGCTCATCCTGGTCTTCCTCGTTCGCATCCTGCTGCGGCTCAGGGTATGGCTCCAGATCAACATCTTGACTGCTGGGGCCTCCAAATAGTGACCTATATGGCTGAGCTGACTGAGGGGGGCTGAAGCGTGGAGGAGACTGGTTGTCCGAGAACGTGGACATGCCTCAGAAATCATGAATTTATGGTTGCTTCAGCAAAGAACTCAGTATTTCGAGTCTAGAGAAATAAAAAAGATCAATTTTAAACATTCATCGACGATATATCTTCTGTTGACATGCAGTGCCCTTGGGCATGTACAATCGGAGAAATTCGACTTTTTGCGGAGCTTAGGATAGATGCAAGTTTTTTTTGCGGCATCAACAACAGCATCCGTTGAGCAAAAGGAACAGTAGACCCGAGAACTTCTCCATATATGTCTGGATGATTTAAAGACTGAAATTTGGAAGTTGTACTTGGGCATGAAAGCAGGAATTCGTCAAAAACAGCAGCGAGAATTTGCAACAGAAAAAAAAAAAAAAAACATCATGTCACGTGATCTTTCCACAGTTGTTAAGCTCGTGGATGGATCACAAAAGATTGAAACAAGTCATATGGAGGATATATCGAGTTCAATTGAATATATGATCATTGTCTAAATTTTAAAAAAGAATGTGTATGTCTACAAAGCGCCACGACTCGGAAGCAATTTACAGTCTCAGTAACCATTTGCATGCAGAATATAGAACAACATCAAGACGCCATGTAATTGAATGCCTCCAAATCCAAGCGAGGATATCACATTATCACAAAAGATGAATTAACTTTTTATTTCTCGGCCCCCTTTTCGACCTTTCTTCTCTTGGACCGCAGCTTGGCTGCCTCGTCGGACTGCTTCTTGTTCGAGTACATCATCTTCTCGAGCAGCTTGCGCTTCTTCCGGCTCATCATCATCTTCTGTCTCTCCAGCTCTTCTTCCTCCTTGCACTTCTTGGCGGCAATCTTCTTGGCTTGCGAGGACTTCTTCTTTGCTGCTTCGCCAGCGGCGCCGCCGGAGGAGAAGGGAAGGCCAGCTGCCTCCGCCTCGAGCTCCTTCTGGTGCTGTGTGCGGGCAGACTCTTCCTCGTCTTCGGATTCAGAGGCAGCGTCTTCTTCGAGTCCACCGAATTCTTCCTCCTCTTCTTCGCCACTCTCACTTTCGTCATCGTCATCATCGTCGTCGGTGCCGGCAACATCCATACCGCCGTCGACAGATTCTTCTTCGGACTCCTCGGATTCCTTTGTCTTCGTGTCAGACTTCTTCTTGTCATCAGTGGTGTCTTCCATCTCTTCATCGCTGTCGCTCTCTTCGGCTGCCATATCAGCCTCGCCCTCCTCTTCCTGCTCGGCCAGAGAAGCACGAGGATCGTAGCCACCCTTGCTAGGCTTAACCCACGGACTCAAGTGAGGAGGCAGAGTAGCGCCCGGTGCGTACAAGTCGGGACGGAGAAGCTTTCCTTCGTTGATGCAATCCCAAACCCACTGAGGCTGGACATATGTTCTACCGGGAATCCGGGTTCCGGGTCTGACCTTCTGGGGTGCAGCACCATCAGCCGCGGGAATAGCTGGGAGAGCGGACTCGGGAAGCTGGGGTCGGTCAACGATTTGGTGTGTAATACGGGGGTCTGACTCGTCGTGAGTGAAAGCGCCGTCACCGAGAACGGTGTCCCAGCCAATTCGCTTGCAGCCAAAAGAGCGCAGAAGGAATTCCAACGGAGCTCTAGGTGCTTCTCGGGAGACGTAGACGGTGAATGGCGCAAAAAGCGCGCCAGCTTCGCTGCCGCTCATCTCGGGTTGGGGAAGGGTGTCAGCCTCGGGGGCGGCGGTTTCGAACTTGTCAATGGCATCAGTCGCCTCCTCAGTGGCCTGCACTGCTTGCTCGTCCTTGGTCTTGTCGAGACCGGCAGACTTGATCACCTTGTCAACCTTGTCTTGAACCTCGCGGGAGACTTCCTTGTTAGGCAAAGAGCTCGGCTTTGTGTTGCCGGCTTCAAGAGCCTTGGGCGCCTCTCCAACTGTACGGCCTTCAAGAGTGAATGCAGCGAGTTCGGCTCCGTTCTCGTCACTCCGTGTGTCGAACTTGGGAGGGTATCTCAGACCCAGCGAAGAGTACAGTCGGTAGTTGACGAAACCTAGCAAGGTGGTGTAGAAATCGACGAAGGTGGCCATGATACGGTAATCGACATCTCCATTCACTCGCTGCACGAATCGGTAAGGGACCAGCCACATGATGTCCTGTCCTTGGATAGTCGCCTGGTAGTAGATACCCTTGATGGAAAGGAACGATTTGCGCAAGGAGTTGGTGGTGATCAGGTAGTGCTGGAACTCGTGGGTAACACGCTGGCAGAGCGCAATAGTCTTGGGTGGCACATGGGCGGTAGACGGCAGGTTGGCAAAGAGGAAAAGCAGCGACAGAGCATCGTCAAGATCTCTCAAGGCGTCAATGAAGGTGGGATAGCGCTCCTTGATGACATGGTCCAAGGTGAGTTTCGGCGCATGGTTCTTCTCCAAACGGGAAGCATCGCTGACTTCTCCACGTCCAAGAGACCGAGCAATCTTCTTTGCAACCGATTTCTGGTCACGGAACTTGGCGAGCAGCGGTTCATGGAGGAGGTACTGGATGTCTTTTGTGTAGTAGAAAGTGGTGTTGGGGGTTGATGTTTTGGAGGCCTTCTTCTTATTCCTGGGCTCACGAGGATAGATACCTATAATTGGCCGATACAGTCAGCATTCCCTTTTCAATTTTTCAATATAAGGCGCAATCCCACATACCCTTGAAGATGCATAGTCGACGGAAGTCCGGCAGAGAAATCTGGAGTTTGCGGACAGCCTGAGTTCTAGTGATGTAGTTTTTGGCCTGGCCAGAAGTACCTGCAAAGAAATATCAGTAACGCAATAATTTCCAGTTCACGAGCAATCGATTCGTACCCTTCTTCTTAATCTTGCCCATCTTGTCGAATGGTCTGGTGTTGGATGATCAAGTGGTGGTGGATGGAGACTTTCTCTGATAACCAAAAAATTTCTCGATAACTTTTTTTTTTTCCTACTTTTTTTTTCTAAGCTCCGATGGTCCGTGCGTTGCGGAAAAGGGAAATGCGCGGAGTCTTGGCGGTCGGTGATTGTCGATGGGAAAAGGGACACTTGGAGGCGATGCGGAGTGCTTCACGGCCACCGATATGGCCTGTTGATCTTTGATATTGTCTGATTCGATCGGTATATTCTCATCGCATTGAGCCACCATGCTGGTTGATCGAAGAAAGGCTGCCGTGTTCGGTGTGGCCTTGATCTTACGACTACTGCTCCTCGGTCTCTTCCCCTCACTGCCTGACTTGTTGACGGGGCGAGTCGAGGTGTCGACGCCAGTGAATAGCTTCAAGAGATGTGAGTATCGAGAATGGAGCCAACGGGTTGAACTTGTGAGCTAACTTCGTGACTGTAGTGCAGGAAGGTCTCTTTCTTTATACTCGCAATGTCTCTCCTTACGACGGCGGTGTCTATCATCAGGTACGGCATACCTACACATATAGGCCATCGAGGGCCATTGTCTCTGACCAGCTTGAAAATAGGCACCCTTGCTTCTTCCGATATTTGCTTTGCTCCCGAATGCTCAAGACTTTGCTCTACCAACCGCTATCTTTTACGCGCTGATCGACCTTGTTAATGCGAACGCGTTGGTCATTATATCCAATTCGGGACAGTCTGTGTCAGGGAGACTACACTCGGCATTGAGAAAGAACATTAGATGGGATGGAGTTGCAGTGGCAGCCTGGTATGTACAAGCGTGCTCTGCAGGATGCAGTTTGCTGACAAGGCCCAAAGGTTCCTTTTCAACCCTTTCACTATTGCAACATGTCTGGGCCGCTCGACGACCGTGTTTACCACTACCGGAATATTTTACGCCATATCGAGCGCTGTCCAGGGAAATAGCTTGAATTCCATGCTGGCATTGGGATTTGCGTCGTACCTCTCCATCTACCCAGTTCTCTTGTTCATCCCGCTTGTTATCTTGTGCTATGATCAGCGCGCACAGTCGACGAAGCCTCCCTCCAGTGCCGCACTCTTTGCTGTACAACATTTCGGAATCCTCCTAGGTGGCATCACGGGACTGCTTGGAATATCCTGTCTGATCATTGGCGACTTCTGGGAATTCATATCCGCAACGTACGGGTTCCAGCTACTCGTCCCTGACTTGACCCCTAATGTCGGTTTGTGGTGGTATTTCTTCATTGAGATGTTTGATTCATTCCGAGAGTTTTTCCTCGGTGTTTTCTGGCTTCATCTGGCCGCATATGTTGGAGGATTGACCGTGCGGCTGCGACGACAGCCTCTCTTTATCATCACCGCTCTCCTAGGCGTCTTCGCCATCTTCAAGCCCTATCCTAGTATATCAGATGTATCTCTCTACTTTGCACTCCTCCCACTTTATCGACATCTCTTCCCTTGTAAGTTCACGCCACCTACTTCAAATGCATTGACATTGGCTAATGAATCACAGTGATGCGTTACACCTTCTTCGCAATCTCTGCCATTCTGTACGCTACTCTCCTCGGTCCCGCATTCTATCATCTATGGATCTACGCCGGATCAGGTAACGCCAACTTCTTCTATGCCATCACCCTTGTCTGGAGTCTTGGGCTCTCCATCTTACTGGCCGACTCCATCTTTGCTGCACTCAGAGATGAGTGGGAGCAGAAGTATCCGGAAATGAGAGGGAAAGATGTGAGACAAGTTTAGAATTGATTTTTAATTAGAGCCTTCACCACATAGCTTCCCTTTCAAATTATAAGAGTCTATTAATAAACTGTGACAGCTGTAACACATTTTCAGTTTCAAGTATGGGTATTCATCAAAGATAGTTCTGTCTTATAAATATTGTAATCATCATCATTCCTTCATCAACCACATCATCTCAGAACCAGAGTCATTCTGATCATGGTCCGGTAAATCCCCCTGTCACCGTCCACATGCTCTTCCACGACCCCCGCCATCACTTTCGTCGATCCGATAACATTGTTTGAGCAAGGGAACAAGACCTTAGCGCCCCGTAATAGATAGATAGGATACGAGTGGGGTTTCAAGCGGGCATCGCTGAAGTGTGGCTGCCCTGATCCGGAAAAGGAAAGTCGGGTTATGACGTTATAAGAATCTGTTCGGAGTTGAGGCCTGAGGGCAGCATTGAGATCTCAATCGAGGTCGCCTGAGAAAGATCTGTAGACAGCCATCCATCGGCTGCATACCACTGTGCGAGACTAGGCAAGTGCAGTAAGTGGATGAGCATGAACTCCGTATCTGATATGACGCTCCCCCATAGCGAGATTGTTGGGTCATTGGGTGACAACACATTCACAGTAGGACGAGTAGCCAATAAAATCAACTATCTACTGTGTAGATACTCGAGGCACTCAAATGTTTAGTGTGTGGGCCGTCGCGTGATGGAGGCGGGCTATGAGCCTATTGAGGTAAAGGGATTTCATAAATACGCTTCATAGCCCAAAGCTGAGCTGGAGCTGAACATTCAGCTGATGACCAGCCTTTCGAGGCCGCCGAAGATAAGCCAATTCAATGCGCTGTGCGTTGTACAACTGACCATGATGACGGGAAGGGGTTGATGCTCAGTTAATTCATGCATGCAGACGTTGTGCGCAACGACTTGGACAATATCAAATAACTGGACTCCTTCACTGTCCCATTCCGCAGTATCTTTGGCGGCGGTGAGAACTCATCGACGGTATATCCAACTCGATTGTAAAGCCCCATGGCGACTGTATTCGATTTGAAAACGGTCAACATGATCTTCTCCAGGCCAATGTGTCGTCCGATGTCTTCGAGTTTCAGCATCAGCTGTTTCCCTAGCCCTTGTCCTTGAACCGCTGATGATAAGTGAATCTCATATAGATAGACCACCTCGTACCCATCTTCGTACGTGACCATGAATGACGTGAATCCCAAGGCCTCCCCCTCTTCCTGGGGAGACTCCACGTCATCGTTCCCGGTGACGTCGTGTCTTGAACATCGACGCAGAATTATATATTTCATGTCAGGCAGTCGCATCTCCTTTCGTTTCTTCGATGGAGACCATCCTGTGCTTAGTTTCTCGTAGTCGTCGGATACTCCCTCGACAAGTTTGAAACAGGCCTCGAAGTCTGCGTCAGGAATGGAATTTGCCGTATAGATGTCCATTTTGTAGTCTGGCGATTCCTCGGATCCAGAATCATTCGCATCTTGAGTCTTTCTTGAACTTATCTCAAGCAGAGACTGTGGCACATAAGATGAGATGAATTGGTCGAGTGGTAGCTGATTGGTGCGTTCAACCAGGGGAAGTGGTTTGGGTTCTAGAAGACGCGTTAAACGCGTTTTATAGACGTCGAAATGATAACGACAGGCTAGGACGGGGTCATAAATAAAAAAAAAAAAAAAAAAAAAAAAAAGACGGAGGAACAGGAATAAAGAAATGGCAATTTTTATATCCTTTTCACGCAAATAAAACCCAAGCCCTCAATGAGGAAGTTGGAAACTCGAGATAGCAAGACAACCCTTGATTCATCGAGCACAAACCACAGATCAAGGAAAACAATCAAGCAAAAGACGTCTAAATACTGGAATATCACTCACTTCTCTGTTCTTTTGCCATTTGTTTCGAAAAGACACGGCTGAGCTGCGACGGCGATTTCACTTTGGTCTTGGACACTCGACCACTCTTGATCGACGAGGACATCTTGATCTTGGGGGATTGATGGCGGAATCACTTTCAATACAGCTCATTAGAACTGTATATGATATCAGAAAATTAGGTGAGGGGGGTTGTGGATTAAAAATGTGGTGGTAAATGAATTGACTGATCAGACTGAGGAGTGGTTTTCTCTTGGTGGCGCGTCGGAGGCGTCTTTTTTTGGCAGGTCTTCGTTGCAATAATTATTCCGTACTTCCTACATGTATCCATAATACGAGATGTTTAAAAATTTGAGATTTATGAAGTATCTTTATAAGATGTATGGCTCGTAATTGAATTTATGTTGATTCTCGTTCATGTACACCATAGATGGTGATTTATATAGCAACTCAACAATATATACAATTGTACATCAACTGCATCAACTGCATCGATAATCACAATCCACTAAGACACCTCTTGTCTCAACTTCACAGCATGCTCCTCTGCCCGTCTTTCAGCTTCCTCAGCTCCTAGCTCACCGAAGACGTCAATTCCCCAACGGAAGGGGTAGTTGTATCGTTGGTTGCGGTCGAGTTTGTTGAGCGCCTCGAGATCAGCATCGGGTACGACAAAGTCTAGGAGGAAACAAATGATGAGTTTTGATATTTATACAGTGAAATATTGATATCAGCTAGGTGCTTACCTTGGAAGTTGCTTTCAATCCGCGATGAGGTGACACTCTTGGGCAGCACGGCTGTACCGCGCTGGACAGCCCATGAGATCAACAGCTGAGCAGGGTCTTTGCCCAGTTTCTTTGCAATTTCTTCGACGATAGGGTCGTTAACAACGCTGATAAACATATTAGCAAGTCGAGTAACAAATGATAGCCTGTGACATACCGTGGAAGTTCATAGATGTTATTTCCCAACGGGCTGTAGGCGACAGGAAGAATGTTCTATATCACGGTCAACGAAAACATCTCTCTTAAGCCGTCTGGAACTAAATGCCTCACATTTTCAATCAGAAACTTGGTGAGCCCCGGCTGTTGGAGATAGGGGTGGGCTTCAATCTGGTTCGCTGCTGGAGGGATCTCCGCGGTCTTGAGCAATTCTTGGGTCTTTTCGATAGTAAAGTTGCTAATTCCAATGCTCCTGATCTTGCCTGCCTTGACAAGCTTTTCCAATTCTGCCCATGTGTCGGAGACGGGGACATCTGCAATTCGGAATCTTTTGGTGACCGGATCTGTGGGTGTGAGAGTCTCAGTTGTATGCTCAAATGCCACTGGCCAGTGGATCTATAATGTATCAAGTCAGAAACGTGTATCGCCGTGGGAAGATATTTCAATTACCGTACCAGGTACAGATCAAGGTAGTTTGTCTGAAGATCGTTCAGAGTCTTGTTGAGCGCCTCTTCCACGTTTTCGGGATGGTGATGAGTGTTCCACAGTTTGCTAGTGATCTATTGGATAAAACCACGAAGAATAAGCGAGAATCGTAGCTGAGCCATCAAAGATATTATCTCTCGGAAAAAACTTACAAAGATCTGTTCTCTAGGAACACCGGATTTTTTCCAGCCGTTGCCCACTTCTGACTCGTTCAGATAGCATGCAGCAGCATCGATATGGCGATATCCCAAGTGTAGAGCTGTTTCGACGGCATTTTCAACCTCATGGGGTTTGGAGAGCTACTGTATATCGGTATTTGAACCATTTCTTATGAGATGAGTAACTTACCCAGGTTCCCAGACCGACGGCAGGGATCTCATGGCCCGAGTTGAGCTTGAAGGTACGTCCCAGAGACATGACGATTGCTATGCGTGGTTGAGAAGGATTTCTCAACAAGAATACGACAGAAGATTGATTGAATTAAGAGAGTAAATTAGGAGCGTCGAGCGCAGCGATGGAGGGGATAATAAATCGGCGTTCAGACCTTGCCAGATTACCCCTCACCACGCTGCTGATCCCAGCATAGATCTAATCACCTTGCGCAAACGATGAGAAATGCTGTTCTTGAACGATCTAGTGTATTTGATGGTATTCGATTGTTGTTGGTGATTGGTAGACGGCACTGGGGCCTTTTGATTGCCGTCAACTAATCGTGATGCCATATTGCGCGATCCTTGTGCACATTGCGACTCGACAATGTCACATTTAATCACATTATTTATATCGCGGGGGGAATAGATTGGATGAATGGTTTGTATTGCAAATATGTCCTCATGAAATATTTGTGATGCTGTCTACTAATGTTTCGGCCAATTTGGAGACCACACCGTGTTTCGACAAGACCAATGGCAGCTATAACCGGCACTGTTGATTTCTTGCATTTGAGCATATATAGACTCTGAGTGTCACCAAGTGCACTATCCTAAGCATCGAAGTCATGGTAAAATTGTCGTGAAACTGCGTCATTCGAGGCATTATACTCTTGAAGAGGACACTGAGTTGTTGTTGGCAGATATCAGAGCGCTTATCCTTGATATTATCAGACTCGCTTCAGAAAATAAGAAAGAAGAAAAAGAAATAAAAGAAGTCAGATGCAAAATGCAAGATGATGGATCGTGAAGAAAGCAGCAGCAGGGAACAGGCAGGGATTGATGCCATTCACTGCATGGCCACGTGACAAGAGCCCTTTTGATGGACGTCGAAATTCCTCGTCTTCTTCACCTTCAACTTCTTCAAGTCCAAGTCTTTTACAGAGTACCCCGCCACGTCAACCGTTGCTAAGACTTCCGATGGACAGATCATCCATAATCGACACGAAAAACAACGGCAATGGTTTGCAACAGCATGAAGTGGCGGTCGGTGCAACTGATATGATCTTCAGACCTCGTGGTCTTTGACTGCTTAACGTAATCGGACACCGAACCGCCGGGACACCGAACCGCCGGCGACCTCATCGAATTTGACGGAATTCAATTAATTTTTAAAATTGAAGCTTTTTATCGCCATATAAACATGTTTTTTTATTAAAATTATGTTGTTTTAGGTACAGGGCATTTTAATCTATTATGACCTTCAACATTGCAATTACTGCAGCGTGGTGGTCGCCGTGGCTTTAGAGATGGATTCTGTATCTCTCTCTCTCTTTCTTAACCTCTTTCTTAACCTTCTTGGCCTGTTAAACTGCCTCCTTCCTAAATATAGTATTATGAAGCCTTCTTCTTATTCCTTTAATAGTTATCTGCCGTGCGAAGCTGATGTACTTCTTATTAGAGTAGAACAGCGCTTTACATTATAATTTCCGCACCTTTTATAACCTTTTCTAGCATTTAATCTGTAACTAATGATGATATCTCTAGTCCAAGAGCTTAAAGTTGCTTCTTCTATTGATTTAATTAGTATAGGTTCGCTGGCATTTTCCCAAGGCAAAAGGATGACATAGAGGATGAAGTAGATAGCGGTGTTAGTGTTTTCTAGATTTAAAGCTTTAAAAGCACTCTCTCTAGATCATAAGGAATAAGACCAGTAGCTCTAAAGCTGCTAATAATATTTACTTTAGAGAAAGCCTAGCAGTGAGCATGCTAGTAATGAAATAGAAAGTTGGCTTTATTAATAAATTCATGACCATTCTGAATAGCGTCACTGATCCGCCAGCCATAGAGCTGCTTTAATAGCCCGAAACAGCTCACATCTAGTGGTTGAAGCTTGTGTAAGGAATAAGGAGGCATATATAAAGGAATAATCCTTCTTTCCTTGCAGAATTAGTCAAATTAAATAGTTAAATAACTTCCATGGCCATTAAGAATTAAAAGACGGTATTAGCCAGCAGTTTTAGAAGCGGTATGCTTTTTAAAGACTTCTTAAAGCCATTCAAAGCTAAGTTCATCTGTAGTCCAGCCATTCTTGCTTATACTAATATGATATTCCTTAGGAATAGCTTCATACCACTGTGATTAGTGTATTCTCCTAGTTAAGATAATCTGCGGTAGTAGAACACTACCAGCAGCATTAATAGTGACTATTAAGGTTACCCATTCTTAATTCCCTGGCTGAATTAATCTTGCATAGGATTCTCTGGTTTCTGATCCACAAATAACCTTTACAGTTAAAGCTATTCCCATTTAAAAGCCAGTTTTATCTATATTATATATATCCTGTTCAAGAATCCCATACTTTTGTATAGTATTTTAAACTAGTTTAAACCACCACCTTATAATCTTGGGATCCTCACATTTAGCACATTGATAGTCATATTACTTTATGTATTTAGACTTCAATTCTTCTTCATGGCGATGGGTAAATTGGCTAACCCATTTATCACTGATAAATGCATCTTTAGCTTTAGATGGCTTCAATTTTACAGTGAAAAGAAGCTCAGCGAGATAGCATACTTTTGAGATTATAAGGGGATAGCCGCGGGAATCTATATTAAGAATCTTTTGCTTTAAAGTCAGCTCCTCACTATTAGAAAGCTTTCTTAAATTAGCTTCAATTTCATTACAAGATTTAATGCCTTTCAGGCGGCCTTTTAAGGTGCTTATCTTGATATTAAAAGTAGCAGCACAGGCTTGTTTTAAGTGGAATTTGCCCTTCTCAAAAGCTTCAACAGCAAGCTTTAACCTCTCATCTCTAGATAGCATACTTATATCCATTTTTATGGCGTTGAAAAGCTTCAGTTTTGATGAATTGGTTGAATTCGTACGACAGGTCGGTGGTGGCGGTCAGGCCGCCGGCGGTTCGGTGTCCCGGCGGTTCGGTGTCCGATTACGTTAATCCACCCATCATTATTAATCCTTTTTTTTATTAATATTCTTCAAAAGTGCCCGAGGAATGGGGATTTATCCCTCCATTGGAAAACCTGATTCGTTGATGGAGTAAAAACTCGCCGGAGATGCCTCGGCGTTCCCAACTAACGAAGGGTAGGTATCGTCATAGCTGTGGAGCTCACCACCAACTTACGTCAAGGAGTGGTAGTGTTAAATGTTGCTCTGCCCCTCGGTCGAAGAAGACCATATTTTTTGATTGCTCATCTCGAACTCGTATCGTTTGGATTTCAAGCACTAATCAAACATCATGGCTCCGTCAACAATGAAGCAGTGGACTGTGCTCGACAAGGAGAATGGCTTCGATAGCCTTTCTTTTGGCGATGCACCTGTTCCCAAAGTCGGTGAGAATGAAGTCTTGGTCAAGTTCCATGCTGCCTCGCTGAACTACCGTGACCTTATTATTCCCAAGGTATGTTCATTGAGCTCATTGAATAGGAGCATATGAATGTGGATACTCTGATGCTTGCCATTACCACGGAAAACTGACATCTCTTTTGTCGATAGGGAATGTACCCCTTTCCGATCAAGTTCCCTGTTGTGCCTGGTTCCGATGGTGCCGGTGAAGTTGTCGAGGTCGGATCAAAGGTCTCTCAGTTTAACACAGGAGACAAGGTCGCTACATTGTTTAACCAGGGACACCAGTACGGCCCTATTGATGGTAAAGCCGCTGGAACTGGTCTTGGTGGTGTTATCGATGGCTCTCTGCGCCAATACGGTGTCTTTAACGAAAATGGGCTGGTCAAGGCCCCCAAGAACCTCGATTACCTCGAATCCAGCACCTTGACTTGTGCTGCCCTTACTAGCTGGAACGCTTTGTATGGCTTGAAGCCGCTGAAACCCGGAGAAGTCGTGCTGGTACAGGGAACCGGTGGTGTCAGCATTTTCGCGTTGCAGGTATGCTTTCCAATATAAAGAACCAGAACGAAAAGAAAAGAGATAGCCGTACTAACATGATTCCTATCTCAGTTTGCTAAAGCTGCTGGCGCGACCGTGATTGCCACTACCTCTTCTGAAGCCAAAGCAGACAAGCTGAAGAAGCTCGGTGCCGACCATGTCATCAACTACAAAAATGACCCTAACTGGGGCGAGACCGCTCGCAAGCTGACCCCCGACAACGTCGGTGTTGACCACATTATCGAAGTTGGTGGTACTGGCACTCTTGCTCAGAGCTTCAAGTGCATCAAGTTCGAAGGTGTGATCAGTGTCATCGGTTTCCTCGGTGGCGTTGACCCAAGAGGCCAGCCCAGCGTTCTTGACACTCTGAGCAACATCTGCACTGTTCGCGGTGTCTACGTGGGAAGCAGGGCTTTGATGAACGACATGAACAAGGCAATCGAGGTGAACAATATCCGCCCGGTGGTTGATGACAAGGTCTTCTCTCTGGCAGAGACCAAGGAGGCCTACGAATACATGGTGAGTACTCCATTTTGCTATCACATAATGATTAATAGAATCTTGATGCTAACCATCTGGGATGTAGTGGGCTCAAAAGCACTTCGGAAAATTGACTATCAAGATTGATTAAATAACATGACGACTGGAGAAACAGCTATTTTTCATGACCAAATGTTTAGCTAGCGATAGTATATAAATTCAAAAGGAATATATAATACGGACCATCTCTTTCCTACTGAGCTTCCCCGCACCTGTTATGGCAACGCAACTATAATGCAGTAAACCAAAGTGCTTCTTATTTGATATTATTTAACCAAATTCTACCATATTGAATTAAACACCAAATTAAACAATATTCATGATAATATCCAATACTGCATCTGCGTATCTACCTGCTCTATCGAGAATAGACAATCACCCCGCACGAGCACTGACCGCATCGCCGCAACCACAACTCATCATACATCATAAGGAGTCGAATCAGCCATCGTCAACGTGTCTGTTGAGCTTATTTCAACGATAACCTGTTGGCTTTGTCCCGAAATAATAACTTTATCTCCCTGATATAAACGGCAACCAACACCTGGGATTGATCCATCATTCATCCCCATCATCAGATGACCAGCGCAATAGGGCGACTATCTCCACGGACCAAATGAATCAGTTTACCAGAGTTACATCTTATCCGCCTCTGGGGCAGGTGACATGTCTTCGCAATCAACAGTCTAGAGATACAGACAAGGATACGGTGAGCTTGTTTGTTTCTTTTCATGTAACCACTTTTGTTTGGACGAACATGAGATTGTTTTGCCCAATCATGTTCATCATGATGGCTAATCCTATCGGTAGCTTCGCTTCACGGTTGTTATAGAATCAAGCAGTGCTTTCCCCGAACAGTCATGGGAAGCTCAAATCTGGCACAATGTTGATAGTTTGGATTGGACTGCTCTTCCACTTCAGAAATGCCAACCTTTGACTGCCCCTCTGATGACTGGTAGTGGCTCAGAGAAGTATCATCGTTATGTGTCTTCGGGAGAGATCAGTCTACTGGATAAAGGAGGCCTTGCACAATTCACCGTCCGATTCCGGACCAAGCCTGATGCAGATTGGCAGTGGGCGAACCAGCTACATTCTATAAGCGATGGTGAATTGCTCATTGTAGATAATTCCATCCATGACTCGCATGATCAACCGGAGTTGCTCTCACAAGCCTACACGGACGGAATCAGTAAATACATCGAGCTTATCACGTCTGAAGTAGATGTAGAGTCACGGGCAAGTCAAGTTCCCGGCTCAGCTCTATGGCATATCTCTGGAGCTATAGATGCAGCTGAAGAAAAACACTCTGCAGTCAGGACTCTTACACTTGGAGTACCGTCTTCAATGGTCAGATATTTCTCTTTGGCACGGGTGTGGACACCATGGCTCGTTCCCAGACATGGCAGCAAGACATTCAGATTGACAGAGGATGCAATTCTCTGCTCTTTTCTCCGGGAGGATGGCACGAACTTTGTCCTTCTGGCAGTCTCCGGGACCAACAATATCTTGACGCTGCTCAAATCCGGCGAAAACGGCGAACTGGTGATCAAAGCCCAGAGTGACAACGAAGAAATATCTCGATTTGAAGTCCTGGCCTCCGCTTCAGATGATTTTGAAAAAGCGCTGGGTGCTCTTATTTACGAAGCACGGAAGTTGGTCTCATCTTATGCTGAAGGATCAGTTATCAAAGACCCTACACCACCAAAATCCCCTCCAGGCCACGACTATGTGATGGTTGAAAAGGGCCCGGAGGTGCAGTGGCTCACAGACTGGTACGATGGCTTGACCTATTGCACCTGGAACGGCCTGGGGCAGGACCTCACCGAGGAAAATATCCTCCATGCATTAGATGCATTGAAAGCGAATGGGATCAACATTTCCAATCTTATTATTGATGATAATTGGCAATCATTAGACAATGAGGGTGATCATCAGTTCACGCGACGCTGGAAACATTTCGAAGCAAACCCCAAAGCCTTCCCACGAGGTCTCAAGCATGCCGTGGATGCAATCCGCCAAAGTCATCCCAATATCGAACATATCGCGGTCTGGCATGCCCTATTTGGCTATTGGGGTGGGATTTCGCCAGAATCCGATTTGACTAGAAGATATAAAATAAAAGAGGTCAAAATCACAAACCCCGCTGCAGGCGGGCAAATAGGACGTGCATTCGATCGAGGATCACTGCTGGCAATTGACCCAGACGATGTCAATCGATTCTATGAGAACTTCTATAGATTCCTCACATCAGTGGGAATCGATTCAGTCAAAACTGATGCCCAGTTCTTCTTGGATTTGCTGGAGAATCCCGAGGATCGGCGGCGGTTTATAACTGCCTATCAGGATGCTTGGTCCATTGCTTCACTGAGATATTTCAGCACGAGATCGATCTCGTGCATGTCACAATTTCCTCAAGGCATCTTCCACTCACAACTACCAACCAACAAACCAACTATTCCGATGCGTAACTCAGACGATTTTTGCCCTGATGTTGCGGATTCCCATCCATGGCATGTGTTCTGTAATGCTCACAACTCGCTCTTGACTCGCTTTCTAAATGTCATCCCAGACTGGGACATGTTTCAAACCAATCATCCATATGCTTCGTTTCACGCAGCTGCAAGGTGTATCTCTGGAGGCCCTATCTATATCACCGATAAGCCAGGAAAGCATGACATGGCCGTTCTCGATCAAATGACCGCTCCAACAACGCATGGCGCGACGGTTATTCTTCGCCCCAGTGTAGTGGGTCGAACAATTGATGTGTATCACGATTACAACCAACGCCATATCCTGCGCGTGGGCACGTATAACGGAAGGGCCACTACAGGAACCGGCATCTTGGGCCTATTCAATATCCGTGCCAGTGAGGCCTCTTGTATTGTTCCCCTGAAAGATATACCTGGTATCGACCAGGGCCCCGACGTACGGCATGTTGTCCGCGCACATTCCAGCGGTAGAATAACAGACCCTCTGAAGCCATCGGGTCAAAACTCGCTGATGACAGTCGTCTTGGAAGAGAAGGGATGGGAGATTCTCACGGCGTATCCGACCCAACCATTTACTTTGCCAAAGAGTCGGGGTAGAAACTCCAGTGAGGGTAGCCCTACGCATGTTGCGATCCTTGGTCTGCTAGGAAAGATGACTGGGGCTGTAGCTCTCGTAGATTCAAACATCGTTGTGACAGAAAAAGGTCGTCTTCGTTTCGATATCAGCCTGAAGGCTCTGGGAACGCTTGGGATCTACTTCTCTGATCTGCAGGACTGGAGTATTGAACAGAATTTCATGATTATGATTTCCAAGCGGGGAGTGCCGCGGAAGACCGTGTGGAAAGAGGGCGGGGATGATTCTAGGGTCCTGGCGATAGATGTCCTGGCTGCATGGAAGGCAATGGGATTGGATAGTGGATGGAGCAATGAGGTATCTCTGCAAGTTTATGTTGGTTAACCGCTTGGCGAAGTTTTCGCGTGATATTCGTTCGATAGAATAGTACTATGTTTTCGAGCATTGATGTGTTCAAGATAGATGATTTAGGAATATACCATCACTCATATTCTACTATTCATGTTACTCAGTTAGTGATCAGTCTTACCTACTGCAGCACGGGCCTCCATCCTCGTCGAGGTAAGAATCCCGATACATCTTCGTCTTCCAGGACTTCTCTTCCTAACCGGCCTGTCACCACACTCCTCTCCACATCTGGTCCCCGGACATAAAACGGTTCAAACCCAGTTACTATATGCCCTGTCTCTGGGTCCCGTTTTGGTACCCATCTCTTCCTCCCCGGTGTGGTGCTCGTCTCCTCGATGAACCCAGAGTTCAAACGATCCATAGTAATAAACCACCGTCGCTGATGGATAGACCCGATTGAGTTGGTAGAGCCAGGATAGGCATTATTAGCACGAATCTGATAATCCATCTCGTCACTAGAGTCTGCGTTTTCATCGACTTTGGATATGCCTGGACTTAGGTCTGAAGGCTGATTATCAGAAGTAGGATCTTGATAGTTTCCATCAGATGGAACTGGAGATGATGAATCCGAGGATGAGGAGGTGGTCTGTCTGTTTTTGATCGCGAGGGTCGAGGATTGAGTACGCTTTCGTCGCTTTTGGGGGACATGAGGCGTGTTTGTGAAACTCGATGCTTTGTCCAGACGGAGAATGATGGTGTAGTTAGGGGGTAGGCGGCATCCATGTAATCTAAGTCGGATTTTACGCTATCGTACAATTAACATAACCAATGTCATCGATACAGCAACAGCAATGTATGTACAACATACATTTTGAAATGCTTCCCAAAGTTTTTCACTCTGGGTCTTCTCGTCTAAGGGGGTATCCGAGACCTCTGATCGAGAATCGTCGGTATCTGGTTGCTTGTGTTCTATCTGGTAAGGGAGGATCTCGTATTCCCCTGTGTCCCAGATAATCATACTGCCTGTTTTTAGGGATGCTGTTTCGATGAGATGATTCTGCATATTACCCACCACTTCATCAGAATCGGTGTTTATCAAGAAAATACCCGTAGACATACCCACAAACAATGCACTCTTGTCTCTGTCGCGTTCCGGTTCAACCGGCGACTGTTAGGATCCCCCGGTAACCCATACATCACTGACCAGCTCACAGAACTAGTTTCAGAGAACTGGAGCCGGAGGTCATAGTGAGGCCCAGCAACAGGATGATCGTGCTGGTGGATCAGGAAGTGCTTTCCGTAGGGATGTAGATTGCGGCGATATAAGTCTACCCAGTCGGCGATCTGAAGACGTGGCGACTGCAGAAATCCTGCTGGACGGACATATTGGCTTAGCTGTGAGGAGAAGATACCCAGGTGGTCGGTGACTTCGACTTGGCCTGCTTCAATGGAAGCAAGATTTGGTGGTGATTGCGTACGGGTTTCTGCTCCCTCCGGTGGATGTGGCGATAATGGCGCTTTGTGATTTTTGTTGGCTGTAGAGCGTCTCCTAGGAGGTGATACGGGCTCATTCAGACTGGAGATAATGGGGTGGTTTCCCTTATTCTCTTGGTTCTGATAACCTTCGCTTTTGGGCGAGCCCTGGCCGCTGGAACCAAGGCCGCGTTTCATGATGTCAACGTAGCTGTCTAGACATCGAGAAAGTCTTCCTTTGCCGATTTATAATAGTGATTCTGGATGTAAGCCGATTCACGTAGGCAGATAAAATGTTGACGTCTGGGGAGGTTGAAGAACGGCCGAAGGTCAACATCAGAAGGTGGACGTCGCAAGGCTTAGTCATGTGGCATCATACAACTACCTAATTTCTTGATGAATAATTTTATAACACATTCTATCTTATTATAAAATAGTAATTCATTCCATTATAGCTATGGATAACCAATTTAAAGGTTTCTATGCCAAAATATATCCACGAAAGTCATTTTTGGAGTCCGCAACCAAACGAACCTTTTGATAACGGCCTGTAAATGTTGAGAAGTTCTGTTTAATCTTTTGCAACATTGACACTTTGGGGGTTGTGAAACACATCTTTAGGATCAATAGAAGCTTTGATTCCCTGGAGTCGTGGGAGGTTGGGTCCCCAGTATGCGCTCTGGGCGTTCCGCATCAACGGGTCTACGTATCCCGGATATGCGCTCAAATCGGCCTGAGGCATGGATTTGGCGATGAGCCGGTTTATTCCATTCAGGAACTCAATTGTCGTGTCAGAAACTGGGCCCAGAGGGCTGATGGCGTACGATTGCAGCCAGTAAAGCGCATTTCGATGGGAGTACGCTGTAGCATTCACAGCGTAGTCGTTGGTTGCGCCCCCTTCCAGGTCAAAAGAAATAAACCAAGTTGGCGTTCCTTTATCAACGGTATCGAGGTAGTTGAAAAGATCATCTATGGCCGAAGATGGGATGAGAGAGTCGGGGGTGAAGGACATGGATTTAGCATAAAAGGAGCAAGGGACGTCACCAGCTATGCCCACAACAAGATCTTCGATGGCATGGCCCGTCATCCCAAGCCAGTCGGTTAACACAATCACCTCTCCAGGACCAGTGAGTGGGAAACGATTCTCTAGATCCAGCGCATCATACTCGTCTTTGGATCCATAGAATGTCCCTGAGAGCAAGATACCATGGTCAAGGATGGTGAGTACAGTACCGAACTTCCGAGTGAGATTTGGGTTGGATATAAAAGCCTGCCAGTCCTTAAAAAGCCTGGCCCTTTCATGTGCGCTTCCTAGGTTCAAAGTGTAGGAATATTGCACCGCCTCGCTCGGTGCCGGCTCAGTTCGTACTTTGAATTCAGTGACGATCCCGAAACTGGCGGCGGCGCCTTTAACTGCAAAGAAAACGTCTGGATTTTCCGTATTTGAAGCCCTAACAATACTGGAATTTGCTAGAACGACCTCCACTTCCTCGACATGATCCAGTGCGCTTCCCCATTGTCGAGACGTCGGACCAAGGCCCCCGATCGTGAAATGACCTCCGACACCCACGTGAGGGCAGACTCCATGGGCCATAGCTCTCCCCCCTGCCTTGTATAGACGACTGGTGACATCTCCCAGTAAGGTTCCTGCTCCGATGGTGGCATGGTAGGTGGTTTCATCCATTGAGAACTGCTGAAAATGTTTCAAATCAACTACGACGGCACCGTCCGTTCCTCCTAGCCCTGTTACATCGTACTGCGTCAGAAAGCTTCATTATTATACGAAGAAGGGCCATCCTGGGATATAGTCACGAACCATAATTACCATAACTATGCCCACCACTTTTTGGCTGAACTTTATAGCCATTGTCGGCGGCACATTTGACGATCTCCGCCACCTGCTGGGATGTCTTGGGGAAGGTGACTGCAATGGGGGTGACAGGCCAGTTGAGGTTATATGGTTGCACTGCGAGTGGTTGATATAGGAGACCCCCTTGGAGAAGACCCCCATGGAAAGTAACGAGAGCTGGGTTACCCCCAACGGCAGACAGTAAACAGTCACGTCCAGTAGAACTAGCCGTGATGCCCATTCCGGAATATCGCCAGAAAGTACGAGGATGCTTTCTCTGACTGACTTGACTCTGATCCTTTGGGAATTAGTACCATAAATTTAAGTCAGTTATCTAGAGGACCAATTGATTATTGACACCGCATGGCAAGTCAAATAGTATGCAAGGGTTACTTTTAGAAGCACGCATTTGTTTGCATTGTCCACCCCTTGAATCGGCTTCCAGGCCGCGAGTCAACCAGACTACCAGACCATTCGTTGAAAATTTTTAACTTCTGATCAACTGGTAGGACCTTCATGTAGAGATCTTAAATTCTGGGGGATTTATGCCCGAGGGATTGGGTTCGTGTGGTCTGCATTGTGTTGCCCTCGCACTTGGCCTGGTAATAATAACGAAGAGCTAAAAGCAGTATATAGAGTGTTAGCAGTTACTAGTAGGTAATTGAGTAAAGAAAAGTCACGGCGATATATGCGGTAGAAAGCCCATGAAGTCGAGATGGGTGAAGAAGAAGCCGAATAACAGGGAACCTGGATGAAAAGGTCTATGGCTCTGGCCCTCTGCTAAACTGTTAGCAAAGCATTTCGATGATATAGCCTCCACAAAGAAAAGGGTGTGTTAGCCAAGAGCACGAATATATCTTTCTGGCTCATCAGAGAGTGAATAGCATGAATATGAGTCGTTGGTCTGGGTGGAAGATGATCTGTATGTAATCAAAATACACGCCATCCATGATCGACAGGGAAAATATTGGTAATATTGGTAATTCGCCGGTAATGCGGCGATCGTTGTGTTCCTGCAGCAGTATCCCGGCTTCTTTCAACTTTCATCCTTGACATCCATTTGAAGGAGATACCACGGAATACTTGGCAGACGTCGTTGGTCTCTCTATAGATCTTTATGCTCTATATATCTGACTGTTCTAATTCAACAGCAGCATCTATAACAGGCACCACTTCACATCTCATCACGCAACGTTCTTAAGTATCGGGGATCATCAACTCAAATCAGTGACGCCATCTGGTCCCCGACTCCTCGATTCGGGGAACAGAACCAGCCCGAGATAAATACAATAGCCAAACATTAAGGGATCTTTTTTCTCTTTCAATTCTCTAATTCATTTTCATTTATTCATTCTACAGGAGGCTACTTATTATAATCGACGCCCACTGAGCTCCAAGCTTTGGGAATTGGTGACACACCCACAAGATGTTTACACCTCTTCACACCTCCCTAGGTGCTCTTCTTTTGTTCCAAGGCTCATCCAGCCTCCTCATTCATAACGGTGCTGTCTTCGGGATCTCTTCGCTTTTGTCGGGATGCGTCTTCAACCCGAATCGTGATAACGTTCCCATTATCGCAGGGCTCGTGTCCAGCGTGGTTCCGGTGTACTTGTTCACCCCATCGTTGATACCAGCATATCCACCTGCTCCGACCTCTTTGGCTTCTGTTGCGTCCACAATTGGAGTGGGTTTCTTGCTGGGTTGGGGAACAAAGGTAGCATGAAATGCGTGATCCTTACAAATTTGCTAGAGGCTGACATGATATAATTTCCTCAAGAATGGGCGAGGTTGTACTTCTGGCCACATGCTTTGTGGTCTCTCCCGCCTCTCACCACGTTCTTTGATTGCAACAGCCGTTTTCTTCACGACTGCTTTGCTGACGGCAAACTTTGTTGCTGGAGGACAGAATATCCCGCCATGTGCAGCTGATATTCCTTGCTACACTCCGACATACCCATCAACACCGGAGCTCATTTTCATGGCCGGTACGACGGCTATAACATTTCTCACCAATCACTTCATCGTCCCTCGAGTACTCACCCGATCGGAAGAATCGAGGACAATCTTTTCTTATCTGGCCGGAATCGAATTTGGGCTGGGTCTCCTCATCTCCGGAATGGCCGACTCAGCAAAGGTAATGCGATTCTTCGCCTTTCTAACGGATCCCTCGCGCTTTGATCCTTCACTGGCCCTCATTATTCTTTTCGGAATTGGCCCATCGCTTCTCACATATCTGTCTGCAAAGCCGGGACAAAATGCAAAAGATGAGGCAGGCAAACCCACAAAACCGACATTGGCAGAGCATTGGAGGCTACCCACAGCGACTGTTGCAGATATCGACTGGCGCTTTTTAGGCGGTGCAGTAGCATTTGGACTCGCGTGGGGATTACGAGGGGTGTGTCCGGGACCAGCCATCTTGCGTGCAGTATTGCAACCGACATGGGGTCTGGCGGAGATGAGTGGATATATGCTGGGGAACATGATGTAAAATGCTTGGGTCTTTTCTGAGTTCCATTGGATCAGGGCCATGGTATAACTGACGCCCAGGGATTTAAGGACATTTAAGGTACACATAATGCCTAACCGCTGTTCAAAAGCTGTGCAAATAGAAACATCAGCGCGGCTCATGTAATAATAGGATGCAGCAAAATATGCATAATAAATGGTACAGATGTTTTTGTTATGAAAGACAGGTAAAGCTTACAACTCAGTCTTCTTATTTGACCATTGCGCCGAACGCTTTTCCTGGCCCGACGTTGAGCGGGATGAGGATGAAGCTTCGTGGTTGGAATGCATATATCCTTCAAGCTCCATCCATTCGGCCGCAAACGCAGTCACGAGCATACTCCAATCTTCCACAGTGTCCATATCTAGATGCTCGCCATCGTCATCCATAGTGTGCCAGACCTTAGGAAACCCTTTGTGGGGAGACGCATCGATGACATGCAAAATCTCCACTCCACGCTCCAGGAAGGGTACATGATCATCCTCTATGCTACCAAAAGGAAGGAGCTCATGCTCATCTTTCGATCCATCAATGAACCACTTGTTGTAAGGTCCACCGGGGGACGACTTAAACTGGCCTAGGTCACGAAAGCGCGTCTCCAGATCTGCAAGCTTTCGATAGGCCCAGTGAGTTGTCTTATAGAAAGACTGAATACCCGGGTTCTTGTCACCCAAAAGATCCAAAAGAACGAACAACGAGATGGACGTAAGCGGAGTCTTGTACGTGGACATGGCAGGGTGCACCTCCATATCCCACTGCTCTGCCAAGGAGCGCGCTCCGTATAACGAATCTGTAGCAGTCCAGGTTTTGAATGCTTCTTCGCCATCCAAAAACATGACTTGGATTCCATGGTGCTCTTCCAGCGACGTATTTATGCCACCTTTTTCCTCCATATCCTTCCACTTCTTGGTCAACCCTGCATCGATACTCCGCATAGCATGCATTATCATTGCACATGGTGCCGCGCTGTCGATTGCCCCAATAAATCCTTCCGGCTCATATTTACTGTCATAATGAGCAACGAGTGTGAGTCTTCCAACGTCACCTACTGCTGCCCACGGGGGATCTCGGGAGGCAATGAAATTCACAAAGGGAACTTCCTTGTCCCCAGACACAGGTGTTTTTGAAGTAGAATTTTGGAATTGAATCTTCCACTCTGGAAGTGCTGTTCGAAAGAAGTTTGTAAAATGATTGAGAACTGCGGTAGAGCCCGGGGTGCCGGAGACACGGGTCCTCAAGATAGGAGATAGCAGCGCGCCGGAATGAATATCGAAGTCATCGTTCGGTCGTGAAAGTCCCTTCAAAGTGTCATCTGTAATAGCTTCGTATGATTGTCCGAACCGCAGAAAGAGAAGTAAACTGATGCATATCGACAGGAGAGGGCGGAGAAGGCCACCGTAAGCCGAGGACATGGCGACTTATTGTCCTATAAACAAGCCGTTCATGGCCCACAGGTTGCGTCCTGGGAAGAATATTCAGTTATCCTGACGCCCCAGATAACAAGGCCAGCAGAGAATAACTAAATCGATGATTCTGAGTCAACGGTCGACGTAGAAGAAAGAAGCCACAGCCAAGGAGACAAAGAGACTCGGAGCGCCAAGACCGTCGGTCACGTTTCGGAGATCAACGCCATTCCGTCATCTCATTTTTGAGTCTCCATGAATCTTTGCCAGACCCATTGATTGGTGGTTTGGAGTCATTGATCATAGAATCCAGTGTTTTGTTTTGATACCACCTGTTTGTATATCCGCAAATCATGAGGTTGCAGGTCCTGTTGCACCCGCAATTGCGCACGTCGCTGCCCCGAGCCGTGCGGAGAGATCTGAACAGCAGATTGTTTACTCGCTTCAAGACAACCCAGAAACCCCTTCGATCCTCCAAGGATGAGGTCCCCTCGCTGAAGCCCAAGGATCCGAATGTGATTGCCTCGCGGAATCCAACGACACCCTCGGCACACGCAAAGACAACCATTAGACGAGGTACGATGGATCGATCATAAGCCGGTGATGCGCTGGCCGATTGGGAACTGAATTTGAACTATACAGGGCCACCGGAACGCATATTGATCTATCATGGAGGAACGGGGAATACGATGTTTCTGGGAATGTTGAGACTCACCACCATATTTCTCTTTGGTGTGTCCGTTCTCATCGTCGCGCCAGCATTCGCTAGCGATGAACACCCGTGGTATATAGCTCCTGCTGGTAAGCTTACTATTTCTTGCCTTGCTATGGAGCATCGATGCTAATGTTATCCTCGCAGTGGTTGTTGGCGGTGCTTTGCCTATGCTTTTCGTTTCCTACACATCCGCCCCCTTTGTCAACTTCGTTCACCTTGCACTCCCGATCTTTGCTCGGCGCTCGCGCGAGCAAGCTATTCAGTATGCGAAAGACTTGCCTCCGACAGCCACTCTATACATCAACACGATGAAGTTTACCACTATCCCTCGACAGACGGAAGTGCGATTAGGAGATCTTGCCCGCGGGAAGTCTCTGGTACGGCCCGTGAGCTTTCGCAATAACAATCCCGTTCCTCTTCCCTGGTGGCAAGGGAAAACGCTCCGGGAATTCTACACGTCAGATAAAAGTAAACCTGGGAGGACGTCTACGACATTCTATCCCGAGTTGTGGGAACATGTATACAAGCAAATACGCAATCCCGGGTCATCAAAGAAAAATTAAATCTGAATGAGAATCTAGTCAACCATCTTTCACTTCCCATGTCATGTAGGAGAGCGTTCAATAACCGAATTCCAAAGCAACACATCTGTATTGTTGGTACAAAGTCTTTGTTTCATCTCTGAGGCCGGGTCTTTCCTTCACTGCTCATTATTCACTGAGCTATCCTGAGGGGAAATACAGCCAGGCAGTCAGATCGAGAGGACAGCTTCTACTCACTTTCCTTTTGCTTCTCTCAGTGTTTCTCATCTGCCTGGGATTCTTGTTCTTTCACAGTTCCTCTCACTAGATTCTCTGCCTACGATCCTCGGCCTATATCTTCCATCTTCTCTCCCTCTCACTCTTCTTCCCCCAACTCTCTTACCAACCTCAACCATCCTTCGTTCCAAACATCTCCCTATCCTAATCAACCTTTCCTGCTTCCAATCTTCTTCCCTACTCCGTATACCATTTCTCAAAACATTGTCCCCTGTCTCAAACACATCAACCATGGCACCCAAAGCTAAATCCGAGACTCTCCTTGGCCTGTCGATGGCCGATGCAAGAATAATCATCCTGGGAACCCTCCTCGACCCAGGAAAGGTCAGTCCACCTACTGCTTGTCTCGAAAGACAGAAAGCAACCCAATCATTGGACCCGCCAAGCTGACAAGAACACAGATTGACTACGAAAAGCTTGCCCAGAAAGGGGGCTACAAGAACGCTGCTTCTGCCAGTACCACGTACCGCAATGCGAGACGCAAGCTGGTCGAACTCCACGGTGCAGACATGACTAACAATGACGCCTCTGCTGCGCCTACCGCTGATGGCCAGAGCACGAACGAAACCCCCAAGAAGGCTCCTGCCAAGCGTAAGAGTAAGGCGGCTGCAGCTGAAGCCGATCCGGGTGCTGCTTCGCCTGACGGTGCTGCCGAGGGAGCAGAGACTGCTGTCCCCAAGCCGAAGCGCCAGAGAAAGGCCCCCACGAAGAAGGCAGCTGCTGTCAAGGCTGAGAAGGAAGAGTATGAAACGAACCCTATCACCATTTGTTGGGAACTAGGCTAATGGTATCACCAACTACATACAGGAACGGCGATGACACCCCCGTCAAAGCCGAAGCCAACCCTCAGACCGAGAACCACATTGTCAAGAAAGAAGAAGATATGGACGATGATCTCGACGACACCAATATTGAAGCAGAGATCGATGCCATGGATGACACTCCGGCGTATGTCAAGCACGAGGACCCTTTCGTCGCTTGATTGCATTACTACAGCCTTGACTTGGACAGTTAGGCGATATTTCACGGCCTCTTTTTACTTCTTTCGTTACTGGTTTTTTCTTCTTTTCTTCGTTTATCTATGGCTGGCATAACTTCATATCTTGAGAAACGGACGGGATGGATTATAGCATATTCGACAGGTTACCTCCATCTTGATTTAGGGGGCAAATACACGTTGGTCGTGAAAGGGAAACCTTAGGTTCCTTTAGTTAACTTTGCAATTGACATTACTCATTTTCAAACTATGGCATTCCAAGGCATTTGATTCTCATTAATTCTAAATTAAAAAAAAATCACGCATGTAACTCTGTTGCCTGCTTGTGGCTGTGAATGGCCATGAAAAGTGAGGCGAGAGTGAGGTATCATACTATGTGGAATAGAGAACAGAATACTACATAGGAATGGCCACGGTTCAACTTCATTTTTCTATTATTCATGGCTATATAACCGAGATTGCTTAAAGATGAGCATATTAAATCCTAGCACAAACATTTCAAATTCTCTTTCACAAAAAACATCCTTAAGTCTTCCTGACAACTCCAGTCCTTTTACTCCATCAAGTATTTGATAAAAATGGTACGAAAGACAGCACAAATGAAAAGGCAACTGCAGATTACAATCGTACCGCGCGAGAACCACAACATCTATCACGTCTTACAAAGCTTCAATGGCTTTGCGGAGCACCTCCAAGCCTCTATCAGATATTTCGCCAGCATTGGCGTCGGTGCTGCCGGTCGACTCGCGAAGAGCCCAGGCAACATCACTCCACCAGCCAAGGCCAATAAACCCGCCACCCTTTTTGCGTTCAAGACTCTCCTTAAGTCGACTCGTGTGTTCCCACTGTTTGGCAGCAGATTCGGCTGTGTCGATTACTTTTTGGGGTATGCCACACATGGAAGCGCAGTGCATTCCAAAACTGCCTTCAGCGACGCCATCCTCCAGTTTGTAAAGGAAGGTAATGCGTCTTTCCTCGTCGTCAACGTGGATCTTCATGCGCTTTGGTACGATTTCAGGGTGACCTTCGAATTCAGTCGCAAGGGAGTGATAGTGGGTTGCAAAGAATCCCAACGCTCCAATGTGGGTCGCAACGTGGTGCAGTACAGCCTGGGCAACAGCCAAACCGTCATAAGAGCTGGTTCCACGACCAAGCTCATCAAGAATAACCAATGATCGAGAAGTGGCTTCAGAGAGAATCTTCTTAGTCTCAGACAGCTCAACAAAGAAAGTTGACTGTGCCGCGAAGATGTTATCATTGGCACCCAAACGAGACATGATACGGTCAACTGGAGTCAATCGAGCAGACTGGCATGGAAGATAGCAGCCGATCTGTGCCATAATGACAGCCACACAGGTCTAAAAAATATAATTTGGTTAGAAAAAATTAGATTACCAACAGAAAGAGGGAACTTACCATTCGAAGGACCGTAGATTTTCCAGCGGCATTGGCTCCAGTCAGCAAGTCAATGTTTGCTCTGTTGCCTCCCAAGCAAACATCGTTCGGGATGAAATCTTCAACAGCAGAGAGCAAGCATGGATGGCGGAGTTCTTCGAATTCAAGAACACTCCGTTCATCATCAACAAAAACAGGTCGACAGCTCGGTTGACCTAAGGACGACGAAGCTTTCGCTATGCTGATCAAGCAGTCAAGCTGGGAAATAATTCGGACAGCCGTGAGCCAGGTCGCATAATGTTCATCAAATCGTGCATAGAATCGACCAGCGACTTCCTTGACAATTTGACTGTGTGTCTCCTGTGACTCCTGCAACTGGCGAATGAGAGACCTTAACTCGGGGAAATAATACCGCTTGACTTGCTTCGTCGCAGACATTTGATTCCAGTCCTTCGGGATGTTCTTCACCTTGATCGGCACCTCCAACTGGTAGATTTCTTTTCCGTTGTCCCTGTAACAAATAGCAGAAGATCCAAGTTCGCGACGGCTTCGCTTCAAAAGATCATCGAGGTCCCGATGCAACTGCTCGATATGTTCTTGGGAATTGTCAAAATCTTCTTCGACTCCGGGTTTAGGCACTAAGATGCCATTTTCCTTAGCTTTGGTGCGGTCAAAGGCAGTCTTCCAATATTCAAGCAAGCCTCCTAAGTCGGGCATTGCACTAATAAGCTGTCCGATGAGTCCATCGCCTGAGCCGCCATCCTGAAGCAAACTCATGGTATATTCAATCTGTTCAAAGCCCTCAAGCACACGCACAAAGTCTTGGGCTTTGCAGTTGGCAGCATGGATGCGAGAAATGAGACGCTCAAGGTCTGGCATTTTAGTCAGTTGCGAAGAGAATTGGTCTCGGACGGTTGGATCAGCGTTGAGCGCATCAACGGCATCAAGTCTGGCATTGATCTTCTTTGAATCAATTAAAGGATGGCAGACCCATTGCTTAAACATCCGCTTGCCGAACGGAGTGATACAACGGTTTAGAAGCTGGAAAAGAGTACCTTGAATACCACCATCAAAAGAGTTTGCGAAGATTTCCATGTTGATGAGCGTCTGACCATCCAGGACCAAACTGGAGGCCTTCTTGATTGGATCGTACCATGAGAAATTGCCAATGGTGATCAAATCACGCTCGATCTTCAAAACTCTGAGATATTGCACCAAGGCACCAAATGCAGACATCACCAATTCCTTTTCGCGGGCTTCACGAAGGGCTTCGGGCCATGCGCATACGTTTTCATCGTTCTCGGAAACAAAATACTCGCTAGCATCAAGTTCCTTAACCGTGATGTCGGCCTCCCAGAACTCCTTTACTGGTTTCAAGTGGTTCCAAAGAGTAGTGGGTCCCGTGTTGTTTTTGAGTATACGCAGTGCCTTCTGAGAAATGGTCGACTTCTCGAGGAGCAATTCTTGCGGTCGTGTCTGAGCGACGAAAGTCTCAAACTTGGTCATGTCCGCATCGTCAACGAACTCAGACAGAAAAAACTGACCAGTTGCCGTATCAACAAATGCCAGTCCAAAAGCAGGAAGGTCCTCAATGATGGCTTCCTTGACAGCAACACAGTAAGTAGACATGTCATCCTGAAGCATTGATCCCTCAACCAGGGTACCAGCGGTAAGAACGCAGGACAGCTCTCGCTTGATGATCTTGTCCTCTTTGCCAGGTTTCTTGCCGTCCCTCTCGCGCATTTCTTTGCCCAGGGCAGACTCGGATTGGTCCACGCGAGCAATTTTGTAGCCCTTGGCCACGAATTGATTGGCCCAATGATCCAAGCTCATTTCGGGAACGCCAACCATACGCATGTTGACTCGGTCAGTGAGTTTGAGGTCAAACAGCTGGTGGCCAATAGTAGCATCGTTCTCATAAAGTTCGTAAAATTTGCCTTTCTTGAAGAAAACAACAGTATCCCAGAACTTCTGTTTGATCTCCCAATACTGCTTTTCAAAGGGAGAAAACCTGGACCATGCCAACGGAGGTATATATATGGTACGCGGATCGTATTCGGGGTGACCAGGAGCATTGCCATCGATATCCCGGATGGAGGCAAGCCAAGGGTACCGTTGTTCGGGTTCCTTGAGATGCGCCTTCTCCTTGATTGGATTAGACGAGGGCTTGGAAGAGGCAACTGGGGCCGCTCTGGGTTGGCGAGGTTCTGAGTTCTCAGGGTCGTACGTCCACTTCAGCGTTGTGCCAGAAGTTGAATCCGGAATGTCAGTATCTAGATCTTCTTCTGTCGATGGGGGAGGGGGCAGCGATGAGGATTTGTGCGCTGGCTTGCTTGCTGGTCTCTTGCGCTTCTTCGAGGGTTTGGCATCTTCGTCAGAGTCATCGGCGACAACGAAATCGTCCATTTCTGGCGATTGTCAATACATCTCTAACCACGGGTAGGTGGTACTTGGGGCACTCTATGACTGACCATAATCTGAGTATCCTCCATCATCTCCCCCGGCGGCATCAAACTCGTCATCACTCTCAGGGGACGGCTTTCGCCTTTTGTTGGCCCTACCATTCCACCTGCTTGGTCGAAAAATCTGTTCGTCGTCGTCTTCGCCCTCCGAGTTGGACTCGGCGTAGCTCACTTGCTTCTTGGCCTAAAAAAAGGAACCATTAATATCTGTCTTAAGACTGGTGAACCAATCAAATCTGCCATCCGACTTACTCGGCGAGAGGGAGAGGCCAATGTCTTCTCTTCCTGTCCATTAGGACTTATTTCTTTTTCAAGCCCATCCTCCTCCTTATCATCTTCCTCAGGAATAACCAGATCACTACTCGGCACTGGAGTCAAATCCTGCGTGAATTTCGGGACACTCTTCTTCTTCGATGACCCCTTGGCAGCAGCGCTTGCCCCACGCGACTCTGAAACTCTTTGTGCTGGAGAAGACGCTGGTTCGGCATTACGAGCCGTAGATGGTGTGGAAGGCGAGGACTTTTGGAAGAACCCCAGAATGGATTTCTGGTTTCTCATGTTCTGCGCGCTCGAGGTCGCTCGTTTCAGCGCTCCGGAGGGAGGCGTCGCGGTCGTGGGAGAGGATGCGGAGGTTCCTTTGGCCATTATTGCGGGATAAGAATAATCTAGAAAACGAATAGCAGAAAATAGTCAATGGGTTCAATCAAAGCATGCTGGGAAGCAATTATTTTCTTCTAAGAAAACGAATGGCAATGGTTAATCAAACAAATGGCAAGATGGGATGTGGGAGAAACAAGACAGGTTGCTGCCAGGGCGGAAAAGTGATTGATCGATAAGGGAGGGCGTCACGCATCGCGTCGACGCGTTTAGTGGTTTTTGCTCCGAACCAGACTTGGAGGCTTCATCACGGACGTTTTCTCTACTCTATCTATTGCTGACATTCATAGCAAGATGAGTGACATTTATAGATTTTAATTATTTGGAATTCTATTCTATCTCATGTGCTTCGATGGCTTTTACATTCAGCCAAATTCAATCAACGCACAATCACCACCTCGGGATACTCTGCAGATGACCGATCGAGCAGTGGGGACTTCTTGCCTGTGGTGAAATATGTAGAAGCAGCAGCGATATAATCCGACAGAATGGTCCGAACTCGCAATCCAGACACATTTCCCACGGCGGCCGTCGCATTTTTCTTCGCCTCCAAAGAAATCGGAGCATTTTCGACAAGCAAAGGCAGATCAGAGAACGTCATATGGTACGAACCGTTCAGCTTGAACTCTCGTCTGAATCCACGCAGGTGAGGCCAAGTCTCCGACCAAGTTTTGTTGAGAATGTGTAGAAATTTGCCTTCCCCGAAGTTGATGAAGGGACGGTCAAGCCCCTGTTGCAATACAGATCCCCACAGAGCACCATCGAGGTTCATTCCGCCGGCAAACCGGGTGTCGTTGATCATCACGTCTGCTGCTGCTGCGCCGCCAAATGAATGACCAATGACAGATACTTTGTCGAGTTGGAGACGGCCGGTGAAGGAGGAGGGAATGAGCTTGGGTGTTTCCTCCAGTTGGTCCAATGTGAAGGAGAGATCTTTCGCACGAGTATCCAGGGCCGTTAAGATATTCTCTCTAAGCTTCTTCACACCTAATGAATTGATGGATTTACCATCTGGAAATTCAACAATGGCAGAATCATAAGGGTGGTCGACCGAAATCACAACGAATCCCATGCTGGCAACGGACTGCATCAGCGAAGAATAGATGAAACGGGAAGCACCCATGCCGGGAGAGAAGATGATCACAGGATACTCCTTCCCAGGAAGCGATGGGTGAGATCCATTGGATTTTGTTTCGATCATGAAATTCTTCGAGGTTACATTAGGGAAGGAAATCCCAACCAAGGGCAGCATCTGGTCCATAACAGCCGCTACCTTTTGGCTTACGTAGGGGCTGTACTGGGACTCGCTGCGATTCACTGGCACAAAAGAACTATTCATGATGCCTCCATTGCTGTGATCTGGGCTGTCATAGGACTCGCTGCAATTCACTGGCACAAAAGAACTAGCCATGATGGCTCGTTTGCTGTGATCTGGGCTGAATGGGTCAACCCGAGACAGGTCGACCAACTCGGCAGGGGTTATTTGCACATTGCATGGTCCTGTGGATGGAGGTAGGTATTGCTTCGAATAGCCCACCTGGAATAGAGAGACACAGAGAATGAGAGAAGGAAGAAGAGTCATGGCTGTAGAGATGCTTCACGATGATGATGCTTCCAAGTGATTTGAATGGCGATTCCCATCTCTAAATACATATTCTTCTAGGGACAGCCTCAACCGTAAATTTCTTCTCGGATCTAACAATGCCAAGGTTTTTTGTGATGCAAGACTGCATAAGTAATGAATCTGCCTAACTATTCGATGCATCATCCGTAATCATCCCGCTGTGGTTGGGGGCCAAATCATGAGGCTGACGGATGATCCAAATACCATAAAAGGTAACTCGCTCGCCAATGTGGAGTAATGATCATACAGCAAGGCTGAACGCTCATCGTGAATCATTAAATAATAAAAGTGGAAGCCTAGATGCGGATGCTAATAATATCTATCGTTGTCAGCACATAATACAGGATATCTATTATCTACAAATCCAGGTACCTCGGCGGTACCTGTGTAGGTACAGTTCTAGAAATACAACGTAAGTGGAGACATGACCCATAATGGGTCGATTCCCCCAGGCATCCGATCACACGCATAAGCCATTTATGCCTGTCCACAACATGGGATGATGGAATAATGGGATCCGACTCTTTATGATTAATTTGCTGAAGTTTCTTTCTCCCCAGACTCCGGGGTCGATTCAGGCTCTGACTCCCAACCAGGGGCTGTGAGTCCGAGTTGTTTGAATTCTTCATCACTAATGATCTTCACCATCTTGAATTTCCACTTGCCCAGTTTCAGCAAAATTAAGTCGTCGTTGATGACGAATTCCTGTGTCTTCTCAGCCGGCCATGTCTTGATGGGCGTGAAAGCCAAATCGTCCGACATGGGTCCGCTATCGCCCGGGCGACTTCCGACGTAGGCACCTTTGTTTGAAACAATGCGATGTCCCTCGCTCTTAGAAGAGACTAGTCCCGCAGACCAGAGAACTTTGTTAAATGACTGGTTGAAGACGAGAGATCGAGGAAGAGTCACATGGGGGGTTTGCATGTTTGCGAAATTGGTTTGGGGGGCGTACTCATTGCCGGACTGGGGGTTATCAAAGCCTGAAGTAGGGGACTTTGCGTGACTAGCAGGTGGTCTCGAGTTTCGGGGGAGCGGTGTCGGTTCAGCAGTGGATTTTCGTGAACGGAACAGCTGGCGGTGTTGGAGGGCCACAGCATCGGCCTCCTGCTTCCCGTGGATAAGTTCGACGAATTCAAAAGCGAGTGCATGCTGAGCTACGCGCTTGGAAGGATCTTCGTTCTGCTTCTCCATGATATTTGCGATTTCGGGCAAAGGCACAAAGGTGAACATTTTCAGATAGCTCTCGACAACGTCGTCGGGGGTCCGAACGAAGAACTAAAGGCTGGTCAGTAATTTCATTCTACCATTCATAGATAGGTTAACGAACCTGGTAGAGTTCGAAGGTAGATGTCATGTCCTTGTCAAGCCAGACTGCATTCCCGGCGGATTTGCCGAATTTCTCGCCAGATGGTGCTGTCAGCAAGGGTGTAGTAAGTCCAATAGGCTTGTCCAAGTCATCTTCAAGGGGATTCTGCTCTTCCTGCATGACGCTATTCTTGCTGATCGACTTGACGGCATCCATTCCAAAAAGAATGTTTCCGTACTGATCAGTACCTCCTACTTGGACTTGAACACCCTTCTGAAACAGAACCCACCAGTCCCATGCCTGCATGAGAGGATAGGAGAATTCAGCAAACGACATCCCGTCGCCTTTCGCCAAACGAGTTTTGACTCTGTCATCATACGTCAGTACGGGGTACCAAAGCACAACAACAAATCTAGACTTACGTATCTCTGCCCAGCATAGGGCCAAGTCGAACGTGTGAACCCAAATCCCGAAGCACTTCGATGAACGGCAGTTTGTTCCACCAGGTGTTATTGTTGGTCAACGATCGTCTCCAGTGTACTTTGTTGTCGTATCCATGTCTTTTGCCATACGCCTCGATGCTTGCGCCCAGCTTCTTCAGTTGCATGTGCATGCTCGCCATATTCGCTTTCCGGACAGAAGAATGTACTTGATCTCTTCCTTTTAATCTTCCTGTCGGATCACCTACACGGGAAGTAGCACCTCCGAGCTGATTCGAGTCAGTCAACTTCTAGGGTTTCCAAGCAATCTAGAGTTCAGTATCACTAACCAGAAAATAGACAGGTAATCCCCAAACGTAGCCCCATGCCAATACCATAAAGGGAAGCATATGGCCAACATGCATAGACGGTGCGGTTGGGTCTACACCGGCGTACAATCCGACTCTCTTGTTCGTGAATAATTTGTGTAGAATTTCTCGTTCTCTGCAATTTTCCCGGTTCAAATCAGTCCAAGATCTAGGTAAAGGAGCCAAGTGTTTCCACATACCCAACGACATCATGAAGCAGACCTCTTTCCTCAAGGTGTTGTGCGAAGTTTTTTCTCTTCCCTGCCTTGATCTCCTCCGCAAAACCTGCCCATTCCTTCTCCGCGTCTTGCATCCTCCGGACATATTTTTGTGTAATCCATCTCTTCTGTTCCAAGACCGATCCACGATTCTGTCCCACGAGGTATGGTCGGCGAGCCTCAGAGAGCAATGTTCTTGTCCGCACAGCATCTGCTGTTTGCGCATAGTTGCGAGCACCGCATGCTGCCCGGGACGGAGGAACGATCGACGGGATGCGAAGGCGTGCGGCGCGAGGAAGGGACCCTAAATGAGGCCGCATCAGACCGATTAAATCTGAAAATTAATCAATCGCAACCGAAGATGCGATTTACTATGAATTGGACCGTGGTAAAGGCTGGGGATGATTTTTGTTCTTGCGATTTGTCCCATCGATAAGAAGATCGCTGCTCTTCCCCGGCGGAGAATTGTTGATGCGGAGCTGTTTTCTCGAAGGAGTTAGCGTCACCAGAATCACTCTGATTGGCCAATTTGCAACTATACAATCGTGTAAACATTTCGAGTGAACGACAGATAGATAGCTCCAAGAGTATGAAAGTATATCCTTGAGTAGGTTATCCTGAGTATAATTCGAGTATATTTAAGAATTTTCGTCTACGGAGAGTGTATTGAAGATTCAGTCTGTTGTCGATACATATTTATCTCCATCAGCATTGAAGCCTTCAACTAATATTTATCCATAATCATTGTGTATTAGTACTGAATACTTGCGAGCATGCTATGATTAATGATTAATACTATTAGCATTGCGATTCATATATGTGTAACTGCAAATATTATTTTAGAATTCACCGTCCCAGTCGAATCCCTCATTCTGGAACTAGAGCATGAGAGCGACTATTGATATACACTATGGTGCCAGTCTGCACAGGCATTTGGGACCAATATCGCCATATCCAAAGCAAGTTATCGAAGAATGAGTAGTGCGGTTGGGTTTGCCAAATGTCTTGCGTTGTACATAGGTAGATATTAGACATGAATAAAAGGCTGTTCTGACTCGTCTCCACACAACCCAGTGAAAATCACAAGAATTGAATCGTACGACATCGGATTCTATTTATGGACGTTTTTTTTTGCAAAATGGTGCATGACTGAAAGTTGTATATTGCTGTGGAGGTCATCTAGACTGAAGAGGGTTTACACAGTGTGGTCATTATCTCATTGCATGACACACCAACTGTTGCTACAGCAGGGATAGATCTAAATCTGATATAAAAACCTAAGGGGAAAAAAATTCAATTCAAAAGAATTCGGGAAGGCTCGATATGCCTAGAGTAGTAAAAAGAGCATGGGAGTTGACTGAGACACAGTACCAGCATTAACTCGGCTATGATCGGGCGTACAAGCTAATATATGACCGGATACATATCTATGTATAGCTTCCTGGACCTATAACCTGAAATAAATTGAGTCTGTTAATTGTATAGGGCTAAAATATGGGTTACTAGGTGGTTGTTGGGTATGTCTTCTCAGTGCCTCCCTCTCCCTTCAAGACGCAGGATGAGACACTTATGAGGCAGAATGATGAAGATTACCAATTTAGGCATCCAGAACCAGATGGATACCAAGGAAAGAAATGAAATGATGAATAGGGCTGACTGTGTAATCCAGACGTCACGAGTTCCATTGTGTGCTACCATCCGACGGCTTCGGATAACAACCCAACATATGATATGCTTATTCAACAGTGTTTGATTCCAGGATTCGAGGAGAAGATAATTCTTCATCAATCTGTCTGAAGCTGAATAAATAAAACGAGCTGACTGGCTGTGTTGTGCTACCGGTATGCACCAACGACCTGCAAAGAATTCAGGAGCCAGAAACCACCAACCACCCAACTTTGCCCCTTCAATGTCCCTTTCTCGTTGGCAATCAGCCACGAGGTCTTATTGTCCAACCATATCCACGGAATTATGCATCTTGGTCTCTGGCTAAGAGACCCGGAATTAAGCTCCAGACAGGCTGTTGTGCTATCCCTTGAATATGGCAATGGAATCCGCCAGTGCAACCCCAGCTTTGCCCTGCTTGACAGCCAGGAACCCGGAAGCAAGGGAGGCACAAGCAGCCCCATTCCTTTGCCTTAGCGATCATGGGATGCATACTGCACCCCCGCCGATCTGTGCGCTGTAGCGTCCGGAGCGTTGGAGAAGTTGAAGCATCCAGCTGCAGTGTCCCTCTCACCTGCATACTCTCCGCCCAACTACCTGCACATTCGATATTCAAGCTGCAGGTACCGGCAAAGATTTTCAATCGACTTATTGAGTGATGGTTTTGAATCCGGAAATTGCATCTGTGGTGACGGGCTCTTTGGGTTTGTTTTTGGTGGCTTTGGATAGCACACCCGCTGTGATAAGCATTGCACGACGATTTCGCGACAAGACAACATCGAACTGGCATCATGGATCACAAAAGAAGAGAGTACGATACCACGATGAGGATGGAGAGGCGTCAAAGAAGTCGGTGATGGGTTTCTCGGACAACTGGCAGAGATTTGGGATTGCGCTTTTCTCCGAGCTAGGATTGCTCGTGTCTTTACCACTAGCAATTATTAGCTCACTAAACGGGGGCAGGGATGGTTATTTGGTTCAGTCTTGGCTTCAAGTGGCTACTTGGGTAAGAGATTAACAGAACAGGCCAGAAGAAGGCTTGGAGTGCTGATAGAACCCCCTTAGGTGTTACTGACGATTCAAGCCGTCGCGTTTTTCACGGAGCCCTTGAACACTGAACGATTCAAACTGAGCTGTTATGCATTCTGGGCAAGTATTCTAACGATTTCTATACCGTGCATCGAGATTGGTCTTTCGTGGTCTGCCGGTCGTGTCTCATCGCTCACGACACCATCGATTGGACTTCTAATCGGACAAGTTGCAATCGCATTCCTGCGTGGGATCTGCTGTACCATGATCCCACGTCGACCAGATGTATTTTGGAATGGAAAGCTAGTCGACCAGGAATTTACAGCATCGATTTTCAGTCGATTCACCTTCAGCTGGGTCAACGAGTTGATGAAGTATACGGCACAAAAAAGATGCGTGGGAATCGAAGATTTACCTGAATTGCCTTTCGCTGCACGACCTGGGAACCTGCGAGCGCGATTTGAACAAGCAAGAAAAGGCCGAAAGTTATGGAAAGCCCTCATTGTTGCCCACTACCGGCCGATTCTTGTCCAGCTGATGCTCACTCTGTTCTCATGTGTTTTGAGCTTTGGACCGCAGATGGCATTATATGGGATCCTCAAGTCGCTGGAAACTCGCGGTATGGAATTAGGTGATTCTTCTGCTTCTTGGCTCTGGGTTGTAGGTCTGGGTGGTTTGATGGTCTTGTCGTCGAGCATTGATTCTTGGCTATACTGGATCATCTACTCACAGATTGGTATACCTGTTTACGAAGAACTGGCTGCAACTATCTTTGCCAAATCTATGCGACGAAAAGATGTTAAGGAAATGCAGCAGTCTAATGGAGGAGGACATTCAAACTCGGATTCATCAGAACCATTGATTGACGACGGCGAAGAGGAGAATGACGAAGAGGAGGATCTCGAGAAGAGTCGTCAAAGCGTCATCAATTATGCGGCCGTTGATTCCAAACGTATCGCCGATTTCGCAACTTACAACTACCTCATCCCTTCTGCCATTCTCAAATTGCTTATGGCATGCTTCTTTTTGGCTAGTCTGATTGGGTTCTGGAGTCTTCTGGCAGGGCTCGCTGTGTCTGCAATCGTTCTTCCAGTCAATGCTCGTCTTGCCAAAAGATATGCAAATTCTCAAGATCTTCTCATGAAACTTAGAGATCAGAAGATAGCGGTAGTGACAGAAGTACTTCAGGGAATTCGGCAAATCAAGTTCTCGGCACTCGAGGAGCAGTGGCAGAACAGAATCAGTGAGAAGCGCAATATTGAGCTTGACTCGCTGTGGACATCATTTCTTTACAGCACTGCACTGGTTTCACTCTGGATACTTGGTCCTCTTATGCTTTCGGCTGCCTCATTGACAGCTTATGTATTTATTCACGGAGAATTGACAGCGTCCGTGGCCTTCACTGCCATGTCAATATTCGGTTCCCTGGAACTATCGATGGCCAGCTTGCCGGATCTCTTGTCAAGGGTCTTGGAAGCGAAGATCAGCTCTGACCGCATTGAGAAGTATATGGACTCTCCAGAGAAAACACCAAATATACTACCAGGAAATCAGATTTCTTTCGAAAATGCTTCTGTGGCGTGGCCTGCAGATGGTCAAGGCGATTGGGATGATGGGAAACGCTTTGTTCTACAAAATATGGACCTGGCCTTCCCATTGAGAGGCCTTAGTGTTGTTTCTGGTAGAACTGGTTCCGGAAAAAGCCTTCTTCTCGCATCTATCCTTGGAGAGTGCGACGTCATTGGTGGTACGATCAGAGCCCCTGTTTCTCCATCCATTGGAGATCGATATGATCATCTGGCTACCGGTGCGAATTGGGTAATCGACTCTGCAATCGCTTATGTTGCCCAGATCCCCTGGATCGAGAATGCGACTATAAAAGACAATATTCTGTTCGGGTTACCATTCAATCCTGCACGATACTGCAAAGTCCTTTTTGCATCTGGGCTTGAGAAGGATCTTGACATGCTTCCCGATGGCGAACTGACTGACATTGGTGCAAATGGAGTGAATCTTAGTGGCGGACAACGATGGAGAATTACGCTTGCCAGAGCATTTTATTCCAGAGCCGGCATTCTGATCCTGGACGACATCTTCAGCGCTTTAGATACTCATACCGGCCGCCATGTCTATGAGCACGGTCTGACTGGTGAAATCTGCAAGAACCGAACCAGAATCTTGGTTACACATCACGTCTCACTCTGCATGCCTCAGACCGATTATTCTGTTTTGCTCGAGAATGGGGGTGTCAAATATGCTGGTACAATCGAGGAATTGAGAAGGACCAACAGCTTAGAGGATATCATTTTACAGGGCCGCATAGCTGAGCTAGAGGGTCTTGTCGAGCTTGAAGCTAGGGAACCCGAGCAACCCCTTCCCGTTACGCCGCAAAACAAACGATACTCCCAGTCGAGCAAACGAACCTCTATCATCAGCAACAGGAATTCAATCCTGAGCAAGAGAAGTTCAACGTACAGTAAACGCAGTTCGACTTTCAGTAAAAGAAGCTCCACCTTCAGCAACCAGAGCTATGCTTTCAGTCAAGGAAGCTCCGCTTTCACAAGCAATGAAGAAGTGTCTGATGATATCCGAGTGAAGAAGTTTGTTCAAGAGGAAAGTCGCGGAACAGGGTCGATACCACTTTCTGTTTATACAACTTACCTCAAGAAGGGCGGCAAGGCATGGATTTGGGCCCTTGTGCTCATGACTTATGTCACTTATGCCAGTCTGATGGTTATACGGGTAAGTCAACAAAGCCTGACACTCTTTCCTTCATATAGCCTTTGATTTCTAATTTTATGAGCAGTCATGGTGGGTTAGTGTCTGGACCAGCTCGGCCGACGATGATAAGCAACCGTGCCCTGTTCTTACTGTTATGGACCAAGTGAACCGGCCGATTGTGGCCCAAGAGGATGATAATCTTCCTCTTTACCTTGGAGTCTATGTTGGCATATCACTGGCCGGTTGTGTTATTGGATGCGTCAAGTATTACCTGCTGATGTGCGTTTCGATCCAAGCCTCGAGGAATCTGTTCAATGATTTGATGCAAACTGTTTTACGGGCACCTCTACGATGGCTGGACACAGTTCCATTGGGCCGTATCGTCAACCGACTCACATCCGATATTTACATGGTCGATGTAAGACTTGGCTATGACGTTGGATTTTTCACCTTGAAGGCATTGGAGATTGTAGGAATTTTGATTGCTGGGGCATTTGTTTCCCCCCTGGTCATCATTTTCGCAATTGCTTTACTCGCTCTGTGTTTGAAGCTATCCATGACCTACTTGACGGCTGCTCGCGAACTCAAACGGTTGGAAAGTAGCGCAAAAAGCCCGATATTCGAACAATTTGGTTCTAGTCTGTGCGGCTTGATAACCATTCGGGCTTTCAGCAAGACAGATAACTATGTCAGTATCATGTATTCGAAGATCAGCCGTCACGCACAAGCTTCATGGAACCTTTGGTTATTCAACAGATGGCTGGACTTCCGAATGAACCTTGTCGGAGCTCTCTTCGCAACAGTCACAGCAGGTCTCGTGATTTACGTACCAAGCATATCCGCTTCTCTGGCAGGGTTTGCTCTGGGCTTCGCCCTGCAGTATAACTCTGCTGTTACCATGGTATTGCGCCAATATGCTAACCTTGAGCTTGACATGAATGCCACAGAGCGTGTCATTGAATACTCGAATATCGAGACTGAGAGCCAGGAGGGGGCGAGTGCGCCTGCTGCTTGGCCTACAGAGGGAAGAATAGAAGTTGAAGACCTTGTTGTTGGGTATGCGCCCGGGCTTCCCCCTGTGCTGAACGGGCTTTCGTTCACTGCAGAAAAGAACCAAAGGGTCGGTGTTGTTGGACGCACAGGTGCCGGAAAGTCATCCTTGACATTGGCATTATTCCGTTTCCTCGAAGCTCGCGAAGGCCGTATATCCATTGACGGTGTTGATGTGTCGAAAATTAAGCTCCATGATCTACGGAGCCGTCTCGCCATCATTCCTCAAGATCCAGTGCTGTTTTCTGGAACTATCAGGTCAAACTTGGACCCATTCAGTGAACATACTGACACTGAGCTGTATGATGCACTGGAGCGAGTCAACTTGGCCTTCTTCGAAGACACTGAAACATTGGCATCCAGCTGGACGGCCCCTGGCCATATGACAAGGACGACCACACCGATGAGCACAGCAGAAACGCTGGGATCGATCAATCCTGAGAACCCGAAAGATAATGGCGGCCTGTTCTCTTGCTTGTCTTCTTCTGTGTCGGAGGGAGGGCTAAACTTCTCTCAGGGCCAGCGGCAGCTTCTCTGTCTGGCACGCGCCATTGTAGCGCGGCCCAAGATCATGGTTTTGGACGAAGCAACCTCGGCCGTCGACATGGAGACTGATGCTATGATTCAACGCTCCATCCGTGCTGAATTTGGCCACAACGCGACAACACTGTTGGTAATTGCGCATCGACTGAGTACCATTGCAGATTTCGATCGTATCCTGGTTATGGATGCCGGCAAGGCCGTTGAGTTTGGAAGCCCCCAGGATCTCATGGCGATTGAAGGGGGCGTGTTCAAGAACTTGGTGGAAAACAGTGGCGAGAGGGATATAGTGGAAGGGATGATCATGGGAGACAGGAGTGATCTGGTATGAAAACGCTCGAGACACACAGGCTCTTGTCTTTTGCTTTGGCTTTGTTCATTTGTACAGCACCGTAAGCTTTATGTATTTTTAATTGTCGGACCAACAGAACAGATATTTCAAACTAAAATGAAGATACCAAAGTGAACAACTTATTTCAGAATGATTTCATTTCCAGGCCTAGGCTAATAACCAAGAGCATCTGAGAGCTAACTAGCAAAATCGCGGCTGACATTGAGAGAACCATTATCATCAAGGTGCCCAGCCTCTCATGGAGACAGCAAACACCCCTCAAGGATCCATCTCAACGCATACGCCAGAACTCCCTTGCCCGCAAGGGAAACACCAGCCAAGTAATTGTTGGGATCAGAGATGCCTTCATCGCGTCCGTGAAGTAACAAGGTGGGTGTGCCGAACGCCTTTATCATCCTCCCTCCATCCCGAGTCCTGAAGCCCTTAAGCCCCGAAGGAAGAGCCGCAGGATTCCTGGAGGAGAGATCGATATCAAATATAACACACTAGGCTTTCATCATTTAAGTAAAAACTTGGAAGGATGAAGAAGAAAAGAAGAAGAAAAGCTTCGCTTTTTCCGCCGCCTTTTTTTTTTGTAGTGGGCCCTCCCGCGCTAGTCTGTGTCTGGAAGGCGGCATGATTCTGCCACATCGTCTTTCGATCGTGGATTCTGCGTTTGAATAGCTTCATCTTGTCAATTGCTTCTGCTGTAGAGCAGTTCGTCGTCTATTCATATTCTAGCTGTTGGATAGTCAATTGAGTGCGGAGACTTCATATATACCCACAATACACGCCAGAATGTTCTTGGGCAGCGTGGGACGACATTCCCCTCGTCTCCGCTCCAGCTACATCGGGATCTCGAATTACCTCCGCGGCGGACGAACAGCATCCTTACGATCTCGATTTCCTTCATACAGGGCATTCCATCGCCAGCCATGTCTGAGAGAACAGACTCAGGTTCCTACATCCCATGCTTCTCTGCTAGAACGGTATAAAAAAGCTGGTACGCACATGCATGCTCCCTATCGTTCTGCATTTGTTATTTGTGAGCGAGATGCTAACGCTGGATATTTGCAGTTGAATTCCCTCCAGCCACCCATGATTTCGAATCTTTCCTCTCTCAGGCTGCCGCAGGCCAGGAGGTCACCCTTCACGGCTACCTCGGGAACCGAGCGGACCTCTCCAAGAAGCTGTCCTTTGTACGCCTGACAGACCCTACGATGAAACACAATGTCCAGCTCGTTTCCTTCGCCAAGAATGACGCTTTCGAAAAGCTAAAGGCACTTAGTACAAATAGCCCCGTGGCAGTAAAAGGAAAGGTCCAAGCGAAGAAGGGCAAAGGATCAGATGCGGAGAAGAGCGATGCGTGGGAGGTCCATGTGGAGGAAATTCATCCTCTCAATGACTTCCCGAAGGATATCATCATCACACCCGAGACAGTCTTCTCGCCTGAACAGAGGTATCTTCAATTGCGTTCCGACAGTGAATTGCGCGATGCCCTCCGATTCCGTGCTCAGGTGCATAATGTCTGCAAGGAAGAATTGGAGCAATGCCGGCCTGGTTTTGTCGAGATTGAGACTCCGCTCCTTTTCAAATCGACCCCGGAGGGTGCTCGTGAATTTTTGGTGCCAACTAGGAGACGCGGTCTGGCTTATGCTCTGCCACAAAGTCCCCAGCAATACAAGCAGATCCTTATGGCCAGCGGAATCCCGAGATATTATCAGTTTGCGCGTTGTTTCCGAGATGAAGATCTTCGGGCTGATAGACAGCCAGAGTTTACTCAGGTATGCGATCCTTATACTGTCTCCTGAATAGTCATTCCCTAACCTCTGCGCTAGCTCGATCTGGAGATGTCTTTCGCTACTGGCGAGGATGTTATGCGAACTGTTGAAGGTGTTATCCGCAGACTCTGGTCAAAGCTCATGAAGGACCCTGTCCCATCTGGTCCCTTCCGGAGATTATCCTACCAAGAGGCCATGAGCCGATACGGTTCTGACAAGCCCGACACTCGGTTTGGAATGGAAATTTATCGGATTGATTATCTTCTTCCTGTCGACCTTGTCAACAAGATTACCCCATTGACCGAACCGATTGTAGAGATTTTCAAACTCGAAAACAGCGAAAATGATCCCGCTGCTACCTCGAAATTCATCAGTGAGTTCCTAGACTCGCCTGCCGGTGCGCCATTCAACAACAATCCCGAAGGCGGACCAGGCATTTTCGTCTATGATGCGAAGAAGCCCCTTTGTGGCCTGCAGCCTTTCGGCTTCGAGGCCGCGGAGCACGTCGAGGATTTGCTCGAACCTGACCACGGTGACCTCATCGTCATCCAAGCACGCAAACGAGCCCCCTTCTCTGGCGGCTCAACGCCAATTGGCGACCTCCGTCGCGCTCTACACTCGGCTGCCGTCGCCTCTGAGTTCAAGCCAGCACCCACGGGATTCGAGTTCCAATGGATCGTCGATTTCCCTCTCTTTTCGCCCTCGAGTGACTCCGAGCCTGGCCAGGGTGGTGCCGCGGGCATATCCTCCACCCACCATCCCTTCACAGCTCCAAAGTCGGCCGCAGATGTCGACATGCTCTTGACTGACCCCACCCAAGCCGTGGCTGATCACTATGACCTTGTGGTAAACGGCGTGGAGCTGGGCGGTGGCAGTCGTCGTATCCACGACGCAGCGGTCCAAGAGTTCATCCTCCGCGACATTCTCCAGATGAAGCCCGAACGACTGGCTGATTTCACACATCTGCTGGACGCCCTGCGGGCAGGCTGTCCGCCACATGCTGGATTGGCGCTTGGATTTGACCGTCTCGTTGCTGTCATGCTGGGCAAGGAGTCTGTGCGGGATGTGATCGCATTCCCCAAGACAGGAAAGGGCGGCGAGGATGCTATGGTCAAGGCTCCAAGCCCTATGACCGAGGAAGCGCTGGAGACTTACCATCTCCTTTTGAGGGAGAATTAATTCTGAGACTTTGACAAGACCTGAAGTTCTCGAGGATCAAATGTATACTGGAGCAGGACTATGGTTGTACGATTTCATTCTAAACGCGATACCCAGTCTCATCTCATGTTGTATAATAGTTGGGTGTATGAATATAAAACAATGTTAATTTTTTTTTTCAAATTTCTCAAAGATACAAGATTTGTGTGCCCACTAAAAAAAGAAAAGTGCTAAATATATCTACATTTGATCAAAGATAGGAGTAATCCATGAATAAATCGTATCACCTGTTGTACAACAAACGCCACCACCTTTTCCTGTAAACCGAAACAGGACGGGGTAAATCTAGATAAACGAAGGATAAATGAGTGAAGAAAGCCGCGTTGACTGCTCCAGTATCTCTGTCTTCGCCAGATTTATCATTTCAGCTGAACAAAACATGTCGCTGATATGAAAGGGTTAAGGGAGCCCTACTGGGCAGTCTGTCGGGAGACAACAGCTCTGCCCTGGCTCTCGTTCTCTTCTTCGTCTTCATAGTAGAGATAATCATCTTCATCCTCTTCCGGTTGACCAAAAGCGTTTCTCCAAACACCATCCCAAAGACCCTTCTTCGTGACCAAGCCTCCGACCAGGAGAATTGGGAGTTGCCAGATACTGGCCCAGAACAGACCGCGGGCGGTTCCGTTGGCGCCCTGGTGCTTCCAGAATCGGTATGCCTCTTTCACCAACCAACCATTGGCAACCGTGCTTCCAACGAGGAAACCATGACCGACGACACCAACCCACCATAGACCGATGGAGATGGGGAACATCAGAACGGAGTAACGGAGGGCAACACGAGCATTCCGAGCGGGGTTCGTCCAGCACATCATCTTGTATCCGGCCGCTTTGTACTCATCACGAATAACGTGAGACAGAGCATTGAAATGCGGGAATTGCCAGGCAAAGAGGATACCACCAAGAAGCCAACCACCAATGCTATCTTCACTCAGGAGGAAATCCCGCCATGTGTCATGGCCTGTAGTCGCTGTTTGGCCTGCCGCAGCGACCCAGCCCATTAGTGGAGGAATACCACCCACAACAGCACCCACCCAGGTGTTGATCACATGAATTCTTTTCAGTGGCGTATACACGAAGGCGTAGAGGAAGATATTGCTGGCCGAGAGCGCTGTCACCGTAGGGTTGGTTCCGACATAGAGCAGCGTGAGACCCGATACAGCAGTCCCAATGGCGAACAGAACAGCCGCACGGCGAGAGAGAAGACCCCGAACCAACGGCCTGTTACGTGTTCGTGACATTTGCGCATCATATTTGGGTTCGAAGAGCATATTCAATGTGTTTGCACTGCAAGAAGACAGAAATGTACCCGTGGTCAAGTAGATAAAGGTCAGGGTCGAGGTTGAGAGGGTAGGAAGCGGAGCTATGGACGGGTCGAGGGTGAGGAGCGAGGAGATAGGATACATTCCATAGGCGGAAGTCGTCGTTAGAACGATCAGGAACGAAAGACGAGGCTTTGTGAGGGCGAGGAAAGCGGCCAATTTACGGCGCAGGGAGGTTGCGGGGAGCGCAGACGAAAAGGACGATAATTGCGCAGAGGCATCTGGTGGAATGACGGGTTCTGCGCCATTGTTCCTTGTTGATTCTTCCCTTAAGCGTTTCCTCCTTCGATGAGGCAATTCCTCTGAGCTGGCTTTCTCGGTGCTGGACGTTGAAACGGTCTCGTTTGACGACGCGGCGGGACTCGCGGGGGAGGAAATGGTGGAATTGGTGGAAAATGAGGAGAGCAACCCATCCTTTCCCAATGAACCATCTGCCGTTCGATTTGCAGAGAAATAAGACTTATGAAAAGTCACCGAGGGAGATTGGCCATCAGCCACTCCAGAACCCGATCTCAGACGGGAGGACGAAAGGAACCCGCGGGATACGGAGGGCGGTTGAACGCTGCGAGCCAGACGCCCAAAGCATCGAGAACACAGAATCGAAGAGTCCCGAGCCGATCCTGGCCTCAACAGAGAGGATCGGAGGGGGATCATGGCGGGGAGCGCATGGAGAGGAGGGGATGAAGCCGGGCAAGAAAGACGCAGCACAAAGCGAAGTGGAATCCTCGATCGCCGCAGTTGGGGAATTCCCCGGCGGGCGGCAGCGACCACACGTGCAATTATGAATCTCGGCGCTGCGGTTGGCTTTTATTTTTTATTTTTATTTTTGTACAGATTTCATCGCCAACACAGCACTTCGTCTCTGGTCGCTCCCCAGTCCATCGCACTCACCATGGACATCCTTCAGAAATCCGTCATCCAGCCTCTCCAGCCGCTGCTGCGGCCCGTCGCGTCCTCTCTTCCCGAGCCCGTTCACGATGTTATTGTTTCGCTGATCGGATCGTCGTGCCATAACGCCTTGGTCGTGGATCTCGATGTCACCAAGGATTCTGCCTGTACTTCTCTCGCTATCTCCAAGGCTCTGGGAGTGGCCATCGTTGGCGCCAGTGCTATCGTGAAGGTCCCCCAAATCTTGAAGTTGATCAGCTCTCGTTCTTCGGCCGGTGTGTCGTTTGTGTCGTACGCTCTGGAAACTGCCAGTCTGTTGATCACACTCTCCTACGGCGTGCGCAACCAGTTCCCCTTCAGCACATACGGAGAGTCGTCCTTGATCGCTATTCAGGATGTGGTAGTGGGCGTTTTGGTTCTGAGCTTTGCCGGTCGACCAACTGCTGCCGCGGCTTTTGTTGCTGTTGTCGCTGCCAGTGTGTACACGTTGCTCTTCGACCAGACCTTGGTGGATGCGCAGACCATGGCATACCTGCAGGCTGGTGCTGGAGCTTTGAGCCTGGCCAGCAAGGCACCCCAGATCTACACTATTTGGAGTGAGGGAGGCACCGGACAGTTGAGCGCATTCGCGGTATGTGAAGCCTGCTGATATCGCAACATTACAGCTTACTGACTGATTTTTTCTGTTTAGGTCTTTAACTACCTCGCCGGTTCTCTGTCCCGAATCTTCACCACCTTGCAGGAGGTCGACGACAAGCTCATCCTCTACAGCTTCGTTGCTGGGTTCAGTTTGAACGTGATCCTGGCAGCACAGATGCTGTACTACTGGAACAGCCCTGCGAAGCCCAAGCAGGCCAAACAGGTCGAGCGCACTTCCAGACCAGTGGAGAAGACACCTGTCGCAGAGAGCTCCGGTGTATCTCCCAAGCCTTCTGGAAAGACACCCACCACCCGCCGACGGGGTTAGATTACATTTCTTGCCTATCTTTTTCAATATAACTTTTAATTTGCGGGTTTCAAGAGTTGTTCATGTGATTTGTAGATCGTATTGCAGTACTGAAGCTGCTTTCGCATTCGTCGCAAGATGTCTTGTAAGTCTGCATTGTACATATTGCTAGCTTGAGCCAGACCATTGGGCACCGACGTAGTTGGCAATCGTGCCAACAATTACCGCTGCTTCGGAGGCATCCCAGTAGTCATAAATCTCAAAATATCATCCAACGGCAAAGCCGGTGCCACGATCTTCTGCGACGCATCAACCTCGCCCACACCAACACCAGGACCGGCAACCTTCCGCGGCCCCCCAACAATCTCCATCTCCTCATCCTCTCCCTCCCCCTCTTCATCATCCTCTTCATCTTCCTCCTCCTCCTCCTCATCATCATCCAACTGCCTCACCAACCCCGTAACAACATTCTGAACCCCCATCTCCTTCTCTTCCAACGTAAAATCCCCACCCCAATTCCTCCGTCTCGCCTCCTGGTTCGCCTCAACAGGCGCCCAGTCCCACAACTCCGCCAGATGGCGCTCGCTGAGCGCGTCCTTGTCCTCCAGCGCAGACGCGCCCGCTATCCGACCGCGCGATACCCATTCGTCGACGCGGGGGTCGAGTTTCGTTCGTAGGAGTTGCTCGAGGGTAGGGGCTTGCGTGCGCCCGGGGTATTCCGGACCTGGGTAGGCGACGAGGGAACCGAAGAGGTCTTGGTTGTCGGAGAGTTGTTCGGAGACGCTGACGAGGTTGTTGGAGATGATTGTTGCTTGGGTTTGGAGGGAGGACCTGGGTTGGCTTTGTCAGTATTTATATTCATCTTCAATTCAATTCGGGTTGAGGTGTTGTGTTGGTTGCTCTGGAAGAGATGGGAGGGGGGATCTTACCACTGTGGAAGGGGATCGCTCTGGTTTAAGCTGCCAATTAACGATGCCAGGGAACGAGTGAGTTGTACCAGCCGTTGGCGGGATTGTTCGAGGACTTTGACCTGGTCGTGGGTGAGAGATGACATGTTGACGATGCGTATGTCGATGTGTATGGTGTTATTTTGTCAAGGTGGTTAGGTTTGGTTTGGACAGAAAGTGAGGAGAATAAAGAGGGCGTAGAGAAAGTTGGAGATGGAGAAATTCCCCACCGACATGACATTAGTACTATGCATACTATCATTATCACAGCACAGAAAATACATGTAACAAGCAAAGAAACCTAACAACCGATAAATGATAGCATAGCTAGCTCAAAAATATACAACACAATCACCTCTTCATAAGCCGTTTCTCATGGTAACCACTCCTATATGATTCTCCCACATAAAGTATGGATCTCTTCTCGAGTCTGTTCCCTCTCAACAGCTCAAAGAAAAGGCCCTGTAAAGATGAAGTATACTCATGATGAATCAGCAAAGTCTGGTTGCCATTAAATCTACCAAAGCCCATAATTATCACAAGTTAGAGAGTTAATAAACGATACTAATAACAGTACAAGAGAGAAAGAAAGAGAGACATGTATAAATAGATCAGTAGACACCCCTCAACTCCCTCGTCCCTCTTGGCGGCGCTCCCTGAAACAGTTGACATCCATCCTCATCCAATCCACGACTCCCAAGGCCGTGTTTATTTTTAGCCAAGGGTCTTGGTTTCTTCAGCTGAGGGGGGAAGAAAGGATCGTGCAGCCAGTATATAAAGACCCTGGGAAGTGGGTTGTCATTGTCATCTGAGTATTTCTGTTCATTATATTCAAGTCACATTATCACTTCCACTACTTCTTATTATTTCTCTCGCCTTTCTTGCAACAATATTCTGATGCCAGATCATGATGATCGCTGGAATAACAAAATGTCATCTGAACGCCATACATCCAACGTTACAGATAGAACTCAAAAAAGAGGAGATGATATCAACATAGGCAGCGATTGGGAATCGGGGTATATATCGAGAGCTTTCAATATAGCTTCAGGTATCCAAAAGAAAAAGGAAAGTAACACGACAAAAAAAAAGAAAAAAGATGTGAAGGAGACAGGGTGACAGTATGTCTGAATCAATCTTTGGATGAGCACTGACAAGACTAGAATACTGTCATACAACTCCTAGTATATTACCAGGGGCCATGTCAACCATCGATTCATTGTTTCGGCACCGCATGAGAATGTGTGATTTCATCCTTCTCGTGCTCGGCAGAAGGGCCCATCGTCGACACTGCTACACCCGGTTCTGCAAAATTGGACTTGGCATATCCCACATTCTGCCCATGTCCATCGGTATCGACGAAGCCGAAGCCCGGCCCATAACCACCAGGGTACATCGCCGGGCTATACATGCCCTGCTGGTGAGGGTATTCTTGGGGATATTCACCCCAGTTACCCGGGGTTGTGATGGTCGTATCGTGCCAGCGCGCATGCAGATGGTCTGAATGACGCTTTCTACGAGCCTCCCTCCGACGCCAGCGGATAAAGAAAAAGCAGCACATCGCACTGGCGCCTACCAGAATCACGAAGCCCATGATCGGAAGAGCAATGACCAAGGCGAGATTTGTGTTTCCAGATGAGCCCGAGTTTTGGAATGCGAGTGTTGAAGGAAGCAGCGACTGCGTGAAGATTCTCCCAGGACTAATGTCGAACGCAGTACCGGTAGGATTACGAATGTGGCAGTTGTACCGAATGGACTCGAGGACTAGAATTCAACAGGTCAGCACGATATCTCCAGCAAAGCTATGGGGTTTATCAAACGCACAGTTCGCCAGGTACACCTGGGTGGTGGTCAGATTATAACAAAACTGGCAGGTGTCGATCACATTATCGGCAAAGGCCGTCGAGCCGCAGAGGGTATCAAAGGTGCTTTCATCCGGGCTGAGCAGATTGTTGTTAAGCGCCGGACTCAACGTATCGCAAGAAACGACACAAGGTGACGATATATTGGCTACCTGCTGGGGAAATCCGTAGACGCAGCTGGTAAAAGCATATCGAAGATTATCTGCCAAGTAAGTTAGGACATCTCTCACGATCGCCTTCTATGGTTTCTCTCAACGTACAAAGGCCCCATTGCACATCTGTCTCCTGGGTTGTCGAATCGACGTAGGAGCTTTTCAATTGACAATCAACGCAAGACTGGAAATTGTTTCCCTTCGTTGTACCGTTGTACTGGCGGTCCAAACAGACAATTTCAGACGAGGTTGTGTTGGTTGTCTCTCGATGGCAGACACTCTCGCATGGCGAGCCCGCAGCCGTAGACAACCCAAGAACCACAGGCGTAAAATGGCTAAGCAAAAGAATCGCAACGACCAGAATCATCGTAGATCTTGAGCTTGGGCCCAGGCCCAAGAAACCAAACATTATTGGTTCAGAAAAAATCATGCAAGAGGGTATGTATACACGATCGGGTTGCTTTCTTTTTCTCCTCCCACTACGACAACCAAGAGGATGAGGCCGAGCGCCGTGATGGTAACGACTTTCGCATCGAATAAATCAAAAAAAGAAGAGGTCGCAGCTGGGGAAGAAAAGCGACCTGATAAGTTCGACGAGCTAAAAGGATCAACCTTTTTGTGTCAAATCCAGCAAACGGTACGACATGCTTGGTACCTCTTGGATAGATAAAAGAACAAGACCGGCGGGGGAAGAGAGCAAAAGGCCGTGACGGCGACGAACTGGGCCAGGATGTGAGTCTCGAGCGACCAAACGCGAGTCAAATCGAGCGAAGCACACGCTATGTGTCCAAGTATGATTCTGGGCGCTAAGAAAGCCGCTCACAGAGGTCGTCGAGGAAGCCCGAGACCCTCATCTCGCAGGACTCGCTCGTTGAGAGGCGGGGATGCTGCGTTCTGTGACGGATGATCCGACCGGGGAGCCAGACAAGCATCGTGGGAATTGTCCACTGGCAGCGCTTAACGGGGCGCTTTCCGTGTGATGAGCGACGAGCGCGACTTGAGATTGGAAGATGGCCGATTGTGACCGTGACGAGCTTTGCAGACCGTCGCATCGGCTGGTGATGGACGCTCGAGCTTCTCATTCGTCCACCGATCGACGAACCCCTCATCTTAGCTCGGCGCATTTCTTGGTTTTCTGTCCCATCACCACCATTTATCATCACTAACGAAAGAAATGGGAATCAAGGATCATGACACTGATTTCCATGGCGTGGTGGATGGGATGATGCGAGTATCCTTTTTGGTCGGAAATTCCAGGCCGAACAGTTGGAAAATGGAGGGAAAACAACAGGTGAAGTGCTTGGCGCTTACAGCTGGTATACAAAAGTCCATTTTCATTTGAGGAACCAAAGTTGTAAAAACTAACGATGGATATTCAAAATTCCGCTCCATTTATAAATCAAAATCGACTGCTTTCTCTATGACAAGAAAATAAAAAGTACAAAACGCCAATCCCTCCCAAAAATGAAGTAGACGCCACAATGCAAGTATCTTTCTCGCTGGTGGCACAAATAACAAATAGTCAATCAATATTGCTTGACGGCGCCCGGTAATAAGCCACAGAGATATCCCTGTTGGGATCACCAGGCGATCATGAAAGGAGTGTGTTGAGAGGAGTATAGAGAAGGAAACACATGGACAATCGACGATATCTATGGCCATAGAAAAAGCGAGAAGACGAAATTATCCATAAAGATCATCGTACGATGGCACCAGCTCATGTCTCTGGGTCGATTCAGAAACTCGATGCTTGTTATTGGACCGATGAGCGTTCTTCTTCTCTTGGTAAGCGGCATTGTATAGTAGTCGCGGGTCCTCTGATGTACCCGATGGAGTAGAGGAAGTGAAGCTGGTATGTTTCGAGCTCGCTGTGCCAGGCATAGATACAGACGGCTCAGTCAAAGTTGTTGTAGCCGTCGTGTTACTCTGTAGGCTATGCCGCATGCGTGACGTGACTGACAAAGGAGGTGACTTGGATGCGCGGTGGGTATAGTCTGCTTCGTCTAATCTTGTATCTCGAATGCTCTCTGAGCGTCGCCCTTTGAGAGAGCCAGAAGCAGCCGGTATGGAACTTGTATCTTCTGCTTCATCATCGGAGCTTTCATCCAGAGTACTATTCCCCCAACTACCTCCGTCTTTGTGGTCGCTTATCCCAAGACCCTGGCCTGGTTGTTTCTGCTTCCTCTTGAACCGGCGCTGTACATTGGCATCATAATGGCCTACAGGCATCGACATCGCGGAGTCTATTGAGACAGTTCGTTCGCCTGCAGTTTTGGGCCGTAGCATATCCCCAGCCCGAGGGGAGGCATTTTGCCGGTCGAGTGAGCTCAAGGAGCTGTTTCTCCATCGTGGCTCTGGCGACACATCTGGTGTGACAGTGATAGATGGTTGATCGCACCAGGAGCCCTCGTTGGGACTGCTGATTGAGAGATCCCCCCATCTATTATGCATCTCCGATGACACCTTTCGCTTTCGTCTGAATCTCCGCATGAATGCCGCCATGGTGTGTTAATTAAGAGGGTTTATCATAAAATTTGGAAGCCTGGAACGTCCACTGGATGTGTAAGCCAAGATTATGAAACAGTTGAGGGCAAAGTATCCACTTTGCAACCTGTAATATGAGTATTCTTACACAAAAGCCACTGGGAGTCTGTCCAGACAAAGCGAGCGAGTATGGTGGAGGAGGGGTTGAAAAGAATGAAAGAGGAAGTCGCTAGGCAAGCAAGCAGCCTACATGGATGGAGGTTATATCAAAGCACATCCATGGATGTAGTATGCAAAAAACACAACAATCCGTCCTTTGACATGGTGTTGGGATTAAAAGAATTTTTTTTCCTGCCCTGAATGAGTTCCCTTGAGCAACAGGCGTCATCCCAAGGCAGACCTCGCGCGCGATACTAGGACGTGTTATTGACCCGACAGTTTGGTTCACCCTCCTCTCCCTTTTCCGGCCGGTGGATGTTCTTGCAAAGCGCCGCCACTGAAGAGAGGGGAAAAGGGAAGATCACTTTTTGGCACTGCAGATATTGCGGCGCTTTTGAACCCGGGAGAAAAGAGGCAATCAAGACCAATGATCCTGAGGAATCGGAGCCGACCATCTTGGACAAGCCTGCTCGACCGAGTGCAGAACAGCTTACTGAGGATAGTGCACACGACAGAGTAATAGCAATGAGGGGGGACCGTCAACCAGAAGAGGTTTGCGGCGCAGTCATCTTGCAGGTCGGATATGTACCCATAACGACGGTCATGGATGAAAGTCGTAGCCCCGAGGCCCAACACAAGCAGCGCCTTGGCATGGCGCTTGCTCGATGGAATCACAGACTGCAAAAGAACCGCCAAAGGAGAAATAAGCCTTGCAAGACGAATTGACAGGGGTGGGAGTGATGAGCTGGAGAAGGACAGCCGCAACCTAGCCTCCTCCTAGCTGCCTGAAAGACCCTGGCGATGCAACATCTGGGTTCTGGATTCTCGCGATGAACAAAGACTGGAAGGTGGGTATCGCGCTGCCTCGCAAGACTGATGGGGCCAGTCGATTTGAATGAGTATGGTTGGTTGATGAGAAAAGAATTGGACTTGATCAAGACAAAAAGGGAAAAAGAAACCAACAGTCAGTCAATTAGTTCAGAAGAGGTTGGAGACGGAGGACAGGGAAGAGACTGGGATGAGGAGGGGTATGGCATGGAAGACTACAGGGAATCTCCATAACGGATGAGGCCTTTTTTTTCTTTTCCTTCTTTTATATTTTTGACTTTCTCTTTATGGATCCCGACAGCAGATGCAGAGTTGCAAAGTGGAGAGAAGAGGAGATGGTGGACTGAGATGAGGGGGTGAAATCGCCTCAACGAGCGATGCAAGAGGGCAAAAGAGCAGCCGAAGCGATCGCGAAGCTGGAGTAACAGTAACAGACCAGGATATTATCACCATATCACCAACAACACCTCTTCGCCTTCCTATTTCATTCATCAATTCGACGATTTCAATTAATTTGCTGACTGCTGATGGACAAGACTAATTGATCGTCCCGCTGTCCGGCGTTTTGGCCCAAACCATCCACAGAGCTTATCTACGCGCCGCGATGGAGTCATGGAGACGACTTGGGGCCCTTGAAGGGGTCATTCATTAATAATGGCCACGAATCATTTCCCTTGTGTTCTCCAGTGATCAGCAGTGGAAAAGAGACGAGTCAAATGGCGAAGCTACGGCGTACTTGGCGAGAATTGAACGGATTGTCTTATGTGAAAGCCCTAATGATTACCATGAAGTGGATAATCCAGCATAATATATCGGCCGTTTGTCGCCTGTCCAAGTGACTCCGTATAAACATTAAATGTACCCAGTGTTCAGTACTCCGTACACCGTCGCTTTGAGAAAGAAAAAAACCACCCAGAAAAGAAAAGAAAGAAAGAAATATTTCCATCCATCCACTCAGCCAAAATTGGTGATCAGTCTGGACAGCACCGGTTTAGGCCTCCGCGGAGGTCGCATTCCCTCCACTAACGGAATAGAAGGTGATTCTACAGACAATTGGCCCGTAGGGTAGGAAATGTTACTATCCAAGTGCATCGACGGTCGCAAGTCATCTTCTGGCGAGGGACCTCGAGCCGAGAGCAGGGCAGAATCCCTGGTATACTCCGGTGAGCTGTGGATGAACGAGAAAGGACGATTCTCTGGTGGAGGCGGCAAATGTGATGATCTTCTACCGTTATTGGGAGAGTAGACTGGTTGGACTTGGATGGAGGTTGGACGGAGATCCTGGTACTTGGAGGGATCGTATACAGGGAGTGAAGATGATAGTGTCTGATGATACGTTGGGGGACGGTCGGTTTCTCTAACGGGATTATAGTAGGATTGAGGCCGTGATGGATGCGTGTTGACTTTATAGGTTGGAGGCAGATGGTAGGCGAGAAGCTGCTCTTCGTGTCGCTGGATACGATCCCATCTGCGTTTCTTCCAGATCACGAATACAATCCCTGCAGTGACTGGGAGATGGTTAGAGTTGATGATGATGATGATGATAAAGAATGCGATGAGACTTACTGGCAATGACAGCAACGCCTCCAACGACGACTCCAATGATGATCTGATCCTGAGTTGAAAGCTCCCCTGATCCATCACCATCGGATCTTTTGTGCCATACAAGACTACCAGAAGGAAGGATCATGATGGGAGCTGACTGGGATAGGCCTGGTTCAAACACGATCTCATGGATTCTTGTAAGAAGGCCGAAACATTTCTAGAGGTTGAAAAAAGCTTCATGAGCGGGGAATTAAAGCATCTGGAATGAGGGGAAGCCGTGGTTTCAGAGTGGTTTATTTTGAGCTTCACGGTAAACAAAGATAGACTCGTCCATCCAGGAAGCTCAAAATAGCATCGTTCATCCTGCCTCGCATCTCGAGCTCCATCGGACGGTGCCGTTCATTGGCAGAGGATTTCTGTCCATCGCCATCGAAGCGCCGTGGACTCGTATCATCAGCGCTCAGGATGAACACAATTGGGCCACGTTGGTGTAGCGTCAAAGAATGGGCCTCGCTAGCGTTTAGGTGCATAAGGATGAGGATAATAATAATATGTCCTAATTATCTTCGAATAATAGTCTTGTTTCAATTTTTAGTAGTGAATATCCCTGCATACAACAATATACCAACACCAACACCAACAACAACAATAGAATCATCACTCTGCATACGGTCGATAAAGCGCGATTCCTTTTTCAGTTGAAAAGTCCAACGCCACGCCTTGTCCAACAAAATACACATATCCCTCCTTCAACTCCAATGTCTTGTCGGGGATATTCATCTTCCCACACCCCTTGGTGACTATCATGAGACTCGGTCCCAGAATCGACTTGTGCGTCTCTGTCTCACCAGCCCCAAGACTCGTCGCTAGGATATTGAACTCGGTGAATGGAGGCTTATACTCGTCTGTCCGACCATTCATCCCCTTGTCACTTTTTTTCCGCGACAGCATCGCCCCCTCGGGACTATGCGGTTTGAACGTCATGGCCTGCGCGAATAGATCCACGTTATCCCGCGCCGGACGGGGGCAGAATCCAGTATTGAGCACGTTATCAGACCGTGCCATGCATTCGACAATATCACCGTTGAGATAGGCATGGGGGCTATCGGCGGGCACACAGACAGCATCACCCGGTCCCAGCGTCATGTAGTTCATCAGCACCGTGGCAACCAGATTGCCGTTATCCGACTCAGAATACTGCCTGCGCAGACGCTCCAGGAGGCCAGGGATGTAGGAGTAGCGACCAAACTGTGACTCGGGGATATTCTGCAGCTCTTTGACCGTCTCGGCCACGACCACTTGCGGCATGCTCAGCAGCGTCTTGCACACCTGGCGGAGGAGATTATCGTCGAACTTTTCGTGGGGAGGAACAAAGCGTTCGAGTGGGTGCAGCTTCATGAGCTTCTGGATATCCTCGAGTGGTTTCCATCCTGCGAATAGCTCGAAATTCGACAAGGCCACTGCGATTTCGGGTTTGTGGTTGGGATCGCCGAACTTTTGGGGATCGGCTAGGTTGAGCTTCTCTGCTAGGGCCTTGTCTGGATGAATCTGAAGGGGGAGAGCTTGGGCAAAGGAGAGAATCTGATCGCGTTAGAAGGTGGTCAGAGAGAGATGAAAGAGAAAGGAAGAAAAAACCTTTGGCAAGAAAGGAATCTCTGGACCCCATCGATCCAGAACAGACTTCCCAATAAACTGCGGATTCTTCTTCAGATAGTCTGCCAATAATTCTCCTGTGGATAGCACATATGATGGGACTGTAGGGTATGTTCCCATCCACATCTAATCGTCGTCAGTGGGTGTCAATGTGGAAGAAAAAGAAAAGCCAACGCACCTCTGAATATAGCTCTGAATCTTCTAATTCGCCTGCCCCGGGCGTTTTGGACCACAACTGACCTGCCACGGAGTTTTTTCCTTTCTTTCCCCATGGGTCATGCTGTGTAGATGTTATTATCTATCTGTATTGGGATATCGTGGTATATCTGAATATCTGAACTCGTACCTTGCAGCCACATTTGAGCTGAACCACAGCATCAGCCATAATATAAGATAATAAAGAAAAATATCAAGAATCTATCTCGTTTCAAAAACGAAAAGAAGATACTAATTAAATATTACCAGAATATGTAGCAAATCGAAAAGTGTCCGTGTGAGGATTATCCGTCTATGTAACGGCCGAAAGAGCGACATTGACATGCCATTATCGTCATATGGAGATATGACTTGCTCGACTTCAGATAAAGCACATGAATTAAGCCATGAAGGGATCAGTATCCCACCAATAGGAATCTATCATCCATGAAATCAAGTTGGGGGCGTTTTCTGACGTCGGTTGATCAAGAGTGATTCAGTCTTGACGTCAGAGTCACATATGGTGATGGGTGGGAATACTCAGCAACTCGGTGGGATATTTCATTTATTATTATAGGGATGTTTTAATAATAATGTCAAGAATAGTTGTGAAAATGTAGATGCATTGTCAAATAATCTCATCATCGTACGACTCGTATATACTATCATCTACATGAAAACCGGGATAACCACCAACGCCTTGCATTAAGTTCAGTCATTCTGATCAACCAAAACAAAACAACAATACCTAGTATATCAAATCAAGCCAAATCAATCATTCGTATAGATCCTCTGCATCCGGCACCATGGTCATGGTCAACCGCGAGGACGCCTTCTTCCTTCCCACTGCCGGATTCGCAACCACCACCCGTCCACCTTGTATGCCTGATGCCCTACGCGGATCAAAGCTGTTTTTGTGACTCGATCGCGAGGAGGACCGATAATCATCGCAGTAGTCGTTTTCGTCATCATAGTAGCCACTTCCATACTCATGGCCATGCACGGGTTCAACTTCGACCGAGTATTTTCTCGAACTCCCACGGGAGCTGACCGAGGGGCTGCGGGGTGGGAGTGATCCCAGTTCTTCGTTATATCGTGTGCTGGCTGGGATATACCGGAATCGTGAAGCCCGGCGGTCATGGTGCTGGGCGGTTGTCTTCTCAGCCACCTCGTTGAGATAATCTTGTCGGATGGGTTTGTATGCAAACTCCGACCTCTGATCTGCAAAGTGTCGTAGTCGGTCGTCCTCGTCATGATGGGTGTCTGGTGCAGCAGCCTTAGAACGAGGGCCAAGACGCATCGACAACCGACGAGGGTTTAATGTGCTGATGGAAAAGGAGTTGCGGCGGGATGAAGGCGTTGTATCCGTCGAGGTAGTCTCATCCTCGTCTGATGACTGTCGAGAGCGAGGAGAGCAGTCGGGTACAAACCCTGGACCGTATCCCAGTTTCCGATGGGATGATTGATGAGGGTTGTTGTATTGGCTCCATGAGCCTTCTGTCGGGGCGGAGATGGCGACATCCCCCCATCTGGCATGGAGGGGTTTGCGCGAGTCATGTTTGCGGAATGGGTTCAACGCTGTCATGATGGGAGAGTGTGCTTGGGATTTATTCCAGTCGATGATAGAGGGCAGCCAAAGAAGATGATAGAGTCAACTCGAAGAGTGAAGGAGAGAAATCATGATATAGTATGAGAAGGCTAGACACGAAAGAAGCACACCAACAACTCCCAGGCAGCCAACACCAACATCCAACAATCACAAGAGAAGGCAGACCCTTGATATTAAGTTGCTGCTGATCTCCTGCACGAAAGAGTCATCGACCACCAGTCCAGACAGGGGCACGAGGACAAATTACGTCTTGCAGACAAGACCAACAAGCCAAGGCAGTGAGGGGAAATCAAGGCCAACAACAGACAACAGTGCATAAAGAAGCGAAGACAAAGAATTAAAGAAGCATATCAAAGTTAACCACATTCAAGACGAATCATCAACTTCAAAAGGAACAATAAGCCTTTGCCCAGACACAAGCCGTTTGAATCCGATTCGATTGCACTCGAGCCAGTGATGGCAGACGAAGATATAAAAGTTTTGGCCATGGCTGATGGTGCTTTGTTTTGTTTTTTTCTTGTTTCATTATTCGAACCACCCCAGTTGCACTATCCAACATGCACGATGTTGCCAACATTAGACCAGCGTCAGGGTTGGACGGAGAAGATCATCCACGAGAATAGCACTCATTGATCGATACTTGCCGCCGGACGACAGCGGGCAGATGCATTAGCAGCGCATCGTGGCAATCCAGCATAATTAGCCAGGAAAGCGACCTATTTTAAGGACACTTAACAGGGATTTAGTGACACTAATTAGCTCAATGTAACGGACCAAATTAGAAATATTGATGGTCTTTCTCTCCCCGCTCTTATGTCGCATTATCCCACACATTCACCACCTTCACTGGCCAATGATCTATCGCGGCGGTTGTTGGTGCTTGTTGGTGATGGCTGCGAGCGATGCGCCCGGCGGCAACGCTGTCGACCAGCGGTTTCAGGTTGATTTGCATAATGACTCGGTTAGCAGAGGAGATCATGTTCATGTTTGTGATGGCCAGATGATCTTTGGGTGGTCATTTCTTGGTCCATGTGAACAAGGTTGACAAAAGGCCCATTCCTATACAAATCACACAAGAACACACTTGGGAAGAAGTGGAAGAACCGATGCAAGTGGGTATATTAACCAGCTCAGTCACATTGCCAATGAATGAAACAATAAAGTCTAGGTAATGTAGAATTATGATGCTTCTCCAAATCAGAATCCAAAACACCACACTCCGATGGTTATTCGCACCAACGCCATCCAGATACATTCTAATGACCAACACCCAATTCTAGTTAAAAAGCCCAAATGAAAAGAACAAAATGTGCCATATACGTCATAAGAGTAATTGAATCGGTCCCATCAACCGACTGGTATATAGGCTGTTGTCAATTGACCCTCAGTAACTGAAGCCAAAACGAGCACCTGGCCACTTGGTCTTCAGCGTACTATCATTGAACAGCTTTGAAACACGAATATGAAACCCATAGTAACAGCTGAGTAAATCAGGTTTGAGAAGATGTCAGATTGGAAAAGCTGCTGTTGACCGTAGGCGTCATGCTGAGAACATTCTGCGGAGGTGACATGGCCTTGTCAGGTACTGGATATCCTCGAGGACTTGAGAATTCATGGTTCGGCTGCCAAAGGATAGTTCCAATAGAAGAGGATCGTTGTGAATAGGCGGAAGAGGACTGCCGGGATCGTACTGGGCTATGCTGGCCAGGCCAAGCAGACGGGTGGTCATAAGATGAAGGGCCCCATGAAGCTCGATGTCTTGGGGGTGCCGGTCGTCTGGGAAATGAATATTCCCTCTCCTCGGTACTATCAATTTCTGCATTAAAAGGCCCATCACCAGTATTTGGAATGTAACTCGGGTGGCTCTCAAATCGGGGTTTGGTCATCTCGGGGCCTGGGGTATCGCTGGATTCTGAAGTTTGTGGCTGTTCAAAGGATAATACACTGCGGGACTTTCTGATCTGTGCTATCGAGAACCGTCCTGAATTTCGTCTGATATGCCTTCTCTTCTCACACTCGTGGCTAAAAGAGTTCCTTCTTCGATTAATCATTCGCCCTCGGCCCCCAGTGCTATCAAAAGAATCAATGGAGTTGTAGTTCAAGTTATTGAGTCTCAACTCTATTTGGCTGGGGCTGAAAGCGACTCTTGCCCGCATTTTTTGGATAGCTGAATCTAAAGCCAGCTCGATGGCGCAGTGATTTCTGATCCGGCCAAGCCTGGGCCATGTTGCGCGCTCCCCGCTGAGGCAAGCCTTGAGCATAAAATCCGTCGTTGGATTCTTAAGCATCAGAGGGAAGTTGGTGTAGAGTATTTCCGGGTAGATGTTGATGTCTCCGGAGTACTTCTGATTCACGATAGAGACGACTTTGGTCAACGAAGTTGGAAATACTCCCAGCTCTGACAGGACTGTCATCCGGTGAAGCACTTCTTCCTTGGCAAGATGCGTCACGGTATGAAGCCAGCCCGGTGCCTGGGATGATTCTGTCCCGTCACTTGGTCCGTCATCCTTTGGAAGGAAAGGGACTACATGGGGGTTGACTTGGGAAACGATAAAATGATTGACGTTGAACATTTCAGACAAGCGAGTCATGGGCAAATCACCATCGACCGAGCCGTCAATGTATTGTCGATGAAGGTCACTCCAAGGTACAGGCTGCCCTGTCAAGGGATCCTTAGCCATAATAACAAAAGGCGAGAACACAAGTGGTACAGAGCAAGAAACAGCCCTTCGAAGTGGTTAGCAAAGTCCAAATCACAAACGCTCAGAAGTACTTACACAGCAGACCAGATGAGCACATTAGGTGCAGTAATGTAATTCAACAGTCTGGGAAGCTCATATATACCGGCACTAGAAACACAGATGTTGAGAATCCTCCGTGTTCTATTATAAGCTTCTTGAAACGTGATATCTCCCAGCCAACTTCTGATGACTTTTGCCAGATGGGAAATGTCCAGAAAAGATCCATATTTCAATAACCTCGCAGTCTTCTGTAAAATGTTTTCTTCGTGACCCTCTTCATTGAAAACTGCAAAATTCCCTTGCGGAAATGCATCCAGCAGGGCTGGAATTTCGTCCTCCGTGCGAGTGCAGAAGACCGCGCAAACGATGCTGCCTGCAGAAGCACCCGAGATGATACGTGGGAGTAGTTTCGATTGCCAGAGAGCCTTGAGAACACCAATATGATTCATTCCAAAAGTGGCTCCTCCAGAGAATAGCAGAGCACTTCTGCCAAATGCCTGTCGTGCCGCTAAAAGTTGATCGAGAATATATTTCAACTCCAATCCATCGCAACGAACTTTACCGGACAAATCCACCAAAGTTGATATTGTATCCAGAGCAGTCGTAATATATCTATCAATCAGATCCTTTGTGCCGAAATGAGAGTGTCTGTAAAGCGCGACATTGCTCATGTTGCCTAAATCACGGCTCAAAGAGGTACGAATCAGAAACAGCATTCGCCTCATGTCGCAATTGATCCGGGCATCTTCCAGCTGTCTGAGACTCTCTTGTACGAGGTGCGGGTCGTAATCAGAGCTCTCAAATGTCTGTTTCCAAGTATTATTGTCCTCCAAGCTATCCAATTCGCAAGCGCAGTTCCGCCATTCGTCGTACGAGACTGCCTAAAAGCCACAGCACGGTCAGACAAATCTTTGATTAGAAGGAAGAGATGGGGAATTCCAACTCACATTACGCATCCTGAGATACAGGATTTGTTTGTTATCCTCGATCCTCATCTGGCTTTTCCTTTCTTCCTTGGACAATCCATCGCGATAGGAATGGAAGGTGTCACCAGCCCAGTAGAGCGAATTCTTAACAATCGAGGACAGCGAGGGAACGGATATCGACCTCAGAAGAGAAGCATTTTTGCTGGATAGCTCACGGATCGTGACATGCTCTGACTCTTTTTTGCTCTTGCCATGGCATTTTGAATGGACTATCGCAGAATCATGAACAAGTGACATGGCAGGCTACCTAGTACATCGAGGCCAAGCCATCCGGGGAAAGGAGAGTTGGCTTGAAGAATAAAGAATCAAGAAAATATAGAGTATTCAAAAGAGGGCAACAATTCCTTTTGACCTGAGATGAACGATGGATGAATTTCCCCCAAAAAAGTCAGTTGGAGGCAACGTCACGAGGGCTGTTCCGCTGTTGTTCCAATGTTCAGCCTGGCGGTTGCCGATCGGGACCCCAGAGGATTTGATTTTCGTGGGGTAAAACCGGAGATGATCTACGGCAGTGTGGGTTACGCCTCAAGGCCAGATGATTCATCGTTATCATGGTTGGTAAGAGAGATTAATCCTCATGATTCAGAATAGATAGGGTATAATTGAATCCATTATTAGAGTTGGTATGATATTGGGCCGTGATGTTGCAATTCCTCAGCCGATCTGATCTCATCTCCACCCTGCATTGCATGGCGGGGTCTATCATCTGAACAGTGATGGCATGGACCAGCTGGCTGACATCATTCTCAATCCCACTTTAAAGAGCACATGTCTGTATTATATCTTTAAGAATAATGAGTTGGACAGAATGTCGCACTAAAGAGACACTGGCAGCTCGCATAGATCAATTGGATGTTCAATATATTTCCGTTCAATAGAGCAACGAACAAACCCTGTAAGAAACCCAAAACCAATCCCAACTGAGTCATCCATCCACCAGGCCTGCAGAAAAAGTCATGCGAACGGACTATCTTATAGATTGGGTATCATAGCTCTGTTTTCACATGCTTTATGATAAGTGAACAATTGCATGTGAGTCTAATATGGACTCTTTCATCAGGCGCAGGCAGCCTTCATATTTTCTCCTCTTAATAGCTGGTAATCTAGACCCTTGAAGCTGACTTTTGATATCGGGGGTTGAGATAAAAGACCTCGCAAGACTTTAGGGCATCTGACGCAGCCAGTTCCGCAGGGTGTCTCTTGCCTGCGCTTCCACACCTTTTTCTCGCCAGAAATGTCCGGCTCCATCAATCTCACGACACTGTAGATTGCTCCGTGGGTCACTACAGAGCTCGCCTGACCATTTATGTAGCTTGCTAGCGGACGTGAAGGTATCCTGGTTTCCATAAATGGCCAGCGATCGATTCGCACATAGTTGGTCGGCAGGTTTGGGACATGGAATCTGTTTGGAAGATTCCCCAACTCCTACATCCAGCGACAATTTGGAGAATACTGTCAAGAAAAAGCTGACAGGCGGTAGAAGTGGCGAAATCAGTAGATATGAAATGGCGGGTTTGGTGATTTTCGTAGAATTCATTCCATCATCGGTGAAACTGGACTTGCCCAACGTCGGCATTTCGACTCGAGTGCGAAGTTTCTCTATTGAGCTTGCAGCGATATTCTCTGCGACCTTGCAGATCTCCTGTACTACGGTACCGTCGGAAGGTTTTCTGAAGAGCTCCATGATGACATCAATCTTTGGGAGGTGTGAAGCGATCAATGACCCGTAGGAATAACCTCCTAGGATGATTCGTACATCTGCGGTGCTATTCTCCGAGTTTGCCGTAAGATCGTCGGCTTGCGTCGAAAGACTCTTTACCCTCAGACCATGCAAGAAACGCAGAATGAATCCATAGATAGAAACGTAATCCGCCAGTTCGGGTTTTGCTGTCCAGCTGGTACGGCCCTCTGATTCACCAGCCCCCCTAGAATTTTGTGTAAGCCATGGCCCAAGCTGGTATTGTTGAGAATGGTAGATATTAACCTGAAGTTGAATGTCAACACGACATATCCAGCCTTAAGAAGCTCCCCACCAACAAACCCCACGACCGGGTCATCGTAGCATCCACCTAGCGAAGCGTATGGGTGAGCGACTATAGCACCCCGTTTCTGCCAGCTCGATGCGCTCTCTAGTCGTTGGAACTCGCGAGGGAGATATATGCGACAGTCCAGCTGGGTTCCATCATAAACCGACGGGACAAAGAATTCGAAAGTGGGAGATGAGAGATGCATATCAAGACCGATTTCAGTCCCAAATCATTCGGTCTTTCCCTTCCAACAGCATCACCGGGGGATGCTGTGTTGTTGGTGATTATCTGCAGTGAAGCTGGATTTCTTGGAGAGTAGAGAAGTGTGGCCGGAGCGTGGCCTGCTTCGACGCTACCCAACACTCCGCCAATCCTCGACTGTCGGTCGCATTGAAAGCCTTATCCAATCGATACTTAGAACAAAATGAGATCATTATTATAATTCATTATACTTAGAATAATGGGCTATATACATTGGATCTAATGTTAAGTTTTAAAAAGTTAACCCAGGTACCTGGGGAGTTTCTCATTGCTTTGAGAACAACCTGAGTCTTGTTGATATAAGCTACCACTACAATTAACATGTCGCAGGCTTTATTTATACTGCAGGCCAAGAGCTCGTTCAAGATTCAGGGAGTAGCCAAGCAGGGTCTGGCTCATCGTCTTCGTCTTCTGATCTCAACGAAGCATCGTGGAAATGTCCGTCTGCATCCCTCAATAAATCAGCTGGAGGCTCGGGATTGTCAACGCCAAGAGGATCTGCTTTTGAATCATCATGGTGGCCTTTTTCGGGCGATTTGCCCTTAGAATCAGGCCAAAGGTCTTCCCCCGAGACATTGAACGCGCCAATAAGCAACTCTCGTGCTTCTTTAAGCGCTTCAAGCTCCGCAGCAATGCAACAAACAAGCAGATTCCAGTTCTTTTCCTCTGCGAGCTCCAGGTGGTCTTCAATACGATGGGTCGTGCTTTCCAAATCGTCCAAGATACCTCGAACCCGATCTTCCTCCGATTTGCTTCCTGATGGGCCATCAGGCTTCAGAAGCTGTGACTGCGTCTGGATAAACTGACGCATCTCAGTCTTTAAGCGTTTCTCGAAATCTGAGACCTCTGAAGTCACTTGTTTCCACACACCACCGCCTTCTTCCAGGGCTTGTATTTCTAAATCCACTTCCCGTTGCCTCTTTTGTAGTTCCGCTTGCTCATTTCTCCAATGCTCTTGTGCCATATCAAGGGTTCGGCGCTTGGGGTTCAGGGAATAGAAGGTAGGCTGATCGGCACTGGTACTTGACATGGGCTGGAAAGGGGGGTTCTGAAGATAATTTCGGATGTCCGAGTCCAAAAGTGACAACGAAGCCTTGTAGGAAGACAACTTTGATTCGACGGAGTTTTCAATCTGCGTGATCTCATAGATAACATGTTGGTGCTTTGCCTTCATCTCAAACAGCTTGGTCTCCAGTTCACGTATGTCCTCCTCGAGGCCGCGCGCCTCCTGTTGTAGCTCATGGGATCGTTGGCTTTCACGATTATTGTGAATCGTTGAGATGGATTTCTCTAGCCCAGTCCTTTTGGAACTAAATTCATCAATTTCGATCAGTGCTTCTTTTCTTTCGTCAAATCGAAACGTGAGTATCTCCCGCTCCTCCTCCCTGAGCTTTAACAGGTCATATATTGATTTGAAAATTCCCTCCCGTGCAGAACGTAATCCGATCTTTTTTTGGACAGGCTGCCTGACAGGTATAGTCGAAGGGCCTCGAGAGCTACCTGGCTCAGAGGAATTGGGTGTATAGCTTCCACTGGAAAAGGAATCGTCTTGTCGGGGCCCTCCAAGTCCAGCCACGAGACCTTCACTTTGAGCATCGATTAGGACCTGAAGGGTCCTTTGGATATGTTGTGTTTGGCGATCAATAAATAATAGAGGGTCATGGTGTTGGAGAGAAGCCCTGGCAGGTACAGGCATCAAGTGCTTATCCCTGTGCGGAAGAACTGTGGACATTCTGAGGATTAGAGGGATCAGCTACGAGTAAAGCGGGTAGCTTGGTGGACAGCAGGCTCTCACGGTAAGCCGAAAAGCAGTGGGAAGACAGAAAAGGGTATTTAAACGCAAAGATGCCCGATCTGCATATGACCTTCTAATAATTTATTTTCCAAGTCAGCAAGGAATATTTTTCTTGTGCTTGTTTGCGCTTGTGATCCGTCCATCTTCCAATCCATTCCATCATAGCCTCACGTGACACCTCTAGGGGTATCTGCAGGAACCAACGGGCACCTCTTCTTGGTCAGCTTCACCTTCGCCCGTTGACGTGTGCCTCGTTGGAGGAAGCTTCGTGATCTCTCCAGCTGTCTCTTCCATTTCCGTCATTTGTTTCCCCCTTTGATTCTATCTTGTACCTTTTTTGTACATTTCAATTTACGGTGATTATTGCCATTTTTGAAGTCTTATTTGTCGATCTGGGGCTTACTCCACTGTCTTGAAGCTCCCTCTCACAGCTGTCGCCTCATCGCTCTAGCGACAGCACCACAACCCTCCCATAACACTTCAGCTGGTGAAGCGAGATATTTCCATCCAAGATGGTCGGACTTGCTTCAGCCGCTGGTCTTGTTGGCTTTCTCTCTGAGCCCGATCCGGAGCTCAGAGTGTTTGCTCTGAAGACGCTAGACTCCCAGATTGACCTGCTCTGGACAGAAGTCGTGGATGCTGTTCCACAAATGTGCGTGATCCTGTTGATACCGATTCTATTTGGGGCCTGATTCCCTGTTAGAAATATCCCTGGCTAACAGAATGGCATCTAGAGAGGCACTTTATGAAGATGAGTCCTTCCCGGAACGCGAGCTTGCCGCCTTGGTTGCGGCAAAGGTTTACTACCACCTTCAAGAATATAATGAGAGTATGGTGTTTGCTCTCGGAGCAGGAAAGCTTTTCAAGTTGGATAACGGTGGCGAGTTTGAAGAGACCATAATCGGTGAGTCGCTAGAGCTCTAGATGTTAGAATATTTAGCTGATGCGATGCACTACACTAGCAAAATGCGTTGATACTTTCATCTCCCTCTCGGTTGCCCAACGGCCTGCAGCTGGTGACCAACCCGCCAACTTGAACACCGCATTCCCGACCTCCGGTGAAGGTGCGACCAGCACTTCTGCGAGCCTGACATCCCCGATCACACCATTCTCTCAGTCTGCCCTGCCATCGAAATCCTTGCTTTCTCGACAGGAGGTCCCTGGAGTGGACGCAGCCTACCCAGGAGGTGAAGACATTAGCGTAAAGCAGGTAGAAACCCCACTTGTTTTGAAGCGAGGAGTCCAGGGTCAGCTGCAGACAGTCATTGAGCGCTTGTTTGAAGACTGTTTCCGCCAGAAACGCTACCGCCAAGTGATAGGAATCGCTATCGAAGCAAAGAGCTTAGATGTTCTTCGCAAGACTATCATTCGGGCTAGCGAGGATGAAAAGAAGCAGAACGGCGAGTCTAGACGGAGCGAAGAGCTCATGGAGTATGTCCTCGATATTTGCATGGGCATCGTTCAGGAGCGCGCATTTCGGAATGAGGTTTGTACCCCACTCTCACCAGTTGTTTCTATATCTAATTTTGCGGTCTTTTTCTAGATTTTAAAACTCATTCTTGAACTGTTGAATGAAATCCCCGCGCCAGATTATTTTTCGATTGCCAAGTGCGTCGTGTACCTGAACGAACATTCCATGGCATCTGTTATTCTTCGCCAATTGGTTGAGAAGGGCGACGCACGTTCTCTAGCCGTTGCCTACCAGATTTCCTTCGATCTTTATGACAACAGCACGCAAGAATTCTTGAAGAAGGTTCGCGAGGAGATTGCTGAACTTGTACCAGACAGCAATGAGGCGGAAGAGACAAAGGAGGGTGAACAAGAAGAGCCGAAAGAATCCGATGCTTTGTTGGAAGACCAGTCTAGCTCCGAGCAACCTAAGTCCCTGGGCGCCGGTGCAAAACTCCCCAGTGAAGCACGTGCAGCATTTAAGAACATCTTGGACATACTCGACGGCATCAAGAGTATCCAGTTGAATTTGGAGTTTCTATACCGAAGCAACAAGGCCGACATTTCAATTCTCAACAAGGTTCGCGACAGCTTGGAGGCTCGGAACTCTATCTTCCACACCGCGGTCACGCTGTCCAATGCCTTCATGCATGCTGGTACCACCCACGACAAGTTTTTCCGCGACAACCTGGAGTGGCTTGGCAAGGCCGTCAACTGGTCTAAGTTCACGGCCACCGCTGCTCTCGGTGTGATCCACCGCGGTAATCTCAGCCAGGGCCAGAAGCTCTTGCAACCGTATCTGCCTAGGGAGCACATTGCTGGCGTTGGAGGATCTGGCTCCGTTTACAGCCAGGGAGGATCGTTGTATGCATTCGGTTTGATCTATGCTAACCACGGTGGCATGGCCGTTGATCTCATTCGTGATCACTTCAAGAAGGCTACCGAAGAGGTCGTCCAACATGGTGGAGCTTTGGGTCTGGGTGTCGCAGGCATGGCCACTGGCGATGAGGGTATCTACGAAGACCTTCGGAACGTTCTTTACACAGACTCGGCCCTCAACGGTGAGGCTGTCGGTCTGGCCATGGGTCTCGTCATGTTGGGAACCGGCAATATGAAGGCTCTCGAGGATATGATTCAATATGCTCATGACACACAGCACGAAAAGATTGTTCGTGGTTTGGCTATGGGTATGGCTTTGATTATGTACGGACGCCAAGAAGCGGCTGACGAGCTGATCAATGGCCTCCTCGGCGACCCTGACCCAACTCTCCGCTACGGTGGTATCATGACTATCGCTCTGGCTTACTGCGGTAGTAGCAGCAACAAGGCTGTCCGCAAGCTTCTGCACGTTGCCGTCAGTGATGTCAACGATGATGTACGACGGGTTGCAGTGCTGAGCTTGGGATTCATCCTTTTCAGAAAGCACCAGAGCGTTCCCCGTATGGTCGAGCTACTCTCGGAATCCTACAACCCTCACGTTCGATACGGTGCTGCGATGGCGCTTGGTATCTCCTGCGCCGGTACTGGCTTGGATGAGGCTCTTGACCTCCTTGAGCCAATGCTCAAGGATTCTACCGACTTTGTTCGACAAGGAGCTTTGATTTCCTTGGCCATGGTTCTGGTGCAGCAGAATGAGGCCATGAACCCTCGTGTTAGCAGTCTTCGTAAGGCCATGATGAAGATGATCGGAGACAGACATGAGGATGCTATGGCCAAGTTCGGTTGCGCCGTTGCCCTGGGCATTATCGACGCTGGTGGCCGCAACTGCACTATCAGCCTACAGACCCAGACTGGCAACCTTAACATGCCTGGAATCGTTGGTGCTGCTGTTTTCATCCAATACTGGTACTGGTTCCCTCTCACACACTTCTTGTCGCTCAGTTTTGCTCCCACCTCGGTGATTGGTGTGGACCAGAAGCTTGAGGTCCCCTTCTTCAAGTTCCACAGCAACACAAGGCCGAGCCTTTTCGACTACCCTCCCGAGCAGCAGGTCAAGGCCGAGGAAGCACCGGAGAAGGTCAAGACTGCCGTACTTTCTACGACTGCCCAGGCTAAGCGTCGCGCACAGCGTCGTGAGAAGCAACAACGCCGTGAAAGCATGGACGTCGACCAAACACCTACGACCCCCAAGGTGTCTGAACAATTGCCGGAAAAGATGGAAACCGACGAAGGTGCAGCCAAGGAAGAGGAGGCCAAGGAAGGCGAGAAGGGAGAAGGTCAGAAGAAGAAGGTCGAGCGTGAGAAGGTTGGATATGAACTCGAGAACATGTCTAGAGTTCTCCCTGCTCAGCTCAAGTACCTCACCTTCCCCGACCCACGGTATGAACCAGTTAAGCGGGTATGTATAGAGTTTCCTCTTTTTCCCATACACAACTAAAATCAGGTTGCTAACTAAATTTCCACAGCCTACCGGTGGTGTGGTTGTCGTGCTTGACAAGACCCCTGAAGAGACACGAGAGACGATTGAGATGAAGGCGAGCAAGGAGGTCAAGCAGGCTGCCGCTGCAGAAACCCTACAGGACCGACTCCAGGCTGCTATTGGTGCCGCTGCCATGCAGACTCCTCAACGCGGAGCACGAGCTCCCCTGGGCACAGCCCCTAATGACGATGCAGGTGCTGCAGCCGCTGCGGGCGTCCTCATGGCCGTGGATGAGGATGAAGAAGGAGGCGAAGAAGCACCTGTTCCGGAGGATTTTGAATATGAAACTGACGGAAGTGACGAGTAATGGGGGTAACGGCACGCACCATTCCAGGTGCTGGTTGTATTACTAGAATAATAGGGATGTCTTTTATCTTAAGCGATGGCAGAGATACTGCTTGAGGCAATTTAACGTGATTCGGGTTAATTTACCTAAATGCCTATATGTTTCCGTATCTCCCACAGATCCCCGGAGTAGAATTGTTTCAAATAGCACGAGTAGCATATGCACAGAGTCGATTTCAACTGGATTGCGTACATGTGCCAACAAATCAGCGAACTTCCAAAAATAATATGACGATGCCATCATCTTGTTTTTGTCGGGTGTCTTTCACATGTTGCGATCCAAAGTGGACGAACCTAAAATTACAGGGTGTCCACGGTCTGGATGTAAAGTAACGGTAATTTATACTGTTCCTCAGCCTCGGTACTTGCTTATTCTGGTAGCATCACACACGTGATCCCATGACGCAGAGAGGCCCGATCGGCCAATAAGCATCGGCCCAAACATAGCCGGCTGACCTTCTGCTCCGAGGCGCTCAACAGAATGCCAGGACGGCCCTTGGATGGCTTCTGGCTGGGACGCAGACTCAGCTGGTTTGGCACATGTGAACGACCTGACTGCTATCAGAAGCGCAGTGGTGGGCTGTTAATTCACCGAGGGCGATCGCTGCTGTCGGTTTCTAATACACAGTCCTAACCACCCCATTTACCTACCTGCTTTGGACTGCTCCGAGAGTGATCGATGATCGCATTCTTGTATCCATTTATTTTTTTTTCACGCCAGTACTGTAATAGAATAAATTCCGGTTGTGACGGGTCCTGTTCCAGTCTTATATCTATCTCTCTTATACCCCAGACTTTCTCTTCTCTTCTCTCTTCCCCTCTACCCCATACCCCTTTGTCTATCTCTGCGCATTCTTTCTCTTAGGCCCAATCCATCATGTCTAAAACCTTCTCCAAAGAAGACGTCTCGTCGCATAGCAAACCAGACAACCTCTGGGTTATTATCGATGAGGACGTTTACGATTTGACTAACTTCCAAGATGAACACCCAGGTGGAAAGAAGAGTATGTCGCCGTCTATTTGTTGGGACAAATCACTGGGGCTAACCATACACGCTTAGTTCTTGCACGAATGGGTGGAAAGGATGCATCGAAACAGTTCTGGAAATATCACAACGAAGGAATCTTGAAGAAGTACAAGAGCAAGCTGCAGATTGGGTCGTTGAACACCAAGAAGGTGGAAGAAGCGCCAGCACCTGCGCCGGCTAAGGAGGCAGCTCCTAAGCCGCAGGCTGCTGCTGCTGTTGATCTCCCAAACAAAACCTCCGAGCCTCAGGAGCCTTTCGGTGAACTGATTCCTTTCTCCGATCCTGCATGGTACCACGGTGTAAGTTTTCTGCTCGGCATGTCGCATTTTACATGTTGGGGGCAACTAGGCTAATATCGTTGCGATTTGGATAGTATCACTCTCCCTACTTCAACGAGACCCATTCCGCACTTCGCGCAGAGGTCCGACAATGGGTTGAATCCGAGATCGAGCCGTACGTGACCGAGTGGGATGAGGGCAAGGAAGTGCCCGCTTCAGTTTATAAGCAGATGGGTGAAAGAGGTTACCTGGCAGGTCTGCTGGGTGTCAAATATCCCGTCCAGTACACCCCTCATAGAGTCCAGTCCGTTGCACCAGAGAACTGGGATCTTTTCCACGAAATGCTTCTTACAGATGAACTGTCGCGCTGTGCCAGTGGTGGTCTGGTCTGGAACTTGGTTGGTGGTTTTGGCATTGGTTGCCCGCCACTGGTCAAGTTTGGTCAGAAGTCTCTCGTGGATAGAATCCTTCCTGGCATTCTCGCTGGCGAGAAGCGCATCTGCCTTGCTATCACCGAGCCCGATGCTGGTAGCGATGTTGCCAACTTGACCTGTGAGGCGAAGTTGACACCCGATGGCAAGCATTACATTGTCAACGGTGAGAAGAAATGGATCACCAACGGTTGCTGGTCGGACTACTTCACCACTGCTGTTCGTACCGGCGGGCCCGGTATGGAGGGTATCAGTGTTCTTCTCATTGAGAGAGAGGCCGGTGGAGTTAGCACCAGACGAATGGACTGCCAAGGTGTCTGGAGCAGTGGTACCACCTATGTGACCTTCGAGGATGTGAAGGTGCCTGTGGAGAACGTCATTGGAAAGGAGAACAAGGGATTCAAGGGTGAGTGCAGCTGCTCCTCAGACTCTAAAAAACGAAAATGAAAGACCGTGAGAATGCTAACTATCAAATTAGTGATCATGACCAACTTCAACCACGAGAGAATGGGAATTGTGATCCAGTGCGTCCGGTTCGCCCGTGTTTGCTATGAAGAGTCGATGAAGTACGCCCACAAGCGTAAGACCTTTGGAAAGAGGCTCATCGACCACCCGGTCATCCGTATGAAACTGGCCCATATGGCTCGTCAAATCGAGGCCACTTACAACTGGATGGAGAACATGATCTACCAGTGCCAGTTCATGGAAGAGACCGAAGCGATGCTCAGACTTGGTGGTGCTATTGCCGGTCTCAAGGCCCAGTCCACCCAGACTTACGAGTACTGTGCGCGTGAGGCCAGTCAGATCTTCGGCGGTCTAAGTTACAGCCGTGGCGGCCAAGGTGGCAAGATCGAAAGACTCTACCGCGATGTCCGTGCCTATGCCATTCCTGGTGGAAGTGAGGAAATCATGCTTGACTTGAGTATGCGCCAGAGTTTGCGTGTGCACAAGATTTTTGGAATGAAGCTTTAATGCTTCTGCCGTCTTCCCTTCTCCTTGGATATAAAATCTGTCTTGATCTACCAGTGAATTTGGTCGATATTCAGAGATGTTGAATGATCTTTTGTACTATATATCCTATTTAGCATTACTTGGACAGCTCTTCTTTTTTGGAAATATGATCGACTTTAAACATGTTAAATATAATGTTCTGGCTGGTAACTATCAATATCTACGCTAGAATTGATCGCGGATATTATCAACAACCAGGCAAATGTCTAACCATTTGTATGACACGATTTGAATTGGGTATGAGAATTACCCAAGTCATTTCAAAATTAATAAACTCAGCCAAACAGACGAAATAATATCTTCTCCAATCAGAAAGAAATATATTCATTGCAACTAGATTTTATGTTGCAAACTGACCAGTCGACGAAAGTTACGGCGCCGCACTCGCACCACAAACGCAGCCGCCTGGCGCCGTTTCAACTTCATTTGAAGATCATCGGAGGAGCTTTTGACCACGAACCTCATCACCTCTCCTGAATACCTCCTCTGTGTATTTATACACACTGACGGCTCGCCCTACTGAAAATTGAAGTGGGCAGCTTCTGATTTATCTCTTGTTTGTTTCTTTCGCTCTAGACCAGAGACAACGAGCTATCCTGTCGCGGTCGCGGACTTGGCGACGAAACGCCGCTTGATTGCCTGGCTACGATTCATTAATACAAGGTAGTCACTCCAACCCATCCCTTCATCTGTCGGTTGCCAGGCCGGAGTCGACTAGTCATCCGCAGCTTGGAATTTCTTTGCTCCGATCTGCCTTCCCCAGCTGGCTTAGTGACGTTGTCCCTGGTTCCTATAAATTGCTTGAACAGCCCCCCTTAAAGGAACGATCAATCTAACAACTCTTCTGATTTTGCTAGTCGGATAGAACCCTGCCTTGCGCTCTCTCGATCTCCCTCCGCTCATATCTGAGGCAGTGATCGGCCAGCTACGGATTCCCGAACAAACCAACCGGTTCAGAAGCATTTAAAGCACAATGTCACATAATTTAGCCAACCAGGACTTTGGGTCCGATGAGGAGGATGATGACTTCAACCCCGCTCCCGCCGAGGACTCTGATAACGAAGATGTAAAGGTTGGTGGTAGTAAAAAAGTGGCAATGGGAGAAGACGATGCTGAGAAAATGGGAAAATAGCCTGCGAGTAAACCAGCCGCCGACTCGGATGACGAAGAAGAAGAAGACACGAAGCCCAACGGTAGCCGAGCGACTGCACAGCCAAAGGACGAAGATGATGAGGATGATGATGAGGACGGCGACGGTCGCGAAGACGATGAAGAAGAGGGCGACAATGACGACGAGGAGGAGGAGGAAGAGGAAGACGAAGACGACGAAGATGCCGTTTCTGTGCGTGATTTTGCTTGATTTCCTTGGAGTGCTTCTCTTCTAGGTAGTGGCAAGGCTGACAAGACTCTTTGCGCTTTACACAGGGTCGTCCGAAAAAGCGAAGAAGGCGAGGAGGTGTGCACTCCTTCTTCGAAGAAGAGGCCGGTGTCGATGAGGATGAGGATGAAGCAGAAGATGAGGAAGACGAATTGGCTGAATTCGGAGCGGAGATGCACCCAGACGACATGGATGCGCTGCCTGTTGGTGCAGAGACGGACGATCGTCGACACCGACAACTTGATCGTCAGCGTGAGCTCGAGGCTAGCATGGACGCCGAGAAGCAGGCTCAGATGCTCAAAGAGCGGTATGGACGAAACCGCATGAATGCTTCTGACGCCGTCGTCGTCCCGAAGCGACTGCTCCTTCCCAGTGTCGAAGATCCTAGTATCTGGGGTGTTCGCTGTAAAGCCGGAAAGGAGCGTGACGTCGTATTCGCAATCCAGAAGCGCATGGAGGAGAGACCAATGGGTTCTCGAAAGCCCATCAAGATCATTTCTGCTTTTGAGCGTGGGGGTGCTATGAGCGGCTACATTTATGTGGAAGCCCGCAGACAGGCCGATGTCATGGAAGCGCTGGAAGACATGACCAACGTTTATCCCAGATCCAAGACAATCTTGGTCCCTGTGAGGGAAATGCCCGATCTTTTGCGTGTACAGAAATCCGAAGAGCTTGTACCTGGTGGATGGGTTCGCATCAAGCGTGGCAAGTACATGAACGATTTGGCCCAGATCGAAGAGGTCGAAACAAATGGTCTGGATGTTACTGTCCGATTGGTCCCACGACTGGATTATGGATTGAACGAAGACACTGGTGCACCAGTAGTCGACCCCAAGAGAAAGCGTCCTGGCATGAACCCAGCAGTTGCTCGCCCCCCTCAACGTCTATTCAGCGAAGCAGAGGCAAAAAAGAGGCATGGCAAGTATCTATCGGCTACTTCAGGTCTTGGTGGAAAGTCATGGGGTTATCTGAACGAGACCTATGTCGATGGTTTCCTGATCAAGGACATGAAGGTCCAGCACCTGATCACAAAGAATGTCAACCCTCGGCTAGAGGAAGTCACCATGTTTGCTCGTGGCTCTGAGGATGGCACATCTAACCTAGACCTTGCCTCCCTTGCCGAGACTCTCAAAAATGCTACAGCTGAAGACTCGTACCTTCCGGGTGATCCAGTTGAGGTGTTCCGTGGTGAACAGCAGGGCTTGGTTGGTCGCACCAGCTCTACCCGTGGAGAAATTGTGACTTTGCAGGTCACCGAAGGCGACCTGGCGGGCCAGATGATCGACGCTCCTGTAAAGTCGCTCCGCAAGCGCTTCAGGGAAGGTGACCATGTCAAGGTCATTGGCGGTAGCAGATACCAAGATGAGTTGGGTATGGTGGTACAGGTAAAGGACGATACAGTGACTTTGCTCAGTGATATGAGCATGCAGGAGATTACGGTTTTCAGTAAAGACCTTCGACTGTCTGCTGAAACTGGTGTTGACGGAAAACTCGGCATGTTTGACGTGCATGACCTCGTTCAACTAGAGTGAGTTGCCCTGATTGTGATACTTTTCTATCTCCATCACGTACTAATTTGACATTCAAGTGCTGCCACCGTTGCTTGTATCATTAAAGTTGACCGTGAATCCTTACGAGTCCTGGATCAGAATGGCTCCATCCGGACCATTCTTCCCACGCAGGTCACAAACAAGATTACTCCCCGTAGAGACGCTGTAGCGACCGATCGCAACGGTGCCGAGATTCGACATGGGGATACTGTTCGGGAGCTTTACGGTGAGCAGAGGAATGGACTCATTCTTCACATCCACCGCTCGTTCCTGTTCTTGCACAACAAGGCCCAAGCCGAGAACGCAGGTATCATTGTTGTGCGCACCACGAATGTTGTTACAGTGTCGACGAAAGGAGGTAGATCTAGCGGGCCCGATCTGACCAAGATGAACCCTGCTTTGATGAAGCAGAACATGCCCGGCGGCGGTGGCTCGATGGGTCCTCCTAAGAGCTTTGGTCGTGACCGGATGCTCGGGAAGACCGTCATGGTGCGAAAGGGCCCATTCAAGGGTCTGGTTGGAATTGTCAAAGATTCGAGTGATACTCAAGCACGCGTCGAGCTCCATTCCAAGAACAAATTGGTGACCATACCCAAGGAAATTCTTGTCGTCAAAGAGTATGTATTTCCCCTAGAGTTTTTTACCCCCGAGTGGTCTTGTTAACTTTCTATGCAGCCCTGTTACTGGTGCGACGGTTGATATGCCTCGCGGACGTGGAGGACCACGTGTTCCCCATGGAGCTTCTGCTGGACCACCCTCTGGCTGGCACGGGGGCCGCACTCCGATGGGTGCTGGCGATTCTTCCAGGACACCCGCCTGGGGTGGTCCTTCTTCATCGAGGAGTAAGTATTCCCAATACTACATGCCGACCACGCTGCATATGATTCTAACGGACATTCAGCACCTGCTTGGTCAGGAGGCGGAGGCGGTTCTCGCACCCCGGCATGGAGAATGGATGGATCCCGGACGTCCAACCCTTACGACGGCAGCCGTACTGCGTATGGTGGCAGTGGCTCACGCACTCCGGCTTGGAACTCGGGCGCAAGAACTCCTTATGACTCTGGTTCTGGATCGAGCGGTTTCGATGCCTTTGCAGCCGGGTCTCGGACTCCAGCCTGGGGTGCCAGCTCCGGTAGCCGAACCCCCGCCTGGTCTGGTGGCGCTACAGCGAGTGGAAGCAGAGAGTCCCGTGGCTACGATGCACCAACGCCTGGCGGAGACTTCGGTGCTCCCACCCCAGGCGCCTACGCCGCTCCGACGCCTGGAGCGTCCGCGCCCACGCCTGGAGGCTGGGCTGACAGTGCCCCGACACCCGGCGCTTTCAACGCCCCAACCCCAGGCGGCGCTCCCACGCCATATGATGCCCCTACCCCGGCAATTGGTGGAGCAGCAGCTACCCCGGGAGCAGGACCATATGGAGATGGAGATGATGGCGGGCCTCGATATGAGGAGGGAACGCCGAGCCCTTGATAGATTCGCACCGGTAGGAAGCAAGGAGTTCCCCAAGGCTCTGGCGTATTCATTTCTTCTTTTTACTCTCTTACTTTCCGATCATCGTATTATATTCACGGTCCAGACATGGTCGAATTTTTTACTGTACTATCTGCACTATGGACTATTTATTGCATTGTTACATTATTGGACATGGCTTAGTCAAGATAAACTCTGATAAAAGATCTGGATTATTGCATTTCATGATATTGCTATCGTACAGTACAAAATGGTGATGAAGAGAGGAGAGAAATATCAACACCAAAAAGGCTTAGAATGCCGTAAAATTAAGCAATCTCCCTTATAGTAGCCACAAAAGATGAAATAAAGACATAAGAAGAATCACCGATGAGTCGAGAAGAAAAAAAAAAAGTTGGACAAATCGACCAGCATATCGCATCAATCATTTCCTTAATCTAATGCCATACACTCACTTTTCCCTACCACCCTAAGTGTCAAATATGAGAATGGAGATAATGTTAACAATGATGGAAAAAAAAAAAAAAAAAGACCTGGGTGAGAAGTCGACTCAAGAAAAAGATACCAATGCCAACGTAAGATGTAAAAGAAGAAATCCAGACCGAAATTGCAGTTAGGCACTCCCAATTTTTGTTCTTTTTTTTGTTTTTTTTTTTTTTTCTGGCCTTGATCGGATGTTTCAAAAACTCCCCTTCTATGATGAATGGTGAAAGAAAAAAGAAAAAGTATCACTGAAATGTAGCCTTGAATAAAGGCAATGAAATTGATAAAAAAAAGAAATAGAAAAAGCCTAGGAAAACATATAAGATTTATGGAGGTACTGTTCGCGCCAATATGCGGATATTATCCACAAAGCCCTTGACCAAGTCTTCATACTGATTTTTGGGATCACCGGTCATGGCGAGTTGGCCTTGACGACGGATCTCGGCCGCGGAGACTTCAACCTCGAGTTCGTGTTCGAAATCACCTTTGATCTGTACAGCAACAGATATTAGCCAGGGAACGTTGACAAGTAGGAGGGTATAAGGTCAAACTTACTTCTGATTTAGCAACCTGTGTGAGGTCAACCTGATAGGCCAAATGACGATAGCTCATACGGTCCTTATTTCGATCTCCGCTTCTTCCGCCCTTTGCGGTGTCGATGATGGGGAGGTGGCTGACATCGCCATCATAGCTCATTTCCAGATTCACACTGACCCGCCAGTCGACACAGGTGCGAGGGCTATGCACGTCCATATCTGCGACCCGACATTTGACAATCTTGGCGAGGATTTCACCAGTTCTTTGGTCTGTGGTCACTCGTACTCTGGGCTTGTGCCGCGGGTTGAGGTTCTGCCTGATGACGGGGGGGAGTTCAGAAGGGGAGACTTCGTAGAAGGTATCTCGTTCCTTCTTGTGTGCGTAGGATATGGGGATTCGTCCTGGGTTGTTTTGAGGCATGGATGATTTCACAGTTTCATTGAGGAAATTGTTCATTGCTCGGTGTTGCGCCTGCTCAGAAAGTCAAAATGCGATCTTGAATTCTATTTCGGAAGTGAGAACAAGGACTTACCAATGTCATTGAGCTTTCGAACGAGGTCCGAAGCCGAGAACCTTCCTTGTTCAAAACGCTTTCAGTCATTATTGGCAAACGAAGTCTGTCGCCTCGATCCATATCGATGAGCTGTCCCAGTTTCGCTTCCACTTCAATGATTGCTCCCTGGCCAACCGCAGAGGAGCCGGCTGGACCCGCACCGACATCGTTCCGTAGAACCACGTGTTGGAAGAGGAAATCGCACACCAACTTTGTGGTTTCTTCATGCGGTATGAATCCCGTGATAGAAGGCTCCCATTGTCCCAGAGACCCCTCTTTGGGTGGCCCAGCAGGCGAGTGTGAGACTGGTGGTCCGTTGACCGTGGTGGCTTCTTCGGCTTTGACCTTGGGCGCGGGTGTTGCAGGAGCAGGATCAGGAGCAGGAGCAGGAGCAGAAGGTGCTGGGGCTGGGGCTGCCGCGGGAGCATTTGACGAAGATGATTGTTTGCGCAGAGTCCATGGGTTTTCAATGGAGTCCCTTGCATGCTTTGGAACTGGAGGTAGTCGGTTCAAAATCGGAGGGCACTTCCCCTTTGTGCGAGATGATCTCTGGGCGTAGATTGGGGGTTCGTCGTACCGCATCCTTTTCCGTTTAGGTGGGTGTGGGCTTGACCTTGCTGAGTCGGGGGTGACGTCCATCATCGTTGACAATGTCGGTTCTTTGTCTCCTGGGTGAATTTCACGCGATAAAGATGCTCGGGGAGGCGGTGAGCTGTTTCTGTGCGCAGTAGTCGGCGTGGAATTAGAGACTTGGGCGCCGGGGCCAATCCCGGATTGCGAAGGGCCAGACGCAGATCCCGTGGGACTGTCTTTCCATGTCATATCCTCGGAGCGATTGCGCTGAGAAGGGCCCGTTTGATCCTGGCTTCCCGTCGTGCTCCCTTGGCGAGAGCCCGGAGTGAAGAGAGTCTTGGGACTCACGCTCTCACTCTGCTCTCTCTCCGACCCCAAAGGATGCTGTCGCGGGGTTTGCTCCACCTGACTGTTATTGCGAGATTGCGCAGTTGGAGACACCGGGTTTCTCTGATCGTGTATCTGGGAATTATGCCTAACCCAGGGACTGGATGGTTGGTTCGATTGGGAGTCATGACCGGCGGACGGTGGGCGGGCGGTGGACGGCGAATGGCGCGTGTAGGATGCGGGAGGAGGACCTAAGGGAGTGCCTGGCAAAGACCCATGGGCAGAAGGTGAGAATTGCTGCGACTGATAGGGGTGAGATGACGCCGACGGGGGGGGTTCCCTGGAATACAATGAGTAGCTGGAAGTGAAGTAGGGGGGTCAGGACAGACTGTATGGATTGCGAACGCTGCTGCGCAAAGTAGGACTGCTGCTGTTCGGGATGCTGAATCCTAGTATTTATCGGCTGCGGTTTATAAGGCGAAGCCAAGGGACCAGCCGACTGCTGCTGCTGCTGCGGTTGGTGATGTTGTAGCTCGTGAGTGTAGCTAGTTGACGCGGAGCGCGAATAAGGGTGCGAAGGAGGAACAGCAGCCGGGGGACTCTGGCCTCGCTGAGATGAAGCACCTGCATTCAAACCCGACGCAGGATTATAACGATAGGGCGATTGAATGGAGCCGTAGGAGGAGGAACGGTCTGGAGAGGCATGGGGTGGTTGCAACGGAGGAGGCTGAGCTGGCCGTCCGGGATAGCCTGGCGGATAGGAGGCGACGGAGGACGAGGAGGATGCATGTTGCGGTTGCTGTTGCTGGCGGGGAGGATAGGCTGACTCGGGATGGCTGATTGAAGCCTGACTCGGCGACTGGCGCGACGATGGCGTGGGATTGTTGTTGTTGGAGGCGCCGGCGGCGTCGCTGTTCATGATGGTGCGCAAATCCATGGCGACAGATGTTGCTTTTTTTTCTTCCCTTTTTGCTGCTCTTTTCCTGCTGTTGTTCCAACACGCGATAACCTGGCAAATAAAAAGAGAAAAAAAACGAATGACAAAATACGGATCAAATGTTCACAAAGACCGGGGCATCCAGAGGCTGGCTCCGTCGTCGCAACGAGGGCGTCGAGGGGCCGTTTCGGGGGAGGGGAGAGAGAAGAGGGAAGAAGGTGAAGTCGGGATGAGTTGACGATGTGAAGATGAAGATGGACAAAGAACGACAGGCAGCGGATTCGGAGAACCACCAACGGAGATGCGCTTGGGATTTACGGCTTATGGTAATGCTGATCTGGACATGGTGTTTAGATGACGCTGATCGAAGAATTTATTTAATTGCTTCATTGTCTGGCGAGAGTTGCTCCATGTGAAGAAGCCATTGCCCCTGGCAGCCGAGACTCGAGGGAAACTAGACTGCGAGTATATCAGGATGTAAATGAAGTCTATCAATTATGATGGATATCGCCACGTCCTCTGGATGTTTGAATCTCAAGGACGGTGCAGTCCATCGAGAATGAAGTTGAGGATATCTGGCATTATTGGACATGGCCGACCCCAGATGCAGTCAGAGAGGCTGCAACAACCAGGATACAATTCCAGTCGTTGAATCCAATCCGATCCAGCCAATCACTGCAGCTGGTCTATGTGGCATTAATCAAGCTAATTTATTGCCTTAATCAAGCTCTGTTAGGCCGTTTTGTTTTTTCATCGCAGTCCATCAGTTGGCTGGAATAGCTACTAAACTACTAGGTCCGTAAGGTACGACACAACACTATCATGGATGAATCAAAAATAGAAATGAGCTCTCCTTCATCAATAGCAAATGCTTGTCATCTTTCAGAAACACGCAACCAGTGGGTCGGATAATTCTTTAATAATTATTCCTTTCGTCAATGGTTGCAGCGATGGCGATCGGCATCCCGTTTTCATCATCATCAAACCAACCCGTTCCATCCCACCATTTCTCTCCTCTCTTCTTTCTCCGTCTCCTATCCTCATCCTCCAAGTAAGGCTCATTCTCTATATTCTATGCGATTTAAATGGTCTCGGTTTACTGACTGTTGCCACTCTGAACAGGATGACTCTCGTCGCCCCTCTCCCGGTCGCCGTCTGAGCTACTCTTTCGTTTCTACGCATCAACCACAGCCCCTATCACAGGACATATCCTCAGCCGTTCTTTGGAGCTTTGTATAACGCGGAGATATCTCCTATACCTGAAGTGACACAGTGAATCCTCTGGTCTATGGTGGGTATAGCCCTGCTTGGGAATCGAGTTGCGTAACCAAGTCTATACAACTACTACGCACCTCCACCTGTCGTCGTCTTTTAACCTTCGACTTCCTCATCAGCACATATTATTCCAACACCATGTCGCTCTCTGAAAAGGCCTCTCGATCCCCATCGCCCACTAGCAGCGTTCCCCTCAACGACCTGGAGGCAAACTCCGAACGCAGCCCGGCGAGTGTCGATGGTTTCTCCGCGTCGCAAACGTTCGCCAGCCACCAGGAATCAGAACTACCTATCAAAGATCTTTCAGACAGTTGGCCAGACTATCTGGACGACTTCCTTGAAAAACTGGGCATATTTCTCACTCCAAGCTTCTTGCAGCACCGAGTGGGTGGTCAACCGCCGCAACTCAGCAAACTCCATGGCATCGCGGCGCTTGACGGTTTGAGAGGCTGGGCTTGTCTGCTGGTCTTCAATTTTCACTTCCTCTTCACCTACACATGGAAGGTATCCGTCGGGTGGGGGTTTCCTGGGGACAACTTTGGGATTTTGCAGTTTCCCATCTTTCACCTCTTGATCTCCGGTCATATTATGGTTGCTATCTTCTTTGTGATCTCGGGTTATGTGCTTTCATATAAGCCTTTGAAACTGTGCCGGAGTCGTTCCTGGGAACAGACCTTCAACGTTCTGGCCTCCTCGACCTTTCGTCGCGGGCTGCGACTATATATCCCCTCACTCGTCGGTATCTCGCTCGTTGTGCTTGCCGTGCGCGCGGGCGTCTATGATTATGCAAAAGAAGTGATTGATGAGGGCCACACGATCCAGGGTACGAATGAACAGCATCCACCTATCTTCAAAACCTGGTACTTGCAGTATTGGAGTTGGCATTATGAGGTAGCAGAACTATTCAACTTCTGGCACTGGGAAATGTACTTCAACTACTACAACCCTCACCTGTGGACTATCCCCGTCGAATTTCGCTGTTCCATCGTCCTATTTGTCACTATATTGGCCACTTCTCGCCTAGTGGCCGCTGTGCGAATGACCTTAGTCTGCGGTCTGATCTGGTTCTGTACGCGCTGGGGTCGATGGGATGTTATTTTGTTCCTCTCTGGCATGTTGATGGCGGAGCTGGACCTCATATATGGGACGTGGGAACGCTCATCAACGGAAGAAAAATCCACGAGCAGCACTCCCAATTCTCTCAAGGAGTATTTCCAAATGTCGGGCTGGAAATGGTGGATCGCCATTTTTATCTTCGGCCTCTACCTGGGATCCTCCCCGAACACTGGATTTAAATGGACCCCCTTCTATATGTGGCTCTGGGAACTGACCCCAGAATACTATCGGGACCCGGATCGATTCCCTCAATCACTCGGGGCAATCCTAATCGTTTTCAGCATCAACCACTCCAAGGAGGTACAGAGGCTCTTCACGAACCCTCTCTCGCAGTACCTGGGCAAGATCTCCTATGCGTTCTACATTGTCCACGGTCCCATCCTCCACTCCTTGGGATACTCTATCATGCCCAGTATCTGGAATACAGTGGGCAAGGAGACCAATTTTCAATATTGTCTTGGCTTCCTGATCGGCTGGCTCATTTGTCTTCCTGTTTCTATTTGGGCCGGCGATATCTTTTGGCGAGCGGTTGATATCCCGAGTGTCAAGTTTGCCCGGTGGATCGAGGCAAAAATCACAGCCAACCCTACTGAACAGAAAAACGGCCATGTTCCATAAATGCATTTTCCTTTTCTGTTTATCTTGAAAACTGCGTAATGTATGTTTAGCGAGCGTGTTTCATAGTTTGTCTTCTACTAGGCTCATTTGGCTGTATAATTTCATTTATTCATGTACAGTTAGTTATACCATCTACTCAAAGTAGAAGTAAATACATCAATGATCCATGGCTTCTTGATATTGCGGTCTTGAAATAGATCTCATGTAGTCTCATTAAGACAGAATGAAATAGTTATGGACTTATAAACTTGATTTTGGTGATTCATTCATTCATTCACTCGTACTATACCAACAAAACCAACAATGGCTCGCTTCACATGATCAGGTCGACGTCGATTCGTCTGTATCGTCCTCGTGAAAAACAGTAAATAAGACACATCCGCACAAAAAACAGAGAGTATAAGAGAGTAAGAGAAGGGAAGAAAGATGCAAATAGATCTAAGGATTTTTTTTCTCTCGTTCGTCCTTTCAAAGTCCAACGCCCCATATCCCTCGTCCACCGCAAACACCTAGCCAGTCCCGGGGATGCCCTGAGTGATTTGTTCCACCTTGCGGGGACCAGCTAATGTTGGAAACCTCGTAATCACATTGCCAAGCGGCGGCCGGTCCTCGTTCTGATGTTGAGGGTGCACCGCCGGGGTTATGGGGTACCGACGAAATGGGAGCAGCGTTGTGTTGATTGATCAAGTCCCAGAGCATAACGAAGCAGTCATCCGCGCCAGAGGCAAGGACTCCACGGCGGTTAGGGGACCACTCAACGCAATTCATGGATGAGGAATGTCCTTTGAGTTCCAGAAGTGCCTGGCCCGGCTGCCGTACGTCTAACACGCGGACAATGTTGGAATCCGAGGAGAATGTTGCAAGGAGATGAGCGTCATGAGGAGATGCTGTGTTATTCAGTGAGTAACCTTTGATAGCTCCCCGGATCAGAACGTCGGGATAAGAAACATACCTGCGATTCGCAACAATGGCGGGTGAGATGTGTATGATTGAGATGGCGCTGATGGGCTTCCACCATTTCCGGGACTCATTACTGTACATTCTTGTTAGCATAAGATCCAGTAACATAATGGATAAAACCTACATTTGTCATTCTTATCAGTTGGTTCGTAGATGATGGTACTGTGCTCCAGGCTACGAAGATCGAACATTCGCACACTTCCATCCGCACCACAGCTGACAAAAACATCAACACTGTTTGCACAGAACCGAACATCATATACTTCCTTGTCATGAGCAATGAGCTGGGTTTTAGCCGTCAGAGTCGGGATATCCCAGATAGTGCAGGTCGTGTCGATACTGGACGTGATAATCAAGCTTGGAGAGATCGTATTCCAGTCGAGAGAGGTGATCGGGGCAGTATGCTCTGGCGACTTGGAATTCGACAATAATGCCAATGGGGAGAGCTTGGCAGTTGCGACATCCCTTTGACTGGAGGGCCGCGTAATCGAGTTGGAGCTATGCAGGGGTTGTGTGGTAGGTAATGACCATAGACGGAGATGATCTCCCGAAGTCGCCAGTAGGTCTGTAGATTGCTTTTGCGATGAGGGAGGCTCCCAGAGTATTCTTGTCACAGGGTACGAATGCGTAGCCTCTGCGGTCTTGACATAATCCAACTTGATTTCTCCCGCAGCGGCGTCAGGGGTATCTGGGTCGGGCTGGGTCCAATGCGTGTCGATGATTTGTATCTAATTCCCATTAGCACGTATATATATAGCGTAGGGCGATGTTCTTACGTAGTTGTGATTGTCCTCCAAGTAGCTCCCAAGTGCGATCTTGCCGCCAAATGAGCCCGAATTGCCAGTGATCGGCCATTTGCACCAATCCACCGCATATATGGGCCACGGGGCTACATAGTTGCTATTTGTGGGCACCTGGGAATCACCGCCATTGAAGGGCAAAACTCCCTGGCTGGCAATAGTATCGTTCAGAAGGTCTGCCGAGGGTCGGATGTCTGCTAGTCCGAGAGGGGAGTATTTCGCTCCTTGGGGCGTATGGGGTGGATAACCTGTACTGGGAGGTGATGTATATTTGGAGTTTTCTACTGCCCCGGTATGCTTGTTGTATTTGGGCTGGTCGAAGCCAGACGGGCTGGACCTAGAGTGCGCATGCGAATTGGCCATGCTAGAACGAGGGGTCGTCGCCGATGGTTGTTGCTGCTGCTGCTGCAACTGCGTGGATAACTGAGGAAGTGCAGGAATACCAGACGAAGCTGTACCCAGAGACATGGATGCCGGGCGGCTAGCATTCCCTCCTGGTTGAAGAGCGCCTGGGAGAGCAACATTGCCGCCGGCGGCGCCGCTATTGCTACCCCCATACTGGCCTGGTTGAGCGCTGGACGGATGGACATTGATTGAGGGGACATGATTGGGCCCTGCTTCTGAACCCGGTGGGTATTCGTGGGACATGGACTGGCGATGCATCCCCGTTGACGGAATATGAAGCTCCTCTGGCTGACGGCCAAAGGCACCCGCCCGTCGAGGGGATTCGTAGGACGCGGGGTTCGACATGGGATGTGCACTAGAAGAGGCGACTATCGATCAACGACGAGCAAAGCTTTCCTGTGCACTCTGGCCTGGTTGAAGCAAAGCTCCTTGTCACCTTACCCCAGCAACTAAACCTTTGGGAGACTCGGAATGGCTGTTTAGGCGGGGAGAATCAGACGCATGTGCTGGTAGGAGCTCCGACCGCACCAAGAATCGGAAACAGCTTGGATCATGCCAGGGGAAAAGAGGGCGTAAAGAATGGTTCACAAGAGCATAATGGAGCTGATTCGAGAGAGCGCGACGCCCGAAGGATTCAGAATGGCATCGACTGGCGATGTCTGGAGAGAGACCAGGCGATACGAAAGAGGGATCGAGAGACAGCGAGGAGTCTCGTGCTGCTGAGTCATCCGCCATTGGACGATGCAACAAATCCCCAGAAAATCGCCAGTCAACGAAACGTCCTCGCTTCCTCCTCAGTTGCATCCTCTGGGTCTTCCATTCCGTTTCTCTTCATCTGTGCTTAGCTCCAATTTCATACTTTGTATAACTTGCGTTTCTGTGCCTGTCTATATAGCATTTGCTAGATTATTCTGGCTGTTGCAACCTTCCCCGCAATGGCCTCCGATCGCTTCAGCCCACCGTCCGGTTTGCTCCTTCTTCCACCCCCGCCATCTACTTCCTTTGAGCAGCTCAGGGATGCATATGGTCCGTCCTTGTCGGATGTCTTCTCAAAGATCTCACGTATGCTCAATGGATCCAATGACATTGCAGTGCTGGACATTGCTTTGTCCATCCCCGGACTGCTTTCCCCTTCCTATCAGCCCAGGGCGAAGGTTTTTAAACGACTTCAGAGTTTCCTAGCGAGTATCTATAGCCTTATTGGCATTGTCTCTACCGAGCAGCGCATTGAACTCGATTTCCCTGGAGGTGTTGATGCGCGCGTGGTCTTCATTGATTTCGACCCTGTTCATCCAGCTTTAGTCGTCCCGGAGAATCGCCAGGTTTCACTGTATGGTCCTATCCTCGACCTGCAAACACTGGCCACGTCTGAACGCTCGTGGGATTGTGTGTTTTATCTAGACAACAAAACAGGACAGAGTTTGGCAGCGGCCTTCAGTAGTCTCTACTCGCAAACCAGGGATTTCACCGCCGGAATCATGCATCCGATCTCAGGGGTGTCGGATTGGGAATCCTCGGAGCCTCTTCTAATTAATGAGGACGAACTGCCATCTAATACACATTTCTCGGTTATTGTAGGGGGTACTTTCGATCACTTCCATATCGGACACAAGCTGCTCCTCACTGCCACAGCGTTGGCCCTGGAACCTACCTGGAGTATAGATACAGGGAACGAGAGGCTTCTCAGTGTTGGTGTCACAGGGGATGAACTGTTGGTGAATAAGAAGTATGCCGAGTTCCTGGAGAGCTGGGAAGAACGATACCAAAACACAGCATCCTTCCTTGCAGCGATCCTTGAATTCTGCCCCCCTGAAAAAACTGCACCCAGGATTCAACGGGTATCACAGCCCGGCCCAAATGGGAAGTATGCCCTGGTGAAACTACGACCCAATTTGACCCTGAAAATCGTGCAGATATCCGACCCGTTTGGGCCTACCATCACCGAGGAAAATATCAGCGCCCTCATCGTTTCCCAGGAGACTCGCGCGGGGGGTGCTGCTGTCAATGATGAACGTGCAAAGAAGGGTTGGAAGAGCCTCGACATATTTGAAGTCGACGTGCTCCATTTGGGAGAGCTCCCAACGGCCGATAGCGATAGCTTCGCATCAAAAATAAGCAGTACGGATATCAGACGGCGCCAAATGGATCAGTCGACGAGATAGTTTTATTAGTTGAATTAAGCCCAGGAGGCTACTTCCATGCATGGTTTTCTGCAGTCAGCAATTCCTGAACACCAGCAATTAATGAGAAACAACAAGAGGGAAAAGCAAAAAACGCGGAGAGAAAAAAAAAAAATCTCACACGCTACAGTTGTTATTGCAGTACCCGCGTCAACCTGCAGATCATCATGCTCATTACGGAGTACATATTCACCAGTTGTATGCCTAGACTGGTGGGAATTCGAGGCGCCATTATTTGCTCTCATTGTAGACGAATCAGGCCAGTAATGGCTCCTTTTCACTTAAGTGCGCGATTACGATACACACTTACCACCTACACCTGCTATTTTTCAATGGTTTGCGACGTCTATGACAGCTACAATTACCCATCGTGTTTGAGAATGCGCTTTGGCAATTCATACGACTGAACCATAGGTCATGATGATCCCTCTCAAGACCATGCAGGCAATGGTTTTTATTGGCCGTCCGCCGAATGCTATTGTTGGTGATTCCGATCCGGTTCTGCATGTTGAATTGTCGTCTCGTCTCCTCTTCTCCCGTCTCCTGCGTCTCATTCGTGCTTCGGAATTTAAAATAATCTCGACTAATCACCATGGCCATGTAGCCTAGTGGCAGAAACAATCTACCTAGCCTGGGTGCTACTGGGGCATCGTCAACTTGATTCGCTTCCCATCACTCAAATTCTCAGGGCGGGGTTGATCTCCCTGCAGTAGGCGTCTGCAATGCCCAGCGCTCTCGTCGTGTTATCTTCTTCCCCTCTCCTCCTTCGTCGTTCTCATCAACCACCCAGCATCGTTCATTCCGTCCCCCAATCACTCTTCCCCTTCTTTACAAGCCCTTCCTGCAGGTTCGCGCTGGATGTCCGCATACGCTGTCAATCATGTGATTGCCGGGTGCCCTTGTCGAACCAATCTCAAGTCAACCTCTACTTTTCTGGTGGAAGAGCCCCTGGGGTCAGATAGGTACTGACGATGATCCCAAATGACTGGGTGGTGGTTCTTTTGGGTGGGACGCCTTCAATCCACTGCTGCAGCAAGCGCAGTGAGTGTCTTGGGCCCCTCAACCTGCCCTAGAGCTCAGAAAGTTTCCCTTAAAAAGTGGGAGAGAGGGGATGTATCATTTCCATCAGTTGTTATTTTCAGCCTGTTCCCTTTTTTTTTCTTTTTCCATTTGCTTTTTTTCTTTTTCAGTCTTTTCATTTCTTTTTTTGAATCCTTCGTTTTTCTTCCCACAAACCACACCTGCCCCCCTTTTTCTTCTGCTTTCATTCTTTCTCGAGGTTCTCTGAGTCGGCCGCGAACCGAACCTACGATCCCTCCATTGGAATTGAATTCCATGTCGTTGCGAGTGGCCAAAGCAGCCGGACATTCGGTTGCCTCGATGCGCAAAAACTATGGACAGACAACGACACATTGAAGATCTGGCAGATGAGTTACTTAGTGACATTCTGTCGTTTCTCCTAAACTCGGAGCAATTCTTGAACGAACCCCCTCACACACTCGACCAAAGCTCTCACACTGGGACCAATGGATACTCCGCTCCTAGCTATGGCGAAAAATCCGACCTTGATAGATTCAGACTCGTCAGTAAAAGGTTTATGCGAATTGGCACCCCACGAAAGTTTCATCGATTTGTTCTGCGATTTTCCAGGGAAGGATTTCAAAGGCTGGAGGATTTCCTGAGCATGCAATTGGCATGCCATGTCAAATATTTTACGTACATGGTGCGACCCTTCTATCATGGAAGCGGTATTATCTCTGAATACCCGCCTGCTTTACGAGTAGACAAAGCTGATAATAGCCATAGGCTGGCCGCTCCTCTTGGATGGGGTTGATACAGATGATCTTCCAGTGTCCGAGCTTCACAGTCGTCGACTTAGCGAGCAAACCTTTTTGACCGATACGAACCGCGATCTATACATACTACGACGCGCGATAACTGCCTTCTCGTCTCTCCAGCAGGTCAAATTGCTTCGTTTGCAAGATGCTGCTGATGAACAACTACTCGATTATCTCCGGGATCGATCCTTGGAACAAACCACAAGCTTAAATTGGGCTCCAGCTTGTACTCGAGCTGTGACCAGCCTTGGCGCTGCCCTATTGGAATCAGACTGCAGCTCCATTCGGTTCGTCGGGCCACAAATCAGCCCCGAGGCGACGGTGATGCTGTTACAAGTACCATCTGTGACTCTCTCTGCAGTTGGCGCGCGGTTGACAAGCCTAGACGTCAACTTTCATTCCGTAATAGATATCACAAACAGCATGGAAACCCTTTCCAAGGTATTCCACGGCTTTTTTCTGGCGGCCAGAAATTTGACCACCATCCATCTCGGCTTTCCAGCCGGGGCACCTTTAGGTCTCAAGCTTGAGCAGATCTTCCACCGTGTACAATGGAAGAGACTTAGAACATTGGGCATACAAGGCTGGCGTTTGAGCTCAGATGAGCTCATAGAATTTGCACGCCGCCACCGTCGCCAAATCCGCGATCTCAGACTCCTCAGTATCTATCTCCGAGATGGGGGACGATGGCGAGATGTACTGTCTGTCTTGCACGATGAAATGGAGCATCTGGAGCGCCTCGATCTGCGCGATATCGACTACGCTGCCCATTTTGATGCCGACACGATGATCCATGGTAATGGCGGCGAGGTGTTCGAGAACCCGACCCTCTCCTTGGGGGCGGATCCAACACCGGACCCATCATCCCCGCTGACCCAAACGATTTTCACAGATGGGGCCCACCTATCAATCCTACCGCGCAAGGATTATACTCCAGGGCCTTTATCAGATGCAATGTTGGAAAGATTGCGGGGTCTTACCGCCAATGACCTCGGAGATGATGGTATTAGTGTCAAGCGTGAACAGAGGTCACTGTGGGAGGCATGGGTTCTCTCAAGTCCACGGAATATCATCCGTCGACCGTCCTAGTTTTATTCTTATTCTTCTTGGTTGGAGGGGTTGTCTCATATTCCAAGCGTGGCATTTTCTTTTTAAAAGTACTGTACATATTTGTACTATGCATACTCTGCTTCCTCCTGCCGAATCTACTAGCAAATACGTTTTCATGCGTGGCATTGGTAGGGAGACTTTCTAAAAGACGATCTTGACATTATGCAACTAGTTATGAGACGTGACATATTCAAAATAAAAGCAATGCTTCACAACCCACTTTCAGATGCCCAATATTCAGCCGAGGATAATAGAAATCCTGTAGACCATCTAAGAAGCGTAAATACAAGCCTATGAAAAAAGATAACGGACAGAGAAAAAAGAAAAGAAAAGAAAATCTTTGGTATCTATATGTTCAAAACTCAATTTCACTTTCACACCTGCATCTCTATGTTCACTTCTCAAGCAAAGAAACGAAACAGAAAGCATCATATGGCATTGTGATGGTTGTCAAATGATCCTGGGGGAATCGTGATCGGACCACCAGTACTGGGCGGTTTGGTGCTGCGTTCCCTCAACCGTCTTCCCTCCATGAGTCCACGAAGGCCCCGCTTCTGCAGACCGATGACACTGCTTAGATCGCCCGTCCAGATAGCCCGCTGGGGACGAAGCTCGGCATCCGTGTCTCGGCGATGACGACTGGAGCGAGAATTCTCGCCTGGCATTTCAGAGTCGGACTGGCTGAAGCTGGTGTTTGTGGATGCGGAGGTGGAGGTGCTGGCATTGCTGATTGAGTCTTCGCGGTCTCGGTCGTGTCCGGCTCTGCTGCGATGGCGTCTGCTGGAGAAGTTGGTGTTGATGCGGAGGGGGATGCCGCGGGAGCCCATTGGTCCGCCGGCACTGCTGGCGATGGACATGGCAGATGTGCCGTGCTCGGTATCGGAGGAGTCAGAGGTGAGGTGGCTTTGTGATGTGTCCGTTTCGGTGATGCGGGATGATTCGGCCGCGGCGTTTGCCCCGTTGAGAGCTTCGAGGGTGCCGCCCGGGCCACTGATGAAACCGGTGCCCCTGCCGCCTCCTGCAGCCATGGCGGCTGCGTTGAAGACGGCTGCGGCGTTTCGACCGTCGAGTACTTGGTGGAGGCGTTCGACGGTTGCTTCTAGGAGACCATCCACCTGGTACGGTCGCGCGAGTTGGAGAAGAGAGCAGAGGATTTGGGGTGTGCAGAGCGAGGTTCCGGCGGGTGGAAGAGATGATGTGTAGAAGAAATAAACAAGAACCTGGAGGGTGAGGTAGGTATGGGGAAGGTAAAGCACGCGAGGTCGAGATGTGGGGGCTAAGCTGTGCGCAGAGGGTATCTCAAGATTTGCTAAGAATGATTTTGAGGGCGCTGAATTGTTGCTGACAAGGGTGGTAGCGTTAGAATAGTTGCTGTGGTTTCCTAACGAAGGTGTGATGGTGATACTCGAGTTGCGACTCGGATACATCTGAACGGCTGGCCGGAGTGTTGCAGAATCAGAGTTTCCGCTGTCACACGACTCTCGCAAAAGCTGGATAAAGTAAGGACCCCATCTTCGAGTCAAGATACGGGAGTTGACAGGTATCCGCTCCCCTCCAACCGCCTGAAGTTCCATATCAGCCATTTCGGGCAGAGACTGTGCGAGTTTTCCTAGTTCGTCTGACGCGGAGGAATACGGCCTTCCACCGGTAGTCAACTGGGCCAGTTTCTGGTGAAGAGATGCAGGGACCGCTGGAGAACTGTGGGAGATGTATCCAGAAGTCGGCGCGGTCCTGCATGGGTTGTTGTAGAGTCCAAACGCCTCCAGCTCGACCATACACACATGGGAAAAGTTGATCCTGCGATGGTTGTAGTCATCTACCAGGCTGCGTTTCCGGTGTCCAAGAATAACAAATGTGTTTCGCCTTGACCATAACACACCGCGGTTCCAACTACCATGGCCAAATACCGATCCTCCAGCATCGATCCGTCCCCATGTGAGAGTCTTCAAGTCAAGAGCCCATAAGGCATACTCCTGCTTCGAAGAGGTAAGATATGTACCACTCACGACAAAGTGTCCATTGATGATACCGCCGTTGGGGAATCGCAAGCCAGGAGGCGATGCCTGGCTCTGCATGGGCTTCTCGACCAGCCGGCCATCCGGTAAGCGCACCTGAAGCTCTAACTTGACATCCAGGAAATTATAATTGGAATAAATAAGCATGGGGCAGCCTTCGACTTGCGAATCTTCTGGCGGTTCGGCTGTTTCTCTATCGGGTGAGGTGGATCCAATGTCTGAAACGTTCATACCGACCAACGGGGCTACGACACTGCGATAAGCACCGCAGCTTCTTCCTAGGGTACTTGTGTTTGTCCACTTCAAGCTCCGGAGATTAAACACGCTTATTTGTTCAATGTAATGGTTGGAGCTGTCCTGTCCTCCAACGACCACCATCTCCGCACCACCAAAACCATCGATATCAACGCCAATCGAGCCTTGATGGGGATTAGCCGATGCCGGGTTATGATGGATTGCAGATAATGGCGCACTGGCGGAAGTGAAATAGGCGCTAGACGGCATTATCGTTGCACAGTGCGCATATCGACCTTGAGGCGAATCGCTTGCTGGAACCCGAGTCCATGTCCGGGAAGGCACATCGAATACGTGTATATCCGACATGACCACCACCTCCGGTTGCGACTCCTGCCCAGAGCCGTTTGGCACTGCGTCATTGGGCGCAGGAGACATTCCTCCGTAGCACACCAGCTTATTATCCCCGAGAGCACATACACTGTGGAAGTATCGTGGAGGCGGGACATCGCCCGTGGCTTCAACCTTGGTCCAATGCCGGCGAATGAGGTCCAATTCGTACAAGTCCGAGGTCAATTGCGGTCGACTCCTAGACAAAACCCGGCCACCGAAGACATACAACTTATCTCCCAGGATTGTTGTAGTGGCACCCACCAGGGGATGCGGCTCTCGCCCTGTCGTCCTGCGAACATTGCAAACTAGACCCGACAAGTTGATAGGACCCGATGCTGACTGCGCTTGATTGAATGCAGGGGAGACACCCGCAGTGGTAGGGTCCTCTCTGCCTGCATCCAAGTAACCCAAACTTGACTGGCTTCTGGACATCATATTGGCGGACTAATTGCCCAAACGGTGCAACCGAATAATCCCAACCCGTGTCTAACGTTGTGGTAACCCTTCAATTGAACCCAGAATCCAAATCCGACCGTAGATCCCAAATTATAGCAGGCGTTATGTGTCCAAATCTCTCAGAGTATAGCAATCTCTAATCTGGCCGAACGTAATAATCCCGAATTGGCCGCAACTCATTCCACGTCGTTGAAACCCGCAATCGAACAAGACCGAGCCCGCTGTAATTGAAAGAAGTCGAGGGGGGAAAAAAGAGCGCTCGTACACAGCAAAAAATAATCGATCGTAGGAGAGCGTAAGGGGAGGAATCGTAGGGGCGTTCGACGCTCGTTCAAAATCTCAGCCGATCCTTACTCCAGGGGCGGGAAGATAAAAAAGGGCGGTTGTTGGCGGTGGCCTTTTTGTTCCCCGCCGTTGAGGACCTGTCCCCAAGGGAATGCGATAAATAGAGAGTCTCTCGAGAATGCTGCTCAGAAGAAGTCGATATCAATTTTTATCTCCGGGGAAAAACAGAAGGACTTTTTTGTCAGCCACGAGGGCGCGGAAGAGAAACGATTGACGTGACGAAGTTGGGGAGGGAGAAGCAGACAGCGAAAGCAAAGAAGGTGACAGCGAGAAACGACCCGCAGTCATCCAAGGCGGTCTCCGAGATTGTGTCTATTTATTGTCAGACTCAGGCTGTCTAGGCACGCTGGGCTCGATGGTGGAGATGGGTTGGTCGACTAGAGGAAGTAATTATGGATGCTGCTGTCATATTATTGCAGATGTTGGACTATTGATCAACTGACAGATAAACGGATTCCCGAGAAGAGTCGATGGAGCAAGATAAGCAATCAATAGTTCGTTCCTGGATACTCGTTCCAGAACGGCCAACTGCGCCCTATAAAATCCGCTCCGTCGCCGCTTCAACGACTTCTTGCTGTTCATTCATCTATTTCTTTTCTCCTCTATTCTGACTTGCATTCTAGGCTACCATTCATCTGTATCGCTGAGCTCCGCCATCCGGTAAACTGTCGGTCGCGTGCGATCCCCGCTAGATACTCTACACGAAGCCGCCGGAGTGGGACACCCAAGTTCTAAACATCCTGCTCACCACCCAAGTCTTGAAATAATATTTATCCTCATGGCTATCGAGACCCAGCAATCTTCTACGCTCAGATGACTTGTTAGACCGCTTGAATATGGCGGCTGCGCCGGTAGATTTAAGTAGCCGTGGCGTTAGCTAGAGTCCCTGTGTGCCCCAGTAAACCTGTAGGCTGCATCTCTCGACCAGGATAGTCTCGGTCAATCCACAATTCAAAGTTCACACACAGACGTGGTGCCTTGCCTCTGATGCAGACTAAACAAGTGGGAGGGAGCACAGCAGAGTGTCACTGGCTGTGATGTATGACACGGAAAAAGCAAAATATGGGATTATCAAGATAGCCAGATGCCATATGCAGCATGCTGGACACGCCGTGCATATGTTAGTCGGGTTGATCCGACTGCAGGGGATGGTGGCAATGCCTTATTCCTTGTTATGTGTCATCGGCGATGGAAAGGTTGAAAGGATTGTAGATGCAGATGTATTCTGGTGTTGAGTGTTATACAGATGAACTGTCAAGTTTCTGTTCATGCAGAATGACATTTAGTATTTCAGACGTTTCCTAGACTTTTGAGACACGTGGATATGTGGCATTCTTTACAGCCCTACAAGGCTAATTAATATGCATGCTTGAGTTGATGGAGTCGATGAATTATTATTTTATTGTCATCGCTATCGCTAGCTTCTGGCATAAAGATTGGTTTCGTAAAAGGTATCAAAATATTGCCCATCGATCCGTAGACATATCCCAATTTTTCATTTTAAAATTCAAGTCGTGATCACATTTACTGCTTGTTGTTGAGGTTGGTGAAACGGAGGTAACTAAATCGACGAGTTAGTATCAACATGGACTTTTTGACTTAGTATATAAAGGAAACGTACGGCTTGACCTCGCGGATCTCACCGAACTTGGCCTTAGCAGCCTCGGTGGAAACGGGAGGGGGGATAACAACGTCATCACCGGGGAGCCAGTTGATGGGGCAGGTGACACCGTGCTTCTCGGTGGTCTGGAGAGCATCGATGACACGGAGGACCTCGGCGGTGTTACGGCCAGTGGAGGCAGGGTAGGTCATGATGAGACGGATCTTCTTGGCGGGGTCGATGATGAAGACGGAGCGGATGGTCAGAGCCATACCCTTGGAGTCGACGTTGGTGGTGTCCTGGTAGTCAACCATGTCGTACTGGTGGGCGATCTTGCGTTCGGGGTCGGAGATGATGGGGAACTTGAGGTTGGAGCCGGTGACCTCATCAATGTCCTTGATCCAGGCGTGGTGGGACTCGGTGCCGTTGGCACTCTGGTGTTTCAGTTAGCTATTGTTTATGGCATTGGATTGTATTCGAATCAAGGTAACCTACCAGACCAATGAGCTTGACACCACGAGCAGTGAACTCGGGCTCAAGCTTGGCGAAAGCACCAAGCTCGGTGGTACAGATGGGGGTGAAGTCATCCTGAATCAGCTCCGTCAGTTCCGAGTCCCCAACTTTCACTTTCTATACTTCAGTGTTACTCACGGGGTGAGAGAAGAGGACAACCCAGTTGTTGCCAATGTACTCGTGGAAGGTGACAGGACCAGCCGAAGTGTCGGCGGTGAAGTCAGGGGCAGTAGAGCCGAGACGGAGACTATATCGAGAGCATTAGCATAAACAATTGAAGCTATTGAGATGGAGCTAGATGTCTACTTACGGAGTAGCACGTTCCTGGGCCATTTTGAAGGATGATGGGATTGAGTGGGAATGAAGATGAAATGAAGAAGATGGATGAGAAGGAAGAAAGAAGAAGAAGAAGAAGAGAGGGACAAGAACGAGGGGCAGCTCCCATCCAAATAAGTAGGACTGCTGCCCCTCCTCAGGAACCCGTCTGGACCATCCCCAACTCTGGCTGCTCTCACTTCCACTCCAGAATCACGCCATCTGACACCGCCCATCCGGCAGAACGGCTGCTATTGGCTGGCTGTGAGCTCATCCATGGTGGGATGTTTAGCGTCGCTGTGCGTCTGCCCCACGAATGCCTTCAAGTTCGGACGAAAGCGGCTATCTGGCTGGTTCTCGATGGTTCCCTTGACAGCCGATCAATCCATTGCCGGTTCATCCTGGGGTGGTTTCATTTTAATTTCCAAAGCCACTAGTCCATCCCCAGCTTTTGCTGTTGTGTAGAGTGTCTTCACATCTCCCTTTCTCAGTCCCCTCTTCGTTTGCTATTTCTTTCTTACATCACCCTCACAATCATCACCATCAGAACCCCTCTTTCATCCGAGCTTGTCGGCCGACTAAACCGTGACAACTAATAGCTCGGCCGATAATGTTGGCAATTGGGGCCAATGGAGGCATGGGATGATGGCGCAATTGCACATCACTTCCCACCATCTTTTTGGATGAATTTTAACTACATTAGTACGATTGATCCCGGTATTTGGTCACTAGGGGTGGAGGAAAAGAAGCCAAGGGACAACAAAAGAAACCACCACACGGATAGTGGCCCTGGCCTACGTGGCAAACTTCACGACTGATTATCATTATATTTCTAATTACAAGGACATTATCTATATATATATATATATATATATGTCGGCATAATTATGAACATCGCAAGAATTTCTCTCTGAGAATCATGGACTTGGTCGATATGCATTCCGATATCAAGTTGACCGGCAGTTGACACTAACGCTGTAGGGGACCCTTCGGGCAGCCTCTCAGCGCGTTCAAAAAGCAATCGAAGGCTTTGATACGACCAACGGATGGAATGGCGTGATATGCGATAGCACGGCGAGAACATTGCGATCGACACAGCTTATTGCTGGTGCAAAATTTCCTAAGAACGGTCAAAAATATTCGTCCACGACGCAGCTGCTGAAAACATACACTTGCGAATTTACTCCTTGCACGGATTTGAGGACCATAAAAGAACAGAACCCACGGCACAAGTGTTAGCAACACAGCCTGGTCTACGTCAGTGGGAAATACTTGACAAAAGGGACGATACAACATACAATTCCGCCCAACAGACTGGAGGCTTCCGGATACCCCAGGTTCGTATACATGGCATTTGTCACCAATGGGAATATACCTGCTAGAACGTTTCGACCTAATACTGTCAGTTTTGCAATCCAGTTATTGAAGGGATAAGAATCACAATACAGAAAGATTGTGCAGCAATCGCTGAGCTGGCGTATCTATGGTAAGTGTCTGCAAGATAGTTGAAGGTGGCCAGATAGATGGAAAAGATCCCCATTGTCGCACATGCAATGGCAAGCGTGGGTACAATCCAAGGGACAGATGGGAACGACGTCCATCCAAACCAAAACAGACCAATTGGCATCAGAACGGATTCGATGCAGGTGAAATAGAGCCGACCCTCTGGAGTACTCGACATCTTGCCAAACCGAAGAGCAAGCTTCTCCTGATAAATGCTCATGATAGTGGCAAGCAGCGCACCTATCGAAACTGCCGAAAAAACAGCCCCACATTGTTCAACGCTGAAGCCATGGTTTGTTGAGAAGACGAGAGGAAGAGCACTGAAATTCATATACAGAACAGCCCAGCTGAACGCAACCCAGAGCGAGAAGAAAAACACCACCGGCTCGGTAAACAAAAGGTCTAGAAACCCGGTTAGCCATGGGATGGGAATAAACACAGGGCGTGGGGAATTTACGGAAGGGTCTGTAGCAGGAGATGGTGATCATCCTGAACAAAGTCTCCCGCTCTTCATCGCTTTTGACTTTCCACCGAATACGTTGCACCTGCGATTTTTCCATCGAGTCATCTGAGCTAAACACCACACTGTGATAGCCTGCCTCTTCCAACCTTTCATAGTAGCGATTGAGGGCCTTGGCCTTTTGACTCAACAACACACTGCCCCGGGTTTCTTTGAGGAAGACGAAAAGCAAGACGATAAAGGCGGCGGAGACGATGGCCTGGGAGTAGTAAATCCATCGCCAGCTGACCCGATCTGCAATGAACCCCGAAACGAGCGGGCCCAGCCCGGTTCCAAAGAGCGCAGCTCCTGAAAAGCACGACATGGGGCCATTGCGGTCTTGAGCGTTGTAGATGTCACTGATAACCCCGCCTACCATGGTAGAAAAGGTTGCTATAAAAGGTCAGTAGGCATTGCGCTGCAGTATGTGTATACGCACATCCACCGATACCCAGGAAAAATCTAGCCACCAGCATTCCCCCAAATGACTCGGTAGCACCGCATCCAATCAAGCATACTATCAAAGATTATCATATTAACCATGCTCGTCATCAGACAAATAGTCGAAATAAACCCACCAGTAAAAACCAACCCACTCATAACAAAAATCGGCCTCCTCCCATTAATTTCCGAAAAAGGCGCAAGAACCATAGGCGCAATACCGAACCCAAAAGTAAACAGCGTAATCCCCAGATTATAAACAACCTTACTCACATTCCACTTGGCCGTCAATTCACTAGAAGGAGACGTATACTCCCCCGCCGCATAGGCCGACAACGCCGTCACACAGCAGGAGACCATAGTGGTGACTGTCTTTCTCGACTCAGACCAGAGGAAGGGCGAAGTATACTTGGTGAGATCGGGACATGGTGGCGGGGGGTTCTGATCGGGTCGTGGAGACGAGATACCCAGTGGAGTTGGTAATGGGGTTTCGAAGGTGAGGTAGAGATATTCAATATCGTGTTGGGTGTTTGATACTGCCTGTTGCTCGCCGTGATGCTTTTCTTGATTGTCGTTATCGTCCATGGGCGTTGTAGCCGTGTTCCCTGTTTCGGCAATTGTCTCTGGACTCGAATCCGAAAGCCGAGGGCTGTCGGGTTCAGAGCTGCTAGGATTCATTCTTCATGGGTCATTCACTGGGTAGGTTTGATGATACTGGAAAGACAGTAGAAGAAGAGAAAGAGAAAGAGTCAAGCGAAGAAAAGTAACGATAGAAAAGGAACCAGATAGGAAATCATTATTAATTGACACTTTTTGCAGGATGGCGAAAGAGAAATCCGACTGAGTCGAAAAGCACCCCGACTGGAGGAAGTAAGAGTGTGGAGAAGCCGGGAAGGGGAAATCCACGCGGAGAGAAGGCCGAATGTATCAGTCACTATTGATACAGATAGGAATTGTATCTCAGAGTCCAGAAGAGTTGATATGTATGTACTGTGTAGCGACTAGTGATGCAGTATTCAACAGCACCATCTCATATACACATATCTATCACCATCCACACTGAACACAACACCATCCAACACATCCAATTCTCGCTGATAAGTGATGGTTACTCCGGATGTGGAAAGACAACCCCAGAGACTGCCAATCCTTACGCAGAACGTCTCGCCCTCCCCGAAAGGCCCACAATCCGTGCTATTCGGACATCGGGAAACCCCCGACGAATCAGATGGCCTAGGATGAGCTTGTTTGGCTGGTGATGGAGACTGACGGCTTTTAGTTGTCGGTTGGATCAGAGGATGGTCTGGAAGAGTTAATGGATGGTCTGCATATGCCACATGTCGGTACGGAGAAGATAAGATTGTACCCGGTACGCTGTGTGATGGTGGTCAGACTTGATTGGCATGTTGATTGTACTGTCGTGATATTGAATCATGCAGGTCGATCACTCCAGAAACTATGTATTGCAATGATTCAATGCGGCTTGCCCACTTTGTTTATCAACAGATAAAGACGCCTTGGGATCTGTGGGCAAAGTCGATGATTGGCAGTAAACACAACGCAGTCTGAACAGACAACACCAATCAGGACAAGCCGTACTTGATCTACAAATCATATTAAACCGTGGTTATTTTGTATAAAAATACCAACGCAAATCAATAATAATCGCAAACTACTGAATGATAAATCCGATCACAGTAACACACGTCACGTGACTGGTCCACCGCGCAGCTCGCGTCGAGCTTGTCCCCGGGCGCAAACAAAAGCTTCATCCAGCCTGTGTCTCTGGCGGCACTGCATCCCAATTCCCATCCCGTCTCCTCCGTACCACCTCCTCCATCCCCTCCTCAGTCTCCTCGACCATCCAGACCTGTTCAGGACTCTCCCATCCTTCTGCTGCGTCTCCTCTTCCGACCTCCTATTCCTTTTCACGAATCAAATATCCCCCTCTCCTCTTTTCCTCGTCTCTCGATCCCTCTTTTGTTGGTTTGAATCGTCATCGCGTGGATCTTACCACCTTCCCGCGCGGAGATGGCCCCCAGGAAGCGCAAGTCCGAAAGCGAGATGGTCGCGGATGAGTTGACTAAGAGAGCGCGTAATGACACGCCTGAATCAGGCGGCAACGATGGACCCCAGGTGAGTGCGCCTTTTTGCAAAAAGACACGGCAACTTGGATCGTCGTTTGAAAAATCTAGTTTTTTGCGTGTTATGGCTCCTATCTTAAGGATTCTCCCCCCAACACGCGAGGAGAGCGGATGGAGCGATGCAACGCAGGTGATACTGCAAGATACCGAGACTAATACTTGCCTCGCATAGGATGCTACTCCAGCCGTCACTGGAGAGAAGAGAAAAAGGGGTCGTCCTCGAAAATACCCCCTTAGTGACACTCCTAAACCTCCTCCCGGCCCCAAGCGAGGTCGAGGACGTCCTCGAAAAGACGCTTCTGCCATCCGTATGACCCCTGTTCTCTTTCTACACCCCCTGGCCGATTGCTGCCCTAAATGATTGGCTACTCGTGGCTGGGCCTACATGTTGCAGTTGGATGCTAATGTTTGTGCTTAAAAAGAAACTCCCGCAAAATCACCAAAGGAATCCCAAAGGCCCCGAGGAAGACCTCGCAAACATCCAGTGGAGAATGGTGTCGATGAGTCGCAAACAGCAAAGACAGACTCTCCCAGCACCAAGGCTGACGGTGCCGATGAGGACGAGGACCGCTCGTACTGGCTGATGAAGGCAGAGCCTGAGTCACGCTTGGAAAAGGGTGTCGACGTCAAGTTTTCTATTGATGACTTGCAAGCGGCTGAGGTCCCAGAGCCGTGGGATGGTATGTTTTCAAAGTAACTAACTGATTGCCTTGGTTGCTAATCCGATGCTAGGTGTACGAAATCTCGCTGGTAAGCTTACCGGTAGCGATGATTCGGAATAGTGACTTACAACCGACTAGCAAGGAATCACATTCGGGCGATGAAAAAAGGCGACCAGGCCTTCTTTTATCACTCGAACTGCAAAGTTCCTGGGGTTGTGGGGGTTATGGAGATTGTCCAGGAGCATACCCCTGATGGTTCGTCCTACATGGCTTGGTTGTCTCCTAGATCTCAGACTGACGTTGGACAAACTAGAATCCGCCTTTGACCCTGCTCATCCATACTATGACGAAAAGTCCAATCGGGACGACCCCAAGTGGAGCGTAGTTCATGTTGAGTTCCGACGCAAGTTCGATAACATGGTCACATTAAATGACCTCAAGTCCCATGCGTATGTGGGTGGGCCTCTCGAAGATCTCCAAACACTGAAGCAAACACGTCTCAGTGTTTCCCCGGTGAATTCGGTACAGTGGAAGTTCATCATGGGATTAGCAGAAGGGAAATCAGAAGAGTCCTCAAAAGAGGCCAGCTCTTCGGAAGAGGGAGCCGAAAGCAGCGAGTAGAGGAGTCGAGGATCGACAGCAACTTGCAAGATATCATGGACTGCTGTCGAAAAGTGTTGAGCATTGGTATACATTTTTTTCTCTTTTGTACAATGAATGGGCCTCCTTTCTTCTCTTCAAGCCTCCTTTCAGTAAAGACGACTTCAATTTGCTGGTAGACCGGATTGTTCCAGAAAGCCCTTGTACTCCACGTTGTGATAGGCTTTTGCGATGTTGCCTTGCATCTCACAACGTAATACAACTGCATGCCAGTCATCCCATCCGCAGAAGCACCTCGCTCTTTAAACACAGGCTGGCAAGCTGGGTATTCGCTCAATGACATCAATCATCACAACAAAAAAAAGGGCTGGCTGGGTTACCCCTCCGTGACAAGCTCAATGCTTATGCTCCAGTCTACACGCGGATAGCAATAGTCGCACCCTGGTCGAAGTCGACAGATTCCCCTGTATAAACCGTGCATCGAGGCATACCTAGTATTTCCGCGTACCTTTGATGTTAGGGGAGATGCAAGTTTAGTAGCATGGTGACTTATCGACGATATATCGGCCATGACGGCGGGGTAGCAAGACGCGCTGTGACAAATCCTCCCGTCGATTCAACCAACAAGTCGATCATGAATCAAGTGACAAACATAATGCATCGAAAGAAAGAAAGCTAGTATCCAAAGGGAAAGAACAAAGAGAAGAACCCGGCCTTTCTCGACCCTCCGATCGAAGCTGCTGCTGGTTGCCTGGGAAGAGAAGGTGTATCCGACCGAGGGGCGTGGAAGAGTGGAACAGCCCAGAGCTGAGAGCTGAGAGAACCCCTCCGACCATCCCATCCACATCCACCCATCCATCCCAACCATTGCAGGCCATTCGCTCTCGAGTTTCGAGGCCTTTCTGTACCAGTTTCAGGGGCGGGGTAGATGCACATGATTGCTCAGTGGTCAATCGTTATCGCCATCGTCATCAATCCATAAATATCTCCATGCACGCCTTCACATCCGTCTTCTTCTCCCCCCTACGGTTGCGTTTGCCTGCTGTTTCACCATCTCCATTCATTCCTCGTCGTCAATTTCACCCTTCTCGTATCGCTATGTCTGGACTTTCTGTTCAATTGACTGCCCCCAATGGGCGCAAATACGACCAGCCCGTTGGTCTCTTCATCAACAATGAGTTTGTTGCCTCCAAGTCTGGCGACAAGTTTGCTACCATTAACCCAGCGTAAGTGTGGTCGGAAAAACAGAGAATCCAGAACGAAGCACTAACACCTATCAGGGACGAGCAGGAGATTGCTTCCGTTTATGCTGCAGGAGAGGAGGACGTCAACCTGGCCGTCGAGGCGGCCCGCAAGGCCCTCAAAGCTCCTTCGTGGAAGCAGTTGCCATCGACTGATCGGGCCAAGCTGATGTTCAAGCTGGCTGACTTGGCTGAGCAGCACAGGGAGACTCTGGCCACAATCGAGACCTGGGATAATGGTACCTGATTCCCGGCTTGTCCTGTTTTTCCTGCATTAACTCACAATTTCCTCCAGGCAAGACGTACTCCGACTCTTTCAACAGTGATCTAGGAGAAGTCATCAACTGTCTCCGGTATTATGCCGGCTGGGCAGACAAGGTGTTTGGCCAAACCATCGGCACCACCCCGGAAAAGCTCGCCTACACCCTTCGCCAGCCGATCGGTGTTGTTGGCCAGATCATCCCGTGGAACTTTCCTCTGGCCATGGCTGCATGGAAGCTGGGCCCTGCTCTTGCCTGCGGAAACACCGTGGTCTTGAAGCCTGCAGAGCAAACCCCTCTCAGTATTCTGTACTTTGCCAACCTGATCAAGGAAGCTGGCTTCCCTCCGGGTGTCATCAACATTGTGAACGGCCACGGAAGAATTGCAGGATCTGCCCTGGTGCAGCACCCTGATGTGGACAAGGTCGCCTTTACTGGTTCGACCGCGACCGGACGGGAGGTCATGAAGATGGCCGCAGGTACCTTGAAGAACATCACCTTGGAAACAGGCGGCAAGTCGCCCTTGGTGGTATTTGGCGATGCAGACCTTGAACAGGCCGCCAAATGGGCCCACATTGGCATCATGTACAACCAGGGCCAGGTCTGCACGGCCACCTCTCGTCTGTTGGTTCACGAGTCCGTCTACGACAAGTTCATTGCTCTCTTCAAGGAGGTGGTGGCCTCCACCAACAAGGTCGGCGACCCGTTTGCCGACGAAACCTTCCAGGGCCCTCAGGTCACCAAGGCGCAGTACGAGCGCGTTTTGTCCTACATTGAGAGTGGCAAGTCAGAGGGTGCTACCCTGGCTGCTGGCGGAGAAGCCTTCAAGAACATTGGCGACGGCAAGGGCTTCTACATTGCGCCCACCATCTTCACCGATGTCAAGGACCACATGCGCATCTACCGAGAGGAAGTCTTTGGTCCTTTCGTTGTGATCTCGAGCTTCTCTACAGAGGAAGAGGCGGTGGCCCGGGCCAACGACACAACGTACGGTCTGGGAGCTGCTGTGTTCACCAAGGACATTGAGCGGGCACACCGCGTGGCCTCCGATATTGAAGCCGGTATGGTGTGGATCAACAGCAGCAACGACAGTGACTTCCGAGTTCCGTTTGGAGGTGTGAAGCAGAGTGGTATTGGGCGAGAGCTGGGAGAGGCCGGACTGGAGGCATACTCGCAGGTCAAGGCCGTTCATGTCAACCTGGGATCCAGGTTGTAATGTATTATGAATGCGTGTGCTTGAGTATGTAACCCGATAATTTCCGCAATATAGAGATAGGTTCATTCAAACCGGATTTGTTGGACTACAGCAGAGCAAGTGATGCGCGACGGGATGCAGTAGTATTTCTGCCTAACATCTGACTACAGCACCGCAAACTCACCTGATGCTGGAAACGGTGTAATCCTGGCTGCATAAACGCAAGCTGACGAGGATGCACGAAACCCAAAGCAGAACGACAATCAGAATAACCAAGTCATCGCCAATCAGCAGCGGTATAGAAAATAACAGCTCATCGGATGCTGTTAGTGGCCAGAATTCTGCCACGTCGAGGCCAGCATTGGTGCCCGATGGGATATTAAACCCGCCGCTAATGTGGATGATTTGGTTTTGAATTTGGAATGGCGAGCGAGAGAGGGAAAAAAATGTTTGAGTTTTTTTGGTTTGCTGCGTGGTGTAGGCGACCGTTTTAGGCATGTCGATCGATTTATCTGTGTTGTTGTTGTCATTGTTTTCTTGGTGGTGAGGCATATGCAGTGTGGCAGGGATGGTGATATGATGTGCATGTTATGTGGTGAGTTATATACAACCATACTGCATACTGAAGTTTATACGAGGTTACTACCTAGGTACAATATTTGAGATTTTGTTGGTTAGTTAGTATGAAGTTATGACAAACGTTTATCAATCGTTCAACGGAGTATTCGTAGTTATCAATGTGGTGTACTATGTAGTTACTCAAAGTACCAACTAAATATATATCCACCATCCACTCACACCTAAAAATATAACTGTCAATACACGAAAAAACCACCTATATCAAACCACTTATTGTTTCACAGTAAACCCCATCCACCATCCACCATCCCAATTGATTCATCAAACGACAAAATAATCCCTTGGCAAAACGCAGCACCCAATGTATGTACACTACATACATAGTACTTTCTACATACCTCGGTCTAGTTCTGGTCTGTGTCCGACACGTTCCATTCCAGACCGACCGGGATGTGATATATCACCGTTCTTTTTTCCCCTGTTGCTGCTATTTCGAGTCCAGAGCGTCGGATGTAGTGTACGTACATATGTATAGACAGGACAGGGTAGGGAATTGGATGGAGCTGTAGGTACCTATGTATGTCATGGATATGTGTAAGTGTGGCGCTTTTGTGGCTTTGGTTGTTGAAACAATAGCTGCGTCTGTTCTTGTGAAGTATGTTATGTATAGTACCTATGTACGGAGTACACTGTGTAGGTAAGTATGTACAGAGTATGGAGTACGTCATGAATATATTCCGTTATAAACCTTGTGTCTTATCTATTTTTGGTGATGATGAAGCCTTACTTGAATCATTGATGTGGCTACAGTACATACTCCGGAGTCCGGGACGGAGGATAGAAACTTCTATTGACTATGTCTATGAGCTGTATGGTATACTACGGAGATATTAAATAACGAAAAGGTGGGTATGGGATATATTATTGAATCGAATCGATCCATATTTCGCCCAAAACTTCAACTGCCGACATATAGATAGACCTGTCATTCGTCTTGGCAGACCGAAAAAATAATATGACTTATGCAGCGACGTTTTTCTTGTCCCATTTCCCCGCTGCAAAAGATAATGTACAGTATATTGATTGAGACAAAGCCTCAAAGGTCAGAGTGTTGGATCATGACGGTTGAACGAAGATACTGTACTGGATAGGTTGAGAATTGATATTCGGGTGGCGGATATGACACCTATACTACAGTTACATTAAATGAATATGGATCAACCCCCTAACTTCCTTACCCGATTATTGACCTTGTACCTTGTTCTCGTCCTTTTTTTTTCTCCGCTTCACTTCAGAATGGACATGATGTACGACTACCGAGTAGGTACTGCTGGTTATTATTCCTGTCTGCCTTCTGGATGTATTATCGTACTAATGACGGGCTTCCGCGCGGACGCAACTCCGTTCGGACCCTTTCCCTCTCGACGTACTTCGTATGTGCATACATAATAGTGCATCATATAGGATGTTATCCACATTGGACGCTATTGATGGGCGATCACCCCGGAAATGGATCAACAATGGCATAATACGGTGACGATGAATGAATTGCCGATATTGAAATAAAAAAGAACCGAGTGGATTGTCATCGAAAGGCTTGAATCTTGGACTAGGCTTTTGAGTACGTAGTACCCTGAATATCCTTTCTTATCCATGACATCCGGAATCAAGCAAACACACAGACCTTGTAGACAGGTAAGAACGGATGATCCATGCTGTCAATGCAGAATTACGGTTGCAACGGCTGTACGTCAGAGATGGCGAAATCCGAATGCAAATTCAAATTCAAATCAAGTCAACACAAGACCAGGCAATCGAGTCTGGACCCGGGGTTTGATGTGCCGTGTGTCTCCATCGAATGATCGAAGGCTTCAGGAAAATCAGACTAAAGCAAGCTGCTGTGTCGCGCAGGTGGTGCTTTGCTTAGCGTAACCGGTTCAGCTTCTGCCAAACCGCCACGGGGCGAAACGAAATGGAGAAACCGGAAGAGATCCCATTTGCCTGGATGGATCCCGAAATACGTATATGCGAGTTGGAGTAATCAATCGTATTCTGAACACATTGCAACACTGGAGAGGTCTCCACTGAAGAGGAGGAGGAGGCCTTAGAGGCTAGAGCCTAGAGGCTTAGACAGGGCGTTGGGACGGGAAGTGTGGCCGTCCTTTACTACTAGTCACAGAGATTGTAGGCCGGTGATTTAACTATCGTGACTATCGGGATGGGGCTGAGATTCGAGTAGATAGAATCATGATACTAGTAGCGGGGGGCTCTAATTTGGTCAACGGTTATGAATTGTGATCCTTCACATGACAAAACTGTGGTGGAGACTGACTCGATAGTTTGACTGGGAATTGGGACTTTTTTTCTTTTTTGTTTTTTTCTCCGTCCTAATATTGGGTGGAGATGTTAGCCTGAAGCTGAAGAGCGGTAAATAGAAACTAACCTGAAAAGAGATTCTTTTTGAAATCATCGTCGACCTTCGAAGAAGCAACAGAAGAAGACGAGAAGAAGAAGATGTGGGGGAAACGGCCTTGGCGCAAATGCCACGCAGCCCCAAGTGGGAGCGGCTATTGGTTTTCGGGGGGAAATTCACCTCTCCTCTTCTCCTCACCACTTCTCCCCGTCTTGTTTCTGTCTCTCTCTCTCTTTGACGACAAATCCAACTCAGCTGGACTTACCGCTGCTTCAGAGATCGTCACTAGCTTTGCTGTCTCAGTCTCAATCTCACTTTTAGACAGTCCCTGAACGGACTAACGCTCTCTCTCGCCTCCGACCATCCTCCGAAGGTTTCCGACCAAAGTACCAACGGTGTGCGGGCATCATGTCCACGGTTCAGAAATGGACGGTCTCTGAGGTATGCAATTAAGCTCAGCTCGTACAGATCCCGAGATTGATCTTAGGTTGTTCCTTAGCCCTATCTCGACATACCCGGTACCCTACTCGAGGGTCCGTTCCATGATGAGGCCAGGAACGAATTTCGCTTCGTGGATATCTTAGACCAGAAGCTCTATACTCTCGACCTTGCACAAGGTCCTTCGTCTTTGAAAACCTTAGACATTGTCAACTCGATCGGGTGGGTTGTCTTGTCCTGTTTGAGACCCGTAGTGTTCTTGTCTTTTTTCTTTTTCTACTCTCCCAACATCGCATAACTGATGGAGTAATGGCTTAAGAGTCACCGCCAATATTGCCGGTGATTCCCACCAGGATCAGATAGTTGTAGCCGCTAAACATGGATTTGCCCTGGCCAACCGCGATACGGGGGAGTTGTCCTATATCCGCGCTGTCTGGGATGATCAGAATGATCCGAACAAGTCCATTAGGTATGTGATTTCCTTTTTTCTGATTTCACATCCTGTATTTTCAGCCCGTCAGACATCTGACATTGGGGGAGAAAAATACAGACATAGGATGCGGTTCAATGATGGAGCGGTCGACAGCCACGGCCGATTCTGGGCCGGGGCCATGAACGACAACAAATTCGTACAGCCAGGTCCCGTAGGGACCATATTTCGCCTGGATCCGGATTTGAAACTGTATCGTATGGTAGAGCAGGTGACCATCCCCAACGGAATTGGCTGGAGCCCTAACGACGACACGATGTACCTGACCGACTCGCCCACGGCCAAGATTTACGCCTTTGACTTTGATGCCAGCACCGGGGCGATCAGCAACCGGCGCGTCCACTTTGATCTTGCGGAACCGCAAGAGCCAGATGGATTTGCCATTGACACGGAGGGTTGCATCTGGAGTGCCATCTACGGCGGTGGACGGGTCATCCGTATTTCGCCCGAAGGCAAGGTCATTGGAGTAGTCTCGGTCCCGACAAGGAATCCCACCTGCCCGGCCTTTGTTGGGACGGAGCTGTTCATCACCACGGCCAAAGATGATACGAATGATGAGGCGCTGCCAGAGTCCATCCGGTATGGAGGACGACTATTCCGGGTGGATGTTGGGGTCCGGGGCCAGCCTAAGAATCCGTTTCGACTTGAAGGGTAATGAGGAATAAGCCATGTAGAGAACCGGTAATGAACATAAACGTACATTTATGGATAGCTTTTTTTTTTTTTTTTTTTTTTTTTTGAAGATACAGGTATATATCTACGGAGTATGCTGGGAGTACTCCGGGAACGAGAAATCATCCGAATTATGAATGAAATCCTTCTAGAATCAGCGCCTGTAAGGGATATGACGTACTGATTTTTTCTTTAAAAAAACAATACAGCAAAAAAACGTCGAAATGCAGGCCAACCAGCCTAACATGCATTCCATCCTAACAACAACACCAACAACAGGACACAACAGCGCAGTAATAGTACACGATACCATGAACGCCAATCTTTACCGAATCAGTTCTGGCCCCAAGTCTGGTGACTGTGAGGATATGTGTGCTCCAGCCTGCATGCATGGGCGGTATGTAACTACTCATAGTACATGCATACAGTCTCCTGTGCTGTTCCTGCAAGGCCAGCACATCAGGATCAGGATCAGGAAGTTCCCTCGCTGCAAGGTGATGCAGCTTGACTCGTGGTTAGTACTTTTGGGCAATTCCCTGTCCAAACCTAGTAATTCTAGTTGGTGGTTGTTGTACATATGTAACAGAGAAAAAGTACCAAAGTACGGAAGGTATGCAATGCACCATCCTCTGTATGTGCAAGTGGGGCGTGCCTCGATTCAGCGATGATTTGCAGTAGTGAGTGATGATTGCCTGTTGATTATTAGATAGATTAGTTAAGACGATGGGAAAAGAAGTACTTGACACCTTGATAGTCTTATCTATCATTTTGAACACGAGGGCTGAAACAAAAGACCTCGGTTAGGTGGTGCTTGTTCTTTCTGTATGGCCAATAATTGATGCAATCACCCATGGATGATGCTGGATGAGGAGAAGATAGTCGTGTAGTATTCCTCCCGCGATAGAATTACGAGATAGATTGCTATCTATATCAATCAATCAATCTATCTCAACGACTATCGCGTCAACAAGAATAATACCACCCTCTCTACTGAGGTCTGGATACCTCGTTTGAAGCGGTTACAGCGGGACTTGGTGGTGGTGACAGCGGTACAAGACGGGACGAAGAAAAAGAAACGACTCGATTCCACGGGCGGCTGCCAACAATAATGGCAATAATTCAATGTGATAACGTCTGGGATTCCAAACCATCACACAAGAACTTTGTCTCCTTCTGTACAAGGATAGATTCCCCTTGGCTGATGATGTCGAATGTACCTCATTTTGTGATCGTCTGCTTTCTGTATTTGTGTTCTGTAAAAAAACAACCAGTCAAGTCCACACACAACGCCAAGGCTCTTTAGTTCTGTTTCTCCCCCTCTTCTTCCTTCCACCCCCACGAACCATCCACCTGGGAAGTCCCAAGGACGATGTTGGAACTAACGCATCTCCTTCCCCCGACGATGATACCCCAAGAAAAAAAAAAGATCTTATGATGATATTATTATCATGCGAAAAAAATGAGGGCAAAACCACCCACGAATCTGAGACTTTCTCGTCAATCTGAAATCCGTGACTAATTGACTTACCCACTTCCCGTCAACTTAAGGCGCCTGGCAGCACGACACTACGAATGGAGCCGTCTCTCGACTGGGTCGGTTCCTAACGAGTCCAGTCCAGAATGAGAGACCTTCGGGTGGAACTATTTGCTTTGCCCGTCAGACAGTTCAGTCCAGTCCAGTACCTTGGCTGAGGCTGTTCTGGCTCTTCTAGAACAACCGACTTTGGTTGGCCCACAGGATCGACAGAAATTGAGGTTCTTCAGCTGCCTGTCACGGAGAAAATAGGACCAGAGTTGGGACCTTGGGATTCGGGTCTGGGAGGTCTGGATTCAGAGTGATCAAATAAGTGGTCAGTGGTGCGAGAAGTACGATACTTCTCTCTAGACAATAATCTACTCCGTACATGCTCTATGGAATATGCATCTAATATTATCTCAGGAAATGCAGAGTACTTTTGCCTACCCGCTGTATGACAGGAATCTCTCCTCTCTCTTCCTCTTCTCTAGCTCAGCTCCTCTCCCCTTCTACCGACACTAGTCAAGCACTATCGCTATGGAAACGCCAGAACGCCTCCCATCCTCTCTTCTCAACCTTAAAAATTCCGTGCCGGACTGACGGACTGACGGGCTGCCGGATTGACGGTCAAGCTCGCGAAAAAAAGAAAAAGGGCAAAAAACAAAAAAAAAAAAAGCTCGGTCGTTTAAGTGACCACAGTGGGCGGGAAAAGCCAACGCCAACCCAGCCCAAAATACAAATAAATCAAAATTACCTGAAATTGAGGGTTGTCTCGCCAATCACGGATCAATGGATCTATCAGATTGCAAATAATTTCGGAATCGCGACTTGTTATTCGTCCACTTTTGCTGAAGAGTGTACCTTACTATGGAGCTCACCGATTTACTGACATAATTGCCGTTCTCGCAGGATTTTTCTTTCTTTTTTTCTTGTCCTTCTTATGACGCTCCCCCTTGTTTTCTTAATATATCTCATACCGCTCTCGTATTGAGGTATCCATACTACGTACAACCCTACAAGGGAGTTGCTTGACTAGGAGGAAAGGGAAGGGTACGCAATACGGACTACACATCATATGACCCTAGATCGAAATCACCGTGTCAAGGTCGATGAACACAGTGCAACAGTGAACAGACTTTTTGCGGTCTGCAATCCAACGTACTGACTGTATGTACTCGGTGACCACAGAGACATAGACTGTACATGCGAAATAGAGTCGGACAGCTCAGTCGATCCAACGTGATGTGAGAGCTTACATGCCGCTCGCGGCTCGTCACTCTGGCTGCATAAGTTCAGGCCGTGCTGCAGCTACTGTTTTTGGATTTGAGATTTGCCTTCTGAAGGCGCACACAAGGCAATCGTGATACAGCGTCCTTATCTCGCGTACCAGAACATCGGGTCATTACCAGCAGGCCCTCCCAACGACCTATTGCCCAGCTAGCTAGCATTTACCGACAGTCTAAGTCGCTAAGATTATTCCAGATGATTTGCGACCTTTTTTTCCTGTCTTGTCGGTGTTGCCATTGGTGCCCAATGACGTAGGGAGAGACAACTTTAAGGGGGGTCAAGCCAACAGGTTGACTTTGGGATCGAGTGAATCAGCCGTAGTTTCAGAAAAGGGCAAAAAAAAAAAAAAAAAAAAAAAAAAGGCAGACTGGACGAGACGATTGAATAACAGAACAACAGGGCAGCGAACAGGCGGTGGTGAGTTTTCGTGATGATCTGTCCTGGATGAAAGCAAGACCCTGCATGCCACAAAGCCAAAACCGGCCGACCCAATTTCTGGTTTCTACTAGTCCAGGCGGCCAAGTCGATTGGCTCTTCTCCAGGGGACGGAGAATGCATACATGTCCGTGGGAAGTGCTTAGGTGCTACCATGTAGTACGATGGACTCGCGGTCGATTACCGTGCTGGATGGGGCGAGGGATCGCTGGTTGGCTGGTGGTGTCGATGCATTTCCGACCAACGGCTGATCATCCATTGAACTGGTCTGACTGAGACTGAGTCGAGAAAGTGAGTTGAAGATGATGCTGAAGGGAATTAGGTACGTACCTTAGGGAGTTAGTGGTATAGTTAATAATACGGAGACCTCCGCGGATATTCCGCTGACTAGCATTAGATAGTATCGGCCCGCGGATGAGGATGAGGATGAGGATGCATGCAAGACATCATGTGCCCCGAATGGGTATTTTGTTTCTTTTTTTTTTGATTTGCTACTTGCCAGTCTTTGGTCAAGTCTTGAGTGTACTTGGTTAGTACTGAGATGGTTAGTACTTGTGGAATGGTACGTAGGATCGGTCGATGTACTTTAGCTTCACGGAGGACTGTCGGTGGTTCCGCGGGGAAAAAATTCTAAGCTGTACTAAGCTTGAATCATCTCATCTCATCTAATTCAAAAAAATATGAGGTTGATGTGAAGATCAAAAGTACCCAAATTCAATGTACCAAGTACTCCCATAAAGTACATGCAGCGTAAGAGCGGCCCAACCCCCTAACTCCTCCAATCTCCACCAACACCAAGGTGACCGTCGTGACGGGATTTCTCACTTGCAGCTCTCTTCTTTCTTAGCTGGCAGATGCAATTCAAATATTGAAAATATAATAAATAATCTTCCAGATGGGTCTGCGCTAGTTTCACGCCTGCGTGCCACTTTTTCTTTTTTTTCTTTTTTCTTTTTTAATTATTTTATTATTATTATTATTATTTCCAGCCCAAACTGAAGCCTTCCGACTCCCCCGGGCCCCATCGAGTCTGACCCTCTCTTCTTCTGCTTCTTCTCTGTCACTTCTTGTTCGATGCCTTTCTCCAGTCTCCATCTGCGTGTCTGTCCCTCTCCACTTTCTCTCTAGTTGGTGGGCTTTCCATCCTGATGGTTCGGAAATGGGTCCTTTCGCTCCTCTGGCCTCACCGCTGGATCGACGACTGTCTGTCACCAACGGCTCCCAGATCGTCTGAAGTAATAATTAATCGTATCATCCTCCTGCTTGGACAAGAAAAATAATAATTTCTTCTCAACTTGGATTCAAACTTATCTCCATCCTCCTTTAATTATCCTTATCCTCCCCTTCTTCTCTTGTTTTATTACTATATCTTGATCTGGCGGTCTAATCAGTATACAACACCACCAAAGCACACGATCAACTTATTCTCATCTTCATCTTCATCCTCATCGCATCCTATTCTTCTTACTTTTTCTCCCCATTCTCCTCCTAACCGTCACCGTGGCTACTCTCGGGATCAGTCCTTTACCCACCCCATACACCAACCCGGTGCATTCATCCCACCCATATCATTCCCTCTCGGGTTACCATCTTGCGCCTCACTCTCCCGCGGCCCTCTCCCACCCTCGTCTCCAGAGCCCAACGCATCTGGAGAGAGGGGGGCCATGCAAATCTAGCCAAGGCGACTTGAAACCCATGTCGCAAAACCCTCCGGCTGCTGCTGCTGCTGCTGTTTCTTCTTCCGACGATGTACTTCGGGCTGAAAACCGCCCTCGGGTCGACAAAGAGAGCTCTGTTCCTCCATCTTCATCTTCAGACACCCAGGATCCCATGCGTCCTCGTCCGGTTTCCTGGCATCCCTCTGCTCCTGTGGAACCCCCGTTGGAACCTACTCAGCTTCGTTCCATCGGTGTGCATTCTATCTTGAACCCTCCTGCCAAACCTGCTGCTACGGACCGGGACTCTGTCGGTGTGCAGTCGGTGACTTCTACAGCTCGTCCAAGGTTGCCTTCATCGCCAACAGCGCATCTGGCACACCCTCTGGCTCAGCCTGCGCACGCCAAACGTCTTTCCTTGTCTCCGAGGATCGCACAACGGCACATCATCTCTCCCATCTCACCCTCTGCCCGATTCGTCAATTCCGGCAGTGGTTATCCGGGAAAGTCCAGCGCATCACAGTCTCCGTTGGCGCACGAGTCTCGCCCTGGCACTTACAGTTCGACTCCAGGCTCACCAGTGCCGGTGGACCCAGCCGTAGGTTCGGCTCCAGTTTCTCTGAACTCAACACCGACCTTTCACAGCCGGCGGACGAGTGCAGGGCCCATGACAAATCCCAGCTCGCAAGAGACCAGTCCCAGTACACCTCACTCTGTCTACAGCCAACTGGGCCGATCCTCCCCCGCTATCGCCAGCGCAACTATCTCGGCCCCACAGCCTACACCGCCATTTCTACACTCCCCATACGGGGCCATGGACTCTGTCGGTCGACTTCCATCAGTAGTGGGAGCACCGAGACATCCAGGGGAGCATCATCCTTCGGCCGTCGCAGGCTCGCAGTCGTCGGAGAACACCCCCTCGGGAATGATCCCGTGTGTGCTGGACCTCAAGTCCGGCTCTTCCAGCCAGGCTGAGAAGCGCAAGGCAAACAGTGATGCGTCTCGACGGTTCCGCAACCGCAAGAGGAACGAAATCCAGATGGAGCAAAAGATCACAGCTCAGCAGGAGGAGATCAGGAAGCAGGCGGACGCCATGCAGAGGCAGGCGCAGGAACTCCGCGCCCTCATGCAGGAGAAAGACTACTACCGTTCCGAGAGAGATTTCTACCGTGAACACCTTGGTCGAGTTGTGCCGCCCAGCCAGCTGCCTGCCAGACCTCCCTCCCCGCGAGCCTTTGGGTCGTTTGAGTCAGGACATCTGACTCACTCGGTGCTCCCTACAGCGTCCATTTCCTCCTCTCCGAGACCCCAAGCTACGTGGCAGACTGCTCCGTCGGCTTATTCCGTGGCACCTGCGCCTCAGGTGCCCGATGAGCAGGCAAGGTCAATGCCACAATACTCTGGAGCATGGACACGCACTTAGCCTTGAAGGTTGAGTCAATCTATCGCATTATCTTTTCTTTCTCTTCCTTTTTACCTTTTACTTGAATATGTTTTTTTAAAAAAAAATGGGTGGCTGCTTATTTTGAAGATATACAAAAAGCCGCCGAACTTTTTGGCATACTATATGACAAAAGCGAGCGGTTTATCTGTATTGGGGAAACAGAATGCACAAACAACGAGCGTGATGGATTTTCAGGTGTACTCGGAGTGGTGGAAAAGCCCTTTGACTCTTTTTTTTTTTTCCTTTTCTTTTTTGACCTTTTCACTTTTTGCATATTTCTTTTTCCCCTTTTATCCTTATCCTTTGCACATATACATCTGCTTTTTATTACCCATTTGTTTCTGTTGACTTGCATCATATCATCCATGGGCGGAGATTATTTTGTCGTTCCTTTTGCATCATTGAGAAATCTTCTGGCGTTTCGATATACATACAACATATTCTGCTTTTTGGACCGGTGTCGTGGCTCTTGTCTATTCTGTTTGTTTGATTTATTCATTAGACGAAAAGATACCACGACCTTGTCGCGAGACAACAGATCAATCAATTCATCAATTCAATAAATGCATACATGCAATACAAGATATAATTACTCAATCAGTTCAGTGGGGTGTGGGATACTGCATCTATCCATGAATTCATGTGTCAACTGGATGTAGACTCGAAATAGATATTACATATTCACATGAAGTATTCACATGAAGATGAAGAAGCAAAACTTATCAGATCCGTTCCGTACTAAAGAATTAATATGAAACAAGCATGCGACATCGGATGAAGATCGTCATTTTGGGATATTATCAATCAATAACGGTCGAGGAGAGCGATGTCACTGAAGAAAGGGAGGTGAAGGCGGTGATTGGTTGGTGGGGGTTTTAGTGTGTGATGATCGTGATGACGTTTCTGATGCTGAACAGACAGCAGACAGCAGACAGCAGAAGACAGCAAATAGGTACAGGTACATTCGGGGTATTCTGTGGCTGTCAGAATATTATACTATTAAGTATGCTGTATAGAGGATATAATAGAGTATAGAATATTCTGCCAGTAGACTTGGTGTTACTACATGTAGAGATCGACACTCTCCTAGAGTACTGCCCATAGTGCATACTACCTATACTACTCCTATTATGAACATCATAAAACAGGGATAAAACACCAATTCCTAACCGATCATAAGACACCCTCACCGTCTAATGCCCAGCTAATTAGCATCTCCTCTTCAAGCACATTGTCAGCATCATACCTAACCAGACCCTATGGTCGTCCCACGTGCCCCCGCCCACCAGCCTATCAGCTCTCGTCCCTTTCGCATGTCGACAGCACAACTACGTACATACGTTCCAACAACCACCTTACCTTACACCGTTGTCTGCCTAACAAAAGCCAACATAGGCATCGTCACCATGTATTTTATATCTCATCCTTCGTTTCCTATCGACAGGGTTGTGTCTTCACTAACTACTACACTACTACCAACTACGACGCTGGTGGAACCACTCCGTCCCCCACACTAGATTTAGATTGATACTACGACCGATATCGCGCCCACGCTTTTCACCGAGGCAGACTGTGACTGAGTGAATTGAATCAAGCTAAACGGAGCTAAGTTATATTGGAGGGGCTAGGAGGGGTGGAAGGAAGATGAAGGGGCTATATTTATATGATGGCCGTCGGCCGGCGTGGATGGAGGATGAGGAAGAGAAGAGAGGGAATCGTCGGCGAAGAATAGCATTAATTGCGAGTGCGATAATTCTGGTCATTATGGGTGTTTCGTTTTTGCTTGGATTGTATCTTGTTTCTGGGTGAGTTTGCTGCTTTATTATTATCGGGCTTTAGCTAATAAGTCAGGGTACTGGGAAATGTACTTCCCAGACAGGATAATAAAACCTGCAACGCCGTCGATGGATGTTCTCCTGAAATCACGCATCTCTGGGGCCAGTACTCGCCGTATTTCTCGCTCGCGGCTGAATCGAAGAATATCGAAGATGATACGCCCTCCGAGTGCCAGGTGACGTTTGTCCAGGTTCTCTCTCGCCATGGCGCACGGTATCCCACCAGCTCCAAGGGGAAGAAATATGCAGGTCTCGTCGCAGGGATCCAGCGCAATGCGAAATCGCTGACTGGGAAATACGCCTTTCTCAACGACTGGAACTACACACTGGGACAGGACGATTTGACTCCGTTCGGTGAGAACCAGCTGGTCGAGTCAGGGAGGAAGTTCTACCATCGGTATGAGCAGCTTGCGAGGAATACTGTTCCGTTTATTAGGGCTTCGGGGTCAGATCGGGTGATTGCTTCTGGGGAGAAGTTTATTGAAGGCTTGCAGGGTATGAAGAAGAATGATGCGCGCGCGAGAGCGGATCAGGATATCGAGATTGATGTTGTGATTGAGGAGGGGGATGGGTTTAACAATACGCTTGACCACGGTCGCTGCACCAAGTTCGAGAACAGTGAATTGGGGGATTATGTCGCGGGGAATTATACGCAGACTTTCGCGCCGGCGATTCGAGAGCGACTCGAGAAGGACCTGCCTGGGGTGAGCCTTTCGAATGACGATGTGCTTTACCTGATGGACATGTGCTCGTTTGAAACGGTAGCGAAGACGCCTGATGCGAGTGAGCTCTCTCCATTCTGCGATCTGTTCACCCACGAGGAATGGCGCAAGTACAACTACGTGCAGTCGCTGAAGAAGTACTACGGCTACGGCGCTGGCAACCCTCTTGGACCAACCCAGGGTGTTGGATTTGCGAATGAACTCATCGCGCGTCTGACTCACTCCCCCGTGCGCGACCAGACATCTACCAACCACACCCTGGACTCGAATCCCGCTACCTTCCCACTGAACGCGACGATTTATGCCGACTTCAGCCACGACAACGGGATGATTCCGATTTTCTTCGCGCTGGGTCTGTATAACGGAACAAAGCCATTGTCACAATCGACAGTCGAGACTGCCAAGCAAGCAAACGGCTACTCAGCCGCGTGGGTGGTTCCGTTTGCCGCGAGAGCTTATATCGAGATGATGCAGTGCAGTGGGGAAAAGGAGCCGTTTGTTCGGGCGTTGGTCAACGATCGAATCGTTCCTCTGCATGGCTGTACTGTCGATGAGTATGGAAGATGCAGACGTGATGATTTCATTCGGGGGTTGAGCTTTGCTAGATCTGGTGGTGATTGGGGGAGTTGCTTTGCTTAGATCTTTTTTTCTTTTCTTTTATGGTTTATTTATTTTGATACCAGCCAATTGGACCTATTGATTTGTTTCACCTTGGTGTCTGGACTTTTCTTTGCAGTGCTGCTACGTCATACCTTTTTATATCCCACGGTGAATGGGACCTAGGGCTACATTCACTGTTGTGATAGACGGCGAGCTCCGTCAACGTGATCAGAAGAGGCGAAATGAATCTTTTTTCACCGGTTTTCTCCTCCCATCTTCTGTCTTCTCTTATATGGGGACAGCCATCTCATCTTCTTCACATCCACCCCATCTCAAGCGAGCCAAACCATCTTGAGATCCAACATGGCTACTCTAACCACCCCAATCCCCCACAGCTGGAAGCCGATCATCGTCATGATATCGCCCAACGGCCTGGGCTACTGGCGCAGATATCGAGCCGTACTCTGCAGGATCCAACGCGACGCTCGACTCATGTACGTCCCCGACGTGACAACCCTCAACATCATCATCGAAGACTACGGCGACGACATAGCCGGGTTCGTGGTCACAGACACCGACGTCATGGAGCCTGAGCACGAGACCCTCTCCAACAGACTCGCGCGTCTCCTCGAAGTCGCCGACAAAGAGTGGTCGGTGGTGTTTGCCTTTGATTTCCCTTCCCAGGCGGTACTGTACCCGCTTCAGTTTACCCGATACATGCAGCACCATTTCGGGCTTGACTGGAAGATGGCGGGGAAGTCGCGCTCGACGATTAAGCTTGGGTTCCGCGAGAATGCGCTTCGCAAGATGGGGCCTCGTGTGTATCGGACGGTGTATGAGGTGCGCGGGGTGTTTTTGAAGAGCGTCAAGAAGTCGGATAAGGTGCTTATTGCGACGGGGGAGTTTGGTCCTGGGGGTGATCCTGAGGATGATTGGATCACCAACTACTTACGTCCTGAGTATGAGACCGATACGACTGCCAACGATGATGAGAGAGTTATCGACTACGAGAGCGACGATGAAGACGACCTCGACGAAGAGGACGACGAAGACCAAGACCAAAACGAAGAATTTGACGCCGACGTCGAAGACAACCACATCGACGAAACAGAACTCCAGTACCCCGAGGACGAAAAGGAATACTACCAAAGCAACACCAGCCGCGTTAGAGCCAGCACCAACCGCGATAACGAAATCCCCAACGCCACCCACCACCACCACCACCACGGACACCAGCACCAGCACCAGCACCGCCCACGCAACAACGAATCCGCAGCGCCTACTACCAACACCACCACCAACGACGAAGACTGGGTCCCCTCCGACGACGAAGGCACCGAAGAAGACAAGCAGACAACCGACTGCCCCGTCGCGATCCACGAGTTCAAGAACTGGCTCGAAAAGGATGGCCGTGGTCGCTTGGTCAAGGGGTATTTGGGGTTCGTGGGACATGTCGAGGATAACCGGTCCATGACTTCGTTGATTTTGGGCATGTGCTCTGTTAGACCTTGCTGGGGATGAAATCTTTTTTGAGTCATACATGCAGATATGACATGATTTTGATTGCGCATGAATGGAGGAGATATGAATGATGGATATGGATGATGACAATCCCAGCTCTAACCTGTTGACATACATAAATTCAATTCTGATATAGTCAAATTGAATCAGACAGCTCAACAAATCTGATAAATGCTATGATACATCCCATTTCTTCGCATAAATGAAACATGGGTAAGGTAGTAAAACAATCACGAACTCTCATTCTTCTTTTCACTTGGTCCAACCAAGTGCTTGGGACTTTTATCACCATATGCTGTACACCCAGTCAGTAAATCATAATATCATGATAAGACAATAAATAAAAGAAAGAAAGAAAACTCACTCCTCTCATAAAGCATCCAAGACGTAACCAGGAAAATAGGAAGCGCGACAATCGTCGACGTCCATCTGCAGCAGTAAACGCATCATCAGTTAGCCAACCTCCCCTGCCCAAGATACAAAAACACAAATCTAGACGGAAAAATCAGAAAAGGAAATAATACCGTCTAGCAGCAACTTTATACTCCTTCGTCTGCCGAATATCCTGCGGTGAAGGCGTGGGCGTAGGTCGTGCAGGGCGAGGTCTTTGAGATAGAGTCTGGGGGTCTATGACTCGGGGTTTTTGGGGGTTGGAGTTGGGCATTTTTTCTTCTGATTTCTTTTATCTTTTATTTTATTGTTTCTTTTGATTCTTTTGTTGGTTGTGGGGATGGATAATGGGATTAATCGCACTGTTTGTCTGTCTTTTCTGTTGGTGCCGGTTGGAGATGAGATCGCGTTGTGCTGCCTTGGTGCCTGAGGTGTCTGGTTCTTTGCGCCGGCATGACCTCAAGTTACATACATCTACGTATACGCATACGGATCAAAGGATAATAATATAAATTAACAACAGAAATATTGTATGTTTCAGTTATTATGCTCGCTATTAAATCCCATGTATAACGTCGACCCGTTGCCCTCGCCGGATCTGACATGCGAAACGAAGAACCGAAATGATGTACAGAAAAAGGGAACAAATAATACAATCCCAGCCCTTTTGATGATATCAGTGCAATACACAGTTATATCAAGGCCAAGTGAATGAGAAATTAAGTAATTAGCCGAAAACAGCTGACAGGGAGGTCCGAAGAATAGCAATCCTCCAGCCCGATCGCCTCGTCAGAAATCCTAGTCGAATAGGGAGGTCCCAAGGTGTATCCATGGGCCCGACCAGCCTCCTCGACATTCCAGCTATAAAAAATTAGAAAGTACAGAAGGCAACGAAAGAAAGAGACAATTCATGTGCGGATTTGCTGCAACATGACTCAACGCCAAAACATGCCATTTCCTATTCCAATCTCCTCGTAAATGTCGCTATGCTGTTGTTCTCAACTTAAACCGGCCCATAACGCCCATGTTATTTTCAAAAATGGGTAGATAAAAGTGGTGGCTCGATTGCCACGTGAAGGGTAAGTTGGTTGTGTGTCCGGGAACACCATCTCGTAGAATTGTATTAAAATGTAGAAAAAAAGTTTCGAATTGAAAGTGCACACGAAACTGAGCCATCGGATTAAGTGCTCTTCACCGATTCAGCCGTTTGTCCAGTGGTATGGTCATGGCCCTCAGAAGCAGGCGTGGCTTTCCTGCGTGCGTTTGCGCGACGAGCTCTCTCCTCAGCATGATTGTGGAATTCTGCCATCAAAGCTGCTGCTGCGCGACGACGGGGGCGTCCGCCCGGGGTTAAGTTGGAGCTCTCAATGGCACTGGCCGAGGTTCCGGTAGGAGAAGCTGGAATTGTATCCCCGCCATCCTTAGCGTCATGGGCAATGGTAGATTGTGTCAAAGTGCTGGGCTGGATCGAGGCCTCAGGCTCAGATGCCGAACGTTTCCGCTTCTTTGGTGATTTTTCTCCCACAATCTGTCCCTCCGGCCTGGATGTTGCGTCCTCCGTCGCAGCATCTGTGCGCTTTTCTGATTTACTGGAAGACCCATTCGGACTTCCGGTAGCTGCTGCTGCCGCCGCTGCCGCCGCTTTCGAAAAAGTCAAACGGAGCCTCAGCGTTTTGGGCTTGTCAGAGGACGTGGGTGTTTCAGCGGCAGCCGCCGCTGCACCCCGACGGCGCTTGGTCGATCTCGGTGCGCTCTCGGTCGTGCTGTCATTCAGTGAGCTCTTGACGGGCTCTGTGCGCCGTCGCTTGCGGGATCCCCCGGCAGTCTTTTGGACTGCTTTCGCTCCCCGGGCAGCCGAGGTGTCTGGGGTGGCCGCTAAGCTTGAGGCTCCAGACTTGTCATGCTGGGCAATCAAAGCCTCGATCTCGGCGACCGACAAGGAACGCTCGATGGGGATACCCCTTTGGCGAGCATCCTCGCGGGCCTTGATCTTCGCCTTTTCTCTGTTAATATCCTCAAAAACGAAAGGGAGGTTTTGTCGAGGAAGATTGCGCTCCCCAATGCGTGGTGGATAGCCAAAGATGCGGTCCTTCTCGACTTGCTCGCGAGCCTTGAACCGCACCGGGGGCTGAGGCAGCTCTGCATCGCCGTATGTGTTGTACGGCCGATAGCATTCGAAGTCTGAGGAGACGAAAATGTACTCCTCTCCATGCTCATTGATACGACCTGTATGCATCCAACCGTCCTCGTCAGTCCACAGCTTCGAAATTTGCGAACGGTCCAGAAAAGATGGCTTGCTCGAGTTTGGCATACTTTCGCCCCCGACCCTCGCTCCCACCGGCTCCCCCGAGCTCACTACACCCCTCTTCGCCCAAAAATCTCTCCGCAACTGCTTGAGCTTGGCATCAGCACCTGGATCCGGTACAAAGTCCGCCGAAACAGCAGTCGCAACCATCTCATACAGCCGTTTGCCAAGCGCGGACATATTTGGCTGCTGAGGGGCATGCAATGTTAGTCCCGACTGTGTCAGCTCTGATGGCTGGTGCGCGCTGGCCTGTTGGTTGCCAGCATTTTCCCCCAGTCCCTCGCCAGAAGTTGATTCCGCCTTGACAGAGGCTGCCCTTGTTCGGCGGAACCGTTTCTCCGACTCGCGGGACTCCAAAGCCTTGGTCGTGGGCTTCCGGTTTCGCCTCGAGGCCCGCGCAGCGGTTGATGTACTCGTAGAAAAGCTTGTAGGCGAAGCCGGAGCATCAGTTTGAGCGTCGAGGCCAAAGCTGCTCCCGTACATTTCCGGCTCATAGTCGAAGTGCAAAGGATCCTTGTCAGCATGAACTGGGGTGCCATCAACGCTGTCAGCGATTTCACGAGCGTGAGACAGTTCGGTAGGAACTCTAGGGGTAGACAGTGAATTTTGATGTACGTCAGGGGTCATCGTGTCAGTTACAGAGTTCTTTGCGTTTCTTTTAGGTCTCGGGCTTTGCGTATTTGCTGTCTGAAAGTCGATGGATTCGCTAGTCTGAACATTGGGCTTCGAGTTGGGAGTTGACTGCGACGGAGTGTCATCGATTTGGCTTGTGAGACTACTCTGCGGCTTTGTACTGGGCTTTCGATCTCCATGTCGAGATCTAGTCGCCGAGCTTTTAGGGGTCGAAATAGAGTCTTCTGTGAAAATGGCTGACTTGGTTGTACCATTGGCTTGTCCCTTGGCAGCCCTGGGAGTGGCATGCCTGCCTGGGGTAGATAGAGACTTTGCTCTTGCGTGGGACTTAGCAGCTTTGGCGCTGCCTTTAGGGGCTGTACTCCGTGGTTTGCGTTCGCTCCGAGTGGAATGCGGGGTAGACGCACGAGAAGTGGCCCGGGACTGGTCGCCTCCGTTCTCAATGCTTTCAGTCCCATTGGATTTAGCTGACATGGACTTTCTCGATTTGCGATTGCTCTGCGCGATAGATGTATTGATGTTGGAAGGTTTGGCAATTGGTTTGGTTTTTTTGTTGTTTCTGTTCTTGCTGTCGAGCAACTCGCTTTCCGTTGCAAGGGACATGCGCCGCTCTTGGGGCTTTTTCAAGAGGAATGTATGCAGAGTAGACTGAGACACTGCAGGCTGAGACTTTCGTCTTGCTTTTGTGATTGTAGGAGCGACAGCTTGGTCAGTCGAATGGGATCTTTCAGAATCATCTTTCTGAAAAGGGTCCTTTTTAAGTTTGTTAGATTTTCGGTCTCGCTTACTCCATTTAAAAGCAGATTGAGGTACCTTATGACTTCCAGTGAGGCTCTTCTGGTCTGGTGTCTCGGTAGTATCCTTTGGGTGCTGCGAGCTCATATCGTCGCCGTTCATACGTTGTGTCTTACGGCGTTTAGCCGAAGGCTGTGATTCATCAAAAGATGCTGTAAGGGGAGTTGAAGGTAGAGAGTAAGAAGATCGAGAAAGAGGACGATCGTTGATATCGGAATCCCGGGTAGACTTGCGAGAAGCCGCACGAGAAGAGCTGCGGCGAGTGTTTCTCTGGAGTGCTGGTTTAGATGAATGAAAAGACAAGATGAAAAGAAGGCACTTACTGGACGATCTAAGACAGCCGTTGAGGAGTCCACCTCATCGGGGACGGAAGATTTGCCCACCACTTTGCAAGAATTGTCAGTGTTGGTCGTTACAGTGAATGAGAAGACTCGAGTCCTTCAATCCCCATGTAAATAATAATAAAGATGAAATCGAGAAAACAATGAATCCCAGATAATAAGCTTACTCGTTGCGATATTTGGTATTTCATAGACTTTAAATGGGCCAAGGAAGTTGTTTGTCCCATCGATGCTGTCTCGACCACTTCGGAGGCTTCCAAGGTACGCGGCGAAGCGACCAAGTCGAACAGGAGTGATTTGAAGATTTAACGGAATTCAGGGTCTTTATCTATCGCATTCAAATGTAATGTTAGTAATTTGAGCGAAATTAGATGTGTTGCGAGAGAAAGAAGAGGGGAAAAGTCCGTGGCAACTCCTAGCAGCCACCGCAATTACGTGCACACAGCACAGCCAACTGACGGATGCCAATACAGCAAAAGCAAAGTCCCCTGCTTACCAGTGTATATTCCACCCCCAATTCAACCAGATTATGCTATCGAAATCGCGATCGACGAGTTGAGAACGTTGCTAAACAGCAGTAACAGGGCCGGTCGTGGTGAAGCGGAGGATAGGACTGTCGAAACGTAAAGTCGCTCTGCCAACGCAGGAGGCTTAGGAAAACGCCATATGACCCATGGTGCAAAAACAGGGATAGGAGCAACGATCGAGCCGTTTAATATTTCGAGATGCCGCAACGGTGGGACGAGGAGAGCCGGCCAAAGCGATCGAGGCGGACAGAAAATAGTCTGGGGAGGTTAAGTTGAAGCTGCAGGACTGGGAAAATTAGGGCTTGGGCTGGCGGGCGGACGGTCACTGGACCGCGGCAAGCCCCAAGTTGGCCAAACTACGGTTTAGCGCTGGCCGGTCCGCCTTTTGGTTGTTCTGCAGACCTGGAGTTTAATCCCACCCTCTGTCCAGCAGCCAGCACGGTTTCATCCATTTGTTTTTCTCGTTTGGGCTATTGACTCTCATCATGCAGCTGTGGAATACTGCTCTCCAGCTCTGTCTGCTGGCTTCTGCTGCTGTCCCCGCGACCGCAGCATCTTGGGGCTTTACTGATGCCACCGTGTCAGTTCAGACCAAAGGCGCAGGTGTCGGAGCTGGACTGAAGGAACAGTACGTGATTAACCGCGAGTATCTTACTTCAATCGCGCGGATTTAGTATCTAACAGTGGATTGCAATTGACAGGATCCCCGACAACAAGCCTCTCTCCAAGCCCGTCTCCCTCGGGAGCTCAGATACGTTGAAGGTCGTTTTGACAGCTCAGGAAGGGCGCACCCCGAAGGCAGCACACCAAGTCTTCCTTCTCCTCAAGGACCCCGAAACTGGCCTGGATATCTCGTATCCATTCAATGTTAAGGATAACGGAAAATCAAGAATTGAGCTGGTGAGTGGTGGCCCGGCGCAAAACTAGACGTGTTCTATCGGAGCTGACGTAACCCTTCTCACAGACTCAGAAAGACCTCCCCCTTCAATTCCTCTCAGTGTCTGAGCCAGTTGATGCGAGATTCCTCATCGGATCCTTCGGTACCGCTAAAGCATACAATGAAGCCGCGTTCCAATTGACCGTCGCTCGAAACCCTGACGTGCCTATTCCCTCCGTCGAAGTCTCGCGATACGGCAAACTGCCCGAGATCCACCACATTTTCAAGACCGATGCTCAGAGCCCCAACATCATTATTACTTTGGTCTTTGTCGGCATGACTCTAACTGCTCTTCCAGTCCTTGCTGGCTTGGTATGTTGGTTCCAACTCCAACTCCCGGTTTGATCTAACCTGTGTCTAGTGGCTCTACCTCGGCGCCAACCTAAACCATCTTCCTACCGCGTTCAAGTCGGCTCCCATTCCTCACGCCGTCTTCCTCGGATCGCTGATTTCTTTCGAGTGGGTCTTCTTCCTTTACTACACTTCCTGGAACCTTTTCCAGATCCTCCCCGCTGTTGCCGTGGTTGGCACTGTCGCGTTCATCAGCGGCAGCCGTGCATTGGGTGAGGTTCAGGGTAGACGTTTTGCTGGTCTTAGGTAAAACTACCTGGTGCTGGATTTGCTGTGTCTAGAATGAATGGGTCCTTCTGTAGGACCTATTCGCCTGGCTTGATGTACTTGTACTGGCAATCTATCCATCCATCAAAACAATGTAAAGCGACTGTAGAGAATAGATTTTAATCGCCATTGTCGTTAGCATATATGTCACATAAATTAGAATTTCGCCCTGATAAGAATGAAAATGTAAACAAATGTTATTACCCTGACGTCACTTTCGCGGCTGCTGCCCGCCGGAGGTCCAGTCGCCCGATTCCGCCTAGTCTCCGCGATTTTCATATCGACATCTCCGGCCAAGCTTCATCTCTCCACTGCGATATTCGACTCAAGTCACTCGTCTTATCACAGCTGCAATGGGTTCATCAGCTTCTAAACCTGTGAGGTCGGCTGCTGCGGCCTCACGACGTCAATATCCAAAAAAGCCTTCCGCTCCTCCGACGCCGACGCCCGCCACTGCACCCCGGGCTCCAAAGGAGCCCAAGCCCAAGCCCAAGCCTCAGGACCAGGCTGCGCCTCAGGCTCAATTTAAGCCTCAAATTCCAGCTACACCTCAAGGCCCGCAATACCATTCAAAAGAGCAGGCATCCGGTGTTAAATCTAATGGTGCGTACACACAGAGCGGAACAGAAGCCAAGACGGCTATGCTGACAATCATCTAGCAATCGACCTCGATGGCCGAGATCCCGATTTCGCTCAATCCCTTCGTAACATTGGCCCCGTGAACCCCGTTCCGACGTATTCCCACTCGAGCGCCTTCAACCAACCTTCCTCCGGAATCCACCCAAGCCAAGTTCAAACCATTTTCCCCCAGTCGTCAAATCCAGCCCTCTTGACGGTGACTGCGCGTCAACGGATTGCAAAGGCGGCTGAAAAAGAAGCCGAAGAGTACGGACGAGGAAGCTTTGGAGGACGGGAATATGCTGATGCTTTGACTATCCGGCAGGCGCTTACAATGCGCGACAGGCAGGGCTTGTCCAAAAGGGATATCGAGAGTATGTTGAAGTTGAAGAAGGGTTTTATGGATAAATTTGGGAAGGATGGTGTTGTTTCAGAGGTTAGCTAAGGGCTGTCTGACTGTTTACTCTGGGTTCTTTTTGTCTTTCTTGCATTTTAGCGCATTGTCATGTTTTGTATAATGGCTTTTTAGATGAAAAAGATGGAAGTTTTGTTTCACGTGCATGTACAATATCATAGCTTTTTACTGGAAATAATCTCAGCTCTGAATACTGATTATTGAGGAATGCAATAATGAGGGTACTGATATGATTAGACATTACAATCTTGCTGTATACAAATACTAGGTACGTGATTTGGGGAATTACTTCATGTCATCGCCAGATAGTAAGAACTGGAAATGCCGATTAAAAAGCGTACTAGTCGTCCTATTTCCCCTCACAAACGTTCCCCACAAACCTACTGTCCCGCAATTTGGAGACTTCTAGGTCAAAACCATCAATACGATGCGATGATAAAAGCATTTATACTCCAGTTCGAGACTCTGGTATAATTACTCTCATAGCCAATTCACCTGGTATCTCAAGAATGGAACACCCATCAAGCCTTGTCGGAATTGGCGCCGACTTGAAGGTGCGTCGACCAGCGAGATCCAGGAATGGATGCTTGACATGCCGGTTAGTATCCAATCATAGATATGGATTTGGGGATTTATATGAACTTTGCTAATCCAGTTTTCTCAGGCGTCGAAAAGTTCGCTGTAATGAACAACGTCCGCGATGCGCTCACTGTGCCAGGCTGAGCCTCGAGTGCACCTGGAGACAACCAACACAGGCACAGGCACAGGCCAGTATCGCCAGATCATCGCCAGCGAGCCTGGAGAGAACATCTGCCGTGGAGAATCTCCAGGATGGACTCCAGCTACCCAGTCAAACGCCATTTACTCAGTTCTTCGACCTTCCAGGTCTTCCATGGCAAGACACGTCTATTCCATCTACCTCCAACTGGCTCTCTGGCAACTTTCTCAATCTAAATGATCCAGTGTCTCATCTATCAGTAGAGAACGATACGAATTTGCCACAAACACCACAAAGCAATGCATCAACGACCCAGCGTCCACAGCCATCAATGACACCTTCAACAATCAAAGCTGATGCAAGCGACGAGGAACTGCTCCGTGCCTTTCTCGAATCTCCGGTCCAGTCCATCCTCATGTCCGTCGAAACCCAAATCAGATGGCCATATATGAAAAAGACTCTTGTATCGATGTCGAAATCTTCGAAAATGGTTCGCTGTGCCATCATCGCTTTTGTGGCTCTCTTGTCTCGTAACACAGACGGTGAGCTTCAGTCGCGACGGGCTGGTGTCTACAAGAGCGCTGCTGTAGAACTATCGGAGACGATTTCTAGGATATCCCTGGATAGTATGAAGCTTGATGATGAGCTGCAGAATATATTTGCTACGGTTTTTTTTGTTATCGTACAGTGATGTAAGTTGTGCTACGTATTCGCTGAATGCAGCAGCTGATGACAGAAGCTGGTAACTGGTCGTGCTGGACAGGCCAATGAATATTTAAACAAATCTTTCAGAATGTTCCAGATGCGGAAGCAAGCAGAATTGAATATCACAGGTAAGAGCTTTCGGATTCAGATGGTAATGATGCTGATTTCATGCTCAGAGAAACGACTCATCTCCTGGATTCGACTGATTGATGCGCGCGCAGCCTTAGCTGGAGGCGATGGTTCTTTTGTTACAAACGACAACGAAAATATTTATGCATCAGATGCATTCCACTCTCGCCGCACAGCAAGCCCCGAGCCCGGATACCATGATACTGCCATCGAGGAGATCTTATTCGATACGATACACAGGCCAGGGGCTATATTTTTCCAAAAAGTACTCTCCTTCATGGGACGTATTTCAAAAATCGACCCATGGCATCGGAGTCGAGGAACGGTCAAAGATGAAACGGAAGTCATGGCCATCGCAAGCCAGATCTCTCAGCAGCTATTGGAGCTCTACACAGTCCGACCACCTCTCATGGACTACGCCGTTGCCGGACACATTACCCAGTCGCATATCATGCAAATCTTGGCCGTGACCATAACCCAGAACTTCCGTGCTTATTTGGCCAACTACTATGCGTGCTTCATCCATCTGCACCGGGTCGCGTACAAGTCTCTTCCTCGGACAGAAGAGGTTATTGACGCAACATCAAATATCAAGGGGTTGAGTCGAGATATAGTAAGTGCGCTGGGGCCAAATGAGTCAATGCCAGTGAGCATGCTATGGGCACTTGTAATGTGGGGAAGTGAGGAAGAAGATGCTACAGAGCGAGTATGGATTCTGGAAACTATACGTCGAATGGAAAGCACTGCGAGTAATGCCCATGCTATGGCGGATGTGTTGGGAGAGGTCCAAAAACGGCAGGACCAAAACGGACAACGAGTGGACATTCAATCGGTTATGCGGGATATATTCGATCAAAGCTTTGCTCTTCTATGATGGTATGGACACTCGGGCGTCATTATTCATACCTCACTATCTCACAATTGACAGGATTATCACGCTTTCGACTGCTTGGTCAGCTGTTGCTCTACTGCAGTCAACCTCTCTGCCAGTCCAAGCACTTCCTCTTGCTTGCTTGGGTTTCTGAAAAGCGGATATGGCCTTCTGCAGGCATCGCTGCTTGCAGGATATCCCAGCAGCTTAGCAACCACCCACTTGTTTCCGTTGATGCCTCCCTTTGCAAAGGCAAATTCTGCGGTGGCGACTTCTAATTGGAATTTCGATGCTTCCTGGATCTTACCTGCTTGGAAGAGATCATAAAGCTCGACGCAGGCCTTTTCATTGTTAGCCGGGAATATATCAAGGCCAGGGAATCAGGATATGTCTTACCCGTGGGTGTAAATTGGCCATTCCCGTGATAGCCCCGATAGCTCCCACCGACATAGCGGGAATCATCCAATCAATTTGACCACTGAGGATACCGAAGTCCTTCGTAGCGGCCGCGACTCTTGGGACCTTCCCAATACCACCACAGGTCAACTTCGCCCCGGAAATATTGGGGTGTCCACTGAGGGCGACCAGAATCTCCGAGTTCACATCGATGCCCGCAGAAACGCCGGGGAAATTGTACACCATGACAGGAATGGGGCTGTGGTCAGCCACCTCCTGGAAGAAGGCGATGATGGCTTGCGAGTCCATGGCGAAATGGTAGTAACTGGGAGTCAGAACCATGGCGAAATCGGCGCCCGCCGCTTTAGCTGCGACAGTCTCGTCGATGACTTGGCGGGTTGCCTGCCCTGAGCAACCTAGGGTCAGGGTGATTTCAGGACGACCAAGCTGCTCTGCGATCTGTCTAGCTTGTCGCACGAGTCCGACCTTTTCATCTGTCGATAGAGCGACTGCTTCGCCGTTGGAGCCGGCAATGACGACTGACATGCTGTTAGCATACTAGCACTGAGTGAGATAGAAGGATGATAATAACAATCAAAACATACTTCCATGCAACCCCGACTCGACCATAAACTTAGTGTGCCTCTGCTGCAACTCCCAATCAACCTCTTGACGGGCATCATCTTTGAAGAAAGTCAAAATGGGGACATGAATGCCACTGGGGAAGATCTTGTTTCTCTGAATATCGGAACCCATTTTGATAGTTGAAGATGAAAACACAACTGTTCAATAATCTATGGACTGTGTCATGAAGGAATGAGGAGATGCTTTAAATGTGACGTCTTTAGAATCGGTTCGAACATCCCCTCCATCGGCGCAACGCCGATGCCGATCGGGTTGTCGGCTCGATCGCGTCGCTTGCTGCTCTCATTATCGTCCAACTGATATAGATGAGGGGATATTACATTATACAGCTCCGATCAATAAGAAAGATCAGCGGAATAACCAATAGCCAGCTCTATAGACGACTTTGCTTTGTTGCTATTCAACGCACAGCCGAGCCGACGCGATAGACTCAACAATTTGCGGGGGAAATTGCGGGGAGAAACGAAGACTACTGTAAACAACGTCAAGGTCTGATAAACATATGCATATCATGATAGAGACTGCATGAATAACTAATTCAAAACTACAGGATCTGGTCTATGCATGTCTGTTAGGACTATTCTAATGCCATCCGCACTCTGCAGTTGGATGATTATACGATTCATGTCCAGCGCCGCTGATCTACGAGTATGAAGATGTTGAACTCTGCCCCATCCACAGTCTCTCTATCTAGAAAGATACAGTGAGATTTCTATTTCGATACCACTCAAGAGTGAGATAATAATAATTGAAGAATATGCTCAACTATTCTGCTGTGGAGAAATCAATATGCGAAGGATCAATCTAACCTCAGTTTTTTGCTAGCGCGGGGCGAGTACATAGCGGTCAGCAAGACATGTTACACAGCCTTTTTAGTGTAACGACCGTAAAATGACCGAAAGCCTTCATAATAAGCTACGAAAAAGTTGGCTGTTGCAAGAAAGAACCTCCCGAGTCTCATGCCTTGAGGACAATATCCAACCCGTTTGATCGGCGTTGACGTCGTTTGACCCTACGATGACGAGCACGGGGCAATCAAAGATCAACAGGACAATCATTAGGATAGACCATGGAAACGGAAACCACCGATAAGCCTATATTAGCTACGGCATCACCCAGAAAACCACAAAGAACGGAACTGCAAGGTTTGGAGAGGAGGGTCGATCTTCTGTCCTAATTTCATCTACTGAAGCCTGATTTTACGAACGATCGTCTGTCTGGCGGTCTGACTGTGTTTTGATGGCGGAGGCTGTGTTTTAACTCGCAGCCATGGAAGAAGGAATGGAGGTCTGGGGAGTCTGAGGGGTTGGGTATACGCGCTGAGCGGACGGCTGGGGACTCGGGGAGGCTTTTTGGTAGGGATCATGGTTGGTTGGGAAAGGTACGAGGTGGACGGTGAGATGAGGCTGAGAAGCGGGTGAGGTTGCTTTTAAAAGAGAGCTGCAGAGTGTTCAGCATTCCAGATTCCAGATTCCAGATTCCAGATTCCAGATTCCAGATTCCAGATTCCAGAATGGTTAGATGTGAGTATTTTGACAGCATGAAGAACAGATCGAGGCACAGCGGAATGCTGATGACGGCAGTGAACAGACACGACTAAGCCTAAGACTGAGGCGGATTCGATCTTCGAACTGGTGAAGCCTTTTGGCTGAGATCGTCGTCGTCGTACGAACAGGCGTACCAGCGGTACGATACAGGTAACACTGATGTCTGACTCCACAGAGCATGATTGGCTGTCTCAAGTTATTCTTGGAGACGGTACGTAATCCGTATTTGCAGCCAGTTGCAGGTTTCAGAATTCAGGGTCCGTATTTTGGGCTTTCTCTCGGCTTACTCCGCCTGGACGATGATCTTCAACATCTGGAACCTTTCCGAGGAGATCCGAGGCATCATCAACTCAGAAGTCACTGCCAGTCAGCATCTGGATTGCTCTGTATAAGATAGAGAAGAGTCATATCAGATCCACTAAACAAGCTTATGTATATGACAGAATATGATGGCTAATATCTATTAATGTATCTTCAGAAATAAGATATTAAAGTTCGATTGTACCACCACGGGTCCGGATGGCGTTTATGGCACGACGCTAATGTGGCATGTTCCACGTCAGACATCCTGGCTCTTGTTTATTCTCTTGTTTTTTCTTTTACCTGTTTAGGATAGAACCCCCTCTAAGCAGCACTGAAAAGGGGTTTTGTCGCGTGAGATCTCCCCTTCTAGGGCTTAGGGTCTCCCAAATGGGCGACAGATGCCTAGTGGCGCAGCTTCCTAAAAAGACAGCGTGTGTGACCTTCTCGAGCGCTGATTGGCTGCGGTGGGGCCATGGACCCCTGCCGGTGGGGCGGTGGCCCCCAACCAGATCGGCGCATCGCCTTATGGCGCCCGGCGGAAAAGGGTCCAGGTTGCATCAGTAGCCTGTGACTGGCCATAAATTTCAGCTGCATTACAGACGCTGTACAGACGCTGTAACGCATTCACTGCCATTGTGTCTCCAGTCGACCGTCACACACGCCTCTGACAGATCCTTTTCCATTCATCATCGGATCGTCCTCGCAGCCTCTACCATGGGTCTCGCTCATCTTCTTCCTTCTTTCTTAACATCTGCCCTCCCCGACATCCTTCCATGAGTCCTTCCACTCGTCCTAAAATGATCCCTCGGTCATGTCGTTCCGCTCCTACGTTCCCTCCTTTCCCTCCATCCTCTTCGCCCTCGTTGTTGTGAGCGTCATCTCCTCCAAGGTCTTACACATCTTTCACCATATCCAGTCTTTGCCCTTCCTCTACTTTGTCGTCTATTCCCCGACTTTGGTGATTCAGGATGTCGTGGTGATTTCTGTTTCTCGTCTGCTGCTCAACTCTCCAGAGTCTCGTTGGCAATGGCTCGCGTGCTCGGCGGGCGCCATCTTGGCGTAAGTATTTCTGACCGCTTGCTGGCCATCTTCGGAATCGCCGCAATCTGACTGAAATCTCGATAGACTCTTTGCCTGGTTTGCTGCGTCTGTCCAGTTTGGGTTCTGGTTTGAGACAGGCGCCGAGGTCCAGTGGGCCGCGTCCAATAGTTTCATATCAGACCCAGCGGCTATGAAGATCTTGATGAGCGGTATTTCTAGCGTCACAGCCGCCGGTACCATCATATTTCTCGCCGCCTTTGTTATCAATTCTCGACTGTATTCCATCAGTGGCAGCTGGCTGCGGGCGGTTCGGGATCGATGTTGGGTTACCCTGCGGGAGCCTCGGGCTTTGCTTCCATTCAGTAAAACTCCCGGTGACCGACGATGCGCCTATACAACGATCATTCCGATCACGGCCCTGGCCATCTCGCTCTTTTTTTTGGAAGTCACCCGCCCGGCCGTGCCATATGACCATCTTTCGCGTGCAGTGCCGTTGAATATGTTGGATGCCTTGCATAGACCTTCGATGGAGAACTGTCCCCCGCCACCCTTGCCTTTTCCTTTTCACGGCAAGGGAGGACCCCATCACCATCACCATGGGCCTCCCCCTCCCCCCCCTGGTCCTTTTGGGTTCCCTCCCCCACCGCCACCGCCGCCTCCACATCACTTCCCGGTACGCCCATCATGGCTTCCGGATGAGGCGCCACCAGGATTCCAGCGTTGGAATATCAGTGACACACGTGACGATCAAGAATTTGGTATCCAACCTCAATGTCCGGGCGTACCGTTTCAACACTACAATGCCGAGAGAGACCCAATGAAAGTTTCCAACACCGGTGAGGAAGTTATCGAAACTTTGAAGCAGGCCTTCAAAGAGAACTCGGTCGAAATCCACCATGTTGTGCTCGTGACGTTGGAAAGTGGGCGGAAAGAGCTGTTTCCCATGCAAGCCGGAACTCCTCTGTACGGCTACATTGTCGAATCGCACCCAGAGAAAGATAGGAAGGCGGCCATCGACACGCTGTCTCAGATGACTCCTGTGGCGCAGATGCTCACCGGAGAGTATGCTTTGGACAGCGCAGGTCAAACCAATGATTTCAGCGGTGAGCCCTGGGCGAATTCGTCAGTACCAGGCATGGGTGGAATCAATGTGAAGGGAGCTCTTACCCCGAGTACCTTGACATTGAAGAGTATTCTCGGAAGTCATTGTGGTGTCAGTCCACTGCCTGTGGATCTGTTGGAGGAAGTCAACCATGAGTTCTACCAGCCTTGTCTGCCGCAGATCTTTGAACTGTTCAATCGAAAGAAGGGCGGGGGAGGCAAGAACAGCGAGAAGCCGTTTTTGGGACTCCCCTGGAAGTCTGCCTACATTCAGCCGGGCACCGATTCATACGACCGACAACACAAGTTGAATGAGTTGATGGGCTTTGAAGAAATCATGAGCAAAGAAAGTCTGCAGGACCCGGCATCAAAGCATTTCCCTCCTAAGACTTCCGAAACCAACTATTTCGGGTAAGCATATCCAGTTTGGCTGAGTGAGTATGAATCTAATAATGAATAGTTACGCCGAAGGCGAGACCAAGCCTTATATCCAAGACTTGATCAACGACGCGGCTGAGGGTAAAAACCGATTGTTCCTGTCACATCTCACCACTTCGACACACCATCCCTGGTCCCTGCCCAAGAATTTCGTCAAGAAGCAATACATGGGTAGCGAAGGCAGCGTTGACCACAAGTCGATGAATGATTATCTCAACACGATTCGCTTTGTCGATGACTGGCTGGGAGAGATGCTGGGTCTTCTTGATGAAGCCGGAATCAGCAACAACACCTTGGTGGTGATGGTTGGCGACCAGTATGTTCCTTCCTCTTATGGAAATAGAATGCATGCTAATAAAAAAACAGTGGACAAGCCTTTAGCGAAGATTCCAAGACGACTGGAACCTTTGAAAACGGACATATCAGCAACTTCCACGTACCGCTGCTATTCAGAAACCCCAATCTCCCACACATTGACGTGTCAGCGAATGCGACGTCTCTCTCCATCATCCCCACAATCCTAGACCTTCTCGTGCAATCCGAGTCATTGGACGAGCAGGACTCTGTCGTCGCCTCTGCCCTAGTGCCCGAGTTCCAGGGCCAATCGTTGATCCGACCGTTCCGAAATGAACGGGAAGAAGACGGACAGCCATTGTGGAACATGGCGCTGATCAACGGAGGCGGCTCGATTCTCGGGATTACCTCGGCCAATTCGCCCTACCGTCTCATTCTCCCTCTGAAAGAGGAGTTCAACTTCCGCTTCACGAACCTGGAGAAGGATCCTGGGGAAACCCGGCCAATCCAGGCGTGGACGGTGAACCATCTCGTCTCCTTGGTGACCAAAGACCACGGCAGAGAAGCCGCGGCTTGGTTGGAGGAGGCCGAGCAGGTGGGAACGTGGTGGGTGGCCGAACAAAAACGACTATGGGATTACCGGAAGGAGTGATTTCTGCTGCATTGCATTGTAAATGTGCATTTGTATGTTAGATATGCATACACGGCGTTTTGTACATACATATTACTGTATATTGGACATGATAATGATGAATATTCATACTATCTACGGAGCACCATTTACCATGAGTGACCGAGTGCGTAGATGCTGACACCATGTGACAGCATATCAAACGAGAATCAAACAAATGGATGAGAATACGCCAACTCACAGTCCACGTGAAACGACAACTAACAAATCCATTGGCAGACTCCAACCAGGTGATATCGAGCGCACCATAATAACTAATTCCGGAACCATGGATTGGACAATCTTTTAATTCCCGTGGGTCATGCGATCCCCGGGTTTTAAATTAAAAATAAAAATAAAACAATCGATGATGCGGACTGGATAACTTTATTTAAAATGCGTGTGGTTGGGTTTCATTAATCTACTTACTTCACTATGACAGACACAGTGGCCATTTCACTTTACACGCCATGCATCAACAAATCAAAAACCAAAATCATAGTCATAAAGGTAGTCATACGATCTACCAAGCAGCATGCCCCCCATCAATCCGCACATCACTCCCTGTCATAAAGCTACTCGCATCACTGAGCAAAAACACCGCCGCACCACGGTACTCGCTCGGACTGGACAGACGGCCGAGCATGTTATCCTTGGGCCAGGTCTCGCGACGCTCGGGATACTCGATGAAGAGCTGCTCCACCATGGCGGTGACGATGTAGCCGGGCGAAATGGTGTTGCAGCGGATCTTGTAGGGGCCCCATTCCATGGCGAGGTTGCGGGAGAGTTGGAGGACGCCGGCTTTGCTGGCGTTGTAGGCGGGGCAGATGAGGCCCTGTCCTCATTAGCATCTTGAAAGAGATAGAGGTGGATGGGGGACATACCCGATTGGCAACCGAACCACTCATACTCGCAATAAAGACGATACTTCCCCCCTTCCCAAAGCGAATCATCTGCTTGGCCACCGCTTGAGCCGTCATAAACACTCCCGTGACATTCACCTCGAACATGGTATTCGAGTCCTTGGCCGTATACTCGAGCGCGGGCGTCTCCTGCTGAATCCCCGCCGCAGCGAGTAACCCATCCAAACGGCCCTCTGCGGTGGCAATCTCCTCGACGACCTGGTGGAGAAGTTCTGCGTCGCGTACATCGATGCGACGGTAGTGTAGTTCCGTATTGAGCTCTTCGCGGGCTCGTTTTTGGATGGTGTAGAAATCGGGGGACTACACTTATCAGTATACTTGGGCATATCATGTGTTTTGGGGAGGCTTACTGGCTCCTCCAATCGATCAAGAGCATAGACCTTAGCACCAGACTCGAGAATCGCTTCAGCCTGGACTAAACCCAGTCCACGGGCAGCGCCAGAGACGATAATGACTCTTCCCGCGAGGCTGAATTCGGGCATTCTGGACTTTGTGCCCATGCCAAAGTCATTTTGGAATTGGGAGACGGCGGATGGGGGGTCGGTTGTTTCGATGGAGACGGACATTGTGTCTGCTGCTGTTGTGATGATATATGATAGAATATGAAGGATAAGGCAGTGATCAGAGATGAATGTAAGAGATTATGGATAAGAAGAGAAGAGAGTGTGAGGGGACCGTTTTTATATGATTGTAGGAGAGAGAGAAGCTCATGTGAGCAGCACGATGGCCCAAAAGGGAAACCGAGAGGATTAAAAAGATGCAGTGGATTCGGTCTGGACCCGGAATGTAAAAGAGTCACTTGATTGCTGATATCGATGCAGTTTGTTGTTGTAGTACTGTAGTAGTACGAACTTCTAAGTATAGCGATATAGCGATGTAGATCTATCTCTACGTAGTAACTATACTACAATAATATTATAGTATAGACAGTATAATGTAGCATATCTAATATATTATACTATATCATAGCTCTAGCTATTCAATAATAAAATATATCCAACACTCAATTGAATAACTAGCAAGATCAGACAGGAAATCCGCTCGGTTTCCTTATTCGGGCAACCCGACAGCCACCAGTCAAAATGCACCATCTCCGTCTGGACAATTCTGGAAAACAACTACAATCGATATTTGATCATCACGGGATGCACTCGTGCATTGTGCGACACTATCTTCCGTAGATCTCATCTTGTGACCTTCAGATTCTGCTGCTGCTGAGCTGTTCTTGGTTTTCCTATTGTGGAATTGCCGTTGCTCCACTTATTCCATATCCCCATATCTCCATATTCCCCTTATTATGCTTATTGATTCAATTAAATCGGTATAATATTATGCATCAAAGAAAGAAAGATATCGTCGCATCTAGAACCACCGACTGTCCATGTGACCTGCAGAGTTTGTATTTCCATTTCAACTGCTTATCATCTATTCTTAGATCCTCTATACATACACATCTATATCTCTTTATTCCTCCAATAGCCAGATACTTTGGCTTCATCTTCACTCATCGTCGCTGCTCGTTCAGATCCCCCTGTTGCATCCTGTCGAGCCTCTTTTATTTTACATCGTCCCTGACCAAGTGGTGCCCACGGCGTAATCCCCAATCGCCGCATTCCACTTCCCCTGGTGTACAAAAAAGGCGCGCAGAGCATTCGCCCATTATTTTGATCCCTGTTCAATTAACATTGCTCCATATATATTCATCATATATTCATGTAGATAGATAGGATATTTGATTCTTGATGGAATTGCTATGCTGTTTATATGCTATCCTCATATTGAAGCGGGGAGATGATCAATAAGGGACCCACTATAGGCATAAGCTGGCATTGAAGATAAGCATAAGCATAAGCATAATCGAAGGTATAGAGAAGATTATATCTATGGAGGTATAAACTGGTTGGGATAATCAATAATCATGCTTCAGTTAAGGGGTGGATGTGAAAAAATATATCTGATGGACAGTGTTGATATTCTAGGAATATCAGTATTTAATGATCAGGCAAGCGAGAATCCATCCAGAGAGCAAATATCTCGATAAGGTGCTGTTAATGATACTTACTACAGAGTATGTACATGTACCTCAGTCTAGGTGGGTACTCTGAATAGCATCAACTTCTCCTCTACGCGCTAATGGCGGGTCTCAATAAACAATCGATGTACCCCATATTTAGATGGATTGAATATTAATTAGATTGATATCTTTTAGATTGCTTTTATGATATAATTTTATGTATTAACTGTTAGTATCATCATATGGCAGACATTGTCGAGTTTTTGGTCTTGTCTACACATACCTTCAATTAGCGTGAGTGACACAGTGGCATGTGCATAATATAAAACAACCATTGATCCCTTGTGTGTCTCATATTTGAGTCTGACTGTTGAACTAATAGCAGTTGTACTACAATACTATCTGATCAATTCATTTCATGCAGATTTGATGTTTTATTATTGACCCACAGTAATCTTCAGCAGGATCATCTTTTATCACTCAATAACTACACAGTAGTATCTATGTAACTTCAACATATTTAATTTAATTATTCACTGATCATGAGAAAATTATATCTCTCCCATGGTTCATACGATTGAAAAACCAATCTCAATTCTAATCTCGATTCACCCAGATCTGCCCAAACCGGATCCTGCCCTGACATCATCGATCGCCTCTGCTGCCTGTGATTTGCCCAACTAGTGCCCCTCCACTGTTTTTACTCCAGCGACCGTCTGCTTGGCTTCGTATTCGGATATGAACTGAGGAAAAAAAACCCCTGGGGGGATCAGCTGAACTCGACTTGTTCTCCTCAAAACTGGCCCCCATTCCCCGTTTCATCTGGCTGAATCTTTTGACTTTCGAGTCTTTTTATTCCGGTCGCTCGCTCTCTCACTGTGTTTGCGAGTGTGGCTGCAGTCAAGATGAAATCTACGGCTTTTTTCAGCTCAATTGCCCTGGCGGGTCTTCTCTCTGGTATGTACACGGTCGCATTGACTACTCCATGGTGTTATCATATCTGACCGGTTATAGGTGCGTCAGCTGCACCAGGCTCTGCCAGTGAGAATGTGAGGCTGGACAGAGTGTCGCGCGCTCTGCCAAACGCCCCTGATGGCTACACCCCCTCCAAGGTCGACTGCCCGGCCTCTCGTCCAACGGTCCGCAGCGCCGCAAAGCTCTCGTCAAACGAAACCTCGTGGCTGAATACTCGTCGGGACAAAACCACCTCCGCGTTGAAGGATTTCTTCGGCCATGTGACGATCAAAGACTTTGATGCCGCGGGGTACGTCGACAAGTTCTCCAGCAACAGCTCCAACCTGCCTACTATCGGTATCGCGGTGTCGGGAGGTGGTTACCGGGCCATGTTGAACGGTGCTGGTGCCATCAAGGCTTTTGATAGTCGTACGGACAACTCGACCAACACCGACCAGCTGGGTGGATTGCTTCAGTCTGCGACTTACTTGTCTGGTCTTAGTGGTGGTAGTTGGTTGGTGGGTTCGATCTATGTCAACAACTTCACCTCTATCTCCGATCTGCAGACCTACGAGGATGGAGAGGTTTGGCAGTTTGAAAATTCGATTTTCGAGGGCCCTGACAGCGGTTCGATCCAGATTTTGGATTCGGCATCTTACTATAAGGATATTGAACAGGATGTGTCCGGCAAGTCCAAGGCCGGTTTCTCGACTTCCATTACTGATTACTGGTATGATCATAATTGTTCCTCTACAGTTCACATACTGATATTTGTAGGGGCCGTGCGCTGTCTTACCAGCTCATCAATGCCACCAACGGTGGCCCCAGTTACACCTGGTCATCAATTGCTTTGACCGAGTCGTTCCAGCAGGCTGACATGCCCTTGCCGCTGGTCGTTGCAGACGGCCGATACCCCGATCAGCTTGCGATTAGCAGCAACAATTCTACCGTTTTCGAGTTTAACCCCTGGGAGTTTGGCACCTTTGACCCTACCATTTATGGTTTTGCTCCCCTTGAGTACTTGGGCTCGCGGTTCATCGCGGGTACTCTGCCTTCGAATGAGACCTGCGTGCGTGGGTTTGACAATGCTGGTTTCGTCATGGGTACTTCGTCCACTCTGTTCAACCAGTTCCTTCTTTCTGTCAACTCTACTGGACTGCCTAGCTTCCTCAAGAATATCTTTACCGATATCCTGGGCAAGATTGGTAGCGACAATGATGACATTGCCATGTACACTGCCAATCCGTTCTATGGCTGGTCCAACTCGACCTCTCCCTTTGCCGACCAGACAGAAATCAATGTCGTTGATGGTGGCGAAGATTTGCAGAACATCCCTCTGCACCCTCTGATCCAGCCCGAGCGCAACGTGGATGTCATCTTTGCCATCGACTCTTCCGCCGATACCACCTACAACTGGCCCAATGGTACTGCGATGGTTGCAACTTACGAGCGTAGCCTGAATGGCACTGGCATTGCCAACGGCACGGCTTTCCCTGCCATCCCCGACCAGAACACCTTTGTCAATGAAGGCTTGAACAAGCGCCCTACATTCTTTGGATGCAACAGCACAAACATCACCGGAACTGCCCCGTTGATTGTGTACCTCCCCAACTCGCCCTACACGTATCTCTCGAACGTTACCACCTTCGACCCCTCCTATGAAGACAGCGAGAGAGACGACCTCATCACCAACGGATACAACATGGCCACCATGGGCAACGGCACCGTCGACGGCAACTGGTCCACCTGCGTTGCCTGTGCCATCCTGAGCCGCTCCTTCGAGCGCACCAACACCAACGTCCCAGAGGCCTGTACCCAGTGCTTCAACAAGTACTGCTGGAACGGCAACACCAACTCCACCACCCCTGCGGATTACGAGCCTGCTACTACCCTCGATAGCTCAGGTATCTCTCTTGTGCCCTCTGCTATCTCGACTATGGTTGTAGTGAGTGCTACACTCTTTAGTATGATTTAACCGATCTAGTACAATTTTGCATATACCTTGATATTTGCGTTTATATTTTCGACATACCTATGTGATTTGAAAAATTACTTCTTTTGGACATTTTTATCGATAGCAAAAGCTGTAGTACGGTCTTATGGCTTTTTGGATAGTTTCTACAATATATGATATCTTCAATTCTGTAATCGAGAATGTCCTTTTAACCTTCTATGCACTTGATATACTGGGATTAACTGGCTGCCATATGCATGCTGCATCATCCATCACGTGCAGTGGGTCAGTTGCCAGGGAAACGGCACGTGACTTCCCAAATAAGCAACCCGCCCACCGGCGCGTGTGGACTTGGAACGGTGAAGGCGGCATTTCGACCGCTTGCAGTTGCACCTCCAACCACGCATCGCCAATTGTGGGATACACGACTTCCCCCGGCCATCGACGACCAAAAAGATTCATGATCAGTTCCGACATAATTAATTAATTAATTAGTTCCCCCCGGCGCCCATTGGGGACTCACGATGAGAATTACGCCCTGTCAACATCTGTATTGACGCACATCCGCCACTCCGCCAACCACAACGCGATTTGATTTGATTTGGAGAATATCGTCCCGCAGGTTGCTTTTTTGAAAATCCCCGAACTCTACACCACACCCTGCATATTTGGGAAGTAACGACACATCATGGCTCGAGCAGCTGTGATTCCGAAATCGCCGCCTAAGCGGGCGACGCGCGGTAGACCTAAAGGATCCACGACTGAAACTGCTGCATCCAAGGCGAGAGCGAGGAAAAAGGCGTCGACACCAGCTACAGCTACAACGGCGGCACAGAGGAAAAGAGGAGCGGCGCGAACTACTACATCCAATGTTGATGATGACTCGGACGACGCGACAGACGATGAGATTGGTGTTATTCAGCCAAAAGAGAAACCCAAGGGGGCGAAAGGACGAGGAAGACCGGCTGGTTCTACGACATCTGCTGGCACAGGTCGAGGAAGAAAGGCAGCGCCAGCGCCAGCACCAGCTGCTGAATCGGGAAGTGATGACGACGATGAAGACGAACTTGCTCATACTGATTCCGCGCCGAAGAAGAGGGGAAGACCGAAGGCGAAGCCTGCGGCAAAGTCAGAACCGGCTCCTAAGCCTAGAGGTCGACCGAGGGCTGGTACGGCAAGCAAACAGTCAAAAGCGGCAGATACCGAGAAGGAAACTTTGCGGAAGAATACCCGAGCAAACAAGATTTTGGATTCCTCAGTGGACGAAACGAATCCCAGACAGATGATCATTTCGACAAATTCGACTTTAATGAGGTCAAATATGTTGCGTGGACCGGCCAAGAAGAAAACCGTCACTTTCCAAGACCCGTCGGGATCGGAATCGGAGGATATGGAGGAACTTGCAGCTCCTGCTGCTGGGAGGAGGAGAGCAGCCAGTACATCGACACGTCAGCCAGGCCTCGCATCGAAACCAGTTCGGAAGCCTGGTGCGACTTCTGGTCGTGGTCGTAAACCCGCGGCAGCAGCCAAGGGCGCTGCGAAACCATTATCGCCTAAGAAGGACAAGCAGGTCGCAAAGTCACTTTCCGCATTTGCAGGCTCAGATGGTGAGGACGATGAGCTGAGTGGTGCCAAGGATCAGTTCAAATTAACTGTCCATTCTCCCTTCAAACATGGATCCGAGAACACTGGACTGGGCTCTCCGGTCAGAAGAATCAACTTTACGCCCAAGAAAGGACCTAAGACCGTGGACGAAAATGGCGAGCCTACCAACCTCAACGCGAAACCTATGGATTTCAGCGAGTCGCTTTTCATGTCCAGTCCTGCGAAGCGCCCGTCGGCTTCTCCGTTCGCCTTCACAATGAAAGAGACACCGAGGAGAGGTGGTTTTACAGTTGGAAATGAGGCCAAACCTATTTCTCAACCCAATTTTACCCCCACGCAAGATTCGCCGCTCAAGTCATCGCCTAAAAAGGCAAGATTGGAAACCCCGCGTCACGGTGGTCTCTCTTTCCTAGATGACAGCAGACCAATGTCTCAGCCAAACTTTACACCCGGTCACAACTCCCCGCTCAAGACATCGCCCAAGAAAGGAAACCTTGGTGCATCGTTCTCCCTTACTCCGTCCAAGGCATCGTCAACACCATTGGTCACTCGGGCGTCTCTGCTTCAGAGCCCTGCTAAAAGATCTTTCTCCCCATTTAAAAGCTCCTTGTTTGCTAGGCAGCAGCCACTGCCAGAGAAAGCTGAGACTATGGAAGAGCACGATGTAGAGGATGAAATTTCCACTACCCCAAAGACTGTCGACTCTCCCCTTACGCCTAAAGGATTGTCCCAAGTGGATATCGAAACCCCAGAAAAAACAATGGACGAAGTGTCTCGTGAAATTGACGAACAATTAGCGCCCGAGCCTGAACACGAACCTGAAGTTGCGATGGAAGACGATGTTGAAGAAGATGCTGAACTCGACCAACATCTGGAGGACGCTGCGGAAAATGCTGAACACCAGGCCGTGGAGGTTGACGAGGGTGAGAGTGAGGAGGAGCCTGAGAATGCCGCTGAGGAGTTGATGGAAGAGGACCACAACGAGCTGCCCGATGCTCCTGAGTACCAAGAGATTGACGACCAGGAAGAAGTAGAGGAGGAAGATGAGATGGATGACATGGCCATGGTGTCTAGTGAACCCGGACATGATTCACCCAGCCCTGTTCACGCTGAGGAGCATATTGAGCATGAGGTAGACGATGCCCCTGAAGATGTCGAAAGCGAGCACGTTGAACAGGCAGAGGAGGTCGAGGATGAACGGGAGATTCATGATGTCGAAAATGTCGAGTACGACGAGGACGCCACCGAGGATGAGCCGCTGGAGGATGTCCAGGACGACGTTCAAGACGTTGCAGATCATTTCAGCCACCACGAAGAAGTCGCCGAAGACACGGCCGAAAGCTACGTCCCGGACCACATTGAAAACAACATGGAAGACCCTGCCGAGGAGTCCTCGGAAGAGCTCGCAGCCGATGTTGTTGATAACGACTCGGAAGTCGAGCAGAGCCCCAGCGCGCGTCCGAAACAAGCTGAGCCTGAACCGGAAACTGAGCAAGTGGACTATGAACTCGACGAAGCCTCAGCTGGTGATGACAATGATGAGGTCGAACCAGAAGCACCCGTTCAACTTGAAACCGGACACGAAGTGCACGAGGATGTCTTTGACGAAGCACCTGTCACCTCCCAAACTCCACAGAGAAACTCGAGGGTTGCAGCTCCTCAAGTCCCTGCTCGGGAGCAACATACCCCCGAACCATTTGTGCAGCAACCCAACCATGACGAGGATAGTTACTACAGCGATGTCGAGTTCTTTGATGACGACGAGCCTACCCTAGTTGCAATCGATGAGAATGAGCAGTATATGCAAACACCCGGCCGAACATCACGCAGAACACCCCGCCGGACCCCCGGTCGAACCCCCCGGCGGATTTCACGCCGGGTTTCTCGACGTGCTTCTCAATACGCAGCGCAAGAGAGTGAACCTGTCAGAAGCGCCCCTCGGGAAGCTCCTCGTCCTCCCCCTGTCTTATCTCCCCCGGCTCGTGAGCCCACTATGGAATCTGCTGAACCCGAAGTTGTCCCTGGCATAACTGCAAATGAGGAAGATGAGAATCGTCGAGAGTCCCGGCGGATCTCACAACGAATCCATGAGGGGATTTGGCGACGTATTTCCGACCATTCATTCCAGGAAAGTCCGCACGAAGCTGAGACTTTTACACCTCCGGTTCCATCTCCAGCTCATGAGCTCGCTATTGAGCCCACTGAGCCAGAGCTTGCCCCCGGCACAGACGTAAATGTCGAAGATGAGGGCCGCCGAGTCTCCCAGCCGATCTCTCGACGAATCTCTCATCCGCTTCCACGACGCGTTTCCCAACATGTTGTGCAGGAAAGCGAACCCGCCAGAAGCTCGCCTGAAGCTGAACCCCTTCAGCCGGTTCCGTCTTTCCCAGTTCGTGAGCTAATTGACAACCACGATAATGATACGGAGAGTATGGAATCTGCTGAACCCGATGTTGCTCCTGATACAACTATGGATATGGAAAACGAAGGTCCTCCAGCGGAAGAAATTTCTATGCCTCAAACACCTACAAGGCAGACTCCTCGCCGTAAGAGCAAGACAAGGCGGTCATTGTTTGACAATGCACCTCGCTTTACGCCTTTGGCAAACCAAATGAGTCAATGGAAGACTATTAGTCCAGACAAAGCACAGCCCAGACGCTCAGGACGACGGGGTGTCTTCTCTATTGGAGGGATTCCAAAGCCATCCAGACATGCCCCAAGGAAGTCAGCGGAGATTTCCTACCCTGACATCTCCAGACACTCGCTTGCTGGTGTCGAGTCGCTATTTGATGAACCACCCGTTCAAGATAGTGAGAATGAGCAGTTGGACACTGAAATTTATCAGGACCAAGAGCAAGAGCAAGAGCCCGAAGTCAGTCAGGATGATGCTTTGGAAACTGAAACACCGCAGAGACAACCTATGAGTGAGATCTTTGAAGAACCAAAGTCCGCGATCACAGAGGCCAATGAAGACCAAGGGAGTGTATATGACCAAAGCCCCCTTGCCTCCAGCGTGAATCACTACTCTGCACCCCCGACACCCTCAGCTCACGATGGGTCAGAGGACGAGAAGGAGAACGATGACGAGAACGTGCCTCCCCCGGCTCCCGCAACTCCGACGCAAAAAACTATCGTTCCCCCGCAAACCTTCCATACGGTTTCGAAGGTGCCTCTCAAACCAGAAGGTGAAGTGTCGCCACTGAAGATGCCCCGTAAGCGGGGTTATTCAATTTCGAACACATCGCCTGTGCGTTCTTCTCCAAGAATTCGCAACTCCATGTTTAGCCCCAGAAACCCCGAACCTCCCTCCTTTTCTCCTCGTAAATCGCCGAGAATTGAGGAACCCACAACTCCCAAGCGGAGAAGCAGTTCTGTGAGGAAGAGTGTGAATGGCAAGGAAAGTGCACAAAAGAGAGCGGCAACTAGGTCTCCCAGTCCCGCGAAAACACCTCGTCGGAACACCAATGCAGGCGAACAAGCTCTCGGAGGAGCTATTGTTCATGTGGATGTTCACACTACCGAGGGAGAAGACGCTAGTGGCATTTTCGTCGAGCTCTTGCAGCAAATGGGAGCTAGATGTGTTAAGAATTGGTCTTGGAATCCTCGTGCTAGCCCGACGCCTGCTGATTCAGCGGACCCCAGTAGCAAAGTCGGCATCACCCATGTCGTCTTCAAAGATGGAGGAGTTCGAACTTTGGAAAAGGTTAGACAGGCGGGTGGTCTTGTCAAGTGTGTTGGAGTTGGTTGGGTTCTTGAGTAAGTTATGTTATGCGTAATCACGTGGTATCAGTACTGACTTTGATTACAGTTGTGAAAGAGAGAACAAGTGGCTTGACGAGGCGCAGTATGCTGTCGATAGCTCCATTATTCCCCGTGGAGGTGCAAAGCGCAGAAAGAGCATGGAACCTCGCGCGCTGAGCAATGTCAATGGAACCCTTGTCAAGGTCGACTCCGCTACCGCTTCTGCTAGTGGCAGACGCTCTGGTGCTGACTGGGACACTATGGAGGACTTTATGAGACATACGCCTCCACTTGGCCGCGATGAGCCTAGCACTCCCCAGAAGAACAAGAAGCATGACGATGATTATTACCAAGTCCCCAAGACTCCTGGGCCCGGTTTCAATCTCGACAACATTGGAATGTCTCCGGCAACCCCGTTCTACCTCACCCAGCAAGCGAAACTCGTCCAGCAAACCTGTCCTGCTAAGCAGACTCGACAAGGATTATTCTCGACATCAAGCGCGGTCGATGACGAGTCTTCCAAAAGGATGCGATTCAAGCTTGACGCTGCTAGGCGGAAGAGTCTTGCGTTCAAACCCAGAGTTGGCAGCCCGCTTGTCGAATAGGGCTTTCTTTGATTGTTTTGGTTTGTTTTGCATTGGATACATACCCCGTGGTAAAATAGTTGGATTTATGTTTAAACATCTTTCTGGGTTTATTGCCATTGGTCATGGGATGCATCCTTCTTATAGTTTGGCATGGTGTTGGGGATCCTTGGAATACGATACAGATTGGCGTTATAGCTAGTTAATTTGACTGGTATCTGATTTTAATCAAATTAAAATCCAATAACATATGGATATCATATTCTTTCAGTTTAAGATGTCCTAAATTGAATTCATCCCTTCAGGTTCATCCATCTCGCGATAGAACCCAGCAACCAAGAACGCAAGTTCCAGCGCCTGCTTCTCATTCAATCGCGGATCGCAAAAGGTAGTGTACCTTTCACCCAGACCCTCCTCAGTCAACCCCCCAGCACCACCCACACACTCTGTAACAGCCTCCCCAGTCAACTCCAGATGCATACCACCCAAAAACGACCCCGCAGCACGATGAATCTCCAACGCCTGCCTCAACTCAGACAGAATATCACTAAAATGCCTCGTCTTCACCCCGGACTCCGTCGACTGCGTATTGCCATGCATGGGGTCACATTGCCAGACAGGCAGATGGCCTGACGCCTGCACGGCGGCGATATGCGCGGGGAGGTACTGCGCGATTTTACCCGCGCCGTACCGCGATATGAGCGTTACTTTGCCGATTTCGCGGGAAGGGTTGACGATGTCGAGGATTTGGGTTAGTTCGGAGGGTGTCATGCTGGGGCCGATCTTGATGCCGATGGGGTTAGTGATGCCGCGGAAGAATTCGATGTGGGCGCCGTTGAGTTGGCGCGTGCGGTCGCCTATCCAGAGGAAGTGGGCGGATGTGGCGTAGTAGCTTTTGGGGGGTGTTTGTGTTTGTGGCTGTGTGGTAGATGCTGCTGGTGGAGATGGGGTGGGTGGAGTAGGTGTGGTTGGTGTTTTGAGTAGCCGGGTTAAGCTCTGTTCGTACTCGAGAAGCAGACCCTCATGGCTTGTGTAGACATCGACGGTTTCAACACCGCGATCCGTATCAATGCCGACGGTTTGCATAAAGCGCAGGGCATCCTTGACGCGGCTCACGATGCGCTCATACTTCTCCTTGATGGACGGGGTAATGACATGGCCGAGCCCCCAGTCTAATGGGGAGTGCAAGTCTGCCATTCCCGAGGAGAGAGAAGCACGGAGGTAGTTTAGGGTTGCTGCGGAGTGGAAGTATGCAGATACTAATCGTGAAGGATCTGGTCTGCGGTTCTCTGGGTCTGCGGCGAAGCCGTTGATGTTGTCGCCGCGGAAGGAGGGCATCTCAGTGCCGTTGATGGTTTCCATTGGACTTGATCGTGGTCTGGGGTTGTTAGTTGAGCTTGGTCGGGTATCATATGATGAGGCGAAGGGCTCACTTTGCAAATTGTCCAGCTATACGCGCAATGCGAACTACCGGTTTATTGGCTCCTATTGATCCATTAGCCACGTGAAGACAAGAGATGCGAAACTGTTAGGAGCATACCCCAAATCAATACTAAGCTCATTTGCAACAGTAACTTGACCTTTGCCTCGATCATGTCCTGGTTACAATAATCAAACAATTCCGCACAGTCACCTATTCAGCATTAGAACCAAACTACTTTTCATGCAGTGGATAGATTAAAATACCTCCTTGTAAAACAAAAGCCTTCCCCAGAGCCACATTCCTCAGGCTCTTTTTTAAATTCACAATCTGTACCTGGTTAGCTCATCTAGCTCCGCTCTGCTTTGACTCAAAGGTCTCCCACCTCTTGTGTTGTGACCAACGGAGGTAACCGTTGAAGTTTTGCAAGGGCAGATTGAACACCCTGTGCATCATCATATACGACATCCTGCTTGATGGGCTTCGAGGTCCAGGCTAGGAAAAAAAAAATAATGGTTAGTCAAAGTTATTCGATTTTTCGATTATTTGCAGTCAGAACGCACAGTCTGGTTTCCAGTCCTCCATGGTGCGGGGATGATTGATCGATCGACCTCGGGATCTATGTACCAGCTTCTCTCCTCGTATCCAAGAAACGTCGGTCAATCGTCGATGTAGACGCAGTGAATTGAAGCGATGGCTCTTCCAAAACAGTTTAAAAAAGAAGAAAGAAAAGAAAGTTAAATGAAAAGAAAGAGTCAGAGAAAGACTAAGACAATAACCGGATCTGGAAAAGTCGCGGTTATTGTCGGACCTGAGTCACAGCGACTAGTCCGTATCCGGCATGGCTTGATCCGTCTGTTATCGACAATCGTCATTTTGGCTCTTATCGTCGCCTTCGTCTTTGTTATTGTTTGCTAACTACCTATTTATTCCCAACGTCCATCGCTGATCAAGCCATACATCCATCCACAGAATCCACCATCTAGATATAAAGCATCTAATACCTAATAATGTCAGACTCCATCCCCTCTGCAACCGCCGACCCCGAGCAGGAACAACTCCCCGCCAACGCCGAAGACCGCAAAGCAGCCGCCGCCCTCTCCGCCCTCAACACTAATGGCATCGGTGCGGAAACCGGTCCCAAGCCGCCATCTGCAGCAGATCAGGAGGCACTAGACAAGGCGATGAGTCGGTTGGAGATCGCGGCGGGGCAGGACGCGGGGAAGAAGCGGACGGCATCGGAGACGGCGCAGGGGAAGGAGGGTGAGGTGGTTAGGAAGAAGGCCGTTAGGGTTGCGGCAGATGATGTGGCGCTTTTGGTACGTCTGATTTCGGTATCTCTGATGAGTTGGGGCTAATGTTGGTGTAGGTGGATCAGTTGGATTTGAATAAGATCAGGGCGACGGAGTTGTTGAAGGCTCATGATGGGGATGCGAGGGAGGCTATCAAGGCGTTTATTACTGCTGTTAAAGCTTTATGAAGTCTGTTGAACGGACATGAGGAGCTTCCATGGATGACTTTCAAAGTCTATGGCCAGAGTTTGGGAGTAATAACTATCGTACTGTACTAATGTCTCATGAAGCACGATGAAATGAATGAAACGCAATTCTTTTCTCTATAGCTGACTATATGCTATACACAATCATAATGCGTCTCTCATAAATATTAATGTCATGTCAAGTCAATGTATGCCACCAAAGGGCTTATCAAAAGGGAATATCACCCTAATCCTCATCTTCAGTCGGCTCTTTCTTCTTCTCAATACCCTTGCCCTCGTAGATAGTGTAGAGGAGCAACCAACCCAGCATCGCCTCGATAGCCAATGCCCACCAGATACCTCCTACCATGTTATTGTGCAGTCCCAACCCCAGACCCCAACCTCCAATCATAGGGCCCAGAGTTCGTGCCGCACTCGATATACTCTGCGCAACTCCATGAACGGTGCCTAAGACAGAAGGGTTCGTAACTGAGTTGTTCACCAGGATGATCGCAGCTGGGAGGGCAAATGTCCGGGAGATAACCTGTAGAGCAACGACAATGGTAAAAGAGGGCCACACCAACCAAGGCAGTCGTGGAATGATAACAATGAACGGCATCAAAGCATACGACAAGGGCGAGAAGGGCAAGAACGTGCGGAAAGAAGCAAGTGTCCCCAAACGAGATTGGATGTGCGGATAGACAAAAATCTGTAATGGTAGACCGATGATTCCGATAATGGCGGTTGCAAGACCGACTCGGGAAGATGGTAGACCAAGACCACCGCCGAAGTGGAACAGACCGTCCCGGCTGCCCTCTGGAGCTCTTGGGGCTGGGAGGAACGTGAAAGTCATGGAATTGAAGGCGCTGGTGTGGAATGCGAGGAGAAAATGGGCCAGTAGCGTTAAAAGGATATTGCGTGTCCAGATTTGACGGAAGCCCGGACGCTTACGTCGAGATTGGACACGAGCACGAGCCGGACTGGAAGGAGTCGATCTACCGAGAATGCTTTCATCGATGTATAGATCATCTCCTTGGTTGGTCAGAGGGCGGTAGTGACCACGATCCTTACGTCGGGAGAGAGCTCGAACGAGTGACCGGCCCAGCTTGCGGCCCCAATCGCTTCGATACCGAGCAATTTCATGAGTCTGCAGACCATTAGTGGATTTCATCAGACCAAGCACATCAAACTTACTTCGTCCAACCCGAGAAAGACAGCCAACAAAGACGCGAAAATGAAAAAACCACTGAGCACATTCGGCAAAGCAAACGGCCATCTCTGCATCCAATACACGCCATCTTTACCCCCAAACACCGAACCAGGCCCGAATAGATGCGGATAACTTCTCGCTGGATCGGCCAGCGTACCACCAAGAACAGGACCGATAATCACACCAATATTGAAGCACATTGGCAGTAAGAGAAACGCCCTCGACTGGTACCTACCGATAATTAGCACAAAACCCCTCACATAGCCCCCACTGCACAATGGAAGTGAAGGGAAACTCACTTCTTCTCCTCAATAATCTCCGCAATCATCGTCCTCATAACCCCAACATTACTATTCAAACAACCCCCCAACGTCCGAAACACGGCAGCAGTAACAAACGACCTCGAAAACCCAAACCCCAAACACGAAATACAGGTCCCCAACAGCCCAATCAGCAACACCCTCTTCCGTCCCATCAACTCAGAATCCGCAATCCGCCCCCACCAAACTGCAGTGACAAACTGCGCCGCGGTGAAACAGCCCTGCAAGATCCCCGCCTGCGCGGAAATAGTCGAGTCAGGAAGCGCCGGATTGAACGATTTAAGCTGGTAGAACATGTACGCCTGCAGGGAGGTTTGGGTGAGGGGTTCCGAGAGCCGGGCGAAGGTGAGGATAGCCAGTTGGCTCTTTTTGGGGAGAGAGCGCCATGTTACGGGTTTTTCGTCCTCATTTTCGTCTGTGCCGTGTGTGCGTGGGGGTTCGTCGGTGTCAGAGTCAGAGTCAGAGTCCGAGGAAGAGTTGGAGTCAGAGGATAACCGGTGAGGGGTGAGATCGGGCGCTGGGGCGAGTAATTGGCGTCTTGCTTCAGAGTCGTTGTCGTGGATGATGGTGCAGACACTGTCGCCTTCACTGTCTGTGACTGGAGGCTGTAAATGATGGCCTTGGGTTTCGAAATGCGAGGCATGAAAAGTCTCGCCACTGGGGACTACATGATGCCCGTGGGGATGTTCATGTTGGTTGGAAGGGAACCCCATCAATGAGTCTGTCTTTCTGGCCTGTAGTAATGATAATAATTGGCAAAACCAAGCTTTCCGGATGATCTCACCAAGAATGTGAATATTTTTGGAAAAGTGCAGAAGAGAAGAAAACAATCGTGGAAAGATCTTGCGTGCTTTGCTTCCCTTATCGATAAACTCTGGACTAAGTCTCCCGTGCGGAGATCGGAGTCGGTGCCGATTACCCGAATCTTACAGGTTGTCCGAGCTGATTTTACTATTATTCATGAGGATGAAGAGATAGAAAGAGATAAATAGATAGAGATGGGATAGAATAGAATATATACCATGAGGTTGTATGTTGTGCTCGATTGGGTTCGGGCCGGACCACATGGTGATGGTTTCAGGAACCGAAAAACATCAGACCAACAATTGGTATACTGAACACTGAATATCAATTATCCCCATAGAACACCGCAAGTATACAAGTAGAACAGTTCAAATAAGACTAATATTATCGATCAACGCCTGCAACTATCCAGACCCAGAGACATCCATCAAAACCCAGGATACACCAATGCAAACCAAAAAGATCAAGATAATCAATTGTACAACGCCCGTTTCATGATCAATTATCAATGATCAAAAAGTCAATTCAGGATGGAGAATGACCAAGAACATACACGTCCTGGGGACAGACCACCGTGTTCGAGAAAGAACAAAGGAAATCGGAATGAGAGTATCGCCAACATGAATAACAAGACAGAATAATCAACATATATCAAGAACAAAACACTTCCAACAACATCATCACATCTTAATTACGGCGGCTGGCAGCACTCTTTCCAGTCACATCCATCGTGCTCTCGATTCCTTCCCACGGAAGGTCTTCGTCATCGTCATCCACGTCATAGTCGGTATTGACGTTGACGTTCTTGTGAGAAGACTTATCCGTGGTTCCCGTAACGTCAGCAGTTCTCTCAGCAGGCACATCAATTCCAATCGACTGAAGTGTCACCTCCATCTCCTGCTCTGTCATCTCATGGCCATCTTGCTTCTGGCCTTCGAGAACATCATAAAGTGCATAGATTTGGTCGGCCTTCATATCGATATCCTTGAACAGCTTCTCGATCTTCTCGCCCAGCGACTTTCTCTGTCGCTTGCTTAGAGACGAGTCGAGCTTGTTGTACGCTCCTTGGTATGTGGCCAGCTGCATCTTCAGATGTGACAGTTCATCCTCCAAAGCCTTGAGCACCGTGGCGAGGGCAACACCTGGGGCCTGAGCGGGCCGCAGAGTAGGCTCCTCGTTGTAAACAGAAGGCTCGGGCATACGCTCCGAGACAGGAACGGGCTTGGGGACCTTTACTTCTTGGGTATGGTCACAAGTATCCCCAGGCATAACACGCTTGCAAACAGTGCAGTTCTTGCCATTATGTTGCGTAGCGCTGTCAAGCGCGCGGCGTGTTGCTTCAGGCAACAGCGCTGGGTTCTGGGCAGCCTGATCTGCGTGGTGGAGGGTGATGTCAGGAAGGATGAAAGCAGAGGTCATGTCCTCAATGTTTCGGCGGCGCTTTCTTTGAGCAACCGGGGTCACGGAATGATCCGAGTGGCGTCTTTGACGTTCAGTCGGCACGGACAGGTTGTTATCGCCTTCGCTGACTGCTGTTGCGTCACCGGCAGCCGATGTAGGGCGGGGTGGTGCTGTCTTCGGCTCCTTCATAGACGATTTACGGGGCGCAGCTGGCTTCGAAACGCTCTGGCGAGTAGAATTCAAGGTCTCATTTGCAGTTTGCTCTTTTGGCGGGTTTGCTTGACGTTGTTTCCGAGCCAATCGCTCCTCTTCCAAAGTCTTCCGCAGCTGGGCAATTTCATTTTCCTAGAACATATGTCAGCAACGCCCATCAAGAGATAAGGTTCAATACTCACATCCATAAAGCTCAAGAAAGTTACGTCCCGGTCGGTTCCAGAGGACTTCTTGGTATGGGCAGTGCCATCTTCAATGGTCGAGTCGACCGGGTCCGTGACGTCAACTTCCTCCACAACAACTCTCTTGACGCGCTGCTTGCCGGTGTTGGACTTCTTCGAGCTTCCACTGCTCGAGTGCGATTTCCTTTCTGATTTCTCGGGTTTGGAGCTCGATGGGCGGCTCGAACGCGGGAGATTGATCGAAAAGAGTTCGTCTTCTGCTCGCTCCTTTTCAAGGCGAGAAATCTCTTTATCGACTTGGCTGGAAATCTTAGCACGGGAGTCTTCCTGGCGTCCATGCTTGGATCGGGACCGCGTGCTCTTGGAAGTGACGTCTCTGGTACCGGTCCGGCTCAAGTTCGCGCTGCGCTGTGTGTGGACCTGGCTATCCTCTGCATCTGCATCCTCAGATGCCGAAGTTTGTTCTGATTGGAAGGTTTCGTCACGGTTCTTTTGCGAGAAGGAAGCCAATCGTGTCAGCTGAGCCTTGAGTTCGGCATTCTCCTGTTTCAAGTCCTGGTTTTCATTCTTAATGTCCTGGGACTCGAGATAAGCGACTCCCAACTGGGAGACCGCCATATCACGCTCCCGGCTGAGCCTCTTCATGACACCTTCATGAATCTGAGTCTTGCGGTCCGCAACGTCGAGCTGGTTCTGCAAAGCGATATTGGCTGCTTCCAATTCTAAAAGGATCATTAGCGGGGTGGAAGATGAACAAACGCAATTGTACTTACTTTGAATCTCGCTCGCAGCCCGTCCGCTGTCTCTCCGATGATCATCCTCTGAGTCGTAGTTTCTCGAACGACCATACCGGTCCTTGTTGTTACGAGGTCTATCCGCCTTCAGAGACACATTTTCCTGGCGCATTTCCTCGATCTTCTTCTCGGATTCGGACTTGGCCATTTCGAGTTCTGCAACCTTATCCTGCAGAAGTCGCAGTGACACAAACAAAGCCTTCTCATCTTCGGGAACGGGAACCGCGTCGAGCGGGACATGCTCCCGAGTGAATGACACCTCAGCCGGGTCATGCGATGGCGACACAAAGCGCGTTGTCCGGGCCTTGTTCTGGCGCGAGAAAACCGGGGTGCCATCTTCGTACACACCCGACACTAACTCCGAGAGATTAGGGAGGTCGGGAAGAAGGAACGAATTGTGAGTCATTGTATCACCATTCATGGTGGCGGATACATTGCGCGAGTTGTTGCCAAGTTTCCCCCGACGCATCTCCTTTGCATATGCTTCCTGCGAGGCTCTCTCCACAGCATCTACGATCTGGTGGGAACCAAAGCGCGTCGAGCGAGCATTCATGGAAACCGGCTGAGGGCGCTCATCTCCAAGGAAAGAACCGTCGTACGAGTCACGGACCTTGGCGTGCATTTCAGACAACGTACGTCGCTGATCCTTGCGATTGTTCTTGGACGACTGGGGGTCCATATTCTCCTTCTGAGCCTGGCTCGCTCTCCGCAATTGAGCATCCTTCCGAAGATTCTCACTCGCAGCTCTCCGTGGCGTATTCCGCATGGCCGATTTCTGGGGCGTATGAGAAGTAGGATAATCGAGTCTAACGGCGGGCGAAGAAGACCGCACACTATTCTCGAGGCTCATGAACGAATTACGCGAATCGTCCAACCGACGCGTCGGCTTCGTCGCTCCCCGTCCAAGCTCAACGGAAATCTCATCGTCTTCGTGCTCCTCGTCTTCTTCGGATGTGCCGACCTGCGAGAATTCCGGGAACGCGCGTTCCAACGCGGAAGTGTCAATGGCGTAGTCGGGCTCGTCGTCGGCCGCGGCGGCCTCGAATTCGCGGTGCTGCTGTTTCCTGGCACTGCCTTTCATGTCGGGGAGTCTGGGGCTGTTGTCCATTTGTCTGGTAGAGGCGAGGGCCTCGGCTTCAGGGTCAAAATCAGAGCCAAAAGAAGTGAAACTGGCTGTCGTGGCCTCGGAGCGTCTGGTATTATCGCGCGACATGCTCGAAGCGCGTCGGCCGTGAACAAAATGTAGGAAGAAACAATGCCGTGTAATTTTGAGAGGGAAAAACGTGAATGTACTGGGCGATAGGTTTCAAATTCAAGACAAGAAATAATGCAGTCTTAGAAACCGTGGCTGAATTGCATGGTCCAGCATGGGGAATTGGGAGGTTGAGTTGTCCTGCAGTGGGACGGAAGAATCATTGGATTTGGCGGAAAGGAAGGAGGCTGGGTTTGTTTACGCGGTGGAGCCGCCGACCGCCTTGACTTGGGTATACTTGGAGACAGCACTTTATCATCATTAATTGGAATAATTAAAGTAAGATTTATGCTCTTTATTATAGGTAAATATTATGTTCAAGATTGTGTATATACTTGAGATTATTTTATATATACAATCCTATCGATGGTGCATAATATCACTCAAAATCACTATCGACAAAACAAACTCAACTGACAACCCAGACTCATCACAATCGTAAACTCTATCAATTTATGTAGATCAAAGGCAGAATATGCAAATAAATCTACAACCCTGTTCGCCCTGGGTAGTTTCAAAAATTTTGTAGTGAAAAAGATGTCACAAAGATATAAGAGAACTTCAGGCAACAGTGCCCCAAACGCCGCGCTAGCTGAGTATTGCCAATTGCCAATAGAACAAGCAGCAGATAATAAATAGATAAAAGAGGAAATAAGAGACAAGGAAGAAGAAGAAGGAAGAGAGGACCGGCCGCCGCAAAAGTGTCGTAGTCAATCATGTTCGTAATGCCGCTGTCTACCACAGGTAGCTGGGGCGAAATAAATCAAATGCTAAACGGAATATCAAGCGTTTTGGTGAGAGCCAGTCGAGACAGGATTTTCCGGTTCTCTCGGGGGAGGAATTGTCGGAGTGGTTGGACTTGGGCCGCTCACAGGGCTCGCAGCATCGATGTGGATGGTTGGAAGAGGAACCTGGAGTTGTGGCAAGCGAGGCGCATGTTCATTTCGCTCTGTGGTCGGGCTTTCATATGCCGGCGCTTCTCCCCAGTCCAGATGATCGTAGTCCGGAGGTGGGATGTGGAGAGCTCCCACGTCTCCCTCTTCAGCGCCTGATCGGGATGGGGCGGTCGAATCTTCATGGCCGGAGTGACCGGAGTGACCGGAATTAGAGGTGGCATGAGATGCAACGGGCGTCAGGCTATCCCCGTCCGATCCCCGTGTTGACATAGAGTTGGCCGACGAGTAGGACTCGCCCCGGGAATGGAAGCTCGTGGGACGGGTCAAGGAACTATTGCCATCAACGTTCATAGACGCGGCATTTGACAGCAATGGGCGATTATCCGAGTCGGGCGAAGTAGAACGAACACGGGTACCATCATGACGGACACAACCCAAGGATGCATAGTTGACTCGGGAGATTCGTCTGTCGCGACCACGAGTCTGGTGCTCCGCAACGTTGGTAGAAGATGGAAGGGTGCTATTGCTACCGCTCGCCGTCGTGGAGCGACTACGTTGCCGCCGCCGACTCTCCATCCGCAGCTCCTCGAGACGCAAAAAGTCACCACGATCCCGAGCCTCGCGACGAGCCTGTCGTCGGGCCTCGCGCTCTGCTAGCTCTTGACGCCGTTGTAACCGAATCTGGTAGAGGCTTTCCATCAATTCCTCTCTGCGACCTTCCTCCTCTTCCGCGGTTTCGGGGAATTCCACCACAACATCCATACCACCACGTTCTCCCTCCCGGGCGATAATCTGCTCAGTAGGTTTCGGACTTGGCGAGTATGCAGGTAATGTAGCGATAGAGCGGACGGAAGTCTCGCGACGGACTGTGTTGGTGTTCATTTCCGAGCCCGATTCGGCCGCACCGCGATACGCCGTGTCCTGATCATGGTTGTTGGACGACCCAGCGACCTGGCCATAGGAACCTCCCACGTCCCATTTTCGCCATTTTTCTTTCAAGAATTTCCCGGGGAGATATTTCGGGCGGCAGTTCATGCGACGCAGGGTACGAAAGACAAAGAACATCATGACAGCAAAGGCCAGGAAGAAGACAATGACTGCAGCACACTGAATTGAGGGACGGTCAGTTAACAGAACGGACATTCTGGGTAGCTGAAGGGAAGACCCACGATAATAAAGATATTATTTCGATGTCCAGCGTCCTTACTGTCCTTGTCCTTGTTTGGGTCGCTATTCGGGTCGGTGCCGGGGTCGTGTGGTGGAGGTTCCTGACGAGCCCCAAGCCAGTGAGCCTGAGGTGGGATGAACATGGTGAAAGCCTCCGGGCAAAGCAAATAAGCCCAACCAATGCTGATCCTAGAACATGTAGAACAATCAAGCACGGTGGGATGGTGAGAATGAGAAGAGGACGGGCGGCTTGGAAGCCTGCGGAGACAGCGGAGTCGGCGGCCAAAGCGGGTGGACAGGAGAGTTGACGGGGGAAAGAAGGACAAAGGGTGATCTTTATTTAGTATCAAGAGCGGATGGGAGGGAAGCTTGCGACAGAAGCCGAAGATCAAATGGGATGGAGTGGGATGAAAGAAAGGGAAAATGAAGAGGAGAGAAAGAAAATGGAAGAAAGAAAGAAAAGAAGAAGAAAGATGGAGGATGTGGAGAGAAACGGGATTACCAGAAAGCGTGCAGCTTACGACGTCTACTCAAGGAAGAAAAAGTCCCAATGATAATCAGCCTGGATCCTGTCAATTCAGGCGGCTGGGCCTGTTGAGAAGACTTTTTCTTTTCTTTTTTCTTTTTCGCTGCTTTTGCTCCACTGGAGGGCATCTAGACAATGTCTTTGGTTGTTCGTGTAGAATGGATGCCAGCCACCCATGGATCAGCAGCGATAGCCGAGTAAGACATCAACAGGATACAGTGGATGGTGGAGGTAGGTTTCTTAGGAGTGTTCTATTTTGTTACACAGTAAGGATCTTCAGATGATTTCATCGACAAGTGTCACTCCTTGCTGGCGCGTATCATACAGTTTATCACCACTGATGCTTCTTATGCCGACGCACTGAGTACATTTCTAAGGACTAATACATAGCCTATCAGGATCATAGATAGATACTATGGAAATAGATAGAGTTGAATTTAAAATTTAATTGTATGAATGAATGAATTCTTTGAATGCAACTTTAATCTGAAAACAGCATTTACGCGTCATCCGCAATAGCCAGTGATGGACCCTTATTCACTCTGAGTAAGAATTCTTATTCCACTGCTTATGACTGTATAAATGCTTAGATGTCTATCACCTCACTTGGTTATAAGAAAAAGGGGCCAATGATTTCCATATATACTAGATAAACTTATCATATTTTAGAGACAGATCCAGTACCATAATCCTATGTAATCATCATTTCCGCGTCATCTAAGCTTCCCAGTCATACCAATGATATCTGATTCTTACATGTCATGGATATAGAGAAATGTATCACTCAAACATGTCTCCTTCACTAGACACTATAATACCTCGTTACCTTGATATTGTATTTCAAGATGCACTTGCCTTTCAGTCTCACCTCATTCACCAAGTATCAGAGGCAAGGGCATCTGGAAATGATGTTATCACTGACTTTTTCTATACCAATATCGACAGTTCATGGGCAGTAGATACAATAAAACTCCTCGAACAAAAAAGACTCGTCTGTTTGTAAGCCCATCTGGCTATTTCCAATGATAATAGCAATCATTTCAATAGTTAATCCTCTATAGCAAATCATACAGACCTTCCTGGAGGGTCTTCAAAATCCGCACAGTGCCCACTCCTCTCCACCACGCTGACCAGGAGTGGTTGTCTCTTTCCAGGGACCAATGGCTCCCAACAGGCGTCTTGACCCAGAATGAACGCAGCATGCTGACCACCACATCCAACACACGTGAGATCTCTGGTTTCTATACAACGGTGAGCCTATCACTGACAACTGGCAGTCTTTCGATTTTCCAGCGGTCCCTATGCTCAGATGACAAAGGCTCCGAACATTGCCGTTCAGCTGAATGCTACTGGCCTGCCACGGGTAGTTTTCGAGTCTGGATTCTCCCAATCCTTCGACAATCTTCGCGCCGATGTGGGAGAATGGATGATAGGGGGGACTGGAGCCGTTCAGGCCGTCGTGGTGGTCAAGTGGAAGCCATCGAGGGCCATTATGCGTGTTCGGGGAGATGTCAAGCTTTATACGCTCCAAAGCGACGGAATGCCTCGCCTGGTACAGACAGAGCAGATATTTCCCAAGCCACCAGGGCCACCTCAAATACTGCGACTGACGCGGGGGATGTTTTTTGGCGCCAATATTGATGCAAACCGCAGTGCCAACGATGTTTTTGGACTGGAAATTGATGAGTTACGACCTGTTGCGACGAGGCTGATGGCCAACATGGGGTATACCCCAGTGTGACGCTATTCTATCGGTGCGTGGGAATAAGAGCAGTGGCTTCAGATCACCGCCAATCAATATGAATCCCCGACTGTCATGGCGTTAAATGCAGTCCATATTTAGAACATCCTGAATCGCTTCGATCGTTCAGCTTTTTCTATCCTATCACTTGTGGTGTTTTGATGTTATCTCCTGTTTGTATCCACATCTCCAGATCACCTGCAGACTGGTATCAACTGCAACTGCTTAGCATTGCATTCTGTATTCGATCTATAGATCAGATGAATATATTCATGCAAATAATATCAGAATATTCAACAGTTTAAAGTAACCGAGCATCGTGATACTGTTGATGATGCCATCATCATGTAACCATAAATCGAATAACCAAATGAACACAACCCAACCCCTCACCACCACCATCATCATCATCATCAACCTCACAAGATATATAATATAAAAAAGTGAAATAAAAAATGTCCTGCCCAGATTGCTTCAACGGCCACGTCCACCCCGGCTCTCCCCAGGGATACATCACCACCCTCCGCGGCCTCAACGTGTACGTCGCCGAGCCTGCATCGGCAACCGGGGTGCGGGGGATCATCGTCATTATTCCTGATGCCTTCGGATGGGAGTTTGTCAATTGTCGATTATTGGCGGATCGGTTTGCGGAGAAGGGGAGGTATCGTGTTTATTTACCGGATTTTATGGGGGGTGAGTATAGTATTTCTCTGCCTAGTATTGTGTTGCGTTGGCTATGTGAAATATATACATTGTGGCTGAGATGTAACTATAGGACATGCGATGCCGACCTGGTTGATGAATTCGTTTCGCAGGTTGAAAAAGTGGGATACGCTGTCTGATTGGTTCTTGAAACCGTATGCCTCTACTTATACTTCTATCCAATTGATGATGATACTAACAGCAAAGATACGACCTCGCCTGCATCCTCGTCAAAGTACCCCCCTTCCTCCTCTTCACCCGCTTTACCAAAACCTGGCCTACCGTACAATCCTTCTTCACTGCTCTCCGCTCCAACGAAGGCCTCCACCTCCCCATCGCCTCAGTCGGCTACTGCTGGGGCGGAAAACACACCGTCACCTTATCCCACGGGTACAACGTCGACGGCCGCCCTCTCATCGACGCAGGGTTCACCGGCCACCCCAGCTTCCTGACCATCCCCGACGACATCGTGCGGATTCGGGTGCCGGTGAGTTTCGCGCTGGGGCAGCTGGACGTGTTGAACTCGGGCAGGAAGGCGGAGTATCTCAAGGCGATTATGGCGGACAAGGAGGAGGAAGGGTTGGGGGAGGTGAGGGTTTATGAGGGTGCTGGGCATGGGTTTTGTGTTAGGGAGGATACGGTGTTGGGGGATGCGGAGAGGCAGGCGACGGAGGCGGAGGAGCAGGCATTAACGTGGTTTGAGGGGCATTTGAGTCGTGTTTCATATTAATTAATCAAGAGATTAATTTCCGATGGAGGGTCTCATTAAATTTGAGCAAGGGAGACAAAGCGGGATATATCAATCATTCATCTTCAATCAAGGCCCTCAATGCCCCTCCTGGCCGTTTCAAAAGCTCATAATACCCTCCCTCTTCAATAACAGCCCCCTCCTCCATAACGATCACATTATCTGATATCTCCATCATCTCGCGTGCATGCGTGATGATAATCACCGTCAGTCCTAGCTGAGCAGCAACGAGCTTCTGAACCGTCTGCCGAATCACCTCCGCGCTGCCTCGATCAAGACTCGACGTCGCCTCATCCAGGATGAGAATCTGCGGTCGACGGACCAGCGCTCGAGCGATGACTACTCGTTGTGCTTGGCCTCCCGATAGACCAACGCCTCCGTCTCCAATTAGTGTAGAGTATCCGCTCGGGAGGGAGGAGATGAACTCGTCGATCCCGGCTGCTTTAGCTGCGGCTCGTACGTTGTGTAATGTGCTCAGTGGCGAGTCTTCGTCCAGTCCGTAGCTGATGTTCGCGTGGATGGTCCCCAGGAAGATCGTGGGTTGCTGGGATACGATCGATATCATGGATCGGAGCGTTGGGGTGTGTAGGTTTCGAATGTCCACTCCACCCAGGGAGATAGTAGGCGCTCCATATTTGGACAATGGCGCCTCGTATAGAGACAGCAGTAATGATGCTATCGTTGACTTGCCCGATCCTGAGCGTCCCACGATAGCAGTGCACGAGTCTTGGGGAATGGTGATGAAAACATTTCGCAGTACGAGCGCATCAGATCGCGAGGGGTATCGGAAGTTCAACTTTTTAAGTTTCACCGGGGCCACTTTGGAGATTTCTACATTGCCGAGATACTCATGGGATGCTCCTTGAGGAAGGTTGGCAAGTCGTAGAAGCTGGGCTGCTGTATCTCGCGAGATGCTGATTTGTGGGACTGGACACGGTTAGCATGCCTCAACACTCTAAGATGTAAATATAGATGGGAATACTGACTCCACGATAGTACCGTACTCGCATAACCAATGCTGAATAGAAGCATCGAGAATACAGTCGTTATATCCTTGACTGTATACTCCGAAGATGATACCAGGACTGCTCCGTAGTAAAATATCAATGCTGCATACATCAGTAATGCAATATCAAGTGGAGGAAACCTCACTTACCGCTCACAAACACCACAGTGGACATTACCAGACCAAATAGAAACCCCGTATATCCAGCTCTCCTCAATCCTATCCTCATACACCTCGAGGCAGCCCTCACATGCTTCCTATGAAAGAAAGACTCAAGCGTCAACGACCTCACGGTGCGTATTTCCGAGAATGTCTCCACAAAGATATCCGATACAACCCGATTTGCCTCATTGCATCGTTTCTCCCAAAGCCCACTGGTGCCCTCGAAGCCTCTGGTGATTGCATATATGACAGGACCACAAGCCAGTGCAACAATACTCAGCTTCCAGCAGACAATAAAGCTCCACGCAACAGCCACGATGGCGATTGTAGCAGCAACAAGCACAAAGCCAGCAAACCGTCCAATGATAGTTCGCATATCTTCCCCGTTTTGATCGAGACACGCGGTGAGCTTCGAGGGGCTATTTCTCTCATCCTCAAACCACATTCGAGGCTGGTCTAAAACACGACAAAATGCTTTCTTTCGGAGACCATCAACCCAAGCTTGGCCACATAACTCTAGGAAGTAGTGCATAAAAAACGATACAGTCCCATCTCCAATGGCAACTCCAAGAACGGCTAATGACCATTTCATCGCCAATTGGGTTGTTCTCCCTCGGTCATAAAACGCACAAAATAATTGGGACAGACAGTATGAAAAGGCAGGGGTTGCGAGTGCATGTCCCAAAGCGCATAGAAAACCCAGAAAGAGAAGGAAACACTGCCAGGGAGACAAGTTTGGGATTATGGTCAACATAATCCGGGCCATGGATGCTGTATTCTGGAGTTGAGTGCAGGGTTCCTGCCCTTGATTCGAAGATATTTGCGTTGTCTGTGACGAGACCGGTGAGCTCACCCTGGAAAGTTGGTCGTGCTTTGGTCTGACTTGAATTCTGTCAAGTTCTATCTCAGATGAACTGGTAGTAAGGTCGCGTTTTCCATACATTGCATTTCTTTTCTTTCGGATCATTTTCCAAAACTTTGACAAAGGTCGCGACTCTTCCTGTATCTTTGATCGAGGTTCGTGATCGACAAATGCTTCTGATGTCTGTAATGCATTGTTCGAAGGAGCACAGGCTTTCATCACATCATGAAAGCTATCTGTTGAGATTGAGATCACTGAAGAGACATCCGTGCCAAAGTCGGGAATGTCGTTTGTTTCACTGCAGCTGGAAACAGAATTCTGTCGAGTATCCTGAGATGTGTCCTCCTTGGTAACAGAGCGAAAGTACTTTGCACTCTTTGGGCCATTCTCCAACTCATGTCGATATCCCGCTTGCACAACCTGGCCTTCATCCAGAATGTATACGAAATCCTTTTCCAGGATATGTGACATATCATGCGTGATCACGATCGTCGTCTTCCCTTTTCTCCACTCTCGGATTGCCTTCATCACCACCGTGCGGTTGTGATAATCCAGGGAACTGGTAGGCTCGTCCAGTATGAGAATCGGTGTATCTCTCAGTCTGGCCCTTGCAAGTGCAACTCTTTGTCTCTGTCCACCGCTCAAGAAGTTGCCTCCATGGCCGACGCAAGTATCGATCCCATTTGGCATATTGTCAATCGTATCCTCGAGCATCGCCAAGTCAATGCATTTCTGCACGTCTTCCTCCCGGACCTTGTCGTAGTCTCGACGACCAAAAGCAATGTTGGTGAGAATGGACTCGTTGAATAGAATGCTTTGTTGCTCAACAAGGGTGATGTTGTTCCTGATCCAGTTGATACTGAGGGTCTGGATTGGCACGTTGTCAATGAGAATTTCACCCGACATCGGTGAGTAGAATCGCGTGAGTAGATTTCCAAGAGTGCTTTTCCCAGACCCGCTCTTCCCAGTTATAAAAGTCATCTCTCCGGCGGGGAAAAAGAAGCTCGAAGTCTCCAGAACTGGTCTTTCGGGCTGAGACGAATATGAAAAAGATACCTGGATCCATTAAGTTAGGCCAGACAAAATCTAAAAGAGCTGGAGAAACTTACATTGTTCACTTCAATATCACCCTCACAATATCGGGGACAATGAATCCCTTTCATTTCACCGGCAGTCCTTCCCGTTTGGTTTATGATTTCCCCCAGAGCAGTGGCTGCCACCTTTCCCTTTCGCAATACAATAACCTCCGGGAGGACTAGTTCGATAGATTGAGCTGCTGTTAAGCAAGCCCAGAATGTCCGTAGAACAAGGCTTGCCGAAAGCTCGCCAGAGCCAGCCAGCAAACAGCCGTACCAGAAGCCTTGAACGAACATCCCAAACATCATCAATCGAACCATCGCTATTTGAAGGGAGTTCAAGCGTGCTTGTTTAAGATATTGTGTAGAAGCTCGATCAATGGTGCATGCAAAGCTTAGGAGCTCGAATGTCTGCCCATTGAGAGACTTCACGGTATCAATCGATTTTATAGCGCTGTTGGCAATCTTCGACGCATGGGCAAGCTCAGCTTGCTGTGCTTCGATGTTCGGTGTCATCCTCGGCGAAATAAACCCAACAATGGCTGAAAATATCGGAATACCCGCGAGTGTAACCAAGGACAGCTTCCAGGAGGTATAAAGGGCTAGGAGTAGCGATGCGACGGATCGGAAGGAATAATGAACGACAAGTCCCAGAGGCTGTGATGTTGCCATTTGTAAATCGTGGATTTGGCTCAGAATAAAGGTCAGTCTCGACTGTGTGCCAAGTTATAAACGGCCAACTCACGCTTGGAGGGAAGATAAAAAGGCCCCAGTGCCGTCCTGCTGCGTTTGGAACCATTGCAAGTCTCTCTTCAACAACCTTTCAAAGACTCTTCCACGAGCGTTGGCAACCTGAAGCTCACCAAACGCAACGAAGAGAGTAAAATATCCTGCATTTAGAACCCAGCCTGCAGCTCCCAGGCCTGCCAGTCCGATACAGTCTGTAGTTATACCCTTGATCAAGTCTTGGCTGGATATTTCCCCAGCACCGAATACCATGAATGAGTTGAAGATTTTTCCAAGAAGGATCGCAAAAACGAGAGTGCTCAGGCTAGCAGCGAGGGAAAAAACCAGACCTGAGACCAGTGTTGGAATGTGCTTTTTGGTGGTGAAGTTGAATAACGACATCCAGCTTGCGTTCCAGCGCAAGCTCTTACGCCCACATAAAGAGGGCATTTTCCACTTCCAGGCCATCTCAGAAGAATAAATAAATACAAGCCTTTCAGTAAAGTTGTACGTGGGGGATAGAATTTGAGATGGAAAGCATGTTTGGGGAGTTATCTAGCAGAAAGGATGAGTGCGAAGGAAGAAAAGGAGGGGCAAAACACCCAAGACAGACTGCAACCGAGTCCATTGTGTTTCTCGAGACACAAAAGCCAACGCTTACTATATGCGGTACCTAGTATTTAAGAGTCTGTCAAGTCAGACATGGTGAATGAAGTGGATGTGGTCGTTGACATTGTTCCTGGTGCCCGCATCATTGTTGTCACGCAACTTTTATTCACATTTACCCCTCCAAATTGTATGTACACATTCGATTCCAAAAAAATTCCCCCAATACAAACATCACACCAATTTATCGAGTCATATTCGTTTCATAAAGATAACACAGGGGTTGTCTCGTGGGTATATGGCCAGCTAAAGGACGACGATAGGCCCGTAAAGCAATGATATCACAGTCTATCATAAACAAAATCTGACATCGATTCGAGCCCGCTGAGCAAGCTAGAGGTGAGTTCTCTGGGTCCAAAGTAGTACCGCTTAACAATGAAACTATTCAAGAAGGACGCCCAGGTGATACTGTGGCAGTTTTCTGGCGAATCCCTGGGATCGCAGAACCCTCAAGAACATGGAATTTCCGGGATAAAGGAATTCGGAGTTTCAACCATCGTTTCTAGCCAGCCGCACCATATGGCCCAGAGAACAAAAGAGGTATGTTACCACGGTTACGAGCTTGCTTTCTGCGCCTTCTCGTAGACCCAGTCATTGAGACCAGCACGGTTCCTGAATGTGTCAGAAATCCCTGAAGTTTCTATTTCCGGCATAAAGAACTCACCTTGCGATCTCGATGGCGTAGAACTGCATGCGCATTCCTTTGTTCTCGTTAGTCGGAAATCCACCTATAACCGCGGACAAATTATAGCTCACCGAAAATCGTAGTATCCTGGTCGTACTCAAACTTGGGGTTGGATCTGATGATAGTTCCGAAGTTGAAGTCGGCAACAGTCTTCTCGTACTGGTTCATCCAGTTTCTCCATTTTTCCTTGCCGGCCTTGCTCTTCATGCTATCCTCGTTGATGGTCGCGGCGGGGTCAAAGTCGGGGAACTCCTTCATGAAGTGTTCATAGATTTGGTCGTCCATCTTGGTGAGACGAAGCTTGGATCCTGGCACCTTCTCTAGAATCGCCCAGTATGTCATCAAGTGTTCGACGGCTGCGGTGACGTGAGTAAACAAAACGAAAAACGCATTGAACAGGCTACCAACCCTTCACTGCGAACTGCTTCTCCATCTTTATAAACAATTAGTTTTCACCATCTCCAAGAGTCCGAACACCTCCCGCGCTGGGTCAACGTACATCCTCGAAGTTCTCCGCCTTCTCTGGGTCAAAGGGCTGCGACATTTTGGCGGTTTTACGGTATACCGGTTTGTGAAGATTGAAATATAAAGTCGTAGTCTTTCAAAAGAAGAGAAAGTGCTTTCGTGGTTTGAGAGCGACTTGTTGGATGTGTGATGGAGGATTCAAAACGATTGCCCCGCGGCCCTTTTTTTTTCACGGGCGGAGATTTTTGCGCCGCCCAAAAAGACCCCGCCGGACCTTGGCCGATACGTCATCCTCGATCTCCGATCTATGCAATCTATGCAGTGTCCCTGAGTTGTGATAGAATAAAACGGTGCTATGTAATAGATTACAAATGTCATCAATTGATTATATGTTGGAAGCAGCGAGTATGTTCCACGGATATACAAAAAAAAATTAACTAGAACGTTCGATCCAATGACTAATACAGAACAGGATATCTCAGGTGTCAAGAGATCATTCACTCTCACTATCAGAGTCAGGCAATTCCTCAAACCTGCCTTCATGGAGGGCCTGAGTAACAGGGTTCTCCACGTTGAGGATACCGTTGGCCTTGGCTCTATATTCGGTGTTAGCACATGCCACTGGATAGGCACCGAATCGTTTGAACATACCTTTCAAAAAGCACGAACAGTCGCTCCGCTTCTCTCTGTTTCTCTTCTTTCGTCATAGGAGGATTCGGGTCCTGTCGCTCAGAGGCCCATTTCTGACCAGTAATGGGGTTAATTTCCGGATCGAAGCCATCGGGATTAGTGGAAAATGCTTCTCCTGCGGTCTGGGGAATCTCCATTCCACGAGAGGCGAGGAATCCCGCGGCAAACCCATAGCCGATGTTCTTCGTGAGGCTTTCTGCATCTCTTTCAGAAAGCACAAACATGAGCTCGGAGATAGCGGTTTTCAACTTGGGGTATGGTGTAGTCGAAGCCTGCAGCAATTTGGAAGACAGTGTGTCGGTTTGACCAATGGGCAAGTTTCGGTTATCATCCTCTGGCAACAGAAGCCACTGCATGTATTTACGAGGGCCATCTGGGGCCTGTTCGTAGATAATGATGAGCACGTGAAGAAGGGGAATGGCTTTTTCTTCGAGTTCTTGGGGGCTATACATGGACACAGATTGGTCCAAGATGTTAATCAGCTTGTCGACATTGCAATTTTGATTGAAAGTCGGGAAGATGGGGTTGGTTTCGAAGTGATGTTTTCCTTTCTTCCCTTCAAGATCGAGAGTCGACAGACAGTTGATGAGGTTGCCAACGATTCCATCCAAGGGTTTGGAAGGAATGTCCATGCGACTGATTATCTTGAAGATGTAAGGAACTGAAGGAGAAAATGTCGAGGCCAGATCGGGAAACAGTTTTGCAATGTTGAAGACCAGCTTCATGGTGTCAATAAGCGCCAGCTCATCCATCTGAGATAATGTCTTCTTGCCCGATTTGGGGAACTGCTTGGCATGTCGAGAAATTTGCTGCAGCTGTCAGCATGGAATACCTCGTGGCATTGATAGCTGTCTTACATAGTTGATATTATCACCAAGAGAGTTCTCGTTTATAAGCTTCTCGAAATCCATAGTGGTATCATATGTAGAAAGAAATAGGATTCGACTGAGTATCATTTCATCATCTGAGGTGTCACACTGAAGTCCAATTGTCAGTCACAAAGGCCAATACCAAGAGAGAAAAGTGCCCATACCTTGAGTTTCTGCGCAAGCTGCCCACCATAGCCTGTGTCGACAAAGATTTGGCGCATTTTGGGGTCTAGTAGGAGAGCATTGGCGATACAGCGCAACGCAGCACGGCGTACGTCCGCAGTTTCTCCATCGACACCATACTTTCCGAGAATATCCATGCCCTGCAGAATTAGTCAGAAAGCTAGCATTCATATGCATCCATTTTCTTTATAATTCACTGACATGCTTTGAGTAAATGGGACCAGCGTTATCTGGGCTTGTGCCGTGCTGTCGCAACTGTAAAAGTGTCTGTGTCTTTTCTGTATGGAACAGAAGTCAGATATAAGTAGATTCAAATAGGCATCTTTAGCCCAGCTTACGCGACGATGTAAGTGACTTTTCTTTCAAGTCCTTCTCAAGTGACTCCAGTAGTCGGGTAACGTCTTGCAGCTTGGCTGTGGAGATCTGTTAATTCCATCCATTTACCGGAGAAAAGAAACGCACCTGCGCCATGGAGCATTTTAAAGTCCATCTTGTTTCGAAGGAATATATTCGTAGTAAAATGTAGTTCTGCTGAGAGTATAAATGGCAACAGTAATTTGCTATCCCCTACTAGCCCGCGCTGTCGAATCCTGTGTCGAGTTCTAGGTTCACACGATCAGGCCACTGTAATATGTCCAAACTTGAAAGACAGACGATATTGATTAATATAGTCAAAAGAAATAAATGTTAGAATAAATAGAGCTTCCAGGGTCTGGGAGTGAAACTGTGGAGGTGAAGATTCGCGGGGAGACACAGTGTGACGATGATTGCCATGGGAGCTAGCAATAATAGCCCCACTCAAGCTCGATGCCAAACAGTCCAGCTGCTGCTTTTGTAGGTAAGCATATGGAGTAAATGGTTCTCTAGCTAATGTAGAGAGACATTGGTTTTTTGCTTGTTATTTGTCTTCGGTTAAAATTCTCAGACAAGTCCAATGGTTCTCTTTTCATGCCTTAATGCCTTGCTGCCTCGGTACCTTAATTCCCAGGCCTACTGCGCCACACTTTACGCGTGCTTCAGCCACAGTCGCGATCAGAGAAATCGAGGCGCGTCTTTTTGAATTGCCAGGCTTGGCGCGGTGTGTTCTCCCCAGAAAGATGAGCGGCTTCTAAAGGGCACTTCATTTGCTTCCTCCAGCTTACTGCCGACGGATTCGACCTGGGATATGGATGGTGCGGTTTGATTTCTTTTTGGGGTTATCATCGAGATGTGTTTTGTCTTTCTCTCCTTTTAATTTACAGTCATCTTGCCGTCGTTCAATCTCTTAAAGAAATATGGTGGAGGCTCTCGGCCCTCTCTCTGCTCGTCCACCTACTCCACCTAGGACGACACCTCGAATGCTTCCTAATGAAGCCAAAGATCGATTAGAAGGTTCTCCGGCAGTCTTACAGACTCCTGGCGATTCTCCTTATGGGTCCGCCGGCGTTCCCTCCAGTCGACATTCGAAGCGGGTAAATTTCTCGCCATGGACAAAATACATCAAACCTCCGACGTTCACCAATTCCACATTGAAATCGCAAGCGGATCTCAAAGCATTGCCTCCTTCGAACGAATGTAAGCCGTCCAAATCGATCCTGAAAGCGACGCACGCACACGCTCCCGTTAGCTCGCCAAACGATGCTCCTTTTACCTCCGAATCATTCGCCATGCTGCTAGAGTCCATAACCAAACAGCTAGCTGGGGGGTCTACTAGCGAAAGACTTGATGCCTATATGCATTTCTTCAGCGCCCTGAGAGCATATGATGATCTTCCTAGTGACCGAGAGATATCGGGAAAGTTGGGCCTGGTGACACAGTTCATCCAGAGGGATGTTACCAGGGATCTTCAGAATGGTGGGCCATTGGATACAAATCTTGTCATTCAGGCCCTAAAACTTTCAGCGGCTTTGGTATGGCATCCTGAAATCTCCAAGCAGCTGTCGGATGATTTCAAAGTCTTTCTCGTGGATCATTCTATGAGTTGTCTTCAAGATGCCAAAGTGTCCAAGTCCGTTGTGACGAACTGCATGCCCATTTTGTCAACCCACAATTTTCCCGCGAAGATCATGACTACTGCGCGATTGACACGTCTCCTTACAGCACTCAATGAAGTCACCAGTCGAGTAAGCGGAAGCGCTATCGTCACGCAGCGCCTAAGCATCTATCATCGCATCCTTACTCAATCCAAGTCGACATTTGTCTCTCACTCATCACAATGGATGGATCACCTTGTCTCTGGACTGCTACACCCCTTGAAAGATACTAGAGTGAAAGCTATTGCTCTTGGGTTTCACATTTCTATGGTATTCGGACCGAACCCCGCCTTATCAAAGAGTATTCGCGATTGTTTCGATCGGCCTCTTGAAAACAACAGAAAGATGGTAGCCGAGATATGCGAGCGCATGTCAAGGATGATGGCATCTCAAGATAGTGGTGTACATGTTCCACAGATTTGGAGTGTCATTATTTTGCTTCTCAGGAGCAAAAGGTCAAACGTCGATCAATGGGAGCATTTCAAAGAATTGGTTCTTGTACTCCAGAAGTGTTTCAACTGCAGTGAGCCAGCAATCAAGGCACAAGCTATGACAAGTTGGAACCGGTTCGTTTATGTTGTCAGTCCGAACGAAGCAACCAGTCCATCGATTATCAAAATGCTGAGCCGGCCGATTCTATCTCAATTCGAACGCAAAAAGCAGGACAAGCAAATGGCACAACTCTCTCAGGTTGCTTTATCCAGCTATTATAACCTTGTATATTACGCCTTTCGCCCATCCACATCCCACCAACACCTTGACTTCGTCTGGGAGGAATACATTGCTTCCCCTTCTGCCGGCGTGTTCTCCTCGGCCCCTATGTTGAACGACAGATTTTCTCTGGTCTTGTCTAATATGTTGTGGAGCCCTCAAGCAAAAGTTTGGTTTGAAAACAAGGCAAATGACAACAATAAGTTGGACCCTGAAGAGCTACCTTCTCTTGATTGCAAATGGATAAGGTCCCGGATTACGTCAATTCTGAAAGTCTTCGAGAACATTTTCAAATCGTCTGTTTGGGCGGACGGTGTCGTTGCGATTGAGAAGTCAAACATTGCCACTGCTTGGACCAGTCTTTCCCGGGCACTGTCTTACGCTTCTAGCAAAGAAATCACCCCGTCAGCGGAATCGATGCATGCTGTTGCCAGTGTGCTCGGACTACTCCAGCGACTCTGGAACGCTGGGCCTTCCTCACTCAATGCCACAGACACATCTTTCGAGAAGTTCTTTGAGAGATTCCGCTTCTTATCTACAACAATGATATTTTCTCTTGGCAGTATTCCATTTACTGAGAAACTGCTCTTGAAGACGGACGAAACATTCCAGGCTGCCAATACACCTACACATCGTCATTCTCGCGGAAATTCCAACCCAGACAGTCCTATTTTGCATTTCCTTCGAATCATCAGTGACGTGTCTGGCATTTCAGAACCAACCCCATCATATATGCGCTTAATCAATGGCACACTCGAAGCTGCTTGTAACGGCAAAACCTCCAGAGGCTCGCGTTTGGAAATTATTCGACAATGTGCTGACCTACACCCAAACGAGGCCGAATTCCACTTTGGAGTCCATAGCTATGCCCAAATCGTCTGGAAATCAACAGCACAATTGGCTGCGGATTGCTTGCGCTCATTTCCTATTGAATCTGCCCGTGAGCGTGATGGGTCTGTTTTACGCGATTATGAAAACATTGTCAAGATTCTTTCAGCAGGCTTGAAATTCTCTGATGTATCTCAGGTTTGGAATCAGCTTTTGGATTCATTTGTGCGAGTTGTCAGAACCGAAAAGGGTGATCGAGCAATCGCAACTGTTGCCATGGAACCACTCGCTGAGTGCGTGATGCGGCTTCGTGTTCGTGATGCCTACCTACCGTCAACTTCACTTCTCAGCAACTCTTTGTCCATTCCTTACTGCCAACAAGAAGCATCCAATCCGAAAGAAACTGGTTCCCACTCAGCTGGAAATGAGCAGCTGCTCTTCCCCCACAAGTTGGTGGAATTGGTGGAAAGGACGCTTCAAGAGTCTTATGGAGGGTTCAATGCTTCGGAAACCAGCGGTATTGCCGACTTTATTGAATCCTTGACATCTTTCCTGGGATCTGGTATCCTTACTTTCCGCTCCTCTATTCTCGAAACTCTCCAGCAGCCCCTTGCTTTGTGGATTCGGGATGAAGTCCGCCAACTTAATGTTGAGAGTGGCGTTGAGAGTCGGATTCTGACTGCAGTAAGTGCATAAAGTAAGGAGCTCCATTCAATGCATTCTAACCCGTTGCAGATTCGTGCACTTTCTTCGGCTGTCTTGAATATTCTACAGGCGTCTACACCTCACGACGCCGTTTGCTTGCAGAAGTTTGAAACAATTATTTGCGCTGGGTTGGATTCATCCCACATGTCAATAGCCAAGAGGTTTGTTGAAATGTGGCGTTCTTCATTTGGCTTGCAAGAATCACTGGCCTGCCCCATGTCCATATCGCGTGCGCTAGTGAAGCTGGAGCTCTACATGAAAAATCAGCCTCCACCCGACTCCCAGGTACGTGTTTCGTTATTTTGTCTTAGTTCCATTCTTATAATTTCTACAGGCCCAGGACAGTTCAGCCTCGCAAGACAAGGAAAGCTCGACTGAAGCATTGCCAAAGTCTCGCAAGGGGTTTGTTTTGGGTGAAACCCCAAACTCTACCGGCTTCACTTCGTCTCCCGTCACACAAGTGATTGTAAATACCGAGTTATCACCCGAGCAGGTAATTGAGCGTCGGCCGCTACGATCTGGGGGCAGTTCCGACCAGCTTGCAGGTGACGAGCTATCTTTGTCGTTACCAACTGGCTCCAAAGCTCATCGCCAGCGCAACGAGGTGTTTTCGATGATCGAAAGCCTGAGATCGTCGTCTCCTCCGGTGAACACGCCGAGAGAACTTGGGTTCATGACGCCTCCCCATATGCGCAACCTACGGAATGCAGAGACCGAGAACGAAACACCCCTGACACCAACCTTGCCAGCTCCTGCAGAAAATGAGGATGGCTTTCTTGGCTCATCTCCTACGCCTGGTACAAGAGGTCGGGCACAGGCTTCGGAATCTGGATCAGAGTTATCTTCGCTATCTGATCAAAACTTGGACGTCGACATGATCAAGGAACCCCCGTCGTCTCCCCCTGAACTCAAGTCGCACAATTCCTCACCTACTGGAAACAAGGACGCCAAGAATACGAATAAGAAAGAAACTCCGAATCGCTCTCGGTCAAAATCTCGAAAAGAGAATCGGAACGATGAAACTCCCGTGGAGACAAACAAACCTACAACCAGACGTCTTCGTTCTTCTGCAAGCAAGAACCCATCTAGCGGGAAATCCGAAACCAACCCGTCTCCAGAAAAGGCCTCCCGTGAAAAGAGTGATACTCAGGGGTCCAAGGCTGGCTCAAAAGGAGCGGCTGCCACGCCCAAATCCGCCGGCAAGAACAAAGGCCGATCTAGGAAGAACGAAAAGAAAAACGAACCAGAACCAGAAGCATCTGATGGGTCTACCGATGACATGGAAACGCAAATTGCGTCTCAGCTAGAACAAGACATGGGACTAGCTACGGATGCGGTTGAAGATTCCAAAGCCGAGCAACTTGAGGAGCTTCCCAACAGTTTCCCAATGACCAAGAAACGGAAACGTGAAGTTGAGACACAGACACCCCGAAAGAAAGAGAGGCGACGATCATCGAGAATATCTTCTGTCAAAGAACCCGACGCAGATGACACCCAAGAACCCAGGAGTACGCGAGCTACAAGATCGTTCAATGACTTACCTACGGCCAACCCCTCACCTGCTGTATCGTCATCCAAGAAGCGCAAGGGGCAGGCCAAGGTCGATACGGAAGAGTCTACCGGACCCAACTCTATTGAGCAAGATCAAGGTATCGGCAGTAAAGACAAGAGCTCGAGGTCTCGGAGTCGCTCAGCTCGAAAACGGAGAAGGTCAGGTCGTCTGGAAGGGGTTGCAGCACCACCCATCCCCGAAGAGAGTCCTAGTCAGAAGAAGTCCCCGCGACTCTCTTCTCGCAAATCGGACAGGCGCCATGGCGAAACCAAGGCATCCAAACAAGAGTTGCCAAAAGAGCAACCTGTGGCTGACGAAACCATGGTCTTAGACCAGGAGAAAGAGCATCAGGAGCCTTCGACTGAACCTAATGACGACGTCCATGTCCAAGAATCCGCAGAGTCTCACGATCCTGTGAACGAAATACCCGAGATCTTGGTTGATAACCAAATGAACAAACCCGAGCCACAGAATGAGCCGGTTGTTGAAGATGATATTACCATGAAAGATGCAGAGGCAGTTGACGATCAATCACGTCACGAGGCAACGGAACATATCTCGCAAGGTCAAATCGAAGAAGCAGACAGCAACGAATCCGGAATTCTGAGCTCTCTTCGAAAAGTCCTGGACGATGCCAAGTCAGCCAAACTGGACCGAGGCACCGTCAAGGAGATTGATGAGCTGCTGTTTGATATTCGGGTGGAAGCGCTTGAGGCATTGAAGAGACATACGGAATAGAGAGTAATTCTGCATAGCGAAGGCGTTGAGTTGAGCACATATTGATTGAAACTTCATTTCTTATCTTGTCGGCCTTCTCGGCTGTCATCATTTTTCTTTTGCTTTCTTGGATTGTCACTTTATTTTCTTATTCTGTGTTTCTTCATCTGGAGATTTTTCGACATGGCGTGGGCAGTTTCTTGTTTTGAACGTGTATAACCAAACTATACTATTGAAAGGGAGGAATTGGCATTTGGTTTTCTGGTCAATGCTTGTGGATATGCATAAAAAGTCGGTTTTATAGAATATAAGGGACTCTTGAATAGGCTACATACAGTGTAGGGTTCTCACTTTAAATACAGCCCACGCTTGATTCTAAATGAGCCAATCTATGAATGAAAAGATTAACCACTTGGAAAGCGAACCGCGGGTTCATATTCCGGTGTCTATGGAAACACAGTTTGGTGTCATGATGATGCCGAATGACGCATGATCCATACCTGTGGTATATATGGTGCAAAAGCCCTATCACCTCAATATACATATATACATACATCTGTCTAATAACCATACACATCTAATACATACACAACCAAATAGAAATCAACCAAAATGGCCACCCCAGGATCCCAATACGTCCTCCAAGCCGGCCTCGCCTCGGGCATGTCAGCAACAGAAGGCATCCACTCGCCTCACCCCAAACCCGTCGACCCCAAAACCAGCGAGGAGCACTACATTCTCCCCGACAGCGTGATGCCCGACACCCAGGCGCGCGTGACACTACGCGGGAAGCACCAAGACGTCCAAGTGCCCTACCTCTGCGTGGGCGCGTGGTCGTGGGGCGACAAAGCCAACTGGGGGTATAACGCAGAGACAGACCTACCGCGGATTAAAGAAGCGTGGGAGAAGCTACGCGAGGCGGGGATGACGTTCGTCGACACGGCGCAGGTATACGGGGACGGGGAGAGCGAGCGAATTTGCGGGCGTCTGTTTGAGGGAATGAAGCGGGAGACGTTTGCGGTGCAGACGAAGTGGTTGAGTTGGCCGGACATGACGAATTTGGTGATGCAGAGTCATGGGCCGATGGTGAGGTTGAAGTCGTCGTTGAAGAATTTGGGGCTTGATTACGTCGATGTGTATCTTGTTAGTGGGCCGATTCATCCGAGTCTGATATCGACTGTTGCGAAGGGGATGGCGGATTGTGTGCATGCGGGGATGGCGAAGACGGTGGGCGTCGCGAACTACGATAAAGAGGAGATGATCAAGATGGCGGATGAGCTCGCCGGACACGGTGTTCCGCTGGCTGTGAATCAGTGCGAGTATTCTATCATTCGAAGGTCGCCCGAGGTGACGGGGTTGATTCGAACGTGTCGGAATCGCAATATCGTGTTTCAGGGCTTTGCGTCGCTGGGAGAAGGCAGACTGACGGGTAAATATACACGGTTCAACCAGCCCCCGCGCACATATCGCTACAGCAGCTATCCAATGCACATGCTCGAGCCAACACTAGACGTGGTGAAAAAGATCGCCGACGAAAGAGGAGTCCCCATGGCCGCTGTGGCGTTGAATTTCTGCATTAATAAGGGCGTAGTCCCGTTGGCTGGAATCCGCGACGGAAAGCAGGCTGAGCAGAATATGCAGGCGCTGGGATGGCGGCTAAGCAAGGATGAGATGCTGCGACTAGAGACTGTCAGTATCGAAGGGGCGACGACAATTTTCTGGCAGCATGGATAGAATGAAGATAGATGATTAATTGTATTACGTTGAATAAAGAGGTTTTTGATCGCAAAGTGGTCGAACTCCACCGTGTGGACCTGCGGGACCAGCCGTTCCCCATAAAACGACAAGAAGCAAAGCCAAAAAGAACCCCAGATATCAAAGAGATAGAACTGTTTAAAGATGGGATAAAAAAACACGCGGAAAAAACGATAAAAGATGGTTGAGCAAAAAAGAAAAAAGAAACGTGCACTAACCGTGATTCGAACACGGGCCTCGATCTGGTCTCATCAAGTGATGGGAGGATCGAATCGTAACCACTAGACCATTAGTGCTGTGCTTACAATAAGGGGGCGATCAGAGGTTGTTAACCCCTCTTTCTCAGCGTAATTATGATAGATTTGGAGCATTTTCTAGCCAAATCAAGCATTTAAAAGTCTTTATTTAATATCTATCTTCATCTAATAATCAAACTAGTCGCAGACCATCTATACAAGTTTGTATCCAGTACAAATCCAATTCCAACGCCTCCAGGGTATAGCACAGCAACACAGGGTATACAAAACAGGGTATGTAACAAATCCAACATAAACAAAAACAACCATATCCCTCTTCCATACGCCGGTGTATATGGTATGGCCATCGAACAAAGAAAACACATTCAAGGACTAATCTTTCGTGAAGACGTAGCATGTCGATCATCGTAAAGCCCCGCACTCGACTGCGATCCTCTCGCGTGATCCATATAAAGACCGTCATCTTTCAACGTTTGTCCCTCGAGATCGACGACTGAATCAGAAATCGTATCAGCCTTCCCCCGGGACTGGTGTCCGCTCTTACTCAAGACTCCAAGCTGTACAGCATCCCCGTATTGACCATCGGTAAAATCAGCCGAGGCCTTGTTAATCGCCTCTTCACTCGTCCGTTGCGGTACACCGCTCTTTTGGCTGAATCTAAACTTATTAATGACCTTTCGCGATCCGGGTCCACTGAAATGCAGAGCGTGGAGAGATGACGCTCGTGATCGAGACCCGTATGTGGTAGTCGCCGCGCCTGATTTTCCTTGTTCGCCATACCGACGTCGTTGTTTGCTGTTGTATTGGAATGCCTTGAGGCCGAAGACCTTGCGGAGAAGTGGCCAGAGACACATAAGGTTCGCCACGTACATGGCCGTGCTGGCCTCGCGGATGTACCAGATTTGGTAGATGGTTGTCAAGGGGGAGGCGAAGTTGAAGTATTTGTTGAGGATTGCGGCGATGACGGTGAAAATACCCAGACTCATGATGCAGACTAGCAGGACCTTCTTTCTCCTTTTCATCTGCGCCTTGATGAGTAGCGGGACTGGGACAGCTAGCATTGCGGCATCCGAGGAGATGTTGAAGACCGCCTGTGTGATGGAGTAGTGCTGGTAGGTAGCACATTGCATGTTGGACACCGGCATAGCCCAGTACTGAGAGAACGGTCGACAGTAGACGGCAAAGTAGGTAACCTGAATAACAACAAATCCAAGCGCCACATAGCCAACAATAATCTTAACGAAAAGGTGAAGTTTGAGGTTCTTTGTTAGCCTCCAAAACTGAGCGAGCATGCATGTTTTGACTCCCCAGGTCGAGAGCAGCATGCACTGTTCCAGTCCGATGACGATCTTACTGCCGAAGATTCTATCCTTGACTTCTTGGGGGTCCGAGAGGACGGACTCGTAGTCTGCTGGGTCCATGAGGTTGGTGGCATATTGGGCGGAAACTTGGATGAGGACCATTAGACCCGTATAAAACAACTGGGACTGCGTTAGCACATCCATATATTGTAAATAATGATATAGAGCTCACAAAAGTGACAGTCATCACATAATCGTCAACTGTAACCAAAGTAAGTAGATGGTTCAACAGATGCGGGATTGACTGCGACATACAGAATAGCCGTTTGAATGATCCATTGCCAATGACTCGTGATACCCTTGTTTCATCAGAACACAATCCATCTTCAGTCCAGGGAGATATACATACATCCTCCCAACATACAAAATCACACCAATACTCCAGAAGACACAAGCCTCCACTAATAGCTGATGTGGGGTAGGCGACACGTTCCCCATCTTGAACAAGAGCGCCCCCGAGGCGGGAACAAAAGATGCAGGACCAAGTCAGAGAGCGATGCAATGCAGTTGATCAGAGCCGTCGAGCGGAACTGGGGGATCTGGCACGGTTAATATGCAGAATGACCTGGGTGATAATAATTAATAATATATTAATTCCTTTGACCGGGGCCAACCAGCAATTTGGAAGAAGTATCCATATAATCTACCAATGGGGGCAGGGCATCATGATATTCAGCACTAGGTGGGAGAATAAGACATACATGATCATCATCCACCAGGAACAAATTACCCAGACTTGCCAGTGAGAACTCGTCCTTGGTAAAGCAAAGTGTCAATCTGAACGGGCGGGGGCCGAAGAAGCAAGGAATGGGGGCTGCGCAAGGGAGACTGCGACAATTAAAGCATGTGCCGGTGCTTGCTAGCTTTGGAAGTCATCATTACGAGGCATATTTCTCCTGCAAAAATAGCAGGGTAGCCTTTTTCCAGGGTTTCTAATCTGTTGCAACTCGAGGCGCGGAGAATCTGACCTCTTCGTGACACCGCATTTTGAAGGAACACTTCAGCCTGTGAGAATGGGCGAGCCCAGAAATGCCAGAAGAAAAAAGCCAAAAGAGGCGACGAAAAAAGCAAAATCCAACGCAGTTGGGCTCTGATTGAGTAATGATTCAAGGTCGATAGGCTTTCCCAAGCGACTAATCCCACGAGTTGCGTTCGAAATTCACGAGGATCTGAGCCCCAGCTAATAGGATGACGCAGAAATGCGTCCTTGTACAACACAAATAGCTTGGGTTGAGGGTCACAGGCCATGTCGATCTCTTGTCACGGTGCATGAAACCGATTATCACAGCCATAGTGCCCACTCCGCGGAGTCCTCCACAAGGTCCATTATTTTCTTGGGATCGTTTCAATTGCCCTCTTTGTTTTTTCCTTGGGTGAATTTCTATTGCGTTGCCTGTAAAAAGCATGAATACCTCGCGTAAGTCCAGGGGTGAATGATGGCAATCATTGATAAGATCTGCGTATCTAATTAGAAGCTTAAAGGCGCTCCAGCCGCAATTAAACGGCATCCAGGGAGAAATTGCCTGGTTTCAAAGCCAGGAATTTCTTTTGCTATCTCTCATCCCCAGATAGAGAATTGAACAGAACAGTCGCCACGACCCGATCCGTCGGTATCGATTTTCGGATTTCGCCATCCTGCGAGGCATTCCTATGGAGTCCTGGACAGCACCTTATCTGTACCGAAGGAACGATCGACTGGGGTTTGTCGCTAAGCGGCGGTGACCGTCTGGCACCAACACGCCTAAATAAACCTGATCCAGTTGATCATTGCCTGACAGAGAGGGATCCATACCTGATGAAGAATCGATCGTTCACCGAACTCCATTTATCTGATTAAGCGTGCGATATTATGGCTGTGCGCGAAGACAGGGATCATCGCTTGTGGGATTTCTATCCCTACACTTATTCCATCGTTCATAATTAGCAGAAGGGCTTCTTAGAACAGTTGGACCTCGCAACTGATTCAGAATGGCATGATCGGGCCAGCATTCGGCTGTGTTGAAAGGAAGCCCTATGTTGACAAATATAAGAGCTTTGCCTCCATCTCCAAACAGCGATTTTGAGTAACATGGGGGCTATTATAATTTGTATTTCGCTTGGTGGTTGATCAATGCCAGACTGAGAGATCGTCTTCAATTTCATAATGTAGTGGAAAGTCTTCCGCCACAGTTCGCATGTCTCCGTCATTCATCGCAGTGTCACTGTCTCGAATACTATATCAAGCGACCATTCGAACTTTTTTTCCACAAGCTTTCTCAATCTCGAACAGATTACCCAAAGCCCGACCGACTTGGAAATATTAAACGGGGCATACAAAACGAGTCAGAGGTCGGATTCCCACCGAAAGGCAAATTGTTCCTCCCAGAGAGAGATTATTCTTTGTTGATGGTGAATAGTCGAGTGCGAGATGTGGTGATATAGTCCAGGGATTAAAGGATGGATTGTTTGAGGTCCTGAGACAAACATTCATTCGAATTGGTTAGCACCATGCAATCATCTATGGTCTAGAACTCGACGCATGGACGAGTATCACCTTGGGATAAGAATTGGAATCCATCATAACAGCCAGTGATTCTATTGTTCTTGTACCAGCTTTGTTCTTCCTGTCCAGCGTTGTGGAAGATGCCAACGAATATGCCATACACTCTATACCTTTGTATAGTCCACTTATACTCCAAAACCAATCCCATCTAGCACATTATCCCAGACATTTTCAGTTCATTGTGAGATATCGTTGGACGCGCTGAGGTTGGATGATGGCCGTGACGAGGATGAGGGCCGTAGGAGAGAATTGGCACTGCGCCGCTTGAGGAAAGAGTTAGATTTACGCGATTGAAGAGCCGAAAATACTGAAACAGGATAGAGATAACGAGATGATGAAGATGAAAGATGATGGACTCTGGTTAGGCCGAAAGTCGTTGGTGGATGAAGTTGAATAATTCTACGAGTTGAAGAAAACATAAAACATGTTTGCATTCAAGACAAACTGTGCTTTTTGGTCTCAAGTGCAGTACATTGAAGCTGTTCCATTTTGTATACAAATTGTATGGGAAGATGAACAGATGGAATTGTAGAGAGCATGTGGGGCGGACTAACAGAAGCTTGACAGGGATTCCATCCAAGAAGCATGGATAGAGCAATGATCATCTCGACGGACAGAAGGCAGTGCACAGTGGAGACTGAATGGAGATTGAGATGGGAATTCCAGTGTTCGAGTCAGTTGGACTCGGTCGACAGAGGAAAACGCCAGACGCAAGGCTGAATCGGATATATTGACATTTCGAGGCACCACCGATCAGAATAGCATCAACACAAACTAGTACTATCTATGTTAGCAATGGAACATTATTCTCTGTGGAAACAACCAAGGAACAGACCCCAACTGCAAGTCGCATTAGGTTAATCCTGCACGATGCCGCTTGGGGAAAAGCAACGATGCGATAGTAAAATTGACTGCAAGAAATGACAAATGGCGGGTTTCAGCTGTTGAGTGCCCCTATTGTCTGTGTTACTTGAATCTCCCCAGGCATTCAACTGCTTCTCCAATGCACGTGGCAACGTGGCGCCCATATGGTCTGGTTTGATCCTTGCATTACTTCTGGAATGTGAGGAGAAATGAAAAAAAAAATATCCGACTGCTTTTCCATCAACCTCATATTCTTTCGTTAGTCTGTTCAGGGAATTGTCCTCATCCAGATCGGCCATGCTCAGCACAGCAACTTGTCGATCCCTCTAAATCTACTCTCGAGGGTTCCCAATTTTCACTGCACATCTCCTTATCCCCCACAACTCACAATCTCCCAAAGGGAAAAAAATCCTTCGTGTGATGAAAAATGTCGTCCAAGGATACCAGCACCGTTCAGATCGATGAAGCCCGTCTAGAGGCTGCGTTGGGCCACAAACAGCAACTCGTGCGACGTTTCGATCTTTTCAGCTTGACCAGTCTGGGTATTGTCATCGCCAAGTGAGTGAATCTTTTTTCTTTTTCGTCGCCTCTTGACTGACCGGAAATGCAGTTCTTGGGCTTCAACCGGAGGCACCATCGTGACAGCTCTTGAAAATGGAGGACCAATGGCCGTGCTGTATGGCCTCATCCTGGTCAGCGTCTTCTATACGTTAATATCGGCCTCACTGTCGGAACTCGCATCGTCAATGCCATCAGCAGGTGGTGTATACCACTGGTCGTCTGTCTTAAGCAGGAAACACGGACGCGTGGTTGGATTCTTCACCGGATACTTGAACGCCTGCGCATGGCTTCTCTCCTGCTCGTCTATCAGCTCTATTCTCGGTAACGAAGTCGTCGCCATGCACATACTCCGCGTTCCTACTGTGCAGTTCCACCCATGGCAGGTTTTCATCGCCTTCCAGCTCGTCAACTGGATCTGTTGCGCTATCGTCTGTTTTGGGAATCGCTTTATCCCCGTGATCAATCGCATTGCATTGATTCTTTCACTGTGTGGACTTCTTATCACTGTGATTGTCCTCGCTGCCATGCCCAAAAGACATGCGAGCAATGCCGATGTCTGGACCACATTCGATAATGAGACAGGTGGATGGTCTGATGGAATTTGCTTCATGACAGGACTACTCAATGCAGCCTTTGCGGTCGGAGTCCCTGACTGTATCAGCCATCTATCAGAAGAAGGTCCGTATTATCTCCTGCCTGAATCCATATGATGCTAACCTCCGATATAGTTCCCCAACCAGAGAAGAAGGTTCCGCAGGGAATTATGCTCCAAATGCTGACGGCATTTTCTTGCGCATTCATCTACCTCATCGCTCTATTCTACGCTATTGATGACCTCGACGCTGTGTTTAACAGCAGCATCTCCTCGTTCCCCACCGCAGAGATCTACCGACAAGCCACAGGATCCAACGCAGGTGCCGTTGGAATGATCGCCGTTCTGTTCTTAGCCACTTTCCCGACCCTAATCGGCACCTTTGTCACAGGAGGCCGCATGTGGTGGAGTCTTGCCCGAGACAATGCGACCCCCTTCCCTTCATATTTCGCTCATGTCGATCTAAAGTTCAACTCTCCCATCCGAGCGACCGTGGCCATGAGTGGAATGGTGACCTGTCTGGGATGTGTCTACCTTGGAAGCACCACCGCCTTCCAAGCCCTCATCTCATCCTACATCGTTCTCAGCACACTCTCCTACCTAGGTGCCATCCTTCCCCATGTCCTAACCGGGCGGAAGAATATCGTCCCCGGTCCATTCTACATGGGCAAGGCTCTGGGAATGGCAGTTAATGTCATCGCTGTCATATATATTGTGGTGACTGTTGTGTTCTTCTGCTTCCCTCTGGTTATGCCAGTTACAGCACAGAACATGAACTACACAAGTGTGATTACCGTGGGCTTGATGACTCTCGTGGCGCTGTGGTGGCTCTTCCGCGGCAACCGAGACTATAAGGGTCCTGAATACAGGTTCGAAGCTGCTCAGGAGCTGGCCGCCTTGCAGGATGAGAAGGAGGGTGTCACTGCAAGGACTGGTGATGGAAGTGTGTAACCTTAAAGGGACATGCTTTGTCTGATGAGCCATGAGTTTTGCTAGAATTAATTATTTCTTTTTCTATCTATGGTCTGTTGTTTATATATATAGGAATATGGGTGGATTTAATCTTTGGCGAGGTGTTGGAGTTTGTAGATATTGAATCTCAAAGACATATTCATATTTCTACTTCAGCGTTGACACCCACTAATTAAAATAAAAAGTATAAGTGCAGAAGCGCCATACTGCCTTGGGACTAGGCTGAAGGTATGTTAAGGATTCACAGCCTCACCTCGTATCATCACCACTACTACTATCATGACTTTCCCTGCATTTTCATCTTCTGCTCAATCGAGACTCTCCTACCTCCCTCAAGATTGCTGGATATGCATTCTTGAATATCTCTCATTTGACGACTTATTATCCGTATCAAAAACATGCAAGGCTCTCCACGCTTCAAGCGAGCCCTTTCTCTGCCGCAAAATAAGCTGGGACTGGGTAACACCACCCCTGAGACGTATTCTGCAGTTCTTTAGGACCATATCGAATCGACCAGATTTAGCGGCATCTGTGCAATATGTTAGCTTGCTCTCATCAAACTACCCGTGGTCAGATAAGGAAAGTCGCGTGTCATCAGCAGAGTGTTTTAGGGATTGGCATGGACCTTGGATAGCTCCTCAGCATACCGTTTCTTGGAATGAAGAACGACCGCTATTCGAAGATGTGGTTCAGAAGGGAGTTGATATCATCCATCAAGGGCAGTTCCCAGATGCGAATGAGTGGCTTCAGGCTTTGAACGATGGGAATGTTTATGTATTCGCTACTATCCTTTTATCGCAACTTCCCAACGTCAAGACGCTCTATTTGGATTATTCCTTTGTTTGGATGGGTGGATATCCGGGCAGGATGCTCAAGCACTCTCTTCTATCGAGAAACAAAGTATTGTCTACGTTTGATCATCTCCAACGAGCTGAATATGGCGGAAATACACCTCCAGCTGAGCTGTGGGACAACAATATGTTGCCGCTAGATCTTGATGGGTTCCCTTCCGTTTACAACCAGGATCAGTTCATCGGGTGGTTTTGTCTCCCGTCCCTCCAGCATCTGGGTATCTGGCTGCGTGATACCGTCGATCTCAGAACAAACGAAAAGCTACAGTGTGATCCTGCGAACCTGACCTCGCTAGTATTAGCTCGGTCGACAATTCCAGAAGAAGATGTGTTATTCATCTTACAGCGCACGCCGAACCTGACAAAGCTGCACCTAGGACTAGCATACCCACGGCTCGAGGCACAGGTGTTGGAAAAGGGCCAGTTTCTCCTTCAAGCCTTAAAGCCCTTTTATCACACAATGGAGGCACTCTCTCTTAGCCTCGAATACTATCCCGGTGGCTGGGGAGAACTACACCAAGACGACGAACTCATGGAATCATGGCAGCCCTTCAACGGCTTCCTAAAATCATTCACCAAACTCCAAATCGCTGAAATACCAATCCATGTCCTCCTAGGCTTCATTGACGACGAAACATACGACAGAAAACTAAGTGACGTCTTACCATCTTCACTCCAAGAGCTTGTCATAAGAGCCGCCCCAAGTCCCCTCGGCGAGAACCCCTGGCAAGACACAATGATATACAGCCATGTAGAATCGTTCGTGGATATTTGGGACGTCGCAACGCCCCTTTTGCAGCGGATTACGCTTCGCTTGTGGAATGGGCATTATGAGCGGATGTGGGATGAGGATGAGAAGGCGTTATATGAGGCTTGTGAAGAGAATGATATACGTATGAATGTTGTGGGTGATGATCATTGTTCTGCGTTGTGGGCTAAAAGAATATATCTAGAGGATGAAGTAGATGAGGCCACGGCTAGGGATATACTGGACACTTGCTGTTGTGGCTCTTTTCATAGGGATAAATAAGTGGTTTGCGGATGTCATGGTGGAATAGCTACATGTCAGCGGTAGAATACCGCTATTCTCTAATGAGAAACCTTTCGCAAATTATCTTCCTATTACTACCAAACGATCAATAGCTATACTAACTCCATTGCTTTCTACTTCAGTCCTTTCATCAATCCAATCACCTCAATCTACCCGCATCAATATCAATACCAAGCCCCACATTACATAGCGCAAACATTCAAACCGGGTCTCCCTTAGTCGTAATGCATTCATTCATTGGATGCCAACCTTGGGCAGGTTCATCCACAGAAATCGGAATGTGATTGCTTTGGAGACCTCGATAAGAGTCGATCATATGGCGCAAACCCGGCGTCATGGGAATCCGGGTGTTTCTCGTCCATTCGAGGTAGCGGTCCATCACGAGAACATAGGAGAAACCAGACGTCGCAAATCGACGGACCAAAGAAGCCAAAGGCTGAACATCAAGGAGCTCTATGGATCGAGCGTATATCCAACGTAGCTCGCTCTTGAGCAGATCCCGATTTTTGCCCGCAACCGTCTCAGTCTCCTCCCCTTGAAGAACCCCCCGAGCCTCCTTTCCTATGTCAAGGGACAAACAAACGCCAATGCCGGCAAGTTCAACCGCATCGTACGCAGCCGAAAATGGGCCTGTTGCTCGGGACGCCAGGATGGTGAGCGCAGCGCCCTGTGGATTGCCAGTCATGACGCGAAATTGGGTCATCATGGTGGTTTGAGAGAGAAGTCGGGCTCGGATTCGAGGATGTACTTTCTCCAAGTATTGACAGATGAATTGGCGCCATGTGAGCATCTTTAGCTCTCTGATGTCATCTGGATGAACACCCTCGGAGTGAAGACCATCTAATATGTCTTCCAGAGTGTAACCTAGGAATCGAAAAGTGCCATTGGCCAAGTCCTGAGGAGGAATAGCGACATCGTCACAAATGGTGATTATAGCGACATATAAATGTTTCCAAAAGTGCGACCCGATGGACCCCTGCCACGTTACCCACCACTGAAGTGTATCTCGCATTGTGTACAGGGCGACTTCTTCAATGGAAGTATCACTCTTCTCTGTATGGATTGTATAGTCATCCGGATGGGGTGTTGCACAGGATGACATGAAGTTTTCCATATCCTCAACGAGTTCATCGAGATCTTTGCAGGTACATGGGGGCCGAGATGTGCCACCCATGCAAGAGAAAATAGTCATGGCCTCTTCATCAACCTCAAATCCATAATCAAGGTTGCCATTTCGGGAGGCCGGCGGTTGCAAAAGACACAGGTGGGTGCGAAACCGGAGAGGATTAGAAGATGAAGGACCATTTTGGAAATAGGCAGTGACTTCTTGCCACATGTCAGACATTGTAAGGCATTTCTTTCCAGTCAACATTGTGGCCTAGAGTATAGTATAAAGCACGGTGTAAGATGTATTAAATTGGGTAATAAGAGGAAATGCGCCTGTGTCAGATTGTTGGAACTCTTGTGTAAATGGAAAATGTACCTAGAGAGGAGCCCTTTTGCTTAAGTAGCTTTTAGTGTCCTGGTTAAAGATGATTTTCAACCCTGACGCAGATGATCATAGTCCTAAGTGCCATTACTAAAGTTGTGAATCACAAGGACATGCCTATATGCAGGTCAAACTCTTTATCGAACCAGTCAGATTTCAAACCATACCACGTCCAAATTCTTTCTTGTAGCCATATTATACCATGTCTTTCTACGCGGTATGTGTCTTTTGTCTATTGTTTACCTGTACTGCAGGAAGTAATGTATGGGTTACTTTTATTTCGGACTGTAAGTAGTACTATACTATCTAAAAGCATTTACAAAAGCAATTCACTGGTACATGGTATCACAAGAAAAGGATTCCTTGCTTCAATACTGGGTTTGGGAGGAATGTTGGAGAGGGGGAAAGGGAAGATGTCTAAACCTGAAAGAAGAAGAGAAGCTGCCACAACAGACCTAGAAGGGTAGCAGTCCCAATTAGGCTGAAGGCATAGTGATACTAAATATTTGAGGGCATAGAAAAAGGGGGGATTGTTGTGTAACAGCAACTGAAGTATAGATATCTTATAGCTAAACAGAATATATACTGTAAATATTAGGGTTCTCACATATACTTCCTTATAGGGAGGATGCAATGGTCAAGGGTATGGTAACCTGTAACATTAAAAGCCAGTAGAAAAAGAGAAGATAATCTATTATAGAAGAACATAAGTCCTAATTAGGCTAAATACATATTGTTATGGTATATAGAGTTGAATATCTGCAGGAATAACTACATATGGGAAGTATTGTGTAACAGCAACGAAGGTATTAGGGGTTTGCTAAAAGATGCCCTTGTCTATAGGCATTGATCATGATTTTTCTAAATGAGACACCAAACCAGGCAAATGATGACTTTAAATGCTACATCTCTTTAATGCTAACTATGACTATAGTAATGTCATCTGACTACTCTTGCGTTCTTGGAATATCAACACCAATACCAGACATAATCCCTGGGAACTGTCATCGAAGCTATGCAAATGGCTACTCAACTGTAGCATTTGCAGGGAAAGGAGGCCGGATTCTTGGGTTTCTTTTGCGAAGACGCATAAGACGTTTACTGCCTCAGATATTCCTAGGTTCAACCAGCAGCCAGACATGGAAGAGCATATCAATAAATATCTTCATATCCAGATCACGGATAATGCCTCTCTCTCAACCCTATGTATTATTAATTAAATTGATTGTCCATACCGAGCCCTAAAGCTATGACAGACGCCTCATTCATGAAAAGAAAAGAAACAGAGACATCTAGTAGCTCTGAAAATACAGACAAGAAATTAATAATGAAACATAGCGGGAGAAAAAAAAAGGAAAAAAGAAATTGCCCCCATCCAGGATCGAACTGGAGACCTCGGGATGTCAAATCTGTTGAACAGAAATGTCATAGGAATATGAGACCCACGTGATAACCAACTACACCATAGAGGCAATTGTTAAACACCTGCACGAATCTATGCTACATAAGCCAAAGAATAAAACAGGCGGATTTTTCACTGCAACCCATCAACTTCGGAGGACAAGATTTCTATTTTCCGTCAAAGCCAACTAGTCAAATCACATTCTATTCGTCATGTAGACATCATAAAAGTACTAAAAGAAAAGAAAAACTACAGCGTACTTCAAATACATCGCTCTACAGCTTTGGGCGAATCGTCTGTCCACCTTCCCAAGAGTCGCCCGCCTCCAGAGTCTGCCAGCCAGAAACAGAACCAGCCTCGACACAGATCATCTTCTGGTACGCCTCGTCGGGCCCAAAGTCTGCCATACCCTTTGCCTTTTCGATCCACGGGTTCCAGACCACGACGTCGTTCAATGCTTCGCGAGTGATGGAGAAGATCGCCTGATCGTCGTCGGACGAGGCAACGACGATGGGGACCTTCGGGTCTAGAGCTTGGTAGACGCGGTCCGTCTCTTGGGTGATGGGTAATGCGGAGGACTCTTCGGTGAAGGTACTGGCGTTGCGAACCTTGTCGACATACGTCTTGGACTCGAGGTTCTTGACGCGGATTTTCGTGATGTCCTGTGATTATAATTAGTTTGATTCTGTGAAAGATTGAAGTGACAAAGCCAAAATACATCAATTTTAAGGTATGTGTGCATTAGAACCTGGAAGTCAAAGTTCTGGCTGCCCTTGTTCTGCACCTGCAGCGAAGTTCCAAGACCGTCCTTGGTCAAGGTGACGCTGTACACAAGCCCGAACTCGTATGGCCACGCCTTGCGGAACTCATCACTGAGCATGCCGTGCGAAAGACCAAAGTCCAGCTTCACGGCGTCGTCTCCATCCTTGCGGTCCTTGCCCAATGACTCTGACGATGACTTGCCCAGGAATTCCCAGTTCGAGTTCCGTGCGAAGCCGTGTTGAGGAAGTGAGGAAGTAGCGTGGTCTTTGGGAGGAGGGCCGAATGCCTATGCAACACAATTATCTGTGTTAGCTAAATGATGCAACGATGGTTTTCAAGTGTGGCTGCAACGAGGGCCTTTCTAATAAGCCCGGACGTACCGGAAACACAACAGGAATACCACCGCGGATAGGCTTGGAACCGTCCAGATGAGCCTTCTCACTCAAGAACAATTGCTCCTGGCCATTTGCAAGCTTCCACGAACTGACGGTCGCTCCGTAGAGATGAACGGTGACGGATTCACCGGTAGGCAAGGTGGCCTCGACGGTGTTATCGCGGAGAGAGATGGTGGGCTGGGGCAGCGATGCGCTCACCCCGATGGCAGAGGGCTTGTTTGACCGGTCCATTGTGAGTTAGTGTTGATGGATAGGACGATACGAGGAAAGATCAAGATGATTTGATGGCTGAATTGTTCGTTGAAGGAGGATGGCTGACAATGCGGGGACAAACAGAGACGATGGCGGGGCATCCGACATCATCGTGGGTCGGGGCGGAATTGAGGGGATGAAAACATACTCTTGTCACCAGCATCTCAGCCTTTTGTTTCCATGGTTGAACAATAGTTCCTGGTGATTAATGATATTTACTTTCATTTCATTTCAATATGATGGACAATGAGTACTGAAGCTTGAGGTTGAATATATCCAATACACTAGGCTAATAATAACATATCCTAGGATGCATACTGGTAAAAGATGAAAAATGCAGGTTGAATTTAAGAGTATGACATGGTGTATGGTACATGAAACCCCATATCCAGAAACCAGAACGCCTTCGCTATGCTTATGATTCAATGCGCCATCTATGCCTTCGCATTGTTTCAACGGTATATTCTCTCCCAACATGCAAGAAGCACCTGGCCAGAACAGAGGCCAAAAACAGTTTATAAAGGCCTTGACGCCTGCCGTGGTTAACGGCGGCCGTTTTTACTCCGTGTCTTTTGTCTCCGAGCTGGAGCCTGCAGCCACAGGTTTCGACGCGCCCAGTCCACCCGCTGCGTCTCATTTAGAAATCTCTTCATCAACGAAGCAGCCCAATCCAGCAAAGGCCTCGAGCAGAGTCCGCGAGTAGTACTCCCGAAGATCGTAACCACCCGCCTGTACACGAGGGTCTTGTTTGAGGGGATTGAGGTAACTGGATGGGTAGGAGTCCTGTAAGGTAAAATAGTCCCGCTTGTTGGGCACATATCCTGCAAAGGGGTCGTACGGCTTTTCGGGCTCTGGGGTCTCGATTTTCTTGAGACCCTTGATCAAACCAGAGTCGCCAGAGCCGCCAGAGTCGACAGCAACACCTTGGCTGGGCTTCCGGGCTTCCGAGCTCCTGAGGGCTGCCTGTTTTTGCCTGATGCGCTCCTCTTCGCTACGACGAGCAGAAGACTTCTTGAGCAGAACTTTGTGGCCCTCGCGCGCAATGGCAGCTGCGTCGGCTGGTCGACCGCTGGCTAGACGGGTAAGCACATCTTCTCGGCTTGTGAGCAGCTCACGTCGCTGAGTTTCGTATTCTTCTCTTGCAGCCTGCCGGCGGAGACGCGCTTGTTCTTGTTCCAGGGTCTGTTGCTCCTGGAATGTAGTTGCCTCCTGTGCTTCCAGGGCTTGGTTGCTGCGGATGGAGCGCATATTGTCTGCTGCGTATTTCTGAAGGTCGGATTCGGTTTTGGCAACATCAGTGCCGTGGACAAGGTTGGCAATGATCTCTTCGCGTTGTTCGAGGAAGTCATCGTAGGCTCGTTTGGAGGCAAATTCTTCTTCGCGGCGGTTGAGACTGGAAGGCAATTAGACATGGTGCTGCATATTTTATAAAGGAAAAGAAGACCATCATACACTTGCATCACCCGGCGTCTTATATCAACCTCCCTTTCCACGTTTATATCTTCAAAAGTCTGCTTTCGGAATCGGTTCTTTCGCAATGTCTTATGGCACCCTGCCACCGGACAGTTCGCAGGACCAGACGAGAATATTCGGTCCACACATGACTCGCACATTTTATGATAGCATTCCGGGTTGATGAGGAACCGCATATCTGGATTCAGATATCTCGAGGATTTGCAGACGGGGCAGACCTCTGTCGACAGTTGGATTAGCTGACCGGCCAGACATGTTTTTTCAATAAAGGAAACACCCACCATCTTCATCCCCGCGGTTAGACATTCCATTGCGGGAGACAGACATGATTCCGTCTGGCAGCTGCTCCTGAGCAGAACGAGAGAAAGTTGGCCAAGTGACTGCGATGATGACGAACGTTAAAGGCGATATGAGCGGCCAAGTCACGGACCAATCAGATGCTCCGCTCCGTCTTCCGCACTGCGGAACATCTTTTTTCTTCGCCTCAAAAGAAGCGCCCCTCGTTTTCTTTCTCTTTGACCTCACTCGATTTTTTTTTTTTAAAACACAACTTCTTAGAGCCTTGAAGCTCACTACATCCTTTTTAAAGACCTCTCCCCAACTCACTCTCACGATGGGCGTCCCCGGAAATAATTTGGACGATCTTGAACGCCAGCGTCTCGAACTTGAGAGTAACATTCTTAAACTCCAAGAATCCCTCTACCACTGGAGGACATGGGAGGCCGAATATGATGGCCTGAAGGAGGAAATCGGCGATCTCGATGATGACGCGACAACAGATGACTTCCTCCGAGTTGGCCGTGATTTTGGCGGGACTTTGGTGAATGAGGATGAGATGAAAGTGATACTGGGTGAGAAGCAGGGCATGTCACGGTCCAGGCAGCAGGTCGTTGACCTTCTTTCGAGGAGGGTCGACTATGTGAAGCAAAACGTTACGACGATGGAGAAAAGACTACGGGCCGCAGAGGACCAGCTGTATGCCCTGGATTCTTTCGAGCAGCGTTCTACAGACACCGGAGCCGATTTCCCAATGACAGAGATCATGGAAGAGATTGATGAAGATGGAAAAGTGATTTCGAGCTCGACGTCAACCCCTGGAGACCAAGCGCCGCAACTCTTGGAAGTTTTGAAGAAAGCCGGAGTGAAGGATATCCCAGAGGTGCCTGAGACGGGTTCAAAAGCTGCTGTTTCGGAAAGTACTTCGCAGCCTGAACAAAAGAAAGAGAAGAAAGAAGAAGTGGACAATGCTTCTACCAAACAAGAACCAACGAACACCTCCCTAGAGGCTGACGAAGATTCCGAGACTGAGTTTGTGGAGGATATTGCGCCTACGAACCCACCCTCCGACGACCAGAAAGAGCGCCCTGTTACGGATGTCGATGAATCCCCCGAAGATGCCAATCTGCGCCGTGAGATGCTGCAGTATGGGCTTGATCTGGATGAAGTCGGTGCCGTTGTCGCGGAGCTTGAACTGGATGATGACGCAAGCGATGTCTCTTATGATGATGGATATGGCGATTATGACAGTGATGAAGACGAGGAGGAAGATGAGCATGGACGAACCAAGGGCCGAGTCTTGGATGAAGAATACCACCAGCAGATGCGTGAATTGGAGGCAAAGCTGAATGCTAGGGGGATGTGGAATATGGGCAAAGACACTGGCTCGCTGCCGGCTGAAATGCAACAAGACCTTGACAAACCGGCAGTGGTAAAGGTCGATCACCAACCCGATGAGTCCGCTCAACCGAAAAAGCCAAAGAAAAAGGTTGCGTTCGCTGATGACCTCGATATCGCCCCTGCCTCTAAACCAGCGGTTGCGGAGAAGACACCTCCGCGGCAATCGAATGTCCAAGTATTGTCAGACTCGGTTGTCGAACGCACAGAGCCTGCCGAGAAAACTGTTCCGACCGGCCCTCCCAAGAAGGCCTCCCGCTTCAAGAGCGCTCGGAAAGCGACGGCGAATGGTGCAAGTGAAGATACTGCTCCACCGCTTCCTCCATCCAACAGCAACACTCGACCTACTGAGCTTCGCTCTTCCATACGCAAGCCGGATGCATCATCATCGTTGCCCTTGTTCCCTGCCAAACCGGCAGAGCCCAAGCCCTTCTCTCAGCCCATTTCAGATGTGGTCGAAAAGCCATCCGCACCCCAACCGCCCAAAGATAAGATCGTTGCCGACACTCTCCTTGAACGTGAAGTCTCGGAGGGTGATGCGATAGCACCAGAGGCAGATGAGCTCGATGAGCAACTACACAGAAAGGAAATTGCCACCGAATTCTATCACCTGAGAAACCGGAAAATCCAGCAGAACGGTGGATTTGTCAACGACGAGGAGCCCGAAATAGTCCCTATAGAGACTGAGGAAGCTCCCAAGCGTGTGAGCAAGTTCAAGGCTGCTCGAATGAGGTAACCAAAACAGCCAAAAGAAAAAAACATCAATATAAATACCCAATCTAGTCAACGATCTAATTGGAAACTTTTGTCACTTCCCCTCCATCAAATAGATTACAGTTAAGTTTATAATCTTCAAAACGGAATTTTGTGCTTGACCACTATGTGGTAAGTGACATGGTTATACCTGCATCAGTGGTATATTCATTCAGCAAAATTCCAAGATCAAAAATAGAGGGCTCTCTGACCCTTTCTCCTTCCTGTTCTATCCATTCGAACGTGTTGGGCTCAACTGAGTACTTACGGGCGATGGGTTGGGGAATCCATGGAGATATGGCTACGTTTCACCCTCGACATAACCGTAGATGCTTTCTCATATCAGCGAGATGAAATAAATAATGAAAATCTACTTGTCTCTTTATTTTTGTGATATCTTTATAAGTGACTTATCGCTGTTGAAATATATCCAGGACCAGCTTAACCCTGGAAGCCGATGACCAGTACTATCTAAGACGAGCGCTTTAGAGGGAAGCTACTCCAACTATCATGCCAATGCTGACCCTCGCTTTGAGGCCATAGTCTCTCAAAGATCTCATCGCGCAGATCCCAAAAAGAGCCCCTTTCCCGAATCATGTCCGCCTCATACTGTCTTCGCTCCTTATCCTCTCTCTCCCTCCGTTTTTTCCCGATTTCAAAAACATCTACGTGATTGCCGTAGCCGTGCCAAGTGACCTTGAAGGATCTGGCTATGTGCTTGACCTTGGGAATTGGGAGGCTGACATGGCCCGCAACAATCGCCTTCCGAGGCATAATGCAGAGCGACAGGAGACGATTGTTCCCGGACTGAGATGAAGTGATTACATCCCAGATTGATCTGGCTAGCTTCTCGTCTACAGCGGCGTTGGTCATCGCGTCGCAAGCATCGATGTTATACACCATTCTTGTGCATGGTCCTCCATATCTCTGTCTATCGAGCTCGTCCATAGATTCGTCCAGGTCATCAATGGTGCGTGGCTGAGCGAATGGCATGACGTAATTAAGGTCTAAAGATACTTTTTTCAGGGACTGGAATTTCCCTAAAGCTTCGTAGCAGGCAGTCTCACGATAGTTGCCCTGGAAGCGATGGAGTGACAGATCAAGTTGTTCGACCAAAGGGCATAGTTCAGCGACATGCGCAATATCGGAAGCTGTGAGGACGATAGGTTTCACCTGTATCTGAGGGGGGCCTATTGATCCTCCAAAAGGCTTGAACAGGAGCTCTCGCAGGGAAGGACCGTGCCTCTCAAGGATCTTCTGCAACAATGGCACACCGATGAATCTATGTAGCCGCAGGGTCTTCAATGGAGGAAGACTCTCAAAGAACGTTTCGGCGAGAGGTTGGATGTGCTCGTTGTCGCGGGGGAACCCAAAGGTCATAGACAACTTCTCCAATGACGTGAACGCTGCCGTTTCAGTGACTAGTGATAGAAATGGGTTACTGACGCGGTCCATGGTTAGTGACTGGAGCTTGGACAGATCTGTAACTTGGCTCCATTTCTCCAGTCGCTCCATGCTTATCGAAGCTCCTTTGAGACTGAGGCTTGTCAGACTCTTTCGAGGACGATGCTCTTCCGGAATTGAGACGGGATTGAAAACTTCCCGCGTGCCAGCCTGGGGAGAATCCAAATTTTGGTGTACGGCATTGGTTGTTTGTGAGAGACACCAATGCAATCGGACCTCTTTGAGATTTGGTGCGGTCTTGATTGCTTCAATTACAGCCTCCTCATCATAATCTATCTGGCTTTCCGAAGAATGGTTGGGAAATCGCATAGTGACAGCATGTAGACAAGGCGAGTGGATCAGCTTCATTTCGTATGGATTTGTCTCTTGGCCTTTACAACCAGTGAAGCGGAACATGTCCAGGCTGAGTCGACATGAGGGATGATACTGGCTGAGGGCCTCTAGTAAACACGGGGGAAACATGTTTTCGCAGGTATAGTTCATCTCCAGCAAGTACTGCAACCTTGCAAGCAGCGATGCAAGCGGCAACCACGAGGGGCTGGTCTCCTTCTCTGCATCCTCCAGCTTATTCTGGTCGGACCTGAGCATCAGATCATACGAGGGCTCCATTTCGAGTTCACTGCAAATATCGCTCTGTGGCTCCCTCTCAGAAAAGAGCTCTTGCCGTTGGAGGAGCTCTGCTTCGTCCTCGGGGCTCTCAGCCTGACGAAACAGTTTCCCTTGCAAATTCAATTGCCGCGCATAGGCGAGATATTGCTGGCGGAGAGGATGAACGATGAGCTCAGAAACTGCATCTTGGAGTCTCTGGTGGGTGGAAACTTCCAATTTCAGTTTGCGATAGAGAAATGGCACGGATGCGTGGTAGCAGTTGCTGTTGACCAGAGAGAAGAGTCGAAGAGTTCTGGGAGAGGTTTCCCATATCTATTTGGGTTAGAATAATTTCCTGACAAGGTCTGGCAAAAGTTCCCTCACCAGGCTGCAAATTGAAAGTAGAACTGGCGATGGCAAGGTGTCCATTTTGATGAAAATGATGATGTGGATGAATAGAGGTTGTGTTGGACAGAAGAGGGGGAGGCTGAGGATATATACACAGCCCCCAAGGGCTGTGTCCGATATGTATTCTCGTGGAAATAACGGCCACATTACTTTAAAACGACTACTAGGTAGTATGATGCCTTTTAGCCTAGCAGATATCTACAAAGAATTTGCCATCTATCCTTAAAGAAAAAGCACTTGGATGTGGAGTACACATCTTATCATCCTTCATCTGGGTACTCCTAAGTACAACACTGGGTCACGGGTCACCTTGCTGTCGAAATTCCGGGAAATTCGTTCCCAGAGTATAGCTCTTCTCCTGCAAGGCATATAGTCATTGATACCTGCGCTCACTTAGAAGATATTCGAGCCCTGGCGCTTTCAGGTCCTGACTCTCCCAGTCTTCCTGGGCTGACTGTGTCGTTCCTATTGTTGCTTGGACGTCAAGTTTGCAGGCCGTGTTGGATTGCGGAAGACGAAATCACGGAACTTGTAATAGTTGTAGTAGATCAACTTTACGATCATGTTAGCTGTCCAGGGAATGGGACAGTCCAGGAAGGGACAAGGAAAGGAACTCAACGTACACAGGCGATGGGGTACAGGCCTATTCTATCGTCCCGTGATCTCAGGCCCCTACTCAACAGGACACAATGCAGGCAGTTTTTGCATTTCTCACCAACACCCTTGTCCCCAAAGAAACATATAGCCCCTCAGGCCCCTCAGAGACAGACGTGGCAATGTAAATTGCCCAGCTCGTACAGACCCTTGTTCTGTTGACCCAAAGTGGGCGGAGCATTGCCTTCCTCACAGCTTCGCGGTTTTTCCAAAGAGGGCGTTCTGGACGAAATCGTCCCGGCTCTGGCGGTGTTTGTGCAGAAACCACTTCAGCATTACTAATGGTGTAAAGGGAAAGGTTGGCCATGTGGCCTCGCATAGATTAACTAATTTTGTGTAGCTTTTGTCGCTCATCTTTTCGAGATATGGGTGGACACATCCGAAACGCCAGCCCCGGCAAACGATGCACTCCTCTCCCAGCGGAGGGGAGTTTCTAGGAGCATCACAGATACTATGGTGCAAAAGTATGATGAGAACACTAGACGCAAGGCCATAAAGGTGTGGTGATTGGAACTTTTTGTAGAAATATATGGACTGGCGGAGTGTTGTGTGCTGTCGACCGTTCAACCCGACGTCGCCAGTCAGCAAGATCCCTTGGATACTGGCTTTGCCACTGGCGGTGTTTGCTGGGTTGTAGATAAAAAATGATCATACCAAATTGCTGCCCATCGGTGCCGTCGGTGAACTTTTGGTTGGTGGGCCCATTGTCGGTCGAGGATACCTGAATGACCCGGAGAAAACAGCCGCGGTATGTTTGAAGCTCATCATGCGATTGTGGATATAGAATCCAAGGCAACCATTGAAGCAGACCTGCGCACCCTGTATCGTGGAGATCGACCGCTGAGCGAGCCACCCCTGTACCGTGACTACATTGCAACAGCACTCCAGGGCTCACAGGCTGCGGATAAGCGCTTCTGGGTCGATTATCTGCAAGATGCCACAGATCCCGTATTCCTACCGGATTGCGCAAGGGCCAACTCCCCTGGTGAATCTCTCAACGTCGACGTGGTACTTGTGCCCCTGGAAAAGATCAAACAGTTCAGCCGGTTGCAAGGGTTTACCTCATCTACTCTCTTCAAGGCCGTTTTTGCCGTCACCTTCCAAATCTGATGGGCACTCAAGACGTGGCATTTCCCTATGTGTTTGCAGTACGCCATGCATCCGGAGTCAAAGCAACCGGTACAATCGGACCCCATCTGGAGCTGCTCATGGCCCGAGTGCATACGACAGAGAATGCAACGTTCCAGGAGATTCTGGAAGCCGTCCACAAAGACTGCGTTCAAGCTCTAGAGCATCCATTTGCCGCCGTCGACACCGCTCGCGAGCTCAACCCAGGGCTGCTGAATACCCTTTTAAACCATCGCCGTCATCCAGATTCCCAATTCAAACCCCCACCATGCGAGAGGGAAGCCTTGTCTTGAATAGAGCATGATACACTCGACATCTCGCTGGTAAGTACATATCTTGCTCTCGGTCTCCTTGTACTTGATGAGAACCTCTTACTAACAGAATCGCAGAGCGACTTTGAACTCTGTGTCGATGAGTTCGATGACGGTATCACTAGCTATCTCACATACCGGGAGCGGAGGGTTCTCCCTGAAATGTTAAAGGATTTTACTCATGTTTTCATCAACTGTTTGTCTCTTGTCCTGGCCAATCCAGATATCAAAGTGACGGAGCTGGCTACGAGGGCTAGACAATGATCTATAACGATCTGGAAAGATGTACACTAGAACAAGACAGATCTAGTATAGCAAATGCAATGTTTAGATCTTCTGACAAATAATCTCACCACTCGGCACTGAAATCCATGCATCCTTATCCTCTCCCCATCTTCTCCACGCCGCAGCAATGCGCTCCAACTCCTCCCTCGTCGCCAACTGCGCCTCCACCGCCGACTTAACAAACGACGATCCTTCCCCCGCTGTTCGCTCAGCCCACGTCTCACTCCACATCCTCACTTCTTCGCGCTGGCTATAACACCATGAACTCGTCGAACAGCTCACATCCGTAAACCCAGCCTGCTTAGCCCATACATGCAGCTTCCTCCCCGCATGCAAATCCCCTCCATTCCGCCTCGCAACACCACAAAACAGCTCCCTCCATCTCTCCAACCCCTCCGTCTCAGGATACCACACGAACACACCATAATCCGCGTCTCGCGCAGCCACAATGCCCCCGACTTTCGTCACACGCTTCATCTCCCGTAACACGCCAACCGGATCAGAAACATGCTGCAGAACCTGGTGAGCGTGGACGATATCAAAAGTGCCATCCTCGTAGGGAAGGGAGTTCGCATCACCAGTCGCGAACTCGATATTGGAGATACCGCGTTGTGTAGCGAGAGTTCGCGCGCGGCGGAGTACATCCTCGCTGATGTCGAGACCGGTGATGTGTGCGTGTGGAGCGTGCGCTGCGAGGTCGACGGTGATGGTGCCGGCGCCGCAGCCTAGATCGAGGATTTTGAGAGAAGAGTTGGATGAGGATGTCAGATGGGGGAGGAGGTAGGCGGCTGAGTTGGTTGCTGTGCGCCAGGAGTGGGCTTGTAGGACGGAGGGATGGTGGCCGTGGGTGTAGGTTGCTGATTCGGGCATTTTTATTTTAGATTGATGAATATTTATATGGTAAGATGGGTGTATGTTTTGTTTGTAGGATGTTCGTTGGGAATGGATGGGTGGAGGTTGATATACAGTTGGTTATAGTTCGGTGGGGCTGCCGGTATCGGAATTACATATCCAGATGCTACGAGGCATTCATGATCAGACAAGCCATTGGCAGTTCATTGTAGGAAAAATCAATGAATCTGATCCTATCCTCAATGGTATCACTCCCGAGCAGCAAATGGGTATATTAATGAATCAATTGAATTTCAAGACATATTATATGTTTACAGTGAATCTCATCCAAAATATGTGTAGATACTAATGAACCCTATAAATTCAATATCGTAGAGTATAACAAGGGTAGCCTAGTGGGTATCAGTATGAATTAATCTTGTGTGAAGTACCAACCATACAGCCATGAATTCACCCAAAGCCCCTATTCTGTTCTATATATTGCCTCTCTTCTCTTTTCCGAAATATCTTCCTTTCCTTTCCAACATACTTCATCTTCATTCGCATTTTTAATTCTCTTTTCCTTCCTTGAATTCGCTGATGCCCAGAGGATTAAACTCATAGTCGGAATGGTCCAAGTCGTTACGTGACAACCGATGTCGAATGGGGTTTTTCCTTCAGCCCAGCCTGGGCATGCCTGTGGCTGGCTGACATTGACGCTTGGGCTTTTGAACAACCCAGCCCATTTGACTGAGAAGAAATGTAAGTAAAACACTGAACTGTTTAATTTTGAGAGACGATAAGCTAATATATCCTCTTAATAGGGACATAGCGAGATAAAGACCCCAGATCATTGTGGCCGAGGTCGACCTCCCGCAAAATTCAAGGCAAAGCTCAATTCCCCCATAATATACTTGTCGCAGACCGGGCTACACAGGAGTTTGATAGCGACCAAGGGTACGAGATCGAGGCAGAGCTGAACGACACGATCACAAGGGTCATTGAGATTAGGAAGTCGACTTTCCGCAAGGACAAGCGATGGCTGAAAGCCTTCGGGAGGCTGAAATGACAAGTCTACTTCGATCATCTCGAATCGAGGCATTTTTCAAGACCTGGCAGCATGTCAGACAGGGACAACCCAAAGAAAAGATTGTTATTTTCAGCAGCTTCCTCAAATTTCTCGACATTATCGATGCCATTCTAAAAGTGCAAGTACGGTGTCGATGCCATCCGAATTGATGGCACATTGAGTGACCATCGAAAGAATGAGGCGAAGTCATTCTTCTTATCAGAAGACAACATATCACCACTTCTGGTGCTATATGGCTGTGGGAGCCATGGCCTGAGCTTGCAAAAAAGCTTCAATCGTGATCCAACTGAGATCTGGTGGAATCGTAACTGGGAGAAGCAAGTTTACGCGCTGCTTTCAGCAAGGCCAGAAAAGAAACGTGAAGGTCTTGCTAGAAAGCAGCCGAATTGACGAGAAGCCAAGCGTGCTCACCCCATAGAAGCCCAGATGGACGGGAGATATGGAAGCGTTGTTGCAGAGGATGATAGAATCGAGACTGTGATGGGAACATGTTATAATTGTTCATATTGGACGCCAATGGAATTCCTATAGTAATCGTGTAGCTGAGTCAGAATATGAATACATAACAGTGATGACGATACTCTTGTAGCTCGCTTAGTAGATGTCTGCCTAGCAACCCTTTTGGCCTCAGGCTCTCCCCCAGGTAGACCCCTCCATCTCTCTTTCCCTGCACGTTAAGAAAACTCGCCTGCAGCACATCTTTTCTCCAACGCATCAAGACATTCCGTCTGTTTAATATACTTTCATGGCACCTGTCTTCTTCACCTCGACTCCACCAGTAGTCCACGGCAACACCATCATCGTCGCAGCTACGCATCCAAGCATCGAGACTGGCGCTCAGAATCGCGATGGATCGTTTCTCTCTGACTTCTACGCGTTCAACTATCTTTTCAAAGGCCTTGGGCTGGAGCAGACCTGGCTTACAGCTGCAGTATGCCATATTGAAAACGTATAGAGTTTGACTGACAGATGGAATACTGCCTAGGCCCCCGAAACGTTGCTAGAGAAGCACGAACCCTACTATTACAGCAACCCATACGAGCACTGCAGAGAAGTCCTCAGCAGAGCGCTTCTTGACAACCATGAACTGACACCTGTTGCTGTGGTTGAGTCATCGGAGATGATTGACCGTTTCCTCTCCGAAGCCCAGACAGCGTCTGAACGGGCGAAGCGGGAGAATGCATCAGTGCTTCTGCTTGCTTTTTGTCATGGATTACCCAATACAGAGCTCCTTCTGAATTGTGGAAATCTTAATAAAGGTTGAGCGTTATACGGTTGAGGGATGCTCTTGAGGCAGGTGTTCCGGTTTGCTTGGTCACTCCTGCCAGTTTTTCTGGGGGTTGGACTGTCTGTCCTAATTTTAATTGCACTATAAAGGCGGAAGGAGAAGCAGAGTATATTAGCAACCCTGAAGCAAGGACTGATGAACATAAATACCGCATAATCAGTCATACTTGTGGTTCTGTGTTTGCTGGGAATATTTTCATTTCCACCAGACCTGCCCTGGTGACTGGAACCAAGGCCGAGATGTGTCTTTTGGAGGAGGTCTCAGAGGATATTACGACTTTGACGAGTTCGAGGATGAAGCACCAACTTTTTTTGCCACAATACGATTCCGGTGGGAGATGGGCCTTCTTTCTGACTATATTGTCAGTATACTCGGTCTGCCACTTCCGAACCATCAGAATTGTATCCTGTGGAATCGATACAAATGGTATGAACTGAGAAAGCAGAAATTCCCGGATTGGTATGCCCGGGAGGGTAAGAATCTACGGTCCGCTTAATAGGGGTGGTTTTAATTTGGACCCTTTGCCTGAACAAGGATCGTCCTTTGAGAGACCTCTAAGCTATCTTACTGCATCTATCATGGAAGCAAATCTATCTGAAGAGAAAACAGAGCAGCTTATCTTGGATATATTGGAATTTATGGGTAATCTGAAACAATTCAACATTCAGAGGGTGTGCAAAGAAGCCAGTGTCTGCTTACGTGCCAAAGAATGACTGCACGTCCTGGATAAATCAGACTAAATTAAGGTCTTTATATAGTATAAAAGTCATTAATCAAGTTTATCCCAGACTGAGTACCGCCACATCGCGCGGGAGAACAAACCTACCAATCTTTTGGCCCGCTTAGATCGATTGGACGTGTTGGTTTGGCTCTTAACCAAGATCCTGATAGAGACAGCGTCTCTCCCGTGTCTGTGACAATGCCCAACATTGATTATCTTCATTTCCCCTTCCTCATGATTGTCATCTATTACTATATCTTCGCCATCAGCGTTGTTCTGACGCTTGCCTGTTGCCCCTACAGATAAAGAAATGAGCGAATGTAATAATTTAAGTGTCGTGATGGCCCAAACCTTCTACTTACAATTCTTAGCCAGTGGGATTAAAGTCGCTGGACCCAAAAATGGTCGGATCAAGGCGGAAATTTTGGTCTCGATGAATTCTGGCCTGGGGTATCCATGGCAGAGTTCGTCGTCTGAAGAGACTATCGTTGAGTGTAGAGCCTAGTAGACGGGTAAAGTCCATTAAAGCATAGAGCTTTAGACCTGAGAACGCAGCCTTCTTGGCTATTAGAGGCAATATTGAGACTTTGCCTGGGTACATTTATTCCAAGCATCTGGTGGCTGCTGGATTTCTCCACTGGTAGATCTTCATCTATGAAAATGGCCGGGATGATACCAACGACAAGGTACCGGTATTGGTTACTAGTAGGGTTGTTCTGCTCCTCTGGCGATGAAAAGGTGGATGGTATGTCGAGGTCGTCTCTACTAGAGAGTAGTCTTCCAGCCGATGGAAAATCGCCTTTTGTGAGGAATATCATCTAACTTGTAGGCCTTAGTAAACTCTGAAGGCATATTTCACCAACTGTGGGTTCCGAAGACCTACTCTCTCGATATTTTGATACCGACAAGAGATACCTAAAGACGCTCGCAACGACTCCACCCATTCTTTGGCACGTTGGCTGACACAAGGCATCCTCGCAAACCCCCTGGACATTGAATTGTTTTGCGATGACTTGACCACAAAGACTGGTGTCAGGTTATGGCTGTCAGGAAGTCCTAGTCCTCTGCCGAGGACTTCTTTGCGGGTTTCGTATGGGTTGCCGTGATAAGAAGGTCGGCCTTTCTCCAAGAGCTTCTTCGGGTCTTAGGCAGATAGTTGAACGCATAAAAGTCGGAAAGACCATTTGTCGCGCTGCTGGTGGCTAGTCTAGACATTCCGATGTGTAGCTGTTACGATGATAGTGTTCTCATGTACAACCGGTAGCGTTGACGTAAACATAGGCAGTGCTCGGCTCGGCTGACAGATGTGACCACCTCTGGTCAGTGTCAGAATAGCCATGACAGATATCAAATCAGACGAATTATAGCGAGATAGCTGTTCCTGAATTATCAAAGTCAACCCCTGGATAGCAGGCGAAGAAAGTCTTTGAGGAAAAGTGACCAGAAGAGAAGGCATACTCTGACTGAATCACATGACATGAACTAGTCCTAAAGCAGGTAATATAGGGCTTCACCAGACAGTAATTTGTCCACCACTTCACATCGCACACTTTGTTCTGTCTGTCACTCAATGCTGCCAACGCCATAATGAACGTCCCTTCTGATCAGGAAAGACATGGGGATCTTTCGGCTTCTGCGAGCCGTTTTGTACCAGGTGGTCCAGAAGCTGCCAACCCCGCTGACGACTCGGACACGGATATCGTGGTCTTGAAACAATACCTAGAAGACCTCGGGACGCAAGCCGCCGCGCAAGACCGCAGCTCACTTGCAGATGCCTGTCAAGTAGCGATAGATGGAACTGGTCCACCTGGACTCAAAGAACGAGCAGCTAGGACGATTGCATGGCAGGAAGGTCAAATGAGACGCGTTAATGGCCTTCTGCCCATCTGTTAGAGGAAGAACTTATTGGCTATCGATTGGATGGAGATATAGCAGGGCAAATGGTTGCTGATGTTTATCGCGAAACTAACCACAATGCTCTATTTCCTATGATGTCCAGACTCTGGGAAGTTCCTGAAATCCGCGACTTATCCAGTCCCTCCTTGGAATTTGGCTGTATTGATTATTTTTTCCCAGATGCCTTCGCATTGTTGGCTGATGTGCTTGCATGTGATGAGCTTCTTCGGCCATCGCATTTCAACTTGGATGAGATTGTCCCTGTTATCATCACTTATCTCAACAACGTACGAGTTATGTGAAGGAGGTGTGTTTCAAGGCGTTGTTCAATGACATGGAATACTACGTTTGGTATGAGACAATATCATTGCTAAAGAAATCATGGCTTGAATTCTACAATACGCTAGCTTTAAAAGATGTCAAATCATAAGTATTCAGAAAGCAGATCTCCCACGCACCCCGTACATTCACCCCTTTACTAGGAGTGCTCGCAGTAGACATTGAATTAGCAACCCCCAGAAATTGACCACTGAGGCCACCATCTGCCCTCACAGTTTTCAGTTATGTCAGTGATGTAAAGATATCGACAAAAGTTTGGTATGGTGGGCCGACATATAATGTACTGAAGTGCGAGTGAATGCCTGGGCTGTCTACCTTCCGCCCCCTTAAGACTCATTTCTCCTCCTTCCCTTCCCCCATCCTCTCCTTATCTCATTCAACCCCTCAAGTGGAAGTTCTTCCTGGTCAATTTGGCCCACCTCCCATCATTGCCCAAGTCACTATTTTGGAACCTTGCATTGAAAGGTATCCGCTTCATTTCTCCTCTTTCCTAGAACCCTCCTAAATGTTCCAGGAACCTCTATCATTCCAGAGTTACTCGCAATCGAATCCTCGAAAAGAGGCTCACTAACAGTACAATCTGCCGTTGGTCAAATCTATTCTCTGGGCCACAGGTCGATAAAATCCAAAACAGTGAGATCCTACTTTCTTCATCTCATCTACAGAAAGCTCTCGCGTAATTTGTCAATGATAACTAATGTGGTGTTCAAAACAGATGGCTCCTTTTGAGAAAGCGTCAGGCTTTCTGTCAAGTCAATTGAACGATGCGAGATGTTCCAAGGATCAAATGCTCATGTCAGCATTCGCAACGATCCAGCCGTTCATCTTTTCCTCATGGCAAATACGATTAAGATTCGACAGGGCTGTTTGTGGATAATGGCCGGACGCGTGCTTTCCTTACAGCTTTCATCCATATCAGCCAGATTCAAGTGCTGCTCTTCATACAAACAGGACCTCTATATTCTATTCTTTCTTGATCCGCGGGACGCCAGTATGAAGAAAGAGCGCGATGTGGCGTTTACAACCACAAGCATTCCACAAGCCTTCTAAGTTCCCAGTGGCACAGACACCATTCGTCGCCGATACGGTCGTGAGCTTGGAGCTAGAGCGATACCACCATTCTCTCTGGGACAAATATTCGGAAACAATATGCACCACACTTCTTGGACGCAACTTCGCCCTAACCGGGGTTGAGACCAAATATCTCGACTCCAATAGCGATGCTATCATACACGAGGCAAAAGAAGAGCTTAAGGCCTTAACCAAACAAGGGTGTCGGCTCGAAGCCAAGGAAATAGGTGGTTGGATTCTACAATGGATTTATCCGAGTGAGGACCGTCCTTTCTGTTTGTATAGAGGATGCACGTTAATACTACGTGGAAAGGAGTGGTTTTTTCCAACCTGCATGTCGAATTCTGGACTAGCCAAGTAGCCGCTTGGGCATGTGATGATAGAATTGAAGTACACGCTGATAAATTTAAATAGAGGAATATACATGCCACATCTAGTACGCATCAAAGAATGCGTCTATGGTTAGATATAGTGAAGCACTACCAAGTCCTGAGTTTCACCCTCGCCATTTCCTTCAGCTGCCTCGGGCCAGTTCTCGGGAAGGGTGTAGGTAGCGATTCTCTCCACAATGGGCCTAGTTGAACGGATCCCGCTCGAAGAAGGCAAGACATTCAAGAAGGAAAAGGGCATCTGCGTGACTATCAAAGAGCCCGAGTGTGATGCCGGCAGCAAGTTCAGCACGACACTGAAAAAGTGCGTTACCATCGAGGGACCCAAATGTCCTGAGCACCAGAAGTACAGTGAGGTCACCGAAAGCTGTGTACTGGCATTGGGAGACTGCATGGAGTTTGAATTCTGTCCGGCGGTTGTCGGCCTGCCTGTCTCGCCATTAAGCGGTGTTTACTAGATGAATTTTTCTTATTAATTCAATCTCTTCAACCTTGAGTTTTTCATCGCTGAGTGAGCGTCTAGAAATAGACCGTGGAGTATATTTCATATGATCCCAAAGGGAGCTCCTGAAGCAATAAAGGTAGCCCTTGATAGAAATATACATATATTGCATTGATTAAGACTATCAGAAGAGCATCTATTTCCATCATGACCCAAACATTCGGTGTATTATAATTATGAAAAGTGACCAACGGAGAAAAGGCTATACGGGAAGATGCCGAGTGTTTATATGGTACTATGTTGATATGATGTGTACAGGGGTATATAATCGAGGTATTTAATATACTGAGTTTACATGAATGATGAACATGGACATGTGTAAGATAGATGGATCTGGGGTAACCCCGCATACCCCGGAATTTAGGCACTCGCAATTCTCCCCAGAAAGCTCATGGCCAGCGTTGTCGCCAAGTATCCCGATGTTAAGGAATTCAGCGACTGCGATAATGAAGATTGGGCTGGGCTATCTGTGATTACTTTATTATCTTCGACTCGGTACAAGCTTAAAGTCATCAAATAGCAATCACCTTTTGGGGCAATAAAGGAAATTACCACAAGAATGGCTGGACGAAAATGGCAAAAGCCGCCGGAATGCAAGATATGCTTTGGGATACGGCAATAGGTGAATGTCAACGCATCGGGATCTGACTTCCGTGGTGCGGGGATCCATACAAACAGTAAATATTTACATAAATAGCCCGTTCTTTTTCTTCGTTTTCTTTCCATCAATTATAGTCTATCGTCAGAGCTTTAGGCATTTCTTCATCATGTCCGATCTACCTACGGTCCGCTGGGGCATCATTAGTGAGTCTTTCTCCCTCCAGTCGGTGATCCGCTAACCCATAAGCCACCGGCATGATCGCCTCGTGGTTCGTCCAGGATCTTGTTCTCGACTGGGACGGCAAAAAAGTAAACCACATCATCCAAGCCATCGGTACATCCAACATCCAAAAAGGCAATGACTTTGCAAAGACATACTGTCCCAACCACACCCCCACCGTCTACGATACCTACGAACAAGTCTACCGCGACACCAACGTCGACATCGTCTACATCGGCACCCCCCACGGATTCCATTACCGCGACTGCATGGAGGCTATCCAAGCCGGGAAGAACGTCCTTTGCGAAAAGTCATTCACCATTAATTCCAAGCAAGCGAGGGAGATTTTCACCGCTGCCCGGGAGAAGAACGTCTATGTGGCCGAGGCCATGTGGCTTCGCCACCGACCGCTTTACGTCGAATTGAAGCGATTACTGCATGAGGAAAAGGTGATTGGGGATGTATTCCGGGCGTTTGCGGATTTTGCGTCGGGGGTCGATATTGCCTCGTTGCCGGTGACATCGCGATATCGCGATCTGACGCTGGGGGCGGGATCGCTGCTGGATATTGGTGTTTATTCGCTGACGTGGTTGCGGTTGGCGCTGGGGGAGGAGATTAAACTACCGCAGATCGTGGCTCAACAGGCTCATGAAGAAGGGATTGAAGTTACGACGAGTGCCATTCTGCAGTATGCATCAGGAAAACAGGGCATTTCTACCTGCACTACAAAAGCGCTCGGTGCGCCTGGGGAGGTGTTTGCAGTCATCCACGGGACGGATGGGTATGTGGAGATAGAGGGTAGAACGCCCTCTGCGCCGGAGTCGTTTACTGTCTGGAAGAAGCAGAGTGGGAATCCTGACCGTGCTTACTTCCCGCGAGAAGCATGCCAAGGGAGACGGTATGATTTTCCCAAGTTAGGGCGTGGGTTTGTGTATGAAGCGGAGAATACGGCGCTGGATGTGCTGGAGGGGCGGAAGGAGAGTAACATTATGCCCTGGGATGAAACGGTCTATATGATGGATGTCATGGATGAGATTAGGCGGCAGGGGGGGACTTGCTATCCAGGAGAGTGATGAGAGTATGTATAGTTATATACCATTTGAAGATTGAGCAGCACAGGGAGAGGCTGTATTTGGCGGAACATCTCATATTTGGAGCAGACATTCATGCTGGCCTCACTTATGTGGTGATATGAGTTTGCATTATCTGGTCGGGAATGGAAATTGAAAGAGAGAATTTTATCATAAGACTGTCTCTAGGCACTTTACAGCCTTCCTGGGCCAGTATTCATCACAAAATCCAAGTTAATTTATTGAATAGTATGAACTACCGGGTAAATGCTGCGGTTGGAGCGAAAGCGTGATTATCATCAGCGGAATCTTGGACTGAACCACACAGCTCCATCCTTGACAAGATGTCCAGAAGCAGATGAAGGACCAGTAATTCTGACTTTCTTTCCATCTTGGTGAACAGTCAAGTCAATATTTCTTTCGCCAATATATGATTGTTTGGCTCCAATATCAATTCTATAACGGCCCTCGGGTACATCGTCATAGGTGAAAGTCGGTTTCAGGTGAATCAAAAAACTCAGTAGGTGGATCGAATCCTGAACCCTTGACTTGAATTTGATCGCCATTGATAACGAGATCGCCCGTAAATTCTGTGCCCTCTCCTTTGATGGAACCGATTTCAGTCTGAGCCATCTCTTTACACAAAAAAGAAGTCAGATATAATTGGTTTAGACGGTAAAAGGTAAAACTGAGGTCCTACTATGAAAGTTTAACCTTTAGGGGATCGGGAGCCTGGGTTACTGGTTTTGCTGTCCGTGGGTTGTATCGTCTCGATGGAATGTCTACAGGAAATCTGTATGCTTTTACTCCATAAACGAAAGAACAAAAAGGGGTCAAAACGAAGCTATTTTGAAAAGAGGCATGCGATCAACTGCATTGGCAATCGAGAAAGGTCTGATTCTCTGAATGAGTCAAGAAAACAGGCTGTGTTTAAGTTGGAATTGGAATTATTCATCTAACAACATACGGTAATAAGAGAATGACACTATAGTATTCAAGGGGGGGATTGCACATGGGATATGCGGAATGAGGTCATATCGCTGCACCTTGTATGGGACCCGCAAGATAGAGGTTTTCGACCGCTGACAAAAGATAAACCCGGAATTTTAGGATTATTTTTCATTGGACGATTTGTACTTGAGTCCTATCCAAGACGCTATGGAGAAAGGCACCCGTAACCTATGAAGGAGTGACCATGGATGCGTGATAGATACACGAGGCAGAAGAAGCAATGGACGGCACTATAGTAATCGGGTAGGAGAAGCGAACCAATAACTTCATCTTGATTCCTACCTTTGATAGCTAGGTACTTCGTTCTACCTGCCTAAAATAGATATAGCAAGGCTGAATAAAAGTCCACTCAAAGAAAATGCTTATTGAACGGCCCGACCCGCAATGTATGGATGCCTTATCGGGGCTGTACCCTTGGCCCGCGCTTCCATTGATCCGTCTGCCAATGAGGCTCATATGATCGAAGAATAGAGGCCGATCAAGAGTGGCAATAGCCTCGCCAAGGTCTTGGTGAGCCTATGAGGTTATCGTTCCCCGCAAGGCTGCTGCTGGAATGTAGATCAATGGATGTAGTTATAACTAAATAACTTTTACCCTAATATTGCGTAACCCCTTATTTTGGGCAGAAGTCTGCTTAACTGGCGGATATCCACTTCATAAATAAGATCCTATATTTGAATTTTTGATTCTGTTAGCTCAGTCATCCTACGGTTTACATCTTCAGTTAGTATTAGTAGTTGTCAGATCGTCTAGTTGACCTGTTTTGATGTATTCGTGCAGGGCCTGACGGGCAATTCGAATATAAAAATCGAGTGATGTCATTCCATTCATTATTAGGTATTAATTATCTGTGTTGGAAATAATCAACATGAAAGTCTTGCGATAAGATACATTTTTGTTAACTAGTTCAATCACAATAGTGTGCCCGGCTTTCCAATGCCTATTCTTCACTGTAGAGTGGGAGAAGAGACTAATAGATGGTTTCTAGAAGGAAATCTTATTGGAGTCATCCTCTCCTGGATAGACATTGCCTTCTTCCCCATTGAGCTATGCACGCATCCTTCAGGACAAATATCATCGGGAAAGCCGAGCCATCTAGGAATCCCTTCTTGGGCATCGGTTGACTGACTCGAACATCTGGCTAAAACCTGGAAAAGTACAGATATCGCGTCGATACAGCTGGCAAACACTAACGCTGACAGTTGGCCTCTGTTCAGGTAATGCAGGTTGCAGGTGCGGAGATTGATACCTTCTGCCAGCTGTGGGCAGAACGATGGTGTATATATCTTCAGGAGGAGGGTACAGGCGACTGTCGTGGGTTATTGCGGTTGATCCTCTTTGAAACTCATCTAACACACCCTCCTAATAAAATTCCAGCGCTCTACCATCACTCAATACTATATCTTATCTCCGAAACATCGCCCTACAATCACCATGGGAAACGAGGATAATCGCTTTCATATCAAATTCTTGTTTGAGGACTTCGAGAGAAATACCACGACCTCAGATTGGGCCAACCAGCTCTTGAATCATATCAAAGAGTATGAATCCTGCTTCATTAAGAGCATTACGCACGTCAAGAATCTGAACTGCCCTGTCCTCCACGAGTACCTCCAAGTGGAGGTTTTGTATCTTCCGATCAAACAAAAGCGCACGAGATTAATCGCTGAAAGGGTGAAAGACAAAGACCAAGTCATCTCTGGCAACCGAAATTGGACCTCAGGCGATGAACCCTCGCCAATGTTTTTCTCAACTTCGGGGCAAGCCGGTAGCTGGGCATCGGAAGAGCTTCACTCTGGTTCTTCATCCTCTTCTTCTGGTCATAATGGTTCTAATGTTAGTAAATCGAAACGTCCTCTTCCGCTTTACACTTTGAAGTTTGAGAGAAAACGCTTCCCAATAGTTGGCCTGGCGTTGGTGCTCCGGACTGTGTCAGAAGTACTAGGCGGGTACCACTTTCTGTACAGAAACTGCTATGTCTTTGCCAGGGTCGCATATGAATGCTGTAAAGAATTATATGGTGGCACTCAAAAGAAAAGGAAATTTGGTTCATGGCGAGGGGCTAACCTCGCGCTCCTCTCGCCAAAAACAGACGCCGATGTAAGTAAGCTTCCGAGGGAGGGCAACCAATCCAATCCCTTATCTATCATTGCTAACGACTCTGTAACAGGTATATGCAAAGCAATTTGAAAAGTACATGAAGAAGATTGACGACAGATCACAAGATGTCCAAAAATGTAGGGAAGAAAACACACCGCCTATCCCCATAGCCATTTCTGATGACAAGGTATCTATCAATATTACATACTCTACCTGGACCGATTAAAACTAATTGTTATTGTCATTTCTATGATGTGAAGGTCAACTTTTTCGAATTGATCTTTATGTCTATCGATGACCTGGTTGATGAGGTGGTGAGAAAAGTACGGATTAGTCCCGGTGCCGTTTCCTGCAGATTCCGGAGCCCTACCGGCCAACTGGGATAAACTATGCTATCCGAAACCTGGAGAGCAAGCAGACATCCCATTGCATAGCAGCTGTACTTTGTGGCAATCTGAATGATGATATCGCACACCACATCTACACCAGGCGTCGTGATTGGAACTGTTAGTGCCGGCCGTGCTGTGACAGAGGAAAAGACCGGATTATGTGTGGCCATTTCACACCTTAGTTCGATACTTTTAGCTACCTACTCCCATGATATAGTGCATTTGACCTAGTCTCATCTTATTTATATGAAAATGGAAATAGTCAGGCTTTGACACCTCAAGTTAAGATATAAATGTAGCTCTCATCTCTAATAGCTGGGCTACTGAGAAGCAAGCAATCTCAGCTTTACTTTCTTCAATCTCCCTCACTCTGAATTGCAAAGACTAAGTCCAAAACAACAGGAAAATTGATTGGGACAGTTTTGTTCAAGAATCTGACTGGCGTCTTTTCGGCGATTTTGGCGCTGCAGCCTGGATCTTGTCACTCCCGATATGCCAGATTTATTTCTTACATGTATATTGAACTGTGTTATTGGTATAGATAGTCAGATATAATATCCGCTAATAATGGTACTTAAATGGAAGATGACCGATAATGCAGGCATTGATGGTAGGCGAAAGCCCTCGTCGCTATCGTAACTATAGCCAGGAGCCTCCGCAAAGCACAACAGGTCTTCATCTTGCAGCAAAGCTTGGGCTTAATGGCATGGTAGCAGCTTTTATACGAGCAGAAAACGACTTAGACGTGAAGGACTCATATGGACGGACTCCGCTTTCATGGGCAGCTGAGAATGGGCATGAAATCGTGGTGACACTACTTCTTGAAACCCAAAGAGTCAACCCCGATTCTGAATCAAAGTCCGGAAGAACCCCACTCTCTTTCGCGGCGGAAAATGGTCACGCAATGGTAGTAAAACTGCTGTTTGAAACTGGGAATGTGAACCTAGAATCCAGAGATAAAGCCGACGACGTGACACCACTGTCATGGGCCGCACGGAGAGGACATTTGGATGTGGTATTCTGGCTCCTTAGGAATACCCAAGTTGACCCAGACTCAAGGTGTAAGCTGGGACAAACCCCACTTTCCTATGCTGCACAGCATGGCCATGAGATGGTGGTGATGGCTCTTCTTAACAACAAAGATGTGGACCCAGATTCCCGATCAATTGCTGGACGAACACCCTTGTCCTACGCTGCGGAGAATGGCCATGAAGTGGTGGTAAAGACGCTGCTCACATCCAGTCGCGTTGAATTGAACTCCAAAGACTCCATCTACGGCCAAACGCCATTATGGTGGGCAGTCTGGAAAGGACATGAGGCGATAGTGCGACTGCTCCTCATGAATGACCAGGTCGATGTGAATATCAAGGACTTGATCAATAAGTCGACGCCGCTAGGATGGACAATGTCTAAGGGCCACGCCTCCATCATAAATCTTATTCTTGAAAGGAATGATGTTGAAGTCGATTACAAGGCCATTTTTAGGGGAACTCCATTATCAAATGCTGCGTCCATGGGAGACAAACAAACAGTGAGGGCTCTTTTGGAAAAATATCCTGACACAGAACTAGTGGGCATGGACCGATATGCACTACTCCCATGGGCTGTAAAGAATGGATATGAGCAGGTCGCCGAGTTACTCCTTCGAAGAGGCGCTGTGGCAGACTCAACATCCATTATTATTAAAAACTTCGAATCATGGATTTCCACAACAGACTGTGAGACACCAATGTTTCTAGCCATAGAAAACGGAAATCGGGATATGGTGAGAGTCCTTCTTAAGCATGGTGCTTCAGTCCATTCGACTAATAATCAAGGACAAACACCACTATTACTGGCCATAATCAATGGAAATGTGGACATTGCGAAAGTCCTTTCCGATCATGACGCCCCACTGGATTCCATCAATCAGACGCACAGTCTGGCAGAATTGCAATGGGCTATAGAGAATGGACATCATAGTAAAGCTGAGAAACTTCTTGAATATGGTGCATTTGTGGATTCCATTGATCCCTATGGGTGTACACCACTGCTGCAGGCTGCAAAGAATGGACACCAGGACTTAGTGGAAACACTCCTTGAGCATGGTGCATCTGTGGATTTTATTGATCCTCATAGGTATACACCACTCACATGGGCTGCTCAGAAAGGACACCACGGTATAACTAAGAAACTTCTTGGATATGGTGCATCTGTGGATCCAGCTGGTTCTGGATATACACCATTACAAAGGGCTGCTTGGAATGGACATTGGAACACAGTAAAAATACTGCTTGAGCATGGTGCTTCCGCAGATGGAATTTATACAAAAGATGGCTCGTCACTACTCCAGTTCGCTGCTCGGATTGGAGATGAAGATATGGTGAAAACACTTCTAAATCATGGTGCATCTGTGGATTTGGCCGACAATAATTACTATGCACTGCTAGAAATTGCTGGTGCAAAGGGACATCAGGGTGTGATTAAAATACTGCTTGAGCATGGTGCTGCAACAAGATTCAATCATGAAGGGTCTGAATATTGGGAGTATTTGAAGAATTTGTTTTCGGAATTTGATACTGAAGATGATGTATAAAAGCCCACCAGATGGAAATTTGTATATAATGATAGCCTCTAGATGATCCATTACTGATCTACCTCGCTTGAATCTGTCAGACGTTGTACTTGGAATGGAGAGGAAGTATAATATGATGAAGCGCGTAGTATCAAACACACCAAACATATAAAAACGACAAAAACATACGACAGCAGGGATGGTGGTCACCCACCCAACTAATAACCGGCGTGGGGGCTTGAATGTGGTCAAAGCCTACCTAAAAAAATCATTTCTCGTTACGGAGAAGTATACCCTCAGTAGAAATTCAATCAAAAAGGTCAATGTGATTTGGCGGGGGCATAAAGAGATATAATACAAAGATAAGCTCAAAACCAACTTGAAACAATTATTCACCGACTACAGGCTCTGATATGCCATCGAAGAGAGATCCTGAATCACCATCAGGTCATGTAGCCCGTTTTCTCGAATAGTCAAATGCGGAATCCCCCTCATCATTTCCAGCGCTCCTCGCTGTTTCTGCTCTTGTAATGACACAGCTCGAACCTGCAATCTGTCCCGGATGACCTCTGGCGCCAACTGAGAGTAATGTCTGAGTCGCGCAACAGCCGTTCGAAATCCCTGAGAATAAGGATCGTTGAACTTGCACATTCCCCGATGATCCGCCGCGATGCCACAGCGCTCGGTATTGTCGAGAATCGGCGCCGCGCTCGTCTCTTCTACGATGTAATCCCTCGTGTACTTGAGATCTGTCTTCTCCTGCTCCCAGAAAAAAGCGATGTGGAAGTTTGACATGAGCGGGGTGAATTGGTCGGTGATGTTCTGCAGAATTTCGGATTCCTGTTCGAGGGCTTTGACGAGACCGGATTCTACGTCTATGGCTCGCTTGGGGGTGGAGATGGACACGAGCTTTTGGAGACTGCGTAGGAGGCGGGCTTTGCTTGAGCCGTGGTGTGGGGTGCCGAAGAAGAGGATGCCGAATGTGCAGGTGTAGATGGAATGGATGTGGTTGAGCTTTACGGTGCTGCGGCTTTCAGCGTATGCGAGCGCCTGAGCAGTGCTGGTCAGCATTTCAGTATAGGAGCCGTAGTATGGGGAATTACCCTCTTCACGATGATGCCTCCTAAGGAATGGCAGATGAAAATGATTGGCCTGTGAGTTGCATCTTCCAGCTATGTTTACAGAGTTAGTACGATGTAAAACCAGAATAACACCATCACCCTACCTCTCTATCAGCCTGTAGTTGATGCACCAAAGTGGTAGCATGCTGCAGCACTCGATCGGAGCTCGTCGATTGCCCCGTCAAGTTGGAGATATTTGCATTGTAACCCCACGATAGAACTCGACAGCGTTTGACGTATTTTGGCAGAAAGTCGGGATGATTCAACCAGCAGGTTTTGTCTCCGTCCGTTGTCCAAGTATTGATGGCGTGACCATTGAGTCCATGGACGGCCACGATACTGCATTGTTTAGCTTAATGTTTTGGTTCACAAGCTCATTGGACATACTCTACTTCTGGAGTCTCCTTTGAACAATATAACTGTCGGATACCCAACGGCTGCTCGGGAATCTCGACAGACACTTTGGAATTAGGCCGGAAGATGGGGATTGTTTTCATCTTTGGATGCTGAGAAGTGTTAGGATTGAAGAGGAAATGAATTGGGATAACTACTTTTGTGAACGGAGAAGATATACCAAGGGCGATCGCCATTTATGGCTGGCAAGGCCAACATGGTCGAGGGCGTAGGCAGAGAAATTGTACACCATCAACAATAGGCTTGGAAAGCGCTGATCACCACTTCAGCTTCAACCCTCGCCCTTTAATTTTCAAAGACCCAGCGGCTAACGGGACCCTGGTACAATCCATTGGTTGAGCTGGTCCGTTGTTTATCATGTGGCGAACCGCTGCAGGGATATCAGACTGGATGCATGAACACAGCCACCCACAACCCTGGCAGGACGATGATCGGTGATTTTCTTTTTTGGAGGGCGCTGATTCTGCAAATATGGTAGGATAAAAGTTCCCCAGAAAAGGCCAATAAATTTACTTATAGCACCAGCGAGAAAAAGAGAGATATCAGTTTTGGCCTATGACATTCGGTTGGTCTAAGCTTATAAACCTATACAATTCAGCTAGATTGAAGCTCAACCTTACAGCCATCTGCACTTGACAGGACAAGAGTCAGCTGTTGCTTCTCACTCCCCGGAGGCTCATTAGGCTCATTCTCGGGCAATCGGATATGAGGAAATTGCTGTAAAAGCCTGACAACCGTATACGAAACCTCCATCAGAGCAAAGTCCTCTCCCAGACACTGTCGGGGACCACCATTGAATGGAAAGAAAGCCCAGCCGATGTTTGCGCCCTCCTCCCCTTCCCATCTCTCGGGACGAAAATCGTCCGCATCAGCACCGTAGATGTTCTTCTTTCTAGAGTTGACATATTGCGAAAATACCACCAGTTCACCTTTCCGAACTAACATAGGGCTTTCTCCATCCGGGCCACCGCCGGTGGGGAGGATCGTGGTGCGAATCGCCTCACGATTATTAAGTGGGACTGGAGGATATAGCCGCAGGCCTGAAAGGTTTTTTGTTAGTCTTGCCATACATCGATAGGTAGCACGATGTGGTACTCACTCTCTTTAATTACTAGAGCGAGATATGGCATTTTTCGGATCTGTTCTCGAGTTGGATGTGCTTGATCTCCTATGACGGACTTGACTTCCTGCTGGAGACGTGACATGACATTTTCATGACGGACAAGAAGACGGCTAAATATCAAGGTGGTCAGTACTAGACAATAACTTCCCGAGTAGATCGACTGAAAGACGTACAATGTCCAAGATAAACAACATGCGGTAGTATCTCTCCCAGCCAGCAGAACATTGAGGAGCTGATTCCGGAGATCTTTTGTTGTTGGCGACTCCGCTGCAATCTGTTTAATGAATCCATAGCATCGCTCTTCTGAGCTGGACTCATCGTGGAGGTCTAAATTATCGATGTATCTTTCCACAAACCGGTGTACCTCCGAACAGGCTTTCTGGAAGGACGAAGGGTTATAGAAGCAATGCCACGGTGCAATTCGGAAACGTTTAGCAAGACCCTCCTGAGCGACGTTGAAGCTCTCCGCAAAAGCCTGGTTTTCCATATCCTGGTCGATCCCTGCTCTCAGGCTGTAGATCGAGCTACCAAAGAGCAGCGCAGTTGCCGTATCCATGGTGAGATTGAAGAAGAGTGGTTGCAAGTCAACAACGCCGGTAGAAGGCAGACAGGCGATCAGATTATCGACATGCTCACGGAAGTGGTCCAGGTTCTGATACTGCACTCGAATGAATTGTTTTCGGAGGAGATCTCTCGAGTGCTTCCAGGCTGGCCCCTCTTGGGTGAAGATTCCCTGGCCCAATAATGGTGCGAAAATGTCAGGTCTTACGCCAAACCCATAATCTGCGATGGAAATTAGAGCTGTCGATACTATTCTCGCAATTGTCTGGTCGCACCTTTGAAGTTCGTAGAAAGAATGGCTTCGACATTTTTTGGGTGTAGGATATGAAATGCCCGAGGACCGAATAATAAATATTGTGTGAGGTTATTCCGGGGCTCATAGTCCTTTGCAACAGAGCAGAGAAACGCAAGAAGACGACCTTCGGCGTTGGAGTCCCATAGTTCTTTTATGCGATCGATGCCCAACGGCCATCGCTTTGGTAATTCTGGCGGCAGCTGGCATCCATGCTGGAGGCCGAATGCCGTGTCTCTCTGAAGATATAGGTTAGAGCCTGGTACTGTGGTAAATTATACACGATCACATACTCTGTACTCGAAATATCGTTGGACAGCCGAATAGAGGAGATGAGCAACATAACCAGCCGCTAAAATCTGAAGCCAGTATTTGGGGGCAACGAGGCGATTGTGAAATTCCCCGGTGACACCACCAGACACCTCAACACGGTCCATACTTTATGTTCTGGACGACGTAGAGTAAGTGAGAAATAGAATCAAAATAAAAAGAGAGTCCTCCCTCTCGCCTAATACCGCTGTCGTATTTCTAATCCCCCCAACTGCGAAAGACACGTCGAGTCGCAGGGGTGATGCCATCCCGTCACATTTAGGCGCCGGACTAGCCGCCCGCTAATGCAGAGCGAACCGCCTACAGCACGGCTGAAACAGCGTACAAATGACTGACCGAGGATGAACCGGATCAGGTTTATTTCCCCGCTGAAAGATGGGGACAATGCTGGCTTTAAGCCTTTGTGACCCATTCTGTCTTGATTCGAGAAAGCGAGGGGGATTACTCTATCTCACCGCCACTGAGAGCTCATCTGAAGCTTTTTCTGTCTCCATCCTGGATCACTAGAGAATATGTCGTCCGGCCTGCGTACCCTTTATCAACCAACCGTCATCAAGTTATATGAGGAGGACGATAATACTGATAGGGGTGTGGAGTAAGAAACCGTCTATTTATTCAGACAGCTTCCACTTCTGAAAAAAAGGAGTGACTAATTTCCATCAAACTTCAGTATAGTAGCTGTTCATGGAGTGGGTGAAGATTCCATCATCGCCTGGACAGATCTGGACACAAGGACTCTCTGGCTGAAAGATCTTCTGCCAGAGAGTCTCCCCTTCGCACGCGTCTTGACATTCGGCTATCAATCCGAACCGGCATTCTTTCGTGGCAGAGGATTTGTGGAAAAGATCCAGGGCCATGCGACAACACTGGTCGCCGCTTTGGAAAGCGACAGACGTTTGGGAAACCACGAGCATCGGCCCATCATCTTTCTTTGCCATGGAATTGGGGGGATCATCGTGAAACAGGCCCTCGCATATTCAGCCCGTCAAACCTCGCCCCACGTCGGCCACCTCAGCTCGATCTTCATCTCAACCTGCGCGATTCTCTTCTTCGGGACCCCCCACAGCAGCCGGCAAACATGGGACGATGACAGAAGAATAACAGAAGCCATAATAAGCCGCATCAAGAGCAAGAGCCAGCATCATTTCTCGTGGCTCACCGACATCGACGGACTGGAAGTCATCAATGCCCAGTTCGCGCCCCTGATCAAGAAATTCCGTATTTTCTTTTTCTGGGAACAGCGACCGACCCATGCCGGGGGGTCTGCGCAGTTTGTTGTTGAGCAATCCTGCGCAGCCCCAATTATCGACGACACCCAGCACTCGGGAATCGATGCTACACATGCGGGTATGATCCGTTTCCCGGGACCAGAGTCGCCGGGGTATCGAGTCGTGTTGAGCGCGTTGATGCTATACTGTCGAGAGGCACCTGATATTATCGCGCACCGACGGGAAGCTGCCCGCGACGCACTGGCACGTGCTCGCGCCCAAGAAGCATTCGAGCTGATGGGTGTCCCCTTGAAGATTCCAGACCAGCGCTCTCTGCCCCAAGAACCAGGAATACCAAAGCATGTCCCAAACACCTATTTCGACCATCGCCTTCAATCAAATGAGCAATTCTTCGGTCGAGGGGATGCTTGTGGTATCATACAAAACGCCCTGTTTCAACCAGAGGCAAGCATCGGGTGCCACAGGATATTTGTAGTTCATGGAATGGGAGGCTCAGGGAAAACACGGCTGTGCTCAGTATTTGCCCAGCAGAACAAACATAGGCATGTCCTTTTTCCGGGAAGATGAAACTATCAGTGCATAGGCTGACAATCTCAAGGTATTGGGGCGTTTTCTATGTCGACGCTACCTCAGTCGAAATAGCAAATCAATCCTTTGGTAGGATCGCGGAACAGGGTGGACTGCAACATACAGAAAGTGCCGGGAGGTACTTTCTTTCTCAATCACCGCACCCATGGCTTCTCATCATCGACAACGCGGACAGAAAAGACCTTGAAGTTCAGGGCTTCTTCCCTTCTGGCAATCGTGGCCACATTCTCATTACAACAAGGAATCCCAGCTTGCGCAAGTGGGGGAACGCAGGACACATTGCGCTCAAGGGACTCAAGCAGGAAGAGGCACTCCAGCTTTTGCTCAACCGGGCAGGTATCTGCAAGCCGTGGGATACTTCAACGGAAAGTGCAGGGCAGAAGGTCATCCGAGCATTGGGATATCTGGCGCTAGCCGTCACCCTGGCGGCAGATGCCATCTACGAGAGAGCTTGTCAATTGACGGGGTACCTGGACTTTTATGATTACCATCGAAGAAAACGCTGGCAGAGGCAGCAAGAGGTGGACGCGACCCGTGATGATGTCCTCATTTACTCAGCATTCGACGTGTCCTTGGAGCATATACAGATGAAGACAACGACAGCCAGCAAGGACGCTGTAGAGTTACTGAGCATTGTCAGCTTTTACCACTTCGATCAGATACCGGTTTCTATCTTCAGCCAAGCGATTATCAACCTACACAAAGCCGAGGCAGCCAAAAAGCCAGATGGGTCAGCTTCCTGGTGGCGGCATGCTGTCTGGAAGAGATATCAGTCATCCCACGCTCCTCTCCCACACTTTCTGCAACGATCATTGGAGCATCCGGAACCGCAGTGTATTGAAGAGGCCCTCAGCGAGCTCTACCGAGTATCACTAATATCGTATGATAGTAATCAGAATCTGACCTTCTCGCTGCATCCTTTGGTCCATACCTGGGCACGAGATCGTATCCACCCAAATGACAGAGCAGAATGGGCTTCCATTGCGTTGAATACACTGGCACATTCACTGCTTTTGCCGTCAGACCCAAAAAGTGGCTCCCAGGCAGAATTCCAAAAAGCGATCTATTCTCATCTGAACGAAAATCTCAAAGAATGCCCCATCACAATCACGCAATTCGAGGGTCTTTTCGGAAAATTTCAACTCATCTATGCCACTGTCTTTCAACCGTCCGCTCTCGCCCTTTTTCAGGAGCAAATTGCCATGGCAGTTAAATATACCCACCTCTACGCTGTGACGGGTAGGTTCAAAGAAGCGGTGTACTATTTATCAATGGTCAAAAATGTCCTGGTCCAGGTCGTCGGCTATAATAATGACAAGACAGTGTTAGTAATGTTTTTTCTCAGCAAGATACTCTGGGGACTCGGTCGGTTGGAAGAAGCAATTTCAATCCAGAAACATGTCGTTGAATACCGGACTCGAGTCTTGGGGCCTGAGAGCCGTGAGACGCTGCAGGCAATGGATCACTTGTCAAATTGCTACTGGTTGCATGGTCAGTATTCTGAAGCCCTTCATCTGCAAACCGTAACTACAGAGCAAATGAAGAAGAGTCTCGGGCCGCAGGACAAAGACACTCTAGGTGCATTGGATACACTCGGCACCATCCTCGGATCATGGCACCGCTTTCAAGAAAGCAGAGAGGTTCACCAAAAGGTCTTAGATGCACGGGAAGCAGCCAAAGAGGCGAATGTTCTCGATGTTCTCACCTCCAAATGCAATTTGGCCATGGCAATGATGGGCCTGGGTCTCGCGGAAAAGGCACGTGGCATTCTACAGGACGTCTTCGAACAGCGGAAACAACACCTGGGCAAAGAGCATCCTTGGACTCTTTGGGTCCTGTGCTACTTAGCTAAAGCTTATATAAAACTTGGCCGGCTGACTGATGCGGAAGACATTTTGATCGAAGGTATTGCTGCAGCGAGGCGGGGGCTTGGGGATGATCATCTAGGTGTTCTGTTGGGCCGTGGAGCTCTTGCCCGTGTATACGCTCGCCAGGGGAGGCTTGAAGAAGCAGAGGAGATCAGTTTGGATGTTTTTGAAAGGGTTACATTCTCACGTGGTCCCTTGCATCCCGATTGTGTCTATGCCATGTGGAAATTAGGACAGCTTTTCGAGCTGCAGAAGAATCTCCCGAGAGCCTTATCCTGGTACAATGCTGCCGTGGAACGGTCCAGCTACAGGTTGACGCGCGAGCACCCACTTGCCCAAATGGCAGTCCGTCGGGTGAAGGTCATTTCAGAAGAACTTGATATCGAAGAGACGCCATCTCATCACTCCAACGAACACGATGGCCACGACGAGAATGATGAATCTCCAAGGACTGGCACTCTGCAATCAACCCGAACCTGGTAATGGAAACCGACGTATACCATTTATATATGTATGTATGTATTTCTAAATCATATACTTAACCATCCACCAATTAATGAGGTAAGTCTATTAGCTGTACAGAGCAATCACATGCAGAGTATATACAGACTAATTGTTGTTCAACCAGAACAAGCGGTCCTTGAGTATCTAATGACACCTTTAACTGCTTCGATATACTCTCCGCCTCTCCACATTCTGGATACCCTGCAGGTCATGTTCCGAATGTATACTGAGTTGGCTGAATATTCCTTCTCGCACATATACACGACTAACTCAGTCATCTGGAGTTTTTGCTCGATTCTGATCAGTCACATCAACAGTGCTCCTGCTGTCTCCAGGCCAGGACTGACTCTCCAAATGGCATCTAAAGCCCCCCACGGGCCACGACTGGCCTGGTCGAGGGCCCGCATGTGATAGAGAGGTGGTATCACTTCCAATTCAGCTGGCTGAGACACGAGGAGATTGGAACAATCATGGCAGCCTTTCCGATCGTGACGATGATGGAAACGACCGTGTTGGGGGATGCTCTGTATTGCTAGTTGGCATAAACAATGCCGTTGATGTCGGCCAGAAATCCAATCAACAAGGCTATTCAAATGATACTAAGTAACGCCCCCCCCCCCCCAATCTCCCCCATCCATGATCCAGGTCAGTCAAAGCGTTTCTTTGACACGCTTATAACATGAACCGGCTACCTCACTACCTAATTTGTCTAATAAGTATTAGCTCTCCTAAGCACTAAGCAGATAAGCCCCCTATAGAATGCTGAATAGCTCCCCTAAGAATTATAAGAAAAGTAATTCTAGGTTAGAGCTCCTGCTGGATGTATAAAAGTACAGGCCGCAGCTGACTTTTCAGACTTCTGCCACTCTCTCCCTAATACTAGTATAAAGATCTTCTTGGATGGATCTAAGCTAGCAAATGGTATGGCAGGTGCTGACTTTGCCTTATATCAGGTTGAACACCAATTCCTTCAGTCATCCCTACCTCTTGGACCAGACAAAGAGGTTTTCCGCAGAAGCAGAAGCGGCTTTACACTTTCATATTGCTCGCTTTGCCACCGACCTGTGGGATTTCCTGGACAATCTGGAGGTGGCCACACGCCTACTTGCATCACCAACAGGCTCACCACAAGATGTCCTCAGATCCTTCCAGTCACTTACCTCGTCCTGGCCTCTCCAAGACTCCCCCATGCCAGCGAGCATCTGACACAGATCAACATCTCAGTCTTCCGGCACACTATATCGCCATCAGATATCATCAAGTCGTCCATGGGGGTAAAAGCCCTAAGTGACTGGTTGGAGATAGAATCCGACCTCCCAACACTCGAGAGAAGAGATACTGATTTGAAAACTACGTTTAGAGAAGGGAGTTACTGCTCACTGTCGTATTTGATTGTTAGTCACGGGCTCATCACTAACTTTACTTGCGAGTTATAGTCCTCGAGATCATCGCACCACTTCGCTGTTCCAAGTGACACCTGGAGAGATAGTTTCGAACGCACGGCACTTCTTAACATGGGAGGTCTACCATAGACCGAATGCTGTAGGCATTACTAATTAAACGAATATGTCAATATAATGAATCATCCCCCCATTATGTACTGTAGAGAGGTGCATAGATTGAAGTATGTCTTTTAAATGGCGGTGAGTAAAGAAGGACCCTACTATTCAATTGCTTTTAATCAGGCAGCCTCACCATGCACGTTATTTTGAAACAGAAATGGCAAGAAAACAAAGTCATTGCTGGGTATGTGGTGGGATGACAAGGCTGTGCTAGTTTCCATCATTTCTAGCAGGGACTGCGGCGTGACCGAATCAAGTACACTGGACAAGGATTGGTGGGGCTCAAGGTGGTTTTCGCTCTGACAGGGGCACTACATATTTAGTGTTCGTTGCTTGTGCAAAGAATTCCCAATAATGACACAATGGAATTTCTATCTCACCTACTGTCTACAACCTGCCATATAGGGATTGGCCTTCTTATTTGACCAGTATGTACTCACGATCACATTTTCAGTCCTTAAAAGGAGATAGCATGTCTCCTCTTAAGATAAATCACGAAACAGCATGGCGCGAGATAAAATTAATACTCAGAGAAAGAGCTGACGGGAAACCCCTGGCGAGGCTGGCCTGCAACCTACAAAGTTACAGGGGTACAGCTCCTTTACCAAGTCCAAATCAGGATATCTCAGCAGAGAGTACAAGCTATCCACAAGAAGCTAAACATTTTATTTTAGAAGAGCAATTGAGCTGGGCAACCGTGATTTCAGTTCTTTGCAATGCCTGAGGAGCGCATCTTAAAATCAGTGATACTCCCACAAAGTGTTATCGCGACCAAGGGTCAAGGCTTCCAATACCCTCTTTAACAATGATCTCACCAGCCGTGGCTATCCAAGTAGATAATTATTACTGAAATATTACTATAAATTCATGCTTCTAGATATCCCATGTGATATTCCATGGTACTTTCATTTATTCTATCATGGGCTCTTGACATCGTCCTCTCTGACCGGGGTATGAAATCCCAGCCACACTACTTTTTCTTCTTCTTTTCTTTTCTAAGACGGGTTCACGCGTTTCTCCATCGATCAAGTCGATCAAGCGGGCAAATGGATGAGCTAGTCAATGCCAGCCTATCGGATTCAAAAAATTTAGCGCCCTGTCGTATCAGCATGGGCTATCGACCCGTGCTGGAAATTCCCACGAGGCCGCGCAAGGCTGTGGGAGCTTCCCGAGCTTTATGTATCGCAAGTCCCCATAAATTAAAGCGTGGATTAACTCTACCAGTCGTCTTCCCTTCATTCCAAGTAATATGTCTAACATTAACTTTGTATGTTTACGAGAGGTCGTTGTCCCAATTGAATCTCCCCAAACCTGTGCTGCAGTGGTCTTCTCCAAGGGCTGGGAAAGGCGCTGTCGTTTTCCAGTTCAAATCGACAGGGAGAACCTTCTCAGTGCTCTCGAAAAGCTACAAGGAATTGGTACTTCTGATACCGATATTGACAAGACGCTACTTCAAATTGCCCATACGTGCCTGTGTCCACGGTGGCACAAAAAGGTCAGCATCAATGCGGTCCAACATTGGAAAGCACAACTTGACCAGACAAAGATCGTGACACCCCAGAAGAACCCAGAAACACCAACCAAGATGAAGAGTGCGGGTTCCAGACAACGCACCCCATCCAGCCTCCCACCCATTGTGTTCGAGCCTTATGAAGATAAATCCCCCGAGGACTGGAACCGTCAGATGACCGACCTTTTAAATAGGTCTCTAGGCGAGAAAGACCTTGAGAGTGGATACATCTACGCGATCAGCCATAGTTCCGCAGGAGAAGGGAAATATAAGATCGGATTCTCCAAACATCGACCGGACAAACAGCGACTCAAAACTCACGAAAAATGCTATCCCGGTCTGAGTATTCCGGTCTTCTATGAATTTCCCCGAGCCCGTCGGTTCGAACAGCTGATATTGCGGGTGCTCGGAGACAGGCGTATTCAACATACGTGCCATCGTTGCCCGGGCGGCCCAACGCAGCATACTGAATGGGTAGTTGCCAATCGACAGTACGTCAAGGAGGCTCTATATGTTTGGTCGCAACTCGCAGATACAGGATTCTATCTACCGAATGGATGTCTTAATCCGCAGTTTACACTTCCTGTTGCAAGCTTCTCGGCAGACAGCGATAGATGGATGAGGTGGGCCAAGGACCAGCTTGCAATAGATCAGCATTCGCCTTTGGAGCCATCCCCGACTCTATATGGAAGCGCCAATTTCGAGTTCGCTAGCAACGATAACTCGATGTACTTGGATGACGATGAAAATGTTCCCTATCCTGATACTCCTCTCCAGGGTAAAATATCGGACCGAAATCCAACAAGGGTCGATTTGATAACGGCTGTTGACAGACTGAGCTTGGGCTAGTAAAGGGACCATACTATCGTACAAAGGAACTCGATGAAGAACATAAGTATGCAGCAGAACAATCAATTGAGATAGGTCTGATGAGGATCAATATGTTGGAGACAGGAATATAGCTAGACTGACTAAATCTCTGATACATTGGCCATTGAGTATATATAAAGAAGACAAGCACTCAAGCACTTATATACATATGTATATAGTAATATATCATCCTAATCATTCATTACGGATAATACCATACAGCTTCATGCAATCCGGATAATTGACTTCTCGATTCCCCGAATCCCTCTTCAGCCTTGTGTGGCTGCCAATCATGTTCTTTCCTGCTGAGGGGAAATTAAAGCAAACTAATGCATCTGCATGGAGTCTTTGTTTCTTTTTGGTGGTCATTTGCCCGATTTTAATTGTCCGTGTGTTGGTCCGATCACAGCCAATAGTCCCGGCCCACTTGACCGGGTATAATTGAGTTATAAAGATGCTATGCTTGGTAGGCTTGGTATGCTTGGTATTTGCTTGGGAATTTTATATGAAGATATACACAACCAGAGAATGACAGAAATCTTAGCCATATCAAGGATATATATTAATAGCAATATGAATATTCATATACATACTCTTTAATTTATATGAGTTATTCCATCCGACAATGGGCTACAGAATGGATTGGTACATTATTTATCGTCCATGTTTCTGAGATGTCAATTCCAGGGGAGGCTGGAGGGGTTCTCAGCGAAAAGGACATCGAAATTTTGCTTGGGTCATAAAGAGAACTCGGACATAAAAGGTGCCTTTTTTGAACACTTCTAGAATCTTCAATAAGTTAGTACCAGTGTTGGAAATTCGCGGTTTAAACGTCGGGGAAATGATGGAAGAAACCAGGAAAATACATATTCTCACTAAGCTGAAAATGTGCGCAGTCACATAATTATGCTGTGTATATTTTATGGTCCACTTTGGCTAACACTTATCTTATCACCATCTCGCGATGCCAATGATAGCTCATTAATTAAGAAACTAACCAATGGCTATATTTAGATTCGACATGATCTCAATTAATTTAGTGAAAACGTCCTCAGACTCATACAAAGCAGAACTCGTCTTTTATCAAGACTGGTTGACTCGTGACGAGGTTCCGGAGCACCATTAGTCCAGATGATAACTAGCCATGTACAGTATTTCACAGGTGTATTGGTTATAAAACTTAGAAATAAAAAACGTAGAAACCTGGATTAAATCTGTTTAGAATATGTCAAAACACAAAAAAAAACACAACAGCTGTTGGGACACCACTCCAGGTCAGGTGACTCACTGGGCCGAAAGACTGCCATATTAAGTGCCGATATGCCTGGAAACAATATATATAGTAGCGCACTGTGTTTGACCAGTCTTAACACAGGAAATAATGGCTTGATTCACCTAAACGGAGTGGCGTGGACCGGTCTGTTGCTTAGATAATGTTTTACAGCCAAACCGTGGTTGATGTCTCAAATTTATACATAAAAAAGCACAGCGGTGGACCCACGTCTCAGATCCACGGCTCATCTTCTTCCACCGAAGAATTTTCAGTGTTCTGGAATTTTTCTTTCTTGGTCGCTTCCAGACTGCAGCATCGGAGATTTTTTGATTCAATAATTATGTATATATTGTTCAATATCACTGATAAGGGCGCGGGCTAGATCCCACCGGTGCCGCCACAGGATAAGCCTTTGGATGGTCATATGTAGAGTAGAACATGGAGGGGTGCGCACTGCGTCAGTGAGGTGGGCTTGACTAGGAGTAAGGGCCAGATTGATGCATCCATATCCACAGCATCCAATCAGTCCACCGGGATATCGTGTTCTTAATATAGCTGGGAACTGATGTCTTGGAAAGCAGGGCACTTGCTGCCCCACCGCATAGGAATTATCAACGGTGGTATGGTGTTATCATCAAGCAGCTGCACCCTGGTACTGACTCTTTTGCCTCCGGTCTTCCGGTCTTTCGATTGTTCGATGGTTAAAAATCTTTCAGCGTTTGCTTTTGCCCAGTCCTTCGTTCTGCTGGCTTTCATTCTTCTTTCTTTCTCAATCTTTACCTCTTCCATCGTTTGACCTTCACACTCTCATTCGCTGGAGTCTAGGCATGTCGAATTCATTCCGTCCACGATTCACGGAAACTTGAATCGTTCTACCCACCGGAATCTCCTCGAGATGCAGCTCTCATTATTCCTCATTCTATCATGGACTGCCAGCGTCGTGTGTTGGCCCTACGATGAGTCGCTCGTTGACTACAACCTGAACGAGAATCGATCGGCAGAGTCGCCGATCGATTACTGGGGCGAATGGCCCGATCATGACTATCACCCGTCCCCGGAGAACTGGCGGTTCCCCGTGTATACGATCTTTTTGGACCGCATCGCCAACGGCGATCCCACAAACGATGATATCAACGGCACCTCCTACGAACATGTGATCAACTCGAACCAGATGCGCCATGGTGGTGACTTGCTGGGTTTGGTCGATACACTGGATTATATCAGGGGCATGGGATTCAAGGCCATCTATTTTGCTGGGACGGGATTGATGAACCTTCCCTGGGCGTATGATGGCTACTCGCCCACTGATACGACACTGCTTGACATGCATCTCGGGACGTTGTCGGATTGGAGACGCACTGTGTCTGAGATCCACGACCGGGACATGTACGTGATTATGGACAATACGCTGGCAACGTAAGTGCTTCAAATTCTTTGTCTGCCAAATCTGAGCTAACGAGTGCAGCCTGAGCAACCTGATCGGCTTCAAGGGCCACCTCAACGATTCCGCCGATTTCAACCCCCGGGAATACGAGGCGCAATACATCACTGAGAGAGAGTATGCGGATTTCAAATTCGGAAACGATTACAATGAAACATGCAACTATCCCGGATTCTGGAACGAAGATGGTTATCCGCTCACCACTGATGGCGTACAGGACCTGAAAGGCTGCTATAACAGTGATTTCGACCAGTATGGTGAAATCGAGGCCTTTGGCAACTTTCCCGATTGGCAGCGTCAATTGACCAAATTCGCCTCGGTGCAGGATCGGCTGCGAGAATGGCATAAGCCGGTTCGCGATGTCATCATCCAGCATTCATGTATCCAGATTGCGAGTTTGGATATTGACGGGTTCCGCTTTGACAAGTCTGTTCAAGCGACCGTTGAGCCGCTGAGTGAGATGCTGGCTGCATACCGTGACTGCGCGAAGCAGTACGGCAAGGACAACTTCTTTCTGCCCGGAGAGATTACCTCTGGGAATGATTTTGGCAGTATCTATCTCGGCCGTGGTCGCCAGCCAGACCAGCGTCCGAAAGATGCAGGCACTGCTGTCAAATTGAGCAATACGTCCGACTCCAATTTCCTCAGAGACGAGGGGTATGAAGCGTTGGATGCGTCTGCGTTTCACTATACGATCTACCGTTCCATGACCCGGTTCCTGGGCATGGATGGTAACTTGGTTGCTGGGTTTGACTTGCCGACTGACTTTATCGAAGCGTGGAACCAGATGTTGGTCACCAACGATATGCTCAATGCGTTTACTGGTGAACTGGACCCAAGACACATGTATGGTGTCTCCAACCAGGATAACTTCCGCTGGCCGGCTGTGAAAAACGGCACCCAGAAATATTTGTTGGGTCTATACATTGTCACGCTGGAACTTCCTGGCATTCCGCTGATTCTCTGGGGAGAGGAACAGGCCATGTATGTATTCGACGCCACAGCCTCGAATTACCTGTTTGGTCGACAGCCCATGACCTACCAGACGGCATGGTGGATGCATGGCTGCTTCAATCTCAACACCTCGAAGTTCTACGACTTTCCCAACGACAAAGGCCTGAACGGATGCAACGATATTACCGTCACGTATGATCAGCGGAACCCTGCGCACCCACTGCGCAACATCATGAAGCGGATGTTTGAGATCCGAGACCAATATCCTGTCGCCAATGATGGCTTCTATCTGGAGACCATTTCCCAGCTGACCAAGGATGTTTATCTGCCTGGTTCATCGGTCACTCCCACCGTTACTGGTCTGTGGTCCGTCAAGCGAACCTATTTCCCTGGTGTGCAGAAAGGCAACGGGACACTCTGGCTCGTGTATCACAATGGCAACCAAACCAAGACATACGGCGGCAGCTGCAGCAAGACGAATGGCTCCTTGCTGGCCCCTTTCAAATCATCCACGAAGCTGAAGAATGTTTTCTATCCGTACGATGAGCTCACGCTGGGGGAAGGCCCGGACGACCAAAACAGCACGACCTACGGTTGCGTGAAGAACATGACGCTCTATCCATGGGAATACCGGGCATACGTCGAGGCCGACAGCTTTGTTGAGCCTGGTCCAACGGTGACGGATTTTACTCCCGGCCATGACACGCGCTTGCTGTCAGCGGAAGACACCAAGCAAACTATAGATATTTCGCTAGGCTACTCCAAAGAGATGGATTGCGATGGTGTTACGAAAGCAATCTCCCTCAACTCCACGACAATCAAGGGCGTAACCGCTTCTCTGGACACCTCCAGCGTCAACTGCACCAAGGTCACCGCACGCACAAGCAGCCATAACTATGTCGGCGAGATCCCCACCGTGTGGACGTGGTCCGCCAAGCTGAACAATGTCTATCATGGAATCCATCAGGTGAACGTCAAGAACGTGACCTCCCTCGCTGGCGTCCACACCGATGCTGTCGACCGGTTCTTGTTCAGAGTCGGTACACCAACCAACCCGCTTATCTCTCCCCTCGCCAACTATACGACAAGCCTGGTGCACAAATCCGATAAGGATGAGATCTTCGTGAGCCACGAGGCGACCGGAGCGGACAGCTTCCGATACTCGACGGATTTCGGCCGCAGCTGGTCCAACTGGACGACATATGACGGGAGCAACACGACGATCGATTTCCCCGCCTGGAAGGGCACCAAAGCCCAGAAATGGAAAGGAACACATGTGCGGGTGCAGTATTTCTCGAGACTCACTGGCAGCAGTGACTACATCCAGGAGGGTGATTACGACTGGGAAGACGGGGATTCATCGCGACGATTCCCGCATCTGTGGTGGAACGGCCCGTATAATCAATACGGTTATGATGCTGGGCTGGATGCCAACATGCGGTATGACACCAACACGCAACGGTGGATGTACGATTTCGTCTATGAGTGGCCGTCAGTTGGACAGGTCAGTGTTTGGGGAACAGGAAGTGATGGAGTCCCAGACGACACCGAGGTCTATGGAGATGTGGGCAACTCGTCTGTGCTGCTGAAGCTGGCTCCGTCGTATCTCTCGTCTAATGTCATCAATATCACCGATCCTCCTCCATTCCCGCATCTTGGTTGGACGATCTCGCTCAATGACGGCAACATGAGATATGAAATGATTCCCGTCGGGTCGGGATGGGCTCAACTGGTGCTTTTTGTTCTTCTCTGGGTTGTCCCCATCTTGATGGGATTGGCTGGTGTTTTCATCTTCATTCGATCCTTCTACCGCGTGAAACACAACACGGACGGGAATGTGGTCAAGGAAGACAAGCTGCCCCTACTGGTCTGGCGTAAGGTCAAGGGGCAGTTCACCAGGGAAGACGATTCGGACGGGGCATCTGAGGTGACCGTGAGCCCTGGCATGGCCATCGCCGGGGCCGCTGAACAACGACGCACCGTTCTCATCGCCACGATGGAATACGATATCCAAGACTGGGCGCTCAAGGTCAAGATTGGTGGTCTCGGAGTCATGGCGCAATTGATGTCTCAAAATCTCAAGCATCAGAACCTCATTTGGGTCGTGCCCTGCGTGGGTGATATTGATTACCCCGAGGATACACCCACTGAACCTTTCGTAGTCAGCATCTTGGACAAGCCATACCTGGTCAACGTGCAGTATCACCAGGTTGATAATATCACTTACGTCCTTCTCGATGCCCCTGTTTTCAGACAGCAAACCAAAGCAGAGCCGTATCCCCCGAGGATGGACGATCTCGACAGTGCCATCTACTACTCCGCATGGAACCAATGTATCGCGGAGACCATGAAGCGTTTCCCGGACATCAACCTCTACCACATCAATGACTTCCACGGTTGCTTGGCGCCGCTTTACCTGCTTCCGCAGCGAACCATTCCCGTCTGTCTGTCTTTGCACAATGCAGAATTCCAGGGTCTCTGGCCCTTGCGAACCCAGCAGGAGAAGAAGGAGGTGTGTTCGGTCTTCAACCTGACCCCCGAAGTCGCTACGAAATACTGTCAATTTGGAACTGTTCTCAACCTCCTCCACACTGGTGCGAGTTACTTGCGCTTCCATCAACGCGGCTTCGGTGCAGTGGGTGTGTCGAAGAAGTATGGCAAGCGCTCATGGGCGCGGTACCCGATCTTCTGGAGTCTGGACAAGATTGGCAGTCTTCCCAACCCCGATCCCACCGACACGGCAGCTTTGGAGAACGACCCGAACATGCAGGTTCCTGTTCAGTCTTTAGAAGAGCGAGTTAATGAAAAGCTGCAGGCACAGAGATGGGCTGGTCTCAATGAGGACCGCGACGCAGACTTGTTGGTCTTTGTCGGGCGATGGTCGAAGCAAAAGGGCGTGGATTTGATTGCGGATGTCATGCCGGCCGTCCTCTCCGCCAGACCTCATGTGCAGTTGATCTGTGTTGGCCCTATCATTGACCTTTATGGTAAACTGGCTGCGATTAAGCTGGAGCGTATCATGGCCATGTTCCCTGGCCGCGTGTGCTCTAAGCCAGCGTTCACGATTCTCCCACAGTACGTATTCTCTGGAGCCGACTTCGCTCTCATCCCATCCAGAGATGAGCCATTCGGTTTGATTGCCGTTGAGTTCGGCCGCAAAGGCGCACTGGGAATTGGGTCTCGCATTGGAGGTCTGGGCCAGATGCCTGGCTGGTGGTATACTGTAGAATCCGATGCGACGCGCCATCTGCTGCACCAGCTGCGAACCGCCATCAAATCCGCGCTGGACTCGTCCGCAGAAACGCGTGCGGACATGCGAGCCAATTCAGCCAAACAGCGATTCCCCGTGCTGGAATGGACGCAGAAGCTGGAAACCTTGCAACGAACGGCGATTCACATCCATCATACGAAGAATAAGAACACCGTGGGTGCCCCGGCCCCAGAGCCCCAGAGCTACTGGGAAACGCAGCACGTTCGACACTCGTCGCTGAACTTGCCTGGAGTGTCGCGTTCTGGAGCGGACAGCCCGAGTCTTCGACAATCGACCATCATGCAGCACACTCAGTCGCGTCTTCAAGAAATACAGGCAGCTGAAGGAAACCGGAACAGCAGTCTGAACAGAAAACTGTCTCTGGGTCGACGATCTGGTCCGGGTCGGAGGCGAAACCGTTTGAGCAAGGCGCCGCCCCTTCCGGCTGGGGGGCAGATAGTGGACGACACCACCGATGCTGAAGATGACGATAACGGCGGGCAGGAAGACTACATCACCCCCGAGGAGGCGATGAGGGCTGTCAACACACTCGGCTCGCACGATGCTAGCGGCTCGCAGGATATCAGTGACTCTCAAGGACACAGCACGCGAGAGTCGTACCTTTCTGTACCGGGTTCACCGTCTCGATCTTCGTCTCCAGGGCAGCTCACGCCCCCCGAATTTCCATGGGGCGCTCACTCGCGAAATATCTCTGTTCTCTCGTTGCCTTCGGTCGTGGCGGATCACAATCAGCCTGTCTTCGAGCTGCAAAAGGTCGACCCGACCTTCACAGACAGCATGGGTCACTTCACCAAGCGCTTCGAAAAGCTCTTGGACAATCTCAACAAGAAGAATTCCATCACTGATTACAGTATCGAGACCTATTTGATGAAGAGCGAGCGCAAGTTCTACGACATGTACACGGATGTGCAGTTGAAGAAACGGCCCGAGTCTCAAGCATCCCCCTCGCCCACTTCGGACGCCTTCCCTGGCGATGCACAAGAGACCAGCGGGGGTTCCGGCTCCAATGACCCGGATGAAATCGACCTGTGGCTTTCTCGTCTGGGGTACAGACGGCCGATGTTCATCGAGCGATTCATGCGACGGAGGATTGGCACTTGGCCCGTTTACGCCCTGTTCCTGGGTCTGGGTCAGATCATCGCCACCAACTCTGCTCAGATTACGCTCTTGGTCGGCCAGGTAGGTGAGACCGCAACCAAGGTGTACGTGATTGCGGCCATCTATTGTCTCTCGTCGATTGCGTGGTGGTTCATGTACTACCGGTTCCCGTCGGTATTCGTCCTCTCCATCCCCTGGTTCATCTACGCCATGGCGTTTGTCATCATCGGTGTGTCGCCATTTGGCTTGAACTCTCTTGGCCGGGCATGGGCTCAGAATGTGGCTGCAGGCGTCTACGCCGTCGCCTCCTCGAGTGGCTCTTTGTTTTTCGCTCTCAACTTCGGCGACCAGGGTGCCGTTCCCGTGAAGGATTGGATGATCCGGACTAGTCTCATTCAAGGACTCTCGCAGATCTACACCGTTGCTCTCTGGTACTGGAGCTCAAAGGTCACCGCCGCGGAAGTTGGCGGCGTGTCGGTCCTGGCATTGAACACATGGCGACTCACTGCGGTGGCCATGCCCATTGCATTTGTGTGCTTTGTGATCGGCGTGATTCTTGCCCTTGGTCTGCCGAAATTCTATCGCCAATCCCCCAGTCGGATCCTCTTCTTCTACACCTCCCTCTTCCGCCGACGAATCGTCCTCTGGTTCTTCTTCCTGGTCATCATCCAGAACTGGTTCCTGGCCGCGACATTTGGTCGCAATTGGTCTTTCCTGTGGTCTTCCCATCACGCAAAGACCTGGCAGATTGTCATCTGCGTCGTCGGCTTCTTCATCGTCCTCTGGGTGTTAATCCTTCTTGCCTTCCGCGCTCTCTCCAAGGAGCACAGCTGGTTCATCCCCGTGTTTGGACTGTCTCTCGGTGCTCCCAAGTGGGCGCAGACATGGTGGGGGACGTCCAACATCGGCTACTACCTCCCTTGGGCAGGCAGTCTGGTGTCCGGCTCGATCTTGTCTCGCTGTCTCTGGCTGTGGCTGGGCGTCCTCGATGAGATCCAGCAGGTCGGTCTGGGTATGATTCTTCTGCAAACCCTCACCCGAGTGCACGTTTGTTTCGTTCTCCTGGCCGCGCAGGCCCTCGGATCGATCGCCACCATGTGTGCGCGTGGATTCGCTCCAAATAAGATCGGTCCTGCTGGCATCTCTCCGAACGTGGGTACGTCGGTAGATAAAGTCGGCAATGCCTGGTTCTGGATTTGCCTTTTCTTCCAGCTGCTTGCTAGGTGAGCATCATTCTGCTATTCTTTTGTTATTCCGCACTGCTAATACATATTCACAGCTTTGGGTTCCTGCTCTTCTACCGCCGCGAACAACTCAATAGGCCTTGAGCCATTCAACCATATAGATTGTTATATAATATTTTTCTTTTTAACACGGCATCTTGAGCGATTTTGGATACTGGCATCTACTTGGTATATATTGCTATTCGTTAATGATGTATGTACATATACATAGTTGCATCTAGACTGTATTTATGTCAGACATAATCATGTAGAGCCCTAATGTATATCACAAACCAAACCAAAACTCATCGGCGCACACTCCCCCGATCTCTCCTGGCGGACGACAACCGCCCGCTGAAACATGCCGAATCCCCAGAGATCGGCAGTCTCACTGCCTGTTAAGGACTTAACCCCAACGCGGGGTTTCCCCCACATCACAGCTTCGGAGCTCCAAGTCCGAAGGCTTTGCTGTTAAATCTCTTTCTCAATATATTCTCTCTATTTCTCTAATCGTTTGTTTTTCATTGTTCTTCTTGAAATTATCCCCGATACATCCACACAAAGAAAAAAAAAAGCACAATGGGCAGCATCCAGACATGCCTCGACAAGCTCAATGAGCAACGTAAGAACGCACTTCCTTCATGTAAGAATCCTGCTAAATAACTCGACAGTAAACATCGACGTCGATTGGATGGATCCAACCTTCATCCAAAACCTCCCCATCACCCCCCACGACATGACAAGCAATCAGATCCTAACCCACGCCCGACTCTGCCACCCCGACAACGACAAACTGCTGAACCAAGTCGCGGCGGAATCCAAAGACCAAGGATGGTTGGCAATCTACACGCGCATGGTAAGGACATCACACACCCCAGAATCACCACCCAGCTAAGCAAAACCAGGCCGTCCTCATGGCCAAAGCCAACATCAACAACATCCACGGCCGAGTCCTCCTCCAAACCCTCCCCACAAACGCGTACAACACCGAGGAAACAGTCTCTCATGCGCGTGCGTACGCGCGCGAGTTTGAGAATGTGGGCATCCCCCGCGACCGGTTCTGTATTAAAGTGCCTGCGACCGGTGCGGGGATGAATGCGTGTGCGATTCTACAGAAGGAGGGGATTCAAACGCTCGGCACGGCGGTGTTTAGTGTGCATCAGGCTATTGCGGCGAGCCAGGCGGGGTGTTTGTATATCAGCCCTTATTATAATGGTATGTATTGTATTGGGTTTGATGTAGGGCGTTGTTGACGGTTGAATAGAACTTCGGGCTCATTTCGATGCGAGTGTGTGGCCCAAGTCCAACGATCCGGCGCTGTTGCATCCAATGTCGTCGCGGTTGATTCAGATCCTGGAGACGTATAAGCGGCTGTATCGAGAGACGAGCAAGGAGCAGCCGTTGTTGAAAAATGCCAGGTTTGTCTATCTTGTTCAATCGTGGTGGATATATCTAACTGGGAATAGCTTTCTATCAGCCCAAGAAGCCATGGCAACCGGTGAACTCGGCTGCCACTCAGCAACACTCCCGCATACCGTGTTGACTGAACTGTCACAACTGCCCTACGATGCCGCGAAGCAGCCCGGGCAGGGCGTTCCCAAGCCAGCCCATCCCTACCGTGACGCTGCACCAACCCCCGCTCGACTCGCAAAAAATGCGCGCTTAGATCCACTGGTACCCAATTGGGACGGGAAGTTGGCGAGCAGTGACATCGACTATCTTGGAAATGGAGGCAAGGCGCTGGATCAGGCGAATGAGGCAGACCCGGAGACTAAGAAGCGACTTCACGAGGCTCTGGAGGCTTTTATTGCGGCGGAGAAGGCAAGTCAGGCGAAAATTGAGGGGGTGATGAAGGGTTTTTAGGCGGCATTCATATAGAGTAGACTAGATCATAGATCATAGAGTACTAGATGGCCTGTGCAATTGATGTCTTGCTTGATATCATGAAAATCAGAATCCCCTTGTCCTCCTCGAGCTGTCCAATCTGTTTTTCCGCCTCGGACCCTAACATCCAGAGCCTGATTTTAGCTTCAGAATGCCTCGTATAGAAAGATATCTCACTGCGCTAGGCTTAAGCTATACTATTTATAGTCCATACAAAGGTTAACTTTGTATAGACCACTTCTTCTCGTGAAATGGTACATCTCCCCAGTGAAGTCAATGACGTATGGAGTAAGACTAAAGATCATCCTCAGCATCCTCAATTCATCTTCTCTGCTCGGTCTTTCCAAGAATCCTGCAGACTATCAGGCTTCCAGCCAAGAAACTCCGCCACAGGGTGTATCCTCTTGGCGTTCGACGTCACTCAGTACGCTTTTGGCTATTTTGAAGTGATAAATAGCCATTGATTCCTGCCAGTGTTATCATTATTCCCTAGCCATAGCTGAACGAGTCATCACCATATTATCTCGCAATATGAAGCTTACCACTGTTCTTCTGCCTCTTGGCCTTTTCGTTTCCAGCAGTCTGGCTGTTGGCATAACCATCACCATGGCCGGTGGAGGCACCAAAGATCTTGACATTCCCACGACTGGGGAGTGCATTGACTTGTTCCAAGGGTATGCTTTACATTAGGCAAAGATATCTTATGCTGACTATCCTTAGAACCGACCATGCTCGTCTGAATGGTGGAACTGATGGTACTCGATGTGATTTCTGGCTGTATGCACCTCGAGTTGAATATTTTGACATTTTTGACGATTATGCAGGGATTCCGGATGCTCGGGCAGTCCTGTTGGTTCGATTTCAACGAGCAAGCGGGAAAGTGACATGGCTGAACCTGCTAATGGTGCTCGATGCCATTAGCTTGAGGTAAGCTAACACTTGATATAACTAGCATGAGTGCGTATACCGTGATCAGAGCTGTATTGGCTGATGTGTTATGTTAAAGACTCGGTGATTGATGGCCATTTGGCCATTAATCTCTAGACCATAGCTTTTGTTTCATTCAGAAATGAAGGCTTTAATATGGGCACCAAGGGAGTTACATATCGGGAGCAGCTGATTTCCAGACTTTTCTCTATACTAGGGAGCATATAGATAACAGATCATATGGGCATTGACAAATCATTTCGGCCTGTAAGGATCTGGTCCTTAACACACACCGCATATTATCGTGAGAAAGATTTCTTTTTCTTGGCTGAATAGACAGTCCCCGTATGGCCCGAACCTGGTCAGTAATTATTTAAGCAGAATTTGAATTATGGCTTCAGATGAAAAGATCTGATCCAAGACTCATGTTCTAATTATGGTTTAGCATAAAGTACCCCATATCTCCACATCTGTTACCCGCGGAACGAATAGCATTTTAATAACTTCTAGTTTAGCTGGCCAGTTAGAGTCTGGCCGCGTGCAGCAGTAAGAATATATTATAGATAGGGAGGAGAATTAAGCATAAGAAGACAGTTGTAAAGTTCACCTTAGTAATTTGGGAGAGATAAGCCGTCGATGCCATCAGAGCTGCTTGCTGGTGGATTTCGGCCAAATCAGCATATCATATGCACTCAGCTAAGAGGGTCATCAACTGAGGCATTGCACAGTGTTCAGGCAGTTATGGAGTCCCTGACTAGAAACTGAATTGTATCTGGTGGACACAGCAGGCTCATATACATAGGTTTTTATCCATTGCGCTACCTTTATCGGACACGGGTTCAGTAATGGAATGTGTATATTTAAGTGATGCTGTGCCATGGCCAAGATTATCATATTTCTTACTTTATTATACCGCTGCTTATATTAAAAACACCTATGGTATTAACAGACTTTTACCATTTTAATTCTAACTTAATAGAATAAAATAATAATAATAATAATCTACACAGCTAAATAGCGTCTTTAGCCTTTCTAGGCGTGTCATCCAGGTAGAGAGCAAGCACCATAAAGAACGTGAAAAGCTACTCAATATTTGATGTGACATGAAGAATTTGACAGCAACAACTTCCTTAGATATCTGTCGCATATTAGCCATGCTAAGCTGTGGGTAGACTATCATAAGCTCTAAATCTATATCGACTTTGCCTGTCAGCAGCAACGGGAAACTCAAGTGCCACGGCCAGGACGAATTTTGACTGGGTGGGTGAGGTTGTAACAGAAGCACAGAAACCAAACATTCAATCAATAAAAACATATCAAAAAGACAAAAACATACAACAGCAGGGATTCGCTGGTGGTCACCCACCCAACTACTAACCTGCCGGCGTGTGGCTTAAGTACGGCTGAGCGGACGGGAAGCCCCTGTTCTCCACACCCTGTGGTCGTATGTACTTGGAGCAACATGAGAGAGGCTTATATAGGAATGGAATGTGGATATAGTTGAAGAGGATGCTGGATCTTGTTTTCCTGTGATTTACGTAAACATTGCCTTGACTGACCCACAACGAACAAAGAGATCTGGTGGCGATCGAGCTACGGACTACGGGGTTAAGAAGGGAAATGGTTCACTTGGTTGATTGAACGTCTATTCCTAAAGACTTGGTATCTCCTAAAAACTTGGTATAGCTTATTCCACCTCGTCCACAAACACCCCCCGCAAGGCCGCCAACGACGGGGTGAAGAAATACTCCCCTCCGCGCTGGTCGATCCACGGCAGATAGCCCATGTGCAACTGCTTGGGCTCTTCGCCGTCGTAGATGCCGAACATGGGCTCTGGGTGGTCGGGGCGGTTGCGCTGGCTGACGATGGGGTCCTGGCCAGGGCGCTCCTCCATGCCCTTCTTGCCGGAAAAGACCTCGTTGCTGGCCCAGCCTGGTCGTTGTTAGAGCCGGACGAGTAGGTCAGGGGTGATGGGAACTTACGACTTGTCAGGAAGTTGAAACCATTTCGGAAGTCGCCCTGGTAGCACATGAAGTAGACGCCTCGCTTGGGGCGCTCTGAGGGCTTCATCTTTTCTTCGCCGGGTAGGAGCTCCGGACCAAAAGTAACGCTGCGACGCAGGATCACGTTGGTGTTGTTCGAGTAGTTCTCCTGCGCAGAGACTGCCCCGCCATCTTTCGAGATGTAGAGGTCAGCACGAGGGCGCATCTTGCGAATGTGCGCGGCAATCGGGCACTTGATCTCCTGCGGGCTGGTATAGTCCTTCTTGAACTCGAAGTTGTTGGCAAAGGGATGTTGGGCCACCGAGGTCTCCGTGTCCAGCGCGATGGGGGATCCTGCAGAGGCACCGTTAGAGTCGTCTTCATAAACGGGGGACAGGACCATTCCTACCGTTCTTCCATCGTCCGATCATATAAGCGGCCAGCTTCTCGCCGGTGCCGTCGTTGAAGTTTTTCAATTTCGCGGACTCTGTCTTCACGAATCTGTAGGACCGCATCAGCCTGGCTCTCATGCAGGGGACCAGAGCAAACCGCACTCGTTAAACTCGGGCACATGCTCCTCGATCTCGCGGAAGGCTAAATAACTGCCGTCTGTGGCCCACGCCGGCGACTTGGTGTTGTCTCCCGGGCGGTTGAGGAAGATCACACTAGCAACGCATCAGCACACCGTCCTCGACGGATGGATAAGGCTCCAACTTACCCCGGGGCAATAGCCTTGGGCTCGCCCTCCTTGGGTTCCGGGTCCAGGCCCTCGATGGGCGGCTGTGAAATGTGGTCTTCGAATCCGAGACTGAGCAGCAACAGGGCAACTGGTTAGAAAGAAAGTGGTCTGCGAGATCTCCCAGGAATACACTCACTGCTCCTTGCCTCGGAGGTTCTCCAGGCGCGTCTTGGACGGGTCCTTCTCGTCGGGAATCTGCCTCCGGTGCGCTTTGCCATCGGCATTGCGAACGTTTCCCTTCTTGACCAGCGTGATCTTCGCGCTGGCCTCCGGGACGTCAACGGTATGGTCGTCGGCAATCTTAAAGTAGCTCTTGAGGTCCTTGACCGTGGCCTCCAGCTCTTCCTCACGCTGGGCAGCGACGATGAACATTCCGTCGGACCGCCAGTTATCGTTGTTTGCGGGCCAGCCATGGGGCGGCCGGTACTCGGGGGCCAGGGAGTCGGTCTCGTCGGGCCCTTCGAAGACCATGTCCTGGTACATGCCGCGCTCATGCAGCAGGTCCCGGAGCTTCACCTTGTCGTACGGACCAACCAGCTTGGGGACACCCTTGCCGGAGAAGGTAATGTTGATCGCATTGAACGTGTCGCGCTCCTCGGGAAGAGTGTCCACTCTTTCCCGGGCCTCATTAATGCCGTCATGCTTCTCAAAATACTCCTTGCACGCTTGGCCAGTGGTGATCTTGCCGGGGGTTTCCACTAGCTTCCTCAGGTGTGCTTTGAACGTCTCATAGGAGCCGTCCTCTTCGATGTCTTTGATCTGGAAAAACAGGAAGGTTTCGTAGTACCGGGGGAGACGGGGCCTGTCGACCACCAGTGAGCATGGGATGCACTTGTGAGAGAGGGGCACATGGGATATACTGACCAGATACTGCCCTGGATGTTGGCGGGGTCGACTTCAGACGCCATGATGAATTTCGTTCAGAATTTGGTCAGATTGTTGGATCTGTCAGATTGCGATCATGGCCCGACCGGACAGACGACTTCTTATGGCCATCTCCCCTCGCTGCCGTGGTGGTCGACGAGGGGCATGGCCAATTAGACCCATGCGTTTCTAATCGCGGCCAGCGGCAGCACTGCCCTCCATGCGAATTCAGCTGAGGCACGACATCATCGACCTCCCCTCCATGATGGACCATCACGGCCCAGGCCAATCAGCGCCGTGTGTTGCTAATAGCTGAAACTTGCATACGATCTCCGCAGTCAGGTGTGGCAGATCACGAATGCAACAACACCCGGTCCACGCACTATTGGCTTTTGCAGAGGTTCATCTGAGGCCCGGTTGCCTGCTAGTCCCAGCACGGTGGAGTCGTTGCCATGTCGGAATCTTGATCGAGCAGTCGAACTCCTGCTAAGCGGGCGAAAGGGTCCACCGGGGGATCATCGCCAGATGACAGGAGCTGCAAGCCCGGCGTAAGACGCAGAACGGTGATGAAGAATCTGGCAGACTCTGCAGCGATTTTCAGCTTTCAGCTGGAGTGGAGAGGAGTGCACGGCCGGCAGATGTTGGAGATGCCTCTGATTGCGACCATCGACGTCCGATCGGCGAGCATGCCTGTTCACCGTCGTGTGGAATGTGCCAGTCTTCATCCTCAGCGGCGTGAATCATGTCTCGTCTGCACGGATGTCCGTCTGCATGGCGAGTTGGCTTTGAATTTTGATGGCTGTCTCCGGAAACGTCAACGTCAAGCCACGGCCCTCTGCCGCCTCGGCTCTCCCGCTGGAACCGAAGCGCTGCAGAGGGAACCATGATCGACTGGATGATAGATAATGGGTTTGTGTTTGTTGGTGCGAAGCCCAGTGGGCCCTGCGTGGAGATGTTGCGCAGATCGCAATCTCGGATGGCTGGCGGAGGACATCGCCAGAACCCAAGAACAGGACCATCTCAGCCACTTGGGGAAATCACCTACGTCACGATCTCTGCGGAATTCAGCTGAACTCAGATGAAGGATTCCGAATTTTCTTCATCATGCCTTGGCCTGTGCGAGCGCCGTAGCTGTGGTGCTGGCGGTGTGGTGCTGGGTCAAGCTGAGCCGCCTGGTATTTCTACTATTTCTACCCCGGCCGGCCCATCCGCGCTGTCTCTCTCCAGAAAGCCATCTTTCTTTCACTCTTCTCTTAAAAATGAAGCTCCATTGGGCCTCCGGCCTTCTCCTGGGGCTGGTTGCCCCCTGTGTGGACGCCAACGCGAAGTCTCACAGCGCGGAGTCTCACATCCCCTTTGCCATCGATTCGAGTCACATTGAGCCCGAGACCTTTGGGCCCGTGGACCCTGAGGCCTATCTCTGGCAGGCCCGGCCTCGTAACGGCAAGCTCTTGCCCCGCGATCAGTTCACGGCGCACTGCTCCAGCGTGGCCAACGGCAGCAGGTGCGAGTATGCCAACGACGGTCTCGCGCAGACCCACTGGGCCAGCGAGCCGCTCTCTGTTGATAAGCCGGATGTACTCGTCCTGGACCTGCACGAGGTGCGCAACGTGAACGGCATCTCCATGCGTCCTCTGCTGGGCGAGGAGGACCGCGGCCAGATCGCCAAACACGAGGTCTGGGTCAGCAAGAATGAGCGCGCCTGGACAAAGGTTGCGTACGGCACCTGGGGCTGGAACAAGAGCCCCAAGATGTCCGCCTTTGAAGCCATCGAGGCCCGATTCGTCAAGATCGTGGCCACGAGCGAGGCACCTCCCCCCAAGCATCCTAGCCAGAAGTATCCCGATGCCGTCACCAAGATCGTCGACGTCAACGTCTACACCACCAACGCCGTGCTCCCCGACGAGCCCTCCAAGGGTGTCTGGGGCCCGACCCTAGACATGCCCATCACCGCCGCCGCGGGCGCCCATGGCTTTGGTTCCAAGGGTCGCCACAACATCATGCTCTGGTCGGCCTGGACCGACGACCGCTTCTTTGCGTCGCCCGGAGGCAAGACCTTCACGGCCACCTGGGACCCGTACCTGGAGGACATCATCCAGACCAACGTCACCAACACCCACCACGACATGTTCTGCCCGGGCATCTCGATGGACGGCGAAGGCCACATCGTGGTGTCCGGCGGTGCCGACTCGCAGAAGACCAGCATCTACGACGGCTCGGAGTGGATCCCCGGCGGCGACATGAACCTGCACCGCGGATACCACGCCTCGACCACGCTGTCCGACGGCAAGATCTTCGCCATCGGTGGCTCGTGGAGCGGCGGCTCCAACTCGCCCAAGGACGGCGAGGTCTACGACCCGGCGACCCAGCGCTGGCGCATCCTGCCTAACATCAAGGCCGATGTCATCCACACGGTCGACATCCCGCTGCGCAACGACAACCACGCCTGGCTGTTTGGCTGGAAGAAGGGCACCGTCTTCCACGCCGGCCCAAGCAAGACGATGTTCTGGTTCGACACTCACGGCAACGGCACTGTGAAGAAGGCGACGCTCCGCCTCAACGACCATGACTCGACCTCGGGCAACGCCGTCATGTTCGACGCCGTGGCCGGCAAGATCCTGACCTTTGGCGGCCAGGAGTACTACGACGGCTCGTATGGCTCCCGCAATGCCCATCTCATCACCATCAAGGAGCCCTTCAGGCGGCCGGTAGTTAAAGTGGCGGGCCTGAACGGCACCACCAACGAGTTCGCCGGTGGCATGTACAACCAGCGCGTCTACCACACCTCGGTCGTGCTCCCGGACGGCACGGTCTTCATTGCCGGCGGCGAGATCTTCGGCGTGCCCTTCAACGAGGCCGAGCGCGACGTCCAGTTGACGCCCGAAATCTACCACCCCGAATGGGACATCTTCCTGCCCCTGAAGCAGAACAACATCGTCCGTGTCTACCACAGTCTGTCCATCCTGTTGCCGGACGCCACCGTCCTCAACGGCGGCAGCGGGCTCTGTGGCAACTGCACGGCCAACCACTACGATGCGCAGATCTTCACGCCGCCGTACCTGCTGCGCGAGGATGGCACCCCGGCAGAGCGCCCCAACACGCCGGAGATTGTCGACAACAAGTACCAAGTCAAGGTCGGCGCCAAGCTGGCCTTCCACGCGGACGCAGACATCCGAAACGCCTCGATGATCCGTCTGGGCTCCGTCTCGCACACCGTCAACACCGACCAGCGCCGTATCCCGCTGGAGCTCACCCGGCCCGCTCAGGCCCAGAGTGACCGTGTTCTCTACCACGCGGCCATCCCCGACGATGCCGGCATTGCGCTCCCTGGGTACTACATGCTCTTCGTGCTGAACAAGAAGGGCGTTCCCAGCCACGCGGCCACCGTCAAGGTCGAGCTGCCCAGCTCGCACACTCCGACGACCGAGCACGTTGACACCCTCGAGGAGGAGGATGTGGTGGATGTCGAAGAGTCGCAGGCCGACTGCGACATGGAAATGGACGAGGAGGCCCAAGGCATGATCAATGCGCTGTTTGCGGCCACTCGCAAGCTCTGGGGCTCGCCCAAGGCGCTGGTGCATCAGGCTTAGAGGGAGAGCTGTAGTTTGTACTAATAGGGTGGAAGAACGGAATGTTTCTATAGATGACTGAATGCCATCCAAGTTCACTATAAACACTATATATCATATTGATCTATAGGTCTGGTGCATCAGGCTTAGACGGCCTTAGATAGGGAGTCGAGTTCTGTAAATATAGTTGAGTGCAAAACAGAGTATTCTTCTAGTTGACTGAATGCCATCCGGCAGTGAGGCTAACACTCTATTTGACATGATTAGTTTGTCCCCGGTTGTAAGTTCTCCATGTGGTCTTTGCTAGGCATTCGACCATGTCTTGCCTACATATGTTCCACTCATGGTGTTGAGGTATCTGACTGGACGGGTCGGCCCAGGAACTTGCATCAGACTCTATCGAGAGGCCTGTTGACTATCTAACACGGGCTTGACTTTCTGCTGGAGATCTGACATGATATTTTCATAACGGATAAGAAAGTGGCTAAATATTAAGGTGGTTAGTACTAGATAATAGCTTTTAAAGTAGATATATATAATACCTAAGTAGTATATAGTAGTATCTTCCCTGGCTAGTAAAATATTAAGAAGCTACTTCTCCAGAGCTTTTACTATTAGTAACTATATAAATATTTAAATGTTGGGTTGCTGCAATGGGAAACCCCCAATTGGCTGGAGTGTACATACAAGGATATCTACCCTCATTGAGGGCCTTCCATGTGTTGGCTAATTCAGCCTAACCTACCAGTCGTGTCTTTAATGGACATAAAAATTGTTATCTGAATCGTATGCCCATCCAGAAAACGAAACACTGAAAAGAATAGCGTAATTGCTATGGTCGGATAGATGGAATACCGTCACCGTCAGATGTAAGCGCCCTGGTGCCTGCTGCCTTGACATCGCTGCGGCGCCTTCAGCCTCGCGCCACAACGAGGCTATGTCATCATTGGAGGTGAACGACAGATCCAAAAGAATGTCTCAGGCTTAGATGTATGACACTTCCGAGATGATATTACAGGCTGCGGCAGTGGGCGCAGCAAATATGGATGTTGGTGTTGTATGTCTGAAGCATGAACTCAGGCAGCCTAGCACCTGCGGGATTTTTTGTTATTATGCTGCGCTCTTATTAAAAATTGGCGTATATAAAGCCATCAATCTGGCCGTGGCTAGATTGCAACTCATCATCATTCTTTGTTCCAAGTTCGATAGCGCCACATCAAAGCTTTCAAACCAAGAAGACCAACATTCAAAATGTCGATCGAGGACCTGACCAGTGGTGTGAGAGATGTTAGTATGAATGACGAACCAGAACTACCGGAGTGTCTGTTGTTTAAACCTCAAAAAGACACGTTCGACAATGTCCCCCGTTATCTCTTCCGTGCCGTATTTCCGTTTTCCAAAGGACAGACCAACGAGAGATGGGTACGATCAGAAGCAGCTTGCCAAAACAACCCGTCGTCGTTGAAAGATATCTTCTCTAGCTTCTATGACGGGGAACAACAGGATGTCGCTTATACCCTCAATCAGCACCTGCGCTGGTGGGAAAAGCATAAGGCAAACGACAACTTTGTATCATGGACTAGCTCCTTGCTGTTTGCGCTTCAGTACATCCATTATCGACATATAAAGGATCGGTGCTCACTGAGTGATGTCAAGCTATATGTTGTCGATACGGAGCAGTTTGAAAGAGGGGCATTCATCCGGGACAAAGATATTATGGAGCCCTTTCTCGGGCTTGACGATCCTGGGTTCCGTTATAATCTTGAAAAAATGTGGCGCCTGAGGAATAAGCCCACTTGGTATTTTGGCGAATATCTCTCTCAGGGATCGATGAAGATCGCAGGCAAGTGCCAGGTTGTGTCCGCGGAAGCAGTCCTTGGAGAGAATCGACTTGGCCATGTACAACCTCACTTTCAGCAAATGCCCAAAAATCCGGATTGGGCGAGAGAAGTTGATTGGCTTCGCAAATCCATTTGGGGAAATCCACCTCTATCACCGCTCTCATCAGAGGAAGTTCACGATGCGAAGATGGTTGTTGAACAGCTCACAGATCAGTTTGATCATGGGTGGAAACTACCGATGGCGATCTACTTTTGGGCTTTGACTGGTGAGACGCTATGCGACGCACATCAGCCTTTCTTTGACATCTTCGAATCGATCTATCGTCTAGGTATGCCTTGTCACTTTTCCTCTGCGTTGCTTTTTCTAACAAAGCTACCATGTTTAGAAAAGAAAAATGGACGGCCATCACCATTCAAAGTTATCGCTCCAGACACCATGCCGGAGTTGAAATTCGTCAAAGACGTTGCCGATAACTTCTACGGGCGTGCAGAAGCAAGATACGCGATTAGTACGTAGCCCCAATGGTGATGTTCGAGATTACAAGTACTTTCAGGCTGACTAAACGCCATAGAAGCTATTATACAGGTCAAGAAGAAAATCCGAAAATTAGACGCGAAAAATTTAGTTGTCCACGGCTCTTCTGTTCCAAAATTGAATGAAAATGGCAAGTTAGTGCTGGCCAGGATTGATGAGATCCAAACGTCGTTGGATGCTATGAGAAAGGAACTCGCTTCTTATGCCGGCTAGTATCCTGCCACTTTCCCTCGCTTCATACACGGCTCATGGCAATCTTGACTTGCCAGACTTGACGCTCGAGGCAAGGGCAGCAGACAACCCGAATTGGGATGGCACCCCGTTGATTCGATGCGTGGAGTTGAGATTCTTCACGACGAGGATCTGGAAACAAGTGGCGCTGCCTTGACGAGCGGCAATGACTGACCAAGCAAGGAAGAGCTCCCAAATCTACACATATTAGACACTTATCAGATTAAGCATATTGAGACAGAACTCACTCTGAACCAACGTTGGCCGTACTTGGCTTTGATAGTTGGTGCGTTGCCAATCCAATTCCGATACCACCTCCAAAGCGTGCCTGAATAATGGACCCCGACGGTATCAACACTGTTGGTGTCCAGAATATTAGTATCCAGTATTCTCACGGTGTATCGCATGGGCCCACCTTTTAATCTCGAATCCAGCCCGTTCCAAGCACATGATATAGTACCAAAGGGGAGTGGAGGCGTCCGCGCCACGGAAGATATACTTGTTCAAAAATAGACCCCATATAAAGTCCTCGTACTGCCAGGCCTGTCGCAAACCAGACAGTTGCACATACATGGCGCCGTCGTCTTTCAGCATCTCATAGCATTGGCGGAAGAAGCCGGTGAGTTTCCGAACCCCGACATGCTCGCCCATTTCGAGCTGCGTGATCTTATCATACTGCGTACGGGGGATATCGCGATAGTCCATACAGAGAATGCGACTCTGGGATTCAGAGACGCCAGCCTTTTGGAGAGCATCGTTTCCCCATGCGGTTTGGTGTTGCGCAATCGTGAGGCCAGTCACTTTCGCTCCGTAGTTGAGACTCGCAAACTTGGCCAGTGTCCCCCATCCACAGCCAATATCTAACAGGGTCTCGCCTTTTTGCAATGCCAGCTTCTCGCAGACAATCGCCATCTTGTTATCCTGCATTTCCTCCAGTGTTTCCTCCTTTTCCGGATCGGAAATGATGCCCGAAGTGTAGATCATCCGAGGGCCCAGGAACCAGGCGTAATGATCGTTGCCGCGGTCGTAGTTCGGCCGGATCTGCTCCTCATCCTGCGATTTCGTATGAGACAGAACATCCCGTGCAAACGTGAACAGGATGAATTTGAACAGCTGCCAGGTAAAGCCAAAGTGTGACCAATCATGCCGGTATTCCATCATGTCCAGACAGTCTCCGTTGAAATCCACCCGGCCATCGAGATACATTTCGCAAAAGGTCTGCATGGCAATCCGATTCCGACCCTGCCATTTCACCCGGTCCATCTGGCTCTTGAACGTCAAGTACTCTTCGACTGGCCGTCCTGGCAATTTAACCTTCTCGTTGATCCGTGGGCTACACGTCGATGTCCAAGTCCAAAACACCACCAGAATTGGCAGCGCTGTGACCAGACCAAGCAGGAATGCTGCCTTCACTCCGCCGCCAAATATCCATGTCAGGAAAGCCGGGACTCCCAGCAGGGCACCGATTAAGAAGCGATTGGAGAAGCTCTCGTTTCCAGCCCCGTCGGCTGCTAAGGGAGGGTTGTGGATGGCTGGTGACTGGGAGTGCCCATGAGCAAGTGGACAAAGATGGAATGCATGGTACTCACATTCGTCGAGGGAATTCCCCAGTCTTCACCGATCGCAAACCTCGATGGCTTGGGTGCTGGGGTCTGGACAAAATCAATGTCGCTATCGAGGTTGACCTCTTTTATTCCTTGCATAATTGCGTATCTCTCCTTTTTGTTGGACGGCAAAATCACAAATAAAAGGGAGGATGAAGGAAATGGACTGGAAAATATTCTCATATACTGCGCTCGCGGTCCGCGGGCCCCGAAGGGGTTTGTTGCGTAAACAAGATACCGTGAGCAATCACCAACTTTTCTTTCTTTCTTTCTTTTATTTTTATTTTATTTTATTTTTCATAGCAACAGAATGTGGTACGTGCCTATATTGTTGATTTCATATGTGCTCTTTTTTAGAGATAATAAAATATATGGAAGAAAAGAGAAAATGAAGTTATTGGAAGTTTGAACCTCGGATAAGATTTGGTGGCGGTGGACCGGCCCTTGTTAACCTTGGTATGAGAACCTATACACCTATAATACGAGACAATTATATATTATAATTTATGGATATTCTCGTAATCAAATATAAGCTCCTTCAATAAATTTAATAAATTAAATAATTGAAAACTAGGTTGCACGTACCTTATGATCTCACACAAAGCGTGTCATATGATTGGCCGAATCGCCTGATCTGCAGTTCCCCTCAAAGTCATGCGATCCCCGCGTTCTCCTTCAACCCCATATCTCGGTTCCTCTCCTTCTCCTCCTCCTTCCTTCAACCATCGTCTTCTATATACTCCTTGATACACGGACAGGAGTATATATTCAGATATCCCGTTAAAATATGATTCAGCAAATCTCCCTCGCAGCAACCACCAACCCCCTCACCCCCTCTCACCCCGACCGAACAGACCCCAAAACACGACTCGCCGAACGGAAAGCCTTCCTCTCCAGTCTCGACATTTCCTCGCGCAGAGCTCCGTATTCGCTCTCGTCGACTTTTCCCCTCTCTCCGCATCCTCTGCTCGTGTCGCGTCTTCAGCTGGACAATCTGCGGAAATTCCACCATGCGTTGGATCTCGCCGTGACGAATATTGTGGAGCGGTGGTGGGTGGATCATGAGGCTGCTTTGCCACGGAGGATGCCCCTGGAAGAACGTGAGGAGGAGGTGTTGCAGGTAATTCTCATTTATTGTTTATTTTTAACGATAACTGTTAATTCTGGGCAGTGGATACATAAAACCTCCGAGGAAAAGAAGATGCGACCGTTTCACATCCGCAAAGGCATTTGGCGGCCCGATCTGCTGATCGAGAATGTCCCGACCCCATCTGGGCAGCGGCAGGAGCTGCGCGTGTGCGACATCAACGCGCGATGTGCCTTTGATCTGTTTCCTTTTGTCGTTTATGGCCATCAGGGGTTGACTGATATTGGTGCGAAAGAAAGGGGTTTTTTTCCAGCCACTAATTCTAGAGAGGTAGGCCATGCTTTCAATCTACTTGGGCAATGCTAACGAAATAGATGCTACAACGCCTCTTTACCGTCTACGATCCACGCCAACAAATCCATCTCCTTACAGGCAAAGATCGAGCAGTGTCGATGAGAATTCTGGGCCATCTCATGTCGAAACGACTCGATCGTAACCTGAAACCGACTGTCATTACCAGTAAAGACCTCCGATTGATACCCAGCCCCCATTCCAAGACGGGTTATATTCTCTGCTGTCTCCGAAAACGCTTCGGCTCAAACCCCTGCCGACTAGTGAATGAGCACGGTGAACATCTCGAACCGATTCACCAGCTAGGAATGCAACTCGACCAGGAAGAACTCAGAGCACTATCACAGGACATGCTACAGCACATCTCCCTGTACTGCATTAACGACTTACGAACCGTCTATCTCGTACAGGATAAGCGCATGCTAGGAATTATTCTCCAAGAACTCGACGACCTCGTCCATCGACACCACGTGCTCACCTCGGCTCAAGCAGATCTCCTCCGCACCAATATCCTACCCACCATCATCCCTGGCTCCTCCGAACTCGACCAGCTAATCTTCCAAAGCCACGAGAACAAAACCATCAAGAACGACTACGTCCTCAAACCCATCCGCGCGGGCAGACCCAAGGACATCATTTTCGGGGAAGACCTCACACCCGAACAGTGGGAGGCGACATTACTATCCATGGAGAACCCGCAACTACGCGCAGAGGAAAAGCTCTTCATCGTGCAGCGCCGAGTCGACCAGCCCACTCTGGACATTCTCCTCGATGAAGAAAAGGGCACGCAAAAGACCCACGTGACGGGCAGTTATCATGCCATTGACGGCGGGTTTGCCGGATTCGGGGTGTGGCGGACCGGGGAAGGGCGGATCTGTTCGTTTGACCACGGGGCGTCGTGGATCCCATCTGTCGTGCCATTTCCCCAGCGCCGTGGTTCAGTCTAGATTTACTTTTGTTTATTCATATACCAGATTGCATTAGCGTTAGACATGCATATTATTTCAAATACATCTACAGCGTGGAATAAGGCAAGCCGTACTATAAATATATTTGCTTATTGTAGGGCTACCAGGATCATCCCCATCAACCAACGATGCACCAATCACACCATCTTATAATAGATAAGCTATAACAAGGATAACCCCCAAAGCCCAGGCCGGCCCAGATCAAATCACCCATAAATACCAAGTTATCTAAATCCTCCGAACTGTCCGCTTACTCGCATACACATACACCCCAAATCCCCGATTCGCTAGATCATCCCGACAATCAGCCCAGCCTGCAGGGATGCCATCCACGTAGCTCAATAGACAGGCACAGACGAGGCCGGTGCATTCGTTCTCAGCGTCACCAGCACTGCATTTTGCGCCGGTGATTCGGACTCGCTCAAGTCAGCGCATACCAGCCTTGTTGTCCGGTGATTGGGTAGGCGTAGAAATTTGCGTCTGCCACGTTGACTAGCACGTAATTACCGTACACGGACCACACATTGTTGAGTTTGCGGTGTTAAGTTCGCTTTCTGTGCTGACCCATGGGGGATGTCGCGGAGGAGGACTTGGTCATGTATAGAAGTGGTTTGTCGATGGGGTGGATGTGTTGTGGGCTATCCAGGTGGATTTTTCCCCTGTTGTAACTATCATAATTAGTATAATATCAAATGATAAGGACTTTTAGGAGCATATAGTAAACAGGAATCTTTCCAGCAACACTCTCATCCGAATTCCCGAGTTGAGCCAAGCCTAGGTATCATCATCAGCCTTAGACCCAGTATAGTGGATAGAGCAGATAGAGTAAGACAGCCATACCATCGACATAATGCACCAGCAACCCACTAATCCCCTCGCCATACGCAAAAAGACCGAACGCATTCTCCTGCGCCTGCACAACCCTCACCACGCACAAAACCACGCCCACCACCCCCAGAATAACCTGAAACGACCCTGAGTAACGCATCGGCGAGAAAGAACAACATGAAACAGTAAAATCTGGAAGAAAAGGATATGTTTAGCTTTTCGGTAACGAGCATCGCATACTTATATCAACCCTGATCGCTATCTCGTATGCTCGGGCGAATGACTGCATGTGGCTATATCGGGGTATTGCTGACGGGCTCGACGACACGAGGGAGACAGGGAGGATGGGCGAGGGCGATGATTGGGTGTGGGTGAGGATGTGGTGGAACGGTGCTGGTTTTGCCTCGTTGGGATGGAAATCATGATGTAGATTTGTATGTTGGCGGGTGGTTGTCAGGCGGGATATAAATATGGGAGTCGGATGGAGCCAAGATTGAAGCAGCGCGATTCTATACAAGTCAACGACAATATGAAGCTGTCTTGGATATATCTATACGCTGCTGCTGCTGCCGCCGCCTGTAATAGCGCAGAAGACAGATCAACATGGTGCGGCGACTACGATATCACCACCGACTACACAACTACAGTCCCGGAAACAAACGTCACGCGTGAATACTGGTTCTCGATTGACGAAGTCATCATCGCGCCGGATGGATTCCCTCGACCTGCTATTGCTGTGAATGGGAGCGTCCCCGGACCAACCATCTACGCAGACTGGGGAGATAATGTCATCGTGCATGTCACCAACCATCTCGAGGAAGTCAAAAACGGAACAAGTATCCACTGGCACGGCGTCTGGCAGAAAGGTTCAAACCAGCATGATGGCGTTGTATCAATAACGCAATGTCCGACTGCACCGGGTTCCTCGATGACATATTCATGGCGCGCAACGCAATACGGCACATCGTGGTATCACTCGCATATCGGTCTCCAAGCATGGGAGGGCGTATACGGGGGGATCGTCGTCAACGGACCAGCGACGGCGAACTACGACGAAGATAAAGGGGTGGTAATCCTCTCCGACTGGTCTCATCGGACAGTCGACGAACTGTTTCTGTCTGCGCAGTTAAACGACCCTCCAACGTTGGATAATGGGCTGATTAACGGGACGAATGTGTACGGGGATGGCGGGGAGAGATTCACGATGGATGTCAGCGAGGGGATCTCCTATCGGCTGAGACTGGTCAATACGGCCATTGATACGCACTGGAAGTTTATGATTGACAATCATGAGTTGACGGTGATTGCGATGGATTTTGTGCCGATTGTTCCTTATACAGCGCAGTTTGTTGATATCGCAATGGGTATGTCTACACTTATACGAATCAGTATACAATACTAATACAGACAGGCCAACGATACGACCTCATCATCCACGCCAACCAATCTACCTCAGAAACAGACTCATTCTGGATCCGAGCAATTCCTCAAGCAGCATGTTCAGAGAACGACAGCACCGACAATATCAAAGGCATCATGCACTACGGCCAGAATGCAACCATACCCACCACAACCGCCTACGCATTCAACGAGACCTGCAACGACGAGCCCATCACCAGCCTCATCCCATACCTCCCCAAAAACGTTGCCCCGGCAGACTGGAGCGCCATGACAGACGTGACCGTCAACCGCAACTCGGACAATCTGTTTCGATGGTATCTCAACAGCACAACGTTGGAAGTGTCATGGGAGAATCCAACTCTCCTCCAAATATACAACGATGAGAACATCACCGCCTCATCTTCAACAGGGGTGATTGACCTCCCCAACGCAAACGAATGGATCTACCTCCTCATCAACACCTCCCTCCCCGTCCCTCACCCTATCCATCTGCATGGCCATGACTTTTCCGTCCTTGCGCAAGGCACGAATCCATGGGATGGAGTCGTGAACACCAACAATCCGCCTCGTCGAGATACAGCCATGTTGGGAGCAAACGGATACTTGCTTATCGCGTTTGAAACAGATAACCCAGGAGCATGGCTGATGCATTGTCATATCGGATGGCATGTTGCTGAAGGGTTTGCGCTGCAGTTTGTGGAGAGGAAAGATGAGATGCATAACCTCATTGATTATGACTCTTTACGGGATAATTGTGCAAGTTGGGAGGCTTATGATGTTGTTGATGATATTGTGCAGGAGGATTCGGGTGTTTGATTTTCTTTTCTTTTCTTCTTCTTGTACTTTTTCTGGTTATTTTTCCGATTGTTTTTCTTATTATAGACTTGGATGAGGTTATCTTGCTTAGAGTGTACATGAAAACTTTTGATATATTTCTTACTTACATTATACACTTTCTATTCTCAATAGAGCATATTGCCCTCTCAGTAAGACAAGGAAAAATGCTACAAAGTCAACAGAGATACCCCAGACCGTGACAAAACCACATAACCCCCAAACCCAAAACCAGAAATATCAAAATTGTTCTCCATCCAACATCATCCGAATTATCAACCGGTGTCTGTATAGCCCTGACCGCAAACGCCGTACTGAGCCCTCTATTCCCAATCTTCAACCCAGAAGATCCAAACTGGTATATACACCCCGCGGGCCATCCTCCATCAACAAGTTGTGCCTTTTTCAATGCCTCCATATCCCTTTCATTACCTATCCCTAGGCTCTTACACGCGTGAACCCTTATAGCAAGAGAAGTAGCGTCCCCAACTGCTCCAATCCGCTCATTCACACGCATTTTCAGCAAGGGAAGAAGCTCACTTCTCAACGCCTTATTGTTAAGGACACTCACAAGTCTCGTGAGAAAATACAAAAATGCATCTGGAGATGGGTAGTACCGTGTTCCATCCAGATACGCTCTGTGGCGGAGGATACTGAGCACCCAGTGAAAGGTTGGCAGGACTTGGTGATGGCGGTTATGCTTGCAGAAGAGGGTGAGGATGTTGACACACACGACGGGGTCGATGCGGGGGCGGGAGGGGTCGAAGTATGTCTATTTTGTTAGATCTATGTATAGATAGGTAAGAGGGTGAAGTACTAGGAATATTCCATCTGGATTGGTCAAGGTGAGCGTTTCGTCCATGATGGAGTGGATTAGGGAATTGTTTTTTGGGAGGATGGAGAGAGCAATGGATGTTGTGTCGAGGTCGTTGGGGAAGGATTCAGTTGTATGAACAGGCTTTCCTATATGATATTAGATATATCCACAAGATAATGGTATGCCTACCGATAAAGTAATTCCAAGCCCTCTCACCTGGCTGAAAATCGACCAGATCCCTAATTCTCAGCGACGTCTTTCAAAATATGAGCTACTTACATGTTATCTGTCAGCTCGAGTATCAGCAACTGCGCAAAATTATCCCGTATCACCTCCCCAGTCTCAATTAGACTGTACATATTCTTCGCATTGGCAGTGAGGAAATCATATCCCCGTTCAATTGGATCACCGAGGATGTTGAGTAGCTGTCGATGAACCTGCTCATAGCCGGTGAATAGAATACTCCGTATCCCGAATGATCGAGCAGAGAGAATGTTCTCTGGACTATCATCCACGAATATCGCCATCCCCTCTTGACCAGATAGACCTATATCTTCGAGGACGTATTTATAAAAGCAGGTATCTGGTTTGCGCATACCAACAGTACCAGATATATAAGTGTGGTCAAATACAGGCCACTCTCTTGCGATGGCGTGTATAATTTCCTCTTCACCAGACGGAGTATTGGTCATACCATGAACTTTCAAGCCCTTGTGTTCCTGTTTAATCTGCTTAATCAACGACATCATATCCCCATCGATGCGTAAACTCTGCCGTGCCTGTGTCATAGTTGACGCCATATCATCTACCTTGATGGTGAACCGTTCTGCAATTTTTGCATAGCACTCTTCTCGTGTGTATTTTCCTCTCTCATAGTCGAACCAGATATCAGAAGACATGATGCATTTCAGGATGTTGGGTGGAATGTTGATATTGGATGGGGGTGACCAGAAGCATAGGACGTTCCCCAGGCCAAAGATGAGGGCTTTGATTTGCATTCTGACAGCTTAGCAGAATGAGTGAAGAGGTTTTAGTAGGGAAACTACATCTAAAGTTGTGGGAAGTCTATCTTATCTATCTTGCTTCCGTTCATCATGTCCACCATGGTGGAGTAAATAACCATCCAATTCGAGCAATCAAATCGATTCATTCCTTTAACCGATTAATAGCATCGCGATTTAGCGCCGAATACGTGTCCTTTGTCCACAAACTTACTGTATTTAGTATAGTGGTGTTGTCAAACCAATTTTTGAAGCAATCCTTGAATCTAACGAGAACTAAAACCTGCACCGTTCTTTGTACCAACCCATAGTAAACTACTGGTGACAATAGGTCGACTCTAATCAGTTAATTGAAGACCATGACTCGCATCCTTGCTTACGACAGGGTTTAGGCAATGATTGGTCGGAAGATACACAAACTCAAGATGTCAAAATAGGCATTATATAAGCCACCAATCGGAATATGATTCTAGGTACTATATAAAGTAAACTGAGACTATCTATCAAAACAAACAGCTCTAAGTATCCAGCGCAGATATGAAACATGACCAGTTGGGTAGATTATTTTGTTATCATCGATCCATGTTTAGATTGGCCGATAATGTAAAACCTCCTTGGCTTTGTCTAGTCCTGCTTTGTCATTCTAAAGAGACATGATAGAGATAGCAATGAAGCTCTGTCTGGTGTCAAGAAAAGCAAAGTCTTGTTTGGTAATTCTATTATCACAGGCCAAAAGCAACATCGCAAAGTAGAAAACTAATATCATAAAACAGGCACATTAAATACTGAGCAATGACTGGGGTTGGATTGGGTGCATGGATCGGCCCGGAGAATGTTCTCCGCTATAAGTAGCCACGTGATTTTATCTACCCTATGGCAGTCGACGTGCTTCGTCCGGGGAGCCGGTGGCACAGCAATTAAGAACGGTTTCGCCTTTGGCACGGGTGTTTGATCCTGCTGGGTTTGGATGACTTGGTCGTTGTATCTCTCCCAAATCTTGTATATGGTCAGTCTGGGAAAGCCGTTTTCGGGGGCTTGGATTGCTCACATGAAGAATTACTCCCACAGCCTCCCACGTTTTCCCTAAGCCAACTGGGTCTCCAAGTACAGCTCCCGAGAGGTACGTCTTATCTCTAATTTCAATGATGGCAGCGATTGCCACCGGCTGCCAGAACTTGAGCAAAGTCGGGCAATTCATTGATCTCATCTCGGTGCCTTCGCGTTTGCAATATTGAATATTTCACATGCTTCTTCGCCGTCTTCCCTTTGGTAGTCCCTGTTGTCTAAAATCTTCTGCGGAGCTTTAAACTTCCAGAGGGACTCTTCTGACGGAATGATGACCCTGAGCTGTATGGACTGGTGTCAATGGTGGTCGATACAAGGGCTTCCATGTCAGCAGAGTTTACATAGTTCTGTTCATTGAAAACTCCGTGGTCTGGGGTGAGTTGCGATGGGTTTGACCCATTCGAGGGTGGCTCCCATGCGGTGTACTCTTCGTTCGCTACATCAAGATGATAGAGAGATATAAGCAAGATCTCTATCTATCTAATACTATCCCTTCCATATCCCTCCTTCTCGTCGATGTTCATCGTGTCTGCAGTCCGGGACTGCCTGTGCTCTACATTCATGCTTGACTTCACCGGGGCCAGCCGCGAGCTTCTCTGCGAGTGGTAGGGAGAGAGTAGGGACGCATCAGTCATCGCCTTAATAATAAGCGGAATATCATGTCCGATCCGGGTTGGTACCCAGGGACAGCGTGTGCTTCGTCCACTGTCGGAGATCAGCCAATGCAAGCAATCATAAGGAATCTAAGCGCTCCTACCTCCCCTCGTCATTCAAGTGATAGTAGTTGAAGACGAAAGAATTTGTCGCAACGTCGTATACAACCCGACTCTTCTTCTCCATTCTCATCCTTGCCTTCCTGACCATGCCTATTCAATATGTTATCAGGGTCTGATGGAATGGAAACGTATGACCTACCCATATATCCCGGTGGCTGGGCTTTCGCTTCCGCCTCACCCGGGCTTTTGGCTTCGATCACAACGAGGTTCGTGTCCACCTGGCCCTCACCTTGTACCACAACCCGAAGTCGATTTTGCCCGAGATCATCCTGTTTCTCCACAGATTCTTCCACGTGCATCTCATGCTGGTCTTCACCTGTGTCTCGAGCTGGATGCTCATCGACGAGGCGCCCTCCACGGCTCTTCGCTTTACATCCGCGAGAGCGTACCATAAATATTGTTCAGATGAGCTCGTCATCGTCTCGTATACTGAAGCCAAAGATAACCATTTCATCCATATCTTCGAGTGTCGATATAACTTGGGCTATGTATTTGCACCAAGTAGCCTTTGAGAACCCCCGAAACCATACATCTGACAGTTCTTTCAGGGCAATTTTGACGTCGTCCCTGACTCCGTCAGCTACCACCAAGTATCCTGGCAAATGTATATCAACACTGCCACAGCAGATAGGTAATCCTGCAGCGGAAGATGAGGGCGTAGAAAGCGCCTTCCCCAGTATTCGTGGACATGAGATGCTAGACAGATAAGTCTTCCCCAGACCGCAATATTATCTCAGTTCAGGGGTTCAAGACACGAATACGGTTCAGGGCAGCCTGAAACTGTCCAGCGCCCTTTTGCTAATTCTAATGGATAGATGTAGCACACTTCTATCCGCACTTCTATCCATCCGCGCGTGTTTGAACTTTCGGGATTGATTCTGGTATAGTAGGGTTTTTTAGCAAAGTCTTATTTTGAATTGCACATGAAACTCACGGAGGAATTACCAAATCTATCTCCCCATTCAGCATAGACCATCAACGTAGCCATGAGCATGTGATCACGGTCTTTTCTCTCTGGTGATGTTTGTTAACATCGTAATATCCTCCCACGGGCTTTGCTCAGTGTTGCCAGGGATTTCGAAATTCTGCAGCACGAGACGATCAGTACACCGCTCTCTAAGACGCTGGGTAGTAGTCAGACTCACGCATCTCATTGCATGGTCGAAAATACCGGTTTCGGTCGTATAAGACCACCAGAGCTTAGCTAATCTTTTGCTCCAATCGATAACCAGCGCGTTCGGTGAGCTAGAGGTGCCGTCCTTTTCAATGATATATTCTGGGTATAGATTGAAGAGGCATCAATATCGATCATTTCCATGAGTCTAGTCTCGAAGGGTGGACTTTGTCAACCCATCATGTCTTCACTGTAGCATGAACGGCTGATATAGAAGACAGAGAGAGAGGGGCGAGGCAGAGGAAGCTTAAGTTATAATTATGGCCAGGTGGTTGCCTATAGTATGTGAATGAAGTTGCGGGCATAGAACGTTTTTTTTTTTTTTTTTTTGTCAGAGTATTGAATATGAATGGTAAGTTAAGCAAGTTATGAACTGGACAATATTCACTTTATGACTTTCGTTTCTGAAAACATGCAATTCAGATAGTCCTTATTCGACACCGCTCTATTTTTGTGGCGCTATTTTTGAGTACTGAAACACCAGAAGACGTTCAAAACACTAAAACGACAAGAACGATATTAGATAAAGGGCAATGTGTCTCCTTCGATATGCAAAGCTGGTACATGAAGGTGATTTTGAGGAAATGGCGCAACAGACCCATTCGTTACAACAGATAACCAGACAAAAAGGAAAGAAAACCTGGGGTCCAAGGAGACAGACACTAATAGAAGGCAAAGAAAGGAGGGGGGGGGGGAAGAAAAATAGAGAACAGTGAGAAAGTGACCCGACTTGCGAGAGGATTCGGGATTAGCCGAGGGGAAGAAGTTTCTCGAGAAAGGTTGACTTTGCGTTTGGCAGCCCATCGTTGGCACAATCTAGGACTTTCCAAATACGTGAGAATCTCCTCAGTCTCAGTTTCCCCCGAATGCTCCTCTGGGAACCCGATGCCGGGAAAAAGCCGAGTGTCCAAGCCAGAAGTGACTACTATCACTTTGTGGCGAGGCGTCCACCCATACGTTGCACTCTTTTCATATTTCACGCCGAACGAAACTGTCTTGTTGAAGATCGTGCTGCCCATTTTTCTGAGCCCCGTTTTCTGCTTATTGGTTGATGATTCGTCGGTGGTGGTCGTGGCCCGAGTAGCTGCACCGTGTGGAGTCGGATGGATAACTTCTGCAGCTGGAGATTTCAACGAACGAAGGGACATAAAGATCCCTATGTAAGGGAAGGCATCATCTAGAAAGGCGGATGCGACTCTTTCGGTTTTGGTGAAGCTCGAGAAAGCATTAGCCCGGAGTTCGGTGGTGATCGAGAAATGAAGGCAGTTTTTAACCTGCACAAGAATACAAGAGAGAGTTTTCGGATGAGGAAGGAACACCGGGATAATAATATCTGTACCGGCGAAATTTTTCTCGGGATAGATGATGGCGCCGCGGAGAAAGGCGTCACGAAGGGTGTCTTTCGTCGGCGGCTCTCTCATCCTAATAGCGTGATTGAAGAATATCATACCATCTGATAGGATGGTATTGATTTGTGAAGAGTCCTTCTGACGAGCTTTGATCTCTTGAATTATTTGGTCAGGAAGAAGTCCGCTTAGAAATCGATGCGCGTGGGTCAGTTTTGGGTTTTCGGTGCCATGAAGATGATCAAACGCAAAGAACATTAGCAGCGCGGCGACCATCTCACCAGTGTCACCCGTATTGATGGAACCCTCTGAGATCGCGTCAAAAAATCTTTTGACTACTTGCAAACGTGACTGAGGGGACATCATCACCTGTGTGGACGCCCAAGCCAGAATCGGTTCCGAGGGCTGGAGTGTTTGAACAAGAGTCCGGTCCTTGTTCACCCCAACAATATATCGCAGAAATTGCGATGTTAATTCTTCTGCGAGCTCATGGTGCACTACATAAAAATTCACCCGGTACGAGAGCAATGCCAAAGCCTGAGCTTTGGTCATAATGGGTTGTGGACTGGGGTCGCCTCCGCAGATCTTACTTCGCGCAAGAGACTTTGCAGCTTCCAATCCGAACTTTCGAATCCATGTGCCCCATAAGGGACGTCCGAGGCTGAAAAGCTGTGCTGCATCTATATTCACATCTGGGTCCGTCACACTACCGAAAAGATCAAAGGTATTAATTTGAAATATTGGCCCCAGAAGGTGACCAGGTCTCAGATATTTTAAACTTGGGTCCCGACCCCTTGGAGGCAGGAACAGAGACAGACGATACGATGTATCGAGCAAGATCGCAAAAAAGGTCTTTTTTGATTCTTTGTGTCTCATGGCCATTCTATCTCTCATCGCTCTTCTGAGGGCTAAAAACCTCTCGGAATCGTCGTCGGCGAAGAGCTCGCCGGCTTCGTCAAGACAGATCAGCGCTGCAGGCTCCTGAAGAGGAGGGATTTCTTTTCGATTTCCGATAGGTAGCCGTGGGAAATTCTCCAGGTGAGCCACCAAGGACGAGAAGCAGTTTTCGGCACGATGTCTGTATGAATCGAGGTGTTCGTCGACTATGGTTTGATATACGAGCGCCATGGAGGATCCTGGTTTGTTGTCCTTGGTGCTCATCCGGTATGATCGAATCCGATTCTTCGCTTGATCCGAAGACTTCTCAAATGTGTCCCAAACTTGGTCTGCAAACTTCTTGATACAGGAAGCGATTTCTTGGTTAAAAACGATGAATTCTCGTCTCACTTGCACTTGGAAAAACACCCTAGGGCTGATCTTTCGCTCGCGGCAAAGTTCAACATTTACGAGACTCGCCGCTAGAAAGCACTCAAAAAAGCATGTCATCGTGTCACGAGAGTCAAGGTCCCTGATGTTGTTTGCAATTGGGGAACGTTCCGGATAGGCGCCGGAGTCGGGTTTGGCCAAGCTTGCGTATACGACGTAATTCAAGTTCTTGTCGGAAATTTGTTCTGTCGTCTTGCTCTTCCCGATACCAGACGGTCCATTCCACGACGTGTAGGGGGCGAGGTGAAGAGCCGGGTTATATTTTCGATACAACAAGACCGTTTCCTCGTACACTGTCGGCGCAATGTCTCTTGTCGCGTCTATCGGCTCCTGAAAAAATGCCTCCGATACAACAATGGGATTGTATTGCTGAATGGCTCTCTCTGGGAAAAGGACACAGAGGAGATCATGATAATTCTTGACGCTCTTCTCAGACGGAAGCCCGCTGATAGCCAAAAAATGCGGATATATAGAGACAACGTTGTCAATATTATCATTAGTCCCTGAAAGTTGTCTCCAACTGATACCGGTCAACCGTCGGTCTTGCAGCATCTTTTGAACGGAGTGCAAGTATAATGGTGCCTGCTCCTGCACAAATGTGATAATCTCAGTCTCCGGGGTGACCAGCATCTCCATTAGTTTTTTGAGCGTGCTGGCCACTTCCTTGGGCTGCTTTGAAAGTTGAGAGAATTCTTCTACAGTCTTGCACTGTCGCCATTGCGTTTTCTGTCCTGCCACCGTTGGGTTTTCGTCGGACTCTTGATGCATTTCGCCCTCTCGTGAAGCGTCAGTGCTACCAGGCGATAAGTGCAAGATTTGTGTCTCGTCACGGCTATCTATAGCTCTGGTTAGATTCTGTAGATAGATAAAATGAGCTTTCTAAGGCCTTGTCATTTGGAGCATGAAACCGGACTTCCGCTGACGGAGTAGCCACGAAATCACAAGGGGGTTGCTAGGAAGATCCCAAATTCCTAGAAATTCGTTTTTTACCTCACATACCGTGAAAAGCTTCAATTGGATGGTTCAAATCCTCCGAACTCATTGCGAAGAGCAGTACTGTCCACAGGGTGAAATTCCGGGAGAAACTGGAGGTTTGCAATGTAATGTATCGAACCCGGTCATCGACAGAAAGGAAGGAAGATTTGCGAAGGTCAGAAGAAAAGGAAGGGACAGAGACGGATATTTTTCCTCCTGGTGGTTTGTGTTCGTGGGGAGGCAGTGAATGCGTTTGCGTGCCTAAATAGGAAAGACACCTCAGCCTCCATCGCGTCGACACGCTTTCTTGCATCTTCCATTTTCCCTGTCAAACGCTGCTACTCCAATCAACCAACAACATCGTCACGTATCATCGCGCGTCATTTGAGAAGCAGTATTTATGCGTTTGATGGACTAAAACACCTGTCAGACAGCTCACTCATCCCCAACGCCTGCTTGGAACCAACTCTGGCGGTCCCTGGCATTATATTCTCCCTCTGTGTAGCACGTTAGATATGAGCAAGACAAATACGACCTTTCTACGCACTAGAGATATATTCCGTACTATTGACGGTGTCTTCTAAGAGCTCGACTGATGCTACCGAGAATGTATGGTCCCTGTCCCCTGATGCACCTGCCCGGAAGGAATTCCGCTTTCTGAATCCCTCTGAAAAGTCTAGCTTTACTCTCCTATTGTGTCTGTGTCAGTTTCAAAGGGGCTCGGGATGATCATTATCCACATCATGCACTACATCTTTATGGGCTGGAAATATTTGCTAATACTAGTAGCTTTAGACTCTGATGCTCCATTTGGTCTACTCGGCACAAAACCGCATACGCATACCTGGAATGAAGAGAAGGAGTGCATAGGGGAAAAGGAAAAAAAAAAAAAAAAAAAGAAGAAGAAGAAAGAAAGAAAACAGGAAGATACAATTCATATCAGCAAATGAATCAGCTTTCAGAAGAATATTGATACACCAAACGAAACACATAACTTCACAACGCCAGATGATCAGCTAGTCGCTTTCTAATTCATCATCTGCATTCTCTCCTGCCAGCTTGGAATCACCGCAATGATGCCAAAATGTTTTAAAGAACTTGGATTCTCCTCTCTTTCATCCCACTGCGCGGAATTGCGCCAGTTAAGCCAGATAATAGATGGGAGATGATAGTATTGCCAGTAGTGGTGCCCATATTGCCGCTAAATCAGGTCAGTTCTCTTTCTATATAATGTGAAAGATGAAATGCTTACAACTGTTTCTGGATCCGTGTCAATAGAGAAGTGTACATCCGCCTGATACGCATGGCATTTCCGGCCAATCCAAGTGCCTTTCTCAAAATACTCGTTGCTGTTTTTTCTACTGATGACATGCGTCATGAATAGCATCTTCCATCTTTTTTCAATGTCATTCCAAAATATGCTTGATTGCGGACAGATCGGAATGAGATCGAGTTGCAGATGTCTTTTGCCCTTTCTCCAGTCATTCAGTTGCCATCTTGAATCTGTGGTAAATCTAGAACTGCGGTTTTCCCCGCGCAGCGATTCAAGGCGTGACCTCAGTAGAGGCAGGGTTTTGACGGTCAACCCCAAATGATGAAACACCGAATATATTGCCAGATCCGAACCTTTCAGATCGAGTGGTAGACGGTGCATTCCGGGTGGTCCTGGGTTCTGCCAGGGATAGGAGTGTGAGCAGAAGACACCCACAACTCCGCCTGTTCATGTATGTCAGTGGGTTACGGCGTTGGGATGGGCCGGTATTCTTACCATCTTTTAGAAAGCCAGGCTGCTCCAGTAACATCCTGAAGTGGGTATAAAAAGGCAGTGATGTCACATCAACCGTTGGACTGAGCATGGTTGGACTGACGACGCATTGGTGCAGGTGATAGATGAGGGTGATTCGACTGCCTTTGGTCACGGTCTGCAATGTATGGCCACAGCGGCGGTAGAAAGCAGCCCATTGGATTGCAGATCCGCTGTTTCTTTGCCAGTCAAAAGTGACTGCCTCGTCGTGCTGCCGGACAAGGAGATCTCCTCCTTCAAAGCTAGACGGTAGACAGACGAATAACAAGCCGACATGGTCGTCGGAATCAGGCGTATAACAGCTCTCCGAAGGGGTTTCGACAGAGGAGTCAATCTACATACCGGATAAGTGCTTATACGAAACATCAGATGAAAGGAACATACCACCATACCGGCCAAACTTGCCGTTAAATCGCCTTGTTTTTCCTTTTCATTTCCCGGAAACAAAAGACGCTGGACGCATGGTAACACGTCCGAAGCTGCAAGATTGAAAGTTGTGGCAAAGCTACCAGCACGAAACAGCCGTGCAGATGCAGGTCCTGCTTGCTTTCCTGGTGGCAGAGGAAGCGACAAAGAAGACATCCCACTATTCGGCCAGAAGATGCGAAGAGGCAAAAGCGACTCTATCGATATTACACCCCCGCAAGCAAAATTGACTGCGGGTGGGATATGTCTGGGAAATTTGTCTCTAAATCTCCCATCGATTGCCTCGTGGAGACCACGGAATGCCTGCCTCAGGGCGATATTCTGCAAGCTTCTCGGTCCTTTACCTCTGGCCTTCTCTTCGCGCAGCCGAAAGTGCTCGGCAATGGCGCCTTCATATAACGCTTGGCTAAACTCAGGCTCACAGTCCTGTTGAAGAGCCGCGAACTTGGGCATTTTCCTGCTCAGCTGGCCATTCAAATCCTCGACCGCTGCTTCGAATGACCTTGCCTCGAAAAACGGAGGAACCCAGTACTTGATGTTTGCGATCAGCTCTTCCTTTAGCTCCTCATACCCTTCAAATTGCCACTTAAAACTTTCTTCTCTGAACTCTGTTATAGGGGAGCTCGATGTTGGTGGGAGAGTGGGGATCTGTCGGGTGAATTTAAGTAGACATGCGTCGAGTTTGCAGTTCTACATACGTTAGTACATTGTTTGAATGAGGTGGAGATGAAAGATACATTGATGAGTTCAGTTTCTAATTTGGCCTGCAGCTCGTCCGTAGAGCGCTTCTTATCTTCTTCGATGAGTCCGAGAAATGGCATGATGGCGATGTTGAGGAAATATGCTGGGAACGATTCTATTTCATCTGGTGGAAATAATCTAAAATGCCTTCTGCCTGGGTATATCATATTGCCGAATTGGGTTGCAGCCTATCCTTCATGACGACATCCTCCCGTTCAAGTATAGGCAATAATCAATATTTCTGGTGATTACGTTAGAATGAATCTTTCACTTCACATCTAACATCCAACAACACTTCAAGATGGATATTCTGGATAGAATATTTTCCTTTCGCAGAGCCTCTAAACGCCAGTTTATCAAGTCAAGATTTGAACTCCTCCCAACTGAAATCCTCCAACTCATCGCCCGAGAATATCTCACTCCAGTCGACCACGCCTGCCTGACCCTCTGCAGCCATGCTCTCCTCCACACCCTCGGCTCTTCATCCTGGCCAACAGCACAAGATAAGCAGCTGAAAAAAGCCTTCTTAACAAGACTGTCCCAAGACCTCATCCAGTCCTTCCTCTGCCAGTACTGCATGAAACTCCATCCATCGGCAACCGTCTATCCCCCCGGCCCAGGATTCTACACCACCAAAAAGCGGCTTCGTTCGTGTCCTGAACAACTCGGTTCATGCACCCCATACAAGATTCTTAGTCTTTCTCGATATTTTCTAGTTCCTTCTGGGGGTTCAACGTATGATTTCCGGTTCTGTCACGCGGCGCTTGTTATGAAGCGGTACTGTCACGGAGCTCCGCATGGGATGGCTGTAGAGTCATTATCTTTTACGGAGGTTGATTCTTCGAGGCCTCCTATCACGACTTTGGTATCTGCCGAGGGAAAGGTTTGTATTGAAGAGAGTGGCAGTCCGACTCTTGTCTTGCGGATCCAGAACTGGACTTTGGTTCATGGGTCGGATCAGGACATTGGACAGGCTCTTGAGACTGGTAAACATATGTGGATATGCCATCACATCACTTTCCTGCATACTAAAATGCAGGATTACTCGAAAGCTTCAGCACGGAAGCGCGCCTGCCACGAGGCTCTCGATGATCTCCGCTGCCGATACTGCAAGATTGACTTTCAAGTGGATATCCGGAACTGTGCCGATGAAGGCACAGCGGTGGTAGTCACTGGATGGCTGGACGTCGGTGCAGGAATCGACATGGACGATGCCAAGTGGCAGGACATGGTCCGTTTCTATCCGCCTGTTCCTGTGGGTGTTGGTGCTGTCCCGGGGTCAGGGGCTGTTCGTAAACTGTTCCAGAAGACTGAAGCAACGCCGTCTTCTGTCACAGAGAGAAATCAGTCGTTGCTGATTGGGAAACGGTATCGGTCCGTTATGAGTCCATTGCGAGGGTGGAGTCATCGGTGGGTGATTCCAGCTGATAAACCCTCTCTTTGGCCTTGGTAGAGCGGTATTATCGTTGACCAATCCCACTAACAGCTGTCCGTTGATGCATCCATACTGCTTCTTTCCTTAGTTGTGAATTTGAACATGGCTACGCATTGCCTTCTGCGTTGGTATCAATTCCCTCCCGTTAGGAAGTAACGACATCGACCTCGAAGTAAAGAGGGAAAGTACCCCTCCGTGGGATCCCCTCATCATGTTCGAGCGTGGGAATTCCTCTTCTTCTCTTTTTCTCTCCCTCACCTTCGGTTGACAAAGCGTCTTTTACTGCCTGTTTCACAGTATTAGAATCATAACCGGAATGAATATTAATGCCATCTTGGGAACGGTAGGTACTTGGGGTTGGGGCCTTTCGCCCTGAGCTCGATGCCGTTGTCCGTTATATCTTGAGGGCTTTGGGAAAAGTCTCTCCGGCTGCTGGGGAGCCGGAGATTCCCTCTCATCAGCCGATGACAAGCCAGGAGGCGAAGGCTCTGACTCAGGAGATTCTTTTCCTTCGTCTTTATCTTCAGGCTGTATTCCCCCCGTGGCGGAAGGACATGGGGCTACAGCCTCCAACAGCTCGTCTCCTTCTTTGAATGAGAATACACCAAGCTGATCCACAACGGATCGCGCTCTCTAGTGGAGAAGGGGTCTGGATGCACGTATGGCTGGTTCTTTCGAGGGCTGGTCTCGTGCACCATTCCGGTACCCCCATCCAACTGAGAGCAGACATTCCCGGATGATCTTCGGATCGGATGGGCACCATGGCGGTTGATGACTTCAGTCGTTGTGGTGCACCAGCGATGAGCTCGCACTTCTGCGCAGTGCTGGTGACTAGTAGCCTATGACCACTATGCGGTAGGTGAAGCCAAGACGAGCTCTTTGTAGATACTTGCACTTGGCGTTCATCACGTAGCTTGTTAGTGTTTGAAGTGTATTTAAGTCGGTAGGCGTTGAAGGTCTGGTATACTAGACTGGGAATTGTCGGGTTTGTTGTTTCGAATATGTGCAGTCTTCGTTGAGTGTAGATAGCACATCCTCTCTTTGGGAATAGTAATATCATTTCAAGCATCGAGGTGATATACTAGAATACTTCAAATAGACTCCATTGTCTATACCCCATATATTCCATTCTTGGTATAGTGTACGAAATGTGGATTCGTATTTCGTACACTATACCCAGACTGGCAACGCGCCTTCGAGATATCTGGACAGGAATCTGAATTTGCCTTCAAGCAGGCTTCTAGAATGACTCAAATAATACGATGCATTCTGTCTATGCTCATTCATCCTGTCCTAAAGAATGCCCCCCAGACGAACCCACCATAAATCTCGACATGGCTGCCTCAGCTGCAAGAAAAAGCGCGTCAAGGTAGGCTTCCCCGAATCCCTTGGTGTACTCTACTGACCATCCAGTGCGGCGAGGAACGGCCGTCATGCGTGTACTGTGCAGAACGTGGTCTAGTCTGCGAATATGCATCTGTGGCGCCACTGGCATGGCACTCGTGGAATATCAAGTTACACTCGAAAGACCAGTCGCTAGGCCCATTACCCGATACAACCGGGAACGAGGGCAACAGCACTGTCTCACGAGACAATCTCCAAGACCAAGAACTCATGATGCAATGGTGTACCTCGACCTACCGCTCACTATCCCGGAACACGTCGCTCGAATGGATCTGGCAGTATACCATTCCGCGAGAATCATTTCAACATGCGTTTCTCAATCATGGCATTCTGTCTTTATCAGCGCTTCATCTAGCCATCACCAGCCACAAAGACCAACGTGAGAGATATCTAAAAGCAGCACAACATCACCACACCCACGCCGTTCCAGGGCTTCTACACGCAGTCGGCGAGCTGCACCAGAACAACAGTAACGCCATCTACGCCGCCTCGAATGTGATGATTATTTTCGCCTTTGCATTCCCGTTAATCGTACAGCCCTGCCAGCCAGGCACGGCACTCGACGATCTGTTCCAGGTATTCCACGTCGTGCGCAGCTCAATGGCCGTTCTCCAGGAAATGATCGATTGGGTTCGATCAGGGATACTCAGTCCCCTAATGAGTAAACAGGAAGACACCACAGCCCTCTCCCCCGAGTTAGAAAACGTCATACACACCCTCAAAAAAACAAACTCCACTCTAAACCACTCCGACGCAGCATCCGACGCAGCCATCGAGCAGCTCAGACCAGCATTGGGCAACATGCTCAAAGACGAAGGGGCCACGATGACCGTGTTCCTGTGGGTCTTTGCGATCCCCGCCCCATTTGTGGAGATGCTGAGGGCGCGACGGCCCTTTGCGATGGTGATTCTGGCCCATTATGCGGTGGTCATGTACCATCTGCGCCGGTTCTGGTGGATGGGGGATTGGGGGAGGAGAGTGTGTGAGGAGATTTACGATAGTTTGGAGCCGGAATGGCGAGCGCGAGTTGTTTGGGTTGTTGATATAATTAAAACTGGAGCATAGGGCACAACCATGCTGGTGATCCGGGTGCTAAAAGGGAGATGCTCCACTGATGTATTTGTATTTATTGCATCAACCCCAAAAATGGGCGAGCCTAAACGGGCATGATCCGAGCTACTAGTGAAAATTACAAATAAATGCAAGGATGCAATAGTGGGAGCCTGTAGAGTTTATCTTAATATTAATATCGCAAAACCTGGCCCTCTAGCCCCGACGCGGATGTCGATTATTGCCCGTTTGGGATGCTAGTGCCTAATGCGAAGCCAAATGCGAGTAATGCACCCAAGGACGACCGTGGATGCATCGGGATTGACGCTTTCTGGCTTGCAATTGGCGATTAAGCTATGCAGCTAGCATGTCGTGTTGACACCGTTCAAAGTAAAAATATACTCCTTATTCTTGACAAATACACAATCAATAATATAAGAGTGGGGGGTGTCGTTCAATATTGCCTTTGTCCAACTTTCTTTCTATCATTCACTCCACCACAATGAAGCTGGCGATTCTGTCGACTCTGGCTGCGTTTGCCTCTGCAGGCTCTCCCTATGGATTGGGCTCTCTCGCGCACTGGACTCCCCCTGGTCCAACCGACTGTATGTCCATCATTTTAAGCACTAACACTAAGTTACTCACTGTGGATGCTATAGATCGAAGCCCCTGCCCCATGCTCAACACACTTTCCAACCACGAATTCCTCCCCCACGATGGCAAAAACATCACCAAAGAACAACTCGTCCAGGCGCTCTCTTCGGCACTGAACTTTGATACCGAGCTGGCCAATTCCATGTGGCAGATGGCGCTTATTGCTAACCCCGATCCGAATGCCACTCATTTTTCTCTGTACGTATACTATATTTCTATATGCGTTGATTATAATGCTAACTTCATAGTGACCAACTCAACACGCACAACCTCTTGGAACACGATGCCAGCTTGAGGTATGCATACCGTCCAATTTCAACATCTACTTCATCTAACAAAACAGTCGCGCCGACGCCTACCACGGCAACAACTGGCGCTTCGACCAGACCGTCTTCGACGAGACGAAGAAATACTGGACTGCCCCCGTCCTGACAGCCGACATGCTCGCCAACAGCAAAATGGCCCGCCAGCTCTCCTCCCGAGCAACCAACCCCAACTACACCTTCACCTCGTCGACGGATTCATTCAGTGTGGGCGAGGTCTCGGCACCGCTTATTATCTTTGGAGATGGGCAATCCGGCACTGCCAACCGCTGCATGACTGAGTACTTTTTCGGTAAGTAGTGTCTATATGGATATATGAACGTGATGCTGATTAAATAGAACACGAACGCTTCCCCACAAGTCTAGGATGGAAGCCAAGCTGCAAGCCTATCACTCCAAAGGATGCCACGAAAATGGGAGAAGTGATTACCAACGCCACCACTCTGCTTACTGGATCTAAGCCGGCCAGCTCGAATAAGCGTCGGCATTTGCATTTCGGACATGCCCACTAATGATGTCTTATTTTTATGACGGTCGTGTCTTTACGTTTGGGGATTCATTTCATGTTCATATTGTTTGCTGCTATTGCTTTTGTAATAAAATGTTTAAATTCTGTAGATATTATTAACTCAACGCCGATCCAACTTGCCCTTTCGTCCACCATCATCGAGGAGACCAAACATGCCAGCTTCAAACAGGATTTGACCTGCAGTGCATGCTGACAGGCATGGGCTATCAACCAGCTCGTCTCATCGACTAATCCACGGCATACGCTTTGCCTTTCGATCAGATATCGTTCGAGCTCCGAATCAACAACACCTGCTGCTGCATACTGCAGAATTGCCGGGGCCAACAGCCACCATATTCAGACAGGACCACTCATTTCACGACTCCAATCGCTGCTTGACATGGCCAAGTACTCATGTCCGTTGCACGCGTTTTTCAACGGCCGACTAATTCCCGTCGTTCTATACTCGACATCAAACGCTTCGGCGACGTCAGCCTCCCGCTGATCGACGCCATTCCTGCACGCTTTTGAATATCCCACCACCGCTCTGCGGAGAAAGTGATGTCTGTCGTTGATGATGTGCCACGTGTATGGTAACGCAGATACACGAGCAGTCGGTCCAACCATCGCTCCGTCAACATCCTCGTGCTATTATGCGCACACGCCTCTCAGATTGTCTTCCGTGATGACGCCCTCATCATATACATCAGCCGTGTTGAGCAGCGCATTAAACAGCTCCGAATCACACAAATCAGAACCCACATCCACCACGTCCGTCAGCAAGACTGTCTGCAGCATATCGTGCATCATGGCTCCCCCATCGACCCTCTTCTCTATCGCCTCGGTGGCTGTTGCAAATACAGAGCTCTCGCCAATCCACACCCCCAGCGCCTGACCCCGATTCACCCTCGCTATCTTCCCTCCAGTCGATCCTAAGGCGCTGTGAAGTTGTCTCACGGTGCATAGAAATGGCCTCTTATGTATACAGTGATTATACTCTGATAAGATAAACTGTATGGGTTGTTATTTAGCATCAGACCTAACCCACTCGGGCTGCATGAACCATGGACAGGGGTATTCCCCGCAAAACCAAGACAACTTCATACGCCTATTAACAGGTACGGCCAATCAGTCTGCTGTATTATATAGAATTCTCTTACATGGTTGGTGCTAGAGACATATCTAGACTGGGTCATTCCTTCATATATATATATAATATATATGACTGATCGTATGCCGTAACTATTATGGCAGCCAAATCTGAAAAGTAGAATAAAAAGGTGACTTGGCATTATTGCCGTGATCCAAATCTATCTTATAGCCATACAATACACCAATCAGATCTGCATGGATTTGTCATTCAGGATCAAACCAAATCCATCCCGAGGCTGCATCAACAGCGATCATCCCACATAACAACACCTCCTCAATCATCAAAATGACCACCCCTCCATCATCAGAACTGCCCAAAAGCAGAGAGGAATGGCGCTTCCATTATCTGGGTACTCCCGTCGAATGGATCGAAAGCTATCGACCAGGGAGATATCATCCTGTTCATTTTGGTGATACATTCAAAGACTCGCGGTATCGCGTTATTCGGAAACTTGGGTATGGGTCTTTTTCGACGGTGTGGCTGGCTAGAGATCGAGAGTATGTATTTATCAAGCATGTTAATCGTGGGTTATTCTGACTTTGCCAGGCTATATCGCTATGTTGCTCTGAAAATACTCATGGCAAAACCGGGTGCTGCACAAAATGAATTAACAATTCATCAAGCACTGTCTCAGAGTACATCCAATCACCCGGGAAAGAGCAATATTATGAATATAATAGAATCTTTTGAACATACAGGCCCAAATGGAGTCCACTGCTGCCTGGTATTTGACGTGATGGGTCCCAGCGTCGGACATGCGGTCGAAGAGCTCCCTAACACTCTCATCAAAGGCTCCGGCTACCGTCGCAGATATCCAGTCTGGATGGCCAAGTCTATCCTGCGACAGACTCTACTTGGGATTGAGTTCTTGCACCAGAATGGAATTTCGCATGGTGATATGCAGCAGCGGAATCTGTTGTTTTCCGTGAAAGACTTGAGTTCCATCAGCGAAGATGAATTGGCAGGGGAAAATGAAGCATCCGAGCCTGTTCGCAGACTCGATGGAAAGGAGGATATCTGGGCGCCGAAATATCTCGCCTTGAATGAGTCTCTGGTTGACTATGCGGACGTTGGATCTGACTTTAAGATAAAGATTTCCGACTTGGGAGCGGGTTTGTTCCATCTTTCATCCTCTTCAATCCTCCATCACTAACAAGAATAGCATTCTTCGTATCCGATCCGCCAAAAGAATCATTCACCCCCGTGGGCCTGCGCAGTCCAGAGCTCGTTTTCGAAAACAAAATCAACAAAGACCAGGACATCTGGAGTTTCGGCTGTTCCATATACGAACTTCTAACCGGAAAACTACTCTTCGCAGTCGCCGACATGGGAGACGATGAAGAAATCGATGATGACCACTTTCTTCAATTCCATGATATCCTTGGGCCGCTTCCCGGTCGCTTAATAGCCCAATATCCGCGTGCACATTTGTACTGCAACGAAGCGGGTGAGATAATAACGCGTTATATTGGAAAGATTCCCGAAGGCGCCGACCCAGCTGGGCTAGAACCACTGCCATCGCTTGAAGAGTGCTTTGATAAGAAGAAGCCTGCGGAGTTGAGTGATGAGGAAGCAGGGGTTGTTAAGAAGTTGCTTCGGTGGATTTTGGACTATGACCCTGCTAAACGGCCTTCCGCCTCTGAGCTTCTGGCTCATCCGTGGTTTGCTGAAGATGCGCAGTAGAAGACGCTTTGATAATACCAGTCAATTCAGAACTTTAGTCTACACTATAGTAATCTTGTGCTGTATAATTCCGATCCATTCCTCTAAATCTGACAGTCATCGTGGATCGATCGCTTTAATCCGTATCCAACCGCCTCAAACGCTCCGCCTCCTCAATCGGATCCTGCTGCAGAAACTCTCTCACTTTATTAATATCGGTACCTATGCACACAACTTCATCAGAAACATTCCAAACTCATATATTCTCTACTCACGCAAACTCTCCGGAACGATAACCATATCATCCGGCGCCTTAAACAGAAGACGATCATCCTGCAACTGGTCCAAAACACACGTTACATCTTCCATATTAAGAGACGACGCTTCGACCACCGGTAACTGGGGCGTTGATTTCTTCTTGTGAGGTGGCTTTTTGGCTTGGGTTTTGTCTTTGTTGGTGTCTGTTGGTTTTGGGCTTCGTAGAGATGTTCGGATGTTGCGGAGAATTCCGCGACGGGAGTGATGATTTGGGGATTCGATCATTTTGAGTATAGAACTTTTTGAGTTGATTGGGATGAGATGAAGATAGAGAAGTGGGGGGTGAGGTTAAGGTTGGGTTTGTTTAGAATATCACCTGATCTGTATGTATGCAGTTGTGCCTGTCTCTGAATAGACAGCATTCCTTGCATCCCTTACCGATCGTCCTATTCTTAGCTGCGACCAGTTTTCAAGACATTTGATTCAACACACGATCCTAGCAAACTTTTTAAAAAGTCTGCAGAAAATGAAACATCTGAGTGTGCAGACGTGCCATCATCAAGCATCCCCCCAATCGGAATGGCTAAGGTTGCATTTTCTACACTCTCTTTTGCATAGTCAACTATCACATTCTGAACACCTTCAGAGTGTACACAGCCATCCCATCTCAAAATAAAGCACCCTCGTATTCCTATCCACAAGAAGAACAACAATTCTCTTCAACCCCTCTGGATACCCCAACCATAACCGCACATCCACCCTTAGACAATGACCCGCCTGCACATCGCCAACCTCCACAACCAAAGGCTGATTCTTACAAACGCCTCCCCGAGACCAAAAATAATCATCAGGCTCCGTCTCAAGCCCCCAGGAAACGGCAGATACTGAGTCGTCGCACGACAAAGACGGATTGAAAGTACTCGAAGCCCTACACGATCGACGAGGTAGAGATATGCCACTGTCAGAAGAAGTGACCATGACAGCGGCAGAAAACACGGCACATGGACATGATATCATGAGACTGCTATTTGAACAGAAAGGCGAGCTTCCAATATCAGAAAACGCCGTCAGGGCAGCGGCAAAGAACTCGCATTGTGGGTATGGGGTTTTGACATTTCTACTTGATCAAACCAAGAGCTCCCAGTATCAGACTAGGTGATCATCGAAGCAGCTCCTATCAAACACGTAGGAGACAACATGCTGCATGAATATTTTTGGACATGCAAATCATCTTGATCTGACCATTCCTATTCTGGTATAGACTGTGGCCATATATATCAGGTGTCGATCGGATCACCGTCAGGCACGTTGATAGCGCGCCCCTCTTCTGCCCAGAGCTAAATCATCCTTCTCTCTCCAATCTCAGATCGCACCCAAGCGCCCTGAATCTGGGCGTTTTTAGGTTAGCTCTACCATGGATCTTGATGATTCCAGAACTGCTGTTGATGAAAATAGCTGACCATGTCTCTTACACCCCACAGTGACAGCCCACCATAAGTGACGCAAAAGCTCTTACATCTATCGCCCAAGAGCTACAAAACCCCCAAAATGGCCGACCAGGTTGATATCGACCCCGAAGACTCATGTGTCATTTGCAATAAACAGCCAGCACGAAGATGCTCACAGTGCAAAAGCACATACTACTGCTCCTCCGACTGCCAGAAAAAGGATTTCTCGTCCCACAAGCTCCTCTGCAAACAGTTCGCGGACCAGGCTGAACGACCCTCTCCAAAGCACAAGCGCGCTATATTTTTCCCGGCGGACAGGGCAAAACCACAAATGATATGGGTGCCCACTGCCGCCATGGGCGGGGAGGATGAGTACGACCTTCCCTGGACAATGGTAGAGCCGAATCCTTACCTTGGACCCGGCAACCCCATTCCCGGAAACATGCGCTCTGAATACAACGCGGTCCGCGATCGAACCCTCGGCTCTGGATTTACACAGTGGGCCGAGCAGAACAAGGGCCATTGCGTCACTTTGATCTGCCGGGACAACTATCTGTCAGACGGCTCAAACCTGAACATGAGTATCTATGGTTCTATAGGAGGAGGTAAACCGACACCCCATGTCTACCGTGGGCCTATGATTGGAATGCGACAGCTTCCCGGTGAATCATATGGCGACATCACGCTCGCCGACTTTCGACATCTCATCGACTTTTTCACGAGCTATGGTTCCCCAAATCCCCCCAAAAACATACCAAATGATACCCCCGCCCCCAACGCAGTCCGTGGCGTGAAAATCTGCTGCGACGGACACATGAACCGCACTCGCTCAAAAAACTTTGTCTCTGTCAAAATCCCCGGACCCATCAAGGAGAAACTAGGCAGCGGAGCCATCTCACCCATCTCGACCCTCCTGGGCATGCCTGTCGAGGTGTGGAAAATCCCAGACGAGTCATACCAGCGCGACCCCGACCCGACCGCCGATAGTAATCCCTATGCTGCGTTCCTAATGCTGGACGCTGATCCTGCGAGCCAGGGATGGGGCTGGGCGCCTCCATACTGGAACCGAGAAATCGGCAACGTCTTGGTCTGTCGGAAGGACGGAAAGGATCTCACTGCAAAGGATGTGTCGATGATGTGTTACTTTTCCAGACATACCTTGCAGGACATGTTTGAAAATACACTGGAGTTGGGGCCGAATTCACCTCGAAAGCTCAAGGTTCGGGATTTTATTACCTGGGAGAACATGTATAACGAGTATAAAAGTCTTCGTTATTGATGAACATGACTCATGATGTTATTGGAAGGTCAGAGTAGGACTGTTCTTCTGATAGGATGGAGAGTCCATTGGTAGCCATATCCCTTTTCCTCAATGATGCTCTTAGACATTTACGACCGGCTTCTCACCGGACAAAAGTTTGCATATCTGCATTTTAATAGCTAGATCAAAGGGCATATTCTTTATTCTTTTTTTCTTTGAGTGTATCGTATCCATTGAGCTTAATTGCATACAGAGTTTCGGCATACTCGGAATTCCGATACAATCGACATCAAGATTGCAGGGTAGATCTGGATGGATTGAGACTGTTATTTTGAGTTTATATTAATTTATGCTTAATTTATATATATAGATGATATATTAAGATCGTCAACTATCTACTCTACTGTAAGTGTAGTGAGGTCATCATAATCCCACGCACCCTATCCTATCTTGACATTCTACGCTAGACAGGGATATTCCTGAATACATCGTTTATCTACTATTTCTATTCTGGATATAGAAAGCATTTCAAAGTTATTCAGATGTCTTGATGGAATTCAGCATGTCGATCGTCTATGCTCTTGGGTCTCGGGATTCCGATACTGGCGGAACTCCGTGTGCAATTAAGCTCAGGGGATTATCCAATCAACGACTGGTTTGTTCTGTCCACCTTATATTCTGATCTGAATTGACCAAACAGAATACTTGTAGGGAATCTTTCGCCTTGGTATTTGAATAGACAATATTGACTATCCTTGAGTAAATTGTGGTTTCGTTTACATGTGCAGGAGGTCGATACATCATTAGAAGCATTCTACTCAGATGAGAGGACGAATCAAGACATACATGTTTATAATCTTCTAGATAATATAAATACAATAATCCCAACTAAGACCTCTCCAAAGCCAGCAACGCCTCATCAAGGGAAACGACCTTCAACCCCATCTTCGGCAACAGCATATCAAGCATCACGTTGGAAAAGGCATCAGTCTGGTCCACCGGCAGTTCAACCACATTATCCCTGATAACGAAGATATCATAGTCCAGATCGAATAATCGGTAGATGGTGCTCATCACGACGCCGGAGAGAAACAGCCCTGACTATAGTATTATTAGTTTAATCGAGGTAGACAATAAGGAGATTAGATTAGCATACAATAACAACAGTCTTAATACCCCTCGCCTTGAGAATCTGCTCCATACTATTCCCCATACTCGCACACCACCTCGTTTTATTAAGGACGATATCGCCCTCCTCAACTTTAAACAGAGGATGGATCTGCACTTCGCTGGAACCATGCGCAAACTCGCCATACGGAGCGATTAGTCTGCCAAACGGCGTATCGGGCTGCACTTCTGGCTGTCCCGGGCTAAAAGCGAGAGTGGAAAATATGGTCAATGGACGGGGAGATTTCTGGTGGACGGCTTCGTTCCATTTGGTGTAGTTGGCTATGAGGGTTTGGCCTTGGGGAGTGTCTTTTATGGCGGAGATGAGGACGGTCATCCAGTCGAGGTTGAGGATGGCGTAGTTTGGACCGAAGGTTAGGTTTGATTGTGTCATTTTTGTTGTATTTAATTGTGTAGAGAATGAAAGAAAGAAAATTATATTTACGTGGAGTATTTATACTTGGGGTCAGTCGCAATTCCGAAGACGCAACTCCGACAGTCTCGGAATTCCGATACAACAGGTCTGAGTCTAGACTTTGGCCACTCCACTCAACCTTATATATACTGTTTATGCTCCGGATCTTCTTCAGTTCATTCTTTCTACAATCATCAATCAAAATGTCTACAAAAGAAACTACAATGTCACCAACAGAACGACCGTTCAGCATCTTCGACAAACGCCAAAAAGCGCTCATCATTCTCATCGTTTCCACCGCCGCAACCTGTAAGCCACCACCTACAATTCACATCTCTCTCTAACAAAAACAGTCTCCGGCTTCGCCTCCAACATCTACTTCCCTGCCCTCCCAACAATCTCCAAAGACCTCAATGTCTCCCTCGAACTCGTCGATCTAACCATAACCTCCTATCTCATCTTCCAAGGTCTGGCCCCCTCTCTCTGGGGTCCCGTATCAGACGTGAAAGGTCGTCGCGTCGCATACATCGGCACATTCATCGTCTTTCTGGGCGCGTGTATCGGGCTCGCAGAGACGAAGAACTATGCGATGTTGATTGTGCTGCGGTGTCTGCAGAGTACAGACAGCGCGAGCACGACTGCCATCGGGTCGGGCGTTATCGGCGATATTACGACCCGAGAAGAACGAGGCGGGTACATGGGTATCTTCCAGGCTGGGTTACTTGTTCCTGTTGCTGTTGGGCCGGTTGTGGGTGGTGCGATTGCGGGATCGCTGGGATGGAAGGCGATTTTCTGGTTTTTGACAATCTACAGTGCTGTTTTTCTGGTTTGTCTGGTTGTGCTCTTGCCTGAGACGCTGCGGTCGATTGTGGCGGATGGGAGTCGGGTGCCTGCGGATATCGTGTCCAAGTATCCGCTGAATGTGTATCAGCGGTTATCCAAGGTCCAGCAGAGCCTGCCAGATGGATCGCCTGAGCTGGCCGGACAGAAGAAGATTGATCTCCTCGGTCCGCTGCGCATGCTGATGAGCAAGTTTGCTTCGCCGATTATCGTCTTCCTGGCGATATACTACGCCGTCTGGCAGATGAGCATCACCGCCATGTCGAGTCTTTTCGAAGATCACTACGGGCTATCTGAAATCCAAATCGGGCTAACGTTTATCGCCAACGGTGTTGGCTCGATGATCGGGACATTGGTTACTGGCAAAATCCTCGATGCTGATTATCGTCGTGTCAAAGCCAACTACGAGTCTTCTCTCGACGTCGAGCAATCCGCCACCCAGAAAGATGACGACTTCCCACTCGAAAAAGCCCGTCTCCGTCTCATTCCCATTTTCTCATGCCTCCAATGCGCGTCTATCATCCTCTTCGGCTGGACAATCCAATACAAAGTGCACATTGCCGTTCCCATCATTGCAACCTTCATCACCGGCTGGACGGCTGTCTCCACGCAGTCCCTCATCATGACATATCTGGTCGATATCTTCCCTGACAGAAGTGCAGCTGCCAGCGCGAGTTTGAATCTAGCCAGATGTCTGTTTGCAGCTGGGGGCACGAGTTTCGTGATGCCGATGGTGAACGGGGTTGGTGCGGGAGTGGCGTTTACGATCTGTGTCGCTGTGCAGGCGTTGGCGCTGGTTGGGCCATTAATGCAGTGGAGGTTTGCGGGTAGATGGAGAAGGGAGGCAAGATCGGCTTAGATGGGGTTACTGTACTGTATAGGGCGATAGTTTTGTAGAGTAATAGACTAACCAATCCAATCATATACTATAAACTATCCCTCTTGAAACCGAGAGAATACATCCCTCTGCGCAATGCCAAACTCCCTCTCCACCGTCTCCCTCACCCTATCACTCCTCACTTTCGTCCGACATCCAAACGGCTTCGCAGAATACAAAAAGCCACGGTTATACCCCGTCCGCAGGTCAGTATCAATTGTCTTTCGCTCATCCGGCAAAAAGTCAAACGCCCAGAGCAACTTGGTCACGGCAAGTAACAGATTCCGCTCTGCGAGATGAATACCCGGGCAAATACGCCGGCTGACGCCGTATCCGTAATGGTCGCGGTTCTCCCATTTCCCGCCGACGTATTCGGACGCGAGGAGGGGGTGGTCGGCGTATCGTTCTGGGATGAAGGATTCGGGGTTATATTCGGGATGCTGGGATGGGTCCATGTGGATACCCCAGGTGTTGATGATGATTGTTGTTCCTTTGGGGAGGAATTTGCCGTCGATCCAGTCGTCTACTTGGTTAGAGAAATATCTGCACGGTAGAAAAAGACATACCTTGGCTTAGTGCATGCGGAAAGCATAAAGGCAGGATAGCCCTCCACCGGTGTCCCTCTTTGACAATCATATTAAGATACGGCAACTGCTTCATATCAGCCCAAATGGGCGATCTGTCAAACCCCACCACGGCGTCAATCTCCGCCTGTGCCTTTTTCTGGACGTCTGGATTCAGAATCAACGCTTGGATGATGGTGATGATCAAAGTACTCGTCGTATCAGAACCACCTTCACTCAACACACCCCCTATAAACGCCACCTGTCGCAGTGGAAGCTGGTTCCTGTCCTGCGCATCGAGGACTTTATCCATGAAGCTCCCTAGATTCTTTTCTGGGCTTTCCCCTCGCCGTTTAAGAATTGTCTGTAGGATTTCACCATGTAAGGTTTCCATCTGCGTGCCCACTGCGCGTGCGCGTGTTACATAGTTTCCGAATAATCGCTCCGGGATGTATTTCAGCCACGGATAGATGTCAATGGGCGGGGTGGCGCCTGTTTCGAGAATCTCCGTGAAGCCTTCGAGCATTGTGTACAGCCGGTTCATGTTGCTGCCGTGATGGGTTGCGGTGCGGATGCCAAATACTATACCATATCAGCAGATATCATATCATCTCAAATATCAGACGAACTCACAGATAGAACTGGCGATGCTATGACTATACCTCTTCGGATACTCCATATGCCCATATCCTCCCTCGTCATGTGCATCCACCAAAAAATCCCTCACCAACTGCACCGCCTCCGCATTCACAATATCCAACTGCGTCTCATCCACCATCGACTCCATAAAGTGATGATGCGCAAGTCTCCGCATCATCCTCCACTGCGCCCCATACTGCATCACAAGCATATGATCGCCCTTGGTAATCAGGCTCTGTGCTATATACGACGCGGGCCGGTCGCTGTAGATGCTGCTTTTTCGGTCGATGACTTCCTTAACGAGACGGCGGGAGGTTATCACGGCCATTGTGCTGGGTCCGATTTTGAGGGTGTACAGGGGGCCATAGATGCGGGCCCATTTTGTGAATCTAGGTATTCAGCTTGGATGGCTGGGTTGGCAGGGGGTGGTGGATAGACGTACTGGAGGTGTGTGTATGATTTTGGGATTTGGTGGATGTTGCCGATGAATGGGAGGGTTGGAGGGCCTGATGGCATATCTGACGTGCGATGTCCGTATGTCCAGGCATATCGAATAAACTGGATTAGCAGAGCTGCTAATACTACAATCCAGATCATTTATATGTTTGTTAGATGCTGCTGTTGAATTGTTTGTATTGGATTCGGGAGACACGAGACAGCAGTATTCATAAAACCGGCAAGGCTGACACCCGTCTCAACCCCGCAATTGCGCTGCGTTGGAAATTGATAGCTCATATTTGTTGAGATGATTAATACGGGCTGTCCTATAGTCAGGGTATAGTTATAATAGCATGGAGAATGACATGTTGGATTTAAGTTTAGAGTTAAGGTCCGCATGGCATGTGGTTACACAAGGCATATTCAAGAATAATTGCAATCAATCAGTAGAAGCATCATAATCATTATTCATTATAAATATCAAGCAAGACTATAGAAAACGCAGCAACTCTATACAAAAGGAAAACCGTCATCATAAATCGTCCATATCCTCTAGTGGATGCAGTATCCCTGGTCACAGTGGAAGTCCTTGCAGCACGGAGGAAGGTTGGCACCGCAGGAAGTCAGTTCACCTCGACAGGCCTCTTTTCTGAAAAGATCACGAGCCGACTTGGGCACGCAGGTGTTATCCTGGCAGATCCAGCCAGTCAAGCAGGGAGAGCCGTGTGCACATCCCGAGGCGTCGGTAGAGCTGGTGTCGGCTGTTTCGCTGGTTTCTCTGGTTTCAATGCTTCGCTCGAGCTGATGCAGTTAGTATATTGTGTCTTAATGATGGTGGGTAAGCATACCTCTCTCTTGCCAGATCCCTGGTTGACGCATTTTCCATCAATACACCACAGACTGACACAGCAGGCAGCGTCGTTTGCGCACTTGCCGCCCCGGGCAGCGCATTGCTAGATGCGTGTCAGTTTTTGTAGAGTTATCGCGTAAGAATTTACATACAGCTCTTTCGGAGAGTAGGTCACCAGCAGCTTCGGGGTTGGGGCTGGGAGCAGCCAGAGCAGAACCAATGAAGGCGGCGATGAGGAAGGTAAAGAGACGCATTTTGATGATGAGTAGAGTGTTATTGATTAGATGAGTATAGTGTTTGGTGTGCTTATTCTGATAGTTCTGATTGCGTTTGATGGAGGTCAGATGGTGGGATTCTGCAATGTTTATATAGCCTTTGGTTTAAATTGTGCCTTATATCCAGGAACATCCAACGTAAGGTCTCACTGCCCCGTACTTTCTAGACGACAGCTGCCGCAGTCGTTTTGCATGGCAGATATCTGACAGCATACAGTGCATACATAATCACAGCCAGAAACAAGAATAGCCTGCTTACTGTATCTACATTAGTGTCGCAGGAAATCACCGCCACCTTCCTTTTCCATTCTAGAACTGCCAGTTGTACAGCAGGGCTATGTATAGCCTGTAAGTGACGTAGACTTGGAAAATACATTAAAAGTTCGTTAACCCCGCAGTTGGATTTCCGCCCGACTGGGGATGCAGATGGCTATGTTTACGGTGTGGTTGATGCTTACTCGATCTGACAGGCTGTGGTGTGGCGGTGCCAAGTAGATTCTGAGTGTACTTTATTATACTATGTGTCAGATAGCTCTATCTGATATCAGAAAGCTTTATTATTATCATAGAGCTCTACTGCATCAGAATAAATTATCAGGTGTATGCGGGGTAGACAGACAGATTGTGCTCAGGCCACTGATCGACATCCACAGCCTGTTTTATCTTATCTTCTGCTCAGCCTCAGTAAGCGACATTTTCAAATAAGGCTGGGCGGTTACCAGATGCAGTGGCCAATGGCTATTAACAGTATATCGGAGGCTGGTGGAAGGCAGTACAGCAAAGCAGTGCAGATGCATATTCACTGCGGCAGCTGGATTCCCTCTTGCTATTCTTGATGCTGTGTGTATGGTATGATTTGAATCCGAGGGTCCGAGGGACTTTCATATGATTTCCTATACAGCATGTGAGCGGAACTAGCAGTGACTGATTTGGAATTTCTTGTGAAAATTATGAAGTAATTGTGCACTATCTATCTCAACAAAAACACAATGAACAGAAGCCAAAGCTAAACAGAAGATGACGACGAAGAAACAGAAACAACAACCCACTCATCCAACAGTCCATCCGCACTCAGCACCGGCGGAGACGGCAGTTCATCCCTCAGCATCATCTTCTCCCGCAGCTCCTCCAACGGCACCCACTGATCCACAACCGGAAACTGTGCATGAAAGTTCGTCCAGAACGGCTGTAACTCCGGCCGTAATGTCTTATGCACGATAGCTTCCTTGAGTTCCCTTTCTTCGACTAAGCTGGCGAGGAGCTGCTTCCACCACTTGTCTAGACCGTTGGGCTGGTTCAGATCTCGCACGAGAAGAAGGATGACTGCCTCGGTGAGCGCGTTTGGTTTGAGGGTCTTGATGGGGTATAACTCTGTCCAGGGGCCGGATGCACCGCCTGGTAGACGGGGTGGAAGTCGTTTATCGGTGGACAGGATGAAGTGGGGATCGTCTTCTGCGGGGGGACGCATGGAAAAGTACGGTAGCCACCAGACGGTGCTGGATTTGCTGTACAGCGCGAGGATGTTGTAGTATCTGTCTATCTCGTCAAGGTGGAAATGGACATCTGGAACGGGTGAGTTGAACCGATTGTGTTGGAGTTTCGGACAGGCACGGTTACTGCAGAGCGGGAACCCGGCTTCTTGGAGGGTTCGACCGGCGATTTCGATAAACTCGTCTGGAATGACGAATTCAATTCTCTGTAGTATGTTAGTTTGTTTGTATATAGAGTGTAGGTAGGTAAGTACTCACCCGCGATGCATTGTTCTCTCCCGTCAGGGCAATCGCCAACCAACCCCAGAGAAGATGGGGGATTGGGGCTTCATCGAAGAGGTAGGCCACGGTGGCGGCTAGTGGGCATCCGATTGAGTTCATGGTTGATATGTGTATACTTGAGTATATGGTGTTGATGGTTTGGAGATGTTGATATGGCATATTTATACCGTACTCGAGTTCATAGTAACAAAGGATAGAAGCCTTTTGTCCGTTTCAATCGAGTTTCGAGTATTCTTGGACATCTCAAAAGCTTTGTTTTTCTTTATGATACTCGATTGTTCGGTTTGAACTTGATGCAGACAAAGATTCTTTGAGTGCTTGGATGCTCATTGTCAACATAGAACAATATTCTGGCTACAACAAAGAACAAATAATGACTTTTTTAGAACAGATAATAATAATACTCATGCTGTTCGAATGTAGGTGAGTGTTGAGGGCTTATTGGAGTAAAGTATACAGATCAACTTCATAAATCATAATTAATTATAATATACCATATATACATAACACACTAAAGTACACACATATCAAAACAGCCATCAAACACCCTCACATCAACTCTTATCCGCCCCAACCTCCACCAGCTGTATGAACTTCCCCGAATCCCTCTTCTGCTTCGTCCCATAGTCAACCGCATACGAGACCCGCTTGGAAATCTGGCTCTTCTCGCCCACCTGTCGCGACCCATTAGCGCCACCCCGACTCGAGCCGGCATTAGTATACGGCAGTGCTTGTTCGGTGGAGAGACCCAGGACGCTGGGGAAGAAGCGCACGAGCATGGCGCGCGTGGTGGGGAGACAGGCGCAGACGATGGCGATTTGGCATTCGATTACGGACCAGTGGTTTAGGGCTTCCATTTCGTCTGGATGTGTTAGTTGGTGTATATGTATATTGGTGAAGGTGGGGACTTACAAAGGGGGTTGGCGTTGGAGTCGTTCCGGGAGAAGACGATGACTCGGACGATTCCGATTATCGTTAACCTGGAGAATCGAATCAGTATGCGTATACATAGGTATCAGAGAAGGTTGCATACACTAGCCCACCAGCAAACATCAAAGCAACCCCCATCTTCTTCTGAAACGACAGATTCAACTTCAACACCTCGTAAACCGGCATCGTCACCATCACCGAATCCACCACGATATTCACATAGCCATTCACAAACGTCGAGGTGACGAAATCAATGCACTTTCCTTGCTCTTCGCCCTCCCATCCCGTCCACGCCAGGTGGATGGGCATGCAGTGGAAGACGTCTGCGAAGATCCACGCAATGGCGATGGCTGCGTTGACGGCAATCATGGTGTATGTGGTGTACCGGAAGACGGTGGACTGGAAGATTCGGAGGAGGAATAGACAGACGGAGATTTTGGCGAGGGAGATGAGGGCTTTGTAGCAGAGGACGAAGGCGTAGAAGCGCTGGGGTTATCAGTATGTAGCTAAGGTATTTGGTGGGAGTAGACGGACCTTCATTGCTTTTGTGATGTTGTCTAGTGGGTAGATGTCCCATGTGTTCATTCCGAAGCCGTAATGGACCACTGAGATGGTTAGATATGGACGGTATTGAGTGGTATGGTGACTTACTTGAAGTGTTTAGTGAGAATATAATTATTGCCAGTGCCTATATCATCAGCAAATGAATAGTTCATAAAGAAATAGACACTCACATATGCAATGCAAATCGTAACATCATCCGGTCCCCAACCACCACCGAGACACATAGCCTTGGCCGCTATCCTGATCCCAAAAAGAATCGTAGCGATAATGAACGGAACAAGCGTGGCAGCATCTACTTCCGGATATCGTCGCACGATGGGGATATCGCATTCTCGAGAACCAACATATTTGGCCGTTAGCGATTCTCTAGTGGTACAATCGGCCGAGACACAATCGGCAAAGATAGTCTGGTAGTGGGTATCGGCGCAGAGACATGAGGTGTCTGTGTCTGCGCATGATGGTTTATAGTCGGTGAGTACTTGCTGCTTGCAAGAGAGCTACTATACTGTCAGAGGTGAAGGGATAATGGAGAATCATGGCATACAGCGCATTCGGGGTAGGATGGTGATGAGCTTGACTCGGCAGATGCAGGTATACTTGCCAAGCTCATCAGCACGAGTGTGACTGTGTGGAAGTGCATCTTGGACTTCGTGATGTGTGATGTGACAGCAGTCAGAAATGACTGTTAGTTGGCCGGGCGAGCATTCCTCTAATACAGCCGGACCAAGGGGATTAGGAAGTCTTGACCGTAGGTGTCAGTATGCATGTCAGATCCCGGAAGAGCGCGCACTAGTGATTTGATCATTGTGGATGCTGTCATTGGCTGGATGTATCCCAGGAGGCGTCAAAGTTTTCCTGGTTCTTGCCACGGTGAACCAGTCTGGTGGCATTGATAGGACTTGACATAGCTTAATCCCAGCGATCGCCTGGACTATTAAAACCCAATGCTCACTTTTGATTGCGATTGCCATCATGGACCAATAGTCGGAAGCTTAAACCCTTCTGACCCCTGTCATTTACAGCCCCTTATACCCCTTCCGGTTAGCGTCGACTCGACCGTCCACGAGAGAATCAAAAGTATTTGAGATGGATGCATGCCTTCTTACAAAAACAAATTACGTCCCACGTGTTGATTGACTGTGAATCAGAGCAGGTTTCAGTGGCAAACCAAGGTTGAGCCGCGATCTGATCGCAGACCACAACAAAGTCACAATTACCAAACAACAAAGGGCCACGAGTACCTGTGGGGATCCAATGCACAACATAGCTCGACTGGCTCCATAACGGGACAACTAGGGCCCAAATCGGCGGTCATTGGGCGATTATGTACTGGTTACGTGAGATGCCATGGCCTGATCAGCCAAGTCATGATGTAAATGACTACCTGGCTTCAAGATCAGCGCGAAGTTTGTTTCAAGATGACAATTCCTCCTGGTCAACAATAATCCCTGCATTGGTTTTGATGGTGAATTCCATTGCATTAGGTATCCCCAGAATGTAGAGTCCACAAGGTATTATGTATGAAATGCGGATAAATCATCCCCTCTGCTGCGCTGTTCGGTGCAATTTCTTCGCCCCCACATTGACATCTGTCATGATCTTCGGTGTGAAAAACGCCGACTCGAACGCCACACGCCACTCCGATTCAAAAGGCCTATATTTAATTTTAAACAGTGTTGAGATCGAAATGAAATTGCATTCGAATCGTGGATCGCGATTCAAAGGATTGGGTTGTGGCGTGAATCCTGTCGATATATAAATATGCTTAAATCTTGGTTTTATTAATAGTGCTCGTCTTGTGGATATATATTTCTGTAAGTTGATCTATTTCGTATATGCAACACTTTGGAGGGACTTGCAATGTGCCTGCAGGTATACTTTTGTATCAATAAAAGCTAGAATATTATTTAACTCAAGAATTACATGTTTGAAGCCTATCTCAATCTGCATATACGTAATTCTATCCATTATTCCCAAGATGAAGGGTTTCTATCTTACTAGAATACAATGATCGCTAATTACACTCTCCTTCATCTATTCATCCTTGTGGATTATAAATTAATATCAGATAGCTTGGGCATCCAACGACACGCCTCTAGTGTGCTCAGATATATATCACGTTACCTGAAAGCACAGATATTCCAACCCAAGGAAAGTAACCCGAAGACCAACCACAACCAGTCAAGAGGTGTAGTCCAAGTAAACATACAAGATATGACACGTCCAGCAGGATGAGCAGTCTAAGCTTATTTCTCGATGCGCCCCGAAATGTGATGTATCGACTGTGAATGATCGATCGCGATTTCTCGGATCAATCGGCCTCAGATTGCCAAGACGGAGCATATTTCTCGGGTAAGTGGTCTTTCTTCACCTCCAGATATTGCAGTCGGGTATCGTTGAATGGCCTGTCTATCTTGCAAATATGTATCTTATAAAAGATTGTGATCAACATGCGGTGTCATTCGGTGGACTGGCAGGGTTTGCGCAGGTCACATGTGGGTGCGAGTAGCCTAATGATCCCTCGGCAGCGCAGGGATATATTTGTATTTCCGTAGCCGAGCTTGATTCTGCCTATCCACAGCCAAAATGAAGAGCATAAGAGCATACTTGACTAATTACTATCCTGATTCATAATTTATCCAGATTGAACATACATTCATAAATAGATTCAAAGGTCATGATTCATGATTCAATAGTAACCAATGATGCCCGGATGATGCGGAAGAGCGACTCCTGAGTCCAGAAAATAGACTTTGTCGTTATGACACTGCAGTCAACAAGAAAGTATCACCGAGGTCATATCCTTGCCAATGACAAATACTAAGCATAGGGTACCTGCATATATACTTTGACTTTGAAGAGAACTGCAAAGCAGACAAATCACAGCATCAGCAGGGCGACGCTAGGCCGCCAGCGGTGTGCTGTTATCCGCATGCAAATCCTCATTCCTCAATCCTCATTCCTTAATCCACGTTCCTGCAGCCCCCGTATTGCAATTTGCAGGTGGGCTATCACATCGCCTAAGATGACCTCATGCCCCCACTCGCCTCGTGCGTCCAATACAGGCACGGAGTGCGCCCGAAGCCCCTGCTCGTTCTGAATGATGTAGCTACAGATGCTAGTATTCTCGTATTCATGAATATCTGACAGAGACTCCATCTCGATAGAACCCCTATCGTCCGATCTGGGCTGTCTTGAGTTAGACAGTGGGATGGCTGGCTGCTAGTGTAGAGACGACAAACTACCCCCTCGTGGACAGCTGCTATTAGGTTAGAGGGGAGATAGGCTTCAAGAGCAAATCCCGAATGACACCGTAACGAGCCTGGACGGCAAGTGAAAGCGAGTCTGAATTCTGATATTGATTTCTATGGTCTCCACTCTCCACTATGTGAGGACGTTGAAAAATGAAGCAATAAAAGCAAAGAAAGAAAAAGAAACCACAGAAAAAGAAAAGAAGGAAAAAGAAAAAAGAAAAACCTGGGGTCAGATGGAAAAGGAAGGACCCAGAATGACCTACGAAATGCTTTACTATGTAATATGGAATAATGCCGTCTCGTGCTCGCCCGTGTTCCGAGTTGCGCGTGGAATCGACCGTGTGTAGCTAGCTGCTGCTGAGCCTGCTGAAGCCTATATCCTGTGTCCTCACTAGTTCTGGTCCAAAAATTGGGTATGACGGTGCTATACGGACGAGGGGAGAAAAGATGACAGACAACAGCTCTGGAACTGGGATTGACTTCGATAAGCTACCTGCTATCTACTAGCAGTCCATTGAAAGGATTCTAAATATGAAGGGCATCAGTTGAAGTGGGATTGGATACAGAAGGTCGTCATATCACGTCGCACGCTGTGGCGAAGGAATAGGGGGTGGTGTGGTGAGACTGGAACGGCCCTACTGCAGCCATCCCTGCTAGCGCCGGCGTCCCACGGCCGAACACACAATCTGATTGTTCGACCGAGATTTCGCGAGTCACGGCCGTCTGGTGGTCGTGCCGCAATAGTCGGTCATTCTGCACGCTGATTGGCGGGACAGGGGGGGTCGCGGGATTTTTCATGCCCGATTGATTTGACAATTTAAGATCGGCCAATCAGAGGGCGGCAGTGGAGGGGGGGGCTAATTCTGCAGGGATGCTCGATGAGGCTAAGGTAGGTACAGGGTTTTATTTCAGGCCCACGGTGATGTTCGGGTCGACAGCGAGCATCCAGATGGATCTGTATCCTGGATCTGTACTCTGGAGTATGTAGATATTCGATCATGTACAGTGTATGTGATGTTATGATCTTGATTGGCCTGAAACGACTACTATCAAGAAGAGCATGAGAATGATCAAAACTCAAATGGATCAAATTTAAGAAAGTCAAAATCCTGCAATCCTACTCTACTCCTCCCACCACGATTCCATCCAGTCACCACCCGTAGCCCATGTGGCAGTGGCCATGCACAATTCAATAGTTTGGCAGATCGAGATGGCAGCCAATCGCCTGCAGCGTTAATTCTGGTAATTATGGGCCTCTCCACTGCTTGCTGGGAGTTCCTGGATTTCGGGTCTTCCCCACCGCTGCTGGCCCTACCTTACTCAGTAACAACTCCCCATATCGGCGATCTACACACACACGCGCAAAATCCGGCCCAGGATTTAAGATCATTTAACCTGCCGGCTGCCCCAGGCGCCTGGACTTGGTCTTTCCTTTTTTTTCCCACGGCTATCCAACTGCCTGACTTTCCTTAAGCCGTGTTTTGTTGTTTTTTGTTTTTCTATTCCAGCACATACTCATCATGGGGTCTGAATTGGGCGTCTCTGCCGACTCCAAGGCAGAGGCTGTCTACTCCCCTGTCGCCATCTGGTGGGCGTGCTGGGCTGGTATCTGGACTGTCGCCGTCGCTTCCGGCATCACCTATCTCGTCTTGAACCGCAACTCGCCCACCCTCCGAATCAGAGGCATCGGCCTGTCGCTGTCCGCCGTCGTTTTCATCCATCTCTACTTTATGTCCGTCCAGTTTGGAATCATGGCCGGTCCCCTCCTGCCCGGAGACGCCGAGTTCTGGCTGATGGGCACCTATCTGCCCTGTGGCATCGTCCTATTCCAGGCATCCAACACTCGTTTCCTGCACGTTGCGAAGTTGCAGAAGAAATACGCCCACCGGGATAGCCGGATCGACTTGACTCCCGACCTGACGCCCAAGCCCGGCCTGAAGAACCGCTTCAACAGTCTGAGCTTCAACATGAAGACTTTTATCTGCGTTGGTATCGCCTGGGCGGTGCAGCTGTTCCTCACGGTCCTGATGTGGCTTATCTCCCGCAAGTGGCATAGCTCTTGGGGAATTCCTGGTACTGAGGTTCATGGTACTGAGATGGAGCAGAAGTACGAGATGGGACGGGGCTGGGAATGGTAAGTCAAGCTGTGCGTGTTTGATGGAGTATGTCTTAACGATATGCAGGTGGCCTACTATTGTCTGCCAGTTTGTCTGGTCGTGGATCGTTGCTCCTATCGTTCTTTGGAAAGCTCGCCACATCCATGATACCCAGGGCTGGCGAACTCAGACCATTGGTTGCGTTGTCTCCAGGTGAGTATCACGCCTGAAGAAGACAATCTCCTACTAACATGCTGCAGCCTCCACGCTACTCCCATGTGGCTCATTGGTGTCTACGTTCCTGGCATGGCCCCGGTCAACGCCGTCTGGCTGCCTCCTCAGTGGTAAGATCCAACGACTCATTTCTTCAAAAGCAGTCTCTAATATGATTCAGGATCTGCCTTTCCATCATCTTCATCGAAATCTTCGCCGTCTTCCTCCCCTGCTGGGAGGTCATGCGCTCGCAAACCCTCCGCAAAGAAACCCTCGACTCCATCGCGCAATGGGAGCTCAAAACCAAAGGCATCGGCTCAGACCGCAAATCCCTCGCTTCCGCCTCCACCGTCGTCGAGTCCTTCATGTCCGGCTTCAAATCCGCCAACGGCTCCGTCGAATCTGACGCCTCCCGCGAAGGTCTCATGTCCATGAGCGCCCTCGAATACGTCCTCGAGCGCAACCCCGCCCCGCTCCAGCAATTCTCCGCCCTCCACGACTTCTCCGGCGAAAACATCGCCTTCCTCACTTCCCTCGCGGACTGGAAAACCTCCCTCCCCAAGGACATCCAGGACGGCACCGCCCTCGCCGACGAAAACTCCCGCGAGCTCATCCGCGAACGCTTCAACCGCGCCCTCTACATCTACGCCGAATTCATCAGCGTCCGCCACGCCGAGTTCCCCGTCAACATCTCCTCGCAGGACCTCCGCCGGCTAGAGACGATCTTCGAGGGTCCCGCGCGTATCATGTACGGCGACGAACGTGAAGTCGACTCCGTCACCCCCTTCGACACACCAGGCTACAATATGCAGCCGCTGCAACCCACCGAGTCGGAAGGCTCAACCAAGGCGTTCCGGAGTACCGTTGCCGCGCTCCGTGACCGTGTCCAGTACTGGGGTGACGTGCCCGATGAGTTCGACCTGACTGTCTTTGACGCCGCAGAGGAGAGCATCAAGTATCTTGTTCTGACAAATACTTGGCCGCGCTTCATCAAGAGTCGGAGAGTCTCGTCGGATTCGACTGTTACGCTCCGCTCTGGCATGACTGCCGTCTAAGAGAGTCAAGAGTGAAAGTGAAGTGAGTGGCAACGCCGAAATGAATTAATAATGGAAAGGGAGGCCTGCTTTTTTTTTTTTCTGTATTTTATATCTGGGGCTAAGGGTTCTTTCCTTCTCCTTCTACACGTTACTGTACATAAATATTTCTCCTAATGTCGCTGGATACGTATATACCCATACAACAAGATATCAATCGCTATATCAATATACATACAATATGTCAGAAACTCTACACATACACTTTAGAATAACCACAACCTTGACCCATCGTTTTAATGCCTCCATCCGTTGACGCTATAGATAAGATGCGAAAAATTTTAATTTACAACTGTGAAGTGAGACATACTGTGGATCACACGATGGGGATCTACACACACTATCAACCGATAATTCACCTAGTCAACCAGGTCAACCAGGAAACGAAAAGGAAACGCAAAAGTTTAGATTATCTCAAATCATTATTCCCATCAGTCGTGGGTACTAACTACATCATATTCTTCACGCTAAGCTATTCCCCCCC